GCTCTAGCGCCATCCTCCGGCTCCAGGAATTCTTATCCACCCCTGCTTTGTCCGTCCCATCACCGGCCATTGGAAACCCTATCCATGGCGATTTCAAGGATGATTGACCAAAACCCTTGCCCTTGCGCCCGGGGCACAGGTAATCTTCGGTCCGGCTATCCCAGTAGAGGGCCATTCTGGCGAGAACAACAACCGGATAAAAGCCTTTGGCATTCTGGGTGTAATGGAGAGCAGAAGAGGCCAGAGCGTTGACATTCGCAATCAAGGCTTGACTGACCTCATCGGTCCGGATTTGGTGAAAGACGATATTAAAATTTCTTATTTATGTCGACAAAAGAATCATGCGAGTCAAACTGACATACAATGTCATGGCGCGCTCGAAACACTTCGAGCGTCCTGTGCTGTGCGTCAGTGTGTTAAGTTGCGTCGTGACTCAAGCCGTAGAAAGCATCAACAGCAGGGGTCTAAATGGCGAAATTCCGAATGTAAAAATCTGGATCATGGATGTAAGACTTTGAATGAGAAGTAACGAGAAGGTGCCTGTCAGATCCAAGACGATGTGAACGATCATGCATGGCATGGAAATCTGAAAAAGGATGGTGATTATTGTCCAAGCGGCGATGTGCCCAATCAACATATCAGACTGGCTAGACCGGGAAGCACAGGGCAAATGCCAGGCGAAGAGGGAGTAGAGGCCGAGGTCTTATTCGAGTCTAGATATGGTAATTGCTGGAAGCAGCGCGGCCTCCCTTCTCCGTCGCCCCATCTCGGGATGCAATCTGAAAATGGGAGGCCGTTCAAGGGCGATGCGATTGACATGAATATGTAATTTGCTCTGAAGGCAGGTTGTTAAAGGGCAGCAATGCCAAGCATCTGTCTTCTCCAGAGTTGAATGAATGCGACATATTAGCGCACTTAGAACACCAAGTCTCAAGATGCGGAATTGAGGTTGGAGTTGGAATTTGACTGGATGTAAATGGAAATGGAAGAATGGAAGAAAGGTGTGACTCGCGGGGACGCTTATCCATCTCTGGGAAGAAGGCCTCTCGGTCTGTTTACCTTGCCTTAGTGTCGTCGCAGACGTAGGCCACTTGTCGCTGGAAACATCCCCATTCGCGAGCCGCAGCTCCAGTGCAGGGTTTGACATCTGTCGTCCCCGCTGCCGCGCTTCAGTCGTCCAGTACCGAATGCACGATCTCCATCTCCATCTCCATCTTTGTTTGGCCCCGCCGTGCGGAGAAGCTGTCGAGGGCCGGTCCACTGGTTTGTGTGTAGTTCGTCTGTCAAATCGCATCGCATCGCATTTTCAGATCGTATTAGTGGTGGCAATGGTTGACGGGTTTGAATGGTTTCGCTGACTTGATGTGAGGGCGCTGATGCGCTGCTCACTAATGCAAGGGACATTCATGTTTTCTAGCCTCTTGGTTTGTGCCGTTTGTCTCGAACACATCTTTGCGCTCTGTCTGCTATTCGGCACAAATGTCGGGTAAGAAGAATCTAGGACTTTGAATCAATATTGCAACGACAAGGTTGTAACTCTAAGCCGTCTGAAAAAGGAAAGTTGCAAAGGAAGAATTAGAAAAGATCCTCCGTAGCTACCCGTATTCGTAAGCCTGACCATAATGCTCGGAGGAACCCATCAAATCACATGCAGAATTGAACAAATCTGGCTCGTGATGTGCACCATCGAATCGATTAATGGTTTTGCTGATTGGCAGTCACAGAGTTCACGGTGATTATCGTGCGTCGTGATGCGGAGAACCTGTGGTAATATTTCCCTCTGGCAGCGGAAGGGGGACCTGTCACAAGGGAAGAACTCATGCATGAGAGCCCTTGGGGGAAGGCGCGATAGGATGCACGACACCATTACTTCCGCTGATGATGTATGTATGCGCACGTTCAACTGCCCAATAAGAGAATCATGGCACAAGTCAGCAACGTGAGCGTGTGATGGTAAGCAAGTTGATGGTGTGAAGAACCTGAGGCTGATGAATAAAACTCGCCAGCCTTCCCTGATTTTCTGTGAGTCTTTCTGATCTTCCATCCGCGCCCTCCGTTAACTCCATCATAGCGGCACAGCTTTGCGGAGTTTCTACCATTCAACTCGTCGCCACTTCTACAAATCGCCATATCAATCGCTTTGTGAGAGGCATTACTGTTACCTAACGACGTGTCATTCCGTATAATTGAAGGCCAGGCAACCCATCGCGAAAGTCAAGGACCAAGGCTCCAAGACTCGCAACTCTATTGCGTGTCTTACCTTTCCTCTGATTCGACACCGTCCATTCCAGCCTTGTTGACATTTATCGAAACCTTAAAGCCCTGGCAACCAGCGGATTTCTCATCTGGCTGCCTTGCGGCAACCAACCACTCACCAACCGACTTGGCTGACGGTGCAACGACTTCAAGTGGTAGCCTACCGATAAACTTTGGCAGCCTCGTGTCGCACTTGTGTTAAGCAAGTGATATTAAGGGCCGGACTGATAGTGTTTGCATGGGTCTAAAGGTCCCAAGTTTATCGCATCTCTATATCCTTGTCCTCGTTTGGCCGCTCGGTTGCGTCAGCTTCGTATTTCCGTGTCCTCCGTGCCTTTTAACAGAAAGTTTCCCAGCACATTCGGTACACTAATTTAATATAAAGTGTCCAGGGGGTGTAACGGTCTACTGAGCGCCCTGGTCTTGAATCACACCGAGCTGGTCAATCCCTGTTGGTCCGTTGCCGCCAGCGCGCCTAGAAGCCCAAGGAGAAGGAAAATTTTTCACCGGAACAGAGTCGCGGGCATCCGGGTACGCAAGACGTTGGGATTTTGGATTTGGATCCAGGCCGTCAATCTCGCTTACTGCCCGTCGGTAAATTCAACTGGCACTTGGGTGGAGTCTCTGCCATTTCTTGCGAGTCCTTCTCGTCGAGTTTTCGGAACAGGGAGTTGAAAGAGGCGTGCGATTGTCAACGAGCGAGACATCTGTGTCCTCTGAGACGGCATTCGACCCCGCCTCCCGAATAGTCCGCAAGGTAAATACTTTTCTTTTCTTTTCTAATCGGAAAACTTTTTCTGTGGTCGTGTATTTCTTTTGTTGAATCTGCCCATTTTGCACATCCTTTTCCCACTCATCCTGGTACTCTTCTCCCTGCTTATGGTGGCTGGTTCCCAATGTGTGTCAAGAGGGGCAAAAGAGTAGAAAAAAAGAAAAAAGAGAAGAGGCTCACAGGAAAGGGGAAACCAAATTGTGTGCGTTGTGTGCGCGCGCTCTGTCCCTCGTGTTGCCTGTCTTGTTGTTGAGAGACAAAAAACCAATGCGCTGCTATACCCACCCCCAGTAATGACATCCGTCGCACAGAGCTGAATTAGATGGGAAAGCAATCAATCAAATCACTTTTCATGCTATTTTGCGCTCTCCTTTTCACATGAAAGGCTGCCTCTTCCTATTGAGCCTACCTATCAATACCTCTATCTCTTGTCCTATCTTGCCCCTTTTCTAAGATCTTTTTCGCCCCTCGATCTTTCAGGCCTAGATTAGCTGACAAGTGATGAAAGACTGAGTCATAGTTGCGTGTGAGGTGTTCGGTTTGATTCATAATTGCTCGAACCCGAGATACCAGCACCCGACCAGAGAGAAATTGGGTTGCGGGAGTGATAGGGCGTCTAAGAAAAACAAAAAGAACGGCTGTCCACATATTGGAATCCTGCAGCGGAAAGAATACCTAAGAGAAGCCAGCGAAACTTGGCCGCAGCTCAGCGCCTTACAGCGGTGTCCTGGTAGGCTGGTACTGTACAGACTGCGTCACCGTTTGGCTCATTTCGCCAAAGATTTGAGGTGAGGCCAGTGCGCCGCGCACGTTAGCTTTGCTGGTTGGTGAGAAATTGGCGGTGCATGCACAGTCTGAGTCTGGGCTTGACTAAGCGTTGAACTCTTTCTCTTACACCCTGATTATCAATACCCTGAGACTGGGCTCGGTCGCAATACGACAGGAGCAATTGCACTGCCTCTCTGAGTCACGTATCCGAGTTTCTTCTAGGAGTCACCAGCGACTTCGATTAAGCAGTGAAAGGAGATTTGGAACGCAAATGGTTGAATTGATTCACCAACGTCAACGCTGAGAGACACACAAACTGCACTACACAATACGCCCATTGCTCCCAGAGGGAGTACAAAGTGCAATTGCGCAGCCTGCATCCGCTAGGCCCCCTGGCTCCCTTCATCAAGACTCACCCTGCACACCTGCACACCCACACAGGCTGCGGCTTTTCACCCCCTGCACCCCTATCAAGCTACGCCCCCCTGTACTTTTTTTATCGACCCCAGTCAAGCCACTCCTCCATAGCGGCCTCCCCTGCTACCACCCGCTAGAGAAGACAGGTTTGGGGAGCGACCGGGCGGTGGTCCACACCCACAAATCTCTTTGACCTGACAATATATATCTCGACTTCTCCCTCTCAACCCTCCTTTCCTCTCTTCTACACGTATCTTGGCACTTGCCAATCAAATATTTCCACAAACAACTTCACCAAAGCTTTCACCACGTCGTGCATCGACGTCATCGCTCATTTTTCTTTCTAACCATTACTCATCTGCTGGATCTCGTTAAGAGTCCAGTACCTTCTCAACACTACTACCGGGTTCTACGGGATCTGGTGCCTATTTCTCCAAGTTGAGGAGATATATTATTCCCTTTGGTCATGTTCGCCGTCGCAAAAGAATTTTCTAACCTCTTTTCCTCCGACTACATACCGAGGTGACGGGCCTATTCCATCACCTCCACTTGGGCATCTCTTCACGGCGCTTTTTGATCGTTAACCCTGCTGCATGCAGTCTTGACATCACTGACCAGCCACTCAACTTACTTTCTAGAAAGAAACAAGAAAAAACATAAATAAAAAAAGACCAACCGAAATATCCGCGATCGACACGACAACAACAACTGCGGGTGCTCGGGAGGAGAGCAGTTGTTTGAAAGTCTGGAAACAGCGGATGTCAGTTGGACATCGCCACAAAATATCATGAGTTACAAATCTCCACGAACACCTGGATCGACACCGATCCACGACTACGACAGCGTCTACTCGAGGATGTCGTCCGCAACTCCCACCCCTTCGCCGAGGCCAACCTGGGCCGACTCGACCCCAAGGCGACCAGCGACCCGCGTGGCCCACTCGCGATTCAACAGTTACTCCCAGGCTAGTGACTTCAGCCCTCGTCCCCCTAAGGACTCGCCACGCTACAACAGCGTCGGACAATATAGCACGGCAGATGTGAGTCACAAAACTTCTTCGTCGCGCAGGCTTTCAGAGTCATCTCCGCGTTCCAAGCGCGACCGCCGGTTCTCATTTACCTATGTCCGGGCTTCCACCCCATATGGAGAATCCGACGAGGACGAGATCATTGAGGCGTTGGGACATACATACGTGCTCCCCGCACAGTCCCGCTCCAAGAACCACCATCACCGCAATTCCGCTTTCCTACCTCGAGACTTTGATGATGACCGAGGACGGTACACTAATTACGACGACTACCTGCAGGGTGCTTCTAACGCCGCTACATACGATGATTACTACACACGAGAGCAGGCTGCCATGTTCCAGTCACCTCAAGCCCGACCTCCTACCAGCTTCGGCCACAGCCGACGCTCTTCTACTGCGGTCCCTCCCCCCAGGCCTCAGACCGTCCGTCCAGCGAGCTCTCACCGCAGCAAGCCAGCTTCTACTCCTTCTACCCCCAAGGCCACTGAGGCCGATGCTCGCAAGCATCGCATCCCTACCGGATACTCACTCAAGAACTGGGACCCTAGTGAAGAACCTATTCTCCTCCTCGGTAGTGTCTTCGATGCCAACAGTCTTGGAAAGTGGATATATGACTGGACCGTCTACCACCAGGGTCCTGCCACTCCCATCTCTGACATGGCTGGTGAGATGTGGCTTCTCCTTATTCAGCTTGCGGGTAAGGTGAAGCGTGCCGAGGAAACCGTCGGTCGTGTTCGCACCGATGACAACCGTGACCTTGTTGAGGAGTTCATCGAGGCCGGTGAACGCCTCACTGAGAAGCTCCGATCTCTTCTCAAGGCTTGTGAAGCCCCCATGCTTAAGGCTGCCAAGCGCAAGCAAGCTGGCCTCGGCAAGAATGCCGGCGTCGAATTCGTCGAGACTCTTTTCGGACGTGACCGAGAGCTTGACAAGACTGAGAAGTTCATGCAGAACGTGAGGCTTTTCAACCTTCGCTTTGACGCCAACTGTGAAGAGATTCTCCGAAACCCTACCAAATAAGCGGACCATACTATTCCACAGGACTTTCCAGGACTATGCTTCGGATTTTACCTGATCTGGACTATCATACCATCTATCTATACCCGAGGGATCTTTTGCTATCGGCCAGTGACATTTAACCAAGCTCGCCGGACAGGATGCCCCATACCCGCTGTATACTACCACTGTTACCTGGATCCTCCGGACCACCACAAGGACTTCCCACATTTTTTTCCTTTTTCAATCTACCTATCTATCTCGTCCCGGAAAGCGATTTCTGTTTATTGACTTGGCAATCGGACCAAAGAACCAAGAATCAAGGGCGACCTGTACCACCAGCAATGCAATGCGCGCGCGGAGGAGGGGTTCAATACCAAGGGGACTTCTTTTCTTCCAATTCGAGATACCCAGTGTTTTTCCGTCTGGAATGACGCGAGCAGTTGGCGAATGAGAGCAAGCAAGCGAGTTACGCGAGCAAGGATATCAACGAGGAGGAGCGACAGGACGCCGTGATTTTTTATATTTTCTGGACTTTGTTTTGGAGCTTGGATTTGTTTCTTTTTATGGGATCAGCGCGTTAGGATAACAAAAGTGATTGACGCTTAGAACGGACGGTTACTACACGGTAATGGAGGATTCACGTCTTTTACGTTCCTCATTGATGGACTGGGCTTGCAATGCCCTCGTGCACCATAGCACCGAGGAGGAGTTGAGGAGCCAAGGATGGCTATTGATTGATTATACCACTTTCATATTGGAAATTATTTAGTTGGATTATTTAATATTAGGCAAAAACATCGCAAACTTATTCTAAAACCTGGCTTTCTCTGCGTGTGATGATTGATTTGGTGATGCTGGTGATATGCCGCTTGACAAGGCCTGTATCTTGACATCCGACTGACCTTGTCCCCGGTTAATTGTGTCTTGTGATTGATAACTTGCTGATTTCTCTTGTGATGTGATAAACCCCTGTTTCTGTTTTGAAGAACCCCGCGAGAGACTAGGAGGGGTAAGGATGCAAAGGGCTTGGTTTGAGGCACATTGCTTTTGCAGCGTGGGTTATTGGCCAAACGACGATCCGGCCGGGTAAGGGATGAGGTCATGGCGAACAGCCCCTGGGAAATAGTGCGTCATGTCGTTTCAAAAGTCCTTAAAGTGAAGGAAACAGAAGGTTTGTTTGTGATGTAATTTAAACTCTACTTGAGGTTGGGATCGATTAGGGAATGAATTCAAGTGATGAACACGACGTTACGAGTATGGATCTACTGTCAATGGAAAGCGAAGATGGACAAGATCCTCTGCGTTCTTTTTTCAAGATGATCTGTTTCAGCCATTGCGGAGATGTCCACAAGGTCTCACAAGGGGGTGGTTTACTACTGTGCTTTGATAGTGCACGACTCGCATTGTTGTTTACTGGGCTCGAGGGGGACTGGAATGTACGAACTGTGTGAAACTTTGTGCAATGACATGCAGCTAGCAGGGTGGAGCGAGCGAGTGGGCGAGGGATGAGGCTGGGACGTTGGAATCTGGAGGGTTTCAGAAGGGGGCTTAACATGAATCTGTCAACATCTTGAAGAGTAGGGCCGTTGAACTCGGATGTGGACGCTGCCTAAGTGGACTAGGGGAATGAAGTGGCTCGGACAGAGGAATGAATCGATAGAGTTCCAATGTTTCACTCAAAGAACCTGAGTTCGTCTAGAAGCACGAGGCGTCAAACGTTCTGTCCATGATCCCGGAAGTGCCGTCAGGTTTGCCTTTTCGCCAAGTTAGATCCCTAGGTTTTGCACCCTTTTTTGACGGATACAGCGCAGCGTTTCGTGTTCTTCCCCCCCCCCACTCAGCCAAAAAGTAAATTCTTGCGAACGCTGCACCGGTCTGCGATGCTAACCTTTTCACCGTGGTCGTGGCGGGGAGGGAGGGGAGGATTAGGGTGCTGACTTGGTGGTGTGGGTGCAGCGAGCGGCTACGAAGCCAATGGGTTTGAAGGAGAGTGAAATGCCTTGGTTATTTTTTCCCACGTGCGGACAGAGGGAGGTTGGGTTGTGATGTGATGTGATGCTTTGGGGGCCAGATTGATATGCTGGATCTTGCATTGCCGGTCTGGGATGTGCTATACGGTATTGACATGTGGTGGGTGATGCAGACAATGACGGAAAAGGGTCTCTATTGAGGTCGCAGTAGTATATGCCCTGTCTCTGGTATTCTTTATTATTTGCTTGTATCGCTCAAGTCATTAGAAACGTTGGTTGACTGTCGTGATGGTGCACAACGAGCAAACAGGGCTGGTTTTCCCCAAATCCTGGCCTGTACCACCCAACACCCAGCACCCAACACCCAGCCGCAACTACAAATGTCCCCGGACCGACGACCCCCGTTGCAACCTTTGCACCCACCACCAACAAGAAAGTGTTGATGTGATCCAAATGTGATGTGACTGAGTGCGCACTTTCACCTTCACCTGCGCTCTTTTATCCCCTCCCCTCTACCCCTACGGCGTCTAACTCACGACAGCGCCAGTCATCCGTGAATAGGTACCGTGATAGAGGTTGAACATCAACTGCATCTAGCCGTGACCCGCTGCACTTTGTTCTTTCTTGGTCCTGTTCCCGTTTGACACACACGCCCCGCGGGGACTTTTTGAGGATGACAGGCGTGTAACCGTAACCCCCAGCGCTGGATTCGTACCTAAGCTGCGAGGCTCAGCCGTTGTCAGATGCGGCCGAATTTAGAACGTCAGAAACGGTATGCACAACGTCAGCGGTCGTGCATTGCATACAAGGCTGAGTTGTGTTGATGAGATTATCTTGGAGGTAATTATAGAGATGATCTAACTTGACGTATGCGCAGAATTGCTAGCTGGTTCATATCGAGTCGGACAAGTTATGGTAGTAGTGATATTATCCCATCGAGCGCATGTCTCGGCCTTGCGACTTGCAATTATCTAGTGTACCACCTGAGGCTGAATATTCGGTATCACCAACGTTGCACTCGTCTGATATGTTTGCCCACCTGCAACACGCATAGCTGTAATAGACCCTTTGCCCTCGGGACTTATCCTGTGAGAGACTGACACGTTGAGCGGGTGTATCATTCGAACTACCTCTACGTTGTCTAGATCTGGTAGCTTCTCAGCCTTGTAGCGCTATATCGCCTAGACAGGTCACGGGTATGGTCACTTGGAGTTGACGTGTCTAGTCCCGGATCGATCGTGCAGCCTAGACGAATCGATCGGATAGTCCTCAGATCAGCCGAGACAAGACATCCAATGAGTTGACACTAGGAGGGTGCAGCACAAGCGGCTCCGTTTGATCCTCGTGTAAGTGAATCGCATATATGCCTTCCTTGGTCGCAGGCTCGATATCACGCGGCTGCGAGTCGCCGACGTACACAATATCCTGAGCTTGGATTTCCAGGTGATCCAGGACCTTGGCGAAAAGGCCTGATACTTTGGCGACTCCGAAATAGTTCGTAGTTGCCAGGAAGTCAATGTACTTGTCGATCCCTAGATCTCGAACGGCTCGCTCCTGGGCATCTTGCGGGCCTTCTGTAATGACTGCGATCTTTCGGTCAGATGCCTTAATAGCCTCCAAGAGAGCAATAGCTCCCTGCTTGAGAGATAGATGCTCGACAAGAACGCGTTCGTAGTCTTCTAGTAGTTCATCGACTGAGTTGTGACTGAGACCAAAATGACTCAGCGTGGCAGTAAAGCGAGCTCTTCGGTAGTCGTGCGAAGTTTTCCCATCAGTGAATGCATCTGCTGTACCTTGCTTAAGAATTATTCCGTATTGTTCTTGGAGTTCTTGGAGTGTTATGCCAGGATTCTCGCTGGCTATGCGACTGAGGCAGTGGGTTGTTGCTGTGCGGCTGGCTTTGCGGAATTCATGGAGAGTGTCGTCCAGATCGAACCCAAACCAGGTCTTGACCTTTAGAGTAGAACGAAGCTTGTCTTTGTCGGACAAGGGATTTGACATTGTTTTGATGGTGAGGTGTTTGAGGTATTAGTTTGAGAGAGTTAAGTTTATTACGCACAGGAACTGATAAAGACATCCCGATGATAAGGGTCCACCCAACCTACCACCAATACTGAGTGTCCTTCTAGCTGATTTGTGAATCAATATGTTCATGTAACTTCGTGGCTTTCATCTGCTGAACCTTGATGTCGCTCCCGGGTAGGCGACTTTCAGGTCATTCGATTGAGTTTATAGAAAGGCGGCATCAATATATAGTAATTCATCTATGAATACAGAATGTCCGGTATTTCTATTTTCAACTAGCTGCCTCCTTTCTCTGATTCATTTTACCTCATTTTGCTGCCTGTGAGATATTTGTCTTGACCAGATCCATCACAGGGCATGCTCTCAGCGTGTGCCCTTTGTCTGGAGCAGGCAACCACAAGTGAAGGCACCCGTTATTTTACTTCAACTGTGTGATAACTCACTCATTAAATAGCACCTGAAGTCATATTTAAGTGACTTTTGCATCACTCCGCGCTGTTTAAACAGAACTCAACTTCTATGCGTCCAGTGGTGATGACTAAGCACACTACTGCAGGTCAAAATTCCCCAACATGTGAGCTTCGGGCTGGACTGATCAACCCGAGGCTCGAAAGTAAACAAAAACAACCAAAGTTGTAGCGCTTGACGAGTCAATTAAGATTGACCAAATATCTGAACACTTCGGTCTTCTGCGGGTCTAATCATAACGTGGACCATAATCCGACCCCAACATGCACTACGTCAGATTTCTTTCACCACCAAAGGTGATAAAGCACCGACGCGGTCCCTTGGTCCAACTGGTATTCACCATCACAACTGACCTTGGAGATTCGTTCCTGTTTCCTGAGAGGTTTCTAGACCTCCAGGTCGTTGCTATTGCAGCTTCTCCTGAAGGAAGCTCAACATGGCTCCTTTCAGATCCTGGTCACCTCGACTGGGAGCCTGGTATGCGCGTCGCCAAGCCAGCATTGGAGCTTCCCGTTGCTCTTGAGCGGGCTCTTGAATCCGGAATGAGAGTTCATGTTTGTGTTCGAGCATCAGAACCCATCCATACCGCTGAAAGTGTCCCGCGCATTCTGGCCTTGTCGGCCGAGAAGATGCGATATCGGAAGGAGGCTGCAGAGAAAGGCGCCGTCATGCCAGCTTGGGTGCCATTGACATTGAACCCTTCTGATACAGATGTGTCTATTCGAAGAATCCTTCTGAATGATACACCAGAGGGCCTGGGCACGATTGAAATTGAGGAGGAGATTGGAGAGAGCATTGCGCGCCATGTTTGGGATGGCGGCGTGGTGGCGACATGTGCAATCGTGGGCATTGAGACAGCTCCCGATAGCGAGTCTAGCCTAAACCCCTGCATGATGACAATGAAGAACATCTTCAGCCGCCAGCAGGCCATCCGTGTGCTGGAATTGGGTTGCGGTGTGGGCATCTTGGGCATTGGAGTCGGCGCTATCTATCCCCGACTGCAGCCCTCTGGCGGCGATTGCACTATTCTTATGACGGATCTGCCAGAGGCTGAGCAGCGAGCCCGATCTAACATAAGGAGGTTGGAGAACTCGCATCTACGCTTCCAGGAGACCCCAGTCCGCATGCTCTATGAAAACCTTGACTGGGAGGAGGGAAGAAAGGGTCGCTTTGGACCTCAGGTTCAATCCGGGCCCTGGGATCTCGTGATGCTTAGCGACTGCACCTACAATGTCGACATGCTTCCAGCACTGGTGGAAACAATTTCAGCCATCCACGCAGCCAATCTGACATACTTCCCCCGAGGAGAGCCGTTCACTACAAAAGTGTTCCTCGCTACCAAACCCCGCCATGAGTCAGAGGATGTTTTGTATGAACTGATGGAAAAGGAAGGCTGGTACAGTGTGCACAAGCAAATACTGCCCAAGCCTGTTCTTGGAGGCACGCCTCAGTTTATCGAGCTTCATCTCTTTGATAAGTCTGGGCTGAGCGATGGTAAGGGCCCAGGGAAGTGGGAGGCCAGGAAATACGATCACAAGGAGAAGAAGGACGAGGAGGATAGCGAGAAGTCTTCGGAAGACTAGGCTTGTGTGATGGGTCTTGCTGATGCTTGAGCGTCAAGATGGCCTCAGGCGGTCCAACTTGCACGCAAGGCGACCGCATTACCAGTTGTCCGGGACATTGGCAACCAATTGTCTGGATGAAGCTGTCACCGTTACACCAAGAGAACAAAAAACGCCCACCCTTAATAGGCTACCAGGACGACCTTCCCCGACGATATGCTTTGAGGACCTCAGCTCTGCAGACCATGATGGTGTCTTTGGCATGAATGGTTTAATGTCATTGGCGTTACCCCGCGGTGGTGTAACGCCCGTTGTGCGGTTCAGCCTGATTCTTATAAGGATTGGGCGTGGTGATTGGGACTGAACCACTAGGAATGAATTGGCGGGGGACAAAGATGACTTGCTTTAACTGACCGGTGTGGTGGTGTGGTGATGAGTTGTCCATCAAGCCCCAAGAACTGCAGACATGAGGCTCTGCGATGGCCTCAAAATGAGAATTTTCAATCGTGTAATTCAGCGACAAGTTTAAAATGTGGACGATTTCTAGCGATAAAAAATTGATTACTCCTTCATTCTACTTATCCATCAACCATGGCAGATACAAAGGTCAAAGTCAACGGCTTTCATGCCAATGGCAATAGCAATGGCACCCGCACTCCTGAAAAGACACCCGTCAAGCACACCAAGCTATGGCAGCTCCTCGCCTTAGCAAAGGAGGTATCCAAAGATGTCGGCTCCATCGAAGACTACGAGAAGTCAGCCGAGGAGCGCAAAGCCCTAGAGCAAGAACTCGAGGCCAAGCAGGGCGAGAACAAGCGTCTGCGCGAGTTCAACGATAAAGTCGTGCGCGAGTTCTCAGAACATAAGGCGCAAGCAAGCGCAAAGACGGAGATGATCTTTGCAGAGTTTGAGCAAAAGTACAAAACGTACGAGTCTAACAAGGCAGCTGTCGAGGCCATGGAGGCGGAGGTGAAGGAGGCCAGGGAGAAGCTGGCTGCGACTGAAGCGGCGCAGAAGAGCAGAACCGGGGAGGTTGAGAAGTTGAGGCAGAAATTGTCTTCTTCGGAGACGCATGCGAAGAACCACGCTGCTGAGATTAGGGAGATGAATGCAGAGTGTGAATTGCATCGGTCCAGGATGGAGGCGAGCGTTGAGGAGCTTGCGACTTGTAAGACCAAGTTGACTCATGCTCAGAGTGATCTTGGGGAGGGGATCTTGCGAGATTATGGGCCTGAGGAGCTCAAGAAGCTGTGAGTACTCGATGTTCAGATGTGAATTGGTCTAACATGGATAGGCGCTCTAATCTTCAGGAACTATCGAAGAAGGTTCACGCATTTGTCAACGAGTACTTCAACGATGCCCATGTAAGTCTTCCGATCCTTTCCATCTACAGATACTGACTATTTAGGACGACTCAGCGATTGAGATCCAAGAATTAAATGCCCGCTTCCCAAAGATCCCTCTATCAACCCGCACCACCAAAGCGGCCGCAAAGATGCGCTGCGCAGTCGCAGATGCCGTCCTGGCAGAAACACTCCTTTCGCACGTCTTTGTCCCATTCTACGTGGCCCACGACATGCGCGCCACAGCATCCGCCATGCTGGGCTTCTTCAAGGGCGATGAGCGACGAGAGACCATTTATCGCTGCCAGATCCTCGGCTCACTGTCCGACTCTGAACAGGCAGAGGCAATCCAGGACGATATTGTCCGCAAGGCGAGCAACGAGGTGCGAAGCACGCTGCATCCGTTGGTCGTGGCGTACAAGCAGACGGGTTTCTACAATGCTGTCCCGGCACTGTTCAAGCAAGCTGTTGCGTTGTGGGCAGATGCGCAGCGTTCCAGGGATATGATTATCGCTGAACTACCCGACGAGGAAGATTCCAGGGGTGCAGGTCAGTATGAAGACTACGATGTTGGCAACGCTCGCAAGGCGGCAAAGGGAAGTCCCAAATCAGCTGTACTGGCGGTGTTGTTCCCGCAGTTCGTCTGTCGCGACGAAGTTATTACTGAAGGCGTGGTCCTCCGGTCCGACCAAGCTGCCGTGATCGAGGCGGTGGAGGAGGCACAAAGCAATGGGACTACGAATGGTGACTCGAAGAAGAAAATGGGAACACGACGGAGGTCTTCTGCTGAGCCCAAGTCTCCTCTCCGCAAATGACTTTCACGCTTATTTTGTGTAAGTGGAGGGAGTTGAGTGCTGAACGGGGGGCTAAGAGTTCACTGTATAAGCATGAGAAAACACGAGGAACAGCATCTTGAATTCACGATTGTATGTATCTATGGAATTTAAAATTCAAATAACGTTATGCGGAGTTTGGTAACCCCATGTGATTTGTTTTGAAAGCTATGTCCGTAGTCTGTAATTCCGCTGCCAGGTCGACTCGGCCGGATGACGGACGAAGGGCAACCGGAGACCGTCTATTACCGCCGGTGATCGAATGTTCTGAGTAAGCGAAAAAGGAAAAAAAAAGGGATTCTACCTGAAACTTACTTTGCTTATGGGACAGGGATCCAAGAAGCTTATAAGATTTGCCATCGGTTGACCGGAGCCGATTCCGCAAAGCACATGGAGTATTCGTACGGATACGGAGTACTTGATACGGACTAGATACAACATCGTTCTGATAATACATGTGAGAATGAGCTAGGGGTGAGAATTATAAGTTGTACTAACCCTTTGGGACCTTGTCTAATTTGTGATGTTTTAGGGAATATAAAGTCTCCTCTAAGGTGGAGTTCATTATCACATGTAGTTCCATGTATCGCCAGGTACACGCATCCTTCAGATCTTGTGAATTGAGGCACGCATCGCGGGGATATCTAACCGATATGCAAGTTTACGGAGTATTGCGTATTCGCTACATAATACGCCGTGAAGGAGAAATGATAGACAAATTAATGTGTCACGCCGAAGTTTGTCTCAGAGGTATTCTAGCTTTTACGTTTCGACAACAAACCACTAATCCATAATGGGCTATGAGTCGAAATGACAACTATTGAAGACTGCCAATTCACGATTCGTCCATGACCGAACTTCGGCCTAAACGTCGGGACGAGATTTCAGCCGTTGGTCTAAGCATTGTAGGTCCCACTGTTTCTCCATAGAGCGAGATTGGGTGGATGTGATAGTCGAGCATAAGTTCCAACGCTGCGAGACGTATCCATAACATTGATGCTGGATAAGGTTTCTATCGTATTCAGTTTACGGATACGCAGTTGGGTTTACTTGTTAATTCTCCTATCTAAGATAATCTGACTCTTTGCTCTGTATACCAGAGTATACTAAGATATTCTAATCCTTCGGATATACAGATTAACCCTCCGAAAACAAACCCCATTTGGCATGGCTGTCAATCTTTTACCTTATTATTTCCACAACCAATTACACCCATGTACGTACGGACAGACCTTTGCCCGATGAGTCAAACTCCTGCAGGTGCCCCACAAACCTGACTTGACATGCCCAATTGAGCGCTGAAAATGCATGGTTTCTGAAGGGATTCCAGCTTGTGGAGTCGAGCACGCCCCCCTACCAGCGGACATTTTCTTTTTTTAACGGAACTGTTTCGTGTTTCTTGATTGGTAATGCCGTAGCAAAGTGGTCTAAAGGAGAGGGAAGACCCATAATAAGTAACCTTTTTTTGCCAAGTGCTTTGCGCTTCAGGGGACTTATAAGACGGGAGTTCGGGTTTGTTTTTGTTTGCGCCCACTTCCCTTGCCTCTTGTTTTGTTCAAAGGCGAGTCACTTCGACGAGCTGCTATATCATATATACTTATTAATACGTTTCTATCCTTTCATTATCGCTTCAATTGACATTTCGATACTTCCAATTGAGGTCAATCGCGTGAACAACCTCTTTTTACGCGGTGGGTAGACTCTGGGCTCCCAGTATAGTCTCATCGTGAGCACTGTTCGACGACTTACACTCGGCAAACCGACTTGTACTCAAAATGGCTGAAAGAGACCTTGGAAAGGCTGAGATGGCCGTTGCGGCCAACCACCACACTGAGCAGGCCGATCCTGCGTACCGCCACTCTATCGACACCGATTCGACCCGCGGCCCTGCTACTGAACGACGAGACTCCAAGGCTCACAACGCTGGTGTGTCTGTTGAGCAGGCCGAGGCCGACTTCGCAGAGCTTCAGAGGGAGTTCACTGGTGTGTCGCGCGCCAGTCGCAGGAAGAGCAGAGCTAGCGTCGATCCTGAGAAGAACGTCGAGGCTGATGATGCTGAGGTTGAGTCGCTGTTTGATCTCGAGGCGGCTCTTCGTGGCGGTCTTGATCGTGAGAAGGAGGCTGGAATCAAGTCGAAGCACATCGGTGTTTACTGGGATGGCTTGACCGTCAGGGGCTATGGCGGCATGTCTAACTTTGTTCCTACCTTTCCCGATGCCTTCATTGGCTTCTTCGATATTATCAGCCCTGTTATTGGCATGCTTGGCCTTGGCCCCAAGCCCCCTCAGGTTGCTCTTCTTGACAGTTTCCGCGGCGTGGTCAAGCCCGGTGAGATGGTTCTCGTTCTGGGCAAACCCGGCTCTGGCTGCACTACTTTCCTCAAGACCATCGCTAATCAGCGCTATGGCTACACTGCGGTGGAGGGAGAGGTTCTTTACGGCCCCTGGTCGAACAAGGACTTTGACCAATACCGAGGAGAAGCTGTTTACAACGCCGAAGATGACATCCATCATCCTACCTTGACGGTTGAACAGACCCTTGGGTTTGCGATCGAGACAAAGATGCCTGCTAAGCGACCTGGAAACATGAGCAAGCAGGAGTTCAAGGAGAGCGTCATTAGTATGCTCCTCAAGATGTTCAACATCGAGCATACCCGCCACACCATCGTTGGTGATCACTTCGTCCGCGGTGTTTCTGGAGGAGAGCGCAAGCGTGTCAGTATCGCAGAGGGCATGATCACCAACGCCGCTATCCTATCGTGGGACAACAGCACTCGCGGTCTTGACGCCAGTACCGCTCTCGATTTTGCCAAGTCCCTGCGTATCCAGACCAACCTCTACAAGACCACCACCTTTGTCTCCCTGTACCAGGCTTCCGAAAACATCTACGAACTCTTTGACAAGGTCATGGTGATCGACGAAGGAAGACAGGTCTATTTCGGGCCCGCTGCTTCTGCCCGCAGTTACTTCGAGGGTCTTGGCTTTGCACCCCGTCCTCGACAGACGAGCGCAGATTACCTCACCGGCTGCACGGATTCGTGGGAGAGGGAATACGCCCCCGGGCGATCGGAGAAGAATGCGCCGCACGACCCCGAGACCCTGACACAGGCTTTCAAGCAGTCCGATGCGTGGACGTCTCTCGAGGCCGAAATGGCCGAGTATAAGGCTTCGCTCTCGCAGGAGGCCGATACTCACAACGACTTCCAAACTGCTGTCAAGGAGAGCAAGCGCGGTACCTCCAAGAGATCGATCTACCAGGTCGGCTTTCATCTTCAGGTTTGGGCACTCATGAAGCGTCAGTTCACCCTCAAGCTGCAGGATCGTTTCAACCTCTTCTTTGGATGGTTCCGCAGCATCGTCATCGCTATTGTTCTCGGCACCCTGTATCTCAACCTCGGCAAGAATTCCGCAAGCGCCTTTTCCAAGGGCGGTCTGCTCTTTATCGCGCTGCTGTTCAACGCATTCCAGGCCTTTTCTGAACTGGGTAGTGCCATGCTTGGCAGGCCTATTGTGTCGAAGCATAAGGCCTATGCTTTCCACCGACCCTCAGCTCTATGGATCGCCCAAATTGCGGTCGACCAGGTTTTTGCTGCTAGTCAGATCATGTTGTTCTCTCTGATTGTTTATTTCATGACGAATTTGAATCGTGATGCGGGATCCTTCTTCACCTTCTTCCTTATGGTCCTGAGCGGGAATATCGGTATGACTCTATTCTTCAGAATCATAGCATGCTGCTCGAAGGATTTCGATTACGCGATCAAGTTTGCTGTTATCGTCATTACGCTGTTCGTAGTTACGAGCGGCTACATCATTCAATATGAGAATGTAAGTTATCTTGTCAAACTCGTCATAAAGGCACCTACTAATAGTCTGAATTTAGCAAAAAGAATGGCTCCGATGGATCTTCTGGGTGAACATTTTGGGCCTAAGCTTTAGCTCCATGATGATGAACGAGTTCCAAAAGATCGACATGCAATGCACAGCGGATTCCTTGATCCCTTCTGGCCCTGGCTATACCGATATCGACTATCAAGTTTGCACCCTCCCCGGATCCAGACCAGGCACCACTTTCGTTTCAGGCAGCGACTACGTTGCTCAGGGATTCGACTACCACAAAGGTGATCTTTGGCGTAATTGGGGTATCGTCCTGGCTCTCATCATCTTCTTCCTGATTCTCAACGTGGTGCTCGGAGAGTTCGTCAACTTCGGCATGGGAGGCAACGCTGCAAAGGTCTATGCTAAGCCTAACAAGGAGCGAAAGGCACTCAACGAGAAGCTCAACTCCAAGAAGGATGCCCGGCGCAAGGATAAATCCAACGAGGAAGGATCCGAGATCTCTGTCAAGTCCGAGAGTGTGCTCACGTGGGAAAACCTCAACTACACCGTGCCTGTGCCTGGCGGCGAGCGTCGCCTCCTCAACAACATTTTTGGTTATGTGCGTCCCGGTGAGCTGACTGCTCTTATGGGAGCGTCAGGTGCTGGAAAAACCACTCTTCTAGACGTCCTCGCTGCTCGCAAGAACATCGGTGTCATTTCTGGAGATATTCTCATCGATGCTCTTGCTCCCGGCAAGACGTTCCAAAGATCTACCTCTTATGCGGAGCAATTGGATGTTCACGAGCCCACTCAAACCGTCCGCGAGGCCTTCCGCTTCTCCGCCGAGCTCCGCCAACCCTACCACGTCCCTATGGAAGAGCGCTATGCCTATGTCGAGGAGATCATTTCTCTTCTTGAGATGGAGTCTATCGCTGACGCTATCATTGGAAGCCCCGAATTTGGTCTTACTGTCGAACAGCGCAAGCGTGTTACCATTGGTGTTGAGTTGGCTGCTAAGCCAGAGCTGATGCTATTCCTTGACGAGCCTACCTCAGGCCTAGACAGCCAGAGTGCGTTCAACATCGTCCGTTTCCTCAAGAAGCTCGCTGCCTCAGGCCAAGCTATCCTGTGCACCATCCATCAGCCCAACGCGGCACTCTTTGAAAACTTCGATCGCCTTCTTCTGCTCCAGCGTGGAGGCCGCACGGTCTACTTCGGCGACATCGGCAAGGATGCTCATGTTCTGCGAAGCTATCTCGAGAGCCACGGTGCTGTGACGCCCGCCAAAGCCAACGTTGCTGAGTACATGCTCGAGGCCATTGGTGCTGGTAGCACTCCCCGTGTTGGAGACCGTGACTGGGCCGATATCTGGGACGACAGTGCTGAATTCGCTGATGTTAAGGAGACTATTATTCGACTGAAGCGAGAGCGGCAGGCGGCTAGTGCGGCAGCCAATCCCGCCGACGCTGAACTGGAACGGGAATATGCTTCACCCTTCAAGCACCAGATCAAGGTTGTTTTCAACCGCATGGTTCTTTCTCTCTGGCGTTCTCCCAACTATCTCTTTACCCGACTCTTCAGTCATGTTGCAGTCGCTCTTAGTAAGTATCCATGGCCCAGTTCCACTGAAGTTGAATTTATTCAACTCTACACCAAAACTCATGCTAACCGACTCAGTTACGGGATTGATGTACTTGAACCTCGATAACTCTAGATCCTCGCTACAGAACAAACTGTTTGTCATTTTCCAGGTTACAGTTCTACCAGCTCTCAGTAAGTGCCATTAACCCGTAAATGTTCTCAAGCTGACTTCCTCCAAGTTATCACTCAGGTCGAGGTCATGTTCCACATCAAGAGAGCTCTCTTCTTCCGAGAACAGTCCTCCAAGATGTACTCGCCCTTTGTATTCTCCACGTCATTGGTCCTTGCAGAAATGCCCTACTCTATCATGTGTGCCGTGGCTTTCTACCTGCCTCTGTACTTCATGCCCGGCTTCCAGACAGAAGCTTCCAGAGCAGGATACCAGTTCCTCATGGTCCTGGTCACCGAGATCTTTGCCGTTACTCTCGGTCAAGTTCTAGCCTCTATCACACCCTCGCCCATGCTATCCGCGCAGATGGACCCCTTCGTTATCATCAACTTCGCGCTCTTCTGCGGTGTTACCATTCCTCCCCCGCAAATGCCTGGTTTCTGGCGTGCCTGGCTCTATGAGTTGGATCCTTTCACCAGACTTATCAGTGGCATGGTCACCACGGCCCTTCAGGGCGTGGAGGTTGTGTGCAAGCAAAACGAGCTCAATGCCTTCGCCGCACCCCCTAACAGCACTTGCGGCGAGTACATGAAGCCCTTCTTCGCCAATGGCGGATCGGGTTACTTGGTGAATGATACTACGCAGGACTGCGAGTACTGCGCGTACAAGGTGAGTACTCTCGTGAAATGAACTAGACAATCGTTGCTGACATTATCAGGTTGGCGATGAGTTTTACAAAACCTTCAGCCTCTCGTTTGATCACCGCTGGAGAGATCTTGGTATCTTTATTTGCTTCATCGGCAGCAACTTGATTATCATCGTGGCAGCTGTAAGTTACCTTTCTTTTGTGGTTGAGATCAAAATTACTAACTCCTGTCTCAGAGTCGCTTCCTCAACTTCAACCGACGTTAAAAGCTGCAAGTACAAGGCCATTAGTATATGACTGTACGCGTAGCACGGCGCCAGAGAATAAATAGACGTCCCCTATAGAATAATACGTATAAACAAATACGAACCCTAATTAGAGATTACACGAATAGACATATTATACCACCACTGCTCCTTTTTTTGAACGTAAGAATGACGTGGGTTTATTAGAATTAGGCTTTCATTAGGAACATGTGTTAAATTCTTACGTGATCAGCATATAATGTTTGGCAGTAATGGTCATTTCAGCAGAACCGCGGTTAAGTAGTTTGGACACTATCTACAGTAGTATATTTGACATGTATCAAATCAGGCAGCCGGAAACTGTGATTTCAGGCAGGTTGTTAGTATATTGAAAGATTGTATCAGGCTCCCATACCAGATAGTCTATTTGTCGAAGGCATTGTTCGCCCCCAGAGATGTAAGGGTAGTATGGATACTCCCATGCATAATTGATGATGACTTCCTGCCGAACCATAATCTATCTACCTTACCTATTGGGAAGGAACCTCGCAGGTGGGTCATTTTGGTGCCTGCCTTTACACTCACTCATACAATTATTAATCATCACCACGAGAAAACTCTTCTTATGCATCGCGTCACTTAGATATTCCGTCCAACCAAAGCATGTATCAAATCTCGACGCGTTCCCCGCGCGTACAATTCGTCATTCTCAGGTTGATGGCGTTGGTAATCGCACTTATATTCGGTCGATTGTTGGTCCAGCTGACAGCGGATCAATTGCCTACCTAGTCGTATCGAGACAATGAACCACAGGTGCCCTGAATAAAAGCGTAGCAGCGTCGCTTGCCCTCATGCTCTGTCAACGTCGCGCAACATGAGCTCTACTTGTCTGAACGATGACTCCCTGGGACCCGGCGTCCAGGGGTGTCGCGGCGACTTTGACTTTACTCAGAAATTCGAGCGCATCTTCTTCTCGATTATACCGACTGTCGTGTTCATCGCAGCGACTTTTGCCCGCATAGCTGTTTTATCGCAGCGGGAACGAATTGTCGGCGGTATTATGATTCAATCGGTCAAGATTGTGAGTTTTTGCAGCGTTTCTGTAAAGAGATTTATGTTTGAGCAGTGATTGACTTGAAAAGGCATTTCTCGCTGTGTATGCAATTACCCAGCTTGGCGTGCTGGTCCTCATCGCGACGGGAACTCCAAGCATAGTTCATGGTCTGTCACTCACTGGATCAGCTCTCGTATTCGCCGCATCGGTCTTGGCCATCGCATTATCGTACAAAGAGCACTCGTGTGCTCGACGACCATCGACGTTACTCAATGTCTACATATTCATCACACTTCTATTTGACATTGTCTCAGCCCGGACGGCATGGCTTTCTATCACCACAGCGCATCAAACCACCCAAGCCCGTCTGTTCACTGCCTCTGTCGTTATCAAGGCTGTTATCCTCTGCCTTGAAACGATTCCCAAGACAAGATGGATCTGCTGGAATGCTGATGAGCACAGCCCTGAGGAATCAAGCAGCGTCTTCAGCCTTGGTGTATTCGCATGGTTGAATAGACTATTTCTCAGAGGATACCGAGGTGTATTGTCTGTAGATACTCTATACCCGCTGGACGAGACTATGGCATCTAACAGATTGCATGATCGCTTTGCGAGAAACATCAGAACTCATCGATACAATCAAGAGCCTAAGTCAGGACTATTGAAGGATTTGAGCAAAACACTCGTAGGACCATTCCTCTTACCAATTGCTCCTCGCGCCGCTCTCATTGCCTTCAAATTCTGTCAACCCTTTTTCATCGATTCGACTCTCGCATTTCTCCAGTTACCCGAAACTCCAAAAACCAGGAGCATGGGCTACGGCTTGATCGGTGCTGCGTTCCTTGTATATGCCGGCATTGGTGTCTCTTCAGCGTTCTACGGTTACTACCGACAAAAAGCCATTTATACCATTCGAGGTTGTCTAGTCGCTGCTATATACCATAAAACAACACAAATGAAGATCACAGCTGCTGATGACTCTGCCGCCCTCACCCTTATGAGCTCTGACGTTGAGCGTATACTCAGTGGCGCCACGAATGCTCATGAACTTTGGGCCAATGTTTTGGAGGTAGCCATTGGGTGCTGGCTTCTTTACGGAAAGCTTGGTCTGGCATTTATCTCCCCCCTAATAGTCATTGCTGTTTGTGCAATCTTCCTGTCCTGGGTGATGGCACTCGTCGATAAGAGGCAGAGCGGATGGATGGCGAGGATCCAGAATCGAGTGGGGTTAACGGCGAATGCAATCTCACAGATGAAGCTGTATAAGATCTCGGGTATCGCCGAGCCAGTGGCTGATCTGATACAAACTCTTCGCGTTGGGGAGATCGAGGTTGGCAACAGCTTCCGTTGGTTGCTGATCCTCGCTGCAGTGCTGGGTTTCACACCACTTTGGATCTCGCCAGTTGTGACTTTCGCTTTCACCTCGAGAGACTTAACTGTGAACACGCTCTTCACGTCACTGTCATACATATTTCTCTTCACGTCGCCTATCATTGCTCTCTTCCAGAACCTCCCTGGCATTGCTGCTGCTCTAACATGCACAGCCCGTGTGCAGAGATTCCTCGCTGCCGAACCTCGCAATGACTTTCGGAGCCATCACTCTACGTCTCTTTCTGAAAAGGCCTCTCCGACCCCAGACAGTGCAGACCAGCTAGCTTTCTCGATTGAGGATGGCTGTTTTGGATGGGGAGGGGAGAAGGTGACACTAAGCCAGATCAAAGCTTTCATCCCGGCTCACAAACTCACCATCGTCGTCGGCGAAGTTGCTTCTGGTAAAACAACTCTATGCAAGGCTTTGCTGGGTGAATTGCCCGTGTCTTCGGGCACCATCCAGACATTTGTACCATCACATCGCATTGGTTACTGTGAACAAACTCCTTTTCTCTACAATGCCACTTTTCAGGAGAATATTGTCGGCCACTGCGATTTCGACCAGGTGAAATACGACGAAATCGTTGATGCCACAATGCTCACTCCAGACGTTGCACTTTTACCACAGGGTCATGATACCAAAATTGGCAGCAATGGCATCATGCTTAGTGGTGGCCAGAAGCAGCGTCTTTCCGTTGCACGTGCTCTATACTCAGAAGCGAGTTTGATGATTTTTGATGATATCCTCAGCGGTTTAGACTTGGAAACCGAATCAGAGCTCTTTCGGCGCGTGTTTGGTCCTGGAGGCATCACACGTCAAAGAAACGCTACAGTTGTTATATGTACTCACTCCGTCCGGCACTTGCCTTTAGCAGATCATATCATTGCTCTCGGCAATGGCACGGTCATTGAGCAGGGGATTTTCTCAGATCTGATGAAGAACAACAAGTATGTGCACAGTCTTGGAGTCAAGCACAAGGATGCAGATTCTTCCTCAGACGACGAAAAGTCTGAGACACGAGTTAATGCTGGTGTTGCTGCTCCGGCCGCAATAATCCCTCTTGATGTCCAGACAGCAGAGGACAGGGCAAGACAACAGGGTGATTTATCCATCTACAAGCATTACTTCAAGAGTGTCGGCTTCTGGGCAGTTATCGCTATGGCTGCTTCGGGCATTCTAGCAGGCGCTTGCAACAGCCTCTCCGCTATCTGGATGAAATTCTGGGCTGAGGATACCTTTGATAGATCTTTCACTTTCTACATAGGCATCTACGGTCTCTTAAGATCCGGTTACATCGTATTCTTGTTATTCGACGGTGTGGTCTGCTTGATCGGCATGACTGCCTCTGCTGGGACCGAGCTTCACCAACGAGCGATCCATACTGTTATTGCTGCACCGTTGAGGTTCTTTACTAAGACTGACACTGGCATCGTCACGAATCTATTCTCGCAAGATATGACCCTCCTTGACAATGACCTGCCTCTAGCTCTCGTCAACTTTTCCTTAGATGCTTCGAATACTGTCGGGTCAGCGTTCGTAGTCGCATCTGCATCACCGTACCTTGCCGCTGGGTATCCCTTCTTGATAGGAGTTCTTTATCTTATTCAGAAGTTCTATTTACGGACTTCGCGACAACTTCGACTCCTCGATCTTGAAGCAAAAAGCCCATTATAGTAAGTTTGCGTCACAGAATCCGATATCACATCTTTAATTCTTGATTAGTACACACTTTACCGACACCATGAAAGGTATCGCGACTATCAGAGCATTTGGCTGGCAAGAACAAGACATGTCGAAAAGCTTCCAACTCCTGGATACCTCTCAACGACCAGCCTACCTTTTGGCAATGATCCAACAATGGCTCGCAAGTTCGCTTCATTTTCTTGTAGCAGGCATTGCTGTCCTACTCGTTGCGTTGTCAACTCAACTTCGAACTAATGCAGGCTTGACTGGTGCTAGTCTGATCTCTCTTCTGACGTTGAGTGAAACTTTGTCGTTTCTCATCCAAAGCTACACGTCCCTTGAGACGTCACTTGGGGCCGTGAGCCGCTTGAGGTCTTTCAGCGAGACTGTTGAAACGGAAAATATGCCTGGGGAAGATATAGAGCCACCCGAGACCTGGCCCCGAAATGGAAGTATTCAAATCAGCAAAGTGTCTGCTTCTTATGACTACGATTCTAATACTCAGGATGAGGTCGCTTGTAATCTCGTGCTGCGGGACCTGGAACTGGATATTCTACCGGGGCAAAAGGTCGCCATTTGCGGCCGCACAGGAAGTGGAAAATCCACTCTGATCTTGCTCCTCCTCCGCCTTCTCGATCCTCTCCCTTCATGCGCGGCAAATATGAAGATTGATGATATCTATCTGCATCGGATCGATCGCGCTACCCTGCGTAAACGCGTCATTTGCATCCCCCAAGACGCAGTCTTCCTTCCCGACGGCAGCTCGGTCAAAGCCAACATCGACCCTTACAACGCCGCCACCGATGTGGAATGCTTCGATGCTCTCAACACGGTGCGACTGTCCGGCTTCGTTCGAGACAAAGGCAGTCTAAGCGTCGGCATGAGCGCGGACGATCTCAGTGCGGGACAAAAGCAGCTCTTCAGTCTTGGTCGAGCAATCCTGCGACGTAGAGTCCGCGATCGACTCGCTGGGGGAGAGAAGCAGGGCGGACTGCTTCTTCTGGATGAGGTGAGCAGTAGTGTTGACAAGGTGACGGATAGGGCGATGCAGGAGATTATCCGCGATGAGTTTGAAAATTACACTATTGTCATAGTGTCTCATCGGCTTGAAATGGTCATGGACTTCTTTGATAGAGTCGTTGTGCTTGACCGTGGTACTGTTGTAGAGTCTGGTGGACCGAGGGAACTTGTTGAGATATCAGGGAGTCGTTTCGGTGAACTCTGGGCTGTTGAGCATGATGAGAAGTCGGAATAGGTATCCATGCTCTCTTGTCATGTTTGTTAACGCAGTCACCACTCAAAACAGTTTATGAGTTTCAATCTTCAGTTAACCATGATCCTGGTGCTTATAGGATATTGCGCTCAAATTTTAAAATTATAGCTATAAGTAAAAAGAACTAAGAATTTTGAGAGTAGTATTGATGAGATTTACCAGGTAGTACTGTAGTATTTCTACAGCTAGTCCAGTCCTCTATGCGCAAGAAAATGAGAAAATGAGAAAATCCACAGCTCCAATCGCGCCATTTAAATGATATTTTGCTATCGGCCCAGGGCCGTATAATGCAACCTCGTTATACGCCAAGCCATGCTCCAAATATCTTGATTCTTCTTGTGTTAAATGTAAAATGTATGTCGTCAGATCGTTATAAAATCCGCAGCAAATTTCAACTGCTTCACAAAAGCTCCGTCTTGTGATTCAAGCGCTTGCCTCGGCTTGAGTTGACGGTTCCAGGGGCTTTCGAGCGTATATATTGGTAAAAGGGAAATAGGTGTGATACTTGGGCAATCCGTTGACATCCTCCATTAAGGCCTTGCGGACTTCAACGAGGAACATCTCGATTTGGATTAATGTCCATCCGAGGCCATCGCGGAACGGTCGTCGAGATAGACCAACGAGACCCCACATCACAATATCGCGCATAACATGACCGCACTCTTGAAGCCGTGGCTTTTTGGCCCATGGGCCTACTGGGCATTTGTAGTTCTTGGTTGTGATATTCTCGAAGCCTGCTTCGTAGAGCTCGCGCTCAACATGGGTGATACCGTCGATGTCAGAGCCGAGAGCAGCCATGCCGTCTCTAAGATAGCTCATGAAGTCGCGCCACGCATAGGGGCCGTCGCATGAAGAGTCGTCGCAAGCTGCTATGTGTTGGAACTCCTGTACTTCCACGTAACCTCCTGGTTTTAAGTGTCTGCTCGAAATTAGCCTTGTTATGGAGGGCCAGCTGTTAGGTGTCATACTTCCAAATGCGGTCCCACACTAGTTCTCTATCCTTGAGCGAGTGTACGGCATGCCGTATGTGGATATAGTCGAATGTTCCCTCTGGATATGTCCAGCCAGCTTCATGCTCTATGTCGTCGACGAAAAAGATGGCATTCTCGGGAACCCAGTCAGGCTGTATCGGAGAAAGGTCCATGCCGTGGAATTGCGATTTTGGATAGTTGTCGGCAACTATTTGAGGTCAGCGACTGGACTCGCATATCATTTGAGCGCATTCTGGAATCGCCTTGGGAAACCTTACGATCAATGCACCATTTTCCAATCCCCGTTCCCAGGTCGAGCACCTCGGCGCCTTTTTCAAGCAGATCTTCAATTGGCGCAAAAAACAGCTTGCCATCACACAGATACACGGTCAAGTTGTGTTTGAGCTCCTCGCGATCCTGTTCAGCTTCATCGTTGGGGAATAGGTACCGGCCCTGTCTATAGCTGTGGTAACGCAAATTGCCATCCATTATATGCTGCCGTATACTCTCTGTCAAACTCCGTGTCTCGTCAAGGTCATCTGTCGCGCGATCGCCATCCTCGATACTTCTTATTAGCTCAGCCTCGTGTGTCGAACTGACGGCAAGCGGAGAGATGTTGGAGGAGGATGGAGACGGGGGAACCATAAGGTGACGGGACACGGGGCGGGCATTGTCCTTATCAGGGGGTTTTGGTGGATGAGGGCCGTCATTTCGCGGCTTTGGAGAATCAGAGATTGTAGAGAAGTCGGGTTGGCGAGGAATCGAATTCGGCGGCGAGTTCATTGTGGTGGAGCGCAGAGGCGCATAGTGTTGTCGATCCCTGGTATGTCGTCGCGATAGAGTTTTTTATTTTTATGTCAAAGTAAAAGTAAAAGTCAAAAAAGAGAAGACAAGAGGAACATCAAGGTTGAAGAGAAACCGTTGAAGTACCAAGGAATAAAGGTTCGGGGTTCGTAACGTTAGAGGCCCCGTGGGACTCAAAGTGCGCTAACTTAAAGTCGAGATTGAGCGGGATGGCGCTTCGCTCGCTTGCTGGTCAATGCCTGACGTCAGGGGTTCTTGTAGCGATCCAAGCCCTATAAGGTGTAAGTGAGAACCTGGGTCAGAGTGGTGAGACAACATATGCTGTGCTCCGTACCTTGCAGGAATTAATATCTGAGACTACAAGTTGGAAAAGAGAACAATGGAAAGAAGAAAGGAATAGATTGTGATGATTAGAAAAAGGTTCAGGTCAGAGAGACGGTAAGACCATGCCAAGTTGGGTTAGAAAAAGCAGCCCGACTACCGTACACTACGGTACAAATGGGAAGCTATCAAGAAAAAGAGGAGAATTATGCACCTTTATAAAAAAAGAAAAGAAAGGCTCCAGCTCTAGACAAGGGATTGTCGGTGTCTAGTGCAATGGCTTGACTCGTGGACCTCGGCTTATTCGACACCAAGCTATTATATATCATATCACAACTTATAAGCATATAGGTAATGATGACTACAATCATATAGGCATACCGACACTCTGGGTACTACTACTAAGCGGGAGAGACAAGAACAAGAACCAGCAAAAAAACACCAATTGTGGCTGTCCCGAATGACCCAGACCCAGCAGGAGGGGGCCAGTTCCAGACTGTTGGTACCAGTAAAAGCCGCCAGACAAATCATAACGCCGCAAACCCACCTCGCTTTTTCTTCATGACCAGGGTATCGTATTCATGCATCTCGCTGTCTGTCTGGCGGTCACACTCTGGTGGACCTTTGCCGGTTCCGCAGTGGAGGGTTACACTCGAGAGATAAAGAGGGGTTTTTATCGGTTAAGAACCGTTAAGAGGGCCCATGATGGAAGCTTTGTTCTTCTTCTAAAAAGTACAGATCAACTGTTGTTATTTATTGAAATAAAAATATTGTTACAACGTATAGACAACTCATCAGCTTCGCAGAATGTCCAAGGTCTGATGTCTCAGAACTACAACCCAAGCAAGCGTTACTCCGTACATTGTGTCTTGTCCATGCAAGGTAGTTTGCAGCATCCTGCAGCAAGCAAGCAAGGGTGTCCAATCATTGCGGAATATAGACAAAGCTGTTCGAAAAAGCAATGCTAGTATCGGCCGAAGTTGACTTCAAGACACATAAACTAATGGTTCATGGTCAGGTACTGAGCCTCGGCCGAAGTTCACATCCTTATCGGACATATAGCCTATATTTGTTTCTTTGTTTCCCAACCTTATATTCTTGATCAGCATTAGAATATCCGGGGATGTTCACTGTAATATTTGAGATAAGTCATATCTCAGCTAGAGCAGTCCTGTCGTCCCGACAGGAGGGAACGCCAAGGCCACTGCGTTGCTACACGGATTTACACTCCTTGGACATACATACTCACCCCCGGCAATCGAAAGCTCAAGTCGTGATAGTTGAGAAAGAACAATAACCCACCAGAACGACATCATACCATACATGGTAATTCACCGGAAAAATATCTTGCCATGATACTAAACAGTCCAACGCGGCTTGTATTTTCCCCTCCAGGTCACATAGACGACAAATCCCTGAACCCTGGATCGACGGCAAAGGTCTAGGCTAGCCGAGTTGTGACATGTTCTAGTTCAGCAGGGGTATACGCGCATTTAACTGCCTGTTCCTACCATTTTCCGTAAGTGCCATGTTACGTTACAACGGAAATAATCATGCTATCAGGTACTCCATATGATATATCCATATTTTGCGTGAAATTGTCTGTCTGGGGATATTAACAGCACCTAATTTGTGTTACTGCATTAAGCATAGAAGAAGTCTGACGTGCTAGTGACTATTTTCTGTTCAATATGATGCTCGATTGCGCAATAGTTGTGGCATACACTGTAGTCCCGTTGGTTGGATATACTGCCAATGGACAGGGGAGTCTTTGGTATCATGAATTCATCACTACGGATGATTCAACTGTTATGGTTTCTACTCCCCCGCAGTACCTTTCACTATAATTTCATAAATTGAGCTGCCAATTGAAACTCTACTCCAACCGCATCCAAGGTGATAATGCCATGGCCATATCAGGTTCGGACTACAATATAATCAGCTCGGCACTGTGATATTATGAATTGCTGTTGTAGTTAACTGAAGCTTATTGCAACTAAGAGTGTTATATCCACATATCACGTACTGTGTGTCTGATGTAAATACACACCTTTTCGTTCTCTTCATACCAGAAATACGCATTTTTTGCTGTTTGCATTGTCTCAATGTCTTGGCAGAAAGGCACGGTCAACTTTCCGAAGCGACTGTCTGTAAGTTCACACGTCGCAAGTAGTGGAATTACTAGTCACAATGTGATGCTCGAAAGTAAGAATAAAGGTCATAAGCCATATTAAAGCCGAATACTACTAATCTCTAATCGCCAAAAAAGTAACCACCATCAAGAAATGGACCACCAGGCCTAGCCTATCCAGTACAGATATCCCAGAGCCAGATACACCCAAAATTGAAACCCGATCGGTGTAAGAATGAACCAAGAACGTTAAACGTTACCACACATGCGTGAGTTTTTTGCTTGAAGCCATGACATGAATGCTAAAGGTGCAATGTATGCAGCTGCTGGATGCAGTGCAGTATGAGCATCATTAAAAAGCCCCCTGAGGGAGAAGAAGCAGAATGGGAACGCTTTACAGGAAGAAAGCGAAACCGGCGATGGCAGCGGCCACACCGGCGAAGGTCTTCTGGGCAGCTCCGGCGGTGACGACGGGCACCTCGGGCTTCTGAGCGGAGCCGGTGGTAGCAGGAGTCTCGGGCTTCTGGGCGGAGCCGGTTGTAGCAGGAGTCTCGGGCTTCTGGGCGGAGCCAGTGGTAGCAGGAGTCTCGGGCTGAGCGGGAGTCTCGGGCTTGGCAGGAGTCTCGGGCTGAGCGGGAGTCTCAGGCTTAGCAGGAGGAGCAGGGTACTCGGGCTTAGGAGCGGGAACGCCGGGCTTGGAAGGAGTCTCGGGCTTGGGGGCAGGAGGAGCAGGGTGCTCAGGGGTAGGAGGAGCAGAGTACTCGGGCTTGGGAGCGGGAACACCGGGCTTAGCAGGAGGAGCAGGGTGGACGGGCTTGGAGGGAGTCTGGGGCTCAGGGACGACAACAACAGGAGGCTTGCCAGGGTAGACAGGCTTGGGAGGGTGGACGGGACCGGGGTTGACAGGAGGGTGGACGGGCTCGCACTCTCCATGAGAGCACTTCTCGTAGCTATAGCAATCCTCAGTGCACTCGTCGAAGTAGTATCGGTCCTCCTCAACATCGCAGACGAACTTCTTGGCGTAGTCGTGGGAGTAGTGCTGGTCACGCTGGCACTCGGAGCCGTAGCAGACGATGCGCTGGTTGCACTCGTCGCCCTCGTAGTCGGCGTAGTGGCAGCTGCCGTCGTTGCAGATCTTGAGTTGGTGCCAGGTGTCATCGTAGCACTCCTCAGGGGCGCAGTAACCATCGGTACAGACGATCTGGAAGTTGGAGCAAGTAGGGCAGTGGACCTGAGGAGCACAGTAGTTACCGTAGCAGATGATGATGACATCGGTGGGGATGACTGCGATGACCTCGGTGACGGTAGCAGTGATGGTCTTGCCGTCCTCAGTGCGGGTGACGGTGGCAGTGGTGGTGATGGGCTCGAGGGTCTGGGTGACGAAGTCGGTGTTGGTGATGGTATCAGTCTCACCAGGGTTCACGCCGATGGCGACGTAGATGGAGAGAAGGATGTTGATGTCGAGCTGTCGGCGCATGATGCGCGAGTTGCCACCGAGGCCACCACAGCTCTCAGCATCGTTACCAGGGCAGACAATGTCACACTCTCCAGTGCCGACAGCAGGAGAAGAGGAGGTGTCAAGGACGCTGCCACAGTAACAGGCGTTGCCGTAAAGACCGAAGAAGTTGGAGCCCAGGCAGGACTCGGCACAGGACTCGGAGTCGTTCTCCTCGCTGGAGGAAGCTTGAGTGAAGCCAGGGAAGCCGTTCTCGGAAGAGAAGCAGCCGAGGAAGTTGAAGCCGGCAGGGCTTCCGATGCCACCAGCGGCGGTGGTGGTGGCAGCAGCGGTGCCAGAAGTAGCAGTCTCGGTGACATCGAGAGAGACAGTGCCGGTCTCAGTGCCAGTAGCGATGGTACTGGTGTTGGCGAAGCGGCCGGTGGTGAACTGAGCAGCGGCCACGTTGCCCATGGCAAGGGCGAGGATCTCGGTGTAACGCATCTTGAAGTTTGATGGTGGTTTGCAGGGAAGCGAATGACTGGTTGGTAACGACTGGGAACAGCTCTCGGAAGAGTAAGCGAAGGGATCGAGGATGTTTGAGTTGCTTGATGAGGAGAGAGAAAGGAAAGTTGAGTTTGGACGGAACCACGCCCTCTCTTTATACAAGATCCTGTCCCTTGCTTCGCGGGCTGAGATTGTATGAGCCTCTCCTACGGACCACAGACCAAGCCCTCAGCGATAGTCCCATAGTCGGTCCCTCTCTCCTTGACGCATGCATCGTGCCTAGCGCAAGCAAAGTCCAGTGACTGTGACTGTTGAGACATGGCGTTCCCGTCCAACAAGCAAGAATGTAGTGCCCCTGACTGGACATGTCTCACTCTCCACCTCGCATGAGGGAGCTTGTTTTTGTTGGGTGGTTTTGAAAATGTCCGCCGCTTGACACTCTGTGCCTGCATCTGTTGCATCTCGGGTTGTAAGATTACCCCAAATTCCAGATGTCTGTACTGAGATCGTCAGTCTTACTTGTTGTCCGTATTGCGGATTATCCAGAGGGAGCCACAGGGTGTCCACTGAGACACCATCATCCTGATATCTTGGCAGAGTCTGGCCGGCTGGCCATCCCTCAAAGGAGACGATGGATAGTTGCTTCAGGCGTACCCAATAGGACGGTTCCTCAATTCTGCTGCGTGCAAGATGCTTATAGCACATCACAATCCGGCATATTAACTTGGCAACCAAGATAATCACAATCTCTCCGCATGCGCAGTTGCCATTCCTGAATGCGTCAGAGCAGCACACAGAACACTTCTCTTGGCAGTTTCCTCACCATGTGAGCCGTTAGATATGTGATGAGAGGCTAATCTTTAGTCAAAAATGAGCTTCATTGGTCACCAAGAATAGCAAAACAAGAGCCGGCGTGTTTTGTGACTCCAGAAAAGGCACCATCTCTTGACTATGCTCACTTAAGCATAATTCAACACTGACTCTAACGCTTTCAGCGGTCAGAGCTCGACGTTGACGAGTCAAAGATGGCCGACGGTTCCAACACCGTTTTTTAGACTCCTCCCTTCCGCCGCATGCGAACATTCTTTACCACGGTCCGGGGAGCCAGTACGCAGAGGCTCCCCATATCTCGAAGGAGAACATAGCGGCATATCATTTCGATAGACGTCTAGTCTTCGTCTAGTTCGCAAGATCATAACAGTACGTTTCGGGGACAGCTGGAAGGTCCACAGAGGGAAATTGCGTTGGCGAAAAGAGGAGGAATAATTGTCTTAGGAAGGGAGAGCTGAAAGCTGAGGTATGAGACACTGAAACCACGATCCAAATAGAGCCCGGTTGTGTTATGCGGGCCGATGGTTTGTGCGGAGCATGTCCGTCTTCCGAGTGGGGCTTGTCTGCCAGTGCAGGGTAGTCTGGACAGTACTAGAATTGAAGCTCATGATGGCTTCTCTGAGCAAGAAAGCCTCAGATGGACGTGTTTTTCTTATTAATTGGAACTAACCTACGCACTTAAGGTATTGTTAGGCTTTTGTTAAAGAAGTTCACTCGGTTGTAAGGATATCCAGGCTGCTAAACAAAGCTGGACCTCACTGCTAAGATCCGGTGCAACATAATTGCCACTCTAGGTTTACATAAACACTATCAAACCGATAGAAATTGAACAATAATTACGTCGCTACATGCCTTGGATAGACCCATGTTCAATCCATATTCCTCATTGAAGCAGGGCCAGGTCTAACAGTAGTCAGTAACCAACCCCACGGTAGTTCCCTTCCATCCAGGCAAAATTGCTAACACTTGACCATTTATCACACGATCTCACATACAAAATAACCTTGAGAACTTCTGCATAAAGCTAGCATCGGCCAACTTACATAAGCTAGCAAGCCAATCGACTTTCTGACCATGATATGAACAAGTTACACGAAGCTATCACATGAAAATGTTACTCAGATGAACCACAAAAGCAATGGCCCATGACTTTGAGGGGAGGTCTCCGCTAAAAATAGCTTAAAGCCTAACGTTAATTCCTTGGTGAGGTGATCATAGTGAAGGGAGCCACGCTTCTCTTCTAGCGTAGCCTCTCCCGTCCGGCGTAAAAGGTGCCGTGCCAAGCCGTTGATATTGCATCCAGGGTGTTATGAGGCCTCATGCAAGGTACGGTGCACTTTTGATAGTCAGATAGTCTCGACTTACGCCTCTGTTACACAACAGGTATGTTGATGGTGTCTGCTCGTGTGCCTGACGATCGGACCAAACTTGGCCAGAGAGTCGCCCCTGGAGCATTACCTGCTGTCCTGTTCTAATGCAAATTGTGGAAATTCAAGCCTAGGTTAGGACAATAACATAAACATCCAATGTTGAAGGAATGTTGACAGCGTGCCGTTGGTGCCATTCCCGCTTTTGATCGGAGCTTAGCCCTATCATGCAGAACGCCCACGACTCACTAATCTCCCCCGTTATATCATGGCATCGCTTGCAATACCAGACCGAATGCTCATTCGTCGCCTTATGCAAGCCTTCAGAGGAGGCTTCGTTTTATGGCTTGCATCAAATTACCGATGTGGCGAGTTGAAAGCTTGAGGCTATTCTACCTCGAATAACGCAGTGCCATTGTGCCAAGCCATGTCAAGGGAGAGATGCATTGTTGATCTCATTTGAGTCAGTCAAATCTGCCTCCCTTGCTTGGAAAGTCTCGTATCTTTTGTTTTCTTTTTGCACGATCTGACACTTTTTACGCCGACCCCGATAACATTGAAAGCTAAAATGTTGACGCATGTGAAATCCTGCGAGGGCTGGTATCGTAGCATGTTTCAAGTAAGACGGAAGACTTTGCCCCTTACCATGTTGCTTGGGAACTGTCGTTCCAGGACTTTGAAAAGGATTGTTGCACCTGCTGAGACTTAAGAACCTAGATCAAAACAATTTTGTCAACATCAACAGTGACAATGTAAGCATCATCAATCTCGCGACCTTTGGACCCCTGGACCCTTCATTCAAGTTGGTACCTCACTTCTTTTCTTAACTGACCATGGCCAGTTTTCTAAAGTATCGAATTTGTGTCGGATCATCGCACTGCCACCGAGATTCCGACTTCCATGATTCTCGGTCTCCATGAGTCTCTGATGGAAGTCAAATATCGCTTCGAAGTCCCAATAGAACTCCCACCGACCTACAAATTCTGCATGACTCTAGACCAGTACATGATAATCAATACTCTGATACCAAATGCGACCGACGTCTGATAGAAAACCTTCTTGTTATTTGTTCTGGTCTTCATCATGGCCACGGCCGTGTCATAACCCTAACCCTGGCCTCAACAGCCGTGTTTAGCAGCCGAAGATCTACAGAGGGGGAGGGGTTCTATGGAGACGCGCACTTCATAACGCAACCATCATTTGTCAATGATTGGTCCTTACTCTCTGGATAAATGCCCCCATGTCATCATGCTCATGATAAAAAGAGCCATCATGGCAGCTTTGCTTTGCGGCGAAATGTTCAATTGACCCTCAATCTCACTCAATTGCACATTCATACCCTCAACATGACTGTTACAAAACTCCCCTTCCACGCCGACCACATCGGATCGCTCATCCGACCAGAGTCGCTATCCCGCACTCAGGAGCAAGCCGATGCCGGCCAAGTCTCCTCTGAGCAGCTCGTCGCGACGCAAAAGGCTGCTATTGCCGATATTGTCAAGAAGCAGCAGGAGCATGGAGTCCGCGCCATCTCTTCCGGAGAATTTGATCGCAAGTACTACTTCTCTGGCTTCTTTGAGCGTCTCGGCGGTTTCCGCGAGGTAGAGCCCGTGCCTTGGGATCTTGTCCGTCTCTCTGCTCCTCCTATCGCTGCTCTTAAGAAGGCTGGCAAGCAGTACCCCATGGCCGCCCTGTGCGAGTCCAAGATCGAGTACAAGAAGAGCCCTTACCTCGATAACTGGAAGATGCTCCGCGAGTGTGTCCCCCGTGAGCAGTGGGCCGAGTGCAAGTTCACCATGCCGCCACCCTGCTATTTCCATCTGCGACTCGCCTCTGGCAAGTGCTACAGCCCTGAAGCTTACTCCAACGATGAGGACTTCTTCGCCGATCTGGCCAAGGCCTACCGCCAGGAGTTCAAGACCTTGTATGATGAGGGTGTGCGCAACATCCAGATCGACGACCCTACTCTTGCCTACTTCTGCTCTGATGAGATGCTTCAGTCTTTGAGGGATGAGGGTGTTGACCCTGATAAGCTGTTCGACACTTACCTCAAGGCTCACAACGATGCTATCGCCGACCGTCCCGAGGGTCTCCATGTCGGACTCCATATCTGCAGAGGTGTGTACTCAAGCTCCTTATTCTCAAACCACTCACTAATACGCAATAGGAAACTTCTCCAAGTCCATGCACTTCAGCGAGGGCTCATACGAAAAGATCGCCGAAAAGTTCTTCGCAGTCCTTAATTACGACACATTCTTCCTCGAGTACGACAACCCTCGCTCCGGCGGCTTCGAGCCCCTCCGTTTCCTGCCCAAGCACAAGAACGTGGTCCTAGGAGTCATCACCACCAAGGAGCCCGAGCTCGAGGATGCCCAGGTCATCAAGCACCGTGTCCTCGACGCCGCAAAGATCATCGCCGATGGTCAAGGTCGCAGCCTCGAGGAGGCTCTCGAGAACGTCGGCATTAGCCCTCAATGTGGCTTCGCCAGTGTGGCTGTTGGTGCTGAGGGTATGACTGAGGATAAGATGTTTGCCAAGCTCAAGCTCGTGAACGACGTTGCTCAAGAGATCTGGCCTGGTAAGGCTTGAGCTTTTGATAACGAGGGTAAATAAAAAGAAAATAAGTTGTATATATGCTTCGAGATTTTGGGAGGTTTTGGGTAGGGCTGGCATAGCGTTGGTGTCGAAATAACAAGATGAATGATGGTCCTCAACGACCTGGAATATAATGCCCATGTTGCTTTATGAGCTGCAGTAATCACCAATTTGGAGCAATCGGCATTTTTAACCGCAAGGTTATGACTAAATTACGAGTATCTCTCACTTCGTCTGTATCTGTGCCCGTAATCATGTTCCGACGATTGGCCAGTACATATCAAGTTCTTCAGTGTTATTATAATGGTTCTTTTCTACTTCTTATCACAAACCTTTCTTCCATTACTTATATTGGGTTGTTCATCATTACCTCGATATGTAGGTTTCGATATCAAACACGCTCGAACATTGTTCGGTAAGCTTCTACTTACACAGTATTATTGGTAGGATTCAACAGAAGCCGACTGGTCCACAACTCCCAGTGGTTGTTTTGCTTTCAATACAATAGTGTAACATGCAATGAAATCGTCCTAGAATCCCATGTCAGAACAACCAACGGGAGAACATACCTCATTGCCTAGGAGACGATAATATCCTGCAATTGCTCCACGAAACGCAGACTTGCATGAGCGCAGTGATTTCACGTGCTAGCTTATAACTCTACACATTCGACACAAGCAATGGAAAACCAGAAGGTTAAGATAAAAGATTCAATTCATTGAAAGGGGTATGGGTATTCTTCCTCCATCCCCCCACATCTGTCTGTCTGTCCGTCGTATTACAGTATCTAGTGGGGAATTATGTACAGTATATCGGCGTGCATCTCGTGCCGTCTATGTGCCAAGGCTTGGTCATGAACCTCGCATTCTAGAATAAATAAAAATCCACCATATCAGTCGTGCTCCATCTCATACATAGTGCAAGACGTCTTTTTTTTTCTTTCTTTTTTTCTTTTTCACGGGAAAGCGATTTAAGCCTTCTCCTTCTTGGTCTTGTTGGCCTTCTTGAAGCTATTCTTGGGCATACGCGCCAGCCAGTAGATGAACAATGCGGCGACAATGTTGAAGGCGATGTAGAGCCACAAGACACCAAAGTTGCGCCAGCGGTCAACATAGTCGATGTTGACAGCGGCGAGGTAGGTGTTGGTCTTTTCGATGGTGCAGAACTGGCAGGTTTCTGTGGCGTCAGGGTCGACAAAGTAACCGCCAACTGCTTTGATGTAGTCACCCATGTACTCCGCGCAGGTCGAGCCATTAGGAGGCTGAAGAGGGACCAGTTCATTGGCAGCGCAAGTGACATCGGTATTGGCAACGCCTGTTGCTAACATACCTCCCACGATATATGTAAACGGTGATACGTAGTACATGAAAATCCAGAAGCGAGGTAGCGATTCCTTGGTAGCGAGGACACCACAGAAAATCAAGCAGAGCATGAACAACAGGTTAGCGACGTTCGCGCCACCTTCAGGTGTTTCGAATCCGGCAATGATCATGGTCGAGAAAGTAGCGGTAAAGATGAGGAAAGCCAACAGGAACAAGAACATAAGGGCGCCACGTTCAGTGGTTTGACCTGCATCAGAAGCATTGTTGTAAAGACCGACAGGGTAATACCAGGCAAAGTACATGATGACAGCCATCAAACTGTTCCAAGGGAGTTCGACAATTATCTGCGCCAGCATGAAGATTTTCCAAGAGTAGACCTTTGACGGACGCTCGCGAACTTCGTAAAGGGAACGTTGTATGACAAACTGAGGCATAGACTGTTGTACCAGTTGACCAAAAACGGTGAGCAAGTTGAAGATAGCAAACATCTGGTTCTGGAGACCTTGAATACTGTTGGGGGCGTTGAAGAAAACGAAACCGATGAAGAGAGCGACAAGAGAGCAAAGAGCAGCCTTGGAGTAAATGTACACAGGCATGCGCCAGTACTGCTGGAACACACGGTAGAGGACTTCCTTGAATTGGACCGTCATGGGGGCGGCAAATTCACGGTAGCTACCATCATCGACACCAGTGTCCTCAACACCCTCCTTCTCCTGCTTGATTCGTTCGAGTTCGGCCAGGACAGCGTGGTATTCGGGGCTCTCGCGCCAGCTCTGGAACCAGTCTAGGTCGGTGTGAGATCCGGGGGCAGCGCCAATAACTTCCAACATCCACTCAGCAGGGTTGGCCTCGGGAGGGCAGGTGTGGCCGCTGAGACGCTCGAAATAGCTAATCATGGTCTTGGCGTTCTCGCCGATATCACCGAAATAGACAGTCTTGCCACCCTTGGCCAGGAAAAGAAGGCGATCAAAGCGTTGGAACAACATGGCAGAGGGCTGATGGATTGTGCAAAGAATGGCTTGACCAGCGTTGGTCAATTTCTCAAGCAGATCCAGAATAGCCCATGAGGTTTGAGAGTCGAGACCGGATGTAGGCTCGTCAACGAAGAGCAGCAGAGGGGGCTTAGCAGCAAGTTCGACACCGATAGTCAGGCGCTTACGTTGCTCGACGTTAAGACCCTCACCAGGGACACCAACCACGGCATCGGCATATTCTTCCATATCGAGCAGCTTAATAACCTGTTCCACATAGTCGAGCTTCTCCTCCTTAGGGACATGGGCGGGCTGGCGTAGTAGGGCACTGAAGTTGAGGGCCTCTCGAACAGTTGAAGTCTGAAGATGAAGATCTTGCTGTTGAACATACCCAGTCTTGCGTTGGAAGGACATATCTCGAGGACTGCCGTCAACCAACATCTCGCCGGTGATAACACCCATAGAAGTACGGTCAGCCAAACAATCGAGCAGAGTGGTTTTTCCAGCACCAGAAACACCCATAAGAGCAGTCAGAGTACCAGGCTTAACCCAGCCATCGACATGATCCAGAATCTTACGAGTCTCATCCTTGATCTTGACCTCGTAACAGACATCGTGCCATTGGAAAACAGATGTCTGCTCCTGGAGCATACCACCAGCCCCGTTAGTTCGGCTTCGAGTGCGCTCAGCAGTGACGACGGGGCCAATGTGCGCCATGGCAGCCTCAGGATCACTGTGCTTCTTCTCGGCGTTGGCGACAGCAGCGGGCTTGTGACCACGTCGGTAAACGAGGACTTCGCCCTTAGACTTCTTCTCAGACACGAGTTCGGCAGCAGTCATGTAGGTGAAAGTGAAGAGGACGATCCAAGCGATGACGATGCCAAAGTTGCGCCAGCGGTTTTCCCATCTGTAGCCAAATTGCAATTCGGCGTAGCGGTCACCATCTACAGCAGACTTTCCTGGTTCAGCACCAACAGCGCTGCACACGCGGCTGGTTGAGGGTACGTTGTCGTACCCCAAGACGTCAGGGTTGGGAATGAACTGGTTGCATTCGTATTGTCGGTTGTGGAACTCGTTGACAACAACGGCCTCGAAAGCATAGGCAATAGGATCGATCCAGTACAGCCACTTGCACCATCCAAGCATGTATCGCTTTGGAATGACGAAGCCAGTGAAGATGACAAGGTCAAGGATCAGAATGGCGGCGGGTACAAGAGCTTGGAAGAGACTGCGGGTAGCGGAGGCAATGGTACGGAAAATCATTGACATAACCAGAACAACAGTGAAGGACATGAGCATGAAGAAGAAGAAAGCTCCGGGTTCACGTTTCAAGTTCGTCATGAAGTAGAGCGTAATATTGAAAACGATGGTGTTGGCGATCTTGTACGGCATGTCGCAAAGCATCGAGGCAATAGCTTCAGCGGAGGGGTGATATAGAGCGTAACGACTGTGTTTTTCGACAATAGGACGTTGCGCATACAGGGCCAGAATCTAGTCATAATTAGCATGGTTCAAGGCATAAAGTCATCTGGATCTTACCTCGAGAGCACTCGCGAAAGCGTTCATCAAAACAGCAAAGAACAGGAGAGCACCACGCTGGAAGAAGCTGCTTGAGTTGTTGTCCAGGTTGTAGAAGACGGAACCGATAATAAGAGCCATAACAAAGTTACCAATCAGGGAGCCAACAGTGACACCAGGGTCACCCTTGAGTCGTAGCCATCCACGCCATAGACACAGTTGGATCTGCTGCATGTAGGAAAGGGTGTAGGGAGACTTGAGACGTTGACGCTTGGCCTGCTGGGCTTGCTTGGAAGCACGGAAAGCCTCGGCATCAGGGCCGTTGATGGGATGAGCGACCTTGTATTCCTCGATCTCAACCTGTAGAGCCTTATACTCGGCGCTGTTCTTCCAAGCAGTAGCAAACTCGTCAGGAGTACGAGGAACCTTGCCCTTGAAACCATCCTGCACGATTCGCTCGTTGGGGGCTGTCATCGAAGTGAGGAAATCAGGAGTAGTCTGGCGAGCAGGGCATTCGAAACCTAGGTTGATGAAGTACTGCTTAGCAGCATCGGCACGGCCAAAGAAGATTTGTCGACCCTCATAGATGACAGTGGCCTTATCGAAAAGGTCGTAGGCGCTCTGAGGAGATTGGTAAATTGACACAACAGCGGTGTTGTTGAAAAGCTCGGTCTGGAGGCGAAGAGTTTTGCAAAATTCGATGGCGTTGGCAGAGTCCAGACCTCGAGTAGAGTTATCCCAGCACTGCAGAGGAGCACCAGACAAGGCAGCCTCGGAAATGGTTACACGCTTGCGCTCACCACCCGAGACACCTCGAATGTACTCGTTACCGACGCGGGTGTTTACGGTGTGAGAGATACCAAACATAGCCATAACCACATCTCGTAGGTGATCGGCAAAGTCGTTCCTGTTCAAGCCTTGGGGAAGCTCACGCGGCTGTCGGGCGCGAGCGGCGAAAGTGAGGGTATCACCAACAGACAACATGGGGAAATGAACATCGATCTCGGCGGTGTAAATTGCTTCACCACGGTGGTGGGAGTGCATCTCCTTTGCGGTCATACCTGTGAGACATAACGTTAGTGACACTCGTAACCATGTATGCATGTAGGTACGAGAAGAGGCGTGTTTTCGCGAAACCGATCACCAGAGATCGAAGCTTGTGGAACCACAATGCCCCTTCTTCGTAATAACTGGAACTTGACTTACCCTGGTAGTTGAAGTAAGAGCCATCATCAACGTAGATACCGTTGAGTTCACCAGCAATTGTCTTGAGAGTGGTAGAACAACCAGCACCAGGAGGTCCGAGAACGACAAGCATCTCGCCTGCGTGCACAACTCCGTCAAAGTTGCGCAGAATGTCGATGCGCTGTCCGCTCCTGCCAGTGAGCTTGCCAAAGACGTCGCTTAAACCAAGCCACACGTTGCCGACATCTCCCTGGTAATCACTGGCACCTCCGTAACCGTAGACATTGAGGTTCTGGTAGCAAACACCAGCAGATCGGAAACCATGGCCGTCCTGGCGAACCAGCTCGACAACAGACTTGGCCCATTCGCGAGCATTGAATTCGGGTGAGTTGGGGTTGAGTGGTGAATCTTCGCCGGCCTGGAAAGGGTTCTGTCCTCCGGGATGAGTGGCGGAGGCATGTGAATAAGAGCGTGCAAGAGCTTGGACGATGGATGTTCGTCGCTCCATCTCGGAATCGTCATCATCCTTACCAAGAGTCTCGGCGGGTGATGATGATGGCTTCTCGTTAATCGCTTCGTCAACACTGTCGTCATGGTGTTTATCGGCAAGAGGCACGTTAGTGCCAGCGGCACCTGCCCCAGGAGCGCCCTGCCTCGCGGCAGTGGCCTCGTTGTTGGCGTTGATCCCGTAGAGTGCCGACATAATGGGCTAAAATGGTTGATTCTGCTATGAGGTCTCGCAATCGAGTCTCGTGAATCGGGTGGGTAATGCCCCAGTGAGGTTGGAAAGTTGTTGCCTTATTTCAAAGCGAAGATGTAAGCTGCCTGATGATGTTGTTTGTATGAGTGAGTTGGTTGTCTGGTGAGGTTGAAGACAAACCAATGGAGCAGGAGAATAAAAATATTAAAAAAGGTATTAAGGATCGACAGAGAAGAGACAGTCGACCATGAGGGAGCAAAATATCCCGTAAGAAAGGCGTGTAGTAGAAAAAGCTCCAAAACGGGAGGGAGGTCAGGAGAATCAAATATGAATGAGCTTGCTCTCAGTTCGTCATGGGCTTCCCGCAGAATGGCCCATAACAGATGGAGATAAACTCGCGTGTGTCAAGGTCCCACCGAGACGCTAAGCCTAAAGACGACGCCTAAACGACAAGGGTGGATGCTAAGCTAATTCTAGCGCGGCTTTTGGAAGTGCAATCGGGTGCGGCTACAAGGCTTTGTAGGGGTTGCTTGGGTTGTTTTCCGCTGGGATGGCAGCATGAAGGCGGCCGCTCCGAGGGGTGGACAGTTTTTGAATTTATTCGCATCTTTAAATACGGTTTGCTCTACTGACTCAATGTATCGCCACGTTGTTTCCATTCCGCGATAGACCAGTAGACGAGCAAGATACTTGGAAAATATATCGATGATGTTTGGATGCCTACAAAGTCCGCAGCACTTTTCCACCACGCCTCTCATCTCCCCCCGGCTAACAGCTTCTCTCGCAGAGTATGAAGAGTCCGACCCGATACGCAATACGTAGCAATTTGGGAATCCATAGCGGGGGGAAGAAAGGATACATTGAGTCGAACAATAACCACTATTAAGTGCATAGAACCTTGGCGGATAACGGGTACCTTCCAAACTCCGTCGCTCCCTTACAATTAGGCGAGACGATCCCGGGAATGAGGTGAATTACATACATCCAATACACAATACGCACCACTCACCCCACTAATTCCGCCGCCCCTGGATAGTGGCTCATCCCTGTCGGTATCTTATTCGTAGATGCTCTCATGAGTTGTTATGATTCATGATGCGTTGAGGGCTCACATCAGCCACGGCACAACAGTCCGTTTACCAAACTCTGTCGTGCGATGTGCATCGTGCCAAAGGATCATCACTGACCCAATCAAGACGTACAATACTTGAAACGTACCTACCACGAACTTTATCTTGACCACGGCTAATCTAAACAGTGTAATTAGTGTGACAAGCTGACATGCTGTATCCGTAATTGAGCCCAATATGTCGCGGCTATACGAAACAACATCCAGTCACCAGGATGTTCAAACGTTCCCTTGGGTATTTCAGCTAAAGACAGATCCCCTCCGATCCTCTCCGCAAAGATAAAAAACAAACTTAAAGCATCCTGCCATTTGCCATCTCCATCCTAAAACAAGATGCGAAACCCGCGTATTGTTCTTTCGGGTCCTTATTAAAGCCCGTCCCGACGGATGGAAGATACCCCGGGTAGGATGGAATTGTGGCCTCTGATTGGTGCGCTCGACTATTTCGGTGCTGACAATCTTACATACATCTTCCATCTCCTCTCGGGGGCTTATCCAGGTACCTGGGGTTATCTGAGCTTTACGATCCGAGAGGACGTTTCGTTCTCCATAAAGCTTGACGTTGAAGCCTTGGCTGTCAGCGGAATGATTCTTCATTAATTAGGCTCACTAGTTAACGGTTGACGTGCGTGGTGCACACCCCCAATATTTAGTAGCTTGTTTTTATCGGGGTCTTCTAAGGACCCGACAGCCCGTCAACCCGGCCCGCTAACTTCAACCTTGAATAAGTTAACCCCTTGAACCTCTATTTTGCGCAGTGAGCTCCTTTACCCTTTTGCGGAGTGTCGTCTATAAGCCCCGTCGTTTATGCGATGAGTGATAATGTAGATTATGTTGCGCTGGTGTAATCTGATCTACCCAGCAGGGGTACTCATGTATTTTGGTAGCTGCCAAAATCTTACCTTTTCTTTTTCTCTTGGCCGTTGTTGGTGGCTTATAAGTACCTTTGCACCATACCTAGTGAGCCAGTTTCTCGTACAGAGTCCATAAGTTATGTTATATCATTGATCTGAATAACATGATATACAAAGCCTGAACACATGGCATGTTAGCAAGGCGTGCTCAAATACCTTGACAAAGTCAAATTACCTTGGATTATCTACTTTGATCGATGTGGACTAATCGAGATCCGATCTGGCTTGGACCGCCTAATGTCTCATTATTTTGCGCGTTGCTACCTTGGCGTTGTCGGCCGAAACCCCTTCCATCTGTCCTGTTGAAGATGATGTTTTAATGGTCATTGAATAACGTCTTTTAACTTAAAAGTACTCGTTCTACTTTTTACAATCAACAAAGTCGAATTGTTCTCTGCTAGTTCGCATCGACACTCATACCGTAGAGGAATGCCAAAATTCGTACTTATAATTAAAGGTGCCACTTTAGCTAGACCATGCACCACAAACCCGAACGCGAAATTTGCGAACGTAAAATGAGAGACCCTCAAATCTCAGCTACGGCTACCCAGTCAAGTCAGCCTAAAGGTCCCCGCAGCAGCTCGCTAATTTCCATGTGTGAAGGCTTTGAGACAAGGATGCGGTCGATCATTAAACGAAGTCCGCTTCAAAAGTCCGCAGCGCAAGTTACAGAACGTAATTCCAACAATCTGGAATACATACTAGTTCCAAGACAGCAGGATCAAACAACACCATATGATGGCAAACCAAACAACCCGGCTTAGCAGTTCATATGCGTAAAAGCATGCGTGTTGTTGATGCAGGGGTCGAGCTGACCGGATATTGTACTCCCGTACCCAGTAGGCTCGCGCATCGCGTGCTGTGCTTACTGGGCAAACTTCCCTTTTTGGCGATGTACACGTATTCGGGTCTTGACGGGCCTTTGCACGATAGATACGAAGTACATATGTTGGTTAAAAGGACATTGCATGAATTAAGTCGGGAGCTTGTTGATAACACTTATGAGAAGTGTCAAGCCGACGGGTATATGATCAGTAGTCAGACCTCTGTGCTTGTATCGGACAGTTGGAAAAGTCCAAGTCCGTTACGTATCTACGATTGTCTCTCTAAATACCATGAAGAAGGTAACTCCTCGCACAGATGAGACGCTATGATCCATTCGAGTAAGTCACGGGAACAAATATGCCTCACGATCACTCTTCAAGAATCAAGGCATGTCGTAAGCTTTGAGGTGAACCATTTGGGTGTGTGAAACAGCACAAGAAAGGAATGTTACAACGTCACCCATCGGAACGTAGATAGATACAAGACATTTAAAATTATATACTTCGAAAACTGTACTTAACTTGATATGACTGTCTGAAGAAACGGTTCCGTTCAATGCATGCTTTATCATGGCACAGTATTTAGGTGGTTGGTATAGGTTAAGTAAACCGCATGTCCCATTCGAATAACATCTTCCACAGGAAGCACACCTCTTCTTGTTCGTGTTTCTGGCAAATTTGTGAGGGGAAGTTTATTTTGTATTTGAGTTAATAACATTAGAAACAGTGTTGGGTCCAAATGGATTTGATGTGCATTTGTACAAAGTGCAAGTTCTTGACCCAGGGTCGGATGCAGCAGCAGCAAAGATTGAATACCGCAATCAATGACAAGGTCTATCAAAGTTGAAATTGTTCATGATATCTCTGAGAGATCAACGAGAGTCATCGATTTAGAGAGTTATAGAGAGTAATTAACCATAGTAAATGAGTCATATCCCAATAACACAGGGTATAAATTCTTAGAGCGGTATTTCAAGCCACAAGGATATCTCTATTTTTACAAAAAGTTGATTCCCACGCCGACCTGGAGCCCCTTAGTCGCGGCCTCTCCCTTTCTCAAAGCCAAAGGCAGACTAAAGTTCAGCTCGAATCGCGCAACAGGATGCGCATACACAAGTCCTACACCAGCGGCAACGCTCGGTACACCGTTGAAGAGCTCGCCGACTGCGTTCACCACACCATTTCGGACAGCCGATCCGGACAGCTCCTGCGTGGAAGCACCGCCAGCGGACTTGTTTTTATCCTTGAGGGCGACGAGACGACCACCGTTGGCAAAGAGTTGGAATCGTAGACCGGAATCGGGTCCCTTGTAAGGTACGGGCAGAAGCATGTTGACACTGCCGGCAGCAAAGACATCGCCTCCAACGGAATCGAGACCATCATGAGGGCCAAGACCACCAAGCTTGAAGCCTCGCACGTCCGTAGGCCCACCAAGTTGGAAACGATCGTTGATACGAGTCGGGCGAAGCTTTCCGCCAAACTCATACCCAAGAGGAACGGGGCAGAGCAGACCTAGCCTCAATCCGCCACCGATTGAGATGCCTGTTCGCCCACGGATGCCAGGGAGGGGGATCTCAGTGGCACCGCCAACCTCGAGCTCACCCTTAGAGAAGGCAACATCGCCAGCAAGGGGCCCAAGACCAGCAATCTCAAGTCCAGATCGAAGCATGTATCCGTTTTGAGGAAGTTGGGGGTTGTCACGCCTCTCACGGTAAAATGTGTGCTTGATCGAACTCTTCATAGAGTCGCCAGCATCAGCACGGACAGTAGGACTGGCATTTTCAGCCAAGCCAGTGATCTGTCTCCAGACGCCGGAATATTCAACGGCCTGTGTGTCACGCTGCTTGTTAAGCCATGAGAATCGTAGTGTACCGCCTTTGAGAACCTCCTCATGCGATGCCCATGGCTTCTCAGCAGCCGAAGCCACACCTTCAAGCGCTACCCTCATATCAGGGTTGCTAGCAACAGGCGCCGTGATATTGGCGCTATAAGCCGAGCGTGTGCGTGTGCCAGCCTTCGCATTGAGCGTCAGCATCTCAGCACCGCCAAACATGTTTCGCCATAGCAGCGAACCATAGGCAGATCCCTCGCCATTGCCGACATCTGTACCAGTTTGCAACTTGAACCGAGAGAGCTCTTTAACTCGAATATCGACGTTTACATCGGTAGGCGAGGTGGAAGGGTCTGTTTGCTGCGCAGATGTAAGGAAGACTTCCGGTTGAGGTTGAAATATTTCTACAAATTAATTAGTTTGGTGTTGCGGTGAGGAAATGAGAGACTTACGCAGCGCATCAAGTTTGTTGCTTGCAATACGAAGACCATCTATCACACCTCCAACGGTCGCACTCGCATTCAATTTATCGCTAACAAGAGGCTGGAAAATAGGATCGAGGAAATTTGTTCGTGTGTTGACCGCACCATGGATTCGAAGCTCGTTGACTGTCATAGGCGCTAACTGCTGATCACCAATCTTGACGGCATTAGTACATGCTTAAAGGATGTAGAATATGACTGAAAGACGCACCACCTGTGCCATTCGTCGTTGCTTGGCCTCATCTTGTTCTTGTTGAAATTCAGTCTTTGACTCTGCTTCGTGCAACAAAGAACCGGTGTCGGAATGGAGCTTGCTAAAGGGGTCCATTGACTGCATCGTGTTAGTTATTTGCTTTTTCAAAGCTTAAAAATAAGGTTAATCACCGAAACCCCAGTCGAGCCAGGAATTGCAGCCATTTTGGTAGCTCGACAGCCCGAGTTGTTACTTTCGAGAGCTTTCACGATGTCGTTTTGGAAGTATCGGACCACCCAAACTGGACCCTGAGGCGGGCAGCTTTCAATTAATCTGTCGGTACGTACTTCCCGAGCTTCCGCCCTGGAACTTTGTGGCGCATGTGTGGCTCGCCTATTCGCGTCCCTGTGAGCTCCGTCATAGGATGCCATGTGATGCACGGCCACATTGACTCTCCGAACCTAGCGGGACCCCAGCGCCCAGGATACTTCCTCCCTGTGTTTGTCTCTGTTCATCTCTCTAAGGTTATCCATTCATCGTTTGTGCAAGCCACCCATAGCCATACCGCTGATTTAGAGCATTCAGTGCGAACTCTCTCCTTTCTTATTCAGGAGCTTTTAATTGCTCTTCCTCTCTTTTGATTTGTGTTCTTTCTCTACTTCCGCCACGCACGCGACTCGCAATCTGTCCCGTTCTCTTAAACAACCTCTAAACCCAACACTTCTGCATCGTCAGCATGGCTAGCAAAGCCGCCACCAAGCGTGTATGTGCTCGCCATCTTGCAAACTGCATGCGCTGTGCTAATTCTTGTGATAGTTGACACGCGAATACAAAACCATCTCTGAGAACCCCCCTCCTTACATTGTTGCTCATCCGTCCGAGTCCAATATTCTTGAGTACGTTACGTCACGCTCAAGTCACTTTGCTGCGAGTCGATTGTGCTGACACGATTACTAGATGGCACTATATTATCACCGGTCCTGAGAACACTCCTTACCATGGTGGTCAATACTGGGGAACTCTAATGTTCCCTCCCAACTATCCGTTTGCTCCCCCCGCTATCCGCATGCACACACCATCAGGCCGATTCCAGCCTTCAACGCGACTATGTCTCTCCATTTCCGATTTCCACCCGAAGTCATTTAACCCCGCATGGGAAGTTTCAACCATCTTGATCGGGCTACTCTCATTCATGACGAGCGAAGAGATGACGACTGGTTCCGTTTCCAACACATCCGCCGAACGACGATGCCTGGCGGCTCGATCGCGTTGGTGGAACTCGACCGGCGGCGGCTCAAATATGAAGAGTAAACCCGCCAACAAGGGTAACGTCAAGGCTGGTGATGGTGGCGCCAAGTTTCGAGCAGAGTGGCCAGAAGTGGATGTTGAGAACTGGGAGTGGATGACCACAAACAAGGTGGATACTGTCACGGGAAACCGATTAGATGACGACAACAACGGATCTTGTCGACCTCAGCTGGGCATTACAGGAAATAGCGGACATCAAGCCCAAGCAGTTGTTGATGTGGTCAACCAGCAAAGAGATGCCAGTACAGGGTGGATCTACCGTAACAAGCTCTTACTTGCTGGAGCTACTATCTTCTTTTACGTTCTTGTTGCTAGACTTGTCAGTGGTGACGAGTAATTGAAGGTGTCTTAATGGAGGAGGAATTGTGTGTTTGTATTCAACTCTCTGGGCTTTTTCTTATTGGCGGGATGGCGGGCGCATTGTGGTTTTACAAGCCAGACATTAGGACTCACGTCTTAGTACAGCGTCTGGACGTGTTCCGGAAGCATATTGTTAATGGGTTTCTAATAATCGCCGACATCTCCTACGACCTGGAGATTTTGAGATGAGTTCGGAGAGAAGCGCAATATACCTATAAGGTAGACTAGCTAAATGAAACATGTGCTCCCATAGTAAATACCTCCCAGTGAATACAAAGAGATCGACGCCAGGCAAGGGATGAGATACTCAAGCATGAGCTAGGTTAAGTAGGCAGCCATCTCCTGTTAGGCAGCTAATAAGAGATCCATGTACAAACATTAGTCTCGGACTATCACTGCGATCTAAACAAACAAAAGTTGCTGGTGTTGAACATCGGAAGCCGGATCACGGCTGATGACTGTACACCGCGGAAGCTCGAGCCTATTTGTTGACTGCACTAAGCCCACTACCGCTAGCCCCCTGAACCTTAGTGGACTTAGTAACCGGCGGGGGAGGTTTCAACCTGGAAGAAAAATTGTGACGAAAGCCCCAATTTTTGTTACCTTGCGACTCGTCTCCAGACTCATCTCTGGAAGCCGTTGGAAGCACCTCCAAACCAAACTCGACATCATCATCCGGGCTTCAGGTTGGTGAAACCCTTACGGCATAGCTCTCCTCACCCACTACCTCCCATTGCCTGTTACTTGTACACAAACCCTGCTATCTGCTACTTTGCATTCTTTAATTCACCCTCCTTACGTTCCACCCCTCGAATCCGCCCGCTCCTGGTTGAGCTCTTGCTCTCCGCACAACAGAGCTGCACCTGGACCCTCATTTCTAGTGCATCGCCAGTTCGCCTCCGATCCACGGCCACGATCCTCGAGCCCATATTCGACCACAGGGCATCACAATCAATCCGAAGACGACTGCTCTCCATGCATCTTCCTCTAGATCCGTAGAGCCTCCCTCCCTCCGATTCTCCTTTGTTGAGGCCTGGCGCTGGTGATCTACCAGACCCTCCGCCTCTCCTCTCCGAAAAGTCCCCGCCGAACCGTCAACGATCTCGTCAATGCAATGGCGCCCCCAAACGGCAATATGAAGTCTCGTCGACCTGGCGGGAGCAAGCTTGCTCAATCCTCCAAGCCCGTCATTCCTGCTATCCCACTGCCCCATGTAAAGCGTCAGGCAGCCACTGCTGCTGCTCGGGCTAGTACTGCATCCTCCACGACGATCCAGGAACCTGACGCGCTCTCGCCCCCCGCATTGAAGCTCACGAACGGCCATGCACCTGCGGAGATCAATAAGGACGACAAGGCAGATAAAGTGGCAAGCACAATCTCGAGTCCGGCTTCTACTGCAGCTTCCAAGACTGAAAAGGCGAATACTGGGACAAAGACTGCTGAACATCAAGAGACAAACAACAGCGCCACTGACCCAGCCAATGCCCAAGATTCTTCTGGTATGTATTACAGACGCCCCAGTCTTTATCATTGTGCATACAAAGCCTCCTACTTACACATTGTGTCCTATATAGCTGTCGCAGCTGCCTCCGAACCTGCAACCACCACCAGCGAAATTGAAGACGCCCACAAAAACCCCGAAGTCTCAGGCCATTCTGATCAGCCCACCTCCAAGAATCAGGCGAATGTTGCGGCAAAACTTTCCGACAAGGATCCTGTTGGCGAGAAGCCCAATGGTGTTGTAGACAAGAGTGAGGCCAAATACCAGCCCGGTGAGGCATCTCAAGGTTTTGAAGGTTACCCCAAGACTCGTGGCTCGAATGTAGAACACCACCAAACTTCAAAGCTCAACAAGTCTCGTCCTCCCTCGGCTGTGCCACCGAGCCGATACCAGATGCCTCCCTCCTTCCAACCTTCTGGTCGACCTCTTGGACCAACTACGAACGGTGACCTGCGTGGTCCTCGTCCTCCGTTGCCTAATGGCCCGCCTGTGCACCAGCCACACCCAAGTAACAGTAGCATTCATTTCGGCGCCTTTCACGATTCGACAAGCTCGTCTCCCGCTCCTTTATCTGGTGGTATTGCTCCTCCTCCTGGTATGCCAGGTCCTGATGGTCGACCTCCCTACATGGCCCCTGGTGCCAATGGATTCCCTCCCATGATGCCGTATGGCGCAGACCACGTTCCAGTCACCACTTTCGATAACTACGGAAGACCAACCATGGCTTACGGACCGATGGATTCCTTCCACCCTTATGCTAGCAACTTTGGCCCCTCTACCCCTCACAGTTATCACGATTCACAGGCATCCATTTCTCTGGATGATGCCAGCATGTACAATCAGTTTCATCCAGGTCCAGTACACAACGGCGCTTCAGGCCCAGGTGAGGATACACAATCGCCAAACCACCAAGGCAGGATGTTTGGAGGCCCTGAATACCAGCGAATGATGCCAAATGCCGGCCCTCCTCCGCACATGATGTCTCAAATGGATGATGCTGAGAGCTTAATTGGCCACATTCAGCAACATTTTGGATCACCTGAAGTTGCTGACTGTGTTTTGGAGCTTCGATACGCGGATGACAGAAGCGCTACAGTTCGCATCCCAGGTCATAGGATCCTCTTTTCTCGCAGCGCTGAGCTTGCAGCCGTGATGTCCAAGCAGTTCTCTGGACCAAACTCCAACGCTCCCTCTCTGCCTACCGCCGTCCTCGAAACCAAGAGCAAGTGGATCCGCTCCGATTCGTTCTATATCGCTGTGCAGCGTCTTTATGGATTGCCACTATTTACCCCTCCTCCTAGTGGAATGAAGCAACCTGCTGGAACTGATGCTACGACTTTGATGGAAAGATTTGATTTTGCACTCTCGTACGCTGCATCTGGCCATCTCCTCCGCTGGGATCCAGTTACTCGACGTGGATGTGAGATTGCTGTGCAGCTTTTGAGCTGGCAGACCTTGGAAAAGGCACTGGAGTTCGCCTTGGAGGATTCTCGGGATGAGGGGTCATATGAGGTGTTCAAGTACGGCGATGGATCTCGAGCTATTCTGAGTGGAATTGTCTCGTTCCTTGCCAATAACCTCCACCCAACCTTTAGAATTGACACTTCAGTTACCGACCTGCCGAACTATGCCCGTCTTCCGCCTCAGGCTGCTTCGACTAACAGTGCCACTGTCCGGAAACTCTCACCCCCACCTATCGCTAGAGGAACTTCTGTCCATCTCGGTAAGGGGCGTCGGTCTCAGCAGATCTCTGGTATCCAGTTTGGTGACCTCTCCTTGACTGAGGGCAAGATCTCGCCAGCCTCGGACGCTTCAGGTGCCTCTCAGCAACAGCGAATGCCATTTTACGCCATCCTCTCTCGGGTGCTTCTCAACCTTCCATTTGTCACTCTCAAAGAGCTGCTCGAATCTGCAACCAACAAAGGCAGCGGATGGCCCAACGCAGAAGCTGTCTATCGCGCGGTTCAAGAGACAGTGGCCGAGAGAGAGCGACGTCGCCTGAGGATTGTCGAGCTTGTCAAGTCTCGCCAAGTCGCAGGCTGGGAAGTCATCTCACAGCAGCTTTCCAAAACGACACCGCAATATGTTGGCCGCTGGAGTGCCCTAGGCTGGCAAGAAGAGATTCTTCCCTTTGGGCCATCAGACAGCCCGGTTCTGGGTCGCACTTGGGTTCCCTTCATGAACTCTCAGGCAGGCTCTCAGGCAGCATATCCTTGAAGATCACTGGGTGATGCCTACATAACTTCCAATTTGATGGATGATATTATGGGACATGTGGACGATGGATAATTGGGACAGCAATATCGAAAATAAAAACATAGCAAAAGAAGATAAGAGCTTATCTCTCAGCTTCCTGCGACAGCTAATGGGTTTGATTTCAGGGAGGAAAGGTGGCGTCTTCAATCCTGTTTAGGGAACAGATATGAGATATGGTGCTCTTTGGAGACTTTTTGACTGAACGGCGTTGGTGGGCATGTCAACATTGGGGCCTTTGAAGCGAGGATTGTTTTTAATGACCGGAAATTTGGGGAACACAGGCACGGGAAGGGAAAAAAGAACCAAAAAGTATTTAATGATTCTACATTTGAGAGGGCTTGGGGGTTCTATCTCCCTCGTCCTGGCTGGGGAAGGCCTGGCATCAAGGTTGGGGACTGGATTTGGTACGAGTGGGTTATGATGAACGACGGTGACTTTAGGAAGTTAAAAGGTAGTTACGGCATCAAATGGAGTATGCGTCGCTCAGTCTCTCAGTTGAGAGATGATATTAGGTAGCATCTTCGAGAATGGTTTGATACCCCAGACTTTACTATCAATGCTTTATCTGTGATGCTTTGCTCTGTGCGTTATCGGCTAACGTTTATCGGGAAACAAGCCCCTTCGGGTAGAGCTCCTAGCTGGGCCCAGAAATTGGGTGTCGTGATAAATTTCATGTGATGATGATGGTCTTGCTGGAGAATAGCTACACCCATACCCGAGGGCGGGGAACCCCTGTTGGATGACTCCATCAGTGCTGTATGGTGTGTCTCTATTCGTTATCTGGGCATGACTTTAATTAACTGCGAAGCCCTGAGCAGGGTCTTGTCCTCAAATGCTCAAAGCGCAGTGGGCTAGGGTCAGCTCAGACCAGGAGCCGAGGTCCTCATCCCCACTTTACGACGTCTTGCTCATTTCCAAGTTCTTGTGATTTCATCCCTTCCATCCCTCCACTCCCACATTCAACTTTGTCTCTCCTTCTAATTAACAGATGTGAGAGCATAGATCTGGACCATCAGCAAATTCCGCTGTGCGACAAAGTCCAGATCTTTTCAGGTTACAAATTGTGCTATCAATTTGCTTGATGCCTTCTACAGCTGTTGCTCGAATGCGCCGCTGGAGCTCAGCTCGTGGAACTGCGCACACGCCATAATAATACCAATTAACCAACACACGATCCTTTCACCAACGACAAACATCCACTCCTTTATCACGATGGAATCTTCCATTTCTTCCAGCGATGCCTCGAGCTCGCGATCTTCGAGATCATCTGCTGCTACAACAGATCCCGTGCTTCGAAACACGCTGCGCTACACCATCTCGGCCCACGAATACGCTGCTCTGCATAAATACATCCTCTCGCGTTCCCGCGTGCTTCGCCGCGCAACACCTACTCCCAACCGCGTCGAGAAGGCACTGCAACCGCCAAAGGGCGGTGATGATTACAATGCTAGAACGGTGCGACATGCGCTGCGGGTGTTTGTGATGACGTTTTCGGGCATGAAGGGATGGGATGTTGTCGCTAAGAGGATGGGCAAAGATGAGTGAGCAGCTCAATGATGAGATGTGTGCAAATGACAGATGGCTAACGTCGCCCAAACAGACCCAACACGAGCGGGAAACAGAAACCCTTTTATAAAAATCCTGCGCTGAGGTTATCCATCTCACTTTCTACCATTCTTCTCCTTTACAGAGTCCTTTTCCGTTTCTTCACACGACTGCGCGTGCATTTGCTCGACCCTCAAGTTGAGCCATTCCGAGCGCGCAACCCGCGAACTGCGGCGATGCTGACATCGCCCTCTGCGCCCGCCATTGGTGCGTCATTCGCTGGTCTTGCCCTGGGCATCTACCCAGCACAGAAGATGCGTGTCTCCATCGCTCTCTACACCATTTTCCGGGCCTTGGAGTTTGCCTATAACTTCTGCGAGGCGGATGGTCTTATCTGGGGCCGAAAGAATGGCGTCAAGAGGGAGAGGCCTTGGTGGTTTGGAAGCTGGATGCTGCAGCCATTCGCTTTCGGCCAGCTCCTTCATGCGGCAGTGTTTGACCGCGATTGCTTCCCAAAGCCATTTGGAGATTTGATCTTCAAGAGCTCTTCGGCTTATCTGCATCCGCGCCCGCAAAATTGGCCATCTAGCCTCAAGTGGCCTCAGACTTCTCAGATTGTTGACAGTCTGGCTCAAATGGCGCGTCTAAGCTGGCCGTAAGTACACATATTCCGAGACGAAAGACTCCTTACTGACCGTTTCTAGTGCCTATGTTTCCCCTACTTTATTCCCTGGCAAGGAAGTCCTTCCTCCTAGCCTCAGCGCGGTTGCGCCACTGACATCTCGAGCTCACCCACTTATCACATCTCTCTCATGTGCAGCATTACACCCAGGAGATCCATCCTGCGCCCGCACATATCTCACTTTCTGGCTTCAAACATTCCCGCCATTTGCTCGTTTCTTCGTCGCTCTCTTTTCTGCACTCACGGTCATCCCTCGATTCTCTAGCCTTTACCACAACCCCTTGGCAACCCTGCAGCTCATCATCACCAAGGCTCTTCGCATGTCCACTTTTGCCACAGGTGCTCTTTCCACAGCGTGGGGATCCATGTGCTTCTTCCAGACATGGCTTCCTCGCCATGTACTTGCGACTCAGCGCGTCTTCCTCGGTGGTTTCTTTGCCGGCCTCTGGGCGTTTGTCGAGCGAAGGAACGGCCGTGGCATGTTCCTGTATAGCGCTCGTACCAGTGTCGACAGCCTCTGGAAGGTTGGTATTAAGCGTCGCTGGTGGAAGAGCATGAAGGGTGGTGACGTCTGGGTCTTTATGCTCGCGCTCATGGTTACTGGTGTTGTCTATGAGAAGGATGCTCAGGCAATCCGCGAGACCAACTGGCGGAAGGGAGTCAGCTGGCTTCAGGGCCAAGGCTGGACGGATTGGGCTGTTGAAGATGATGAGGACGAGGAGGGAAAGGTTAAGGAGGAGTGATATATCACGTATGATGAAAGTAAGGCGTTTGGCGTATTTGCGGTCACTGATTTGGTTGGGAATTGGGGAAGGCACAATGCCTTGTTTTTATAGTCTGATATCCAACATAATTGTAGTACATTTACCTTAATGGTTTTATTCTCAAGAGTCCGGTACCTGAACCAGCAGATACACCCTGCCTAAACCCGCTTTGCCTATAGCTACAAAGGAAACCAATCACTAATTATATAATCTTTCCAAGCAATACGCCGTCTTCCCAATCTTCATAACAAACTCCGACCCAAGTCTTTTAACACCCCACGTCAACACACTCGATCTTTAACCTCTCGTGAAATGTTCGAGCAAGCCTAGCAAGAAAAAGACATACGCGTAGAAGACAAAAATGAACACCAGGCCTGCAACCAAGAGAAACAAATCATCGCGCAACTCGTCATCGTTCGACTCATCGTTGTTTGACTCAACATCTCTCGTAATTGAGGGCATGGCAGACGACTCGTCGACAGCCCATTCTCCTTGGTGCGATCCACCATGGTAGTGACGACATGAAGAGGTTCTCAACAGGTTGTACCTGGGTGACCTGAGAGTAAATGCTTGGTCAGTGACTGGGAAGTCTTCATACTCGCTAACATACTGACTGTCTTCAGGCACATGTGATTCAGGAGTCAAGAGCTCAATCAGATCAGCTGATGGACGCTCGATTTCAGTCATGTTCATAGGTGCAGACATGGCCGAGAGGAACTCTTCATCCAGTACTTCTCCTTGCTTCTCTTGTGCCTGCCCCGGTTCTCTCTGTGCTGGTCTTCCAGCCTTCAGCCATGCGACGATAGCATGGATGTCTGCTGCATAATCCCTGTTCTCGTTGATAGGATGATGGGGGTACTTCGCCCTAAGGGCATCGATCTGTTTCATTAGCTTCCCATCAGTGGTCAAGTAATAGAAGTTCGAGTTCTTGAAGAGATCGACTCTTCCAGGACGGTGTCTGTGGCGGCGGCGCTGGGAACGAGAGAAGCATAGAGGATGGAAGGGCTCGTCACGACGGAGAGGGAGAGGCTCCATGAAGTGCTCTGGACTGCTCTGGAAACTCATGCTGGGCGAGTTGAGAGGGTGTTTTGGTGAATCAAGGTTTTGTTTAGTTGGTGTTGTGAGTAGTGGGTAGTTATTGCTGGCAGGTTAGTAGGTAGCAAGCCTGGGAGTGGTAGAGTACTAATCTCAGGCTTGAAAACGATGAAGATACTGAAGAAAGCTATGGTTCTCTTGCGGTTGATCATTGTATGGTTATATACTGGAACGGGAATGGTGAAGAGCGGGAGTGTGGGCGGGAAAGTTCTTTGAACAATGGGGTCGAACACAAAGAGGTTGCGGTGAAGATGTTTTGTTCAATGAGAATGTAGCCTAGTGTTCTTTGAAGAACCTGTTGAAGGACTTGGGACATGGTTTAAGGTAGGGAATAAGCTCTGAATGAGGAGTGTGAATAAATGAATGGTTCATAGGACAAGCGCTGAAACCTGTGATCTGTCACATAAGTATACATGTGTTCAGATATCCATGTTGGTCTTGCTTTAGATGGAGAGGATTGATCATCAGAACTAAGAACTTTGTTCCAGAAACAGACATATTCATTGTTTGTTGAGTTGATATATCTCAAAGAACAAGTTGCCATGGGTTGTCCAGATGGTTATATAATTCTACTGACCTCCCACTCTTGAAAACCTCTCATCAGAGACTCTTATCAACTGGCCACGACTTGATTTGCAAATCAGGTCAATTCTGGACTCACTTGATAATCTCAATGAGTCAGCGAATTTCCAAGTTTACTGAAGTCTTTGAGCCTTCATCTGAACTTCTCAATCATCCTCTCTCTGTGCCTCCCCCTTCTGACAAGCCTGTCACCTGTTACTTCTTCCTCCCTGTCCTATCTCGCTGCATAAGCGATAAACTCAGCTCAATGACGTCCGCCAATTCCTCAGACACACTGTCCTCGGTTGTCAGTGCAGCAATCATCCAGGATGGATCGCACCGCACAGCGATGGAGGACAGAGTCAACGACCCATCGGGCTTGTTTGCCGATCCTGCAGGTATGAGTCTCTTGGACATATCTAACTTTCGCTCACCTATCGCAGGTTATCTGATTCCCGCCTATGCCGTAGACGGGGATAAGTTCCAGGAGAGTGTTCAGCAGTACGAGACCAAGATGGACGAGGTCAGGGCTGAATTCGATGACATTTGGCTGCAGCTTCAGCTCTTCTGGGATCTGATGCTCCGTATGCAGCCGAACTGCATCACCTCTGACGCCGAGCACACCAGCCAAGCCGTGAACTTTCTGCTGGACTTCTCCATCGCTCGTCTTTTTCCTGATACCAGACCCGACCACGATCCTGAGATTGCCTGGGTGCAGACAAAATGCTTCCGCCGCCGCCTGCGTCATTTGGAGCTTCTTCTTCGAACTGACATGATCAATTGTGGCAACGCACAGAGCATGTTGTGCGGGTGCATCGTAGACGTGAAGCGGCCCAAGTATAAGAGCAACATCTGGACGCCTCTCTTCAGCGGCAGCAATTACGACAGCGACGAAAAGAGCCGTCCTGATGACAGACATTATCGACTGAGGGATGTAGCAGGTCTCATCCGCCTTGAAGACTTCCTCACACACATATCCCTGGAATTCGAGCATCAGCTGGATACTTCCAATCCTGACAACATGTCTGTTATCGTGCAGACGGCCATTGGGTTCATGGACGATGAGATAAAGATGTGTCTCAAAAAGCAGGACTACGTGACTGTTGAAGACCTCAAGACGGAGTGGGTGTACGCTCTCTTCAATCCCATCTTCCGCGCTGGTGTGATCCGCGAGGTGACGAGCATTGTCAGGGACGCCCTAGCCTTTCGAAAGAAGCATAGTAACTCGGCTCATCGAGCGGCTTGTGAGCTCTGGGCTCCCAAGCCTAAGCTTGCGCAGCGTTTGACTTTCCAGAGAAAGGCCTCCAACTCTGAGAAGTAGATAGTTGTTCTGTACGATAGAGACAAGTGTTGGACATGGAGAAGGTGGTTTTCTTATTTGGTCTTGGATAAGGTTATTTGGCGTTTGATGGGCTTCATGCTCTGTATGGGTATTTGGATAGAACAAATTGATATCAAGTTTTGACTCAACATGCAAATGATTAGCAAGTGACTGGTATATAAAGTAACAAATAACGCCACCCAATATGGACCCCTTCGTGATACCCATGATACTCATAGACGGAATAAATCGCCCATCTTCTTATCCCAGTTCTTCTCATCGCCCAGTTTGCGCATTACATCAGACAAAGCGTCGCAATGTCCGTCGACTTCAGTTGCGTTCATTTGCGCCGTATCCCAAGAAGCAATAAAATACAGATTCGCTGAATCAAGCATAAACGCCTGCCATATGAAGCCACTATGGGAAGAATTAGTTGTTGGGTTTGGAAATAGAGACGCTTGTACTTGCCTGTCAGGCCAATCGTAGCGAGCAATGGGCTCAAGATTAGCATAGTTCGTCTTGACACCGTTCAAAGGGTTCATGGCTAGCGATAAGTCCCAGACAAAAGACTGTCGGAAAGATGCGTCGAGTGCAGCTGGACCTTCGTCACTGAGATCTTGGATAACTTTGTTCCACGGGACATGAACATGCTGCTTAATACTCTCATCCTCAGCCATCATTCGCTGAAGGAACTTGATAATTGTTTCATTTCGGATGACTTCTACCATGTTCAGTACCCACTGAACAGTAGGACCATCAATGCTCATCGCTGGCGGGAGAAGCTTGTCCATCCATTCTGGTATAAACGGCCACGAGCGACCACTTTCCCAGACATTGAGCATCGCGTGAGAAGAACCTGTTTGCAAGACGTTGAACAGGACGATTGCGCTTTTGGTGAAGATTGATTGATGGACGTTGTGCTCCCCCTGGAGCTTGGAAAGACCAGACAGCGCAACAACTCGACCAGATCGTGGATACTGAAAGCTGGAGGCCTGAATTTCCCACTCGTCGTTCCAGATTTGGCTACGGATGGTACGACGTTCTTTGGCGTATGGTGAGCTCTCGTCGTTGCAGATCAGCATGCCAGGTGCTTTCTGAGGTGGCCACAGCGCGCGGCCGAAGCGGGAAATGCCTCGAAGTTTGCCAACATGGAACGAAACGCTTTTCTTTGCAGGCTCGCTTTCTTCGTATTGGCTGAATAAGTCGGAAAATAGACGATACGGTGTCAACGCTGGGATGTCGATGTTGATATCTGAAATCCAGTGATCAAGTTCCTGGTACCATTGGGTGATCGACAGCGCATCAAAAACAGAGTGATTAAGAGTGAAACAGAGAAAGAGCTGACTGTCTGACATAGTTCTTACAACATCCACCTGAAACATAAAAGGCGACGAATGACCCTGCGCAGAATCGTCCTTGAAAAGAGCCAAGGCATCATCCTCAGTGTCAACCTCGACCTCACGAACAAGCTGTCCTACAAGAGCGGGACTCAACGACAACACAGCGTGGAACGGGACACGGTTCGCGGCGGGGAACACAATCGTCCTGAGCATCGGCCTCGATGCCAGCGCCTTTTGCAGGGCGCGCAGAATCTGATGCTGCGCAACGTTGCAGACGCGAAAGGCCATGCGGCTGTGGTAGGACTGCGGACGCGAGCCGATCGCCGTCCGATGGAGCGAGGATCTGATGGGTAGGACGTCTTCGATGGAGGAAGGGGAGAGGCCGGCGCGTACGACAGCTCGTCTGGCGAAGTAGAATACATCTTGCCCTTCGCCGGGGATAGTAGTGGCGGGTTCTTGGTAAAGGGTAGGTAATCGAGGGGCGTAGGTGTGTTGTTTTGGCGGAGGGGCAACGAACTTGGGGACTTCTGGGGCAATGACAAGGCGAGCTTGTTGTAGCTTTCGAGATAGTAGGAGCTGCGCTTGCTTCTCGACTGTATCGTGTTTAGTAAAATCCTGCAGGTAGATTCTTTGACCACAGATTTGCATCACATTATCGCAGTAGCGCAACAACGTGATGCTGTCGGCAAGATATTTGAAGCTCTCTGTCGTAGAAGGCCGTGTTCCAGTGAGCTGCTCACATATATCCAGCAACTTATCAACAAATGGTGGTGTTGATGGCACATTTCCAGGCCGAAGTTTGGGTGCACTGCTTGCTTGTCGGAGCTCCAGGACCTTTGTTTTGAGCAGTTGTTTCTTCACTTTGCCGAGAGATGTTACTGGAAACTTGACCAGTCCGAGTTCTTCTAGAGTATACACGCCATCTAAGGCATAACGTTGGTCAACACTTCTGGCCTTTTTGCAGATTTCGGCTTTTGTCATGCCCTGGGGCAAAATAACGACAGCAACAGGGACTTGGCCTGCTACATCGTTCGGTACACCAATGACTTGGACCTGATGGGTCATTAGTAAAACAATTCATCTTGGGGAGTGCATATCCTCCAACCCACCTGCAAGCCATCGAGTTGCTGGAGTTCCTGCTCAATTCTGATGGGGTATATGTTTTCTCCCCCACGAATAATGAGCTCCTTGTACCGACCGAGGATATAAACGATACCATTCTCGTCTATCCTGGCTTGATCACCAGTGACCAGCCAATTCCCCGACTCATCGGTGTACATGGCGTCGTCAGCACCCCTACCCCTGTTGAAATACTTAGTAATGACGGATGTGCCGCCAATGTGCAGTTCCCCGATCTCCGATCGAGGTAGTATTTCGCGTGTTACGGGCCGGCAGATCCTCGCAGCCGCCCCTGGAAGAACCTTGCCAACGCCGGGATGCCAGCCATCCGCCAAGTGAGGGTCTGAACTCTGCCAAGTGATGATAGGGGCACCTTCGCTCATCCCAAAGACCTGAATCGCGAGTCGTGCACCAAGACCTTCATGGCACAACCGCACGTCCTCGGCCGTAATATATGTACCGCCAATGGTGACGATGCGCAGATCCAACTGACCGGCGCTGGGGAAATTGGGATGTGCTATCAGAGCCTTTACAAGCGTGGGAGTGGCTGACATGATGGAGCATTGTTCCTGTACGAGGGCTTTGAGCGTGGCATCCACGTTGAAGAACTTGGAGGGAAACACTGCAGTGCCGCTCCAGCGCCATGCGCGAAGGGCGTTGTTGATGGCGAAGATGTGGAAGGATGGCGTGTGGATAAGCCACTTCAACGGTCCCATGGCGGTGACTTCAGGGTCGAAGTCACAGCATTGCGATGCTATGTTGCGGTTTGTGTGCCAGCATCCTTTGGGCTCGCCTGTTGTGCCGCTGGTGAAGTTGATCAATGCTGCATCGTCGTCTCGGTTGCTTTCCGCGTCGATGCAATTGGCGATTCTTGGTGTTGAGTCTAGGAGTTCTGCGTCTAACATATCATAAATTGTCAACCACTTGTCCAACTTTTCTCCTGTACACAGAACAAAGACACACGATTCTGAGAACTGCACGTCAGAGAGATCCAGCGCCTTCGTAGCTTGGACATCTTGTGCCACCACCACATGTGGCTCGAGGGATAGTATCGTGGCCTTTGCATCTCGAGGAACCATTGGATCAAGAGGCACAAAAGCTATCCGCATCTTGGCCGCCGCCCAAAAGAAAAGCGCCCATTCAACACAGTTCCCTAGTACCACAACCAGCCGCATTCCCGGTCGACAGCCCAACTTCTCTAGAGACTCGGCCACCCGCTCCGCCTTGCCCTGCAGCTCTGAATAGCTCCATCGAAGGTAGGACTCGTTGTTTCCGTCAATGGCTGGCTGGCTAATGTCTGACAAGTGATCGTGTGGTTGCCAGAGCGAGACAATGGCGTCTCCATCCGGACTCGCAGCAGCGGCTTTTTGGAAGATATCCCACAGCGTCAGATGCAGGTCAGGAACAGGATCGCCAAATACTTCGGAAATAGCAGCGTCTTGCTGCGAGGCGTTACTGGCGTTAGCATCTTGTGAGACAACCGACTCCATCATGTGGCCAAGGACGCTAGACTGGTGTGTTTCTGGGGAAGAAAAAGGGAAAAGCAGAAGCAAAGGAAAAAGAAAAAAGAGGCTGAATCATAGGAAACAATATTGAACACGCTTGTATGTGGTACAGAGTTGGAACTGAACAACCAGCGAATGTTGACAATTCTCCAAGTTGGTAAGTATGAAGGGGAGTAGTGCAGGGTTAAATACGATGGGCACTAGGTACTCTGTAACTCTGTAAGGCCCCTAGACTGCCGAGGCGAGGTCCAGTAATTACAGGTAGGCACTAGGCGGGCAAGCTAGGTCTGGATCACAGCACGACACAGCAGGAAATAGGTGACTACCTTGCCTATTTTGACACTAAGACGGCACTATGGACACGACATGACACGAGCGCTATAAGCAAGTCAAATCCGTAACCTGAAGATTGTCACATCAATCTCTGAAGGATCCGACAGCTTGGGCCGCCCGAGACCCCGGGGGGAGGGCGGCTTGCACTGTGCGCGTCGAGGGGGACAAAGAGTTAACTATTGGAGATAAAGGTAGTGGAAAAGGTAGGACAAACACAAACACAAACACAAGTATATACAAAGATGAGGCACCCGATCCAATCGACAGCTTCACATGGTCAGCCACCTCGCCCACGGAGCCAAGGACAGAAGCGCAATGTATTTTCGTCTGGCAGCACAGCTTTTATCTTGTTGTCTTTCCGGGCTGTGTCACCTTGTTCAGTACATACACTCTGTAGTAGTTGTCTCAATAAGTGCTGCAGGATCTCTGGAGCACGGGGCATGTGTGTGTATGTGGTATGCGCTGCTGCAGAGCCCTGAGTCAAGACTGGACACTTTTCTATCTGAGACATTCGTTCTAATGCAAGCACATGTTTGAGAAACACGACGATCGCCCCAAATCACGTTAATGTGTGCGTATTTGTTCCCAGCTCGAACTAAATCGCAATCTAGTCTAGATTCTGACTTATCAACTTATCTATCATAAGTTTCTAGATACTGGTCTAGAAACATCAAGCATCCCCTGCAAAAACCCCCATAACCATGTAATTTATCAGTGCGGATTGGCCCTAGTCTGTTCTGGAAGACCCTTGACAGAATACGACCCGGGGCCAAGTCTCGGGCCGTGTCGATCACCTCGCCTCGTTCCTGGAGATAAAGCCGATGGGGATGACATGTATTAGTTAGATTAGCCAGCAAGTCTACTCCACTACCTAAAACAACGCGGATATACTCCGTACAGCCCGCACCTAGGTACTCCGTAGTCGAGATGTATTCTCTAGGGTTTACTCTTTACAATGAAAACAAGAATCTTTTGTCTATTCATACTGGCTCTCAAATACAAGTCATTTTGCCCAATGCTTTCTCCAGTATTGTCACATATCTGATCCGTGTATACCAATATCAATAACACCAAAATCTACACCACAGTGGTGTTATATCACCTCAACTCATGCATCTGAACCAACATGTCTAAAATGGAACTTCACCAAGCACAACCTCCTGCGGAGCTGTAGATAGTCACTGTCTCATGGTGAATTACGCTGTCTCGCTCTGTGCCGCATCTCACTCAAATCTTGCCTCGTCCATGCCCTGCTCATGCTCATGCTCATGCTCATGCTCATGCTCATGCTCATGCTCATGCTCATGCTTCATGCACACACATACAGCGCGCACTCCCCAGCTGTCACTTCCCGGCCTATTCTACCCCTGACCAGATTAGAAGCCGTCATCACTCGTGCCACAGCATAGAGTATTGTGGCGTCGCCAAAGAGCCAGAAGGAAGAAAGAAAAGTACATGCAACATCCTCAGCTGATGGCATTGACGAGCCAGACAATTGCACGTACAGCCGGTATGCAGGTCCTTGGGTTGGCTCTTTTTTGCTGTCCTCCTGATGCAGAGCTGCGTATTCCGTACACCGATCTACGCCAGGTCCCGATGCTACTCAGAGGAAGAACCCTTTGCCTGTCAAGCGTAAAGATGGAGATCCATGATGCCACTTTTCTTGTTTTCTCGTTGTACAGCAGCGGATATTGTTGGTGACAGCACACGTCCTGTCTTGTGGGGGTCAGCATATAACCATATACTAGGGACCCTATTCCAAGCTGAGCTCCAGATAGCCTCCCCCTATTGGGTCTATTGGCTCTCTTCCCAATAAACACTCTCAAGCAAGGCTATCATAATGTAAGAGAAAGACCCAAATTTGGCATCAGCCCTATTTTTACAACCATGGGCAATACATCATGGAATTATATCGTGGTGCATGAGACTGCACCACAGCCCTCATCCCAACACTCGGATATGATCCGCATGGACAATCTCATAGGATGAATCAATAATAGGGGGCGTGTATATCGTATGCTTGTGGTCCAGATCTGGGACATTTGATTCAGGTCTTCGGGGATAATCTGAGAGCCTGGAGCTTCCATTCGATTACTTTACTTTACCCTCTCGGATCCCACTCAGAAGTGGCTGCTCAAGCCTCCTTCTCCTTCTGTCGTCCAAACCCGCACTCCCTGCTTCAAAGCCTGTTTACAGCATGTTCAGTCTACTATTCATCAAGTTCCTCGAGCAACACTTCGTTGCCACGGCCATCCTGCTCCTCCTCCCGATCCCTCTGCGTGCACTTGAGACATACCTTCGGAGATGGAGACTCGCACACGCCCAGGGCTGCCAAGATGCCACCAGTAAAGTCCCTGTCAAAGATCCCATCGTTGGCTTCGATTTTCTGTACAGGGTTTTCTTCGGTGAAGCTCCGGAACGCTATCTGGAAAGCACTTGGGAGGCCTTCAAGGAGATGGGGACTACTTACATAGAGAGAAGATGGTCATGGCAGTGTGTCTATACCTGCGACCCCCATAATCTCAAGCAGATTCTCGCTACTGGCTGCGAAGACTTCGATCTTCCTGACTTTAGAACCTCAGTCATTGGCCATATATTCGGCCAAGGTATCTTTGTCCTGTCGGGAAATACCTGGAAGCACGCCCGGGCAGTGCTGAGACAGAGTTTCAAGAAAGACAACCCTACACCGTTTCTCGAGACTCTGGAACGGAACTTTCAAGCATTCACCAAGCATATCCCAACCGACGGCTCTGAAATAGATCTTCAGCCTTTATTCTTGGCTCTTACTATGGACGTATCGACGGAGTTTCTCATGGGGCACTCAACAAATATGCTCGGCGATAAGACAGACCACACTCGAGAACAGCAGTTTGTGGATGACTACATGATTTGTTCCGAGGAGATCATCCAGCAGATGCAGCTTGGCCCTCTTCACTGCCTCAAGTTCAACTTTGCAGCCAAGAGGGCTAAGAAGAGAGTATACGAGTATCTCGATACTTTTATTGAGGAGTCATTACAGAGTCCCAAGGACGACTCCAGTGGCAATTTTCTCACAGATATGATGGCTATAGCAGATGACAAGAAGTGTCTTAGTGATCATATCCTGCATATCCTGCTTGCAAGTCGAGACACAACCTCAAGCCTGTTGAGCAACTTATTCTTCTTCCTGTCGAAGAACGCATACATATACACCAAGCTTCGAGAAGAGGTCCTCAGCATCTCTGGCCAAACTCCACCAACCGCAAACCAGTTGAAAGAAATGACATATCTAAAATGGTGCGTCAACGAGTGTAAGTCAACCCCCTAAAGTTAATTCCCCGACTCAGCCCTACGGTCGTTTTCTCACATCCCCAACAGCGTTGAGGCTGCATCCTGTGATCCCCACAAACGCCCGCGTCGCAGTCAGGGACACGACCATCCCTCGTGGTGGCGGCGCCGACGGGCAGTCGCCACTCTTCGTCTCCAAGGGAACAGCCATGTTCTACAACGTCTACGCCATGCATCGCAACGAAGACGTTTTCGGCCCCAGAACAGAAGAGTTTGTTCCAGAGCGGTGGCAGGATCTGAGACCTGGCTGGGGCTATCTGCCTTTCAATGGTGGTGCTCGCGCTTGTATAGGACGTGAGTTTCGTTTTTTGCTATGGCCTGTCATGATACTCGTGACACAGTTGGCTAACGTGAGCTGATAGAACAATACGCTCTGCTGGAGACTCATTACGTGGTGGCTAGGCTGGTGCAGACTTACACGCAGCTTGAGTCGCGCGATGACAAGGAGTGGATGGAGTTGTATGCTTTGGCGCTATGTTCCAAGAACGGCACAAGAGTGGCTGCTAGGATCTAATTGGGGGTTTAATGGTGTTGGGCGTTCTTATGGTGACTTTTTTGTGCAGCAGAATCTCTGGCACATATTTAGGCTGGCTCTAATTTTGTCAAAGGGGATATCTAATACTGGTTGAGAAATAAATAAGGAGGGATACACTTACACAAACGATACCCAATGTCAGTAGAGAAGTAGGTTTTTAGTTTTCATTGCATAAATTCAGATGCTGACACTCCCAACTAGCCCCTGAGTTTCCATCGTTGAAGTGCAAGTCACTTAACCCCAGTAGTCTTGGAATAGCAACGTACGCAGACTGGATAACGGGCATAACTAGAAGCCTGCATGAAGGATCACTTGGCTATGCTGTAGCTGGAAGAAGATTGTGTGATATTGGTGCTGTCAACACCTCATCCTTTATCAAGCCCTGCTCTGAGCTATTTCAGGGAGCATCACTGATAGGCCGCCTCGTATCCCATGGTGTTGTTGGAACAAAACTATTGAAGCTGAACGATGGAACTGTATTATTATGCTGGGACAAAAATAGATGCTTACAGATGTGCACTGGTAATTCTGTGTGAACAACTCACCACACTCAACTTGGACCAACAACTCTACAGCTTTGAACACGCCATGATACTGTGGTCACATAGCAGTTCATTTATGATGCTTTCAACATCAGAACACTAAGATATGGCAATAATTTAGCTCCATGCATTCCAATATGTCCCAATGCCTTAGCACAATCCCATATTGTCAAGTCCCAATACAGTGAGAACAACATCCAATAAGTTTAAACTACCAAAACATCCCCCATCCCCCATCTCCCTCCACAGCGGGAATCGGAACCTACCCGACGTCACTCCCGTGCAGACATCACGTTGACAGAAACATGCTTGGGCAACATGCCACCGGCCGAACCCAACCCCCCAGAGACGTGTCTTCAGTAAGAGGCATGTACGCCTGAAAACATGTACGCACACACCTGGGTTTGTATAGCAAGTGTTCCATGTTTCAGCTGATCCCCCTCTGGGAGATATGTTCTCCGAGACCGTCAGTCAGGGGCAACGCGTTACACCAGGTGGAACTGTGCAACATACTCGGTCGAGCGTGTGGGATTTGGTGTACAACCTCAAGGCTGACCGTGGTTTGGGGGAGGCTTTGCAGCACTGAGGTTCCGGAAATAGTTGGATGATGGGAAGTTGATTCTGGGTTTGTGTTGGGTCAGCCTTGCTGGGGCTGAGGCGAGGTGATGTTGCATTTGGCCCCTAGGAATGTGTGGTCAAACTGCTTATTCTCTTTCCTGGCACTCCGGAACTTAGTTAATATCCGTCAATGAAAGTGTGATGGCCTCATGGCTCCATACCAACTCAGATGATGCAAGTCATGAGCATGACCCCATTAGAGCTTTGGCACCCATGCAGAGAAAACACATCTTTAGATAAGTGCGCCAAGACATGGTTGGCCTGATGTAAATGGTATCTCCGTAAATAATCATTCATGCCTAGGTTGTATGCCCATTTCAACCTTGATCCCAGTCCTGGAGCCTTCCCAGCTATCCTCAACCCCCTAGGGGGCAAATCCCATTGAACGCCAAACTCGGATTGCGGAAGATAAGAACATATATGTCGTACACCAAGTATCGTAGCATTGAACCCCCCGAGCCAGCCTTCCAGTCGTGTAGACAGAGTAAGGCTTCATCAATTCTGAATATCCCAGTTCAGGCACAAATCAGACAATCAAGAAGTCCATATGTAGATCTCTTAGTGTCTGTACCCAGCTAGTCATAGGCATACCCTCAGCTTGCACACTCCACAGCATTTGCAGCGCATCTCTGGCAGCATACAGGAAACCCCAAGGGGACTCGAGCATAAGCTTCTTGATCTGAACAGTAACCCAATCCTTCATCTCGGGTGTCTTGGCACACGCGCCAAAGACAAATGTGACCCACGTCGTTGCTTTGAAGTTGGTGTCGTCGTCGGGGATCATGCTAAGGACCTGATGGAGTTCTGCAAAAACAGCTTCAGCCAGGTCTTCACCTACCCAGATACCCACTGCTGGTATCGCGTTCAAGATGTAGAGGCAGATGGCGAGGCGATGAGATGTCGCGACTCGGAAACGACTCAATATTGGATCTTCCTCGTTGATTGAGATGCTGGCGATGTCGATTCCTTGCGCCCAAGGGAAAACGTCGAAGTTACGAGCGCGATCTAGTAATGCTGCTCCAGCTGCTGTCACCATGTCAGCTGATACAACGTCGTCGGGCTTTGTGTTGGAAAGTCGTGATGCGATCAGCATGATTTCTAGTAGTTCTGGTGGACAGCAGTAGTAACTATTTGTCGTTTTGCCGAGGATTTTTAGTGCTTGACATTGTTCGAAAAATGAGTGTGAGTCTGAAGGTGTAGGCCGAAATGTAGATTCCAATATGTAGTATCTGGTAACCGTTAGCAAACACCAGTCAGGGAGAAGCAGACTGGGAACGCACATAAAGCAATCTGACACGATATAGTCCCGAAGGCTCTCGTCTACATCTGATACTGGTCCCAGCAGCTTCATGATCTTGCCGGCGCCATCGAAGTGAGCTTTCCAGTTATGCTTACCAGACTCTATCAGCTCTACATTGATCAAGAACAGGATTGCCGCCAGGACAATGTCGCCCCCAATAGACTCAATGCTCTGCAATGCGGACGGTAGCATCCGCAGGACTTGATGCTTGGCCTCGAGGGCGTCCATGAGCAAATTCCTCGGACCAAGCCCCCTATCGAGTGATTCCAAGGACAACCACGGCCGGGACCGGTTGTACATGTGCGTCGCCGAGGCAGCGATGATGACTTGACGGAGCAAAGGGTGGGCCTGAGTGAATTTGAGTAAGTTTCGAAACGGGTTGTCGGGCATGTCGTAGGCTACAAAATCTCGACTGAGCCGCGCATCAACTGGAAGGAAAATAAGCTTGTCAGTCATGTCTCTTTCATTCGTAATGGCTCAACCAATTGCAATGGAGGACTACGTACAATAAGCGAGATACTGTCTGTGGTTGCTCGTAATGTCTTGGTACAAGGGATCGACGAGCACCCACGGCGTCGACGTTTCCGATGCAAGGGGATGGTTATGGCTGGTGGTACAGACGAGCTGTGTATAACCACTCGCTAGGGGGGTCGCAGCATCATCACCATTCTCATGATCAATGTCAAAGTCGATGTCATTGATCGGATCTAGTTCCGACTCGGACTCTAACTCGAACTCGCCTTCTGAGGTCTCTGTGACCTCTTCCACTTGAGAGAGGCTCGGGGCAATAAAAGCTGGTGATGAAGTAACTGAAGGTGAGTCTGCGCAGGAGACGGAGGATGTAGACGCTGGGGAGGCAGAAGAAACAGAGGACACAGAAGACAATGAAGCTCTTGACCGAGCTGAAGAAGGACGTGCTGGGGTGTATAGGGCAGCGCTCGACTGCTGACCAGCTAATCTGCCCCTTGAAGCAACAGCACCAGTCCACTGGAAGATCTGGGTATAGCCAAGACACTCAACGCCTTTGGCTTCGCACTTTGCACAATGTGGGAGCAAACGATCACAACGAAGCCTTCGACGTCGACAGTTATGGCATGGCTTGTCAGCAACAGGGCCAGAAGGTACTTTTTTCCCCTTCTTTCTACCGCCTGGAGCCATGGGTGTACTCCGCTAGCAACAGTGTTAGCAAGCAGAAAAGGCGAGGAAGCAAGTCAATCAGTGCAGGCAGCGCAGCGCAGTGCAGTGCTGAGATACGACAAGGGTGCAGTGCAGCGTATAAGCATAAGCGTGAGGCAAGAGTTCCGCTTCTGGGATGAGGCGCAAGAAAGAGCCACAATTACAGACTGGGCAGGGTATTTAAGCGTGGATTGGTGTTTTAATCGAATGTTGTTTGTAGCACATTTAGAAGAAGTCTCTTATTGTATAGTTCAGGTTCTGAGTTTCTAGCTGTTGGTGTCCGAGTCTCACCTTGAATGGTCGGCAGGGCGGGGATACCTTGGCCGAGGCTAGACCGTATGGGGCAGCTAGATTGCAATTTTTTGGCCATTGGCCATTCCCCTCCCCTCTTGGATCTTCTTGACATTACCGGATGCCGGTAGTTTTGACAGATCTCAGATGCTGCTACGTGATAGATCTATGGATAGATCTGATGTATAATTCTAGAAGTTATCAATGGGCCAGAAGTTGCTTTCCAAGGGTGCTTGCTTCCAACAGTGCCTCATCTGGAAATAGCCCACCTTTCACATCCTACCATACCAAGCATCACTATTCCCGGTAGGGCCATGAGCTGTCTCTACCAATAGATTCACAAGAGCCTCATTGTTGACTGAGATGATCAAGTTTGGCGATATCCAGCCCAGAACGAGCTACGCCCGATCCGGTCAACATTGGTTTGATAAGCAGATAAGACGAGTCCAGCAACCGCCGACTCATCAAGATATACATCAATTCCATTTCCGTGAGCATTTTATGTGACTCTTTTCTACACGAATACATATCTTTGAAGTAGGCAAGCCATCCTGCCATTGTGCACAAGTTCTTGTGGTCTTGTAGTCAAGTAGTGCAGCTCTCGCTACCCTAAAGTCGCAACATGAACCACATTGCACTGGAATAAAGACAAATTATGTTTGATATCAGCCTCTTGTGGTATGATTTGTCTGGAGAAATATGAAAGGACTATGTGCAAGAAAACAACTGTCGGGCCCGGGACATTGAACACTCCCTCTCTTTTTTCACGCCTTTGTTGTTCATCATTCATTATCGTCAGAACAGATGGAGGAACTTACGAACAGACGGCTTCAAGTAGGAGGCTCGCTTGGCAAAGACTTGACTGTTCTCCCAAGCCATGGAGAGGAAGAAAAAGTCCGTCTGTGGAAGGTCGCTGTCCTTCGTTCCACTTCCCCCGAATTGCCAACACCACTTTCCATAGACATATCCAGCATCAAATAAGTTCACTATTATTCTGTATCAGCCACCACTCCAGCAACCGAACTCAATATACCTCCACGCTCACATGAAAGCTACGTGTACTGCCCATTCATCGAGACCCGCTATTTCTAACCACTGCCAACAAGCTTCTCCCCCCCAATTTCTACGTACCAAACCTTCATTATGACTCCCCCAGCAACAAACCTTGTATCGACAACATCTCGTGACTTAAGCTTCTTGGTCTATTTAATATCTGCACCCCCCGACTTTCCAGTCACGTCCTTCTCGAACTTGCCCGAACCCCCTCGCAATCGTTACTCCTCATCACAAACCTTCACGGACAGAGTGTGCCCAAGTCTGGCTTTCGTGCCAGTTTACCTCGCACAAGTCTTCAGAACCCAATCAGAATGTTACCGAGACGACCAAGATCACGAAAAACGCAGTCCGACGCAGATTTGGTGGAAGGGGGTTGAGGCAGCAAAAAGGGGTAAGTGAGCTACAACCTCCCATTGACAGAAGTGGCACTAACCAGAGCAGACACAAAGAGACAACGACACAGGACCGAGAGCTGGCAAATGAGTATCGGGGCGGGATCAAGGGACAGAGAGCTGCTCGACTAGACGCTCAATCCAAACACTCGTGCACTCAGTGATCTTTCAGGATTCCCAAATTCCAGGACTGCATTTGACAAGAAGTAATTATCAAATGGCCACCATCATAAGCCCATGTCACCTTTACCATAGGTCTAAGGTTCCCAAGAACCTTAGATTAGTACTCACACCGCTGACACTCATGATGAAATCACCCAGCATCGATCTTGAAAATTCACCGAAGCTTCCATCCTTACGAAGCCACGATATAAGGCATTCAACAATATTTTCAGACGACCAGATGCCAAGGTCCCATTCAAGTAGAAGTGATCATCTACAATCACAGAAAGAAAGACCCCAACACTCGCAACCCCAGTATAAGCTTCCCACAAAACTCAGCTCAGTAGTCACGCCGCGAACTTTCACCATGAATTCACCGATTATCAGTAAGAATCACATGGAAGCCCCTAGTCTTGAGAATCTACGCTAGAAAGCACTCGATGGTATTACCAGATGTCCCCATCGCGCAAATTGGTGAAAAGGCCAATGCCATTCAACAAGAAGTGATGATCAACAATCACAGCCGAAAGCCCAGGTCGACTTCAATCTAACTAAGTCTTGTGCAAGCCCTAATCTGGTTCCAACACAGCTAACCTTTACGATCAATACACAGTTTGGAGGACCAGTAGGGTCGACATGTTCCTCATATCACCGATTCCCTTGGTTACTACCACTGGTCCAGCGGCGTTGATGTCGGTATTTCCAACAGGTACCCCATCGTCGACAACTACGGTGTCATCGGCGGACCTGGCTGCTTTGTTCGGTCACACGGAGACTCCCAAACTTTAAGAATCACGGCGTAAAGCAGTCAGGGTCACATCCAGATACCCAAATCTCAAATCCCAATTCAACAAGAAGTGCCCATTGACAGCAAGTGAGAGCCAATCCGGGGCTAAGTTTGTTACAAACCCTAGCTTATATGGTTCATACACAGCTGAGTCACAATGAATACACCTTCTTGGGCTGAAGAATCGACAGGAAGCTTCCAGTCTTACAAGTCATAAGTTAAAGCGTTCAGTGGCACACCCGGATACCTACTCAAACCAAGTCATCAAGAACACACCATCGACAGGAATTGAAAGGCCCTGTTGGCCTGAACTCAATCCCGGTCCAAGTTGATCACAATTCCTACTGCAATTCCAACACAGCTGACCCTTACTATGAGCACACAGCCTTCATCTCTGACCTACAGGAACCTCACAATATTACAGAGTACGAACTCACGAATTAAGGTTCAGCAACTACCTGGCCACGGCATGCCTTAGAAGAAGAAACCTTGCGATTGATTTAGCAACTATAAACGCCTTAACCCTGATATGAACGAAACAAGCCTGCTCCCTCTCCCAGCCTCCAATTAACCGAAACTTTCACCTCCTTGTCGAAGCTATCGTGGCGACGACCATGGCGAATACTGGGCCAAATTTATGGTGGAGCCCATCAAGTGGGAAGAAGAGGGAGGGCTGAATGATGATGAAAAGTAGTTTTCTGTACTCCACGCCTAAAAGCAACTGATGTCCGATAAATTGTCCGAGAAATATTATTTGACGTAAAATAAGCCCTTAAGAAAGACTCCAGTTCCAGTGAGGTTCGCTGCCTCCCTCGGTGAGTGCCGCGATTTGGCTGTGAAGGCGCAGTTTCTTAAACGCATCGAGGAGGATAGTAGTGCGCTTTTCCTCCTCCATCTTCATGATCAGGGCGTGAATATCCATACTGTAGGAGATAGTGACGAAGGTGCGCTTGATGCGATTGAAGCAGCCAGCTCTGCTAATTGCAGCGTACTCACGCTCGCGTCGGGTGCGAAGACCTTCCTCTCGCTGGTGATAGTGTCGTCTGACACTGAGAACCATGGCGTCGACAACAACTTGAGCAGCTTGGATAACGGTGCAGACGTGATCAGAATCGGTGAGTCCCTTAGCTGCCGTGACACTGAACTCTTCTCGCACCTCCTTCATCTTGTCAACGACCTTTTCGATGTAGACGTCCATAACAGCGCGTGAAGCGTAGATGGTAGGAATGGGGATCACGTCCTCAGGGTCATTAAAGTTGAGGTTCAGGGGAAGAGTTCTCTCAAAGGTCTCAGAGCTGCGAGCCTCCTCGTTGGGGAACTGAACGGTTCGGGACATCTTGGATATCAGATGACTGAGGATGTTTTGATAAAAATAGAGGGATGAAACAGGGCAAAGGGGTAGAATAGAATGCTACGATGAGCAAGAAGGATGATGATATGACTTGTTCTGAGGGTATCAAGAATTGCTTGCTTGTGTGCTGTTTTGCGAAAATAGGGAGAAGAAAGTTTGTTTTCTCAAGAGATAGGTGCGCGGATGATGTTTTTGCTAGAAGAACTTCCCCTGATTTGGGCAGGGCGGGCTGCTATTTATACCACAGATTAGTTTAAACCCTTGCCCTGAGCAAGTATTAAGATTTGGATGTTCGCACAAACCTTAAGGATGTTGATGTTGATGTTGTCTGTGATACACCTCTGGGGCGGAGTTATGCATCGGAGGGGAAAACTTTGCGGAAGCTCAGCTCAGAGTCAACACAGACTTGCAGGTTGGGAAAAAGTTTACCGCTCCAGACATAGCGAGGGCTGGGCCTTGGACGCGTTTGTTGCTCCAGTGCTTTCGAACGCTGCCTAGAATCTGCCCGTGACCACCACCAACCTGTAACTCGAGGATATTTGCAGCACAAAACGACAAGAAGACCTGAGCTTAAATTCTGTTACCAAAAAGTCATTCCAGTGCATGAAAAAGAAAAAATCGATTTTGATATTGTATCTGTTTCAGCAACGATAGGTCCTTGAACTTATACCCCAGAACTGAACGCATCGACTCCAAGATCTGCAACCCCCTGACACACTTGTGGCCTTAGCTGGAACAAAGACATATAAATAACATGCAAATAACGTGATTGAATGCGAAAAAGTGTAAGCGGTGCGGCAAGCTAGCATGGTATATTTCTGATATATCAGGTTATGCAGCTCTTGGCACGATCTATAGATACCCATTGCCAACCAAATTTGCCGGATTTGAGGGCTCTTTTGCGGGTCGAAGCATCCTAAAGATCAGTAAATTGTTAGAAGAGTTTATGACCTTATGATGAGTCTTAGGTAAAGCTCTCATAATGTTAGGGCTGCTTGGTGGTGGTCCCGCTGCAAGACCCTGACCCTGATACCGCTTGGAGGGGCCGATAGATTTGACGACGCCTAGCAACACCAACGAGGCGGCATTTGGGGGACGAAATGCCCACTTGAGCACACAACAGAACGTAGCCCGAGCCCCGACTGCAGCGGATTCCAAATCCCAGAAGATCAATGGATTGCAAAGGAAATTGTTCATCCACGTACCTCGATCACAAGATATCTCGATTTTCACATTCACATTCCCGTACCCTTTTTCTGTTTTCTCTCTCTTCCTCTTATCTTCAAGTCCCACGCCTTCATCGGCATCCCTTGATATTGAGTGGTGGTGAATCACTGTCCCTCGCCTAACCTCGAGGTATAAAATCAATGCTTTGATCCTGTCTTCTCTTTCTCCCTTTCCTCTTCCGTCACTATTCATCCCCATCCTTCCCGGGCTTCACAAGACCTTGGATGGAACTCAACCACAATCACATTGACTCAGCACTAACTTCTCCCACTCAAGTAGTTCACTCAAACATCACCATGACGATGTCCCCTGAAGCAGATTCAGCCGGAAGCTCCACTGAGCAGGCCGAGGCCCCTCCCAGAAAGAAACCCTCTCGCAAAGTCGACGAACATGATCGCGACGCCGTCCGAGCGAAGCAGAACAGTGCAATTGCTTGTATCTTGCCCCTCGTCAAGGAGCGCCCCGAGCTGTATCACCAGGTCGTTGACCAGATCAAAAAAACAAATCTTCGTTCAGCTTGGAGTAGCACAACTTTCTACAGAGACTTCATGTCCTGGTGTCGTGTCTCTGCGCCAGCAGGAAACGCTCGACCTGACCTTGGCTTCTTCCTGGCTGTGCTAGCTGTAAATGACTCTCTCGACATGAGCGCTTCCAAGATGAGTGAGGAGATCAGAAGGCTCGGTCTGAGAGAATGGGCGGAAGAACAGCTCAAGGCTCGACGCCCCTTTCCACCAATCGAGGAACAGTCTCCATCGGAAGTTCCTCAAGTGACACCTCGAGTCAAGGTTGAACAACGAGAGAGCACAATGCTGCCGCAGTTCCGATCTGAAGACGGCAACAATGATATTCGACAGTCGATTGAGTTTGACTCGGGTTACCAGCATACCACCGGCCTCAAACGTCCTTCGCTTGAACACCCAGTCGAGCCCACGAACAAGCGAGTAAAGATTCCAATTGATCCGGCACTTGCCGCCGCCAACCTCAGCAGAATCGGAGTATATGGAGCGCCTCAGCAAAGGATCGTCCTTCACCATGCATCAACGCAGACGGAAGGCGATGCTACTCTTTCCCGGGCTCTTGAGCCAATCTTGGAATACATGAAGAAATTGGACAGCCGAATGGAAGCCTTGGAAGAGCGTGATAAGAATTTCCCCGAACACATGCGCACCCTCCAAGATCACAACCGAGTTTTGAGGGAGGTGTTGGAAAGAACTCGCGACATTGATCAGCTGCGAGTTGTCAGCAACAACAACACATACTACCAACAATCTCAGCCTCAGTTTCGTCAGATGGTTCCGGTTCAATCAGCCCCTCCTCAGGCAACCGCCTTTATCCTTGGCACTGACTGCGACACCAACAACAGCGGCGCGTTCTTGACGTTCCATAATCATCGGGTAGGGCGCGGCGAAGGACAAAGATGAAAGCGCCTGGAACAGAACTGGTTGATGGAGATGACATCACGAATAGGAGGAAACATTGGGATTGGAGTTGAAGGATTCGGATTTCGGTGGCGTTAGGGATGATATTTGGAGTTTGGGACGAGGAAGCAACGCATTGGGTTTTGCTGCACCAACGGGGAAGGTGCGAGCTGCATTGGCTGGCGTTTTTTTTTATCAACGGAAGCCTCGGGACTCCCTAAAACGTCTTATTGTTTGCTACCTTACATATTAATCGGGCGTTTTTCTTTTTACTGATGCCTCAACCCCAACTGTGCATTAATGAAAGATGACATTGACATCCATTCAGTTCTGATTTGGGCTAACTACCTACAGTATTTTGACTAGTGAATCTGACGATAGCCTCTTCTCGGATATCCGGAGACGGAACCAGCCATTGGCATGTCAGTTAGCCTCCACGTGTATTTAACCACCAAGATTAAGCATAAGCCTCAAAAGGACGAGAATGAGAAAGACAAAAAAAAAGAAATGCCTCTTTAGCCGCTGCTATTCCCGGTACCGGAAGACCAACTTGGGCAAAGACCCAAAGCGTATTCTAATCAATCATGTTTTGTCAGGCTATTTTGTAAATGCTCGACGATGAGAGGTGAGAGATATCGAATTATCAAAGTGTTTACCCCATACTGTTTCATAATAGCCTCCTCCTCCCCTGCTCCCCTACCCCAGCTAAACCTTCTGGGGTGGGTGGGCGCGGGGGTGTAGCGGTAGCCCTGCAGTTGCATCGCTTGGACCCTAGAAAGGTAAAACCCCAACCCAGAGTCCAGGCTCAGGCCCAGGCTCAGGCCAATGCGAATGCAAATGCAGCCAGACACAGAAACGACTCAACGTTGGACCACCCGATTCGTTGCCTGCGCGCAAATTACCGACAGCAATGCGTCATCCCGCTCGCCGCTAACAATCTGAGAGGGAGGCTTGTAAGTTGAGAGCGGGCGGTTGCAGCGAGGCAGCATCACTTTTTCCCTTCTTGCTCACCTCAGTCTTTGGGCATCAGGAGGCAAAGTCTGGGGTCCAGTTGTCAGATCGGCGCTGACTTGGTGGCAGCCGGCAGTCATGGCTTTTGGCTTTTGACTTTTCCTACCCCGCAAACCGAGATGGAGCTTACTACGTACGTAGTACAAGACGAGGTGATCTTCTTGGATCTTGATGCCCTTTGTCGATCTTATCACCTAGAGACAGCAGCCGACTCATCACGACGAGGCGCAGCTCTGAATTTACCCTCATCGCCCGCTGGAAACTACGTACGTCGTTCGGAAGCACTGGCGTCGTTCCCCGTCCGCGAAGCATATTTGCATGTGCGGCTTCGGATGCAATGCAAAGTGAAGCGAAGATGGAAGGAAGCCTTGAGCTGGTATACGTAGCTGAAATATGACTACAACCCACATACAGAGAAAACATACCACACATTGGGGGTTGGCTTGTTTAGCCTCGTCTGGAGGTGATGAACGGGGGTTGTGAGTGGACGGAACGGATGCTCTGGGCTTTCTCTCTTCTTTAGCGGGCCCGTGTGAGAACGTGGAGTGAAGACAAGCCGACGAGGGGGGATCTTTGCCAGATGATTCAAGCGCTTGACTCAATGGCATGGATCACCGTTTAATAGCGCAGATTGGTTAGTGTTTATTAATTACGGCTCGTCACTGTCTCATCACTTCTCCTTGTGCTGCTTCTTCCTCTCTCATCCACAACTACCTACTAATAACAGTAGTCGCCCGACGCACACATCGTCATGGCCACTATGACGTATCATGGATGCGCGAAAGCACCAGCGTGGGGAGCTGCCTTAGCCTGTGACGCCAGGGTCTTGGAGTTAAATTAGCCTGAGCTGCAGGAGACCACAGGGCAGAAAAAAAGGCCCGTTAACACAAAAGAGTTGCGAGACAAAAAATAAAATGATTTCTCAGGATGGGAGATCCTCAGAGTAGTATGGATACGTAGTGTAAAAAACAACACTCCAAATGGCAAATGCCAATCTTTGCAAGCCACTCCAATTAAGAGGTCGCGATTGATATTGATATTGATATTGTACTGTAAAAAGTATATGTCTACGTCTTGCCTCTGCAGCCAGTCAGCGACACGGCTGGCATCACCCACCCACTCCCCTGCACGGCACATGCAAGAAGCTCCTCTCCTAACCTGGTCGACTTTTTTGGTTTTTGGGCGTTTGTGTCAAGAAAGGCGGAGACGCGAATGCAACCCAAGCCAAGGGAAAGGCAACCTTGGATCTAAGGATTGCCTAGCGCAGATGAGCCAAGACAGCGTGTAAGTCAGAGCGACCACTCATGAGACGAGGCATGCAAAAAAACTGCCCACTCTGCTCTCAAGCCTGAGGCTCCCAGTGACAAAACCCATGTTCATGTTCCGCCGCGCTCGGGGATAAAGAGAGGAAAAGCAACTAATGTACGGATAGGACTGTGGGCTCTTCCCGTCTTAGAAGATGCCGAAACCAGTAGCCAGCACCAGCACCAGCACCAGTCCGTTCATTCCACCCCCATTCTTTACTTGGGGCTGCTTTGATTTGATTTGATTTGATTCGATTTCCTTCACACGTCCGACATCCGATCATCACTTCCGAGGGCGAAGGGGTGTGCCTTCCGTTGCCTCGTCCTGCCTTGCCCTGCCTTACTGCCGGCTCTCCTCCTCTCCTCTCCTTCCTCGACAACTATTTATATTCCTCCTTCTCCCTCCGTCTGTCCAGCTTCCCCTTCACTCTCTTTTACATCAACTCTCACAGTAAACTCATATTCTCCAATATCTCCTCAACTTACATCACTACAACGCCCAACCACACAACACCAACCAATACCACCAACACATCACCAACATGCCTGCTTACGAGTACTGCTGCCAGTGTGGAGGCATGATTGTCATCAGCACCACCTGCACCGCCTGCGGCCACAAGCAGTGCAACAACTGTCCCCTGTGCTAGATCTTCCACAGAGACTCAACGACAAAGCTCTCCCATCTCTCATCGACACGGCCTGCAATCCAGTGTGGCTAGAAGATGCAACACTACGAGATCAGAAACCCTCACTCATACGAGACATGACCAATTGACGACTCCAACGATGGCGCATCCAGATCTCTCGGAACTAGCCTTCAGCTCTCCACCTTCACATCTTTCTTCACTTCGACTTGACTGATACCCCTATCCTGTTTCGATACCGGCACCTACCAGCAATTGGTAGCCCAAGTCTTTCTTCTCTTTCCATCAGCAAAAGCTTTGTTCAACATACGGCGTGCAACTCGTTCTCTTTGGGGTTTGCTCTCTGTGCGAGGCGCCATGGGAAAGAATGACGTCGGGCTACTACTACTACGAGGGCGTTTTTGACTATTTCTTTTTCACGTGTTGGGCTTGTCTTGGGGTTTGGGACGAACGGGAATGGATTCACGGACTTTTACTGTACAAATATCGATACCCGCGGTCTTTCAGCGACTTTGAGAATTAGGGACCAGAATACCAAAACTTTTTCATTTTTTTGCATTTAGTAACAACACGCTCTCGGCGTCTTTCTGGCCTGGTGCTATGGTGCTCTCTTTATGAATCCATCCTGCTCCAATCACTGATGCATATTCCCACTTTCGTTCAAATGCTGGACCCTTCAAGGACCCTTGTTTCGGGTAAAAGCACACCCAACATCTAGGTAAAACCGTAAATCTAAGTTGTGTCCCGGCCTCTTCCGTTCTGCACCCTCAACTCGCCTCCGGGAAATTCCTATATTACATAACACAACAGACCTCACGTCGGCCCTTTTCTTTGTTCTTGGAGCTGCAACGCCCACAATAGCCACCCTCTTAGGAGTTCCATCGACAAATTTCAAGTTTGGGGTCATTGGACAAATTAGAATCCCTAGTGCAAATAACGTGGAGGGTGTCCATCGGGCCTTGCGCAGGCTATCCCAGAGGGGAATGACATCGGCTCTCATACGCAGGACCAGAGATAGGACGCGAGCCGCAAACATTAGTTGTATTTTTTGAGACACCTCCAGAGTTGATAATTTAAGTATATTACAAGTACCGAGAGATATCGTGCCCTGATTGTTGGTCAATGAGGACATTTGAGTTGTGTACTCACCAGCAGAGACTAAACACAGATATCTACTTAACGATAATAGCCGCTGCTCTAGGAAGAATTAAACACATCGGTATAAGTGCTTGGCAATCTATAGTATTAGACCAGTCTTGAAACGAAACCGCCAAACACAGGTCGCTGTTAAATACTCGAGGCCAGATACTGGATACATCAAGCATCACATCTTCGTCGACCGAGCGTTGAAAGCCAGTTTTCACGATATCATGTTATGCATGAAATGTTGGTATTTCTTCATGAGTCAATGCGATGTAAATTGACGTGGTATCCTCGTTGCGCCTTTTGGCCGTCTGCTTCCAATCCTATACGTACAAAACCAAACACCTTTCCGCCTTGTTGAATGCACTGGCGCCTGTTCCTTTTCATACTGGTCCCAGGCATACCGTTTCCTTCGATCTCTCCCCCGATGCCAGCCTCACGATCAAAGTCCTGCTTGATCATTTTGGCGGCCGGGCTTACTTGCGCCTGGTACTAGATTCCCACCGTCCGCCAGACTGAATTATCCCCAAAAGAAAACGTATAGGAGGCAACAAACTCCGCGATTTTCACGAGTGTAAAAAGCCTCGTCCCCTATGAGCCGCCTCCTCAATGGAGGACGTTAGAATTAAGTGTAATGAAATGAAAAGGAACCATAAGGTATTGTCGTCATGAGTCTCATACCACCAGCAAAATGTGGATTAAAAGAAGCGAAAAAGTAAAGATAACGGTATTTGATGGAACCGTTAGATCATGCCTCCGGGAACTGCGTTACTGCTCATGCTAGGAGGCAGAGGCGGAGGAGCCATTGGCGGGGGAGGGGCTTGATGCATCGATCTCGCTCGTGCGTTCATCCCGTTTGCTTCGCTGGTGGCTTTGCGCAACCTCTGGCGATAGAGGCCAGCACTATCTTCGTCATCGCTTCGAGGGGCTCCGCGTGAGTCGTTGCCAATGGCAGAACCAGGAGGAAGATGATGGGCGTTCATTGTAGCATCTCCGAGCGCAGTTCCGGTGTTCTTTCGTCGGGGGTTAATAGGGGGCAACGGAGGGGCAGTCATGCTGCCATGTAGGTCAGGCGTTGACACTGCGCCACTGTTAAGGCCGACAGGGCCAGGTCTAAGACCATCCCGATAACCCATTTGGGGAGGTAATGACTTGATTGAAGTCTCCGACATATCTCGATTGCGCATCATGCCGCCCGGGTGGGGAGGGCCATACGATCTCTGGGGACCAGGAAAGCCATAAGGAGATGAACCCCCATGAGGCGATGGAGCACCGTTGAGTGGTGAGATCGGTGATGGCTGTCCTGAGTTATGTCCATGCACAGGCTGGATATGCAAGCTGTTGTCTGGACGGTTGAAACGTCCGGGTGAGACGTTGCCAGGGTACTGTTGGGGTTGCATATGGGGTGATCGTCGCATGTCTTGTCCAGGCATCATTGGGGCTCGCATCATCGGGCCCTGGCGAGGCTTGCCATTGGGTCCAGCGGGTGATCCCATGGGACCATGATAGTCATCGCGGGGAACGGATCCATTTCTCAGACGGGGTGGACGACTACCAGATCGACCACCATTGCTTGCCTCTGAACCACTTCGGTCGCGTTCAGAAGGTGCTCGCGATCCAGACCGAGAACCAGCGCGAGAGCCACCATTGGCTCTGGCTTCTTCACTGGGTACACGGTTGTACGTAACGGGAGGTGGTCTGCGTTCTTGAGACGGTGGTCGAGACGAGGAGGCAGCAGTTTGAGCTCGTTCTCTGCCCGATGAAGTAGGCGCCGGTGGTGGACCCTGGTATCTTTGTTGAACTTCGAGTTCTTTCATCCTCTGGAGTTCTCTGCGGGCTTGTCGGAAAGCCTTGAGGCCGACATGAATACCCTCTTTATCTTCCGAATCTCTTGATCCGTGCATCTCTTCAGGTTCCTCCGGAGACTGTGCTGATCTATCGTTCAGCTCGAACGAGCCACGACGGGATGAAGTCGCATTTGTAGCTGGTGATGAGCCTCGAAGACCAAGTAGCTTCTTGGCTTTCGACTGGCCACCATGCTCTTTGTCGGATCGACCCCTATCAACCAAGGAGCCACGACTAGATTTGGACTTCAAGATGCCCAATGCGTTTGGACGAGGTGGGGGAGGCAGCTCAGACAGAGGAGGACTTTCCGGTGTGGAAATGCTACTATCCGCTTCAACAAATGAAGTGAGTCTTTCTCTCACGCGTCGTGCTCCATCAGCAAGATGACGGGCAAAATCGTCTGTCTCTTCCTCTTGCTTGGGACTAGCGTTGTCCTTTATGTTTTGAGCGAAATCGGGCCCAGGCAATGCTTGGGCTTCCATCAAGCCAGAAGATCGGGTGGGACTAGTCACACTACCATCGATCGACAGAGCTAGGTCTCTCTCAATTGACTCCCAAGCATTCGATTCAACTGTCTTTGGCTCATGGATGTGTGCGTCGGGGCGTTCAGGCGGGAATCGCGCGGACAGGTCAACATCATTCGGTACGCTCCCATAGATGGAAGACGCACCGCTATCGTGTCGCAGGTGCTGCCTGACCATACCGCTCAATCCTCCAGAAGCCGGTCCCAAAGTGGGTGAATCATTTGGCAATTCGTCTGTGGTGCCGATTGCTGCACCCCCAGGTTCATCACTAATCAATAACGGGGTTGGCATTGCAGAGTGTCTAAATGCTGGATGCTGGATATCAGCTGGTTTGTCGACAGTAACCTGAGGAGGAGCAAGATCGGAACGGCGCGACTCATTGATAGCCGATTGGTCATCGTCGTCGTCGTCGAAGAAGGTCGAAGGCTGTGAGTCTTCCCGGACAGTAGGTTCAGTCTTGAATAATCCAGAGTCGTTCCTGTCCGAGTGTGGCCGTTGGGCAGAGGAGGACCGGGAACGAGGATCTGAAGCATTGGAGTCGGTACGGAATCGGTTGGTAGGTGTTTCACGTCCTCGTTGCATCTGCATTTGCCTTTGAGCGTACCTAGACTCGTCATATTGACCTCCCAGTGCACTGCTAATCATGTTGCGGTCCAGGTGCTGGGCTTCCCCGGTCTCACTAATAGGGGGGCTAAGAGGAGGTGTAGCACCAAAGGCCTTTTGGTCCATACTGGGAAACTTATTTGTGGACTCCACGGGACTCATTTGAGATGAGGATGGGGGACTGAACGATCGCAGGTTAGGAGCACTGGCCTTAGCCAAGACGGATCGAGACATAAAACGATCACCGAATGTTGCACTGGACGGAGAGGCAACTGGAGGTGTCAAGTCTGGTGTTCTGCTGCCAAGGTTGCGCTTCGACAATGTGTCAATCCTTGAAAGTGCTGATGTTTGCTGGTCTTGGAGCTCCTGGTTCAGACTTTGCTCGTATAGTCGACGAGTCCGAGTTACTGTGCGCTCTACTGGAGGTGCCGGGCTAACAGTGCGAGATGTGCGTGCGAAAGACTCTCGATCCATTGCAGATGATGGCTGAGAGGAGCTTATAGACGTAGCTGCGGTCGAGTCTCGAGCTGCGGACGGGCCTGAGGAAGTTGTTGAGTTTGTCTCTCTTTTGCGATCATAGTCGGTTTGTGAAGGAGATTCTGGCCGAGCATTCTCGGACTCAAATGATTCACTTTTTCGCACGTCATCGAATGACTGTCTATCCTTCTCAGACTGTCGCCACTTTTGGAAAGCTGACTGGGAGACATCGTCCCCGTAGAGGACACGGCCACTCAGAGCCCCCTTGTTTCCGCCCGTACCGATCTTGTACACCTTTTGCCGACCTCCAAACAAGTTATTTCCTTCAATCGGCTTTGAGCGGCCCATGACACTTCCGTTTGTTGAAGTGGCGTCGTCGTTTGACTGCATAGATGAGCGTGCAAAAGGGGCTCGGATGGACTCTACTTCAGCAATATCTCCCAGCCCAGCGGAGAAGCCGAAGTCCATCATTCTTGATTGTCTGTTAGGAAACAGAACACTGTCGTCACTTGCCTTGCCGACCTTGGTGTTGGGATCATCTTGCTCGCGCAGCATAGAGAATCTTGCTGACAAGTTAGTCATGAGAAGACTGGTTCGAAAATCATCTGTTGAAGGCAGGGCTGTGGCTAGATCGATTTCCATTTTGGATTCCTCCTCAGGAGCTTTCTTTTTTCCGAACATCCTGAAGGGGCTGGAAGACTCGGATTCGATCGAAGGCCGTGGAGCTTCGAGCTCATCCTTGGCCTTCTTCTTGTTCCTGAATCGGTTCATAATGATAGATAAAACCCAAGGGTGAAACGTTATTTTTCCTCGGGAATGTAATCGTAGGTGATGCTTTGGGGAGCGTTTAATTCATAACAGTAAATCGATTTCTGCAAGGTCGAACTAGACTGGTGGTTGAACCAATCTTGCTTCGAACACTATGTCGGTTAGCTTGAATATTACTGACTGGCGTGCGAGTTTGGTGAAGTTCAGAAGAGGGCGTTCTGCCTAGACTATAAGCTCCCAATACAGCCACCTGCTAAGTAGCTGAATTGAGGCACCCGCATCTGATTGAAAGAAAGTGCCCAATCTGATGATGCGTCCAACCAAAGGGTAAAGAAGGGATCCGTACCTGCCCAGATTTTAAGCTGACGAAACTGTTCAAGAAAATTTCGAGCACCGAACTCTGACTGTTGTAGACGCCAATGGATGGTGCGGGCGAAACGACTCGTGTTGTTGCGAAGCACGCGAGCCTAATATTTCTTCGTACTCGAGAGGTTCGCTAGGCAGTGTTGTCGTCGGGATTGTCGTTGTTCAGCAGCCTCGTGAGTAATATGATCGTGCAATGCGGAAGTTTGCTACAGGTCGAGGACGGGCAATGGCAGACGAGGTGCTGTTGTGAGAGGGGAGAGGAGAAAGCAGGTAGCCGACTGGTGGTCAAACAAGGACGGGTCGGATGTCGAGTCTAGAAATGGAAACGAGTGAGGCAAGTTTGACGGGTAAAGGAGGCTGTCTCAGACTCGGGGACGAGAATGGACAAAGCAAAACAAGCGAGTTTTCCGCTAAAAGTTTGAGTGTGTGGTAAGTCGATGGCCCCCGTCAGGTTTGGGGATCTCAAGGGAGAACGCTGTCACAGGGTGCAATGAACGAGCCCCGAGAGGAATTGTCGAATAGGTAGTAACGTCCTGGCCGGCAGTTTGATTCGGTCTTATCAATCCGGGGTACGACTGGATCAGTACGAAACTTGTGATCCTCACAGGCACCAAGGCAAGTTGAAGGCGAGGGTGAACGAGGGAAACGACAGGATGGAAGAGAATGAATGAGTTTGACGAGCGAAGGAACAGCCGGGAAAGGAGACTGTTTGGGAATGAGTTGTGTTTAGGCCAATGAGTTCCCAAGATTTTACAGGACGAGAAATTGGTGACAGCGATGAAGGGGGAATTAGATTGACAGGGAGTCGCAGGGCAAAAACGAGGGAAGGGATGAGAGGTGGGGTGTGCCAGGAACAAGGGGGAAGGAGGGTGTGGGGACATGGAAGGCTAGTTGCAAAGAGGAATGGTATTGGTAGGCAACGGGCAGGTACCATTTATTTTGAGCAGGAAGTCCATATCGAAGTTGATGTCTTGCGGAATATGTTTATGAGATCTCAATCACTCTTCTGTCGGAGTCTTCACTGCTGTATATGGGTGTCGAAGCTATTCCATCAAGCTGATCCCCGTTCCGATCCAAGAATCGTACAACTACTACACTGCGGATTTTGGCTATGTAGCCCTGCTCATGGTTGACAAGGATCAGCTAGCATGATGGGACCGATCACTGAGTTTGTGGTATTCAAGTGCCCCGTGCTACAAAGTCAGGTAGCCAGCCTCCCTGTAGTGAAAGCGAGTACGCAGTAGAAAATGGGATGAACAGTGGGCAGTCTAGGCAGTCCATGCGTTAGGTCGCATGTACCTACCTCAGGGACAGCCACAGGTTCAGGGGGTGTCATTAAGAACGCAGGGATGGGGAACTTCAAGCCATTCAACGTGGCGCGGCAGGGAGAGGAGCGGAGAGGAAATAACGAGCGGGCTCCAAAACGCAACTGTCAAGGTCTTGCCTTGCGTTTTGTTAACGGAGTTTAGCGGACGGTCGTAGGTAATTAGTTCTTGCCCCGACGCTGTCCAGGGATACCTTGGTACAGTGGTGGTGTAGTAGGCAGTGGAGGGCGTTTCCCTCCAACCTCCACTAATGATGATTTTCAACATGGAACCTGACCCGATAGATCGTGGGCCAGACTATCGACAGGCAGACAGGCCAGTCGTGAATATCAGTCATGTCATCCTGACTTCATACGAGCGGAGTTACAGCGCCCGAGTAGGTGTGGGCAAGAGTCTCCTTTTCTGCAAAACTATGTTACTGAGCTCCTATCTTAGTACCTACTAGGTATCTACTCAGCAGTCTTTCAATGTGGTGCGCACAATGTGCAACACATGTCCGACGTACTGATTTAACAGCCAAGTTCCAGGTGCGCGTGTTGGATGAAGGACTTACAACTTTGGGCGCCCTGCCCATGCTGTCCTCTGATAACCTGGGGATCTTTGCACACTTGGACTGACAACTTGGGATTTCAATGTGTAAGAATAGCATGTGAGCCTCAGGCATTACGCGTTTTTTTGTATGTGGTGGTCGGTTGTGGGGAGGGGGGTGGTCGGTCGGGTAATCCACGAGAGACCCCCCCTCTCTCCAACACCATTCTCTCTCTCTTCACAACACCACCAATATCTCTCTTGTTCTTCAACACCAACCACTTTTTATCTTCCGCCAAATTCTTATGAGAAAACAAAAACTATCGACTCACGGCCACCAAACCATTTCCCAAAGTCTCTCGATGGATTACGAAAATTGAGATTTTTACTACCCTGCCATCAAACAACAACCATAAAATGGCAGGGTAGTAGATATTTCGAGCAACCTCACAAGTGAGTCTTCAAATATTCGACAATCAAGAAAGACGCACTTGTGAGGTTGCTCGAGGACGAAATCGGACCGGTGGAAGGTGTGTCTTTCCTTATTCTCGAAAGTCTCCCTTCAGACGACTAATGATTGGCAACAGATGATAAATATCGACATATTTACTACCCTGCCATCCAAAACAACTGTAAAATGGCAGGGTAGTAAATATCTCAAGTAATCTCGTAAGTGAGTCTTCAACACATAAAGACTCACTTGCAAGATTACTTGAAGATGAAATCGGACCAGTTGAAGGTATGTCTTTTTCTTTCTTTCTCGAAAGTCACCCCATGGACGACTAATAATTGGCAACAGATAACAAATATCTCACAAGTGAGTCTTTAAGTCTTCAACATAAAAAAGACTCACTTGTGAGATATTTAGAGAATGAAATCGGGCCTGTTGAAGGGGAAAGAGAAGAGGAGCAAGCGTCATCGCCACTCCCCGAAAGAACGACGGCGAAACGCCAAAAAGTGGAAGGGAATACCCATGGAGCACAAGAAATGTCCAAAGATGAGAAAGTTGACAGACCGCGAAGCTTGGGATGGCAGGGTAGTGTCAGTAATCACAGTCAAACCACAACACCATTTTGCACGCATTTTTTTCGAAAGCCTCTCCACAAACGACTGATGAATGGAAAATTAACAGATCACGAAGATCGAGATTATTTACAACCCTGCCATCAAAGCCATACATACCGGTTCATACACTTGGATTTGTCATTTACGAATGTTGCTCGTTTTGAACTTGTGGAGGCGAGGTGCTGAAAACGGGCTGGGTATTCGCACAAACTGAAAACGTTTCTGGGGTCGTTTTCTATCTTCGAGTCTAGCTATAAGATATATAAGAAAGCAAATCTCTTAAGTACCTAGTGATCGCCAAGACTCCCTCTGTTTATTGGGTATGAACATCTCCGCAAGGACTGAATGATACCCGCCCGCCTAGGGATCGGGATCGGGGGAACAGCCGACGCCCAAGGTGGGATTTCAGGAAATTTCCAGGTTGGGGCTCTCGTTGGAAGTGGCTTGGAATAATCTTCTGACGTTGACGCGAAACCAGGATTCGTCGCAAATCCTCAACTGGAACGTATCATGCTTCAAGAGGCGATACAGAACACTCCATTGGTTTGTTTCTGCGAAGGGCAGAAGCAAGCCCGAGACAGTGGCTGCAGTGTGAAGAAACAGTGTCTTGATGCTTGGCTTGACCAAAATAAGGGGCCAGTGGCTTGCATTTCCAAGCAGGCGGCTTTGCGTTGAGAGTGAGACCTTCTCCACAGGACAGACAGCCCGCTGCAGAATTGGATGCGAAGCTACTGCAAGGAACACTGTTTGGTCACATTGTCAACTCGTGCCATCCGTTCCCTAGTGCAGCCGCACAGCGGCAGGTGCAACGTCTAGGGTTCCTTTAAATCTATCCAAACTCACTTCCAGCTTAAGGCAAACGGTGCAAACTCAATGGACCAATACAGAAAGATAGCCCCTTTGCGGCGACGAATGGAGATTGGACTGATCTCAACCGTTATCCATCGACTACTAGACCAAACTCTGCTAGGCAAGCCAACAAAACACCACTAGACAGACAGACACAAGTTCGCCTCCATTTCGCCATTTCGGTAAGAACTAGGCAACGCCCATTCCCAACGCCGAACGCTCATCGCAATTATCCTCACAGCGATTGACTTTCTTTTTCCACCGTCGTATTGAAGACCCAGGCTCTAGCTGCGGTGTCGAATCAGATGTGCGTTGCAGCGTTGCAGCGCGGGTATTCGCTGTTTACTTGAGTCAGCATATCATCCATCCACTGTCCTTGACACCCAATGGCGAAACCTTACGGGAGGTAGCCCCTGCAACTCCCCTACTCCCCAGTGCAGCCTCAGCCCGACATCGTACTCCGCACAAAAAAACAAAAACAACATCCAACCAAAAGGCTAGATAGTCTAGTTGTCACTTGCATTCTCAAACACAAAACGACCAAGAAACTCGCCACTAGAGCCCCTGACAATCCTGGTTTAACAGAACAGTTTTCGGAACATATTCTTCCCGTCCGATGACACGACTATGCATTGCATTGGCTTGCAACTCGGATGCTTCTACATCGATAATCCCTGCTTGCGTTACAATCAACTGTCTGCTCGACAAATCACGACTCAACGTCCTCGATTGTTTTCTCGAGCTCCAGAAAGGTTCAACTAGTGTTTAGACCTTCAGTCCGATACTTCGGTTCAACCCATCTGGGGCTGATTTGCGAAAACGGGCGTAAACGCATCATCCTGTACTTGGTTACACATACACATACCACCCAGGTGCTCCCTGGTCATTGGACAATACCCAGACCTTGCTTTTCTCCTCAATCCCGTATCATGGACATAGGCAGTCAGGCAGCCTCATCCTGCCATCCCTGTGGAGGATGGCTTTTGGCCATTATGATTAAAAGGATCGGCGTTAATTAGTGACAGGATGAAAATGCTCCGCTCATGTCCACAGAACAGTTCCCGAAATTCGATCTCACTCAGCACAAGAAAGCAGCTGCAAAAGTCGTATGACATGAATGGCTCTCAAGAACTTACAACTTTGCTACGGAGTACGACATTTCAAATCGCCAAGCCCTGCTTGCTTTCAGACGCAATAACATCATGCTCCAATCAACTATGACCTGCCACTGTACAAGTCCAGCGTGCAGCTTCCTGAACCATCTTGTTCTCCGCATTCACGCTAGACCAGGTCTTTTCTAAGTCGTCATCAGCGTACGGGTCTTGATTCTGCCTCATATAAACTACCACCGTGGGTTAAAATAACGTCTATTATATTAAAGCTCAGTCCCGGTCCTTAGAGAACATTCGCTGACTCCGATATGTCAGATGTACCCCTATCAACCTCCGTCGGCGGTACGGTGGGAGCCTTCCGCGAGCCAATAGCAGATCTGTGCCTGGAACTAGCCCTTCCGCGGCTCTAGGCCCAATCTTGGCTACAACGCTCAAGGGGTGAGGGGGCGTTCTGCCAGGTACATGTACTTCCGCACATGGGTTTATCTCATGTTGGAAAGGTGACATCGTGTCAATCGGATCTGCCTTTTCAAGCATGCTCCATGCTGGAAACTGCTGACACGCGGAAAATCTTCTCCCCCATCATCATTGACAACCACCAGCATATCCTCACTTGTCGGCAGTGCTCGGAGTGGAGATTTATAATCGTCGATTTACAGCAAACATGGTTGCGCAAATAGCCCTTGACTATTTGACACCCCTGGCACACCCAATTCTCACTTACGCCCCATATTTTGGGTCATATCACTGAGTCTTACCACTAGTCGGAATGTGTGCAAAAAGACAGACCGTTTTCCCTCGAGGATAAACCATCTCCGTCTGGTCAGGCGCCGAAACGGTTCAGTTTAGTTTAAGTGACCCTATAATTACCGCTTTCCACCTGCTATAGGCTCATTTCCTGCTGATCACAACTCTGAGGAGGATAGATCTTGAACCCCGGTTTCTCACCCAACTCGCCGGGACAGCCTAACGGCTCGCCTCGCCAACAACCGACATGATGACATTCGGCCCTCGAGCCCTATCAGTCCAGCATCTTATCCACAGCTTTGACTTCTTCCAAGGCTTCCAATTGATTTAATTAGGGACGAATCTTCAACACCCTAGTCAATCATGAAGTCCCATTTGTGGTGGTGACGGTGACATTGCTTGTTCCCCAGGACGAACCCGGTGCAATGGCTGTGGAACGGACCCCGAACCTTCAATGCGATACAATGACACCTGTATGCCGGCTCCTAGCATACTGGACGTGCGGCAGAGCTCATATCACGGTGTAGCTTGTGATTTATGCGCTTTGCTAACTTTTTTCCCTCCAGAGATGTTCCCAAGCTCGGGCTCTCCGCCACACCGGAGACCATCTATTGCTGTAACCACGCTGTCAGGCCTGGTAATTACCGTTTGTGGGGTGTTGGGATTGCCTCACGATTCCCCTCGATATTTCATTTTCTCCGGGAGGGTCTGCGTCATCTCCCATTGTTTTACTTCCGACCCAGTAGGTCTTGAAGACTGGAACTTAAGCCTAGGATCCTAGGCCAGGCCTCGACACCCCTGCCATTGCTTGTACGCACTAAGACGACCAGGTGAGCATAATCTCCGCGTCACAACAAACATTCGTCACGTCGACCCTCGTGATGGAATTGTCATGGCCAGAGGCGATGCGGTCATGGATTCCTGTGCTCGCGTGAGTATGACCCACTTGAGTGGTGCACATATCTCAAAGACCTTGCTTTCTCAATTCTCTTCTAATAGGGTCGGTAATGACAGAAGCAGATAATGAACACCTACTACAATTTTACTGCTTAGTACCGAGACACAGCCTCGGCAAAGAAGGTATGAATTAGGTTCTCGGACTGATCTGCCGTCGTTCCGTTCAGGGTACAACGTGAATCCCCATCGATTCGCAATACAGCTCTTTCATCGGGTTGAAGCTGGTGTAGTCTTGGGAAAGCTATTATCCCAATAACCGAAAGGGATACTGTTGTCATCGTAAAAGATGCTCGCTACTCAAAGATTGCTGAGATCTTCCCGTTCATGTTCAGTCAAAAGATCTTGGTAGCTCTAATCTTAAAAGACTTGCAAGGTATAGCCTGCGAGCTTCTGACACCCTAACGGGTACAATCGCGATTGACAGCAGATATGCTAATGCATTCTACTTTGATTCGATCCTCGGGAGTTCATGACCCCTAGGAATGTTGTCACGGCCAATCTGGCCAAGGCCCGCATATGTCACATAGCCAGTCGCTAAGCATACTCCGTACTCAACAAGTTCCACTATCAACACCACATGTGACCAACAACAGGTTGATCCGACAAGGCCTGGACAAGAGTGGCATTTTACATTTCATTCCTCGGCCCACCTTTCGAAAAAGCATCTGATGGTATTTGACTATCGCCATACCCATCCAGCTTCGCAATCTCAGCGGCAGTGACTGCACCCCTCTTCGCAGCAAGACCTTGTTGGTCTTGTTCAGGTGAACTGCGAAGAGATAGAACATACGCAGAAGTCAAGGTATGGCGAGCAGGGACGGTGGCCACGTAGGCTTCGTGTCATCTAGCTTATAACCGGCGAGTCAACGGCGTAACTCCTACTTGGCGCATGTTATCAGTTATACGAGATGACTAGATTGTACGACCTGATCCAAGTATGGAACGACACTTTTCGTGTGGAGAAGTCGTCGATATCACGATGGCAACACTGAACTTCATATGAGTTATGGAACCACATACATTATTCTATAAATCATTCAAATCCTTCTAGGTAGGATATCAACCAGGTACAACGCCATGCTACCCATATACCTGTTGCCATCCTTAGACACAACAATAAAGAGAACAACCATTCTTTTATGCCACCAGCTCAAGTTGGATATTTGGCTCCTGTTGAAATATCCGTTCACCTAGTAGGTGCAGCTTCTAGTCAACAAGCGCCGATACTGGAGCAATGATGTCCAGTCCCCATTCCTCGATCAAGCTTACGAAATCACTGTTATCATGTTTAATTTGGTCTACCGCATAGATTCTTCGTCCTGTGTCTTTTCGTTGATTATGTCCTGCTTTTGGCCGAAAGCATATCCGGGATGGCCGGTATTCAACAGAAGGACAGCAATACACATCATACTGAAGACAATTAGCAAGGAGCCAGATCAGGACAGTGTGAGATGGGCTCTTACCAAGATTCAAGACCTATGTAGAGACCCTCGTCTCGGAAGAGGGCACTGAAGTACCCTTGCCCAAGCTCAGCAATTCGATAAGCGCACCGAGTGAGGATGAAGATGGTCGAGGTGAACAGGAAAAGGAGGAAGGTGACCATTGGCTTGTTGAGGCGATGTCGAGAGGGCGACTTGGAGGCCGTGAAAACATAGTCGGCGAACAAGGCACAGAAGAAAATGAGAGTGACGACTTGGAAGATAAGACCGGCAAGGGATATGTCCTCTCCAGTTTTGACATCCTCATGGGTGGAGGCGACACATGAAAGAGCACCACCAACGGCCTGAAGAATAAGGGAGATGATGTCCGAGGGGATGAAGATCCAGTAGAAGTATTTGGGAGGGAAACGAGATATGCTCGGGTCGACAAAGTTGATCCTGAGGATGTTAGCCGTTTCTTCCGAAGTCAACGAAGTGAACTTACACTTGGGACAAAAGAACATAGATGGCTGCGGAAAAGAAGACGGGTGCCACGGTAATGCAGACTATCCTTGGGTTAGTAAAAGTCTCTCGCCAACTCCTCTCAACGCTCAGTGGGAATACATACTAATTTGCATTAGGAATCCGTTGAAGTCGAAGGGATTATCGTGGATGATGAATCGTCCGACATAGCCGATGATCTCAAGTGTGCATCCTGCCAACATACTTGACATGAACCCCCATGTCCGCATCTTGATGCCCTGAAAGGTGTGGATGGCCATGGACAAGCCAAACACGGCGACGAAGACGGCGTTGGCGGGGATGTTGGGTTGATATCGCAGGATGCTTGCCTCTAGTGGACATGTGTCGAGAGTGCAATTGGCGTCAGGGCCAAATGTGACCAGCCCGTTTGGAAGCGTCGACATTGACATATTTGCGGTATTCTATCGTCCAATTATGCTGTTGAGAAACTGGTAAGGGCGGAACTGTTATCAGAAATCGCTTTCTTGGTATGCTCTGGTGTTGGTTATGGTCTACAATCTTGATATCCAGGACGAAACAGCGGAGCTGAAAGCTTTTAAAGATGCAGATTTCCAAGATCTGAATCTCGGCCACCCGTCGGAGAACATTTTTAGATCTTGAAACCCGGCTCCGCGGGACAGACTACGTCAACTCACACCACCGATCGTTATTCCCAATGAATTGGGCTGCAGTGGAGCTTAAAATCGCCCTGTAAGCAAGATATTCGATAGTTCAGCTTGCTGTAAGCTGATATGGGTGGGTCCGGAGGCTCCGCTCGACCCGGGTGCCCGGCCGGTTCGGGCGTCCGCGGGCGGCGAATGATAAGACGTTTTAAAGGTTGAGGCTGAGTTTTAAGAATTTAACTAATATAGGTTAAAGGTTATTTGTTTCGTATGATTTGGTTCAGGCGTTATACTACGTAGGTGTAATGCATGAACCGGGTTGATGGGGTATCTTTGGTTGGTTTTGTTGCTGGCTATTCGAAAACCATGGCAACAAGACTGGAGGTTGTTGTCATCACAGTTTGGCTTAGAGACATCGCTCAACAATGAGATGGGTTATGTCTGGATCCTAGGTCCGTAAGTACAATTGAGTTAAGCCTGTTCAACTCGTGTAATGTGTCGTCCTGCTTATCAGGATCCACAACATGGTAATCAATCGCCTGCGATGCATCGTGCTAGGAGCTCATATTTATCTTATTTAGAGTTATCTGATACCAGGATTCAAATTTATGCTATTTCAGCCTTGGCTTCGGTGTCATGGGTTACCCGACGGTTGACCCATTGATATATTGTGCCGTGTCGTTATACAAAGGGTCGAATGTCTGTAGGGTAAACTAAACAGGTCAACTCTCCATGACCGCACATCGAAAGAACGACCAGTCCGTTGCTGTTACGCTATAGTAAGAAAATGGTTCGAACATCTAGGCAGGATCTTCAATCAATTAGTTGCCTTTTTGAAGTATTGGCTTGGCTTGACGTTGAATATCCAATTCAGCTACGCCGGAAACGGAGGCTTAGCTGACCCGGGATCGGAGACGGAGGTTTGAAGATTTGGCCGGCTCCGCTGTCAAACATCAACCTCAATGATAAAACATAACCGTCGGTCTCTTTCTTCGTAGTGCACACGTAAATGTATTTGGATCATATATACTGGCCTTTCTCTACTCTTTTTGTTTTTCATACCGAAGCGGACACGTTGATTATGCTTTATAAATGTGTTCTTGCCAGGAAATATTCGCGACTACGTACTACGTATACCGCATGTCTTGCAAAAATGAAGTGTCCTCTATTCATTATGCATTATAAACTGGCATAAAATGCTTGATGCCTAAACAACCATCCACAAGCATGAAAACACTTGTCTTCAAGATCCAGGACTCCCAGCCATGACGCGGCGTCGAAGAGAGTCATAACCAGGAAGAAAAACGTGTTCACTCCATGGCTTGTGGTTAAAAAAGCACCATTGTACCCCAAGAAAAAGACACTCAGGCTTATCACGAGTCTTATAAATTCCTATTCAGGTGATCATCTTTTTATGTCGCGAGACAGATTCATAGAGCAAGCTTCAGTGGGTCACTGCCGTCACGCGAAAAAGAAAGTGCCCCGCCCCCGCTTACGGCAACTGAACGGGAGTTTCGGCGCCCACTTCACCCGCTCTTGACTATCCATTCAGCTCAGCTATTGTATCATAGAGATCTTTAAACTATACCTATTCACCTACGATAACTTTGTCCTCTTCCAACACCTATCGGAGATACATACTCCCCCTCCTCCGTCAGTGGCCTATTCGAATACCTTCACTTCGAACTCGGGCTTTCGTCCAGACGTCGCAGCCATGTTTGATCTTTTCCCTATGCTCTTATCGTAAGCTCCCAGCTCCTAGCTCCATCATCCCCGTCATGAGGCGTCATAGTCGCAACCGCCATGACCGCCGCAATCGACTCACGATGCCAATGGAATTGATTCACTGACTGTTTCCCTTTTTGAACAGTTCTGTCGCTTCATATCTCTTCCCTATTTTCGCTTCATACAAAGCTCTCAAGACACATGATCCCGCTCAGCTGACACCATGGTTGATGTATTGGGTCGTGCTCAGCTGTTGTCTTCTGGCTGAGTCTTGGGTTTGGTTTATAGTTTCATGGTACGTTTACACCCCATACTCAGCTATTCCGTACTGACACATACACAGGATCCCTCTCTATGGCTATTTCCGTTTACTCTTCCTCCTCTACCTAATCCTCCCCCAGACCCAGGGCGCCCGACGCCTCTACGAGGAATATGTTCACCCCTACCTTGAGCAGAATGAGACGCAGATTGACGACTTCATTGCAAGCGCACATGAGCGCTTGACTGCTGCCGGAATGTCCTATCTCAAGCTCGCTATCGAGCAATTCAAGATCAAGGTTCTCGGTCTTCCACCCTCCGAGCCCGAGTCTCCTCCTCCCGAAGCTGCTGCCCAAGGCTACACGCAAACACTTCTATCACGATTTAACGTTCCCACCGCGCGATGGACCGAAAACAACGGCAGCGGCACAGACTTCTACAGTCTTCTTTCCAGCGCCGTCGCAGCTGCCACCAACGCAGGTGGCATGTCGGCAAGTACCAGAACAGCTGGCGGAGAGCCAACCAACTCGGCCGCATTGATTCCCCCGCATCTTCGCGAATCCGGCGCCAGGATGGATTTCATCTCAGCCCAGCGCGATCGTCTCAATGTTCTGCTTTCAGCGCTCGACCGTGAAGCGCAAGACCTTCGTACCGACGCCCAGCGTGCTCAACAAAACACAGGCCCTCGCCGCGATCCTATGGCCTACGGAGGCTACGCCGAGAACGAAGAAGAAGAACCCACTCAGCGGCCACCCAGTGGTTTAAGTGGATGGAGTGGTATTAGCAAGAGCCGTAGTGAGACCGATTTCGAGAGGATTGATGCTGAGACTAGCTCGGATGAGGATCCTGCGGTACGCAGGAGGAACATGGGAGCTGGCACTAGAAATGCATCCGGCTCGTGGGTTCCCTGGGGGTGGGGAGGTGATGCTGCATCAGGAGGCGGAGCGAGCGCTTCCGGAAGGGACAGGTAGAAACTCCGTTCTGGAAGGTGGGTTTTGCAGGAGTTTGGGTCTTGCTAGTTATGGCACTTTTGGTGTTTTGATATGGGCCCCAACATGACATTTGGGGGCTACCACTCCGACAACGAACATGCATGTCTATAGATGAGAAGTTGGCATACATGACTCCATTCTTCCCAGGCCCAAATTTCAGTCTGACTCTGGCTTGACACATCTATTTCTTCTGAAATACTACGGTATCTCTCTATGCGCTAAAACCCATGTTCCTGGTACATTCGCTGCCATACATGCATAATCATCATATCTTACATCCATCTAAGGCGTCTACACGGCCGAAGGCTCTATACAAAAGAGGAGGGGTATAGTTACAGAGGAAGGCGCTTAGACAAACTTGTAGGGGTACACTGCTTCAGCAAGACCCTTCTTGTACCAAAATGTCCTCTTCTTCTTGGTGGTTGCATGCTCAACCCAGCGGTCCTCCATGTAGTGCTTGCGGAACCAGCGAAGGAATACGGGATCCCATAGCTCAGATGCGATACCAAGATCTTTGCAGCATCGCATCAAAGCGTTGGACTTGGCACCCTCGATGGCGTCGGGGACACCTTCAGCGCTGAAGAAGTTGTTGACACCCTGTGATTGAGAGACGATACTGTTCTTTGTTAGCCATGGTAGCCTTTTTGTTGTTGAGTACTGGGGACTTACCGGCCGTTGACAATGAGGGCGTACTCGCGCGTGACAATGTTGTTCCCAACAACAACCTCTCCACGATGCACCATGCCCCATCCCATAGGTCCAAACGCCTCGTTCAGTCGTCGTCGGTACTTGACTTCCGGCAGATAGACAATACCATCAGGCTTGACCTCCACATCCTCAGGGTCAACCGGCCGCGACAGGACCTCGTTCTGCTCAACGGTAACAGGCTTAGTTCCAAGGCCGTACCAGCTCTTCTCCCAGCTGATATCGTGTGTGTTCTCGGTGTCGGTCTCGCTAGATTCGCTCAACGTGCTCTTATGCACGGTAACAGCCTGGTGGGGATTCGCCAGGCCCGATGCCTTGCTGCTCGCAGCCGCAGGTTTAGGAGGAAATGTCGTCGTTTTGGGAGCCGCCTTGGCCGCAGCGGCTGGTTTCGCAGGCGCAGCCTTTGCCCTGGACGCGTATTTGGGCTTGGCGGTCACATCTTCTTGGTTCACGTCTGTGACATCCGGGTTTTGCAGCGTGGCGTCTGCGTCTGCCTGTGTGGAAAATCGCAGCACAGGGACAATTGTGCGGCTGATAGGATCAGGGAGCCTTCGTACGGCGAAGAGAGCTCGGCGGGGAGCGAACATGGTGGGCGGGATGGTGTGTGATGGTGAGCTTGAGCTAGGTGAAGCTATGGTGATAATTTGAGGGCAGGTGGATAGATTGTCCGGTGAGGGGACAGTGTGGATACTGTGAATGGCAGTCATGATGCCTTCATTGTTGATAGTATTTGGTAAGGAGGAGAGTCTAACTCTTTTAAACAACATTCTCTATGATACAATAGTGTTAAAGTTTGTTCATAATAGTACAATCCCTTCGAACCATCTCAATTATCCTTTGTGTCTGTGCGCTGATCGTTATTATGAGATTTCCAGCACTGTTTGAATGCCTCCATCTACGATACTGTCAGTCACCAGAGATAACGCAAAGGTCAACACGATTATAGCATCTGAATATAGATGGAAGACATATTGATATAGCAAATGCTTACTTCTTGAGCACATGCGCGCCAGTCTTTCTTCTCGAAATAGCAATCCGTCATTTTTGCGTTCTCATCTAAGTTAACCAGTCAATTAGCAAATATTCCAATCTCAACAAAACAGAAAAGGTAAAGATCGGATAACCACGGCGTAGAACTGTGATGATCTCCCGAAAAGACCATGTCTTTCAATTGATCTTTCTTCACTTGTAGTATAAAAAGGCAAGAAACTCACCTGCACATCCGGTGCTAAAAATCCGCTTGTCCCTAAAAGTCCGCTGTAAGAAAAGCCTCGGCTTTGGCAGTCTCTCAACGGGAAAAGGACGCTCACTCACCAATCGTCGGGCTCGTCGTCGTCCTCGCCTTGTGCGCTCCTCTGTGCATTGTTCTCTTCCTTGGACATTTTCTCTTTTTGTCCAGAAACGATTGTGGTGATTGGGTCTTTTTATAGTTGTCGTTGAAAAGAGGTTTAAGAAGTGGCTCGAGGCGGAGAATTAGTTGAGGCGAGATCCAGCAAAAGTCAAGTGACGGGAGATATCTTTATTATACAACATTCCAACACTAATCCTTGAAGCCCGCCAAGCCACTGAACATGGCACCGGTCAAGCTTAATGTGCTTGTTTATACAGGTGAAATTCATTCTCTACACTCTCTTTTCACTATAACACTCACTAAGACATTCTCAAGGCCTCGGCACAACCGTTGAGTCAGTCCGGCATTGTATCTGGTCCCTCCGCCGTCTTCTCGGGCCCAACTATGCCGTCATCCCCATCACCGAGACCATCGTTCTCAAAGAACCTTGGCAGGCAACATGTGCTCTGCTCGTCTTTCCCGGCGGCGGCGATCTCGGCTACTGCCAGGCTTTGAATGGTGAGGGGAACCGCCGCATCAGCGACTATGTCCGACGAGGAGGCTCGTATCTGGGCTTTTGTGCGGGCGGCTACTACGGTTCGCAGAGATGCGAGTTCGAGGTTGGGAATAAGCCCATGGAGGTCATTGGGAGGAGAGAGCTGGGCTTCTTCCCTGGGACGTGCAGAGGTGGTGCCTTCAAGGGGTTTGAGTATCGAAGCGAAAAGGGGGCTAGAGCTGTGCGGTTAACGGTGCCCAAGGGCGCATTTGAGCAGGACGTGGCTTCTGAAATTATCTCCTACTACAATGGAGGTGGTGTCTTTGTCGATGCTGCTTCAGTCAAGCAGAGAAAGGTTGAGATTCTGGCTACATATGATGAGGAGACCGATGTCGATGGTGGCGAGGGCAATGCTGCGGTTGTTCTTTGCACAGTTGGCGATGGGAAGGCTTTACTTACCGGGCCTCATCCAGAGTATGACCTACATACGCACTTATCAAATGGACTCACTAACGCTCTTTAGGTTCGCTGCGGCTAACTTGAACCCCCAGCCAAGCCTCCCTGGCTATGATGAACTGGTAAGCCAACTGGCTGCCGCAGACAAGGACAGAGCCAGCTTTCTCAAGGGATGTTTGACTAAGCTTGGCCTGGACGTCAGTCCTGACGATGCAGGAGTACCATCACTGTCTCGGCTTCACCTCTCCTCCATCACCGACACAGGCGTCTCGGAGTTACTATCTGACTGGAGCGACATCATCGACAAGGAGAACGGCGAGGAATGGATCCGAGCAGAGACAGATACCTTTCATATCCAGAATGAAGATACCATCTGGAGTCTCGAGGGTCTCCAGCAATCCTTGGCAGAGACGAGTGTCCCCAATATCTCTGCGAATGGCAGTATTGACTACAGCAAGATTGTCAAGAAGATCGTCCCGCACGAAAAGGGGCTTCCTCATCCTAAGCTCACGCCGCATTTCAACCATGGCTTGTTCTTCTCGAGTTTGAAGCGTTACCGGGAGATTGAGCCTACCGCTCGGGACTGGGGTAACCTGCTTATGTACGGTGAAGTGGTGACGAGCACAAACACCATGCTTGAAAAGTACGTATCCTTTTGGGAACCATGTGATATTCTGCTCTAACAAGATCCAGAAACCCGAAACTGATGCCAAAACTCCCAAGTGGCTTCACCGTCTCGGCTACTACCCAGGTCGCTGGTCGAGGTCGTGGCTCAAATGTGTGGATTGCTCCCCCTGGAATGCTCATCTTCTCGACGGTCCTCAATCATCCTGCCCACCTCGCCATGACTCGTCCTATCGTTTTCCTTCAGTACATCGCAGCCATTGCTATAGTTGAGGCCGTCCAATCTTATGATCGCGGATATGAAAATATCCCTATCAAACTAAAGTGGCCCAACGACATCTGTAAGTGAATCCGCTTGTTCTGCTGGACGTGAGTCTAACATTACCAGATGCTCTTGATCCTACAAAGTCACAGGAGAAACCGCACTATTCCAAAGTTGGTGGTATCCTCTCCCAGTGCCTCTACTTCGACGGAAACTACCAAATCATCCTAGGCATAGGCCTCAACACCACCAACTCCCGTCCCACAATGTCCATCTCCGACCTCGTACCCGCTGGCGCACCAGAGCTCCATCTCGAGACCCTCCTCGCGCGCGTGCTCACACGCATAGAAGCCATCTACGCCCAGTTCCTCCGCGAAGGATTCTCCAGCGGTCTCGAAGCACGGTACTACAGCCACTGGCTGCACACAAAGCAGGAAGTCACTCTTGAGGCGGAAGGCGGCGTCAAGGCTCGCGTGGTGGGTATTACGCGGGACTGGGGAATGTTGAAGGTCGAGGAGATAAATGCTAGTGGGAGGGGGACAGGAAGGATCTGGACGTTGCAGAGTGATGAGAATAGCTTTGATTATTGGAAGGGTTTGGTTAGAAGGAAGACGTGATGGTGATTATGTAGTATAGGGATCTTGTGTATAAGATATACAAGCAACTTTACAAATAATCAGGATGTTTGCGTGTCATGCCTTCACAGATTCAGAAATGTTAGATACTTGGGCAGACTCTCGCACGAAGATATTTCAGCGACCTAACTTAGTCCTCTCTCAATTTCCGTATATATGCCTTTGTCACTCATTCATCACTTTCGCCAATGGATGCTAAGAGTGATGCGGATTTATCTCGCCTTATTTTTAATCAATGACCTGGCACTACTTGATCAGTGAAATGAAACCAAAAATCACCTACTGAGAGAAACATCCACGACATGGGAAATGCTCTAGCACTATAATAAGGTTCATTTACTGCGACCGAGGCCAACAACCCAAGCTATCACACCCAAACCTAAGTTGTTTAGCCACGAGCCAACTTCTTATATCGCCATACTAACACCTACTGATTCAGTTGAAAGCAAACGAGACTCGGCCTCAATCTACTCGTCCAGCCATGGAGAGTCGCCAGTCCCAGGATACCGATAGGTCCGAGACGTTATCTCAACCTCAGAAAGAGAATCGTGTCGACAAAACTTCGAGCAAATCCATATTCACTACTATCACCCTTTTCAACCTACCGCACAGAACTCAGGTTCCATCTTTTCCTACATTAGACGAGATTTCCACTAACAGAATCATTACACTCTGGTCAGAGACACCAACTACACACAGTGTAGTAAGGGCATGGTATACACGCATTCAAACCGTGTTTTTCACTGAGATTGATGGCGAGATACAAACTCTTGACGGCGATCTTTTGGAGACATCTACAGTCAGCGAGACCAGTGTGGTTGACGAAACTACTACTGCCAGCGAGACTACAGAAACATCGACTATAATCAGTGAGCCTCTGTTGTCCAGTACACTTCTGTCGACGTCCAGTGAGGTTTTGGTACCCAGCAGTACTTGGTCTACATCTTACACAACAACTTCAAGTTCAGAGACCTGGTCAACTTTAACCCTCACCGTTGTCCCAAGTGATCCCTCTACCTCGGATAGCAATGGTATCTCACCTGCCGAGGGGGTCGGCATCTCGGTTGGTGCCGTATGTGGGTTTTTACTTATTATAGGGGGTATCCTTCTCGTAGTATTTCGTTGCCGACTTAGCGATGAGCCACCTCGTTCTAGGGACAATCAGAACAACATCAACATTAAGCTTGATAACGCACCGTTTGATCGTACGGCCGCAGAACCTCAGGGTGTCATGCAAAATGAATGGAAGGCATCGTGATGTTTATGCGGCGTCGCGATGATACACGTTGCTACAAGACTACAAAGACATATATGCAGAGGCTTTTGATAGATCTTAGTTACACAAGTTACCGCCATTGATCACTGAGTCAATGGTGGCTGCAATTCTCTTCGAATTTATCTAGATATCTGCGCTTAATAGACCTCATAGAATAAATACAAATCTCTAATCAATGCTCTCATACATCTTGATTCAGGCTAGTGTGGCGAGTATATACTTCCGCTCGGGGATGCTCTTTTCTCAGCTATCCCCCCTGACTTGCTACATCCAATACACTTACCGTCAAAGGGCATATTACGACAATACAGTATGCCTGTCCTATTTCCAAACTTTGATCGAACGTAGGTCAACCCGTGATACCTCGTTCCTGACACTGACTCTCTCTTAGGAACAACGAGGCTCAACGTCGGTCTTCCTTTACAATGCAAGACCAAAAGAACACCCCATTGAAGGAACCTTATGAAGCTACCGACCCTCAACATGAGACCCGCAACTTAGAAGACGCTGGCGGTGACGAGGGGGCTGCGTCGCCCAATATAAGAAATAGGTATGTTGCATATGGTCTTGAGCCAACTACCGTTGGCCGAACTGACAGACCCAGTGAGCCGTCACCTAACAGCGATATATCGATATCAAGTGAGGCACCTACGGATACTGATGAGACACATCACGTTACGTCCACTATGCTCCTCACAGTGACCGAAGCCCTGACTTTGGTTGTCGTCGATCATACTGCCTGGTATGAGCTTACAGCAACCCTCGATGGAGGTAGCGAGGTGCCGACTTCCAGTAGCGAGGTTCCAACTTTTAGTAGTGAGATCTTGTCTCTTATTCACATGATTCCACTAATTAACACCCCCACGATGTTGATACCATATCACTTCTCAAAACCTGGACCACATCGTACACCAGCCAAAGCCTCCCAGCTGTATCAACTGCAACAGTTACAGAGACCTCGTCTGCGAAGCCACAGTCTTCCTTCTCTACCGCTGAATGGGTTGGCGTCATAATGGGCATAGTCTGCATTGTCGTCATGCTATTTTTCTTCCTTCTAGTTCTCTTCCAGCGACGTCGCCGAGCTTCACGTCCCGCGGAAAGTCAGAATAACATCAACATCCACCTCGATAATGCCCCCCCTCCTGTTTCCCGATGGTCAAGATCAGACTCTACCCGAACAAATGTTACACCATCTAATTATACCGATAGCAGGGAGCTGAAAACTGCGTTTGTGCCACGTCCATTGGGGGTTGTGAGCCCACCTCCTCAGTATCAGGGAGATCAAAAGTACTGGACAGGCGAACGAGATTTGGAAATTCAGGGAAATATGGGAGAATCTTCGCGATCAAGATATGCCGAAGCGTATAGTTCTGCTGTCTACAATGACCCCAAATGGAAGGGCAAACAGCGTGAAGAGTTCTGAGTTTCCACGTGGACATGTCGACGTAAGGGAAATGCCAATATCGCGGCTTCGCCATCTAGCGAAAACATTAAGAAATTTTAGCTACTATTTGCAATGAAAATACTAAACGCCCAACGTTTGAGCTTTCACTGAATTTAATATCACAAAGTGACTCTTTATACAACGTATCTGAAAGACCATCACCTGATGCTGTGACAAACACTATTGGAACACAGCAAACCACTGTCACAAACTTACATATATTCACCATATTATCTCGCTTAAGCCTTTTATAAAACTATGACTGCCTTAGTAGGACACTCAAAGAAAGGACTGTCCGTCTTTCTATCCAATATGTTTTTCTACCGAACCGACTGTTTGCAACTCTACAGCTACTCTTTACCAAACCACTATTCTCGACTCTAGCCATCCCTACATCAACCGAATATTCATCCAGACTATCTATGTCGAGTAATCAGGTAATTTCACCGATGCCTTCGAACATGTTTCTCAACGTGCTCCTCATAGTGGCAGTCATGACCCCGGCCGTGTGCTCCTATAACCCCATAGGCACAAATTCGGGAATGGTAACTTTACCTCCAAGCTTGGTACTTTCTATGATATGCTAATGTCTCTTTCTAGATAACTCGTACTTGGTCACACTCTCAAAGCACCCAAGCCATCGGCCAGTCTACCATATATCCTGTCACTGCGATCTCCTCTATCGTCGAGATCAAACCCAAAGGCATCAAAGTTCCGGAAGATGAAGGCCGAGAGGAATCCGATCATTTAACTCTCAAAATGTTTCAGACACGGCCTATTGGTAGATCTACAGTCACTCGCAGTCGCTCGACTTCGGCCGAGAATAGCGACAAGACCTCGCGCATGATCAAAGCAAACTTGGACACTTTGAGTATCACCTCCATCCGCATCACTCTGACCAAACCTGGGGATCCATGGACGACTCTCCCAGATCCTGATGAAGGAACTACGCTTCCTTGGTTCACAGACTCAGCAGTTACGTCTATTGCAACGACTGCAGAAGAAACGGCATCTGCAACCACTACAGTTGAGACTCCATCTCCGACTGCTCCAGAAGAGACCGAGTCCCCGACACCTCCAAAGGAACATCGTCTCTCCGGCAGTCAAATAGCTGCCGCTGTTATAGGCGCGCTCTTAGGCACGGCCCTTATCTTGCTCTGCGGCTGCGTCGCTGTTCAATACCGCCATAAACTCAATCGCCCCAAGCCCGAACCCAGGCCTATGTATACAGCCAGGAGAGAGACTCCCGCCGTCTCAGAACCCAGAAGTCAATCGTACTTCGATGTCTCGACTCCAAATATCAGCAGAATTCTCATGGCGGCTTGGCCAGATTTATTCCGGGGCCGGCGAAATCCATCTCCTCGACCGGATCCTGAGCCAGAAGTCTTGATTCCTCAAAGGCCTATGTACCAACCTTATATTGAGGATGCTCAAACGTTTACTTCAAGTGTATACAGTCAGGACAGCCGGGTGCAACAAATGCCTGAAATTGCCAGACCTCCTGGTAATTATATCTAGTTTTAGGATTTTACAGGTTTGGAATGAGGATTTAGTACCCATATACGAGTAATTGGAGTGGTAGTTTTTGCATAAATGTGACCACATAGGCAAGACTTTTGAGAAGACTTGTTAATCGTGGTAGCCTCTTTGTATGTTAAACAAAGCAGCATATTCGTTATATTCAGCGAACTTTGTAACTAACAAAAGATTTGGACTATAACCACTATCCTGAACCTATGATAGACGATACTAATTACGGTAGCGACATTCAGCCGCCCCATTGTCACAGTTCTAAGATGTCTTGGCCAGTGTAACGATGTAATGCGTCAAGAGATGTAGAGTATATGGAATGACAGTATCAATAGGCCTTGGTCGTCTTAAAGACGAAGCCATGAAGTGCAAGAATTAACTGTCACAGGCCTGCAATCATGCGTATTGGTCCATCCAGCAATTATGATTGACTAGGAGACTGTGACTTGTAGCTATATGTAAAAGTCCAAGCTTGTAGCCAAGGGGCCGTTGTGGCCCAGCGGCCTTGTGAATGCATCCTCATACAGTAATGTTTTGCATCACTTGCAGCCAAGTATCCTCCTTTCGATGTGGTCTCGAACTGCAACCATAGTTCTCTTCGATGTTGACCATTTGACCGCGCTCCCATACTCCGGAACTGGATCGCCGAGTGCATACTATCATCTCAGATACGCTAAAGAAATAGTCCTCATAGCATCGTTCAATATCGTACAATTGTATTAAACATAAAATAGCATATGTCGTCTGTCTTTTTTCTTCGTCTAAGAACCAACCTCGAGCGGCTCATCACGCCCACCGATAAATCCAATAAACGCCGTGCCATGCCGCAGTCGAGTGAAGATGTACATGTATACATGGAGAAACTCCCCCCCTCTCCCAAATCCCTCAGAACTCCCTTCACGAGGCCCATGGGGCCAAATCGTACAAGTGTCGTTTAGTTGCCAAGGAGGATCGTTAGTCCTTGTAGACCTTGGGCTTAAATCCCTCTTTGATCTCGGCCTCTTGCTCCATTTTCGCTCGTATAGGACCGATCTCTCGCTCGAATCGCTCCTTTGCTCTCACAATCTTGCTCTGGAGGTAGAAACTGCCACCCTTTTGAGGATCGTTGGCGTCAAACAGTCGCTTGTAGCGTGACAGCACCTCTTCGACGTTGGCCTGTCCGCCGGCTGGGGGCTTGACATTGAGGATCTTGCATGCCTCGTCGAGGGTCATGCCTGAGGAGAGAGAGGCTCCGCCACCAGTGGTGTTGCCGGCCTTGACTTGGGCCCGCTGGTAAGCCGAGGCGGCTTGGGCCTGCTTGTAAGCAGCGACGAAAGAACGGCCGAGGATTCGGGAGCCTGTGAGGAAGGCCGTGACGACGAACTTGTGCGCCTGGGGAAACACATGTTAGCGGGTGTTATCGAAGGCGAATTCGAGAAGTAAAGATGGTCATGGCGGGCAGGCGGAGTGAGCAAGGATGCGGGCGCATACCATTATGAAGAATTATTGAATAGAGAGAACAATTGAATGTCTTTGAAGAAAGGTGGAGATATATCGCTGAGTAGCGACGTTGAATAGCGGCCCTCGTTTCGCGACGGGGAAGAGGATCTTGATGGCGCTGCTATTGTCGACTTTTTCCCCGGGTGCAAAGCAAAAGTTGGGGGATGCGGATCATTCCGAGGTCGGAATTTTGCAGCGCCCGACCGACTGCGTGCCACTCGGCCGAGATTTATCCGCATGGTGAGGGTGGGGAGTTCACCGTCATTCACCGAGATTCACCGAGATCTGCCCCGCGATGGAGCTTTGGGAGAGAATATTAGCTGACCAAGATGAGAGTTACTCACACAGTAGACGTTTATAAATGGACTTGGTACCAAATTGACTTGGAGTGATAATGTACAAGAAATAGAATTCTGAGTAGAAATACCGAAGTCTGAGCAAAAACCTAGACTCTAACTCAGATATAATTCTTTGTAAGTATCGAATTCTGCTACCCTATTCATCCACAGCGACATAGTGAAACTGACATTCCATATAGAAACATACACCGACCATAAACCCACAAAATAATCATCATGACAGTCACACCTCAGGACGTTACCGTCTTGATACAGAGCGAGGGTAGTGGAGTGTCGCCAGAAGCATATGATGCAGCCAACGAATCTCAGGATGCTATTTCTAAACGAACAAACCTGCTATCTCCCGTCTTAGAAGCTCTCAAATCACAAGAGGACCCTGCCACGCTGGAATCCATAGCAAAAGCATTGGGTGATGGAAGCCGAGATGGTAAGTTGCGCCCTCAAATGTTCGGCATCTTGCTTACCTAGACACAGTTGCTTGGAGGATACCCTACGGAGACTCAGGCATTCTTGAGTTCTTTCTCGATGTTCTTGCTTCTGATGAACAGCAAAGCCATGGTGTCAAGGTTCAGGCTCTGCGTGTTACTGGCAATTCTTGTGCCGATACGGACCAGAACCGAGCTCGGGTCGTTGAGGGGAGGTACATTATTTCCTTCATCAACCATCTTCAGGACAAAAGCCTTGTCCCGTACTTGATTCCTGTCCTCTATAATGTCCTTGTAGACTACGGTAAGTCTTCCTTAACGCCCTCGATACCATTTGGAAACTCACATTCACAGAACCCGCTCAACGTCTCGCATCTGAATCCAGACTGAGCAGTCATCTCATCGCTCTTTTGCAGTCCCCCAATCTCTCCGACTTCAGTCCTCTAGTTACCTACTTCTGCAAAATCTTCGCCCTTCTTATCGCACAAGACGGCGAGGTAGCCGTCGCGGACCCTCAAACTGCCTCTACACTCCTCAAGCTTGCTGCCAGCCCTGACCACAACTCTGATATCGAGGACTTCCTTGCTCTTGTATCGACTTCAGCAAGCTATCTCGCAAACGAATCTTTCCAAGAACGACTTCTTACGTCGAAGCAGGCAGATGTCTTTGTCAAAGTGTTTTACATCGCGCACACGCAGTTTGACTCGGAGCTTGATGATGAGGATACAGCTAAGGAGCTGGGACAGCTTTGTACTTCGTTGCTCACGACGTTGGCTGATCTGACTGGCAATGATGCTTTCCCTGCGCTTTACCCTCTCGAAAGTTCGGTACCTCAGTCACTTCTGAGATGGCTGAAGGAGCCACATTCTATTCTACAGTCTGCGGCTTGTCTCGCTCTCGGCAACCTTTCACGATCGGATCAGGCCTCTACTGCTTTCGTACAGAAATACCAGGCTCATGATCCTCTCGTTGCAATTCTTTCTGATTCAGAGGTTACTGACGCTCAGCTTCTCCACGCCGCGCTGTCGTTCCTCAAGAACCTTGCCATCCCCGCACAGAACAAGCCACTGCTGGGAGATCTCCTTGAGCCCGCAGCAATTCCTCGGATATTGACTATCGACACTCTTCTGCAAGTTCAGTTCTCAGCAGTTTCGCTACTTCGCCTGCTTCTTGTCAACTGCGCAGGAAATGTCCGCCGAGTTACCTTGCCGAGAACTGCTGAGGCAGAAGGATCTTCCAGCAAGCATACAACTGTTCACGATGTGATCTCGCTATTTGATCGCTCTGATACAGAACCTACCAGGCTTGAGGCTGCACGAAGTGTTGCTACTGTGTGCCGTGTACTTCATACCATTCCCGTCGATGAAGTCCTCTCCGGATGGAACTCTGAGAATGAAAAAGCACAATCGAGGAGCCTGTTCTATGCCGGCCATGACCTTTCCCAAGTACTCTCCTTCCTCATCACCCAGGAGAAGTGGCCCATATTAAGATCCGAGGCATGGTTTGTCTTTGCTCTCATGTCACGATCCAAGGACGGCGCAAAGGTTGTCGCTCAGGTGCTTACTGTTTCCGGGGCCACAGATGCTCTCAGTTATGCAGTCATTGGAAAAGCCAACCCAGACAACCAAACTCCTCAGATCGAGGCCGGCGCTCCAGAAATCCCCCCAGGTATTCCGGAAGAGCTCGCTTTGGAACCTCAGCAGGTTGACCCCAAGCAAAAAGCGAACATGGCCAAGGTGGACAGAGAAAATTGTTTGGTGCTGTGTACCGAAGTTGTCAAGAATGGAGAGACCCTGGAGTCGGATCAAGTGAGTCGGCTGCAAAGCTTGGTCAGGAAGGGTACCGAGTTGCTGGGCAAAAAGGCGGATGAGTAGATTAGTCTAGAAGTATGTGGATAAATACAACTCATGTCGAGGGAAACATATACAATCACATCACATAAAGGGTTGGCCCAAATTGAAATCGTAAATGATAACTTTTAACAAGCAGACACCATATACACGTCAAGCATCCATTGACAAGTGATATTAGAACAAGGCCGGTGATCATGCAGTAAATTTCTTGAGCTGGACCTAGAGTATCCTCCCTCCAAACCCGGCCAAGCCTTTCATCAGAGCCTCGAACCGACGTTGCCCCTGTCTTGGAGACGCAAAGAGCAAAACCCTCAAACACCAGTTCCCTTTTTGCAAGTTTATTTCTTGGCCGTCTCGGCCTCGGCGGCATCCCGCACACGCTTCTGGCGGGCACCCTCGTAGCGGGCGTTGGCCCGAGAAACACGGAGAGTTCGGTAAGCACCGGCCTCGATGTTGGAAGGCATGTCGCTCTTCTTGATCTCCTTGAACGCGATGTCGGTAGGGGCAATAGGGAAGGCGGAGGCGAGGAGAGCAGCCTTCTCGACCTTGGAGACGTCGGTCTTGGTGTCACCCTTCTTGGGGGCGTTGGATCGGCGGGGAAGAAGGATCAGTCGCTCCTGGTAAGCCTTAAGGCGGGCGACGTTGGCAGCAAGGGACTCCTCGCTGAGGTTCTGTCGGCGGAAATCGACGGCGATTCCGATGGTGGAAGCGAAAGCCTTGGGGATACCAGCCTCCTGTAGAGATTGTCAGATCCGAACACTTGCATTTCTCTCGAGTCGTTTTTTTTTCCGACCGAGATACATCGAGAATCATACCTTGAGCTCAGCCAGGGTGAAACCACGGCCGGAGCGGACACGACGGTTGTACTTGATGGTAGGGCATCGCACAACGGGTCGGAGCTTGTCGACGGGTCGGGGAGCGAGGGCAGCAGCCTTGGCCTTGCGGGCTGTGCGTCTTCTCGACTTCTTACCGGGCTATTCCAAAGAGTCAATATTTGTGTGCCTTTGTTAAATTTCGAGAAACCAAGACATGTTCGTCTTCTCGTCAGGGTATCGCCATACCTGGTCGAAGTGAGTTCGAACCCGACGCTGCCAATCCTTGCGGAAATCTATTCGAGGAGTCAGTTCCTCAGTTCCATATGTCGACGGTTCATCGGGGAGGTGGTGCTGGCTCACGGTTGCTGATGATCTTCTGGTTGTAGCGGATCGCCTGTAGGAATCAAGGTCAGCGAATGCTGTCGACAACAACAGCGACGGCAGCGGGCATGACAATAGTCATTTCCTCGTCGCATTGGGCGTATCTCCATACCATTTTGTCTGCTTGCGATCAACGTGCTCCGATTGTCGATGTCGTCGGGTCGTGAGGCGTGGAAATTTCGGCGGGTTGAGGCTTGTCAAATTCCAGGAAAGGGTTTTCGAGCCCTACCTTCCGCGTTCTTTGGTGGGGGGGCTAGCGAGCTTAGCGGAAGGTGCGGGTCACGTGCTTGTGGGCTTCGCACCTTCTGAATTTTTGGTTCCTGAGCGGACTATTGTTAGAGCGGGGAGCCGTGGGAAGACTGCGAAGGCCTTCATTATGGGTCTTGTTAAAGGTGATATTGTCCAATAGTTGCCTCTCGAGCCTGAGAAATCAATTGAAGTTTTGGACAATTGGTACAAGTTTGAAAGACCCTGAAACAGGGTGGTTCTACAATTGAAGTCATCACGAGAAAGGCAATAACCAATTATGTTTGCTGGTCTCCCAAGTCCAGACGAGAAATGAATGTCACCAAGTACATTGACAACTGTGTTATATCGACAAATCCTTTTTCAATTCACAGTCTACGAGTCTCGTCTGGCAAGAAAAAGTACAGTTGAGGAAAAAAGAATGTCTCCGTCTACTACAAAGTAAGAGAAAGAGAAGAAAGCGACAGCAGATCAATCATATTCTTGCTCGGAGAAGTTGCCATTGAGCTTTGCCGAAGAGCTACATGCTCTCGGAGGGATAATAAAATGTATCATAATATGATGCCCTGTGTGACAACACCGTACATACAAGAGTGCATGGGAGATACAGCGTAGCATTCGACTTGTAAGTGTGCAGGATGTCAGTGCAACAAGCATTTGAGTGCAGGCAGTTTACCGAATCATAAGTGGCCACCAATGAATTTGTGTGTCGTCCTGCAGGTCATGGCGCTAGACTGCTACCTAGGTAGTCCAGACTCCTCACTACACCCATAAATCCATCAAAAATCTTGGACTCGCATGTATTCTCAAAATACAACATTTCAAATCACATACGTTTTTACGAATACATAATCTCTTTTTCACGGTTGACAGTTGACACCCGCAAGGCAGATGCACGGCACTGCATAATATCAGGCAGTCACAGCCCGTGACCCCAGGCAGCAATCTCCCAGCCCCGTCACGCCTTAACCTCAAGGCAGCCACCCCTTCCTCAGAAACCTATAAAGGACCGCTCCTCGCACTGCACTCATGAATCTGATTCCTTTCTTCTTCATACTTACCTTGTTCGGACCAAGCCAGCTCATGAAGTGGCAGGGTCAGCATGAAAGGCCTGCATTGCACACACGCGGAGTCGTTTTCATGCTCTATTGCCTTTCTGAGGCCATAGGGGGCGGAATTTTTGATTGAGAACCCATCTTTTCATTGTGATCATGGCTTGATGCCGTGACATGAAGAAGAGAGTTGCAACATACATGTTTGAGATTTGTAGTCGTTGAAATGAAGTGAAGGCTGCGAAGCTACCTAGATAGGTAGGAAGTAAAGTCAGGTCGTGTCGGCGTCGTATATGCTTCGTTGATATAGCATGACACCAGATTTGAAGCTCGCGATGCGATAACGCGCCGTGATGTTAAAACCACCAACATTTCAGCAGTGCGCATTTCTTGACACCAGATAATGTTGCTGTTCTCCTCACCGACTGCTTCTCGGTCCTTCATCACTGCATTCATCGTATCCAAGAGATACTCCGTAGAGCACAAGTCGCAAAAACTGACAATCTACAATGTTGTTTCGTGTATACCTGTCAGCAACAGACTTTAATACCGTAACATAGATTATTTATCCAACTCAAACCCAATACACTATTATCACCACATATCAAAGTCCATACTTACGCAATAATCGATCGTCAACATCATCTCATCATCAATAAACTCTCTACCTTGTCTACAGCCCACCTCCTCTCACCCGAAGCTACTCCGCACCAATGAAATTTCCACAATTCCTCGCTGCACGCCGTTCGACATCCGAAAAATCTCATGACACCACTTCCCATCTCATCCCGAGTCGACGTCCAAAGAGAGACCCCACGGTCCGCCCGCAAAAATAAATACAGTCTCTCCTCAAAACGATACAGGATTGCTTCTGTGAAGCCCGATTAATCCCCTCCGAGCGCCCGCAGCAATGGCTTCCAGAATGGGCCCCAGAAGCGTCAAGGACGCCACCCGCTTTACGTCCACGATCCCCCACGCAACCTCCAAGACGACCCAAAGAACAGCGCGCATTCCCGGAGAGACACCCGAGCAGCGCGTGAGGCGACTGCGCCAGGCTCATCTGGCTGCTCAGCATGCCCAGGTTAGCAAGACGGATAGGATCATTGATGTGTCAAGGAGATTCTTTGACGTAGCGCACCGATGGACAGTGGGAAGCATTGTGATATTCACAGGTACGGAAACATTATCAAATAACTTGGAAACCTCGCCGCTAACAAACGCCAATAGCTGTCGCTGGTGTCGTCTCCGTATACTCCGTCTGGGACATGGTCCGATATAACCGTGCCCGCCGCGCCGAATGGGTCGAAGCCCAGAAGAAACTCGAAGACAACGAGCTCGCCATGGCCCGCCTGGCCTACATCAAGGGAGAAGCCACCGAGGACCAGATTCTCCTCGTGGAGGAGGCCAACCGCGCCGCCGAGGCAAAGGGCGAGAAGCTACCACCTCTGCTGTCCGCCCCCGAGCACCGAACACATTTCGAGGAGCACATCAAGCCCACATTCCAAGATAAACCCGAGGAGAGCGTTGCAAAGCCGACAAGTGGCAAGGGCGTTATGGGAGTATTCTCCGGTGTGTTGGGCAGCGGGGACGGCAAGGAGCAATCGACAAATGGAACTAGCAGAGAAGGACAGGAACAGCTGGTGCAGTTGGAGACGGCGAGGTCAGAGAATGGACAACTGGTCGGGGGCCCTCTAGACCGACTAGGCGTCGAGCCCACGGGCAGCTCAACTACAAGCAAGTCGTGGTGGAAGTTCTGGTGAAGTGTATAATTTATATAATTGGAAAGACAAAACGGCTGGACGAAAAGGACGCATAGCGGAGTGTACGTTGCGGGAACCAAAAGGAGTGTATCATATGTGTAGATTGGCAGTGCATTAGACGGCGTCGGGGGACCATCTTGTATGTACCATCAAGGGGAAAAGCCCTACTTTACCATATCAATTCAATCAAGCGATCAATCAAATATCATAACTATTTCATGTGTGCTTGAGTAAACATGAGCTATGGCTCAATTATTTATATTGACATTATCACTGTTCTGGTATTTCCATTGATACCGGACGGTCTCAAGACGGTCTCGCTGATATAATCCCTATCTCCGTGCGGGAGTCCCATGTTTGCCCCAAGTGCCCCAAATGCCCAATGCTATCCTTAAGCCGCTTCCCAGTTCCATAACGCCATGTGACAAAATAAAGATAAAAGACAGTCTTTCCCGGTAGTGTTCAGTTCATTTTTAGTCCAGTCCAATACTGGAACCGTGGATATGATATAATAGCCAAGATGGTGGCTCTTCCATCTTGTGGAGAATTCTCTCCTGTGACTGAAGCTGTTCAGCTTACACTCACAAGTCAAAGCGCATTAGCTTCGGCTTTGCCAAATCAAAACTGAGAGGTAGCTTTGATTTCTGCCGTTTTTCTCTCCAATTGAGCGGTCTCACGCCACTGTCCTATAGCGACGAGTGTTCATTGGGATCCATGATAATCTTTTGGTTCTCCTAGGAAACGATGATGTGGTTAAAGTGACCTGGGACTTTGAGACGGCATTTTTCACAATCTGCTCGATACCCTATACTGAAACTCTTCTTCATGCCGGGTTGCCATGTCCAGTTATTGACAGTGTGTCGGCTGCGGATGTGGCCCCTACGGGGGGGAGAAGGTGTGGTTGGGTCATTATCACCATCGGCTGAATGAGCTGAGCAGTGAGATTCAACGTCCATCATATGATGTTCCGTATCATGAGGAGGTGAAGGCTCGACAGTCACATTGGGATGCGCCATCCCAGGAGTAACAAAACCATGGGCACTGGCATCAAACTGCATCCCAGTAGGAGTGATGGGTTGGCATACCATAGCATCATCACACTCGGAAATGGGGGAAGGAAGACGTCGTTCGTTCTGAGCAGCCTGCCACCCTCCGGCCATCGTACGAGGGATACTCTGATCATCGTTAAACCCCGTGTCTTGGTGACCAAGATTTGTGACCCCGTTAGGAGTTGGCACTGTTTGCTGGCCTCTGACCTGTGCCGCAAAGCTAGGTTGAATGGGAGTTGGCATACGTCCGTTGATATTGCCAGGCTCCAACTGCATCTCGCCCATATGGCCCATCCCGTTTTGCTGCTGAAATTGATTTGATTGCATCATATCCATATCGGAATAACCATGACCCTGTGATGTCATGTTCGTTGAGGATTGCCATTGTGAAAAGTTATTTTGTTGAAGCTGGTCGTGGCTGATCAGGTGTGGCGGCAAAGACGAATCGGACATGTATTGTTGTGTGGTTCGAGGAGATGCACGGAGAGGAAGGCACTGGATTCGTTTCTACTAAAACTTAGTATTTGATGCCATGTGAAAACGCCTGACAGAGCAGGATGATATGAGACTAGACTTACGTTTCTATGCTCACCGAAGCTCATGCTGTTAGCATTAGCCAACTCTTCCTCTTCTCGAGCCCGTTTTCGCTGGTCCAATCCGCCATGCTGAGCGGCGAACATGATGTCTCTGGTCGTATGCTACAGTTCGGTGTAGAATAATTGTTGTTCAGCAACTACTGGAGAAGATCCGACGATTTGGATCAAATGATGTCGGCCAGGCTATCGGACCCTGCGTGTTAATGCGGGTGGATACGTGCTGTAGACGAACAAAGGTGCCTAGGCAAGTCGTACAGTAGTACCGCGGGGGTAACCGATGCAAGGCGATGTTAATGAGATAACGTTGTGATCCGAGTCAAAGCAAGAGTGTCAAGTGTGTGGTGGTGATGCTGCAGACAAAATATCAATGCGATAACGTCAATGACAAAGCCAAGAGTAAGAGGCTGGGCCGGAGAAAGTCAGGAAAAAGAGTTGAGGTTGGCGTGGGCGTTGGCAAGAGTCTTTAGTTAGAGTTGAGTTCACCAGGAAGGTGGCGGCCTGTCGTCGGCGAAGGAAGGCACGGGTAGTGGATCGGAGGCTGTGAGGGGGGGAAGTCAAGCTTGGAACGCAGGCAGTAAGCCAGTGGGCGGAGGCTGGGGATTGGTTTCTTTTGGCTGGGCTGGGCTGAAAAGATGACCAGCAGCAAATCAGAAGCAAAGAACAAAGAAAGTGAATAACAGGAAAGTGATAGTGAGACAATTGGAAGGAGCGGGGAAACAGGATGATCTATAATGTCTTGCTTATAGTTTGGGGGTATCGTATCGGTGCTGTGAAGCCGAGTTGTAAGATATCAGACGAAAGTAAACAAAGGAAAAGTAAGGGTGATATGCGCAGCAATTGTCGAATTAGGTATTGTTGAACCAAGAAAGAGAGCAGCAAGTGACACTCTGATTAGCTTGTTTAGAAGCTCGATGAAGTGAATGATTGAATTGTACGGAGTAGAGAATAACGTCACTGAAAGGAAAAGGGGTCGGTTGGTTCTGTGAATCGTGAATGAAAAGGAAGGCCAAAGTTTGTAGATTACGGAGACCAACGCCACGGCGCGCTTCAGACCAGACGATTTGATTCCCTCGTATCTTTTAGTCGTGGGGTGGTCGCCGAGACTCCGAGCGATCCCTTGAAGGAAGAACGATGACCTAATTGACCCTTGATGAGGCTTGTCATGCTCATGCCATACGGAGTACTAAAACGCACGCTCATCAAGCATCGCATCACGGGAGAGAAAGTCAAGAGGCGGGCTGAGTGGACAGCCTGTAGCCCTGCACTAACAGCAAGGGTAGGGGTCTCACGGGCCCATAGATCCGCTGTCCGAGGCTGTCCAGACGCAACGCGATTCACCACGTTTGACGAGAGTTGTGAGAGTTGAGATGTTGTCAACAGAACTTGGCTGTCTTAGTTTCAGTTATGTTTCGCTTGCTTGGATCTCGTCTCAGTAGGACACGAGTCCATTCTGGGACGTTAAAAACGGGCATGATCTGGTCCGAATGTCTGAGACAAACCTTCTGCAAGTTGGCGCAGATCCTTTACTCGGGCGTTGGATCATCCGGAGGTGATGTAGGGTAGTGTTATACGAAAACCTCAAATGTCAATGCAATCCCCTTGTAAGAGTACATGAACTATTTTCCTTCCTAGAGTATTGGCGTAGGCCGATTTATCATCGTTCATTTCAGGTCATTTCTAATGCTTTGGTGGTTCACAATTGCCCCTTTTCTCGGTGACACACATTCCTATGTGTAACTGATGAACCTCCAAAGTTCTGAATTCGGGGAGATTTGCAAACCGCCACGATACCAATAATCCATGTCACAATATGCTTACATACCGACGTCACCAAAATCCTCTCTCCCTTATATATATTTTATGAGATGCAATTACCGCCAACATGAAAAGGTTCATGTTTACTTCAAGGGCACAACTGATCATCGTATGTTGATTCACGTTGTTTTCCCAGACGCGTTTATTGGCAGGGAGAGATGCCGGTACTAATGGACACTAGAAGATGATCCTTGTGTCTTGGAGGGACCCTTGAACCCCAGATCAGACTCATCAGAGATTACCATATGGAGTACAGTAGCTGGGTATTTTGTAAGTGGGAGAATATCAACATGCCATATGAGGAGGCATTGAGGCGGGAACACACTATCGGTATTCAATGGCCACCTATTTCATTTTCCTTTTTTCTGTCGGTTAACAACCTCACTCATCCAGAGAGCTAATGCAATGCGACTGTGAACATTCACTGCATGATGGCCTCTCACAAAGTTGCGGAGGTTACACCCTTTCGAGCGGGAAAGGTAGAATCGGCGGCGGTCAAAAGGATCATCCGTTCCTTGCATGCAGCTCAACCACCAACCTCCGACATAGGCGGTACACCCCGTTCCAGTGTTATACCAGAGCCTCAACAGCCCGAGCATGTGCTGCCCAGAGGAAAAAAAGAGAAAAGCCATGGATTATCCACATGTCAAGAAATATACAGTCTGTTATTTCTACTCAATTGCCTTCATCCTAATACCTCGCATAACCGAGATGTTGAGCGCTGCTCCGGACCTAAACCGGAGCCAATTGGGCCTGGACCATTGATAATTTGTGAAATTCTAGAACCCTGACGTAGTTGGCCAGTGTATCTCGCCTGCAGAAGGTGACCTAAAAAAGGACCCCTCGGTGGGGTCACCTCCGAAGCCCCTCCGGTGTGAGTGCTACTCTGCTTGGGCTGAAGTCCATCCAGACTTTTGAGTCACCCTAAGCCAAAAAAAATTGTGTCTACTCTACTGTACCATAGTATCTCGACAACCTCTTCGTTTATACTTGTCCTTTTATACTTTGACGTACACCACATTTCCCAATTCCAAGCCTCGTGGCGTTTGTACTGAAGTTTCTTTGACTCACTCCGTCTCTCTATCCTGTCGCCTACCTCCGTGGAGCTACACACTAAATATCACTACCCGCCCAAGGTAAATCCTAACCCCTCCATACCAAAATTCTATTTGCAACAAGAACACCTCAGCTCACATATTCACAATGCCGTCAGCCGTAGACATGGTTTCCATCGCTGCCGATGACACAAGAGGTCAGTACATGAGCTTGATTTGTGGTTTTACTGCACCTGCACAGCAATTGGAACCAGAGGACTCATAATGCTTGTGGCAACTCTAAATTCATGCGCCAACTGGCCATGACCTGAAAATGAGAGGACAAGATCATAGCTTCGTCAGATTGCAGATGATTCAAACCTGCCACATTCATGTACACTAGTTCGGTATAGAAACAAGCATGGCTAACTTGACACAGTCCTCGGACAGGATCCTTTGATCCCTCCCGCCCTTCTCACCTCCGAGATCCCTCTCCCCGAGAAGGCCACAAACACTGTTGTCAAGGGTCGTCAAGATGCCGCCGATATTGTCCTTGGTCAAAGCGACAGACTCCTCGTTGTCGTCGGCCCCTGCTCTATCCACGACCCTGCCACCGCCCAGGAATACGCTGCCCGACTCAAGGAGATGTCTGACAAGCTCTCGGACGATCTCTGCATCGTGATGCGCGCCTACCTTGAGAAGCCCCGAACAACCGTTGGCTGGAAGGGTCTCATTAACGATCCCGATATCGACAACTCCTTCAAGATCAACAAGGGTCTCCGTGTGTCCCGCCAGCTCTTCGTTGACCTGACCACCCAAGGTCTACCAATTGCCACCGAGATGCTCGACACCATCTCTCCTCAGTTCCTCGCTGACTGTATTTCCGTCGGTGCTATTGGTGCCCGTACCACCGAGTCCCAACTTCACCGCGAGCTTGCTTCTGGTCTGTCTTTCCCCGTCGGCTTCAAGAACGGCACAGACGGCAGCCTTGGTGTCGCCATTGACGCTATTGGTGCCGCCGCTGCTCAGCACCACTTCATGGGTGTCACCAAGCAGGGTCTTGCTGCTATTACCCGCACTAAGGGTAACGAGCACTGCTTCGTTATCCTCCGTGGTGGAACCAAGGGCACAAACTTCGATAAGGAGAGTGTCCAGGCCGCGAAGAAGGTCCTACAAGACAAGAAGCAGAAGGAGGCCATCATGGTCGACTGCTCTCACGGTATGCTTGACCACTACCCCCATAGACCCTCGTCACTAACTTGCTCCAGGCAACTCCTCCAAGAACCACAAGAACCAGCCCAAGGTTGCCAAGGTTGTTGGTGACCAACTCCGTGAGGGTGAGAAGGCCATCATCGGTGTCATGGTTGAGTCCAACATTGGCGAGGGTAACCAAAAGGTTCCCGCCGAGGGTCCTGCTGCCCTCCAGCGCGGTGTCAGTATCACTGATGCTTGCATTGGCTGGGAGGACACCGTCGCTGTGCTCGAGGACCTCGCCGACGCTGTCCGCACCCGTCGTCAACTCAACAGCTCCTAAATAGTTGCCGTTCAGGGGTAGAAAGTGACAGGATTCGCATATGAACGATTTAAAAATGTTGTGTAAGATTGGGAGTTAATGACCAGACCTAGGTAGAAAGGTCAGGAGGTGGAAAATTCGGCGTATATAGGTTGCATTGAAATTGCCATGATGCCTGGATTGTTCAAGATGTGTTCATAAATGATTGTAACCTGTACTATAATAGGGTCAATGGACCTTTGTAGACCTCACGATACCGTAGACGCCAAACACCAATAACTCCGGTGACAGATCCCGTCTGTAGCACATCTGCTTGAGCAAAGATAAATCTGAATATTTCATTAACTCATCGGAAGTTCCCAGGCATTGGAGCATAATTGCTGTTCTGCCTCCCAAACACAGGCCCCTGGCGCCACGCCACAACCTTCTTGAAAGCAGCCCAGCCCAACAACCCGACAGTCCCAACAATGAACGCCCAGACAATGATCTTGTCCTTGTTGCTGTCACGCTGGAAGCACATCGTCGAGACATCCTCCTCGGTTGCGTCCTTGCAGAAGTCGATGCCCTGCTTGAGACAAAAGGCCTTGGTGCATTCGGAGCATGATTTGGACTTGGATCGCGGCTCTAGCTGGGTGCTTGGGATGTCGAGGATGGTACGGCGGAGCTGGGAGGAGGATGTCTCGTCTTTGGGACCTAGAGGGATGATGGTGCTGTTCTTAAAACAGGTGCATTTGCAAAAGGTGGGCGCGGCTGGGGAAGCATTAGCTATCGTTAGGACAGGTAATGAGGACTTTCGCTTACATGCTGCTGCTAGCGAGATGAGGGCCCCCAGTAGGAGGAGAAACAGCGATATTCGTGCCATTGCGGCTAATCTTGGGGTAGAGATGAGGTTGCTTATCAGTAGAGACTATGGAGGTCGCGCGTTGATCACTTGAGGCTATCGATAGTTAGCGACAAGTGGGTCCAACCCCGGCCTCTATCTCAGCCTCGTACGCCCCCATTGGCCAATAGAGCCACACTGGAAAAAGTTACCATATTGAACTTGTACCTCTCTAACCCGTCCCATCATCACGGATTCTCTCGCCCTCACCTCCCCCACCTCCGACTCACCACCTCACAATGCCTCGAATACCGCGGGTCGGCGCCCTTGCCTCGCTATCAACCACCGTCACACCCATCAGCCGAATCCCCTTCGTTGCCCGCGCCACCTTCTCGACATCCTCGCCCGTCAACGCTCTCGGCGACAAGACGCAATGGGTCCGCAAGCAGCTTTGGAAGGGCGAGGCTCCCGGTGCCGCAGACCCTTATAACGAACGTGCGGAACCGTTGGAAACCACAAACTTGCCAGATGAGGCCCTAGATCTGTCACAAGTGGACCGCAGACCCTATCCCCTGCGCAATACTCGCCTTGTGCTGCCACCCCACCATTCCGAGGCCATGACGGAGAAGGAGATTGAGTCTGTTGATACTGGGTATACGCCTGCGACCACAATTGACGAATTGGAGGAGATTGAGCCACTCAAGACATGGTGGGAGCAACCCGGCCATTGGGGCGAGGAGAGCGAATACCAGGGCTTCGGTAACGCAAACCGCATTCAGGATGAGGCAGTCCTGGAGATCTACCTGCGACAGGCTTTGGTTGAGTCACTTTCATACCAACAACGAGGTCTCCTCGAGGAATATGCGGCAAAGAAGTGGCCCATTGGTGACCGGGCCCACCTGGACCGAACGCTGTCTGTTGGAATCCGGTTCAAGGACGGAAAGCCTCTGCTGAGCACACATTTCCGAATTGTGACCGAGAAGCTGAAGGCTAGACCTGCTGAGCTTGAGAATGTTGAGATTTCTCCTGAAGAGGCTCGGCAGATCGTCAGTGCGTGGGACCCCTCATGGAAGACCGCCACTCTTGACAGCGACCACCTCAAGTTTGCCGTACGTACACCACTCGTCACGAGATATTTGAAAGCATACTAACAAAAACCCAGGTCCGCAAGCGTCTCTTCCAACTAACAGGCCACTTCATCCCCGACGTCAAGCTCGGTGCCGCCTGCACACCACAGGAGCTCATCACTCTAGCGCTGACCTTCTCCAAGCGCGGTAAGAAGCTCGCCGAGGTCCTAGAGGACCAAAAGGCGCTTCCCACACTGCCCAACGTGACAGTGCACAACAAGAGAGTAACGCCCATTGACCGCGAGGTCTCTCTTGGTCGATGGAAGGTCATCGAGGAGGAGTTGCGGAAGCGTGATTTGCCCGTTACTGGCTCAGGGGGTTATGGCAAGAATAAGGAGCGGGATTGGCTGACCGGTAAGGCTTAACGAGGGTAAAAAGAACATGTGAGGTGTATGAGCAGAGTGGTGGTGTACGACCGTGTATATCTGTACATGTATAATAGACAAACAAAGAAATTTTGCATCATTTTTGCACTGAACTTATCTCAAAAGTGCAGAGCAGTTGATATAGTATTTGGTAACGAGAAACGTCGTAGCATAATCAAGACACAAGACAAGCAATAAAAGCCATCATGAATTGACACACAATCAACAATAGCGACCCAGATATATAAGATATTGAATGGTGATATAATGTAGAAGCCCACACGGTATGTGAGCAGGTTTCAGCTTCTTATTTATGCATATGTAATGACGCCCAAGTTCATGCCCTCATGCAGCTATTTTACAGGTATTTGTTATCGCGGAGCCATTGCTTGACATCCTCCTTGTCCCTTGCGAGCCAGTTTTGCTTTGCCTTCATAGCATCGAGACTCTGCGCCAACTCCAGGTCGAATCCCTTGCTCCCCTTCTCTTCAAAGAAACTCTTCACCTCCGAAATCTGATCATGATGTGTGAAAGAGCTGGTGGAAATGGCTACCATATCACCAAGGAGAGACATGCCAGGGGGCAGTCGCTTGGTGAGAACATCCCAGTTCTCCTTGACCCATCCCCAGAGCGCCAAGACACCTTGCTTGTGAGCGCGGAGAGCACTGAGAGGCATGTAGATATCTTGAGTCTTGACGTTGTCACTGAGGGTGTACTTGAAAGTTCGCTCGATGAGGGCAGGATCCTTTGCGAAGCCAAGCGATCGAAGAGCGGTGTTTCTCTCACTGCTTTGCTTGGCAGTCTCATACTCCTTGAGAACAGCGTTGTACTCCTTCTCACCTCCATAAGTCAACACAACACCGAAAACGCTAGATCGGAGGTTGGGCTGCAGAGCGTCTCGGTCGCCATTAATGAACTTCTCGAACAGCTCGAATGCTGCTTTCTTGGTAGGCTCATCCTCAACAATGGCGGCCTTGCCAAACATTAGTGCCTTGAAACGCTGAGCGGTAAAGTCATCAGCGTCCGTGATGTCCCAACCAATCTCGTTCGCAATCTTGCTAACCAGATCTCTTTGGAAAGCCTTAAGGGCTTTGTTGACATCATCATCTTCAAAAATCCAGGCATCGCGGAGAGAGCCAACACGGAGGGTAATCTCATCCCAGACAATGAACTCATTTTCAGAGTCGAAGCCTTGGAGGAGGGACAGCAAGCCAGATGTCTTTTGATAACCAGCAGCAGCAAGGGCACCAGCATCAGCGATCATTCCAGCTCTGTCCTCAACACCCAGCAAACCTGCCTTGGCGTTTTGTCCGAGCTTTTGAAGTCGTTCGCTGGAATAAGATGTACGGTAGATACCAGAGTGGCCAGAGTTGATCTTGAAGAAGTCGAAATCAGACACCTTGAAGTCGGCCTCACGTGTGTTGAGCGCAAGGTCCTCTTGGATACCGTCCTTGCTTCGAAGGTTAAGGAATACAGGGTAGAGAACTTCATCCTCTTCTGGCTTGACGTCGGCGGTTCTAAGGAAGCGGTTCTGCTTGACATGGATCGTACCCTTGGATTGATCCTCAGTGACTGCTACGACAGGGTAGCCGACCTTCTTGGTCCAAATATCGGCGACACGCTCAACGTCCTTGCCGCTAGCCTCGCTAAGAGCTGCCCAGAGATCAGTAGTCTCAGTGTTGCTGTAGGCATGTCTGTCGAGGTAGATTCGAATACCCTTGAGGAAGACATCCTCACCCAGATACTTGGAGATCATACGCAGGACACAAGAGCCCTTCTCGTACGAGATGGCATCGAAGATCTGGTTCACCTCGTCTGCGCGCTTGACAGGCACTTCGATGGGGTGAGAGCTGCGAAGAGAGTCGAGACCCAGAGCGGATCGCAGATCCTCGGTAACGTAGCCCTCCCAGATCCTCCACTCGGGATAGAAAGCGTTGGAAGAGTACCAAGACATCCATGTCGCAAAACCTTCCTTTAGCCAAAGACCATCCCAGAAGTCCATTGTGACTAGGTTGCCGAACCACTGATGAGCCAGCTCGTGCTGAACAACCTCTGCCACACGCTTCTTGGTAACAGCACTGCTGGTCTTCTCATCCAGGAGAAGATCAACCACTCTGTAGGTAATGAGACCCCAGTTTTCCATGGCTCCAGCAGCAAAATCAGGAATGGCAACCATGTCCATCTTGGGAAGAGGGTATTTGCTGCCAAACTGCTCCTCGTAGAATTCGAGTGTTCGTGCTCCCAGCTCGGCTGAGAAGACTGCATGGTCGAGGTTTTGGTCGGGAGTGCACCAGACTCGAATGGGAACTCGGAAGTTGTTGGTCTCATAGTGCTTAAGGTCACCAATGACGAAAGCCAAGAGGTAGGTAGACATAATCGGAGTCTTGTTGTAAGTGATGGCCTTGCTCTTCTTACCTGTGACCTTTGAGTCGACTTCTTTCTCAGAAGCAACATCCATGTTGCCCAAACAGACCAAGTCCTTGTCTGCGATCAGTGTCACAGTGAAGGTTGCCTTGAGAGCCGGCTCGTCCAGGCAAGGGAATGCTCGTCGGGCATCAGTGGCCTCGAACTGAGTGGTAGCCATGTACTTGGTGTTGCCCTGCTCATCCTTGTATGATGACCGGTAGAAGCCTGCCATATCATCGTTGAGAGTACCGGTGAAGCGCTGAGTCAACCTCGCCTTTTGACCTGCAGGAATCGTCTTATCGAAGGTGATGGTGGTAGTTTGGGAATCTTTGTTGTAGTCGAGAGTGGGCGAGGAGCTGATCGTGGTATCGTTGGCCTCGACGAGGGTCTCGTGAATCTCAAGGTCCACCGTGTTGAGGGCAATGGAGGTTGTATCCTCAACTACATCGAAGTCGATGACAACAGTACCCTCATACTTGAAGGTCTCGAAGTTAGGCTCAAGGGTAAGGTCGTAGTGCAACGGCTTGACGTTCTTGGGGAGAACCTCGCGGCCACGACGAACATCGAGGCTCGCACTGGCGACGTCAGATCCGTTGCGATACATTGCTCGGCGACAAGAGCAGTTGCGCTGCTGCTGACGACGGACAAGAGAAGAGGTGACTTTGGAGTCGCGAAGAAGCCGAGGAGGATTCGATCGAGATAACGAAGCTTTCGTGAAGCTAGACGAGAGGAAAGAACGTAATTGAGAGGTATGAAGAGGTCGAGAAGGGGTTGTTAGAGAAGAAGCTGATGGGTGAGATGAGGCTCTAGCTCTGGAGCTGATGCGGGGGAGGGGTCCTGAATGGAAGGGACGGGTCTCGGCATTGAAGGCTCCGATGGCAAGCGCAGAGGACCGCGTCACTGCTGAAGCAATGGACGGCAGGCGCAGAGCCCGCCTCGAGCTCGAAGATGTATAAAGGGCCCTCATTGAATGGACATTGAGAGAAACAAGCTCATGGCCTTGAAAATCAATGGCAACTGTGTCGTAGTTGCCGTCGTTGACAAAACGTTATCACTAGGTGTGATCCAAAGATTTCATCTGCAGACTGCAACCCACTTCCCTTTAAAGAAAGCTTGGACCATTCTGCAGATAAACTGACAGGGCACCAAAATAGCACAAGCAAAACTCCCTAAAGCTTGTCTTGTAAACCACGCTATCCTGCAGTGGGCGTGCTATAGTTCCGGTAATTTCTTCCATTCTAGAATTTATATAAGATTATATAACTCATCATAGGCTGTTCTTGATTTATATAATTTTACGTAAGATTATGTAGATTATCATAGGCTCTTCTTAATTTATATATTTTATGTAATTTTATATAACTATTCTAATATCATACATAAACTCTTCTAACTACAATATATTTAATATGATGTACCCTCCCTAACATAAGTATCTCTGGAACTGTAACTATCCGCTGTTGTATCTCGAACTCACTGACTTTACGTTGTATGAGCTATGGCCACTACTCTTAACAGTTTATTTCATTTTGCTCCTATATAGTTACCCAACAAGTGTCTTTAAATACCTAACGCCTCCCTTCGGCTTTTGCTGTTAACATCAAGATACGGCGCCTCACCCAAACTGCAAACTCTGTCGCCGGCCCGAGCCGCCTCATAGTCATACGTCGCGCAATGAAACGTTGATCTGTTATCCCAAATCGCGCAGTCATTCTTACTCCAACGGAAACGCACCTGAGCGTCGTGGTTCTGAGTCACTAGGTTGAAGAGATACGCAAGCAATGTGTCACTCTCATCTTTTGACAGCCCGTTGATGCGCTTGGTGAAGCCCTTGTTGACAAACACGGACTTCCAGCCTGTAACTGGGTTTGTTCTGATAAGAGGATGCACGGAGATGAGGTTCTCGCCTTGGTTTAGAGGTGAACCGCGGATATCCTTGCGGATGGGGTTGCCCAGTCGGCGTGCCTCGTCGTGGAAGAAACTTGCGTCGTGAGTCGCTGTTAGGCCTTCGAGGAATTTCTTCATGGGGTCGGAGAGCCGATCGTAGATCTCATATCCAGATGCCCAGAGCTACAAAAAATTAGCAACATGTTTCTGTGCCGGCAAGATAAAGTGACCGAGCAAGTTGCGGTTACTTCTTCGTGTAAGTGGAAAAGACATACCGTATCACCACCAGTTGCTGGTAGTGTGTGGATCTTAAGCATTGCATAGTCCGAGGGGACCTTCTCAAATGTACTTTTTAAAGTCAGCATATTTCCACCGACATATGTTGGGTTTGTACGCACATATCACTATGCCATCCTGCTGAAGCATATCGACTAACATCACTGAGCTGATGTGTCAAACCGCCTCCCTTCTTCTGCTTCTCACTTGAGATAACACTGATCTGATCACCCAACTCACTGCCCTCTTCCGTCAAAGGATGCACATGTAGTCCAGAACTAGCAGGGCACCCGGCAACGTCTGTGAGCCGTAGCATAAAGTCTTTCATCTCCTCTGGCGTAACATCTTGGTTCTTGAGGAACACCACGCCGCGCTGCGAAATGGTCACAGCAAGGTCTCGAATGTGTGTCTCATCCCATTTCAACAGGTCGCGGATCTGGAGACCGTTGTATTCACGGCCGATGACAGGGGTGACGTCGAGCTGCGGGATAGCGTCAAGACTGCCCGTGTAAGTCAAGGGTTCTGACAAGCGCGGTCGACTCTCGGCGTGTCCACCGATAATGGAATCGCTCAAAACGGTTTCTGGTGCAGCGGAAGGCATGATGCAATATTTGTTCGAGATTAAGCAATCCTATCAATTGATAAGGAAAATAAAGGCCAGCCGTGGATAATTATGTGAAGCTCTCTCCAAAGGCCGGAGTCTCTTTCGGAGGACAGCCATACATTGATAAATAGTTCCTGTCAACCACGGGCCCGGCAGAGCGGCATCACACTAACCCCAAATGGAACCCTCGGACCAGGTCGAATCAAGGCTCTCCGCAAAGACGACATCGGGACTAGAGATGGCATGCTTCACGGGGGAGAAATTCTCGGAGAATCTACCCCCAGCCCCAAACGAGGGGTCAGAACCAATCTCGTGGCGCTAATTACTGCTAATGCTCTGTCAGACGGACGTTGTAGGATGCTGTACAACCGCTATCCGCATTTCTTGGCGGATTGTCATCCCCGGGGACTATCCCTCCATCTCCAATAAGCCCATGAAAGGTTTCCAGATCTGGCTTCATGTCCTTATGGCGTGCGCGCGATCGCGCCACTCACCGTCCCTTGGGTACGGGCACTATCGTAAATTTGCATTTCGCCCGGAGACTCTTTCGGTAGGTAGTATAAACTATGTCGAAGCGTCGACATGTAGAGGCTGCTATATAATATCCTGACCGAGGCCCCAAGTTTGGAGATCATCAGCGACGTGCAACTTGACTCTCCAAGAGCAAGGTCTTTTCTCCAAAGCATTGTCGTTTTTGAATAATTCATTGGGCAATATTTATTTGATTCGCAATGGGTAACCCAGATATCGAATCGAGCCCGGCGGTTGCTGAGCGCACGTCGGTGGATATCGACAAGTCGCAAGTCGGCGTTGGCCGTGAGCAACTCTCCAACGTACTACCACCACACGATACCTATGAGGGCGGCCATCGGTGGGATCCCTCGGCTACATGGACCCCCGAAGAAGAAAAAAGGGCTGTACGCAAAACCGATCTCAAACTTTTGAGTTGGCTGTGTCTTATGGTACGTTGCTGATGAATCGTTGATGTTCAATTTCACTTACACGGAATAGTTCTTTGGCCTGCAGCTGGATAGAGGAAACATCAGTAATGCTCTGGCTGATGACCTTCTGACTGATCTTGGCTTGACGACTGATGATTATAACAACGGAACAACCATTCAAGTCCTGTGCTTCTTGCTCGCTGAATTCCCTGTTCAGTTCCTCACCAAGCGATATGGCTTCAAGCACGTTCTGCCTACCCTCATGGTTTGCTGGGGTCTTGTATCGACTTTTCAGGCCTTCATGACCGGACGGACTGCCTTTTACATCACCCGCGCTCTGATCGGTACTTTCGAGGGTGGTTTTATTCCCGGTGTTATCCTCATGGCCACCTACTTCTACACCTCGAGGGAGTTGTCTATTCGACTGGCAGCTTTCTGGTCTACTTTGAACATCGCCCGAGTCATCTCTGCCCTCCTCGCTGCTGGGTTGATCGAGATGCGAGGTGTCCACGGCCGCCCTGGCTGGTTCTGGCTTCTCCTTCTCGAGGGTCTTCTCACTGTTGTCATTGGTTTCGCTTCCATGGCCTATCTTCCTACCTCTCCAACAGGTACCAAGTCGCTAATCTGGCGCAAGTCTTGGTACACGGAGCGCGAGGAGGTCATCATGATCAACCGAATCCTTCGAGATGACCCGGCCAAGGGCCTAACAGCACTGAAGGAGCCTGCGACATGGCAGGACGTCAAGAATGCATGGACCGATCCTTCCCTTTGGGGTCTCTACTTTATCGGTCTTGTCGCATACATCCCCGCAGCGCCCGTGCAAGCATATCTGACCCTCACCCTCAAACGAGTTGGACACTTCAGCACCTTGGCCAGCAATCTGCTCACCGCACCATCTGCTGCACTCCAGATCATTACCATGCTTGCGTTAGCGTACAGCTCCGAGTATTTCAACGAGAGGGCGTTCCACTGTCTCTTCGGAGAGATCTGGTCGCTCCCGCTTCTCACAGCTCTTCTGACTCTCCCCGACCAAGGTCGCGAATGGGGACGATTCTCAATCATCACTCTTGTGTCTGGTTACCCTTATTTTCATCCTCTCGTGAGTTCCTGGATCTCAGAGAATTCCTTTGATGTGAAGAAACGAGCTATCGCTGCAGCGACTTACAACGTTATTGTTCAAATGTGAGTACACACATATGATATTGCAGACCCACATTTACCACCTACAGATACTGACCAAAAACAGGGGCAGCGTTATCTCGAGTCAAATCTACCGCAAATGGGACGCACCTTACTACAAGAATGGAAACAAGGTGCTGATCTCCATTCTGTGCCTGTCTGTCGTTGTGTTCATCGCCCAGAGACAGTGGCTCGTCCGCCTCAACAAGAAGAAGTCCGACCAGTGGGATCAAATGACCCCAGAGCAGAAGCTCGAATACCAAACAGACAAGGAGCAGCGAGAGATTGATGGAAACAAACGAGTTGACTTTCGATTTGCCTACTGAGAGGAGGAAAGTTTTGTGGGGTGGCCCGCATCGGCTGTGGGGATTAAGCATAAGGTTTAACGTGTTGACCTAAATTTGACCTAAATTTAGGTAGCAAACGTTAGGATCTCCTCTAAGTTTACGGAGTACGTATAATATGGTTAATTAATATCAGCAGACCTCAAGTTTGCTCTATCAGGCATTCCTAGAACATTGCCCTTGCGTATGGGGATGACATTTCTGGGTCTTCTCCTTCTTGTTTCCCCAGTGACTGTTGATACTATATTAGAGTTCGAACCGTTACCAATTGCAGTTGATATTCCCGCTTTCTTCGGTTGAATTCACCCAACGCAGATGTGCGCAGTGACCATTCACATGGATATTGGCTGGCATCATTAGTCATCAAACGATTCTGCATCGCGAACATTGACTGTGCCTTTGGAAGTCAATTCTCAATTCCTCTCAATCCCTCACAATTCCAGCACATCTTATCTCTTCACTCTAAACCCCAACTCATCATCTCTCACTTCAAAATGGTCGTCATCGGACTCGCAACCACCGGCCTTGTCGGCGCCATCCACAGCTACATCCTCGTATTGGAGATGTTTCTCTGGCGCACCCCTCGCGGACGCAAGTCCTTCGGGCTCACGGCCGAGTTTGCTGAGCAGACCAAGACTATGGCTGCTAACCAGGGCCTCTACAACGGCTTTCTCTCTGCTGGCCTGTTCTGGTCGCTTCTTCATCCGAATCCCGTGTTTGCGAAGGAGCTTCAGGTGTTTTTCAACGGATGCGTTTTGGTAGCTGGTCTTTATGGAGGAGCGACGGCGTCAAAGAAGATTCTTTATGTTCAAGCTCTGCCTGCTGCTATTTCTCTGGGCTTCATCCTTTCGGGTGTCTAGAGTGTTGTGTGGAAGGTAAGAGTTCAATTCGTCATATTTTATGTAGCGCTTGATGACTGACTTTGCTAGTAATTTTATGGTTAACTCATTAATCTTCCCTGGTTCTATCCTCAGCGTTGTGAATGATATTAGAGTTACTTGTCCAAATACAGCATTCATTTTGGTGTTCAACATTCAGCTTTCACCCACATTTACCGTGTTGCAAACTGACTAGTTTCAGACAAGTCTCATGAAACACCATTTGTTTTCGGTAGTTGACAAGCTGTAAAGATCCATCGGGAATAAAACGGCTGCTTCATCTAACCGTCTTTCTAGACATGACCGCCTTGTAGGAACCACCAAGCAATTCAGCAAGGAAGCAGTCCTCGGGGTGAAATAAAACATCAGACGTGAGATAAAAAAAAGGCGACTTTATACTATAAGTAGAAAATTTAAATAAAATTATTCTATATTTATATTAACATTAAACTAATTACTAAACATTAGTCTAATATGTAATAACTTTATTATACCTCAGAGTCGATTGCAGTAATTGTGGCATATGGTAGTCTATATCTACTTAATTTCTCACGTCCAAAGTCTTATTTCACCCCCTAGGCAGTCAAACCCGTTGATCATAGTAAGAACGTGCCTCTTCAAATCGGGCACTTTCACATCTCTTTTTGGTAATTGGACTAATGCTGTGATACCTCGCTCTGACAACATATACTGATCCATTGGACAAAGGGCGCCTCACGAGGAAGCTTTTGCAAGCCGTTCATTGCACCATATAGTTTCTAGAACAAAACAAGTTTTGACCCGAGTAACAGGGACGCACATCGGCGTGATTTGGTGATGAGAACTCAATCGTCATTGGTGTTGACAATTGAGTTACATGCGGGATTATGCATTGCTGGTTTAAAGTATCAAATATGTATATTTTTATAATCAATTTATGAGACATATACCTAAACTCCACAAAATCTCTACAATTTATCTGCACCTATGGAGATATACGTACCGGTGAATGGAAATAGTAGTACTGCGATGATCAGGAACTCGATATTCTTCTTCCACGCCCCAGCCGACAACAATTAACACAGGTAATGCCCGCGATATTCTGATGTAGCATCAATGACGATCCTCGAGTGCCGCATAGCCGACTTCACTTACACGGAAATAACTTATTCGTGATCTCGGTTCTGACGGCTGTCAGCTTTCACACCTCCATCTCCCAAAAACCAGAAACCGATGAACCTTATGCAGTATAGCCCGAAGCCGCGAGCTGCTGACATTGGGTGCTCCAGTATGAAGAGCGCAAAGTGTTAACACCAAAAAGTCCTCGCCGAATCGGCAGCGCAACACCAACCTTGTTGTTTCCGCCCTTGTTGTGTGGACGGGTAGTGCTCCCGTAGATCTCAGCTTCTTTGTCTGTAGGAGCGTGCTTCAATTTTCGGATCACTCGGCGCTGGAAAACCGCTCGCATGTCATACAGTCGGATGGTCTATTTCGCGGGCGCGAGGTAGGGGATAGTGTTTGTGTGGTTGCGATATCGCTGTGAGGCTTTGGAGCTGTTGGTATGAGAGGACTGTCTGCGAGCAATAAATACAGCTCATGGCGCCTGCGAAAAGGGTCTTGCTGGAATATGTTTGTGCAGTAATTTATTGGAGTCATTGAATAATTATACAGCCTATTATCTAGTCTTTACACCCCAAGTTACCGAATCTTAAGTATCCATGTCTAAGCTCTTCCACCGCCGTAAGAGAAACACAGAAGATGAGGAATCCAATTTTGGAAGAAGGGCTTCTCGCGCCAGAAGCGTAGCAGATGAAAATCTGGGCGAGTATCCCGCTCTCGATCGCTATATCAGCACCTACCGTGAGGACCGTCGTCAAAGTGTAGCCGACGGCCCTGAAGGCGGCAAGGTTAAGAAGAAGCATTGGTGGCAGTTTGGCAGTGGCCTTCATACAGAAGAAGAGCCCGCTGTTAAGAAGGGCGCTCCAGACTCGTGGTTCGATACTGACATAAAGGCTGGACTGTCCTCTGATGAGGTTGAGCGCCGGAGGAAGATCTCTGGGTGGAATGAGTTGACTTCTGAGAAGGAGAACCAATTTGCCAAGTTCCTGGGCTTTTTTACTGGACCAATTCTTTATGGTATGTCTCATGCTTTGTAGTAGACACTGCTAACAAATTGTCAAGTCATGGAAGTAGCTGCTCTCCTCGCTGTTGGCCTCGGCGACTGGATTGACTTTGGTGTCATCGTTGGAATCCTCATGCTCAACGCTTTCGTGGGATACTACCAAGAGCGGCAAGCAGCAGATATCGTCGCCAGTCTCAAAGGAGACATTGCAATGCGATGTACAGTTGTCAGAGATAGCAACGAGCAAGAGATCTTGGCGAGGGAGTTGGTCCCTGGAGATATTGTGAGTGTATCTATCGTAAGACTTGACAGCACTAACATGACGTAGCTTATTGTTCAAGAAGGTGACACTGTCGCTGCAGACTCTCGTCTCATCTGTGATTACACTCGCCCCGAGGACTTCGAAGTGTACAAGCGCCTCAGAGCTGAGGATAAGTTAGACCGAAGTGACGAAGAAGATGACATGGCCGATGGACCCGAAGCCAAACAAGGCCCAGAGGATGGATCAAATGAACATGATGGTCGTCGACATAGTCACGAGCAGGAACATCTGGACTACCGCAGCCGTCCTCTCGCCGCAGTTGATCAGTCCGCTATTACCGGCGAGTCTCTTGCGGTTGAGAAGTACCTCGGCGATATCGTCTATTACACAACCGGCTGCAAGAGAGGAAAGTCCCTTGGCCTAGTCCAGACCCCCGCAAAGGAGTCTTTTGTAGGACGCACGGCGGATCTTGTCCAGGGAGCGAAAGACCAAGGCCATTTCAAGGCTATCATGAACCAGATCGGCACCACGCTCCTAGTCCTGGTCATGTTCTGGATCTTGATCGCATGGATTGGTGGCTTCTTCCACCACGTTTCGATGACCGCCCATGGATCGCAGAATCTGCTGCATTACGCTCTTGCTCTTCTCATTGTTGGCGTTCCTGTAGGTTTGCCTGTGGTCACTACAACGACTCTTGCCGTTGGGGCAGCATACTTGGCGAAGCAGAAGGCTATTGTACAGAAGTTGACAGCCATTGAGTCTCTTGCTGTAAGTCTCAATACTAACCTCCTGAATGATATAGATTAACAAAATACAGGGTGTTGATATCCTCTGCTCCGATAAAACTGGTACCTTGACAGCCAACAAACTTTCTATCCGAGACCCCTTTGTCACCGAAGGAGAAGATGTCAACTGGATGATGGCGGTAGCAGCTCTAGCTTCAAGTCACAACCTACGCACGCTAGATCCCATCGACAAGGTCACCATCCTCACACTGAAGCGATACCCTGAAGCTCGTGAGATTCTGAGACAGAATTGGGTCACAGAATCATTCACCCCCTTCGATCCCGTTTCCAAGCGAATTACCACTGTGTGCCGCCTTGGAAGCGATAAGTTCGTCTGCGCAAAAGGTGCCCCGAAAGCTATCCTCAAGCTTCTAGGACCTGGCTCCGAAGATACTGCCAGAATCTATCGAGAAAAGGCTCAGGAGTTTGCACGCCGTGGGTTTCGTTCTCTCGGTGTCGCATACAAGAAGAACGATGGTGACTGGGTCGTTTTGGGCCTGCTATCCATGTTCGATCCCCCACGAGAAGACACCGGCACCACGATCATTGAGGCCGGCGCCCTTGGAGTTCCGGTCAAGATGCTGACAGGAGATGCAATCGCCATTGCCAAAGAGACGTGCAGGATGTTATCTCTCGGAACCAAGGTCTACAACTCAGAGCGACTCATCCATGGTGGTCTGTCCGGGAGTGTTCAGCATGATTTCGTTGAGCGTGCGGACGGCTTCGCAGAGGTGTACCCTGAACACAAATACACGGTTGTTGAGATGCTGCAACAGAGAGGACATCTGACTGCCATGACAGGAGACGGAGTCAACGACGCACCTTCTCTCAAGAAAGCCGACTGTGGTATTGCAGTCGAGGGTGCCAGTGAGGCTGCTCAAGCCGCAGCCGATATTGTCTTCCTCGCGCCAGGTCTCAGCACTATTGTCCTAGCAATCAAGACAGCACGCCAGATCTTTCAGAGAATGAAAGCTTATATCCAATACCGAATCGCCCTCTGTCTCCATCTCGAAATCTACCTCACCACCTCGATGTGTATCATCAACGAAACCATTCGCGTGGATTTGATAGTCTTTCTCGCCCTCTTCGCGGATTTAGCAACAGTTGCCGTTGCTTATGACAATGCACATTTCGAACAGAGGCCTGTTTCATGGCAGCTGGGCAAGATCTGGTTCATGAGTATTATCCTTGGTATTCTTCTTGCATTGGGAACATGGGTTATCCGGGGTGCAATGTTTCTGCCGAACGGTGGATTTGTCCAGAACTTTGGATCGGTCCAAGAGATTCTCTTCCTGGAAGTCGCCCTAACAGAGAACTGGCTTATCTTCGTGACAAGGGGTGGGAAAACATGGCCGTCATGGCAACTGGTCTTTGCAATCCTGGGTGTCGATATCTTGGCCACTCTCTTTAGTCTCTTCGGTTGGATGAGTGGGACATCTAGCGGCGAGATAACCACTCCGAGGGACAACTTCAAGCAGAGCAGTAACGGATGGGTAGACATTGTCACTGTTGTCATCATCTGGCTCTACTCTTTCGGCGTCACTGTGGTCATCGCCATCGTCTACTTCGTCCTCAACAAGGTCTCCTGGCTAGACAATCTCGGCAGAGAAAACCGCGGGAAGAAGGATACCAAGCTGGAGAACATTCTTGGTCATCTCCAGAAACTTGCTGTTGAACATGAGCACGATGATAAGACTGGGAAGAGCAAGTTTCTGTTGGTTGAGAAGGCGGCTGATGAGGAGGATGATATCTAATGGTATGCTCTGTATTGCCAATTTATGAGAAAGGACAAATCTCTTTGGATCATACCACCATGTTTTAAAGTTCTGATATATTTTTCTCTTTTCTTCTAGTTTCCCTTGCACACTTGGTGGGTTTGAACAATCAGAGATAGGGGCTACGGTCTCAGAATTACAGGAGATATATCAGACAGTGCATATTTATTTATAAATTCTATAATAAGTTACAGTAATTATTTTAAGCTAATCCCATCTTTCCAATAGAGAGTTGGTTTATATCATCCTACTCCCTAAAATTAATCTAAACATTGTGGGCCATCGTCTCTAATCCAACCATGTTTCTCAATCATCAGCTTCCGGTGGAACTCTTTCAGAATCCAGTAGACATCGTTGGTATAATCCCCAAACCCGTGCAAAAGATTCTCGACAAACTCGACTCTGACGTTTCGACTTGTTGCGTGTTCAACCAAAAATTTAAGCTCCCAATTCTCTCCGCCGGGACACTCAGAATTACACGCTTCGTCCAGGGCTGACTGGCCGGTAAATCCCGGGGAGTCGATGCGAGCACCTCTCTCCAGTACAAGTTTCAACGACTCTGTGTATGGCTCAAGTTCTTTCTTTGCGTCGACATCCTCTCCGAAGGATAAGAAGCCACTGTTGGAATCAAAAAAGGCGCGGAGTAAGCCCTCGGAGTCAGTGTCGGCGTGGATATAGGCGTCTTCGATCCTAGCTCCAGCGTCTAATAACATCCTCACACATTCAGCATCTTTTGACTCTAATAATGCCCAATATAGTGGCCTAGTAAGAGGTGGGTTTCCTCGGCCAACGAGCCTGTTCACGTCGGCACCACCCGCAATGACAAGTTCCAGCAACCTTCGTCGGTCTTGTCTCTGTTCTTCGTTTATTTGGGGCTTGTTTTCAAGTATGTCGGAATCGCTATCATCCTCTTCTTCGTCATCATCCTCTTCTTCGGTTGCGTGGTGCCTGTTTCTGAGTATGTCGGAATCGACATCATCCTCGTCTTCGTCATCATCCTCTTCTTCGCCGTCAAATATGCGATCGATGATGCCCAGCCCTGCACCATGCTCCTCCTCCGGATCAGCAGTGGGATCAGCGCCACATTCAAGAAGCGCAATGGCATGTTTGAACTTGTGTTCTCGGACCATCATGGTCAAAGCAGTCCCGTGGCTTGACACTTTGTCAAGGGGAACACCACGGTCGACTAGCTTCTGCGTGATTTCGCCAACGGCATCGAGGTCTTCACAAAAAGAAACAAAATGCATAGCCGTATAACCAAATTGCTCCTGGTATTCTGGGTCAAAAGAATCATCTTGCATGATGATGTCGATGGCAGAAATGTTTGAGTCCACAATGGCGTCAGCTATTACTGGATAGACTATCGTTGACCAGATCGCCCTGTGTTGAAGCAAAAGACGCAGCATCGAATCACTATAGTTGTGAGAGATAGCATAATGAACCGGGTACCAGACTTCCCGGGGGATATCACTGGGGTCATGGGGAAGATTGCAGACGCAAAGTCCGAACGCAGGCGTGTTCACACGAGCGCCATTCTCAAGTAGCCAGCGCACAATATCTTCGTGTCCGGAGGCTATCGCGACATGCAAAGGCGTAGCGTATAGTCTTCCCCTGGAAGGTTCATCCCTAGGAGCCTGCCACACCATATGCTCGCTATGTGCTCCTGTTGTGTCGATATTGGCTCCATGGGCGATAGCAATCTTGAGTGTATTCAATGAGCCAGCCCCGGCAGCCCACAGCACGCTGGCGGCGGTGGGATGATCGTAAAGCACGTTATGTCTGTAGAGACACGGGTTGAATATGTCGTAGAAGCTGTGGTTGACCAGGGCGAGAGAGTGAAGTTGATGTGAACCACAAAACGATCCCACGTGAGTGAGAACCTCCAAGGGTAGAGATTGCATCATGATGACTCTGTCTAAGGACAGGCCAGTTTATATGGCAATTTAGCGCATATTTCCACTGCCTTAGGAATGTTGAGTGCGTCTGAGAGTGATGGAGGCTGAAGGAGTATGAGAGATGCTACAATGTTTAACTTGGCGCAAAGGTGTCTCCACCTCAGCGTAGGCAGGGGTCGGATAAGATACAGTTCCGAGGAAAGGTTCGGGAATATTAGGCTCCATGGAAAAAGCAAGAAGAGACATGATATTGTCAATATTTGAAAAGGATTTGGGGTTTCATAGAAGAGTCGAATGATATAATATAAGTTTGACAGATTTTATCACATTTTATAGATTATAATAAGAGCTTTACACTCCCTACGAACTCCCCGAAGATGCTCGCTAGGTGCCGAGGCTTAAAGGGCTCAAAATCCGGGGTAGACAGGGGTCCTTCAAGGTGAGATCGCGACCTGCAAGCACGTCATCTACCGAGAAAAGTGCCTCTGAAACACATTTGCAAGACCTCTTCTCATTTGCTGCCTTTAAAATTCCTTCCCGTGTTCCAAAGACGATCCCTCAACTGAGACTCCTGACGTGCAATCCAACCCAACCGCCCGGAAGCCATGACCCCACCTCCGTCTGCTTCTGCTTCTCCTCCGAGTCGACCTCCGAGGAATCCTCCGACTTCTCGCCAGAGACTGGCAAGAAGGGCTTGCGATTCGTGTAAGATTCGTAAGATCCGCTGCTCGGAAACGCCCCCCTGTACTGCTTGTGAGGCGTCCGGTATAGACTGCACCTTCATCCAGACCCAAGGGACGAGAGGTCCAAGAGGTCTTCGGCCGAGGACTCTGGACAAGATTGAGCGAAGACGCCAAGGAGATTCTTCGAAAAGAAGTACATCTAGTCCGGAGCAAACAGTAGCCAAGAAATCACCATCGCCTATTGACGAAACAGCCTGTTTACTTGAGATTCTCGAGGTTTACTCAGAGCGGCTCTTCCCCATCTGGCCCATCGTCAATGCAACCGACCTAGGGAATCAGATACGGCAGAGCCCCAATGCAGGCGGTGCAGCTCGCTGTCTTGCTAATGCAGTGGCCCTTGCTGCAATCGCCCAGCTGAAGCTAGACACTGCATGGCAGCCCAGGGTGGAGGAGGCAGAGACAAGTGGACTAAGCGAGTCGTTGGGTCTCTTGGACGCGCTGCGGGTTTCTTTCTTTCTGCATATTTACCACGAGAATGCTTCGCCTGGGGGCACCAAGTCGCTTGTGTACTTGCGCGAAGCCATCACGCAGGCTCAAATACTAAGGCTCGATCGAGAGTCTACTTATGCTTCGCTTTCGGAACCCGACCAACATGTCTCCCGGCGGATTCTTTGGTTGTTGTTTGTTACAGAGAGGTATGTTACTTGTGCTCAATTCAACCGTATGCTAATACCTGGCCAGAGGTGTCGCACTTCTTCACAAGCTCCCCATAGTTCTCAAGCCAAACATCCTATTCCCCTGGTTTGGCGGCGTCGACGACCGCGCCGAGGTCCTCCCTGCTTTCCTTAAGCTGGTTCACTTGTTTTGGGTATTTGACCAGAGCGGTATCTTTGAGCTGCTCCATAATTTCGATGCCGACTCAGACATACCCAGCATGGCTTCTGTCGCTCAAAGCTGTCTCGAGTTACTCCAGCAGAAGCTTCTCGACTCAGCCGACAACGACGATTGGGGCCCGATTAATGAAGTGCAGCGTGCAGACATGTTTGTTACTCGGCAATGGATGCGCGCTGTGCTCTGGCGGGCGGCTCTTCGCTTTGGCATTGTGACTCCTGCTATGAATCCGATAGACATCGCCAAAGACTTTCTGGGTCTGGTCTCTGAACTTCCGAAGACTGCGCTCGAGTCGCATGGGCCGACACTGGTGAGTCTTGTTTTTAGAGCATGGCACACACAAGCTTACAGCTAGACAGGAGTTCAAGACGTTTGAGATCGCGACGGCAGTAATCGATGCAATGGCAAGCGAGCAGACAATACCAGATGACCAGTCAGGCCGGATCCTTCATCAATTGCGGGATATTCTATCATCATGTCGAGGCGGCAACCGGACCCTACTGTCCCTTCTCACGATAAGAATGGACGCCATCTTCAACTCATGTCGTGTGGTCGAGACGTCTGATGGCGACGCAGTTGCCTTTGAGCCTCAAGCTTCTTACCACGACACGGCCGATCTTCTCACGGCGCAACCGAATCTCACCATGCCGACGTACCAGTTCATGGAGGGACAACCTTCTCAGATTTGCTGGCCCCCTCTAGACCTCGGCTATCTAGTCCGATCGCCCTCGCCGCTTACTCGCATGTTACTAGAATCGATGCCCCGCGACGTTGAGCAGGGTCAGCAAACGGTGCGACAGATCATAGAGACGTCTACGTGATTTCAGGTAAGAGCACCGTTTTACCATCAACATTTTGGCGCTCATTTTCTGTCTCTGGTCCAAGACTTGCCTCAATTACTTTAATGGTCCCTGAATTTTGGCATCCTCTTGTTGTTTCAATCGTTGCTAACCAGGGTTTAGCTTGTGTGATACAGGGAGCTTATTGCGCCATTCTAGACCCCTGCCAATTGACGTCCCCGCTAAAACAACTGCTGCATGTCAACCATTAGCACCACAGCAGTGACGGCGAAGAGTCAGAATATCTCATTTGTAGCTGTATCGCCCTCACCATATGACTCAAGGATATTGAGACTACAGAGACAAAGAATATCCACTCAGTTGTTTTCTACAAGGACAGATGTTCATCAAATAAGTGCATCGATCCACTAGACCCGAGTGTAAGTCATCTCCACAGCCCGAACCCTTCTCCGAGAATTACTCCGCAGTTCAACAGACGAGGGACATTCATCGACTACTTACTGAACAATCTGAGTAGGAAATCTCACATCACACAAAAATCTCACTACCAAAATTGTCAGATCTATCACAATGGCTTGGGCTGAACCTAGAGACACTGGCATGGTCTACCGCCGACTGGGGCGCAGTGGACTACATGTTTCTGCCATTGCTCTCGGCAGTTGGATGACCTACGGAGGTTACGCTGAGGATGAGGAGGCATTTGCTTGCATGAAGAAGGCGTATGATTTGGGTATCAACTTCTTTGACACCGCGGAAAACTACACCGCTGGACAGGCTGAGATTGTTATGGGCAAGGCCATCAAGCATTTCGGATGGAAGCGCAGTGACTTGGTTATCAGCACAAGTGAGTCTTCGCATTCACTTAGAGTTTGGGGTATTTTACTAATGTGCGAAAAGAGATCAACTGGGGTGCTGTCAATGGAGAAATCCTCGTCAACAACCACGGTCTCTCAAGAAAGCACGTAATTGAAGGCCTAGAAGCCTCTCTGGAGCGTCTTCAGCTAAAATACGTCGATATTGTGTACGCACACAGACCGGATAGACTAACACCCATGGAGGAGACTGTGCGCGCCTTCAACTACCTGATTGACAATGGAAAGGTAAGTCAGAGCATCCATCTGACATGTAACATGCTGACCAATTAGGCTTTCTACTGGGGAACGTCAGAGTGGTCCGCCGATGAGATTGCTGAAGCTGTAAGTCACCCGCTCCTACAACTTGAATCAGAGTCTTACAATAAAACAGGTCGGCATTGCCCGCGATCTACGAATGATCGGACCCGTCGTAGAGCAGCCATTCTACAACATCCTCGCCAGAGACAGAGTAGAAGGCCAATTCCAGCGTCTCTACGAGCGCATGGGACTAGGCATCACCTCTTTCTCACCAATCAAGATGGGCGTCCTAAGCGGCAAGTACAACAATATCGTCGACGGCCAACCACCCAAGGACTCTCGCTTCGGCGCCAGCAAGGACGCTTTTGCGGATTTCATGCGCGGCCATATCGGCACCGACGACTGGGAGGAGGAGATCGAGAAGGTACGCCAGCTGAAGCCCATTGCAGACAAGCTGGGAATCAGCCAAGCCCAGCTTGCGGTTGCGTGGTGTCTCAAGAACCCCAACGTCACCAGTGTTATCACCGGTGCTAGTCGGCCTGAGCAGTTGGAGGAGACGGTGGCTTCGCTCAAGATTCTTGATAAGCTTACGCCTGAGATTATGGAGGAGATTGATGCTGTTACTAAGAACAAGGTTGAGCTGGATCCTGCTAGACAAAGCTGAGTGTCTGTTTAGGACGGATAATCAAATGAAATAAAACCATCTTAATCATAAATACTACTTTATTCGGGACTGGTATTTGGAGGTTCTTCCACAATCGCACTCATTTGATGATTGTGGCCCTTGTAGGTATATAATGGGTGTGCAAGAGTTCCGATGATTTTGCTCTATTATAAATCTTATACAAGAGTAGTTAGATGAGTTATGATAAAGTCTTCTTTGTTTGATTCAATATTATATAAGCATATTATGAGATTATATATAAAGTCTTCTAATCAAAATCCAATGACTTCCAATTTATTCAAGCTCCACACCCTTAACGAGTTCGGTTCTGGAGATAGTTATATCGCTCATCAACCATTTCTATAGCCCTCGCAGTAGCCTCATCCAAGTCTTCCTCTGGCAGACCAAGTGCTTTGTTCGCCAATTCATGCTGGGCCTCAAAGTTGCCATCACCATTGGGGTAAAAGGTCCGAGCATACATGGCGAGCGTAAAGCCAGAGTAATCTCCGCCCTTGAGAAGGTTCATGCCTCGCTCCCATCGCTCCTTGGATCCCTCGTACTCAATCTCCCAGTCCTTGTCCGTGGTGTCCGTCACGCGCTGCAGACTGTCGAGCATCTGGCGCTGAGATAGGAGGAAGCTGGACATGAAGAGGGGCTTGTTTCGCCATTGCGAGATGGTGGCTGACTTGTCATTCTCGTCATCAGGGATGACCTTTAGGCTGAGAAGGGCTGCGAAAGCACGACCGCATTGATCCCATGTTGAAGTGTTGATTTGGGTGTTGCCGTCGTCGTAGAATGTGACCTTCTTCTTGCCGTTGCTCATGTCGAAGCCATACCACCCCGGTCCCTGAGCAACAGAGAACTCGTACCAGAAAGAACAGCACATGGCGATCCATGAGGAGACGCCAGCTGCTTCAATAGCCTCGAAGCCTGAAAGAACACCCTTGCCAGTCAAGTTCTCCTCCACAAGGGACTTGTTAAAAACGTTAACTCCGAAACAGTTGGGCATGATCCAGGGGACCCCTGCTTTGGCGGCGGCATAGATGATCTTCTCTTGAGTTCCAGGAGGGGCGGTCACAGCCATGGAAATAGCAAGGAACTGCTGTCCTTTGAGAGCTTCGATGAGAGATTCCTCGTCATCGTAGTCGACCGTGACAACGTGGGCGCCTTCGGGGACCTTGTTGGTGCTGTCCTTACGAGTTATGGCGGTGACTGTATGATTTCCAGTGGCAATGAGATATTTGGCGAGGAATTTGCCAACGCTTCCACCAGCCTGTATCGTGTTAGTTGCGGATTGATATCGATAAGAAGTGGGATACTTGCACCAACGATGGCGACTCGCTCGATCTTGTTGACAAAGCCCTCTGGCTGGTCCTTGGCGTACTGCTGAGACATTTTGATTAAATGAAGTAGATAAAAGATGTAATGGTTGTAGTGAAGTTATTGGAGTTGTTGGTGAATGAGAAGTGATGATTATAATTTGGATATCTAAACCGCAAGACATCAAGTCCTCTTTATACATATAATCTCACCATTTGACCTTAGTTCGTATCGTCCTTATTATTCGGATATTTCCCTTAATTCCTTCAAGTCCCATCGTCAATGATGTTATGGCGGACTTTGCAACTACCACCGGGAAGAAGAATTACCACATTGGGTAAGTGGATCTCCGGTACGGCCCCGTACGTCTAATCACCGACCTATCACAAGCCGATGAATACGAAATGAGTTAAAACACTTTAAGTAGTACAAGAAACAAGTTGGAATTGAAAACGCGAGGCCGAGTCCATGCCTTCGGTCTTTCGTCTTTCGGACTTGTTTTTACTCCGGCGTCGTACGGTGGATCATGATGCACTGAGAAAGACCGATGGGTCTGTCCAACCGATTACTACACGTTACTAACTTGGCCAGAATCTGCATTTATGATTTATTGTGAATATCAAGGCAGCTGGTTGGTTTTGAGTCATATCTCGATGATACGAATATATCCAACAAGTAACAGTGATGTGAATGCTTCTTTGGGTTTAAATCATTCTAGGGACTCCGGTGTTCCCAATGGCAATTACAGGGGTCAAAGTCTCGCAGCTATATATCAAAAGACACCAGGCGTTCGTAATCTACTATCTAGTCCATATGGAAAAATATCAAAGTTGAACACTCAAGTAGGCATTTCTTATCGCAGTTTGATTATTCGGATATTATCATTTAGTAAACCTTCAGGATACTTCCAAGCTGAGGTACAGTCAGTATGCCTTCAGATGTTTAAATAAAAATCCTAATTTAAACTTTTACTACTTCTCGGTCATACTCAATATGTCTAGACCTGTGGTTGGGAACCTAACTCGACTCTATGAAATTCTTAGAGTAGCTCACTATTATGGTGACATTTGCGAGCCTTGGGAGGGGGTTGAAATTGCAGTGTAAAAAACCCATTTCCCCATACGCAACCTCTTTCTTTCTAGGATAAGCCTGATTGAATCTGTCTCGAAGCCGTAACTTACAGTGGGAATGTAAAAGCTTAAATAACTTCCTCTTGTCTAGAGTTTATATAAATGATTCAAATTACAATTAGCTTTTCTTCTCTTATCTAAAGTTTGTATAAGATAATATAGACTTCAATAAACTCTTCTATTTTATATAATATTAGGATAAGATTATTAATAAACTCTTCTATTTATTAATAAGGTATTATATGAATAAGGCTTGGCTTTCACTGTGAAAAATCAAAAGGATAGCTAAGTAAGATAAAAACAAGTTGAAATGTGGAAAAAGAGAAACGAAGCCACGAACAGCAAAAGAATGATCCCGCCCGGGCTCGAACCGGGGACCTTCTCCGTGTAAAGGAGATGCCATAACCAACTAGGCCACAAGACCGGGTTTATTTGTGATGCTGGGTAATATCACAAAAGCGTACATGTAGTGAGCCAAGCCTGCGAGACCAGATCAGCTTCTCACCCCATGGCAGGTGCTGAAGGCAAGGGAGAGAGACCTTGAAGCACGCACACAGCATCCCGGCATTCCAGGCGATAGATCACCCATACACACTCACCACCGGGTCCGAGAAATGTGGGTCCGCACCTGATGAAATGGGGACCTTCTCAGCACTTCTTGTAGTTTTTACACCGAATCTAGTTTTTAAGTACGGAATATTCATCTGTGCCAGCGAATTTTGAGTTCTAGAGTGTCCATTAGGATGAAACCAAGCCGGTGGGTCTCCCAGATACTGAGGCTGTGATCACCCAGCCAGAATCTCCTCTTGATGATTCTTTTCCATCTTTGTGAGATCGATTGGTCTCTTGAGGGCCAATGGACCTGTAGCGTAGTGGGTGCTCCTTGCTATGGCATGGAGCAGCACCAATGCCGCCCTCTAGGTGATGGAAATCGACACCGATTTCCAAGCAGGAGGGAATAGGATTCCCCTTCTAACCACCACCAAACGTGCCAGGCTCGCCCTAGATACCGTAATTCCCAACTCTGAGGGGAATCAGGAGGACCTGCTACCACAACCGAAGAGACCACAAAGATCACTTTGGACGGACTATTTTGTTCTACAGTGGGTTTGTAAAAGTTCGGATAACTTCCTCTCCTCTAAATTTATATAAGATAGTATATCCTATAATAAAATTTCTTATTTTTTATAGTCTTAGGATAAGCTTATGTTTAAAATATTCAAATTATTGTATATCTTATATATATCAGGCAGGTAGACAAATCCCACGCTTTCGGGTATGCGGCTTAAATGCCCGTATCAGCTAAAGTACCCATGTATCAAGCAGTGATTAAAATCAGGAGACATGAGAGAATTAAGCCTAACTGGCCCCATCAATTAAATATGGTCCTGCATTTCTTCTATCTCGCAGTGGAGTTGATTGCAGATATTCCCCAAGCTTGGCAACAATCGTGACTTGTCGATATTGTTCATCCCAGTCCCCGATATCAATTTGCGGCTCTTTGAACTTATTCTGGTCCGTGCTAACCCCGCCAGTTTGATCCGACCTAACCGAGTTGGCCGGTTTGACCGGCTTCTGCAGCAAACATGTTCATATTTCACGGCCTTTTCCAGGGGAATTAACGATTAAAGACCGGTAACGACCGGCTTCTGCTCGACGGGGTCTCCGTGCCATGTGGGATTAATTGACTATTAAAGAGGGTCCCAGTGGCAACACATTTTGACTGTTGAAACTCTCAACTCAGTTCCCCAGTTGAACCCCGTATGGAGAAGGATTCCATTACGTGAAGAAATCTACCAAACTGGAGATTTCCTCAACGACTCCGCGATATGCCCCGCGACCCTGAGGGGATTTTCCCCAACCTGTTTAATTCTTGGAGATTTGAATTAAGTAATAGATATTGAGTGTCCCACAGGGTTACACGGAGTTTGACCGCAGAGTCGCAGGCGCGCTCACATCAAATCATCCGATAGAGCGCGGTTACGATTTTGAGTCTGTGAATTTGTAGAATTGGGGGCATTTGAGTTCGTGGGTAAATGTGTCTTGTTAGTAACCTTGCAGTTAGATGTCTGTCATTCACGCCAAGCTATTTATACCAACTGCGACTTTCCACATTGAGGCTCTGCTAATTATCCGCTGTGCCAAGACGGGTAGCGCCTTGGGGTGGCAGAGGATGGAACCTGGAGTCGTGAGTGATCCCAGGTTTCGGTGCCGAGTAAGCCATCAAGCAACAAAAAAACTACCCAAAGCAAACCACTCGTTACTACGCTTAAAACTTTGATAGACCATACCTAAATAAGGGCGTATAGGCAATGGAAAGTTATTTAGCACCATTGCCCGCTGATTCCGGAACATGGGATCCTAACATCGGCTCCGAAGCAACTGTACCTCTGGCTCCGTAGCGGATCTCTGAATGTCACTAAGAAAGATGGAGAAATGATAGCACACGTATCTGCAATGTCATACCATATGTATAGCAGTATAACTATCACTTTATCTATCGATCTCACCTGATCAGCCGTGGAAACGAATCATGTACGCCCTGCGAGACACAGAATATGTCGCCGAGCAGCCGCGTCAGGGAATAAAACCTGTCCAATCCCGACACGCAATGCCATTCTAGAACAAAAGCAGATAAGGCTCTCCCCCGGCCCGGGGCAATATTCCCCACAACGTCATCTGCTGTGGATCGTCATACTTTGAGGGCGCAAGTGTGTAATTAGACTTGTTACGCAACCGCAATGACTTGGGTTGTTTCGCAATAGATACGCGCTGCTTGGGGATCGCCGTCACTAGATACAGTTCGTACGCACCAGATAGTTTACAGTCTAGCCTAACAATAGGGAGTTCAAATAAATACCTGTTTCCCCTTCCCCAGAAAGTTATGCTTTGAGTCCGACTTCATCTTCGTTACGCTAGTCACCATGGAGAACCAACAAACCCCACAGGACAAAAACGTCCACATCGACGACTCAGCTGCCCTGGAACAGCTCGGCCACAAGCAGGAGCTCAAGAGAAACTTCTCAAAGGTCTCTCTTCTCGGTCTCGCCTTTGCCATCCTCAACACATGGACGGCTCTATCGGCATCCATCAGTCTGGCTCTGCCATCTGGTGGACCCAGCTCTGTTATCTGGGGTCTCATCGTCGCCGGTATCTGTAACCTTTGCCTGGCTGCTCCTTTGGCAGAGATGCTGTCTGCATACCCAACTGCTGGTGGCCAGTATCACTGGGCTGCTCTCCTCGCTTGGCCGAAGTGGTCGAGGGGTATTAGCTATGTTACAGGATGGATCAACGCTGCTGGCTATGTGGTTTTGACAGCTACGGCCCCACTCCTGGGTAGTACCTTTGTCATGGACTCTATTGCCTTCATGCACCCGACCTACGAAGCCAAGGCGTGGCACCAGTTCCTCATCTACCTCGTCTTCACCTTTATTGCGCTCGCCATCAACGCTTTCGCCACACGTCTTCTTCCTCTCTTCAACAAAGCTGCTTTCCTATGGAGTATCTCTGGATTTGTTATTATTTCGATTACTTGCTTAGCATGCGCTGCCCCCGATTACCAAAGCGGTGCATTCGTCTATGGGAAATTCATCAACGAAGTTGGCTGGCCTGATGGTGTATCCTGGATGCTTGGACTGCTTCAAGGAGCATTTGCTCTCACAGGTGAGTACCTGATACATACAGCTGTTTTCTATGTCCCTCCCGCAAACTTACTGATCAACCCTTAGGATTCGATGCCGCGGCCCATATGATCGAGGAGATCCCTAATGCACGCATAGAAGGACCTAGAATCATGATCTGGTGTATTCTAATTGGAATGGCATCTGGTTTCATCTTCCTTTCCTGCCTCCTCTTCGTTCTGAAGGACGTCCAGACCGTCATCGAGTCTCCCGCCGGCGCGCTTCTGCAGATGTACTTCGATGCCACCAACAGCAAGGCCGGAAGCATTTGCCTCATCGTCTTCTCTATCGTGTGCATGGTGTTCACAGCCTGTGCTATCATGACTACCAGTGCGCGTATGACATATGCGTTCAGCCGTGATCGAGGACTCCCTTTCAGCCACATTTGGGCGAAATATAACGAAAGACTCGAAGTCCCTCTAAACGCTCTCCTCTGGACTACAGGCTGGGTTATCATTTTCGGCCTTATTCTTCTGGGAAGTTCCAGTGCTTTCAATGCTATTACTGCGGCTTCAGTCGTTGCTCTGGGTAAGCTCTTCACTTCTTCCCGTTCATGCTCAGGATCAACTAACATTCAAAAGGTGTCACTTATGCAATCCCTCCAGCTATCCACCTTCTCCGTGGCGGAAACCTCCTTCCCGAAGACCGTCCCTTCAAGCTTAGCACCCCCGTCAGATGGGTTTGCAGTCTTGTTGGTATTGCATGGGCTATCTTGACAACCGTCCTATTCGTATTCCCACCCGAGCTACCCGTTACCCCCAGTAACATGAACTACTGTATTGCTGCGTTTGGAATTATTCTGCTTATTGCTGTTGGTACTTGGATTGTTGATGGAAGGAAGCATTACAAGGGCCCTCTTATTGAGATGAGCATGGATGGTTCCACTCTCGAAGGCGCATCAATGGCCGAGACTACATGCACTTCCAGTCCTGAAGAGGAAACTAAGAAGCACCAAGCTTGATCTAGCATATTGAAGGACTGCAATACTCCGAGTTAGATAGTCACTACAGATTTACAAGCAATTTCAAATTCAAAGAAGCTATCCTAAATCATCGAAACAGCGTTGCCGAGCTCAAGAAAACCGAAGTAGAAAGATCCTCAAGCTTTCCCTTAAAGACAGTAGATGTAGATGATATCATGTCTGTTATTACACAGAATTTCACGGCTAGCAGGACAAAACTTGTTGATCTTCGTACATAAGGCATTGTTTGGCAATTCGAACAACTGATCGTTCAGATTTGGAACAAGCACTTAATATTTTGGTTGCCAATAGAACCCGAATCTCATTTCTCACTGTCTCTGATATCAATTAGGCCTACGTGAGCTAAGGGTATCCGAGGTATGCGAATCCCCTATTACCAGTGACCCTTGAAGTTTACCTGTTATGCAGTACGGGCATCAATTATGTCAGCTGTACTGCATGTGTGCCATGAACCTCTGCGTTGAGATTTCAGACCTACAGGGACATATATCGTGCTCATCTTCATGTCTTTGAATTTATCTTGAGACCTGGGCTATGTATGCGAGGACCAAGACCTGGAGAAGTATTCCATCCAATATGTAAGCCAGTTTGGAATTCTATAACTTTATTCATAGCAAGAGTATGCCATCTAGAGATCATAAATAAGAGTCAGCACCCATCAGAAACTTGTAATCGGTTAGATATGGCTACGTCAGCCCTAAAGGCATTTATACAAGCCCTGCCCGACTGTAACACAGACATTGAATACAGGGGAAGTCATTGTTTTACAGGTAATCCTTATACTCCACCATCCTCATAGTCACATGTATAAGTTTTAGTCACATTACTAAACGTCAAGTTTTTTCTGTCAAAATCTTCACGTGTAGTCAAACCAACCACCTCAAATCACGGCTGATTCTTGACACCGGATACTCCGGCAGGAAAACAACCAGCATGAACCTCGGCAGTACCCAATTAACAAGCATTGAATAACACCAGGATCAATGCACGACACAAGCTGATTCGCATGAGTCAATGTAAATGTGGATGCTCTTTATTTCATGGATGTCAATCAATCCGCCGAGGCTTTCAATTGACCAATACCAATTAATGGGTGAACCCGCCCGTAATAAAAGCTCCTGGCTTTTTGGAACAAATCCCAGGCACTGCCGTTTGTTAGGGCCAAGTTTAGTTCCTTGAATTGAGTGCCGAGCTAGCTCGAAACAAACAAGGATGTGTGTGGCCCGTGGCTGCTGAAGAAGAGAACTGGTAAAAAGCGACCTAAAGTTGTCACTACTAACCGACGTCATTGAGAGGGACGGCTCAAATCACCACGAGGGGAAGATTCGTGATGGGTGCCAGTCTTTGTCTCATGTGGTTGCAGATCAGCAGCGTAGCCGAGACAAGACTCGCCAAGGCCCAGGATTAGGTTGATTGATGGTTGATCTTGCGTGAGCGGGGAAAAAAGAGTACTTTCTTTGCATGGATGGGACGTTGAGATCGGTGATGACAAGACGCTACGAACATGTTGATGGCGTTATGACGTTCGAAAGCTCTCATTTACAGTTCATTCTTATTCCCCAGCCTCCCATTCTTGGTTGGAATTAGGTTTGGTAAAAACCACTCAATTGTTTAAATTGGCTGTGATTCCCTCTTGGGACCCAATTGATGACGAGTTTGCAGTTTGCGCCAAAGTCATTCATCTTCGCTGCTACTTACACCCAGCATCGAACAAGAAAGTAAAATAAGCTTCAATGGCTCCGCTCTCCCCACGAGATCTGGGCTTGGGTCACATCCTCGCCAGAGCCCTCGCCTCACCCACGCTCTCACTCCCTCCGACCTTGGTAGCCCGACAAAACACAGAGACCGTCACAGTCATCGCGACCAGCGATGGCGGCAACAATGGAACAACGCTGAGCGGTGGCGCAATTGCCGGAATCGTCATTGGTTCCATTGTTGGGACTCTTCTTATTCTCTGGATCATTCGCTCGTGTTTCAACCTCGGCGCGCCGCCTCAGGAGCGGGAGAAATGGTACCACTACAAGGAGGACAAGCCTCCTCGGAGACACTCGCATAATCATCGCTCTCAAAGCAGACGGTCACATCGATCGAGTATATCTGCGCCTCCTCCTATTGTTGTTCGCGACTCGAGGTCTCGCAGTCATCGCCGTGGGCGGTCGCCGGGGCATTATGGATCGGATCGTGGGACCCGGTATTACGTCTGAGTGCTTATAAGTGTCTTCACGAATGGCATGACAATAAGCGTTTGCGATAAGAATCTATCGCTTGGATGCACCTAGATGAACGACTGCTCTCATCGATGTTAATGCTGAAAGTTAGTCCAACTTGGACAGGGCCTGGCGTCTGGGTATTGCACTATATGCGTTTCACTACGACATCACGACTTATGAGATGATAACGTTACGATATAAGAGAGACGGAATGGTACGAATGGGATCTGTTAACATGTTTATACCATAACTTCACGAACATATGTTTTTGGGCTGGCTGCATCAGTGACTATTCCTTACGTGAGGTGCTGCCCTCGAGCCACATCAGAGGATAAGAACACTAATGAAGATGGAGAGAACGAGACTTACACTTTTCATCCAAACTGTTTCTTTAGTTCTACAGTCACACTGTTGGCCTTGTGAGCGCATCTGCCGGCAATGAGTTCAATACTAAGTGCATTGTCTTTGTTAGTGTCACCAAACACGCTGGTTTTGTTAATTGTTCTTACTTCTGGCGTGCGATTACATATTACATCCATGAACGCTTACTTTCAACCTTATACTTCTAATTGCTACCATCGCTGATCTTACCATCCTTCTATGTCTATCGATGGGCATTGGCGGTGACCAGTATTTAGACAGTGTCATCCATCTTCTACGACTCCATTTGCGTCACACACCAATATCTTGTTGCCTTTTTTAAAACCACTCACGAAACCATTACTATTTGAGCGTATTTGATGAATTAAATTAGAGTATCATGACCTGAACAACAGAGCGACGGGTTCTAACGTTTTGCTTCTTCAGCTTCACCCCACAATTTATATGAAAAACTACCATTAATTCAAGAACCATATACAACTTCTTGAGTTATCCAGTTTGCACTTTTTATTGGAGAACTCCTGATTCACCTTAAAATACTTTAAATTCATGATTACGAGCTTATCATCGTCGAAGAACAATCATGATCCAATGCGTTCCAAATTACCGTCTTGTCACATCTTGAGCACCAATCTCACCGATACCACTCGCCTTCGACTCTGCATGCCTGACGTGAGGGCATTTTCTTACTTTGTGAGATAAGTCGTCGAGCCTTATCTCAGGGACTATCTCATAATTGGCCTCATTCGAGCTCACTGCCACCTGGTCAAGCTCATGTGGAGACATGGTCAAGCGCGGCTACAACCGCGGACCGAAATAGGTAACAATAGCCCAATAAGCTGACGATCCGCCAGCATCACAAAAGCGGTCACATGAGGGTTTCGGGTAATTATGTAGATATAAGGCGATAAAGATCGCAATGGAACAAAGAGAGTCCATCCCTTGACAAGCTATCACTTTACGAATCTGCAATTACTATATTACACAATTACAATGACACGTACCTTTCGCCTCGCTGTCCTAGAGTGCGACACGCCTTTTCCTTCTGTCCTCGAAAGTCGAGGCTCTTATGGAGATGTCTTTCGCCATCTTCTTTCCCAGGGCTTGAAGGATGAGTCACTGGGTTCCAAGACGAAAGACCTGAGCCTTGAGCTTAGCAAATGGGATGTCGTTACGGCTCAGGAATACCCGAACCCAGAAGACATTGATGGATTTCTGTTGACTGGAAGCAGTAGGTCATATATCTAATCTATATGGGTTGTTGGACTAACAATTTAGAACATACATCTTTCGCTGATGATCCTTGGATCTTGAAGCTTGTTGAATATGTCAAGAAGGTTCACGCAATTCCCGATAAGCCCATCGTGGGTATCTGCTTCGGTCACCAAATCATCGGACGGGCGCTGGGCGCCAAGGTCGCTGTGAGCCCTGGTGGTTGGGAGATATGCGTTGACAGAATCAACCTCAATGAAACTGGTCAAAAGCTCTTGGGTGTCCCGTCACTTGTAAGTCTCAGCCAAACGTATCATGTCAACTGTCTAACGCGCTTAACAAGGGCCTGCATCAAATGCACAGAGACGCAGTTCTCGAAGTCCCCGAAGGTTTGGTCAGTCTGGGCAGCAGCTCACGGTGTGAGGTGCAGGGTCTTTACAGTCCTGGTCGTATCCTGTCTTTCCAGGCTCACCCAGAATTTGACGATTTTATTATGGAGGAGATTATGCAGGCGAGGTATGCACAGAAGATATTCTCAAAGGAGATGTATGAGGAGGGTATAACGAGGGCGAGGGCGGATCATGATGGGCGTCTTGTGGCGGCTAAGATCTGGGAGTTTCTACTAGACAGACGTACGGAGGAGTTTTGTTAAGTGACTCGACACCATAGTTGATATCATTAATAACAAGTGTTCATCCATAATTATCCGACTCATGAAGGAACGCTCGGTGCGTCTCACATGTGCCATTTGGATACGTCCGTCACGGCGCCTCAACTGATATCACCCTGGAGCCTGTGCGATGAACGTTACAGACGCGGTCAGCTGTATTGCATGTGCCCCGAGGACTCTAAATGTATATAACGAGGCGGGTATCTAAGAATGGGAGTGTCCTTTCACGCAAAAGAGATCCAAATCTGACGCTCACGCATCGCCCTACACAGCATCCACGGGCTGACCTGCTCCGGCGGCTGTTCCCAGATATGTTCCAGCAGCACTAAGGTCTGCCTCATATTTCCCAACCCAATGGTATCCAGCATGGTCTGCAGCCGCGTTCTCAAAACCTGCTGCACTGTAGGGTCCGAGGTGCTGCACCCGATGACGGCGAGTGGCCAGCAGAGACTGGTGTTTATTCTCACAGTTGCTGGGAATTGGTCGAGTAATGTGATGGCTTCGGCTACGGCGGACTCTACTAGTGCTCGTTGGAAGCTGCCGTCGAGTTGTTGGTGGGGTTTGCCGAGGACTGTCCACAGGTATAACAAGGCGGCTTGCTTCCAGACCAGGCCAGCCAGACGGGTGTAGGGGCTGACAGAAGGGTCGGGGAAGAAGCCCATTACTTGGGATTGGAGAAAGGCAAAGTTGACAATGTTGTCGGGACTCGGTGAAATTACTCCGTCGACAGTTGGTGACGACATGGTCTGGCCGAGGTGGAAGATCTGGCATATAAGGACGAGAATCTCAAGCCAGCACCCACACAGTTGGCCGACGTATTTCCTTGCTACCAAGTCCCTAGCCCGGACTTCTATGTCTGGACTGAGTAGCGACTGGGAATTGTACTGGGGATCGATCGAGATCATGCTTGTAGCTGCTATATGCATGTAATACTCGATGAGAAAGTCAGGCAAGTCGTCGTATAATAGACTTTGTGACCCAGTGAGCAACGTGCTCACTAATGACTTGGACGCTGATAAATGGTCGAATATGGTACCATGGATGTCTCCTTTGGCAACCTGAAGCATATTAGACGATGGTCATGGCAGGCTATCAGTGATACTGACCTCAGTTAAGCACATGATAAGGCTCCCGACGGTCAAGACGAGAGTATTCTCGGCGTTTCCAGAAACGTATTCATCGACGACGTTCCTAAACATACGCAAGGAGTCGGTATAGTACCTCTGGGCAATCTCATCGCTAGGATGTCGCTCCGCAGACGCTTGGCGATGTGCAGCGCTTTGTGCGAGAATGAGTTGTAGGACAAGAGGTTTTGAAAAGGCCAATGGGATGAGCTTGGCGATGAATGGATTCACGTCCGTGGAGCCGTTGCCCATGCTGTTGGCTGTCCGGGACAAGTAGTAACTAAGAAGCTCATATGACTGATGTCCTTGCTCGGGTAGCATGGACATTGGCATGGTGATGGCTCCATTGAGTGGAAGTCCTCCATCTGAGGAGGGTGATAGTGCGAGAGTGAGGGCATTGGCGGTGTCGATTTCATATGCCGGCACGACGGTTGATGAGTCTGATGAGGTGGACGACAGTGAAGGAGAAGGTTGATCAACAATATCATTCACAACAGCCTCGACATCAGCGTCCTCATCACCATCACCATCGGCATCGATCATGTGGGTATCCCCAGACACGGGAGAACTGTCGCCATTCTGGGGTGCGCCGGGGGGCTCAGCAACAGCTCGGTCTTCCTCCGGGGCTGGGTCCTGTAGCACCGGGTCATTCACCGGGTCATTCACCGAGTCAGGGTCTTGACTACCGGGGCGACGCAGCGAAGACACACTCTGCTGGGAACTCGTCGAGGCAGCACCGAACGAAGGCCGGGAGGGCCGTGACGTGGACGGTGAGTTACTTCCAGGCGCAGGGACAGATGAAGACTCAGGCCAGACACACTCGAGTTTATTGCGTTTGCAACCGCTGCAGATAGGTTTACTACAAGATTATTCAGGTAAGTCAAGAATTCACGGTAAGCAGGGGGGGTATGTCATCAGAAGTAATGCAACAGGATAGTCTACCTCTCGTCACACTTCTTTTTGCGCTTCCTACAGGTAAAGCAGCCCGTCCTACTTCGGATTATAGGCATAGGACGCATGCTTAAGCTTGAGCCTCCGCTTGAGGGGTTCGGTGGCATCTGACGCCACCGTGCAGTGTGGACACTGCCAAGGGAGGTAGGGGCCTAGGATAAGGGAAAAAGAGGGTAAAATAAAAATAAAAATAAAAAAAGTATAATAGAGGCGCGGTTAAAGCGTAGAACGGACAAGTCACCAGACAGACCCGAGACCCAGACGCAAAGGACACACTGACACACAAAGGGCGAGGCTCCGGAATAAGCGAGTACCGCGCCGTGAGCAAGTGGAGTTTGGTTTGTTTGTGGGGGAATCCAAGCCGTGGAATGGAGAACGAGAGCTTCTAGACTAGGAACTAGGAGAGTCTAGTTTAGTTTACATAACGGAAATAATAATTGAGTTACCCTACAGTGTTTCACCGAGTCAATCTTGGGCCACTGGCTCTAACGTTAGCTTGTGATATCTGAGATGGAGAGGTTAGAAACTAAACTAACTAGTAAAAGCATGTACCTCCAGGTAACTCACTTCCGGGCCCTCCATGATATCCCTCCCAGGGATCATGTGGAGCCCCCGGGTCTTGGTAGGCATGATCTCGACTCAGTGACGTTTGATAAGATTGACTCGGTGACATGAGAGCGAGGTACGTACCGACCTCTCAATCTCATGCTCCGGTCCTGGAACTCATGAGCCGAAGTGCGGCGAAGGTGAGCTTCTGCTTCTGCTCGGACTCTCTTATTAGATCTTGTGCCGCTCTAGCTTGAAGTTGACTATTCACGAGAGTTTTTGTGTAATTCCATCTTTCTTCTTTTTCTTATACTCTGTTTCCTTCTTTCAGCTTGGCAAGATACCCGTCTCCATAGCCATCATGATGAACATGAGGGTCCTTCGGCAGCAATGCCTTCGAAGCAAGCCATCTCTGGCCACTCGCATTTCAACCAGGACATTTGCCTCTCAGACAGATGTAAGACTTCTTCAATCAAATCACACTTCAATGGTTGTTAACAACATCACAGCTCCTCGGTGCAAACCTCGAACAAGGCGACCCTGAAATCCACGCCATTCTCAAGCGCGTATGTTATCCCAAAATATCAATTGACATCTCATCTGACCCCATTGTAGGAAGAGAAGCGCCAGAACCACTTCATCAACCTCATCCCCTCCGAAAACTTCACCTCGCGATCAGTTCTCGATGCCCTAGGCAGTGTTATGCAAAACAAGTACTCCGAGGGCTATCCCGGAGCACGATACTACGGCGGTAATGAGCACATTGATGAGGCCGAGCGACTCTGTCAAAGAAGAGCCCTCGAGACCTTCCGTCTTGACCCTGAGAAGTGGGGTGTCAATGTTCAGCGTAAGTCCCAAGGTGATCATGGCCAAGATACATGTTAACATCTTCAGCTCTTTCTGGATCGCCCGCCAACCTCTACGCTTACTCGGCCATCCTCAACACTCACGACCGTATCATGGGCCTTGACCTCCCTCACGGAGGTCATCTCTCCCACGGCTACCAAATCCCCGGAAAGAAGATCTCCATGATCTCCAAGTACTACGAGACCTTCCCCTACCGACTAAACGAGGAGACCGGCCTGATCGACTACGATAAGCTGCGCGAGAACGCCCTGCTGTACCGCCCCAAGGTCATCGTCGCTGGTACATCTGCCTACTCCCGTCTCATCGACTATGAGCGCATGCGCGCCATCGCTACCGAGGCCGGCGCATATCTTCTGTCAGACATGGCCCACGTCTCTGGTCTTGTCGCTGCTGGTGTTATCGGAACGCCCTTTGAGGACTCTGATATCGTTACCACAACCACCCACAAGTCCCTGCGTGGACCTCGTGGTGCCATGATCTTCTACCGCAAGGGCGTGCGAAGCACCGATAAGAAGGGCAAGCAGATCATGTACGACCTCGAGGGCCCTATCAACGCCTCTGTGTTCCCCGGCCACCAGGGCGGTCCCCACAACCACACCATCACGGCCCTCGCTGTCGCCCTCAAGCAAGCCCAGACACCCGAGTTCAAGGACTACCAAGAGAAGGTCCTCGTCAACTCCCAAGCTCTAGCCAAGCAGCTCTCCGAAGGCCTCGGCTACAAGCTCGTCTCTGGAGGCACCGACAACCATCTTGTTCTTGTGGACCTCAAGCCCAAGGGTCTCGACGGCGCACGCGTAGAGCGCGTCCTGGAGCTCGTCGGCGTAGCCAGCAACAAGAACACAGTCCCCGGCGACCGCTCCGCTCTCAAGCCAGGCGGTCTCCGCCTGGGCACGCCCGCGATGACGACGCGGGGTTTCAGCGCCGAGGACTTCAAGCGCGTGGCCGACATTGTGGACCGCGGCGTGCAGATCACCACGGCGGTTGATAAGGATGCGCGGGCGGCTGCTGAGGCCAAGGGCGCGAAGAACCCCGGCACCGTGAAGAACTTCCTGGAGTACCTGGGTGACGGGTCTAGTGTCAAGGAGATCGCTGCGCTGCGCGATGAGGTTGCTGAGTGGGTTGGAGGATTCCCTCAGCCTTGGCTCAAGTCATGATGTTTTTAGATGAGAAGCAAAGCAGATCATTTTTCGGCGTTTGGAAAATCGTATTATCATAGCAGATTTGGAATAAATTTGAGTTATTATTGTTCGCATAATATTATGATCGATCAGTGTTACACGCTTATCATGAATTGATGCTTTGATGTTGTATCTTCTCATGATGCTGTACTTGACTTGGGCCACGGTACACCGCATCCGCGTAACCTCAAAGCTGGAAAGCCATGCGAATCGTACCATCACATGCTCATTCTCAATTGAGTCAGAATTACATGATAAAATTTCTTCTGCATTTCATCTTCCGTTCCCAGACTCCGAACATCCAATCCTCGGAATTCCGTCTCAAAGCTTTCCCCGCATACCCAAAAAAAAATACAAAATAAAAACCAGGGCCAAAGCTCTCCCCTGCATTCTGGGGATCATCATGTACATGACTCAGTGAAAGATACAAGTAGTGAGTACCTCCAGAGAGCGGCTAATATGCCCACTAGGGCCCCATCATGACAACTTTCTTGGCGAGATAACAAGTATCTCTACTTTCACACGTGGAGACACTCAAGTACCTAGATGGCCTGATAACCCCCTGCTCATCTCACCCATCTCCAACTCGGATGACGCTACCAAACGCCTTCTTTACTGGGGCCGGGCAGTGACTCCGAGGTACTTTGTCCCAGGGCCACCGGAGCGCGGCCGAAGACGGGGGAGGGAAGCTCTGGGAGATAGTAAATGGGGAGAGGGCCAGCCAAAATCATCATCATCATACTCATACTCACAACCGTACTCACCTCACCGTTCACCCATAATTTCACATTCGTCAACCCACAACCTCGCTCAAAATGTCTGGTCTCTTTGCTCGTCAAGCCTGGGCTTCAGCCTCCAAGCTCCGATCTTCAGCTCTACAAGCTCCCAAGGCTGCTTTCACCTGCAGGGTCAACAGCGCTGTTCCTCGACGATGCTTCTCAGTTTCCATGAACCGTGAGTCTCAACGCTTCGAAAGTGTCCAATTGAGTTTCTAACACGTCCCAGTCCTCGCGAGGAAATACACAGAGAGCCACGAGTGGGTTGACGTAGCCGCCGATGGCAAGACCTGTAAGAACTATCCCTTCTCCCTAACAAACAAAAGTCAATTGACATTTTCCCAGGCACAATTGGCATCTCCAAATACGCCGCCGAGGCTCTCGGCGACGTTGTCTACGTTGAGCTCCCAGGCACAGGCGAGGAGGCCACCGAGGGCGAGTCCTTCGGCAGCGTCGAGTCTGTCAAGTCTGCCTCTGACATCAACTCTCCCGTGACGGGTTCTGTCGTCGAGGTCAACGACCCTATCGTTGAGACACCTGCCGATCTTGGAAAGGACCCTGAGGGCGAGGGCTGGCTTATCAAGGTCGAGGCTGAGGATGTGTCTGCTCTGGATTCGTTGATGGATGAGACTGCTTATGCTAAGCACCTCGAGGAGAACCACTAAAGTGGTGCTTTCTGTAGTTAAAATAATTGTGATTTAAAAGCAAAATTGATATCAAGAACCATTTCCATATTTACAAAATTTCACCCTCTGAACCCTTCCAATGCCTATTTTGTGAGATGTTACTCGTACTGCATTAACAAGCGTACCTTGGTCAAAGTAATGGCATACAAAGAAATCACTGCAGTTTGTTAAGATATCTTCTTAAGGTATTTGAACTCGTAAAATTGATCTAGGTAGTTTTAGAACTTTTATTCTATTATTCCATTCATCATATCTCGCATAAACTCCGCCAATACAGAGATCAGTTCGCCATAGTTGAATAGCTTCCCAATGAACCATTCCATATGCAAATAAAATCGGGAACCATCATGGTTGAATATGATATCTCTTTTCCCCGCTCAAAAATAAATAAAAAAGCAAACGCTTGAATAATATGAACTCAACCACCGTCTATCGTTAAACCATTATTTTTTCCTCATTCCATCTACAAGTTCTCAGATCCCTCAACAGGGGGGCATGTGCAGAACAGGTTGGTGTCACCGTAGGCATCGTCCACACGTCCCACGGACGGCCACATCTTCTTCTCCCTCAGGTAGGGCAGAGGATAGGCTGCCTCCTCACGGGTGTAGGGGCGGTCCCACTCGGAGGAGACGAGGTCTTCCTGGGGATGAGGGGAGTTGGTGAGGAGGTTGTTCGTGCGGGGAACCTTGCCAGACTCGACGTCAGCGATCTCCTTGCGGATCTGGATAAGGGCGTCGCAGAAGCGGTCGAGTTCAGCACGGGACTCGGACTCTGTGGGCTCGATCATGAGCGTTCCGGAGACGGGGAAACTCATGGTAGGAGAGTGGAAGCCGTAGTCTGCCAATCGCTTCGCAATGTCGGCAACCTCAACACCGGCGGACTCCTTGAAGGGTCGGACGTCAAGGATGAACTCGTGAGCGCATCGGCCGTTGGAGTTGGTGTAGACGACCTTGTAGTGGGGTAGGAGACGGGACATGATGTAGTTGGCGTTGAGGAGGGCGGTACCAGTCTGCTTGGTGAGGCCATCACCACCCATCATGAGGATGTAGGTGTGGCTGATAGGGAGAATAGAGGCGCTGCCCCAAGGAGCGGCGCTAATGGGAGCAACGGCAGTGCTGTCACGCTCGCCACCAATGCGCTGAGGGTCAATCTCAGGATGGCCAGGGAGGTAAGGGGCAAGGTGAGACTTGACAGCGATAGGACCAACACCAGGGCCACCACCACCGTGGGGAATACAGAAGGTCTTGTGGAGGTTGAGATGGCAGACGTCAGCGCCGATGTCACCGGGGCTGCAGAGACCAATCTGGGCGTTCATGTTGGCACCGTCCATGTAGACGAGACCGCCATGCTCGTGGACCAGGTCGCAGACTTGCTTGATCTCGGGCTCGAAGACACCAAAGGTGGAAGGGTATGTAACCATGATGCCAGCAAGTTCGTCCGCGTGCTTAACGCACTTGGCCTTGAGATCCTCGACGTCCAGGTTACCAGTCTTAGCGTCACACTTAACAGTGACGACCTTCATACCGGCCATAGCAGCGGAGGCAGGGTTGGTACCGTGAGCAGAAACAGGGATGAGGCAAACCTTTCGCTTGTCTCCAGAACGAGCCTCGTGGTAGGCCTTGATACAGCGAAGACCAGCGAACTCACCCTGGGCACCAGAGTTGGGCTGCAGAGTAGTAGCGTCCATGCCGGTGATCTCAGACAAGTTCTTGGCGAGAGAGCTGATAAGAGCTTGGTAGCCGGAAGCCTGCTCGACGGGGGCGAAGGGGTGGATGTTGTTGATACCGGGGTCGGAGACGGGAAGCATCTCGGTGGTGGCGTTGAGCTTCATGGTGCAAGAGCCCAGAGGAATCATAGAGTGGACAAGGGAAACATCCTTGGACTGGAGGTGGTAGATGTATCGTAGGAGCTCGGTCTCAGTGTGGTACTGGTTGAAGACGGGCTGCTCAAGGTAACCGGTCTTTCGCTGCAGAGAGGCGGGAATCTCGTCGTTGAGGAACTTGCCCTGGTCGGACTCAAGGGCGGCGTTGAAATCGGACTCGGAAACGCCAAAGATCTTGACAAGGTTGCTGAGGCTCTCGAGCGAGACACCCTCGTGAAGAGAGAAGCCAACCTTGTCCTCGGCAACGCGTCGAAGGTTAATGCTCTGGGAATCAGCCTTCTCATGAACCTTTGCAACAGCCTCAGGAGTGCCCTTCAGGGTCACAGTGTCGAAGAGAACAGATCCATCCTCACGAAGACCGTCGGTGTGGAGCTTGAACTCGCCCTTCTCAAGGATAAGGCTCTGAGCCAGGCGTGTCTTGCTCCAGATATCTTGAGCAATAGTCTTAAGACCCTTGGGACCGTGGTAAACAGCATAGAAAGCAGACATGTTGGCAAGAAGAGCCTGGGCCGTGCAGATGTTGCTGGTGGCCTTCTCACGTCGAATGTGCTGCTCACGAGTCTGGAGAGCGAGACGCAGGGCAGGCTTGCCGAGACGATCCTTGGAAACACCGACGAGACGGCCAGGGATCTTGCGCTTGTACTTCTCGGAAGTAGCGAAGAAAGCAGCGTGAGGACCACCGTAACCCAGAGGGACACCGAATCGCTGGGAGTTACCAATGGCGATGTCGGCGCCGAACTCACCAGGGGGCTTGAGCATGGTGAGAGCGAGCAGGTCGGTGGAAGCGCTGAGAAGACCCTTCTTCTCGTGGACGATATCGGCGAGGGCCTGGTAGTCGTGGACGCCACCGTGGGTATCGGGGTACTGGATCAGGGTGCCAATGAGGTCACCCTCGACTTCGCGGACGAGCTTGGAGTTGTCGGCGAGGACATCGCCAATGACGAGCTTGATGTTGAAGCCCTCAGCTCGGGACTGCAGGACAGAGATGGTCTGGGGGTGGCAGTCCTGGGAGACGACAAAGACCTTCTGGCCCTTGCCCTTGGGGGCGTTGGCCATTGACATGGTCATAGCCTCGGCAGCGGCGGTGGCCTCGTCGAGAACGGAGGCATTGGCGATGTCAAGACCGGTCAAGTCGGTGACGAGAGTCTGGAAGTTTAGGAGGGACTGGAGACGGCCCTGGCTGATCTCAGCTTGGTATGGGGTGTAGCTGGTGTACCAGGCAGGGTTCTCGAGGACATTGCGCTGAATCACGGCAGGGACTAGAGTTCCGTAGTAGCCAGCACCAATGAAGGATTCATAGACTTTGTTGTTCTTGGCGAGCTTTCGCATCTCCTGCTGGACGTAGTGCTCGGTGCGGCCATTGGCAGGGACCTCAGTCTCAGCACCGCCCTCGTACCACTGCTCAACAAGGTTAAGACCCTTTTGCTTCCTCCTGACCTGCGGGGGGATAGTCTGGTCGAGGAACTCCTCCATGGAGCTCACGGGGGGGTCGAGAACCTTGAGCATCTCGGTCTGCTCGCTCGACTCGCTGCCGATGTGTCTCCGCGAGAACAGCTCGTGCTCATGCAGCTTGGTGCTGCTCTGGGAGTCGGCAAAGCGAGGAGCCTGGACCCGAGCGGTGGCTGAGAATGTGCGGGATGCGCCATTGAGACGGATTGTTTGTGTGAGGCGAGGTTGAAGAGTGATGGGGGAACGTCGAGACTGACGGCAGAGCCGTTGTCCGATGCGAGTGGCAGACATGCTCATGACTGTGGTTATGATATGCCTTTGAGCCCCTCTACACAAATTCAAGGCCGGTACTCGATAGGGAATTAAAAAAAGAAAGAAAAGAGGGAACCTTAAAAGCTTATGATTGACTATTAATAAAAATTGTTTATCAAAGAAGCAGCCGTGTCCAAAGTTTTAAGGGTACCATGGACCGCCCATGAGTGGCGTCGGCCGTCATGGTCCGATCATGCAGCCGGGCCCTGGACTTCTCCAAACCGGCCGGGAAAAGGTACATGGAGGTACAAGACAAAATCCAACGTTTGCGTCTACTTGCGGCAGACACTTCATGTGACTCGGTGAAAACACAGCGCGGCAATGCATGCGCGATAACGCCCGTGATTGGCCCGCCTTGACTCAGTGAAACCAGTGACTCGGTGAAAGATAAGCTGCCTATCGCTAATATTCACCGAGTCAACGGCTTTTCTTCACTGAGTCAAGCCAACGATAGCCCAGAATCAAATCGGGTCCACGGCAAAAGAGACCGTGGGGCCTATTCCTAGTCTTACAGACGTTATCACCTGTGAAAAGAAGAAGCTGGGGTTTGGTTCCACTGCGCTTCGCTTCTCACAAGTTCCTCGGCGTTGCTACCGAAAAACCTGGGGTCCGAGTTCGGGAGGTTATCGTCAACTGACTGCCGTGATAACAACGCCCAGTAGTTAGTTCAATGAGATGGCTTCTAGAAGTACGCCACACGGGATGTGCTTGTCATCGGTTTATGCAGCGTTTAATTGACTTTCTAGGGATTTTCGATGAAAGAACCGCGGGTGCAGAGCCGCAATGCAGACATTTTGAGAATCTACCCCTGCATGTTGGCGGTATAGGGTAGCTCACTTGTGATGGCTCAGTTAACGTCTTGAACCCTTGTGTCTGTGGTATAAATACCTGGTTTATATATTATTCCTAATAATAAGAGATTCTCTATCCGTCTCATACAATTGCTGACTATCCATAGTGGATGACAAGTACTGTACGATACTTAACAACATGCGTGCGTCACAACAAAAATTCGGAAGCCGCCATCCCGTTGCTCAGTCTGTGGTCGTCAACATTAAGATGACTCAAAGTGGTTTTGAATTGTCTGCACTACGTAGAGCTCTTGATACTAATAGCAGTGTCGGTAGTCTGAAGTGGTGGTGGTCTGGAGAAATCAAGCAGCCCGTTTGCTATAGGTTGGCCTAAATAATGAACAAAGGCAAATAGCACAACAAGTACAATTTATCCAAGCGTTTTAACTATGGCATCAAAACAAAGGGGAACAAGACTTATAGTTTATCAAAGAGACGCGCATGTTCATATTTTTCATAACAGCGAACACCTGTTGTTCACAAACCGGTTCATATTCGCTACAACGTATAAGACCAAAGACATGGAAGCATATTGAACCAAGGGCTCAGAACCTCGAAACTTGAAGAAATTACCAACTTCAAATTACCCTTCATCATGATAACTCAACCCGTCCAGAGAATACCACCTACTTGTGCACCCCTATGTAAGACGCACTTTGAATCTTATGTACTCGAACACATCACGCATCTGCTCGAAAGCAAGAAATCGAAAACTACTAAGAAAAGACCAGAACCGACACGAGTTCAGCCTAGACGAGCCGCAAAAGACAGCCATATTCTAGCAAAGGCCAAAAGGAAACGTGACACGGACCAAGAGTTGACCAAGTCCGAAGCCAAGCGGAGGAAAACCGACAACTCGGCCCAGAACTCTACCAAATGGAAGGCATTTTCCAAAGCATTTGAACAGCAAGTAGACGAGATCGCTGGGAAAGCTAGAGAAGAGAGATTTGGTGACTGTCCTTTTGGACCTACGCCATGGACATGTCATCTATGCACATCTGAAATCGCCAAGTCAACGGACGGAATGCTTCTTACAAATGAAGAGCCTGGAGCTCCAGTTGCTGACATGAGCCCCATCGGATGTTTCCTGGAGGTAAATCTATGGGATGGTGTGTGGTTGGGAGAATTGGAGTTTTCCCACTGCGAGGGGTTGTCTTACATCCTTGACGCTTGTGGAGAGCCGAGGTTCATGTTTCTATGACCTTGAGCATTTCTCAAGTATTTCTTAGCTAGATACTCTTGCTAATCAGGTTATGATATCCATTCTCCTGTTATCCGTAGTCCAAGTCTATATTCGAATGTGAGGCGGTAAATTGGAATAAGTACACATATTGAATTATTTTCTGATAGTAGTAATTGAACTTTCAGCTAGATGTAACGCTCAAGATACGAGCCTATACCCAAACAATGAAGGTGGCGGCTGAGGATATCATTACTCATCCGAGGACGAATGAGTCCCGGGAGCTATGATGTGATCCTTTATCAAGGCGCCGTGAGACAGATCGATTTGCTTACTGTTTCAATTCATTCGTTACTGTCGGTATCAATTTATACGACCATGACAGTGTCTTCAAATACGGACCATCTAGTGAAGTATTCGTAATAGTAGTTATACACCCGCCTTCATTAAGCGATGAAATCCTCGAGCATGATAAGACTACACAGAACCTTTCGCCATAAGGACAACAAGGAATTATGTATGCAAAGCATATTCTACAAATTATCTAAGCCACGTAGATTGTTTGATTAAACAAAATCGGATATGGAGACAGCAGGGTGTTTTACCACGAAAATTATCTATGAGACTACGAATGCGTTTCCTCCAGACCGTTTCCTTCTCATCTCAAACAGGTAAAAAAAAAACAGTGGCAAATAGTTTCCGATTGATTGTTTTCATGTATGCACATGTGCGTGTCTGGTTTAAGGCAAGGGCCGTTCGATCGAAATTTGGCGGTTAGATAAACGACATGTGTCAAACAGGTAGATAATCAATAACGAGAGGAAATGGAGTTGGTGTTAATAAGCTGATTTTGCATTGACCACGCTTATGCACGAGCAATAAGGCTATGGTAATATCCAAGAGCCATGAGGCCTACATGAGCGGTTTTTGGTGTAAGCCCTTCTACAGTATTCTCCCTCTAACCATCTATTTGCAACACAGCTAGAGTGTAGAGGTAGGTGATATGATATGAAGGCCATTCAGGTGACGTCGTGAACTGCCGGGTTGTTGCTTTCTTCAGTGGCAAACATGAGCTATTAGTGCGATCCAATCAGAGAGGACAGCCGGGGTGGGTGGCGCCAATGGCTGCCAGCCTTAAAAGCTTGGCTTTTACAACTTCACCTCGCTTTACAACAACCGAGGCTGCGAAGATCAGATGATATCCTACAGCTAGAAGTTTTATTATTGTAGTAGTATCGAAGTTAGGAAATGTAAGATATGGTAGGTGATCTCTCTAGTCTTGTAAATAAATTTATGTACTCCGTAGAATCTTCAAGATACGAAAAATCTCGCCTACCTGCTCCTATCCCTGTCCCTGTCTCCAATCTCGAACCATCCCCCGTGGATCATCACGCGGAGTCTAAAGCAACCGCCAAAATCACTCACATCGTCTCCACAATGCCAGCTCAGATCGCCAACCAGCGTGCGAAATGCCCGCCTGGACCCCTCATTGTGCAGGGAGGGGCGCGGGAGATAGAGGCACAAAGGCCGCAGCTACGCACAAAGGCCGCATCTTGCAGGCGTCGAGGGGCCTCTATATAAGACCCTGCATGATCCAGATCAAATTCTTCTTTCTTCATCCTCGATATCAAAGTAACTTCAACAACAAACAAACTCTACCTCTTTAACCTTTTTTAAAACACCTCTACCCACCAAACTATCATCACAATGGCTGGCGACTGTGGCTGCTCTGGTGCCTCTTCTTGCAACTGCGGCTCTAGCTGTAAGTCTCCATGACTACATTCACATAGGTTTTCTGTAATACTGACACTTTCTCAGGCTCTTGCTCCGGCTGCGGCAAATAAGCTTCCGGTATTCACACCTAATGGTCCTGTCCTTGACCTTCGGCTAGTCGAACGCACTCCAACAAGATTCATCACGACATGAGTCCACGGATGCTGGAAAGCAAATACAGATGGGATATGGACTAGCTACCTTCAACCAAACCAAATAAAAAAATTGATAATTTCTCTCCAATATCATCCTCGCAACATGACTTCCTAAAAATGGTGATCAATCTTAAACGATATCTTGCCGAGGTAGAACCATCCTACACATACCTACATTGTTAAGTCAACAGATGTTACACTTGCGATCTAGAGTATGCCAGAGCCGTAATGCAACTCTAGAGGATAATCCGGAGTGAGCCCCCTCTGAATACAGGATCGATTGCATGATATGGTTGTGGCCTGTATAATAGAACCCAAAAGCTTACTTCCCATGAAGGCAGACTTTATAGGATACGAACTCAAACGAGTTCAAAGCCGAAGACTTTACAGCGCAGTAATAGGGTTGGGAAAAGTAAGATCCCATGAAATCTTATTGATTGCGTGAACCTTCTTTAATGGCGTATAAATATTTGAAGCTTCCCTGTTCTGCGCACACTAAAACCAAGAATCCTAAGCATCTCTCCCTAACGTCAACTATATCTATGTCTACCGAACTCACAACAATCACTATGGACCAGAAAAAACCTCCTAAGCTTTCTGCCCTTCCATTCGAGGTCCTCGAGATGATCACCTCCAACCTGGAAAATGGCGACCTCAAGAACCTCCGCCTTACATCCACCCTCGGTTTTGCAATTCGCCTACATATAAAGCGAGTTTACCTGTCGGCCAATCCACTCAACATCAAAGTACTCAAGGCAATCGCCGACAACGACTTGTATCGCAATGATGTGAGAGAGTTGATCTGGGACGAATCTTACTTACGCAACGCCAACGAGCTTGTCTCGCCCAACCCCAAGAAGAGGCAGTCCAAACTTTCCAAAGGATTTGACCCAATACGTCGATGCCCAAAGTGGTATGTGAGAGACTCGCATAGTCACTTGAAGTCCTCTTACGACAGGGGAGAAAATCCATTCCTGCCAAAATTGGGGAAGCAGGAGATGTCATGGGAGGAGTCTTACAGATATTATTACGATCTGGCAAAACAACAGCGGGCGGTCATATCATCCAATGCCGACGTCAAAGCCTTCTCGTATGTATTAGACCATTTCCCCTTTTTGTCCAAGATCACGATATCGTCAAATGCCCATGGGCGACTGTTTGTGCCCCTTTATCACACACCTATGATTCGTGCGTTTCCAACTGGATTTGTCTATCCTGGGCCAGTCCATGTTTATCAGGATCAAAGGTCGCAATTCTTGTGGCAAGGCGATAACAATGGGCCCAGGAAGAAGTACACCATCCAGAGGCGTGGTCTGTGTGCTGCCCTTCGTATGCTTGCAAAACATGGGGATCACAAGGTTTCTGAGCTCATTATCGAGGAGTATGAGGAAGTTGACCGTGATTGGATGCTTGTTGATGTGAAAACGCCAGGCCACACTCGCGATGACCTCGCCACCCTCATCAAGAGACCTGATTTCCATACCTTGACCCTCAAAGTGAATAGGAAGACTTACAGGTGGGGAGTCGCTGAAGTCCTTGACGAGATGAGAGAGCTTTTCCGTGCCATCTTTGGACTTCCGAGTACTTGGAGCTTCCATTCTTTGGCAGGCTGTCGAAGCCAGAATATTCGATTGACCTGTTCACGAACTCCTGGCCCCGACGAGCATACATACTATGGCGCGGACGAATACTTACACACGGGTGAATCAAGAGTCAACCGACTTCACTTCTGAGTGGAAAGCAATAGTGATAAAAGATGTTATCGAACAGGAGCTGCTATCATTCACCGAGCGCGATGAACTATGGCGGGCTCTCCTCGTCCGTCGGGAAGTAGCTGTTCTATCATGGAGATGGGATACGAATGACAACCAACCTTCCAAAAATGCCCTCGCCGTCATACGCTACGCGAAGAAAAACGATAACCCTTACCCAGTCACCTATGTTAGCCACACTGGTGCCGGTGACTTTGGCTTCTTACACATGGTCTCCAGGATGCACGGTTCAGTTTTACCTGCTCGATTCTCGGCGTCCTCTCGGGTACCTTCCAAATGCATTCAATCTCTGACTTGAAATACCTTTTGCCCGCTTTTTCCAATGCATTGGAGATTTTCTACAATCTTATGAGCCGCAACGATTACCTCCTGACGGCGGCAATCCTCTGTCCGCAATCAGATTACGCGAACGATTACAAAAACAACATCCCTGAGCTTCTCTACAATGACTACCATTTCAGAAGGAACCACGAAGTACCTAGTACTTCCTGGACTTATCATGATATCTTTCTCAGCGCTTTCAAGGTTGCGAAGTGGAGATACAAGTACAACGACTACATGGGTACTGAAATATTTCCAGATTGAGCCCTGTGCAGAACAGACAATCATGGAATTTCTTGGCCTCACTATGCCAAAGGGTACAGATGCAACAGCGAAGGACGCAAGGGAGATCAAGATGGATGAACGTGCACAAAACGCAGGACCTGATCTGAGAGTATATCGTATGGTTGCATCTCGCGAGGGGAAATGTACTTTCGAAGCCGGGCATGTAGAGGCATGAGTTTGGTGCTGTTGGGCGAGGACAAGACTTGAGCAACATAACGTTTGTATCACCAAGTCGATAAACTGGTGAAGGGAAGTTTAATCAACAATCCTTCGGCCATTTCACCAGCTTTCTTATCGGGCTATTCTGCTTTCTCAATAGTCCGAAATTATTTCAGATTGAAGTACTCAAAAATCTCAATCCCAGGTCTATGTAACAATATTCGGTATGTAAGGAGCCTATGCCACACACAGTAGGTGCAGTAGGTTTTACCCTGGGGAGCTGTAGCTGTTTGATGGTTAACATTAATTATAATTCATCCTCTTACCCGATATAGCCCAGCCGGCAGATGTCTGACCCTGCTGATCAAGGCCGCCCATTCCGGCAATGAACCTGATTCATGTGCTTCCTTTAATGGCCGACCGAAGCCAGATTAGCATGTGACAACCCAAGCCCAAGACCGACGGGAAAAGTAAGAAAACGGATGACTGCGCCTGCCCAGAAGTTCACGTGGACATGTATCAAGATTCTTTTGTCTCCTGAAATTTGTTCAACATTACTCATCTTTAACTTTTCTTGCCTCCTTCGATTGATTTGATCATTCAAAAGTAAAGATTGGATTCTTGACATGACATGCCCGCTGCAGAACTGACGTCGCGGGGCAAGGCCAAAGCACAAGCAACCACCACAATCTGGGGTAACTGGACGCTGAATGACGCCTGTATTAGATGGTAACTTGCAGCGTCACAAAAAGAAACTTGGAACAGCTGTATAAATGGCAGCCTTAGTAAGTCTCTCAAATTATTTGTTCTCTTTGACTCTTTTACACTATTATTCCTTCTTTCCTTTTAATCCATTCTTTGGCACTCATATCCCCCTCCAAGACACCCCCAGGCTGCCCGCCCTAGAAGCCTGTCGCTCTAAAGTGGCGCCCCATGACATAACCGTCTCCCTCCACTCAGCCCAGCCCAGCCCAGCCCAGCCCAGCCCACTTACCCAGCTCCTTGGTTCCCTGCACTGTTAGCGACTCAACTTGACCCTCTGACGTCGCGACGCGGCTGTTCACGCGGGCAAATGATCACGACCAAGACTACATCGCAACTTTCACTCTCTTTATAAATCGAATCTACCGAAAATAATCACGACGCATAGGCCTATTATTAACTTTGACCCCAACTCCAGGACACACCGTGGCTGTCGCATCTTGGATCGTCGCCCATGTCTTCCCGCGACGATGCGTCTCACGGCGCATCGCCCCCCTCTTACGAACCTCAATCTTCGAATAGTGGTGCACCTCCGACATATGCCACCTTCTCTCCCGTAACCCTCTCCGCAAACACACCATCCCGATCATCCCGTCGATCGACTATTCTCGTCCATCAAAAGAGCCCCCTGCTCCTCGCTACTCCGCCCCAGATCACTCGCGCCCTCGCCTACAGTCATCCCTTCCTCCTCCCGCTGAATACACTCGCTGGGCTTCTCACATGGAGTACCGGAGACCCTTGGCAGAGTTTCTTGCTATTGTGCCTCTATTGGGCGGTTGTTCTGTATGGCGATGTAGTAATAACGTGGGCTGGGCCTGTCTTGGTCGGCGTGGCACTCATTGCTGGCATGTACGGTCGGAGATACAGTCCCCTCAGTAGTAGTGGGTGGACTGAGACCAGAGGTCAGAATGCGGGTGCCAAGGGAGCAAACCAAAACCCCGGCGAGAGCAGCCAGCAGAACGGAAAAGCAAACGCTGGCGAGAAACAGTCGAAACATACTAGGGGAAACTCGGAGGTTACCAATACCAAACACCAAAAGACACTGGACGAGATCGTCGAGACTCTTAAACAGCTTACAGGGAGATGCAATGTTCTTATGGAGCCCTTACTCGAAATGACGGATTTCCTAAGCACTCAGACGACCCCAACCAGTGCCACCACGCGCCCAGCGCTGACTGTCATCTTCATGCGACTGCTTATTATCACGCCTATTTGGATCGCGCTTACTGTTCCTCCATGGAGGGTTGTCACCACGAGACGTGTAATGCTAATGGCCGGGACGATCATCTTGACTTGGCATGCAAGGGTCATGCGAGTATCGCGGGCCATTCTTTGGAGAAGCTCCACAGTTCGAAGACTTTCAACCGGCATTACCGGGCTACAGTTCAATACCCCTGAACAACCATTCAAGAAAGATTTGCAAAAGGCTGCTAAGAAAGGCTCGGATCGTGTTCAGCAGCAGGATTCGGAACTTACAAAAGCTCTTACCAAGGCGACAAGTTTCCAGACCAACCATGGACGAAGACACGGCACCGGGAAGACTGCAGGTGTTAAGTTTACGTTCATCATTTACGAGAACCAAAGACGGTGGGTCGGTTTGGGATGGACGAATAATCTATTCGCATACGAAAGAGCTGCTTGGACGGATGATCACAGTCATTCGGTGCCAGCCAAAGACGACTTTGAGTTGCCAGAGGTGGAAGACGGAAGCCGTATGGTGTGGAGATGGGTTCCTGGAAGTCGCTGGCGTGTTGATGGTGTACCAGATGAGCACGGCCCTGTAGACTATGAAGGGAAGGAGGGGGTGAACGGATGGATCTTCTATGATAATAAGGTAAGTGGACTTATCTAGAGATGTTCTAAGTCTTTGCTAATGGTTTCTTAGTGGCAAAATGGCCAGCGAGGCCAAGATGGCTGGAGCCGCTGGACAAGAAGGAGAAAGTGGTATCGCGACGCTGAGTTGGTCGAACTCGATCAGCCTAAAGAGGACCAAGAGGGCAGCACGGAAGCCAGCAAAGAAGTCAAGGAATCTCCTTCAGTAACAAAACTCCGGTCGCAACCATACAACTCCAGCAACGAAACCATGGTGCCAACACGAAGCGCGGCAGACCAGAGCCACTCCGAGGACCTCAGCAATGATGACGCGAGCTCCAAGGCAGCAGACGATTCCTTGTCAGTACATTCGACATCCTCGAAATCTTTCCTACGATCACCTTTCATGCGGAAACGAGTCACTGACCGATCTGGAGCGGATAACAAAGAGCGCGCCAGAAGAGACAGCAGGGCAAGTAGAACGAGCAGCTTGTACAACGACGATGACGCCAATGCTCTGGGTGCGGAGTTGGCCTTGGAGATTCAGAAACAAGGTCGACCAGGAGGACAATGGGGCATTGGCGACGAGGCACGGATGAGCCTTGAGTAACGGAGTACTGGACGGCGATACTGCATATCGAGATCATCGGCGTTTAATGGGCTGAGGGATATTTATGGGATATATGGTTATCGAGATATCTGCCACTGCGGCTTGTGACACATTAGCAATTCAGGTGGGTTTGAAGGACGGCGTATGGTTGATTGAGCGCTACGTGTAAGAGTAGGGAAACGAGGTTCATGACGAATACCAACTACTTTAGTCGATTTACTTCAAACAAAGAGATTGATCCTTTCTAATAGCCACTCGATAGTGAAGGTTCCGTCGGTAGTTGGATCCGACGACGAGACTTGAAGAACAAAGAACGATCTATGGTGGCACTTGACGTTGACTTTAAAGGGATGTACAGGGAAAGACTGTCACACTGAAGGTATTCTCAATCGGTCGCTGCATGATAGTTTATTTGTGATGGTTCTTGTGGTAGTGCCAGTATCACTTGTCGCCAGTGTCCGTCACTGCCATCTCCTGGCATCAACAAAGCCACATCCTTACCTCACACCTTTCCTCAACATTTCCTTTCACGTTCTTCAAAAGCATCGGACTCTTCCACATTCCCTTTTCTATCTTTACTGTCCAAAATGGAGCTGCCGCTACCTCGAGATGCGAATCGAACTCTTCGTATGAAGAGAAGCGGTCGCATCAGCGCCCTCACCCTCTCCCTTTCTCCTGAGCACGCTCAACAACAACATCAACGGAGTATAACATCACCCGCAAAAGCCTCACCTTCCATGCGCTCGCCGCATTCCTCCCTCGTCTCTCCAGAATACCTATCCCGCAGCGCATCCACACTAAACCACCACCGCAACATCTCCGGCTCTGGTCCTTCCCCCGGCACCTCGGTCGTCGACTATGGCTCCATGCGCTCCGACTCACGCGCTGAATCCTCCCTTACAGTCCGCGCTCCCGAACGAGGCGGATCGCCGCCGCTGACGCCGTTCCCGCCGTGGGTTAGCGAGGAGGAGGACGAGGGCGACGACTGCGAGAATCGTACTTGGGAGGGATCTACGACTCGCACGGATGGGAAGAGACATAGTTACGATGGCAGTCATGTGCCTGTGACGATTGTACGCGTTGAGGGCCGCTGGGTAGTTAGCTCTGTCATACATGGCCTCGTGCTCGCGTTGCAGTTTACTGTGACACTGGGTGTTTTTAGTGCTTTGATGTGGATTACTGTGTGGAAGGAGAACGAGCCCGGTAATGACTTCGATGACTGGTGAGTCCTTTATCCTCATAACCTTTTAATACTTCGTTAACCATTGGTAGGCTCTGGAAACTCGCCGACCCCACGCTCATCACAGTGCTGCTCCTCTGCTCAGCGAGTCTTGTCATCCACGAAGTCAAGCTCCTTTCCTCGGTCGCACTGCTCTATCTAGAGTCCCTCATACTCGCCGCAACGACCGTATCAAGCCTCGTACTGTGGGCGCGGTGCTTCCAGGAGGAGAGTCGTAGTGTCAAGGGTGTGTTGATGGGCTGCAATGTTTTTATGTGGGGACTAGCTCTTTTTGCATTCGTCCGAGCTGTTGTCGTTTGGAAGGTCGAGGCTAATGAAGACGAGATGGATCACGAGAGGGCGGTTATGTATGGGACGTTTACGCTGTGGGGAATGGGGGATGAGAGACGGGAGTCTTTATGAGGGGTGGGCGGGTATTGGAAATACCGGTTGCGAGGGCTGTGCCTGTATATTGACTTATTGGTCTAGAAAGAATAACTCCAGAGTCTAGTGGAAGGCACAACGAAACAGATTCTTGTTACGACCTAGCCAGTCAAGCCTCTGCCTTGAAATGTCTACACCGATGTCGAAACAAGTGATACGTACTTTCATTCACAGTGTTATTGTGACCTTACGTCTTCATAGGGTACAGTACTGCCTAACATGGTCAGTGGACATGCTTTGAGAGACTGTTTAAAACCAGTTTGTACGTACGTACCAAAGCTTGCCAATATATATATAACTCAAGGTGAACTTTGGTTCAAATCATTACAGTACAGACAAGGATGCTGTACCCGGGTAATAACACCTCTTCTGGCAGGCATGTATCTAGACGACTCAGCAGTTACTTGTCACTTATACTAGATCCTCCTCGCTCATGTTGTATTTCGCAAACGCCCCACGAGGCTGAAATAACCAGACCCCAAAATGAGTGAAGGAATCCACGCTTCTGCATGTACCGTTGCAGTCCGTGCAGGGGTATAGGAGTTCTTGGGAATATGTAAGGCTGGCTCGCGCTCTGATCCTGGTCCGCCCCAGTAGCTTGTTTGAAAGCTGTAAGATTTTGGCCCCCAATATTCTTTTGAACCCCTGGTCGATTGTGCAGTTGACGTCCAGGGACATTTTCTTTTCTGGTTTGGGAATTAGAACCGGAAATTCCTGGGTCTGGTTTTAGGCAACCGAGTGAATTGATTTGTTCGGGACGGGCTCTGGGCTGCTGGCCAAGAGATTTAGGCCAAATGGGGATACCAGGGTCTGTTATAGGACTTGGTGGTGTATAACGGTGGGTGTATATAGTTAACTTGCAATCCAGGTAAGAGTTGGAGACAGTGAACAGATCGTAAGTGCTCAGGTATAGGGATATCTTGACTTACACGTGGAGTTTGCTTCAGCTTTCGTGGATATGCGTAGTGAGCCAAGAGTTCTCGAACTTATCAAGATATTAGGTCAACTATGGCTTCCAATAACATTAACTAAGAGTTAACCAGAGCAATATATACTACCATAAGATTAATCTAGACCTACATGTATCTAGAGTCACTTGGTATATGCAGTGAGACAGCAAGGGTTTACAGAACTGCAACATTGGCTCTCTTGGTCCCCAACTTGACAACGTCGAAAAGGAAAGACTAGATGCAACAGAATGTCACTGTTTCGTTCGAAACACTGAGGCTCACTCTGCCATGTTAATATAGTTCATGGAGTGGCTCTATTAGCCGCCGTAAGGGCAGGAGGGTGTGTAGGCTGGCGGTTGAGCACCTTCCGTTGGAGTTTCCGGTCCGGCTGTTCTCATATATTACCTAGTAGGCACCTTGGGCAGGTAGGTAGACATTTCGCTCCTCCTTCCCCATAAACCCATTTTCATTTTCTTTCGTCTTCAATCTGCATTGCTATTCATTCTCTCAATTCTGCTTCAACTTCCCAAGATGAACTTCGCCGCCTATCAGTCACTTGGCTCTCGAAATTCCGTCCAAGCATCGAGCAAGCCGTTCTCTTCAACGGTTGACTTCAGTGACCCATCGTATGATATGCCCTATTTTGCAAACGCCGAGGTGTTGGTTCCAAAAGCGCAAAACGTCCAGAAGAACGCAACAGTATTTCAGCACAATGCCAGAGGTCTTCAAGGCCCCCTGTCAAAGTAGGGGACTACAACTCCCAAAGATGTAAAAGGGACCACTATACCAAACAATTCCCATTCAGGTAATTGGAATCAAGTTCTTCAATCTATGCTCTCGACTAACATCGGGCCTCAAGCTCAGGTTCGGCGTACATTCATCTTCCAAGTCGACTACACAGCCTTCCTAAGAAGCCTCGAGTTCCCTTACGTTTCAGAATTTACAATTGAACCCAAATCTCAATTCACTGATGACTATAAGTGGATCGGCCAAGATGCATCCTTCATCAAATGGAAGACCCTCAAGAATGGACTGCTCTGGTTAAGAGGATCCGAAGGAAGCGGAAAGACAACTCTGATGAAGCAGGTTCTTCACACACGCATGGAGGATGAGCCGGACTCAATCCATTTGACATACTCGTTTTCCCCTTCTGGCAGCGATCTGCCCAGGACGCGACTAGGACTTTTTAAAGCACTGCTTCGCCAGCTCATTCCACAGTCTCCCGAGACCTTCAAAGACATCAAGGCCAGATTCGACAAGATCCAGTCTTCTCTGCCCCAAAAGGAACAAGTCGCTTGGGCTGCGCAAGAGCTTTATGATGATCTCGTCAAGGCTCTTCCTAAGATTCTAAAAACCCTTTCTATCTACATCTATGTCGATGGGATCAACTACTCCGAAGGGGAAACAGCCAATAAGCTTATGCAAGACTTTTCAAAACTCATAGAAAAGGCTCAGCCGACTATGAAAGAGCCCAAACCAGCACACGGCCTGAGAATCATCTTTTCTAGTACTGTGTACCCTGCCCAAGACCCCTTCCCACGATCGTACATCCAGATGGATGACAAGAATGGGCCGAACTTGAGAAAGTATGTAGAAGAACAGCTTGCCAACTTTGACTTCAACACAAAGCAGTTGGTGGCTTCAAAAGCTGGTCCATTTTTCATCTCGGCTCGTTTGATCGCCAATCATATCAAACTCTTTGGGCCTATGCAGTCGTCCCTTATTCAACAGCCGTCTCCAACACCTGCTCCGATCTCTTTCTTACTGGGCGCTTATTTCCAGGATATGAAACAGCAGGGTAACAAGATTCTCCTTACACTTCTCCACTGGTGTTGTTTATCATCGAGGCCGCTCACCTTGTCTGAGCTCCGGATCGCCTTGACGCTTTCTACTGTGCCCAAGATGGCGGCCATCAAGGATATCACATCTGGAGAGTTGTTCACTCGATATGCCTCTGATGAGAACTTCCAGTCTTGGATTAAGACAACTTCATGGGGTCTTCTTGAAACTACGACTGTAGGTGGCCAGAAGGTTGTGAAGACTATGCATGGCAGTGTCGCTGCCTTCTTTATCGCGAAGGGATTAGACATCCTCTCATATGGATCACAGACCCCCGAGACTACAGCATCCCACCTTCAGACATCCCATTATTCTCTTTCTGCTTGTCTTACTCGTTACTTGGCGCTACTTACCAAGGAGCCAAACTGGGAGTCTGCAATCCACACAGACTCTACCTTGCAGCTAGTGAAATATGCCGGAGCCAACTGGTCTTATCACATCTCTGCCGCCAGCTTGGGCAAGCCTGAAGCCTCAAAGATTCTAAAGTTGTTAGAATGGCCGTCAGATGCCCTTCTCAAAGTATTCATCAAGCTTAGCCAAGAGGATCCTGCCCTGGGCAACCTTCAAGGGACCTGGATTCACCTCTTTGCAGTCCATGGGCATTCTCGTCTCCTTTCAATCGCCGTCAAGAAAGTAGGAAAAGACGTGATGGAAGCGCAAGATATCCAGAAAAGGACTCCTTTGCATCTAGCTGCTCTCCATGCACACTCCTCGGTAGTGAAGCATCTACTCAAGTCCGGTGCCAAGACGGGCTCTCGGGCAGTCAATGGCAATACAGCTTTGAACTTCGCCCTGCTACAGGGCCACCAGAGTGTCCTGAAGCCTCTACTTGAGCGTGATCCCACTTTGATCTCGATCGTAAATGACTTATCCCAAACACCGTTATTTTTTGGTGCTATTCGCGGAAGTTCGTCAGCAATCAAGCTTTTGCTCGAGAGAGGTGCAGACGGTTGGGCTCTTGACAAGTTCAATAACTCTGTCTTACATCATGTCGCGGCCACTGACAAATCCAGCATCTTGAAGCTACTTCTCGAACGTGGTGCGGACCTCAACTCGCAGAATCCTGAAAAGCGCACACCTCTACACATTGCCATTGCTGGAGGCCAAATCTCTGCTATCAAGCTTTTATTGGAACGAGGATGTCGAGCAGACATTCCCGACAGTCTCGGAAGGAGAGCACTTCATGAAGCAGCTGTATCAGGGAGCAAATCTTGCACACAGTTGCTCCTGAAACAAAAAGTAGCTACTGAAGTGAGAGACAATGACGGTCAAACAGCCCTGGTCCACGCCGTTCAAGGCCGTCACATTGGCATCGTCAAGCTCCTACTAGAAAGCAAGGCAGATGTAAACGTGAAAGATAAAGCCGGATTCAGTGTACTCATGATCGCAGTCAAGGCTTGTGAAGAAAAGATCGCAAAGCTACTCCTTGAGGGTGATCAGGACCTGAATTGGCTTAGTCACGAAGGGCATACCGTCGCTTTTTACGCTGTTCTTAGGGGAAAGGCAGTGTCTCTTCTGTCAGCAGAAGAACAATCGATTGCTTCTCTCCTTCTCAGGCGTTACCAGAAGAAGTATCCTGTATGGAATACGGAGTGGAGAGAGTGTCAGCGAGCGTTTCTGGCTGAGCACGGGAAGAAGAAGGATGAAGCTATAGGTTCCAAACTTGAGTCCAAGGTCAAGAGTAACGAGTTTCCCTCAAGCACACAGACTACAAAGCCTCACAAGCAGCATAAACCCAAAAAGACGTTGAAAGAAGCAGGCACTGCAGCAAATATTGGACTTAAAAAAGCATCACCCAATACTGTTCCTGGAACTCAAGGTGGCTTGAAGCACCAACAGCACACAAAGCCCGCTGCTCAGCCTACGGCGGTGGCCAAGAACCAGCCCCAGGTGGTGAAACATGCATACCCTATCCATGCTCCTAATAGTTTGGCGTCTAAGAACACATCGGGTATGCAGGAGCGTCAAACCCCTGGTACCAATACCTCTGCTATGTCTACAAGGCCACAGGGACGCGAAGCTCAGCAAAGCTCCTCGATCGAGTCGTTCCAAACTACCCAGATTTCCAGCGATTATGTAGGCGGAACGGGTATGAGCATTGGAGCGACCGCCCCGAAGGCCACGCAAGTTTCCCAATCACAAAGTGCTACTTCTCCCGGGCCTAAAGGTCACATAGTCCAAAGAAACAGCTGGGATATCTACAGTTCGCTCTCAGAAAGTTCCACGCCGAACCAGATGTCTCAGATGATGAAGACACACAGCGCTTACGCTCCGTACTCCAGTACCCCTCAAAGATCTTCAGGAGATTCCATCAAACCTTTCCAGCCGTTCCAGCCCAACGCAACTCAGGCAGGTTCCCCAGCAGCTTCGAGACCCTCGGTAGGCCAGTCCGATTCCAGATACTTCTTGCCCTCACAGGGGTCTTGGGAACACCCTAAAGCTGCTGGAACAAGCTATTCCCCAACTCCGCAAGCAGTACCGCAGGCATATCAACCTTTAGGTTCCAATCCCCAAAAGCCTGTTGCGTCACCTCATCAAACCTATGCTCCATGCCAGAGTCCTGCCCATCAAGTTGTGGGGAAGCCTACTAATCCTCAAGGTATCGGACGAAAGCCGGTTGGGGGAAACTCTGCAACACCTCCAATGGCCGAAAGGCCGGGCAACCAGTCCCCCTTTCTCCCGTGGCAGGCACCTAAGCCTCCTGCTGGTGCATATCCTGCTGATACATCACAGAGCAAAACTCAATCTATCACCGGCACGGTACAAGCTAAACCAGCAGCCCAGGTTGTTTCGCAACATCCTTCGTCTAATAAACCTCAAGCTCATGGTTTCGTTGCGCAAGGTAGGCCTCAGATCGCGACTGGGATATACCAGCCTGTAACAACCCAAGCTCCAACTGGTATGGCGCCAGGTAAACCCCAAGTCAAGGCTGGAACACCACGGGGCAAGGCTCAAGCTCCCCCAACGACAACACAACATCATTCAAATAAACCACAGTCTCAGATTTCAGCGCAAGGCCGGCCTCAAGTCGTTTCCGGAGCACCTCCGTCTCTACCGAGTAGGCCCCAAGTCTCAACTGGGAAGGGGTCAGGGAAACCTCAAGCACAAGCGGGAAGCCTGCAAGGCAGGCCTCAGGCTCAGTCAACGGCAACAGGTCCTTTTACAAACAAACCCCAACCACAAGCTCAAAGCGGCACAGCTCAAGGAAGGCCTCAGATTTCTGCCGGGACACCTCAATCTGTCACAAGCAAAGCACAAGGCCAACCCCAAGCTCCGTTTAAGACACCTCAGCCTCAATCTAACAAGCCTCAATTTCAAAGCGTTATGGATCCAGGGGGACAAAACAGGGCCAGTACCTATCCAGCACCACCTCATGCGAAGCCCCAGCCTTCTGCGTTTGTTAAGTATCAAACGGCGGCTCCTGAGCAGAGAAACCCCATCCTAACTCAACATGTACCTGTTGCAGGGAGTGTGCCATTTTCAGCGGGTGCCCCTAGACAAGTCAGTTACGTTCAGAACGAGTTTTCATCGTCAGAGTGGAAGCCTGTGCCTGCAACAAGTCATCACTATGAGTCTTTCTCGTCAACGACACAGCATGGTAAACAGGGGCCACTTCAAACAACTAGCTCCTCCAGAGATCTTTCGGAAAGTCACAGCTCACTGTCAAACAAGAGTGAAAGTTCCTCTGGTGGTAAGGTTGCTGCAGCTGCCGGCATTGGCATCATTGCTGGTGCAGCTGGTGGCTATCTCCTTTCTTCTCAGATGGACGAACATCACTCTGAATCGAACACTATCAACAACTATACTTACACAGACTACAACAATGTGCATCAGCAGCCTGCTTCGTATGATTCTGACCACCAGTTCTCGGACTTGGAATCTCCTGCAGAGGAGTCAGAGCATTCTGACGAGGTTTCCGAATCGGAACATTCTGACAATGACGACGATTCCGAGGACAGCAGCGATGAAGATAGGGCTATCTCTCACAGAGAACTAGAGTTCACCGACTCTGAACACTCGGATGGCCACATGTCATCAGATGACGCTGAGGATACAGATGTGAACGAGTCAGAAGAGGATGATAATGAGATCTCAGACTCTGAAGAAGACGAACTTGACAGTCCGCATATGGCTGCCGGCTTCACAGACGATGATGCTTCAGAAGCAGGATCAGATGATTTCCACGTAGAACTTGACTCAGACGCTGGTCTTGACTCAGATGTTGGTCAAGATGAGGGTGAGTCCTCGGTTTCTGAAGGTGAAAGCGACGCGCAGAATGATTTCGATGAGGATGGTGCAACGAATTCAGATGCAGGTAACGATGATGAGCAGCATTTAGTCATGCAGGAGCAGTATCAAAACCAAGGCCACTTCCAGGAGCAATACCAACCTCAAGGTCACTTTCAAGAGCATTATGAACCACAGGACATCTTCCAGGAACAGCACCAGCCGCAGCATCAACCACAGTACCAGCAGCAAGTGCCTGAACAAAGTGCCTCTGAAGACGAAGAACAAGATGAGAGCGATGGCAACGACGAGCAAGGTCTCAATAGCGACGACTATGGAGGTGGCCACTCTGCCGTGCCAGACTACGACAGCGATGGACAGGTGGAGGCGGTTGGTGGACAATATGGTGGAGAAGATTGGGGACAGGGATATGAATCTGACTACTAACTTAGTAGAAGTCAAGATGAATGTGAGGAGGCCATTGTGCGAGGGATCTTTCATCAATTGCTAGTAACAAGAAGTGTGACGAAGAATAGATAGTTTCATAATATTCTCCAGTTAGATAACTTGTGAATGTAAAATTTCGTCTCCTCATCCACCATCTCTTGGCGGATTCAACAAGGGCATGTCCTACAGACGGTGACTCACACCGATCAGAACCGAGAGTTTGAGGGCATCCCAACCTGCCATCAAGACAATGCACTTTATCATAATCTGCTATTATTCCAGCCATCAAATAACCTAAATATGTCATTAGTTTCTACAATATTCCAATTGGGTAGTTAATTTACAGTAATTCATACTAGGGTGCAATTCAGATTCCCCACGGGGCCATGAGGAGAAGTGGATCAGGCTTCCACTATCATGCAATGCGGAACTAATACCTCAAGAACAAATACTTAAGAATACACGGTTTCTCATTTAATGAATCGTAGACACAGATAAACTACGTCTTTCATAATATCTCATTACTTCACTTACTACCAAATTATAGTCCCCCCTTCAAAATGGCCGCCTCAGACGTCCGCATCGAAACCATCACAAACCCTGAAGACTTCACAGGCGCCTTCAGAGCCAGTGCCAATGCCTTCGGCCACCAAACCAAAGATGCCGTCTGGATCGCCTTCAACCCCGACTGGGATACCCCCGAGGGCGTAAAAGTCGGTGCCCAACGCATGGTCGACCGCTTCTCGTCAATCACCAAGAACCGTGACGGCCAGCCCAATACCGTCTTTGTCAAAGCCACCCTCGGCGACACCATCGCCGGCCTCGCAATCTGGCAGCAAGCTTCCGTCGTAGACGGCTTCGGCGATGCACCCAAGGATCTGAATGAGGGCGGGCTTCTGGAGAAGCTCTACCCTGGGAATGAGGCTGAGCAGAGGTTTCTTGCTCAGGCGGATGCCTCGCTGTTTGGACGCCGAAGGGAGATCATCAAGGAGAAGGCTTCTGCATCCCCACCGGCGGTTTTCGTGATGGATCTCTGTGCCGTGGATCCGCAGTTTCAGAGGAGGGGAATTGCGAGGAAGTTGGTACAATGGGGACTTGATGAGGCTGAGCGAAGAGGTAACCTGGAATGTATCACTGAGGCGTCGACGATGGGAAGGTTGGTGTATCTGCAGCAGGGTTTTAAGCAGGAAGGGGAGGAGACTGTGTATAAGGTTGATGAGGAGTTTAGGGATCGAGATCTGCCTTCGAATATCGTTCTCAGGACAGGCGGGCAATAGGTCAAGACGAAGGGGTCTGCTGGTTGAACCACAGGATAGAAAACAAGAATAAAAAAGGTTCTTCATCTCAGGATGATATGCAAGTCATTATTCTCATAAAAGTCTCATCAACACCTATTTTAGTTCCTTACAGAGTATGTTTCTTCACCTGTACCCCCTCAGGCATCTTCCAATGGTTCTTAACACCACCCCAACTCTCCTCATTATATCCCTCCTGCACCTTCTGACACGTCCTGAGTCCCCACTGCGTAACACCCACCATCAAGCAGCTCTCAAACATAAACGCACAGCTCCCTCCGCCGACCTTGACAGGCTTGAGCTCTGCGTTCCGCGCACCCTCATAGCTCTCCGCGTCAGGCCCGTGACCGCTCATGACATTGTGCAGACTCGCGCCGCCGGGGACAAAACCCCCTGCGCCGCCGCGCTTGGCGTCGTAGCCGCCTTGGATGAGGCCCATGAACTCGCTCATGGTGTTGCGGTGGTACCACGGTGGGCGGAATGTGTCTTCGCCGACGAGCCAGCGCGGTGGGAAGATTACGAAGTCGGCGACTGCTGTGCCAGGTGTGTTGGTTGGCGCGGATAGCACGGTGAAGATGGATGGGTCTGGGTGATCGAATGAGATGCTACCGATGGTGTTGAAGCGACCGAGGTCGTACTTGTAGGGGTAGTAGTTCCCATGCCACGCCACCACGTCGAACGGCGTATGCGCCTGGACTGTCTTGAAGAGGTTGTTGTTGAACTTGACAGAGACAGTATACTTGCTCGAGCCTTCGGAGGCAGTAGCTCCAAAGTCCTCACTGAAGCATGCAACAGGAGATTGGAAGTCGCGAGCGTTGGCCAGACCGTTGGAACCAATGGGGCCTAGCTCTGGGAGGTTGAAATGACCTTGGTACAGTTCGAGAGCGTAGCCACGAGCAGGGCCGGAGGGAAGATGGACCTGGTACTTGACGCCTCGAGGGATGACAGCGATCTCCATGGGTCGAATGAGTAGCCATCCAAATTCCGTGCGGATATCAAGAGCGCCCTCCTGGGCAACGATGAGAAGATCACCGTCGGCGGAGTAGAACGCTGATTTCTCATTCATGCTCTTCCCAGCAGCGTAGATATACATACCCAATCCCTCCTTCAGAGTAGGATCACCAGCACCAGCGACCAATCTTAAGCCGGAGACAAAATCCATATCCTTAGCCTCATCATGATCGAAAGGGTCCCAACGGAGCTGGTTAGGGATATAGTGCAGCTTTCCATCCTCGGCGCCGTCAAGAGTTTTGTTGACATTGCTCGTAGGCTCTGTATTAGCTTGGTACGGAGGGTGCGCACAAGATGGAAGAACGCGGTATAGCCAAGTCTGCTTGTTCTCATGTCGCGGGGCTGTAAAGGCTGTCCCGGAGAGCTTCTCGGCGTAGAGTCCATACGGCGGCTTCTGGGGAGAATTATGCCCGATAGGCAACGCGCCCTCAACAGCCTCAGATCTAAGAAAGCCGTCAGCGTAAGTCATATACCGTGAAGAGACGATACTCACTCTAGGTGGCAGTTGAAGCCATTCTGATATCTGTACTTCTCTTTGAGGTCAAAGGTTGTGAAGGGCATCTTGACTGTTTTGAGTTTGGGTTTAAGCAGAAAGCAAATCTCACGTTTTCAGTGTGCGAAGTCGATGCTTATAACTGTGTTCCCGCGGCTCTGTGAGCTTCCCTTCTTGAACGACGGATGACGTCCAATTGCCGTGTAAGCCGTTGGAGTGTAATTCCGCCTTGCAATTTTGGGACGGCCCGACGTTAGCCGTGGGGCATCGCGCTCGTGTTCCGCTGACAATGAGTGTAGATATTGCCTATTTGAGACGAGAAATTGAAGAACAGGCCATTTTTCGCATATAGTCGGAGATTTATTTTTTATGGAAAATAAGATTTAGATTAGATTAGATCGTCCATGATAAAGTTATAGCCATCGGGTGGGAAATAAATTGTCTAAAGATTCATAGATTCACCGAAGCTAATCTATCATTATCGCGGGGTAAGATCTTGGTGGGCCTGGAGACAATGATGTCGTCTACCAGTATAAACCTAGCCACAGCCTTACCTCAATGTCAACATCGCTCATACAAATATCTTCACATGTCATTTTATGAACCATTAAATGTGTGGGGAATGTGTATTATGTAAAGGAGCCATGATTTCATGGAACCTAGAAACGCCGACCGAATCGACCAGCGATAACAAGAACTGTAGAGGTGTACACCAGGCGATGCTTCCAGCAGTCGCACAGACTATAACCCGGCCAAGAATATCTAGACGCAATATCCCGAGCGCCGACTCGCAACGAAACCAGCGAAACGATCAAGAATTATAGGAACTATTGGAACAGATACCAGGGTGGCATCGATAACTTATTCGTCTTGCTTCTTGTTCTTCTTCTTCTTTCCGCCGCCGACGTTGCCGCCCATTGTTGTGCTTGTGGGCTGTGTCTGGAGGTGAACAACAAGTCGGGTCCATGACTCTTCCTTGTCCCACTCGAAACCAGCGAGGTAGGGCTGGTCAAGCTCATCATCAGACTGGGTATGATATTAGCATGTGTGAGTTGGGAGATGCAGGTACACTGAAAACATACCCGCTTCTTGTACGCCTTGTGAATGGCATCTAGGGCATCCTTGATTGTTACACCCTTGAGGTTTCGTGCTGTCACCTCCTTTCCTAATGGGAAGTGAAGGTCGATTCTCTTCACTGGGGGTTCTGATAGAGGAAGCTTGAGGATAGCGGGGTCTTCTACTGTGCCGGGGCTGGTGTTGATCTTCCTGTAGCAATGGGTCAGTGGGGGTCAACAACTCTCAATATCGATATAACTCACCATCCAGTCTTCTGGGTCTCGGGAGCGAGCTCAAGGTCGCGCCCCTCAGCCTCTGTGGTAGAGTCAGTAGAAGTTTCAGGTGATAGCTCTCTTGACATCATATCCTACATCGGAAAGAGCCATGAGAGCCATGGATACATGCTAAGCTTACCGAGGTCATTGACGTTCCAGACGCCAGGTGCTGCTGCTGAACTTTGTCGCCGTGTCTTCTTATCTTCTGTCTTGGCAGGAGGAGAGCTTGAGAGGCCCTGGACGGCTGAATCGACCTTGGAGAGAGGTTCCGACATGATGTTGGAGGTTTTTATGTGAGTTGATCAAGAAGATCTGGTTATGATAGCTGGTTCTGCTGTAATGATTATTAGTGTTAGTTGCGTTAAAGATGGAGGAGGCATCGGAGGAAAGAGAGAGGATTGTATGTAAGAGCCACGAACCTTTTACGTCAAAGCAGAAGAGTGTAAGTGTAAGTGAGACGATTTGTTGTAGTGCGAATGTGTGCGATGAGGAGAAGAGAGTGGAAGGACCGGATGGAGGGGAAAGGGTTGTTACTTATTGCAATCGCTCACACCTCACAGACGCACCTGCCGTTCGGTGTCGTCCATCCCAAACGGGAAGGGGAAGGGGAAGCATCTGTTTGCATGCTTTAATCCTCAGTCATCCAAGCCTTCCCTGCCTTCATCCATTACTGAGCTGTCGTCAGACTGGGCGGGGTAACTGCCCACACCCGGAAGGGAAGGGACAAGACGACCTAGGGGGGTGAAGCTAAGATTTGCCCTGCCTCGCTCCGTCCTTGTAAACAATGGTTTTACTGTCCTGCATTGCTACTGTTGCAACTACGCATTGGGATTTGTGGATTCATCCTAGCATTTCTTGTTTACAATCATTCATGGTTAGTAGTACACAATCCACAGTCCCTTGGTGCTTGGTGCTTGGTGCTTGGTGTTTGGGTTTAGAAAACCGCTGTTGGACAATCGCGTGACTTTGGCCTGACGGAAGGCGTGACGCCCCTGGCTCCAAGCTCAGCAGACCAGACCTGGAGCCGCAATGGGTCTAGCGCGGGACATGATCCAGTGCACACCCGACGCAGGTGCAAGTTGGAACCCGCTCTGCCGCTCTACGTACCGGGCTGGTACCCGCTTGAGCTCTATTTCAAGCTAGCGTGGGGGACCATAATCCGGGGAAAGCTTGTCGAGGATCCACCGCGATCGGTCGTTGTGGGTTGTGGCGCGTCGAAAGGCCCCCCTAGCAATCGAGTGATTCAATGACGGTCGCGGAAGACCGCGAGAGAATCATGAGGTTGAACACTGCATCAATTCGGTGAAAGAATATCAGTAATACTGAGAACGTTCACCGAAAGGAGATCTGGAGAGGGGTAGGTAACTGCACAGTGCCATTGGTGTGGCCGATCAGAAACAGAAACAACCCAAACAAAGATTGGCACGTCCAATTGATTCAGCCGTGGCCGATGACGAGGGATCGCCAGTTGCTGCCCCTCATCCTAAGTCCTAAACCCCCGTCTCTCCAGACTCCTCTTGTCCTCCCCGGAGGCTTCGGCTCGCGGATGCGTGCTTTGGGGCTTGTTTGGCGCGACTCACCTGACGACTGATATGTTTCTTTTACGATTGCACTAATTACTGCACCGTAGAGGTACATTGCAATGCTAACGTAGCAACAATAGAGCCTAGAGGCACTTTAGCAAAAGACAAAAGCTCGATGGAGACTCTGCTGTAGTCAATCATGAGCGTCCTCTCCCCTACATCATGAACGCCCGCGTGAAACCTTGTGGCAGCAAAATGAGGGGAAGTGCTTGGTCCATTGGTTAGTCGCGTTGGCGCATATCAAATGTGAAGCTACGGATAGCAGCGAGTCAATCAAGAGCTCGTCGAGACGCCTTTGGTATCAGGAGGTGTCAATCAGCCAATGTTTGCAGGAATTCGTTCTCAAGATCGTCCAAAGCTACTCGATGCTGCGCCAGCTGCGAGCATCGTACCAGCGTCATGCTGTCGAGACCAGGTTGGACTGCCGTGATGGCGCGCGATACGCCCATCTCCCCCATGGGCAGCGGCCGCGTGCCATGTCTACATGTCCCCTTGTGACTTGTCTCTTGTACCTGAATTCCTTGCTCGTGTGCCTGCTTTTTCCTCATGACGCTCGCCGCCGCAAGCAAGGAGGACCACTCCCACATAAAGAGGGCAGCTCTGCATCTCGGGCACCCCCTCCACTTCTGGTATCACTGGTCCCATACATCTTTATCCAGTCTCAATACTGAGTCCTCGATTGTTTATTTCCTTTGTCCTTTTCTCTCAGTGTTGCTCGCTATAGCTTCACATTCTCTTTATCTTCATCATGATTCCCCCATGTCTTACATGACCAGCGCCAACATTCGATAGTGGGGTCGGCAACAGGCGACATCAAGTGGATACGTCTGGATGGATCCCGTTGATCCCTGGCGACGCCCGTACCGTACCTGGGCTTGGGTGTGTTTTTTTTTGGCTAGAGCGGCAGAGCGGTTCAGTTCATCAGCTCACTCAAGCGAGCATGCCACCCTCTTAACAACCTCGACTGCCGAAAGGCGAGCGCCGAAGGAGAAGTCCAATCGACGACTCAAGAGTAAAACTGCATGATTCGCATGTTGAACGATTGATCACGAGAGCATCTTTTCTGACTTTGACTCACCTTTTCGCCCTGGCCGTTTTTCCTTCTCCCTTCCCCAGAAGCCACCAAAAACTCAGTGAAACGCGATGCGATGCGATAACAAGCTCGACGCAGAATGACTTCATACCCAGGAACAGTCTCCACGTGATAAACGAAACCCTGAACAGTTTACGCAAGCTTCTACTTTCACCCGCGGCACAGGCAACGATAAACAGGCAATTGATTAAGCTCAGATCAGCTCGACACCGACTCTTAACAGCCTCAGATCATTTCCAACAATACCCAGGAATAGCCATGCCCAGACCTAAACTCCATACAACAGGCAGACTCACCCCTCAGTGATCTAATCAGCAAGCAACTTACACAACATAACTCAACATTTGGTCTAACAGCTCGCCGGCGACAGTAGGTATCATTTTATTTGGACGTGAGACTGACATGTACTATGTCTCCTTATTTAGTTATCGCTAAACACCTGTTCCATCCGCCTCTCCTGTAAACGCGATCCGCTTATTGCACCTTTATCCGAAATCTTCCAATTAGCATAGCCTTATGTGTCCCAAGCCTCGCCATCTCTCACCAAACCATGCCTCATGCGAGCAACCAAAAGAATATGCCACCGAACCACCCCGTGAAGCCCATCAATCGATGTCCCAGCCTTTTCAACGTGAAGACTTTTCTACGGTCGAATTTTGACGCCATGTACGATTTCCATGTGACGATTGCGTGTCTTCGATGACGCCTGTTCCGAATACGATCGTGTAAGAACTGTGGAGGATGAAAAGGGTTTTGGTCCAGGGGTACGGTTACCCTAAAGCGAAAGGACGGTACAAGAATATTTCATAAACACCATATCATAAGGTAGGGAGGGATTGTTCAAATACGTTACGGGTATCATCACCGGACAGTTAGCTAACATTATTACCATTTTTTAAGAACTCAACGCGTGACGAGCCGACCGAACAGCCCTCTTATCACATATCACGTTACGCCACTGAGAATTAAGAACCACGATGCACACACATCTGAATGGGGAGGATTGCAGGGAATGAGCAATTGACACGTCAATTCACTGTCATGTTCTATCAGGACTCATAACGAGCGCTATTATCCGAGGTTGGGAATTGTCTGCCTCTATTACACACAGCTTCTCAATATTTACCATGGTCAAAAACACACACGCAAGCTTACTTCGACGCCCACTATACTTAGCGCAAGACTCAACGAATAAATACGACAAGGTTATCCCGCACATCGCTTATGAAAATTAAAAAGTACAGAGATCTATCGATTCATACGCAATGGGCCATTCAGTTATTTTACCATCTTCTACCTCAACCAGGCAGTTTAGAGCATACTATCCTTTTGCAATTGATCAGCGTACATTGGTTCTGCTTCAATAGAGACCCATTTACCAACAGATCATGAGATAAGACACAAATAAAGACAGCTCTCTTCAACTCAACTTTATCGCTGCGCCTTTCTTGACCAATTCATGCCCTCGTCGTAATCTACCGAAATCATCAAAATGATTGTACAATCTCTACTGTTTTATCTTCTGTCGTAATTGAGAAGCCAATCGCACACATTGTTAAAGTAGTCTCACTGTCATATTTCGGGAAATCTATGTCTCGATACCATCACTCTACTAGCATTGACTGTGGTGAAGACCTCATTCTGCTTCAGGCTTGTTGACTGCGGAGTCAATATAGGAGAAAGTGGCTACACGTAAGGTTATTACGTCTATATTGAAGCTTAAATAAAGGAAACTAGAAGCTGTCTCTGATAGTGTCACTTTATTCCAGAATATAAATAAACTATGTCATATCTTGGCCTCCAGGGTGGGTGTGCAAGGGGCATACACAGCCTCCTTAAGCGATGAGTTTAAAACCAAGACAACGTCCTCACTCATATTTTTGTTCAATAATGACCTCGTCACTCCGCTACTTTTCGTTCAAATGCAAACAATAAAGAAGCGCGATTTTCGTGCAAATTACACGCTCGTCAAAGAGGGGATGAGTGGGATGTGGAAGCCCCATACGATGGCCATTACGCGGCCTCGAAGCTGATTTTGACTCAATCCACCAGCACTTACACGGTCAGCACCGTAACGGAAGGGTAAAATGAGAGCTTTCTTCACGGAATAACCAGCCATTTTATGATGAAATTAATATTTCAGTAAGAATAATACTTACCCGATCAATCTTACAATCATTTGGCTTCAAACAGTTTATTTAATTTTATCCTGGGTGGCGTAAGACGCCAACTAATCCAATTACTCGGTTTTGTCATGGGGCCACGCAATGCTTGGGACCTTGCTTGCGACGACTCGCTACTCCTCACCATCAAAAACTTCTCTTTTAGTCCCTCTGCTGGAGAATTACTATTCGAAATAACACAACTCTCTTTTTCTATACCATGAAATATTTACCATGAAACTCATACGGTTAAGCCGTGGATTTTGAGTCCCCTACGGAATGACTAGACGATGCCCCCACCACATCCCCCCGTGTTATCCACTACACACGAGCACGGCCACGACCACGAACACGATCTCTCAGATGCGTCTGCTTCTATTTTGAGAATAATCAAACCTCCACTGCCGGGCCGTCGACCAAGAACTGCGCAGTCTCCCAGCAATGCCGAAGTTCTGGTACCGCCCCTCATCGCTGGCGCTCTCGTTGCCGCTTTCGCCACTGCACTGGCTGAGGGCTTGAATAACGAGCTTCTTACCCACTACTACCTCCCTGAACAAAAGTTCCGCATCAATATCGATAGGGTGTTAGATCGATTGTTATCTGAGTTCACACTCATGTTGTGGGATGAACTCTGGGCCTTTTACTGCGATTCAAATCCCGACTCCACGGACCAGATCCAGAAGCTCTTCGATGGGCCTATCTGCCAGCTTGTATTGATCCTCAATGGCCCCGAAGCACCTCGATGTCTGCTGGATAAACTCGGTCCAGGTATATCGAGAAGACCTTCGACATGGTCAGAGACTGCTCGGGGTATTGAACTTCCTGTTGCACTTCAACTACTCTGCAGTTACTGGGATAGGGAATACCCTGCTCGTTCACCCAGAGGAACACCCACTGAGATAGCAGCCTCTCTTCATACATACATCACCACAGGAAACTCTGCAAAACATCTCATCTCAAGGATCCGCGAGGTCTTGATTTCCCCACACTATGTCCAGATGCATCTTATGGAGTCGGCTCTATGGCATATCCTTATGAGGCCTCCTTATCGACCACCTGGAGATGGATTCCACGTCGTTCAATTCAAATTCGAATGTCAACTATTCGGTCCTCTCAGTGGTATTGGAGATCCTCAACTAACAAAGATGGGTTCTTTACCAGCTATCACTGGCACCGCTAATGACTGTGTCTACACCACCATCTCTGAGTACACAGCCAAGCAATGGCCTAAGTGTGGCGAGCTCCTCCTAGGATGTATCGAAGACGCTGTCAAAGATGCTTCGACATCTAGCCGCGACGGCCAGCCATTCACTGGAATGTCTATCTGGGACGGAACCGACAATCCTTTCCTCTGTCCTGGCTTGCGCCTACTGCACCTTGAAGTTGAGGATAGCTCCATGCGTCTCACAGTTTCAGCTTGGACACACACCATGATAGAGATACTGCAGCAGATGGCGTGGACCTGTGCTGCCCTTAGTGCTTCACCATTCCCTGGCTCTTTGTCTGAAGGTGCAATCGAAGTGTCGGACTGGCAGTATATGGAGGATTCGATCTTTGTCGAATGTGGTCTTTCACACCGACCTGTACCAGAAGGAGATGGTGCGCCATGGCTGAAGCAATTAGCAGGGGCTGCGATTGCGAATGGATTTCCAATAAGTCATATTCGGGCGGATTCCAAAATGTCTTGAGAATACCAGGAGGTAGAACAACGAGTTTATGTATGAGAGAAGGCAGATGTTTACTTTGTTAGCAAATGATACCCGTATTTTAACTTCTGACATCTCGCACTGGATCGAAATGAGAATGAGTTTTACAGTTGACCGAATTTTATTGCGAATATAATATTAGATTGTTCCAGCCCTTGCGAGAAATGCTATCCTGGGACGTCGGTTCTTTTGCCTTTGATTTCGGGTTAAACACCACCTCTGGTTCTATCGTAACGACTCTTTACTTCATTCCATCTAGCAAATGCTTACGCTGAAGGTTGATAATCTCCAAGGCGGAAATAAGAGACATTCGGACTGGTGGGCGATCAATAGAAGTTGCTTTCCATGTTCTGCTGTACCCGAAAACATGATGACGATCAAGTTCGTGGCTTCCAGACCACGAACCTGACCGTCATCCGATCCTCAGGCTGGGCCTGTGCACCTCCACTCACGTTGGCGCTGACCAGGGGAACTGTTGTCACCTCTTGGTTAGTTTGTTTCCTGAAAGTCCATACGGCCCATATTACTTACCGACAACGTCGTTCCCTACGCCGCTCGATGCCACTCGGCGCACAAGCAGTTCGAAAGACTGCTGCCCACCGAGCAGCATCCATCTCTGCCCTGGGTGGTACTGGACATAGCCTCCTGCCATGTCTCGAGCTCGAGAAGCCGAAACCCCCACGATATAGGGGTAGCTCTGCATGGCAGAGCTCAGAGGGTGGGAGACCCTGACGAGAATTGGGATTAGTGACTTTCGTAAAGAAATAAGAGGCAATGTGTCTAGCAAACTTACTCCAAGATCTCCCATCCTGCATGAGCCTCTGCCATGCAGGCAAATGCTCTTTCACCAAAAAAGGCAACCAGTGAGCGTTCTGCAGTCGCCTTTGACATATCTGGAACGTGTTAGTTGTTTACTTGATCAAGTACGAATAATTGCTTACCCGTCGAAACACAAGACGATGGAGTGTCCTGCTCAACCACGACGGTGATGGGACCGACTTGGGTGATATCCATGTTCATAGCCATGGGGTTTGTTGTACCATAAAGGATCTGTCTCTGGTAAGTCATAGGCTACCTAAGGTAAAAATAGAATGTTGTTTACCTTCACCTCCATACAGATTGGGGTACGGGGGAACTCGAACTCATAACGGAGAGCCTGAGCGAGGCTGTTCGTGTGCGACAGTACCATGGCACCGTTATCGAAGCCGCTGGTTGAGAAGTGCCTGTGCCGAAACACTCGGATGCCGTGGCGAGCCCAAGCAACTTCATCTTGATAGAATACGATCCCCAGCGAGGATGACTTGAGACCTTGTAGGACTACACGGACGACCTGTGTATAGCCTTGGCGAACAAAGCCAATATTGACAATGGGATCGGGCTCGGACTCGTTCTGCGTGTCTTCCATGTTGTAGGGCAGAGTTTGTTGAAAGTATAAGTAGTGGTGGGAGTTGATGTTGACGATGTAAAGAAGGAAGTGAAGAGAGGAAAGAAAACAAACTCCACAGCGACAAATAAATATCCGAAGCGACAAACGCGCTGTGCAATCCTACTGCTTTGCTAGCGTGAGTCTGCATATAAGTGACAATGCCACTGGTGATTTTATATTTGTTGGCACTGCCAGGCAGGTTGTTAATAATATACTTCCTTTGCTACATTCACTGGCAGCTGCATTCAGCTGTCCACTGTTAACAAGGAACCTGGATTCACGGCCCAGGCCATTAGTCTATACGTGCAGTGAAGCAGGTGTATTGTTACTGGTGTTATATGGAGTTGATTATGTTTTTAAGCATTCCGATTAGTGTGGTTCTTATATTATCTCCGTTGTCTTCTTGTCTAGGCGAAGGTCTATCCATGAAGGTACCTATGGTGGTATATTCGGCACTTTCAATCTGTTGTCTGGAATCGATAAAGATTGTATAGTGGTAAGGAACTTAAAATAAGGTCATTATTAATGCTGGTCATCGGGCTCGTAAAATTGGTTGGTGAGGGTGTAAACCGTCAGCCAGGTTTCTGGAGGTCGTCTTTTTTGCTGATTGGTTGGTCAGATATGTAAGAAGAGACTTCCTTATGATGATAAGAAGATCGTGTGTGTAGCTGCTACCATGATACAGATCACATGTATTCCGTTGTTGCTATCCAAAGGATATGCCATTCAGGTCCATTAGTGGACAAAGACTCTGAGCAATATTGTCGATGTGATTGAGTAGTTGCCCTTTTGCAATATATAAAAAGCTACAATAGTAAGTGTGTGGTAAGATGTGGGGATTGTATCTCTATAAAAGATCTATCTCGAGTAAGTATAATGTCACTTGGCTATGCTTTTCGCATGCTGTATGGAGCTCTTACATGCGCACTGAGGCATTCAAGCCCCTTCTGGAGGTCAAGATCTACCTAGACAGCCTCCCCGACCCGGGCAGCATGGTCTAACACCAGTGACCCGTCACTGAAGCCATCGGTGACCCTTGTCCGGGCCTTCACCACCCAAATATTGGAAACTGTCCAGGGAGTCTCATCGAACGCCTGTGGGAAGTCCGATCGGGCATCCCCCGGGCGAGTTATTTGCCCCCGGCTGGCATGAGAATCGATTCTTCTGAGCAAGAGATCCCCTTCCATACTTTGTTTTGTTTCGTGTCAATGGGAGAGGGCTGAATGTATGCGCAAATTTTCTCTTTAGTACCAAGGTATAGACAATTTATCATCAGGTGGAGCACTCGAAATCTATATCTAAGGTATATGAAGTTACTGTGAACTGCGTGGTACTGGCGAGAGAACAATGGCATTTGCCAACTGACGTTGCCCTTGTTTGATATTCGGAGTGGCAGCTGTTTGACACTGCACTACAGCTTTGATTCACCCCGTCAACATAAAGCCTGTATTTCTCAGAGCCCAGATAACAACTTACGCTTGACGGTCAAATTCTTTTCGTGAGCAGTCTTCTCGTCACAAAAACCTAGAGTGCAGCATCTGGTCAGTATTTCTCTTCGTATCCTCCATCTTCTTTCACCTATCCTCCTAACATTCAATGCTAACGGGAGCCTAGACTCCTCGCCCTCACACACATACATATCACTTACCTGCGAGCTTCCATCTTTTCCTGTCCTTTCACTTTCTCGCGCTCCATCTCTTCGGCCATGGATTCGCTGACTGGTCAAGTATCAGCCATCGTCGCGAAGCACGACAAACTCGAAAGAAAATGCGCAGAACAACAAGCAGAGCTGGAAGACCTCCACGCCAAGAACCAGGATTACTTCAACGAGAAGAAGGTTTCCGACGATGTTCGTGTGCAGCTTGAAGCAAAACTAGACGAGAAGGATTGCGAGATACTCAGGCTGAGTGTTCTCGTCGACAACTGGAAGACGGACTGCCAGGTATTTAGGGACGAGCTCGTCAAGGTCCGCGCCGAATACGAGCTCGTTTCCGACAAACATGTTGCCGTCAAAGAGCAGTACCGCAATGGTGACGCCAAGCTTGCTCGTCGGGAGCTGCAAATCAAAAATATGATCACCATCATGCGTCGCAAAATCGCCACAAATCGGGTTGTTCTCGTCGCTCTCAAGGCCGCTGCCAAGGTTCTCCCTACTTTGAAGGAGAAGCGTCGCTACGCCAGGATCTTTGAATTGGCCAAGCAAGCCCCTTACAAAGACGGAGTATCGCGGGAGCTTGCTGGGGTTCTGCGGGAGGCTGGCTTCAATCTTTCTTGGGTCGAACCTGGTGCCGCCACGCAAACCCCGGAGCAGATGTCTGAAGAGCCAACAACTGCAGCTGCTGAGCAGGATACAGACATGCAAACCTCGTCGTCACAGGGGGTAGTAAACTAAGGACAAATGGTGCTGAGCTTGGTCATGAATCATTTGGAAGAATCTGGATGGCAACAACAAGCCCGTGCTCTTATTTTGTGCGCGTATCGAACAAGTTATTTTGGGCTTTGGTTGAGAGTACATCTGGTTTGCTCGTTTGGGACGACATTAGAGTTGGATGGTTGTGTCAAGTTGCTACACAGCGGATTGAGTCCTGATTGGTGCCTTTGACCATACTACCAAGTACCTAAGTACCATACTAGCAATCTCAAGATACTTCACTCAATGTTTTGCAGCAAATGCAGCCAACTTGTTAAGCTTTCGCAAACGTTGAAAGTCTCCATCGCTTTTGTTCATCTAGAAACCTAACGCAGAGCCTTTCAATACGTGCAACAAGAGATAAAGGTGGTAGCAAAGTGAACTGCAGTTTGTTGCCATTGCACTTGGTGTTATCACGGACATCTATCCAGAAAGCACGCGGCTGTTTTGATCACTCTTGTTTTCCTGACCGATTTATGTAGGAAACAGGTTTTAAATCCCTAACTGGAAATCTTTTTGAAGTATGGGAACCTTCCGGGGACGATAACTGGGAGACCGTTCACACAGAAGCCGCATCTCCAAATACTAAGGTACTAGGTGGCCAGGGAACAACGAATTTGACTTCGAATGTAGGCTTTGCCAAGATGAAGCGGGAGATTCAGCCTTCGACTCGTTTAGTTTCTTTGAAAGCGATTTCTACTCAATTCCACTGTTCTGATAGCTCATCCCAAGCACATATTCCGTAGCGCTTCGTTGAATGTTAGTGTACTATCAGGCTGGACCATCACGTTGTGAGTCTTGTTCTCTTCAAGTGTAAAAGCAACATGTTTTCGTTTAGTAGCATACAGACAGCTAGTAATAATTCTAAACCTCATCCAACGCCAAAACTCAGTCGTCATTTCATGGCCGTTTCTGAACCTTTCCCTCTATGTCAACGTAAACGAAGTCGACTGCGAGCCTCACGACACAGCCTGTGGCTCAGATCATTGTGTGGGTGCGACCCCGGCACTGGCAGCACTCTCGCCAACCTTGAGCTCCTCCTCAGGTACCCCGACGCCGACACTAGCTACACTAGCAATGCTTTGTGTCGTCATGCCTCTCTCTCGCTCGCCGCCTGGTCGGATGAGGCTTGCCTCTCGTGGTCCTGCTATGCTGGCTCCTCCGGCTGGAGTGACGCTGACACTGGTGGTGGTGCTTGCACTTCCACTCCTGGGGCGGCCTGCATCGCTGGTCCTTCGCTGTCGCACCTGTCTCTCTAATTCCCGGATCTTTCGCTTCAATGCATCGTTCTCGCGTTTGGCGGTTTCCAGCTCGTTTCTGTAGAACACTGTCTCCTCATACCGCATAGTTGCTGGCATGATGCCGGGACTGAGCTGCTCACTAAGACTACCTGGGGTTGCACCAACTGAACTTGGTGGGATCGACGTAGGCGGGGGGATTCGCTGGTGCTGGAAGTAGCTCGATGGGTCAAGGCTGCTGTGCTGCGGTCCGGGAGAGCTTGTAAGACTCCTTCGAGAGGCGGCACTATCCTGCCGTGAAAGGGGAATCGCTTGTGAGGGACGAGGGGCATGGATTCGTGCTTCGTACGACGATGACAACTGCTGGTTGCCAATGCCTTGAGATGTGGTCGACGAGGTCCGATGATGTCGGGCGGTGGGGATGGAAAAGCCGGAGCCTGATAGCAGGGACTGTTCGGGGACTTCATGGGACGAGTTGGCAGCAGAAGTGGAGGATGTGTTGGAAACGACAGAGGCGTTCTGAGCGGCTCGAAGAAGGGAAAGCTCGCGAGTCAAACGGTTGACCTAGGAAGTGTTAAACCAAGCCTTCGAATGTTGTAGTTTGATACTTACCACAGCTTCTTGTTCCTTCTCAAGCTCAAGATGAAGTTCGGCGGCGGTCAACGGACGGGGGTGTCTTATCGGGCCAGGTCCTGGCCCAACACCAGGCTCGCCCGGAATACCCGCAACATGAGACGGTGGTTGCGAAGCTGTCAGCACCGGCGACGGAAGAGAAGGCGAATGCGAGTGGTTGACAGTATTCTGGTTCGAAGGGAGGATGTTGAGAGACGGCGAGGTGGGAGCCGGCGGAGTAGCCATCTGGTTCGTAGACTGGCGACGAGAAGCCAGAGGATGTGGTGAGGGAGGAACGGAGTTGAGATCCGGCATGCCGGTCATGAAGTTATTCGTGAGTTGGGAAGATGGTTTAGGTAAATTATGACAGGGCCAAAAGTCGCTGGCTCTCTTGTTTTAGTAACGCGTGTTTGAAGGTGTCGGGACGTCAAAAAGGTTCCCGGCGCGTTTTCCATTCAAGCCCGACCGGGTGCGGGGTCCCAGCGGGCCGGCCGCTAACTTCCATTAGCATGAGGCCATTTGACACCGGCCGGTGAGAAAGACGCTAGAAACAGGGCCCCCCTAGCTTAGGAGATTCCTTGTAAAGTTCCGACTGGTCTGGCTGGCGGGGTCATGAAAGTACGGTATGAAGACCATGTCCTGTAAGTTGGTTACCCTAGATATGAGCGTCAAAGAGAGATTTCGAGCTTGGATATTATACATATTGGTCAAGATATCAGTTTATCCATTATAAGCCCCGATTCTCGCTATTTTAAAATATACTATATTCATATTACAGCTAACTCGGACGATACCTTGTTCGTAATCGTCTGTGAAATTAGTCCATGATCAGCCTTATAATCTTCAGGTTGAGAATAATTGCTCTGAACATGGGAGAGCTGAACGTTCGAAGAAATAGACAAACTACCTAAATAATCCTAGATCACAATACTCACATCTAATATTATAAAGCATTCAATATCCTTATCAATATTTTGCCAACATTATTCACCATCTCCAGTAAGCATGGTAAAACCTTCAACTCCCAATCCATGAAGGTGGGGGGAAACCCTCAGAACAGCAACAAGCTCAAGCTGCAGCAGCTTCACACCAACCACCCTCTCAAGTGTTCCTGAGTAAAAGCAATAAAAGGCCCGGTCTCTTAATTTTACCCCTCTTCACCCAGAACCCATTGGCTCGGGAAATCGAAAACTCCAGAAAAACCACCATCTCGATCTTTACGTGCCCATGATGTAATCTCCCTATGACGGCATCAAGATCCCACTCGACGTCAATCCGCAATCATTTGGGGCCCTGCCTTTGGGCATCTGCTACTTAACCTCTCATTCTTCCGCATCTGAGACACCATTCCACTTTCAAACAAACTACACCATCTCTCTCACCACCAAAAACACAAACCACCACAGCCATCATGCCTGAAGGACGTCAATCACCTGCCCCTGAGGACCAGAGCGATCGCCAGCAGCAGGCCCCTCCTGGCTCTGGACAAGGTGTCAACAAGACCGACGGCAAGGACCCTAAGGGTCAGCTTGACGTAAGACTCAACAGCAAACAGACATGACAACGGCAATACGCTAACTCATGTGTTTAGAACCTCTCATCAAACCCCAAGAGTATTAACGAGGACGCCGTGAAGGAGAAGTTCTCCAAGACTGAGAAATAGTTAGTCACATCATCGAGAAGATTGGACGATTAAGCGCTGACATTTTCCAGAATAAACGATACCACGATGGCTATGACTTGATGGACTAGTGTATGGATAGAATTAATAAACCACGAATGAAATAATCTTGCTCGTCCGTTATTTGTGCATGTGATGAAGTATCTGTTGAAGCAAAAAGAAATGTTACATATGGCTGTTGAGGCCTATATCTCAACACAATCTTGTTAAAACACAACACCATCATGCCATCATATTCTTCGTGTCCCGATGGTCAAAATTACATGTAAGAAAGGTGTCACGTCAAGATTCGTATTTTCCTATCATGGATGAGTTACATGCCAACTTCAATGTCGTATATCTACATAATCTTCAGTGGGAGCAAGAAGGCATGAGAAATCATGAATTTATCGATTGTACCATAAATTAAAGTCGTAACAATTCGTTAACTAATCGGCCGGAACAAGGCCGCAATAATACTATATCATCATAGCCCGGGATATCTCATTTATCCTTCATTAAAAAGTCCACCAATTTTGACATATTTAGTGCTTCTCACCACCCTCGGGGGCGCTCACATTGGGGCCAGTCTCCGCAGAGGCAGCGGGAACTGATGTGCCCAGAGTGCCCTTGCCAGCCTCAGGTGCTTCGGTGCCGGAAGTCTTCTCCTTACCGAAAACCTTCTCAAGACCAGCAGCCTTGTAAGCGCTGCCACCAGCCTCCTCCTTCTTAAGGTCAGCAAGGCGACGAGCCTCAGCATGGACCTCTTGGACTTGTCGGCTGCCCTCGGTGTAGAAGTTGGCAATCTTCTTGCCGGTGGGTGTGTTGGAAGCCTTCTCGAAGTACGAGCTCAAGCCGAGCCACAGGCTGTTGGCACGCTGGGTGATGCCGTAGCTCTCATCGGTAGCCTTGGCTCGGTCGGTGGCGTGGTACTTCTCGTCGAGGCCCTGGAGGGTGGAGAAGAAGCGGCTGGAGACGTTGTGAACGGCATCAAGATCGAGAGCGCGCTGGATGGCGGCATCTCCTACGACGTAACCGTGGGCGAGGTACTCAGCCAGGATGCGAGCGCGGGGCTTCTCCTCCTGGGTGATCTCGTCGGAGTCGCGGTCAATGTTCTTGGTAGGGGAGACATCGTCATCGTTGTCGGCACTGGCGCTGGTGACCTCAAGGTGGTTGGGGCCAAGTTGGGTGTTGTTGAGAAGGAGAGCAGTCTTCTTGGCAGTCTCCTTGTCGAAGATGACCTCAGCGGTCTTGGTCTCACCTTCTTGGGTGACCTTGATATCAGAAATCTTTCCGCTGGAGATATGTTAGCAGCTTATCATAGCAAATATGCACGGTGGGAAGAGCTTACCAGAAGCTGAAAAAGTCCTTAATCTCGCCGTCACTGGTGGACGGGGCGATGTTCTTGACGTTGATGGTAGACTTGTCAGACATGATGAATGTGTTTGTGGTGTTTGTTGTGTTGGATTTGGTGTGTTGTTCGTTTATCTTGTGAGGGGTATCAAGCTTGCAGTGTAGAAGTTGGGAATGAACAGCAGGGCCTGAAGGTCTTATAAAGAGGCGAATGGCAAGTAGGAATGACGACACCGTGATTGATCGTGACGAGGCAACCAACGAGGCAGTGTGTATGGACTAGATCGGAGCTTGTGTGGAGGCAGGAGGGAGCGAGGAGGGGAGGAGGCTTGAGCTCTTGACTGCTGCGGGGCAGAGAGCAACGTCATCGACGGGAGCCATCCTCTTTTGGTGGCATGATGAGCAGGGACAATTTGTTACAGCGGTACATCAGGCACTATGGGACTTCCACGTTCACTAAAGTACCTGCTAGCAGCATATCAACTGTTGGGATTGGAGAAGAGACTAGAAGCTGCCGCTCATGGTTGCGCATCAGGAACGCAGGCCTTACGTCGTTTTGTGGCGAGGTGATGAGACAGTCTCAGGCCAAATCAAGTTGCAAGTGGATGATGTTTCCTTTTTCTCTTTTTCATGTGAAAGACCCTTTTTCTTCTTTTGATCGACTTGGCAGATGATCACCCGAAGCTTGATTGTTCCCCTCCAGTCCCTCTCAACAATATGCTTCTACTACGTAGACCATACAAATAAAGGCCACGGGATATACTGTCTACGCGTCTTGACACGCGTATATGGAATGCTGCCTACTAAGGTAGGTATGCTCTATACTAGGTAGATATGTGAAGTGCAGTTGGTGTTCGTACCGCGATATATCTTCAGCGGCGTTTTGTCTCTTGTTCCTGCTTCCACTGCTTGGTATGACTGTGACGTTTCTCTGAGACTTTTTATGTGTTGGGTTTAGTATCATCGTTATGGGCGCTAACAGTTCCCGTCCTGTGGATACGCTTCTATTCTTATGCCCATTCCTAATTCGAACGTCTTAGCTTCTAGTACGGATATCAAAGGTCTGAATGCAACTGACGTGTTTCGATGAGCATGAAGATGTTACGACTGTGTTTTGCATATATTTCCTGAATCCCTCTGGTCAATTCGACTTACACCACTGAATATTCGTCTTCATCTGCTCTTTATCACCGCCTTTACTAGTCAAAGTGGCCAACTCACACGTCTCCATCGCATCGCATCAACCCCTGTCCGTCAAGCGCTGATGGGATTTTTCAATGCGACTTCAATTTAATTACCATCCTCATCAATTTCCTAAAATCTTCGTTCAGGAGCCTCGCTTGAGTCGTTCGTTCTTAGACAATAGGCGATAAGTTTATACCACTGTCATGCCATAAAACAGCAGCATACCAAGGCCAACACCACCCAGCTTCATCTATATTAACAACCTTGTCATCACGCGAGCTCGCCACTCTATATCAAACGCTTCCTCATCTGGCAAAGCCTGCGCTTTCGAGTCCACTCTCCCGCTTCGTTAGACAAGCGCTGAGAGTCACACGCCAAGTTCGCGATCGCCTTTAAAGACCAGGGTCTTCATGATCCTTGTCGCAAGATGAATAGACTTTTTTTCTTCATCTCTTCTCTCAAGTGAACATTGATCAAAGGAGAGGGGGAAGGGAGCATCTTAAAAAAAAAGAGAAGCAGAGTGACACTTTGCGATCCGTGGCGCTCACTAGCTTTAAACCACCCACACGTTACAGCCATATCACGGCACCCTCACTGCATTAGAGTATTGATTACGGGCTTACCCACGAACGCCCCCTCTCGTATTAAACGGGCTTCCATCACGGGCTTCAAGGCGGTCAAAGCGGACATCGCCTCCCCCAGACCGCATTGATTCGAATTTGCAACCCTAGCCCAGCCCAGCCCAGGCCTTGCCAGCCGCTGTTCACTTCTAACCTTGCAAGGAGTTGGAGCACACCACCATAGGCAATTGTTTCGCGCCAAGGAAACAAACTAAAAAGAGCCCATATTCCCAGTTTTTGCTGGCTTCCACTGATGGTGATTTCACCGCTCTCGTGCTCACTCTCACTTTAAAATTCTCACTCTTTCACCTATTAAGAACTTTCGCACAGAGGAGGAAAAGAAGCCGCCGTTTAGTCTCTTATTATTTCTCACCGGCTTGAATTGAGGTCAAGGTATGAACTGAAATGAAACGTGGTTTTTATAACAATCTCAGCTAACAAATGGTCTAGACTCTGCGATGCCTCTCGTTCCAAGCACCTCGTCGCTGCCCAGCAGTATGACCACCTTTGCTTACTTGCGTGAGCAAAAAATCCTCAACATCGTCTATATCGGCCTCCTCGTTGTCGAAGTTCTCATGGTCCTGGGCGTTATCACCACCGCCCTTATCAAGCGAGTTAAAGGCCACCACCAACGCAAATCGATTCCATCACCTCTTCCATCCCCGACATACGCCCCATACCACTTTGCGCATGCCGATTCGGAAAAGACCATGTTATGACGACTTGAAAAGAATGACGAGAAAGGAGACGAGCGAAAATGAAAATTGGAAAAGTTGGTCTTTGACCAGCTCGACGAATACCTACGACGATCTTTGCACTTTGTTCCTTTGTTCACCAAAATTAGCATGAAAGCCTGGACGATGTTTTTTTCAACTGGACGAAAAGGAGAGGGGGTTGTTCATTGTTTGCGATGGGTTCCAGCAGGAGTATTGCGTTTGTTCACTTTGGAGTGGGACATGATGATTCACGACTATATATACCCAGATTTTTCTAGCTAATGCCATTTACTTTTGATATTATCCTTACAGTCTCTTCAGAGGTGACATAACATTGATTTGCTCTCATTCTCGGACAAAATACTAACCATGGCATTCGAATTCCCTCCTCACTTGACAGCCCTCACCATGGACAGCCCTAGTCTTTGGCAAGCTAGACCTGAACGTAAGTGCCCGCACTGCGAATACTACCCTTTTCATCAAGAGAAAAAGGTATGTGAAGTATGCCAATTCAAGCTGGGCACCAAAGAAGTCCAATCCTTCCTTGAAGACTACAACAGGGACTGGGTTGTGTATCATCTCGTCCGACACGGCGATCTCCATGGTCGGTATACGCTCGAAAACGACATGCGCGAGCGTTTAGTTCGCGAGAAACGCTGCCGACGCCTTTCTTGCGCCATGGAAAGAGACTCTAGCTACGTGCACTGCGAGAAGTGTCGGAAGAAGCTCGCCTGCAAAGGCTACACTTCAGAGCTGGCCAACATGAAAGAAAGGACGCCTTCATTGGCCCATGTTCTTGACAGCTACTCTGAAACGTCGTTTACTGCAAGGATCGCCAAAAACGAAGACGGAACCTCGCCTGAGGATTGGGTGTGGGAGGGCTCATCCGAGAAGTTTGTACATCCTGAGCGCAAGACTTATCAGGAAAACTCCAGTCCCGAAGAAATGGTTTGATTGGTGGTTGAGTAATTGTAAGTTATTGAAGAGCTGGGCTCGTGCGATTGGACTTGGAGCAGGTCTCTATACAATTGTCAAGCACAGGTGAGTCATGAGCTACTGGTAGGTCAAGGGTGGATATATTTCTGAAGTAGAGTATAAACTCAAGGTATTTTCTGACCTGTATAGGTGAGTATTTCTGTCATTTAAGACTGCGTTTGTCTTCCAACTCTTTCTCACTTGTTTTCCAACTCTTTCTCATCAGTAAAAGCAAGGAATAAAACGAATCCCTCGGGACTTCATCTCAGTTATCAGCTTGTTGAATTCGCTTCTGGTTTCTACTCGTGATTTATAAATTTGCTCTGCTTAAGCGTCAATCTATGTTCAGGGCCAAGGATGAGATATGATTAATCCAGAGGATTCAATCCACTATCTGCCAAAAACTGGACCTGTCATCTTTAGTCAACCCAGCCACCGTCAAGATCAAGTGAGTACAGAGATTTCCGATGACAGTTAAAATCTCATTGGTTTCCTCAAAGTCATCCAAGATGCTTTCTAGGCTGCTGTGCCTATAGTAGCACCAAAGCGCCGTATGACTCAGATGTAATAGTCGAGTTCCTGTGTCACCACCACGATATATAAAGTAGATATCAGCATTCAAAAGAACTTCTGAATTAATTGCAGATGCAGATCGAAAACTTATACTCTCATTTAACTACAATTGGGCCCACGAAAAAGTAAACAGTTCCTCATACTATCACAAAGATAATCATGAAAGAACATCCCATCTCAATGCACCAACGTTACACAAAAAGCGATGAAATTCGAAGCTAAATTGGAATTTCCAGACAATCAGACACATACTATCTTCAATTGCGTATATAACGGAGTATCCCGGTCGAACCAGGATATTCCACTGCCGGTAGTCACGATGTATCAACAAGTCGCCACCTTCCAAGGCCTACCCTTCGACATACATTTCGAAATGGCCAAGTATCTCAACTACCAGGACTTTCTGAACCTTACGTCCACGAATCGATACTTTCACACAGTCCTCAATCCGAAGATTATCCTGGGCTTGGAGCAGATCGCAGACTTCGTCATCGAGCGTGACGACTATTTGCGTAAGATAGGTCATGAGCTTTTTGGATGCACCAATTGTTACAAATTCCTACCTAAGAAGAAGTTTGGCAAGCAAGATTACTTCTACAGCATAACATATTCGTTTCGATCTTGTTTGGACTGCACTGCGGCTTTGAAGCCGCGACGCCATTTGGACTCAATTAGCAGTGCAGACAGCAGCCTGAGATATTACTTCTGTCACAATTGTGGAAAGTGTCGAACAAAGTCCGAGAGGTGCAGTGGAAAGCAAATCGAGTGGGATTCCAAGAAAGAAGAAGCAGCGGAAGCCTTGTCTCTGTGCGCACAACCCCGACGTCAGCAACAAAGCATTGAAAAACTTCCAGCGAAAATCCTGAAGAAGATATCTTCGTTTCTCGGCTTCTTAGATGTGCTTCACCTCGCACAAGTAAGTCGAGAGTTAAACGACGTCGTCAAGCCGAACCAATATGTGCCACTGCACACTCGTTATCGATTTGTCCACGACAAGTGGACAAAGGATGTTCAAAACGTTGCGTGGTCGTACATGAAGATGATTCCCTGCTACATGTGTTGTCAGATCCTACCCAAGGATAAATTCACACCCAAACAGATCAAATTGTGCAGTGAGTACCCGGAGACGGCCTGGAAGATGCGCTGCCAAGTTTGTGTGTGGCTCATGGGCCGCAGCGCTATCAGCGCCAAGCGTATAGAACACAGACGCCGTGAGATGTGCGAGACCTGTGGGTGTATTAAGTATGCCAGAACGACATGTGGTGGTTGTATGGAACTTTACGTTGGAGGATCTATCGACCGGAAGACTCTGTACCCGAACGACGTTAAACTGGAAGACAGCCTATCCTTGATAGGCATCATGTTCGACAGCAAGGACGAAATGGGGGATGAAAAGATGAACTGAGCAAAGTGGAAACTCTTCCGAGAAGGAACCAGTGGTAGCATTAATCTAAAACATATTACCTGTATGCCAGTTTTGTACAGGATACATATGTCACCATTCGTAAATTCGAACCATTATTTAACCGTCGAGGGAACTTGATCACTCCCAAAAGATGATGAATAATCTGTGAACATGGAATGTATTTACTTATAGGCTTCAGACCATGCAGCCTGGCCCCGTTGTGCACAGCCGAGTCCAGGTGTAAGAACCGCCAAGTTTACCGCGGAAAAGGCCTCTTTCAACTACCAAGTATTCTGTAGCGGATCCCACAGGCTGGGGAAAAGCTGATCGAGGAAGGAAGAGTCAGGCATTCCAAAGTTTGAAAGATCTAGAGGCTCCTCAGTACTTGAGTCTTCGGGTGGCGTCATGGCCAGAAGCTTCTCGACAACTTCAGTGTGCTGAGCAAGACAAATGTCGCCAAGATCCCAAGAATATTTCTCTTTATGCGAACGAAGAGCAGATAACAGATCAGAAGCGATTTTCAGTGAGCTGCTCTGAACCAATCCTGAAGTTGAGTTTTCCGTCTCGAGAGCGCATCGGAGAAGGAAGCTGACTGTAGTAGAGAAGGCAAAGGCTGTGCTCGGAAGAAAAAAGTCGGATAGATGCTCCATCTGCAGCTCCTGTGTCAGAATAAGGATATCCTCCGCGGTCCTTCGGGCCTGCATGTACCGATTTAAGAGACGGCTGTCACCTGCGTCACGGATGCGTTTCTCGGCTTCAAGTTCAATCCTCTGAAGCAACAACCTGACAGTCAAATATGACAAGCGAAGATTCGCCGCACCAGGAATCGTCAGGTTCGTCCCGCGAATAATAATTCGGCGGACTTGGTCATTCAAAGATTCGACCCAGTTGTTCATAACCAACTCGAGATGAGTTGTATCTTTGGTCTCATCCGGGTTGCTAAACTGATGGACATGCCTCAGGTGTAAGTCCAGAACCTCGGCCAATCCCAAGAGAGCTACGTAGACCGTAGCCTTGAGAACTCTTTCCTGGGGAGAATTCTCTTCGCAAAGAGTCTCAACAAGAGGCTGGGGCACATCGTTTGAAGATGCCGAGATGAGTGGCGGTGTTCCATGCGATAGACTTAGCCTGATCTCATATTAGTATGACTGAAGCATGCTAATCCAATATGCTTTACCATTTGTCGTGAACCAACAATGCCCACCAGATCTTCATTCTGAGGTTCTTCTCAGACTGTGGTATTTCCCATGGTATCGGGTTGTGGTTCAGGCCAAGTGAATGCGCCATTGCTACAGAGGATGCCAACAGCACTCCGTTGCCAATAAGAGAAGTCACCTCGCGACCGCCGATGTTCAATATTGATGCTTCTATGACAGAGAGTCCTGGAGATCTGTGTATCTGAGAATATGTGGCTTCAGTAGCAAGATTCCAGATGAAGCGTCCATCAGGACATCGGTGGCACGACAACGTTGGCGAGCTGTTCCAGAAAGTTATCGAGTGGGCGTATAAGCAACTAAGCAGTGCAGGGGATATGGCATCTTTGTTCTCTCGGTACTGCTTGCGAAACGTTGTCTCGTCTAGTAGAGGAAACGACGAGTTGACCTTTTCAAAATAGCTGACAGGTTAGTAGTTTCCAATACTTGTCTATCAACTAACATACACATCTAGAAGATCATCGGTGAATGGCTCCAGTATCTTCTCAATCAGCTGGAGTCTTTCTTGGGGGAAACTGCGATGTGAGTCTAGCCCTATCGGTCGCTTCTGAACCACGGTAAACAAGACGGGTCTTGACCTATTGCCGGGACCTGGTCTAACAATTCGTGACCCTCGCGCGGCACTAGGCATCGCCGACAGATAGTCAGACAAGACTTGGTTGTCTGAAGTAACAGCAGGCCCTACTATGTGGAGGTTGTGCTGCTGCTCGTCGTTTGATCCTAGTGCCAAGGGTGACTCCTGCGGTTCATCGTTTTGCTGTGGCCATTCTGTGCTCCTTGATAACAGTGGTGAGACGTTAGATGCGAGGTTACTAACAGTCTCGGTGTGGATAGATTCAAGAACTGGAGTGGGAGTTTTAGTTGGTCCTATAACAGAAGCTGTCTGTTCGACAATCAAGTTGTCTTGCCCAGGCACGTCTGCCAACCCTGGGGCGAAGCCGATAGGTAGCGCACTTCTAGCTGAAGATGCCCTTACTCTTCGCCGACGGCGAGTGTTTGAGTTTCGAGTTATTGTAGAGTCCGGATTGGATTCTGAAGGGAAAATACAGTCGGTACGATGTGCCCGGCACATGAGACAGACCGCACTTGATTCCTCGGACTGGCAGCGTGATTTGCGCTTCCGACATGGGATACAGGCCGGGCGAAGATGCGACCTGTATGGTCGACTATTTGGGGTTTCTTGCTGCATGTCTGTCATTCTCTTCTTTACTGCTTGTCAATAGGGGAGCTTTTCCGCGGAGGGTTGATGGAGCTGGCTTATAGATAAGAGGATTGGGTTTCCCCGCGGGAAAGTGCGGTAGTCACAGTCCAAGTACAGTGCGCACACGGAGTAGACCGTGTTAATAAGTGAACACTACACTTCGGTCTGACTTTGAGAACTAGATTAGATGCATACAAATAGACCTGGAATCCACAGGGAGAGATAAAGTATTAACTAGAATATGAATTGACCACCTGAGTATGTGGGTTGCTACATCTCCTCATGTTCGGAAGATTCACCATGAGATGAGGTATACACAATTAATCCAGTCAGTGTCTAGGCGGGTTTCATTCTGGACTCTCCATCATTGCATATTTCTTCATACCAGCCACAATGGCACATGAATGGATGCCATAATAATATCACAACCCAAAATCTCGATGTATCCTTTTGATGCTATGAATCCCTGTCGCGACCTAGGCAGGTTCCACCCGTTGGTTGAGGATAATTGCAAGTTTGATTTAGGCAGTCACACGATAGTAAACTTGCCTGTCTTTTCGACACTTATAAATACCCTCCTCAATTCGATATAATCAGTTAGTGAGTCCCCTTCAATACTCAATTCCCTTCGATGATTGAGTTAATTCATTCAAAATGAGTCGTCGATCCAACTCCCCCCCCCCAGTGCCATTGCCGTCGCCCCCGCCATCCGATGATGGGTCTTATGGATCTGGTGACTCTGATGGTTCAGTTGAGCCACCTTATACACCTCAGGAAGTCGGTGCGCTGTTTCTTGACTTTTACCAATTCCTCACTACTCTTCACTATGACGAGGCCAGTCTGAAAATTCCCCCTCCTACTGGCTGGCCACAAATCACTCGAGAATCTCCTAAATTTGCAAACTTCAAGTCCGACTATACTCTTGAAGTCCTTCACCATCTCCCCTATTTCAACGAAGAACCCTTTGCCCAGTTCTATCCTGCGTCAGAGTTGCTGGACTTTACAGAGATTAGTAGAGAAACACTGGAATTCTATCAAGCTTACGACGGGGACTCAGAGTTTTGGTCCACCGAAGACAAGGTAGACGAAAAAGACGTGGTTGGTTTCTTCGGTGCACGAGCAAACGGCAGTCTTTTCTACCTTCTTGTCAAGGATTGTGAGATAATCGAGGATTTGGTAGAGAGTAGCGGTGCGCAATCTTCGATTCCAGTCGAGGAATCTTTTGAGAACCTCAAAGAACAGTACCGGACTTTGGAGCTCATTCCGGGCCGAGGGAGGGAGACAATATATGCCAAAAGAGTCCCTGAGATTGAGAGAAGAATCACGGAAGAGGAGGTTCATGCCCAGACTGAGGAATGGGGAACTTACTTGGATATCCAGTATGTCAGTCAAATATATCGCGATCATGGTTGGCCAAATTCCTTCCGCCGAGAGGAGGCTTTCAAGGTCATTGACGACTGGCAAGACGAGATAGAAGAAGGGCCACGACGGTTTATGTGGTGGAGCGAGTGACCGGGGATACCTGGGTCACTTGACATCTGTGAGATGGATTAAATAAACTCGCAGACAATGTAGTTCTCATGCAAAAGGATAATACTTTCCGCTGCAGATCACAACAAACAATATTGAAATCCCAACCATCTCCCACGTGTATGCCTTCCGGCTAACTTATATTTGCGCGATTACACCATTATGAATCCCGAAATTCGCCTTGGGTTCGTTTGCCGGTTTAGAGATGCAATTCTCAGACGCAGGCTGGCTGGCAAGCAGATCACCCTCATTGTCGGTCTCGCACACCGAGAGTCAATCAAAGACCTGGAGTGCGTTAGTCAAGAAAACACATGGGAGAAGACTGGATTTGAATGCATTATATGTAGTTGCAGCGAGGGAGTGTGCGATTCCCCTCGATCTTGCGCGGTGTGTTTGGCCCGAACCGAGCTCGAGGCAACTGGAGCTGTTCCAGTCGATCATGTCACTCGATGTACCGAAAGATTGGAAGGATCTGAGGTTGACAGACTGGAGAGGCTGGCGGACTTCAGCACGGATTCGTATGCTCGAGCGAATACTGCTTCGACACTTTGCACACCTGGGTTCCTCTCCCCCTCATCTGCTGGATCCTGAATACACACTAACCTCATCAATGCCTGAGAATGCATACAACAAGAAAATTTCGAAGGAAAGAGCAGCCAGATACCTCTGATGTGTCGAATTTATAATCAAGCACGATGCACCCTCCTGTGACTTGGCGGAAGCGAGCCCATGGTTAGTCAAGGATGGACCGCAACACATGAAAGACTCTCGGCTTTGCTGAAAACAGATCAGACAAGTTTCAGAAGGATGGACTACTGGAACTAGATGATGCCTAGTCATACACGTCATTTGGACTGAAGCTGTTGACAGTTCACGAACTGATTGGGTGGCATCTCCTGCTCAGTCGTTCCTAGTTCAGGAGAGCTTGTGTCATGCAGGGGTGAATATTATCTCAACACGCGGTCTTCACCTGTGACGAGATTATGATCGACCCTCTGAGCTTCATGTTCAGGATAGTCGACTTCTAGTCGCGGTATCAGATCTCTCAAATGCAACACATGTTGCAAAGCTTGTCGGCCGTCAGTACGAAGATATCCCTTGGATCCATCGACCTGAACTCGACTACGATATCCACGAAGGCCTAGATACAGCACATATGTCGCTTCATCTCTTCCTGAACGTGTGATCAGATAAATTGGAGTAGAACGCCAGACTTTCATGATTCAGTCACATCTTATTCCTTCCTCGTTGGCATCAGGTAAGTAAGCATTCCAGAGTGTAGTTGCTGAACAAACCATCGAGACTACACCAAGCCACATAGCGACACGAAATCTCTCGAGGTTCATGGTTTTAAACATTAGAAGGTATGAACAATTCGGACAGAAAGTAAAAAAAAAAACAGAGGCCTGCGTACCTCCCGTCGAGATGCGGACTTATGTATACCCCGAGGAGAAAGACTACCAAGCTAACCGTACAGCATTTTGACACTTATGAGCAGATATTCATTGACCCAGCCTAGTATTTGCAGAAGCCATTGCAACAAGATATGTTTTATAGCCTCTTCAAATAAGAGTACGCCTTTTTAAGCTGCGATGTACTTACACAGGCGATCCGAAACAACCCCTGACACAATTTCTCCAACCGCGCACACTTGGGGTACAGTTATGGACACAACGCACAACAGCAAAAAAGCCAGCAACTTCAACAAAGATAAGAATTATTCCCAAGATGTCAACACAAAAGAACAAAAAAAGATGAATCCTGTGTTGCACAGGTGGCGACTCTCCCGCCGGGAATTGAACCCGGGTCTCAAGCGTGACAAGCTTGCATACTGACCACTATACTACGGAAGATGTGCCAGGCGTTGATCGCCTGGGGTAGTAGGATTCGTGATTGCAATAGCGAAAGCCAAGTATATATACTGCTAGTGTGAAAGAAGCTACTTCTGCTAAGCTACATAGTCCTCCGACTTTACTATCTCCCGTTCTAGTCAATTCATGTTACCTAGCATTATGAGCAGACTATAGCTCTAGATCTCAGATGTTATATAGTAAGATAACGAAGTATGCTCCAGGCAAAATGCTTCCTGAGGCCTTTCTAACATTAAAGATAACTACTATTTAAACTAGCTATGAAAGAATACAGACTATTCTACAGAAATTTCTCCAAAGACTTAGCGGCATCGATGATTGTCTGCTCAACTGGGTAAAAGTCCTGGCCGGTTAGCTTGATCGCCTTTGAAGCGTCAAGGACTCTCTCCTCGGGATATCCATAACCTGGATAGTACCCTTCACCAGGCTGCCCAACCTTGATGATGTCCTGTCGTTCAGGATACTCCTTACGAAGAATATCTGCGGCAGCCTGTGGAGGGACAATTCCTGAGGTCAGTAGGAACCGTTCTCCATTCGTCTTTTCCGGGTGGTCGACGCTGAACACAGCAACTCGTGCGATGTCCCGAACATCAACATAGCTAGGATCGGGTGTGAAGGGCTTGGGGATCTCTTGGCCAGAAAACACCTGCCAGATAAAACCGGTCGTGCTGCCTATCTTGGAGATCGATTCGAGACCTGGTTGCGGTCCCATGACAAAGCTATAATACCATTGTTAGATTGATAAAGGGCTTGCTCGTCGGTTAGGTAAAACTCACGTAGGATTAAGAGCAGTCATGGTGAAAGAAGGCTTTCGCTCATCGCGAAACTTCCAGAATGCCCTCTCGCCAGCCACTTTGCTCGCAGTGTAGATCAATCCGCCAGACGACTCCTTACCGAGTTTCTTGACAGCAGCTAAAGCAGCATCGTTCCAGTCTGCTTCTGTGAAACGGTACGGCATCTCTTGGTTGATGGCAGTAATGGCAGCAATGGACGACATCAGGACGACAGTTTTAACAGAGGGTTCGTTGAGAGCTGATTCCAGTACACCTTCTGTGCCTCGAATGGCGACTTCAAGGACAGGATCGGGGTCAGTAAAACTGAGGCTTACTCCAGCAGCCAAATGGGCGATTGCGTGAACACCTAGCCTTGTTAGTGGTTGTTTCAATGCGACGTACTTGTGAAGTTACCTTTAACAGCAGAATCAAAGGCTCCCGGTATGAGAATGTCTGGAACTTGGACGATCTCAAGATCATCGCCGTACGACGACAATGCTTTTACAAGAGAGTCTGCGGATGACTTGGAACGAACAGTTCCACGGACGGCATAGCCTGCTTTGAGGAAACCCTCGATAGTAGGCCCGGCAATATAGCCATTGGCGCCAGTAACCAGGACGATAGGTTTGGCTGACATGTTGATTCAAGTGTAGAGAGGTAGTTGTAAAAGAGTATCGATGGATTGCGTTGTATGGATCGAGGATTTCAGTATGGATTCTATTCTCTAGGAAGGCCATACTGCGTCGTCTTATATACCCTTAGCCTTGTAACTGACAAATGCGAGAATTTCAACATCCGTGACTCCAGAGTATAGGCCACACTCCACAGCATTTCGGCTGTCACTCCAAAGAACCCCGAGAGGGCATTGTGCGATCACAAAGCATCCCTTGCGTATTCTATCGAAACCAGGCAAGGACGCACATACGAAAGATAGCCCTATCTAAGGCGCGGGTCTTTTGGAATATCGTGATAACATAAGCATCCTTGTAGTCGCACTTGCGGAAAGATTAGTGATCATGGGACAATTGAAAATTTGACAGCTCGCTAACTGTAGCTGCAAGCATCAGTCGCACAAATGAGTAAGCAATCAGTCGGGCATTTTAATAACTCATGGACACCGAGAGTTATTGAAATATTTTGGCAACTTTATGAATTACTGATCTGAGAAGCTGCGGCGCAATACAAACCATTCTTGCGTCGTCTTGTAGACCGAGTTACAACAGGCAGAGCTATCATCTCATCTTATGCAGCGCAATCTCGTTGGGGGCATGCGATAGACACCATATCATATCGGGGGGATGAGATGTCATATTTGGAATTCGGGTCACTGAAAGTCAGAAAGATACTGTTAAGTGTATCACAGTATCCGTACCTACCTTAGGTATGATGCTACCTATTTCCGGGATCAAGGATGCACGTGATTTCGCGATCCATAGCGCGGTCCCATGACGCAACCGGTTCCAGACCCCGGTAGGCAGTCACTCACATCAAGTTTGCGACAAGTTTGCGCGCTCGTTATAACCTCTTCTTTTTTGAGACAATTCTCAATATGCCGCTAATATGGTAGGTCGCAAACGTCCTGCGACAAGGTCAAGCACCCGGCGAGGTGCTGCAGCTGCGGTGCCAACTGGTGGAGAGATCTACCAGGATATGCTCGCTGAGGCCGGCGTGAACCCACGAGAACCATCGCCAGAGCGGCCTTTGAAACGACGTCGCGCTGGACCAAGCAAACCAGTCTCAGATACAAGCAGTCCGGCTAAGCCAGTTTCTAAAAAAGCTCAGCCAGTTGAACCCCCTCAACCAGAGGCTGCAGAGGAAGATGATGACGAGGATGAGGACATTGAGTTCCAAGATGTCGTCCTACCGCAGCCAACAATGCAGACCATGGAATTAGAGTCCGATGACGAAGATGAGGAAGAAGACGTCATGTTTGAGGATGTGGACTTCACAGCATCTCTCCAGGATCTGGGCTCCAAGTCGGAAGAGCCCAAGTCCTTGGAACTTAATCTCACAGCCCATCAATCATCTACATCCCAAGGCAAAAGGGCTGCCGAAAGGCGCAAACCAATTACCAGAGAAGAGCGCAAGGTCAGGACTGATATTCATAAGGCACATCTATTATGCCTGTTGTCGCACGCGGCGCGTCGCAATCATTGGTGTAACGATGGCAAAGTACAGGATTACCTGCAGCCGCACTTAACCGACAAGACAGTCAATTACCTAACTCCCGGGGCCCACCTCCCGCAGTTTGGGCAAACGGAGAGTTTGAAAACCGGCCTCAAGCAGGCTGAAAACGTGTGGAAGACAAAATATGAAATCACTGAAAGGGGTCTTAGACGAGCTCTGTGGGCCGAAGACCCTGAACAGCTGCAAGACGTGCGTATGACGCTCTTGTATGAGGCCTCTGCTAACAGGCGCGTAGTATGAACCTCCCGAAGACATGGAAAGCTGCTTAGATCGCGATGATTTTCGTGAAGCAGCAAAGAAGCTACAAGGTTCTAGAGATGTCGGGGCGCAACTTTATTGCGCCCTTCTGCGAGGCGCCGGCGTACGCGCACGACTTGTTTGCTCGCTGCAGCCTCTAGCCTGTACATCTGGCGCCCCATCAATGCCAAAGCCAAAACAAAAACAGAAGCAGGGCTTGACCAAAGCAGAGAAGAACGAGCAAGTGCGAGCTACCTTGGCTAAGTACCAAGAAATGGCCAGTGCTGGCTATGGTTCACCGAATGGTGGTTCTTCAGCGCGTCGAAGGTTAGGACATCCGAATGCGACGGCATATAACTTCACGCCAACAATATCTCCTCCCAAGCCGCAGCCTACTTTTGAAACTCGCAAACGAATAAAAGAATCGCCTTATCCAGTGTACTGGGTCGAAATTTTGGATGTTGGTCATCAGAAGTGGCAACCAGTAGATGCAGTGGTTACTCATACGTTTTGGAAACCTAAAGCTTTGGAACCCCCTATCACAGACAAGGAGAACTTTCTGTCTTACGTCGTTGCCTTTGAGGCGGACGGGACCGCGAAAGATGTGACGCGAAGATATGCAAAGGCGTATACAGCCAAAACACGAAGATCAAGAGTTGAGACCGCGTCCGAAAGTGGCGATGTCTGGTGGAGACAAGTCATGAAGCTCTACGGCCGACGGCGGCGTACGGATCTCGACCAAATCGAGGATAATGAACTCGTCGGTATCGAGGCGAGGGAACCAATGCCGCGGAACGTACAAGACTTCAAAGACCATCCTGTCTTCGCGCTCGAACGACATCTACGACGTAACGAGGTTCTTGCACCAGGGGCTACACCATCGGGAACCGTGGCCGCAGGTAGTAGAGGTCCGCTCGAAAAGATTTATCGGCGGAGGGATGTGAAGGTGGCGAGAAGTGCAGATAAATGGTATCGCTTGGGTCGAGAGGTGAAACCACTCGAAATACCCGTCAAATGGCTTCCAAAGAAGGTTAAGCCCAAGAATCCGCTGGATGACGACCGAGACGAGGATGTTGAGGGCGATGCCGGAACGCCAGTTTACACTGAAGACCAGACAGAGCTCTACGAACCACCACCTGTGAGAAACGGCCGAGTGCCGAAGAACAAGTTTGGAAACATCGATGTGTATGTATCAAGCATGGTTCCTAAAGGAGGCGCACACATCATCCACGAGCACGCAGCGCGAGCAGCATTCCTAGCCGGAGTCGACTACGCACCCGCCCTCACAGGCTTTTCATTCAAAGGGCGCCACGGCACAGCTGTACTCAACGGCATCGTAGTCGCGAAGGAGTACGAGGAAGGCGTGCGAACCATCATCGACAGTCTGGGCGGTCTGGAGCAAGAGATGGAGGACGAGCGGAGAAGACACCGCGCATACAGGGCGTGGAGGAAGTTCCTTTTGGCTTTGCGTATCAGGGAACAGATCTGGAGCGGAGTGGGTGCAGATGAGAGGAAGGCCGCGGACGACAAAGCGGCGAAGGAGGCCCAGATTGATCAGGAAATTGAGGATGCGTCGAGCGATGTTACTGAGGAGTTTGACATGGCTGAGGATGATGATATGGGTGGTGGTTTTATGGTGGATTAGACGTATAGATACAATCGATGAAGCGGAAACACAGATACATGCCGGGTCTTTTATGGCCAACATGACTCATGAACCTCTAGGTTTCGGCCTCCTAGGCCTTTGATGATTATAAGTTGACTGAATTACCATATGTAAAAAAACTCTATTATTTAACTGAACTTCTAAAGAAAGACACCAAAAGCTATTCATAGGGCCGAACTAGGACCGTCCAAAATTCCATATCTTGGACCAGGGACTCTGCTTCTTTTCCTCAGAGTTCTCTTCCTTCACGTTGTGTTGTCCCACGATGGTCAGGAAAACCTGGTCCAAGGTCGTTGGGCAAACGCTGTAATGGCCGACACCTAGCTGCTCCTTGTTCTCTTCTAACAACACGACGAGATGACCGATGGCGCTCTGGTTAAGAGCATTTCCGTCTCTTGTTATCTCTTCCTCTTGCCTTCTCGAGGTCGGGCCATCCAGATTCGATGTTGCGGAAAGGACTTGGCCGGCACGGACTGAGAACCGGATCTGTCCGTGATACGTTTTCTCATCGACATCGGCAGAAGGCAAAGTCTCTCGGATCCAGTTGATCATCCGGTTCATCTCCTCAGGGGAAGTGCGCGGTGCGGTAGTTGAAACGAGATGAACGTGTAAGGCGTCGCCGAAGCGATGGCGGAGATTGTCTGGTGTTCCTAGAGCAAGCATCCTTCGAGCAAGGATACCAGCACGACCAGCGAGTGCATCAGCTTCCTCCATGCTGTGTGTTGTGAGAAGGATTGACCTTCCAGGGACCGTAGCCTCCAAGGTCTTCCACATAACACGCTTCGAGGCAGCATCAAGGCCAGACGAAGGCTCGTCGAGAAGCACAACCGTAGGATTACCCATCAGGGCGATGCCCAAGCTCAGCTTTCGTTTGTTTCCACCAGACAAAGCATGTGCCATGCGAGTGGCGAAAGACTCGAGTCCGACTGCTTGCATGACAGCCCGCACATTATGCTCTATGTCCTGGACGCCTCTGACCTTAGCATAGAATTCGAGATGCTCACGTACTGTCATCTGATCCATAGCGTCGAATTGTGGACAGACACCAAGGTTTGCTCGGGCAGTTGCAAGATTCTTGTTGACCGAGATGTCCTCAACCAGCACATCGCCACCATTTCGATCAGGCTTGATATCGCCTCGAATGAGAGAGATCGTCGTAGATTTTCCAGCGCCGTTGGGACCAAGGAGAGCAAACACCTCGCCGCGCTTAATACCAAAAGTGACGTTGTCGACAGCCGTGTTGCCGTGGAAGCTCTTTGTCAAGTTCATGACTCGAAGCCCATGCTCATTCTCTGCATTGGCAGTGACCCGGTTGCGCTCGTCAGTTATGTCATCATCAACATGCTCTTCGTCGGATTCGACCTTCTTCCTTCCTTGGAACAGGCCTCTTAGTGAGGCTCCAGCGGATCCAGTATCAAGCCAAATTAGGAGACCAAAGAGTATTAGTGACTGGAGGATAAGGTATAGAATAGGTCCTCCGTAGAACAAAATACCGCCGGGGTTTTTCGTAACCTCAGTGCCATCACAAGCTGTCGAAAAGAGATTCGTAGCGATGAAGAGGGCCTTCAGAGCCGAACCAATAGGTGCGAATAAAGAGATGATGAAGTGAACAAGACGCAGTGACCTATCGACCTTTGTTATAGGCGTGTATGTCAACACGGACATATATGCTATGATGTAAACGACAAAGATGAGAGTTTGGCTCGCCGCTGCCCAAGCGTAAGTCCCCAGTTGAGTTTTGGTGACAAGAGAAATGAGGTAAGAGAAAAGAGTTGAAGCAATTCCATAAAGGAAGAGGATCAGAAACACGTAGCCCAAGTGGAACCAGATGTTAGAGACGCCTGCCCAGATCGCCGTCATAATAGCTGTGCTAACCAGGACGAAAACAAGATCAAACAGGAGATAGGCTATCCAAAGTGGAAATGGCCGAACACCATTCGAATACTGTAGACCACGGACGAACCTGCGCCGCTCGTTGCTGGGATAAAGGGCGAAGAAGGCTGGGTAGGCTGATAGAGCGATAGACATGTATACAATCATTTGTAAGGAGTCGCCAGTAGTGTCGCTAATAGGGATTTCCAAAGGGCTCCATGATGTTGCAATAGGGGTGTTGGTCAACAAAACATCGAGAATCTGCTGTGCCAAGATGGGACTCGTAATGAAGAGATTGGCTACCCAGGCAAATGTCGGATCTTGCTCGTTATCGCCAAGCCAGAAACCGGTAGTAATGGATTTGCGGTTGTTCTTAATGATGTCCTTAAACTCTTGGAAAGTCTCAGCAGTCTTGATTCTTTCTAGGAAACTGCTGACATCGTTCGAGCTTGCGCCTGATCCACTAAAGAGGGGAGCAAGGAGACTTGTCATGTTCTGTTGCAGTTTTGATGTAGGTCCGGCTAAGAAGAACAATCCCTTGTCGGAATCCTGTTGGCTAAATGCATTCTCCCTGGAGGTGGTTCGAGAGGACTGGTCTGCCGGCTGGCAACTAGGCATGCTTTCATTTGCAACAAAAAGAGACGTCAATCCAGCGGCAAAGATGGGCAGAAGAAAGGCAAACAGATATAGCAGTCGGTTTCGCTTGAGAATAGTCAGGCGTTTGCGGAACAGAATCACGGTCTGCTTGACGTATCCGACTCGCTGTCCGTTGGTGAGCTCGAGTCCTTGCTTTTCACTACTGTTTTCTTTTGACGACGAATCTTTCTCCGTAGAAGGGACGGACAAAGGCTGATTTCCGTTACGGAAGGCCTCTTCGTCCTTAATCTCCTCAGCAACCTGCAAGAAAACATCTTCGATGGTAGGCCCTGAAAAGCGATATTCAGTAATACCGGCAGTTTCTAGGTTTTTGATGACGACAGCTGCAAGCTGTGATGTTGGTGCGGTATATGTAACAAGGTCAAAGGCATCTTTCTTCACGACGTGGTCGATATCGGGAGTTTCACGAATGCCAGTATCTTTAGGGACATGAACCCTGTAACCACCACCGAGGTTATCCTTCAGTGCCACTGAAGAGCCTTCAGCGCGGAGGGTGCCCTTGGATAAGATAGCAATGTGGTCGGCAAGAAGATCGGCTTCATCTAGAAAGTGAGTGGTCAAGATCATGGTTCTTCTGCCACGCTCGGCCAAAATAATATCCCAGAGTTTTCGTCTCGACAAAGGGTCAATACCACTGCTGACTTCGTCAACACAGCATACAGAACTTCCTCCTGTCAACATGAGTCCAAGTTGTAGTTTGCGCTTTTGTCCACCTGAGAGTGTCTTGGCGAAAGCCTTTCGCTTCTTGTACAGATCGACTGATCTGATCAGTTCTTCGATATCTTCAGATGTAGCCCGGGCGTTGGGTGCTTTGAGGTGGTTGAATATTCGAATATGCTCTTCCACCGTTAAATCATCCCATAGGACATTTTTCTGAGGAGCAATTCCGAGACCGCCTCTTCCATCAATCTCAATTGATCCACTAGTCAACTTGTTCATGCCCGCAATTGCATCAAGTGTTGTACTCTTTCCACTTCCGTTCGCACCCAGGAGGGCAACAATTTGGCCTTGTCCAATGTCAAGATCCAGCCCATTGACAGCATGGACAGATGGCTTTTTGTTGGCTCCTCGGCGGAATATGCGTGAGAAAAGATTAGGTCGGTAAGTTTTTGAGAATTGTCGTAGTTGCACTGCGTTGCTCCCGATCCGGTTTACGTCGGAGTCCTTAAGCAGCATCTTTCGGCCTGGGGTGTCATTGCTATACAGAGCATGTTCGACAAAAGCCCCAATCAAAGGATAAGCAAAGATCTGAATGATTAGGAATACCCAAATAGCAATGCCAGGGAGTGCTGAGGGGCTGTTTGGGGCCACTTTCAAAAGATCGGTCGGCATTTCGAGCTCCTCGAAACGAGCCATATTACTTATGAAGAAGACAAAAGCACAGGGAGTAAAGAAAACTGAAAGTACGGTGACGGGAACAGTACCGGGGGAGGTGAGGGTTTGTGAGAGAATGCCGAGCAATCCAACGGCCAAGATAGCGGTGATACCACTTAATTGGGCCTTTCTGAAGAAGGAAGCGAATAACAAAGATATAGACGAAAAGGCGAGGCCGGTCAGGACGTGGAATATGAGGACAATACCAATGCTGGTCTTGGCAAAGACACCGCCGCGTACAATGATAGAACCGAGGATCCAGGCCGGTAGATAGACGAGGGAAAAGGAGAGGTGATGAGCAATGATTCTTGCAACCATGGCGAGCCAGGGTTTTCGAACTGGCATCATGGCATCAATCAGTGTCGACATACCACTCTCGCGTTCCGTAGCAACAAAGCCTGTGAGGTGATATGTGACCCAAACGACGGTACCCAGAAAGGCGACACCCATCCAGCCTTTGATTGTCTTCTGGAATCGCTTACGGATCTCCCTATCGCGTTCCTTGGGTGTCAAACTGGTGTAGGGGTATTCTTGGACCTTGTCGAGGCTACTACTCGAGCCATTCAAACCGGCAATAGCTGCATCGACGGCGTGTTGAAGCGGTATAATGTAGACTTGTTGATCATTTGTCTTGTCGATGTTAAACTTGACAGGCGCAAGTCCAAAAGCTCCATCATCACGGATGGTATAATTCCAGATGCCCCCGGTTCCTTCATCAGGCGACGAGGTCATGACAATGGCACCGAAGCATCTTGAAACACCTCGTAGATTACTAGGGCAATTGCCAGTCAATTCGTCTTCGTCTTTAGCTCGGACAATCTCAAAGTCGACCTCGGCAGATTTGGCGGCGTCGTCGAATTTTCGTCGCACAGAGTCGAATACTTGGTCGATATCTCCTCCGCTAAGGTTGTTGTTGATAAGAACTAGTTTCTGCCTTCCGTTGTTGCTTGCTTTTCCAATGGCATCGCTAAGGCTCATAACCGAAGCGGGCTGGCCTATACCGAATACTGCTGGCGGGATCAAGAGGTTCTTTGTGAAGCTGAACAGCGCAGCTAAAAAGATGGGCAGGATGAATGCCATCCAGATACATAACGCCAGATGCCGGAACAAGAGAATCCGAAGATTCTTGCCCATGAGGGTCACGATCTGTTTGAAGAACAGCATGATGAATCACTGACGATGGTCTTCGCCTCGAGTCGAGGGAACAATCGCAGCAAAGGCCACGAATGGCACGTGGTAACGAGCGGAGGTGCCAAAATGAGGGACAAAGAGGGGTATCCAGTTAAACGCGGTGGTTGAATAAAAAACTGTTTGACGAAAGGTAAAATACTGTTTACGATATATCGTAAGGTCCAGATTTGAACAGTGATGAGGCGTTGAGCCGATTTATTAAAGTGAGATCCTTCCTCGGGGGTTACTGAGGTATCCACTAGGTATGCACCCCACTACAGGGGATTTGTCTTGGCGACAGGGCGCAGCAGCAGGTCCCTTGTAAATGCAGTATTACTCCGTATTTGCAGCGGTCATTACTGCTGCAAGCCCCCGTGGTGTTGCTGGATTTTCATATTAAGGATTCTTATTGGGTACCTATGTCAGCTATCAAACGGGCTTTAACAGTATCGTCAAGCACAATTTGCGAGTCGGAGGATGCTTTGTTAAGTAAGGATATTGACGTCCTTAATACTTGACCCTTAAACGCAGGCTGCTATCATGTCTCATCGGACTTGTTAGTGTATTAGAGACAGGGGTTAAATCGATCCCCTAGCGGATCGAATGCTCTGTTTCGTGGCTGCATCTTATTGCAACGACAAACCTGACGCGGCCCGCCGAATTGGGTTTGCGATAGTTATACGGAGTACGGTATACGGAATACGATTTTACAAACGAATCCAATCACGAAGGTTTCTCTTTTCTTTTCTCAGCTTATTTTCTTCTAGTTCCGCCTTATCTTGGGTTGTTCTGGGCATCGGAGCATCGGAGCATCGGAGCGGAGGTCATTTATTCGTCCGTTCTCCGGCTATGTACCCAAAGTTTGAGGTACACCAACCACGCCGCCGCGCTTAATATCTATGATACTTCCTTTTCTTTTTCCCAACCGGTGATTAGAGCTGCTGTCTGCAGCGTGACCGAACGCGAGATACGCGAGATGCCCTTACCTCGTCGGGATATGCGTGCGAATTGCACATTCATCCAATGAACATGCCATTGCATGAATGTCGGGGTTTCGGGTCAAAAATTAAGCCGATGACAGAGAGAGTCAATGCTGTCAGCCCAGCTGCCAACCCTGTAGCGTCGTCCAACCCCTTGGCAAATGCCAGCTCCGCGCCCGATTAAAGTGATCAGAGAGTATTTCTTACGCCTCTCAGATTTGAGGGCATCTACACTGAATAGTAAGACATATTTCATGCCAAAAGAACTATCAACAAGGATAAACCAGCGCATACGAATCATTCTGTTCGCGAAAACATCATGTGCATTCCATGGTGGGATCGTGAAATTCCTACAACTTACAAGGAGCAGAAATACGGCGCAGTATAGAAAAGAAGGAGCTAAGCTGTTGTCATGTCACGCATTCTACTTGTACAAGGACGCCAGAAATTTCAACACTATTTTCGGTTTCACATACCTGGTGTTGCCTACTCAGTTGTGTTCCCATATCCTCGGTGAAGCTATGTGCGCTTGAACACAACACCCTCGGTTGGGTTGTAACGCTTGTAATTAACCTCAAGAGCTAGAATGTTGCGTTGGTAAAGAACTATACCCCTTGGTTGAGAGGTATAAAACCAAGAGTTGCCTTGATATACAACGATAGCAATACAGGAACTGCAGGAATGGATAGAGGTCTTAGGTATCAACACAGTTCTTGTATGTCAAGATCTTGGTATTGCCTGCGACTTAGACATGATGAATAAGAGAGAGTAAGGATAATTCCTACGAGGAAATGTAGGGACTAAATTCGTATGCTCAGCTGAGCTATGATGGGTGATTCCAACCAAGTTATTTTACAACGCGAGCTTCGTTGCCATCTTGCTTGACCTAGCTATCAAGCCAAGAAACCAATCGACTTTGAGGCCCTTTGTACTAAACTGCTAATTATTACTGACGAGAAATAATAGCTTGGTTTGATCTACGTCGTGCCAGTGCTCATTAACCTAATTTTGTCTTTCACCATTGTAGTGCCTTCCAGATCCTGAACTCCTTTCACAGCAGCGGATGATGATACTGTCAGTCTTGTACAGCCTTATAATAACTTCTATCGTCTCTAACTCACCATGATTAGTCTATTCGCAATACGTATGGTATCTATGGTCTCTTGCCAGATAGGTCCCGCATCTAGGCAACCCACAGCATAGGCTAGTAGGAACATCATACTGTTCTGCAATATACTATGGATAACCGAAGGTAATTTTCGAACTTCTTTGATTAAGCATTTGAACATTCATTCGACCGATTTTGTTAATATGTTTTAGGCGGCTGTATGCTACCGGCAACAAAGAACACATAGAACAAGGACGACTCAGAACACACCTTTTGTTTAATTATGTATCTTGTTCGGCCATTGTGCATTCACATATATCTTGTTCCAATGTACACCATGACAAAGGAACTTCTGAGTATCGTTGTACTGTTGCTATGTTCACAGACTTTCAACTAACATATATGCATCCTGTCTACTGCAGCAAGCAAGAATGTATTTTGAACTCCATCAGTCTTTTTCGCAACAGCTTCGAGACCCAAATCAGCAGCAGTGACGCTACCATTATCGAATATCACGAAACAGAAAAAGCAGCAAGCAATTCCGTCAGTATGTGCTATCGAGTTGTTACCCACACAATGCGCTGTGATGTGCGCCCTATCATCTCCGACGGAGAGACCCTCTACATTGACCCTTTTGCAGAACCCATTTCTTGCTGGTGCTTCAATGAGCACTCAGCTCGCCCTTGGCTTCAGTGTGATACTCATGGCTGCTGCATGACGTACTCCAAGATGGAGTGGTGTCCTGAGGTCCACTCATGCAACGACGTTATCGAACTCCATCGCTATGAGCAGGCTCGTCGTCAGCCACGAAACATCTGGGCCTCTCACCCTGCTTCACAGTGGAGCATTCCTATGTGTCCTAGCGAGCCAGAGAAATGGCGCAGTGTTCGCACTCTTGAGGATTGTCTCTTTATGGGGAACATGCCGGACATAACAACCTCTCCACCAGTTCTCAGCACGGCTATTCTCAACCTTGTAAACACAGGCCGCATCCTCATCGCCACTCAAGCAACGCTGGATAAGCTTCTTCAAGACATCGATGCTCGCAAGGCGATGCATGATGCTTGTCATGGTGAAGCATGCGAGCGTGTATTGAATGAGTGGGAGTGTGTCAGTAGACAACCCATCGAAACTGCTAAAGCTCTGGCTGAGCGAATGGAGGGAGTGGTCACCAAGCAGCGAGAGCTGCTCGATGGGTGCTGGTCACTCATTGAACTTATCCTGCGGGGTGATACCAACGTGGAAGAGCTTTTCATCGGTGAGTTCGAGGTTGTCATGGATTCTTAAAGGGAGAGCAGAATTGTGATCGTTTGAGGAGTTTTGGGATCGCACGATTGTAGAAAAGAATTAGATTGCACAACATATCATAGAGCAAGTTGCTTTTAGACATTAATAGAGTTCCGGGAGAACCTATCCTTGACATTTTTCATACAATTCAATCACCCACGAGTACATAGTGAAACAGAATATGTTTAAGGGCTTGTATCATTTGCCGTCGTAGGGTAGTCAGGATGTCACGTAAGGGTCTATTATACTAAATAAAATCGTGGTTGACCACTGAAAGCCGTCATCGTATAGGGGTCAGTACATCAGTTTGTGGCTCTTCGAAGCACTGAAAACGCAAGTTCGAGTCTTGCTGACGGCAAACCTTTGTTTTTGAGGTCAACTCGAAATTTATATCTGTATTTTTGATGGAATATCGTGTCGTGTTTTTTGACATTTTCTTTTGGCAGGGTGGTATCTAGGAAAAGTAGTAAGCATGGCGACAACGCTGATAGCCCACGTTCTTCGGAACAATATTAGAGATCAAGACATTGACTGATCTATTTTCAAGACTGCTGTAGAAGTACGCTGCACGACATGTGATGCTTGGGATTAATGGGCCTCTTGGAAGGCAATGGATTTCATGGGTGCTTGTTCACGCAACCTTTGAGCCAACGGGTAGATCTTCCCTGCAATTGACTTTTATCTGTACAGACGGATAGTAAGCAACCTAACTGCTAGAGAAACTTTATTGACTAGCGAGAGGTAGAAGTATAGTCAAATCGTTATTCATTACACTGGTGACCGACAGTTTGGATATCCCACCATCTTTTTTTATGGAGGGGTCCCGAGGGGTAACTCAATCGGCGAGTACATCGTCATGTGCGAAAAAGAAAAATGAAGAAGGATCACAGGTACTTGATAGCCTTTCGCAAAAAATGGCAAAAGAATGATTGGATTGCCGTCAGCAAGACTCGAACTTGCGTTTTCAGTGCTTCATAAATAGCCACAAACTGATGTACTGACCCCTATACGATGACGGCCTTATTGCTTGACAAGGGTTTGCAAAATGTGTTATATATTGGCTTGGTCAAAGCCCGCTCCGTTATCGGCAGAGCTTGCCAAAATCTCCAACGTTTTCCATATGAGACGCGCAGCAATCACCTACAGCTATCAATTGACTGAAGCTTGATATTGTTTATTGTTCATATTACAACTTCATAGACACCTCATTATCCCTCTATGCATCTATGACGATTGCTTGGTCTTTGGGAAGTTGCAGATGATATTTAGTCAGCTCACGGAGGACCGGAAGGGAAGGTAGGACTGCCGTGAGCCAATTTGCAATCCGGCATCCGCTCAACAACATCACCCGCTCGTCCATTGAGCTTTTCACGCATTGATATTAATTCAATAAACTTTATTCCAACTATTTCGTTGTATAATATAGAAAGGCTCAAATGATAGCAGCCATGGTATTGTGCAGCTCCTATCCAAAAAATAACCCCGATAACAATGCCCGCCAGAAAACGCCTTAATTGTGTCGGAAATTACTTGTCCGACAGTTCACTCTCATCATTTCTCATTCGTCGAGCCGTTTCGTTTACCTGGTGATCCAGCCAAGGTAGTCGGCAACAATCAATGTCACCATACTGCGAGTCACGTCAGCAAAATGTTACTCCATCTTCAAAATACCAGGAAAACTTACGCGTGGGGAGCAATGCGGATGTAGTATGTGCCGAAACCACGATAGAAACGGCCGAGACCCTCCTGCTTGGCAACCTTGGAGAAGCAGTCCATCATGCTTCGGTAGGGGAGCTTGCCATCGGGGCCCTTGGACTGCTTCTGCAGACGTGTCTTGACGAAGTCGAAAGGCAGCGAGAAGAATGAAGCAAAGAAACCAGCAATGGCACTCGCTGTTAGAGTCTGCGTGCGGGCAGAGAGGTCGGTGTTCTTCTTGAGTTGGACCTTGGCCTCACTGAAAAAGGCAAGCTGACCAAAGTTGAGAGCCATGGCACGGGCAACTGTGGGAGCAGCACCGGCCCAGAGAGCTCCTACACCTTCGCTCTTGGCGATGCTGGTAAGAGCATCAATGACGGACTTGTAGTTTTTTCGCTCGGCAAGAGGCTTGAGGCCGTCACTTTGCATTCGGATGAGTGCCAAGTCAGCAGGGTTACCGATCATGGCAGCAATACCACCGGCTGTAAGACCAGCTGTGGCTCGCTCTGAGAAACCGACTGAACGGCCATCAGCCTTTGCTCGGGCGGACAAGTTCTTCATGAGTGTATCGAACATGCCCAAGCGGGCTGTGGTGTAAACAGCTTGGCGCAGAAGACCAGCTGATAGACCAGTATAGAGGTCAAGGAATTTTCCGCTGGCAATGATTTGTCGAGTGACAGCCAAAGGAGAAGGTTTAGGGCCAGTAGCTGTTCCTTCGCCAGAGAGTTGGATGCGGACCTTGACCATGTCAACGGGCTGGATGACGGTGGTAGCCACCATTCCACTAAGGCCACCATTGATGAAAGGAAGCGCGGCTCTCATGAGAGGAGTGTGCAGGATGTCATTGGCAATTGCGGTCGAGTCGCCTCGAGCAGCTCCAAAGACATCGCTGGTCTTTGAGCGAGCTGATTCAGCGGCCTGCTTAAGTGTCTGGCTCATGATGGAAGGATGATTGTATGGGGGTAGGTTCGGTTCGATAGGAGGTCAATTCGAATGAGCTGTTATTGTCTATGATGATCGATAGCTAATGGTGCTCGGCTTTAGTCTGCTCTGATGTAAGTGCTGGTCCATTCCAAAGTCGTGGGCATGGTCGAGGCTTTATAATATCATGACTGCTATGTATATGCATGGTAGTGTATGGTATGGTACCGACTACGGCCAGTGCCATCAAGCTACAAGCTACAAGCATCATGTTCCAGGAACCGAAGACATCCGTAGTCTGGCCCGAGGCGAGTGACATAGCCTTGGGCATGGACTTGGACGCCCGGCTCTGGAGGTCCGGTGGGGGATCTCGAGTCTTGTCTTAGGGTGTCTGGGAAGAGCATGGGGGCGTGTGTGGATGAGAGGAGTGTGAACGGGGGTAGATTCCCGCCCGCGGCAGGGTGGATCTTCCCCGCCATGTCTTGAGCTTTGCTGGGGATACAGCGACAAGGTATGAAGCAGCAACAGCAGAGAGCTTACCAAAAGAACGAACAGAAAAACAATTGATATCCGAGGACTTGAAGCTCCCGTATGATCCCGCGTCTAATTGCCGCGAAACGTTTAGATGATGTTACAGAAAGAAGAGTGCCAAGCGACGGAGTGCTCACCAAAGAGATTGGAAGGCGAAGCTTACAGAACAGAGAGCGCGCAGCCAAGTTGTTGATGGTTGAGCAGCAGGGAGTTTCCGGAATTGTTGATAATAGGAACAGGACGGAGGTTGTTGCTTCGCGTCTCAACAACGGTCCAAGACAACACAGTAGCAGCGGTGGAAGAAAAAGAGGCTTTATGATCTGCGTCGCGTCACGGTACAGGTGATGGTGGAAGGAGCAAGATGTGGGAGGGAAGGCAGAATTAAAAGAACACCAGAGGACGGGCTATTGATACCTCTTTGAGATATTCAAAGAAAGAGGGGAATGGTAACTGGATCTCTCCGAAGAGCACCGACGACCGAGAGAAAGGCGAGACTCTGGGAAGCTGTCGCTACTGCTACATCACAAAGCAGCACGAGACCTGCCGTGATGTTGATCCAACCTCCAACTCAGCGTTGCCAAAAGGCTGGCGCGACGATATCAACCACTGGCGACCCTCCACCACTGGCCAGAGTAGGAAGAGAAGGACACCAGCCGAACCACTCAGCGAGGAACATCGCCATACCAAGGTTCAGTCCGTCACATAGTAAAGTTGTGAGATGTAGCACAGTGAGTGGTTCATTTGCTCTGCCGCTCCCCAAGTTGACGCGTTCAGCTAGCTGTTGCAACGGGCCATCGGTTTGTGTTTAAAAACTGCGGGGTTGAGGCTTTGATGAGCTTTGGTTCAGGACCTGCTTTTTTGTCCATGTTGAAAGCAGGATAATGCCATGACGATCAAGATGCTGTACAGTGCAGTGCAGAGCTGGTGCTGTGTGTTAGCCAATTCGAGTTGTAATCAATGTGACGCCGTTGGTGCCTCGGGATTGGCAACCCCTCATTCTCTCTTTGTAGCTGTAACATTGATATTGTAGCTTCGTTTCTGTAACAGGCATTTCTTGCTTCTGATTGAACAGATTCGGCTGCATGTGAATTGCCTCTGTTATGCTAGCACGTCTTTCCAAACGATTGATAGCAAAATAGCAACAATATCTATTGAATACCCCAACTGTATCCCGTCTCCACTTGTACTCAATTGACAGTAAATCAATGAGCTCTTGGGTGCAGCTTCTTTAGCTTTGCTTTGCTTACGTTGGAACTCTTGGAAGTGAGGGGATGTCCAAAAACAATCAAGCGTTCCTAGTAGCTGTGGCTTGCAGCTGCAACTACACCAGGCGTGAAACAGTTGCAGTAACTGTAAGTAAAGTCAAGCCCAGATTAGCCAAGGTCTGGGCTTCTTGTACTGTTGATGGTGTTGTTGTTTGGTAGTGGTCAAATGTGAAGTACAGACTGGACACCCGTGACAATGACGCAATACACGGCCATGAACGGAAGCTCTCGGGTAGGCTCAATAACAATGATCAGGCGTTTGATATGGATGCGGCAATGGCTGCGAATGCATTGACGCGTCCAATTCGTCAGGTATCGATGCACTCTATCTTGATGTGTGCGCATCTATGCTGTGTTTCTCTCCTATCGGTTATGGCTTGTAAATGGTATCATGGGCGATGGAGACCCCACTCGACTTCAGCTGTAGCTGCTCTACGGATATAGGTAGGTACTCTAGGTATACTCTAAGTATCCGGTCTCTACCAGATTAACTCTCAAAACTCTCACTAATACTTATATACGCATCGTTTCCCAAACATAAACGTGGTGGGAAAACCGTAGTACCACGTATATCATACAAGATATAGCATATGAAGGCGTAAACAGCTTGGATGCGCAGACTGAACAGCTGCAACTCAACCCAACCTGGCTAGTCTGCATCCCATTTCCGTTCCACCCCCGGTCATCGCCAGGAACCAAGCAGGGACCAGGGTTATCTGAGACTAGGACATTGAAGTCCTGAGATGATGTAGGATACTCAAAAAGTAATGTCTCATTAAAGCCGCAACTCTGGCCCGTTCACCTTGTGTATCCTCGGCTATGGAGTGAAAATACTTCATGAAATGAGCTTACCGAGTAGGTACCGGAACGTCATGCTGAGGATTCGGTGAGAAGGTTCTCCGAGGAACATGAACATGGCAGCTTACAGAAGTAGTTCACTGCATATTCACACAGAGACCGACTATCAGATAAGACCCCTTTCACATGCAAACTGTCTTGAATTGCCAACTATGACCTCCCAACAAGAGATAAACTTGTATTCCTTAACGGCCCGTTCAACCCTTAGTAGTCTGCAGTCCTCAGGCGCACAACAACAGGATTCCTATCAAAATACAACCCATGGGGTAAGAACTGGATCCCGAAACCAAGAGCCTCAAAGTAGGATGTGAAAGTAAAACAGCTTGGTCCAATCATCATGGGCGGTTTCAAAGAATTACAGAGGTGTATGTATTCACAATGTGAGTCGGCGTAGTAAAGCAGGGTCCAATGCGCAGTATTACATGTCCGAAGCATCTCCCGAGGAAATACGTTCCGAGGAGACTAATTTTGGAGACACCAATACCGATAGGGTGACCGCCAGCTACGATCCTATCGTAACATGTCATCGAGCATGTGAATTAGGTTGGGGTTTCAACAAGCACCAGGTTCGTGTCTCCAACAGTGAGGAAAAGATATTGGAGTTGAGACAGTCCTCGTCATGGTTTTGATTGAACCCCAACCCCCAAAGAAGCTCACCTCAGCAACATCGACCTCAACCCCAAAATCGCAGTATGCTTGTTCTCAATGGGTCAAAATACCCCTAAATATGTGTGCATGTAATTATCTAGGTTGTTTGGGGGGTAATGCAACTTGGCGGGTCCTATAACTACCTAGATCTACGTAGAATGAAGACGGATATTTCAAGTATTTGGGGGTTGGGGTGAAGCATATGATGTTTCTGTGTTGAACATAACGGCTGCATCCTTTTTTATGTAGAAACCACATTACACTTAGTCTCGCCTTGGTAAATATGACTGTAACTATTACCGGACTGGACTAGACCTGCTTGTCAATTATGAAGGTGCGTTATTAAATAACCAACCCCCATTTTCTAGAAACACTGTCATCTTTGGTAGGTGCATGCATAGTACGGCAAGGGGCGGATATGATATCGACGCCTCGTGGCTCTAGATAAAACTCGACCCCGAATCGCCCATTTCTAATGTTCTGATAGGACTAATTGTTAGATACTCAGCAATCTTGTCTGTTGCTCTAACAATAGCAACAACCTGAGGGTGATGTGCTCTAGATTTATTTGCCCGCCAACATCTCCCGACTTCAACAGTCGCAGAACAATACGTCGAACAAGCCAAGGCCATGCCTCAACCAAAAACGGGATATGTGTGTCTGAGCTAGTATCGGAAATGTAAATTCGTAACAATGGCCTCTTCAGCCTACCCCAGACAGCACGACAATGAATCCTTGATTAATGGACCGGCTTTTGATATGCGGGAGAAACACAGCCCTGTTGAACCAGGTTAAGAAGGGAAACTTGGCCTTACACCGAATCATCTTTCATGTTTTACCCATGCTCATAAAGCAAAGCGTAGCGCTAAATTTAACAGCTTATTAGCTTGGGTATCCGAGTTGATGTTTCCGAATTCACCCTTCTCAACGCCAGTGAACCCGGCTTCCACTTGAGCCTCCGGATTCCAGTGGGCACCCGAAACCTGGTGGGACCCGACTCCGGACTTCAAGTTGCGTGACGGCACTTCCTGGCTTCCTCTTCCCTTGTCAAGACTCAACGATCCATGTAGTCTAGACTAGACCCCTGCTCTCCAACCATATGTCATGTATTTGATCAATTACACAACTTGCCTGTGGTAGCCAACCAAATAATTACCAAGCCAACTCGGCGGACTGAGCATGGAGCCCCTCGGAATGCGAGGTGTAGCAAACGGAAGCCTTTCGGTTCGGATATAAGATTACTGTCCAAAAGAACTTGGCTACGAGTCAGATTCCTTTTCTCATGCCCTCAAAGGATCGTTCGCTATCGATATGTTGAGGCTGAATTTGTATTTTATCCGAGGTTATGGGTATCGAAGACCACACTTGACTTACATCAAGGTGTCTAATAAGCGTGGATGATAAAAATAAACACACTGCCCAGCTTCCGGCATCAAAAAGAAAGACAATTTTCTAAACACAATAACCGAACAATGCCGCGGGTATATCACTGGAACAATACCTGTAATGTCTTTATATGCAATTGGAGCTTAATGTCAAACAGAACGTCATTGTTGCTTTTAGTGAGTAAGTCGTGGTTGACACCTTGAATCGGGTAATGTTGAGATCCAATGATGTACCCAAGTGCTGGAAGCGAGGCAAGAAGTGTGCCATCTAGCATTGAAGAGATGGATTGATTCACTTGTACGGTTTTATTTCAGACACTTAGACAACACCTTGTGACAGGCGCCTGCACGTACCTGGAGCTTTTATAGATTTTTCGAATCTATCCATAAACGAATTCAAGAACTTACTAATCATAGGCCTGATATACATAGAGTTAAAACAAAATAATTCGGTTGATCTCTACTGCTCCACCTGCATGGATATATCGTCAATTCAGTTCCCCCACTTCGCCATGTGAAGCAAGCGTCAGTTTGAACAGCACTAGCTTCGCACTGTACAAACACCACCTAGAACGTGCCCCTACACAGTTATCGCTTATCTCTCACACGACGGAAGTTTTGTTGCGGCTCTGATTTAGAACTTTTTGCGACACTACAGGAAACGACCTTCAAATAATATAAAAAGATCCAACAATGCCGAAACGAAAGCGCGGGGAACCCAATCTTGGGGAAAAGCTTGAGAAGCACTGCAACGATGTATCCAAGGCTTTGAAGGCCGCAAAAGGTCTCGAGCGCCAGCGATACAGCAAGAGACTTCATGAGGATAAGGTTGAGCCTGAGAAGAAGGAAAGATTGGAGCGGGAAGTGACCGTCTTGAAGGTGAGGGCTCATATTTCCCTCTCGCCTCGGTTGACTCTGTACTAACTCTATATTTTTCTAGTCGCTCGATCTTCATCAAACAGCCCGCGCGCATTTGTACTCGTCAATTCTCAAAGTCAAGGACCTCGCCGCATCTCCCAATCTCCCCGAAGACGTCCGCACCGGCGTTCCCAAACCCGAACTCACTCCCGAAGAACAAGCTGCTCTGCACAATGTGACCAGTGGATTATATAACCGCGAACTTGTTAAGCAGGCCATCACCCGTGCCATCACTACCTTCTGCCAGGCCCTCGACGTTCCTCTACCCGGAAAGGCGAAACGTGTACGAAAGTCTAAAAAGGACGAGCAGGAGGAGCAGCCGTCCGACCGGATAGAAGAGGATGCTAAGCCTGAAGCCAAACCTGCCAAGGAAAATGTACGGGCATCAATCGAGAAGGAGGAAGAGGTAGAGGAAGAGGACGAGTCAGATTTTGAGGGCTTCTCAGACCATGATGACCCTGTACGAGAGCCTGAGGAGCTCGACAGTGAAGAGGAATCAAAAGAAGAAAAGTCTCTGTCGAAATATGAGCATCTGCTAGGCGGTTCTTCGGACTCAGATTCGGACGATTTCAACGACGAGCGCTTCGAGAAATTTAAGGGCAAAGAAAAGGTCAACCTCGACGACATCTCTGTTTCTGGCTCGGACGCAGCACCCGGGCTTGGTTCCGAGTCAGAGCCCGAATCAGACGCGGATGATCAGCTTTCGATCTCTGCATCGCCTTCACCACCCCCGGCCAAGAAGAAGAAGCAGAAGGCATTTGCACCCGGAGATCGTGACTTCCTGCCCACTCTTATGGGCGGCTATATCTCAGGTTCCGAATCTGCCTCTGATGTCGATGTGGCACCCGCGAAGAAGCGCCGCGGCCAACGGGCTCGTCAGGCAATCTGGGAGAAGAAGTTTGGCAACAAGGCAAAGCATCTGCAGAAGCCAGCTTGGGAGACACAGGGCGGCCGCGAGGCCGGCTGGGATGCTAAGCGTGGTGCCGTGGAGACGGGAGATGGCCCGCGAACGCCTTGGAAGAAGGGCATTCGTAACCCTCTAGCTAGCGGCGCGAGGGCGGAGGCCAAGCCTGAGGTGAACAGACCGCCGCCGAAGAAGGACGATGAAGGACCACTGCATCCTAGTTGGGTGGCCAGGAAGCAGGCGAAGGATGCAGAGAAGACGGCGGCGTTTGCGGGTTCAAAGATTACATTTGACTAGGCGTATTATATGCATAGCGATACCAGGAGTAAATAAAAGTTTCTTTCTTTCATTGATCGTGGTGCTCTTAGCTATGATGTGCCAGACAAGGGCCGGGAATGCACGTACACGGGCAAACCTCCCTCCATCGGCAATGTTAAACTACTCTTACTCACTCTTTCACCCTCAAAAGCAGGCCTAAAGTCGAAGAGAGGCACTAGCCTCGCCAGCGTTTGCACCGCAACCAGTTCAGCCATCTTCTTCCCCAAACATACGCGCGGTCCTCCGTTGAAGACGGGAAACTCGGATGCTGGGCGCTGCGTAACCGTCACGTCGCCAGAGGGTGAGGTAGTAAGCCATCGCTCCGGGCGGAAATCGTCTGCATCAGGGCCCCATGTGGTATGCGAACGGTTCATCGCCCAAGCACACCAGACCACGATAGCACCGGCTGGTAAGAAAGTTCCGTCGGGGAGAGTTGTTGCTTGTTGGGCTTGCTTGATCTCAAAGGGGATGGGAGGACGAAGGCGAAGAGATTCATACAACACGGCTAGAACGTAGGGTAATCGTGCTGGGGTGAGAAGCTCTGGGTCGTTCTCTGTGAGAGATCGATCACCGGCCTCATCTTGTGAGCCCTGAATGGACTGACATAACTTAGTAGCCACCTGCGGATGCTTCATGAGAAGATATAAAGTCCACGTCAAGGCTTGTGCAACAGTATCCCTTCCCGCTGAGAGATAGTTCAGCGCAGCATCAGCCACGAGGTCCTCGTCGCCGATTGAATCGAGCAAAGACTGAATAAGACTCCCCGGTGCATCAGACTGAGTCTTTCCCTCGGCTTCCTTGCGATCAACCACTGCGCTAGTGACAATGCGTTTCCCATAAGCCTTGACAATTTTGATCGAGCGTCGCATCCGAGCTCCTGTGAACATCTCTGTAAGAAACCACAGAGGGTTCTGGAATCTCTCCGCAGTAGCACCCGATGCATGCTCAAAGGCAACAGTGAAGTCGTCGTCGGCGTGCATTTCCATGTTATATGCCATGCGTCCCATAAGCTGTGTCGTCACCTCATGGATGACAACCTGCAAATCCACCACCTCCTCTCCACCTGATTTCCCTTCCAACGCCTCTATAGCCTGCCCTAGATATGTCGGCAACCGCTCGTTTGTCAAAGTCTTCAACGCCGCAGCAGAGAGGAAACGCAGACCCGCCTTGCGCTGGAGACGCCAGAATTCGCCATCCACATTGATGATGCCATGGCCGAATAGGTCCCAGGAACGCTGTTTGAAGAATTCACCCTTCTCAAAGATACCCTCATTGCGAAATATGAAGTCCAAGTTCTGAGGGTCGTTAATGATCACCCCCGGTGGTAGAGACGGGACAGTGATGTGAAGCGTTTCATAGCCGTAGAGACGCTCGCAGCGATGGAACCATGAAAAGAGACGTTGGCGAGGCTGGAGGAAGATGATTCCATTTCCGACCAGTGGAAGTGAGTTTGGAGGCTTCCTAGTGCGTAGTCAGTAAACGGTGATAGAAGTGGTGAGGGTGAATGGACTTAGGGTAGGGTATTTAAATGAGACTGGAGGAGCATACCTAAGCCGTTCGCCATTGCGAGTGATTCTGGGTGTTTTCTTTTCCCAAAAGAAAAGAAATAATATCCCCACTGCCACGAGAACAAGGGCATCTCGAGAAGTGAGGCTAAGGAGACCCATAATCACCTCAATGGTGTTGGTGAGTTGCAAGGTTGAAGTTGTCTTGGTGTCTGTCTAGGAACGTATAAGATCATGATGTAACCTTGAATCCACCAATTGAGCAGTATGAACGTGTTTACTCAAAGCCAAACACCTAGACGATTGAGTAGAGACTTGTTTCTCTTCTTTTTTGTCTAGTTGTTTTGGTAGCTAACCATTTCGTAAATATCGGCAGCACAGAACACAAGTGAATGTAAGCTAATAAGCGGGCTATGCTGAGCTGAACAATTGCCCCTCTCGTATTCGCTGCAGAGTATTCGTTTACAAACCCAAAGCCACTCACTCCTGTCAATATATTCTAGGTATGAACGATTCAAAGAGCCCTCCTCGGCGCTTGATTCTATCCGTCGGTCCAATTTATGTCGTCCCGTACTCGTCATCAGGGGCAAACCAGCCGAGTTTCAGCATTAGTTTCGTAGACTCGAGTATAGAAGTCGTCACATGATAGTCTGAAGCAGAATATAAGTGTCTCAAACATACCTATTTTCTAACTCGAAACCTACATATGCGCCTCAATCGAAATTCATTCCAAATACCGGAGACCAAATCACGAAAGTCTTGAAAAAGACAACGGCTCAAACCTGACCAAGCTGTCATTCTGACAGAATAGACAGTCGATACCTGTATCGCATCTAGGCTCACCGGTCCAAAAGCTCCCTTTCGTTGACCCCTCCAAACAATACCCGAGACAATACCTTGCAGTTGTTTCTTGTGTCACCACTTGCATAAACAAATTCCCTTACTCCGTACTTTCGCCTTGACTTTGACCTTCCTCTTTCCCTCCTTCCCTCCTTCCTTCTCTTCTTCTCTCTTCATTGCCATTCCCAAACATATATCTCGCCCTTCCCCTCATTCTTCACCCCTGCATCTAACCCGCAGCTACTCCGTACTGTACGCCCCTTGCTCTGCCATCAAGATAGCGTCATCGATTAAGAACACGCGGACAATCGAGATAACAAATATTGGCGATTGAACACGTCAACAATATTCTTTATCCCCGGGACGCGATCAATTGATATTGCCTGACATCGGTCTTTGGTTTGACCATACTGGACAAAACGGCGTAACACTCAATCGCTCGCCTGTGGTACATTTGTCCACCTGTCTTGTCTCAACCAAACAAAGTGTTGAGAATTTAAGCGCCAGCCATCTTCCACAATAAGCTTCATTTTGGCACTTCAGCCATGGCAGCTCCAAGCGCATTTGGAGAGCTGGGCCTCTCCATCATCGGCCTCGGCGCTGAGTACCCACCTCATTCACTCGACTACACTTGCCTCAACATCCTGGGTGAGAGGTTCTATCCCGACACACCTGCGTGAGTTCCTTTACCAACAGGATAACATGCCTGTCTCAGCTGCTCACCGGACGATAATAGTATGAAAAAGGTTCTGGGCATCAACAGATACACCGGAATCGATACACGATCGTCCATTGGAACACCCGGACACCCGTCCGTCAACAAGAAAGATGCACCCTCAATAGCGGAGCTCCACAGCATATTCCAGTCTGATGGTATCCCACTCGCTATTCGAGCCGCTCGCAAGGCAATCGATGAGGCCAAGATCGACACACGATTCATCACACACATAGTCGCCACAACATGTACAGACAGCGCAAACCCGGGCTTCGACCACTTTGTCGCAAAAGGCTTGGGCATAACGCATGGTGTCGAGAAGGTCCTGCTACATGGTGTAGGTTGCAGTGGTGGACTGGCAACTCTACGAACAGGTGCGAACCTGGCCCTTGGACATAAAGCCCGGGGTCTTCCTGCGCGCGTTCTATGTGTAGCACTAGAGGTCAGCACCACTATGGTGCGCAGTGAACTAGACAGCATCAACGAGCTGCAACAAACAAGAATAGGCGCTTGCCTATTTTCAGATTGTGGTAGCGCGGCCGTATTGAGCAACGGTATTGGTGAACCATCTGAACCTGTGTATGATCTGCTCGGCTGGGACCACAGGACCATCCCAGATACTGAGGATGACCTGGGCTTTGACGTTGACCCAGCCGGTAAGTTTCCTTCATCCCCAACGTGTTGTGCATGGTACTGACGGCAACGCAGGATGGAAAGTCATACTCACACCCCGAGTTCCCAAGCTCACTGCTGCCTCGATTGGTCCCGCATTCAACGACCTGAAAAAATCTCTACCACAACTGCCCCTGGATTACCAAAATGCAGCCGACTTCGACTGGGCAATGCACCCTGGTGGTGCTACCATCCTTTCCGGCGCCGAGAGAGTTATGGATATCACTCCAGAGCATATGCGCGCGAGTTACGACACTTACATCAACCACGGCAATTCGAGTTCCGCCACCATCTTTAGTGTTATGAATCGCCTGCGTTCGAAAGAAATGGATGCCATGGCACCTGACGGACGAGTGCGCGACTACGTTGTTGGATGTGCTTTCGGACCTGGTATAACAGTCGAGATGTGTATGTTGAAGCGCAACATGGCTCACGGCACCAAAGTCACCGGGCTGCAAACTCCACCAGATACACCGGCCGAAACAGAGACCGAGCCGAGCGAAGTTGGAGACGGCGAGTGGGGCTCTGAAACGATCGGATCTCCGGCCGGGGAGAATTCATTGTCTCAGTCACAAGACCAGTATGCGATGTTTGTTACCGAGTCATTGGAACATCTAGATCTAGATTAGCATCCAGCCAGGGCGCGCAGTAGAATGCCAAGCAGGTTGAAATATTGCGTTGATATGGGTAGTAAGAACCAAGCAATAAAGAATAGAAATTAATGATACTATGTACACTCGTACGGTTGCCAAAGGAGCATGATACTCTCGCTTGAACCTTCATTTTAGACTTGCTCTATGCGTAGCACAGCCAAAGTTGAGAGACTCGACCTTTGCTCGCCACAGTGCCAGAAATGCGAGGTTTTGACAAGGGCAAAGATAATGATGAAAGTCAAGTCGCAGAATATAGGGGAGTGCAAAGTGTATTACCATCAACGTCACCAATGGGGAAGTGTAGCTGAGAGAAGAACTTTACCTATTCAATACAGGAAATGCCAAGAGTTTTGTTGCCAAGCTTTAACGTTTGTGGCGGACATGGCTGAATTGAGAGCGGTTCATTATCCGTGACCAGGAATGGGCGTACCTTACGATCTTGCTTTGTCGACTAAGTTGAGTATCAAAGTACTTGTGTAGTTGTGAATGAGGATCGGCCAAGTCCTTTGTTCACCTGAGCTTGCTTTAATCCCCATTAAGCCAGTTATTTGACGGATGCAGTATAACCGGCCAAACAACATTGGCAGTTCATGGCCTCAGAAGAAATTGTGACAGCCCTAGGCTCTTTAACCCCAGGTCATTAGGTTTCTTCAATATCGCTTGGGATGCTCTTGATGCATGCTTGTCCCGCCCTCACTTCGACGCCGGCGACTGAAGTATAGGCAAGGGTGGAAAAAGAAGCGTTGGGCGCATGCAAGGGGAAGAGAAAGAGGGGTCCTATGTGAAGTTAAAAGGCGTGAATGACAATAACAATAGCCCTACAAAAGAATGCCGAGAAGGACCCTGAACCTAACTTGATCGAGGGGTGCCAGTCTGCCAGTCTGCCGGTCAAGCCCAACTTGACTCTGGTCAAACAAGTTGATGAGAGAATTAGACAATTGTTATGAGTCATGGTTACCAGGGTAGAAAGCGGACTACTCTGACGTGCAAGACATCGTCCAAGCACTTGATTTTCGAAGCTGAGATGAGGTGAACTTTAGCGAACTTCTTCACCATGTACCTAGGTACCGAGGTTGGTGGAACTTCCGGCAATAAGGTAAACGATCCGTGCTAAAGGTGGAGACCTTGTCAAGATATCCCTGAGCTTGCCAGGCTTGTAAGAGGTTTTCCAGCTTGTCGCTTAAATCCCTTGTCGCGCGTGGTGCCGGCCAGCCTAGCCAGGCCGCCTCGCGAGAAATACTCGAACTTGGTTAGCCACTATGCAGGATACCAAAATCGCAAAGGTGGGCATGGAACTTATTGCACCCGCAGACGCAGAGACAGTACCCGGTAGACTCATCGAGTGGACTCTGCCCCATATTGCTCTCAGCTTGGCACTTGATAGCTTGGGAGCTTGGGTCCGCTAAGTGGATAGAGTGATCAACAACCTCGTGGCATCGGCTAAGCTAAAGTCGTCTGACGTCGTATTTTCGAAACAAGCCGCCTTCAGGACCAGGATCCAAAGCGACAAGGAAACCTGAGGAGACTAGGGTTTATCTGGCAGATTCCAAGGCAACTTAACAGCCACCAGTTGACGAAACAGCCGTGAATCCAATCAGAAAGTAGTGAAAGAGGAGGGCGTCCCGAAACAGGAACTCGTCTTGTATGGGAGCACTGTGGCTTGCAGGTTTGACAAGGAGGCCCCCACCCACACTAGTAAGGAAGGCCGGCTGTTATTGAAGTTTCCCGCAGATAGTCGACGAAAGCGCAACTAGTTCATGATACGAGCTCGATTTCGAGTCTCATCAGAGGCGAGCGTGGTATACTGAGTGTTTAGGCTCTTGCGCACGGCGCGCACCATGGCACTGTCGATCTGACCGCGGGGAAGAGGCTTGAGCGTATATTCGAAAGGTGACGTTTCGAATGTTATAGCTATCGATAGTACGTGTTTTAGACACATCAAAATAGACTTTACCTAGTCATAGGACAGTCGAAAGTTGGAGACGGTAGATGAGGATTTTAACTCTACCCTATTTCCCACCATGCGTGAGGTGCACGTTGACCCAGATGAGACGATCTCTGAGTGTAAATGTCCCAGTAGTGTGCGATACCGGATTGCTCGGCTCAAGATCGCGCTACAGATAGTTGACATTCGGTCAGGCAACTAGGGTGGGATACCCCTTGAGGAACTCAGCGGCGTACAGGTGAGGAGATTCCGCCAAGAGGGCATCCAAATAGTGACTAAGAAGCTAGGTGCGCGGTGTGATTAGAGGACAGCATCCCGAAGAGAGCTAGATTGTGGTCAATCTCCACAGGTAAGGCAGAAGAAGGGCGCGAGCGCTCTGGAGAGTTGGCCGTCGCTGTGCTCGAAGAGCTGGTGAAGTTGTTTAAGTTGAACAAGATCCCCATGTGTGGTTGTGTTCAAGGAGTATCATACACCACAACACCGAAGAACCTCCAAACGAAATAACCAAAAATTGTCTGGGAAAGTTGATTTCGATATTTTCACCATAAGCTCTAAGCTTCGACAAAGCATTCGAAAGTCAGCAATTATAGTGATTCGCCAACAAGTTTGTTATCAATCATCTGGTACCGCACTACGGCCATACCGACATACCAGAAACAGGAGCGTCGTTGGACAGTTCGCCGATAACCAGCCAACAGAGAAATTCGTGGAGCCCTATTGGTATCTTGGCCAGAGTTGCGCCCAACCCCAATTACCCGGTATATTGGGTAGGAAAGATCTGATTTAGGCCCGGCCCCGAAGCTTTGGATCAGATCAACTCTGTCCAGGCGATTGCGGATGCGGTTGTGGTGCGTCTAAGGACCGGACCTGGTTGGCTGCGGCTGAAATTCCCATTACCGGCCGTGCATATTCTTGGCGTTGTGCTTGTTACAGAGCACGAAAGACAATTTCTTCAATTCTTGGTCGATTGCTGGAAAAGAAGACAGAAAGGGGAAGCCGGAGCTGGAGCTGAAGGGCTATTACCCGGCCTGTGACATGAAGTATGAGTACATGGATGAAATGGATGGCATGGATGACTTAGATGAAGAGGGGCTTCGGCAAGCGGTTGAAGCCGATGATTTCCAGGCAAGCCAGGGCAGAGCCGCCGTCCATTCCGCTCCTGCCAGTGCTGGAGAATACTACGGTCACGTGGAGACGCCTCAAGCTCTGGTCCATCATCATTATCCTGGCAGTAGCGACGGGGGCGCCTGGCGTTGGCACAGGCGCAGTTCTCAGCGCCTGGTCGCTACTGACCTAGACCCAGACCCAGACCCAGCGATAATACCTTTTACGCAATTCGCGTCGCCTCTGGCAGTTCGTGCTCACATCCACCCTCACTCTTATTCTCACCCGCACTCTCAGCCGCTCACTCATTCTCCTAATACACAACATCCTTATCCCTACCAACAGCGACATTTAACTTCTCCACATCAATTGCACTCTCAATCGCACCTCTCCCACCATTCCGCCTCAGCCGATGGCACGTTCGGCACAATGGAGCAGATAGAGACACAGGCAAGCGACCTGCGATTTCTTGCCCAAGTGCCCGTCTTGAATCCAGCCTCAAGTCCGTCTCTCGGCCCCGGCTCCGGCGCTGGGCGAGGCGGAACACCCGGCCGTACCCCCGGAACCGCCATAGGAGCGTCTGCGGGTGCTTCTATTGCTTACGAGAATCAACCCAGCCCAAGTTCCGCCTCTGTCGGCGACAATTCCGCTCACGGTGCGAGTGCCAACAAGAGGAAATCAACGGACGACGGACCAGGCAGCGCAGGAAAGCAAACAAGAAGCAAAAGGAATAGAGTAAGTCCTGACCATTTCGTTACGTCTACCACCAGGTTCCAGCCCATTGTGATATCACAGAGATGAGATAAGATGAGACAAACATGAGATAATGCGTTGCATCTTTGAAAGGCAGTCGAGGACCAGAGACGGACAAAGAGGGGTTCACTCAACAGAGAGCAACACAAGACTGGACGATACTCGCCTATCGAGTCGTTTCAAGTTGTTTCATCGTCGAACATCTTGGCTTCCTTGTCGCACCACATGAACGAACCCAAGGGGACGGGTCGGCAGCGCATCTCTCACTCGTCTTGACTCGATTTGTTCCCACTCACTTACTCAGCCATTGGACACATCACTCCTTTAATCATACATACTCTGGAAGATTATGCCGGCTAACATGAGATTCTTCTTGATCATAGTATATATCAATTGCTTGGTCAGTATCCTTCCGCAGTTGCAAACGTTAGTCATCGCCATTGGCGTGTAACACTGCATCGCATTGTCTCTTGGCCCCTAACCAACGTATCCATACTAACAGTCTATAGCAATGAGTGTAAGAGGCGCAAGATAAAATGCAACGGCGAAACTCCATGTCAACGATGTGGGAACCTTAATCTGGCTTGCCTCTATGCGCCCAACTGCTGTTCTGGAAACTTCAAAGAATCGGACGAGTTTAAGCAAGTTACATCTCAACTTGGTCGCCTCCAAGATGAAGTCGGCTGGTTGCATCAAACCGTCAAGGCTTTGCAGTCTGAAGCTCCTCGCTTCCCTTCACTTGGTGACCGAACACACACCCACAGCCACGGCACTCCGGCGATTGCCCCCTCGCCTTCTCACAGCTCTGCGTCACTCAACCGTCATGACAATTCAAAGTATGGCTCCTTCAGGGGCCCAACAAGCATGGCTTTTAGCCTGGATGTTGCCAACAACACCATCAACAACATGGGTTACAAGGGCATATCCGACGACGAAAACCCACACTTGAATGAAGGAATAGGCATGCTATCGTCACGTCCAGGAGATCCTCTTCACGAATTCGACAAAGACGAGATGATTCGCCTTTGCCGTCTGCATGAGGAAGAAATTGGCATTATGTATCCGGTGCTCAACATCCAAAGTGTTATATCCCATGCGATGGGCTTGGCAACTTTCCTCGAATCCATACGACAACAGAACCCCAGAGAACTGATAAACGACGACAAAACTCTTCAACTCAAGATCATCATGTGCTGTGCGTTAGTTGTGGAAGAACATGGACATAGTGACAAGGCGATCCGTTTGTTCGAGAGTATGGAAACAGTGCTTAACCGAAAGCTTATGGCCGAGGCAGCGGATGTTGCAACACTACCCATACTGGCCCTTGTCGCCGGTTATCGATTCCTCTCGAACGATGAAGTTCTAGCATGGCGAGTCATGGGTCATGTCGCAAGGCTATGTTTGGAGCTTGGTATTCACCAGCGAACAGGTCTGATGAGAATCCAGGACGAGGAAGAGCGCAAGAATGCTCTTGTCAGCTTTTGGTCGGCATATGTCCTTGATCGGCGATGGGCCTTTGCAACTGGACTGCCTTTCGTAGTTCAAGATGAGGAGATTGATATGCAACTCCCTTTCCCGGTTCGTACCGCATCAGCGCCTCTCACCACCCGGATAGCTAACAAGATTGCAGGATGAGTACCCATATCTTGTTGCCATGATTACCTATTCTCGGATAGGTGCGAAAGTGTGGCGACAGGTAGCTCACTTTGGACCAGTGCTTGCACGCGATTTGCGGTCAGAGGAGTTGGAGAATGTCGACCAAGAATTGCTACAGTGGTATGAGCAAATTCCCGAAGAAGTCAAGGTTCGCAATTGGGATAAAGAGAAGCATATAACGTCGACCCCTTCTTACAATCTCCAACGGCTACGAATATGGACATATCTACGACTAAATCAAGTAAGTATAAACAGCATAGCCCAGCAGACTCGGTATCTGAACTAACAATTTTTAGATGCGAATATGGCTTTACACGCCCGTGCTGCATAGTGCTACGAGCATCATGGCTCATCCTGCACAATCAGAACGTGTTGTTGATATTGCAAAGGATACTATCCGATATCTCAGCCACTTGAATAACACAACCAACTTATACAGAAGAGTGCAGGTGTTTTACCACCAATTTCTTACATCTGCAATCGCTGTTGTCTTCCTCGCCTCAGTCCACGCCCCTGTTCGATTCAGCTCTACTTGCCGCGAAGAGTTCTATATGGCTCTTGAGCTGGTCAAAGACCTATCTGCCAAGAGCTGGGCGTCGCAGCGACTGTGGCGAACAATTCGATCACTCAAAAACGTAGCGCCGCGCTTCGGGTTGAATTCCGAGGATGATCCCCAATCGACAGCAGCTTTAGGAATGATAGGACTTGCACGAGGTAATATGGATCAACAAACGCCATTCCGCAAGCCCTCAGTACCGGGTCAACAATCACAAACAGCGACACCGGACTCTATAGCTCAAAATGGATCCAGGATTCAAGCGGAAATGTCACGCATGTTCGAGGGCTATGTAGGATTGAATGGCTTCCAATACAATGAGCACGACGGACAGCAAGGGCAGCAAGGACAACAGGGACAACAAGGACAAGGGTCAAATACTGAGGTATCTGAATCTTCTAGCAATATGTTTGGGGTCGACGGGACTGTCTTCGCTCAGTTCAAGGAGATGTATTAACAATATCGTGTAAGAAATTTGGAAGGACGATTGGTTTCTAGACATGATATCCCCTTTTGTATATTTATTTGGTCTATCAATGACTGTCATGTTCTTGGTCGGTTTGGGATACTAAAAGTTTGCTGGTAATAAACTAACTGGGATTAATGGATTCCTTTCATTTTTCTCCATTTTTGCGCTCGGCAAGGGACAATAAGTAGCTTGAACCTGGGTAGATGCCCTGTGCGAACCCTTGAATGGATCTAACAGGACGAGGGATTATGAATTGGAAATGATGAAGACCAAGAACTCACCCTCGTTATGTCATGATTCCGGGTAAGCAGATGATGGCTTAGGTAATTCGCTCAAGCGACAGCACGACATTTGTCCATTTGAAGCATCCTACCCAGAAGATATTGACACCAAGTTCTAGCACCTTCAAGTTACAATAGCATCAACCACACGAACATCACATCTTCATCATGCTCTCCACGTCAACAATCCCCTTTCTGATCCACGCCCTCATTGAAACACCTGCCGCCTTCACATTCATCTTTCGGCCTTCCTCGCAACTTCAACCGCTTCCTCCATCTGCAGCCTTGATTCTGCAGTCTTTTGGCGGTCTTCTTCTCACGAGCAACCTCATCGCTCTGATCTTGATTCGTCGACCATTTGACGATGTCGCTCGCCAGGCTTCACTCGCTTTCTCCTTTTGGCACCTCTGGCCGTGCTACCGTGCTTACATGCGTATGAATGGGTATACTAAGGAGGAAGAGGCGTCGACGACGAAAACGCTGGGAGGACCCGTGGTGCATCTGGGAGTTCACGTCGTGCTGCTGACTATGTTTCTTGGTACCTGGTATTTTGGCAGTGCTTAAGCAACAGTCTATATATCTACAATTAAAACTTTTATGGTATTCCCTTTTAGTTTCTAAACAGCCTGAGTCCCGCCTCCTCGACATCAACATCCATCTCGTCATCGCTCTCGTTCTCGTTCAGATGCATCTTGCGACCGAACAGCGTACCGAAGAAGCGGTCGATAGCACCCTGCTCCCACGCGCGTCGGTCCTCGGGAGCCATGAAATTCTGCAGCTTCTCGTGAACTGTGAAGCGCATCTTACGGCCCTTGCTGGCCTTGCGATCCACGTTCTTGCGGTTCTTGTTGTCCTTGGCTGCTGTGAGTACCACTGTGGGCACCGCACCGCCAGTACCGGCTCCCGATGAGCCCTCGACCGTGCGCTGGTCGACAAGCTCCTTGAGGAGGAGCTGATAGAAGTCGGCGTCATCGTAAATGTCACCATCCTCTGCCACGCCCTTGGCAGCCTGTGCGGGGGCGCATGAGCGAGGGATGCGGGAGCGTTTGGCGAGTCGGTTGTCAGGGTCAATGAGCTGCTCCTTGAGTGCGTTGATGAGTGTCTTGTTGCGCGACTCGAGACCCTTTGGTGCTGTGACGTTGACGGATTGCACCTTGCGAGACCACTTTTCCAGACGATCCTCTCGAGATTTAATGGCTCGCTGCTCCTCCGCCTTCATCTCTTCCCAGATCTCGTTCGTAGTCATAGACACATCCAACTCACGCTTGCGCTTGTCGCCGGCACGGGATGGACCAAAGTTGTTCTTAAGGCTGCTGATAGTGTTGAGGAGCTTGATGGCAGCCTCTTCCGCGGCCTCGTAGGGCTCCGATTCGGGCTCAGGGTCGGTATCGATGGTATCGAAAGAGTTGGCAGCGATGAGAGCCTTCTGCAATCGAATTCGGATATTGAGGAGTCCATCGTAGGCCTTTCGTTGCTGGCGAATAGCCAGGCCCTTGTCGACATCGGGTCGGGTTTGGAGAGCTGCCATCATGGGCTTTGCGCTCTGAGCCTTTGTCTTTGAGTCCTCATCATCGCTATCGCTCTCATCCTCGTCATCGTCATCTTCACCAGAGCCTTCTTCGTCGTCGTTCTCATCCGACTCGTCGTCAGAATCTCCTTCGCCGTCGACAAGAGCGTCGAGGCCATCGTCCATCTCGTCGCCTTCCGAATCGGAGCCCTCAAGCTCTGCATCATCTATTTCATCCTCATCCTCGTCGACTCCAGCGCCTCCTTCGTCAGAAGATGACATATAATCCGCAGCAGTAGCCCTCTTGACAGAAGGCTTCTTAGGCTTGGAGCTTCCTCGGAAAGTAAAATCCTTCATGCGCTCTTCGTCGCTCTCGCACAAGGCATCATCGCTGTCAATTTCCGAGTCGCTGGCCTCAGCCTCATCGCGCTGTAGGTCTGCGGTCTCCGGGTCGTCGAATTCTTCATCGCCCGATTCCTCATCTTCTTCTTCGTCAGATGCGCTCTCTTCGCCAAGCGCATCTCGCGAGACGCGTGAGCCTCGGTACTCTGGACCAAGAGCGAGACCCTCTTGCTTCCTCAACTTGCCCTTGCCAACAGAGACATAGTGTTCGGTTCCCGCGTTCTCATCCTCGCTCTCTTCGCTTCCGCTGCCGTGTTCGCTCACATCGACGTCGGCCTCGGGATCGTAGTCTAGAAGATAATTAGATGCTGTTATTTGATTGAAGTAAGCTGAACATACCATTGACTACGGGTTCGTCCAAGTCCAGGAACTGCTTCGCGCGACCCTTTGCTTTGGCCATTTTGAATGTTTTGTTTGACTTTTGTCGAGTCTCACTAACAACAGCGGCCCCCCACGTAGGAAATTTCTGAGGACGGTCTTTAACTTTTAGGCGGTGACGAATGGCAGAATCGTTGCAGCTCACTGTTAGTGGACGGTGCCCTGTAAAGCCTGCTAGCTCAAGAGATCAGAGAGTGTGCATGAGTTCCATGACACCTTATTCGGTCAGTCCTCATGTACTCTTGACATAGACAATTCAATATGCTTCTTGTTTAGACGTTGTTAAATCCTGATTCTCATATCTGATAGCCCGGGGGTTTGAACCCATATCTATTGTTTTCCAAGCCTCACTTCCAATATGCGTCCCACACCCGCTCGGCTCTTTCAGAGCTTTCGAGCCCTTCAGCATGAGAACCCTTTGGTGTGTTAATTTTATATGTGTCATATCATACCATTGATATCTGACTAAATCAAACAGGGCCTTCCTCGGTCTGGTACTCCGCCAACATGGGGTAAACGCCCTGTACGCCGTAAGATCACGGGCGTTGAGAAGGTTATTGCCGTATCATCCGCCAAAGGAGGCGTAGGCAAGAGCACAGTTGCAGGTACTCAATGGCTTCGTATCTGCGGGCTAAGTTCTTTGCTAATAGATATAAACAGCCAATCTGTCTTTGGCCTTCGCTCGTCTTGGCTTCCGTACAGGCATCTTGGACACTGATATCTTTGGTCCATCTATTCCAACTTTGTTTGATCTCTCAGGAGAACCGAGGTTATCAAACAGTCAGTCACTACAATGCATGGGATGTGACTTGAAACTGACATTTCAAAGACAGTCAACTGATCCCGCTTACAAATTATGGAGTCAAGACTATGTCTATGGGCTACCTGGTCGGCGAGAACGCACCTGTCGTATGGCGAGGTCCCATGGTGATGAAAGCTATTCAACAGCTTCTTCACGAGGTGGAGTGGGGTGGCGTTGATGTTCTCGTCCTCGATCTGCCCCCAGGTACAGGAGATACGCAGTTGACTATCACACAACAAGTCGTCCTAGATGGTGCGTGTCCACAACATCTACAGCCTTTGCTTCTACTAACACTCAACAGGCTCGGTCATTATTACAACACCCCATACCCTAGCAACCAAGGATGCCATCAAAGGTATCAATATGTTTAAAACTGTTGACGTCAACATCCTCGGCGTAGTACAGAACATGTCACTTTTTCAATGTCCTCACTGTCATGGAGAAACCAATATCTTTGGTTCGAATGCGAGAGTGGAGAAACTTTGCCAAGAGCATCAGATCAACTTCTTGGGCGATATTCCCCTGCATCCCAGCATTGGAGACGATGGTGAAAGGGGAAAGCCCACAGTGGTAGCGGAACCTACGAGCGAAAGGGCAAATGCCTTCCTCAAGATAGCACAGGATATATGTCCCAAGATCGGTCTGGATAGCAAGTGATCGCGAAGTACCAATTCTTCCGGTCTGTTGGGATCGTGCAGAACAGCTTGCACAGAAACGAATCCTGTCAGCTCAACTTAGTAAAACACTCATAAACGAGGGAAAGAGATTATGTGCTCATGTAATGCAAATTATTTGATTGACCTCGACTCGCCTGTCGAGACTGTATCGCTCCTACATACTTCGATCTGGAAAAAGAATAACTGGAATAAACGCCAGAAAGGTAAGTCGTTAGCCTATCCCCTGATCGAATGCAAGGCATGTTACCAAACAAAGCGAAAGCTCTTGAGACCTCCAAAAACGCCGCTGCATGCCCTTTACGTACCGAACCGAGCGCCCTGTCAAGAGAAAATGTTGATTAGTCTAGCTCATCGTTCATTTGATAGACATGACGGCTTCGAGTGGGATCTTTTCGCATAGCTTGGCCAGAGCCCGTAAAGCCAACTGAAAACGTGTTAGATTTGTCTTTCAAAAAGTGGATTAAATGCCTTTCTCACCTCTACCGTGAACACCATCGGGAGTGCGGAACATGCTATCCTTCTTCTTTGAAGAAGTAGCCTTTCCGAGCTTGGACTTTGCACTGAACTCTTGCCACTTATTCTTGTTGTTCTCGAGCTCCTTCTTAGCCTTGATCTTCTTCGGCTTGGGAGGCTTAACTTCGCCGTCTTGTGCGGCTTCCTTCTTTGCCTCAGGGTATACCGTCGCGCCTGCGGAGGTTACCAGTCCAGGAACAGGAGGTGTCGCCGGTGCAGAAGTGGCCGTTGTTCCGTCCGCTTTCCGCTTGTTCGAAACTGGTCGGATATCGCGAGATCTCAGGGTTTCTGTGTTGTCGTAGGTCTTGAACTTGACAGTATAGATTGGGTCTGTTGAAGATCCGGTAATGGAGGTGATGCGCCCTTGGTAAAACCCCTTGTCGCCCGATAGCCACTTGGCTAGAACGGTATCGTTGACCTGGTAGTTCGCGGGAGCCTGTTCCTTCTCCTCGACCGGAGCTGCTTTCTTAAAGGCGGGGTGGTTCTCGCGAGACCACTTCTCGGGCTCGGGTGGCGGCGATAGTTGCTTGGGGGCGGCTTTGGGCGCCTGGGCAGGCTTGAGCTCAGCAATCTGTTCATTGAGAAGTTCGATGAAGCTGTTCAACTCTTCCTTTAGGGTTTTGAGTTCGACATTTTCGGGATCGTCGCGTAGCTGGCCGAGAACAATATCGAACTGGAGAGAAACTGGTCAGTATGTTTTGACGTTTGGAATAGCAGGTTGGTAGATGTCGCACTTGTTCTTGATAGGCCTTCTTTTCGATTTCGATATCAGCGACGGACGACATGGCTAAGAACTGTATGCGCTCGGCGGAAGGGTAGATAGATGGATAATCACCGAAGTTGAGAACTATGACAATATGTTCAAACTGGTTGGTTGGTTCGTCGATGCTGTACGGAACAGGATTGAAGATTACAATCGAAGGTCACGTGTACTGTTTGGAAAGAGTACCTAGGTAGACACCCCCAACATATCAAGTGCCCGATGGCAAGAAAATGTATTATTGATGATTAAACCTTTATTCTCTTAGAATGATCCTATGTTCTTTCTTTGTTCTCTTCTCTATCAGCACCGTAGTCATTATATACAGTGATTGGCTCTGCTCCGTGGCGTGATCCCTATACCTTGGAGAGACGTTCAGAATCGTGAAAGTGTGAAGATTGTGACAAGATCGGGACGACATTCTATGGATCAAAAGCTATGTACTTACAAAAATATTAACAGTTTCCTGTTTTCCTACCTTGATCCAGGACTTTACAATCTGCATCTACCTGATTTTGACAATGCCATCCAGGTTTACAAAAAAGAGTAGAAAACATCATTTACTGGATATGTCTTGATCCTGTACAGGAACAATCGCGAGTGAAACCGGGCGACTTAATATTTCTCTTATTGACTGATTGTCGTACCAGTGTTAATAGAGCTGACACGCGGCAATAAGGCACATGTTCCAGAGGTTAGGTTGAATTGAATTGAATCACTTACGATTGCCGTCTTACATCGCACATAGACTCGTGCGCCGCTTATGAAAGTCGGCCCGGAGCCATTCAAGTTCTCTGCAAGCCCCGGCGAACGGTTGATGGTTAATAAAATGCAACATGTATTGCAGGTGACGCATTCGCGACACTTGTTGTACTCTTCGATCCAAAACAGACCCCAGCTAATTACTCAGCTCAGCCCAGCTCAGCTTGAACCAATGTCTCGTAATTGGGACTCGTTTTGTGATAAGTTACACGGTCAAACCGAGGCTTCGTAATTGGTCTCGGTTTACCCAAAGAGGGATATTATCTATAAAGTTCCGATTGCGGCTCCGTCTCCATCTCCATCTCCATCTCCAGCTGCGTTTGAGTTTGAGTTTGAGTTGAAGTTGCAGTCCCTCGTGTTCTTTTTAATGATTCTGATTCTGTTGAACAACTCAACTCCATGGTTGACCTGATACTCTCCCCCAACCAGTCAAGTCCAACACTAGCCAACGTTAATCACTAATCACCGTCATTCACTGCATGGTCAAAGTAATTCTTTCGTTCACTCACTAGCTCCAACTCATTTTCATGTTATGTTACCTTATTGTGACTCTACAGACTGTACTCACCAAGACTCAAGGCAGAGAGGCACGTACAGCATGCAGAGTCATCACCAACAAGTCATATCTTATTAATTAGGAAGCCTTTCCCCTCCTCATCACAAATCTTCTATGTCCCTTACTTTATCTCTATCTTCAAGACACTATCCCTACTTCAAGGCTCAAGCTAGTCCTGGCACCGTGTCTTGGCAACACTAGCTTCAATCTCCCCCGTTAGACTCAGTTCAATTCGCTTCCATTTGACTTGACTTGATTTGTTTGTTTGTTTGGTCGATTCGTCTGGGGCCTTCCATGGGCTAGTTCTGGTCTGGAATTACTCACTCGCCTAAGGATAGCCCTTGAGGTCCAGTCCCTTAGACTACGACTACCTGACTCTAAACGACCTGACGTCAAAAAAAAAGTTGCTTCTCCTTCTTCGTGCAAACGCTTTTCCTCTCTCCTAATTTTCTCCTCTCCTCTTCTCTCTGTCTATCGCATCGCATCGCATCCCCAGATTTTCTAGAGGCGATCGTCGGTTTATCTCCGCCCCTCCACCCTCACCGATTCTTCTCTCGGCCGATCCATTGACATCACTGCAAGGAGAGCCCTATAAATCCGACTCAAAAGGAAGCTCCATAATCGGCCACGGGAACGGAACTACTGGCATTCGCGACCCGACGACAACAATCTTAATGCGACACAATTCTAATTAATTTCTTACAACATTTCTTAATCTCGATCACGTAACTACTTGTTTGCGATTCACCAGGTTCTTATGATAATAACAACTGCTCGAGTCACCAGAATCTGATCAGTCAGGAGGAATACCACGGCACAATCGCGAAATTAACAAAGGGAAGAAAAAGGGCGTCGCTAAAGCCTCCAATTCATCCTCCCTTGGAACTGGCCAGACCAATTCATCACCAAGATAAACTGCGCGCAATCTTTCCTTGTGCCCTACCTTGTGTATTATACCTCCATCTTCCATAACCATGCCTCACACCCGAGATGCGGACAGCGCATCGTCCGTGAGCGGCCAATCAAAACGACCTCCGCTCAACCATCAGGAGAGCGATACCCAGAGCGAGAGCAGCGGTGCTCAGCACCAACACCACCAACAACATCGCCGGCCCCATCGGCATCACCAGCGACAACACACTGTAGGCCATCTGCATCACGCCCGCGGTCCCGCCTCCAAAGTTGCTCCCAAGCAGCCGAAACTCAGTCGTCGCCATACCGATACCCCCGATCAGATCGAACAGCAGCAACTGCTTCAACGAAACAACTCAGGGTCCAATTCCCACCGACGAGCTGCCAGCGACGCAAAACTATCCTCTCGCGACTCTTCCTCCGGCAATCTTCCAAAAAGTGTCTCCTTGACCAAGAATTCTCCGCAAGCCAAACTCAATAAGAGCGTTTCTCATACAAAACTCGTCAAAAGCCCCTCACATACAAAGATCGTCAAGAGCCCGTCTCACTCCAAACTAAAGCGCAATCAATCACATACAGAGGTTGGTAAGCGCACGCGATCTGCTGAGCTTAAGCGCGCCTCCAGTACTACCATCGTCTTTCAACCTCAACCCTCGGCCGGCAAGTCGCAGGTCCACTTTGATTTGGGCAACGAGGAGGACGAATGGGTTGATGCTAGTGGCTCTAACTCGCCATATCTGTCCCGCAAGGGCTCTCTCAACAGCAGCAACCACTCTGTCCATCATCCCGACGACCGCCCTGGTGGTTCAAGACCGGTGACCCCCAGCGATACTGCTGCTCCAAAGCAGGTAGAGCAAGAACAGGAAGAACCAGAGCAGCGAAGCTCGACAAGCCCGGAAGAAGAGACAACGCATCGCAAGGAGTATCTGACGTCGCGCATACTAAAGCGCACCCCTTCTCACGGAGCTCCGCCCCAGATGAGCGCAGACTTGGCACAGATCTCCCCTCGGCGCTTTACTCCAGCTTCTGTTGAAGCCCTTGGATCGGGGACTCTTGCGGGAAGTGCCCAGGATGAATTGACATCTCGGTTTGTTGAGGCCGTTGGTTCCGGATTGACTAGTGAGGGATCCTTTTACCGACCACCTCGAGGAGATCATCACCGTTTCGATCATACTCCCAAGAACCGCTCAGTAACCAGTTTTTCCGGAGATCGCGAAGAGCGCCGGGAAGCACCAACTAGTGCGCCAAAGCAAGAGGTTGATGAGAGCGCGTTAGCCCCCAAGACGGCCCGGCAGACAGCTCCGCCTCCTGCTCAAACATCACGGACGCAGCAGAAGTTGAACTTGCAGCGAGCCAGCTCTGTCATCGAACCTGGGCAAGCTGTTGGCGGCGTTGGTGGTGTAGTCGGCCACACTCCGCTCATCGGCGTTGGCGGTCCCGGTTACGATGGAGGTAACAGTCGGGATCCGCGTGTCAGCAAGCTCTTGGAGCGTACAGGCATGGAGTATCTCGTCGTACGACGGCACCAGAACCCGGTAGCCCGTTCCGTTGAACGCCTCAACCACCTCCCCGGAGTAGAGAAGTCATTGCGCATTCCGCGCTATAACACCGTGTCTGCAAACGGCAAGCGATCCATGGATCTCACTATGCGCCAGCACACTCGCAACGTCAGCATGCCCGATGCTCGACGGCCCCCTACACCCAAGCGCCCCACCTCCGTGCGGACCAACGGTGCGGCATCAAGTTACGAGGGCAACGACGACGACGGAAGATTGACAGACCGACTGAGCGGATCGAGCCTTGTCGGTGGTGAAGAGGAAGATGGCACGACAGCCCTGCTCCGGAACCTGTGGGAGAAGTCGATGGAACTGAGTGCCAGCACCGATTAAAAAGGTGTGTATACGTTTGTAAATTTAGGGATAGGGGCGTCATGGTGCATCAATGGGATAGGCAAGTGCTCAATAGGCACGTAGGTATAGAACGGGATGAATATCAGGAGGTATCACTTTTAGATATCATCAAATGTAATTGCAGTTTCACTATGTAAACATTGAGAAAAGCTACTGATCATATAATTGAAATGAGAATGGGGTGTGTTAGTTTCATAAGTGACGTGCACATCTATATAGCTTTTCACGGCTCTACGTAGCACCCCTCGTATATTCTAAGATAATAAGGTTTCATACCCATACGCCGCTCAATGCTGTGCTCCCGAAATTCTGGTTCAAAACAAGATCTTGATAATTATACATTGGGTGAAAGTTGATCGTATTTGACGCATCGCTCGACCTGGTTGGTGTCAGTATATGCACGGAAACATTAGTCTGCACATGTGTGTACTTACATCTTCGATGCTGACCTGCATAAATCGCCTGGCTTCCAATCCTAGCCAGACCACCAACATGGAGAAGTCTCCGTGCTTGGCCATGTCGGTACCGCTCTGAGCACTGAGCTGGCGTAGAATTGGCAGCGAGCTGCTGAGTAGATCGACGTCGGGATTCAAGCTACGGCCGATACCCTCGAGGAGAAGAATGCTGATGACGACGTTGACGAAATCGCCCTCAAGACGAACATGGTGGTTTCGAACCATGCTGAGCACCTGTTGCAAGATGTCGCCGATCTTCACGTTACCCAGGGCCAGAGTACGGCTCTTGACGCCGATGACAAGATGCTGCATTTTGAGGGCAAATACCTCTTTATCAAGCACAGCGTCTGGTTGACGGCAGCGCTCGCACATAAGATGGCCAGCCTTGTAGCCGTCGAACTCGGCGACAGCTCGGAAGAGGGCAAGGAAATTATCTCGGTTCACGGCATTAAGTTCTGTTACCAGTCCTGTGTCGATAAAAATGAGCTGGGGTCTGAAACCCTCAGCATCAATCTTCGCCAGCTCTGCCTCCCATGCCTTTGGGTCTTTGCGGTGACGATATGGCCGGAGTCTTTCAAGCACTTGCTCGGTCACATCTTCTTTCTCATCAGGGTGAGCCTTGGTCATACTCTTTCGCAGACGTAAATCCGGGTGGGCAGACTGGTAGAACCGCACCATGATGTTTCCGGGATGGAGATCGGCGTGGATGAAGTTATCGAGGAGCAGCATGCGAAGGAAAGCGTCTAGGCCCTCATCGGCAATATCATGTTGGAACACGCCACCTCCATTCTCCATGAAATCCGCCAGCGGTATTCCCTGAGCATACTCCTCTATCAGAACGTTACGCGACGTGTATTCTGTGTATGGATATGGGAACCAAGCTGTGGACCGATCCTTGAAGTTCTTTCGGAATGTTGCCAGGTTCGCAGCCTCAATACGAAGATCAAGCTGGAGCTTCATCATCTCTCCAAACTGTGTAACCTCGTCCGGCAGAGAGAGCCACTCAATGGTGGGGATTAAATTGAGGAGGGAAGCAAAGAAGCCCATGATGCGAAGATCTCTCCGGACAGTTCTTTCCACGTGCGGATGTAGCACTTTGACAGCCACATAAGTTGAAGGTACTCTTTGTGGTGAGCTCTTCAGTACTGTGTCAACGTTACGCTTCACGTTTCGCGCCAGAGGGTAAGAGTCTTGGAGCTCAGAATCTTCTGGCTTGGCTAGGCCAGGCTTCAACTTGGCCTTGTAGACCTGAGCAATAGCGCCAACACCCAGAGGCTGCTCCTGAAACTCGTCGAAGATATCCTCGAAGCGACGGCCACCGAATGCAGCCTCAACAGTCACACGTGTGGCATGGAGGGAATGCGCAGGAGCATTTGAATGGAGTTTCGACATGATCTCGCACATTTCGGTTGGGAAGATGTCGGTTCGCGAAGCAGCCCATTGCCCAAGTTTAATGAAGGCTGGGCCAGCCAATTCCATCTCGTTGACCAAGAAGCCATACCACCATAGTGTCCCGGATCGTTCATTGTCTCGTGAAGGTTGTCGGTTTCCGAAGTAGATGACGGGGATGGTAATGATAACAGGAACGAAGATGACGACAAGTTGGAGGAAGCGAACACCAGTGCAGACAGGTTCAATGATTAACAGGTCGATCAAGTACTTGATGCGCTCTCCCAATCGTGCGAGACCGTGGGAATCAGCTGAGACGCCCTTTCTCACCTCGGCTCGCGATACCTCGAGCATGCGCTTCTCTCCTGTTTCTTGATCACTGCCATTCTCCTGTTGCGACAGCTCAACAAATGCAGCTGTTCCTAGGGCCGCAGCGCCAGCGGACGCACGCAGAGCTATTCTTTTCGAAGTACCCGTTGACCATTTTGTGAAACGAGGAGTGCGTGAAACTTGCGAGGCGAATCGACGGGTGAGGATGGTGATGTTGGACCTGGCATGGGCATTGACGTTGGGATATGTTCGGAAGCCCGGATGGACGCAGAGCCGACTTATGGAGAAGCCAGGTCTCATCTCGGCAAAGGCAGGGTATTATTAACGGATTGTCTAGACGCGAACAATCTCATGGTAGAGCAAAGCTGAATGGTGATTGCATTTGAGAGGTGGATGAAGTATAAAAAGAGACGGGACCTTTTGCATGTGCAAGCGCTGCATTTACTCCGTAGTTAATGATGCAAAGACTCGATTGCGTACAAGGATGCCCGCCATCAGCCATCCCTGGGAACGGGCTAAACGCTAACAGTCAAGTTAGTGACGTCGAGCTCTCTACTGGAGTGACGTGCAATGCACGTAGATTTTGCTGCGGGAATAACTCGGGAAGAAAAAGAAGTACGGATATTGCTATTACATGTTGACCAAAATTAATGCAGCTCATGATCATTGTGCTGAGAGTTTGATATACAGGACTTGATAAAATCGTAATTTAATTACCATGTTAGCTAGAATGTGTCTTTGTCTTTCATATCCTGTCGCTGCTGAACCTTTCCTTCTCATAGAGTGGTGGAATTCTTGTTTTTCTCTCCCGAAGCCAGGAACCTTTTGATGCGGTTTTCCCCGGTGTCGCCGCTTTGCGCCTGGGCAATACCAAATTTTTGATAGGCGCAATAACGCAACCACTTATCGAGGAATTTCTACAGGGAACCCACCCATTCATTTGCCCATCCTCCAAATTTCTGTTCTTGTCATCATCGCCAAACCTCACTTTCGATTCTTCCAACCCTCGGGTTTTCAACACTGATCCGGTCGATCTTTACTGCGCCCGTCCATTAACACCTCGGTTTTAATCTTCAATCATTCACAATGGGTTGGTTTTGGGCCGATGCATCTCCCGCTATTGCGGTTCCTGTTGGACACCCAGCGACTACCGACAAGGCCCCTCCAGTATGATGATATATTCTCGACCGCATTTTCTCCGTCGCTAACTGTCTCTTAGCCAGGCTGCCCTATGCATCAAAAGTCAGCGGATGCACTTAACCCTGCTGTCAAGCCTACGAAACCCGTACATCCTCCTTCCACCACAGGATGTCCTGTTCCTCACGACGCCCGAACCAAGGAGGAGCCCAAGTCTCTGATCTCTCAGCTCAACCCGCTTAACTACATGTTCCCAGATCTATCTCAGAAGCCTGCGCCTAACCAGGAATTCGCCCTCCCGACCACCCGTGATGAATCCACCATTCCCAAGGGCTCTGGAGACGGCAAGTGGGAGTACCCCTCTCCCCAGCAAATGTACAACGCGCTCCTGCGCAAGGGATACACCGATACCGATATTACTGCCGTCGAGGGTATGGTTTCGGTACACAACTTCTTGAATGAGGGCGCTTGGCAGGAAATTCTAGGGTGGGAGCAGCGCTTTGCGCGCGGCCTCTACAAAGGATGGCAGATCTGCAAGAGAGGCGAAGGACACTCCGAGGAGGAGCTTGTCCGACATTGGGATGGTGTTGACACAGAGCCCAGCCTTGTCCGCTTCCAGGGTCGGCCCAAGGAGTTGACTCCTAAGGCCCATATGATGCAGGTTCTGGGCTGGATTTACCCCTCCAAGTTTGGGTAAGTAGTCATCCTTGAGAATGCACAAGGTTTCATGTCTAACAATCGTCAAGTACCGAACCACCATTCGACCGACACGACTGGTACGTTGCACGAGAAATCAACGGCCAGAGGAAGGAGATCCGATATGTTATTGATTACTACTCTGGCGAGCCTGATGCCCACGGCGAGCCAGTCTTCTTCCTTGATGTGCGTCCTGCCGCTACTCCTTTGGGTGCGGCTGAGCGTATTATTCGCTGGAGCACAGATACCTGGTGGAAGGCTATTGGAGGCGATAAGCATGAGCAGGGCCCTCAGCCTTGGTTCCGAGGCTCTTCTTGAAATCATTTCTTTGGCGGTTTGGTCACGACGGATGCAGGTGTTTTCTTAAAAGATCGAATGGCGTATTTCATTCCCCTCTCTAATTGGTATGATTGGATGTATTTCTATAATGATAGCTGACTGGAAGTCACTTGTACGAGCACGACGGCGAAAAGAAACTTAGGGTAGTTTTTGTACAGCACAAGATGTATTCATACTCAGTTCAAGTTGGTAGCCAACTGGTTTACTTGGTCGAGAAGAGCCTGATCCTCCCCAGCTGCATTCTTCAGCACTTTTCCTAGCTGGTGCTCCACAGTCTGGCCAGGGACATCGGACACGGCACCCTGTGCCTGTTGAACGCGTGCAATCTGGAACTGCAAGAAGAACTTGGGGACCTTGATGGCAAGGTTTCCGCCGGTAGATCGGATACCCGCCTCAGTTGCGAGGTAAACGTTCAGCTCGTTCTGAAGCAACTCGACGTTGTTGTTCGCCAAGGGCGTCGTGGTTGCAAACTTGTCGAGGGCGAAGGCCAGAGGTGACTGGCCCGACGTGGCAAAGTTGATGGAGGAGAAGGTCACGCCACCAGAGCTAACGTCAGGGACGCCATCGATGGTTGTTTGGGAGTTGTCACAGGTGACGGCGGAGGCCAAACTCGTGGCCTGGGAAGAGACCTCTTCAGGGAGAGCTTCTGAGCCAGTAATGAAGCAGGGGTTTTGTCTCTTGTGCAAATGAGGCGCTACAAGAACGAGTTAGTTTCATTGCGAATAATTGGTGTTTATGGGCAGAGGTTTGTACCTGCGAGAGCGGTTCCAGCCAAGGTGATAAGAATGGGAATGATAGGAAAATGCATTTTGAATGATTGATGGGTGATTAGTGGCAACGAATGATAGACAATGATTATATACTGAAAAGAATCCTCCAGGGACTGAACGAAATGAAGAGATATGGACAAGTGATGAGATAGATGGCTACTGAATTTCAATAATGAGACGGGATCTGTATCCCTCTTATACACATGTTGGGACTATATGTGACCATTGTTAAGCAATTCTAACGTGGGTACCTCCGTATGAAGTTTTGAATTGTTTGTGATACTGACCCTCGGTCGAACCATACCAGCATCTCTAATATCGTAGTATGTTCAACAAGACCTGTATTATGCATGACCTTTGCTAGGAAGCTTCCTGCGACACAATTCGTCCCAGCAGTAAAGGCGGAGGGTTTCAGGGACCCCTGGCCTGTCACAATATGAACCGGGAACTCTTAAGTCAAAGTCTACAGCAGCCTAGAACGACTCTGCTAATGCACTACGTAAGGTAGCATGAGTTACACTGTTATGATTTCTACTCCCATCCCATGTTAGATCCGATCTCTCTACATTGCTCATTCTTTTGTCTGACAGATGATATACTTTCCCAATTGGGCAATCGATCTCTGACAAAGGAGTCAAGATCTGGGCGGTAACTGAGACGATCTTTAGCCAGTCTTTTTGACTCCAAGTTTCAGGACTTTCTCCATGAGACTCTTGAGACTTGGCAGTTTGACCTTAAACCTGAACCGTTTTCCTTTACCAAATCAAATAATGTTTCTTATTTCTTTTCCCCCTTATTTTGTTTATCTGATTATCTGATTCTTTAACCATATCTCTGGGTTTCTCGGATCAACGTAGCTCCATTCAGCCAATCAATCAACGGCTGCGCATCTTCACCTACGCTAAAAAGATCCCTGCAACTTTTTTTCCCCAAATCGCAAAAGTCAAAGCAAAAGCTCGTCCCTTTTCTTGGAAGCGGCATAGCAATTTCAACGACGTTTTTTGCGTCGCACAACCCTCTACCACAGCGTCCTCCGCTTCGCAATGTCTGCTGAAGCCCCAGCTGTTTCCAGCGATTATATCAGGCTTCACATTAGCCCTCTCGATCCCGAGCTTCTCAAGATCGTCCTGCCAGCGTCTGCAGCTCCCAAGGCGCGCAACATCTCATATCACTCGATCGAGACTTTTCCCGAGCGACGCTACGGCTACGTTGAACTGCCTACCATGGAGGCCGATAAACTAAAAAAGAAGCTTCACGGCGCAACCCTGAAAGGCAACAAGCTACGGGTCGAAAAGGCTAGGCCAGAGGAGCGACCTGAACCTACCGGCGAGCTCGATAAGCAGGATGAGGAGATTGAGAAAAAAAAGAAGAAGAAGTCAAAGGAGTCTAAGGAGGAGTCCAGGAAACGAAAGCATGATCCCTCAGTTGTCGAGGGCGTGGTCCTGACAGACCGTAAGGTCAAGAGAGGCTGGACAGAGCCCGCCGACCAACGGAGAAAGAAGAGCAAGCAGGACAAGGAAAGGGAAAAGGACGGCAAATACACCGAGAAGAAGAAACGTCTAAAGTCAAAGTACACAGAAGGAGACGAGTGCCTGCTCAAGACAAAGGTCCCTCCTAATGCTGTCGCAAATCTGCCTGAGGACGATCAACCACGAAAGCGCAAGAAGAGGGGCAAGGCGCGCGAGATCATTGTTCACGAATTCGAAAAGACAACAAAGTTCCCGAGCTTCCTGAAGAACTCGGCGGATGACAGCGAGGCCAACGTAGCGACTGAGTTCGTCGAGGGCAAAGGCTGGGTAGACGAGAATGGGACCGTGGTCGAGAGTGTCAAGGAAAAGAAGAAACCCGAACCTGCGCCCCAGAAAAAGAAGGCCAAGAAGGTGACTCCTCCTCCAGTCGAGGATTCGGACGATGATACCAGCAGCAGTGGAACTAGCAGCGACGGCTCATCAGATGAAGAAAGTGAGGATGAGATGGAGGTCGATGCTGCAGTTGAAGCTGAAAAGAAAGGAAAGACGACAGAAGACAGTCCTCAGAAAGACGACGAGTCTAACTCTGAGTCTGACTCCGAATCTCCCGAACTCCGACAAGAAACACCTCTCTCAGCTATCAAAGCAGATGATTCCTCGAGACCCATGTCCTCCAGCTCGTCCCGCAGCCTTACCATCAAGATACCCCCTCCCCTGACCCCCTCTTCTACCAAAGTCCATCCTCTAGAGGCCCTCTACAAGCGCTCCAAGCCCGATGAAACCGTCACAGAAGCCCCTGCCAAGACGGACGCGGAACCTTTCAGCTTCTTCGGCGGCGGAGACGACGACGACGACGACATCGAGGAGGAAGAGGACCAAGACCCCGCCAACCACATCATCGCAACTCCTGCCCCCATGACACCCTTCTCTCGTCAGGACTTCGAGTGGCGCAACGTTAGAAGCGCCGCGCCCACGCCTGATACAGCGCACCCCTCACGCATGCGCAATTTCTGGCCCGAGGATGAGGAAGACGGTGAAGAAGATGCTGACACGGCGGAGCATGGGTACGACGAGGAGGGAGAGAACAAGGACGCATCTGGTCCGCAGAGCTCGAGTGACTTCCAGGCTTGGTTCTGGGACAACAGACGCGATCTCAATAGGTCGTGGATGAAGCGTCGTAAGACGGCTGCCAAGGAGAAGAGACATAGGGAGAACAAGGCTAGAGCTAGCAAGGCGGTATAGATTTTGATGAATCGATCCAAGACATTAATTGAACATGATCATATATTCATTCGAAGTTAAGAATATTTCTTTCCCATTCTGTACTCCGACGGCATCATCCACTTTTGATACGGAGTAGCATTGCGATATCTCACCTAACACGTGTGTCAAAAAAGACATAGGAAGCAAATAGGTGATTGAATTCCTTCTATCAAGTGCGCTATTTAGGTTCGTATACCTTGGCCATGCCCTTTGTGAGTGTCCATTCCATTAGTTGTCTTTTATTTTGGAGAGATTTCTCGAGACGATAAGTCATTCACACATTCGTGCGGCTGATTGTCCTCTGAACATGTGCCTTCTTTTCGACCAGGGACGTGGAGTCTGTCTCCTCCAACAGCTTCACGGATTCCCAAATCATCTGGCCTGGGTGAGAGTTGACTAGATTGTCCTATGTTGCTGTCCTTTGGGCGTAAGCTGTCGTCATCTTGCGAGTCATCTTCCTCAGAAGTTATACTTGGAGCCCTTCCACTTGGTTTGCGGAAATGATGTTTGTGAAAGAACTTGTGACTTCCTTGTTTGATCTTTCTCATAAGACTTGGACGCGGACCATTCTGATCATCTAGTGTCTCTTCTTCAATGCCAATTACCTGGATGCTTTGACGTCTTCGAGAGTCTGCATCAAGCGAAGCACTCAGTCTTCTCTCTGCAGCAAGGGTTGGAAAAGGACTGCCCTCAATTGGCAAGGTATTGAAGCCTGTATTGAAAGGGTTCGCATCGAAGTGGGCGTCGTTGTATGGAGAAAGTTTCGGAGTCTCTCCAGGAGAGCCCGATGATGCTGTTTCGTCAAATCCACTGTGGGCATCAACACCATGTTTGTACAGGTTGGACGGCGCAAATTTCTTTGTGCCTTCAGTGTCCACAGGTGAGTTGAGCCAACCAGTAGTAGTGCAGTCTCTGGAAAAGAGTCTCGGGAAAGAAGTGATGACAGTCCCATCACTAACTCTCAGTTGTTGTTCAAAACTTTTATTACACATAATGTCCGCTAGGATTTCAGCTGTACTTTTCGGCGTAGCATACTGTCGCAAGACAAAATCACCTTTGACTGTCTTAGGGTGGCTCTGCTGCCGGTCGTCTGAACAAGAGCGTGAACCTCCATGGGTCGGTGAGCAATAGTCTGAAACCGTTCGACCACGGGTTCGAGAATCCAGGTCATAACCTGTAGGATATGCCCGAGCCCAGGTAATCTCAGCAACACTCCTGCGTGTAATTACAGTTGTCGTTGCCTCCGAAGCTGTACCCCGAGTTTTAGTATGAACTTGCATATCTGTTGCGTTGATGTTGGCGTAAGATGTTTTTGGCAGATTGATGGTTGTAGCTGGATCAACCGCCATGGGCGAAGCAACCAAAATAGCCTGCGAACTCTCGTCTAGCCTTGGTAAAGGTCGACTTTCAGAAGATTCTGTCGTGGAAGTCGGTCTTTCGGGCCCGTTGGTGTGGTTGTTCTTCAGGGTTTCATCCAATACAATACTGACCACATCGCGTATATCTTTATCGCCAATAAGATATAGTCCCCTAGCTTCCGGAACATGCTGGCCTTGCCCATTGATGATATATAAGTGTTCTCTTAGGTGCCTGATCTTCTGAAGCCGATCGCTCACTTTTCTTGCAATACTCTGAGTAGCTTCCTCGCCAGCATATAACGGCTCGTCTGCGTCCGCCTCCGCTTCGTGAGAAGCTGATCCTTCCGGTTCAATAATTACTGCAGGAATATGCGAAGAGCCGAACCTCCATAGAGTCTCTTGGCTATCTCCCATCATCTTGCCGAGGTCCTTCGCTGAAGCCTCAAGATGATATGTCCGCACTCCTGATTCAGGTGATGTGGATTTGAAAGAAACCTTTTCAACTGTATAGCCTTCTTTCTCATCGTTATCTCGATACATGTAGTATGCCATGCCACCCGAATGGGGGTCAAAGATGTAGTAGGCCGGGCATTCAGCCTCGGCTGCTGTTCTAGGGGCTTCAGAAGAGTCGATAGAGTGGCCATCCATGTCTGCCGGTCGAGACGTGTCACTTCTAATCGTGGCAGCCTGGGAATCATCTATCGTACTTTGAAGCCGGCCATATAATTTACCAAGATCGTAGAGCTTAGTGTTGGGAATAGATCGTAGGCGACTCCTTGTCAGAGGTTGAGGTGGCGGGAGCGCTGAAGCAACCTCGCTAGATTGTTCAGTCGATGCTGTGCGGTCTGAGGTGTCTCCTTTGTTCTTGAAAAGACTAGTACTCATCTCGCGAACTTTGGTAGCAACATCAGGTAGTTTCTGAACAGCCTCCTCCAGAATGTTGTCACCGGAATGTGTAGAAACGTCCGATGAAGGTGGAAGTGTCGCATCATCTTGCGAAGATCGCTCTTTCTTGATCGTGAAGACCCTCGAGGGCTTGGGATATACTTTAGCACCGTTGTCACTCTAAAACGTGGCTTTTCTATCCCCAGGGCTCATAAGAGTCGAGTATAGAGCGGTGCTAGGCGGTGTTCGCTCCTTTTGTCCGTCGTTCTGCTGAGTGTTGTCATCGTGGGTCTCGCACGTCGTGAGCCCATGAACAGCACGACTTTTAATTGAATCCTCGTCAGGAGCAGACGCAGAAAACAGTATCACCTCGGTCGGATGGTCAGTTGTAGTAAAGAGCTTTGGGATTTTAGGAAGACATCGCGCGGCATTGTCGTTGTGTCCCTCCATTTTACTGAAATAAGACTGTGGTTTTGAATGTTTCCACCAATTCAAGCGGAGTTTGAAATATAGGAGATAAAGTAGAGTTAACACAACCAAGGCGGAAGATAGATAGGAATATGTAGACTTGAGGTGGTGAAGGAGAGAAGAAAAGACGGGATGGGAGTCTGACGCTTCAAAGACGTAACTTGGTGCCTTGAGGATGGAAAATTGACTAAGGCACTGCAAGAGGCCGCTCTTTCCTTTAGCATTCATTAAACTCTCACCTTTCGGATTTCAGACAGTTTGGGAAGGAGTTTATTGCATAACTCAAATATTTGAGAAGATTAGTTAGGTACCTAGGTACCTTAGGTAGTAGCCAATGGGTTTTGCATCTCGCTGGTACAACATCAACTCAAAGGCAGCAATACAAAGACGAAGTATCTAACATCAATAGTAATATATTCGCTATATTTGCTCTGTTCTTTCAGGCATAACCACCAGTATATATAGAGAATTGCCCATGTGTACTCCCTCCGCTGTGCAAGAACCAAGTTACAAGAGTGATACAGTATCAACTCCTCCGTCAAAGCTCAATCATGTCTTGTTCCTCCTTTTCTGGATCCCTAGAGTCTCTCCCGCCTTCCGTTCCCTATGGCAATGGTGATCCCTTTCCTGGTGTCCAGCTAGATCCACCTCCGAACGTTGATCCAGGCGTCTGCGCCAGAATGTTGGTGCTTCTAACAGGTGTTACTGGTCCCGTTGACCCATCCACAGGCAAAGGAGGCGGTGTGTCAGTCCTTGGTATGTGTTGGTCGTCTTTTCGAGGCGGCTTGAAATTAACTTCTCGTCCGGCTCGATAAATATCTTGCAGCATCGTCTCCAATATCCCAGCATCCTGAAACTCGAGATACTTCTTATACAACTTGAGCGCTGTCCGGGAATCTTCAATCGAGTCGTGTGTCTCCATTTGAATGTCTTCTTTGAGAAGATACCATGCTAAGAACGCCAGTGATAGCCTTCGCAGTCGAGACTGGAGGTAGAACAAGTCAATCGTGTCTATCACCTGTGACTTGGGAATGTGTATGTTGATGACTCGGAAATCCTGCTTCAACCCATGCCCTAAGAATTTACATCCAAGGTTAAGAAGAATCCACATCTTCTTGTAGGCCTTTTTCAATGACAAGAGACTGTGTTTAGAAACTCGAGGATCCAAATCTTGCTCGGTAATACCAGAGTATGATGTTAAGTAATCGACAATGGGTTCTTTGATGTCAATGTAATCATCGATGAATGGTGTGCCCTCGTCTTCGCCTTGGCCACGAACGACTGAAGCTCGAGCGAGCGCATATGCTATTGGGCGTATGGTTTCTCTTTCACCGTCCGAATTCACCTCAATCTCTGGTTGTCGCACAGCAACGAATTCGGTATCCAGTGCGATAATAGTGCCTGGGCCAGGGGCTTCGGACTTGGGGTTGAGTATTTGATATGTCTTGGTCGTCGGATCCGAATTTGGACTGAAGGATGTTAGGTTAGGAGTATGAAAGATAATGGTGGTTTGTTACATACCCAAAGTCCTGATACAGTATCGAAGTGTCAATGTTCTTCTTCCATTCCGTGTCGATCTTGTTGTTCTCATCTTTCACCTGGTACGCGATGACGGAGGGAACCTTCCAAGATGTATTGAAAGTAAGAGCATCCTCTGTAGTAACTGATTTTACCAAGAAGTCATTGAATAGGTGCCATCGGCTTTCCCCTGGCGCTTCAGATTCTGCATGTCCCACTGCTCTTCTTGTCAGTGGCAAATACCTACACGGTGCACGGAACTTACTTACCATTAACCATCGATACAAGATGTGATTTCTGCGTTTGTCCACTCTCAATATTGATTGCCATACCAGTCAAAGAATAGACAGTGATGTTGTGCGCTGCTCGTTGGAGATGAAGCTTCAAATCCTCCCCTTCATAGCAATAAAACTGTCCTTTCTCGACAATGATCCCAATCTCTTCGGGAAGCCAACCTGGTGTTGACCAAAGCACACGTTGCTCTTGGCTTGTTATTGCAGTGTTGAGCATGAGTACTGCTGGGATGCTGTGGATACTCTTTCGCGTGGCTATCGTCTGGTATCGTTGGCATCGACTGCACCACCCCTTGGAGGTCGTTTCCCGTTCCACGCTGTTCTTGAGAACTTGAGAAAACGTGGTCCGTGGCAACTTGGCATTTCTAACCCCAACCTTCGAGCTGTTATAAGTATTTGTTCATCGATCAATATTGTTGTACTTACAGCGGACGGATAGAGTAAGTCGTTGACATAAGTTGATCCAGGGCGGGTGTATTCGCTCCTGCAATTAATACATCTGATAGATGTCGTTGCAGACGTCGCAAGCACCTGGAAAGTTCAGTATTCGCATTATCTGTCTTCGAACGATTCAACGTACCTGGTCCATAGCAGAAGATGACGGGTTGATAGTCTTGTAGTCATGTACAATTTTATCCAGGAGAAAGCGCGTGAGTCCCTGAAGCATGACATTTAAAGATGACCCATGAGGATCCTCTTCCAGCAGGCCAAGCGGACCAGCTGGCTCAGTCAGTCATGTTCTGCGACAAAGGGTTATTTAGCATACCTTGAGGGTGACTGCTTAGGGTCTTTAGCAAGTTCGTCGCTTGGCAGATTGACCCTTCGGCTTTCTGGAGCATATCGAATAGATAACCAAGCTCGCACAGCAGACAAATATCGCCCACGCAAGCGGTCGCAGCGTGCTGGAGAGCAAAGTTTCGAATGACGGGAGTGAAATGCATTATCTGTAGAAGAGAGTTGGCATATGAATTAGAGATGTGATTCTCGAGCCCAGAATAACGAGTCTTGTTGTAGTATCTGTAATCGTCAGCAACATATCCCTGCCCAAACGTAGGAGGACTCACCCAAAATCGAAGTCGTCCACTCCAAACTTGCTGTATTTGATCTCAACGGTGCGATACATAACTGGTACTTCGGACTTCTTGCTCTCTATTCCCATGTTCGCAAGTGAAACTATTAGCTCATCGTCCTTGTCCTCAGAGCTAGCAGCGTTGCTACTTGCAAGCTCGCGTGCCTTTTCGCTGAGGAATTTTGGAGCCTTTAGTCCAGAACTGCCTGATTTGTGAACATTCCGGGTGTTCTCCGCCTGGTTTCTGCGCAGTCCTCGAGTATTTTGACCATATGATCCAAACTCGGCAGACTTAAGCGCTGAGAGAAACTTTGCATCGAACTTTACGGGGGGGGCACCAACATCGCAAGGTATGGATGGCCATGCAGATGCTAGAGTCTCCCGGTAGTATGGCATACCAATCGAGTTAAAAGGTCTGTTGAAATCAGCAAAGTGACATTTACGCCTCAATACATCACAACTCACGTATCGGTCGACCAGTCAAGGTTTGGCAGAGGCTCCTCAGGAGTTGCGAACTCAATGGGAGTAGCTAAGTCCACGAAATGAAGCTTTGTGGGGGACCCCCAGAGATGGATAACACAATCAGCATCTGTCATGGCAATTGCCTCGCCAGAAGGTGCAATTTCGAACATGCTCATGTAAGAGAGAACATTAGCTTGGCGTACATTGCTTGTATTGGGGTTCATGAGGTCCACAACATGGATCTGGCCACTCTGCGAGACAACGATACTCGTCGTAAGCATTCTGGGATGCATTCGCACATAGGCAGCGCCGGCTGGGAAAGGGATGGGAGGCATAGAGGACATGTTCTTGATATCAAACACGTTGAGGAAGGGATCTAACATATAGCTTTGCCCTTGCCTCAGCGAGTATCCACAAGTAACAATGAAGTCATGCTGAGCATCCATGTCATTTATCAAGGCTGAATGTGCATTCCACGATTTAACGACTGCGAATGTAAGGGGATCTAAAAGGTTAACAGAGCCGTTCTTAGTAGCGGCACATATGTAACGTCCACGTCGCATAACTGTATACTGGTGCTCAGTAGGTACCTAGCACGAATTAGTATAACTTCCCCTACTGTCCAGAGCATGGTCGCTGACTTGTTTAACGACTTCGCCCCTTGTGAGGTCAATGACAAGCATTGTATCTTGCATACCCGCAGCAATGATCTCCGCTGTTCCCTTAGACGTGAAGGCCATGCATCGTAAATCTTTCATATCATCATGTCTACCAACGATTGGTGTCAGCCGTACTCTATCACTACGGGGATTGAATCTTCTTACCTTATATGCCATATGGGTAGCCCTCTTCTTATGGCCATATGCAAATCCTTGGCACCCAAAGCAACAATCCCTTTATCATTAACAAGTATTTGACGAACGGGTCCATCGGATGATGCATGCGCCTTGAAGGAAGTATATCGTTGGAGTTCGGTACCGTAGAAGGAAGTAACTCGACCCTGTAACGGCAATAAACATCAGTCTAGTCTCAGTTCGAAGGTTGAGAGAGACCGCACTAACATAATCATTTCCAGTCCATAGGAGTTCTTGAGAGTTGTCGAATGTCATGGTAGTAACCGGGGTCGGCATCGCTTGTACGCCCGGAGGCGGAAACCGAATCCGGGCAACCTATTGTGATGGCGGGTTAGTACGTACATTAAACAAATATTCCATAAGAGCTTAGCACGGTCCCAGAATTGGAAGTACTTCGTTTCAAACTGAACATGTTGAATGGGTTGCGATAAACATACCTCATCCCAATCACCGTCCATTGTAACAAGCTATGGGCATTATCCGTAGGCGCATAACTTTCTTTATACGAATGCGTGGGCTTGTGCACCAGCCTCCAAGAGGTCTGGGCAGGGCAAGAAACAAAAGAAGAAGACCTGAGCCACAGTACAAAGTGTTGAGAGGTAGACAATTATATTGCTTCTCAGTATATCTCTCTGTTTGATAGAAGCAAGTGCCGGTGACTGAAGTGGGATACCAGCTCCCAAGCTTGAAGTGGAGGGGCAGGAGCTTCCTTTAGCCGATGTTCCTCCGGCGCGCGAAGTTGACGCGCTTGATGCAGGTAGTAATTGGAAAAGGAAGGGTTGTCTTGTTCCTAACAATATCGTCACAATGCACATGGTTCGACTATCACATCATCTTTAGGTACCTATCTACGTTTGTGACACGGTACTTGGATGTTGGCTATGTGGTAAAGAGATGCAGTAGTTCAACGAGGACGACTCCATGGTGCTGCTAACTAGCAGACATGATGGAATTACAATCGAAGTCATGACGCGCTTTGGCTCAGAGCCAACTACAACCCATATCCTTGTTGATCTAGGTATTTGGGGGTACCTTTTCAGTTTTAAGTGACTGGTCGGCAGACCTAGACCAGAACCTCGACAAGTAAGCAAATATCTACAGTCTCTGAACTACACAATGCTGAGTGGTTGTTTTTAATTCATCTATTTGCGAATTATGCATTAGTCTATTAATTCCAAATCCATTCTATCCTCAACCTTTTTGAACCTGTTCTATTTCCATTTCATTCAACGCCACCAAAAAATACTAGCATGAGTCAAGTAGCTCAGCATCAAAACACCACGTGTTGCCCAGCTCCCAAATGTCATTGTGTATCATTAATCAGTCATCATGCCAAATGATCTGCTCTCAGTGCCAATCCTTTGTTAGGACAGTGTTGATGAAGGTAAATCATTGCTTTGTAGTTTGTACTTTGTTACTCCTTCGCTCGGTATCACGAGACATGACGTGAGCAACTTCGAGTCTTGAACTGTGACAGAGTTTGGAGGTCGAAATTAGCCGGTCTCACAGGAGACATTCTCACATCGCGCAAGGATGTAACAGGGGCGGCCAAATCTGATCGGTCAAGGCTGAGCAGTCCATTTGACTCGCCAAGATAAGTTCGTCGGCACATCGCATCCACTGTCGCTTCTGGTGAATCGCCGAGTCTAAAAGTGTGGACAATCCAAATACCGATATTTCAAGTCCTAGCACTCTGTATCGTCGTGGTAGTCGTCGGTCCGGTTTGTTATGCTGAGCGTGAAGACGCTAGTTTGACTCGAAATGCTGACCAACCCAAATAAGAAAAGTCGTTTGAGAAATGCGAGCCTCGCGATAGGGTCGAATAGACCGGGTAAGATGGAGAAATGAGGCGAGACCGGGGTCGAAACATGATCGCCGCTCGTTCCGTGTAGGCTATTGATCATAAGATGGCATTGCAGAGCAATTTCTCACGATACTTGGTAAATGGTGAAATTGACGGGGAATGCGTGGTTGCTGAATCCTGTGACCTTGGAGACAGGCTCGCCTGTCGGTTCGACCTGTACCTGCCATCGCGTCTTGGTCAAGGCGCCAACTTCGTCCCATAGTCGTTGAAAGCTTGCTTGGTCATGCAAGTAAGCAGATCGCGTGCTGGTTGACGATGGTCCTGGATGATTCGTGCCGACCTGCCGGCCATATATCAATGCGTTCTTCGTGCCTGGCTTCAAGAACTCGACGACCCGTTTGGCAATGTAAAGTTGTTGGATCCAATTGAAGAGATGAAAGAAGCTGCCTGCATGGACCATTGTAATCTTGCCGCGTAGAGAAGACATAGTCTTATCAGCAGGATCCAACATGTCGCCGGCAACGAAAGTGGCGTCCAACAGATGTCTGTCCTGAAACAAATCATAGCCAATATCGATAAATTTGGACTGCAGGTCAGTACCAATTAGTTGAGCGCCGTCAACTCCATCTGCCCGAAATTGACGGATTACTTGTCCAACACCACATCCGAGGTCAAGAAGGACATCTCTAGAGCCGGCGACGTTGAGGCGGAAGAGAGCCTGCTGATACCGAGGATCTTTGGGATCTGGGATATAGAGAAATTTCCATCGCCCAACGCAGGGGTATTGTGAGACGCACCAGGCCTTCTCGCGCTAAATACCAAAGATGATATTAATTGCTGTGTTGGTGGTGATTATCGGGAATATATGTACTTACAACCCGGCGTATGTGACCATCAAGATCATTGTAGGGGATTTTACTGTAACTCTCGAGAAGATGTCGAGCTGGACCAATATCTTGAGGGGGGTCCTCTAGATAGGTCCAGTCTCGCACTTTCATAACATCCATGCTCAACAACATGCTTAAGTGAGTAGAGTTGGTGTGAACCGTGTGTTGTGTTACCAGCTTAGAAGGCAAAAGCGGTAGATGGGTTGTTTGTTATGAGACGATGAAGAAGGTTGTTTTGTATGCGTCATTGAAACTGAAATTTGATCTTGCGGGCGAGACAAGCAGGTGTGATGTTGTAAAACAATAAAACGAAGTGTGAGAGGACAAGCCAACTCTCAGGGCAGGAGACAAGCAGCTGACGATGCCATCCCAGGGTCAACAAAACAAAAAGGGAGACGGAAGAAACGGTGATGAAAAGGGTCCGAGACAAGAGAAAAGAGAGTGGATGCAAGGCAAGGCAAGGCAATGCAATGCAATGGGAGGGAGAACTCCGTTGCGGACTACGGAGTACTAAGGCGAGGGTTTAAAAGTAACTTAGTTGGAAACCTTAGAAGCAGACAGGGCAGGGACTTTTGCGGTGTTGATATCACCAAATCAACTAATAAGCTCGCTCATGAGACAGGCGAGACAGGGACGAGACTACAAGGATACCTCAAATACTACGTAGCCCGTAGTACGTCGTAATCTGTACACGCTACTACACGGACTCTAGGGACTCGGACCCATCTTTCCACCGCAGCGCGCGGGTATGAGGATGAGAGGACTCGAGGAGAGAGTAAGGTTAACATTAGTGTCGTTTTAAGAGACCAAGCAATGGTCTAGAAGTCAGGCCGAAGAGAGGGAGAGACAAACGAGAGAATGCCTACGGATACTCCGTATGATGCGACGAAATGAGGTGAAATGAGATGGTATGCAAGACTCACTGACTTCCTAACCCCCAACTCCCTAACTCCTTAACTCCCCAACTCTTCAAAACTCACAAGGCCTGCTCCTTGTCTCTGAGCTTCTGGAATCACCAAGGAAATTGGATACATCCCCCTTCTATCCATACCTAGAAGGATTCATTCCATGACTGCCGCCTCCGGCTGTAACCACACGATGTTTCCAGGGCTGCTGCGGGCTTGTAGCGCTCTTTGGCCACTAGGAGCCCTGGAACGCTCGAGATATACTGGAACCCTCACCCCACGTTTGAGCGCCTCCGGCCTCTCACTCGGACCAACTATTTTGGCCATTGAATTGTATCATTTTAATCGTTGTTGGCTCAACTGGCAATGATTCATGTAAGTGGATAAGCCGGAGACATTTTTCAGCTGAATCAAGGGCTACTCTATACTATTCTTACTCTTTCTCCATATCCAAACATACCGTACCTCCAATCCGACGGTTGATATCACCAAGTCCTCTCAAGTCATCAAGGGTCGAGGCCACAAAAGCAAGCACTCTCGTTCCATTAAGCTCTCCCCTGACACCTCCTAGTCTTCATGGACGCTTCATCTGTGAGTTGTCAGATCTCCTTTATTGTCCCATTGGCCAGGTGGGCTTGTTATTTGGAAGTACGGAGTACTCGGCCAATAAATACACCAATCCTTGATCACTTTTCAATCTTCAACCGTTTAATATTCAGAATCAGCTGAGCCCTCTCCTCCTGATGTTAATAGGCCACTAGACTACCGCTAGTCTCCGTCGCGGAAGATGACGCCGAGACTACGGCAGTCAAGGGTTGTTTGACGATGTCTCAACGTCCCGTCTTGCCGTGTTCTTTGAACAAGGGTCCGCTGTCCTGCTCCATGAGCTACGTTTACGTTTCCAAAGCTTAATGCATGAGGATTGTAAATAAAAACAGTGAGGATGCTACCCGAGTCTCGTTCTCGTGCATTTCCAGCTCAACCGTCTTTGCCAAGAGACGCTTGCTCCAGCAAGGACACAGGTGAAGTGATCGACCAAGGTCGGATATGGGCCGCCAACAAAGGAGGCCGAGCTCCAACCCACATATACCAATACCCTAATTACCCTGCCTCTGAGTCCTGAGTTAAGATCATTTCTCGCCTTAAATTTCACTGCAGATCACTGCTTAAACACAGCGCTACCTCTGAGGTCAAGAAGCTTGGTTGCCGGCTTTCTCCAGACTGCCCAGAATCTTCAGCATACCCTGTAGGGCCAGAACTTGAATTAATATTGAAGTCGTGCTGGGTATACCCTGCAACAGCAGCGGTTGAAACATCATTACTGCAGGGGAAAACGGCGTTGTCACAATTATGCCTGCTGTATTGATAGACTGAAAGTACAAAGACTCTCGTTGCTGTATTTTAAGATGTCAGTCGACTCTTAAATTTGAGGGACCCTCTAAGTAAGATCCTTCATTCCCATCCTACCGCCGGTAAGCTCTAAGTCCAAACACGATCCCAACGATTCAGTTACTACTCCGTATTCTCACCACTCATACCGTTTCCTAATGAAGATCTTGCGACTATGCTCCGTACGGCGTATGCGGATGCGATCCCACGCACGCTAGCGAGATATAGGCAGGTTGGCACCCTGGCCTTCAGGTCTTGGGGTCTCTCACCTGAAATACGTGAACATCGTATTGGATCGCTTGAGTGTCGAGATTGGCAACGTAAATCAAGATATCCAAGAGGCAGACTTTATAAGGGAGTCAGATGTCTCGATTCTTTTCATGCAAATGTAGGCAGGGTTTTTGGTGCATCTACTCCGTATGGCACAGCAAACTCTAAGCAGACTTATACAACACTCAACAATGTGCAATTCTTCGAGTTTGGTACCAGATTGCTAACGTGTATCACTTTACTTTGTTAGGATAAGGACATTTGCTTCGATATCCGCAACGCTTCTTCTGTAGAACAATTCGAGAGGTATTTGGAGGAGAAATGTCCTGACCCATTAGAATTTACCACAAACTGTGATGTAGCTTGGACATCTCGGGTGCATAGGTATTGCCTCAGTGGTATGGTCAGGTCGTTACCATCAGCTTCAACGTATCGTGCTTGTCCCATGGCGTGATGGGAGGAACTTGTTCGTTTCTTTCTATTCTATCGGTGATCTATCGGAGTGATGGGCCTTTGACAAGAACTGGTCTATGACATATCAGATCTATTGTTGTTTGTGTGACAGTTACATACGTGCCCACATACTCTCGTACCACAAGATAAGTCTTGGGGTTGTATAGAACTATGTGCAGAGCTCAATACATCGTGCACTTCATGCCTGAGTGAGCTGCGATGCCAATTTGCAAAAAAGCCTAGAATTACAAGAACATGGACGGCATTTTTAGAATGAGAATTTACGTATAAAGAGCGCTTAGTGGACATATTTGAGGGCACCAAGTCTATTAATATACACTTTGTTTCGACATATTAAAACAAAGTTGAATACTGACTTCTCATGATTGATGATTGCCAAAAGTTAACTTCAGGGTAGATGACTAAGCCTCACGCAGTTCTGGCCGAGCATTTCCCGTCACCTTCCGAAAAATTCTTCCTTCTCCGTGATCTTGTCAAAAACACCCACACAAGGCAGCCCGTTTCCCAAGTCGTCGGGGCCGAGTTCTTCCTCTTCCGTCGAGGCGTCTCTGTCGTATCGCATTTATCCAGCTCCGAATCCCAGAACAAGAGTCGTGTAAGTCTTCATGACCAAGATATAGTCTCCCCAATTCACAGCACGAACGTAATCACGTCGTCGCGTCCGTCCCCAACTTCGCTTTCTGTGCCGTACTTGGGCTCAAGATCGTGTATACTTCGTCATCTTCGCGTCGAGCTGCTGCTAACAATGGCTTCGTCTAGTGACATCGTTGCGCGTCGCGCAGGGCTTAATTTGGTGGAACGCGGTTATATCGCGTTTCATTTCTCGAATAATTGAACTATTGCGACTATCAACTATCCGTATGCGCATGCTGTTGTACTGAGTGACAACCATTTTCGTTCTCTAACACCACTCGACTGTACGGTTTGCATGTCGAACCGGCCGTAGCTATGAGTGCAAAGATGGAACCTGAAGCGGATGATGCCAACGTCACGTATCCTTCACCAGGGGCAGAGGCGATGGAGTCCGGTCCTTTCTACAACACTGGTGGTCGGGATGGTGCACAGGAACATCAGGAGCATGACCACCATGATCATACAGGATCGCATCATGAGCCACATCATGAGCCTGACCATCATGTCCCTGGACAAGTGCAACATGTGCAAGTACCGGATCATAACCAGAACGAAATGCAACCAACAGAGCCAGAAGCCCCTCAGCAGCACGTCTCCCGCCCCGCCAATCTCGAAGAGCTTCAGCTGGCAGCACAACTAGGCCAGGGTCTAGCTGGAACATCCATGATGCCCACTACAGACCCCAACATGAACGTCGAAGATCCCAACCTGCGTAGCATCATGCCCCATCCCGAGCCCGATCAACAGCAGACTCCGTCGTATGTTCACGATACACCCACAAGCGATCCGATGGTATCACATGCTATGTCTGTTTCTGTTGGGGCACCCCTGACCCCTCAATATCCTCTCGACACTAGCATTCCACCCAGAAAGCGCTCCAAGGTGTCCAGGGCCTGTGATGAGTGTCGAAGGAAGAAGATAAAATGTGACGCTCAATCGGACACTGGAGATGCTCCTTGTTCTAGCTGTGCTAGATCATCTATTCGATGCCTGTTCAGCCGTGTGCCTCAGAAGAGGGGTCCAAGTAAAGGGTATGCACAATTCCTGCATCTTGGGTAACCGAAAGACTGACGAAGCCTCCAGATACATCAAAGAACTTGCAGATCGCATCCACAGTATTGAGAACAAACTCGAGTCGGATGGAGGTCTGAGCCAAGACGACATTGACAGGCTTTTTGTTACAGACCGGCCTCGACAGAGTCAAGGGGAGGATCCCAACCGCAAACGACCTTTCTCTAGTATATCAACAAATGAATTCGCTACACCCTCCCGACAAACGCCATGGGGTTCGGAGCATCGCATTCAAGAGTCACCAGGAACATCTGAAGCATATGCAACTTACAGTAATACCTCTCTGGCACCACAGCCCACAGCTGTTAAGATTGATAGCACACCTTCCAAGCCCCCTGTCGCCGCGATGGATGTCTCAATGCCTGATGCTCACGAGGGCGTCGACATCGATGAAAGCATGCTGCATGGGTTAGTGAGACCCCAACTCCGTGTTTCATGCCGCTAATCGTCTTCCAGTTATTTGTCGAGCGTTCAGCCTGTCTATCCGATACTGCCAAGAACAAAGAACCGAATGCAGGCACTACTCGCACAATGCCCGACAACTCTTCAAAACGCATTCGCAAATGCCCTGCCTGCTGTCGCTGCGTCTGGCGGCGATACGAAACTTGCCAGCTTCCTACTTAATGAAATGGAGAGTGATGAAGCCGCTGCCCCACAGGCTGTTAACATTGTCCACGGACAAACGTTGCTGCTGCTTATTATTGATGCCGACTGGCGGTCATCGCGTACTTTGCCGTTCTTATTGGCACGTGCAGTCTCGCTAGCCAATTCAATGAAGCTGTGGAGATACACTCCAATGGAGTCAGTCGAGGAATCAGATTCAGACGACCAGCTATCTGTGCGAATCTGGTGGTCACTGATCCTGATGGACCGCTGGCACGCAACGGGTACGGGCAAGCCGCCCCTAATACCAGACAGCAGTGTAGTTGCTCCCGCTGGTTTGGAGAATATCTTGGGAGAAAGTTGCTTCTACCTCGTTCGTAAGTGCTGATAAAGTATCTTGTAGTCTATCATTTGCTTACCAAGACTATTAGGAATGTCAAAACTACTCAACCGCCTTTGGCACGCCATCTCAACATTGCAGCCTGGAGCGTCGACAACTGAGCAACCGATCGCGCGTATTCTTACAGACTACATTGAGAACTACCGTGAGGATCTCCCGGCACATATAGAGCCTGTGTCACATCCCATGGTTCACCTGGCATACTGGCACTGCAAGCTCATAGTTGCGCTTCTCACGCCAGGTGCCACACCTGCAGAGACGATATGGCCAACGAGGGAACTGGTCAATCTCCTCTTTGCAAACGAGTACCTACGTAGTCCGCTCGTCAACCATTTCGTCTCCCTGGTCTCTATGTCTCTGGCGAAGTTGGTCAAGATCGACAGCTCGAATGAAGAAGCGACGCAATTGATCAAGGACATTGTAGAAAAGCCCGCCCCAGTGTGGGATGGTATTCGAGACAAACTCGCGGATTACATGCGTCCCACATCCTCGGTGGAAGCAACAGCGAGCCAGGGTCTCCAGCATCTGGCAGACCTGGCCACAGCACATGAAGGTATTGCGCCAGGAGGCGACGACATCGCCTTCGGGCCATCATTGGCATCGGGATATCTTGATATGGCCTAGAGCTTCATAACTGTACCAAACCTACGTCTACTCCAACTCTGGAGAGATGTTGCAAATGAGCAGCAATAAGGCAGATACCTCTACATTGTTGGAGAAAGGAGATGTGTACGAGTAATGGTCTTGGTTTGACGTTGGTTAAACTGGGGTAATAAAAAAGCGGATTGATGACGGCAAATGACAGTGCCCAGCATGTGCCGTGAAAGATAGCATCTAACTACCTACACAGTAACCAGGTAGTTCGTCTTTTTGATTTTGTTAAGATGCTATGTTCATAGGTAATAAACAACCTTAATTCTCGTAACCCATATATTGCCCTATCAAACAGCCCTGTAACCGAAGTCTCCATTTCCGTGGATAGCGAGCGCCTCTCGACAGAGTTTTCCCCAATGCTGTTATAACCTAATCCAGTCAATCACAGCCCAGGCTGTTGTACTTTGGCGTAAGGAAAAAAGTCAAATTGGTACCTGATCGACACTGTCTCGACTTGTCTTTCTGTCTCCGAGGACCGGGACAAACTAAGGATTTCACGTTCGGGAGGACGAGCAATTGACGAATTGAGTTTACGTAACTCACCCTTATCAAATGCAATTGGGGGGTTTCTGGCTCGACTAAACTAACGTCGGTATTTAGGGCATGATTTGTGTGTGATTCCATCGGTCTGTAGTTGAGGGCAATGGCTTATGCTGTGTAATTAGTATAGTATAGCTCCGCTTAGGTGTGCACGAGCAGTTGGGTCGTTAGAGGATCGAATCACTGCCACTAGTTTAAGTTAGTTGTAAGTTGTCATGTTGACCAAGCATGCAAGGCGCCTGTGCGCACGCGTCCTCGACTCCTTGTTCTCAGAAGCAGCACAGAAGGAAATGTTCTATGTTCGCCATACTCCGTACGCCCCCTCCGACTGCAGGACAGGAAGAAATGGACCAGGCCAGGCCCTGCATCGCTGAGCTGATGCTCCTGTGCCGGCCCGGACCAGGCATAAAGCATCAAAGGTGCAGCATGCATTAAAGAAAAGGAAAGTTCATCCGTATCACTGGCCTCGGACAAAGTAAATATGCTGTAGACCATGTGAAGCACATCATGCATCTAGGTAGTGCTGAAGGTTTTGTGTGGGCTCCGCTCTTGACCACCTTGTGCTGCACTAAAGTAGAAATCCTTTTCACAGAGATGAACGATCGAGATTCTCGTGCAAAACTTGTTCAGGAGTCTCAGAGGAGCTTGAGCCTGTATCCGTATGGTGTACGTAAAAGAAGATTAACCACGTCTATGTTCCCCATTATTCCGGAGATCTCCAAGCCGGGGTCAACAAGGGGAAATAAAAGATGCTGGGGCCTGGGCTAAAGACGGGGAAATAAGAGCGGCTATGGTTGTGGCGGCCAGTTGGGCAGATTGGGAGCGCCGACAACGAGAGAAACGCCGAGTGGTTCCTAAGACAGGCCTGGAGAGCTACAATTGCTGTTGGACAAGCACCCTGAACACCCAAAGGATGTGGAAAGCTGTGATCTGATATCCGGGCGTCCGGCAACGGGCTGCAATATGATACCCTCGTAATAGCAACATCCGATACCCAAGCTCAAAGCAAGCCGGGATTAGTTATTCGCAAATCCATGTCGACACATTCACCTGGGGCAAGCATGAGAGAAACAGTATTGTGGCGTTGGCTCATGGACCTCGACTCGACTGGTCTTGGTCCTCAGTCTAAAAGTCTATTGCGTGAAAAACGAGTGCTCGCCAGGTAGACTTTCTCGTACCCAGCTTGAGATCAAGAGTAGAACACCGAAAAAGAACTAACAAAGAGTGGTAAGTAAACGTCGAGCGACAGAAGGAGCAAAACAGCTTGTCAATCAAGTCTGGAATCTGGAATCTCTGTCCTCTTTGTTTCACTCGGCTTGAAAATTCCCTGTGTGGATAAAGTCGTGCACAACTCGATAGCCCATCAATGTAGGAACTCGGTCTATCTTCTCATGACTTTGTTGTCACGTTCTGCCTGCTGCTGCTGCTGCTTCTCAGCTCTTCCTGCAAAGCTAACCCATCAAATCATTTGCATTGCTCTTCTTACACGTATGCCAATAAGACTCCGTGCATTCTTGTTTTGTTTCTTGTATAATTCAGAAAGCCACATGCGCCTGTTCTAACCCTCCCTGTCCTCTCGATTGATAGTAGGAAAAATCATGCTCGTCAAAATTTCTAAACCGTCTACTTCATGGATGAAAATGTCGTCTTGTCATCATCATCACCGCAAATAAACCGAGACATCAGACGGATGTGGTCGGTTTGCGGGTGGTGTCGATCGTATATTCGCACCATATAAAACGTATATGTGTTGCCGCTATTCGTGCAAAATGAGTAAGAAAGAAGCCATGCCCTCCATGGCTTCAATTCGTATGGTATTTTTTCAACGCCTGCCGGTGGGTGGCCCTAATCACTTCAAAATAAAAAACCGAATGGGTATTGTGTACGCCAGAATATTCGAAACCTCAGAGAATCTCACATGCCCCAAAAGCTGGGCATAGAAGCTGGGCCGAGAGGGTCAGGACTTTCGTCCATTGTCGTGATGCCCTCGTTGTAGTTGGGCATCCAGAATGCAGGGTCGTCCTCAACCATTGATAGGCCTGCTCCAGCCATAGGGCCACTGTCTGCTCCCTTATAGAAGTTGTCATAGTCAATGGTGGTGAGGTCGGCCGAGTTAGCCATCACGTTGCCGTTCTGGCGGATGAAGCTGTCGCCGCGGCTGAACCCCTCTAGGCCGTCATAATCGCCGTCTCCTCCAGGCAGGAAGTCCTCCACTTCAGAGACCTCACCCGAGGTTGAGGTGGTGTTGGCTAAATGGGGCAGATGTTCTGAGCCGCTGCCGAAATCGAAGAGACCGTTGAAGCTTTGGGTGCCGGCCTGGCTGTAGCTTGATGGTGTGAAGCTATCACCCTTCATTTCAGAAAGATCGTAGTGACTCCAATCGACTGAAGCCGCGCTAAGACCTGCGCTATACATAGGGGCGTCTGTCTCCGAGTTGAAGCCAGAACCGAACAAGTCAAATGTGCTGTTAGCCATGTAGCGAGGATACTCGATGCTGGACAGATCCAGGGGAGGCAGATTGGCGTTTAAATTCTGAAAGCTGCTAGCTCCATTCATGAGGGGCGAAGCGGTTTCCGACTTGACTCGTCGTTCCCGGTTGGCAGCAGCGCGGGCACGGCTGCTGGGAGGCTCCCGCGAGCTCTTCTGCAACATGCTATCGGCGCCCAAGCTGCTGGTGCTATGAGCTGAATTCACTCTGTTAAGCTGGTAAGGGCCACACTTTTGAGAAACGCGGTTGTTTCGGTGAGCAGGCTTGTGATTTCCATGCTCGTCGAAGCTCAGAACACCGTCTGAGTGAACTGTGTTGGCTCTTCGTCTTCGACCAGGAGGCTTTGGACGGCCAGTAATGCTTAGAGTCAGAGACTCGCGCTCCGAGTCAGACTCCGGGACGGTGTCAAGGACAGGCTCGGTCTTGTGGGAGCAACTGCAGTGTCCACCATGGTTGCAACAACATGTTTCTGCGAAATAGTTAGAATTTGCGAATGACATCCAGTGTCTCGAGATCTACGACAGCTCTTGAGACAGGAGGAAGCTCACCAGTGTGCCCCTCAACAGTTGGCTGCAAATGCGCACATTTGCTTGTCTTCTCGCCGCAGTCGCATTTGACGTGAGCAGAGCGCGACTTTCGCATGGCGCGGCAGTGGGCGCATTGGGAAACCGGTCGACCCTTCTTGTTGATATGTTGAAGTGGACGGTCTGTCGACAGGACTAGGTTAGCAAGAGCACGGCACGTATAGCTGAGTTTAGGAGTACATCTAGCCGCAACGGCTATTCCACATGCTTTGATATCGGGGAAAGACTTACCAGAATGTTGACAATTGCTCACGCGGTGGCCGCGAACGCAGGCCTCGCAAGCATACTTTTCTCCATCAATTATCATATTGGCGAGGTATATGCTAGCTTAATGTGCAGCAGTCGACTCGATAACTAAACGGCAAGCGGAGATATCGTGAAGATTGTCGATTTCTGGTAGAAACCTAATATGTAGAATTCAAAATGATCAAGTTCAAGTCGAGTACGCTTGGTCCGGACAAGGTGGAGGGAGAATATGGTGGGTTTCTGTCGGCACCGATGTCGAAGTATTGTGTGTAAGTGTCCCGCAAAAGCACTTCCACGCTAGAGGAAGTGGACTGAAAGTTGGGGAAGATGGGCCGAGAGGGAGCTTTGTTGAACCGGACAGCTACATGAACATATCGCAACGAAGCTTGTGAAGAGCTGGAAGAGGCTGAAAAATGAATTTCAGACAAGGAGCGAGGGAGTAGAAGACAATAAAAGTTTTCGAGGGCAAGTTGGACAAGACCAATTGATGAGAGAGAGGAACAGAAGTGGAGATGTACCGGCCGGTGGGTGGGTAATTTTCCCTTGGGGTGCCTTGGGGTCTACTCTGGAACTGTACGGCACGGGTTGGATCGCTCGCTACTGTAACCCTGGGCCCTGGGTGTGCGATGGAGCGATGGAGATGGATGTGGCAGGGTGGGTGTGGGATGGAGGGAGTGGGAGCACTCCGTGCGCCGCAGGAATACCTGAAATGGATGGGCGGACGAGGTCGGCGGCAGGACCGGGGTTTCTTCTGGTGCACAAGCGGGTTTGGCGCCTTCAGCTTCAGAACCAGCTAAGTTAAGACAAGACACAAGACAACGACTTCGACAACTAAGGGCCAAGGGCCAAGCCAAGCCGCCCTGCTGGAGACTTGGTGGGTGGAGATGTCGGCCCGGATGGTCGGAGCGTTCTCGTTTTGCGTTGTTCGTCGGACCTGGGACTGGTGGTACTGTAGCTTTGGTGACGTCGGCGGCCGACACCCAATATGAATATGTAGATTAGCTGAGCGAGAGACAGAGCACACCGCACAACTAAGCGCGCTCCCAAAGGAACACTGAAGGACACAGCAGATAGATGCAATGCTCAGTCGACAGGTGAAAGAAGCAAAAGTGAGGAGCAAACAAGAGGTTCAAGAAGGAGGGGTCTGTTTTATGGCTTTGGATAGGTATGCTGTACAACAGGAGACAATGACGGATAGCAGCAGAGTTGACAGTTGATGCATGGCGGGCTGCATGGCGGGCAGCATAACACCCATCACAATGCGATGGGATATGTCTGTGAATAGTAACAGCGGAACAGCCTCGACCTTTTGGTCCCTTGTCCATCAGTCATGATCCCTTGATCATCCTTATTGTGCCGAATCGATTCCCGCCCAAATTGAATCGGATTCTTGCTTTTTGTCGTTTCTCGCTTCCCGCTGGTTAATTCCGCCTACCTGCCCGCTCGCTTGACTTATTCTTTGCCTACGGTTCCCAGGCCCCATGCTCCAATATCCTTGTCTTGAACAGTAAAAGGCGAGGCGTGGAGGTCGCAGACACGGACGGCCAAGGGCACGGGCACGATCGAGGATACTACTCGGCTGTACAGTGTGGGACGATGGCGCAAGCAGCATGAGCAAGGTGACCGGGCTGGGGCACCGGGGTTAAAAGCGTGGGCTGGGATGGGGGACAAGGGTTCTGTAGCAACCATGACGAGCTTGAAAGTTGAGAGGGCATCGTCGTTTGTGGGCATAGCATGGGCCGTCACCGAAGAGTGGGATTGAGACCGAGTCGGGGATAGCGTCTTGTCGTTTCTCCCAAGGGCTTTTAGCTAGCTGTGATAGAGCTCCGCGGGGCATTCGTGCGCGTGAAGATTGTAGATTGGGGGTAATAGTATTGAATGGTGTCAGGTAGTAGGCATTCTGCCGGCGTTGTGAGATGAACATTTCTCAGCCGTGTAAAAGGACGACTGTGTAAAAGGACGAGGCCTGATACGCTCGCATCGCATGGGTACTCCGTACAGTAGCAGCCTTTTGACTGATTATCATCAGGAAGCTATGAAATTAGTCTCGAGCGAGCTTGGGGGGTTGTGGAGCTCCGAGCCTGGAGGATGGTTGTTTGTCCATGAATGTTATAGCGGATGGATCACGATGAGTGGACTGGAGATGGGGGAGGTTGTTACTGTGGAGTAGACTTGTGCGGAGTGTACAAAGGGAGAAGGAGGAGCCGCATACAGTTCGCTTCACACTCACTGCATATTGTACTGCACAGACATAATAAGTATGTGTCCTGAGCATCCGTAGGAAAATGAGAAGCGCAGTCTAATTTCAGTATTAATATGTTAATTACTGTACTTACCTCTTTCGCGATCGGAAGCTAGGTAATCCAATGTTGGGAAAGGGCTGCTGCTTTCGGGATTGCCTACCGTAACGGCGCAACGGCGCAACTGAGCTACGGGTAAATTAAGTAGTGACTGGCATAACGGGACGGAGGGACGATCAAAATGTCCATGCTTAACTTTATGGGAGAATTCGGGCTCAGCAGAGACGCTGACTGGCTTGATGCGACATCCCAGTCCCAGCATTTGGGGTCAAAACAGCCACAAACCTTCTTGCCAGGTATTCCTTGATCATTGATGTTACAGCCGCTCCGCGTCTCGAGTTGATGGAGGATGCCCTGAGAGTGAGAGTATCCATAGGTACGTAGGTACTTACTCCATATCCGCACCACAGTTCTGGAGCCACATATATACACATATATATCTGGTCATTGTTCATATACGGCTGGTTATAACTTGCAACACGACAGTAACATTGTCATGCCCTCAGAAACCCACTTCTGCTGCAACTCGGCCTTCAAATCTGATGGCTAGGGTGCTTACTGTACGTAGTACATGCCCATGTACATGTTCCTACCCCATGTACACCTAGCCGCCGGACATCGGCTGTATCTTGGGAACCTCTCGTGCAGGTATCGTCGCGTGCATGCTGTGCCCTGCCCTGTACCTGGCGTGACTGTACAGTACACTGACATGTCCTCTAGCGACCGTTGACTGGGGCTGTTAGACCAGGTTGGGCTGGGGACGGGCGACATTCGTCAGCGAGGAATGAGGATCACGGCAGAACAAGTTTAGGAAAGCTCACTTACAGCCATTGGCTCAATTTGACCTGGAACGGGGTCTGTTTAAATTAGGCTAGATCAGTAGATTGATGAAGGTCGTCGAAAACGAAAAAAGAAAAGTTTTACGTACATGCAGCACCTTATCGGCGGAGCATCTTCGGGACGATCCATTATCACTTCCATAAATGGTCGGTTTCTATTCGGAAACTCGCAAAGCTTGGCTTGTTTTTATTATAATTGTTAAACTGACTAAGGTAAGCTGATCGCGATGCGGATGCGACGGGGTTTATCTTCATCCTAGGGGTTACGGATACGGAGTAATATATCTTACTGCTTCGCTGCAGCTCCATAAAGAATGGAAGCGTACAATTGCCAGGCGTCCCTTCTGTGCCGTTGTCTCGTACCGATGCTTGTGCACTGTGTTTACTGTGTCACAACACTGTGCCAGATCAGGCTGATTGATTGCAGAGCCCTGGCTCCACCTATCAACATCCTCCTGCATCAAACTACTCAATCACCTTTGATAGGGCGCGCTTGTTGTTCGCCTACTTCCACAATGTCTCAAATTTATGAATTGCATTCTGGCAGTGGCACTGACTTCATACGATGCTTGGCAGAAATAGCAACGCCGCGGCTCAGCAAGAAATTGGTTGTTGGTTGCGGTTGCGGGCCGACTCGCGAGCCATCTGCTTCTCTCACAGGCTTTGCTCCAGTACGGAGTACGGATATACGACCTAATCTATTGATCAATGAAGTGGCAGCTGCAATTTCGCCTACCAACAATACGGAGAACTCCCCTTCTTATGCTGTTGCGGTCTTCTTTCTTTCCCTCTCCGGTATCCGTACATTGCCTTGCCTTGTGTGGATATATCTCCTAATCGACGATTGCTGACTCCATTCTGCTGCAGGCAGCAGCATCATCGTACTTCTGATGCCCCTTGCCCAAAGTTCACGCGACTCTATTACCCAGGTCCAGAATGTCCGAAGACCTCTCAGCCTCCTCAAGTGCTTATCCACAACGCTCCAGCGGCCCAGCCCATGCTAATACACACACCTACCGAATAATAACCGCTGGACTTTCTTTTGTGCGTGCTGAGGAATTTCGAGAATGCGCATGGAGACTGTCATGGCTAACAAGCCGCAATGTCTCAGGATAGCCATCATGGACCCTGCAAATCATTGGTTGCAGGGTGCCCCAAAACCAAATTAAGCACCGACGGTGTTACCATGACAAGTGCACTTGTGTACAGACCGCTGATCCAGGGGTAGATGGTTCAGGCTGAGCAGTCTTGGCTCGACAGATTCGCCGATGCTATTTGTAGCCTCGTCTTTGACCTTTCGGGCTGCCTATCTTGGTATAATCGTTCGGACGTTATGCGGTGGTGCTTCATCTTTCATTTCAAACCCGGACATTGGCCCTGAACAGCAAAGGACCTACTGCATGATCGACGCCTTCAGCTGTGCCCTTTAACGCGCTCTTACCCGAGCTGTGACTGCTTACTTCAATATTCAAGACGGGTGGCTGAGACATCCTTCGTCCATCCATTGGCATCGTTGAGTTTTCCGCGTCATCAGCATTACACAACGATCCGTCTCCGCCCGGTTGGTGCATGCGTTTGATTTGATCACCGGCGTCAATTCGTTCCGGAAGCTGTAGAAACGGATACCCTCCGAGGTGCGGCAGACTTGCGTCTTGGCTGTGTGCCATACTTGTGACATGCGCATCCTGCAGTTCAGTCGTCAGATTTCCCCAACTTCCCCCGCGATGCACGGATCCCGACGGGATAGCGCGGATGAGCGGGTGCCGGGAGCTTGCTTTTGTAATATCTATGGTTTATACACAATCAAGACAACGACAACTCATGATCGCCCAGCTGCAATATTTGGATCTATTGTACTGGGGCTACACTCATTATTAATTCGTCACCACTTGCACGCTATCCTCGCAGCATGGCTACCTGAACAACGAGTGACCCCTGCTGGCTGACGAGGTTTGTGATGATACTCATCAAATCCAGATATTTTCTTTCACATACTGAAGGTTGTTCTTTGCTACCGAGCGGGTTGGTTAAGAAACAGCTCGCACGTTCTAAATACTAGGGAGCCCATTAGACAGAAATATTCGATACTTTCCTAGCCTGCGACTACTCGTATAGTCTATCGATCACTTCGCTTTGATGTACGGATTGGTTTCCGATCTATTGGTCAAGCTGCTCATTACAGTTCATGCAATTCGCTGTCCCGCTCCTAACTTCCGCCTCGACTTCAAGCGGAGAAATCTAGACTAGGCAAGTAACCGCTTCTTGACTGTCAACAGAGAAAGACAACTCCGGGCTCCGCAGCATAGCCGTCAAAAGCATTAAACATAGTTTGGAGCCGCCGAAAGCGCCAGCGGCGTCTACTATTTCTCACGCTACTCACTCCCAGGTGGGATACCGAATGAGCATCAAATGTGAATCAGACCGCCCAGAAATATCTATGATGTATTCTCACCAGAGCATTCACGTGTATGGGGTGTCAAAATCTGGCCTTGGATGAAAGCCCCATTGCCTGACCGCAACAATGCAGTGTCAGGGACACCACGCAGGTACCAGTCACGGCAACCTCTGTCGAGTCAGTCGATTGAAGGTCTCACTTGGTGGTTCATACTCGACACTTGCTAGACCCTTACCTGCGTCCACTTTACGAGGCTCACGCAGGGTCTTTGCACACACGCCTATTCCTGACTTGCATCTGTCACTGTCACTTCTAACTGATTAAGTGGCTGGTCTGGGGAAACATGGAATAGCTAAGCAGGGATTGGTAACCCAACTGGCAACATCAATATTATGAGAGCCGACATTAAAGCACATCGGCTCTGCTTGCTTGTTCATGATGTTCAAGCAAACACACATACATGAAACCACTGTGGAAACCAACTGCAGTTTCTCATGGCCCACCAACGATCGGCATCTTACAAAGGACAGCGTGTAGGCGGATTTTTGAAATGCCTGATGCCAATCCTTCCATGATGCTGTCAACGCGACACCCCATTCACAGATGCATCGTAAGCTTGATTTGTTGCGGCTGTGTGACTTGGGTTTTTAGTCGCCCACTCCACGAGCGTCACAGAAAGAATCCACAAACGCTCCAGGTTTTACCTAGTTGCGCAGACACCGCTATTATCAGTCATAGCAGCACACTGACAGAATGGCCAAGTCCGCCTTCAGTTAGAGAGTGAATGATCGGGTGATACAAAGCGACAGCCAACTTCTCACGTTCACAAATAGCCAAAACGACAGGCTGCATCTGAGGACAGTATTGCATGTATCCAGTTTACACAGTCCCTCAAGTCACTCGAAAACGGACCGGAACCCTTGCCTGGCTTGTCTAAGACTCCAGACATCTCATCGGGGCCTATTCCCTGCCCCCACCATCCCGCATCTTTATATGCCAGTATGATTGGTTCCTAGGGTTATAGCGGAAATCCCCCAAACAGGATTTTTTTGGTGACTTTTGGCTTCACACCCCGACCCTTGATCTGCTAGGTTCCAACAGTCTTTCTAGAAGCCTGTGCCCTTGCATCCTGGTGGTACAATGTGTGAAGCTTGGACCAAGCTGTCAAGCTGGCTTCCCACTGCCCGCGCTTGCATATGAAGAAGCAGCCAGCAACATCGTTGTTGGAACTGGATGAGAAAGTCTGAGCTTTCCCAATAACATCTGTGCTTCCTCGGTGAGTTTCTCCCCATGTTAAAAGTGGAATTGGATGATCTTCGCAATCAGTACGTACTGAATATTATTGCTGATCTGCGTAAAATGCCTTGGTCACATCTCTAGGTCCGCGTTCATTCGAGAAATGAGGTTTCACCACGACCACTGATTAAGTCATGACGATTCGCCTATACAACCAACAGGAGAAGATCTGCTGACCGGTTGAGTTCACGAATAATACCGGCACTTAATTATTATTTGCATTACACACACATTCGCTTTGTTGGCGATGGGGCTCATACTACGCATGCGACGCTTGATGGTAACTATGTTGGGGCGATTCCCAATAAGTCTTGGGCTTAATATGCACGTCGACTCTTGCGATGGCGCTTCCGTCTAGCCGCATCTTGTTCGATCCATAGCCAATCTCTTCGTCTCAGGTCAGCGGAAGTACGTACTACGCAAGAGGGTGAGCGTCGCCCTGGTCATCTGTATCCTAAGCCTAAGCCTCTGGCGTCCTGTTTCTGACTGGGGCCTTGGGGTCCAATCACCACCATATTGTGGCCTACCATGAAAGTGAGGCTCGGTGCGAAATGAAACAAAACGCGAACCCTGACGAGGCGTTGAACGGCGAGGCACAATGAGAAAGCCTTATGTCAGGAATGGAATAAATCGGAATGCAGAATGCAGATTGCACATGCTGCAACTTGGCAGAAGGACAACTTGCATATATTAGGTAAGTGTGCTCTTTCTTACTCAGAGCCTCGTCCATGATACTCGGCATATGATGGCCAGCCACGGCTGCTGGTGGACAAAGATGAAAGGAACCTCCAAACGGGCCGGCTTCTTCGTGTTCTCCATATATCTTGAGAATAGATTGGGTACCTTCCATGTCGGCGAGGTTTGACCACGACCTTGACCGGGCCGTTGTTGACCGTAAAGGGCAAGTCGAACGAACTCTTATGCGATTGGCTAAAATGCGATGCTTCGCCGTGGATTGGAGCGTCTATTGGCTGCGTTAGGACCCATACCATGAACGTATGTTACTGGTCGCCCGGCGGCCGGGCAATCAAAACACCCCCACGCTGACCAGGCCAAATTGCAAAATCAAAACTCGACCATATCTTTCCCAGGCTGAAAATCTCTTCTCTGCAACCACACACAACCACAACCGCAACCATCAACCATATTGCTGGGCGCCACGAGGGATTCAACCATCCACCACTGCATCGCTGATCGCCGACTGCTGCTGTTATTGCTACTGCAACCCTACCCAAAACAAAACCAAGTCAATGCCCATTATTGCGTCGATATCTTCGTCATGATTCTGGCTTCAGGTTAGGTTTTTTGTCTGGGAAGCGGCAGCGGCCGCTGCCACGCGCATTCTAAGTTGAGTGTATGTGGTTGGCTGGCCTTGCCTGACAGGGCTACAGCAAGCTCGCGTTTCTTCACTATGCGTGATGGCATCATCTCGGCGTGGTGTGGGAGTGGAGGGAAGCCTCTGATACGAGGAGATGCTATACGCAAATTCAACGTAATACTGACCAACAGCTTCGTGACCTCGTGATGTTTGCCAGCAACTGCGTTGAGATTTTCTCAGCGTGGTAATCGGCATTCAGCGTCTGCTCTCCATAGACCTGGATGTTTTTGCTCTGGCATAGATAAATCTGAACTCGTTGCTGGGCACCCGGCTTTGAGAATGTCGTCTTGACTTCTTGGACAAGCCGGGAATCAGCTGTAGGCACATACTATATTAACCTAAATCCATCGCGTCGTAATAATGCAGTCGACGGACGACCAGTACTTCTCCTTAACGATACCGTGCATCGGAACATCTCGAAGTAGCTGTTATTTAATTCTTGGAAAATCAATCAGCCGGCAGTTGGCGTATTGGCTGGGCTAGTTGAGCTTCCCTGCATCGTGGACGTGGCTTGAGTCGCGTGGGATTTAATGCTCATGGCCGTTGGTCCAGCCTGGTTTAGTCGAGTCCAGTCCAGTCCCTGCTGTCGTTGTCACTGTCACTATCACTATCACTGCTGGTCTCTTGTCCAACAGTCGAACTTCAATCTCACCCACGGAAATCGATGATCAACGATCGGCGGGGTGTTCCGAACCCGGTTGAACGGCGTCGCCGATTGGAATTCCCAGCGAACATAACACGATACCGTGGTCTGTAGACGGTTGTTGTGTATTATGCAATTCAATTTGGCTAGTCCGAGCATCGATGCTAACGCATAAGGGGAAAATACACGGCATCAATCAGCCTTGTAATCACCCAACAGAGGTGTCTCGGAGCGCGCCGCGAGATGGAACGAAATAAGCATATATGATACTGTGCCAGGACTCAGAACTGTCAGATGGCAGAGGTAAAGCTGATGGCTATTCATGCAGTGTATCCCTTTGGGCCGGTATGCGTCTCACCAGTCTGGGGCACTTCTGTGATTTGGCGAGTACGGCAGAGTCCGATGAGATGAGGAACACTCCTGATACAGCAGGTGGTCATCGATCGGCGGGAAAGAGATGGTGTTGTCGGGGACCTTGATCCCCATGAATTAAGACGGCTGCTATTATCCGTACAACGAACGACACATTTGGGGAACCTGGCAGTCAAGTGACTCGGCATCTGCTGTGACATTTAATATGAGTGCTTGGATATCTGCTTTGTCAGTCATTTCGTAATGACTTACTCTATTAAATAAATAAAAAGTACCACCCTCGGATGGTAGTAATTGAACAGCATTATATGGCTTGGCTGACCTGGGTATCAATGGTGTGCTCCAGTTTCCAGCCTTCTGCTCCCCGTTACGTTACGCGTTACGGCATGGACCTCGGTGTCAGTGCCGTGGCAAAAGTGGCGGGGTTGGGGTCATTTTGTCAGTTGAGAAATGTATGTGATTCATTCTCCTGTATCCGTATGCGTATGCGTAAGTCTTGTATTGATTGTATCCGAACAAGACCTAATCCGTAGCGCCAGTATACAACAATTGCGGCATTGGGTGTATCAGAAGAGGCACAGTTGGCAATATCGTTAATATCATACTCCACCAATAACACATACAAACGCTTCACAACAGCAGCCTCCTCATCACCATGGCAGACAACAGGTGAGAAGAGAGCCACCCATCCACACATATAATCCAATCGCGTACAAGTCAATTCAAAAAAAAAACACTGCTAACATCACTCTTCACTTACAGTCGCATTGATATCATATTTGTTGGCGCTGGCGCTGTTGGTTGTTTCTATGCTTCACGGCTCCATCATGTAATGTCTTCCAATCTCATGACACGATATCTTCACATTCTCTAACGTTCATGGCAGCCATCTCAAAACATACATGTCTCTCTCGTGGCACGCTCCAACTACGCTGCTATTCAAAAGGATGGTGTCAAGCTTCAGACCAGAAGCTTTGGGGATTACATCTTCAACCCAGACGCAGCTTTCCCTTCTGTCGATGTCGCTGCAGCGGCCAACTCATCAGATGCAAAACGAGACTGGCACTATATATTTGTGACCACAAAGGCTCTTCCAGATATCAGTGACGACTCATCCATCATTGAGCCCCTGGTTGGCCCAAAGTCTTGCATCGTTCTCATCCAGAACGGCGTCGGTGTAGAGGAGCCTTTCCGCAAGCGCTTCCCTAATAACCCCATTATCAGTGCTGTCACGGTCGTGAGCGCGGAGCAAACCTCTCCTGGCACTATACGTCAGAACCGCTGGACGCGTATCAGCATTGGGCCATACACTGACGGTCTGGCCTCGAAGGAGTCGGAGCTGGGGCGCCGCGGGACGGAGTCAATCGAGGCATTGCACCGCTGGTGGACAGACCTGGGCGGTATCAAAGACGTTGATCCACATGACGAAGTCGGTCTCCAGACTGTGCGATGGCACAAGTTGTGCATCAACGCAGCCATGAACCCTTCCGCTGTGCTCTCAGGCGGTCGTGGCAACGCAGACATGGTATCAGACGACGAACTACAGCGACACCTACTAGGCATAATGCACGAGATCCGCGATGCTGTGCCCAAAATCCTAGGCAGGCCCTTCCCGGATAGTATGGCCAAGCCCAAAAAGATCATCGAGAGTACGGGGCGCAACAAGGGCGCCAGGCCGAGTATGTTGCTGGACTGGGAGGCAGGTAAGCCTCTGGAGTTGGAGGTGATATTGGGCAACCCGGTGAGGATTGCGAGGGAGAGGGGCGTCGACATGCCCAGGTTGCAGAGTCTGTATGCGCTTTTGAGGTCGGCGCAGGCCATGAGGAAGAGGGAGGCTAAAGGGAAGCTATGAGATGGATGATGCTATGTCGCATGATCCACCGGGATTGAGATGTCATTGATAAGACATAAATACATATAATCTGCAGTTCAACATGTATACAAACCACCTACTTGGCCCTTGTTTGGAGATATCTCTGCCTCTCACCTACCCCTTCCCTGTCTTGTAGCCGTTGGCGGTAAGGTTTCTATCTCGATTGCACTCTAGGGTAACCTGATCAACCACATCACTCAAGTCTATATCTTTTGTGGCACAAATGAAGCCTTATCCAAGAGTCAAACCAAATCGACACAGGGAATTGGTGGTGTAAGATGTGCTCTTATGTCTCAGCCGGGCGGTAAATGAGTGTTATGTATTGTATAAGTTCTTTTGCAATAGTTGGATGTCGTGCCATGAAAGCCCTTTTCTAGAAAATTTCCATGATTGAAAAACGCTAAATTCGCACTCAAAACGATGACATTTGTCCGAAATTTTCGTTCTGATCGAAATCAAGTCATTCCGTACCGGCCTATATACAAAGTGCAATTATCCGAATGATAATATCTATGTTGACTCGCCTTCATGGTTTTGACCCCCAATCGCTAGGCGATATGACGGTTTCTTGAACTTATAAAGAGTTTGCTCACGAAATAAAGCCCCATTCGGGGCTGGGGGAATTGGACCGAGAGCCTTTGCTTCAGTAATTATTGTATGAGCGGCCGGGTGGTGAGCAACTGGATGAGAGATCTACCCAAGGACTCTAGAGTAACCAACCGGTTCATCGTTCTATTGCTGCAAAGTAAGCGATGTGGTACTCGCTGAATGTGATTGTTTCCCTGCTTGTTACTCGTTCCCCCTGAAATCGGATTTATCAATGTAGAGAAGCACTTTAGTAGGTCAGAAACTGACTTGATTTTGGCATAAGATTTACGTCGAAGTAAAACTGATAGTCTTCCATGAGTTCATGACAAGACTGAGGCGTTGCTCAGCCCTTGTGTATGGCACAGACAACCCAGCAACGGACATACAACAGTGTTTACCATTCTTTGATTATCCCTAGGGATGTGTAAAACTAATGTGGTAAGAAACCTTCCTTGTTTGAGAACGTTACTGCTCGAATTTCCAACAGCCTCTGGGTTCTAAGCGGCTCCGGCAGTCACTTTGCCCAAGATTCTTTATCCACGTGGAACAACAAGGGAAAAGCATACTGTTCCAGGAAATCAGGTTTCTCTGGTCAGTATAACATGGCAAATAGGAATAACAATAATTGGTGGTTTCAATTTATTGAATGAGTTTCAGCACCCTTATCGAGCTTTCCAATGGGTCATGAGGGCTGACGGCTTCATGACAGTGCCGAAGGGATAAATATGGATAGTGTACCAGTTACCCAGTATCACATATATACCTTCATGAAAGTTTATGGCAATAAATATCATAAGATGTCCCCATATATGTATTCGAGAGCGCGGAGAAGAACAAGCATTGAGCTCAATGATAGAGACATCCGTGTCCAGGCCCAAATCATCAGAGCTTACTACTGACAATTACAAGAGTATGATACTGTTATACTGGTTCCTTTATCTTTCATTTGGAGAGTGGGTGGAGTATAATTAGTTGGGAAGCATAGACTTGCTGTACAGACACATACTCGCTCGAATTCACCTCCCCAATGGTCTTCGAATGAAAAAGCTGATATCGATACTAAAGCTACAATAACAGACCCGGAAAGTGAAACCTGGCATGCTTAGACGAACAAATGAATGCTGTCATATCTCCTGAGGTATAGGGCGCTCAGCTTGTGTTAGTCACATCTGAGGCGTGAAGAGGGATTGTCAAACTCACCGCCAGACATTTACTGACAAGAAATTCCTACGTTATTAGGTTCAAATTCTGAGGGTTTCCTTCACCGCACATGCGTCGACTACCGTATAGCATGGTCAAGGGTGCTGAAGTTCCTCTTCATGGCCATCAGACAGCCCAGAACTCTGTCTTAAACGAGGCGCCGGCATGCATCTGTAGTGTTCTCTTCCTGCTGGATAACACATCAATTTGATGCTATGCTTGAATTGAGACAAGTAACAACGATCAGCAAGTATGAGTTCGATAAAGGTACCTGTCTCGAGAGCCATCAATCGAGCATTCGAGTTGGAAAGAGCATGGCTGGCCAATAATAGGTTGATACAAGGCCAAATAACTACCCAACCATGCACGACATAGCTGACTACTAGGAACAGCCTTGCACATATTCTCAAAGCCCTAGGATCCTATGTATGCTCAAGCACTGGCTACCGTGGAGCCGTCACATATCATAATTTACCATATGGTAACTAATCGAAAGCTTAATACGTGGTGCAATACAGCCCACTCAATGGCCAAGGAGCCTGGTAAGCTCGAGTGGTATGGGTTAGATTTGACCTTGGATGCAGGGTTGGCCCTGCTTTGGCAAGACAGTGTGTAGTTCTGGACCTCAGGTCCCTAAGTCTGAGCCACAAAACCCATGAATCCCTTTGACTCATGGGGTAACAATGGTGGTGTCCCCAGAGGGCACTCTACATATCAGAATCGACTTACTTCTTCATATTCGAGGATCATAAGCTCATTGCAAATTTGTGATCATGACAAGAAAGAATGAAACGTTAGGATCTGGCAATTTGCTGGGGGAGAATAATGGTTCAGATAACAAAATAAAAGACTGGGAAAGAGTTAGTGAAGTCCGCCTCCAGACATGCGTACTAACTCCAAGAGGCATGTCCTTGTCTATATCGTTGAGCCCGTAGTGGCCACTGTAACCCCCTACCAGATTTCTAATTAGACATGGGCAAACGCGCATGCAAGAGCTTGTCGATGTAATAAGACACATCCCTTATGTGGGATAACTCAGACAAAGCGTTTCGTTCACTACTAAGTTAAGATAGAGATGGATCAAGTCCCAGTCAGATATCTTCCAGTCTGCGATACGCGGATCTGGACGAAGTACACACACGAGCTACATCATAGAACTGAATATGAATGGTACATGGTATGCAAATCATGATACTCAGAATACATACTGGCATTCAACGACCAGGACGAGGCTACAGTGGGTGTGCAAAAGTTCCGACAACTTCCTTACTTATGAAGTTTATATTAAATAGTATTAATGATAATAACCTCTCCTATTTTATACAGTCTTATATAATCTAAAGATAAAATTATATCCAAATATTTCTAATTATTATATATTTTGTATATTTATATAATTTTATTTATTTCTAGTCAGCCTATTGTCGGAACTTTGGCACGGGACTGTATGTAGGTGCCGTTGTTAGTGGTAGAGGGCTTGCATGAGGAACAGTCTACTGGTCGGGGCCAGCTTGAGCCGCTCATCAGACTTTGATGTTTTAAGTTTCCCAGGCACAGGCACGAATCAACTGGCAACAATCTCCAGGAACCAAATAGGTACTACGGACTCTCATAGAGTCAATAGCTCATAAAGTCAGGTAACTTGGATCCGGCTCCCGGGTGAGTCTTATCCCTATCGATAGTGGCCATCCATGCCTACTCTACTCCTCACAAAAAGCCCGGAGCACCTCCGGCTCGATCGTGGCGCTGGAGTCATTGGTGCATAAGGTCTAGACTAATGGCAGTTTGTGAGATGACCAGGATAGGTACGGAGTAGAAATTTCATCAACCGGTAATAGGCACACTGCAAAACTCCGAATGTCAAGTGTCAGTGCCAAAGCCAAATGCATCTAAAATCAGGGACCATTATTATTAATCATCCTGACCCGCATTTGAAGAGATTTTATAATTAATAATACCACAATTCTGTATCCGTAGTGACTGAGCCTGACTGCAATGCTACATGATGAGGACCCTCACTTCTGGTCTACAGCTCCGACGGAACGATTCCTTATACAGAATTGGTAACCCTGATCTTGGCAGACTACTACGTACCTATGTGGATTAAGGGTCGTTCAACGCCGCCACAGGTGGCTGGTGCGACAAGATCTGCAATCAGAGAAGTGATCGTCACGATCTATATCCGTGCATGACCCCAGCCCGGAGAGAAATCACCGGCTGTAAATGATGTCACAGCTTATTCGCTATGGCGCACCCGCAGCACTATACCTAAATCATAAACCCTATGTCATCCCTCATCATTCTTGAAAACAGAGACAGAACACTTACAGTATTATATCTATGGCTAGATATTCGATTTTGGACGTTACATCGGCTTTGGTTGTCATTTGCGTCGTTAGCCTAACATGTTACAGCCCAGCAAGACCTTCCCTAGCCTCGGCGGTACGCATAGGAACCCTGCCAAGTAAGATCGGCAGGTGGCTCAAGACAATTCGCCTCTATCACCTCATGACACCTTGGCTTGGTCAGAGTAGTGCGGGTAAGGGTCAACCAGATGCCCTGGACTGGTGAACAGGTGGAAGAGGGGTCCAGGTGCTTCTTGGTCCTGGACGATTCAAGCTAGCAGGGCATTTGTGGACTGGCAGAACTGGCTAGTTGGCCCCGAGCAGCTCTACATAGAGTGGACGGACTCTGTGAAAGCTAAGTGGGGAGTAGGCAGCTTGATCGCCGATTCGTAACGTCGTAGGGCGGTCTGACCTATCGGTAATTCTCATCTCTGGGTCTGAGAAATCCCATCCATGATCGTGCAACTGAGAAGCTCTGGCATCTATTTCAAGCCACGGCCAACAAGGGAGCACCCAGACAGGTACGCGAGTTGTTGGACATGGCATAATAGTCAAAGCACTACAACGGGGGGATCAATGCTTTCGATCCGTGTCAAAGTTAAGGGCAGGCGGCATCTCAAATGGTTGTAATTCAGTTCGCAAAGATAATATTGTAGTAGTGACAACTACACTATAGTAGTGGCTTTGGATATTAGCGCGTGAGTTTCAGCCTAACGTGTGTTTCTTGAGACAATTTGGGCGATGATGCTGTGTGATATGGGTCTTGAATCATAGTGACCAGGTATCGCCTGCAGTATCATACAGAGTATAGTACGCTTGTTCCTTATAAATAGAGATATTTGGACACTCCCGCTTCGCTGTGCCTGTATGTCCTTGATATTGTGGCAAGGCTGTTGATAACTTGATTCTAGGCGAGCGAAAACGGTGATCGGTCGGGCTAGACGGGACCAACGACCCCGTTGATATGATCATGGGGGCAATCTGTGATGATTGGAGCCGAACTACTCCGTACAGTACGGTAGTTTGACGACACTGGATGGAACCCCTGCTGAATGGCGGGCTTGTTACTCTTCTGGGTACCGTTACTGTATACACAAGGGGAAGTACCATGGCGACACTGTACAGTAATAATGGGTATTTTCGCCTTTGGATTGTTGGAGATATGATGGGGGTTCGAGGTGGAGGGCTGTTTCGGGGTTGACTGAGTCTTGGGTCAGGCAGGGTCTTGGGGTCATCGAAACCATCAAAACTTGCACCACGAGACCCTTTGAATGACGACAAAAAGACCACAGGAGAATGATGGCATTAGGGGAACATAAAGAAACGTAAGTTGTTCGCCTGTATCGCCTGATTTTGATCCTTGATTCGATAGTTGCATCTATCTCCAAAGCATTTTTGAGTCGTGGGCCTTCGTCGTAAGGCAGGTGGGCACTTCAGGGCAAGGAGTGGTAAATACAGGGGAGGGGCCTGAGATGGGAATTTAAGGGTTAAAGATGGGATTTTGAACAGGCTTGGCAGGTTAATACGATCCTTTGCTCATCGAGAGGGGGGAAACGGAGCAGATCGACAAAGCTAGCGAGGCAATGGATGAGCCATTGTCCACTGCGTTCCAGGATCTTACAGGTAAGGCACGGTACCTACGGTTTGTACTTGCCTCTGACCGCAGCGCAACGATGCCTGCCAGCCCAGCGCACCCCAGGGATCCTTTCCAAGGTTAGCGTGTGTCAATTCTGTAGGCCACACTGTACATCGCCACCTCCACACAATCAAAGCAACCTACAACTCCTGCTCCTAAGTTATTCGTCTTCCCAGCCAAAAGCTGCCACAGGCTGGCAAATTATTCTTCGCCCTATTGCCTCGCCCTACGACCTTCCCTTTCCCTTGTACCTAAGCTGCGTGCGCCTTACGTGTTGAGCAGAAATCAGTCGTCTGAGCCGTCAAAACGAAATCGTCATTCCTTCCGCTTTGGGAATCGCTCTCGCAACCCTTTGCCATCCATTGTCGTCTATTGTGATAGCTTCCAGGCTTCGTTTCGTTTCACCCGCCTCGTTCGTCTGCCCCGATCTGGTCCCTGTTGATCTTGCATTGGTCGAAAGCACCGTCTCTTACCCAACGCTACTTGATTGCCATTGTGCTGCTCCTCCTGTCAAGCCCTCGCCAGCTACCGACCACAGATCACGTTGGTAATAACGACTTCAAGCTTCCACTTCGGTTGGGTTGTATCGAACTCTTCAACCTCAGGGCCATATCTTCACGTCACTCCTACAATCTTTATCGTATACGTTATCACGGGAATGTGCAACACTACGATATAGGACCGACCTCATCCCACCCGGGCATTTCTTTCCCTTCTTTGCTTCTGTGCTTTGGTTATTTCAAACCCCGCCTCGCAACTGTTAGGTTAGCGACCAGACAGCATAAAGATGGATGTGCCGCACGAAGAAGCAAACCAGGGCACCAGTTCCTCCCATCAGGAACAGCAAGAACAACAGGAGCATCAAGAGCGACAGGAGCAACAGGAGCACCATGAACCGCAAGAATCAGAAGGGCAGCAGGGGCCGCTAGACAACACCTCTTCCACCCGACCTCCACCTCAGTCTTCGACAGGATCTTCATCAACCATCGTGCCCAAAGGTCAAAACTTCCTTCCAGACTTACAAACGAATACGCCCACATCGATCCCGAGACGAACGAGTCGGGCCACTTCATCTGCTGCTCCTAGTGAGCGGAATAGCATATCCAACTCCGAAACACCATTTTCTCCTTGGAGCGTCGGGTCAGAGAAACAATTGGGATATCACTCGGCTGCTTCAGATATTTCTGGGGACCGAGTTTTCCCCATACGATCCGTCATCAGTGTCGACCCAAACTCTTGTAAGATCACCAGTGATAATTATTTCTCTAATATGCCCGAACATGATGGCCGAACTATTCCTATCCAGATCCCAGGTGCTTCCCAAGCTGACACAGGATCAGATCTGAAACGTTCAGACACTGTCCCAGCTAATTACCATTCACGTGCTCACAGCGAGCGCCTCGATGCTATCACGCGCAGGAAGAATACCATGAGCGGTCCCATGTCGAGTATCCAACTGGATGCAACCCGCCATGGAAGCAGTACGGCACCGTTGGAACTCGACATATCCACGTCAGACAACGACACAGAAACAGATGAATCAGGACCAATGGGCAATAAGTATCCTGGCCTTGCACCGGCTCAACTTGAGCCCGATGGTTCTTCCGCAGGAAATTCTAGTATTGATATCCCACACGTCACTTCTCGTTTCACCCATGCTGTGACCGATGACGGTCATGCAGTCATTACTGGCCGTGACGGCGTCCTCCAACGATGCGAAGATGAACCGATTCATACTCCTGGTGCGGTCCAATCATTTGGTGCTCTCGTTGCCCTTCGCGAAGAGAACGATGGCTGTTTCGTCGCGCGATACGTCAGCGAGAATTCTGAGCGAATGTTGGGCTATACACCTAAACAACTTTTTCAGCTCAGGAATTTTCTGGATATTTTAACAGAAGAGCAACAGGACAATCTTCTCGACCACATCGACTTTATACGCGATGAAGACGCAGATCCCGCTGTCAATGGACCTGAAGTTTTCAGTTTATCGGTTCGATCCCCCAAGCGCAAGGGTACAAAGCTCTGGTGTGCTATCCATATAAACCCAGCACACCCCGATTTAATCGTCTGCGAATTCGAACTGGATGACGATGTTGAGTATCCTCTCCGCCCAGTGGATGAGATGACGCCCGACACGCCCCATGACACTTTGCAATCGAATCCAACTTTGGAGGAGATCGAAGACAGCACACAAATTCTCAGCAAACCTTTGAGAATTTTGCGCAGCGCGCGGAAGAGACGGGGCGAGCAAGGAGCCATGCAAGTATTTGATATCATGTCCCAGGTCCAGGAGCAGCTCTCATCAGCCCCTAATCTTGAAGCATTCCTTAAGATTCTGGTGGGCATAGTCAAAGAATTGACTGGGTTTCATCGTGTCATGATCTACCAGTTCGATTCTTCCTTCAACGGAAAAGTGGTGACAGAGCTCGTCGACACATCCATGACGAGGGACTTGTACAAAGGCCTTCACTTTCCTGCTTCGGACATCCCACGACAAGCTCGAGAGTTGTATAAGCTCAACAAAGTCAGATTGCTTTATGATCGAGATCAGGACACTGCCCGAATCGTATGCCGGACCAAGGAAGACCTTGATGCCCCCCTGGACATGAGCCATTCTTACTTACGAGCCATGTCCCCAATTCATATCAAATACCTGAAAAATATGGCCGTGCGGTCTTCCATGTCGATATCGATCAATGCATTCAGCGAGTTATGGGGACTCATCTCTTGTCACTCGTATGGTAATCACGGCATGCGAGTGTCTTTCCCCATTCGAAAGATGTGTCGTCTCGTTGGAGACACTGCATCGAGGAACATCGAGAGACTTTCCTATGCTTCACGACTGCAAGCCCGCAAGTTAATCAACACTGCACCCTCAGACAAGAACCCATCCGGGTATATCATAGCATCCTCGGAGGATTTATTAAAACTCTTTGATGCCGACTTCGGGTTGTTGTCAATCAAGGGTGAGACCAAGATCATGGGCAACGTCCAAGAGAGTCAAGAGGCGCTGGCAATGCTGGAATATCTCCGAATGCGGCAACTTACATCTGTGGTGGCTTCACAGGATGTCAGAGAAGACTTTCCTGACTTGAGATACCCACCTGGCTTTCAGGTAGTAGCCGGACTGCTCTACGTTCCTCTGAGTGTTGGTGGCAACGACTTCATTGTTTTCTTCCGGAAGGGACAAATTAAGGAGGTCAAATGGGCCGGCAACCCTTATGAAAAGTTTGTTCGAGAGGGAACTGCTGGCTATCTTGAGCCGAGAAAGAGCTTCAAGACATGGAACGAGACCATTGTTGGCAAATGTCGCGATTGGAATGAGGAGCAAGTAGAGACTGCGGCTGTGCTCTGTCTCGTTTACGGAAAATTCATCGAGGTTTGGAGGCAAAAGGAAATGGCTATCCAGAACAGTAAGCTAACCCAATTGCTCCTTGCCAACTCCGCCCACGAGGTTCGCACACCTCTGAATGCAATTATCAACTATCTGGAGATCGCCCTTGAGGGTACTCTAGACCAAGAAACTCGGGAAAACCTCGCCAGGTCTCATTCCGCTTCCAAGTCCTTAATTTATGTCATCAATGACCTATTAGATTTGACAAAGACAGAAGAAGGGCAGAATCTAGTCAAAGACGAGGTTTTTGATCTCGCCAATTGTATTAGAGAAGCAGCGGGACCTTTCCTCAACGATGCAAAACGTAAGGGAATTCACTACACAATCATTCAACATCCAGGATTACCTCAGTTCGTACATGGCGACGAGCGACGAATTCGTCAAGCACTTTCCAACGTCACAGCAAACGCGGTGGCACACACGCACGAGGGCCATGTAAAGGTGGAGGTTTTTGTGTCAGAACTCAAAGATCAGCAGGCTGTGGTCGACTTTGTTGTTGAGGATTCGGGCATCGGCATGAGCGCTGGTCAGCTTGACTCATTGTTCCGCGATCTCGAGCAGGTCAGCACAGAGGAATCACCGAGGACAAGCACTCATTTGGAGCAAATGCCTCATGAAATGCGTACCCTGGGACTTGGCCTCGCTGTTGTTGCCCGTATCGTTCGAAACATGGACGGACAGCTTCGCTTAAAGTCTGAGGTTGGCCAAGGCTCAAGATTTGTGGTCCAACTTCCTTTCCTCCTTTCTAATGAGTCTCCCAGTTCGCAATGTGATGATGGTGCAGCACCAAGTGGCCCAACAAACCAATCTTCAAATACCCGCGAAAGCGCTAACAGTCAAACATCTGTCGTTGCTTCTATGCCAGTTGCGCCAGAAGGTGAAATCACTCTCGTTGACGGAGGTAGCTTCATGCACTCTGCTATCGAGGGCGGCGACGCTTCAGTACAGAAACAAAGCAGGGCAAGCCAACGAAGCATGAGTAGCCGTGCCAGTCGTGGAAGTGAGCAAAGTGACGCCGATCGGCTTATCAATGCGATCTCTACTCCATTTTCTTTGCACGACAAAGAGGGTACTGAGTTTCCTCTCTCAAACTCTGGAAGCACTTCCATTCGGCCCACATCTCGTGGTGTCGTTAGCACTGGCAGTGCCGATGCTCGATCCAACAGTCCATCCAATCGAAGTCCTGTTGCGGCGAAACCACGTAGTGAGCCTGGTAGTGCTAACGTTTTGGATTCGAAAACCCCGATTCGCGCGGTCAAGATGCCCGACGATTACACCAATGTACCTGCGAAGCCGCAGACCAACGAGCAATCCAGAATACTGTTCGAGATGAAAAACACTGATCGACCTGCACCAAAGACTGCTACAGAAAGTGTTACTAGTGCAGGAACTCAAGTGACTGAACAGCAGCACCTTGAGGTTCTTGTCGCTGAAGACGATCCAATCAACATGAAAATCTTGAGGAAGCGTTTGGAGAGAGTTGGCCACGGCGTGCATCACACTGTAAATGGAGAAGATTGTGCTGCAGCTTATCGCGAAAGATCAAATGATTTTGACGTTGTCCTTATGGATATGCAAGTGAGTAACCTCCAACTTCGAAACGAATAGGATAGTTACTAATTTGAAATAGATGCCAATTGTTGACGGTCTGACAAGTACAAAGATGATCAGGTCCATTGAGAAATCTGGGGAGCATCATGGTCACTCGCCGTTAGCTGGTACCAATCATCGCATTCCAATCTTCGCCGTTTCAGCTTCTCTTATTGAACGTGAGAAGCAGAAATATATCGATGCTGGATTTGATGGATGGATCCTCAAGCCCATCGATTTCAAGCGCCTCAACACTTTACTGGCTGGTATCTCTGAAGAAGAAATCCGCAGCTCTTGCCTCTATGAACAAGGCCAATGGGAGCGTGGAGGCTGGTTTCTTCCAAGGTGCAGTGTCGGCGGCTCAGAAACTAGTGATGCGACTACACCAAGGGCCGAGTCCGAGGCGAAAGACAAAGATATTGGCGAAACCGCTGCTCCCGCCGAAGATGGTAAGGCAGAGGGTGACGACAATGAAACCACACCAAGTTCCTGAGATGTCGATACCTGACTTCCTACTATTCAAACAAACAAACCATTCGCCGCCCCTGGTTTCCGTTTACCTAAGCTTGGAAACACCACAGACCCACCAGTATAACATGATGACGTCTCCTCGACTCGACGAGCTATTCAAGCACGATTTTGATACCTTCAACACCTACATCTTCGGATATCACCTCATAGCATGCTAGTCTGTTTTGTTCTTTCTTTCTTTCTTTCTTTCCCTTTTTCTTCTGCTTAAACGATCTTAGCCCACGGGATACACGTACTGTACACGATAGATATGATGGGAATGAGAATTGGCAACCTGGCGTTAAGGAGCTTTCAGGCGATGGATTACACTTCGCCATTGGTACGCAGCATCATATCGCAGACAGTCCTTTTACCGCAAGCAGAAGCGACATTGCATGGTCTGGATATTCATAATAGCTGACACTGCGCTACTCTTTTTCTTTCTATTATTCTCTTTGTTTTTTCTTCCATTTCCACTGTCGGCATAGAACGAATGAGGGACGAGGGCCATGATGTACACGATAGCATGGGTTCCGAGGACGGGGTGTTTTTTTTGGTGATCAATCGGATTCTTGTTTTCATTTCTGGGTTCTTAGCCGACGTTTGCTATACCTAGGTAAAAAGAAAACGCAACGGGACGGCCGGTGAGAATCCCCTGCCTGGCTATTTGCCAGGTCACAGCAGCAGGAGACGGGTTACACACGATCGCCATGTAGAGCGACCTATTGAGAAGAAGGCGAAAGGCGCAGGAGCAGCCTGTATATATATCTCATAGAGGTCAAGCTCAAGGCTTCTGGTGGAAAAGAAATAAGATCAGTTGAACGATTAAAACAAGAATAAATAAAAGTCCTATCCGCCACATATTTCACTGAATTGTCGTAAGATGCATTGGACACCAAGCTTGGATATCTCTTAGTTGGTCTCTGAATTGTCGTTATTGTTCATTCGAGGTGTATTTTCCATAGCCTACCTATCAGTCGTTCAACGCCGTCTATGCATTACCCTACAAAAACCTAATGGTTCCCTTCGATTCCTCTCCACCCGTGTACCCTCATCTTATTCAGCTCTGCCTAATGCGTATTTCTCCAATAGCTTCTACGCTTTGTTTCCTTCACTCGCTTAGCAGCCGTGTTGTCAAATATCCAGTTAGTTTGGCGTTGAGATGTCCTCGCTATGGCGAACTCCAATTCTCTGCATCAACAGTCTTAACGTGGGCGATGGCTGGGGCCTCCAGGGCAAGATGATCGGGACCGGGCGTATGCCTACAGCTCCGATTCGGCTCCGTTTGTGGACAGAGCCATGGGACTGCCATTATGGTTTTGTCTCTGGCGAAGGCGGGCGTTTCCAGGCGGGCGTCGACGAACCATAACTCGGCCATTTACGCCGACCTGGCCACCATTGTCGTCATCATCTTCTGAGTCCGGATTCTGTTCTGCGTAGAGTCGGGCTTCATCAAGCTCGTTGATGTCTGCCGGGCGTTCACGAAGCCACTGCATCCTGGGGCCAGATCGAGCTCTCTCCGAAACACGGAAGCCATAGATGCGAGGCTCGTATATACGCTCACGGCCCAGACCAGGGCCGATGTTCTTAGCATACATACCATTCATGAGGCCATCACCATCATTGACTCGCGAGCTGGTGGAGGAAAGCACCTCAATACCTCGCTTGGTGAGATCGTATTCTGGGAAAGTGAGGAGGAAGAGGGAGCCAAAAGTGCGGCCAAAGAAAGCACCGTCCACGGTCTGGAAGCGGCTGTTGGGCGGGACGTAGACGTCTAAGCATGATGGACAGAAAAGTTTGACTGTGTCTTCGCCAGGAATGTCAGAGAGACCGACGGGTAGAGTGCGAGCTTGGTCACAATTTGTCCGAGGACAGCAGCCAAAGTGGCCAAGTTCGTACTTTTCACTCATTTGCTGGATTCCAGCCCTCGAGCAGATAAAGCGCTGGTGGATGAGACCGTAGAGCATTTCAGCCGAGGATTCAATGACTGATAGGTCACTAGCCATGCGGTGGTGCCTTCGCTCGCTAGATGCTCTGGTCAAACGTTCTGGGTCTGAATCATTCTCATCTTCCTCCTCCTCCTCTTCTTCCTCATCATCATCGTCCTCTGGTTCCACGTCCAAGATCATCTGTGAAACAGGGGTGTGACGTTAGCAAATTTTAATCTTTGAGAGAAACTGCAAACGTCGACGCGCCTGCAAGATAGACATACCTCCAATGCTTCCTTGTACATAGCAACCTGGGATTGCAGGCCAGTCAGGTTGAAGTCATCCTCGATGAACTCCTCCGAGACTTCGGCGAAGTACTCATGGCCAAGCAAAGAGCAGAAACTCGAGATCCAGGACTCGGGGACGCCTGAAGAGGTCGACATGGCGTCGCTATCGCAGTCGTCGGTCCGTTGCCGTTGCTGTTGTCGAAGGGGCAACAAATGCCAGTCACGAGGCTAGGGTGCACCCTGTGACGGTGAGGGGGGACTGAATCGCAATAAAGAGACGGCGAGATGGGGGTTGTTGTGAGGGCGCTGAGCGCGATGTCGGGGCGCGTGGTATCGATACGATAGCTGCGAAGCTACCTGTAGTACCTTGGAGGCGGGGTGATGGTGGTGAGTATTTTGAGGGGCGCAGATATCGCGAGCGACGAGCACAGGGCACGCACGCTAAAGTCGATCGGTTCGGTATTGGTATGGTAAGGTAAGGTTGATGTGTGTTGATTACACCAAAAATAATAACAGCACAGGAATTCAGGGCATTGCGATGACAAACTCGGAGAAACTTAACAGATGGATTCGAGCGTAGTGAACAAATGGAACTGGGCTTTCCTTTTTAAATTGATTGCACGCGGATTCGGCCAGTTTGGTGCAACGAACAAAGCAGAGCAGACAGAGAGGCAGAGTCGATGGGTTCACACTAACTTAATTTGGTAATGGGGCTGGAAAGATACGTTCCCTATAGTAGTACCTGCTTCGGGGCTGGGTTTTGCCGTTCCCGAAGTACACCAAAGATCAGCTGAAGTTATGTATCCGTAGGTACCTACATGATTAGAGATACTAAGTGTATTATAATTTATTTCTAAAATTAAAAATTAAATTTCACAAACTTTAGAAGTCCTATTCTCTTCTTATAATATTTTTATTTTATTTTATCAAAGATTTTAGAAATAATGAATATTTTAGTAAGAAATTAGGGGAGAGGATATTTCTTATGATACCCACTAGACATGGCTTGTTAATATCTGTTTTCTTTTATCACCTTACTATCCGTATCCTCATCCCAAATCATTAAAATAGGTCATGAACAAGATCTCTTCTGTCAGCCTACCATGGATACGGCATCTGCCCAAGGCGGTGCCTTCATGCCGCTGTATCGCTAAACAGAGCTCTCCCGGCAAAGAGAATGTAGTCAAACTGGAGCCAGAATTCGAGGATACCTCTATCGACATGTTTCGTATACGGTCGTTTGAAAGCAAAAAACCTATGGTCTTTGCCAGAGGTCACGGTTCTCCCACGCCTCTTCTTCCTGCCCTAGACAAGTGGTTCGCTAAGGACTCCCAATACAACTCTATGACACTCTCGAAGCACTTTGATCAATTTCACGGTATTATGGTACCATATGAAATCTACGCCCCTACTTCTGCGCAACAAGAAAGTCTTAGGTTGTTTCGAGAGTCTCTTGATGTAGAAGAAACGCGAGATGAAGTTATCGCAAGGTGCTGGGACCTATCCTTTGTGGATTCCATAAAAGGCCAGGAGTTCTTTCAACTCCATGCACCTCTTCGTCTCGTTGTCAAGATACTAAAGTTCAACGAGGTTCTTCACGCAGGAGGTTTGCAGAGAATTCCACTCTACATTGCACAGTGTTCCATCACAGATCTTCCACCTGCCCTTCAAGAGGATATTCCAACGCCAGAATTGGTCAAGCATGCTGGGAAGGGAGACATATATGGCTCCAGTATATGGCTTGGTATAACCCCTACTTATACGCCTCTGCATCGGGACCCGAATCCCAATCTTTTTTGCCAGTTGTCTGGCACCAAAGTAATCAGGCTCATGACACCAAAAGTGGGAGATTGGCTTTTCGGCATGATTCAGGCCGAACTGCACAGATCGGGCAGCAGTCGTATAAGAACGGAGGAGATGATGCAAGGCGAGGAACGGGACAAACTGCACAGTGCTGTTTGGTCAACTGATCCCGATAAGCCTGCGCCGCGTGGCACTCTTGAGGTAGTGCTGAACCCTGGAGATGCCATGTTCATTCCTTCACATTATTGGCATTCAGTCAAGAGCGTGGGAGAGAACGGGGAATTGAATGGCTCAGTCAACTGGTGGTTTCGATAACACCACTGAGTATTGCGAGGATCGCTCCTTTGTCGTACTATCTACACTAGGTAATATCAATCCTTACGCACAGGTCTGCAGACAATCCAATTGACATATCCGCAAGGCCAGAGATGCAACTCACTACCACTCTTGACCTCCCATTTGCTCGCGTCCGCACCACAGAACCTCAACAGAGCCTCAACCTCGTCAGGTGTTCGTGTGCGCAATGCTGAGATGTATCCATCAAACGTGAGAACAAAGGGTATTATCGGGATTATGCACGAGAAGATAAATGTTGCAGGCGATCGCCATTTGAATGCGAACAACGGTGCACTTAGAATGGCACCAATCCCAAAAAGCGTAACCGCCATTACGCTCGCCAGCGAACGATCCTGTAGCTCGAAGATGGCAAACCCCTCGCTCGTTTCGACCGTATCGCGCAGAATCGATGTGGCCAAGTCGTCATCGAAGTGATGAAATGCCAAATTGAACAGCCTGAATGGCTTCGTGCCGTCGTCTCGCCTGACGAGATGCTTTGGGGCGGCCGTCGCATCGACAGATGTGCGCTCGTACGTCAAGAGTGGGTTCTTCTGAGCAACCTTTTCCCACGCTTCAACATTGGGATGCAAGTCGGTAAGGATAAATCGAGCAGGGTCTAATCCCTGGGAGCGAAGGTGGCCATTGACGGTGCGTGCTATCGAGGGTGTAGGGCCACCACCACCAGCACAGAAGTCGACAAACGTAAAATCGGAGAGGGAAGTGTTGAGCTGCTCGATTAACACTTTGGCGCTGAGGCTCGCAGGAGATTGGGGCTGAAGAGGCGTGCTGAAGAGCCAGGCACGGGTGAGGCCATCTTGGACACGCGCGCGAAGGAAGGCTGGGAACCTGAAAGACTGGATTAGTACTAGATGAGGCAGAGTATAGCAGTCGAGCTTCTAGTAGGTATCGCGACGTAGTGATTCAAGCTCAATTGACTAGAGCACCGTAGAAGAAGCGTGGATGTAGGTTGGCCCAGCTCCAGAGTGGTGGAGCATTGTATAAAGGTACGTACCAAGTCTGGTCATCAATCTCAAAGAGATGAAAGCGAGGGACGAGAGGAGCCATCTATAGTTGTAGCAGAGTTCCGCACTTGATTGAATTGTTCCAAAACTTTGTTGTTGCTAAGTAAAGGTTGCTCTTGTTGTCGAATGTCTTTGAGCGACGCATGAACAGGCATGTTTCGGTAGTCCATACTCATGTCGTCACTACAGGGTAAAAGTCTCAAGTTATCAATGCCCTATAAATAGTAGAGTAGAACTTGCAGTAGTTGCCCGATTGACGTTAAAGCTGACGTTGATCATGATAGAAAAGAAAATGGTATCTTTTCTTTCTTTGTACTGTCAGTAAACAAGCAGAGTTTCTCTCTCTTTTGTGGTTGAGCTGCTATCCAGCAATATACGCGCTATCATGCATGTTTCATCACAGTTTTATAAAACATCGCCAGTGCCAAACGCCTTCTATGCTACCTGTGCTATGCTGTGTTTTGGCATTCCCGTTCCTCAACCGATTCTTCATCAAACCCTCCGCGCAGTGTCCAGTTTTCGTCAACTTGGTGATAAAAAACTACCTTGCTTGCTCATCGGTATAGGGGTCAAATCCCATGCGCCGCTTTGCCTCGCTGCGGGCTCTCCATTGGGTTTCGCCAATCAATCCCGTGGTAGATGTCTCCTCCAGGAAAAATGTCAGGATGTGGTCGGGGATAGACAGATGAGACGTTTGTTGAAATTCCTGGAGACTAGCCAGCCGTATGAGCATCTCCATTAGCGATAAAGAAGTTGTAATTCCGCCGAATGGGGACCGAGCGACAAAGTTCTCTGTTTCGGCTGATGTGGCAGCTTGCAGAGAGTCTTGTTTCTCGGAATTGCTCAGCGAAAGCCTCTTGATTTGATCGACCACGTTCGAATCCAGCGATCTCCTGTCACGAGGAGTGCCCGGCTTTGAAATCGCCTCTCTTGGTTGATCCAGGCTTCTTGAATCCGAGGAGTCATCGTCCTCGCCCTCTTCAGCATCATCATCGTCATCCTCAAACACCTCGAGAGCAATCCACTCAGGGTCAAGATGCGCCGGGAATTTCCATTTGAAACAGTCGGTCGAGGCGACAATTTTACTATCGTTGACCGCGGGACGACCAAACTCCTCTAGAAGTTGCTTGTCGATATCAGCTTGGTCATCTTCAGTGCCGATCAAGTCCAATACTTCACTCTCACTTTCGCCATTAAGCTCGTCGAGGAATCCGTCAATATCATCAGCTACCTGTCGGGGGGCTAAGGCCTGCGCATCTCGTTTCAAGAGCAAGACTGGTCTTTGCTCGCTGTCGGTAGCGGAACCTATGTTCAGAATTCTGCCTGTGTCTGTATAGAAGATCTTGGACAACTGGTGCACCGGTATAGATTCGCGAATACCTGCTCGTGAGATGTCATCGTACGACTCCGTCTTATGCTCGTCTTCGTCATGGACGCGGCCGTCGTCGAGATCTTCAATAATTTCCAAATGGTAAGCGTACTCTCCGCCGCCGGTTGCATCAGGAATTGGAAGAGGAAGTGCACAGTCTTTCAGTGGCTTGGCGCGAAACCCTTGCCTGCTGTCAAAGTAGAAGTCTCTTCGAACTCTACATATGCGGACACGGGCTTTGTGCAAGACTTCCTGCCACAACGGTTTTCGGTCCCCTTCTCCCAAGCCATAGGAACTCCCCTCGCTAAAAGGATTCGAAGACAGAATATCAGTAGAAACTGTGGCAATTTGAGAGGAGCCGTGTGACACCGGTGCAGATGCATGGCCGAGAAATAACATGTAAAGTGATAGAGTGAATGATGGACCAATCTGGACTGGCCTCGCAGGATCCTGAGTGAATTGTGTATCACCAATGGTGAGTAGCGTGCTGGCCTGCAGCAGTCGGGACGGCGATATACCAGCGGGCAAAGATGTCGAAAGACTTTCCCCAGATGCCGTAATGGCCAACTGAAGAAGGGGAATTTCGCGGTCTATTCTGTCCAGCAGGGCTTTTATTCCAGTGACGACAGCCAGTAGCTTCTCACGACTGACAGGCGATGACTGTGTCTGAGCATGGTTGCCATTCGAATTTGAATATATAGCAGTGGTTGCCTCTATGCGACGCCCAAGTGAAACAATGTCCTTATGCAATGATCTCGCAAGGGGAGCGGCTGATTCGAGGAATATGTTTCCTCGTCCTGATCTACTTGAGTGTTAGTAGAACCGAACTAGGTGTGACTTAGTAGCTCTAACTAGTTGTGTTTGTAGTTAAGGAGCGAATGGGGTTCTTACTTGAACTCGATCAAGTCTATTGCTGGTGAGATGATCTGCAAGGCCACAGGTTAGGTATCAAATACCAGGAACCCTGGGTTAAGGATGAGGTTGAGGACTGAATCCCTCCACTATGACGCACCTTGATCTTACAATCGAGCAGGTTTCGTAAGGATTTGAGTTCATCATGGACTGCCTTGTCTTCGACCGACTTGAGGAGCCGCGAGCATTGGCCGATGGCGTAGGACGATGTTAGGGCGATACCAGAGCGGATGGCATATCTCATGGCCTGAACGCCAACTGTTGCGAGGAACTCATCCATGACCAGGGCAATCGAGACTGATAGTTATAGAGTAGCTTATCATGCTTGAAGACACTGTAACAAGTGTAGTGTTAATATTAAAGGAGGATCAACCTGAAGCTGAAAGAAAAATAAACAAAATATTGCACGTTCCCCATGGACAGTCCCATGTCGCATTGATACAGGCTTGTATGTAGCCTAGCAGCGTTCATTCACTGCACGCAAGCGCAATTGCTGGGGACCAGACCGCCAACGCATAGATTTCTACGGCTAGGCTTGCACTTAGGTACAGCACCTCTAGGGGGACACAGGGAGCCCAGAGTAGATACCGCACAGTGCGAAAACTAGGATGGACCCTGGTCTACAACGCACGTGCATTTTCTTTGTGGCTGGCATGGCTACCCAGTTCGTCATCAGGCTGTGTTCGAATGCTGAGATGACTCGATATGCGAGTCATAAGGCTGAAACTGACCATTAAATTCGAGGACGTCCCTGAATAACTCCTAAAAAGACAATGTTTCTGCCTGCTTGACATCCTGCTCGATACGAATGCATGTGCAAGTGATATCATACGCACAGTACGAGCCCACTAAACTGCCCCTCTAACACTTCTTCCCAGGGCATAATGGAAAGCATTTGGGCCAGGCTTGAGTGTCATGACATGGTGGGGCAAATTCACACTGGAACCTAAACCCGCCTCCCCCACCAAGCACAAGGAAAAGTATTCACAGAATAACCATCATTGGGTTCCTTTGGTGCCTAAAACTTGTTAAACTCAAGGCATTTTTTCGGCTCCCAAGTGACGGGTTCGATTTTTCTATTTGTATTTCACTTTATCGTCTTTGAAAACTTAGCACTTTATTCGCTCTCCAAAACACTCGAAACCCATCCCAATTTTCCACGGCACAGGCTGCATATTTAGGGCCTTTTTATCCGCACCGCAACCCCATCTAGACCAACGACCGATCGCAAAACCTTCTACTCCTCTACTCTACCTCACTCTCCTTTCCTCCCTTCACCTCTACCACGCGATATACCCACCGCCGTCAAACACAACACAATGGCGACCCCTAACTCTTGGGAGGACGATCCCTCTGCTCAAGATGACAACATCGCTCAGCAGGCTCAGCAGCAGCTTAACATGAACCCCGCCCCCGCGCAAGGCGGCTTCCGACCCGCTATCGCCTCTTTCCAACCAGGTGCCGCTTCGTTCCAGCCTGGTCAGGCCTATGGAGGATACGCGCCTCAATATCAGCAACAACAATACTACCAGCAAGGCTACTACCCTCAATATGGTGCTCAACAGCAGCAGCAGCAGCAGCCACCGCAGCAGGGCTTCAACCAATACAACCAGGGTTATGGTGGCTACAACCAAGGCTATGGTACGACACTTGCGCTCAAAAAAAGCGTTTTCGCCGAGCTATTTGAAGATGACAACTGACATATTTTTATAGGTGGTGGCGGATACCCTCAGTATGGTCAACAACAACAACAACCTCAGCAGCCCGCTGCTCCCACGATTGCCCAGCGACCCGCCGCCGATGCTCCCGCTGACCCCAGCCAACCCGCTGCCGCAGCCCCTAAGCCCAAGGTGATCAGCATCAGCGCTGATACCTCCGCGCCCAAGCCTAAGGCAAAGGTTCTTTCCATCTCTGGAACCGGTGCCGCCACCACTGTCAAACAGGAGGAACCCACCAAGGCTGAACCTACCGACAAACCCGAGGACGGCCAAAAGGCCACAGCTGCTAAGGCTATCGAGAAGACGGGCGAGAAAGCCGGCAAGGCTGCTGCTGGGGTTAAGACCTCTGGCAAGACCTCGCCGAGCCCCAGCTCTGGCCGTAACAGCCCTACCGCTGGCGAGAAGAAGGCGGCTGCCCGAGAGATCGATGCTGTCGAGAAGGAGCAGACTGCTGATGTCGATGAGGAAACACTCAAGGAAATTTACGGCAAGGAGCACGTTAACATTATCTTCATGGGACACGTCGATGCCGGAAAGTCAACTCTTGGTGGTTCGATCTTGTACGCCACCGGTATGGTCGACGAGCGAACCATGGACAAGTATAAGAGGGAAGCCAAGGATCTGGGTCGAGAGTCTTGGTACCTGTCATGGGTTATGGATTTGAACAAGGAGGAGCGAACACAAGGCAAGACTATCGAAGTTGGCCGTGGTTTCTTCGAGACCGAGAAGCGTCGTTACAGTATCCTTGATGCTCCTGGCCACAAGATGTACGTCCCCAACATGATTGGAGGTGCTTCGCAGGCCGATGTTGGTATCTTGGTTATTTCAGCCCGAAAGGGTGAATACGAGACTGGTTTTGAGCGAGGCGGACAGACCCGTGAGCACGCTATGCTTGCCAAGACTCAGGGTGTCAATAAGCTCATCGTCGCTGTCAACAAGATGGACGACCCTACCGTCGCCTGGTCTCATGAGCGATACCAGGAGTGTACATCCAAGCTCGCTCAGTTCCTTAAGGGCACTGGCTACAACCTGAAGAATGACGTCTACTTCCTGCCCATTGCTGCTCAACAGATGATGGGTATCAAGACCCGCATCCCCAAGGATGTTGCTCCCTGGTGGGAGGGCCCCGCCCTGCTTGAGTACCTCGACAGCATGAAGGCACTCGAGCGTAAGGTCAACGCCCCCTTCATGTTGCCCGTCAACGGAAAGTACCGTGATCTCGGCACAATGGTGGAGGGCAAGATTGAGGCCGGTGTTGTTAAGAAGGGTATGAGCATGGTTATGATGCCCAACAAGCAAACCGTTGAGGCTGCTGCCGTCTATGGTGAGCAGGAAGACGAGGTGCAATTGGCTCAGTGTGGTGACCAGGTTCGAATAAGGCTCAAGGGTATTGAGGAGGATGACATTATGCCTGGATTTGTGCTGTGCTCACCAAAGCGACTGGTGCATACCGTTGCTGAGTTCGAGGCACAGATTCGAATTCTCGAGCTCAAGAGCATTCTGACTGCCGGCTTCAACTGTGTGATACACGTTCATTCCGCCATCGAGGAAGTAACATTCGCAAGCCTCCTACACAAGCTGCAAAAGGGAACCAACCGCAAGAGCAAAAACCCCCCTACACACGCCAAGAGGGGTGACAGCATTATCGCCCGTATGCAGGTGATTGGCGGAGCAGGCGCCGTGTGCGTGGAGAAGTTCGAGGACTACCCCCAGATGGGTCGCTTCACCTTGAGAGACCAGGTAGGTTTCTGCTCACCCCCAACTGTTTTGGCAACATACACATATTCTCCGTTCTACTTACCCCAGGCTTTTGTCCACCCGGTCCACAAATGTCCCGCAAGGCCAAGTGACCACTGCCGGACATGGTGTGACAAGAACACGCTTGGGGAGTGCTTTCATCAAGTAAGATATTGTCACTAATACGCTTTTCTTTAGGGACAAACCATTGCCATTGGCAAGATTACGAAGCTCATTAGCAGCAGCGATGCTTAAATGAATGATGATTGTTTCTTGATACGCGCTCAGGCGTGGCAATGTAACCCCAAAAATGACAGAGGCCAGTAGCGAAAAGGTAGGGAAGATGTAACAGGCATTCACCACGATCATCATCACAAATCGTTGCGGTTTTGACGGCTTGGTGCTGGAGTAGAAAGTGATTTACCAGGAACGCGGCACCAGATTTGTATAGGATGACGGGAATACCGCTTGTGTTGCCGGCACCAGAAGCTGATGAAAATGACGACACGAAAGAGGCAGGAACAGTTGACGATACGATGGATGGCATGCATTTCCTGTGCTTCAGTCATATATAGATGAGTAAAGTAGGAATAAAAAGGAGCATGTCGGGAACCATTTGAATACTGTTCTTCCTTTGCCACGGCGAGATACAAACAGACAAGGTTGGATATTATACTAGAGGCCCAAAACTCTTCCATTCACATAGAAGATGGTTGTCAGGGTGTAACACAATATAAGCAGGGCAGGACAAGAAAGAAATACTTTGGGAAGACCTGACTTCGACAAGAGAGAGAGAGCATATGGAACAAAAGGTAAAGGGTTTCAAGAATCAACATAGACCTAATTGTGATGGCGGGATGCGAAACCGAAGTGATATAATAGTTGAGATCATGAGAAGGGTGAAGAAACATACACAAGTGAAGGAAAGCGAGTTGTTATCGTGGGCCTTTCCGCCTCAGTCGGAGGCAGCCCACGAGAGCCAGGGGGAATATCCAACCTGACGGATCATACAATAATCGAGTCCGGCAAGAGAAGAGATTTCGCCGTTGTCGCATTATGCCCCACAGAGATATGTAGCAAGTCACAGTCACGATAATCGACATTTCGAGCTCGCGATGTGTAATCCCAGTTCCCATCTGCAAGATGTACAGGGATAATGCCTTAGTGGACGGTCTCCGAGATCAGTTAGTTGACGTAAACAGGACGGAAACCAAATAGAAAGGTGCATTTGCAGGGGCCAGAACTATTGAGAGCATTTGTATGGTTGGTGATCTATCATGACTGAGGGGATAGACCCAGAAGGTTTGTTCATGGGCACGAGAAAAAGTCGGAACGATCAAGTTCAGCGTTATAGAGTGCAATTGTACGAAGCAGGAAGCGGTGACCGAATGGAAATCCGAGATAAATGAGAATGGAGAAGAAGTACCGGTGCCATTAATTACCTACCCATGCACTAAAAAAGGAACAGGTATCGCGGGTGCGGTTGCGGTTGCGGGTGCGGATCCCGGCGCAGCTGGCTGGAAGCGGCCCAGCGGATCGGGAGTTGGGGTGTGTCCTAACTATCCTATGGGATACGATACGGTACGGTACGGTACGCTGAAGTTCATGGAACTGGGATATCATAGCGTAGGTAGTGCTGATGTTATCCCTCGGTGAGTGAGGCCCGGCAGCAGGAATTCTTGTCCTCGGAAGGTTGCCGAGGGGCCGGAGGTGTACGGAACGCCGTCTTGCTCAAGGTGGATCGGGTTTTGAATATACTGATCGATTCTTGATACTGAATTGTCGTGATTGCGCCTCGAGATGAATGCAGGAACTGGGATCAAGGGGTCCGTGAAACAAATTTCGTGATTCATGGAAATTTAGCTGCCAGACGGAAGGGGTGTACTGGGTACCTATGTTGCTGCAAGAAGCGAACAAGTATGACCGACATGCTGTGATTGTATATAGAGTACAGATACATCAGCTTGTTATCATGATAGAGATAACAGGAAGTTGAGAGTGAAACAACAAGGGACTATTGCAGGCTTAGCTTGATCAAGGTGAAGATGGTTGGCATCGCGTAACGGAGGTATACGGAGGAGACGGAGCCGGGTGACGGAGCACGGTGGTCGGTAGGTAGGTTGTAGGCTGTAGGCGGTGGTCAGGAAGTTAACCGAAACAGGGTAGGCAGGCGCCCGCAGTAGGAGCAAAGTGTCTCACCGGGTGTGATATTATCCCTTCATCATGGATGCCATGCCATGCCTTGACAGGCTTGATTCTAGACGCATCAACTTGGGGAAGTCCCCCGCAGCCCAACCCCGGTTCCCCACGCAGTTCCTTAGCCCCAGCTCCAAAAACGTAATACAGATGGAGGCTCTGGGCGGAGAAACGGTCAGAAACGGAGACTCGGATAATGTCGGAACCCTCTGGGCACGGTTTACGAAGAAGGTGAGAGTATGCGGAGGGGGGTGTATTTCAAGGTGAGACAAGTCCAATCAGATCTGTCGATTTGTGTAAAGGGGAGTTGTGTGGGGAAATGCAGGTTCGGCTCATGCTTGATAGTCTGTACGTAGTACGTCACGTAGATCCCAGCAAAGAGGTTACCCACGGGAATTCTTTTATTTTTCTTTCATTTTGCATTATCGTGACTTTTTTTGCGTGATGACTGGCGCTGATGAGATGTAGTTTTGCGGGGCCGCAGTTGAGCCCAGGGGTTGATGAGACCCAGGTCACGATGCCCGGTTCAATTTGCTACGGCCTGTAGTTCAATAATTGGTTGTTTTTTCTTCTGGGGGACTTTCTGGTTTTGATCGTGACCGGTCCTGGCAGGGTAACTAGAGTCATGTGCAAAGTCTGTCTAAAAGTAGACCAGGCTGGTGTAGAAAGGGCCGGCGAAGCCAGAATGTAGTGTAGGTAGGTTACTGCCGTTACTGGATGTCTCATGCCATGGCAAACGGCAAGACCTGTTCGTTAACAAATCGCGGGGTAATAAACCTGTAAAATCGACCCCAGGGTAAGGAACGAGGCAGCTACAAGCCACAGGGGAGGGACGAGCAACCAAAATGTTGCCAACGATTTTCCTAGTTCCTGTAATATTTATCCAGTACGATGGACCCTATTCTTACCACCTTCCCGCGGGTAATTTTTGGCTCTTATTGGTAGCTCGGCTGGTCATGATACTGTACTGTAGGTAGGTACTGTAAACTCTAGAACAACAGCCAGAGCATCAGTCGGGAATAGCCCGATTAGCTGCAGCAAGGTGTAACCTAAGTTACACACTAAATATTGCTATTGATATTGCTATTGCTATTGCAATTGCAATTGCAGGGCAGGTATTATCGTCAGAGGAAATCAACTTTTGCTCCCCGAATCGTATCCACCATGTCCTGTTTGTTGCTGTCTGGTGACCAGCAAGCTTCGACAGCACAGACACCGTATAATATTCACCTTAGGTCTGGGTACCTCGTCTTCTCCGCAATCTGGATGCATCTCTCAGTCTCAGCCCTAGCTTACTCGCCTCGACTTATCCCCTTTTCGTCCTTTACCGCCCTCCTTTCTAGACTCCTTGGCAAGCTTGTTTCCCCATGAATTGCGAAACCCGGATGCTCTGCGCTCTGCCCATGGTCGGCTGACCTGTGTTTAAATTTGAAGAGAAACTCACCAGGAGGCAGAGACATTACAGTACGTAACATGTATTGGTTTGGCTGCCGTCGGGAAATCCATCCACAAGCGAACGAGCGAGCAAGAAAATATCATGCGTATTCCATAGAATCAAGACCAAATGCTACCCCTTGGTCCAATTGGCTACACCCTTGCGATAGCTACAAACGAAGGTTGCAGGCCTCACCCCGAGCACCCCCAGCCCAAACTTTAAGGAATTCAATGTCCGGCTACTCTCAAGCATGACTGGTCGAGAACCTCAGATTACACCTATTCCCGTACTGCCCCGATGGTTGTCAAGAACGAAGGTAACGGCAGAGAATCTCGGCCCTTGCTTGGAATTAGGTACGGGTCGGTACGATGCCTACGGTTTTAGACGGTGGTGATCATGTTACGGCGCGAGTAACAGTTCTCACTCAATAATAGGTAGTGGAATTGTCTTATGCAGTATGTATTTGAAGCATGATGGTACGTAGAAAACGGGCTTTAGATTGCATTTCATGTGTAATTGAAATGCAGTCGAGTCTCGTTACGGAAGATCGCGGGCGCTGTGTCGCTGTCGTGCTTTAGTTCCAGGCCTTGGACCGTCGATCATGACGACACGTTTATCTAGTAAATGGACCACGAGAGACAGAAAGTAGTAGTTTTGGCTGCTTGAGAAAAAAAAAGAAGGCAGATAACCACGGCAAGTTTTTTTTTTTTTTTTTTACTTCCTTCCTTCACAACGGCTGGGCCTTTGACGTTGAAGATGGGTGTTCTACATTGAGGATGAGAAGGACGTGATATATCAATCAGGCAGTTGCAGTTGCAGTTTCAGGCTCGTGTATAAGAATATCAATAGGCAAAACACCGTCATCAATGTCAACACTGGGGCTGGTGCTGCTTTTCCCCTCTTACCATCACATCAACAACGTGACTATCAGCTGCTTGATCAACACCACCACGATTAAAATACCACCACCAAGAGAGAAAAAGTGGAAGAGAATCTACGGATAGGTACTTACTGTCTTGCAGACTTGCACACAAAGACAGACAGTACCGTATCTTGCCGTCCCACAACGGCCGTCACTCAACGGCGCTATCCGTTCGGCCATCATCCATTGCCCACTCATCTTGCTTGTTTTTCTTATTATTGACCCTCATTGGATCTCGACCTCTTTCTTGGAAACCTTGGAGACCTTGAAGAAGACCGTGATCTTGTTGCTCTTCCGGCATCTTCCTGGGCTTTAGTCCCCTTTCCCCGCCAAAACTTTGACGCTTTCTCATTCTTTGAAGAGTTTGGACCGGGGTTAGGTTACGTTTCGTAACCCCCTCCGTCCCGCAATATCCCATCTTTAGACCTGGCGCCCAGATTAAGTCGGGTACATTGGTACCATGGCTACGGCCTAAAGGTGACCGATTACAGACCCGTCACCTTCTTCTCCTTGTACCAAGAACTCTCTTCCGAGATAATATCGTGTCAGTCACCTGCAACGCCTCGTCGGCTCCACCACGCGCTTGTCCCTGCCACTCACAGCCTCACACCCCATCTTCATCCCCATTCATCCCCGTCCCTCTCCATCCTCGGCCTTGACCCCGGCAAGCGGGCACTATCTGAGGTGCCCATTTCGTCCAGCTTGTGGAGGGCCACACCGCGAACCTCACACCCCAGGGCGTACACTATCAAATCTCGAGCTGCTCGTGAAGCTTTTATAAAAGCCATGAATGACCCCGTCAACAGAACTTCCTCTCTCTATTCAAACCCAACTATCTCTTTCAAAGGTCCAAGCTCACACATTCAGGCTTCAGGAACCAATTCATTCAAGAGTGAGTCCTTTGTCTTGCCCCTTCGTTGACGGTCAGATTAAACTGTCTTGTCCCGCTTGTCTCTTGTCATGACACCCTCACACGACCACCTTGTTCTGTCCTTCTCTGTGAAAGAGCAGCCACTACGCACAATTTCTATCATTGCACAAGTCCCAAAACCAATACTGACTTTGTCACAGTGCTTCCCAACAACGTTAACAAGACCTCCCTCCACCCTACCGGTGTTACGTACGTTTTCCACAATACCCAATCAGCTGCGCAGGCAGGCCGGTTCACTAACACGGGCCTCACAGTCCTCATCAGGAGCACACTGAGCTAGAACAGGAGCTTCATGATAAGGCTCACATCGATTACGACCGTGTTGCTATTGTAAGAAATATTCTGATCAATACGCCATAATCAATTGTCACTAACACAGCCTCTCTCAGATTCCCAACCCTTCAGTCGCTGCCCTTTACGAGGATGCTCTTGTCTACGAGACCGGTACCGCTATCACCTCCAGCGGTGCCTTGACTGCCTACTCTGGTGCTAAGACTGGCCGATCTCCTCTTGACAAGCGAATTGTCGAGGAACCCTCTTCCAAGGACAACATTTGGTACGTGAATTCCCGAATAGCCGGCAACAGCTGCGCACATGAATCGAGACGATCAGACAGCTAACATGACATCAATAGGTGGGGACCTGTTAACAAGCCCATGACTCCTGAGGTAAGAATGAATTCGGCATCTTCCCTATGCATTTCACATGTCACCTTTTCGTACACGCACAATTGAGCTGGTGGCTGTGGCATCTTGACTCGTGTTTTCCAGTCCTGGCTACACAAGAAAATTTGCAACCATCACGAGCTTGACGCCCAAAGACGAGCGAACGGAAACAAAACGTCTAGACCCGCGCCGGAAGAGCATCTCCATTCCAGCGACCACAATTGGTTTTGCCCCGAGGATACCCGGAGCGTGAGCGTCATGGCTCTCATGGCCTGCCCACCGGTGCTTATTCTCTTACTCAATTGTCTGGTCGCTGGTTGGTAGAGGCTGGGCCGAGCAGTTCTCTAGTGGTTCATTGGCCGAACGTCATTGCACCTGGTTCGCTTGTTCCCCTGGCGTTTTCCGGGTGGGTGTCATGGGATCGGCAATCTCGACCCCGCAGTCTCTTTGCCAGTCCTCGCACACCTTAGACCTCACACGCTCACCTTCCCTTCTGGCAATTACCCACGGCTTGAGACCGAGAGACCCAGCCCTGAGTCTCCCGACCTCCGAAGCCTTCGGCCGTGACCTGCCCCTCTTTTCTCCCCGACCACGATTTTTCCCGACCCGGCTGCGCTTTTCTCCTTTGGGGAAAGCTGCCGGTCTTCCTTCTCCGCATAATCAATATCATCTTTATTATACAGTGACAATGGCTGACAAAATAACAACTACAGGTCTGGAAGATCAACCGCGAGCGTGCTGTCGATTACCTCAACACCCGAAGCCGTATTTATGTTATCGATGGTTTCGCTGGCTGGGACGAGAAGTACCGTATCCGCGTCCGAGTTATCTGCGCCCGCGCCTACCATGCTCTCTTCATGCGAAACATGCTTATCCGACCTACACAAGAGGAGCTTAAGGATTTCCACCCCGACTACACCATCTACAATGCTGGCAAGTTCCCTGCCAACCGATACACTGAGGGTATGACCTCTGGTACCTCCGTTGCCATCAACTTCGAGCACAAGGAGATGGTCATCCTTGGTACTGAGTACGCTGGTGAGATGAAGAAGGGTGTTTTCACTGTTCTCTTCTACGAGATGCCTATCAAGCACAACGTCCTCACTCTTCACTCCTCCGCCAACGAGGGCCAGAACGGCGATGTCACCCTCTTCTTCGGTCTTTCTGGAACCGGCAAGACCACTCTCTCCGCCGACCCCAACCGAGCTCTCATTGGTGACGACGAGCACTGCTGGTCAGACACTGGTGTCTTCAACATCGAGGGTGGATGCTACGCCAAGACCGTTGGTCTGTCTGCTGAGAAGGAGCCCGATATCTACGGTGCTATCCGATACGGCTCAGTCCTCGAGAACGTCGTCTTCGACCCTCTTACCCGTGAGGTTGACTACGACGACTGCACTCTCACTGAGAACACCCGATGTGCTTACCCCATCGAGTACATCGCCAACGCCAAAATTCCTTGCCTCTCCCCCAACGCCCCCTCAAACATCATCCTCCTCACTTGCGACGCCCGCGGTGTCCTGCCCCCTATCTCCAAGCTGGACCGCAACCAGACCATGTTCCACTTCATTTCTGGTTACACCTCCAAGATGGCCGGTACCGAGGACGGTGTTACCGAGCCCCAGGCTACTTTCTCCAGCTGCTTCGCCCAGCCTTTCCTTGCTCTGCACCCCATGAAGTACGCCAAGATGCTTGCCGACAAGATCGAGACTCACAAGGCCAACGCCTGGCTCCTCAACACCGGATGGGTTGGTGCCGGTTTCGCCCAGGGTGGCAAGCGATGCCCTCTCAAGTACACCCGTGCCATTCTCGACGCCATCCACTCTGGTGAGCTCGCCGACGTCGAGTACGAGAACTACGGTGTCTTCAACCTCCAGGTCCCCAAGACTTGCCCCAACGTTCCCTCAGAACTCCTCAACCCCTCCAAGGCCTGGACCGCCGGTGAGGACAGCTTCAACAACGAGGTTATCAAGCTGGGTAAGCTCTTCCGCGAGAACTTCACTAAGTACGAGAGCGAGGCTACCGAAGACGTTGTCAAGGCCGGCCCTGTCGTCTAAGGGAGTGAACGAAAAAGAGCAAAAGGGAAAGCGATGTTTTGTTTTGCGATGGGTCATGACATATTGAAGCAACTGTTTACCATCTGGGTCCGGCGTCATTACATGGCGGCCATCAACCGGCTGCCCTCTTATTTTGTCTGAAAGGGATTTCTTTTTTGTATAGCATGAGATTGTATGTAATGTAAGCGATGAAGAGCGCTTTACGAATTCTGCAATAGAAAGATATACTGTTAAAAATTGGTACCTCTTGTGCTTGTGATGCATTGTTTTATAGCACTTATCAAAGTTGTTAACCAATAGTATTGCATACAAAGTTGCATTTTTGATAATAGGGAGGATATTTCGACCAAGGTAATACTCGTCACACCGAGTAAATGTCCAAGATGGCAAGCTTGAATATGTATTGATAAACAAGAGTTATACAATGTCGAACCACTGTTAAAGTGCTCTGTTTTAGATATGTAGTACACAGGTGTAGGTAGTGTAGTTGAATGAGACTGAAAACATCAAAACTTGTGTAACTCATTAAACCATGTATCATAAATCCTAAACCTTCTTGAACGCCTATCCGACCAAAACCGTCATGTCGTTAATTTTCCAATAACTAACCAACGAACAGCTGCTCACCACCGTCGACCATAGACAGCACTCTCTTCCTTCCTAGGACGTCCTGGCCGTCTCTTTGACGAAGCTTCAGTTCTACGACCATTGGCATCGAAGCTCTCGTCAGCGATCCTGGAGCTATCAGCGCCGATAACAGCTGGGTTGTCCGCAGATGAACCTGGTTTGAAGAGGTTGATGATTTCGTTGATGCCAAGCTTGAGAGCCTCTTTACGCATACCACCCTCGATGGCCTGCTCAGCAAGTTCACGCTTCTTGTCCTGCAGCTCGAGAATACGTTCCTCGACTGTTTCGGAGACGGTGAGCTTGTAGATGATCACGTCAACGGTCTGGGTGAGACGGTGGACACGATCGATGGCTTGTTCTTCGACAAACTAGAGAAATATGTTAGCATGAAGCTTCTGAGTAAGGTAAGATAAAGGAAGGAAACATACAGGATTCCAGAAGGGCTCGAGAATGACGACTCTGGTCGCTGCTGTGAGGTTAAGTCCTAAACTACCGCACTTCAAACTGCACAGCAGGATTCGCGTCTCAGGATCGTTCCTCAGCTTGCGCAAACTCTCCTCTCGCTCGTCATTTTTCATGCTACCATCGTAACGTACGAAGCGGAACCGCTCTTTGCGGAAGAATGGCTCCACAAGGTTGAGCATGGAGGTAAATTGGGAGAAGACAATGAACTTGTGTTCCTTGACCTCGCCCTGCAGGATCTTGATGAGTTCGCGAATCTTGGAGGAAGCGAGGACTTGGGGAGAGTTGGCGTCGCGAGAAGGATAGAATATACTATCGTCCTCTCCAGATAGGACATCGGATGCATCCGAGTCAGAGTCAGAGCCAGAATCGGACCCAGACTCGGAGGCTGAGTCTGAGTCTGAGGCGGATGATCCAGAAATAGCAGTTGTATCAGCGGCGGTCGTATCAGCAGCAGTTGTATCTGCCTCTGTGTCTGTAGTCGTGGTATCAGCAGTATTGGATGGCCCATCGTCCAGCGTCTGGGCAGCCATGCGCTTTGTGATATCCGACAAGGACAACAGAGAGTTAGCAGAGTCAGAGGCCTCGCCTGGCTTGTCAGTAGTTTCGTCGTTCTCAACAAAACTACTTAGATTGCTCTTGTCTTCAAGCTTGCTCTCCTCGTCTTGGGAGTCATCAGATCCAAGCCAGTCACCTCCGCCCTCAGCATTCTCGTCCTCTTCGCCGCCAGCCTTTCCGAGATGAAGTGAACCTTGCTCATCCTCTGGAACAAGCCATGATCCACCCTCATCCTCTTCGTCACTATCGACAATGGCGTTGCGATTTCGAGGCTTGCGAGCCGTCTTTTGTGGTGAATCTGCATCCTCATCGTCGCTGTCAACAATGGCGTTTCGGTTTCGGTTTCGAGGTCGTCTTGAGACCTTTTCAGACGACGCGTCATCATCGTCGTCGATTTCGACAATCTGTCTATCGATGACCTTTTTATCGACGGCTTCCTTCTTGTCCTTGTTTTGGCTTTTTCTTTTATCTTTGGACTTCTTTGACTTCTTGGGCCGCTCTGACTTCTCTGGTCGTTCGTGGTTGTTGAAGTATGCCAAATCCGCGTGGCACTCAGAGCAGACATCTCTGCCCGACTTGTTATCTTCGTCGCTCAGGCCTCGTCCACAGATGTTGCAGTCCTTGGACACAATACCCATTCCAGCGAACATATCAGCCATGTCATCGATATCTGTATCCTGCTGCTTCTGAGTTGAGCCTATTGACATTGCGTCCTTGTCCTTATCTAGCTTGCCCTCGAGCAGCTTGGGATGGTTGCAAGCTTGCCGCAACCGGAGCAACAGAGTCAAAGCGTTGGCATAGTTGATCTTCCCTTGCATCATGTGCTCCATACTTCGGTCGGCTCGAGCAGCGAGTCGGTCGTAGAATTTACGCTCGGCCGGCGACAGTTTAGTTGCCACAGTGACTACCTTGCGTTCGGTGACCTTGAAACCAGTCGAGGAACCTTCACCTTCGGCAGAAGGCTTACCACCAGGGTTGAGTGCACCATCTACCTTGAGAATGTCTTTGGTTCTTCGCTTCATGAAGCATCTGAGGAGGCTATGGAGCCTACGAATAGCAATGTGACCTCGACCATTCTTCAGGGGTAGATCGATATGTTCTTTCCACTCCTTGAGGTCATCGTAGGGTCGGATACGAAGGAATTTGATGAGAGATTGAAGTTCATCAAGGTTGTTTTGCATAGGTGTACCAGACAAACACCATCGGTACTCAGAGTTCAAAGCGTAGCATGCCTTGGTGGCCTTTGCGTTTCGGTTCTTGACAGTATGTGCTTCATCAAGAACGACTCGCCACCAGTGCAAGCCGAAACAACCTGCCTTGACACCGTTTTCTGCGTCTGATGAATTTCCGTGTTCTGAGACGAGGATCTGGTAGGTTGTGATAACAACATCGTAAAGAGCGAGTTCCTTAAACCGCTTTGTGCGATTGGGTCCATGGTGCACGCAGACTTTGAGGCCGTGAGATGTTTCCACTCTATCCTTAATTTCGTGCTCCCATTGCCGAATCAAAGCCAGTGGTGCCACCACAAGCGTTGTCTTTTCAATCTTTTCAAATTGCTTCTTCCACCCAGGGCTGTCCTTGGCCGGCTTCTGGTTGGTGAGAATAAGTGAAATGGTCTGGAGAGTCTTTCCAAGACCCATATCGTCTGCGAGAATGCCCCCCTTGGGGACTCTGCCTCGCTTTACAGGGCCGAGTTCTCGTCCCTGCATCCATTCAACGCCTTCCACCTGATGGGGCAGCAGCTTGACCTTGAGGCCCTCCACCGTGCCATCTTTGGCATCCTTCTTGGGCTCTGCCTTCTTCTCGCCGTTGGCTTGACCCTCTGCGCCTTCTTCTGCGCCCTCCTCTTCGCCCTCTTCCATACCTCCTTCGAGCAGAGCCTTCAAATCAGCACTCGCTTTGGTAGGGTCTGTGTAAAAAGTCTCTTCGCCGTAGTTCCTTGTGGGCGCAAAAGAGGACACCATCGTTGGTGCGGGTGGGGCATCTGAACTGAACATTGCCATCGGGGGTGGTCTTCGATCTTGGTACATAGGGCCTCGAGGGCCTGCAACTCTAGCACCACTGTTGCTGCTTCGGTTGTCGAGATGGTGCTCAGGTCGGGTCTTCTGCCGTATGAAAGGGTCTGCTCTCTGCTTACGAGAGGACATCATTTTGGTAGGATGACCGAACGTGGGAGTGTTGGTAGCGTTGGTTGGGTTGAATGGGTCGTTCATATCCGCGTGAACTTTGCCCTTGAGCGAGCCCATGCCACGAACAAGAGCGGTGATATCGTCGTCGGGGGACAGCTCGCGGGAAGCATTCTCGCCGTGTGAGTTGATAGAGTGCGAAGGCGCCTTCGGGGGCGCACGTTCGTTAACCATGGCGCCGAGGTCGAGGTCTCGAAGAGCAGTCGAGTCGCTGAGACGTGTCTTGGTTGTTTGTTGGCGCGGGGCAGGTTTAGAAAAGTCTGGCTTCTGTTTTGACGAGAGGGTGGTTCGAGGGTTAAATGCAAAACGGGCACCTGGCTTGGGCTTTGGTGTTTGTGACGGGCTGTTTGGAGTCGGGTCCTCAAAGAACTTCATAAGTTGGGCGGTGAGCACCGTCGTGCAGGTATGTGCTGTTTCGTGAAGCCGTTGAGTACAAGCGACTTTGCATGAGGGTATAGTAGTGTGTTGCCCAAAATGACATAATAAATTGCCCCAGCAACCAGCGTGGGGTACTACAAATAGCGAGACAGAAATGCAACCGCCATTCTTGTGTTTTTCTGACACCGTTGGACCCCGAGTTTAACCCCGCTACAGGTGTCTGCGCAAAGCACTGTGCAGCAAGGTAGGTAGCCCCGCGGTAGGTATACTTAGTAGGCGTGCAAGTTACGACCATTTCCTACCTATCTTAAGAGTGTATCCTTCTTCAGTAAATATATACATCTATTAAACCCCATTCCAAAGACGTATTTGAAGTCGTTTTCTCATAGTGGACTTGGTATCTTGTTTTACTATAGAATAACGTAGTATATCCTGAGTCACCTTATCATAGGAACTTTCATATGTAACTGTAAGTCTGAAGTAGAAAGGAACACGGTCTATCACCTGTGAATTGTTTGCGTAGGGATGAACGCTGAAAGAAAATGGGATTTAGATCAATCGCAATGATTCAATCATATTCTTGTCTATTGCATATGATTGATGGCCAGTCACCGACTATTCGGAGTTGTTCGACCTCTCAGTATAAATATTTGCTTTTGAAAAAGAGCGAGACACGCAATGAAGATATTTGATAAACTCTTGATATGTTATATATTTGTCTGAGGAAACGGTGTACAGCCTGAAGAATCAAAAGGGACTTGAGGACTCGTTCATTCTCACAGGAACTGATAATACAAGTATCCTATTTTCCCTTTCCATGCAAGAACCCGTTGCAGTATCGAAATTGATAAACGCTTTAACAATAATTAAATTAGGTAGCTTTATCCTCACCTAATGCTTCGCCCACTGCCTCGCCCATCATCCGCTATTATACAATTCGCCCCAGGGTTTCCTTATGCCAGGGGAACAGGAGCAGGAGCCTCGGTACCAGAAGCCTGCTTACCGCCGACTGGAGGCAAGAACATGGGGAGGTAGGTAACAGCAAGAGCCATGACTGTATTTCTTGTCAGCACATATTCTCAAGCGTTAGGGATGATATAGGAGGCCACATACTCGACATGCCAACGGAGAAGTATCCAGGAGTGGTAGAGTTCTTCTTGGAATCCTCGCTCTCTCCCAGCCAGCTCTGGATGGAAAAGACAACAGAAGCCCTATTCGTTACAATTTGGTTAGCAATCCAATCGTAATCATTCGTCACTTCGGTTCGCTTCGACATCGCGCTGCATCTCCGCAACCTCGGGTATCGTTCGGGAGACGTACCATCCCACAAGCTTGTTGCGCGTGAACATAGCGGCCATTGGCAGGGTGGTGGACATCGTGGAGGAGATATCGGAAGACTCGCTCGAGCTCTTAGGCTCTTGGTAGGGGACAACTGTGTCATCAGGTTAGCCAGCTGGTCGCAACCGTGTCAATTGAGTTGCGAGTTGCACTCATCTCGGCGCATAGCGCTGAGCTCGCAGATTAGAGCAGTGGGCATCAAACTCACTCAAGTCAGTTCTTCTGGGATCCTTGGTGGGCGACATATTTGCTGTTTGTGAATGAGGAGAACGTGATGGTTGTTCGATGGCTGTCGCAATTACCTCTTAGCTCGCGCGACCTGGGGAATAGGGAATGGGGAGGCTTGAACTGTGGCACCTTTTTAGTGGGGTAGCGTGGCGTAGCGAGCTCACCTACCTAAAGAGGAAACGGGCCTCTTTGAGAACGAACATCCATCAAGTATCACGCCTGGTCAATATAAGGAGCCAAGATTAACATAAGATGTGAGAATATTCATTTTGTTGCCCTCTTAAAGCCCAATTGAACCCCGAAGGCTGATAGAAGGACAAACAGATAGAAACCGTATTCCTCCGTATATATACATAACAGGTATACTCCCAAAATTTATAGACATTTATCATGACAACCATCATGGCTGCTCAAGCTCGTAGACTCAGTTTCCCGTTTCGCAAAAACAAATAAACGCCATTTCATACGCTCCCCACGAACCTTCGTTTATTCCACTCTAATGATAACCTTCCATTGCAATGCACCGGCCTCGCGGATCGCACAAGCCAAGCATCCTCGCTTTCTTCGACTGATGAGGGCGTTCCAGCCCTTTTGAGCACAAAGAGCGCGAACCAAAATCTCCATATCGGAACCAAATTGACGTTTTCTGGACTCAAAGTGCATCTGTTCGGCAGCTGGGAAGCTGCCTCGTCGCTGGACAATATTATACTTGGAGGTGAGCCTCTCAATAGTGGGTGACTGAGGAACCTCGGACAAGTTGGTGATGCAATCGATAACAAGCACGCGATCGCTACCCATGCGTGAAGGCGAGCGACGATGAGATGGGGGGACGGCGAGCAGCTCAGAAAGCGGAGCGTGCTGTCGCTTCAGAAGTTCTGAGACATGAATGACAGAATAATTATACCACTTGTGTAAAGGATGCCCTGAGGCAAGAGTTAGCTATGATTGAGACATTCTCGGACACTAGTGCACTTACCTGTTCGGTGAGCGGGACGAGAACCTTGCCCAAATGTGTCGGACCCAGAAACATCAATTTGCTGAATTGTCGGGCTCGATGGCGATTTGACAAAGCGAACCCGATGAGAAGGTGAGCACGGATGTGCGGTAACAAAGCCAATATCGTAAGACAAAGAGAACGAGAAGTTCTCAGCCGTGAAACCGTCAATCGATACAGCAAAGTGAACGCTGGCTGGGGACGACACTAATGCTGGGTCTTTATTATTCACATTATCAGGATGTGTAGGTTTGGTGAAGGTTGTGGCCGGAATTGAGTTGGTAGGAGAAAGAAGCTCTAGCGACCTGAAGGTGACACTGATCAATGGCGGCGGTGTTGAGTAACTGTTCTCATGAGGAATTATAAAGTCGGCAGGGAAGACAGAGTATTCATCCGAATCCCCAAGAATGGAAGATTCTCGTTCAACTCGCTTCTTTGCCCAGAGTCTCGCCTTCTTGCCTAGGTGGGCTTTGTCCTCTGCTGTCTGTTAGTGGATTTTTATGATGTCGAGATCAAGAAAACTTACCAGCCACATCTTCAACCTCGATATTGACCCAGCCCTCATTTATGCCGAGGGGTAGAATGTCACTAGAAACCCAACCCATGCACTCAGCAGAACCTTGACCTGCTGCGATGACTCGGCCCACGATGCATGATGTACTCCAGAAGCTCTTGCCACAGTACACAAAACCTCCACACAAATTGGCAAACGAGCCCAAGCGTTCCATAGCCTTGCTATCGTTCTCAAGTAGCGTAGCCATGAGAAAATGACAAACGCCGTCTCCAGGGAGCATCAAGCCGTAGATATAAGATTTAGAGAGCCACCCAGAGGGATGAAGCGCCGCAGCAAGTTTTCGTCGCTGAGGTCGAGACTTGTCTTTCTGGCCTTCCGGGTGATCCCATGCCCCAAAGTATAGTGACCTCCTGGATCCATTGGTCTCAGAAGAGGTTTTGGCGGTGTTTTTGGACGTAGCCGTGGGAGCGGGAGGCGGCCCAGAGTTAATAATTGACTTCCGGGCATTGTGCGCGATGAGTCCTTCGTATGTATCGATGTTGGGCCAAAGTAACTTTTTGGCAAAGTGAGTGAGCCCATCCACCTGCTGTTGTGGATTCCGGCCTTTAATAGTATAGCTGTGAGTGGGTGATGTCTTATCTTCATGATGCTGACGGAAGGTAAATTTGCTAAAGAGCGAGCCAAGCCATCCTGTTGCTGGAGGAGGCGTAGCCGTTCCATCCGTTTTGGGGGTAATGCTTGGAGTAGGTTCCTTGATCTTTTCAATCTCAATATTGTCTAACCAGCTGCGGGCAAGGTGTAGAGACCATTTCACCATGGGGGTGGCAGCTCTCTCAAAGTGCACGACATCCACGGGTCGGAAAGCTTCAACTCCATATTCCTCGCCTTCGGTTATGGCATCTAACCGAATAAGTAACTCAGTGGCCACGAGAATTTGCATGAGAAGCCAGTACTTCTCTTCAGCCCGCTCACTGGCATTACTGGTGTCGTGAATGGAAGAAGTATCCTCGAGCTCGTCGTTATCTTCTCCTCCCCAGAGAATTTGACCTAATCTGATCCTCCACTCTACGTGGGTGAAATCAAACCAAACGTTGGCGGTACCAAGACACTTGATCAGGGCATTTATCTGGTTAGTCAAACTATAGTGGTCGCGCTTATCGACAACTGCATTGGATGGCCGCATAAAAGTATGAAACAGGTCCTGGTACGTTTGGATTGAAGTCTTCTGACGAAGATCATTGACCCTGTATAGTTCGGCGTTTCGTTTGAGACGATCCAGAAGCTCTGCCTCGGGAAGACGACGCAAGTAACCCAGAGGGGAGAGCATGCGTTCGCGTGCCTCAACAATGGCATGTGCCTTCTTGCCAACACTGTCAAAGCCAAATTGTTCTTCTTCCAGAGCGTCTCCTACAGCGATCTCGAGGGCGGCTGAGAAACCCATGGTACCCTTCTCCAAGCCTTGCATGCTCAACATGTTGGGACGTTCCCGACATCGGATGAAGAAATGGGCCTTGCGGTTATCGACAGCCTTCGCCCGGGCAGCGGCATCCTGATTGAGATCGCGAGTCAGGTGAGGGCATGCTGTGAGACCACTCCATGCTCGATCTTCAATTTGCACATGGTCAGTGAGATCGCGAATCTCCAACGCCTCGTCAAAGGGGAATGCGACACTGGGATTGGGGGCGCCAGAACAATGCCCTTCGCTGCGGGCAAAGTACTGGGGAGCACCGGAAAAGAGCTTCTCGATCTCGGTCTCGGTGAGGGTAGACATGATTCTGTTCAGTTTCAAGACGGGGTTGGGCGGAGGAGAAGTAGCATTTTCCTTTGCGGATAGCGTGCCCGGGTTCGGGGGAGGAGGAAGAGGCTTGTTCTGGTCCGGAGGTGAACGCGGGGAAGTAAGAGCCCGTGGTGAGTGTGACGGCGACTGTGACGATGAAGGCGTCTTAGTGGTAGTCCCTTGGGATCTGCTTGTAGTAGCTGGGGGTGGGCCCTTGCGGCGGAAGCCTCGGTCGGGGGGAGCGGCGCGTGGCGGAGGAGAATGCGGGGAGATGGCAGTTGAGGTTGTAGCGGTGGCGGTCTGGTTGCAGCAAGCAAGGGAGTGAGGGTTAGTTGAGTCAATCAGATTCAGGTATAAATTGTGAAGAAAAAGAAGGGACGCAAAGCAATTGAGGGGGGTTGCAGGTTGTAATGCAGTGTTGAAAGAAGAGAGAGAAGAATTAAAAAGGAAGTAGAAAAAGAAAGTCCCCGAGTCAATTGAGTTGACATTGGACCATCATGACATCCATCTCCAAGAGACATGACACGCCATTGAGGGGCCAATCTGCCAATTCAGGGCTGTTAATAGCAATGGCATGACCTGAGCAAGAGAAAAAAAAAAAATCGTCCTCGCACGCGACAGTGGTTGGCTGATCTGAGCACTCGCTGCAGTGGCCTGATGTTCTTTCTCCCCAATGCGCGCTTCACCAGGGGGTGGTATGCAGATTGTAGTCATGATGAGGAATAGTGCATGTCTTATCAGGAAGAAGTTATCAGAATATTGACTTACATCTTCCTCGCCCCTTGCTCTGCGATCCTTTACACGCTTTTTTGCCCGTGTAATCAAGTCCTGGAGTAGATAATCTGGCCGGGTAAATCGACTTGCCGTTGATGAAGTGGGAGACGGAACCGGAGATGCACCAATGGCGCTTGATTCAGCAACAACATCGTTCTCATGATTCCTGCTCCGGAATCCCGTTACATCAGTTGGGGATTTGGCCGGTTCTATCCTGGTGGTTGTAGTTGGAGTTCTGGCTGCGGTAGATCGTTGCCGCTCATGCTGTCGTTTCCTTGTTGTCGTATCTTTACCATCCTCGGCCAATTGCAACCGTGATTTGTCCTCTTTGGCGTCTGACTTGTTGTTGATGTCGCTGAAACTTTTTATGGCCGATGGCCCTGGAGATGGCCTTGATTTGCTAAGTGGCATTATGCGATCGTGGTGCGAAGGATCGTCGGTCTTTCCATAAAGTCAACCTCGACGTACGACAGGCATCCGCCGCCGAAAGATCAGACTGGTCTCGATGATCGTGGGCTGGTCAACCTGGGAACAGGCACCATTAAGCCCACTTCGGGTAGAATAGACGAGTCTGAGATGTAAATGGCCTCTCCTATGTTTCTAACTGGTCCTGCTGTCAGTTGGATGTCCCTTGTATGTGTTGCGTGAATCTTTGAATGGCGACTCGAACTGGCTCCCAAGCGTTCCGCCTTCGACAACGCCTCGAAATATATGCAGTAGGTTTTGGATTAGGGTTGGGAATTAAATTGGAATATTGATGGGGGCTTGATCTTGAAAAGGATCAGTCGGCGGAGAACAGATGGAGCCATTATTGGCATCGCATACGTCTTCTATAAAATATGTTTCTTCACCGGTTCAACCACGTACGTATGTATATATGCTAAGCATACAATGCTTTTCAGGAGTCCAACGGCTGTCTCAGGTCATTGGTGCACAATCCCGTCCAGCAGATTCGATCCCTTCTACCGACTTTCTCTCGTGTCCGCTCCCTCTCTTGCTTGTGCAACAGTCCCACGCGCGTGGATATCTTGGAGGCCTGCGCAGTTCGGGACGGAGGCCTTGAACCTGGAAGATCGTGGACTGTGGCACCGGGGCAATATAAACAAAACCGAAGAGATCTGCGATTCGCATAGATGCAATGTCGTATAAAAAGACTTGTCAAGTTGTATTTACAGGCCCAGGTCCAGCAGCGAGGCAGGCATATTGCCCAGGGCCTATCCTATATACATATTGCGCGCATGTCACAGCGCTGGATGTACAGTAAGTAATATGCCGATGATCAGAATAGAAATTCCAAAGACCCTAGTATCCGTGAGTGCAAGCATTGACCCTGGCAAGACAAGGTGGGCACTGTCTGCGAATGTATGTATCAATCATGCCAGTGTGTGTGCTTCTTCTGACCATACGCACAGAAGCAACAAATCTACAGTTTAGCTCGACAAGGTAGTGTGGGATAAACCTTTTTAGCATGTTCTTATGCTAAAGAATGGTACGAGTAGCTAAAAATACCTAGGTTCTAGATTACCTACCTAGATAATCAACTCAAGTATGGATGTTTCATGTTACCTTGCTCGCTGCTGAGATCATTGATTATTAGAGGGAGTTCTGGGCGTCTTCCTTCCGTCACCCACATACCGCCATCAGCCTCGAGCTCGAATCCTGATGCTGGCGGGGAGGACGGACTATGGCGGGAGTTTGTGGGCCTCTAGCGGAAACAAGGTACTGAAGTGGAGGAATGAAGCCGACGTGTTTCGAAACCACCGTCTGTTGCGAGAAGCGGACCAAGGAGGATTTTACCGCCTAGGTGAAGATGCTGGCGACTATGTATCGCAGACTCGCTGAGAGTGGGAATAATTTGTCGACGTTGGGAGCCCTGTGAGTTTCACATTACGACATCGGAGCTAGCATAAAGGATATCGGGATGTAACATCGGCATCTTGGTTTGGTCAACTAGGTTCTATGTAGTAGGTAAGTTGATATAATACATAGGTAGGTAGTTATTAGCCTTTTCGACTGTCAGAGAGCAGATGTTTTGACTTTTCACCTTGTATCAGCCCTGCTCTTCTAATAACCTTCTTTCGCAGCAAGGTAACTCTAAACAATGCCAATTCTCATTCTGTACCAATGCCCACTTGTCTAGGATCGTGCATGTGAACGTGCATCCTGTTTTCCATGCTCCGGAACCTGCGGTGTGCACCGTTGATGACCCTTGTTCGTCACCGAATTGTAATTAATGAAGGCGACTCACTTTCGTAACTCCCTCCGTTACAAGTTTGGACCGAAATCATTGTTCAATTGTGCTGGTTGCCGATATCTGCTGTAAGTGTGGTCCTTGACTGTCCTGGCCACCATGAGGTCTTTTCCAACGGCTCCTTAGCGTTTCCACTCCGACCACCACTGTTTTCGGTGTCATTGCGCACCCTGTGAAACACGGGGCACCACCCAGTTGTAATTGATCGGCCCAATAAACCCTTCGAAACACACGGCAATATGCAGCAGCGAATTCCTTAGCCTTATGTCCCCAACGCGCGTGTGTTGTATATCCGGCCGGGTTGCGCGCCCGTCATGGCTCCCGGGTGAATTGATGGGGTGCAAAGTAAGTTAAATGAGAAATCGGGTAGCGGGATAGTCGCAACGGCGCAAACTCCAGCCCAACTCACCCATGTTGCCGCCGCTTCTTCCGAGTACCACAGACGCCTCCACCCTCCCCAAACTCTGAAGCGCAATTTCGTTCTCGATCTCTTGCGCTACTCAAAACATTTTGAAATGCCACATCCGGCATTGGACCTTGCATCTCCTCGATTCTATGGGCCGTCTTACTCCCTGATAGACAGTGATGAAACATAATGTCTTTGTCGAAGCAAGGAATACATCAACTTAGTCCTTCGGCGAAGGACGCTGAGTGGATGGCCTTGAATCGCAGAAGCATTGGTAAGAATTGTATAAGCATGTTCCGAAGCTCAAGCTGGAGGTGTGTCATGCACAACCACAAGCAGATACTTAGCATCCGGTACAATGACCAACTCTTGCTTCCTTGTTCGTAACCGTAGAAGCTTCACCTCATCCTACTGCGTGTCAGCCTTGAGCTTGCGTAATGTCTGACATTATTCTCACCTCACCGTCCAGCTCCTGAACCAAGCTTCCAGAGCTGTTCACGTAGTTCCAGACGATCGCCGCGAACTGCTCGACCCCTCGCGTTTCGCTCTCCTCTAGCGCCGGAACGTCGTTTGTAAATGATGTCGCAGTCGAAGTGGTTCGAGACTTGGAAGTCTGGAGGGCGTCAACTTGTCCGCTGGTTTTGAGGATTGTGCCAGTAGCTCGGTCGAGGACGATGCTCGCTTTCACACCAGGTTTCTTCGATAAACGACCGAGTTTCTCCTCCAAGGCATCCTGCCCGTTTGTCTATGTTTGATTAGTCTAAAGTATTGCCATGATAAGCTCTGATGCGTTATACCAGTGATGAGTCGGCCATTTCGAAAGCGTGGTTGGATGTTGCTTCCGTAGAGCTGCTGGTTATCGCAACGTTATCGGCCCTGGTGGTTGCAGTGACGCCGCGGGGCAGGACGAAGATTCTGCCATTCGACACCGCCAAAATTTTAGAAACCCAACCAGGAAAGTAGATCTTATCAGTAGACGATCAAAGAATCTAAATCTCAGTGTACAAAGCATATCTCAGCATTGGCATTGCCAGACATTACAAGACGTTCACAACTTCTCATATATCCTCTTCTCATCTTTGCGATTGAACCGAAATCATGGGCTCCAGCAACAAGAAAAAGCGCGAGAAGCAGCAGGACTTCAAAGTAAGAATTCAACCGCTTCATTTCTTGAGTACCAACTAACAATTGTATAGAAACCGAAGTTCAAGGTGGGAAAAGAAAAGGCCAAAGCTTCCAATTTCACAGACACAAGCTTTAAGTCAAAGGGTAAGAATGATCCAGTGTGTTCATACAGGCTTCTCTGACAGTTACAGCTATTGTGATGGGACATCAGTCGCTTTCAACAGTCGCACCCGATGTTGTTCAACAATTCAAGCACAGTCTGTCACTCGCCTCTTCATCAAAATCCGATAAACAGAGGCGTGAGTCGTTAGCCTATCTTACTTCACAACTTTCATCAGAACCCCCCATCAACCCCGTGGGGACACACGCAGTTCTCTCCAAGCTACTCCCCCTGATCTCCGATAGCTCAACGCCAGTCCGGAGTCAGCTTCTCAAACTTCTCAGAGAACTCCCGCCCGCGGAGATCAGACACAGTGTGGAACCGGCTATCATGTTTACCCGAGCAGGCATGACACATCTTTCCGCGGACATCAGCAACGACTCGCTTGGTGTGATGGAATGGCTTCTGGATGTTGCAGAGAACGACTTGATCGTGTGTCCTGGTGGTTGGGTGAAAACGTTGAACAGTTTCTGCGCCATGATGGGGTGGGCATTGACAACCCCAAAAGCTGGCTGGTCCTCTGGTACACGATCTGGTCTGCGCGCCAAGGACGCTGCAACATATGCCCGCCAAATTGCCACGCTGTCACGGTTCCTGGAAGCTGGCTTGCGAGCCGAAGCTGAAATCCCCGAAGACGAGTCAGAAGTGTGGGATAACTTGTATCGAATCCCACAGGATTCTAATGCCTTTGAGTATCTCAATTTGTACGGTACCCGGCGAGATGAAGAGGGAGAGATGTACCCCAGCCGAGACGCAAGACAACGGGTCTTTGAGCGGCGGTTTTTGGAGGCAGTTATGAAAGGAGCTGATCAAGCAAAAAAGGAAGGGGGTGCTACTGGTCGAGCGGCAGCTGGTCTTGACAGAGTGCTCCAAGATGGAATGGGTGAATATGAGAGTTCAAAGACAATGGATACCCAGGATCTTCTGAGTCTTTGGTAAGAGACTTTCGATCGAGCTTATAATAATATTGACAATTTGGAAGCATCTGGGAAGTAGACCCCCTATTCTTAGCTGAATCCGTGCTAAAGCACTGCAAGCTTTGATGCGTGAGCTTATTGTATGGTATTACCTGACGTGTGCCCCAAGAGTTGACGTCCTGTATCGGTGAGGTCCATGAAACTCATGTGTATTCACGCAAAGCAGGTGTTTACTTTCTTTCATGTCCATGTGACTTTGAGAATACACCATATTTGGTTATGGAGGCACGACCACTGTTCCATCTACACTGCAAGCTTCTGGGGAACGTTGGCTGAGAGTTAACTGGTGGCGGATTCTTCTTAGGGGTAATTGATTGATATGTGACTATATTGTAATTTCGATTATTGTAACATAGAATTTCTTGGCTAGGCTTTAATATGTCTGCTTAAATATTCTAGTAGGAAGACAGACTCTCCTTGTTTACAATATCTGATACTCAGGGGTAAGCACATTGAAGACAATAGCAACCTCGTAAGAAGGTCATTACACTGAGCAGGTAGGTGGCAGATACTAGTGATGTTGTTGAATTGTGACTATAATATCGAATTTCCTCAATTCATCAAAGAATATTCAATCTTCAATCCTGCTCTTGACACTCCCAATTTGCAACAAACACTCGCTCAACAAACACTCACCCCATACTACGTTTCAGCCCGAATCAGGATAATTCCTCTCCTTGCAATTTAGGTATCCAGGTGCAGTTCTCTATCCAAGTGGTGCCTTCTACTTTTATCTAAAGGTGCCGGAGATTTCTGCCAGTGGCAAGCGGCCTGCACAGAACTGCAAACCGGCACGGGCACCTGCCTTGAGCAAACAAACACATTCACTCCATCCATTAGCGTGCAGGTGCCTAAGCCTCAGGATACAGTGAATCATAACACGCATTCACGCGTTGCAGGCAGCAATACAAATACCGACCCCTCTCCTCCTTCCATCTCCTACCTTCCTTCTCCTCCACATCCGCACTTCGATCATTCCTTTCGATCTGCCTCATCTCGCCTCCTTAGAGAAGAGTCAGATATTTTCTTTCTCTTCTTTCTTCATCTTCTTCACCAACTTAGCAGTGCTGAGTTGCAGTTCTTGTTGTTTATTGACGAGCATTTATCTGGTATGCCCTCACCCTCTTTCGCTTTATTTTGACTTGTTTTCCCCCAACGTTTTCCCTCTCCTTGCCCTCTCTCTCTCACGTATCTTTCTTTCCATCAACGCGCCTCTCTCCCTTCCTAAGCCCTAATGTGAGCCGAGTGCTGATACTTTCTCTCTCAGCGGACCGTCTTCAGTCTCAACTACGCTTCGACCCTTAGCAACAACTAAACATCGAAGTAAGTCGCCTATTTTCCTGCCGTGCTCGGCCTTGCCTGGCTAGCTCGATGACTTTCAAATCACACATCTAACTATCCAAATTACAGCACTATCCACGATGTCTGACGCTATGAATGAAGCGCCTCCTGCCACCAACGAAATGTCTAACGGCGCCGAGACCGCTCAGGCCGTGAATGGAGACACTCAGGGCTACGATGCTTCTCGCGGACGATGGGCCGAGCCGCAGGCTATCGACTACACCTCCATGGCTACTGGAAATCCGAGCCAGGAATGGGGCTGCAATGCTCGGGCGTACGCCTGGCAAGATGAGTATGGTGATGTCGGCCCTAAGTATCCTGAACTGGAGCTTGAGCTTTTTGGCGATCCCGAAACTCGCCGCGACCGTACTGGACTGGACTTTTCTCGGTAAGTATTTGCATAACCCTCATTCACGAACCGGCTAACCTTCTCATAGCATCGAGAGTATTGAAGTTCAGCAGGAAGGGCCGACCAAGATTGACCCCATCAGCTCCTTCAAGACCGGTGGCATTCACCCTGTCATGTTGGAGAACATCGAGCTTTGTGGATACGACAGCCCAACTCCCATCCAAAAGTTCACCATCCCCTCAATCCTACAGGGGCACGATGTCATCGGCATCGCCCAGACCGGTGCGTAACATCTTCGGTCGACTTTGCGAAGCTTGCTAATTTGTCATTAGGGTCTGGAAAAACAGCCGCGTACTTGATTCCCATCTTGAGCAAGCTGATGGGCAAGGCGAAAAAGCTTGCCGCTTTCCGACCAAACCCCCTTACTTTCCGCGAGGGCGTGGACGAAGTCGTAGCTGAGCCTCTGGTTTTGATTGTGGTTCCCACACGCGAGCTGGCACTTCAGATTTTCAACGAAGCTCGTAAGCTTTGTTACCGCACCATGCTGCGACCCTGCGTTGTCTATGGTGGTGTACCTGTTGGTACCCAGTCCTCTCTCCTGAGCAAAGGTTGCGACATCCTGGTTGGGACCCCTGGGCGGCTGGTAGACTTCATTCAGCGTCCTCGGAATCTGACTCTTCGCCGCTTGCGATACATGGTGATCGACGAAGCTGATGAGCTTCTCAATGACGACTGGGCGGAGGAGCTCAACCCTATTCTCTCCGGTGGTGGTAAGTGAACGAACATGCAAACAATGGGAGCCATCAACTGACTGTCTGACAGAGCAAGATGAGGGAAACGTGAAGTTCAGCTTGTTTTCCGCTACGTTCCCCAAGGCCGCTCGCGACCTTGCCAAAAACTACCTCGCCGCTTCCCATGTCCGCTTCCGCGTTGGTCGTGCCGGAAGTACGACAGCAAACATTAAGCAGATAGTCTTGCAGGCAGAGGCTCACGAGAAGCGTGAACTTTTGGTTGGTCTGCTGGAGGAGATGCATGGTATTCGTACCATTATCTTCGTCAACAGTAAGCAAGCCGCTGACAACCTGGATGACTTTCTCTTTAATATGCAACTCCCGGTCACTTCCATGCACAGTGACCGGACTCAACAAGAGCGTGAGGCCGCAATGCGCTCTTTCCGATCTGGCAACGCGCCTATCTTGATTGCCACCGGTGTCACAGCCCGAGGGATCGACGTCCAAAACGTGTTCCACGTCATCAACTACGATCTACCCTCTATTGATTATGGCGGTATCGAGGAATACGTTCACCGTATTGGTATGTACTGACTCCCTCGCATTTTTAACTCCTCGCTGACATGATTAGGTCGAACTGGTCGTATTGGGCACCGTGGAGTCGCAACTTCGTTCTTCTCCGAACGCGACGACCCGATCGCGAGTGTGTTGACCCGGACTCTCCTGGAAACCGACCAGGAAATTCCCGAATTCCTTCAACACCATGTCCCCGAGGGTGAAGCTCGTGAGAAGCTCAAGTTTGAGGCCGACTCGGACTTCGATCCCAACGATTACGCTGGTGCTGGAGACGCTGGCGGGGCATGGGGAAGTGGCGACACCAACGATGCTGGTGTCTCTGGTGGTGATGCTTGGGGCGGTGGTGGTGATGGCGTCAAGGCCTGCGGTGGTGATACTTGGGGTGCCGGTGACAATGACAAGGCTGGTGCTTGGGCTGACACCTCCAATGTTCCTGCTCCTGTCGCTTGGTAAGCTCTTGGCATGCCATGAGGACACACATCAACAAGCTACGATAGGCCTGCTAGACCAGTTGGTCCTGAAATTTTGAGGCAGAGAGAGTACGGTTCTGAGTTTGCGGTAAAGAAAGAAAGGAGGCATCCCAACCGGCGATGTACTGAAGGATCTGATTGTCTAGGAGATCTCCTAGGTAGATACATAAGACTTTAACGAACAGTATCTCCGTACTTGATAATTTCGCAATGCTTTGCACGAAATGAAGTTGTTAGTGACTGGTCAACAAAATTGTCAAGAGATATTGGTAAGTACCCCATGACTAGTCAAGTCAAGTATTGCAAAAGTTCTTCCCAGCTAGGTGGCTAGGAAACGATGATGAAGCACAGAACGAACAAATGCTATTAGGACCGGTATTGATCTAAGTCCTCATTCTTCAAATGCAACTAGTCATATTATATGAAAGTGATGTTAAGACTATCTCACAACATTGTTAAGCTCGAGGAGGGGAGTCGAAGTGTCACAGTCAAAGAGGATGGTGACAAGTGGGTGGTTAGGCATTATTATCTATTTTTTAGTTTCTAGTTTCACTCATAGCTCATGAGAATTACATTTGCCCCCTATCTTGGTTATACTTTCTGGCATAGCCCAAAGATTATGCACGCTCCGTCTAATCAACGTTGCCCTACTGTCGAGCTCGTTTGAAATTGCTTGGACTGCCGATTTTCAATTTACATATTGGCAAGAATCTTGCCGAGGCCCTGAAGCTTTCGGATAGGAGCACCGTAGCCCAATTCCACCACACCATGTGTGAACTTCCAACTGTCGAGTTGACTCTTTATTGGGTACTGCACAGGAGGAGGGATACTTGTGCGGATGCCCAGCCAGCCGAAGCGGTCTTCGCAGATAGCCTTTGCGTTGCAAAGCCCACGCAAACCTTCCTCGCCTGCGAATCGGCCGTAGCCAGAGCCACCAACACCGCCAAAAGGTAGTTGAACAGCATAGTAGACAGCAAAATCGTTGACAGCGACCATGCCAGCACGTAGACCCTTAACAATAGGCTGCAGATTGTGGTCACGCTCAGAGCCGTGAACAGAAGCACCAAGGCCAAAGTTAGGAGCATTGGCAATAGAGAGAATGTCTTCAGGGGAAGATGACTTTGCGCGGAGCAGGGTAAGAACAGGGGCGAAGCACTCATTTTGTGCAATACGCATTTCGGGGGTTACGTCGGCGAGGAAAGTAGGTTGGAAATAGTGACCAGTGGGATATTCGGGGTGATTGTAACGCTTGCCACCGGCGAGGAGACGAGCACCTTGCGAGACAGCCTCAGCAATGAGATCTTCCAGGCGGTCGAAGGAAGCATCAGAGATCATGGCACCAACATCAGCCTCAGGACCCAGGCGGAGAGCGTTGACTCGGGGGGCAAGCATTTCGACGAGCCTGTCGTGGATGGCACTAGGTGCAATAACCCGCTCAATACCAATACAGTTCTGGCCAGCGGCTTGGAAGGTTCCGCGAAGAATGACTTCAGCGATTCGTTTGAGATCACGGGAGGCGGAGTCGAGAACAATAAAAGGATCCTTGCCACCGAGCTCAGCAACAACAGGGGTAAGACTCTTGGCTGCACTGGCAGCAACATGATGAGCAACAGATTGCGATCCAATGAAGGTGATATGGCTGATACCAGGGTGGGAAGTAAGATGCCCAGCTGTTTGAGGCCAGCACACGACAGTTTGAACAAGTTGAGGATCGTGGCCATGGGCAATCAGGGCGCCACGGGCGATGTTGGTAAAGTATTGACTGGACCAGGCCGTCTGCTCGGAAACCTTGACGAGAATGCCGTTACCAGAGAAGAGGGCGCTGATGACAGGACCGATGAAGTTGTGGAAGGGGTAGTTCCAGCTGACAAGAGCAGCAACAACGCCAAGAGGCTCGTAGTGAACTGTGTTGCGCTTATACATCATAAGGAAGTTGGTAGGACGGCGCGAGGGGCGCAATGCCGCCTCGCCATGAGACAGAGTCCACTTCAACTTCTCAGCCGTGACAAGGATCTCTCCAAGCTGGGCATCCACCATAGTCTTTCCGCTGTCAAGGCAAGCAATCTTGACGATCTGCTCAGCATTATCGAGGACGTGCTGCAGCAGAGAGCCTAACACAGCTTGGCGTTGTTCGTAGGTGGTCTCGGCCCATGTCTTCTGCGCAGTCGCAGCAGCAGAGACAGCCCGGTCGATGGCTGCAGGCGTAGAGGGGTTGATGTGGCCTAGGAACTGGCCCGTAGCTGGAGCATAGCACTGGACAGCCGAGCTGCCAGAAACCTTGACAGAAGGGACATCGACAATGGTGTGAGGTTCGGGAGCCTTGGGCGCAGGGACGGTGTACTTGCGAGGACGAGCGGTAGCAGCTGAGATGGAGGCAACGGCGATGGCGTTCGTGAGGCGGAGTATGAGGGTAGCAACGAGGATGGCGGCGACTGTTCCAACGGCAGATACTGTAGATTGCCTGCGAGGAGCAAGTCAGTCAGTTGATCGAAGTCAATGACAAGCAACAAACCGAATATTCGAACGTACGAGATGTTATGCTCTACAGCAAACTCACTGCACAGCCGCCAAACTTTGAGAAGCAACGGCTCTTGCTCTTGTTCTTGAGGATCCATCGCAATTTCTGTAACGACCAATTGACCTTGGTAGAAACAAAGAGGAACGTTTGATCGCAGAAAACCCAACGTCCCCTTTATATCATGCGATACTGGAGCTCGTCTGAGTAGCAGGGTGGGTGTTATTAAAGTGGGAGTGATGGCTTCCTACAATTAGAGTAGAGGTACGTACCTTCTCCTTCAGGGACCTCCCGCCTTCCATTCGGTGGGGATGGAGTCGATAAGTCCATTTGTGCCTGCCAAGCCTTGACCGCTGTGGGACACTTGTGCCGTATTCGTACTCGCCCTTTCAACCTCAGTTGATATTGCTTCAACTCGAACCATTTCGTTCCAACCATGAAGGAAGGGCATATAAACAGCAGGTTATCACTACCAGCACTGGAACTTATTAATTATTTAAACTTGAATTTGTATCGTCTTATTGATTCTCGTGTCTGGTCTCCAAAAGTAACGGACAACCTGATTATATAACCGCTGCTTATGTGTAGCACCTCCCGCTCTTGTGTTCCTCTGTCTGTCTGTCTTTCTTTTCGATTGGTGACAACTTCTTCTTGTCCTGACACCGGCCATAGCTAGTCAAACTGTATCGCTTCTCACCTCCCTCCCCCACTCCTTCGACCGCGCAATAATGAAATATTTCTTCGTCAGGGAATGGGTTTGCTGCTCTTCAGCTCTAAAATAAAATGCAAAAGTAATTGTGAAACAATAAGGAAAACGGGAAACTAAAAGTGATAATACCGAAAGCCAACAAGAAAACACTTCATACAGAAAAAGCAAACACCCCTTTTGCATTTCCCCTTTGTAACGCCCTGCGTGTGTAAAACAACCTCCTGCAGTAAAGCTTGGGAGGGGTAAAAGAAAATAATTCGACCTCGTCGTCTTCATTGCGTGCTTTAGTGTATAAGCATTGAAACAAAGACCGGGGAAAAGCAACGCGTAGATCGCTCATGCAGATCATAAGTGCATCACTGGCCCCTGTAAGACCTGGGATATCAAGAGCAGGAAAAGTGCGACGGAAACAAAACGCGGCAACGGAACGCCGGATTGTTATCGTCAGCCATACTTGGACATAATATACAGGGAGATCCAAGAGTTGAGTTGAGGTCACGCCTCTCCTCTTACAAGTTCGCACTCTTGGTCAGCGAAAGCCCTCTTAGACGAGGGCGGAACCGGCCTCCTTGTGACTGGCTTGACTCGATTCTTGACAACCGCGCTGCTGATGTGAAGTCATTGCTGGCTTCAAAACTGGGTCTGACCCTATCCATCGAAGCTCGCATACGGTCGTAGGACGGTCGCGCACGGTCAACCGAGGGCCGACCTTGCATAGGCACATCCAATGATATACGGTGCGCCGTATAATTAGTCGAGTCGCTACCGTTTTGGCTGTGCTGATTATATGTCGTAGTGCGTGTTGCCGTTGAAGGAGGGTAGATGGGTCGGAGGTCCTCGTCGACACTACCGTAAGCCACATGCTTTGGCATCTTCTTCGACCTCCTTGAGCTCTTGGATGATTTTGACTTGTCGCTCTTCGTGTCGGCGATGGGAGGATCGCTCGAATCGGCTGTTTGGTAGAGGTGAGCGAACTGACCCATTCTCTCCTGCTCACGGATGATATCCACGTCATAAGGCCAATACACTTTCTGCAGAGCCTTGATGGCAAACCGCGGAAAGAGGCAAATGACGGGAACCAAAAAGAAGCAAGCCCAAAAGGTTGCTTCTCCGTAGACTTGGGCGGCGGTTCCATAGAAGTATACCGAAGAGGTGAACGAAGTGTAGACTCCAGTCCAAAAGAAAATTGAAAGGTCCGAGATGACAACAATCAGCACCATCAGCCAGTCCCATCGATAGGTGTTGATCAAAATGTACATGTTGATGGTGATAACAGAAGGGTGAGCGACGTAGGCACCAAATCGAAGGCGGTCCTCCAAGCCAAGGCCATTCGCGGTTAAAAAGGTACCAGGCATAAAGAGAAGGTAAGGAATGAAGAACACCATGATGGACTGGTAGACACCATCGATCATGTAAAGCCTTTGACATGTTAGTACAAAACAATCATTTCCTGAAAGACATTCCACTTACCAAAATTTGAGCTGGGTCCACTCCAGCCGCTCGATACCTCGACGATAGAGTTGGGGAACAGCAAGGGACACCTTATCAGAAACATCCTGATCTAGGACACCCATGATAGCAACAGGGATCGATGTGAAGAACAGGTTGAACATGAGGATGTAGGTGTAATCGAAGAGATAGGTCATATCCATATCACAATAGATCTCAAACCAAAAGATGGAGAAAGTCCAGACCATGTTCTTGTAGAAGAAGTTACTTATACTCTCAGCAAGACGACGGTAGGACCATCGACCATGGACGAGTACCAGTCTTGACAGGAAACGGAACTGGGCAATCGCATAGTCAGAAGACATAGCAGCCTGACGACCTTCAACACCAGCAATACCGACACCAACATCGGCTTCCTGGATCATAGCAACATCATTGGCGCCGTCACCGATGGAAAGAGTCATGACATCCAAGCCATTCTTGACCATGGCTACCACGGCAGCCTTCTGGGCGGGACTGACACGGCAGCATAGGACAGACTTGCACTGCTTGCAAAGCAGAAGGAACTTCTGTTTTAAGCGATCGTTGAGAACCCAGCGGAGTGTGAAACCATCGATAACAAGTCCATGTGTGGGGGCAGGCGGCTCATGGTTCTTCTTGGCGAGGGCAAGATCGTGATCGCTACCAGTAATACCGAAAGTTTGCAGATTGTCGTCCAACATCTTTTCGGCCATGTCGAAGAATGTTTCGTCGGCAACCTCACCCGACTCATCCTCATCTACCTTTATGTGAATCAACTCCATATCGTTATTGAGAAGATTACATGAAAAGCCGATGTTGATAGCCGTCTCGACTTTGTCACCAGTAAGAACCCATAGCTTGATACCAGCGTTACCCAAGAGGGCGATAGTATCAGGAACTCCATCTTGCAAACGATCTTCGATAGCTGTACCGCCAATGAGGTAGAGGTCTTGTTCAATCAGCTCGGCCACAGATTCCAGCTTCTCCTCTCGCTCTTCCAGAGCAGATGCTGCTGCGTCGTGCTCCTTCTTCCACGCTCGGTACTCCTGCTCGGAGACTTCCTTGTGTGCGATGCAAAGTGTTCGTAGACCCTCCCGGGCAAACATTTCAAGATGTTCAGCAGTAGCCTTTCTGAGCTCCTTCTGTTCTCCTCGTTTCAGACGCGAGTAGATAATACTATCGGCGCCCTTACAGAAGAGAATGATTCGGCCGTCGGGCATCCTGACAATTGAACTCATTCGCTTTCGACTAGAGTTGAATTCGATCGTGTTGAGAATCTGATAATGCCGGTCTTCACCCATGACGTTCAGGTTCATACCTTCACCAGAGCTTCCTAGAACAGTAAATCCCATGTCACGAGCAGTGGCGACCAAGGCTTCCTCATCGGGTGATTGTGCCTTGAAAATCATCCTTGGCTCCTCGCCATCAACCTTCTCGACCATTACAGTGTGACAGAGAGCCAGGGCAAGCATGAAATAATCGTTTGCCGCCTGCTGTTCAGGGCCAGACTCTCCAGCCAAATCGGCAACGAAGTCGGGTGCAATGAAAGTCATGGAATCATCATGGAGGTAGGGGTTGTTGTGAATCTTACGGAGGCCTGCCAAAGCGCGAACCTTGGCATCAGCAATCTCGGCGCGAACTCTCTCACCTTCCTTCTCAACATCGACACCGAGTCGCTTCTGCATTCCAGCTTGTGCTTCTGTGTACGCCTCGCCATAAGGCTGTCCGTTGATTGTGGCCTTCTTGAACTCCATAACGTTCTGAGTGAGGGTACCGGTCTTATCAGAGAAAATGTATTCAATCTGACCCACATCATCCGAGATATTCCATGACTTTGGAATACAAGGTTGGTCAATGGGTTCGTAGTACATCTCTACATCGTTGTAGATGAAGACAGCTTGCAGAGTTCGAACGATTTCCAAGGTGATGTATAGCGAGATTGGCACCAAGTTCTGGAACAAGATGATGGCAGCCCAGAAGGTGATGAAACCGCTCATAGCGGGAGTTCCACCAATGGATCCGAAATCGAAGAAGTGGAGAGACGCATCTGTTTTTGCCCATGCAACGCCGTTGATAATGGCAGCAAGCAGACACATGATAAGCAGGATGCCAAAGTTACAAACAACGTTGAAGTTCATCTCTCGCGCAATGCGAGCACGCTTGCTAGGAGTGATACCAGCATTCATCATGATCTTGGTGTCATGTCCGGTATAGACAACGACGCCAACGATCCACTCGGTGTTTCGAAGATTACAGCCACGTAGGAGAAGGTTGTCGATAGTGATGGGTTCCGTCATCTCCTCAGGTTCATCGTCCAGGTAGCCAGGCACGGGTTGCTTCCACTTGATAGCACCGTTGTATTTGTAGAGGTTGGGCTGTGGACCCTCACTTTCGACCATGAACTCGGCGCGCTCACAATCTCTAGCATGCTTGAGCGATCGTCCGCAACGCACAGCCTGGCGAACCTTGAGATTGGTTTCGCCATCCAAATTCTTCGTTTCGACAAAACAGGCTCCGTCTGGGTCGGAAGTAGCGAGGATGATGACATCGGCAGGCAGTTCCTCGTCGTTATAGATACGAACAAAATCGCCTACAACAAGACTTTTCCAGGTATCTTTCTGGAATCGGGCACCTGACGCAGGGTGACTGTAATTGATGAAGTCAGACTTCATCTGCATCAAGGCAGCTGCGCGTTTCGCATCTTGCTGGTCGGGCATCTCGAATTGGATGTGCGGCGTAGCCTGAGGTGATGGCGATGGAACAGGTGTCATCTGAATGTCCTCGCGGGCAGACATGAAGGACTCGCGACCGGTGAAAGGGGATGCTATAGACTGGCGCATAGACTGTCTAGTTCGGTGCGTCTCAACTGAAGGTCGGGGAGCATCATCCTCATCTGGTCCACTCCTACGCTTGGCCATTTCTTGCTTTGCCTTCTTGGACCAGATAGACTGAAAACCACGCCAGATGGCGCCGAAGAACTTAGAGTTGGCCTTTTTGAATTGACGCCAAGTAGAAACATCGCCCTCGAGGACGTTGACATTGTTCCAGTTTCGTAGTCGATGAACCGGAGCATTGTTGAGCTCGATGTCGAGAACTGTTCGTCGGTAGTCTTCGATGGCATCCTTGATAGCTGTGACTGCGATAATGAAAATTAAAGGGACAGCATTAAGACCTGGGTTAACACCACCAAAGATAGGGAAGATCTATACAACGGTCAAAGGTTATTCACGGGGCTATAGGGGGCTTAGGGAGTCGGTCAACTTACGACCAGGATAACCAAGAACAAGAAAAAGATGTTGGCAACGTTGTGGAATTGGAACCATAAGTTTTTAGGAACGAATGACAACGGTGTGTATTTGGCTGTTCGAATCTTGTTTCGTGTGAATGTCTGACTTGGGTTGCCTTGCTCATCTAGAAGTTGACTCGGCAGAGGTTGGTTGAAGAACAAAGTCCTGTTCTCGTTCTCCTCTTCCTCATACTCATCGTCACCATCATCCTGCTCCTCAGGATTCGGTTGCGGTGGTTGAGTGTTGCCATTGCCTGGGTCGGGTCCATCGGAGGGAGGGTTCTTTTCGTTTGAGCCCGACTTCTTGTGTCCCATGCGTTCAAGAAGAGAGCTGCGCTTGTTGTTGCTGCTGTTGACGCTTTTTCTTTGGGTTGCCCATCGCGATCTTTGAGTAGCGCTGAGAAGCTGAGGATCTTCAGGACCCCGAGCATCCTGAGGTGCAAGGTGACCGTCGGAGGTTGTTGTTGTGGTCATGATGAAGTCGCGGGCAAGCGCCCGATCGGCCCCTCGATGCCAGCCAGATTGGAGGAAATGGGCGGGTCGAAGTCGAGCGAGGCGAGAAGCGTCTGGTTAGTTGCAGCAGACAGAATCGAGAGAGAATCGATCGAAAGGAATAGAGCAGGTGCAATTGAAGCAACACCAGCTGCTCGTGAAGAAATTATTATTGGCGACGACGGGGTTGATTGTTCGGGTATGAAACTGCGTCGCCAGGGCCGTCTAAAAGTCGTCGAGACGGTGCAAGAAGAGGAACGCAGACTAGACGCGGAGAGTTTGGTAAGGTTGTTGATGGTGACGAGATGCGAGCGAGAAAGATGGGCTGGAAGTACGGTACAAGGGGAATTGTGTAAGCAACCATGGAACCAACCTGGCCTAGTCAAGTCAAGTAGGAGGTAAAGGAAGAACGGGGCGGCAAGGGAAAAAAGCTACGGTGGACTTTCCATGGGGAGACCCTCCCCGTCCCATCCGCCAGTCAAAGTGAGTAGCCGCCAAAAGGCCTAGGACTTTAGCACTCTCGTATGGCCTTTTCAGGCGGTACCCGCTCGAGACAACCGCTGGGACTCGCTGTCGAGTGCTGTTGAAGGGAAATGGCAGTGGAGAGTGGGTGGCAGGGGCGTGGGGCATAGGCTGGTAGTGGTGGGTGGGTGTGCGTGGGGAGTCGTGATCCCGGCCCATCCGACGCACTCACTCATCTGCCCGGAATGTACCCCTAAAGTACCTTGCCATTCTCCTGCATGCAAGTTGAATATGGATGATCCCAAGTCGACCTATGCGATGCGCTGTCTCGCATTGCCTTTGCCAGCTAACGTTAAGCCTTCATACTCTGCAATGCTTACCTCGCCTAGCTCGCGCCTCACTCGCCCTACGGTTTTTGAAGGTACATACAGCCCCCGGCAAGGCGGTCTTGTTACTTTAATGCACCGTCGTCCCAAGCCATTGATCATCCATAAATGATAATAAATCGTATAACATGGCCTGCTGCTCTCATCCGCAGCCTTGCTTATCTACGGTTACCGATTACACCATGGTAGCCACCTCGCAACAGTCAATCCTCGGCGATCATATCGCATCTCCCATCTCTTAGCGGACGCTGTCTTACGGAGATGCTTTCAGCAGATATCCTCGTGAGTCGTACCTCATTCAGCCCTGGGAATACAGGCGGCTCTCTCGGGCCTCTCACGGAATAGTCGGCCGCTACATATCCCCGACGCTACATCCATTTGGGGCAGACGGGAAACTGCAATGGAACCTTGTCAGCCAGGGTTCTGTCCACCTTAACATGACCACAACAAATACATCGAACACAACTAAGAATACAGCATCTCGTCCCTCTTCATATTGTGCACACTAAAAGCTTCAACACACTTGCATCGTTCCAAAACCCGTTTCTCTCTCCAAACGTCAAAGAATTGCTCGGCCCTTTACAAGCTTTTGATCGTAACCTCCTGCGCTCTTTCGGTGCATACGCCTCCAGCTGGCATTTGCTGCCCCCCCCTTGAAGCACCAGCCTACCCCTTGCAAAGGGGGAAATCTACAATAAGTCGCGCCTAAAATTTGCCAAGGGGTCTTGTCTTGTCTGTCAAGCGAAAGTGTGCCTGAATACGGAGTACGGATACAATGCTTGTTTTTCTCTGGCAAAAATAGTTCGGCTCCTACCAATTCCCGACATTCTTGTGACAGCAGTAGATTGTCCGTGAATGGAAGCTTCGGATGAAATCATCGACATTGACGATGCTAGCTCCGTCAACTTCGTCTATTGACTCCGCCCGCATATGGGCTTTTCGCGACCCGGCCGGACCGTTGTCATTACAACCAAATCTGGCGATAGCGCGCATCTTGAGAGGCAGATAGTAGGCTTCTATTTGCTGCAATCTTTGACTAGTCTATAAAGTTGAAGAAGGTGGTTTTTGTCGACACCGTCACCGCCGCTACTTTAATATGTTCCTCTGATCATGTAAGCCAGAAATGGGCGGGGGTTCTTTACAGTAATCTTACGCTTGATCGTCGAGGCTTTTTTGTCTTCACCGCATCAGTGACCCTGGACAGACGGAAGTCTAACGGTCGTTGGACTTCTTTTCAGAGCATGAAACTGTATATACATCCGTACATAAAAGCGGTGATTGCACAAATCTTGACAATGGGGAAGTTGCGCAATAACGTCCCTTAGAACTCATCGCTGCCCCAGGTGACATTGTTTCAACTCTGAAGACGGGACCATCCACTATTTTGGTCCTCAAGCTTGCGTGATGATCTTTCCAGGTTCAGTCGCCTGGCGGCATCAAGATCCGGCATCGCCCTGTCTTCCTTGAACGATACAAAGCACATGCTGTGATGGTAACTCCTCTTTTTAAGGTTGTTTCCCTTGGTAAATTACAAAGTTTGAAATACATATAACGGTTCATAGGGCAGTAGAGGATATCTAGATAAGAAACTCAGTTTTATCAGCACGGCAGGTACTCCGTAGTCAAGTAAAGTGGCCAAGATTTCTATCTCTATGTACGGAGTAACAGCCTCGTTATAACCTGAGAACAAGCTTCGACCAGATCTTCGCTTACCTGCCTCATGAGAGATACGCCCCACGTAGCTTCAATGAGTATCCGCTCCTCATCAAACATGGCCTTTCAAGTTTTTTTAGTTTTTCTTTTTTCTATGCCGTATACTACTTTTACAAAGCGTTGCCTAGTACTCCGTAGCCAGCTTGCTGTTGTTTTGTGACGCCGGACTGTTAATTCTGTGGAAAAGATATTTCCCTGTATGTATGGACATTTCTTCTTCCTCGACGGCCTCCGCAAATCCCGTTATGTCCAGACATTACCTCCGCATTGTCGGGTTCACGGAGTTTAATTACGAGCGGCGGAAGCGCCACGTTCTGCTTTTCCCGCCGTTACCTCACCAGCAATGACAGAGAAACAAAACTCGGCGACTTGGCCACTGTAATCAATCAGCGCGGGGCCGCGGGCTTACAAACAAAGCGGAGGCCGACAAACCCCATTCAGTGAGACTTGAGTGCGGCGCGGCATCGCCGTGGTGCTGTAAATGGCAATGGCAATGCAATGCAATGCAATGAATGGGCTTATGACTCTGACGACGCTGACGGATCACGGTTCCACTTAGTGTAGGATTACGCTCATATCGACGTTTCATGATTCAGCCTGGCACCAAACTCGATTTGCTCCTCATCAAGTATTTAGAGATTCGTTGGTTTTTTCTTCAAGTTTGTGCTGTTTCTGTACGACAATCATCGGGAACACGAAGCGCAAAGTCTGAACAGTCTCTTGCGGTGTTACATTGTGCCAGCGATACTCTGTATACACACAGCTGGCCCCTGGGTAAAAAGTACATCAAAAGAACTTGGAAAGACCCCCTGTCTCAAATCTCTACCTAGTTCAGTGCAGCTCAGGAACACGGGTGTCCTTTGCTCCTTGTTTCGTCAATTCATTGGAGACGACCCTTGTTAGGGGTCTCCTGAACCTGCCAACCTTACCTTCTGCCGGTCCAAATTTCCAGTAACAAGACTGGTAGGGTTGTCAAAGGTCTTCAAACTCATATAATATACTCCAAGTAAGCCATCTGATACTTGACCGCATATGATTAGTTGCGGGACAGAGATGAGGCCTTAGTCTCTATCTCGATAGCCTTCTTAGTATGAGATTAGCGTTTCAGGAATTGTAGATTGAGTCAAGCTTCGAATATCGGTCTTTCAGTGTGAAGGTCCTTTTTCATCGTCCCAAGAAATGCCCAGGCTAAGAAGGTGGTCAGATCCACGATCCATCGCTTCTGGTCCAACCCTTCAAAAGCATCGAATGGGGGCTGTGCTTGTGTCCGCCGCGGATTGGGGGTTTGAGCCATATCACCAATGACATATTATCGTATTCCTCGGCATTGATAATTAATAATGACAGGCGTCATCATATCACAAGCACTGCAGCCTCGTCGAGACCAGATGCCGAGGCGATGAACTACTACTCATTGTCGTGCTTGTTTCCCCAGAGTATCCGTACAGGATGCAATACAAAATCTCTTTCAATCGAGCCAGTGTCGGAATGAAAATGGGTGCACGCACGTAAGCTTCCCGCATCGCATGCCAGACACAAGGATCTTATCCCGAATTTGGTGATGTGCAACTGTTTACGGATACTGCGTTATGATTTGTGCAGTAACACAAACAAGTGGCAGGAATGAACTCAAGGCTCCATTCCCGACTATCCTTCCCTTTTCAGTGGCATCGTTATGAAGCGCATGATAAATCCCCCTTTTCCAAACCATAGCGGCTGGAGGTGACGCCGCGTATCTTGAGCACGAACCTCTGAGCTAAAAACAACCGCATTACGTAGTACGTCTACGGATATATCTCGATAAAAGCCCTGGTCAAAGCTGTGAGCTAGAAGATCGATGCCCGAGATAGAGACTCTTCTGGAAATTCTAATGGTAGTTCTAATAAAAGGGGGCTGTAGCCAAGGACTATTGCCCATTCCATTGGCCGCTCAGTGAGAGCAGCGCCACAGAGGGAGGTTACACCTATAGGGTGAGGAAAGTAAGCGGCCAAGATAAGATATTTTGCTGTGTTTAGGAACTGTCAATGGAGAGTTGTTCTACTCAGCACTAAACAAGGTCGCATGATGTTGGTACTATTCATAACCAGCCAACCCAGCCTCATCAATCTCTTATTCACGATCACTCCTTGAGAGTAGCTTACCCGGTAGCCACAGTGGCCACCATAGCCACACAGAAGCCACAAGCCACAATGCCCCTCCGAACGCGTCCTGGTCTCAACCAATTTACGCGGTTACTCTCTTTTTGTCCACAAACCCTATACCTGCCTGTCTGTACCGGTGATGGCTTTGTACACCACGACCTGAACCTCATGCACATGCTGTGACCATTTAATCAATCGCTTTACACGCTTTTCATCAAAGCAAAACAATATGTCGCAAAATGGCAAAAATGGGAGTATTATGAGTTTCTTCAAACCCGTGACAAGGTCTCAAACGCCCAAAGCTTCCAAACCCTCAGCACCTCCGCAACCAACTTCATCCCCATTGGAACAAAAGACAACAACACCAGTAAAGAGACCGCCACCTCCGCCTCCTGATCGTGAGATCCAAGCTTCAGATGACGAGGATGACTTTGGGTCTTCTTCAGACGACTCACTCGAGGATCTATCTACAATTCTTGGGCGAGGTCGTCCAGGTAAAGTAACTGGCTCTCCTGTCCGTAATCTCTTCGCGACCCCAAAGGCCAAGAGAACCGCGGTCGAGTTCCATGCATCTCCCTTGGCAATAATATCGAGGCATAAGTTCGATCTGAAAGCTCTTGCCAAGGATGCTAGACAGGATGATGCGACAAACGCAAGCTCGGTGAGAGCTAAAGCCTTCTCAGAACTTGACGACCAAGGACATGAGCGCATGTCAACAGATGAGACATCGCGAGATGCGATGAAAGATATCGTCAAAAACAGTACTGGCCAAGATGCCCAGAAAGTTTTAAGAGCAGTCCAGAGATCAGAGCCTGGACAGTCGCAACTTCGGTATTGCTTCTTTTGTGAAGAATATACGTCACCCTCTCCCAAGGCCGCCCCCAAGAAGTTCAGTAAGGGGCCCTGGAGACTATTGACTCAGGGCGATCATCAGACTCGAGAACAACATCTGGCCTCTGGCGTACCCCTGACCCTTCTCCGATTACAAGGAGGATTGCCAGATGAGCTTTTTGAATGGATCCTCGATGAGCTCTGCGCGCAGAAGTCGACCCTCACAAGACAAGAATACTGTAACCTACTTAGCAGTTGCCCCGATTCGATTGAGCGTATTATTACACCAAAGCGACTGGAGGCATTGCTGTATCGATTTGGTGCTGCCCCCGAGCTCGCGCAGCGGAACTCCGAGTTGAATTTAACGAAGCCCAATATCGAGCCTTATGGTGCCCGCGACTGGTCACCTCTCGGTTCCTTCTTATCACTCCTCGCGGCCATGTCGCCGTACATGTCTCAGGAATCCATCTTCTACGCATCGCGGACACTTTTGCTCATGTCAATGGACAAGTTCTTGATATATGACATCAACCTTCTGATCACTTACGAAACTGCGATAGAGGCCCTTCTCGAAGCTATTCCCCAGTCCAGCTGGGACACATTTGTAAGTGGTATTCCCTGTTTGCTGTAGAGTCATTACTAACATATAGCCAGTGCTTTGAGACCTGTACACTGTTGCACATACTCGTCAAAGCACAATGTGTAAGAACGAATGCTTTGGCCTGTCTTCCAATCAGCAAAACCAGACCTCACGAACTGAGACGAAGGCTGGCCATAGCGTCATTATTTGATGATCCGTCCTTGGGACGCCATCATCCCGACGATACTGTTACTATTCGCGGCATCATCGAGCTTCTAGACCATGAGGAATTCTTCGTTGGGCCTCAAACAGACTTCACCGAATTACAAGCTAACATCCTCCTCCTTAATATTGTGGTGGATGATGGTTCATTTATACCATCCGATGACCCAGAAGCGGAAAAGCAGTTCAACAGCGATATCGACGCGCTTGCAGTTCGACTGAGGGAAATTTGGAGAAAGATCAACGATGCGGGCATGAAGCTCGCTCGTACTGAAGCCAAGAGCGTTATTGAATGGGTGCAGCAGCGACTTGCACACTCCGTTCGCACACGCCGCAAAGCCAAGAAGAGTATCTTTGACCTCCCTGGTCAAAGAGAGGACCCTTTTCTTCCAAAACAGCAAGACTACATGAAGAACTTTCTGCGTAAAGTCCCAAAAAACACCTCAGACAGTACAGCAAAACAGTCACCTTCGGAAACGGGTGAGGGTTTGAACGAAGCAACGGAGACGGACACGATTGTGGTTAGATTCAAGTGATACAAATGCCACTGGGATAAGGCGCACGGAGGTCTAGGTGTATGGCGTTTCACTGGATATTGCTTGTAGCGAGTCTTTAAACGTGTAATCAATTCTACCACGGGCCAAGTCCCAAATCAGTCAAAACAAGTTGAACACAATACGCAGCCTCTAAACTACACAGCACAGACTGATTAACAATGCGGGTCGTGGATGGTTGAAAAGCCTCGTTAGTCGTGCGGGCATCGAAGCGGGCTGGAGTATAAGTATAGTCACTCATATAGAGATAACAATAGCGGCCAAAGAAGCTCAGTCGGTGAACTTGCGGTTAGGATTCTTGCCAAAGAGAGCCTCTCGCACTGCAGGTGCTGCAGACTCCTCCAGCAGTCGCAACCTAGCCTCGAAGGTGTTATCAATGTCAATCTTTCCGCTTCCGCTGATGATGGATACACCACCGGCACTGTGACACTGTTAGCACTCTTCCCAAGAACTCTGCGCGAGATTTCGCAACGTACATTCCCTCAGGGAGAGGGTCGTCCTCCTGGATCTTTGCCGTGACGTCCTTTCCAAGCTCCTTCTTGTACTCCTTGGCGGCCTCCTCGATTGCCTTCTTGACAACGTCGTAGTCCTTCTTACGCGAGCGAACCTGCAGCTCGGGCTCGTTGAGGGCGTAGAAACCTTCGAGCAGAAGGCCCTTGAGAGCCTTTTGGTACTTGCCCTTGTCCTTGGCACCCTCAGCGAGCTTCTTCTGGGCCTCCTCGAATATGTTGTCGAGCATCTCCTGGCGGGCGCCGAGAACCTTGAGTCGCGTCTTGTTGGAGACAGTGGAGCGGGTGATTTGCTGGGACATGGTGGCCTGCTTGAACTTCTTCTCGTACTGGGTGTCGATGGCGTCTGTCTCCTGACGAACAAGCTTAGACTTCTCGATCTCGAACTCCTCGTTGGCCTTGATCTCGATCTCGCGGGCCTTCTCCATGGCTTCCTGCTTGATGAACGCCGTCATCTTGCTGAGCTCATTGTTGACCTGTTTGGGGTATCGCGCGTTAGAAGGGACATGTCTGGTAATACGGGCAACGCAATGCGGCGTTTGAGCATGGAGATGCGTACCTGCTGGTCGGACAAGGCGTGTTGCGACATGATGGGCGGCTTTATTCGGAGTGTGTGAGGTTCTAAGGGTTTGAGGGATAAAGGATTGTGACCTTGTTGGGGTCAAAGATGAAGCGATAAAAGGCTGGCGATGGCCTCTTGTTAGTAAGGTCGACGATGGACTATGATGGAGTTGGTAGCTATTGATGTGACGCCAGCCGCCCGAAACCCAGCCTACCAGCTCCTTAGCTGTATCTTACTGTGCTCCAGCAGGGAAACTGGAGCTTCGGTGGCCAAGCCACAGCTGGTCCCCGCTGTTTAGAGTAGTACTGTATGTATGCGGTCATCGATCAGAGGGAACCATTATTGCTGATATTGAGAGACATCGCTTAGCTGGTTAAGGATATTCGAGTGATACAAATACATGAATAATAGTAAATCTATACTCATGCCATATCTGATATACTTTCTAGTATTGTTACTGCCTACACAGTCGCTGTTGGCCAAATGATGTTGCGAAAACATTATTACTCTTCATGCACTCATTGTATGAAACTACACCGCCACTGTGGCTAGCCAATCTCGTGCTAACTTAGAGCTTGCAAGCCTCTACTAACTACGCCGTATCCGTACTCACGTCAGGTGTCCTACGCACGACTCAAGCTTGCCCGCCTCCGACTTTCTTATTGATTAGTTGGAATCCAAGACATATTCTATTACTATCTTGTCGAATTAAACATCTCTTTCTCGGATTCAACAGCTTTTGGTCCCCCCTTTGAGGTGCTGGCGCCAACCCAGTATACAACGTCCACGTTCAGTTGGCGACAGCCCAGCAACCTCCCGCATTGCATGCCGGCGCTTCAACGACCTTGACTCTATCGAATCAACAACACCCTCACGGAATCCAGTGACACGAAGCGATCTCTATAACAAGCACACTGCCTATGCGACGTCTCAACAACCTGCCTCAACTCTCCCTTGCCCGATGACCTTGGACCTGGCATAGGCGCAATGGGGTTGCTTGACGGCATCTCTTCTGGAGGGAGCATAGCTGTACGTCGGGTGTAGTGCTCAATGACGAACCAGTATACTAACAACTTCGAATATAGCTAGGAATTATTGTTGGACTTTTATCGACAAGTGTCCAGAGTCTAGGTCTTACCTTACAGCGAAAGTCGCATATCCTCGAGGACGAAAAAGGACCCCACGATGTTCGACGACCACCATATCGACGGAGGAGATGGCAGCTTGGAATGGGCATGTTTATCGTGGCGAACCTTTTAGGAAGTAGTATCCAGATTTCGACCCTTCCACTTCCCGTTCTCTCGACTCTACAGGCTGCCGGCCTTGTTTTCAACTCCATATGCGCATCGCTCATCCTCAGCGAGCCTTTCACAAAGTGGTCGCTATCTGGTACAATCCTCGTCACATCGGGTGCTGTGTTGATCGGAATATTTGGAGCTATCCCCTCGCCGGCGCATGACCTGAACGAACTTTTGGCGCTCCTGGGGAGGAGACCATTTATCATCTGGATGATTTTCCAAGCGCTATTCGTCATCACTCTTGCGTTGGCCATTGACTTGACCAACAGCATGTCAAGTCTGTCTCATGACGCCCGATTCCGACTGGCTCGAGGCATTACATACGGTGTCATCAGTGGAGATATCTCTGCTCATGCCCTTTTGTTCGCCAAATCCTCCGTGGAGTTGGTTATCAAGACTGTCGCAGGACGTAACCAGTTCGTGCATTGGCAATCATGGGCGATTGTCCTAGCTCTTGTCGCATTGGCGCTTTGCCAACTTTACTACTTACACCGAGGTCTCAAACTCGTCTCGACCTCAGTACTTTATCCCCTGGTTTTCTGTGTTTACAACATCATTGCCATTTTAGACGGCTTGATATACTTCAACCAAACGAGCCTAATATCGCCCCGTAGAGCATGCCTCATCGCTTTGGGAACACTCATTCTCTTGTCTGGCGTACTGGCGTTATCATGGCGATTGAGCGACGAGCAGCATACACCCGGCGTTGGCCAGTCGTCTCTCGCGCCTGGTCTTGGACTTGTGGAGGATACTGAGGAGGAGGAATCTCTACTCGGTTCAGACAATGCCGTCGCCGATGATGATTCCACTCCACATACATATCAGACATTTCCACCCACAACTGATGAGACACCGCTGGTTCCTTCTCGCAAGAGAACCCCTCGGTGGGCCGAGCGGGCTGAGATATGGGGCGAGTTGGAGGATAGAGATGAGCCCACTACCCCGGGCAGTAGGCGGCGGTCTAGTACATTGCAGCGTCATGCAGAATCATCACCTCTTCTACCAACCAAGAGGCCTCTTACAACTGGCCCTGGCGGTGAAGAGTCCGGCCCAAGCACCGAGTCTACCCCTCGAAAATTGACCCGACGAAGGCGGAAGAGCACCGGCTTCCCCGGCCTTGTCGCTCGTCGGCATCAAAGAAACAGGAGCTCCACAGAATCTGGCGCTCTCAGCAACATCCTCTCCTTGAGTTGGTTGAGGAGCAGAAGTCGCCAGCCGTCGCAAGGTAGCAACACCGACGGCTTCCCATGGGGCTCCGCGTCCCAACAAGAAGGCGCTGAGGCAAGGGGCGACGCAGCTGTATGAATATGAAATGTCTACCCATCTAGCATCACAGAGTTGTGCGAGAACGGGGGAGGCGAACGAAAGGCGTTTTCTTGTGTAAAGTTCCTGGGTTCCTTGGTTAGTGTTGGTGGCGCGAAGGCTCTGATGGTTTGAAGGCAACCCTTTGCACGCCCCATGTTCATATCTATATACTTTTTCTTTTAGGCTACAATGCATGTTAATGATAGCAACACATCGTCGATCGAGTTTGGGACCCTTTGTGAGACCCAGATGCCTCAACCGCGAAATATCAGATAAACCGAATATTTCAAGTTCAACATTCATGGGCTTCACGCAGTGAACTGCCTTGCTTGTCCATACAATAAAGCTCTTCATTGACTCGGTACTCTAATTGTTATGAACCTGGCCCTTCGACACCGATCCCATTTAGCAATACTAAGTGACTAGGACCTCATACTCATCCACATGGACGAGCAAAAAGAAACAGCAATAAACTCCAATTTTCTCCGTGCTCCGTACTCCAAAAAACCATGAACTCCAATCCCCATCATCTCTTTTTCGTTTGAAGAATGAAACCATGCGTTCACGTAGATGCGAACTCCAGATGTCCCCATGTCCCCATCCTTATTGTTAACAGTCGTATTGAATATCATGCGCCAATTAGATGCACGAGTAGTGCTGTATGACGAAAAGTTGATTTTTGCAATGTAAGTCTTTCGTGCTTGCTGGTTCAGTCGCTTGGAGTTCCTATGCTAAGAGACTTCAGGTATAATAAGGTAGTGTAATAGACATACGAGAAGTCGTAAGGTAACTTGGTATGCCACGTCGTCCCCGACCCGCTTCCATGAGTAGAGAAAATGAATAAACACAATTTAGTGATTAGCAGGCAATTCCTTCGAAAAGAAGACAGAACCGGAGGCGTGGTTGAAATTAAAACATGAAAGTCCTCTAAATGTGGACTTAATTTGGGGACTCCTCCAGTCGAATATACATGTATCAGAGCTCGACCCGGAACCCAATTTCTTTGGTGTGAATTAAGAACGAAGCTGTAATAAAGCGATGATGCGCGAATAAGCAAGCTGTAACTGATGGTTCTTGTCGAGCAAACAAAATGTGCTTTGTCTCATTCGAGAATGACGCTTAAGCTGAAATAGGTGCGTAGTTGGTTTGCAACCAGATTAGTGACAGGGAAGAGAACGGTATATACGTCGGCTATTTGTGTCAACACGAACTCGTAGAGTCCTAGACACGGCTCGTACTGGCTCTGCTGCGTTCATCCTCCTCTTCCATGACATCGCTCAGCCGAGTCGGGTGGTGATGGCGAGGGACTGTCTCCCAGCCAGGAGTAGCATATCCTTGACCAGAATAATCTTGAGGGTCTGAGTATGTCCCGGTCCACTGCCCTTGGCCTTGGCCGCCGTTGCCTCCTCCCCCTCCAGTAGAGGTGGAAGGAGAATCCTGTTTACCGCTTGGCGGGTTGGTGGTAGCGGGTGTCGCATACTCTTCTGCTTCACCATCAGAACCGGAATACGTAGAGGGTGGTCCAGCGAAGGGAATCTTATTTCCTTGGGCATCCAACAGGAAGTTCCCATTTGCATCAATCACGTACTCACCTTCGCTGTAACCACCCTCTGACGCTGGCGCGTGAAGACCACCACCCTGTTGGCGATATTGCTCGCCGGAACTTGTTGTAGGCGGCTGGTGTTGGGGGGATGTTGTCGGTTCAGGAGGGTAACCTGACCCGTATTCAGCCTGATAGGCTCCTTGAGCTCTTCGGCTAGGACCGCCTTGGGTCATAGGGACGACTTGGACACCACCAACAATAGTTGGTTGTCCTGACTGGAGGGACAGTGTTCTATCGCGCTCCTCTTGTTCGCGTCGTCCCAGTTCCTCCCATGCCCGACGTGCCTCTTCCTTAGAAATGGACAGCTCTTTACGCATTTCAGTAAGCTGCTTCTGGGCTTTAGAAGTTCCACGCTCATTTTCCAGAGCATCCCGGATGGCGTCAGCTCGCCCTCGACGTTCTTGGTCCAGGGCAGCTTCCAGCATTGCATTGACTTCTTGCGCACGCTCCAGTTCCGCGCGGGTTTCAAAGAACCAGCGTTGAAACTTTCGCTCGGAGCTTGCACGCAGACGCTGGAGCTCGACAACGGCGTGGAAAAGATTAGCCCCAGCAGCGGATAAATCCGTTACCTGACGAGCCAGTTGTTGATTCAGAGGGTCTCGATTAAGATCATCCTTGTTTTGTTCAAGCTTGCGAATCCAGTAGCTAGTGAGGCCCTCCCAATGGGCAGATAATGTCTCCCATCGCTCGAAAGCATGAGGGAAAGAGTTCCGTGTCTTGGAACCACCAGCGCCACCCTGGTTTCCGCTTTCTACACCTTGTGCAGCGAAATTGGGTTGCGCGACTGGCGCTGGCCCGGTAAATGTTTGAGGGGGCGGTTGATTAGTAGAGCTCGATCGCCCGTGTCGAGTAGATGGTACTTGGGAAGTAGTGTTTGCCCGCGGACGGGCTGATGTGTTATCGGGGGCGGCTTGCGCTTGTCGCTGGGGGTTCATTGACTGACGCGCTTCTGCGTCAGTGCCCTGCCCAGCAGCAACGCCAACAGATCGACGCTGTTCTTCTGCTCTCCTGGCCTGTTCCAAAATGCGCGCCTCCTGCTCAGTTCTCTCTCGTTGTTGCGCCTCTGCCTCAGCGCGCTGTCGCGCTTCTCGAGCCGCACGCTCCTGCATAATCATTCTCGGCCCTCTGATACCAGAAGGTGAGCCGGTTTGACCGGGAGCTGAGCCAGGGCGGAACGGAGGGGCTGCTGGCTTGCCATTAGACGCTGGAGGCATGCCTCCAGGAGCCATAAGATCAGCCATGCTTGCAGATTCCTCTTCGAGATTTGGAGTGAAAGGATTGGGGTTGCGCAGCGCCTCCTCGAGTGCAAAGAGGATAGCGCTGTGGGTGTGCTTGGAGATCTTAACAGCCGGGTGTGGTTCTGGATAGTTTACAGGCACAGAGGGAGTCGCTCTCAGAGGTGACTGGGGACGTTCCGAAGATACCTCGTCAGGATCCTCAGTCAGATCCTGTGAAAGCCGTCGACGGGGCCGGTGAGTTTGAGGCGGCGCTGAACGGACGGGAATCAGACCAAGTACAGTGGGATGATTCTCCGGTAGGTTGTCGGCGGGAGCGAGGGTTGTCCTGGGCTCAAATCCGACGGAAGCGGCTGCGATATGAACTTGACGTTGCTCAGGGGCTGGAGTCGGAGGTGCGTCAAACCTAGGAGTTCGACGAAGACTTCGGGGCGTAAAGAGTCGCTCGATAGGATCCGACGTCTGATTGAACAGCGTCCGTGAGTTGAAGCTTCTAACTCTTGAGTGCTGGCGTTGCTGGTGCTGGGTAGGGGTCGTGGGCGCGTTAAAGTCGTGACGGTCGTAAGAAGCAGATGATGAACGAAATCGGCTCACGTCTGCAGCGCTGAAAGGGCGAGGAATTGGGTCACGGTAATTCGACAAGTTGAAGGTTCACCAGCGGGCGCTGGTGGTGGGTTGCGTTGCGGTGGAGGGTTGTGATGGTGGAGTGGGGGACGCTTCTGATGCGTTGTACAAAGTCGGGTTCTTTTTGCCAAAAAGTGAACCGATCAGATTAGAGCAACGTTTCTCAGATGGAGAGTGAGAATGATGGTCTCGGGAAGGACAACCAGGTCTCAGTCAGTCTGAGTCGACTTGAGACGGGATCGAAAGTGTAAATGCCCGACTGGAATGTTGAGACGAGCGAGGTTAAGGTGAGAAGAGTCGGTCTATGCGAGCCCAAGACGATGGGCGCCGGCTGGTGATGTCAAAAAAAAAAAGCTGGTGGCAGGGAACCTAAAGCCGGGCCCAATGCTGGAAAATTGGAGGGGTTGGTGCTAGGAGCTGCAGTGACCGCTCACCAGGCCAAGGTCTAGACAAGCCCAGAGGTCTCTAAGAAACGGGCCACTAGTGAGAGAAGGACCTTGGAGCTGCAAGTACTTCGCACACAACACACAATGCGCACACGATATGTAAAATTTCCAGCTCGAGAGATGATCAAATGCTCTCTGAAATAGCCAATTGCTTCATGCGTTTGAAGCTGTAGAAATACCACGGCTCAATGCGCGCGATCGCATGTACTCTCAGGATCCTAGCGCGTGTAAGAAACGCAGGGCAGGTCTGTTTGGCGTTTTGCGCGCGCGTGGCCGTTTAATTAATAAGTCGTTTTGTTTGGTCGGGAGATCCTTTGAATGCGTTTGAAAGTTTTGCTCGTCCAGCGAATCTGTTTCTGGTTCTTGGTCGTCTGCAGTCGTCGCGCAATCTTGCGTTGCGCAGCTCGGAGCCCGCAAGAGCTTCTGTTGCGGATGCAGCTAAGTAAATCGAGCGGCTGGGAAACTGGAAGCAAGGGCAGCGCAACGCCAACATGCTCCTCCTTACAGGCCAATGGCGTATTTTCGAGGCTCTTGTTGTCCACGCATGTGCTAAGATTTCACCCTCATACGTGACGGGTCATTGTTTGGGTGTGAAAAGGCGGTGCACTTGAAGAAGGTGAAGGTGAAAGTGAGTGAAGAAGATAGAGAGTTGGAAGGGGAGGAGGAGGAAAGCAAGTGCGCACTGACGTAGGGTCTAAGGTAAGGAAACTGCGGTCCTTCCCTCAACTAACTTGCGCCGCGACTGATGACTTAATTGATCGCGCCCAGTTTTTGGCTTGGTCAAGGAAGGAAGGTTGACCGAGCTTTTCATCAGCTAAAGTACCTAAGTAGGTACCTAAGTACTAAGGTAATGATGTCTGGACTCTGGAGGGCTAATGCGACTAATATTCTACCACTAATTATATCTTACTTAAGGTCTAACCGGGATTGAGGATTAAGAATAGTCTTTGGCAATGACTGGCATTAGCCTGCGAGCACAGCTACGGCGACATTGACATTTACTTTCACAACCTTATCAGGAATTTTCGCTTTTGGCTGAGTTTCTAAAGAGCAGCTGTAGCCGAATCTCTATGTAATCATCTGCGACCCTGAAGCTGAGAGACATACCAAGTGCATACGACAATTATAAGGGACAGCAAGCATAATTTACCCTTACCAAAACTATAGAGATTGTTTCTGTCATGTATTGCATTGTCTCGGGACTGACGTTTGGCCCGCCTACCCGTTCCTTTTGTCTGGTTTGATATCTCAAGCTGGTAACTTAGAGCATCGATCTAACTCAGACCTCTCTATCGTCCCGTCTCATCTCCAACCTTACCAAGAACTGACACAGCAGTTCTCTCATGATTCCCGTCTCTCTTACAGACGCGTCGCAGGCCGTTTTAGGAGCCTCGACCTTCAATTCCCACGCGTAGAGACAGCGCGCTATCATATGTCTCATTCATCTGAACCTGCCCTCCCCCTGAGATACAGGGTTCAACGTGGAACAGAAGCTGACCCAACGCCGGGGAACCTTGGGCACACAACTGACAAAAAGGTAAGGCGGACGATATGGCACCTTGCCATGCTGACTGACCATTGGCCTCAAGTTTGCAAAGCAAAACCACGCCGCGCTAATGGAAGCTTAGGGCTCGTCTTGATTCTTGTCCTTGTTAATAAAAGACGTTGCTTTGTTGTCCATCTCCGGGTGCCGGATCTTGATCCCGCCCAACACTCCCTGGTTTTTGGCCCAATTTTACCTCAAAGGAAAGCTTTCCGCCTACACCGAGCAGCTGGTTAGCTGTAAATGGGGCCGGGTGCAACGCTGCGTCATGGCGTTAGGCGGAAGTTGGAACAACGGTCGTCTGCCACGTCTTCCACAGCTGCATACCGCATACCGCATACCGCATGTCCTGTTTCGAGGCACTCAGCCGGTCTCAAGGCTGATTGATATCAACGCCAACACATCTTAGACCTGAACTATGCGGGTTTCTGCCCTAAAGTCAGTTTATATCAACTTCTTCAACTCCAGTTACCACTTTGAAATGGATATCAACCCAAGCCCATTGCACACTCGTCAACCCAGTCTATTCCAAATGGAGTCTGGAGGGGCGGGAACCACGGCACGCCCCGGTTCATGGGCCCTCAGTCGCCAATCAAAGTTGTGTTCCTAGTTTGGTCCAAATCGAGCTGAAGGCTTGAAGCTGAGTGACTGAAAAAAGATCTGGGGCCTGGGGATCTATCTACAGATATGGATGGGATTTGCGCCCGAAACTGTTTTGCAACCCTCGGCTTGTGCCAAAGACAAACATATCCATCCTTCGGAAGCACGTCGGTCTAGTACATCCCATCCTATCCCTGCAGTCGGTGTTTCTTTCTCTCTGTCTGAGACAGTACAGTGAAACTCGAATGTTCATTTGGTCGTTCCGCCACTATTCTGTCTGATAACATCTCGGTCCGCTCCATTATATGTGTATTTCCGCGCTCGAAAGGTTCGACAGAGAAAGTGTTGGGTCTAACCTCAGCCTTAAGCTTAGCAATTTGACAATCACGACCTGCCAGTATTGCTCTTCCGGGCGTTGCGTGATAGTTGTTATTGTTAAGGTGTCAGATAGTGCGTTGGAATGAAGTGGTGCAAGTGATATCGGCTGATTTCTCAAAGTTTGTGAGCATCTTCAATGTGGTAGTGGTAATGATGAGAAGAGGTATGAAAATTCCCATCAGCCATCATCCCAGTCAAGGATAAGCTCTCATTCTGTGAGATATGGAGGGGAACCGTAAGTTTAATGAGCCCATCACTTCTTATAACATGTTGAAAATCTCGCGAAGCCAAGAGTGTCTTGAGTGATCGAGCGATTGAACAAAATCACATAGTGGTTGCAACCACTGCACGAATTGCATCCCTACTGAGCAAATCCTATTCTTGAGATATCTGGTTCTGCTATGAACTAAATACACCATCTAAACTACCCCGCTGGACGCTTCTCAAGTTGCAATTGCTTCGTCGAGAGCGTCGAGATGGTTCCTCTATGGGTTAACAACTTATCACGAACACCTTCAGTCGATCAACTGAAAGCCAGTCTCAAGAGATCCCTGGTTGTTCGGATGAAGCTACTATGCAGCCAGAGAATATGGTCGCCGTCCGTGCTCTTTTACCAGTCTCTCGTTGGATATATATTCTCCCCTAACAGCTCAACAATATGCATACTGTAACTTGTATGCAGCTAAGATGCAGGCACGGCGTTCCCCTGCATTTCACCTAGTAAATAACCTCATAAGTTGCCATCTGTCGCCTGCTGGATCGCAAACAACTACCGTATTTGGCACACTGGAAGTACATGAACACTATGAGATGCCCGATAACGTCTCGTCAAGCACCATCACCATTCCTCTCTTCGACGAAACATACTCGAAAAGTCAGAAACACCACACTCTTGACGTCACGACTAACGACCCGCTTGTGAATAAGGGCAGATCTGGCCCTGATCGCCGATCGAGGATTTTGGAGGCTGTGGCATGTTCTTACTGCTGATGATCTGACACGAGACCTTTCCAAGACATGCATAGCCTAAGCTGTCAAGAGAAGGGGCCACTGCCCTAAGGCTGGCTGCTGCACGCCTTTTCAGGTGGTATGAGTAAGTCAATTCTGACAATTGGACAAGGGGTTCAACATGTTCTTTTGTCTGAAGGAAAGACAGCTTTTACGTGCGGGGAAAAGGTCCCAACCGATGTTGAGGGAGAAATAATGAGTATAAGAGGGAACTTGGATGACTACTAAGGGAGGAACAAAAAACTCAACCCAAGGGTGTATTTTCGCTTCTTCACAATGTATAGTAAGTTATGGTTTAACGGCTTGCAATACCGTGCACGACCAGATTACATAAGATCCGAGACTATAGAATATACTGTACTATTAAACTACGTTCGATTGTAATTATTATGATCATAATAATGTTTAGTGAGTATTCCGCGGACTTGGATGAGATGGAGGGGACCCTGCATTTGTGACGATATCAAACTAATGCACATGTGCAGGCGTAGTTTCACAAGCTCATTCAGCAGGTGTTAGACAAGCCGGGAGCTTTACTAGGGATAGTCATTGGGACTTGTTTTATATTATATTCACTCTTCCATATTATTTTTCAGTATCGGCTAGAGAAAACACAAGCAGGGTGATATTTAGTAAACTTTAGCTCGATATTACTTCCGAAAATATTAAATAGTGCCTGCGAAAATAGTATAGGTTTATTAAGTAACTAAATAACCTATAGAATAACCTAAAGCTACCTAAATAAATAGAAAAGGAAGTAATTAATAAATTAAAAAGAATTACCTATAAATAGAAAATTCCTTTTTATTAATTATCTTAAACTTATTATTAATAATATTCCTTACTTTTCTTATTAATCCTTATTATATCTTTTTTTATAACTTATTACCTTACCTTTAACTAATAGATTATAAGCCTAGTTTTTATATAATTAATATAATAATATAATTACTAGCTTTTAAAACTATTATTAATTTTTATTTTATAATAATATTAATTATAATTTAAGGTTATTACTATATATTTTTTAATAAATAAGGAAAAGTATTTTAGCCTAAGTAATAATAATAATAATAATAAAATATTAATAATATTCTTATTAACCTAAATAAATTAAAAATTAAAAATATATATAATCTTAAGGATTTAAAACTTTACTTATTATATTAATAATTCTTAAAAAAATATAAATAATAACTAGTTTTAAAGTAATATATTACTATCTATATTATTATAATTAATATATAAAAAGGTATTAACCTTTTATAATAAGGAAAAAGTTACTTTCTTACCTAAATATAAATTATAATTATAAATTTTATAATTAATTTCTTATTATTATTTATAAATAAAAATAAATATTTAAAAGGTATTTATTAAATAATTTAATAATATTATTATATAAAATAAGGCTAATATTTAATTTAATTTCCTTACCTTAAAACTTAAAAAGACTAAGGATATAATCAGTTATATTAATAAGTTCTACCTTTTTAAATTAAGATATATTATTATTAAAGAAAATATTATTATTATAATACTTTAAGAAATATTTATTTTAAATATAAAGGATATATATAATAATTAAGTTACCTATATATAGTTTATATAAAGGATAAATTATTTTATTTTATTTTATTTTATTTTATTTTATTTCATTTTATTTCTTTTACTTTAACCTTTAACTTTATTAAGCCTAGGCTTTTTAAATTGTTTAATAATATTAATAATAAAATAACCTCTTCTAAGTTTAAAACTTAATATAATTAAAATAATAAAAGTTATATATAATAATTAAACTTTAATTAAATAAATATATATATAACTTATATAGCTATAAATATAAAAGCTAGCTTTTTTATATATCCCTTAACCTAATCTATATTATAAGCTAGTTAATTAACCCTTATAGCTATAATTAGTTAATTAATCTCTAGTCCCTTACCTTTCGGTCTATATTATTAATCTCTTTTATAGCTATTACTTAATATAATAAGTCTCGAAATTATAAATATTTACTATAATATAAGCCTTAACCTAACCTATAAGTAAATTAATAATACTTTTAAAAGCTATAATAAAAAGGAATATAAATAACTTAAGCTTAAGGCTAAAGACCTTAAGATTAAATTAAAGTAGCTTTTTAATAACTATATTATAATATCTTTTTATAATAAATAGAATAATTATAATTTAGTTAAATTAATTACCTTTAGCTATAAGTTTTTAATACTTTTTTATATAAAAAAGAATAGGCTAGATTTAAGGTATATAAAAATATAATTTAAAAGCCTAAAAAGCCTAGAAAATAGGCTTCTAAAAGGCCTAGTTTTTAAGATTAAGACCTTTTTTATTAAGGTATTTAAATTAAAGTATAAAGATTAAAATAATAAATTAGAAATATAGGTTAAATAGGTAATCTAGGCCGATAAGGGTAAGAAGGCTAATAAAGGTAAGAAATAAAGAGAAGTTATATATAAGGCATTAAGGGGGGGTAGAAAGGTAGAAAGTTAATATATTACTTAAAGGAATATATATTCTATTAGTTAGAGTTAAAGTTAAAGTTAAGGTAGCCTAAAGTTAAAGGTAGCTTTAGGCTAAGGAATTAAATTAAATTATATAACCCTTATTAAAATCTTATTATACTTATTTCTATTTTTCTTTTTACTTTAACCTTTAACTTTATTAAGCCTAGGCTTTTTAAATCTTTTAATAATATTAATAATAAAAATAACCTTTTTTAAAGTTAAAAACTTAATATAATTAAGATATTAGATATTATATATAGTAATTAAACTTTAATTAAATAAATATATATATTATATAATTATATATATATAAGCTAGCTTCTTTTTTATACCTTTTAACTTAATTTATATTATAAGCTAGTTAATTAATCTTTATAGTTATAATTAATTAATTAACCCCCTTTAATTTATATTACTAACCTTTTGTATAATTATTATAATAAATATTAAAATAATAAAAACTTATTATAATATAAAACTTAATTTAAAATATAAAAAAATTATTAAAATATTAAAAAATTACTATAAAATAAAATATAAAGAAATTAAATAAAGGGTTAAAAACCTTAAAATTAATATAAAATAGAATATAAAAGGCTTTTTATTATTTATTTATAGTAAATAAAATAATCTTTATTTAATTATATTAATTACCTTTAATTATAAGCTTTTAATATATTATTAATAATATTATATATTATATTATAAAAATAAATATAATAAGATTTTAATAAAGGTTATATAATTTAATTTAATTCCTTAGCCTAAGGCTACCTTAACTTTAACTTTAATTTTAAATATATATTCTTTTAATATATTTTAACTTTTTACCTTTATTTTTACCTATCCTAGCCCTTTAATACCTTATATATAACTTTTCTTTATAAATTATTTTTAAAGACCTTAAATATCTTTATAACCTACCTCTTTAAGTTATTATATTAAGCTATATAATAAGGCTTTAACTTAAATACCTTAATAAAAAAGCTATTAATCTTAAAAACTAGCCTTTTTATAAATTTATTTTTTAAGCTTTTTAAATATTTAAATAATTTTTTTATTTTCTATATTTAACTTAATATATACTTTTAAATATAGGTTTCCTTATTAGGCCTTAAATTATAAAATATTAAAAGCTTATAGCTAAAGGTAATTAATTTAATTAAGCTATAGTTATTTTATTTATTATAAAAAGGTAATATAAAGTAATTATTAAAATCCTATTTTAAATTAAATTAAAAATCTTTAGCCTTATTTTTAAGTAAGTTAAGTTCTTACTTATTATAATAATTATTAATAACTTTTTAAATAATCTTATAGATTAAGGTAAGGCTTATATTATAGTAAATATTTATTATTTAAATACTTATTATAATAATAACTATAAAAAAGATTAATAATATAAACTAAAGGGGGTTAATTAATTAATTATAGTTATAAAGGTTAATTAACTAGCTTATAGTATAGATTAAGTTAAGGATATAAAAGAAGCTAGTTTTTATATATATAGCTATATAATAATATATATATTTATTTAATTAAAGTTTAGTTATTATATATAATTTTTATTATATTAATTATGTTAAGTTTTTAACCTTATAAGAGGTTATTTTTATTATTAATATTATTAAGAGATTTAGAAAGCCTAGGCTTAATAAAGTTAAAGGTTAAAGTAAAAAAAAAATAAGCTTTTAATATTTCTTTTTATATAAAGAAAGAAGTTAAATATATAATATATAAAAATATAACTTAAAAGCCTAAAAAGCCTAGAAAATAGGCTTATAAAAAGGCTAGTTTTAAAGACCGATACCTTTTTTATTAAGGTATTTAAGTTAAAGTATATAAATTAGTATAATAACTTAGAGAAATAGGTTAATAATATAATTAAGATTTTTAAGAATAAAAAGTAAAGAAACTATTCTAGTCTTAGCCTAAGACTAAGAGTATGTAACTGTTAAGGATAGAGAAGTTATATATAAGGTACTAAGGGGGGACAGGTAGAAAGGTAAAAGGTTAAAATATATTAAAGGAATATATATTTAGAGTTAAAGTTAAAGTTAAGATAGTCTAAAGTTAAAGGTAGTTTCAGGCCGAGGAATTAAATTAGATTATATAATCTTTATTAAAATCTTACTATACTTACTTCTGTAATATAATACGTAATATTATTAATAATATTATTAACTGGGGTATTATTATATACCGGGGTTGGCTATTAGCGCCTGAAGGCACTAGAGAAATAAATAATCTATAATATCTTTATATTAAAAAAAGGAAATCTTTTAGTTAATAGGGAAGTATTAAATAGTATCTATAAAAAAAATATAGGTTTATTAAATAATTAAATAATCTATAAAATAATATAAAGGTACCTAAATAAATAAAAAAGGAAATAATTAATAAATTAAAAAGAATTACCTATAAATAAAGAATTCCTTCCTATTAATTATCTTAGACTTATTATTAATAATATTCCCTACCTTTCTTACTAATCCCTACCGTATTTTCTTCTATAACTTACCGCCCTGCCTCTAACTAATAGAAAAGTCGTCCTACCCTATGTAACTACGGAGGAACTAACCCGGGGCTACTGGCACTAACAATTTACCAACTCATCCCTACATCCATCGGCTTCAGCTGGCTCCCATTTTTCGGACTCTCCCTCCATCACCAACAACCTGCGAGATCTTGACCGTTTCCTTTTGGAACAGTTTCCAAGCTCTAAGACCGCGGAGGGACCGGCCTATGCATGTAGATAAAATCAAATGTTTTGTTTATCCACCACGAGCGCGTTGCTCCGGATAAAAGTCCACAATATTTGCCCAAACGATGCTCATCCGATGGTATTCTAAGCTATCAGAGACAAGTGTCTCACGACTCCACTCAGAGGCCGCGCAGGTCTCTCATTTTTTCGGTATCAAGCAGGGAGGATGTCTCTACGCTCCAAGACTCGGCACTGCCCGTGGCTATTCCGGTGTCTCTGCCAGTGAGCCAGGCTCTTGATCAGTCTCATCCAACTGGCTCAGGTCTTGCTGGTTTCCATATTGAATGCCTTGTCGCGACTCGGACAGGTAGAGATGCGTGCCAACACACGCTGCTATCATTTGTGAGGGCGATCGCGAACACAAGAGAACGTGACTATGCCTCATGGCGGTTTCAACGGCTCAAAGACGTCGGCCACGGGCCTTCAAACACCAGACTTGTTCCCCAATCAGTGGACAAAGTCCAGTGCATTCCCCAACGATCAAACCTCGCGAGCTTTGCGTGTCTAACGATGGTCCCGATTCCTCGGAAACCTGCCGTTTCGCTTAAGGGATGATGGCAGCGCATGCTGAACCGCGACACAAAACTAGTCGGACACTGGAAAGATAACCCATATTGAGAAAACCAGGCCCATTGGGAGAGTCTGGATGCGAGTGTATCATGCCATTGCCACTTGAAGACCTTTTCTTGTTCTCACAAACGGGTCAAGCGGACTGGGCTGGACTGTATTGTGTGTCACTGCCCAGCTTTATCCTTTGTTCCGTGTCAGTTTAGTATGGCTATTTTTGCATTTCCCACATCTGACTGCTTTTCTGTGTCCAGGTCTAATTCTTCTATGAAGTATGATATTATATGGCCCTGCTTCCGCAAAAGATGCATTCGCGGTGCTTAGCATCAGCCACATAGCAAAGTTGCATAAACCCACCACAAATTCAGACAGAGTATACGGATACTGCAAGAGAGAACTGACAGACGAAGAGTATGACGCAAGGGATCAATCGCGCCTGCATACCAAAGAAACCCCCGAGGCCCGAGCCCAAACTAGCTCAAGCATAGGCTTTTGAACAAGTTACAAGTCCCGGAATGCTTGAGGTTGTCTGACAAGAGGGATGGCTAGATGGTTAGACCTGGCAGCCCCTCTATGCAGGAATGCCCCTCCAGGTCAAGGGCGCATTATGCTTGAACAAGACCAACAAGTTGATCAACACTTAGACACATGCAATGCAAAGCATCCAGTGGGTGTGGTGGCCCCACGCTTATGTTTCAACGTCCTTTGACAGCTCTGCTCTGCTAGTCTGCTTGCACATTTATTTGTATATCATGCCGTCTGCATCCCTGGTTTGTTCATTTCGATACCAATATTGTTGCAAGTTAATTTCAAGTTGCCAATTCATCGATCCACCATGGAGCGCTCTAGCAAGCTGGCCGATCTTAAGCTCGTTTCCAAGTACTACCCTGTCACCAACTACTCATATCCTCAACAACCGGAACGCCCATCATCCTATACCAGAAGCCGCTTCTCTGACGATAGGGCGTCATTGGGATCCGAAGGGTCTTCGCCCAGTCTTATCGACGACAGGACAGATTCGGAAGCTTCCCTGGATGACGACTATCAATATCATACTCATGCTGCCGAGCTTTGGGATAGCTTCTGGCTTCCCAATAAGGCCGGTAAAAATGAGCTTCACTCACGAAAGCAATGTCCGGCACAGACGCCACCTGCCCAACAACAGCAGCAGCAACAACAACAACAACAACAACAACAACAGCAGCAGAACCAACAAAGGCAAGCAGAACAATATCGTATCACTCCTTGGCCTCTTTCCGAGCACTCTCGGAACCGGACTCGAAAGCCCATCACAACTTATTCCCCCTTCCCAAAGCCATTGCCACTCCCACCTCGAACTACACCACAGGTTCCATCATGGCAATGCTCTCGAGATGTGAGGCAAAAGCCCCAACGCCCGCCTCGCCCACATGACGAAGTCTACGTTTTCCGTTCTCTACAGAACTCGCCCCTTGTTGCACACTTTGCTGTTTCTCATGATTCCCCCCGTCCCATCACACCAAGGCATGAACGTCCAACAACTTCGCAAGAGATGCGAACCTCTACGCCAACAGAGGCTGGTTCATACTTTGAAACCGCCGCGCGCCATTCTGCCGTACATCTTTGTCCTTTCAAGCCCCAGCCACCCGCCTCCGTCATGCTCTCAAAGAAGTCCCTCCCTTGCATGCGACCTCTTCCGCCAACGCCTCAACCGGAGGCGGAAGAGGAACCGGGTGCCGAGCCCCACTCTGTCTTTGAGTACGATGATGACTCTGATACTGAATCTGGGAGTCTCTCGTTCTGGTTTCATCGTCGATCAGGAAGTGACCAACGGAAGATGGCGGGCCATCGGACTGCACCTTCATCACCACGAAAGCGACAAAACGATGTAATAGGGCGAATGTTAGGACGGCGCAGCCGGGGATGAATTGCTTTATTGTTTTGTTTTGCAAGTTACTTACCTTCCATTCCTTTCTTGTACCTGATACCAACTATGAATGTCTCTACGACCTGCAACAGCTTTGTCTTCTTTTTTTATGATTTCAATGAATATATCTTCTACATAACGACGTTTCTTACGTATCAACGCCCAGATATTCCAGCACGGAGTTCCAGAAATCTCCCCCATACTCGGGGCTGAGCGAGTGTCATGTGAGCACTCGTTTGTTTATTCTTTCTTTGTTATACTGTGCTCTACACAATGAGTCAGGACCATTTTTTGGAGTGCCAGCACAAGAGCGGGTGGAGAAAAAAAAGTGGCTGGGCCTAACTTACGAACAAAGGTGGGGAGGCGCTCGAAACGAAGGGATACAGGTTCCCATGAAAGGACATTCCTTGTTTGAGCTCGAACAGATCAAAGGGCGAAAATGTGACGGGGAGTTCTTTTTTTACGATGCAGAATCCTTTTGCACAAAATTGAACAACAAGCATTCTACCACCAAAATAGTTCGATGATGACGTCCTGAAATTCCTCGTCCTACCTATGTTGCTCAGAGCATATGCCAAAACTTGACGTGGGAAATGCCTTCATGTGGTTGGGTAAGACATTGCCAACCAAAAACATGTGTTGCCTGTGACAATAATCACATACGCATTAGAGCTGTGGTCTGATGCATATAATGCCCGCTGCTCGGCGTTTGAGTTTGAAGACCTAAACACCATCTCTCTTCGGTGCATCTATTCGTTCTAACCATCCACAAGCAACTGAGACATGACCTTTCCCCTCATACGTGGACGAAATTCCTCAGGAGGTCCCGACAATATGACACATTCCAACAAACCCATTCCTTCCGCTGCAAGAAATACTTCTTGTTGCTGTACACAATACTGTCAACATGCTCTTCTTTGTGCAGGGAGGGTCCTGACATAAACAACTCTTCAATCTTTGCTGTTCAGCTGCACATTGGCTTGCACCACCTTCAAATGTCAGCAGAGGTGAAGATTCGAAGCTGCTGAAAGACGGCAGTGCATGATCAGAAGCTTATCAGAGGCTGCCTTTCTATCATTTGATCTAAGTTGCCCAGCCCATCAAACGTGAGCTGATGGAACATGCCATACGGCGGTGGTAATATAAAAATTGTCAAACAAAGATACGTAATATACGCAAGTCAAAGTATCAGTGTTGTGATGTGACAGAAAGCCGACTCAAGGGAAGAAGATGTGACCGCAGTAATTAATTTTATGTCTGAGCCTCGAGCTGTAATCTATGTATGTGAATAAAACAAAACGCCAACTTTACAATAATACCCAAATATAACACATTATTTCATCAGATCGTACATCCAAGCATCATTATTAAAGAGATCTCGTCGATCTTATCTTCTCATCGTTTTCTCGGTAAACTTTTTCATGGGGCGAACGCTCAGGCAACGCTCATCACGGCCTGCTGCAACGCCAAAGTACCACATTGACTGATCGCGGGCCTCGGTGCGATCAAGACCCAGGCGGGATTTGAGATCCGCGGTGTCACGAACTGCCAAGAAGGCGGCATCATGAACCGTCTCCTCGGACGTACAGAGGGCGATGAGCTCGGCAAGGCAGTCGACGGGGTGGGGGATACGTAGGGCCTGACGGCCTGGCAGCATCAGAGTAAGGCAGCCAAGGTAGAGAAAGAGGAAGGCGAGCAGGACACCGAAGACGGGCATGTTAGGGAACATCTTGACTTGCACACGGGAGTTGGTCAGGGCCATGAAGAGACCGCCCACAAGGATGGGGATGAAGATGAAGATTGTCGCCATGAAGGAAGTTACCGCCACACGCCAGTGGCCGTTGCGGAGAGCCCTCCATGTGCATTGGAAGGGTAGGCAAGCAGCATAATCGGCTAGGATGGACTGGGAAGCAATTGCGCCTGAGGGTTTGGATAGATCTGCCCAAGGTTGGTGAACACGCAAGGAGTGGTCAACGCTTTGGAATAGAAGGAACATGATCATGCCCAGGAGCGAAGGAACAAAGGCGTAGAGGAAGTTGGCGGCAGAAAATGCCCCATTTCCGGGTCGTGCTGGGACTTGAGGGAAATAGCCCTGGTCAAGTCTGGTCTGGGGCAAGAATGAGACCAGAAGAATGGCAAGGATGAGGAGAGTCATGAAAACGACTGAACCCAGGATCACAGGAGTGCGCAGGGCGATAGGCAAGTACCTGTAATGCGCATAGCGGGCCTCAGCCTCGAGGTCATCCCGGGACGACGCCGGCGAGATGTTGTAGCTGGCCTTCTTGGGAATAATGTTGTATGTCCTGCGATCGCCTTGCGCATCCTCACCAACAGAGCCGATGCCGTACCACATGCCGCCTTGCTGGCCATCCATCTGCCAGTATCCAAGTCTGTCAAGATGGCGATCTCGGAGCTGGGCCTGGAACAGGGAGCTTCGTTGGACTACATCGATACCCTCATAGCTGCGAGTAGTGTTGCTCTGGCTCAACAGGGGAAGAAGATGCCCGAGAGATCGCACATCCCACATGAGTCCCGTCCATCGGTTGAACCAGAACAACATCAAGATGATAGTCGCTGCTAGTAGCAAGACGTAGAGCACAACAAGAGTCCATGTGATGCCCTGAACTGCAGCCCAAACCCAGCGTTCCTTGTAGATACACGAGAAAGCTGTGCTCATAAGTGGGATTGTAAAGTTGGCGAGCCATGTGCACACACTGAAGAACTGGAACTGCCAAGGTCCTGTGAATGATGGCAGCAAGAATGTTAGAGGATAGAGTCTTCGGAATAGTGCGAGATATCGTGCTCGGGGCTCGGCATCGGCCATGGCTGAGAATGGGAGGGTTCGCATCGAAGTAGCAACAACAGATTGTGCGTAGATTAGGATAATGCCTGCGAATATTTGAGGCAGTATTCGGAACAAAAAGTATTGGCCACTGTAGATACTTCCAGGGTATGGAGTGAACCCGTCGTCTTTTTGTGAGTAGACAGCACAGAAGATGAGAGCGGCGATCATGATTAAACATAATGATGCAAGAATGCTCATGGAGACTGGTCGGATAATGGCGGGCTTGAAAGTAAGAGGAGGTTGCGCTCGGTCAATAGGGATAGATCTGGGTCGAGGCTTTTCCCGCTGGACAAATTGATCAGAGTCAGAGGGATTCGTAGGAGTCGGTAATTGAGCTGGGTTTGATACATCGCGGCGTGCAGTTGGATCGTCGTGACGAGCAGCGGGCGCACGATGCATGGCGGTATCGGGCATCTCTCGCCGAGGAGCTTGCGTCTCGATCGGTTCTGGTAAACGATCTTCAACGTAAGCTGGCTCCGGGTGTTTCAATTGAGGGTACCCCATCTCTCCGTCGGCATACCGTCTGGGTTGCGGGTAATCCTCCTCGTAGTCCCTTGAAGAGCCAGAGGGGAAATGCGCCGCAGATGGACCACCATGGTTTCTTGTCAGGGCCTCGAGGGCATACTGAATATATGGTGTATCATCAACACCGGGGGTGACTTTGCCAGCGGCTATTGTCAACTCGTCCTTGATACTCGCCATGCGAGCAGAGTTCTCGGTGGCGAACATGGCCAATTGTGCCTCGTCGAAGCGGACAGATCCTGGAGTAGTAGATGCAACAGGCGCAACAGGAGGTGCGACACGCGGTGCAACCCGAGGGGCGACAGGAGCACCAGGTGGAACAGTACGTTGCGTCTGAGTTGGTGGTGTAGGTGCTGCGAAGCCACCAGGAAGCTCAGAACCAAATAGTCGTTCAGGACCGTAGATCTCGGCTGATGAGGCTGTAAGTTTGGATGGTGGCATAGAAGGTGGTGATGGCGCGAAGAAGAGAGCACCAGGTGGTGATGCTGAAGGGTTTGTTGAGTTTCGTCCTACACGTTGTCTAAGATCATAATAGGGGTGAAGAATCGGTTGCGATTGATCGTCGTCGTCAATTGACTGTTGACCTGGAGTTTGCTTCTTGGGAGGAGGACCCTGTCCTATGAGCGCATACCCGTCAGCGACACCGACAAACGAAGTCAGGCCAGTAAGTGCAGAATAGAGCAGAGTAGAGGAGAACAAGGTAGAATTTTTGTTCAAGCCAGGTATTCGTTGTTTAGAAGGAGAAGAAGAGGGTGTAGTGCCACGTACGAGGTGCTTCCACGAAGTCGAAGTTGAGGTTTTGGAAGTTCATTTCTGGGTGGGAAGGTACAAACTTGGAACGCAGACCGACTTATTCCCACTCCACACACTTCTCACTCACACAAAAAAGCTCGTTGACCAATTGATAGCACGAAATAGTATGCAAGAAGGATAACAGCAAACGCATGCTGCAGGCTAAGAGAGAAAAATGAGATATGGTTGGACTATGAGGACTCTTTGCGCGAGGTTGGGTTCTTTGAAGAGGCTGGGAATGACAGACGATGCCATTCCCAGCCCCCGCGCCCCACCAGCAAGGGGGGTCTGAGACTGAGTCTGGGGGTGAATACAGGGAACAGGATGACTTACCACGAGAAGAAAAAGAAATGAAAGGGCACAGACTATCACAGACTTGAATTGAATGATAATCTGTGATTTTATATGCTGAAAGAGAGAGAATGTTGGGCACGCAGGAAAAGTCGGGTTCTCGTGATTATGCAACCCAGCTGCTGCTATTGCTGTGTTGTCACTGCACTTTTCCTTGGACAGCGAGCAAGGCCAGCGCAACGAGCCGTTAGACCTTTTCAGGCTTAGCGCACACGGCCCGTCGGGAGCTTACCATCAAAGCTTCTCCACTCTCCATTGGATGAAGCTGTCAATGATGCATATGAATTGTTGGTCAATATTCGTACCTCTACTTTGTTTTCACGACTAGGCCTGGGCAATGAAATAGCTTTCGGCACTATTGAATCTCTGAACCGTACCCCTGCGAAAAAGAATCAACCGTATCGAATGACGTTTGCCACACTCAGAGCTGATCCCCAGTCGTAATTGACGGGCGACATGGGCATGAGACATCACCAACCTCCTCCAAAAACCACCTGAAATATTCAGCCTAACCTTCAGCACGGTTCCTATGTCGCGTATGTGTTGGGGCTTAGAGTGCCTTTGGAGCATATCAAATGTTTCAGATTTTGTGCGTTCCTGATTTCAACGCAGATTAACCAGAACCCGTCTCAAATACTGGCTATTTCTATGATAGTGCTAAAACAGCACAAAGGCATGTAGCATACCATGTTTGGGCAACAGAATGGAGATCAAATGAACATTTAAGGTTATCTGATTTTTTTAATAGATTTTTTTATTATCTCGCGCAATAGTTATATCCAGAGTTTAAACCCTATATGTAGTAAACGCAACTTGTTAGACTTGCAACTTGTACCAACTCAAGCCGACCACGATCACCTACCAACCTATTTTCAGTACCTATGCAGGGGCAACCAACCGCTTTTCCTACCTCCTCTCCTCATGCAAGGTACATGTAACATAGCAAAGCATAATTTGATTGAAAGACTAGGATTACGAGGTTTCCAGTGTTTGACATGTCTGTCTCGCCTTCTAAGAGGCTGGTAGTCAAAGGAGGTGTCTGGGGTCTGGGATCTGGGGTCTGGGATCTATCTGTTTGCTCGCTGTGTCGCCAAGAGAGTAGGGTGGGCAAATTGAGAGAAGGCCCCGCCAATCCAAGCCTTTGGGACGATTGCCGATTGGTGTTCAGATGGACGCCAAACAGCCTGATATTTTATCTCGCAAACCCCATTGGTGGTTGACTGAGATCTAGTTATGGGTTTAACAATCATGGCTGGCCTGGATTTGCATCACCCAGTACGAGGGAAACCGTTGGGGCAGCCTCTACCTAACGCCCAGTAAGAAAAGAGTCGCGTGTCGTATTCGGCGTTCCATGCAAAGATCAAATCGCGTTCTAATGAAAACTCCATGCTTATTCGATTATAATCTATATTGAGGTTCGAAAACAATCCCATCATTGAATGTAACAGTGCATTCAAAGACTTTATCTTGATTGGAGGAAACATGCATCATATCACGTGATGATCACTTAGTCGTGCATATGTCAGCCTCAATAAGCAGCCAAAATCTTTCAAACCTACCCCATAATTCCGCTGCATGACGGCATTGGCCAATACAATCCGCTGAGCAATGATTACAAAGTCAATTATATGTCAAGAAGTATTTAGTTATATCTTGTCAGCGTTTTCCAATCATGGTTAATCGAATCCATTCATATCTAGGCACGTTCTCGTGAATTCTGTAAAATCATCTATATATGTTTCGTTCCGGTCCCTTGATTGCGGTTTTCGTCGCTACAATTTCCATCCTCATCATCATCTATTCACCAGCACACAACTACATCACTCAGATCCAGCAACTTACAACCAACCTGATTTTCACAAACAAAACCACAACCAACATAGAAACACCCCAAAGCCACATGAACAACGCTGCAAAGATCATGTCCAAGTCTCTCCGTCAAGCCAAGATCACTCCCCACCGCTCCAGCAGCAGGGGACATGGCGACCACGGCTGGTTGAACACATACCATAGTTTCTCTTTTGCCGACTGGTACAACCCGAAATTCACACACTTTGGCTCTCTCCGTGTTCTCAATGAGGATCGTGTAACCGCCAATTCGGGCTTCCCTACCCACCCTCATCGGGACTTTGAGATCTTCAGCTACATCATTGGAGGAGAGCTCACTCACCGAGACTCAATGCTCACCAAGGGCAAGGAGGGAGGGCAGTCCGACAAGTTCTTCCGCATGAAGCGTGGCGATGTTCAGTTCACTACTGGCGGCACTGGCATTGCTCACTCTGAATTCAACGAGCACAAGTCCGATACTGTTCACTTTCTCCAGATCTGGGCCATCCCCTGGAAGCGTGGACTTCAACCAAAGTACCATACCCGAAGTTATAGCGATGAGTCCAAGAGACTGGGTTTTGTCAAGATCCTGAGTCCTCTCAAGGGAGGCGAAGAGGCTACCGCCCAGCAAGAGAAGGACGCCGAGCCTGTCATTCCTGACACCATCCCTATCCATGCCGACTTTGTCATGGCCGCTGGTATCATTGAGCCAACCAAGAAGTTTGAATGGACCGTTGGAGGAGGTGGTACTGAGGAAACCAAGAGAAAGGTCTACGTGCACGTACCTATGACCAAGGGAGGAAAGGCCAAGATCCGCCTGGATGGCCGGGAGGATGCCGAGCTTTTCGAGGGTGATGGCGCCTTTGTTGAGGGTGTCAACGCTGGTGACAAGCTTGCCTTTGAAAGCATTGGCGAGGTCGAGGCGGAGGTTGTCGTTTTGGATACTGCTTAAATCCAACATGCCAACTGCGACTTAGACGGGGGTTTTGCTGTCTGTGCAGAGCGATATCGCTCGATAGATTTCTTAAGATGTAATTAGCGCGAAATAGTAAACTTGGGTTTTGTGTAGAAATCGCCCCAGTCCCATCAGCTTCGAATTGTGTTGTCGATGTCGTGCTACGAACAAGACGATGTGGATGAGACTAATAAATGACCATACATTTACTTCGTGATGGAAATGTAGTGGGGAGCTTACTGCTCCGTCTTATACCGCGGTTAAGCTTGAAGTGACATTGGAATAGTGACGCCGATTATACTTTTGATAGACAGTAAGAGAAATATTAGGTAGTGTGCGTCAAATATAAGCAAAAAGAAATAACCAAGAACTGCCAAGAATGTGCTTTTCCCCTTCTCAAGTCAAAATATTGGTAAATATTGGACTAGCTGACGAAATGGCTAGCGTACTGTCGACCAACAGACTATGGCTCTGGGCTCGCCGAAAGAAAAGGAGATTAAAGCCACGCTCAAGGCCAGGCTGGACAAGTCAGAAAGTATTGTTTCACCCCTTTTCAATATCTACCAGGTTGCTTTACTCTTTTCTCTTTACTCGCATTGACCGCTGTATCTCAGCTCGGCTATGGGTTTATGAGTGAGTAAAAGTCAAAGGTCCAGCAAATATGTAGCATCTGATGTCACTGGCAGTGTACAGTTGAGGGTCGTCTCAGAATAACGCAAAGGATGTCGAACAATGGCGGGGAGCGACTCCAGATCTGCAATCTTTCCATGTGGACACGACTCAAGTTTGGTCAACTAATGCCAAGTCTTTGGAGGGGCAGAGTGCAAGAATGCCCGAACTTCTGGTCAGAACCTCCGAAGTGGTCAGGGGTTGAAATCAGTTGGTGACTAAATGGCTCCAATCTGAGGGTCCCCTGCGCTAAACAGGTGCCTGAGAATAGTGTAGCCCTACAGCACGTTGATCAAGGCCAGTACAACATGTCATTGGCTAACCGTGCTGCAGGGTACGCTAGCAGCGACTCCACGTGAAATCCGACGACAGGGGTAAACCAATCATTTGGACCTGGACCACCAGTGACAGACAATCCCCTCCAGCTTCTTTCATCACATTCTATACTCTTGCAGATGTTGATAATTGACAAGTGACAAGTGTCACGATACCAAGATTCCACAATTGAGCTTCTGAGTTAAATATGAATCTCTAGACTCTGGCATCCTCCGACGCGGTGTTCTAAGTGACCTGAATAGAAATATCATCAGCCTTCACTTTCTGGTATTCAGTTATCATGGACTGCTTGCCCGGATGTATGCACCTACTATGTTCCACCCGGAGATAATCTATCTCAAAAGTGCAAACCCGCTTCAATATCCACTTCAAGGACTGCACGCCTTAACGTTAACGCCGTCCCTCAGGATGACTCGGATGGAAATCGCTGGCTCGCCAAGATCAAATTTCCATCATTCCCATCACACCGTTTCCCATCTCTCATACAATACTACAAAAAAGCGCCATTAATCACAACCTAGCGGCTAGGTTTGCCCTTCTACTGTTATCACCTTGGCGCATCGGTTAGGCGGCTCAGACGCCCAGCTTTTCAATAGTCTCTCAGCCGTTCAAATCCACACTCGACCAACGCTTAACCTGTTCCTGAAAATTGGAAACAATAGTCTGATCTAGCTGTCCAAAGTACACTAGTATGCAGAATATAGGCTTCTTCTGCTGTTCCATAGTGGAGATTGCTTCACACAAATATGGCCGACTCATAATGCCCCATCAACGACCCCCAGAAGCTCCTTTCTAAATGGCTTTTCTCTAGCGAGAAGAAACCTCACTATGTACGAGATAGGTAACATCCGGCTCCTATGGCTGAAATCAAGCAGCTGAGCGGATACCGACTGAGAGATGCGGCTAGAGAAAGAACCCCCGTAGTCGGAGTTCATAATAGGTGGCTTTCTTCTCACTTATTCCCTTCTTGGTCCTCTCGGTGTTTCCCATCAACTCTGTTGACAATCAATTCCACAGACGGCTCGGTTCTAGGCCTCATTGCAGACTTTGGTTTGCGTCCTTTCTTTGATCACGATATCATCACACATTCTTTACCGGCCTCGGCCACCTTACTGTCTTTCGCTTATTTCACCGACATATCTTGAGTAAAAATGTCGTCCGTCTCTTTCCCTATTGGTGGTGCGTACGGAGGCCTGAACGGCTACTGGGTATGTATCATTTATGAGTTCCAAAGAACTACCAGCTAAGTAAACTCTACAGGGACAACTTGGAAGCGAACCCCTAAAGGCCTACTGTGACTCCCGTCCCGAGTATGTGACGCTGTCTTTTGTCAACCAGGCCCCTGAGAACACTGTATCTGGCTATCCCGGTACCAATTTTGCTGGACACTGCGCGGCTGGTACATATGAAGGCTCAGACCTTCTCACCGAGTGTTATGTCATCATGGAGGGCATTCCTTACTGTCAAGACCGTGGTGTCAAGGTACTCCTGAGCATCGGTGGAGTCTATAATGAACAGGGAAGCAACTACAAGGTTACTTCTGATGAGAAGGGAGTTGAGTTTGCCAACTTCCTTCACGGCGCTTTTGGCCCTTGGGATCCAAACTGGGATGGCCCTCGCCCTTTTGATAGCGGGGATGAATCTGCATCTATCCGCCCTGCTGTTGATGGTTTCGACTTTGATATCGAGCATGACCTTCGTATGTTGCACAATACTGTTTCCAATGCACCAGAACATCTGCTAACTCTTATCAGCTAACGGACCCTATATTGCCATGATCAACCAACTTCGCTCACTCAGAGAAGACATCATCATTACCGGTGCTCCCCAATGCCCTACTAGCGATGAATACTTCTATATGAGCGAGATGATCAGCCAAGCCAAGTTCGATGCCCTTTTTGTCCAGTTCTACAACAACCCTGGCTGCGATGCGATTCCAGACCCTTCAGTATCTTGGGATCGATTCAACTACGACGACTGGGCGGCTATCATTGATTCGAGCGATTACAGTCAGGGCGCCAAGCTGTACGTCGGTCTTCCTGCCAGTGGCGATGCGGCTGGCTCTGGTTATCTTGAGCCCGAGGAAATGAAGGATCTTGTCTGTAGAATCAAGAACAAGGCTCACTTCGGCGGTATCTCCCTTTGGGACCTGACCCGCGGTGCTTCGAACTTGGTTGATGGTAAGAACTACAACGAGCATGTCATGGACGCCCTCAAGTATGGCTGTGCTCCTGTTCCCGTTATCAGCATTACCACTACGGAGGCGGCCTCGACCACCACTTATGCTACAACGACTGTGGCCACAACTGCTGACACAACTACCACTGATGTATCCTCGAGCGCTGATGCCACGACCACTTCTGGCGCTTCTACTGTCTCTGGCAGCATCACTACTTCAGCTGTGTCTGCTACCTCTGATACCATGACCGCTTCCGACGCCTCTACTACCTCCGATGCCTCTTCTACTGATGCATCTTCAACTGCTGACGCCTCTACCGCCTCTGATGCTTCTTCTACCGAAGATGCCACAACGACCGGCATGGCTACTGCTGATACCACCACTGCTTCAGGTGCTTCTTCAACCGAAGATTCTACAGCTAGCTCCGACACCTCCGCTGCTTCTGATGCCATCACAACACAGGCCACCTCTGCTAGCGATGCATCCACTGCCGCCGATGTCACTTCAGTCGTCGAAACAGGTTCCACAGCTACCGATTCGTCAACCGACTCTGCTGGAGCTTCCACAGTCATTGTTAACTCGAACACCGATGCTTCCTCCACCATCGAGTCGATAGTTACCACCGAGGCTTCTGTCACTACTGGTGCAGTTACTGCCTCAACTACTGATGCTTCACCTGAGAGCAACACAGTTACCGACACCGCTCAGACAACTGATAAGGTGGAGGCCACTGAGTCAACTGCCATGGCTACTGAGACTGCCCAAGAAACCGAGTCTACAGATGCTGCAACCACTTTCAGTACCTTCCACGGCTGGAACAACACCTATGGTGCTCCCACTCATACCCAGAAATACGGCAACCCAGCTACCATTATTTACTCTGGCGCTGCTACTAAGGGCTCACCTGCCTACACCAACTACCCTGGTAAGACAACTGGTGTCAGCATGACTACTAGCACCGTCTGCACGACCAGAGTCCATACTGAGGGTGCCTACGTTGTCACTGAGACAATCCCTCTGTACACAACTGTTTGCCCAGTCACTAAGAAGGCGTCGCCCACTCATTATGCTGTGCCCTCTCAGTATGAGACCAAGACGGTTTATACCACCAGTGTCTACACCGTCACCAAATGTCCTCCAGAGGTCGCCAACTGCCCCTATGGATCTGTCACTACCGAGACCATTCCTGTCTACACCACCGTTTGCCCTGCGACAGAGACGGGCAAGGTTGTCCCTACCAACATTCCCGCTCACCACGAGATCAAGACTCTGTACACAAGTCAGGCTCTCACCGTCACTCAGTGTTCTCGCGATGAGCCCAACTGTGTTGTTGGCGCTGTTAAGACTGAAATTGCTTCTTGGACTACAGCTATTGTGCCTGCCCAGGAGACTCAGCCCGCCAAGGTCTACAAGCCTGTTGTTGACGTCCCCAAGGCGATGACCCAGGGAGCTCACTTCAACGGTACAGCCCATACCAGTGTCGTTCCCCCTCCTGCCACTCTCAAGACAGCCATGAAGCCTGTTGCTTTCGAGCAAGCCAAGCCTACATACAAGCAGCCTGTTCAGGAGCAGCACTCTGGTGCCGCTGCTCCTACTGGTGCCCACGGCGGAGAGAATTACGAGACGGTCCCAGCCTCAGCGGCAACCTATGCTCCTACCCCGATGACACCCGTCACTGCCGGCGCTTCTTCTATGGTTGTCGGGTTGACCGCCGTGGCAGGTATTGCACTTTTCCAGGTGCTTGCGCTGTAGTGCATACACTCTTTACCTTTTTTCTTTCGGTTGTTTCTTCTTCTTCTCTTGGCCACCTCGGCCAAGATCCTTTGACTATACCTTCTTTACTGTAAGGACCATGCTCTACAGCTTCATGTCAGCCTATTTATGTTAATGTGTATAGAACAATACATACCTATGTCACGATTAGAACTCAATGATATCCCATGTATTTCTACAACTGAATTATTAAGCTTCGAAATGTCTCACCTTGCTTATAACTTATTGATTTGTTGCATCGGTCTTTGAAGCTTCTACTTAGGTCCCTGTGACAAGCACGACGCTCCTGCCTTCCAACTGTCATCAGTCTGTATATTGGTGAAATGAATTTTGGTATCTGGTGTCCGTATACACTTTGGAGTCGTAACCGGAATCTCTGGATGTTGACAATAGACGTCAGCGGCACCGCCACGGGCCTATTTTGTGCAAGATCAGCGGTTTGCAGGGTCCCGCTTTTGGGCATCACGACATTAATAAGTGTCTCTGTTTGTATTTCTCCAGTGCATAGAGCTGTCATTTGGTAACGATGGTAATAATATTAGAGACAAAAATGACCTGTACATTTGTTATTCTGCTCTCACGTGCATCGAGCCTCTATTTGAAGTAATCAACTTCGAAAGACGTCTATATCAAAGACCAAAAGGTCGCATTTTTAGCGGGCTGCTGCCCGTCGCGGGGGCTTGACCCCTCCTTGGGACTAAAGTTACAGTTCCGTGCCAAAGTCCCGACAATAAGTTAAGCCAACGAGAGATATATAATAAAATAGAGATATGAAAGTAAATATTATTAAAAGAGTTATTATACAATCTTAAGCTAAGACTATATAAGATTATATAAATTAAAAAGAGCTTATTATAGTTTAGATTATTTTATATAAATTTAAAATAAAGGAAGTTATCAGAACTTTTATACACCTACTGTAACAAAAACAACCAGCGTTTTTTGTTGCTGCAATACATTGATTGGTCAATAAAGAAGACGTCATTCGATATGAGGAGAAGCTCCTTCCTTGTTGAAGGTTCGGGCTGCAAACAAAATGCCCCGTAGGAACTGACTGCATGGTGCTTGGAAAGTGACGAATATCAAAGGCAGTGCAATTGTGTTACGGAGTATCCGTATGGTGAGATGAATTAACCGATGTTGCATTGCTGATTGCACCGCACAGACTCGACTTAATAAACAGATCTCATCACTTTGGAGGTAGAAACTTGTCATGATGGTGGCAGAGGTGGCTGAGGGGTGTGTTTAGGTCCCCACCTCAGGCGCGGGCGTTAATTAATGATCTACCTTTTACCTTTCCTAGGTAACCTGCTCTACTCTCCTCTGTAGCAACGACTTTTGCTTGATCTAGACCCTTACGAATTCATCAACCGCAGTCGTTTTGCTGGTTCCGGTTATATTCGCTGTTCCCCAACGCCTAGACCTTCTTTTCCTCTTTTCATCTTCATCAACACCAAAATCGCCACATTCACATCGTCTTGGCATTGACTTGAACAATCCCTGTCCACGACACTACAGCGCAATACGGAGCACCTTTATCTGGCCCCTATTTTCTTCTGTTCCCCGCCTCAGCTCGGGCATCTTTGGGGAGGACCAGTTTATTGGTAGACGTCGGCCAAGATGTCTGACGTTGGCGAAAGGTGAGTTGCCATGACTTGACTTGGTGATAGTGATACGGTTGTTGCACCACCAATTATCTTTTTCATCTACGTATCCGTACCTAGCTAGGTAGTTACACTGTCAGATTGGTCCGCAATCCCCGCTGCATGTTCATATGCATATGCACATGGGCCACATCACTCATTGGGGATCCATTGCTTCCAATCGTTTCTTACTTAAACTTAGTTCCCCCTCTATCCTGCCCTGGGCTGTTTGACCAACCCCCCCAGCATCAAACTCGTTCCACCTACTGACCGCTGTTTATCTTTTATCTTCAGCACCCACAAGCGGTCCAAATCCGCAGCCGCTCTCTCTCTTCTGCGGCGCAACAACACTCGCGACGAAGAGTCCGGTTCCGAAGACGGGAGGCTCCGGAGAACTCCCTCATCCTCAATCCCGATCAACCCCATGGCGCACCAACAGACCCCTCGTGGCCATGCCGCCAAACAGTCCGTATCTTCGGCTGGCCTCTCGCCTACGACTTCCCATCCCCCGCAATCCAAGCCTCAGCAGCTCGCAACCCCATCTGCCGAGAAGAGTACCGCAAGCCTAGAGCAGTCCGTCCGCAAGTTCAGGTTTGTCGAGGCCCTACGGAGCGGCGATACCTCGTCTATCTCCCGCGCGATTCGCGAAACAGCCGAGAACGGCCCCCGCGCGAGCATTTCATCAGCAAGCGCCTCCAACGCAGGCGCTCTCGACGATACTACAATCCTTCATCTAGCTATTCAATGTGCAGAATTCCCTGTCATTGAGTACGTCTTGTCTGATGGACAAGGATCGATCGACGTGAACGCCCGCGACAAGGATGGCAACACCCCGCTTCACTTGGCCGCAATCCAGGGCCGAACCACGGTGGTGAAGCTCCTTCTGGAGCAAAAGGACATCAACGATGCTATTGCCAACGCCCAGGGCAAATTACCACTTGACGTAGCGCGAAACCCAGAGATATTTCAGCTTCTGCAGCTTTCAAGGTCGCTTTTTGCTGAGGCCAAAGTGAAGCAAGTTCAAGAGCTGATCGCGCGGGGTAATTATGGCGCACTGGCTGGTGTTCTCGAAGAGCATCGAGTCAAGACCGTTCTCGACATCAACAGCCCCGAATTTGCATCCGAGCCTGTGACTGTCCAGACCGGCGGTACGCTCCTTCACGAAGCTGCGAGGAAGAAAAACACCAATCTTATCCAGGTTCTACTTCTCCACGGTGCCGACCCATTTCGCCGCGATCGAAAGGGCAAGCTGCCCCAGTCTGTCACCAATGACGATGCTACAAAAGCGATACTCAAGAAGTCTCCTGCCGCCGTGGCAGCCCAGCGAGGAATTCAAGAGAAGGCAGTGCTTGGACAAGCCGCATCCCAGGGCACAGCTGGTGCTGCCTCCAGTGATCCTCTAGCTGGCCGGGAGGCTCGCGAGATGAAGGGCTATCTCAAGAAGTGGACCAACTACAGAAAGGGCTACCAATTACGTTGGTTTGTGCTTGAGGATGGTGTTCTCAGCTACTACAAGCATCAGGACGATGCAGGTTCTGCATGCCGTGGTGCCATTAACATGCGAATCGCCAAACTCCATATGAGCCCTGACGAAAAGACCAAGTTCGAAATCCATGGAAAATCCTCTGTCAAGTATACTTTGAAGGCGAACCACGAAGTCGAGGCCAAGCGATGGTTTTGGGCCCTGAACAACTCGATTCAGTGGTCTAAGGATCAGGCAAAGGAGGAGGAGAAGCGCGCAGCTCGCGGCGCAGAGCTCTTAAGACAAGCCAAGGCGGACCCAAGCACTCTCTCTCTTCAGGAATCCCATAGTGAGGGTACTAGCGTTACGGACCTACGCAGAAACAGCTCTCAGATCCCAAGCAGGTCGCTCTCCAAGATTTCTTCGGCTGACCAAAGGCCAAACCACGCCAGCCCAGGTACTACTGGTAGCTTCGATGAAGATGAGTTTGTCGACGTTGAGACAGACGCTGGCACATCACGGGCACCCAGAAATGGAGCTCTAACAAATAACGACATGGATGATGACGACGACTATGGCGATGATATGAGTATCCATGAAGAGCCCACGGCTACCAAGGATGCGCTGAATATCACAGCTCAGTCAGCCAAGCTCCAGCTTGAAACAATGTCTCACGTCCACCAGGCCCTTCTTAACGAACTCAACCAAAATCCCAGCACACCTCTCTCTGATAACAACGTAACCCAAGCTTTGGGCACATACGACGGTGCCATCCGAAGTTTGTCGACACTTGTATCTGATTTGCTTCGGATATCCAAGGACCGCGACGCCTACTGGCAGTATCGCCTTGACCGAGAGGCTAACATGCGGCGTATGTGGGAGGAGAGTATGGCGCAGGTGGCTCGGGAGCAAGAGGTCCTGGAGGCTCGCGTTGGAGAGGCAGAGAAGAGACGCAAGGCCACAAAGAAGGCACTCAGGGAGGTTATCGAAAGTGGCATCCCTGTTGGCGCTAGCGATCTCCCTGTAGAGGATACACTCGCAGAAGAGATGTTGGGTGATGACAGACCCAAGGAGGATGATGAGGGACGATTCGAAGATGCAGCAACCAAACTGCCCCCAGCACCACCCAAGTCACCTACAATGAAGAGTGTGCGAAGGAAACCCACGATGATTGTCGACTTATCCGAAAGCGAATCTGAGGAAGAGGACGAGTTCTTCGATGCTGTGGATGCTGGCCAAGTCCAGATATCCGAGCTACCCGCCGATGAGATAAAGCCTAAGAATCAGGACATTGTGGTATCAGGTGGCTTGGACCTTAGTCCCTCATTCCAAGGTTACGAGAACGGTATTCGAACGAAGCTCAAGATGGATGCCGATGACCGACCTAAGATTTCTCTTTGGGTATGTATATTGTTTAAGAAACACATGTCTGCGATACTGACCTCAAGTAGGGTATTCTCAAGTCCATGATTGGCAAGGACATGACCAAGATGACACTGCCAGTCTCGTTCAATGAGCCGACCTCGCTCCTCTACCGTGCTGGTGAGGACATGGAGTATGCTGATTTGCTTGATCTGGCTGCGGACAGAGCCGACTCGATCGAAAGACTTATCTACGTGGCTGCCTTTGCGGCTAGTGAGTACGCCTCCACAATCGGCCGTGTAGCCAAGCCCTTCAACCCTCTGCTTGGAGAGACATTTGAATATGTACGTCCCGACAAGAACTACCGCTTCTTCATCGAACAAGTCAGCCATCATCCCCCAGTCGGTGCCGCGTACGCAGAGTCCCCCAAGTGGTCCTACTGGGGTGAGTCAGCTGTCAAGTCCAAGTTCTATGGCAAATCTTTCGACATCAACCCTCTTGGTACATGGTTCCTCAAGCTTCAGCCTACCGCTGGAGGCAAGGAAGAGCTGTACACATGGAAGAAGGTCACTTCGTCTGTCATTGGCATCATCACCGGAAACCCAACAGTTGACAACTATGGTGTGATGGAAATTAAGAATTGGACAACGGGCGAGGTGGCCCATGTTGAGTTTAAGCCACGTGGTTGGAAGGCTTCAAGCGCATACCAAGTATCTGGAAAGGTGACCGATGCTTCCGGCAAAGTGCGCGTCAGTCTTGGTGGTCGCTGGAACTCCAAGCTTTATGCTCGCCTAACCCCAGGTTATGAAGCAGCTGTCGACGAGCCTAAGGAAAGTGGTGCTGATATGGCCCAAACCGGCCTGACAGACCCTAACCGAGCGTACCTCATCTGGAAGGCCAATGAGAGGCCAACTGGTATTCCATTTAATCTGACCCCGTTCGTTTTGACGTTCAACCATATCGATGAACAGCTTCGGCCATGGCTTCCTCCTACCGACTCGCGTCTCCGACCCGATCAGCGCGCTATGGAGGATGGCGAGTATGATTTCGCAGCTGACGAGAAGACCCGACTGGAGAACGCGCAGCGAGCGCGTCGGCGCCTTCGAGAGGAGCGCGGCGATGAATTTGCGCCGGCTTGGTTCCGCAAGGCACGTTGTGAGATCACAGGTGAGGAGTATTGGCAGTTCAACGGCAAGTACTGGCAGCAGCGTGAGAAGGCCGGGCCAAATGGTGATCCTCGAGTTGCTTGGGAAGGATTGGAACCAATTTACGACGACCATGTGGATGAGGGTATGACTCAGTAACAATATTTCTGAGAATTAAAGCTATTAATGAGCCAAGAAAAAGAGTTGGAGTACGAGGCGATTGGTTATAAGGAAAGACTATTTCAAAGATAAGAGACCGAATGTTTAGTACATGTTGCAATCGGATTGTACCATTGCAATACCACCAAACAGTAAAGTGTCTGGTTAATCTTTTGTGTCCTAGGTTGATGACAAGGAGTGATTTGCCGTGATATTCCCCGGACCGGAGAATAACTGTTGGTAGCTGGCCGATAACTCGGCCGATTCGGCCCCACCGCCGGCAGAGAATCCGAACCTCGGTAAAAATGATAAACCTTAAAGCTCAGGGGGTGGGTCACGTATGAAGCTCGATTGTTTTATCAGTAGAGCAGCACATGAAAGCTCGGTCTGTATCCGCAATTCGAACGCCTTTCTCCCTTAAACTGTCACATAGCATCTTTACAATAACTGTTGTATTTTATTTACTTACTTATTCATCACCACTTCAATTTCCCGAACGCGCTGCCTTGTCGCGTGAACAGTACCAATACCAAAATGCCCGTCATTGAGGATAATGCTAGACCAACGTTACTGCGACCACCGGAGCATGACGAAAACAAATCGTTAATTGAGAATGTGTTGGATGTTACAGAGCTCAAGGTTCTGGGGACAGTGAGTTATGCTTCTTCTCCCGTTACTCTCTCTACTGCTACCTCATGCTGCATGCACGCGTGGAGGATCATATCCCTGCTCGTATCTTAAACCCATGGCACGGCACAGCACAGCGTCAAGACGTATAAGCACAACTTCATTCAGTCTTACTAAGTCATTACAGGATATTTTCACAAATACGCAACCGCAGTGGCATCCTCCTGGCGCCCGCGGCATCTACGGTGGCGCTGTCATCGCGCAATGTCTCGCCGCTGCGCAAAAGACAGTCCCAGAGGCGTTTCTAGTGCACTCCTGCCACTGCTATTTTCTCCTCGCGGGCTCTTCCGAGATACCGATTCTCTATCATGTTGAGCGTGTGCGCGATGGTCGTTCATACTCTACGCGTACGGTTCAGGCGCGACAGAGGGGTGCGTGTATCTTCACCACCACCATCAGCTTTGTGCGAGAGGCCAGTCCGGATAAGAAGCGTCGTGAGGTGAGCCATGCGGCTAGCCTACCTAAGGGCGTAAGTCCCCCATCGGATGACTGGGACGGTGAGCCAGAGTGGGCAAGGACAGGGCCGTTTCAGAGCCATAGAATTGAGGTGTTGGGTGCGAAAGACCCAGACTCTAAGCCACAGGACCGAAAGAGTAGACAGTGGATGCGGTCACGGCAAAAGATCTCTGCTGCAGGTGGCCACGAGGCACATCTCAACGCGCTGGCGTACATGTCGGACAGCTACTTCATCGGCACCGTCTCGCGCCTCCACGGCCTATGGCGCTTCCCGTTTTCTCCCGAGGAGGTGCCATCGCTAGACGAGAAGACCCAAGAGCAGGTCAAGAGTCTCTGCGAGTTCGAAGGCATGGGGAGCAACGTGGAGGATTGGAAGGGACGAGCACAGGTGGGAATGCTCGTGAGCCTCGATCACAGCATCTACTTCCACGAGCCGCGGGCTGTCAAGGCAGATGAGTGGATGTTTACAGAGATGGAGAGTCCGTGGGCGGGAGATGGCAGGGGAGTTGTTACACAGAAGATCTTTGGTAAGGACGGGGCGTTGCTGGCGACGTGTTTCCAAGAGGTGAGTCTTTTTTTCTTCTTCTTTTTTTGTGATTGATCATACTCCGGCAGTTGAGAGTTGTACTGACATGGCATTTCATAGGGCGTTGTTCGACTTAAGCAGGATGGAGGAGAGAAGGGTGCCAAGTTGTAGGATGGCTTTGAACTACTTGCAAGATGTGGAACTACCTATTGATTTCGTTTGTTAACTGATACCATAACTAATACTATTCCCTGCGTTCAGCTTGTTACTGGGGTATTTTGACTTCAGCCACTTGACTGAACAGATGTCTATTTCTTTGTTTGTCAGTCGTACAGGATATGCTTGCTCGCGTTTTCTATAGAGAATTCACTCATCTATCATATATGTGTCTTTCCTGATATCGCTTTTAGGATTTATCACATTCTTATTTAATTCTACCTTTCACTAGTATTGTTCTTCCTGAATGTACGTATACCATGTGTGTATGTGTTTGGATCTTCTTTGTTCGTTTGCATGTTCAGTGACATATCAACTTCTTGCTGTTTGAACACGAATACGTGCGGAACATTGCATACGTCGCAGAGTTTGAGAACATTAGTTGGGCTCTCTCAGCTGTTAGATTTTGAGTATAAAATTCCCTTCCCATCCCGTCCCCTTGATCGATTTTCCATTACTTCATTCTCATCCACAACCAAGCAAGTCTGTCTAAAGCTATCAACTACACCAGCATTTACATCTACAACAGCAACAGAAATACTCAAAGTCGGTATATTTCTTCTTTTCTTCATACTATCACGCCATATTACTATATCCAACTCATATTGAACAACACTAACCATGTGTCAGAACACCTTTGCTGTCTACGCACCTTGTGCTCACTCGGTCCATCTGGGCAAGGAAAAGTGTAAGGATGCAAAGTCTGTCACCAGCTCCATGATGAAGGCCCTGACGGGAGAAGGATGTAAGTGCCAGCCTGATAATGTCATGAGACTTGTCGTTGACTGGTGCCCAGATTGCAAGACGGGGTTTCATGAAGTCATTCGACGTCTTCATATCGTGCCCGCAACATATCGCAGTCTCTGGGATCCTCGCCTGATGGAGCGATACTGGGCTATCAAGTCCCAGAATCGCTGGTTCGGCGCTATAGATGCTAAGACAATAGGATATGATGCCTTTGCGAGCCGGGATCGTATCGAGTATCTCCCCATCAGTCACGGTGGACCACCAGCCTCAAAGAATACCACCTGGGAGCTATACGCCCTTGAGGCTGTGGTCCTTCGCCTGAATCCTGTCTGTGTTTCGATCGAGGGGTCCTCTTGCAAACCCGCTGGAGAGTCGAGCGTGCAGTTTCACCTCTGCGCGCTCGCCCTCAGAGCAACCACGAAGAAGGCGTACAACTTTGGCCATGTCGAGTAAGTTGTCAAGTCTGTCATTTGGGTCTCGATCATTACTAACAAGCATCTAGCTAGCTGCAATCGTTCTATCCGAGTATTAACAACAATAATAAGTAATTTAAAAAGTTGGCAAATGGAAAATCAGAATACAAAATATGAAAATACGAAAACATTAAACAGCCTCTACTGAAGTGATGGTTCTTATCCGTATAATCCTACAACCAAATGGATGAATCTTGGCGATGGACCGTATATTATTGGAGTCGGGTTGCTTGGCTATAGTCCTAGCTGATGATGAGCCCTGTTAAAGGCCCGTTATAACTCATAATCGGCTATAAACGATGGACCCACAAGGCGTCAGGTGGCAGTGCTGTTCAACCTACAGAGGACCCCTGTACCCGTTGAAACTGCCCGTCCACTGTGCACAGGTCTGTCTGCCTTGGCGGCTTGGCCTTACAGGGAGTTCATCCTTTGAAGGAAATTGAGAGTGGTCCTTGACCTTTCGCTCTCGTTGTTTCTCTCTTTAAATCTCCCTTCCTACATACAGTAGCTGCAGAGTAATCGGGCATTTGTACGGAGTGTTGAGCTTGTCGCTTCTACTTCACCCTCTTTTTATTGTTATTTATCGTGTAAATTGTTTCGCTTGGTATTACGCGGTTCAACGCGTCTAAACACCAAAGGCAACGACCGCCACAACCTAAAGCAGCCGCCAAATTAACTTCAGCCAGGATGTATGCGCATACCTTCACTCTTCTTGCATCTCTCGCTGTAGGAGCCTCTGCTGGTACACTCTCAGTGCCCTTCGCAAAGCAGAAGCTCCATCATGAATCCTCCCTCCACAAGCGCGATACTCTAACCCTCACGGGCTTGAATAACATCACTGGAGGTGGATATTTTGGACAGTTTCAGATTGGAACCCCAGGCCAAAACATCAGCTTTCATCTCGACACTGGTAGTGTTGCATAACTGATGCCCTTGTTTGTATGTATTTGCTGATAGTCCTCAGGTAGTAGTGATACCTGGGTCAACTCAGTCGATACCGATCTCTGCAACAGCAAGACATTACAGGAATTAACCGGCCCTTGCCAGGCTACTTGTATGTGACTCCCTTATAGTGCAAGCAACAATCAACTGGACTAACATATCTATAGTTGACCCTGACAAGAGTAGCACATACAAACTTGTCGACCAGGATGCCTTCAATATCACTTACTTGGACACAAGGCGTATCCTCGGCGACTACTTCAATGATACTGTCACCATTGACGGCAAAAGCATCAAGAAGCAGCAGCTTGGTCTCGCCGTCAAGTCTGCCAGCTCCACTGGTATCATGGGCTTGGGTTTTTCCACTGGTGTTGCTGGGAATAAAACCTACCCAGCCATCGTTGAAAACATGATGTCTCAGGGCCTCATTGAACGAGCTGCGTTCAGTCTCTGGCTGGTAAGTTTGGCCTCTGGGAACCATATTCATCATCACTAACACATCTTTCCTAGGATGACCTCAACGCCGAAGAAGGAACTGTCCTCTTTGGTGGCATTGACACAGAAAAGTTCGTTGGAAAACTTACCACTCTGCCCCTGGCGCCCATCATGCCAGGCCAGAATATCACCGCTTTCAGCGTCCCCTTGAAGGGCTTGGGTGTGACTATGCCAAAGGGTCAGGACAGTGTTGAACTAGAAGATTTCCAGAACAACACCATCACCATCGTCGACTCTGGCGCTACCGCTTGTCAGATGCCCGACAGCCAAACAGAAGCCATTTACAAGGCCTTTGACGTTCTCAGTATCAGGGACGTCAACGTCCCCTTTGTAGACTGCGCCTACGGAGAAGACAAAGGCAAGGGTATCACATTCGACTTCAAGTTCGACGGCAAGACCATCGTCGTCCCTATGAAGGAAATGGTTATCAACGCATTCAAGGAACAACAAGATGTCTTCAAAGACCCTCTTGTCGCACCTCTCTTTAAAGGTTGGGAGGGTGTCTGCATGTTTGGCATCAGTCCTATCAGCAAATATGGAATTTCGAGTGATACTCTGACTCTCCTTGGAGATACCTTCTTGCGCTCTGCATATGTTGTCTATGATTTGACGAATGAGCAGCTGGGCATGGCTGAGGCGAACCACGGGGCCACAAAGTCTAGCATTGTTGAGCTCAAGAAGGGCGATACCAAATTACCAGACGTCTCTGGAGTTGACAGTGAGTGCTTTATTATTCCCTTCCCGACACCCAACACAACTATCATCTAACACATATACAGAAGCGTCTACTTCCGACGATGATGACGGCAACGCAGCTGGCCAACTATCTCCCGCTTCCGTAGTGACGCTCGTGATGGTTGCGGGTGCTGTTTTGACTTTCTGGTGAGCGTACATATAGAATAGTAGATACAATAGCAGGCATCAGGCGCAAGTACCTGACTTTCAATGCACATAAAACCTGTGGCACTGCGACATGGGTTATATATATAAGATACCTCGATTGGTTATACAATCACATACTTTATCACACTTGCCCACGCATTCGGCGTGTCTAATACCCTCTCTGTTAACTAACATCGGCCCCGAGGTTTGATGGGCCGCCGATGGCCTCCCACGAGGAACTGCCCCAGCTTGGAATATCTAGGACCTCTTCGTTCACTGGCACCAATACAGCGTTGGCAAGTTAAGTTTGTTCTCCGGTGATCAAGTCAGCTTTAATTAAAGGGCATGTAGACCCTATCCTCAACGCCTAATGTCATCTATGGTCCCAAGCTCCAACAGCAAGCACACGCCTCAATTCACTTCTTACCCCAGCTTGTTATACCGCTCCCGTGCCTTATCCTGCACAGTGTTCACGTAATCGGCATAGGTGTTCTTGGTCTTGCGCTCAGCCAACTGCGCTGCATCACCAAGATTGCCACCCTCTGCGCCTAGTCCAACGCCTTCTTGGTAGGCATTTGTCTCGATTACCTCGGTACGTCCATCTCTGTTGGCTCCTAGACCAGCGCCAGTAGACCAACCCATCTTTGCCAACATACCCGCTCCTTTGGATTGAGCAGGCTTCGCGGCCGGTGCAGCCTCTTCCGCCTTTGGGGTTGATTTCGGTTTCCCCTGTGGAGCGGTCGTAGGCTTGGTAGGTTGATTGAACGCAGCTCGCCTCTCCTTTGCGCGATCACGATACTGAGATGCAGCCGCAGAATCTGGGTTCTCCTGGACCTGCTTCTGAAGTCTCTTGTCGCGTGCTGCTAGCCTGGGCAGTGCAGCTTTGACTTGCTCCTCGTTCTCCGTCGCAGTCTTGTGGTTCAGGGATTTCTCGTGGATATTGACTTCATCAACCGACTTGTACTTGCGCATACAGATTAGACACATTAACCGATCGCGATCGACGTAAGAAACAGGTGCGTCTGCGGAAACAGATACCGAGCGCGCGATGCTACCAGGCGTGTCTGCTTCCTCAGGCGAAGCCTGCTTGTTGGGGGCCATGGGTTCAGGGGCTCCAAGCTTTGATCCGGATATGGAAATCTTGATGGCGTTCTGAGGTCTGGGTGCATCTACTCCAGACCCTGCAAGATTTATACGTAGTGGCGTTCGGTTCACGTCGCTGAACTCGGCCTTGTTTTGTCTCGCCGGCCTGGCCTCTTTCTCAACCCGAAGCTCATCCCTCTTTCGCTGCCACATGGCCATCTGGCCTGCCATAATCGGCACAGACTTCTTTGTGGAGGCTGCAGCCAGATTTCCTTCTGCCTTCCGCTTCTTTGACTTCTTCGCTTCTTCCTCAGCTGTTTTTGAGGCTGCGTCGCCTTCTGGCGGCTGTTCAGTGACTATCTGCTGGGAGGGATAAACGTGGTAGTCGCGATAGCGGACACGAAGGTCTGGGTTGAACAGAGGATGGAACGACATGTGTTCAGTCTCTGGTGTAACTTCTCTTTCTTCAGGCAAGAAAACACCCATGTGAGTACTTGATACCGTCACTGGACAAGTCGCGACCGTGAACGACCGGGATTTGTAGAATTTGGACAGAGCAACTGTTGCGTCTTCCACCGTCCAAAATTCGGCAAATCCGTACTGAAAGGATTCGTTCGTGTTGGCATCGCGCATGAGAAAGACTCGGTGTAGGGATCCGGGTCGGGCGCCGTAACCTGTGGTATCACCAGTCGGCGCTGTAGACTTCAGTTTTGGTGCTCCACTGGAGGTGTCCTTGTTGTTGTCCGGCTTCACAAGCTCCAGCCGCTTCATATCGCTGGCTAGCATGTCCTCGGTCACAAATGATGCCAATGGATAAACAACAAGGATTTGCGCCGGTACATCCGAAGCATCTGCTATGCCTGTGAGGCTCAACTGCCATGCTGGAGCTAGCACAGTCGTGTTAGCTCTTGTTACCCTGGTTGCGCAAGCTCTGCGTCATCTTACCAGCCTGGGGACCACCACAGATCTTGCACTTGATGCGTGTAGAGTAGTTCGAAAAGTCGCACTTTTGTCGGTTAGTAAATTCGTGGCTGACAGCGAGGGCACACGTACTGTAGGACATGTCCAGTTACTACCTGTGACACCTCGGGCATCGGTGTCGTCGCGAGCATCTCGACTTCGAGCGTAGTGGATGTACGCATCAAACTTCCCTTCTGGGACGTCATCAGTATAGTGCGACATCTCAACAAGAAACTTGGGATAATGTTCTCTCATAAAAGCAACAGCATGATCAACTTCCTGGAACTGCACAAACGCTCTGCGATTGCCTGATGATGCATGTTAGCGACACTGAATAGACGTAAGCTCCCACGCGCATCTTACTCACCCTTGGAAGCGGAAATGCGCACGTCGATTGAAGGAACTTCGGCGGCAACTGGGTTGCTTAGAATACTGTCTCGGAGCTACAAGCCCGTGAATTAGTCTTACGAACTGATACATCGGCTAGTTTCAAAGGATATGTGCTTCGTTGCTGGTGTCATTCTAAATAAGAGACAGCTGTAAAGGAACGGCACATCGCAGTGTATTATGGGCAATCAGTTTCCGATCCGGTGATCAGAAACTGTTTCCCAATGTTTGGCTGCTGGATTGCTTCGTTTAGACCAGTAGGGCACCAACCTCATTCGACGATATACTGAACGGTAGACCTTCAAGGATGATGGTGTCGCTAGGCTTGCCGGCTTCTCGTGTAGGGCTGTCGGAGCGGCCGCGGTTATGATAGCTTCCAGATGGAGATTGAGATCGCGGGTCATCACCATCGCGGTACTTTCGTCTGCCACTCCGATGATTGTCGTCCTCGTATCGCTGTCTCCCTCGGTCGCTATTGTCGACATAGCCGTCATCATACATGCCTCGATAGTCATGTTCGTCGCGAGCGTTAGGGCGCGATTCTCGAGATGCGCCACCTCTTGTTGAGTATCCATCTTCGTAGCGACCAGATCGGTCATCGTAGTCGTGATCGTAGTCGTAATCATTGTCGTAGTCCATATCGTCGTCCCGATAGCGAGTGTCTCTCCCTCGAGGATCGTTGTGGAAAGCTTGCTTGGGCGGAGACCTGGAATCATCTCGCCGTCCCGTGGGGAAGTTAGCTACGAGGCTCAAATCATCCATGGAGGTCCTTCTCGAGTTTCCCATCTCTGCCTGAGGCGCGGGTTGTGTGTTTACCCTGCCGCGATCGGTAGCCGGCATCTCGGTCTTGGTATTCATCGCTCTTATTCATCCTTTGCTGGTCGTCCCTCGAGCGATCGGGGGATCGCGTGCGGTGACCTTCTTGCATCTTGGCTTCGAATTTTGTGGTGACCCTTGGGAAGTGAAAGCGCTGTCAATTTTGTTCGCAGTCGAGCTGCATTAAGGTGATGAGGAGTTTGTGAATCAACGTCAAAGTCAAGGTTAAGGGAGAAGATAGACATCAAGTGGGGCTTAGTCATTGCGCCGCGATTACACGAGCGCTCATGATCAGCATGATCAAATCAACTAATAAGAATAGCATAATAGAATAGAATTGGGGGGGAATTTGAAGAGAGAGACTTGATGTATGAGCTTGCGATCTTGTAGCATCCATTTCTTCTCCTTAATAGAATCATACTTCAATTACATATTGTACTGGGAATGACTTGAGGCCTTTGACACCCTGTGCTGCATACATCCAAACCCACTTGATATATAACTCTGAGATAACCTCACTCTTGTCTTATCATTTCCCTCTTTCTCTTTATATACGCATTTCAAGATGGCGACTCCAGACAAGACCCAGGATGTATGGGAACTATCAGAACAAGATTGCTATGTTGCCTTAACACATAATCACCTCAATGCTCAAGCCATCATGGATCGTGTGCGCAGCCCCTCAGCTGGCGCAATTGTCCTCTTTGCAGGCAAGTTCCCGTCTCTCAAATTCCATTGTTCATCCTCAAGTCTGACCTTAGATAGGTACCACCCGTGATAACTTTGCTGGAAAGCCAGTCAAGGAACTACAATACACAGCCTATCATCCTCGCGCTCTGAAGTCCATGCTCACCATCGCAAAGGACGTGAGTGATAAGCATGGCCTCCGCGGGGTAGCCATGATCCATCGCCTGGGTGCTGTGCCCATCGGGGAAGAGAGCATCCTAATCGCTGTTTCATCTCCGCACAGGGAAGCAGCCTGGCGAGCGGGTGAAGAGGCTTTGGAAGAGTGCAAGTCCAAGGTTGAAGTCTGGAAACGTGAGGAGTTTGAAGGTGAGGAGGGTGTATGGAGGGCAAACCGAGACGGAGCAGTAGGACAGCACGAGGAAGCGTGATGCATGATGCACCTTTACAAGGGCCTTTATGACTTCCTTTTGGTCAAGAAATTCATCTTATTGGAATCATAAACACTTATACGTTAAGACTGTATGTCTTGTGAATATTGCGGCACCTTGAGCTATCTTGCTCCGAAATCACCAACGCTACCATACTATTCCCCAGGCGTACAACCATCGCCAAACCTAATCGCCAAAATGAAAACAAAAACCGATCGTTATATCATGTCTGCACTGTCTCCCTCATTGAATTTTCATCGTTACGTTTCTATTTTTGGTGTTTCCTTCTGGTAGACTGGCGGCGGCTCTCGCATGAATTCGAAGGGACATCGGGGAGGGCACTTCGTGCCGCGGGTTCCGCCATACATCACTTTTCCTTGTATAAGTATATACAGAGAATTGATTAAGAAGGAGGATCGACTTACTGATATGTCCATGGTAAGCCTCCGTAAAGGTGGCATCAGTCCCAAGCCCTTGGACGTCCATATGTTCTGAGAAAGCAGAGGGATAGACAACAATCCCATACTCGGCATGGAGAATGTGCCAAAACTGGAGGGGAAGTCTGCCGTCTTGGTTAGCGTAATGTTGTTAGATATAGGATTGAGCTGGTTCATACTTGTACTGGTCACGTCTAACACATGCGTGCATGAAGAGGCAGACGGTTTCGAGGACCAGATGACCATCGTTGATAGCGTCGTCAAGCTGGTCATCCTCGAGGTCATGCACCCGCTGGAGACGCTCTTTAGAATAATGCATGGCAATTGACCATCCCTTGGCGATCTTTTCAAGATCTTTTTCTTGCCAGTCTGCCATGTTTTTTGAGGTTTTCGATTTTCGGGGTTTAGAGGAGGGTCAGTGGATTTGACTACAAAGATGGCGAGAATGGTTTGATATAAAGAGGGGCCTGTAGGATTCAAGCAAAGCCAGGTTTATAAATGATGATTCTTGAATATGAACAGTTGAAGAAAGAATCATATTAAAAGAATCTTTTCTATTCTTTTGTCAGGCACAGCTCACACCAAATGCGCGTCAGAGGAAGCCATCAAGGTGTCTCCTTCAGTTTCCACACCATCACCATCATCATCACCATCATGTAGGTAACCCCCAAGGTCCTCACTCTCGGCTTCTAGTTCTAAGAACTCTCCAATCATATCCATTCAAACTCTTCTGCGCCTTTATTTCACGTGGGGTTCATCATGACAACTTAAACTAAACCCATCTCATGAGGAGAGGAGGGGCAATCTTGCGAACCCTTCTGGCCACTCTTATACTTTTCCCATATGTCATGTTTCCTCCGATCACGGCTATTTTTTATTTCATTCTCGCTGGTCAACAACACTATGAGAAATATCGTGATAGGAAATATTTGAGTATTATATAGCTCAGGCCTTTTTGGCCTCTTCATACAGCTAAGCTACACCGGACAGGTGGGTATATATATATATATATGTACGTACTACCTTATGAAGTAGGTACATGGGTAGGTAACAGTAGGTAAATATTTCATCAAAAATCAGATCGCTCGTGGTATCTCTTTGCTCGGTTCCAGTCCCTCCAGTCCAGCCATCCTCATAAAATTACAACTCTCTTCGAATGCAATGTCAACATCTACAATGCGTAGTTCTCGGTGTGAAGGAAGATCTCTTCAAGCTCATCATCACCCCAGATTTCTGCCTGCAGTCGAGCTACTGTGTTGGCAACACCAACTCTCATAGCTGGTGGTCCGCACACAAAGACTGCCGTGCGCCGACCAAGGATACCTCGTCCATTGGCACCTCCTGTCGCCCACTCCTTGAGCATGTAGCCTAGGTCAGGTCGGCCATACTCAACACTCCAGCCTCCATCGATCTGATGAGGCACTGGGAACGCAAACCGCATTAAACTCTTTTGAAATTCCGTTGGGGTTTGGGGGAAACCAAAGTCGAAGCCAGATGGCGGCCCGAAAGTGGATGTAGGTCGTGTTCGGCCAGCCTCAGGATTAACTGTTCGAAGATGCGCAAGCTCTGGAGCTCGCACTGGGAATGCTTCCTCCTCAGTGGGGAATGACTCTGGTAGCCGCTGAGGAGACCGGGGTGCGTAGTTGAATTGGGGTGGGTTATCGTGCTTCATGGGCCTGAAGTGAAACTCTCCATCGTTCTGTCCATGTTCTTCGCCATCTTCAATCGGAGGTTTCTTGTCTTCGGGGTAGCCGTGGCCCTCAAGTCTCCTGAGAGATTCCTCCCGGTTTGTTGGTGGTGGTCCTGGTGGTGGAGGCGGGATTGAATGAGGCTGCAAGTACTTTTGCTGTGGGAGAGCTGTGATACGATCCTCGTCCTCGGCACGGAGCTCACGCTCACGCTCAGGATCACCCTGCGCCTCAGACTGAATCAAAGCAGAGTTTCGTTTGGAGGCGATGCCTGCAACGAAACCGTCCAGTTTGTCATGGAACATATGGCTCAAAGCCCGGGGGCCGTTTGGTCCATGAGGTCCATGAGGTCCATTCTGGTTGAAGGGGCCCGGTCCCGGGCCCTCCATGCCTTGCCGGGCTCTTACAGCGGATGTGACAAAGAACTTGCAGGTGACGCTCTCAGGGGGAGCAGCCTCGCGGCAGATGCGAAGCTCCTCTCTGAACCAGTCCATAGCCTCAAGTCGCTTCAAAGCCCAGACGACCACAACCTTCTTGGTGATGGCCTTGCCGTCTCTCATTCTCTTGATGAGGTTCAGCAGCTGTGACATGAGTGCAGTGATACCACTACCGCCTGCGATGAGGATACAAGTATCAAAAGCGGCGAGGTCGCGACGCATCCCACCGTATGGGCCGTCCAGGAACGCACGGTAAGTATGGAATGGTCCCTTTTCAATAGCGGTATCAAGCACCTTGCGTGTAAATCCTCCGTAAGGTCGGAATACAAGAGTACAGTCACGGTATTGCTCACCGTACTCTGAGGGAAAGTCATCGCTGCATAGCGAGGAGATAGTGAAAGGGTGGTTCTCGAAGAAGGAGATGCCAGGCATTCGCAGGTAAACATACTGGCCGGGCTTCCATTTCATCTGTGTCGGGATGGTAACTTTGATGGCGTTCTCGGACATGAGCGTGATAGCTGCTTCGTCTCCAACCATGAAAGACATACGCCACGGCTTGACCCAATTCAACTTGAACAGTCTCAAGAAATAGCAGAATGCCCAGATAGCCACCGTTGTGTAGAGGTAAGCCCAAGACATGAGGAAGTTCTTGGTGTGCCAGAAAAGGAGACCGACATAGACGATACCAACAGGGACGTGAAGGACGACGAAGATCTCATAGGCTGTCCTCCTGATGAAAGGAAGTGAAGCAACACACAGCCAGATAAGGGGTACAAGACAGGCGATACCAGTACCGTAGATGATGCCACTGCCACCAGGAAACAGGCGTTGGAACACTTCCATTCCGCCATCATCCCAGACTGGTTGGATATAAAAGGGAATAGCGTGAACAAGTGATAAAAACAGGCAGAGATAGCCCGCCCATCGGTGAAAAACATTGAGCCGCTCGGGACCAATTCCTATAATGATGGTCAAAAGATTTGTCTTCATGCTAGTTGCGATGATCCATGGTGTCAGAGCAACGGAGATCATTCCAGCTCGAATCGCCAGAGGAGGTGAGCCGAACTGAATGCTCTGCCAATAGAGAGGCTGCTGCAGAAAGCAGTAAAGGACAACGAAGACCAAGGAAACAAAGACAGTAGCAAGAACCGCCAGTGAGGAGAATGTAACCCGTCGTTTTCCCCATACAAAATCCGGAATGGGGCGGTAGAATATCCATCGAAACAGGGCCAAAGTATCGTTAATGATGTTGACGGAAGAGAAATGTGCCTTTGGGCGGAAGTTCTTCTCCCCCATCGCATCATGGCCTTCGGGGAAGAACTGTTGGCTCTGGGCACTTCGCATTCCAGACATAGCCTCGGCTTCAGCATTGTAGAGATTCTGGTAATATTCCTCTGCCTCCTGCTTGTAGATAGCTTGTCGAATCTTGTCCTGCCAGAAGTGCCACACACGCATGACCAGGACGGTGCCCATCAAAGCGAGCGCAAAATAAGACCATCCTCGGGCATATTTTCCAGATTTCTCCCAGGGGTCGATTGTATGCGCCTGAACGAGACCTGGCGGGCTTGTCGGTGTTAGTGGGATAGAAATGCGTTTGATTAGGCTGGAGAAGGTCTTTGAGGCCTCCTGGGCGATCTCGCGGATGTATGAGTTGGGAGCCATTTCGACCAGCGTTAAGCTCTAGGAAGTGTGATGATGAGGTCGGCGACGGTGCGCAGTTGGGGACCTCTAATTCGTCATGAATGGCGAATTGTGTATATAAATATGTGTGTGTTTTGGTAAGATGAAGACGGAGGTACTCGATGGTGACTTGGCTGAGTGGTTGGACTATCAACGTCTGTACAGATGGTGATCTAGCGAGGTGCCAACAGGTCAAAGCGACAATTGACTTTTATCGAAGAATGCCGGACTCTTCAATTAGGGTTGCAGGTTCAACAACACAGCTGATAAACGAGAGAATGCAGACGCCTTAAACATAGGGTATTGGGGAGCAGGGTATTAAGATGGGAGCTACAGTGGAGTCTAACTGGGCATGCGGCCGAATATATGGCCTCAGATGATCGGATCCTCACCGTTGAGCGGAGTACGGTAAAAGCTGCAAAGCTAAGGCTCAGCAAGATACTGCAGATGGTGGGTGGCTCTTGTGATATAGCGGCGGCAAGCTTGTCACTCTTGGCAGGGATGGGAAGACGTGGGATTCAAGATTGACATGCGGGAAGAGTCTGTGCAGCAAACGAGTCAACATGGCGGCATATGAACGGCGACCACCTCCCAAGGCCAGCGGCTGACGGAGCTCTGATATTGGCTGGCTCAGGAAATGCCGGTCTCCCATCAGTGGAGCATTCGGCTGTCACACAGCCGCGAGCTGGCGTGGTTGAGAGAAATCAGAAGTGATTGAGGTGAGTGACATGCAGAAACAGGCAAACCCTTGGAATAAACATGATGGCGGAAGCCGGGAGGTGGATGTTTCTCCAGGTCATGGTCCGGGATGTATCCGTACATGTATGTATGCTGGATTGAGCGTCGTCGTCACTGATGGCTGGGGTTTTTGTTTCTTTTGGTTGTTGGTGAAGGGAACCTTGATAATAATGATTCTGTTGTCTTCCAAAACGCTGCTTCAACGAGGTACTACGATTGACGCCACGAGTACTCCTTAAGATACACCTCATCATGGAATGCGCGCAAACTAGTGCTTGCGGTACGAGATGAGAAATTAGCATTGTGATGATATAGCTACCAAATGTTAAAGCTCTCAACGGTCGTTGGTTCACCACGTTCACTGGAAAGACGAGCGTCTGGGCATGACTCGGGATTGGACGCTTGGGGACCTCGACTCATCTAGGCAAGATGTTCCTGGCACCTGGGCTGTGATCCAGGCATCTGCTTAAGCCAGCCGCGTTGCCCTATTCGCCCTCCAAGGACGGGTAATGACTTTGAGAGGTCGCTGGCTCGGCTGATAGCTTGGGCTTTTGGGGGCTGGATGGTGGAAGAGGAGCAACCCAACCATGGTGGAGCATTAAGATGTAACCTTGTAACCCTGTGATGAGATGCAACAGGCTACCGTGATTGGTCCAGAAGCGCGACGACGATCCTTGCGGGTTTTTGATGGCTGATCGAGCGGGCGGTAACAGGCGAGCTGTGATTCGTTGTTAGTGGTGATTATTCTTCGGGGGGATAAGTGCATGCGTTCTTCGATTCGTCCAACTCCCTTCTTCGTGAAAAGCTTCTGACCTCATTCGAGAGTTTCCTTACTCATCTTGGGTATGAGGAAGTTCAAAAGAGTCGAGAAGTGTCCGAGCGTGGTATGAATCGGCCAGGAACGGGCTTGATGGTTTGTCCATATCGGCAGGGTCCCTGTCATTCGATGCTGCACCTCATAAGTCGTGTACCAAATGATAGTCGCAAAACATCACCAGGACCGTTATGCTTGTTGGTGATAAGTTTCCGTACATGCACTATCTGCGGTCTGCAACGGGACAGTAACTTCTGTGCCGTGCGGTGAGGAGAACCAACAACTTACAAAGGATCCAAGCTCCCCTGTCTGCTCCCAACTGCTCGCCTCTTACTTGTGAGTGTGACGGAGAGATGGACAGTTCCGTGTAAGAGTTCCGACAACGTACTAACAAGAGAATGTTTTTTTTTTAATAAAATACATACCTTTAAAAGGGTAATAATTGGGTTGCCCCATAGATAATACAGTGAATTTTAACACAATAAGAGGCATTATACACAATGCCAGTTAACACAATAATCAATCCATTAAAGCAAGAGAAAGTTATTTTAGAATAGGTTATATGAAGTACATCATATTTAGAAGATCCATAGATGATCTTAGAATAAAATAAAATAAAATCATATAAATTAAGAAGAGCTTACTTTTTTTTTTGCTTTAACCTTCAACTTTATCAAGCCCAGGCTTTCCAAATCTCTCAATGATATCAACAATAAAAGAAGAGCTTACAATAATCTACGTAATTTTAAATAAAACTTAGAATAGAGGAACTTAGTAGAACTTTTATATACCCACTAGAGCATCGACGTAGGTTCAAGTGTTGGGTCGAGTATCGCTGTCTACCACACTGGTCATCCTTTTTATCTTTTATGCGGTGGCCGTAGCGTTACAATGGTTGTGGTAGCTGGATGAGGGTGGAAAAGGGTCGTCATGGTGTAAGACATGGGTGTAAAAAGAGAAGGTAAAATGTTCACGGCACAGCTGCGTAGCGTTCCTCTCCTAAGCGAACCATCGACCACAGTGAAAACCGTATAGTAGGATTTAGCATGAAACTTGAAGACCAACATAATTATGAGTTGGCAACGGGGACATCATGAGAGAGGGTTCGTATAAATCACATTAGTGATGAATGAAATATTGATAATTACCTGCCAAGTTCTCCTACCCTACGTCTTGATGGAATGTACAGCAGCTTGTAACAGGTCAGCCTTGCATGCCTCAGGGCTATATAATTGGTTGTTGAATATGACCCCACCAATGATCTCCACGAGGCTGCGAACGACTCTCCAACTTTTCATCATCCATTTCCCATACAGAACCACTCGACAATCTCGATTACTTAAAAACAATTCGTGAACTACACCGAAAAAGGGTATCTCTCGCCCTCCAACAATATGGCGTCTACAACAGGACTTACCCGGTCCACCTTTGCCAAACTTTCACCTCACCCGTATCTGCTAGCCAACCTTGAGCCCTCCTCGGACAATGTACGCCCAGCTCGAAGCAATGGCCGAGCTAGAAACGAAGCACGTATCCCAACAGTCAACGCATCGAGCTTGTCACATGCCAATGGTAGCGCTGTAGTGCGCGTTGGTGACACTACCGTCATTTGCGGTGTCCGCGGCGAGACTATTCTGACTCCCAACATCCCGAACTATCGCGCCTCCAACACAGAGAACGAGTTGAAAGAGTATGATCTTTTGGTCCCAAACATTGAGCTTGCCACTGGTTGCGCTCCTCAGTTTCTTCCCGGTGGCCCACCAAGCACTCTTGCTCAGACTCTCAGCACACGGATATACTCCCTTCTTCACAGCTCCAAGATTATCAAGCCCGAGGACTTGAGAATATGGCACACAACACCATCTGAAGATCTCGAAGACCGTATGGAAGAGGACGATGCAGACACAGCAAACGAGAACCGCTCTGTTGTGGCCTACTGGGTGCTTTATATCGACATATTTTTCATCTCTTTTGACGGAAACCCCTTCGATGCCGCCTGGGCTGCCACCATGGCAGCTCTGCGAGATACAAAGCTCCCTGGAGCACGATACGATGTGGACCGAGAGATGATTGTCTGCTCCCGAAAAGATTCCAGGCCTTTGAGCATCACCAACATCCCAATCGCATGCACGGCAGTTGTCTTTACCGGCAAGGAAACTGACCGACCTACCGACGGCAAGTTTTGGTTGCTCGTCGACCCCGACAGACTCGAAGAGTCACTCTGCGACGAGAGTGTGACGGTTGTGGTGGATTGCAAGGAGAGCGATGTCAAGATTTTGTCCATCTCGAAGCACGGAGGAACTGCATTGACTCCTCAGTTCCTCACCTCAGATGCTTTCCTGGGCTGGGCTACAACGCGATGGGAGGATTTTAACAATGCCATCGCCCAATCATAGATTAATGATACCCCAATGAAAAAACAAACTGGACACAGCCATTGCTTATAGTCGTATCTCTACCATCTACCATCACATCACAATATTACTCTGGGCGAAGAAATGTGTCTATACCATTCGACCCACCCTTTCAGACTTTATTCTAGGGCAGGAGATACCGGAAGACAAATTGCTCTACCACTCATAAAGTGAATAGTAATGAAACTACCACGCCGCAAGCAATGTTCCGCCAGAATAGGTAGACATTGCGTAAAGGGCTGAGCGGATGATGAGAGGAAAAAGAAGAAGAAGACGAAGAAAATCTTGGCCAATCCTTTTCATTGCTGGAAGAGCTGACGCACGGACCATTACCTCTTATTTTTACGTAGCATTTGGCTGCGGAGCAACCCTGCCCCACCTGAAATATTCTTCCAACTTTCATCCATCATAAAAGGCGGATCCTAACTTCATTCCTTTCTTTTCTATCTTCACAACCTCTACCTCACCATGGAATCCCTCTCAGACACCCTGTGGGATGTAGTGATCAGCGGCACTGGGTTACAACAGTCCCTTCTCGCCCTGTAAGCTTTGGATTCCATCGACGAGATGTCGCCTCGATCGGACTGACCCAGTCTTCATTCTTTGAAGAGCTTTGTCGCGTTCAGGCAAGAATATCCTTCACGTCGATCCGAACGACTTCTACGGAGGCAGCGAAGCCGCTTTTAGTCTTCAGGAGGCGGATGAGTGGGCTGAGAAGAACCAGGCGGCTGATGCCTCGCGATTATTCTCCTCGGCAGAGGTGAAGCGAGACGCGGACGCATTGGCCTCTACGCGATCCTACAGCCTGGCGCTCGCGCCTCAGCTTGTCCATTCGCGATCGAAGTTGGTAACTCAGCTTGTCGATTCGAAAGCCTTTCGCCAGATTGAATTTCTCGCTGTCGGTTCTTTCTACATCTACCAGCCACCTTCGGATTCTTCGTCGACGCCCTCACTTAGTCGGATACCCTCGACCCGCGAGGATGTTTTCACCAACACCTCAATCCCAGCTCGGTCCAAGCGGTCTTTGATGAAGTTTCTCAAGTTTGTGCTTGATTTCAATTCGGAGCCTCAAATCGATACGTGGCAGTCGCATGCTGATGAGGACCTGGCACAGTTCTTGGCCTCGGAGTTCAAGCTTGATCATGCCCTCCAGTCTTACATCATCACACTGACCTTGAGTCATGATGACAAGATTTCGGTCAAAGATGGCTTGACTTCGATCAACCGACACTTGTCATCTATGGGTGTTTTCGGTCCTGGTTTTGCTGCGGTCTGTCCTAAATGGGGCGGCTTGTCAGAGGTGGCTCAAGTGGGTTGCCGAGCCGCTGCTGTTGGTGGCGCAGTTTACATGCTGGGTTCTGGTATCCGGAACTTGCAAAGACCTGAGTCTGATCAAGCTGAAGCACCATTGAATCTGTCGTTTACCAACGATCTCGATGTGAAGGCTAAGCTTGTGGTTCAAGGTACTGAGACGACTGACCCTAGTAGTACTCGAATCAGCAGACTCACTGCCGTGACAAAGTCAGATCTGTCACCGGTCTTCGAGCTGCTTACTGATGGCGCTCCCACGCCTGCTGTTGCAGTAGTGGCTTTCCCCAAAGGCTCGGTCTCCGGTGAGGATGAGAGTCCTTCCGAGTTTCCGGTCTATGCGATGGTACACTCAAGCGACACCGGGGAGTGCCCCTCTGGACAATGTGAGTTTATATCTTCTTTCTTCTACCCCCCAGGTGTCATGATGATTCACATACCGAATACTTATCTACATTGTCTGAACCCCAATGACGATCATATCTCTGACAAACTGATGTACACCTCATTCCTTTCACTTTTGCACTCTGCACATAATTAAAAGGCAATCATGCTAACGAAAGGCCAATAGATGTCGTTTATCTCAGTACCGTCTGTACCTCATCCGCGAAATCGGTTCTGGATAAAGCTCTTCTGTCTCTGCTTGCTGCCGTGTCGAATGGCAAAGACGTGACTGCGCCTATCTATCAGCTATATTATGAACAGAGTAATGGAACAAATACTCTGAGCGTAGACCGCAACATTGCTACATTCTCAGCAACACCGTTGAACCTTGCTTTCGATGACTCGATCCTCGACCCTGTCTACGAGGCATGGCAGTTGGTCAACAGCGACTTGAAAGATCAGCCTGTTGACTACATGAAGTTTGAAGACCGGGAGAGCGGAATAGACGATGATCTCTACGATTAGATGATTTCAAACACAATAATGAGATGCGAATGATTTCAACACTATTTCCCATTGAGTATGACTATGTAACAAGACTTATCTGTCTCCGGAGATGTTGCCCGTAGAAGAAAGATATACCCGTTTGATGCATAGTTTCGCCATCCCGAAGTTATCATAGTACCAAATCACTCCAGTGTCCCATATCCGGTGTCGTTTCCCATGTCCCGGTTTTCCCATAGCGCTTTCTTGTAAAGCGTTCGCAGTGTAAGTGATCCCAGTGTTCCCCAAATATGAAACCAGACGCCGCTGGAATATGCCATGCCATGCATGGCCTGTGAAAGTCGTTGATACGATATGCCCCCGTTATGCGTAAGAAAAGAAGACCCGAATAATAATAACATACACCAGTCAAACCCCGAAATCTAGAAAAGAAGACTAGGCCAACTCGTCAGCCATATCGGTATCTTGCTGAGGAAGGGTGAGGCCAAGGCGGATCGTGCCGAAAGGTCGGTTCTGTGCAATACCATCTTGTTCGACCCTGATGGCGTTTTTGGTGGCTAGGATGAGAACATGCATAAACGCCTCTGAGACAAACTTCCTCGCGCTGGCCGGGTCGTCGAGCTCGTCAGTGAGTGTCTTGAAGTCGACCCAGCGACTGTCGGTTTGTTCATGCGATCGGGCGTAACCCTTGGTTTGCGCGCGAGCGGTGGCATAGCCCAAAAAGTCGAGGGCAGGGCCATCGAGAAGTGCAGAATCCTGGGTGCCATTACCATTGGCGAAATCAAAATTTCCCATGAGCCCCTCGTCGCCCATGGAAGAGTCCTGCGAGTGCAGCATCGCCAGGTCGTCAGAGCCGTGAGGCAAGCTGGGAAGATCGCTCCAGCGTTCGATAGAACGGGCGGCACTGCCACGGGCATGAAGAGGGCTTGGAGCAGGATGCTTTTTCTGCATGCTACCTTGTCCTCGGATAGAAGAACCAGGAGCAACGGAGGGAGGACGACTCCAAGGAGCCATGGAGGACGAGTGACGGTCTTCAAGACCCTTTGCCGCCTCCATTCCCATCTCAGGGGGGATATCTTCACCAAACACGATTGCGTCCATGTCATCATGGCCGCGCCCGAACTCGTTACCATCGTCCACTTTCTGGCGGACATTTCGCTCCTCATTTTGTTCATCTTCGAATGCTTCAGCCGAAACACGACGTCGGCCCCGCGACCTAGGCTCAGAGTCCTGCCCAGAGCCTTCCCCGCGAAGTTGTGCCAAGAGACTCATACCAGCGAACTGCTCTGCAAGGGGATGGATCGCTCCCAGAGGAGCCTTTCCAACACCTGCAAGCCCGTTGTCGAAAAGGAAAACCTTGGCATTGTGGCGGGCTTGGGCAAGACTGGTCGCCGATCGTGACTTCTGAGTCGATTTCATGTTGTCGAGGTAGTTCGAAGTCCAGCTTCGCATCTCTGCCATGGTGACATAGTCTTTCCTGTCTATCATTTGATGCTTTCGGCGTTGCCTCCTTCGTCGTGCGGGCGCTGTTGCCTGTTCGATTTCAACTGATTTAGAGGTCAGTTCAGCTGAGGAAGTGGATTTTGAGGTAACTGGGCGCTTGGGAAATGGCTCCGCGTCAGGCAAAGCATCTTCTCCCATGATGATCACGTTGTCGTCTCCAATGTGTCCTTTATCGGCACCAAGGCCGGCAGCATTGGCAGCCTGGATGTGGAGTTGCTCCTCGAATGCTTCAGTTCCTGGGAGAAGAGGAAGCTGTGGCTCCAAGTCGCCAAAATCGATGAGATTGCCATCGGCATCAAAGTTGAGATCTAGTCCAGGCATGGATGCCATGTCTTCACCGAAAGGGTTGAAATCCTCCAGGTGGTCTTGTGCATGAAATGGTTTTGGAAAAGGAGAATCGTGATCGAGATCGGTGGGAAGGCGATAGCTCCGGGCAGAGTGTGAAGACTGGGGGAGATCGAAGTTCAACAAAGAATTGTTTCTGCCGGAGGAGCTGCTACCTTGAGTCAAAGGACTCATTTGGGAGACATTGTTTTGCATTGATAGTTGAGTTGAAAGAAGAGCCAAGTCATTGGCACTGGACAAAAGGTCAAATTTAGGCAGGCCACACAAAGGGTCAAAGGCCGGGTCATCCTGCAGGGTGATCTGATGGCGCCTTGAGAGAGTGGAAGGTCAGTAACAAGTGCATATCTGGCTCAACAAAGGACTACTTACTTCGCCTTGCCCGCAGATGGATCCGTTTCGCTTGTGTCAATCACTCGAAAGAAAGTCATCATGTCCGACTGCGTCTTCTCAGCGTCTGAAAGAACATAGCGGCATTGCTGAGAAAAAACACGCGAGACTCCATAAAGCAGGTTGCTTTGAAGGCGAAGAGCCAAAGGGGCACCAGGCTCGATGATGACCTGGCATGCTTTGGGCACATTGACCTCTTGGATCTTTTTTCGACTTAGCCGCTTCGGATCGCTTTTTCCCACGGTAGCGGCGAGCCTACGAGATCAAGTCAGTAACACTTCAGTGGCACAGCAGAAGCATTTATTGATATACCAGATGGTGGAAACCCCGTACCGGGGGTCGCCGAGAACTAAGGTTGATGTCAGTCAGGAATAGAAGTGGAGGAAGACAGCTCGACTTACTCTCGTGGCTATAGAACATGACGCTCTATCATGCGCTATTGAAGCCTGGAAACGGCCTCGAGAAGTCGAGCAGTTCGAGCAGGAGGTGGTTAGTTCAAGCTCAAGCGCGTAGCTCCTGGCTGCCCCTTATATGGATGACCTGGACTGAAGTTGGTGGTGATGCTGTAGGTTTTGGGTTAGTATACGTAGGAGGAGATGATGCGAGGAAAAGGGAGAGAAATTGGAAGGAGGAGAGAAGGGACGAATTTAGTCGCATTGAGTCTTGCCCATCGCGGGAGCAGTTCTGACAACTGGCAGCCAGTGTCAAGCACCTGGCACTTCAGGCAACAGCAACTAGTAATTAATTGTGCAGCGTTTGTATCAAAACATGCTCTTCAAATAAATCTTCTAAGAAGATGGAAAGGCTCTTCGCTTTCATTTGGCTCTTTCCTTATTGTCAGTTCGCCAAACCCCTGGATCTACCCAGTTAGAAAACAATAGGGAATCCAAGCTCTTGTTTAAACAGGAGACATAAAAGCTCAATTAGATCTACATGCCTAAAGATAGTCTAAGTATTTCAGTATTTCAGTATTTCAGTAATTTAGTCATCTTCATCAAAATTCCCCATTATTTTCGAACCCACCTGCTACCTACACTCTCAAGCTGTCACTCTTCGAATCCCACTTCGATTGTGCCCTTCTAGCTATTGTCTTTACTCATCTCCGTAGTACTTCCAAGAAATAAAGGTCCTAGATGAAGAGAGATTGAAACAATAGTCGATCGTCTTTCCCCCTCACTGAATTCGCCCATCCCTTTCCCATATGGACACTGTCTGCATGCTAGGTAGGTAGGTAGTCAAGGGCGACAACATAGATCCCAGAATCCCTCAGGAAAGAAGATTTCCAACTGGCTCCCGATCTTAAGGTTTTGAAAGAATCTTGTTATAGGGTGCCAAGCAAGCTCAACATGTGGGTCTACCTAGCTTGACACATGAGGGTATCGTGAACATGACCCCCAGATTCAGCATCGTGACCACTAGTCACCAATCGATTCCTTGAGAACCCAAACCTATTTGTGAGTAGTTCGGAGACCAGTTCCGCTGGCAACCAAGGCGGCAACGAGTCCTAGAAAGGCCACGGCGGTTGAAGCTCCAAAGGCATACCTTAGTCCATCATAGTAGACCAGACGAGCCTTGAGTTGCACATCTGGAGGAAGTTCGCGAATGAAGTCAACCGAATGTCGAATCTTTTCGATAACCTAGAGACAATGACGATCAGTATACGCTCGAGGGATAAACTGCAGTAGCGGTGGGAAGATAAGGGGCATACTGTCCATTTATCAGGTACCTCACTCAAAGCATCTGGCAGACGAATGCTGAGTGTAGTCTGTACAATGGCCGAGGTGACTGAGACACCCCAGACGGTTCCTAGTGAGCGGATAAGATATACGGTTGAGGCCGTAACCGCATGGTCTATAAGTTTGTCAGTGACTCATAGAACCTAGCCAGAGTATTGAACTCACCGGCATGATCGAAGGACGCCAAAGAGATAAAGAGGAGTCCCGGGTAGATTATGCCCTGACCCAGGTTTGCTGGAAAGACGTAAACGAAGTACTTCCACTTCGAATCTTGGAATTGCAACAGGGTCACTAAGCCGTTACCAAACACCATCAGGAAAGCACCGGCGCGTACAAGCGTAAGAAGCTTGCCCCAACGAGACATTACCACTCCAGAAATAAGGCCTCCGATTGGAGTTGCCAGTGATGGAATTGCAAGACGAGCGCCGGCTGTGGTAGCTGAGTCAAGCAGAACAACTTGAAAGAAGAGTGGCAGCATAAAAAGGTACTTGAAACTGAGTTAGCAATGCGAGCACTCGAATATTCTCGCAACTTACTCCGTACGCCGCCATACCGGCACAGACATTTGCACACTGCGTTGCAATGGGAAGTCTTCCCTGCAACAAGCGAAGAGGAATAACAGGAATGGCGCTCGTCTTTGCCTCGACAAGGAGAAACAAAGCAAACAGACCAACACTGCCGACCAATGATCCAATAACCCATGGACTACTCCATGGCAACTCGTTGCCGCCGAGGCTCAGTCCTACCAGTTGAACGGAGACCGCTACAACTAACAAGAGAGATCCAGAAAAGTCAACTCTCTTCCAAACAGTGCCCAAGCTACTGCCGATCGAGAAACCCCCCGCCTGATCAGAGACAACAAGGGCTCCAATGACCAAAGCCACGACTGATATTGGGACTTGAAGTAGGAAACACCATCTCCAACCAATATGGTCGGCGATTGAGCCACCAAAAGAAGCTCCAGAAATAGCACCAAAGCCGAATATACCATTTTGAAGAGCCTGGTACATTCCTCGCTTGCGAAAGGGGATCATGTCTGAGTTCACAATGGTTGCTTCTGGCTGTTAGTAATGCGGCCTTGGATATTCTCCGGTTACACTTACCCATTGTCATTAATCCTCCACCGCCAAAGCCACTGAGCGCCCTCATGATGTTGAGAATGACGATATCGTTCGCCACGGCACATCCAAGACATCCAATAGCAAATGTGATGGTCGAGATGAAGAAACACAACCGTCGACCAAAGATATCGGAAACTCTCCCATAGAGTGGCTGAAATGCTGTGCTAGTGATGAGGTATGAAGTAGTCAACCATGAAGCCGTATTAGCCGCATCGAACTCGGAGCTGATGACAGCATATGTGGCTGCAGTGATGGTACTATCAAGACCGTAGAGGAACACGTTCGACATGATAGCCATTTGAATCCAAATGAAGCCCCGAGGAGGTTTCCACGTTTCCTCATCAGGAGGGTGAAGTAGGGGTTGGTCCTCGCGGATCTCATTTTCGCTATCTTGTGGTACAGGATCCGAAATCGCGGGATCATGAGATGTTGAAGGAATGTCACCCATAGTGAAGCAACTTTTGTTTGTCTTTGATAACGATGCCGGATTTTATTGTTATTCACAATATCGTTGCACTGTTGTAAGTTACAAGCCTTTCTGTATATCAAAACTGGACAAGAGTTTCTATGCAACGTGGGGCATTTAATGGGTCGTCGGCCATGAGTCAACATCAACGAAGCAGGAATACTGACGTATGTGAAAAAGATCGGGTTGATTGTAATGGTGAAATCCTGCGAAGAAATCACGTATTGAGCCATCCAATAGGAGTCGGCAGATCCCTACCTCGTTGCACATAAAGACCAGTATACGGATATGCTGAGTGAGTATGGATACACAAGACTATTGAAATTCCAGGCAAGTCTTCTTATCGTATATGCAGACGAGATCCCTCAGCTATATCTTCTATCCTCACATATGCTTTCAATATGGATCGAGATCTGACCAGCACAAACAGTAACACAAATCGAAGCTTCTGATCTCAGGATTACACAAAGGCTTGCCGCCTAATAGAATCAGAATAGTCCAGTACAAGGCAAAGAAGCGCATCGCAATCATTCCAACAGACATCATATAGATAAGGGGAGCTTTGTATGCATGTTCGTTCAGACTTGTAGTGTATTTCTGATGTGCAAGGTCAAGCAACAAATACTCTCCAGAATGCATCGGCATTATAATGAAAGCAGTAAAAGTTCCGAGGCCAAGAGCACACTCACACATTGAACATGACTTTTAGGTATGAATCAATCATTATTCCGTGCAGATACACCGATCTTGGGTACACACGCAGGTCCAGCTATTTCCGTCACTACTAAACTCCACTTGGACATGATCACTTTCACCAAGGATATTCTGCGACATAATACAAAGGTGAACATGCGATAATTTTTGTGACAATCCTTCTCGGGAGCGTGAACCCTTCTCAGCCTGTTGATTTCAAGGGTCCAGCCACCCAATACGCAATACACACTATACTCACTCTATCCTTAGATAGCCCTACATTGGACACCTACATACCTGACCACGCTGACAACCAATGCACCTCAATGCACGTCAGCAGAACACACTCACCGCCCTCTATCACTATCAGGATGCAACATGCAGATTCAGGACACCCATTTGGGGTGGTCAGCCGCCAATTCGAGATTCCCAATCGCCAACTCGGTGCGAACCGTGCCGCTCTCCCCTGAGATAGCCAGAGACTAATAACAAAGGCCCCCGAGTGAATTCACCCGAAGGTCTCGAAGCCTCGGAGATACGTAGTGTGTGTGCGCGTGTGTGCGTTCGGGTCGGCTGGCCGCCTGCAAGCATATGTACCAAGTTGAACAGGATCCTCTTTCGCAAGGAGAAAGCGGGGAATGTCCGATAGTGCCTCGTGGGGATCCAGCGCGGACAATATCGAGATCAAGATGCCATCTCGCAGTGATTCTTGAACATGAACACGGTTGGTTCCTGCATCCATCTAAAATACGCCAAAGATCACAAGTCCACGGATAAGGTTCCCAGTTATCTGGTGACCCCCCGCTTATGATCAACCACTCTCGCACCCAAGGTGTCTGGCTTGACATGTCTAGCATGTCTATCGAATAGATTGGAGCCAAGATGCACAGAGCACCATCCTCTTTGAGCCTCCAGACCCTCGATTGCACTCAACTATGGTGGGTGGAGGGATGTCAAGCCGGGCCTAGTGACTGAATAATTACCCTACCACCTAGTTAGCCACCCTACCTTAGCAGAAGGTGTTGGTGTTGCGCAAGGATATGGATACTTTTGGGCGTCACGTAGCGCACTCTAGAGTTCCCAAAAGAATAACCAGGTCTGGCATCATAGGCCGGCCCGGCCACGCGGTTCGCGGTTTGTGGCGGTAAGGGGGGATCGACAACCTTATAGGAAATACCATGGAAGCTGTGTTAAAAACAGAACGGAAACCACAGTAATAGAGCACAATACTGCGGAGCTGGGTATCCGTATTCATAACAAACTTGGTTTGATACTGACTTGTGGAAACGCAAGCTCCTGCTCGACGTCAAGTGTTACGGCAGAGACATTTACCATCACATCATTCAGCTCCACTACTCCGTACCAATAAACTAAAGCTGCTGCCGTCTTCAACAAAACCGGATTCAGTCACCGTCCACGCCGGTTTTGCAACAGCATTGGCTTCCGTCAGTTACGCTGCCCAGGCTGCTTCTCTGCCATGGAAAATCACAAGCCAAGAAGACTCACTCCAACATCATATTATTGATTGGTCCTCCAGCTTGCTTCTCTCCAGATGTCTTTCTCTCCACACCTCAAAATACTCCTCCTCCCCCCTGCGCCTACAGCACGCACACAGCCCGATCAATGATCCACAGCGCGGGCTCAGAAAACCCCGCCATTCACAGTGGGTAAAACGCTAAAACTACCCCCGAGAAGAGGCCAAACCGGACCCAGGTCCCTTCACCAGCCGGGAAACTGTCCGTGATAACCCCGCTTCGCCGTGTCGAAGCATCCGTGGAAGCTCATTATGCCTACTAAGGAAAACGTCCGATAAGGTCGTCAGGGGGAAGAGCTCGCTGAAGGTTGTCCCTAAATGGGGCGTGTCACAGTGCAGCCTCTAGATCATCTTCGCGCACCTTGCATTCGCATCCCGTTGGAGTTGCGGCGATCATATAAACTACCCAGAGAGGAGAGTATGTGAAACAAAACTACCCGTACGTATCCATTTATAATTACCACTTACCGAACAGCACATCACCTATATATTGCCCAGCAAACAAGATAGGTAGTTTTCCCTTATATCCTTACCCTTACCCTCCAACAGAACGCGTCATGGTGCTGTCCTTGGGTCCTCCACAGCATCATCGTCGTATCTTCCTCTCTCAGGTGTCCCCGCATCTCAGTCCCCCTTGCAACCTCCACGCCCATGAATCCACGCCACGATGCGATACTGTTTCCCAGCCTAGACCAGTAGACCTAGACCTAGACCTAGACCTTGGCTCGGTTTTGAACTTGGTACCTCCCGAAGTGTTCCGCTCGCCAATAGATTCGGCGTATTCTGTACTCGTACTCCATTTCTGCTTGTCTTGCCTTTCTCTCCCACCCATTCTTGAGACTTGCTACATGCTGCATACTACATACTGCAGGCTGCATGCTGCATCCCTGGAAACTCCTCCATGCATGTTTATCCGCGGCTGTGCGTTCAACTCCTAACCGTCCTGACCCTCCTTGTCTTACCTAGCTTGGCGCCCTCATCCCCAAGACAAAAAGACCATTAATTCTTGTTCCTATCCATGTTCTTGTTCCCGCACACTTCAACCCGTTTCAGTTATCTCGCTTTCTGGCTTGTCCAACAGACCTCTAGAGTGTCTCACCCGCCGCACTTCGTGTGATTCTGCCGTTGTCTCGTCTGGTTACTTTAACTCCAAGATCCCCCAGTAGTTCTTTGAGACTCATGCTCGAGCTGTCGTGTGCTTCCCCTCTTCCACTCTGCTCTCAACTGTATTTCCTCCACCGATCTCTGCCATCATGACGGGCGCTCTCTCTACCCCCCGGTATAGCAACGACGATTTCGAGACAGCTTCGATTCGCTCCACTGCTCCTTCTTATGGTGAGTGACCTAATGAAGCTGCGGTCTCAGACATTATGGCGATACCAGAGCTCTACTTATATCGCCAAACTGTACATTGCTGCTTGAGATCCACTACCTGGCACGAGACCAGTCTTGCTGACCTGTTTTTTGCGCCAGTCTCCGAAGCTCCCTCCTATCACTCGATAAACCCGTATCCCGAGAGCTTACCGTCATACACACCTCCAGTTCGAACACATGCGGTTGTGAGAAGCTCTCTAGTTCCCTCTAGTAGCGGTACTTCTACTCCCACATCGCGCCAGCAGACCATCGGCCTGCCTCCTGTGCCTGCAGCTCCTCTGCGATCACAGCCAAACCTGAACAACTTCCGTATCGCGACGTGGTCTTCCGTTTCTAGCAACCCTACTGCACGGCACTACCAGAATGTCGCAAACCGGCGACTGACTGCCACCACCCAGCGTGATCCTGTAGATAGCCTTCGTCGCGTCATGACCGATATTACCGAACAAGACCAGGAACGATATGTGACTCGGCCGTTGGAGGACCCGTACTTGGTTGGCGAGGAGGCTGCTGCAAGGACCCGTCGGGAACGACTTGCACGAGAGTCAGGGGAAGATATTCTGATCCGTGAAGACCGGCAGTGGGACTGGTTCCTAGGTAAGCTCAACAACAACCCACAATGTATGATGTATCAATCGCTAACACCAAAGCAGCACGCATGAAGGACTCAGAGGAGCGCCAGCGAAGCTTGACTGGGTACCGTCGCGAGGCAGAAGCCGGGAGCCGCAAGAAGCTCTTCCGTCGTATGGGAGGACGACGATTGCTCTGATTTTGTTCTGTTGATTTCTGCATCTCATCTTCCTTTCTCTGCGCTGGGTCGCTGCTGCTGTGGCATAGCTTGACATTTTCCGAAACGACATTGTCGCATTTCTCGAGGCGTTGCATGATCTAGATTGGGTTATTGGAACGAGGCATGGCTTATGAATATTGGGACCGCAACTTTTCATGCGCATTCTATCGACGGCAAAAGTTGATCGTCGTAGGTATATTGTTCTCTTCTGTCACTCGTTCTCAAATGTAGGATTGCATTGGGCCTGATACGCCTTGATGGCATTAGGTAGCTCACCCCTCAAATGAAATGAACTTTTGAACACTGCAACAAATATTGAAGATAACTTCCAAAATATCATGTTAGCATAAACTTTATGGTTATACTCCAAAGCTAGATACCGTCAACTTCTCCGACTGTCTTCTACCTGTTTCAAAGATATGTTACACGTCCAATAACGCCATGCCCAATGTACATATAATGGTTTGCTTCCGTAACTCGACGACTGCTTGTGATATCCTCAGAGTACACATCAACCGCTCTTGAAAGGGGTCGAGTGAGTGGGTGTGTGATTGCGACATAGACCGGACGCCATTTAGCCCTTGCTCTTGGTGTTCAGGATCAGGGCAACAATAAGGCTATATAATGGTTAGTACAAATATAGCATTTTGAAAATTGGGCTGCGTCTTACCCGTAAAGACCGAGGACTTCTCCGAAAATAAGAATGAGTACCATTCCAACAAAGATCCTGGACTGCTCCATGTAAGCACGAACGCCAGTGTCGCCGACAATTCCGATACAGTAGCCAGCGGCAAGACCTGTCATGCCGACTGCAATTCCACATCCGAGATGCATAAAGCCCCTGATATTGTCAGTATACGCGTTTGTTGCCAAGGTTTCGCGACAACATACGAAAACAAGCTATAGCGCTTGGAAGGGTCGAGGTCCTCAGCGATGAGGACGGAGATGACGAGCGAGTAAACGGCGATGATACCGGACATGACGACGGGGATAAGACACTGTAGAAGGTGTTAGATAGTGTCCTAGTCGAGTTGGAGAGGCAGATGATGTACCTTCATGATGAGGTCTGGTCGAAAAGTACCGACACCAGCAATGCCGATACCAGACTTGGCTGTGCCATACGCAGCACCAATACCTGTCAAAACCGTTCAGTATTTGTTCTCGATGGCGTCGAATCGCGTAAAGAAGGGGATATCGTCATACATCCGAAGATCATTGCAGCTGCAATTCCAGCCTACAAGTCGCCGCATCAGCATTCGCGTCCACCCCTGGGCTTTGAATCCAGCAGAAAAGCCAAATACGGGATACTTACCATCCCAAAGAAGGGGGCAAACTTGGGGGCGAGCTCTGATTCTGCCATGGTGAAGAGAAACGGCCTTGAATGAGCTCAGAGGTCAAGGGCGACGTGGGAATTGACGTTGGAAGCTTGATGATGATGTAGCCTGCTACTGGCCAAGGCTGCCAGAAGGAGTTGGAGAGCTGAGGTGGAAAGCCACATTGAAGCGGGATGATCCAGCCAATGGTGAGCGAGTGGCTTCGAGTCGAATCACGTGACTTTGATAGCCATCAATGGAAGTTCTCGATTTCTGTACTATGTAGTAGTTGTTTATTGCGATAAATATGAGAGAATTAAGTATGATAAAATCCCCCTCGAGTGTTAATGTATTTGTGCTGCTATACTAAGTTACCATGATTCAGCAGCCGATTGCAAGCAATCTGTTTCTCAGAGGAGCATTAATTACCCTGCACCTTTGGCCAAGGTCGAAAGGCCGAGACAGCCGGTGTGCATGGTCTCAGGCAGGCATTTTATTTCTTATTAATCTGGTGTATGATTACAGGAACTGAAGAGTACCGTAAGTAAAAAACGTAGTATACTTCAATGGTGTTAGTGGTAAATCTCATCTGTACCCAACAAAGGAAAGGTGTCGCCAGCAAGGCACAATCACCAAACATCCCTTGCCGACCTACCTATGCATAAGAAGGATGCACCCGTCAATGCTAGAAGCAGGAATCAACGGCCACTAGCGTACTTGTTGGGCCCATTCAGTCGAAGAGGAGATCTAATTGCCGTGGCTGCCGCCTACAATAGAACTTGAATGAACTCAATGGTCCGTCCACTCGTCGACAGGCAGACAAAGGACAGCCGATGCCTACACTCGCCCGCGTACAACGAGGACACGAAAGAACGAGGACAGACAACTTGGGATTGAAAGACTGCAATCACAAGAGATAGTGCGGGCAACAGGCACTGTACTGCCAATGCTAGATGTGCTGTACCTAGAATGCCTGATTCTGCGATACACAAACAACGAGGAGCCCAACTTCACTGTAACAGCTCTAAATATTATATATACCATCTTGAAACAAGGAATTATATTTCTCACTCCTGAATAACTTCCTCCTCCTCTTAGTCTCTCTTTTTCGTATCCTCGGTGCAACGACAAGATCCATGCTCTTACACTACGACTTTATACCCCAGCATATTTCATCCCCTTAACTTGGTCGTTGGTACTAAATAATTTAACTGCCCATCCACTACGGCGCGCGCCCACATTGCCCGCCCCAGTCACCACTTGCAACCCCCAAAAAGCACAGAGGCCGCCATCAGATAGGTCCGAGGTGGATTTTATGGTGGACCTAGCACTGGCGTGTCCGCCGTTGGCTCCCTATTGAGTCCCATCCAGGACCTGGACGTCGACTGGATTGGTTCACTTCACTCGGATTGGATTACCTTACCTCTTTACCTGCGACAAGTGCCTGGTCTGGTTTGGATCGTGAACCTGCAACTCCCTCCAAGTTCATCACCAGAGGGCCACACTCCCGAAAAAACCCTCCTCGAGACGACGACCGCCATTGTCTGCGATAGCCCTCCCTATTGTTGTCCATCCTCTCCTCGATCGGTCGACGAGCTCCGGACCAAAGGTCGGGGTTTGCCATTTTGCTCAACCGGCCGCCTTGTCCGACGCCCCCCTCGAGCCCAAACTCGCAAAAAACCGACACGATACTTCGCGTGGAGCGGAAGCAACAATCCTCCCAACCAATCTCTAGATTCCATTCTCGTTGCGAGGCGCTACACCGTGAGAGTGTCGCTGCGCTTGTGTACGACGGACTATTCCCCCCACGCAACCCCAACGTTATCTTAGCTTAAGGGGACGTATTGGCATCGACTGACGGCGGCGCATCCGTCGAAATCGGCGGTTGATACGCCTGATAACGAGCTTCCAGCCTCTGGCGCTCACTAAACTGCTGGTAAAACCTCCTCTCTTCCGGGCATCCCCCTTTCATGTATGAATTTGTCTCCTGACATGCGTCCTAAGTAGCCATAACCATGTCCAACTACGGGTACGACCCTCGGGGAGCTCCCCAACGACCACCGCAACGAGGCTACGACGACAACAATTACGGTCAGCGAGATGCCGCCTTCTCCAATATTTTCGGCGCGGCCCCCCCTCCCGGCCGATCTCAAACTATGACTTCTTCGTCCTCCATGCCTCAGTCCATGATGGATCCGGGTCGCACTCAAACTATGTCCTCCATGTCTTCCGGCATGCAGAGGCAGCCACCGCCTCGTGCCCCCCCGGGCCACTACGGCGATCCGGGCGCTGGCAGGACCCGAACAATGGACAGTAACAGCATGATGGGAAACGGTTACTATCCTAGTCAACGCTCTGCATCAGGCGGCCAGCAGATGCCGGCTCATTACATGCAGCAGCAACAACAACATCATCCTCAGCAGCAGGCAAGGCGTCCCTACCCAGGCCCTGGAGGGCCTCCACCTCCGCGAATGGAGCAGAGAGGACCGCCGCCACAACAAGCTCCTGGTCCGAGGACACCAGCTCAACGCTTTTATCAAGGAGGACCAGCACCAGGGCCTGCTATGAACAACGACCCTTATCGTTCACAGTCACTTGCTTCTACTCCTCGCCAGCCACTGTACCATCCTCCCCCAAGCGCCTATCAGCAGGCCCCCGCAAACCATCTGCGACAAGCACCATATGCGCCGCAGAACTCGTCGAGAACGACTGCCCAAGGGCGGGTCGTGCCAGAGCGTCATGAGGACCGTACCATGTCATTGACAGGCAATTATCAACCCCAGAGCATGGACTCTCATCAGACCATGAGCGGTCGAGTCATTCCTAATCGGCGAGCACCTGCAGAGTTGCCCAACACTAACGGCTACCCTAATTCATTGCCTCACGCACCAGGAGCACAAACCCGAACGTCTAGCATGGTTTCGTCCAATGGTGGTGGCGATCACAGTAGGACAATGTCCATGGCCTCTACCGTGGCGCCAACCATCGCTCCCTCCGATTCTGATGCCTCTACTTTGGCTCAGCGACCTACCAGGAGCAAGTCGATCGAGAGCGAACGACCGCCAACCGCGACTAAGATTCGACCACCCCTCGTATACCCAGCCCTCCTGTCTCGCGTGGGAGAGTGCTTCCGTCGAAAGATAATTGTTGGCGACCGCACCAAGAACGAATTGACATACAAGAATGCTTTTAGCGGTTCTGAGGCCGTCGATGTCCTGTCGTACATTATCAGAACAACTGATCGTAACCTTGCCTTACTTCTTGGACGAGCTTTGGATGCGCAGAAGTTCTTCCACGATGTTACTTACGAGCATCGCTTACGAGACTCCCAGTCGGAGATGTATCAATTCAGAGAAACATTGATGGACGAGCCAGAAGAGAGGCCTGCAGTCAACGGTGTTTTTGTCCTGCTTTCTGAATGTTATTCGCCAACCTGTACCAGGGATCAACTTTGTTACTCTATTGCCTGTCCCCGACGACTAGAGCAAGTCTCTAGACTCAACCTCAAGATTAACCCAGGTTTACGAAAAGAGGACGCAGTCAATGCCGTCGACGACGAAGTCGATCAGACAGACGAACAAAAGCTCTGGATCAACTCCGTTCCCAAAGAAGTTGCCGAGAAGGTCGGAGATCGCGAGAAGAAGAGACAGGAGGTCATTTCGGAGATATGCTATACCGAGCGAGATTTTGTCAAAGATTTGGAATATCTTCGAGACTTTTGGATTTTGCCTTTGCGGTCAAAGGCTTCTCCCGTGCCTGTTCAGCGTCGCGAGAAGGTTGTCAAAACGATATTCAGCAACATTATCGACCACCCCAGCATTCATACCGTCAGCTCCCAGTTTGCCGCTAGCATAACAACCCGACAACAGAAGGAACCCATTGTCCACAACATCGGTGATATCTTCCTACAATACGTCCCTCAGTTTGAGCCGTTCATCCTTTACGGTTCGAAGCAACTGGAAGGAAAGTTTGAGTTCGAGAACGAAAGATCGATTAACCCATACTTCGGCAAATTCGTGGATGAGATTGAAAGGCGCAAGGAGTCAAGAAAGCTGGAGTTGAACGGTTATTTGACTAAGCCAACAACCCGTCTGGCCCGTTATCCCCTGCTGCTAGAGAACGTTTTGAAGTATACGGATGATGAGAACCCCGATAAGGAGGATATTCCCAAGGTTCTGGTCATGATTCGAGATATTCTGGGTAGAGTCAACGCAGAGTCTGGAAAGGCCGAGAACCGATTTAACCTCAGGAGACTTCATGAGCAGCTTCGGTTCAGACCTAATGAGAGGGTAGATCTTCGACTTACTGAGGAAGGTCGTGAGATGGTCTTCAAGTGCTTGTTCAAGAAGTCGCCTACCGATCCTGCAGAAATCACTGCATTCCTCTTTGATCACGCGGTTCTTCTCGTTCGTATCAAGCAAACTGGCAAGGCCGAGGAAATTAAGGCATACCGTCGGCCCATTCCTCTGGAACTTCTTGCAATTAGAGAGATGGATGAGCTCATTCCCAAGGATGGCAACATGAAGAGAACCTCGTCAAGCTTGATTCCTTCGATTCGCGCCACTACCAATGATCCAGCAAGAAAGGAAGGCTGGCCGATCACCTTCCGCCATCTTGGTAAAGCGGGTTATGAGCTGACACTTTATGCATCGAATCAGGCGGCACGCCAAAAGTGGCTCGAATTCATCCACACCGCACAGGAGCGTCTTCGATCCAGAGCCGACTTCTTCAACACGACTGTCATCTCTAGCCACTTCTTTGCTGGCACCAACCGTGTCAACTGTGTTACGCCATTCGGTAAGTTTGTTTTTCTGCAATATGTCCGTTCGCTAATATTAGAGCAGATGGTGGTCGCAAACTCTTGTATGGTACGGACAACGGTGTCTACCTGTCAGATCGTAAGGTGAAGGATCAAGTGCCTCGTCGTGTACTGGAAACCGCCAGTGTTACCCAGATTGATATTCTAGAAGAGTACCAGCTACTCTTGGTCTTGTCCAACAAGACGCTGCAGTCTTATCCCGTCTCAGCCCTGAACCCCGACGAACCCGCATTGTCTAGAAGACCTAAGAAGATCCAGAACCATTGCACTTTCTTCAAAACAGGTATCTGCTTGGGTAGGCATCTGGTCTGTTGTGTCAAGTCATCTGCACTGTCTACTACCATCAAGGTCTTTGAACCTAATGATGCTATGACTAAGAATAAGAAGCAGAAGGGTATTGGCAAGTTTATCAGTGGCGGACACGATGAACTTAAGCCGTTCAAGGAGTTTTACATTCCCACCGAGTCGTCGTCTGTCCACTTCCTCAAGTCCAAACTTTGCGTTGCCTGCGCTCGAGGCTTCGAGGTTGTTTCCCTTGAAACTCTTGAGACGCAGTCACTGCTCGACCAGGCTGATACGTCGCTCGACTTTGTGGCTCGCAAAGAAGGAGTCAGGCCGATTCATATCGAACGGCTTAACGGAGAGTTCTTACTTAACTATTCAGAATTTTCTTTCTTCGTCAACCGCAATGGCTGGAGGGCTCGGCCAGAATGGCGAATCGACTGGGAGGGTACACCACAGAGCTTTGCTCTCAGCTATCCCTGGATTCTTGCTTTTGAACCCAACTTCATCGAGCTCCGCAATATGGAGAGCGGCGCTGTGCACATTGTTCCCCGCAAGAACATTCGCATGCTTCATAGCAGTACACATGAGGTGAGTTCATCTGCAGCACCTTATCTCATCCAGACATGCTAACATGAAAATTAGATTCTATTTGCACACGAAGACGATAAGGGGGATGATGTTGTTGAAGCCATTGACTTTTGGAAGAGCAACCGCAAGTCGGAGCTGCTCGGCTCATAACAATAACTAGTTACCGGGCCCAGTAATGGGGAGTGTTTTTTTCCTGGAAAGATTTTTCTTCTTGTATTACTTGACGGCGCCTGAGTGCTGCGACGCCAATCATTCATGGGCGTGAGATACTCTTGTGAGTATTGACGATCTTTGGCTTCACTTGTGTCCTTTTCCAAGGGTGAAGCAAGATTCTGAGCCACATTTCGAACTGCTCAGTGGATGCTGTTGCAGCGCTTCTGGTTAAGCAGATAGCCAAGTCTACACAGACAAGACATGAGGCTCGACTTATAGCTACACCAGAGGGCCTGGCCGAGGAGAGGGTGCCGCCAAGAAGTTTGAAATATAGGAGGTATAGGAGTTATAGACAGAGGGAATTACGGAGACAATATGCTGGATGTAGGGTGAGATGCGAATGACGAGATGGAAGAGAGCAAGAAAGATGAGGAGGATATCGTAGCTTGTACTCTGGAAGGATGAGCAATATTGAACGGGCTTAGCATGACATGGCATAGCATGGCATGGCATATTATATTTGCAGGGCTTTGAACTTTTTGTGAGGGAGCGAGCGTTGTGAAATAATGGAAAGGATGGAATGTGTTCTACGGGGCTATAGTAGCTGTTGATGTGAATTGGAACCACGATTGTAGTGAGGTTTATCAAAGTCAAGTACCCATATCTTTAGTGCCATTGTTTGTACGGATATGTATGTCTTAACTTAGGTTCTTAGCCCGGTGTTAATGATCCACTATAAACTGTCCAATCCCGCCTTCTGCGACCCTGACATTTGCATGTGCCATGTGGATGTGTTAGCCTGTGACTCGCTTGTGGTAAATAACGTTGACTGTTTCAGAAGAGTATCAAGGGAAATATTGAATGTTTTTACCCAGTGTTGTCTGTGGAACTGGAAACTCTTGCAGCTTGAATTCTTTGCCCCCCCTAGAGTAATTCTTCGGGGGCCGTGCCAATTCTGCTTCCAGGGGACTCGGTAGGCACCTCGCCTAATAATTGGAAGTCCTGAGGTCATGCATAATGCGTGTTCTTAGTGTTCTTAGTGGATGCCAATGCGACAACTGGCAACTGTAGTTAGTGCCTAATTAGGTAGTTATCTCCAATTGCATGTGACATCACTTTGACACAAGCTTGGCCATCAACCATCATCAATCCTTTTTCTTCTACTCCCATTGATCCTTATCTCTACATTAACACAAACTTTGGACTGGACTGGGTAGGCTTTGTCGTGGTAATCACGAGCAAAAGATTGTTGCGATGGCTATTCCGTTCATCGGAAGGCTTCGTCCGTGAGTTTCTCTCCCCTATTGATACGCGCAGGCTATCATTCGCCTTCGCCACTTTGTTGCTATCTTTCTCTGTACACCGACTTTGCTGACATTGATACAACACAGCTATGAGTATTTTGCACTCATAGGATCTTTTCTTCTTGTCGGTCTCGAAGCAGTTATTCGAGTATTGACTTTGGCTTTGCGTGAGTTGTAGACCAAGCTTAAGCGGTGTAGGGGTCATACTGACAACAACATTGCAGCCCCATTTCTAGTTTCGTTGTTCTACAGAGCCTCAAGACGGCTCTTCAATAGATTCTCCGCTCCCTCGAGGAGAAGGGCGGAGAGTAAACGCAAATGTCGGTATTTTGGCTATTCCTTTGAAGTGGAGACTAACATGCTATCCAGCTATATCGACTTCAGTGCGAGATGCGTCTGACTTTGTCGAGCTGTGCCGTATTTGGGGATATGAGGCAGAAGAACATATTGCTCAGACCAAAGATGGCTATCTCTTAGGCCTTCACCGACTTCAGTGGAGGAAGGGAGAAGAAGGACAGAAAGTCAATTATGGCCCATCAAGTCTGAAGAAAAAGGTCATCTACATGCACCATGGTCTTCTCATGAACTCTGAGGTCTGGGTTTCTCTTACTGATGCTCAGAGATGTCTACCCTTTGAGCTAGTAGAGAGAGGCTACGATGTCTGGGTGAGTCTCCCCATCAACGCATGTAAAGATCATCAAGTAATATTGACATTATTATTTTAGTTTGGCAACAATCGAGGCAACAAGTACTCCAAAAAGTCCATTCATCTGTCACCAACCTCGCACGCCTTCTGGGACTTTTCTATCGACGAATTCGCCTTCCATGATATCCCAGACAGCATTAGCTACATCCTCGAAACGACTCAGCAGGAGAGCCTTTCGTACATTGGCTTCTCCCAAGGTACAGCTCAGGCGTTCGCCAGCTTGGCCATCCACCCCAAGCTCAACAACCAGGTCAATGTTTTTATTGCTCTCGCGCCTGCTATGGCACCCGCCGGCTTATCTAATGGAATTGTCGACGCACTTGTCACGGCATCGCCTTCTGTTCTGTTCTTATTGTTTGGTCGTCGTTCCATTCTGAGTTCCGCAACTATGTGGGAGACAATCTTGTACCCGCCCATTTTCAGCAAACTCATCGACATGGGTCTCTCGTTCCTATTCAACTGGCAGACACTCAACATCTCGGCAAGCCAAAAACTGGCGGCATACCCCCATCTATACTCCTTTACAAGCACCAAAAGTGTGGTTCATTGGTTCCAGATTATTCGCAACAAGTGCTTCCAGATGTATGACGATGACGTTCACCAGCCGATCAGCGTTAGCTCAAGCAGGAAATACTCCAAGGTTGCTAAGTACCCGACTCGAAATATCAAGACACCAATTGTTCTGGTGTATGGAGGAAGTGACTCCCTGGTTGACATCAAGGTGATGTTGAAGGAACTACCACCCCAGACGGTGGCGACGGAGATTCCTCACTACGAACACCTCGACTTCCTCTGGGCACGAGACGTGGACTCGCAGGTATTCCAGCACGTATTTGATGCGCTTGATAGTTTCACCGATGCCGAGCACACAAAGGAAGAGTATGATCGATACTATGTCAGCCGGCAAGAAAGTCTTTTAGGTTCAGGATACGCATATGCTCAGGCCCATCACGGGAGTGAGAGCGAATCCTCAACACTTACCCCTAGTCTCGAAGGGACCAGCATCACCCAGCTTCTGCCCCAGCCCCAACCTGAGCCCCAACCGCACCGAGCACGAGAACCAGTCTCCGCAATCCCATCGCCAAAGAACACAACGAGACACAGGGTGACATACTCTATTGACAAGTCTACGGACGATCGGCCGACGACCCCAGATGTGTTCCAGAGCGAGCGGCCCGCAGGAAGAGAATCGCCAGTGGAGCGTGTAGAGTCGCCAATTCCAGCCAGAGTAAAGGCCGGTGTTAAGCGCAGCGGAAGCGTTGCAAGCAACATCAGCCTAGACGGCACGCGAGAAGGTCGGGGAATCAGTGTAGGTCGAGGGATCAGTGTCGGTGCGAGTAAAGCCGCTGGTGGTATAGTGACTACGAGCGGTTCCGGCGTAACACACGTGGATGATAGCTCTGCGAGGGACAGCTCTACGGACAAGAAAAAGAAGAAGTAGGTGGTCAAGAGGAGTGTGGCAGGTGTTGAAGACGGGGATGAGGGGCTGGATCAAGTCGTGTCCTAAATATCACGGATTCAGATATAATGCTTGTCCCTTTTCTTTGTTGCAAGAAACAATAACTAGGCAATTTTACTGACGCACATTTATAATATCTTAGGTTCGAATTACGCCGTCTTTTTACGGCATAGTCCAAACTTCGTAATGCTACTGAACTGCATGTGTCATGAATGGATTGCCAAATGGAACAGAAATGATTGAGCGATGAGTCAAGACGAAGAAAGATATTGCATGGATGGAAGGAGGTATAACTGCAGGACAGGGTATCGCAGGTATTACCAGAATGATCTATTTACTCTCAGGCAGAGCAAATTATACCGAAGTTACCCAAACTATTATAAAATCCTTCCATGGCTTGAAGCATCCATTGTGTCTCACATGTCTGCAGCTGAACTATATTACCAGCAGTGTAATACCTTGCTCGTATTGTTTAATCTTACATAGACCAAAATGGCTTGGTAACTGGGGTATACTCTGTCTGTAATAGAAAGCTGGAAAAGGATGATGGTGCGAGCAAGTGTGTGTGGGTCATCTACGAGGCTCTGTGACCAACTGACCATAGACATAACTCAATCACTACAACAAAACCACAAGAGATATACCCCAGATAAGTTGATTTTTCGACACTTTCTCGATAGCCTATTTGTACTCGGCTACTTAGGGCCGACGGGATAATGGAATAGACAACAACCCAGTGTTTTCTACGTGGAACAGGAAATACGAGACACGAAAGACTTGCTGTTTAGTCTCATACCCTGGCCCTTCACTTGCTTCTATATGAAGGAATTGTTACTAACAGCGGTCAGTTGGGCCAAGAGCTGATGGAACAAGCAACGTCCCGGCGGAGCGAAGGGGAGAAGTTGCCGACTTTGAGTGCAACCTCGAATAGTTGAACCGTGTTAGTGATCCTTGAATCGCTAGAAAGAATTCCGTAGGTCCCTTGGACAGTAACTACTCCCATTAGCAACTAGCACCTAACTGAGCAGTAGAGTGCCTTAGTAGGTAGGTATATCCTGCTCACCTTGTTGTTTTGGCCTTTATCCGGTTCATCCTTCTCTTCTAAGCCATATCAAAGACAGAAGTATCGACCAGTCGCGATAAAACGAGAAAGCAGTAAGAAAGAGGAGTAAATAAGATCTATAAAGGCCCAGATTCTCTGCTATCCCTCCCTCTCTATCTATCCCCTCTCTGTTCAATATCTTACCCACTCTCCCATTTCAAAGTATTGCTTAGTTGGTTTTGATTACCTTACCTTACCATGTTTAGCCCATTCTTTAGCTTCTACGAATACGAAATCGACCTTGCCCCCAATGCCGCGTTTCTTGCCATCTTTTCAGTCTCCTTGCTGGGCTTCTTTGGTGTCTGGATCGCCACCCGCAGAGGTACCGCCTTCAATGTTGCCATGATACTTGGTCTCATTTGTGAGATTCTTGGCTATGTTGGACGCATTTTAAACTGGCAGACCCCAACGTATGAGAACGGGTTTCTAATGCAGATTTGCTGTTTGACAATTGGCCCGGCCTTTATGGCTGCTGGTCTTTATCTGTGCCTTCGAAGGATTGTGTCGGCTTTTGGGCCGGAGAACTCGAGGCTCTCTCCCGAGTACTACACCCGCATTGTAAGTTGCACTTCTGACAAGTCCTGGTTGCTACAATATTAACCTGATGACACCAATAGTTCATTCCCTGCGACCTTATATCCCTCATCCTTCAAGCCGTTGGTGGTGGTATGGCTTCAACTGCCGCTCGTATGGGGCAAAGCGCTGCTACAGGAACCGATATCATGATTGCAGGCCTCGTCTTTCAAGTAATCACCATCATCGGCTTTATCGCATGCTCAATAGACTTCGCTCTCCGAACGATGCGTCGAAAATGTGCACTCGGAGATGCGGCCTTTGATCAACGCCCGGAAGTCTCCAAAGTTCGCAATTCCCCTTGGTTCAAAGCCTTTCTTGGCGCTTTATCGCTCTCCACATTCTGTATTCTTTGGCGAAGTGTCTTTCGAGTGGCGGAGCTGTCTAGAGGGTGGAAGGGACCCATAATGGCTAATCAGTACATGTTTGTTGGATTTGAGGGCATCTTGATTGTGGTTGCTGTTGCTGTCCTCAATGTATTCCATCCGGCACTGTGTATGAAAGAGTTGCTGGAGCTCAATGATGGTGGTCTCAAGGGTCTTTGGGGCTTCCGTAGCCGTGCTAGCATGGCAAACGAGAGTGAGAGCTCGGTTGAGTATGATGGAAAGACACCCACGGCTGAGGCTATCGCGGTATAGTCGGGGCATGCGCCTCTTCCCATGCCTTTGGGTCGTCTGGGGCAAGGAAAGGGCATGGCAGTATTCCCAAGATGTGTGCAGTAGTAAGTTTCGAGGCAACAATCGGTAGTCTTATTGGGTAAACGTATTATTGCGTATGAATAGATTCTTATTTTGTATGTCTCAAGGAGATCAACGTTTGACTTGGACTGGCTAATATCTTCCCCCTTTGCTCATGCCTTAGCCAGTCCCAAATATCATCTGTAGATGCTTGACTGCATCCTCTATCATTTGATATCCTCTATCGATTACCCCATGAAGGGAAAGAATAGAGTGTGTACCACCTTTCACTACCAATGTTTCGACATCAACCCCCAATCCTTGCAATTGTTCCCCAAAAGCCAGCGCCTCAGGGGTAAGAACATCCATCTCCGCAACCGCGATCCATGTCTTAGGAAGTTTACTTAAGAGGTGTGCGGGGGCCAAATTAGGGCTTGCATCCCATCTTGAGCGATGGTTATCCTGTGTAAAGTAGAGCTTGCGATACCACTCCATTCTTGAAGGCGTGAGCCATGGGGCCGTCTCCGCGTTGAGTTTCCATACACCTTCAACAGTGGCGGTATTATCAACGACTGGGATAAACAGTAGCAATGATACTGGAGGATGGGCGATAGTGTTTGGAAGTGAGGGCTGAGCTGTTGGTAGATGAGTTTCTGAATTCGATGCAGACAGAGCAGCAACAATGGCTAGATTAGCACCGGATGATGTTCCACTGATGGAGATACGGGTGGCATCTAGCTTCTGCAGCTCAGTTGGAGAAGAAGAAACCCATCTCACAGCATCGATGGCATCCTCAACTGCAGTTGGAAATGGATTTTCAGGGGCCAGTCCATAATCGACGCTGACAACGACACAACGCGCTCCTGGTTTGATATTAGCATTGAAAGAAACAAGCGAAATGATTAGATAGTAACATACCCTCACAAGCCCAGCAACAAATATCTGTCCCGTTGTTCAATCCACCGACTGCCCAGCCACCGCCGTGAAACCAAACGAGAACGGGCCAGCCTCGCTCATCACAGTGGCCTGTAGGGGTGTAGACCCTCACCCGGAACCTACCAACATGGTAGTCATTTATACTTCCTACTGGGATCGGCTTTGTCCCTCCAGGCGGTAGAGAGACTTTCTTGGTCCTCGTTGATCCATCCCAGGCATTGATCTCGTCTGGCTCGATATATTGTAGATGCGCCTCATGATAGGCGACGTATTGGGGATCGAGACGGTCACGGATGGCGGGGTGGAGGGGCTGCCAGATCTTGGACTGTGCATCATCTGCCATTGCGGCGACCTATACATATATCTATATGAGAGGCCTTGGCATGTATCAGTGTGGTGAGCAGTTTTGACTTTTGAGTATGTATTGATGCATTCAATTGATTCAATAGTCGACGATGAAACCACCACTCAGTCTTTCAACCCCACCATTCAGATACCTGGACCCGCAGACTGTGGAGGGAGGGTACCTATATGAAAGCAGGATTTCTGGTGAGTCCTCAGAAAAGGATTCAACCAAGGCCCGATGATGGTCAATCTTAGTACCCGAAGCTGGATGTCATTTCGGGTCAAGATTCTACAGCCTCGTCATATACAAGGTGACCCCTAGCTCTATCAGCAATTGAGTTCCGTCTCCGTCTCCGTCTCCGTCTCCGTATCCGGCTTGTCCGTGTGTGTGTGCCGTAGATAAGTGGGGGCATTATGCCCGAAGCGCCGTTGCCGTTGCCGTTATTCAGAGGGTTATCCTGACTTTAACGTTCTTACGGATACTGATAAGCTTAAAGGCTATAAAAAGGATGCAAAAAAGATGCAAAAAAGATAATTTCAACGACTGTTCGCTACTGTGATTTATGATGTCGGAGTTAACTCTCAGGATCGACATATTGTTCATGCCATTGAGGTACAACCATCCCCATTGTAAAGGACGACCGACTTGACTCTAGTGAGGTCAACCTAACAGCTCCGAACAGGCCTAACATAGCATTTGTGTGAGTAGCACAGAAGAGTCAGCGTTTATGTAGATGCGGTAGATATAAAACTAATTTACTACTCCGTAGAGCTAGATGCCAAGAAGACGCAAGCATGGATGCTGTTCATAGCGAGATGAAGTTATCTGGACCTGTAGCTACAGATAAGGGATCATAGTCTAAATCCTAACCACAAAGTTACCTGAGCCAGATACCATGGACTAATGGAGCATCTCCTGAGGGTCATTCCGTCAAACAACGATTTGATATGTGACCTGGTAGGGCTGTGGCTCAAGGCGGCTGACATGCTTCGGTCTGTCCGTGGTACGTCGAGTCTGCATAGCACATACCGAGCCTAGTATCCGTCCGTACATACGTAGTATATGCAGTCAGATGAGTAGGACCACTCCTCTTAGGCTCTCACACACACATTGCACATGCCATCAAGAATCAGCCCTATCCATCCTTATTGACGTGAAAGATGTCTGAACTTGTTGTGATGGGTATGGGAGTTGTTGGTTGGCTTTCACGAGGTGGAGTCATTCACATGTGTTACCGACTTTTCTTAATTTCCAGTGCCTTGTAGAATTATGTAACATAGGTGTGTTGGACCCTTTCTTCTGACGATCTGTTAGAGGCGATAAAAAGTAAGAAGGGGATAGTGGGCTGCCTGATATTGCATATTCAGACCCTGAATGTTCGAAACTCGGCTCCAACTTCGGATATACAACAACAAATCCTTTTGAAGAGTCGGGAAATAACATGCGCCATCCCTGCCTGACGTACGCGCAAAAAAAGGTAAAGGTACCTACCTAAGGTTGCCCGCTAATCTGATCTGACAGCGAGGCCGCCCAATAAGTAAATTCATCTTTTGAGTGTTCCCCACGTTGTTTGTAAACTGTCTGTTTTGCACCGCCGCAACTTGCAGTGAGTTAGGTACGGAGTAGTACAAGTTTCAGGGTTCCCCAGGCGGGACAATAGAGGGTGTAAACGGTGAAGTTGCACTGTAAGGGAGGGCTTGTGGAGGTAGCTACGTATTAGGTACATATACAGCATAGGGCATTGTCAAGGCTCATTGCATCATTCGATTGTGGCTTGGATACTTTTAAACGAGAGACTTTACGTTAGGTACCCGTACCTACTAAGTTGAGGTAATCTACCTAAGCAACCGTAACCGCAACTCAACGTTCACAGGGCGTGGGAAGCTTCGGAACCTGGTTGATATTCAGTGACGTCTCATTTCTCATTAAGCAATCTCACCTACAACAGTAATAACTAACAGCCATGTTTTGAGGTGTCTTCTTATTTTATCTGTCACTCGCTAAACCCTGCCTTTAGCACCAACCCAATCCAATTCTGACATTGACAGCCTGGTGGTTGATTTTGTTACCACCATTTCACCTCTTCCTCTCTTGTCGTTTCAGAACCATTACGCCCATACTTTTAGGACTGGAGGACTACCTAAGTACCTAACGAGACTACCTCCCTCCTAGAGAAGAGCACTAGAAGACCTGACCTAACGTTAGCTCTGGGCTGCGCTGCGCTGTTTGCTCGAGTAAAAGAGAGAGCGAGAGGGGCCATTTGCTAGTTACCCAAAAGCTCCATCGCGCACCCGCCGCCCTCGAGTCCTCTCATCACGTCCATATCCATTCCAGGACTGAGATCCATTTTCTCCGCTCACTGAAGCTCACTCGACCCTCGACTCTCGACCGCCTCGGAGTTCATCTTACGCACAACATACCTGTCGCTCTTTTTTCTCTTTCTTCTTCTTCTACTCATCTTCTAGTCGACGACAGTGTCGTCTTCAGTTCTCTCCATTTTTGTTTCTGTCGCCGTTGTCCTCGACCCCTCAATGCGACCCGCCCACGCTCATCAACACTCGCCCTCGCCGTCCTATACGAGATAGACGCCCGAACCGCCAAGCCCAATCGGCACCGTCATTTATTCTTACGAGCATTCTCGCGCATCCTCCGTCATCACCTCTGCCTTGCAACAATCATCCGCCGCCATGTCATTTCGCGGCGACGACCAGCGAAGATATGGCCATGTGCCACCTGTACAGTACCCAGTTTCCGGTCGCGGCCAAGAGTACCAACAGCAACAACAACATCAACAGCAGCATCAACAGCAGCATCAACATCAGCAGCAGCAGCAGCAGCAGCAGTCATCCTACGACAACATCGGACGCCGAGCTAGCTTCAACGGTGGAGACGATGCCGCATATATCCAGCAACCCGCAAGCCGATCTCCTGCCTTTGGTGGTTCTGGTGAGGATGAGCTCTTCATAGGCAATAACGCGGCTGTCCGACATGGTTATGGTTCCACGAACAGCGCGCTGTCGGGCTACCAGCACCAGTATCAAGATGTGCCTCCTACGCCCACATATTCGTACAACCCCCAAAGCTTTGCGCAATCTTCAGGCTTTTCCAGGTCGACATCTACCAATGCTCTGCCGTATCGTAACCAGCCGCAGCCGCAGTCTCAGCCTCCCTCGCGTTATGCCTCGAATGCCAGCTCCTACACACCACAGGCTTACGACCCGTCTGCTTATGCGAGCAACAACGGCCCACAACGACAAGGCTCCTACCAAGGATACAATTCATATGCCCAGCAGTACGGCTCACAAACTTCTCCTGGCTTTAATCAATCTACTGGAGGTTATTCGCAGTCAGCAGCCTCTCCTGCCCTGTCATCCGGCTTTGAGCCGTCACTACGGAGCCCCTCCCTCAATGCATCATCTGGCGCAGCACAGACCTCGGCATATGACCAGCAGTATAGCCAATACCCAGGTCAATTGTCCAACGGAGGGGAATCTTACTCAAACGCTTCCCAGCCTCCATATCCCACTACGACACAGATGCCCGTTGGACCATACTACTCCCCAAATGACCATAATTCCCTTTACAACAGAGCATCTCGTTCAAATTCGCAGGCCTCACCTATCGCATCACCATCCAATGCTAGCTCAACTTCACCCGGTTTGCAACGACATCCCACGAATGCACCATTGCCGAGCCGACCTACCGACGATGAACTTGCCTGGAGGGCTGGACATGAGCGCATTACGAGCGACAACCTGATGCAGGAGTTGGAACTCGAACTGGCTAGCCCAGGACAGGGCTACCGCCCACTTCCTGAGCCAGAAAATGGCCGATACGACGATGATTTTCAGAGTCAGCAATTGCAGCGCTTCGACTCTGGTGCTACGACAATTCCTAATACCGCAAGCCGAACCACCTCAACACGAACTGGACAGACTGCTTATGAGCCTGAAGAAGAGGATGACGATGCTTACGGAGAGGCTGGCCTGATGGCTATGCGACAAGCCGAGCTCGACGAACAGCGCTTCAGTACAGCCTTTGGATACTCAGACATGCCCGCTATGCCTGACCATATGCCAGAACCTGCTCCTACCAACTCCTTATCAACCAACACGTTGGCTACTCACCCCGAAGAGCAAGGACAGAGTAGCGATAGCGATTTAGCGGGCGTAGACTTGGGAATGCTTGGTGGTGGCTTTGGCGGTCACCTGGTTTATGGCAAAGACATTGGATCTCCACCCACCTCGTCTGGTCAAGATACCGCCCGACCTCTTCCTACACCGGGCTATTTCAACCGTGCATATGATCAGGGTGAAAGTGTACCAGCGTTCAAGACGGCAGAGATCGACTACGGGGGCACAGGAGGTTTACAACCCCCAACACAACATAGACTAAGCTTCGACGAGGACGACGAGCGGGTATCCCTACGGTCTCGACAAAGTGGAACAGAATCTCCTAGTAAAGACGAACTGCAAGACCTATTCTACCACCCAGGATTGTCGAGCCGCCCACTCCCAGCTATCCCTGGGCCCGGATCTGACAGCAGCTCAATGCTTTCAGTTCAAACCAACAATCGTCAACAATATCAGCACGCATACACGCGCAGTTCAGACTCACGCTTCGGCGCGCCGGATAATCCTGAAGCTTATTATACCGCTGGTCAGCCCTACAACGCACAGCCGGAGCGCTCTATATCATTGGCTGGACATAGCCACACGCCTCAGATTCAAACTCCCGCTCGTTCCAGGACTGATGCAGCTGAGGAGCGGAGGAAGCTTGCCAGGCATGGACATCAACAAGCCCCATCCAATGCTTCTTTCCCAGAATACGAGACCCCTGCTGGCTCGGTAGCAGCATTTGATGGAATCACTCTACCAAGCGGACGAAAGAAGAAGTTTATACCCTCAAAGCTCAACGCTGCCGATTTCCGCAGGTGTCCTGAGCCATGGGCGCTCAGCGGTCTAGAGGCTTGGATTCGCGAGATGGGAGAAGGTGAACAAGATTTGAGGAGCAAAACCATCGAAGAAGCTTTGATCAATCTCTTCACCGACAAAATTCCAATGATGAACGTGGCAGATGCTGAGGTTCTCAGTACACATGTGGTAACATCAATGCTCGAACGGGGTGTTCTCGTGCCTGAAGAAGAATGGGTAAAACTTGGCAACGGCCGCATCTCTGGTGTCTTGTGGCAATTGACTGGTTCTGGATGCTATGCGCCAAAGGTGCACGACGAGGAAATTGGCGGCCGATGTTACTCTCATCACTGTACCCGCACACTCAAGAAGGTTGATCTGGAGGAATTAGCCCAGGATTCTAAGCCTGCGGATGAGTGGCACGTCTTTTATGGACTACAAAAAACCGACTGGGAATCAAAGCCCAAGAAGGAGGTCGAACGCCAGAATATTCTACACGAAATCGTTACTGGTGAGGAAAACTACATCAAGCAGCTAGACATCTTTCGCAGATACTACCGGGACCAACTTCGGGCTATGCAACCACCTATCTTGAAGCCCGAGAAGCGAGACAAGTTTTTGCATACGGTGTTCGGAAAGCTAGACGAGGTGCAGGAGATCAACAAAGATCACTTGCTGTCGCAGCTCAAGTATCGACAGCAAGAGCAGGGCCCTTGGATCATCGGCTTCAGCGATCTGTTCCGAGAATGGATCCGCAAGGCCAGATCAGTCTATATCGAGTATGCGTCAGCTTATCCCAATGCAGTCTATCAGGTTCGAAGGGAGGCCGATCGCAATATTCTCTTCAAGCGCTTCTTGGATGATATGCAGAAGCAAAAGTTCTCTTCAAAGCACGATTGGACTCATTATCTAATCGCCCCAATTCAGCGTCTCCAGCGTTACACTCTTCTGCTTGAGAGTGTTGAGGGAAAGATGAAAACTGATAGCGAGGAGAAGACGAATCTGGCAAAGGCTATCGCAGAAATTCGACAAGTAACTCTTGAATCCGATAGCAAGGTCGCAGAACAGAACAAAAGGGTCCAAATGATGGAGCTGAACAGAATGCTTGTGCTAAGGCCAGGCTTCCACTCTGTCTTGAACCTTGACCATCTTGGCCGCGAGCTGATTTTCCAAGGCGATTTGCAGCGAATGGGATCGAAGGGAGTTAGATGGGTTGACACGCATGCCTTGCTCTTTGATCACTACATGATTCTGGCGAAGACGGTGACTCCCAAGGAGGGTAAGGATAAGAAGTATGATGTCTCGAAAGAGGTACGTAAGATCCGCGGTTCACGACGTGAAAACACTAACAAGTGCAGCCTATCCCCATGCCTCTTCTGTTCCCAGAAAGTATCAACGACGAGCCGGTCCAGAAGCAAAAGGGCATTACCGCGCCCTTGGGCAGAACCACAGCAGCATCGTCCTCTAGCAATCAGCTTAACAAAGTGGGAAGTAATACCGGCAGACCCGGGCTGGAGCATGCAGCGACGAACTCGTCTCTTGGCTCATCTTTGGCACCAAGCAATTCCAACGACACGGAGGGCAAGATTCTGTACCCATTCAAGGTCAAGCATTTGGGTCACGAAGTATATACTTTGTACGCATCATCAGCAAAAGACCGAGCCGATTGGTGCAGCAAGATTATCGAGACGAAGACTAGGCACGCCAAGGCGCTTTTCTCACAGAACGCCGAACCTTTCAGGCTTCGAGTCCTCGCAGATGCCGCTTTCCACTACGATGGTGCCTCCATGTACGCCAGATACCCTAGTGTCCCAGTCAAAGGTACTCCCCTCGACCGGGCTATTCATGAATTGGAGAGTGTGCTGGGACCAGCTCAGGGAGTCGCTCCTGTTTGCCGTGCTCAAGTCAACTGCGCTACCAGCTTCACTGCCTTTGGCAAGTCGGTGATTGCCATTGGAACTGATTATGGTGTCTATATCTCGGAGCCATCGAATCCCCGTGGGTGGCAAAGGGTATGTACTGTCCCTCGTCTCAATATGAAAATAGCTAACGAGTTCAATAACAGACGGTCCCAGCAACTCGTGTCACCCAGATTGCTGTCCTTGAAGAGTTCTCTGTTTGCGTGCTTATTGCCGACAAGAACCTCATATCCTATCCTATGGACGTAATCGCTCCAGTATCTGACTTCTCGGCTCCTTTAAACGACAACCCCCGACGAGCGCCGCAGAGACTGGCCAAGGACGTCACATATTTTGCCACAGCCAAGATGAAGGACAGGATGCTTCTGTTCTACAAACGCAAGGAGGGCCTGCACACCTCGTTCAAAGTCCTCGAACCTATCTTCCAGAAGTCAACAGAGAAGAAGTCACGACTCTTTGGTGGTCGCAAGACAGGTGGAGGAAGCGCCGAGACATTCCGCGACTTCGACGAATTCTTTTTCCCGACTGAATGCTACTCTCTGAGCTTATTCCAAACTTATATCGCCGTCGCAACGGCTAAGGGAGTCGAGATGCTTACGTTGGACAAGAAGCAGCCCATGTCGATTCCCGACCTCAAGGCACCCGCGATCGCCAACATTGCCGGCCGCATCCGAGATCAGAAACCGCTGGGTATGTTCAGGCTCAACGAGAATGAGTTTATTGTGACATACGAGGATTGCGCTGTGTACGTGGACAAGCACGGCGACGTTAGCCGAACACTTATCATGGAGTATACGGGCAAGCAGAAGAAGGCCCGTGGTGCGACCATGTACGGACAGTATCTACTCCTTTTCAACGAGGACTATGTCGAGGTACGAAACGCGGAGAACGGACGACTCCGTCAGATTATTGCTGGCCGAGACGTGCGTGTTCTTGATTTAGGCGTCCGTGGGCCTACGGGCAAGAGCACATTGAACACACAGTCGCACAGTAACGGATATAATCAAGCATCGAGCGCGGGTAGTGAAGGTTCGAAGGGCACAGTCAAGATTGCCATGTCGCATCCAGAACTGCCCGGCCGACAGATCGTTTTGGAGATGCTTTTGAATGACGGTCATATGGAGAAGTAGGGGAAATGGAAGCAAGCGGTTGATAATGGTGATTTACGATGATGAACATCTGATGAGACGACCCACCGGGCGTGGGAACAAGATATATCGAAGGATGACCTGAGATGATGAGAAGAGCACGTGAAGGATGGTTGTTTAGAAGGAAAGGGGATGTCTTTGCTTGTGCACATGTACATATCAACACTGGTTCCTTATTTGACGTTCCGTGGCCCTATAGCCTAATGATTGGATGGATCTATGGCGTCAGGGAGCTTTGGTGGCAGGGCGTTTATAGGTGGTGAAGAAGCTGGGGCTGCCGGTGTTATGAAATACCATGAATGATACCTAAGGACAATATTAGAGCTCTAATGAAGATGAGATAGTTGTGGATTGCAATGAGTACCCCGAAATACCAACTGCCTACGTGCGTTCAATACTCAACAGCTACAATCAAAGGGACTAGCATACGTCTTGACAAGTTTATTCCTTGAACCTAATCCCTTACGCGGTGACTACATATCATATGCTCTAAACTGTATAAGTAAAAAAGCAACCGCCTTTTCCGAGGGCTCCCCCAACCCCTGGAATGATTCTGAAAGTTCCCCCTTTTTTTGAAGCAGCAAATGCATCTATTTATGGTCCACACTCTCCTTTATCAAAGGAGCGATCGATTGATGGTGGAGATATAACCATGGGAGTAAGTCGATAAAAGCACTAAGTTTTCACCATTGCTTGGTTTGCCTAAGTTTTATGACATGTTTAAGGCTTGACCTCGTTGATAGTCTCCTTGGCGTCAGCCTTGATGTCAGCGACAACACCTTCCAGAGACTTCTTCTTTTCCGACTCGTGCGTCAGAATTCGGGTGATCTGGACGAGGCCGACCAGTCCGAGGAAGAAGTTAACAGCGGCGAGGCTAACACGGGCGTTAGTTACATTGCGCGGCGAAGCTTAAAGAATGGATTATGGACATACAGGTAGTTCTTGGGCTTGATGATGAGGCACCAGCGAGTCCAGATAATACCGGTGCAGGTCAGGGCCAGGTTCTGGGTGAAGGAGAGGTTCTCAACGGGACGAGCGAAATCGGAGATACCGGCGAGGACAAGAGCCCACTACAATTGATAAATAAAGTCAGTATACATGCTTATATGGTATTCTCGACGTGAATGATTGATTCTCGAGCGTAGCTGATAATCGTGGTTTGTATATCGTGGGATAGTGATTTCGTCAACGAACCTTCATGACAGGAGCCCTACAACGACGCATATTAGCAAAACTGTCTCCGCAAGCTCAAACGTCAAATGTTCCTCACCAGAAATGGACGGTCTTGAAACCAATCTCGCTCTCCCACATGCGCTTGAACCAACCCTGCTGCTGCTGCTGAGCGCCATCAGTGCTCTGCCATCGACGGCCGCTGCCCTGGTAGAAGTTCTGTCGGAAAGCTTGCTGGCGGAAAGCCTGTCGGGCGGGCGCAGCGAGGGTGGCCTGGCGGAAGAGAGGGCGCGCGGCGCGGAAGAGGGTGTTTGCGGGAGAGGCCATGGTTGCTGAGAATGCGATTGTCAGTTATGTTCAGAATTGATATAAAACAGGAATTTGATATTGGGTATCAAATCAAATACAGTCAGAGGGAGTTCGCGCTCTTCAGTAGTATTTTTCAACAATGCACAAGACAAAAGGATATCGCAATTGCGTCAGCCTGCAACAATGGAATCAATTACTCACGTTTATTCCTTGGGTGGAGGGGGAAACAGGCAGTGGAGGGTGTAGTCAAAAAGACGAGGTTCAAAGGTCAACGAAAGAAGCTTTGAGATGTTGGGGCAAGGGTCAATCGCTGTCGTCCCGAGATAACCCAACTCACAGGCCATGGATTTAGTGGATAGTGCGCTAATTCCATTTCATTTAGGGGCGCAAAACGTTTAACGCGACGCCCGGAAACCGGAGATATCGTGCGTCCGGGGTGTAACGATGACCTGCTCCGTAAGTACGTGGGGGGAAAAGCTATCAGCGGCACCGGAGAAAGGTGCATAACAGATTTGTGCAGGTGCCATCCTTGCATTATTACGCCATTGGTGGTTTATGCAACAGTACGTACCCTTTGTACCGCCTTTCACTTTATTCCGCCCGAGCCTCACACTGACCAATTGAGGGTCCTTGCCAACCACAAGCTCGCAATTACTTAGCACTTCAAGGTCGACCCGACTCCTTCGCTGTATCCGTACGCTCCTCGCTCTTCGATTCAACCGCTATAATTCCGCTTTCACCATGTCGGCAAAGTACGCCTTCTCGAAGTCCCTCCGCGAGGTGCGATTCCTCTTTTGCCAAACTTCGGAGCAGAGCGCGGCTGTCCGGTACGTTTGAACCATTCAGTTACTTCCACAAAGACCGACGACAATCGACAATCGATACAACGAGGACTCAATTGAGTTCATGACGATACACGAGGCATCCAAGAATGGCTATGGAAGGGCTATGAAGCTTGGGGAATAAATGGGCTGACCTTTACATGCGCCAACATAGATCATTCCTCACCCGATCATACCCTACCATGAAGCGCAACAACCCCAATATCCCCATTCTCATCCGCGAAGCTGCTGGCACTCAGCCCAAGGTTTTCACCCGATACGGTTCGTAGCCCCGACCATCTACGACTTCTCCGACATTCTGGGCTATCTTCGTACATACCGCGGCATTACTAACGTCGCAACTTACAGATCGGGGTGTTGAGAAGTCACAGATCCTCGAGGGTCTCTCCGACAAGGAGATTGAAGAGACCGTCACAGGCCTGGTCAAGTCTGATCAATAGGCGGATTGTGTTTGTTATTGCAAACGAGGAACAACCCGGAGGAGCCTTAAAAGATTGTGCTCCACGACGAGGAAGTGTACATAAAGGACAAAGTCAACGTTGGATGCGACAAGAGAGCATTGTACCATTATCAACTTCGGATTTGATAACTTGTCCAGCGTGTGTTGAACCTCCTGCAGCCATTGAAGCTAAGAGGCGTGTCTCAACATACTCATATGTGGAGCGCGTGGGAATGACCTGAAAGCTGTCCAGTGTAGATGGTGTATACTACTTGAGCCTTCTCCGAGTGCATGTTGCAGGCGTAAGTAGGTAACTACAACTCACAATAAAGAATAGTAGTCGCAAGAACGCAACACAACTAACAAGCCTCAATCGAGATGAAACAAACATGCATGCATTCACTTGCTAGCAGTTGCGGCGTTCTTGAACGTACTCCATGTACTATTCTCTACTCAACTCAATACAGTTATTTCATGTCTCCTTATCATGATGAATAACAGCAACCCAAATATCATAATAAGCCGCAGTGGACAATTCAAGTTGCGCACGTCCAATACAAGCTGCTAAATCCATTTCCCTATTTGTCCTCATGGCCTTCGCATCCCTCGACCTCAAGTTAAGTGGAATGAACAATATCAAAACCAAGGCATGCGTTGTCCGATACCATGTCTCATCCTGCCCCGGCGAATGCCCATATGCTCATTACTTTGTCACAGGTGAGCCTTGTCCAACACCACCATCGTCTCCCGTCGTCTTCGTCTTGGCACCCCAGATTGATGGTGTTCGCGGCTTTGACTGCGCGCGATCACGAGATGCTGGAAGTGTTGGCCAGTCATCATTGATCAGTCCAGGTTTCTTGCCCTTGGTTTCTTGGTGCTCGGGAGTTCGAGGTGTGTCCTGAGTCATCTGGCTCTTGGTTTCAATCTTCTCAGGCTTTGCGCTTATAGTCACAGCTCTTTCCTTGCCTTTGCCTCGCTTCGAGTTCTTGGATGGAGTCTTCTTCACCTCTTTTTGGCTTCCCTGCCCTTTACCCTTCTTAAGGCTGTCCTTCTGCACCACCTCCGAAAGAGCCCGACGATGTTTTGGGGTCGTATCAGTCACTGTCGATATGACAAAATCATCGCGTATAGAGGTTTTCGTGTTGCGAAGTCCAGTCTTGGACGACTTTTCTTGTTTGGGAGTGTGAGTAGCTGAGCCATCCAGTGTGCAACTTCCGGAAGTTTCGGTATCACTGGGTTCGACAGCCAACTGCTTGTTGAAGCCGGCTGGTCTAGATGGGGAGACAAATTCCTGGGCCTGGGGGTTGAGGCGGCTTGTTGCACCATTATCAGCTCCACGAACCACTGGTGAGCTGGAGACAGTGTGACTTTTGCATTGGAAAGCGAAATCAGATGAAGGAGGTGGCGTGTCAGCCTCAAAGTGTTGCTGGGCAAGTACTGACCCGGGCATAATCGCACGAGGTCGGCGCTGCTTGGACATGCGAAGAGAACCTCCCCTGCCCACTCTAAAACCTTTGCGACCACGTGCGTCTTCATCAGGTGAATCAGATTCGTCAAATGAGTTCTGCTGTATTTGTGAATGACCCGAAGCAGGCACGTGGATGCTTTCATCCTTCTTGCTTCGTTTGAAAGAGCCAGAAGCAGAACGCAGCTCGATATCTTCATGATGTCTCTTTATGGGCGAAGATAAGCCAGGCTCTTGACTCTCATATTGGTTTGTGGGCGCTGAGCTCAATGTTTTCTCTGATCCATCAAGCTGCGAGATTCGAGGGACCATGTGTTCAGTGCGAGGCGCGGATGAGGAAGGTTGTGTCTGCTGATGGATATTGTAATCCGATGCATTGCTCTGAGATATCAAGTTCTGTTTTGCCTTCTTCTTCTTTGACCTATTGTTCTTGACAAACCTGCCCTTTCTTTGGGTACCTGATGCGTCTTCCAGATGGCTTGCTGAATGGGATACGTGAAGAGAAATGTCTTGCCCATGATGCTCAGGCACTTCTGTCTGGTTTGGCTGTCCATCCTTGTGAGCGGGGCTTCCAGTCAGAGAAGACTCTACAATAGCCTCAGTTGCTTCGTTCTCGTGTTGATGCGTCTTGTCTGGAGACATCACCTGCTCTGCTGCTGGTGCAATCAAACGAGTGTCTGAAGGTGAACTTCGTGCTTGCTGGGGAGAGGCTTTATTCTCGGGCTTTTCGGGAGACGGCTCGTATACACTACCTGTATCTGGGGTAAAGGTCACATTCTGAGTTGGAGTGGTTGACCTTTCGGACCCAGCAACGTTAGCTTCGTGCTTGTCGGGGTTAGGAACTTTCAAGTTTTCATCCTTGGTGTTGCCATTGTTCGACTTCGTTGGTGTGGAAGACTTGGGCCTGCGAAGATTGAGCGGCATCGAGATTTTGGCCCATGCTTGTCGTCTCTCTTTGATTTCATGCTCGGTAAAGGCGCTAGGTGCACGATGGTGAGTGCCCTCTTTGCTCACTACTCCAGACGCCGATACAGCTTGAGGGCGAGGTGCGGTGCTCGCCCCCTCCCTACTCTCAAGTCTATTCTCAAGATTACTATCAAGATTAGCAGTACCATCCTCTCCCATAGAAGTATCCCTCTTGGGAATCGGGTAGTTTGCTGTCGTGATGGATCCTTCATGGCGTCCATGGGGTGATTTAGTGGGGGTATTAGGCAAAGATACTCGAGCCTTGCGTCCGGTACATTTGCTTCCGTCACTTCCTGGGCTGTCAGAAGTACATTGGCTAAGTTGATGGATGTCATCCAAGGCTTCCTCTGCGGGAGGCTTTGTCTGCAGTGGCTCATCCAGAAGCGTGATGTTCTTCTCCATTTCCACGGTGGCAGGAGCCGGAAACTGGGCGAAGCCAAGAGTTGGTTTTCCAGGACCAGGATGTTGTGCATTTGTCATACGATATCTGGTGGCAGGTGGATGTTCAAACTTAGGAGGCTGCACGAATCCCGAGAGAGTACGATGCCCCCCAATCTTGGGCCAGTTCTGGGGATTATACGTTTGCACTGGGTTGGCCAATGGCGGATAGATCATTCCAGGCACCATAGTAGTAGCTGTAGAGATACCCAGAGCGTTGGTGGGTACCGAAAGGCCAAAGGGATAGGGAGAGAACTGTGTAGTTGAAGAGTGTTGCTTCACCGATTGACTTGCTAATACTCGAGTTGGCGCCTGAGCAGAAAGTGTCCATTTCGAGCGCAAGGCAGGAGAGAAGATGACATGTATCCCTTGCTCGGGCATGTTTCCGCCGCCCATTGTCAGGGCTTCGCCAACAGAAGACGAGTCGGCAAACCTATGTCGAATTAGTTATTCATGTGCCTGAACTGACAGAGTCAAAACCTACCGTGCTATAAATCGTCCTGGCTCCTTGGATGGCAAGGGATATACCTCCTCCACAAACCCATATCGCTCACTTAGACCAAACTTGATTCGTGTAAGCATATCGGCCTGCGGGATGTCTTGATATGCCTCAGCGATGACGTGCACAGAGCGGTTGCGTGCCTCACACATCTGGCACGAGCAATGAACATAGTCCTTGATTGTCAACCCATTCTGGACATTTTCACACGTCACCTGAGTCAGATCTGAGCCACCTCGGCGCCATTGATCTCTCCATGGCGTCCCATCGCGCTTCTTTTGAACAAACTCAGGGCCAATGTGAGGTTGCATCACTGGAGCAGTTGCATTTCGCGAGTTATGGCCACCACGACGATTTTTGCGTCCCCCACCACGCTGATAACCTCCCCGATTAAGTCCAGGGTTTGTACTGTTGACGTTCTCTTGGTTCTGATGCGACCACCGGTTGTCGTTGTTCTCGAATCGGTCCAAGCGGGAAGAGGTACTGTTGTTTCTACCACGGTTGGGCGTAAGCCCTTTTTGGGGCATGGGTGGTTGCTGTACGTTTGGATGACGGTTACCTAAACCATTCGGACCCCCGAAGCTATGTTGAGGGGTCGCGTATCCTCCTTGAAAGGGATGGTTGAGGTTCCCAGAGTGGTGGAAAGTGGTTCCCAGAGGAGCGTGCACCTCATTTTGTTGAAGTAAACCTGCCTCGCCAGGGAAACTGATTGAATTGTTGTGAGGGTTCGGGTAGATTCTTGGCGGACGATTGAATGTGTTTGTATTATCAGGATACTGTGTGCCTTGCTGGTCGTGAAAACCCGAGCGGGCAAGAACTCGATTTGGACGCTGGCTCTTCTGAAAGTCCTTGGTTGCACTCGCCTGCGACTCTGCACCTCTCATCTTAGCGTTCTGACGGCCCTGATTCTCTTTTGAGGGACTCGGTGTAGCCTGAGCTGGTTGCTAAACAGTTTTGGGGCTACCGAGTGAGGGCACGTCATTCGCCTGCTGGGAATCATTGCCAGTTTGTGTTAAGGCAGGAGCAAGAGCTGAGTAACGCAGTAGTGCCGATCCTGGAAGAGACGCGGTTACGGTGGCCTTTCGGTCTCCTTTTGTGGCTCTAGGATTACCACGACCTCTCTTTCTGACCTTCGTTGGGGTGTCTGTGTCGGACTCGTCGCGCTCGTTGGCGTCATGACTTCCTGCGTGGGCGTTGCTTCCACTTGCGTCCAAAAGTCCAGCCTCTCTATCCAATTTTTCGTTACTGACGCGCAGATCAGGTGCACTGTATGAAATAGTAGGCTCAGTGGATTTACTTCTACCCTTGGGCGGTGCATGCAGTGTTTCCCAAGAAGTAGTGCTGCACATCTCAATTGGCGCTGTCGAAACTACCTGGCTAGATTCATGAGCGGTAGGTCCGGCTGCTGCCGCGGACTGGTGCAGTGCCTCAACAGCACTGGGTACTCGCTGGCCATTCTCAGGCTGGTAATAATGTTCACCGCTATGCATCATATATGGTGCAGGAGCATTCTTGGAATTTGGGGACCCGTGATGGGATTGGACCTTTGGGGGTGCAGGGAGACCTGAGGGTTCAAAGATACGTTGGCCAGCTATGTCATTGTTAGTCTTATGTTGTAGTATTGTGAAGAGTTTTCCGTACCAAGCCAGTTCTCAAGGTTCTTGTCACTGTATGAAGTCATAAGGTGATTAGGCTTTGCGTCTAGCCTCAATTTCTCCGGTGAGAGCAGTAGAGAGCGACGATGCTTGAGAGCATTCGTGACGAACAGTACGAGTTCTGCGTCGTTAATGCTCCCCAGTGTATCCCAGTCCCCATCAGTGAGTACACGCAGGACGGGGCCTTTGGTTTCGTCCCACTGCAGGAGCTTCTTGTAATTGTCCTCGCCACCTAGCCACTGGTCGGCCCAGCGGCCTGTTTCGATAGCTTTCTCTTTAGCCACGTCAACGTAAATTATCCTGTTCTCGTCAAAGAGCTGGTTCAACACATTCCAGAGGTTCAAGGCTCCATAGTTGTAAATATCGCAGGCATCGAAGTACAACCACAAGCTATCCCAGCTGTAGGGCTTCCGTATGATTTTCATGTTCTCCCAGTAGAGCTTGCGCAGTGAGTTACAAACAGATTGGACTTCGTCTTTAGACCAGAGGTGGATTCGACGTTGGGACAACAGATGCTCCACGTAGCGGAACGGTCGTGTTCCGTTCTGAGTAGAGAACACGGCGCCGGCCTCAATTCTTGGGTTGTTGTAGAAACCGACGGGAAGGTAGTTCTCAAGATAAGTTTGAGGGACTCCCTTGGCACCAGGCGTCTGGAGCATTCTGTAGACATTAGGCAGGCCATTTGGGTAAAACTCATGGAAAGCTTCACGTAAGTTGGGCGGTTGGTCTTTTGCTAGAACTCGGTCTGGCTCCTGATCTTGAGCCAGCGGTGGTGATGACCCAGGAGGATGTGGCCCAGGAGGTAGCCCCGTGGGTGGCAGACCCCCCATGGGATCTGACTGCGATTCAGCCATTATCCTGACTGCGAAAATTCATCAGCAAATGTTCGAAGCGGTTCGTTCTCAGGATAATAAGAAGAATATCCCACGACTTTGGCCGAGCTTCTGTTGTTGAGAAATGGAGCTACGACCAAAACAAATCACAACGTCCCTAGAATTGGGTACTTACCTCGAAGAATCGAAGCGTTGGTCGGGAACTTGGTCAAGCGAGTATTTTGTTTTCGGATGAAAACACTGTTGAGGTAGGTGCGGATGCCAGTGATGAAAGCAACTCCTTCCTTGAAAGCGAGGGAGGAAAGACCGGTGATTTTGGTCTTCTTCGGTGATGAGAGAAGAAGAGAAATAAAAGAGGAGCAGAAGAATGAGAGACGTTTAATGGAAGAGAGCGCCTTTAATGCTTTTCGCGTTTGCTGTCACTGGCCTTGGTCAGGTAACTAATACTGACACTGCACTGACACTGGCGCGGCACTGCCAGGTGAATAATCAATATATGATACACCTAAGGCATCGACCAGAGTACCAAGTAGCAGTGCTTGCTTGTGAGTTCGTGATTGCAAACTCAAAAGGCTAAGATAAAGGCAAAGTTGTTCCTTAAGTACCTGGCGCGGTGGGTTGTGCGGGTGGTTAAGATCCCTGCTCGGCTTGAAGTTTAAGATATTTTGACTCGCATAGAGAAGAAGCAACAAGAGGCATAATATCTCCAGGCTTGTTCTTTTTCTCTATACTTCCCTCTGTACAAAGAATGCAATCAGCCAAGTCACCTGCAGGCTTAACGTGGGTGCTTGCTGTTTCCCGCTGCACATAACCACCTCTACCCGCTACGCCACTGAAGAATTATGTTTGCACGCTGTTTTGTATTTGTTTGGGAGAGCTTTCTTCTAGCGCGGCCAAAGAACAATTCAATCCGGTCGGGTGGAAGCAATCCTAGCGTCCTGCCGTGAGTCGCAGCATCCTGACCGCATCAAAGGCCTGGGGAGCTTCGTGTCGACAAAGCATATTGTTTTCTAGTTGTGCAGCTACTCGCCGGTAGGAGCAAGTAGTAACTTGGTATTTGGTTTTCAAGGTTGGGAAGAATTTTCCTTGGGTCAATTATTGGATTGATATCGTTTCACTCGAAAGCAGTTTGTTAGGGTGGTCCATCATAGATGATATTAGTCATTGGTACAATATATACAACGGGGGAGATATGACATGACTCGTTAATGCTTTCAGACATGAGACCTTAATGAACAGTATTACTTTTGCTCTTTGAGGAGCTTAAGAATCTCAGATTCATTATCGCCGGATACAGCCTTGCCGTTGTTCCAGTCCACAACCTAAAAAATGTTGTTAGCCGAATCATATACGCACTACAACCGCATATATACAACGTACCATTGGCCGAATGAAGTTCTCTCGGCTTTCCTTAAACTTCTTAAGGGCATCCTTCTCAGTGCTTGCGCCTTTGATCACATTGGAGATGCCGCTGGTACCAACATAGTCCAGAATGGTCTTGACCTGGTCATCTGTGGGGGGGTCTTCGGTGATATTAAGCTCAAACTGTTCACGAAGGGGTGCTGTCTGGGCGGAATGATCGCTGGCTTGGTCAATAGTCGCATCAGAGGAAGCATTGGCGGAGATCTGCTTGAGAAGATTGGCGACTCTCACGGATGCAGGAGAGCTGGCCTTGTGAAAGACCGTCACAGTGTCGAGCGTCTTGCGCTGTTTGTTCGTTAGCAAGGTGCTGTCATTATACTTTATGCGATGAACTTACGAAGCGAAACATCTTGTCTTGTTGTTCTTCTGAAGGTTTACGTTGGAAAGACAATTGAAGGAGAATCACGATTGTCAAGAGAGGTTGATGTTGAAGCTCCGATTTGGTATAGCTCCGTGAAGCTTGTCACGCCGAAGATGACTTAATGGCTCGGGTTTGTGTATGGCCCGTGCATGGACCCCACCATAGCACCCGCCATTTTCCGTTGTATACGGAATATGTCCATCCATGTCGCACGAATGTAGTATCAGAAGTAGGTAATTAGTACAAGATGAAGGTACGGATATGGACAACGAAAAAGCGAAAAGCCTGCGTCAGGAATTATCTTGACGATTTCGATTCATAACTACATATTAGACTCTGGGTTTGAAGTAATCTGTGTAGTCTCTAAGCGCCAAAACTAAAGTTTCCAGGTACATACCAGGTTGGCACATATAAAACCGCCGAGGGAATGCATGAGATCCATATCATGATGACAATTCGTCACGGTTTCATAATATCGGACAACTATCGGCCACATAAAACAAACTGGCCACCTAGAGGGGTATTGCGAGGAGAATTAAGACACTCTTTGTTCTCTTTCCATTCAAAAAGTACTTGATGCACGAATTTAATGTTTTAGCAATATATTGCATAGGGTATGGGAAGTGATGATTCTCGGGGTGACAAGGAACCATTTCAAAGGTAGACTCTGCCCTCGATAATACGGTAGATAGCAAGCATTGTAGATAATCCATAGAATACAGCTACTTGATGAATAGCTCACGTGGTTTTGTTCACCATTTGTTTAGAAGAGAGCCGCATCGCTAATCAGTGCCCAACCGCTTGCGCTAGAAGATCGACTGCGACAAGCATACTTTCGTTACGGAAACCCTAAAGAATGGAAGAGCTAAATCTCTGCATTTCCCTTATGACGTATGTGTTACGATCGATGCGTTTGTTCGATTTGTTGTGACGAAGGCAGTTTTTATAATGACGTACTCTATGAAGTCAGGATGTGGAGAAAGGCACCACCATGGCAGCGATTCATCGTAGAAAGAGAAGTACAAAAAGGACTCGCAATCGATTGAAAGCCTTACACATACATCCTGCATCTCACCACTTTTGCATTCTCCTTCAAACCAAACCAAAACACACAAAACACAATCACCTTTCACACAACTTCATCATGTCTGAGCAAAACACCCAGGAGCCTTACCACGAGGGCAAGGAGAACTCTCACGATAACCTCGATTCAAGTAAGATACTCCAGCAATAAGGATAAGAGTGAGAAAATACTAACAATATTGCAGAGGATGAGCGATCCATCGCCAACCGTCTAGCTGCTGCCGAGAAGGAAACCGAATCCGGTGACGATCGTGAGACCGCCCAAATAAAGGAGGATCCCACTCTCCCCGTAAGTCCAATCAAGTTACACCGTTGACATCCCGTTCTAACATCACTTTAAGGCTCGATCTCACGGTAACGAGCCTTCCAAGGGTGCTAAGATCGATGCACAGCTACAGAAGGAGGAACAGGAGGAGCTTGAGCGCAAGGGCAAGGCTTAATTGTAACAATATTTGATATCACGGTCGTTTCATCGCGGGAAGATGATTCGAAAGGATGAATTAATGAATAAATTTGAAGTCAAGTAAACTTGAAAAGGAATGGTATTTGATTGATGTGAATAACTACTGCGCTAGACTAATAATTTGAAATGTAAACTGGTAAAAGAAATAAAGGAATGGACTGCTTTTAAACAATCTGCCCACCCGTGTGCATCACTAAAGTCTTGGTTAGTCTGTGAAGAACGACCAAGTTTACAAGACAAGTTGGTAGAGAGAAGGTGCTTTCAGAATATGTAAGAAATTGAATATCAGTTTTCCGCCTGATTTAGCTACTCCGGCGAAAGAGAGCCATCAAGCGAAATCAATCGCAAATTACCTCATCCTTATGCGAGGGGGGAAATGTGTTAAGGGAAATGCTCAATGCTTACCTTGATGCACTCGAAGAGGGTATCTGTCTGCCTCTTTGATCATATGAGAAAGAGATATGGCTGCAGAAGTCTCAAAGCTGACCAGAAATTTTCTTTTGAAGTTCTCGTTGGCTTGGCCCGTGCACTATTGCCGGGTACAGCACTCGCGTCTGCCGGACGGCCAAACATTAGTCCGGAAAGATTAGACCGAAAGTTAGGGCAGGCACGCACAGGATTTCTTTCTGCCCACCATCAAAAAGTCCTTAGCGATTTCAAGGTCCGCGGCTCCAGCAAACAACCAACTAACGGGACAGCATTATCGACAACTGGTATGAACCTCGACTCCTACGACCGCGAACAAACACTGCGCGCGCGACTTTTGAACATCACGACTAATCCGACCACTACTTAGATAACCGTCACAATGGGCGACGCAGTCATTGAGGGTTCGAACTGGCGCCTCGTTGAGGTTGGCCGTGTCGTTGTTATCAACGGCGACCACCCCTCCGCAGGCCGCCTGGCCACGATCGTCGAGATTATCGACCACAAGCGAGTAGGTTTTTCCTGCTTCAGTTGACCGCCCCGAGACGATATTGACCCCGTCACAGATTCTCGTTGACGGTCCTTCCGCGAACAACAGCCTCGCTCTTGCCCGACAAGCCGTTCCCCTCAGCAAGGTTCTCCTCTCCTCTCTCGTTGTTGAGGGCCTGAACCGCGGTTCCCGAACTGGTGTCGTCCGAAAGCTCTGGGAGAAGTCCGAGATTGACTCCAAGTGGGAGCAGACCAACTGGGCCAAGAAGCGGGACCAGATGGAGCGAAGGAAGGGACTCACCGACTTCGACCGCTTCAAGGTCCTCCGACTCAAGAAGCAGCGACGATTCGAGGAGCGCAAGGCTCTGGCCAAGGTCAAGGCCGCCGCATAAATGGGTTATTAAGCTGGAGTCAAGGGAGGTGCTTGAAAGTCGGATTTAGATCAAGTGGCACGGAACTGGGCAGGAAAACACATCACGGCGGTATAGAGGCTGCTGTATTCATGTTTGCTCCGTTCTGGAAGGCTGTATGTCATACCATCGTCAAAGATGAACGGCGTCAATACGGAAATTCTCAGATCAACTGAATTCAAAGCATGAGGAGCATCAAAAAAAAGTTCACGGATTCAATGTGAAGTGTAGCCAAAATAAAAATGAAATCAATACCCCAAATCTCCGCTGGATCTATCTGCATGTTTCTTCTCGCCTGCATCTCCATATTAACTTTAATTGCTGCCCCAATGTCAATCCAGTTCCATCAGTCGTCAATTCCCCCGTCCCATCTGGAGGGGGGAGCAGCGCTGCGCAAAAGTCTGATTACCTAATGCACCTTAGTTCCCACCTCCCACCAAGCCCTAGAATTATCGCTGTGCGAGATCCCCATCACAAAACGAAGTCGTGAGAGATTAGGCCAGCAACGACGTAACTGGGACCAGAAAAACAAGTAAGTATGCAGCTGCGGTTTTGTTCATCGTGATATTTTGCTATCGATTTTTGCGGTTTCGGGAGCATTTTCCAGCCACAAACTCTTCATCAGCGAATTTGCTGTAGCTACCTTAGACGAGTCACTAACATCTGTGCCCGCACCAGTCGCCAAAATGTCGAACCCCCGCGTTGAAGAACTTCCCGACGAGGAGCCCAAGAAGACCACGGTCCAGGAGCACGAGGATGAGTCCAGCGACGAGTCCGAGGTTGAGGAGGTCGGCGAGGGCCAGCTCCCCGCTGGTTCTACCGTAGTCCACAACCGCAACGAGAAGAAGGCTCGCAAGGCCCTCGAGAAGTTGCACCTCACCCGCATTCCTGGCATCACCCGTGTCACTCTCCGCCGACCCAAGAACGTGAGTGACGAGGCAATCTAGACAGAGGTTGGAGGGGTAGGTTGAGGAACGGTGCTAACCGATATGTTCTAGATCCTCTTCGTCATCAACAACCCTGAGGTCTACAAGTCTCCCAACAGCAACACCTACATGTAAGTTGCATTGCTGTCCGGCTGCAGAACCGCCACTGACATCTCTGATAGTGTTTTCGGTGAGGCCAAGATCGAGGACGTGAACGCTGCCGCTCAACAAGCTGCTGCTGCCCAGCTCGCTTCCGCTAACGCTGAGGACCACTCCGGCCACAACCACGGCGAGCCCAGCAAGGCCGCTGAGACCTCCGAGGAGAAGAAGGACAAGGACGACGACGATGAGGAGGATGACGAGGAGGAGGATGACGATGAGGAGGTCGATGCTTCCGGACTCGAGGATAAGGACATTGAGCTCGTCATGACTCAAGCCAACGTCAGCCGCAATAAGGCTGTCAAGGCATTGAAGGAGAACGACAACGATATTGTCAATTCCATTATGGCTCTCAGCATCTAGACGTAACTTTCTAGATGAACGATCTTCCACAAAAGCAAGTACATGGGACGAACATTAGGCTCTGTATTAGTTCTTGGCGAACTGTACCCTGCAGGATGGAGTTGATGCCAAATAACGGAAACAATTGAAGGGAAATAATTCCCACAACCGTCAAATGTTGCTCTTGAAGTTAACCATGCGTGATGTTGTCTGCTTAGAACTAACTGTAACTAACTGGCTCATGAAACGAGATACTCATGGAGATCGATGGTTATACGCCACGAAGGTTAAGTCCCAGTTGTCTATATAAGCCTGGTGTACAATAATTATATCATGATAAACCATTGGCTACAATCACAATATCCATGACGTGCAGAAGATCCGGCCATCTTCTGAACTTCAATTCGAATTGGGCCTGAGTCTCGTGCTTGTAGCCTTGTTTGTATCTCAATGAGGGGTCCCGTAATACCGCTCGCTGGGTTTTTGATTCAAAGCACGTGACTTGCTAGCGCCCGGTTGTTCCCTGGCGAAGTTCGGCAAAGTCATCAACGATCAATCAAGATCATCTCTCCGCTCTCTAGATATCGCAAATCCCTTCAAAATGGCGACTGTAAGTTCAATTCGCTAATTGGCGCGTGTGACTGATCGCAGATATTTTCGAATCTCTTCCTCCGGCCCCGAGCGCGCGCCTCTACGTCCCACGATGTCATGAGCTAATTTTCCCCTTCTCCGACAGCGAAGCGCAGCTCTCAAGCTTGACTGGACCAAGGTCACCAGCTCCCTCGGTCTCCGTGGCCAGACCGTCTCCTCCCTGCAGGCCTTCAAGAAGCGCAACGAGGACGTCCGCCGCAAGGTCCAGCACCTCTCTGAGCAGCCCACCACCGTCGATTTCTCCCAGTACCGATCCGTCCTCAAGAACCAGGCTATCATCGATGAGATCGAGAAGCGATTCAACGCCTTCAAGCCCGTCACCTACGATGTTAGCCGACAGCTGAAGGCTATCGACGCTTTCGAGGCTGAGGCCGTCAAGAACGCCGAGGCCACCAAGCAGGCCGTCGACCTCGAGCTCAAGGACCTTGCCGCTACCCTCAAGAACATCGAGGAGGCCCGACCATTCGAGGACCTCACTGTCGTACGTATCACCACATTCGAAACCATTGGATCGATTCTCACATATTGCAGGACGAGGTTGCCGCTGCCGAGAAGTCTATCGACGAGAAGACCGCTCAGCTCGTTTCCAAGGGACGATGGATGGTGCCAGGCTACAAGGTACGTTATACTGACCATGAGATATGCGACAGCACTAACACCCACAATAGGAGAAGTTCGGTGACTTGGCTGTGGTTTAGACGAATCGCGATATCCCTTTTGCGGCTTCGCGTAGTGTACTCTAGCATTGTAGATATGAGAACCCGAGGCGGAACCCGGCTTTTACTCATACCCGACCACCTACAATATTTTCTCTGTGCTTCAATATGACAAGTTCCAACCAGCTACGCTCATCTAAAATTTGGTCTTTTAAGATGGTTGAACCATGGGAGATATATGTTGCTAATAGTGATGCTACACTTATGTAATATGTCATTGAACAAAGAATGCATTTCGCGACCCTTTAATCTGTACTTTTCTAGTTCTCTCTATGTTCACATCATATACCGAGAAGTGCGAATGTACTTACACATTCAATGACTTCTAAGCGCAGTTGAGCGATACAAGCTAATTTCCGTGCTAAATATTTGCATCGGCGCTTGAACAAGTATCTTATATAGATCGGTGTTGTTAAGTTGGATAGTTGAGAAAGACGTGAAATGCCGCGAACATCACAGACTCATCAATTGCTATTATTAGGTATTTGCCTCGAAACAATTTTTCTCTCTTTCCATGAAATCGGCAATGACCAACCTTCTTTCTGTTATGACACTAATATGGTCACTTGTCGGTGTTTCGAGGATGTGAAACAAAGTTACCCTGTACAGAAGAAATATTTCTATGACTGACGGAGTCTAAGCATTCACGGTGAAGATGATTTATATCCCTAACTAACATATTTCTTTTCTATCACTCACTTTGATTTTGAATAAGCTTAACGTATCTCGTGATGTCGGTGTCACGTGTAAACTCCAACACCTTTAGCCTGAATACATCGGTTCACGATGGGTGACTTACACCACATTATCGCTCATAAAACGATATCCAATTAGGATTGGCATATCACTGAAGAACTTGGCATATACCGCATGTTTATCTTATCATGGTGTTTCCAGATCCCGAGCTCGAAGCATATGTCTTCAAAACAGCACCTCCATTAGACACTGCCTGGTTAAATCATGAAGAAGAGGTCAAACGGCTAGGGCCTCCTCGGGTATTCAACTCCGTCGTGGAACGACAGCCAGTCTATGCTCAGGAATGCCGCGATTTATATGCTCAAATGACGGCCCCTGGTGCTCGAGATTATGATTTGTCCCAAGGCATCACCAAAAAGGAGTTTACAGTTCCCTCAGCCGTGGACGGCCATCCAATCCCGGTTCTCCAACTGGACCTTACGACTGGTGAGACCCAAGAGCCGGAAGTGGTTGTTATCTTTTACCATGGCGGCGGTCTGAAGGTTGGCGAGGCAGACAGTGAGGAGCTCTCATGTCGGCATATTGTCAAGTCTGCAATAGCCAGAATCCGACTTTATTCTGTGGGTTACCGTCTACTACCCCAGAACCCAGCCTCAACTTCTGTCTCCGACTCTCAGGACGGATTTAATGCACTGTATAATTCAACCATCAAGACCGTCGTCATTGGAAGTTCGAGTGGTGGGCAGATGGCATCTACAGTGGCTCAGAAAGCACCGCGAGGTTCCATCTATGGTCTATTGCTGAGGTGTCCTGTTACAGCTGATGGAGCCAGCGGAAAGGAATACATACCTGAGAAGCTACGTCCATATCACACGAGCGTTTCTCCCTCGTTCATCACGTCGTTAGGCGGGTACCTTAATCGAGATGTGCTTAGGGACGGGCTTGAGAAACTGCCCCTCGAAGCCACAGGAGCCGAATTGGAGGGACATCCTCGGACCTGGATCCAGCTGACCTCCAACGACCCTCTGTATTCGGATGGCCTTTGTTATGCAATGCTGCTAAGGGAGGCGGGTACCGAGGTTAGAGTGCAAGTTGAAAAGGGGTGGCCGCATACCTTTTGGCTCAAAGCTCCCCATCTGGATCACGCCCTGGCTTGTGAAAAGGATATGCTGAAGGGTCTGAAGTGGTTGCTTGCATAGTCCAGATACCTGGCTGTTTTGGACTGTAGGATGAATCTTCAGAAGAGACAGCATTTAGACGACAGAGCAGATTGAGACGATGATCTACTCAATCCATGCACCACCAGCGTAGCCAAGCAACTCCAGCACAAGGTATCTAGGGAATAAAAAGAGTGAAGCCGAATTTGTCAAAGGCTCGTAATTTGAGATATCTTCGTAAGAACTCTACCAGCTACTTCATATGGCTTGAGACAGTTTACAGTTCCGTCCCGGCATGAGCGCTTCCATCCAGAATCTTCGAGAGCGAATGGTCTCCTCCGTCCAGCTCAGATGGCTGTTTCGCCCAGTTTCTGAACTGTAACCTAAGATGTCGCAAACTGGGTTTGGAACACTCGAGCTCATTGCCGGGATACTCTTGGAGACGTGGGTTAAGGCACATATAAGCCATGCTGTCGGCTGCGTTGCTGTTCATGTCCAGCATCTTTGAGATATGTATGTTTGGCTCACACTACATCATTAGGTTTATAGTGAGAGTCAACGTAGACTCATTATGTAGATTATGCTCAGGTGAAACGTACACAGCTGGGTTGTGGGGGAACGTGGGAGGTCTTTCAAGTGATCACATGTTGCTAGTAATCTCGGATCGGTCAGTCTAAAGTTCATCGAAATCAATGTTTCTTAAACAAACGAGAACTTTCATCTCTATAGGACAACATCAAGCACAAACTCGCAAGTGCCCTTGTATCCATTCAAAGTCGATAAGAACGTTCTCGTGATACATCAGTTGGCCCCGAAACTCCAGCATTTGTACTCCCGACTTGACCATCCCAGGCTAATGATTCTGTGTTTATTTTATTGTTTTATGCTGTTTGGTGTTCTGATCGCTCTCTTCAGGGTCGCGCGTACTGAGCGGTCCATTCCTTGGCGGTTGCGATAGCCGCCTGCTCGTCCTCCTTCCAGCTCTTGGCAACGTCCGCAGCGAGAGGGTCATCAGGGTTGGGGGCACCGAGAAGAGCTTGGATCGAGAGCAGGATGGTTCGGATCTGGAGGGCGGGAGACCAGTTGTCTAGAGTATTTGTCAGCTTCGTTACCCTTGAGCTAAAGTGCCTCGATATTGAACCCACTCTTGAGGACGTCAAGACAGATGCGGCCAAGCTTGTCGACATTTGGGTGAAAGATCTTGGTAAGGAATCGAATCTTGGGAGGTGTCATGGGGTAGTCATCGGGGAGGAAGAGCTCGAGGCTGAAGACCCCACCTGGATGTGTGATTAGAGGTGAATAAAACAACCTGGAGTGGGAGGGGAGAGTGTACCTTCGTAGGGAGACTGAGCAGGGCCGTGGATCTGGACATCGAAGTAACGGAGGTTGTCCTCGTGGGGAACAGCACTGATTCCTGGGACACTGTATCGTGACTGGTATGAGCATGCGATGTCGGGGCGCAATATGAGGAGAACACTTGGGGATGACCTACGGCTCGGCCATGAGCCGTTCTGTCTCTTTAATAATGCGCTTCGGGAGAGCCATCTTCTAGGTCTGTCGGGTTCACGAGGGAGCTTTAGTTATAGTTATATGTGTTTTGTGTGTGTGTTTGGCGTCAGTGGGCGCTATATCGTATCGTATCGTGTCGTGTCGTTTTCGTTGAGGCTGGCGATGATGTCTTTGACAACGAAGGGTCGTGACTGGGGGGTAGTAGGTAGATAGATGAAGTCTGGATGGATCCCTGAAATAAGGCGGGCACTTAACCACGGCGGGGCAGGGCAGATAAAGAGGGAAGCATGGATAGAGACGATGACTGAATCGAGGAGGTAAGAAAGAGATGGGGATGGAGATCTATAAATGATGCCAGAGACCTGCGCAGCGCTGTAAATTGTTAATAAATCAAGTGATGAGCCAAGTCAACTGACATATAACTACTCTAAACAACTAGAACGTTAGAAATTCTGGACAATCTACATTCACCTAGTGTCCGGGCATAAGCATCAGGTACTAACGTATTTCACCGCCACTCTATATACCCCATAACCCTACATACCTATAAAAGTATTAATACTATAATATATAAATAACTTTAATTAATTATAATAAATTTAATAAAAATCTAGTTAATTTAAGACTTTAGGAATTAATTAAAAAACTCTTAATTTATAGTCTTTTTTTTTTAATAGATTTTTTTTCTTTTTTTTTAATTTTTTTTCCTTAATTTAATATAATATATTCTTTTTAACTTAATCCTATATTAAGATAATCTAGTAAGCTTTAAAAAAAGCCTTATTAAGGTTAAATTAAATAGGAACTTAACTAGTAGGTTTTTTTATTATTAATAATACTTTTAATATTACTTTTTTCTTTTTTAAATACTATATTTAACTATTTTTTTTAATTAATAGTCTTTATTACCTTTTTTAATATATATTTTAAGTTATAAATTAATAGTTTTCTTTAACTTTAAGTATTTTTTAATTAGTTTTAAATATCTTTACTTCCTTAAGGGATTCTCTAGATATTATCTATAACTACTTAATACTTTTTTAATATTATAGACTTTATAAATAATTTCTATTTTTTCTCTTTTAGCTTTAATATTATAATTACCTTATATATATTAATTAGGTAAAGACCTATAGTTAAAAAGCTATTTATTATATTTTTATAAGTTAGGGCTTTTAATAAAGCCTATTTATAAACTTATAAAAATAATTAATATTAATATAATAAGGTTATTTTATATAATACCTAGTTATAGATATATTAATAATAGTAAGTCTTTAATAGGCTAAATATAATAATATTAAGTAATTAAGTAAGGTATAATAAATATAAAAGAAATTAAAAAAGCTAGACCTTATATAATTATACCTTTTTTATTAATTCTATAGTAATATATAATTTATATTAATCTAGATATAATAGTCTTTATTTAAAAGGATTTTTTAATATAATCTTTAATAAAAAAATATTTATAAACTATTATAAAAAAATATTTATATTAAACTAATTAAAAGAATTATAGGTATACTTTTAATTAAAAAAAGCCTTAAGAAATTACTATTCTTAAAGGTTTTTATTAAAAAAGATAATATATAATATAAAATAATAACCCTTAATAAATATACTTTTTAAAAAAAGGCTTAGGTTAAATTATCTAATTTTATTCTCTTTAATATAACTATTAAGACCGTTCTAGCTATTATATTACTATTAGTCTTACCTAGCTATATACCGGTCTTATTAATATTATATTTATTTTTCTTTTTTATATTTTTTAATTTATAGACCTAATTAAGGCCAGTATAGTAATCTATAAAGGACTTTTTTATTATATAATACTTCTTAGTAATATTTATAATTTATAATAACTTTAATTTAATAGTTAGATAGTATATAAAAAACCTATCGACCTAGTTCTTATTAATATAAAAGACCATTCTATTAATACTTAATAAGGCCTATATAAAGTTATATATTTTTTATTTAATAAAAGGCTAGAATACCTTCTTTCGGTCTATAATATAGTTTATTAAATCTTTTTTTTACTTTATAGTTAGTAACTAGTCTTTTTAATATATAGTTATAATATCTTATATATTATAATAATAATTTTTTAATATTAATAAAAAAATTATATATTTTTATAATAAAATATAAAATCTAAGTTTTTTAATATTTTTTATAGTTAATAATAAGTAATATTTATAATCTAATACTAAGGATTTTATTATAGATAAAATAAAAAAATAAAGATTTAATTTAATAATTCTAGAATTATTAAAAGTAATATATTATAATAATACGTTAATAGTATTAAGGTATATAAGGTTACGGGGTGTACGGAGTGGCGGTGAAATACATTAAAACAGCCCAACCCACCACCAACTTATGGCGGGGGAGTGTACCATTCCATCCATTGCATTTAAAACAGCAGGGGGCGGTACCTTGGTACTTGTGGAACAGTGCCTAACGTAACCGCGCTCTGACCACCTCCTGTCGACTTGACCATCCAATCCAATCCATTTCACTGACCAACTTCCATCATGAACAATCTAGTCTTGTATATATATATATTCCAGCGCATTCAACAATAGTATCAGCCTCTCTTTTTGGACCGCTGACAAGAGCTTGAAACTCTTAGCTTCTCCCAGATAATGACATGATCCAAAGCTCTTCAGTGGCAGTGCGCCGTCGACTTCTATCATACCACATACGACATGAGAGGCACGTTGTGATAGCCTCTTCAAACGCCTATCATCATCATGCCCTCCTTCGACCAACTCGCCGATGCTCCTAAAAAGGGCAAGGTTATCAAATCAGCCTACGAGAGCGAGAGCTTTGAGTCTGACGGCACAATCCACGTTGATGGCCTGGTCGGCTCAGCCACTATCTCTCCTGCTGGGCGAGATGTCGCTTTGGCTTCGTACGTTCTGTAATGGAAGCCTTTTGAACGTGTTTCAACTGACCACAAATAGACCCGATGGTCTGGCAATCATAGATCTTGATTCGCCATACAGCCCCCCTCGACGATTAAGAACGCATGGCCTTCCATGGCTCGTCGTTGATGTCCAATGGTCTCCCTTTGCAGCTCGGGATTACTGGATTGTCTCAGCAGCTAATCATCGTGCTCTTGTATGGAATCTGAATCGGAGGGAGGACTCGAGCTCTGGTGCCATTGAGCATTCTCTCCAGGGTCATAGTCGTGCTATTACTGATGTCAATTGGTCCGCTCATCATCCTGACCTCTTATCGACTTGCTCAGTAGATGGGTACATCCACGCGTGGGATCTCCGAAGACCGCGCCAGCCGGTTCTGACCTTCTGTGATTGGAACGCTGGTGCATCCCAAGTTAAATACAACCGCCGGGCATCTCACGTTCTTGCCTCGGCCCATGACCGGTGGCTGCATATTTGGGACGAACGCCGGTCGTCGGAACCTCTTAAATCCATCAAGGCTCACAAGTCTAAGATATATGGCCTGGACTGGAATCGATCAGACCCCAAAGCCATTGTTTCATGTTCTATCGACAAGCGAATCAACTTCTGGGATTATACTGCAGATGAGCCCCTACAGCATACCATCGAAACTGGCTTTCCAGTATGGAGAGCTCGCCACACCCCTTTCGGACATGGCCTTCTCGCAATACCTCAAAATGAACCAGGCGATCTCTATCTTTACGACACTCGCTTTGGTCTAGAATCCAAAATCACAACTGAACCAATCGATGTTTGGCCCGGGCACGGAGATCACAAGGCAAAGGAATTCCTCTGGAGATGTCGGGGAGGCATAACTGACGATGCCAAAGATAACCGCGAATTTCAACTCGTCTCTTGGGGCACAGACAATGAACTCAAACTTCAGTGTATTGACCCTAAGACTTTTTCTGCTATTGGCCATCAACGCGGAATGACCGCCGATCCGGCCATCAGTCTTACACGGAAGGGCGCCACTTACAAAACCTTCCGAACAGTGGACGAGGGCACGGATCGCGATCGCAAATCTGCTACTATGAGTGACCATCGTCCCGGTACCAACTATCACAAGCAAAGTGCCCTTACACTAGGAATGCGCTCAGGCACAACTCAAAGTCATCGCACATCTGTGGCTTGGCGAGGTCCGTCGATGAAGGCTAAAGTTTCTGGAAAGTCTGGAGATCGCAATCAGTCACAAATCGGATGGATGAAGGGAATTGCCATGACCAAGAGGAAGGCATCAACAAGCGCTAAACGACACTTATCGAAAGACTCGGGCATCTTTGGCCACGGTTATCCTGATGACAAATGGGCTGAACCCGAGACTATTCAAGAGGAACTTCTGCGCATCAGCCACCAGCTTCCCAAAGTAAAATGGGAGAATATCAACATGGACAATTTGACCCTCAATGCCTCATTAAATGGACCTTGGGGCATTGATGGAGAAACAATATTCATCAAAGTCCGTATCGACATCCCAACCGACTATCCCAAGTCGAAAGCACCGAAATTCTATGTCGAAAAATCATCTTTCATGCTCGCAGAGACCCATAAGAAGATCGATCGTGAAATACATGAACTAGTCGATCAATTCTTACAGATGAAACAGAACTGTCTTGAGGTTGCTTTCACGTACCTTCTTGGAGAAGTCGATTTGGAAACTAGCACAACATTCTTCAAGAATGTCCGAGATCTTGATGATGCGCTTGATGGTCTGGCGGACGAAAGTTCAAGCGAGTCTGATGAAGACATACCTGCAGGCGGTTCAGCATCTATGTCGCAAGAATTGCCTCCACACAACGAGCTTGATACCGCGCTTGCACCTCCGAATAGGACCATCGTGCCACCGCCACCTAGAACTTGCGGTGCTAGGTTCTCGCATAACGGACGCTTGGTCTGCTTCTTCCCCTCAAAGGAGGAAAAAGCAAGAGCTCTATTCACAACCACCATGGATGCTTATAGGGAACGGCCCAAGGGAGAACCCTTCTTTGCCGGTTTTGGTAGAATCGCACACGACCTTGGTCCCCGGCAACGATTCATGGGTGAGGATAGTTCCGTGTCAAGCGGAGATTCTGATACATCTGCGTCTGGGTCTTCTTCATCCTCATCATCCTCTAGTGATTCGGAATCGACATCTATGAACAAGATTAGTCTTTGGTATCACCCAAGCCGCCAGTTTAGGAAGACATGGAGCGAAGATAGATCGATACGCTCTAGTGGTGGTGGCACGGGAGTAGGTACCGGTACTGGTACCGGCACAAGTCGTCGCCGGCCTGGTCGACCCAAGAACCTTGTATCGATACATGATTTCCGCGCGCTTCTGCCCTCAAAAGAAGAGTTTGCGCGTGAGTATGCGATATTTGGTGATGGGGCCGATGTCTGTGAGCACAATGCGAGGGTTGCTGAGAAGTACAATGCGAGGGATCTAGTTGATGTCTGGCGATACCTTGCGCTATTACTCAAGAAGGGCGTCCCACTCGAGATACTCGCCCATAACCAGCGGCGAGAATCCATCTTGGTTATCGCTCATGATGTGGTCTCCAAGTGCAACACTAATACCTATCCTGTTGACTCGTTCTTGAATAGGCACGAGGGCGCATTATCCGGCAGAGTGAAATGGGGTAAGCACCCGTTGGCCAGAGATTTCATTATGGATCTATTTGCATACTTTGAAAGAATTGCGGATATTCAAATGTTGGCAATGCTTTCTTGTATATTCAGCGAATCTTCTGCAGCGGATAGTGTGGCGTATCTTGAATCCCATCTACCTCAGCCTGAGACTCCTCTCCCTTTCAAAGCACCAGCTTTCTCTTTGGACTACTTCCCCACAGATGCCTCCCTATGGAATATTGGCGGTCGCAGTTACACAAACTCGGCTATCACTACGCCCATGACGGTACATACCCCCGTTCACTACGCAGGATCGCAAGCATCTGATGATGGCATGTGGGGTGGAGACGCTGCGTCAAACTCGTACTCTTGCGGAGAAACGCCACCAAACAGATTCAAGGGATACCTTGGAGATATCGAGGCACCGCCCAGCGTGTCGACGTCCCCGAACACACGTTTCTTGAATCGAGCAAACTCTGGTTTGGCATCAGCTTTTGCTGCCAATTTGCCACGTTCATTTGCAGGAGTGACTGCGTCGTCCCCTCCAAATCAAGGGAGAAAGAAACCAAGCCCTGCCGAAACGATCCTCAGCAGTCTGGCCCCGGGCAATGTTACATGGAGTGCTTCTACCGCGATGGACTCTAATGGCGGTAGAACTTCTCTTGACGATGACGAGTATCGAAGAGATGAGTTCTTGCCCCTCGTTCCCACAAGGATCTCGGTTACAATGGAGGACCAAACCGCATTCGATGATGATGGCTGGCTGAATATCCCATTACTAGAGTTCAGTCAAGCAGATGTTCATGCGCGATACCGATACGCGTATGCTGAGATGTTGCAAATGTGGAATCAGCCGCTTGCCAGACTTGAAATTATGAAGTTCAACTCCCTTAAAGAAGACATGACTAGTGGCCATTCTAACGACGATTTCCATGACTCGGCCACTACTCACGATGGGGCGAATGGGAAGGGACACGGCAATCATCCCAACTCATCTCCAATTGCCATGGGTAAAAAGGACCAACTCCAAGCCTTGCTTGCTTCTGGCCGTGGCCTTGACGTTACTGGCATGTGTCGTATACATGAGATTCAGCTGGATCCGCTTCGTTATACAACCAGTCACTCCAAGGTTGGCGGTGCTGTGGGCACATGCGATCGTTGCCATCAAACTCAAAGTCAGCTCACATGTGTGTACTGCCTTGAGCCTGTGGATGCCCTTTTCCCACCGTGTTTAGCCTGTGGCTGTGCGAGCCATGAGGCATGCCTAGCAGAATGGCATGCTGCGGGTGAGACGGAATGTCCTGCGGGCGACGAGTGCAATTGCGTAGAGGAGGCTGCAGATGGCCAGGTCGAATCGTGGGCAGCCCTGCAGGGGGCCATGCTTAAGGGACAAAGACACATGATGCTACCTGGCCCTGCTTTGGAGGGTAGTGACGAAGAGACCAAGCTTTCTCGCAATTGGGAAAGAGTCGAGCATACTATACCCTCAAGGATGCAGGGGCTTTCTGCTGCCAGTATCAGCCTTGGCAACAGGTTGAGAAAGTCAGCGGGCGAGTGGTCACGAGCTTCAAGTTTGAGAAGAAACGATCGGGGGAATTTAATATAATATTTCTGTAGGACTATATGACAAAGATATGCATTGAATTTATTGAATGTAGAATATTAGTGGCTAGGAATTGTTTAATGGGAGCGTTGGAAAGACTTGTATAGCATGCGAATTTAAGATAGCTATTATTCAACTAAGGCAATAAAGGCAGCTCAAGATGAAACGATTACTGCATGACTTTAACTCTATGTATGATTAGTAAATGGCCTATTATAAACAGTAGAATCCTTTATTCTAGCAATTTGCTATTTTATACTTACATTTTAATAGGATAGCTTATTCTGTATAGGTAGTTTAGATAGATTAGACTAATAACCAAATTACATTGCAATCTCGAGTGTGATATACCAATAAAATCATTCTGTATTTGATAGAGTAACTACATAAACCAAATGTTAAGGAAATAGAACGCACTATTCACATCCGACCAGAGAGGAGAACCACCAACGCCATGCCAATCAATGCCTGTCTGTACCTACCATCCAATCCTCAACTCTCAATTCCTAATTCTCAAATTTCCATTGTCCTTGAGGAAGCAATATTGCCGGTTCCACAAAAGTCGTGTTTTCGAGTCTGGTTCGTGTAAGTAGCCAAAGATCTCTTACCTTGTGGAGGTTTGGATCCTCAAACGCTGCGTCCATGGGCAAGTCCGTCCATTGGCGGTTTGGCTTTCTGCGGTGCCTCATCTCATTCTCTCGTGTCATGATCCACAAGCGCACGACTGTTGAGGGAATTGCACCAGTTTGCGGACTTCTACAAGCGAGAGCGATCTCCTGGATGTCTGGCCATGTCAGCTGGGTGAACTGCACGCGATGAGTTTCGGGGTAATATCGAAAGCCGTAGTACTCTTTGGCATTCTCCAACTTACCACCTTCTGAAGTCTCTTCTGGGATTGTTTCCATTCTTAAGTGAGACGTCTTGTTGGAATCATCCTTGCCGGAATACATATCGAGGATGGTTTCGATACTGTTTTCCCGGCACAGCATAGTGAACTCCTGCAGACAAGGAAGCACCTTGAGATTCAAAGGTTCCATCCATAGTTGCCTCAAGTCATCAACTGGGGCCATTTCCTTTCCATAATGGACTGAGGCTACTCTTTGAAAGGGGAGACTGATTAGATACCAGCCTCGATTGCGAAAAGCCTCTAGGAGCTTAGGTTTCGGCAGCATCATATTGCTGGTCAAGAAGATATCTTTGTCGGGGCTCACGTATATTAGTCGGTAATCAAGGTTGAGTAAACTCACCGAGTGTGTCGAATGAAATGCTATCATCCCTTCGTAGTTGTTCTTGACGGCACGTAGGATTCTCATATAATCCTTGTCTGCTTGGATTGATAGGTCGGGGATGAAACTGATAATCATAGCACGAGTGGCAGTCTCCCACACGGCAATGACAGCGGCCATTTTGACGACTGAAGGTAGGTCCTGGTTATTGCGTTCCCTGTTTATGATGATAAACTGGTCAGTGGAAGATTTTGAAAAGATTGTTACAAAAAGTTGGTTAACTGGTCCCTGATAAACTAACTGGAAGTGCCTGTTGATTTGTAAATTTCCACGCGTACATACAGCCTTTATATACATGACTTCTATTCAATAATAGCTCTTTGATTTATGTTCTCATTGCTAGATGTTCTTCTTGAATGGCTAAACATAGGGGCAGTTCCGGCAAAGAACATCTTGTCTAGCAAAGAGATCTTCGAAAGTTCGACACGAACAACGGAACAAAATAGAAGTGGATATGAGTAAGACTTGCAACGGGAATTTTGATCCTTGAGAAAGTTCAAATGATATGAACAATACATCTGTTATCCTGAACATACCGATTAAGAATATATGAACTCTCCAGAGCCTTATTAAACAGCCATAAGTGTATACCTAGCTGAATCGTGATTATAAAGAAAGTTATTCCAGTAATCGGAGATTAATAATATAGAATGCATAGTGTTATTTGGCCCATGTATTACGACGGTATACTTCATTAAGGTATGAAAGTTTCTAAGTATCCTAAAGCCCCCCCCCCCTTTTGCTCTCCAGCTTGCCGAGTTTAGGTACTGCCTATTCTAAATATATAACACACCACTTATCATTCATTGGCATCGAGACTAAAGTATAAGCAGAATACTTGCTAGATTGTTAAATCTATTGGGTAGTGGGTATATATTGCATATCTTTCGACTTGAGTATTGTTGAGTCCTCATCCAGCTTTTGTCTTCACCTGTTCCGTCTGCGTTGCCCGGGTTCGTTTGACCCTTCCCACCTTAAGTCGAATGTTAAAATTCTCTCGACGAGAACCCATCTCATCCTATTCTCGTGTACTCGATTCTCTTTATCCCCCTCATTAATCTGCCATGGATGGATCCTTACCCAGTTCAGGTCATCATCTGGGGCCTTATAGTTGCCGTCGAGGAATGTAACCTTGGAAACCATTTTGCTACGCCCCTTGTTGAGTTCGTGGCAATCTTCCTTCCCGCAGCGGCCTTCATTAAGAACAGCTTGTGACTCGGGGTCTTTCAGGTCCAAAGGTGCCATTTCGATGATGTTTTCATCCACCCAATATCTGAATTGCTTCGCTAATTCTTGAAGTCGGACTTCATAAGGTGCTTTCATGTTCACATGCACCATCCACGCCGGATCGATTTCTCCCACCTTGACAATCCATAGGTCGTCCAAGTTTGGGAACCAGAATCTGTCGAATTCGATTTTACCAAAATCTCGCTGGCGATAACATGCTGAGACATAGACGGAGTAGAGATGAGGTCCTGACACCCGGCCATCATCAGGGAAGCAGTCCCAAAATGCCAACCGACGTACCCTGGGCGCAATTTCTTCTAGGTATTGATCTGTTGCTTGGTCTGAGATCTTATGGTCGCAGACGAGAATATCACTAGAGAAGTCCAAGAATGATCCGCGGCCTATTGGCTCATACCATTGTCGAGTTTCAGCACGCGCCTCGGCATTGAGTTGTGTAACAGCAGGTAACGGACAAGACCGGTCGTTTTGCACGAGATCACTGTATAAAACGATACGAGGCTCGCTAGCTCCTGACCATATCTTAAGGCGAAGTTCGGGAGGTAAAGAAGTGAACTTGGTTTTGGACTGAGTTGAGAGGGTTGAAACTGTTACGGCCTCGGGGCCATTTGTCGAAGGAGGCGACATGCTTGGCATATCAGACGAAGTATGTGGCCTCCAGAGAGAGCAGTTGGACAGAAGTCATTGGAGGTTGGCATCTAACCAAGAGATATGAGGTATGAGCAGCGGTTTTAATGTCACTTCGGGTACATAGTGTCGCGTCTCGGAGCAGGGGTTCTCACGAGGACAGACGGAAACGGTGGTCATACCTACAAGTTGGGGGTGACCATGACCGTTTGCGGCACGTCCGGGGCGGGGAAATAATTGATCCTCGTGAAGCCATCGTCGAACGCCATGTTTGTACTGTGTCACAGTCTGCTAAGACTGGGATGGTTCACCGACACCGCCATCAGCGGTTCGATAGCGGCACGCTGCATAGCGAATTTCACTCTCTCGGTCAACCTACCAATGAGACTGCTCTCCAAGGGAGAGAGTAGTGATGAGACCAGGGTGAGCCGCAGATGGTTCAAGTCGTCTAGTGGGCGATCACACTTTATCGAGCATTTCGCGCGTTTTGGTATTTTGGCTGGTCCTGCGAAAAGCAAAAGCTGGCACCTTGGCCAAACGCCTCACCGCGCCGGCCCTTTTCCCCGTTACACTTAGCGACTTTAGATCTCGACCTTAAATATAGCTTATCGTCGTCCTCTTTTCTTTTTCCATTTTTGCGTATTATTCTCGTATCATATAAGGCCTTGACGGCTGTGCCGCCAAACATTCTTCACTCTTTGTGGTGCAAAAAGCTCGAGTCAACTCGTCATCCTCGTCATGCTGTCGTCTTAGTAGAACATGTCTTGGGTTATGGTCTGATGTGAGTTGAACGACAAGTAAACCATCCCAGTCGTGGCTGCATACAACGCAGACTGTAACTAGGTAGGCGGCAGGCACGCAGGGCACGGCTGACGCGATGCTATGGCCAAAGGCGAAGGGATCAGTCAGTATCCGTATCAGCCCAGACTTCAGCACGGAGTACAAGCCACTATCACCTTGAGTGGCCGCTTGTGGTGCTGGGAATGGGAATGGGAATGGGAATGCTCAAGGTAACGGTTATCCGGGAACGTGGGTCCGTCTAGTGTCTAGTTCCACGATGCGTTCAGCTCAACAAGGGTGATGATAGAATAACTCGATCACTCCGGGCCGGTTTTGGTTTTGGTTTTGGACATCGTTGTTCTTGGTGCAAGACGTCAAGGTATGTGTTCTGTGTCGCAATGATAGCACTCCGCCATGAGCTGACCTGTTGACGGCAGAACCCGTACTGTACTGTACTGTACTGTTCTTACTGTACTCCGTACGTAGCGTACGGATTAGAAGCATGGGATGGGATTTGGACCCGGCGGTTTGGGTTGGCCAAACAGTGTGCTTGAAGTGAGGCGGGAGGGCTTGAACCTGCAAGGGATGTCGGGTAACCCCGTGTGGAGCCTGGTAAGTTGAGGCGGGATAGTACGCGATTGGTGCCGCCTGACTGGTTCCAGCATGTACACCTTGACCAAGTCGGGACATGATTGGCAGTGAGATCTGACTATGGTAGTCTGGGGCCTCGCCTCTGGGCAGCTTCAAGACTGCATGAGTGTGATGGATGGTGATGGATTCATTCACAGGGTGATCGATAGGCACTGCAGCGGTTCTTCCATCACCATCCATCCATTCATCTATCCATCCATCTTTGATTCCTTCGATAAGGGCGCATCAGCAGGTACAGATGCACGGCGCCTGACTTAGGGTCTCGAGACCACGTTTTCCCCTAATTCGATCTATCAGGATCGGGTGAACAACTTGTTCTATTGGCTGAGAAGCGCAAGTAGTTCGTTGCTATCCTGCAGAGGCGTCAGTGGGTATCCTTCTTCTGCATGTCCGTCAAGGACGTGAGTTAAACCCAGCTTCTCGGCTGGAGGGAGCTAATATTTGACTTACCAAAAGAGGTGCTGGGCCGATGCAAAGGAGAAGCGGTGATGACAGGAGATATGCTCAATATTGGGTTGTGCTTGCTTATGCTTGAAACATCGGTGTGCATGTGCATCTGCAAACCCGCGATGCCATCACTTTCGGTATCCAATACTGTTAGAGCCATCAAGTGTAGCCGCCGGAGTCCCTTGCACCAACATTCCATAGCTTCCTTTTTCATTAGTTTGGATTGGGGATGGGCTTGGTGAAGACTGAAGGCACCAGAAATTGAAACTGTTCGTGTAGGGTAGGTCGATAGCCATATTGGTCAGAGGCAGGGCGGTGAGTCATGGAAGAAGACACGGTAGGGATCAGCAAGAAAGGCAGGGAACATAATTGATGATAAGTCTAAGGTAACTAATGGGAAGGAATCCTCTATTTGTAGGTAATTCCCTTCAATTTACCAGCTGCTTCCTTTTCTGCCTGTTTAGGCAGCTTTGGGTTGTCCTGCAGGTTGTCTGGTTGCCTGACAAACCTACGCTGTTTTCGCAGGCACCATCCAACAAGCCACCCCCGATATACATACAATCACATGAGGGCATATGTTTATTAGGCTCTTAACTGGTCGCTTGGCAAGGTATTATGGTGATGGGACTGAATTTTGAATCGAGGAAGCAAAGTTGAGATACATTGAACTGCTTTGTTGTTGTTTCTCGTGAACTCACCCAACTATCTTTTACCACGAGGAAGTTGCGAACACCAGTAACTCGCAATAACCATTATTGACTACCCAAATGTTTACGCACCTGCCCGACATTGATGTAACCAACAGGTAGACTAGGTGCTTGCCTACCTATGTCGCGAAACTGCAGTTATTATGAGTATCCGTAGTTACCTTACCGATAATATTCAAAGATCAAGAAGGTGGGATATTACCGGATAGCGGAACGGGCCTAGATCCGATTTCCGACGGAAGCCAACCCGCTAACGTTAGTACTGTGACCCACTCCTTACATCTGTCAAGTCAATTGGCATCAGCACCAACCTTCAACTCCCAGATCAAATATCACCAAGTCCAAACCGACATCTCCACACATATATCCAATGCCTCATCAATAGCATGCCACCTCCTACCGATGAAGAGACGCCGTTCCCCTCATTAGAGCACTCAACGCTCCATGCGTTCGGCCGTTCTCATCTCTCCCCTGACGATGCTTTCGTGTCGCCTCCTCGTGGCCCTCGGGGCCGAAGTCGAAGGCGTAAACGTCCCTGGAAGAAGCTGATGTGGGTAAAGCAATCATGTATGGATATACTTGTTGCCTTGTGCGCAATTGAACGCGACTGCTAACGCATTGAGGCGATAGACCCTGATAACTACACTGATCAAGCGACCTTCCTCGAAAATCTCCAGCGTAACCCCCGCCTTAAACCCTACGATTTCTGGCCTCTCGTTGCCGATTCTACAGTGATTTTGCAGCATGTGTGCTCTGTAATAATCTTCGTCGTCTGCTTTGTTGGCATATTCCAAGAGCGCGTGTCTCCTGTTGCTGTTACAAGTTGGAGCAGCTTCGCTACATTTGTGGGATGGATTCTATGGGAACGTTGGCTCTCCGAGATTGAAGAACCCGACGACCCGAGTCTTGGTGTGGCAGCGAATGTTATGGGGAGGGCCGGCCGCACCGGTAGCTTGAGACGTTCAACCCGTACAGGGAGCATCCGGCGTCCGACTCCGCTCCGGATCGAATCGGCGCCGTCGACTGCCGCACCATCTGTTGCCGCCTCTGCTGCAAGCTCGACGACCAACCTCCATGCGCCCGCCGCGTTACAACGACCAACGTATGCTTCGTCTGTCTCGTTAGCTAGTGGTATTGCGCACACACCGCGAGCCAGCCAGGAACATCTTCCTGAACTACCTCCTCCGCTCCTGGCAGAAGAAAATCGATACCGACAACGAATTGAGACGGTCAAGTCTGCGATACTTATTTACTGCACTCTACTTGGATTGAGTCCGATCCTCAAATCGCTCACACGATCAACATCGAGTGATAGCATTTGGGCCATGTCGTTTTGGCTTCTCGCAATTAATATCTTCTTCTTCGACTACTCGGGCGGCGTGGGGGCCAAGTTCCCAGCATCACTGTCTACAAACGCCGCCCTGATGGCATCGACCGTACTGGCCAGTCGACTACCCTCCACCAAGCAGGTGTTCAGCTTGACACTCTTCAGCATCGAGGTCTTTGGGTTATTCCCAGTATTTCGACGCTATGTACGTCACCGAAGCTGGCGTTTCCACATTCTTTCAGCGATTCTGCTGGTTTTGGGGGCCAGCTTCGGAGTAGGCCTCATACTGCCTGATCCCAAAAATACGAATGGATGGCCTTGGAAGAGCGGACTGGTGGGCATGATTGTGGGAGTAATAATTGCCATACTGGCTACAGGAGGCTGCAGTTGGTGGCTGATCGGGCTTCAAAAATACAAGAACGAGATACGAGGCCCGTGGGACCCAGCTAGACCTATCATCATGAACAGGCCTCGATGGGATGATGAATCGTGAGGTGGGATTGCTTGATGGATAATGATAGATGTTGATTAGAATTTGCGTTTTCTCGTTAATAATGCACACGCAATTGCATTTGTGACATAATATTTTAAGTCTGTCGGAAGGAAACATGTCGAACTAGTGACAAAAAACGGTCGCACGAAATGTGCATTTACAACGACAATTGTCGTCTCGAGGTTCCGCTGTATAAGCAATTGCCAATGCTACATGAACCTGGGTAGGGCAAGCGTATGTTATCCATCGGCACTAGGATCCGAGATAAGATAATTGTTTTATGGGGTACGTAGTACGGATACAGATGTGAAGAATGAGGTTGGAAATGTGTTACTCCGTACTAAACTACCTAACATTCGAAGCCGAGAACTTACCTTGACCAAGGTTTAAAGATGATCGGGATCGGAATGATATAAATGGTGTGGTATGCGTGTATTTTAAAGGATATTACTCCATACATCCATGGACATATCCAAGGTGTAGTACATACGTAGGTACTTAGATATCCACACTATCACTACCTATTGACGTAGAGGGAGATATGATGCGAAGGAAGGACTAGAAACGCTGGTTCATAACATCAGCTTATGTTCCTCGAAACGCGGAGGGCTGGCGCATACATGGAATTCGCATTTGGATTATGTGTCATGGTGACATGAGGCTATGTACCAACCATCCAATAGTCACCTGATGCAATGCAGGTCTTCACTCCTCAGAGCCTGTCCGTCTGGTACTCCGGATACGAAATGCACTTGCTGATCTTTGCGATAGCTGCCTGTTGCAGTATTGATCTGACCCTGCACCACAGAATGCAGCCGCTAGGATGGCTAGGAGAGGGTTATTCGTTTAAGCATCACCGTGTTTCGTGGTGTTGCACTCTGGCTTCAGCCATTTCAGCCAAACAACCAAAGCATTTTAACCAGATTTAGAAACAAGTGTTCCACCAACGAATGGGTAGGAAAGCGTTGGATCTGTGCCCGATCTCTGGGGGAGGAGGGGCGAAAAAAAGAGGGCGATGAGTCTATGAGAGAGAGAGGGATACAACGCAGTGCGCGTAAATGTGCATCTGCCATCACATCCATCACATCAAGCCGCAAAAGTCTTAGTGAGGCACTTTGACGCGTAAGTGCACGTCAAGTTTTCGCTACATCACGTCGCAAACTGCAACGCATATGCATACGCATGCAGGAGGGGGCTTATAAGCTGACGAGGTTGCTATTAGAGGAAAGATGTCATCTGTTGTGTTGTGTTTTATGGGAGAAACGCCGTAAGCTCAGCCAGCTTGAGTGAGAAGTCTTTGCAGAAGCTGAGTTTGAGGAGTTAATCTAGGAATTAATTTACGAATAGAGCAGGTAGATTAGATGTACCGAGTATCAGCTAGAGACTGTTGGCGTGTAGCATACCATCCCTGAACGTGGCGTAGCGCGGCTACTGTTGAGTTGAGTAGAGTATGCATTTGCAGCCCGTTATTATGGATAGATAATCAGCCCTTCCATGATCGATTTACTTCCCTCTATTCTGTTTGCGGTCAAATGTAAGCCCAGTATCCCTTAAGGAAACAAATGTCAAGATCTGTCGAGAGTAAACAAACGAAACGAGCAACATTGGAACAGCAACGAGAAAACCTTAACAGTTTAAGGTTACCCAAAACTCAAGTTTTCCCCCCAAGTCCCGTGTCCCAACACAAATAGGACCTTCTCGATCGACGTTTCTCTTGTTGTCTGGGGCAATAAATCCCTAGACCAAGCCCAAGCACAGGTAAACCCCCCCCTCTTCTCTTGTTTGGAACATGCGGGCAATGCATACCAAGAAAACGCCATGGCGCAGCCCCCAAACGGCACCCGGCACCCGCGACAGAAAAGCTAAATAGACACAAGTCATATAATAAAACTCAATTTTCTCCCGAGGCCTGGTACCGAGCACAGAGATGCGCCCTTTGGTGATACCGTAATACAGAGATGAGAATGAAAGAGTAACTCTCAGGCGATGACACCTGATAATTACGGGAGTTGAGAGGATACAACACTGCAGCGGGCAAAGAATATGGTGATGGACAGGCCATTAGAACTCTAACAGACCTGCAGACCCACCTAAAAAGGTCAGCGTCTAGTCCCCGAGGTGCCCAGTGATTGGCCCCAGGGGTTGTTTGAACCAGGGGTCCAGGGGCAAAAGGTCTAAGTGAGACCTCCATGCCCTGCCGATAGTCGACACTCGATAATTACTCAATACTGTTGTAGTAGCCTGTAGCTCATAGCTCATAGCGTGCAGCTAAAGTATCAGGTCAGTCAATATGTACTAAGAAACCAGCCACTAGACTAATCCGAAGGGCCCAATGGGATCGATCATAGGATCGAGAAGGTTTTCATTGGATTGATAATTGATTATGGAGGCTTGCGGGAGTGTCAACGTATTGCCCCTTTCAGCATATAAGACGCCGGAGCCCATCCTGCAAGGCATTCTGTTTTCTCCTGCCTCCTGTAACCCCTTCGTTTGAATCATTGTTTGAATTGCTGTTTGATCAAGTCTGCTATAAGCTCATTTGCTTTTATACCAATCGTTTCAGTATCAATCAATCACTCACCTCGAATTCAAAATGAAGGCTGCTCTCTTCTTCGCTGCTGCTGGCCTTGCTGCCGCTCAGAACCTCAGTGGTCAGCCCGAGTGCGCTGTAAGTTCACCACACCGTCTTCCACTTATACAAACCCAACAACTAACAATGCGCAGCTCAAGTGTCTCCAGGAGAACATCCCCAAGGCCGGCTGCAAGCTCGACGACACCGCCTGCCAATGTGACGCCAGCTTCCAAGAGAAGCTTCTGCCTATCATCACTCCCTGCCTCACCAAGGCCTGCGACGTTACCGACCTCGTCAAGGCCCAGTCCGCCGCTGCAGCAGCCTGTGAGGCCTACGCCAAGACCGCCGGTGCCGGATCTGCCGCCGCCACTACCGCTGCTCCCGTCACCAGCGTGAGCATCGACACCTCCGTGACCGGCTCCGCCACCGTCCCCGCCATCTTCTCCAGCATCCCCGAAGAGAAGCCCATTCCTCCCGTCACTCCCCGTCCCCACAACGGAACCACAACCAAGACTGAGGCTACCACTCCCACCGGAACTGGCTCCGGCGGTTCTGGAGGCTCCGGCGGCTCTGGCAGTGCTACCAGCGTTCCCACCGACGCTGGTAGCTCTGCCGCTGTTGCTGGCCCTGCCTTCGGTCTCCTCGCTGCTATCGCTGCTTTTGTTGCTCTGTAAGAGCCTTGATTTCGATTTTCTTGCACCTAATACAATTCAACTGGATCTCGGAACATACCTTGGGTTATGCCGTACAGGGAATTAATAATCTGCTGTCCCATGGCGACAGTACAAGAGCTGCTTTTGGGGGACAACAATCTTCACTTACCATTTTGAACAATGGGAAAAGTAGTAATAGATACCACACTAGCTAGTAATACATATACGCCTTCAAAGATTCGGTTCTCATAGCTCGTGATAATGATTGTATTCTATAGAGGTCTGATCGCAAAGGCTCCATTTCATGCTTATGCTAACTCGTCAGCCCGAGCCAAATCAACGTCAATTAGCCACGGTAGCTGTATAGGCCTGTAATTTATATCCATTATAGCTCCGTTGACAAATAGTGTCTGTTTCCCCTGTGCTAAGCAATCATCGCCTTGAGTGAGGTCTAGATGCTTAGCCCTCCGTTTGCTCATTTCAATGAGTTTTGTCTTTGTCGTCTGGACCACCTCTTTCTTCTGCGTTATGGGGTTCGGTCGTAGCCCCTTAAGCCCAACCTTTCGTGATCGCTCCTCATCAATATCATCGCCATCCCAGGTTACATGGTGCATCCCCCAGGCTTCGTGGATATGTCCAAAACAGTGGATTCTGGGCTTTGCGCGGGCGACAGCCGCAAGGAGGTCTGGGCAGCCAGCGTGGTTTCCCGACTTGCCCGCAAAGTCGCAGATACCATGCGGAGGGCCGTGAGTGATAGCGACGTCGATCCCTGTAGGAATGCTGAAGTCGTGACCATACTCATACTGAAACGCCCAGCCACCGTAGGCAGGAGTCCACGGACTTGCATATACTTTCAGTAAGGCACCGTTCTTCAGAGTAAACTCATGAACGCCCTCTGTCAAGTACCGAACACCATCCTCCTCGGCACTCTTAACAATCTTCTTGACCTTTTCCAGAGTCTCCTCCGATCCCCCATACTTGTTGATCCAGTAGTTATCATCGAGTGCAGTATCGTGGTTGCCTGCAATGGCTAGTTTCAGGGGGGCTCTGATAGACCGCAACACTGAGAAAGTTTTCTCAAACTCGGGGATCGTAGTACGCTTCGTGAGGTCACCGCAATGGAGAACGACATCTGCTTCTGGTAAAGGCTCTCTCCATCCTGTAGTTACCCGCATAACATCTTTCCCGTTGAGTTCATCCTCAGTGCTGGGTTCACCTTTGTTCTTGGGCTTTGGCTTGGATCCATGCGTGTCAGACATGATGAGGAAACGAGTTTTGATGGATGTTGAAACAGATGGTTTGGGCATTTTGGTAAAAAGTCCTCTTTCGTGTCGAAGGATTAATAATAGTTGCAACAATAATTATTGTTTATCAAGCGCTCAAACAACCACTTGAGAGTCCAATCGAAGTAGGTAGAGACAGTACCGGGAGTGAGTATGTTGATTGCTGACCAAAATCTATATAGCGTGTTCGGTTTGATTTTAAAACAGGTTCCAAGAAAAATGAAGATGAACAAAAATGTTAGTACAACAGCAAAAGAATAATGTTTGAGTATAAGTTGACGTTATGAGATCCATGTGTCTCAACATTCACGCTGACGTCTACAGCTGTGCAAAGTGGGCCTTCAGCCCTGAGCATAAAGTAATTCCTACGCGGACCCCTACTCCAACTGCACTCCTCGCCTGTGAAACTAGACTCAACATCTTCGCACGCAACACCAAACAGTCGCGACCCGTATACTATAATATACTATAACGACACCTTCAACATCGATAAAAGCCTTTAAACATGGCGACCGAATCGTCCCAGGATGTTCCAATGGGGTCACCTCCACCTGCGCCTGCACCTGCCCCAGCAGACCAGGAACCCAAATATGGCGGCTACTCACGATTCGAGATTGAGCTTGAGGTTTGTCTTCATCCTTTTTACCAGTGCAGCTTATCCATAGGTAGCTAATACTAAATTGCGCAGTTTGTACAGTCCCTTGCAAACCCAGCCTACCTCAACCATCTTGCATCCCAGAAGCTCCTCAGCCAACCCGCCTTTGTTGCATATCTTGCATATCTCCAATACTGGAGCAAGCCGCCGTATCTCAAATACCTTACCTATCCCGGCCCGACACTGCGACATTTGGAGCTCCTCCAGCAAGAAACATTCCGGCAGCAGATCATTAGCCCTAATGTGGTGATGGCACTCATGGATGAGGGCATGAAGGCCTCGGTCGACTGGCATCGCGAGAGCTAGGTCCCTGCGAAGTCGAAGCATCCTGCGCAGGGCAGTAAGAATCACACAAACGATGCGAAGATAGGTCACGACACCACGGATAATAAGCAAGTTCCCAAAAAAGACGAAGCGAAAGCGTAAAGGTCCACGTGGGAAGAACAAAACCATTCCTGCAAACCCAACTTAATCGCGATCCCTCGAGGACGGATATTCTTGACTGCCTACTCTTTTGAAAACACAAGCATACCATGGCCCAACTCCGGTTCTCCTCGCACAAAGAAAAAAGCCCACCAACTCGAAACCCAAACACAATCGTTCTCCGAGCTCAGTTTTCTCTCCATCGGTGACCGCAGGTCATGCACTTGTAGAAGCTTGTCATAGGTTCATCGGCACTGCGGATCTGGACCTGGAAGAACGCGGCCTCGTCGCCATCGCATCCGTCATTGGGGCATTGGACCTGGCCCTTCTGCGCATTGTCCCAGGCGCCTGGACCTCCAAAGACATCTTCCCTCTCGACCCGCTCGTACATTCGTCGCGAGAAGACGGGCTCGGTGATGTGGTGCTCGAAGGGGCAGGTGCGGCACTCGAGGCGGTTGGTTCGTGTGCTTGTGAGGGAGACGGTGAGGATGTTTGCGCAATGGGGGCAGACTGGAGTGGAGGTTGGGTTAGTTTGGAACAGGCGCATGGATTTTGGGAGGTGATTCTTACAGAGTAACATGATGGCGGTTTCGCTGTATGGGGCAGGCAAAGTATCTGGAGGGCCGCCGCTTCGCTTTCTTGTGTTTTGGTAATGGACGTCGCGATTGTAGGATTTGCGCTGTTGAATAGACAATCTTGAAGTATGACTATTTTTTTTATTTTATTTTTGCCGACAGCGATGAACTGGAAACTGATGCTTTGATCGGCTGGTGGGGCACGACTGGCCCGGTTGTTTTAGCGCCATCCTCCCCGCCATTTCCGCCTAATGGAAGCTTCCTGGACTGGGCTGGTAGGCTGCCCGGGCATCTGAGCCTCAGCCCTCAGCGCCCCTCCAAACAGCGACGAAACACTCAAACCCAGCCTGTACATGATTTTTGATTTTTGGTATTCACTGCCACCTCTCTTGAGCCACACCGACCACGACGACTTCTCATTTAACCTGTGAAGTTTAACAAATCTCTACCAGAGCCAGCACCCACTCTCACGAATTCACCAGAGAAGGACGTCAGATTCTCTAACACCGACTTTCGTCATCATCAACCCTGGGATTAATACCCCGCTCCCTGCGGCTTGAGTTTGAATTTGAATATTGAGGGACCTCAAAATGGCCGGCGACGATGAGCACGATGTAAGCCATGATTCGCTCCAACTGCAATTTTACAGATCGTCACACTAACTGCATATCTTACGTTAGGGCGCCTCCGTCAAGGAAATATTGATCGCAGCCTGCCGCGGCAACAATACCGAACTTCTTGACGAATGCCTCGAGGATAAATCCGATGCCGAGATCTCAAAGCTCCTTAACGAGACTACAACTGTTATGGGCAACCATCTCTACCACGAAGCCGCCTCCCGAGGAAACTGTGTGCCTCACATGTATCCATACATACGCATGATTCAGACGAGCTAACCCACCGCCTTAGACGAAATCATCGATCATCTCCTCGACCAGCCCGAATTCGAATGCGATCCTATCAACCGCATGGAAGGCGACACACCTCTTCACACCGTCATCCGCTGGATAAACTCAGAGCCTCCGGCCCAGCGACCTTTCGGCAACGCTCTCGTCGAAATGATGCTTGAGGCCGGCTCTAGCACGCGCGTCAAGAACAAGGCCCGCCTAACTCCCTATCAGCTTGTCGACCCCACAAACACAGAACTTCGTGAGCTTATTCAAAAGCATGAGTACGCAAACCAAAATGCGGGAGACTTCATCAACGTGAACAACTCAGCTAGCCACGACGGTGCGGTGCTGGATGCACAAGACGATAGTGACGATGACGCTGAGTTCAGCGGCAGTGATGATGAGGAGCGCGCCGAGTGGGAGAGGAGGCGGAAGGAGAAGCAAGGCAAATAGTTTAGCGAGATGGAGCATACGACAAATTCGAATATAGAGGCTGCTTCACATTAAGAAGAAGTAGACCAATACATGGGTGGACATAAACATGGCATCTCGGAGCGATAGAACCTAGGTAGCTTACGCAAAGGTGCAAGAATAAGTATTTTTTATTCAAGGTTATCGAAAAAGGGGTATAATCGTTCTAGTAAGGAAAATGATGCTGATTCCTCCTCCTCGTCTATCGTGCCGTCGTATACGTTTATTCTGCAGTGCGATCGCTCAAGAACAGCACCAATGACCAGGAACCAGCCTGATCCTCAACAAAAGAAACTGTGGGCAGCTCTTGCGATTGTCAACCTAGAACGCTTAGGCTGACAGCCATAGTGCAGTTGCCAACATTGCAGAAGCCATCATCAGTTCTCTTGGCGACACATGGTTTCCGAGGCTCTTTTCAGATACAATATAAGTGACGTCTTTGAGCTTCTTCTGTGTCACCTCTGTTAAACTGCCAGATTCTGCTAGCTCGTTCATTTCATCTCCAAGTTGTCTCAGAATGTTAGTTGAGCGACCCTTGGGACACATGATCACTTCAAACCCTCCACCTGTAGGAATGATGAAAGTGGACGCCTGGTCATCAAAGGCAAAGCTATATGCGTCAGGGCATATGATTTTGGCTCTCTTGCTGTAAGAAGACGGCTTGCAAACATCTGGGTCATGATATTTTCCAACACAGCAGTCCTTGTCGGTCCCGTGTGCAGCGCATGCGCTGTTGCAGGGGGAGAACTCTGGCCGTTGGATATCATCGTCTGGGTAAGGATAGACGCCATCCCCAGGCTTAGTGGGTGGGAAAGCAAGGTACTTCCATGGACACCAGTTACGGGCATTGTCGCTGCTGACTCGAGTCTCCAGTGGAATGGGGTATGTCGAGTTCGTGTAGTAGGTACCGGTGTCACTGCTGGCATAGATCCAACTAGGCGATGCAATGCAGGCGCAGTTGGTCAGGTTGGGTGGGATGAAGGTCGTGTTCTTCGAAGGTATGTAGTTGAGACCCATCGGGAGATTGTATCCATCTACCAACGAGATATCATAGAAGGTTTGTTTCCCATGCATGCCACCAGCTAAGGTGAATTCGGCGAGTGTTGCTGGCGTTGAACCCTGTTGCTGGTTAGAGTTACGGATACACAAAACCTTATTGGCGCAGAGCACTTACACTGGCTTCGCAATCCAACTGCCCGGAACAGTCTCCTGTTTTGCAGGAGCACGAATCATCCTCCACAGTACAATTTGTACGACCCCAAACTCGACCTTGCCAATCCCAGGAGACCCAAAGATCTTTGCTCTTTCCCTGCGAGAGCTCGAACCCTCCGGTTCCTGGACCTTTACCAGCCTGCGTTGCAATGCCCGGCCAAATGGTTGAGTCGCATTTATTTGTAATAGTCAAGGGTATGGTTCTTTCAGAGTCTTTTGGCTCCTCTCGATCCGGAGATCTAATTCGTCCTGGGAAGTGTGTAAAGTCTCTGTCTGAGTCCTTGGCGGCGGAATAAGTGCCTTTTGCTTCAGCAACCTGCAGAAAGAATCCAGCGGCAAGAGCAGGCACCAATACTCGACATATTGAGAGAACGCTACTAGCGCTTCTGTGATTTGACGAGGATACCATCTCACGACAGCAGAAGCTCAGTTTAGGTCGAAGAGCGAGTATGTCGAACAAAGGTTACTGGGATCGGATCTGATAAGATTGTTGAATAAAGTGACCTCAGATCCAAGTCCAAAAATGTAGCGAGTGTCAGCAAGTTGTGATCATAACGTCCAAATGAATATTCAAGCAGCAGCAAGCGAGCAGATATAAGACGAGCGATAGTGTTGGTATGCCACCAGGGTCCAGGGACGAAAGTGACGTATAGGCGAGGACGAGTCTGCGAATAGGGACTGCTTGTTTGATGCCCAGAAACGGTTTCTTGATCACCCTTGTCCAATTGATCTGCAACTCTTGGATAATTGGCCCAACGAGCAAGGGTAGACCAGCCTAGGGACACGAGATAGGGCTAGGTTATCGTCAAAGAGCAGCGGTGCGAGGAGGAGGTGAGGAGATGAAACAACCAGGGGTGATAGATATGATGCTGTAATGGCTATTTTTGGCGTTTAATCGTCCAAAGATAAATAGAGGAAAACAATTCAAAGGACAGGAAAAGGATGGAGACAAGCTCAAGAACCTGTCCAGAGCTAAGGAGAGAATCATGAAACAACAAGAAGGCCGAGAACAAGAAAGAAGACAAACGGGAAATGGCTGAAAACCATCAAAGCAACATGGTATTCCATGATGCCTGTGCTAGGGGAAGGGGCTATGGCTGGTGTTCATACCGTGCCCTGATGTTGGCTAACATGGCAGGTTGAAGATGACGTCAGGGTAGTCGCGAATCAAGACTTGATGAAGTCTCTCAACCTGGCATAGGTGAAATACCTACCGTGCAAACTAATATCCCAAGGAATTGCGATTAAAATAAGGATGAGTATTATTCCATATACTTCCCTAAGAAGAGGAGCCAATGAAGGCATTGCATATGTCAAGTCCATATCAACATCAATATCAACCTTAAACTAAACATGTTTGTTCCACGTGTGCTTGCACAGCCATCTTTGCCCCACCAAGTTACTAGGTCGGGCATTTTCAATATCAAGAACTCAGCTTTAGTATAAATCAAGATTGAAGAAGGAAGGGTACCTCTTATCTACATCGCGCGAAATCTGGGGAGATTTCCAAGCGAATACTTTGCCCAATTAAACGTATGAATAGTCACTCCAAAGATGATTCCGCGGTTGTGTTCATTCAACTAGAATTCGTCGTCTATATACGAGTAATCATCATGTCTGTCGTTCATGCATGCAACTCTGTCCCTCTTTATCCCGGAACGCAGCACCAGGCTCAGACACGCTGGTGTATTTACCACGCCCCGTTGTTTAACTTCTCAATACTAAATCCAACACTTTCGCCCGACATGTTGTACGGCCTCTTCAAATCCTCTTGAGGCAGTCTTGAAATAATTTCCCCTTGTGCGCTGATTAAGCCTCACCCTCGGGTCTGCATTTTCCTAGGTATCATTTGGTTTCAAAGTGAACCTTAAACTTATCGACTTTTGCTTTTTCTTCCGGTGTCGGCCACGTTTACCTGAAGCGGGAGCGGCAGCGACCCATGACCTCGCCTTGGCAGACAAGCTCGGCACTGAATTCTGAACCGTCCAGTGTCAGGTAAATATCGAAGTAAACGCGGTAAAATGTGCCCTGAGGAGTATCCATTCGTTCAAAGTCCTTCTCAAGGTTCTTGCGAGATAGATCCGAGGTAAGAGTAACAACCTCCTTGATGCCTGAAAACTGTTAGTACTGTGTTGTCGTGAACAAAGAAACTGTTCAAACTTACGAGGATCCTTGGTGTATTCAGGGCAAACATCGTCGTCACAGGCGTAAAGAACATCCTCGTACATGAGGGTGGCACCTGGAGCGACTTGTCGGAAGAAAGAGACCTTGACAGGCTCGCCGTTCTTGACCTTTTGGCCCTTCTGGACGAAAATCTGGCGAGTGAACTTGCAACGGTCCTTTCCATCCAGAGAGGGAACACGGTAGGCTTCGGGATGGTAACCCTCCTTGAAAGGCTGAAGAGTCGCCATGAGGTAGTGACGACGGGCGACACGGTGGGTAACGATTCGCTCTGTGATACCGGCAGTGACAGCACCCTTGACGATGGCGGCGACTGAGTCCATGGGTCGGACCACCTTGGATTGGAACTGAGGAGGAACGTGGAGCTTGATTTGCTGGAAGAGGTATTCGGAGGCACCGAAACCACCGACGACTAGGATATTTTGAAGGGTGCGGTTCTGAGCCTGAATGGCAATGATCTGGTTTCTCACAAGCTCCAAAATACGGTTGACGACGGGCTCGAAGCACTGGAGAATCTCCTCGTTGGTGAAGGTCATGTAACCCTCTTCAATACCAGCCTCGGGAAACTCAGCCTCGATACCAACATCGACAGCCCACTTCTGGCCGTTGTTTCGGAAATCAGCCTTGATTCGGTTCTCAAAGTCCATGATACATTTGGCGTAAACACGGCCAGCGGTCTTGGAGCCGTCGGGCAACTTCATCTTGCGGATCTTTGTGCGGAGGATATTGCTGAAGTTGCGGTTAAGAGCTGTTGAACCACAGGAGTCACCAGAACCAGCCGTGCACTCGGCAACAGTGAAAGGGTTTTCCTCTTCGACCTCGTAAGCGATCAAATCAACGGTACCACCTCCACAATCAACAATCAGGACAGCATCGTGCACCTTGAGGTCCAAGAGACCGGTCTTGGAACAGAATAGAGCAGCGGCCTCAGGCTCTGAAACGAGGGTCAGACGGTTGTCGTTCTCGTCACGAAGGAAGCCAGCCTGGATCGCAGCAGCTCGAGTGGCGGCCTTTCCGGCATCGTTCCAAATGGCGGGGACGGTCAGATAGTATCGGATGTTGCGTTCTTCTCGGTTAAAGACTTCACCCAACGCCTTTTGCAGAGCTGACCGCATAGCCTGTCGAAGCTTGAAGAGGTAGTCGGCGGCGACATCGATCTCGGACTTTCCTGGGGGCAGAGGAGGGAGGTTGATAGGGTCGATGTATGTGTTACCGCTAAGCATCAGTTGCAGCTTGAACCACTCGACCTTTTGCACACCAGGCTTGGGGTAACCAGTGGGGGCAAGGGCGTCAGCAATATCAGGTCCCCATCCTACCACCTTTTGATATTGATCGTAGTAGAGTACCGTGGGAATCTATCGAGTATCATTGTTAGCTGCCTGAATCTTACATCTCCCTTATTTGTTCTCATGCTGACATACCTTTTGCTTAGTATAGGAGCCAGCACCTGGCCACTCAGTGATAATATCTTCCTTGGCCTCGTTGTTGGTCGCGAAAGCAAAAGCGACACCAGAGAAGGTAGTACCCTAATGGTTGTCTGTTAGCCACATTGCTTCTTGTTCCAATAGCAAGCCGAAAGCCTTACGAAATCAATGCCGACAATCAGCTGAGCCTTGCTCTTGCTGGCACCCTCGACTTCGGCAGCAGGGCCGGGGCCGGGGCGCTGGAACTGCTGGTTCATGGGACCGCCTGGAGGTCCGGGAGGAGGATATCCTTGAGGAGGAGGTGGTTGTTGCCCGAAACCAGGAGGACCTCCCATCGGTGGAGGACCCTGACCCATGGGAGCCATACCGGGCGGGTAGCCCATGGGGGCTCCGGTGTTGATCGGGGGAGGACCGCCGACCATTTGGGTGGGAGGAGTGCGGTTAGGTTGTTGGGTGAGAGGACTGGTACGACCAAGAGGAGCTTGGCCGGGAGGAAAGTTTGCGGTATAGCTGGGCGGACGGTTGCCGGGACCCGGGTGATTCATCGGAAGACTCGTTGTCGAAGACGAATGGGCAAGCGGGGGAGCGTTGAGCTGCTGGTGTTGATGCTGATGCTGATGTTGGGGAGGCTGCGGTATTTGGCCCGGAGGAGGGGTTGGGCTCGGTGTCAGACCTTCAGAGGTCTGTATGCTCGCAGTTGACTTGCGTTTTCCGAAGCCAAGGCTTTTGAAGCGGGAGTTCATAGAACTCATATGGAAAGAAGGAAGAGGAGCAAAGGGGAGAAAAGGATGAGGAGTCGGACCCAAGAGGTCAAAAGAGACAGAAGCACAGGCACAGAGAGCGGCGAGCGAGGCGCCGCAGTAGGACGGGGGCAGGACGGACAGGACGAGGGGGGGTTTCAATGAAGGCGGGTTAGGATTGGGCGTAAGAGGGGGAGGGGAATTTGAGAGGAGGAGTGGAGGGTCAGGCTTGGGCTCGGGTCAGAAATTAGCACGGGGGGTGGGGAGGGGGCCTTGACAGTGGTACAGTACAGTAGCAGAGTGACAAGCAGCTGGAGCAGTTGAGTTTGCAGTTGTAGTTGCAGTTGCAGTAGTAACAACAAGAGTTCGAACCGGGTGTTATTTTCCCTTTTCTAAGAGGACATCTAGAGGCGGGAGTTATAAACTGCTTGAGTTGAGTAAAGGCAATTAAAGTGCAACTGTCAACGGTCCTGGCGGGGCTGGTTCCTGGTGCTATGCAGCTATCATGTGCTGTTTCGTCTCTTTCTTTCACTGTCTCGAGCTGGCAGTCCTCCGTTATCGTGTCCGTCCTTGATATCGCGGGAGTGTGAAAAGCAACAAAGAGGGGTGTGTGAGTTTTGAAGTCTTTGCTGGCTAGTTGGCTATTATTATTGAACTCGGGCTGAGCTCGGGCTGAAGCTGGCTTGAAGCTGAATGCACTCTCTATTGCTCAAAGTTTCCTGGTTTTAATGCTGGCGTAATGCTGGCGCAAATATTGACGGTGGTTGTCGGGTCTGGGGAGTGATTTCCAGTCTCCAATATACAGATATGGGCATCTGTAGTTTTAACAGTGATTCTGGCCGCTTTCTGAAGGGTCGTAGGGTCGTAGCAAGGCGGGTTGTGAGATTCGAAGTGGGCTTCTTTGACTGGCGTCGATACGCTATTACCGTTTCGAGAGACGATTGAACAAAGAGGCGCAGTCTAAGTAGAGAAACGGCTTGGCCGAGGACGCGGTAGATGTAGATGACGGGCTTGGTCAGTTTAGCGAAACAGAGTGCTTACTTATGAAGGCTTTGGTTTTGTCTGCACTCCGTATTGTTTGATCGTATGGTTATCGCTTGCAAGAGAGGAACGATGAGGATCCATGACCTGAGGACCTAAGCAGCTAAGGTCGTTCTTCTAAGGCAGGCTGAGGTGGCTGAACGAGGCGCTGCAAGCTGGGTTACTTTGTAGGCGCTCCTAGCTCGCAACCTATCCAATTGAGTGAGGTAATAGAGCCCGACCGCCTCCAGCGGAGACATAACCAGGACGCAGCTGACGGCGCTAGGATATTTCCAGCGGTTTAAGGCTGAGTGCAGGGGTTGCCCAGAGACCCAGAGCCCCATGCCAGGTGCATTTACTGCACTATCGAGTCACAGTACAGCATTAGGTTTGCAGGCTATTTCTCACCGATTCTCCGCTTCAGTGCAAAGTTCATGATCCCACGTACTGATCTTTGACTAATATGATTCCTGGAACATCTGTGTTTTGTGGCCCGAATTGGATTGGACTTTTGACTTGTTTTCGTGCTGCTGGGCGTAAGCTTGACCATTACCAATTGTCAAATTCCCAGACCAATCTGCCTCGTAGAGGTTTCAAAAAAGAACAGCCCAGGTGTTTGCTGACAGGATACGATATGACTGGTTGAGGGTGTCTTTCCTATTGTGGCTGTGAGTGAGGAGGTGGAGGCTCGCCCTCTAATTCTAATCCATCAATTACCTAGTTAATGATAAATGTTCCTTTCCTAGACATTCCTTGTGTCATTACCATTCTTACTGATAAAGATAGACGCCGATCTTTATGATAATGATAGAAGTCTAAAACGGAAGTCGATTTCTCTCGTATTAGTCTTTGGCTCAACGTTGAGATTACCGAACCGTTGATCATGACCTTCATTACGAGGATGGATAGTGGGGAAAATGCTGAACACGAGCCTTCTAGACAATGACGAATCTTGAATCTGCCGAGAAAGAGAACGACCCTGTTGACGTTGGCAATGACGTACCGGCTCCCTCAATGCTCTTACTATGAATTTGCCTTTCAAGTGACGATTAAAGTCAACTGCCCCAGACCTACTTAGAATAAGAAAGAAGGCTTAATAGTATTAAGTCTAGTCTAGAAGGAAGAGAGCTATTTATAATAGGTCTCAGAGATAGTTACCTTGATAGGTACTATCGGCTTGTCCTTGCTGCCTGGATAGGCTCTATGCATATCAGGCAGCAAGGCAAGCAACAAATAACTACAAACATAGGTATAGGCAAGCCTAGCCAACAGACCTTGGATATCAATGTCAGTGCCAAAGAAACTAACGGGTGTGAGCCTGATACCACGTACCAATTCTCATCACAACCATCAGCCGCTTTTGCCCAAGGCTCAGGCTTAGGCTCAGGCCGTGCCACGCTTGTTACGATTGGGTAGGACAAATGCAGGGCCCTGGATTTTAGTTCAGGACTTGGTAGGACTTTTTATGGAACGACTTCTTTGTTTGCTCTGTCTGATTGGCTGTTCATTCCCTCTGACAGTCAGCAGCATTGCTCAAAGAGAAGAAACCTATGCTTGAACTGCTTACAATACTGCCATCGAGCTCCTCTGCCGAGACGTGTAGACCATCGCTATAGAGGTCTGTCCAATGAACGAGTGTCTAGATGTATGGTATATACAATCTTGAGGGTTGTAGTAGCGCTCTATTAAGCCATAGCTACCATGAATGCTCGAGGGAACTTCGTAATCCTCCATCATTCGAATCATTGAGCTGAAATTGTACCAGTTACGATTTAAGTCTCTCGATGGATCCGTGGATTTTGAGAATCTCAAAGTGCAAAGAGCCATCAGGGGCGGCGCATTAGCTACTTATGATTATCATACATGCTCTCGCCTAAGGTGATTACTGGATTTATACATACTGCTAATCAATCGATTTTCAATACCTATGTACTATAGATTCATGGGTCTAGGTCTATCTACTTATGTAAGAAGATACGAAACCAAGTGATCATCGTATCACTCAACACCAGCGAGTTCAGTCACAGGTTGACACATATGAGCCAGCGGAGCTGCAACGCTGCATCATGAAGTATCAATTCACCTACGAGTCGTATAGTATATTCGAGGATGTTTGAGTAAGTTCATTAGAGAGGACATTTTCACGCAATCTAACTGCACATTTATGTTCCTGGAACTTGACTGACTGAGAAGTTGTGAAAGAAACATTCAAGACAACTTCTGTATCAAGGCTCTCCAAATTCTCTTCCGGCCATAATGGCTTTCGGTATCAGAGCTTCTTTACTTCCGCTCAAGCAATTCATTTACACGATGTTGCCTCAATAATTCTAGCTAGTGATACGTTACTGGCCAGGAAAAACAATTGGGAAACCCTTTCCATCCAAACTCGCATAGCTAATGCTGTACTTGAGTTCATGCTTTATACAGAATCTGGATCCAGATACGCATGCAAATTGATCGTGGGCTATCGTGACGCATGTTTGTTACACAAGTGTCCTGAGTCAAATAGCCAAGTTTGATACAATGTTGGGAATATGGCTAGTTCGTCCATGAGTGCCTGACGAGAAACGAGACTTACGAAATATACACATCGTCAATCCTTGGGTCATTCGCACTTAGTCTCAACGACTGGATTGCCACAGAAAAATCTCAAGTGTGAATATATATAATCACTATTAAGCATCCAGATTCGACGGAGTATATATTTGTACAGCATCGGGTGCCAATGAACCGGCTTGGTTGGGGCAAAGATGATCATGGGTTCAATTACGAGCTTGCCAATCATGTCAATGGACTAAGCCATGTAGACGAAATATGGCCTGAGATCATGGCCTGATAATAGCAATACTATTTGACGATAGAGGGTATTTGTCAGACATTTGAAACTTTTGGTAACACATTGGGTCTTACTTTTAGGCAAGGTTCGACATTATTTACCCAACAGAGCCGTCACTGGTCATGCGTGTACTCGAATTCTGTGCTTTCTTAAACTGTCTTACCAAGAATTACAACGGTATGATTTTAACTGCTTCATAGACATGAGATAAATGTATTGCTTATATATGAACGTGTGAGAAGCTACTGAGCGTACTCAGGGTTGTCGGGTGTGGCAGTACATACAACTAATATGTGACTGTATGAAGCCCTAAATGACTTGCATTATTCTTATGGATTACTGGTTCGACTAGAATATATCGGTGGCCTGCCGTTTAAAAGATTGAATAGCTGATTCTACTGGCTTTGGTCTGTCATCATGCACCATCTGAGACGGCATGAAGCAACCTCTAGCACTCACCGAGTATGACAGGCATCTGGAACTTGTTGAATGATATCGATCAGTAAGAGGAATGAAGAAACTTATTCATATCGCTGAAACTCATTATGTCGCCGTCGATGGCTAGAACAAGTGCAGATAATATTGTCGCTCATCACAGCAGACAAGACTGTTAACTGCCACCCCCTGGACTCACCACGAACAGGGTTTCCCTCATACTCTGATACTCAACTTGAACAGGACTGCCACAAAGGCTGGCTAGACTACTAGATATAACTACTGAGTCTCACTTTTCTCGGTAGTATCGCAGTCGTTGAAATCTCTTGTTGTAAGTAGGAATCAACAATCAGAACGGGCCAAACGTGTCTCATGTGTAAGAAAGATCGAAGGAGCAAAATGTCGTTGAACTGCCAGATTGTAATTGTAACATCATTTGATATAATTAACCCGACCGTACTGTCTCTTATCAGCGAATGCCATAAGCAATTAAGGCACTCGCCTCAGCCATGTTGTCCAAGTTGTCTGACACTTTGACAAGACAGCAGAGCTTTCTTGCTAATTAGTATCAGTATTAGGATTGCCCTAGCGAGGCGGTTATTAGGAGGTTGACAGATCATCTCTTCTACTAATACGTTATAGAAACCGCAGTGCACTTGGCAGGAATATAGTTTGCGAGTCTTTTTGGATACATCTACCTTAAGGCTGCCCACCTCACTCTCAAAACGCGAAAGACCTACAATATGGCGTTGGAGGTATTCAACCAGGTATGTATCAGTGTTCAGTTTCCCTATTTACTGTGATAGAGTTGTTGTAATGGCACAATGCCTGCGATGTAGGTCGCGTTCAGTAACTGATGCTCAAAGTCCTGTGACTGTAACAAACAGTTAGAAATGATGTTGGCTAAGGGACACTGTGCTATATATATATGCAGCTCGAGATTTCTTATGACAGATTTCTGAGATATCGTAAACTCTTTCGAATAGACATTCCTGAGCTTTGGAGTTTGATATCATGGTCATGGATGGAGTTGGAACTCAATGCGCAACAACGCAAAGCGCTGTAAAGTCATAAACAATGCGAGCCTGGACCAAGAGTATGCATGGTCCTTTGTAAGTGCGGTTACATGACTTGAAGCAAGCCATCGCGATCGCTGCAGCTGATAGACATAACAGACGTACCGATCGCCGATCTACTTGGGGATAGCGATAAGCATCCGAACATGCTCTCCGCCAAGAGTGATCAAAGTGCGTTTTCTGTTTTCTGTTCGATTGAAATGGGGTGAGCTAACGAAGGGATAACCGTTGCTGCATCGAGTCATTGACTCATGAGTGAGCTTGACAGAATCGCAGGGCACGTTGTATGAGCTAACAAGCTACGGTAGAAGTGGAAATTGAAGAGTACGGCAGGGATGAGCTTGAATGATCGGTAGTCACCGTTAAGGCCCGGAGACTTCGGATGTCCTCTTTCTGCCAACGGTATCACGAGAGAAGCAATAGCCATAGCCGAGGGTAAGAGAAGCGTCGAAACATCTCGAAATCAGCCATAGTATGCACGCATAGGTCAACCTGATTGGGGCGCATGACGTGCCCCCAATATCGAACATTCCAGTGCGGTATAACAAACAAAAATGTAACGAGATTCTTTGACATGTCCAAGGTTCTAAGTGCAGGGCCGGCATTGCCATCAAGGTTGTACTCAATTAAATCCTCGAGTTCGTCAAAAGTCACCGCCAGCAGCCCAAGCATTTGTTGTGGATATGGATTGCAGGCTATGCGACGTTCAAGGATGAGAGAAGAAACAAGACTTTCTAGTGTCGTACATCAATTAAGAGAAAGAAGCTGCTGAGCCGGGGGCTGGTCAAGGGGGGGTGGTTGAAAACCCTGACCGGGGAGAAATGTTGAGAGGGGTGAATATGATAGATAGCTTGGGTAGGGTATCTATCACAGCCCAAGGTGAGTCAGCGGTAATCTGATCGATATGTAAGCATGAGGTGTCAGGCATAGCTAGGTGATCATCGTGAGCATGTGAGCAAGTGGTTCCTTGGTGTTGTGGATAGGAATAGAAGGGGGGTCCGAGTTTAAGGGGTTTGATTAAGTTGACTCCGCTTCACAATACCTAGGTAGGTACGGATAGACATTCACAAAGAAAGAGCAGCTTGAGAAGCAAAAGTAAGAAAAGTCAACAGTTCTTGTTCCTTACAGTAGCTCTAGCTCTAGCTCTAGTTCTAACTTTAGCTTCAGTTCAAGAACCGAGCTCAACCTCGAGTTGGAGCTACCTACTAAGGTAACTACCATCTACAGTTTCTTCACCGTCTCTAGCTCTCCACTCTCCGCTCTCGGAACTCCCGACCTCCATCTCCATCTACCATTTCCAATCTCCATTTCTATCCCCATCTCACATCTGTAACCCACTTGTCTCGTCTCCTCCCGCAATCTTAGTGCTCCCGTCTCATGAAGGAGAAAAATCTATGTAGAGTGCAGGGCAGGTCCGGCATTCCCTTAATCGGCCTAGCTCTCCCCATTTCGTACCTGAGCGTGGGTGAGCGGGGAGAAACACCCGGAAGCGCTGCGTTGCGTTGCGGCTCTGCTGTCTCCTCGCTTAAGCACAAGCACAATCTAATAACTTGGACTAAAACTGACAGCCCACACAAATCTTCCTTTTGCAAAAGAAATGTCTTAAATCTTTCTGGCTCGCTCGGATCCGAACACGTATAGGCGTGGGCCGTGCTGGATATCCGGGATAAACCACCCCCACTTTCTTCTCTTTCCCCCTTGCACTTCTGACTTCCCTTTTTTTCTGTCTTTTTCTTTCGTCCCGCGTGATGTTTTGCAATCCCGGCTGCAGCCCGGAGTATGGAGTAATATGGAGTCTGGAGTACGCATATTACTCCGTACGGACCACCAGGATCTAAATTAGGAACCAGGGCCAGGGCCAGACAAGCTAGAATCTACTGCAACTGCAAAAGCAAAAGTCGCCTTCCAATTCTATTGCCACGAACTTACGAATCCAACTAACCCATCAAGGCATGCCGATGCTGTTTGACTCTTTGTTTTGTCTTGCTACCTACTCCATTTTGGCAACTCCAAGCACCCACGTCTGTTTCTTTTCCAAATTCCAATTTTTCTTACCTTGCTAGTTGTTGCTGTTCGGTCTTGGGTATTGGTACCCCTCAACTGTTCTTGGTCTTGATTCTTGACTGTTCACTAAGCACAAAAACCTAGCTTAGTCAGGCTCTTCACCTCAATGTGACATCCTTCATAATCGATAACAGTCCTTCTACAGAGGAGTTTGATCGCCCAATTGCAGTACCTAGGTAGTTTGTAAAAATAAATATGCACAACATAAGCCATTCGCTACTGTCAATTTATTAAGAGAAAAAAAAGATGTTTTTTTTTGAATATCTAAAGCGTGCTTCAGAGTCTGTACTACCTATATAATTGTAATCAAAGCCCTTTTCACATTCAAACTCCCAGTGTACTCAAGTTAAAAGGTCTGTAGAGGCTTTAGCTTTATCAAGATCAGAAACATTTCAATCACTGTGCATTGAGTGGTAGAGACAGTCTTAATTTTTAAAGGTTGTGGTATTATGTAAATAGATGTAGGCTTTTATGCTATACTAAAATTCAAAAAAGTCATACGCCGAGCTCCCATGCTCAAGACGCGCTATGCCAAGTCAACGCCAGAAATCAATCATTATACAAAAGCTTTGTGACTCTTGTGAACATCCCCTTTACATTATTTATTCATCATCTTCATCCTCCTGGAGCCATCCTCGGCTCATCTCAACAGCTCGCTCCCACCTCTTTCGTGATCGGCGGACTGACTTTTGATCAGCCTGAGGGCGGAAGACGGTGCGGTTCTTTCGGTTGACTTCGCGAAGATCCTCAAGCTCGTCCCAGACTCCAGTAGCGAGACCTGCTGCGATAGCAGCGCCCAGTGCCGTTGTCTCGCGCATGGCGGGACGGTCGACTGGCACACCGCTGAGGTCGGCTTGTGTCTGCATGCAAAGGTCTGAGTTGGAGAGACCACCATCAACTGCGAGAATGTCCAAATCATGTCCAGAGTCGGATGCCATGGCGTCGAGAATGGCGGCAGTTTGATGGCAGGTTGCTTCGAGAGTGGCTCGCACAATATGCCCCTTATTGGTGTGCTGAGTGACTCCGAAAAGGGTGCCCTTGGCGTCGTCAATCCAGTAGGGGGCGAAGAGGCCACTAAAAGCTGTCACAAATGTAACACCACCGTTGTCAGGGACAGATCGCGCAACAGTATCCACCTCTGCGGGAGAATTGATAATGCCCAGGTTGTTCTGAAGGAATGTGACACCGGAGCCAGCAACAGCGACACTACCCTCAAGAGCGTAGACGGGCTTGCGACCCTTTCCAAAGTCGTATGCAACGGTCGCGAGGAGACCAGTCTTGGAGATGACTGGCTCATTGCCAACGTTGTAAAGGAGGAAGCAGCCCGTGCCGTATGTGCTCTTGGCCTGGCCAGGTTGGAAACCGCACTGGCCGACAAGGGCAGATGACTGATCACCCAAGCAGCCGGCGATAGGTTTACCCTTGAGAATTCCACGAGCGAGGGACCCGTAAGCAGTAGGGTCAGAGGAAGGAACAATCTTGGGCAGAGCAATCTTGCTGCGGTCAACATCGAAGAACTTGAGAAGCTCATCGTCGTAGTTGAGGGTCTTGATGTTCATGAACATAGTGCGGCTGGCGTTGGTTGCATCAGTGACGAATATGGGTCCACCCTCACGATCCTTTCCACCATTGAGCTTGTAGATGAGCCATGAGTCAACAGTGCCGAAACATAGTCGGCCTTCATCATAGGCCTGCCGGACGGAGTCCACATTCTGGAGGACCCAGAGAAGCTTGACACTTGAGGGGTAGGTAGACAGTGGCAGGCCACAGGTTTCCTGGAGCTTCTCAGCGCCAGGCTTGTTCTTGAGCTCACGGACAAGGGCAGAAGTGCGAGTGTCAGGCCAGACGACGGCATTGTATAGGGCCTCGCCAGTGGTGCTGTCCCAGAGGATGGTGGTTTCACGCTGGTTTGTGAGTCCAATGGAGCGAATGTCGTTAGCCGAGTGACCCTGGGCGATGAACTTTTCTGTGGCCTTCTCGATACATGTCTCTACAGACTCAAGGAGCTCCATAGGGTCATGCTCGTGCCATCCGGAGTTAGGGTAATGGTTCTTGAATTCCATCTGATGGCTAGCAACAGGTTCGCCATGGCCATTGAAGATAAGGAATCGAGTTGATGTTGTGCCCTGGTCGATACTACCAACGTACCAGTGTTGTCGCCTCTCCTCTTCGGTCTCATAGATGTCCTCGGGAAGAGAGTCATGGTCTGAGTCAAGCTCCCCCTTGACTGAGAAGAAGTCTCCTGCGAGGTCTGCTGACTCACCAGGGCTGATAAGACCTTGTGGAAGCTGCTCATCAAGGAGGATATCAGCGGTTCGTGGACGCTTAGACTTGGGTTGCTGGTCAAAGAAGTCCTTGGGATTTATGTCATCGAAGCTGTCTTGGGCCAGACGAGGCTGTGCGTCGAGTGTTGTGAATTGCATCCTTGCACACGATGTGGTTGAGAAAGAGTTTATGAGTTTGTAGTTTCTGATATCGTGGCAAGGGAACCGTCCCTAGCAAGTATGGTTGTGCTTCTGCAAAGGGGGTGTTGTAAAATTTGAGTGTTGTTGTTGGTGTTTAGAAGTGATAGGTGGTGATGTAGGTCGTAGAGATGGGGGTTGATAGTTGTGTTTGAGTTTAGGATTATGTTTATATAGAAAGATGGGGGAAGTAGTGGTTGATATAGAGTTATGATGAAGATGTTTGATAGATGATGGAGATTGTACAATGTGAGATGAAGAGAATGGACTTTGAGGGGAGGAAGTCGGCCTTGATAAATGCTTCAAGATCGAGGGGAAACAAGGGGATGAAGGGTGGGGGAAGGCATGGCTTCCGCCTCGGATGACCATTGTGAGTTAGACACGGGGAAGGAGTGCCAAACGGCTGGAGTGGAAGTCAAAGGGGAGGGTAGATGCAACTGACAAGTGGTGTAGCTCAGCGACTTTGGGTGCAGTGCCTAGAGTACTAACGACTTGCAACGCCCACGCCCAGACCCGAATATGGAAGGAGAGCGGGGTGTTAGTTGTTGGGGATGCCTGCTGTGCCTCGCTCTGAATTCTGGAGACTGAGACTCTTGCTGGGGGAAGATCGATCGCTGGGTCGAAATCCAAAATCCAAAATCCAAAAGCAGGTTTGATTTTCACCCAGCTAGTGCCAAAATAATTACTGTACAGCAGTAAAGCGGGCCAGCAGGCTCGTGCTTCTCATACCCCAACCCCACTTTGCAGGTCAGGCGGACAGTTGAACTCCATGCGGAGCCCCGGCTTCGGGGGCCCATCCCACTGTTTATCCAGCGGGACACCGAAGGAAATAATGTCCACGTCTGCGAGTCCACACGGGGAAATTGAGCCTCATATCATGAGGGCAGAGTGAGATTAAGCTTACCGAAAGGTAGGACATACTCGAGGCTATCTAGCGAACTACTTGTCTCATTCTTAATCCGAAAATAGCCCAAGCTGCACGATCCTTAACCAAAGTAGTAATCCGGCAAACATTCTTTCATTCATTAATGACTCCCGGAAACCTTTTTTAAGGGGTGGACCCGCAGAGTCCAGACTCTGGGAGGGTTGCAGGGGCGTTGGGTTGACGCGTGCTGCAGACTCTATTGAATGATGGTTGTTGGATGGACTCCCCCCTGGTTGGTGGACTTTCTGTACCCGCCCCCAATTAGTACTGCTGCCACCCCCAACTGGCTTCTTTTAGGTGTCGCTACTCTAATTTTTTAATATTGGGGGACGGGATGTTTATGTCTGTTTGTCACCGGCAATGCTAATTCCAAAAGGCTGGGTTCGTTCCTGAGCCCACCAGCAAAAAGTCTTTGCGAACCTATGCATGGGATATGGGATGCAACGACAGATCTGGCCTGGTATAGCGTCTAGACCAATAAGCTGCTGCATGGCCTTCCTAAAAGGGTTAAGCGATCAAGACCCGTCAGGCCCAGCTTCGCTCTGACAAGCCAAGACACATTTGGGCATCAGAAAAGCATACAAATGTGAGACTGCCATTAGAAATCCATTTTTCTTCACTGCATTTCACTTAGTTATTCACTCGCCCTAGAACGGGTTCTCCGCATTCATTACAACAAGTGCCATTCTTCTTTCACTCCTTCTTCCAGACATAATCGCCCGTGGGATTAAACCGGTTTTGAAAACAGTGGCGTTCAACGTCACAGTTGAGGCAAGTGCGAGTTGAGCCGCAGGGGGGAGGTGGCTGATCGACGGGAACTAGGGGAAGGAAGGCTCGATGCGGTCTCGATGCAATCATTTGAAGATCACAAGTGCATCGAGATTCGAGAAATTTCAACAACATCATGGACATTTCCTTCTAACGTCACTTCTTAACGTCACTTGTAAGGCTGCAGCCTCTGAGAGATCGCTATCCTTCTCCAGAGTCCACATTTCAGCAACCCACTCGTGGACGTGGCTATGACACAACGCTTTAGCACATAAACCCAATGACGTTACACGGTTTCGTTCAAAGGCGGGACTGACTCCAGTCAATATGCAACCAAACGACAATCGTCAATTGACAATGTGAGTTAAATGATCGACCCGGCTGTATGATTCCATTCCTAGTACTTACATATGTCGATCAGATCCAATTATCCGGCGCAGACCCAGCCACAGTCATCAAAACGTCACTCCTGTGAGAGTCAAGACCCCTTCATGGGCAATGTCAAACGTCAACGGACAATATTCGACAAATCACCAACGCCCGATAACGGTTGTGACGTTGCGCAAACTCCAGGGTCCAGTTTCACCCTCACTGAAATCCTTCATGATTCAACCAATGCCGACACTGTCGAATCTCAGAGCTCTTTGGACCCCTCTCCAGGACCCCAAGACCCTTATGACGACCCTTACGATGATCACGAGTTAGATCAATTATTCGAGAGCCTCACTGAGCCCATTTCTCTTTACAAGTCAGGAACGCCACCGCATTTGGGTGACACCATAGATGAATTTGCTTTGAAACGGTCGGACCAGGATGCTTTGGCGGAACTTCTGAGGGAGGAATCATAGGAAGAGCCTCAACAGCCACCATCAAGCGTTCTGCGCACATGGAGCCGAAACTCGAGATCGGCGGACGAGTATGACCAGCGATTGCAATACTCTTCACCGCAGTCCAACTTAGATATCCCTGATAGCAACTCCGGATATACACCTTTGCCTGAAGGAATTGACTGGAGTAATATTGAAGAGCACATACGCCATACCGCAAAGCCCGGACCGGCAATTGGACGCTCTGTTGCGAATAGGAGCAAAACCCCCGAATATGGATCACAACCCGCTACACAAAAAAATGGGATACCTTCGCAATCTCGATCGTCAGCACCCACAAAAAACCCGAATCCAGCAATACTTGTTGGGCAAGCATTACTGAAGCCGTTCAAAACATTCTTCAATATTGGAGAATTATTAGACGCCAAAGCAGAGATGTACCGGAACCAACCTGGGATTATCTTTGAGCTCTTCGCTCGAGTCCTCTATTCAAGCCGTGAAAACTTTCACAAGAAACAGTATTTTCTATTTCAAAGTTTGCTCAATGATAACCCGCCTCATATAAACGGGGCTCTTCTTGGCTGGGAAGCTGGAAGTCCACTTGACTGCGCGGCTCAAGAGCTACTAAAGAAGCAATCATCACGTATGAAATGCTTTTGTCGATGTAAGTTGCGATCGGATCCCAAGTCAGAGATCGGCTGGGGCATCACTGTGCTTGAGATCCGCACAACAACATGGAAGGAAATTCAGGGGGCAATGGACATACTTGGGAGGAAAGATCTTGATGAGCCGGGAAATTCACCTGGAACTTAATGGGACATATGGCGGAGTTTGCTGTTGAAATGATTTTCCATTTTATGAGATAGACGTCGCTGGCTTGTCCTCTTGCTACATAACCCAACCACGTGTTCTGAGAAGGAGTGTACCAATCAAAATTCTATTATCTACCTCTTTATTTGTCTACTTGACTCTATGGAAAGTCTATCAACAGATTCAGGCTATGGAAAATATGCAGCATACCCTGAAGCTACCGTGTACTTAAAGTCAAGAGCACAGCAGCCTCAAGACACTTCTAAGCTAAAGATGGACCTCTAGGTCAAGTGTGCGCTTGTTTTTGCTATCCAGTTTTGAGAGCATTCATTACCTTGTCGGATAATTTGTCTATATCCGCAGCCTAAAGTCACTGTTCCTTAAGACCTTTCCAGACTTTTAGTTAGGCATAGTAAGGTTCAACAACGGGCCCATCTGCTTTTGAGCCACCGGTCTCAGTTGACGCTGCTCTGTTATAGTAAGAGGCTTAGCATCACCCTGACGTCGCTGCCAGCTCTCCTTGGTCTCGAGAAGGGCAGCATCTTTATCCTCACCAGTGGGGTCGGCAAACTGGTATGAGCGATACTCACAGTTTGCCCATCCGGTAGCTGTGTGATCCAGGTCAGAACCCATGCATAAACCTATAAGTGAACAGTATACTGCCACGACTTACCTCTTCCTTCAGGCACACCGTACCAGTCGTCCGTCATGAAGTGCAAGAATCCTCCGTGGGATACAACAACAATGTGCTCATCACCAATCACACGATCCCTCAGCGTTTTCCTGGCCTTCAGGCCACGAGCCGTCAGCTTCTCCAGGGTAGGCTCACACTCGCTCTGAGGGCCCTTATCGGTCCACGACTCCTCAACTTTCGAGTAATCAGCAATGCCCTGGAACTCAGCCTGCACCTTGGCCACAGGCGAACCAGTATCGCAAGGGTTGGCAGAGACTTCCTGGAAAACAGGAAGAGCAGTGATGGGTTTTAGCTCTTCGGTGCCAAAAGCGTGGAGGCAAGTGTAGACTGTGCGACGCATAGGTGAGGCAAAAAGCTTGGTAAGCTTATCGTGGTGAGGGAACTCTTCGCGGAGGGCAGCGCATTGCTTCTCGCCAAGGGGAGTCAGGTCTGGGTCCTGCATCTGCTCATTCTCAATGGAGAGGTTGTGGAAGCCCTGGGCGTGGCGGACGAAGTGGATTGTTGGCGCCATGATGATAAGACGATGTTTCAAAAAAGATGGGATTGATACGGGTGAGCGATATTTGCAAATATCAGTCAGATTAGTGATAAGAGTGATGTCTAATGAGGGGTTGATCGAGAGAATCTCTACTCAATTATTCTGACGATGTTTTATAAAGACCAGGTAAGAAAACGAAAACTTGCATCCAACAACATATGACATATGACTCAAAGCCCCTCCCGTTCAGCCCCGCCAAAGCCGGTGTCATGAGCTCCGGGTCCGGGCTGCGTAAGCGGAGCTACCATGCTGGGTGAGCGGCGTGCGCGGCCGTTAACCGCCGATTGGTCCGCGTTGGGCGTTCCGATGTGCATTAGCTCACACAGTCGTCCTGTGCCAGGCTATCGGATCGCCTTTATTGCCTGATTAGTATGTCCGGCTCGGCTCGCTGCCTCAAATGGTGCGTTGATGAATAAATATCAAAAGGTGAGAGAAGATTTGGAACATGACAAGGCAACGAGTATAACCGAGTCAACCCTGACCTAACATGAGCCATGACACACAGGATATGCCTTTACTATCCCGCCATTTTTTTTAGACCCTGATCATTTATCGAGCTACATACAAGGTATGCACGATCAGCCATAACTCACCGTTCGAGAATATTATCAAGCATCGTGAAAGTACGAGTGTGTCACAAGAATGGGTTGAACATTTCGACAGAGGAGGTAAAGGTATCACAGTTATACAAATCTTAGCTACTGGCACACATGGCCATGCCGTTCATGTGCTCTCGAATACATTCATTCTGAACTTCTACAACTGACCATCCGTTCAACGCCAACGCTTGACCAATCATGTAAGTCAAGCCCCAAATACGCGAACACAAGGCTTACGCTGCTACTCCAGCACAAGTCTAGAACTCAATCAGGGCCTCCTCCTTGATGGGTTCTTTGACAGGTTCTTGTTGCGGTACAGACGGGAAGGAGTCTTGCGTGTAACCGCCATACGCCCAGTTCTGCGGTGCAACGGGTGGTTGCTGCTGTTGTTGAGGCATAGAAGGTTGCCAGTACGCTTGCTGCTGTGGTGGAGGTGCTTGCTGACCAGGCTGAGAAGGATGAGGTTGCGACGGTTGGGGTGGTTGTGCGTGCTGGATATTAGGAGACTGAATAGGCTGCTGTGTCTGCGCAGGTTGAGCAGGTGTTTGACCAGGTGTAGGCTGCGAGGGAGCAGATACTGATCCTCCTGGATATTGAGATGACTGTAAATTAGGGTAAGGTGACTGGCTAGCATCGGGAGCGGGACCTGGCGCTGACGGTCCTAGAGGGGCCTGCTGTGGCTGCTGAGATTGCTGAGGTGTAAAGTAGTAAGAAGTGTTAGGGTCATTGGTGATTACCCCCTGTGGCTGTTGGGGTTGCTGGTTCGGATCTTGGGGTTGCTGTTGCTGTTGGTAGGGATCCAGAGGTGCCGAAGGTGCCCTGTTTTGCCAGCTATCTGTCCTCTGCACCTGCTGAGGATGAGGGTATTGGCCGGGCTGTGGTTCAGGCGGCACAGATCCATAAGAGGGATATTGTGGCTGAGGTGTTGCGTGTGGTGGTTGTTGGTAGTGCTGGTGTTGAGGAGGCGCTTGGTAACTGGGCCGTTGTTGTCCAGTATAGAAACTCTCTGCCCCTGCGGGGTTACTGGGCATCTGAGAAGGGATTGAAGGATAAGGCCCGGCCGGCTGGCGAGGAGGGGGCAAGGTGTATCCTCCCAGATTCTGCTGGCTGTAGGCCTTGGAAAGTCGATCCTCTAGCATGCGGTCGTAATATCGAACAACTGTAGAGAGCTTGGCATGGAGATCAAGAAGAGTGTCTAGATTGCGTTAGTTACTGTCGTTTGCAAACTGGAGAAATCATTACTGACCGTGCTTGCTCATGGTCTCTCCATATGTCCTTGCCAACTTGGGTCGCAATGTACCGATGCTATCGTAGAGCTCCTGGATCTGTGGTTCACGAAGAATAGTTCCTGGAGGCTGTGTCTGAAGGCGATCCACCAATGTTGAGAACAAGTTAATGTTCTCCGCCTCCACAGGAGTCAATTCATAATCGTTCTTGGGAAGAACAAAATTGTTGGTGGTAGAATTATCCACAGAGCTGGAAGTCTGCTCCTTCAGTACCGCAGCATGCCTCTTCTTCTGCTCCTCCATATCAGCTAGGGAGGCAGCGATGGCAGCTTTGAGATCGTCATCCTCCTCATCTGCTTGCTTCACTGCTAAGGCGTCTCCATTCGTGGTATAAGAAGTCGGAGCAGGTGCAGCATAGTTATTGTTATGGGTCTTGACCTCCTCCAAACTCATTGCCAAGGCTTTCTTCAAATCTTCGTCAAAACCGTCATCGACCCGAGCGTTTCGCGGTTGCATGGCCGATGTACTGCGCGTCTTATGAGGGTATGTTGGTGATCGATCAAGAGAGGGATTGGGGGGTTTGTGACCCTTGCTAGTGAGCTTCGCATAACAGCCATCGTCGACTCGTACAGGTGTCATAATTCCCAGATGGGGCAGAGCGACCACCTTGGCTGAGCACTGCTGGTCAAAACAGTTGCCGCAGTTTCGGCAATGATGCTTTCGGTTCGTAAAGGTGAAGGGAGTTCGGCATCTCATACATACGTCGGAGTCCGTCCACTCCGGGGGCTGGAATACTGTTAGCTAGTCTCCAGGATGGGGGTGGATGGTCATGTTTACCGCGCTGCTGTCAATCATGCTGCTAGCCACTGATGTTTTGGGAGGGAACTGATACCCGTCACGCTGCAATGTTCGGTATACCTCGCCGATGTATGAAAGCTCGTATCGGCCCTCAGTAGCGCCCGCCCAAGATTGTATAAGCTCGAGGATTTTTGATTTCACGTCAGCATTAACAGCAGCACCTCCTACTGCTTGAAGAAGCGACACGAGGTTGTCCATAAACTCTCGCGATGCGACTTCGGCAAGGAAGTGCGATCCGCCGTTTTTGACGCAAGTATCGCTAAGCTGATAGAGGTCAGCCTTTGTTATTTTCATGATGGTGACGAAATTCATACGTTCAGGGCGCTCAGCTGAGTGTTGGGGTTCTTGTTGCCAATGCGCCTCTTGAGGGAGCGCATCGCCTCTTTCGGCGCGACCGTCTTGGATCTAATAACATCGGAGATTTCGAGGTTGAGGGCAATATCTTCACTGTTTCTGCGAGTTAGCTGATGCTACTGTGACGAAAGCTTGTTGGCAACATACAGACTACTGCTGGTGGCCTTCTCAATCTGCTCGTCCAGGGCCGTGTTGGCGGAGGACGACCACCAACTCATCATCTTGGCTTGAGCTAGGCGATCAATAAGAGGGGTGTTGCGCTAAGGAAACCAAAGAAATCAGAATGGGCAGCGAGAATATATGTAGCGTTTCGGAGATGACGATGCACGATGATGGTGCAAATGCTGTCGCTGGTGTCTGATGGAGGTTTAGGTGGTGGCTTGCTGGATAGATGCTCTCGTTAACCCCAGCCTCTGTCTGGTAGCGGCGACTGAGATGCTATTGGAACTTACGTAGGTACCTAGAGAGGAACCTCATCAAGTTAGCTTACGTGGATTTGGATTGGCCGAGATCAGGCAATGATTCCACAGCAGGGCACCTGGAGGAAGCCTAAATAAACCCCACTGGCTCAGTCTGGCTGTAGCAAAACTGCCCCGTCGTCAGCGCGGGCACGCGGTCGAGCTAGGTACTGGAAGCTCTTGCTCTGCGAGAAAATGACGACAGCCTCTGTGGCGTACGTGGCTTAGCGTGGGCATGAGCACCTAACTGGAACATGGAGTGGAGGGTACCAATGAGCGGTAAACGATACACTCGTCTCTCAGCCAATCTGGTGGCCCGGCAGGTACCTCACATGCTCTGTGGTGTACCCTGTTCCCCGCGAAGTACTAAGACCTCACCTCATGCCCATGGCACCCATGAATAGTTCCAGGTTCCTTTATACCAACTTCTTTGTCTCCATTGCGCTCCTCGACACCCTCCTCCAGCGTCCCGACGATGCTTTCATGGGAGGAGGCTTCTTTTGTCATGTTATTCTGAACAACTATCGGAGATGCTGCACGTTTATGCCATCTATAGAAGGTCGAGAGACGTTGACCCTTAATAGCAACTCCGCCACTCTGCGGTTCTGTCATTGTTGATATATATATCACAACTTTACCTTCAAGTCCTGTTCCCACTATTCGACACCATACCTACCTACGCAAAATCATCAGGATCGAACCCCTCGGCCGAGTCGCTATTGAATAATACGTTTCGGATACCGGACAAGCCATCATGGCTTCATTGGGTCATTCGCGCGCAAGTAGTGTAGCCACCGTAGGCTCACACTCTTTGGGCAGCCCAGGTGTTTTCAATCATGGCTCGAGACCGGGTGGTAGTAGAGGAGGCGATTCTCCGTCAAAGGCCCCATTTCCACACATCGACGATGTTATCGCTCCCCCGCGCGACCTTGACCCGAATATGTCTATTAGGAAGTTACTCGAGACGGCCGAAACATCGTTACGACAGGCTGAGATGGCTCGGGATTTTCGCAGACCAACTGTTGCTCTCCAAGAATACATACGAGCATCCATCATTGCAGTTCAGACCATTACCAAACATCCGGACTACATTGATCTCAAAGCAACCCATAGAGATTTTGTAAGGTCGCATACCAATCTGCTCACCAAGATCAGCCAACAGGATCCCATCTACGCCAAAATCAAGCACGATATTGTTGAGGACAACAAACGGTCCGGTGTACAGCCTCAGTCAGTTCGCTCAAGCTCCTCTCAGGGGAGCAGCCGGCCCCAAACCCCATCGAAGCCGGCTATTGATGGGACTATGTCGCCTCTGAAACCTCGATTTGATGGTGCTGGCATCAATGGTTCTCCAGCTCGATCAAAACCAATGATTCAACCGAAGCCCCAATCTCTCCATGGAAACGCCATCAAACCAGGCATTCAAGGAGGGGCTGGGGCACCGAAAAGTACTTCTCAAGATCTTGCTGCCAGATTTGCCAACTTGAGAGGCCCCCAAGCATCACCAGGACAGGATCCCCGTATTAAGACACACCAGATAACCCTTCCGAAGCCGAATGGACCTAGAGAGATGCCTCCTCCTCGGCCGCCCAAGGTTGGTATCGATACCAATGTGCCGACTCTACCCAAGATGCCAGATGCCATCTACAGTCCTGCTCGTGGTAGTATCTCAGGGGAAGTAACAAGGCCACCCGCCAGTACGCCACGTAACATGTATAACCGTACAGCCTCCACAGTCTCTATACCTGGGACTCCTACTGCTTCATCGCAAGTGCAGCTGGACTATTTCCAACCGACGCAAAGTTACTCGAATAACTCTATTCCTCCAGTACCCCCCACCAACCTTACAGGCTCCATCAGAATCCCAGACGGAAACACCATTACCCCAGATGAATTATATCAGGCCATGAAAGCCAAGGGGAGCATCCTGATAATAGATATTCGAATGAGGGATGATTTCAACGAGGGTCATATCCTATCATCTTCGATAATCTGCATCGAGCCCAGTATCTTGCTTAGGGATAGCCTTTCTGCGGATGACATATCTGAAAGCCTAATTCTCTCACCTAACCAAGAGCAATTACTTTTCGAGCAACGTAACCTCTACGACTTGGTAATTTTCTATGACCAAGACTCTGAGGATATCCCACAACACCCACGGAGTTCAGATGATTTAGTTATCATCTCACTCCATCGAGCTTTGCTTCACTTCAACTATTTAAAAGAGCTCAAAAACACCCCCAAGATTCTGAAGGGAGGACTGGACGCTTGGATCGATCTGATGGGCCCAGCTTCCTTGGGGTCTACCATTTCCTCAACAAATAGACCGGCGAACCTGGAGGGGAGTCGGAACAGGTCTTCGGCTATTGAGCGACGAAGGTCCAAATATATCGTCAAACCTCTAAAGCCGGACGAAGTCAAAGCATGGCAAGAGGCACTCAAGAACGAGGACATACAAACGGCATCATCGCCTAACTTCACTCGTACCACTGAGGACTTTTTGCGAAGATTCCCACCTGTGTCGTTAGAACAGCAGTCGATGACTTCTCCAGACGACAAACCACCAAAGCGCCTGGTTTATGGGTCATCTCACAAGGTGGATCTCTACACAGATCTGCCTTCGCCCCCCACAAGGCCAGCTCCCGCTCTACCGCGGCGTAGCTACAGTGGTCTCACGGAGGGTCGGGATGAGAATGAGCTGTATGGAAATAACAATGCAGTCGTGCCAGGGCGCCCTTCAAGGGCACCCACTATGAAGGCCGTGGACCACCAATCTACAGGTGACTCTACCAGGTTCTACACTGGGCTTAACAATCCACACAATTGGTGCTATGCCAACAGTATGCTCCAAAGTCTTCTCGCTTCACCTGAATTCGGCAGAGAACTGGCAAACTCAGAATGGGCTAGCAAATACAAGGCACCGAGAAAGGATAATGAGAAGAGTGATCATCCCCAGCTTATGATCCGAATTGTTTCGAACTTGTTCCACTGGATGAATTCGGGCAAATTCCAGGCCATGAAAGCTCAGACACTCATGGTAAGTTAAACTATGACAATTCCAAAGAGAGCAAGCTAACTCAATTGCAGGACTACTCACGCCATCTTTGCACCCAAGGCCGGAATTTCGAACTTTTTGGTGGTCCTCAACAACAAGATGCTCAGGAGTTCATGTCGTTCTTGTTCACTCACCTTCATGATGAGACCAATACGCGCCGAGATCGAACGGGCAAGGAGGTCCAGCCTGATACTACCCGTCAGAGCCTCTTGCGAGCTGCTGTTGAGGTTTGGAACAGCTACATCGAATTCAATCAGTCTATCATCGACCGCTTCTGGCGTGGCCTGGAGTTGTCAACAGTCAAGTGCTCCGAATGCCAGACTCGTACCTACAGGTATACCATGTTCGAAACATTCCCTGTCTCAGTGGATGTTGGTCGTGGTATGACTCTTACGGAAGTCCTCGACGGATATACAGCTCCATCGTTAATCAGCGGCTTCGACTGCGATCACTGCCGTCACAAGACCCAAGCTCAACAAATAATCTCTTTTGCCCGCCTTCCTGATCTTCTTTGCATCTCCTTTCGCCGCTTCCACTACATACAGGCAGAACAAGATGTTGTCAAGTCGACTGCGACCGTCAAATGGGACCTCAACCACATCGACCTTACGCGCTACTTCCTCCCTCGTAGCGCTCAGGATGCTTCCGAGGCCGATCTCATGGATCCTGGCTTTACGGGCAGGTTCCACTATGAGACTTACGCTGTTATTGTTCATTCCGGTAGCCGTGTCAACAACGGACATTACTTGGCATATGTGCGAGATTCGTCGTCTCACGATCCGTATGCTTGGCACTGCTGCAATGATACACAAGTAACAAAGGTTCGCATTGGTACTGGAGACCGTGATGATGCTCAGGAGGAAGTATTCAAGTCTGGACGAGATCGCGTTCCCTATATGGTTTTCCTTCGCCGCAAGGCTCAACGATGAACCCATTATCACTCTTGCCGTCGCTTATCCTGACCTTTCCGAAACGGGTGTCTTTTTGTTTTTTTTTAGCGCAAGCTTTTGTTTGGTCTGAATTAATTTCGCTGCTGCCTAAAACTGGGTGTTGTTTTTGGACCTTTGTCGTCTTCATTTAACTATGTGTTGTATCTAGCAAGCTTGCATCGCATGGCATGGTATGGAGTGGGAAGCGTATACCACTTCATCAAGTCTGCTTGGGGCGTCTGCGATCATGATTAGGAGAACGGGGGCACTTGTTTGTTTAGCACTACTTATGTCCATATATACCAATAAATGCTTTAATTGACACGAGCTGGAACGATTGATTGTTTTAGCAGCACCACATATTTCAATAGCTGAAAACCTCTGCCTACTCCAAGTACTGACAGTGGCTAAACACTGGTTGAGTCCAGGCTGGAAGGACATACAGAATGGCTGCTGGTTAGCATTCTTTCAATACAAGCTAACGCCAACGAACATCAAAACAAATTTTGATGCGGTAGGTTCGGACCAAGGGATAACCATAATATGGCCTGAGCATAGTTCCAATGCCATTATAAAATTTCTCTTCAAGATATCATGGAGCCAACGCCGTGACAATACATTACAGACACTGAAAACAAAACCCAAGAAAGGTCGGTGCACTTTCTCGTCCCACTTCCGCTCTTGGTATCCATTGTTTCAACTTCAAAATCCGACGTTCAACCATTCTGTCATATATCCGATCTCATCGTTGTTTATGAACTCTTCTTGAGAGTCTCCTGGATCTGCTTCTTGAAGTGCTCGGTGATCTTACGGCGGTTAAGCTTCTGAGTAGCGGTGAGGAGTCCCTATTGTGAACAGCATATTAGTATGTGGTCTATTGGCAAATAGGGAAAGTGGGGGCTTCTTACGTTGTCGGATGTCCATTCTTCATCTGTGATCAAAACACCAGAAACAGTCTCCATACCACTCAAGCCGGCACGCTTTGAAGCGCCCTGGAGATCCTTGAGAATAAAGCTGACCAATTTGGGGTTAGTGTGAAGAGTATGGAGATCATTTTCGTTAAGACCCAGCTCCTTGGCCTTCTCGTGCACGACCTTCTCGTTCGGCATGATGACGGCAATAGGGCGTGAGTGCTCTGGATCAGCGTGCACCATGACGTTGCCCACTGATTGGACACCACGGTACACAGCCTCGAGCTTCTCAAGGGCAATATACTCACCGCCCTGCATCTTGACGAGATTCTTGACACGATCAAAGACTCGCAGGTGACCATCAGCATTGAATTCTCCGATATCACCAGTCTTGAACCACCCATCAGGGGTGAGGGCCTTTGCTGTTTCCTCGGGGTCATTCCAGTATTTACTCATGACGGGTAGACCTCTGATCCAGATCTCACCCTGAGGGACCGCTGCCTCGGTTGAGTAACCAAGCTCGGGGAGCGCAACGAGCTTGACATCGCAAGAGCAAGGAGTAGGACCAATAGCATCAGGAGAGAACTCAAGCGGGCAACCCAAGGCACCGTTGGCACAGGTCTCAGTGAGACCATAACCGGCCAACATGGGTGCGACGACGAGCGAAATGAAGTTCTTTGTGCCATCAGAGATACCACTAGCGCCGTTCATAGTGAAGCGCATACGGCCACCCGTCAGTTCACGGACCTTGCCGAATACAAGGCTATCGAATAGACCAGCCAGGGGCAGCTTGTTCTTGGAGGCAAACGCCTTCCAGTTATATGCGCCCCAGAAGAGGTTCTTGAGGAGGGGGCTGGCAGCCTCGAGCTTGGAAGTAATACCCTTCCTGACGGTTTCCCAAATCTGGGGAACGCCAACCATCACAGTTGGCTTGAACTCGCGCATGTCACCAGCACAGTTCTTCATAGATGCGTCAGAAAGCGTTCGAGGGTTGCCGTATCCTAGTGTTCCTCCAATGAACATCACAAGGTTTTCGAGAGCCATTTCGAAGATATGGGCAAGAGGCAGGTAGGCAAGGATGCACTCCTTGTCGCTTACGCTTTCCTCTACACAGGTGTACAAACTGGTGACTAGACCCAAATTAGTTCTATGAGTGTAAACAGGGGCAGAATCAACTTACTTCCAGCGACAAGAGCCTCATGGGTGATGCAAGCGCCCTTGGGTAGACCGGTCGAACCAGAAGTGTACATGATACAGTAGAGGTCGGTTGGCTTGGCCGGGTTTGGCTCGACGGGGTTCTGCTCGCCCAGCTGGCGAAGTTCCTCCAGAGTGACGATCTTCAAATCAGGGTTTTCCGCCTTAAAGGTTTCGAGTTCGCCTCCCTTGGCAAACATGGTTCGGTTGTTGACAATGACGGTCTTCACGGAAGACTTCTTGATGGGTCCTGAAGCGGTCTTGAGGAGATGCGCGTCGACATACATGGCGGTACATTCGGTCTGAACGAGAGAGTGCTCAACGCCGCTGGGGCCGAGTGTATCATATGCGGTGACAATCGAGATAGACTGGGAGGCAGCCGCGTGGGAAGTAGAGATCCAACCAATACTGTACACCAAGAAGTCAGAAACTTGAACACAATGGCAGAACCCAGCAACTCTGAACATACCTGGTGGAGCCAAAAACGTGAAGCTTGTCGTTGCTAGTCAAACCAAGATTTCGTAGACCAGAACCGATCTGAAGAACGCGCTCGTGATACTGCTGGTAAGTCAAGTATTCGAAGCCAGTCAGCTCGAAGTAGGACCACTCCTTCTCAACCTCCTGGACCTCGCCATCAACGTTCTTCTTAACCTTCTTCTTCTCAACATGCATGTTGATGAGCTTGCGATCACCAACAGCATGGTGGTTGGGGTAGAGTCGAGCGCTGCGCTCAACAATTTGGAAGACAGTTCTAGCGTCGGGGGCAGAATAGTTGACGAGACCATCCTTGGCCTTGGGATGACGTCGGGGAATGGTCTCGCCGGGGACCTTCTCGTAGCCTGGGGCCTCGATGGTGAAGGGAGGCTTGTGCACTTGGTGCAGAGGCATAATGCCCGTTGTCCAGTCAGTCGCCATCTTGGAAGAGTGATGGGTGCTACGGAGCAGCGGGTGCGTAGAGGTAGAGGGTAGATGAGGTAGCTGGTGACTGTGACTGTGACGGTGATGGTGGCACTGAGTATGAGCGAGGACAGCCGACTTTACAGAGTGGTCTGCGATGACGACAGTGGGGGACGGGTGCGAGTATGAGGATGAGGGTATCACGAAGTGTGAGGAGGAAAAGGGAAAGAGGACGAAGGGGGAGGCTGGTTCAATTAATGCGAGAAAGGGAAGGCACGGCAACGGCAAGCGAAGCCACGGAAACGACGTAGGAGAAAGAGTGGCCGTGGAGAAGGACGGGAGCTGCAGCTGGCTCCAAGCAAAGTGAACTAAACTAAGGTAAGGGCTGCTAAGCAAAAAGAAGCCTGAGGTGCGCTGCAGGACTGCAAGACTGCAGGACAGACACGGCACAGCAGAAAGGTACGGTGCCAACAGCGCCCGGACCAACTGAAAGGTGGGGAACGAACAGGGCTCCAGCGCCGCAAAGTACCTCAAAGTACCCCTGCACGGTCAATTTTTAATTAGTCCATCAGATGCGATAGGTTATCTTGACATCCAACCATCTACAGCACCTTGTTCAGGCAAAGGCTTGGCTAAAGTAAGGATTGTAGGGGTATTGGATCACTCTACACTCAAGTTCGTCTTGGGTTTACCCTACTAAGTTTCCCTTTAGACGACTTCGCAAGAGGGCCTTTGAACTAGAACATAGGTACTGAGGTACTAGGCAGCATGGAAGTTTTGTTATCACGGGCGTGGACACCTTATCCTTGAGCTAGAGTCCCGCCCTGACGACAGGGAACCCTTAACAACACCGAGAAGGGACCTTCACGACACCTTGTTCTCGGGACTCGGAAGTTTTGCTCAGTACTACGTATGTGCCGTTAATCAATTGCAGTCATTCGCATAAACATAGTAGAGTAACCACAACAGCCCCTGGTGGGATCAGACTTTGTTGTCTACAGTGACAGCAGCCACCCTGGTCGATAAGGGCTGGATACATGATGGCTCTCACGATTACACTGAGACTTTGCTTGTGAAAACGAGTGATAAGATTTTTGACAAGATAGGCTAACTCGCGGTAGGTACTCGAGTTATTACCATAGTAGAACCAGTAAGTGATATAATTCAAAGAGAATCAAAGTCTCGTAGCAATCTCCCCTCATACGAAACCACAAAAGATACTCGTAAATACATATGGGAAGCTCATAGCAGTATACCCTTTCAGGCTCTAGCCCGGATAGCTACAGGGAAGCTCCAAGACGCTATGGGCCACTGGGGGGATTCAGCGGGCGGACGTCTTGATTGCGTCACAAATGGATCCTCCAAAAATTACGCTGGCAGGTTTGCGACCACAAAAATTCAAGACAGCGACGACAAGACTTTTATGCCTTGGACTATGGGTCGTCATCATAGCGAGTGCTTCCGACCTCTTTGGCATAGCCATTGGTCTATCCGTCATTGGATAACATCTGTAGGATAGGACAGCATGCCGCGAGTGACATGTCCCTGGGGTTATTTCTGGGTATGGATTTTTTGGTCTCCCCCCCTTCCATAAGTTACTTAGCCCACAGCTTGGCCGTTACGTTGAGGTCGATGTTTGGTCTTGGCTTGTCTTGGTGCTGGTTGGCGCGTGCCCTCGTTCCCCATTCCATCTCCATCTCCAACATCAAATCTAGGAGGCTTACAAAGTAAATACCCGTCCCATCCGGATCCTCCATCGTCAGCAGTAGTCAGCACTTTATATTTAGCTTGCCGATGTACGGAATACGGAGTTAAAGGCCGTTTCAAAATCCGTGGGTTTGTGGTGCAAGAGAAGATCATAGTCCTGCTGTCAAAGATGACCTCTCGATATTGATGCAAATTCTCCCCCAACAAGGATGAGCAATGAGCCACAGGATGGCCTGCCTTAAACTGCTTAAACATTTGACGCCACACTCAACTAATGTTTTGCCGCCTTATGGAGAGCTCAACTAATTGCCTTAACCCAGGGGGGCCTGTGTCACTCATGCAACCACCCAAAAAAGTTAATTAGGTATGTTTGTGTGTTACAATTCAGGTCTGTCTTTGACACATCCTCCCCAACGGGGCGGGTACTTACTTACACGTCGTCTCCTCACTGACATGTCAACTCCCGCTTTTTGAATATTGATCGATTATACCATTCTTCACACGCTACAATTATTTCTTCAAATCCAGATTCATCAAGACGCATATCAGATCCACCGTCAACACCCCCGGCCAGCCGGATCTCCACCGTTGCTCCCCCGGACTCTCCAAGGCTGGGCAAAGAGTTAATAGGTCCAGGGAGTGCCTGGCAAACACGATCAATCGCCGACTTGACATTGGTTGTCGTACTGAGTCTCCTCTCTGATGCTGGTCAATCAGCTGTGTAATGTTCCGCTGACCTGAAGCAACCGAGGTGCTCCTAGGTCATACTTCGCAATTCGCAAGTCGCGTGGCATGTGTCAGTGGACAATTGCCCTTGCCCTATGGATGCGGCGTACAAAGCAAAAAGTTTCTTCTCACATCTCTGTTTCCTTCGCCTTGGTTGTCTTCAAGCACTGCCACTCTGGTGCATCTTGGCGAGTGATTTTGTATGCATAGAAACGCCACCATTTGAGAGCCAAGCATTCGCTAGGCCATTACTGGGTTACCCCATATCCAAACTTGTCTGTGACCAAGGCCAGGCGATGGTCATGTGTTACTGGTGAGGGGGGAAGGGGACAGCTGTGACTGTTAAATACACAGTAAGAATGTATAATATTTCACCTGGGTACGAACAGATAGCGTTTGAGAACCCCTGCCCTTTCAGGTATACATACTTATTACATACTGGTGGGTTTTGCCGAGTGCCACGGCTATTGACGATGCGAGCCGAGATGTATTATATCAGTGACATGCCCGTCAACTCACGGGACAGAGTTCAAAAAGCCACTTCCCAGGACTATTATCAAATAGTTATGCCAAGAATGTGACAGCCTTCCAAATAAGATCGGGGATGAACAATACCAGGCTTTGGAGTGAGTGACCCAGCGATATAAGTACTTCTTGAGGGAGGAGACGGACAACCTGTGACAAGACCATACTCAAATCATTGCTTGAAGCATCTTGGCGTGCTTCAAACACTAGAACATGCCTCGGGAGTGTTATGGTGATTGATGCAAGGGAAGCGGGGGGGTTTACGGAGTACAGGGCTGGAAGTTTGCAGTCCATCAGGGGGTTCATTATACGCATCTTTGGTTTGGTCCAAACCATTCCGTCCGCCGCCAATTCTAGAATGAGATAATTTGGTCGAGGTAAATTCCGTGCTAGAAAGGTAAGCCCCGATAAAGCCAATGGCAGATATAGTTTAATGGCGCAGCTATTTCGTAAATGAGGGTAACGCTGCGATGATGTAACAGGCAGGCGGTGATATACTTTAGTTATGATAACCTACCTATTATATTAACTAAAGAAAGAGGGGCTTGAAGGCTGAAGGCTGAAGGCTGAAGGCTGAATGCTGGCTCTTTTGATGCCGTGTCACTCTGTAGGATTTCTGATAACTCCAGGTTCCAGAATTATATTACTTGACTTGGGACTTGGACCCTGGATTTAGCGTTGCAGATCTGCGACTGTGAAGGGGATTCAGGGGTATCAGCCACGGCTTCCAATAAGAATTGGCGTCTCTCATTCAAACGTAGGCCAGCCACGAATTGAGTTGAACCCATTGCAGGGGGACGAACTATCTACTATGTATCCTCCACGGTATTGTCCATGAACTGTTGAGACTTTGACAGAAAATAGATCACCACTGGAGCCTTTTATAGTACGGAGTACCTAGAGCTCGTAATGCTTAGATACACTACTCGCTTATCCACGTAAACAGTTGCAATCCAATCAATATTTCGCCTACAGAGACGCGTACCTGCCAGGCGGGTCCACGATGGGCTTAGTGAGCGCCCATTGGCTGCAGTCATTTCGGAATGGACGCTCAGGGGTACGGGCTACGGAATGACCCAAATTACCACTGGGACGGGGCTTCACTTTTGACTTTGAATAACGCATAAAGCGTCTGGAACTTTCCTCCTACTTTCTCCAACGCTTCTGGTTCTACCTCGAATTGTACTTGAAGGACAAAAGAAAGCAAACAAGACAATTGTAGGAGTCAATTGATACTCCAACGTCTTCTCTCAGCTCTCAGCCTCATCATGGTGGTCCACCCAAGCACTGAGCGCTCTAACGACTGGCTCAAGCCTGTCGACGACGACGAAGATGAAGGTTTCCTCGCCGTGGCCGAGGATGCTGAGGCCACAGGATGTCTCGTCCAAGGAAACAGATCGACCCTCAATTTGACGACAACTGAGTTGCCCGTATACATGACTATTCACCGGTAAACTTGTCCCGATCCTTGCACTGCCATGAGCCATCAAGGAATTGCATTGTTCCTGGCAAGGAGACTCAGCGTGCTAACTTTCCTTGAGTCTAGAGTCCGTCGATTAGTTCTTGCAAGTATTGGTAAGTCATCCTCAGTGTAGTGTAGTCATGAAGATGAAATCTAACCCATTGCAAAGATGATCCTTATACTATGGAGCACTTCAGAGATCCCAAGATGAACGCTCTGGTTGTAAGACCTCTAGTTGAAAGACTTTACAACCCAGATGACATCTCAGTTGGTGAGTAAAAGTACAAGCTCAAGATTCCATCCTGGGCTGTCAACTTACAATCATGCAGTCTACTGTCTGTTGGCAAATCGTGTCTCTTTTCTGAGGGACCAATCCACTGAAGTTCACCAGAGTGTCAACCAAGCACGCGCAATTCTTTGTGAGCTGCTCGCCAGTCGAGTCCTCCGCCGGTTCCACGAGGACAACCCAGGACCACAAGGTCTCTTGCTCCTTGCCCATATCCTTGTTGAGGGTTTCGACCCGTTCCAAGGCGCACCCAGTCATATGGAGCGTCCAGCTAACCGACCACAATGGCCCGGAGCTTCTCAGGACAGCCCTGGCTCGGAGAGAAAGCTCACAGCGCTGGAATTGGCCATTGTTTCTGAGAGCAAGTTCTTCATCAGCTCCGCTGCCTGTCAACGAGCTGTCGACGCAGTTCACAATGGACAAATTATTTATACGCCGCTTTCGTTCATGGATTTCCTGCCGGACCACTACAAGCGACGCCCCGTCTCCCTTTACGACCCTCGGACGGCGCCTCTTCTCAACCACCACCGTCTTATCGTCCCCCGTAATCGAAATCTCATCGAGCTTGTTCACTTCGTCATTCTTCTAGGTCTTTACATCATGACCATGGTCTCGCGTCATTCCCAAGTGAACATGTGGGAATATGCCTTCTGTATATACACATTTGGCTGGCTTCTTGAGAAGATGGCTGCTATTATCGAACACGGCTGGGCTGTTCACGCACAGAATCTGTGGGCATTTCTCGACATCACATTCGCTTCCATCTTTGGCGCCTATCTTATCCTCCGAATCTACGACTTTCTGCTCGACCAGCTTCATTCCGGTTACGGCCTACCGGTTCTATGTATCGCAGCACCTGTCATGATGACTCGAGTTGCTTTCAACATATTGCCCAACAATCTTGTCTTCATATCTGTCCACGCAATGATGAAGGACTTTACAGTACTAACGTTTCTTGCCACTTGGTGCTTCACTGGCTTTCTACTTGCCTTGCAATGGCTCGTGAGTGCTAGCAATGATGACAACGAAGAGTTCAGTTGGTATGTCGTGGGCAAGTGGATGCTCTGGATTTGGTTTGGCCTAGACGGTGAAGGAATTGAGGAGTCGGTGCGCTTTCACATCATCCTTGGTCCTGCGCTCATGATCGCCTTCGCGTTCCTTGGCAACACGCTCTTCTTGACCATTCTCATTGCAATGCTCACCAACACCTTCTCCAAGATTGTTGCCGACGAAACCGCTGAGATTCAGTTCCGACGTGCTGTTTTGACTTTCGAGGGTGTCAAGAGCGACTCCATCTTCTCCTATCCTCCACCTTTCAACATTCTCGCTCTCATGACACTTTTGCCCCTCAAGCTTATCACGTCAGCTCGGGTTTTCCACATTGTCAACGTGGCTCTAATCCGAACTCTCAACATGCCCACTCTTCTTCTTATTAGCTTTGTGGAGCGACGTCGTCTCTGGATGCAGTCCAGACGCGCTGCCGGAAAGAGATCCAAGTGGCAGTTCTCTTCCTTGTCGCCTCACAACGATGTTCAAGCCGTCTTCAAGTCGGTTCCTCCCACCGAGATATCTGACATAATCGACCAGCTCGATCCATTGGGAGATGTCCCAATCCTAGAGGACGATCTTATGCCCACAATGGCGGGCGACAACCCCCAGTCCAAGCTCAGAAGATGGAGAATGTTGCAGCGCGAGGGGCATCGGCGAACAGAGAACAATGATGCGTGGAGCAGCTCAGCCAGCTTGAAAGATGAATAGCATCGTATTGACGAATATAAATTATATAGCATTGCACTGGCGAACTGGGTGGGTTCTTTTTTACAGCATACTTATATATAATTTGGAGTGGTGATTTTATTTCGAAGGCGGGACATGGCAAGATGTATATATAATGGGATGATCTGCTTTATGTAGGCTCATGGAAATCCGTCCTCCTTACTCTTTGAATTCTCCAACTTTTGAACAATTGAAGAACAGAAATTAATTCCACACTAGAACCTGAGAGCTTACATGAATTTCAACATCTTTAAAGCCAATGACCATACTACGTAGTAAGTCTGATGGCGTAACTAGGTTCATCATAGAGCTTTATTCAATAGGCAAGACCCACCCAAGCTGTTGGCCCCGCCTTCATGCCGCGGGAGCTAATGTAGGCGGAAAGTCCAATAGCGACAACACAATCAACAAAGATTATTTTCTTGAACAATTAAAGACGGTTATTCTAATCGCGATCGCGCGCTCGACATCGATATCAATATCCTACTGAAAATAAAAGACACAATAAGAAGCACCAGAAACGACTCATCATGGCAGCAGGCGACGGCGACAGCGATCAACCGCTGTCTCTCCGACCAAATCCCGTCGCTGATCGCAAACCTCAAAACATTGCCGAGTTCATTGCTCGCGTCAACGCGGAGCCCGGAGGATTCAGAGCTCTATCGGAGGCTAAGCTAAGAGAGGAGATTGCACAAGAGAATGCGGCCAACGGAGATGCGCAGGACAAAGACGCCGACATGGCGGACGGTGACGAAGACGACGACGACGATCAGGATGCCATGAGCGACCCCCAGGAAGTGCGCATGGAAATGCTGAAGAACCTCGAGTACGTAAAGCCTTCGTGTTCATGTACACTGGACGATTCGTACAAATTTATATATGCTAATATCTATCAGCGTCGCAGCAAACACAGCCCTCCTTACTCTCGACTTCCTCTCCCTCCTCATATCGAAGCAGAACCCTACACAAGCCGGAGCAACTCTATCGCAGGGCCTTCGAGAAATGGTCGGCATAGGCACATTGGGCGCTGATAAGCTGGATAACCCGCCCATTACCCCAGCCAAGGCGCAAGAGCAGGAGAATATCGCTTTAGGATTGACTCTAATGCAGACCGACAAGGCACGAGATGCTGCTGAGGCTGCTAGCTCCTTCTTAGAAAAAGAGGTTACGGCCGAGGGGAAATACTGGGAGGAAATCTTGGCTGTTCAAAAGACTGGCTGGTCTATATCCAGGGTTCCCCAAGAGAGACATATCCTGGGTGTCCGGTTCGGCTTTTTAGAAGGTATATCATCTATCACCACATATACTAGATCACGTTCTTGCTAACATATCTAATAGCTGCACCTGAGTATAGAAATAGCCTTGCACCTATGAGACGAGGCGACGACGGTGCAGTTCAACTTGACTGTGGCCGGCTGGGAGGAGTGTCAGAACGAGTCGTGGTCACCTATGAGAAGGATGGCCAAATCACCGGCCGCTCTGCTTTACCAGCGGAGACAGCCGATGACGCTCCCCTCGAGCAGAGAGTTCTTGAAGCTCGCAACACTATATTCTCACAAGAGCTTTGGCACGAGCTTACACGTGAAGCCCGCACCCTAGCAGCCTACGATGTTAAGCTAGATGGTCCGCGGTTAATCTGCGACATTGACCCTGCGTCCAAATCAAGGATTATTTTGGAGTTGGTGCCGCTAAGTTCTCAGGCTTCATCAGATGAGACTCTTCCTGACAGTCACGCCGCTGAGACGATATCGCTCGCTTTACACATCCTCCTTGGCTACGCTCACAGACAGAACGAGCTTACGAGGACACGCCCTATGCCACCGCACATCCCGCGATCTCGAGGTCAACAAACCAACGCCCTCCTTCGACCTATTGTTGCTCGCCTCATGCACCTCCACAACGTCCAGCTCGTTACCAAGCACATCGGTGCCCTTGTCCAGTCACTCAAGCGCGCCGGTCTCCCCTCTCGCTTTGTCCTTCATACAGCCACAACCTCCCTCTCTGACTCTGATCCTGCGAGCCAAGGTCCTAATCAGCTTGCATCTTCGCAAACCATGATCCGAAACATGCTCCAGCCAATCGAGTTCAACATCAAGCTCACTATCCTTCCAAACACCACATTTACTGTTCGTGGCCGAACATTCCACTTCCCTGTTACCGCGACATACTATTATGTAATCACGCCTCCTAACTCACCTCTGTCATCTGTCTGCGCTCCCTACCGGGACGGATATCCAGACCCTGATGCCCTGGCTGACTATCTCGGCACTGCGACCACACGTCTACTTGTCGAGCACTATCTCTCTAGTCTTTCCTCTCCTTGGATCAAGAGTATTCAAGGTAACTCCATCCGGAACCTCGAGAACGAAGAGTTTGAGCTGTTTTTCGCGATCACGGAAACGCCGGCCTTGCTGGTGAGGAGCACGGCCTTAGCCGACGGAAAGACGATGCGTCAGGAGTGGACCTGGTCAGATGACACCACGAAGGACCCTGTGCAGGATATAGTCGACCGCGAGACTCAGAAGATGTCTTCTTAGGAGATCGGTGCTGTTAGCTAGCCAGATATAGACTGAACAGGGAGGTCGATTTTGTTAACCGAGCTCAAGAGCGCTTAGAAGAACGCCAAGCTCGTCAACGGCATAGAAATGGGGAAATGGAATGGGTGTTAAAGTAGAGATGTGAGACCACGGAGTTGAAAAGATTCAAATGAGTTTTTACTTATTGCAAAGCCATGTCATACTTCCTCAGCAAACAAATGCGCTTATGCAGTACATATCAGTGAGTAGAATGCATAAAATATGTAATCCTGTTCCGCTTGTGTACCGACTTCAAACAAGACACGACGTCGCGGCAACTGAACCCCCCTTTTTTCGACATGTGCATTTATCTCAATGAGACTTTTGCTGTCAGTATAACAATGCAGGACACCTGCACCTCTACGGGTATCTAACACTAGCTGCAATCGTCATTCCCTAAGATTTGTTCCTCTCGGATCACCGAGAAGACCTTCCGTACCATTGTCCCTATTCCATGTGCCATACATTCCGTGAACAAACCAATAGCTAAGTCGACGGCGTGGAGATATAATGTTAACTCAAAGAATGGCCGTGCCCCAACCGTCAACTTCGCCAGAGTCTAACAAAGCAAATCAAAATCCCAATACCATATTGACAGTAAAAAATACTGGCATTACACCAGCGATGGCTGAGTACACCGGTCAACCTCCTGGCTAACCTTCAAGTCTGAAAAGACGTCGAAGCTCGTTCACCCCCAGTCGTCCAATCTTGCCACCCTCGTTCTCGTCTAACGCTGCCTCGACCATCTCCTTCTTCTTGTTCTGCAGTTCAATGATGCGGTCTTCGACAGTGTCCTTCGTGAGGATACGATACACTTTGACTTCCTTCTGTTGGCCAATGCGATAGGCCCGATCAACAGCTTGCATTTCGATGTACGGATTCCAAAAAGGGTCCATGATAATAACACGAGAAGCAGCAGTTAAATTGAGACCCGCGTTCCCAGCTTTCAGAGAAACCAGCATTACTTTGGTGTCTCTACGGTCACGGAAATTGTGAGCCGCGATGTTGCGATTTGTTGCCGACATGGAACCATCATATCTTTGGGGCTTTGCCATCTTCTCATGCGACATTGCCACCTGCAGAAGATCAAGTAACAGAGTCCACTGAGAAAAGACGATTGTCTTCTCGCCTGTTTCCTCAATCTGCTTGAGAAGGTTCATACATTCTGTCACTTTGGCAGCAGGTTCCCAAGTTTTCCTCAGGTAACGCATGTACCTTTTGAATGCATCGCGATTCTTGTAAGCCTCCTTGCGCAATGTTTTGAGCATCGAGGGTTTGACATCCAGGGCCTTCTTTTTCCCCTTGCCTTTTTCTTTGCGCTTCTTTTTGACCATCTTCATGCCCTCCTCGTCGGAAAGCTCGTCGTTAACGATGAAGCCCTTGAGATTTCCCTTGGTATCGACCTCATCGTCTGACGCGTACTCGGAGTCCGTATCCGAGTCTGTATCCGAGCCAAGCTCATCCTCAACTTTTGTCTCTTCAGGTCCTTGCTCAATGGTTTCAGGCATATGCACCTGTCTGAAAATATCATAGGAAAAGCATTTGGCGGGGTCAAATTGGCCGCGACAGACCGGGCACTTAGCCCGGTTGCTTTCGCTGCCTTCTTGTATGTTGACTGTGGAGGCGTTTTCTGCAATGCGGACCAGACATTCACCACAGCTGTCGTGTCCGCAAGGGATGAAAAAGCTGGGGCATTGAACAGCGTCGTAGCAAATAGGACACTCGAAACTGTCGATCTCTTTGATTCTTTCCACTATAGCTGCATCCAACTCTTTCACAAACTTTTTCTTGTCCTCGTCAGAGATAGAAGATGATGCCGCATCATCCACGTCAAGGTTGAGATGTGGATGACAACATGCTTGGCGTAAACGAAGCAGAAGGACAAGAATATTTGAATAGTTCTTGCTCACAGTGCCTTCCCGAAGATACTTGTTTACCAGGACCTGCGATTGCTTTTCAAGCTGAGTGTAAAAGTCACGCTCGTCAGAAGACATTTCGGCATACACAATTTCTTCGGTCTTCTCAGGTAACCTGAGGATAGGCTTGCCGTTAAGCTGCGAGTTCTTTTTGCGCCGAAGCATTATGGCTTTGAGAAGCGCTTGTAGCTTTCTCATAGCAGTGCTCTTAGGGTCGCCGTTGCGACCAAAAAGTCTACCAAATCCCTAAAGAGTCGAAAATTAGAAGAAATTTATCATCATGGACCAACTGGCTTACCTGGCGGAAGTCTTCCCACTTGCAGTAGGGCCTGATCCTGAGGAACTTGATAAGAGAATAGAGCTCCAAAACTCCATTCATCATGGGTGTTCCAGTTAGACACCACCGGTAGGTCGCGGCAAGCTGGCTACACGCTTTGGCAGACTTGGTCTTTTCATTCTTGATGCACTGCGCCTCATCCAGAATGATACGGTAAAACTTAGCCTTGTGCGGGTGCAGAAGTGGGAATTTGAGGTTTACAGTTCTGTCACTCCAGTCAATAACCTGGCCCTGGTGCTCCTCCACCAACTTGTCAAATCGTTTGAGCTCTTGTGCGAGTGAGCCATAGGTAGTCAATACCACGTCATATTTAAGCAATTCATCCGTTGTGGTCTTCCTGCCGTGGTGTACGTATACCGAAAGCCGATGGGAGGGTTTGGTCTTAGTAGCAATCTCTTCCTCCCACTGGCGAAGGAGAGCGAGAGGAGCGATGATCAAATTTGTCTGTCCGATCAGTTTTTGACTTGCTAGCGATTTATAATCACATACCTTAGGCCGGGTTGTCGCTGGACGGGCCAGAAGAAGCGCGAGTGTTGAGATCGTCTTCCCCAACCCCATGTCGTCAGCCAAAATACCACCCTTGCTTGTCCCTTCCTCCATTTTTTTCATCCAAGCGAGAGCGATGTCCTGATGCGGATATAGCGGTCGTTTCAGACCAGCAGGTGCATCATTAGGATCCAATTTTGGAAGATCCATGTCAGCAGAGATATTCTTCAACAGCTCCTGTAGCTCCGATTCGTCCAGTCCCGGGCCATGGTCATAAGGAGTCTCCATCCTGTCCAGTATATACGGATGGATTGGATCACCGTTTTGGTATGTGCCATTGATAGGGTCAAGACCGTTAGTACGCCCGATGAGATCGCTCAGGGATGACGGGGATGAATATGAACCCGGGACATATGAAGGCAGTGGCCTAAACCCAGGATGGGGTTGCATAAACTGGCTGCGTCTTGTCAAATCAGGGTAACCCATAGTCAAACCTGGACCTGGACGCTCCATACGAGCTGGCGAGCGCTTAACAATAGATCCAGCAAAGATAATGTCTGGGTCTTCCCTGATGGCAGGACGGTTTGTAGAACTTGACGCGGGTATATATTGAGGGTCTAGTCGTCTCTGGGGGATGTTGAAAGATGGCCCGGCCCCCAGTGAATCATCCCATCGCTCATCGTAAGCACCAGGAATGCCAAACAAGCTCTCTTCGTCATCAAGTATGGTTGGGGCAGGAGGCTGGCTGCTCATGAGACGAGTGAAGGCGTTAGTATGAGGAGACTGCGATCCTGCTACCTGACCAGGAGGCTCTTGACTAGAAAGCTGCTTTGCAAGTTGTCGATCTCGCCATTCTTGCTGTTGTCTGTCCTCAGCCTTAATCTGCTGTGCAATGAAGTCGGAGCCCATGTCATCGTCATCCCTAATATGATTCCGTCAGCTTTCGAGCCAAGAACAACTTGATTCAGTGAAATTTACCCAGTAAGGTCGACGAAGTCGATGGATTCTTCATTCAAGCTGCCATTAGGAAAGGTGGTGGAGAAGACATCATCTCTGGGTAAAGGGGAGACTCGTCGGATTTTTGAAGAATTGTCGTGAGCAGATAGACGAGCTGACTCTGCGCCCCTTTTCCGGCTGGGCAAGGAGAAGCTACTTTGCCGTGGGGGATTCATGGTGTTTGGTATATCAGACTGTCGATCATCTGGAAACAAAAAGTCAGTCTAGAGTAGGGAAAAAAGTATGTAGTGAGAACGTGTGTCAAGAGGGTTTTGAGTATTGGAACTGCTGTGCGCGCGTACGCTGCTTGAGGGGTAGTCGGTCGAGCGAGCAGCGCAGAGGTCTGTGAGAAACCAACGAGCTAAAGAAGTTGTCTCACAAGCAACCAATTCTAAGTTTCTCAATATGAGATGGCGGTGGCTCTTGAAATATACAGTTTTGATGGAGGTTTACAGAGAAGTATCAGAACAGATGACATCATACCTGAGGCAGAAGCTGTATTGAGACGTCTGTCTCGTCTGTCTTCAAAGACTTCTTCTGTTAGGAGAGTCAGATCAACAATAAAATCGAGGTAGCATAAATATACGGAAAGTAACTCACGGGTACCAGCCTGTTCCTTCTGGTTAAGGTTATGAAGAAGCTCTTTGAGGCGAGCAATCTCGAGGTGGGCATCTTGTCGCATTTCCTCAGCTCCATCGTATGTCGCATCGGCGAGGGACCTGAGCACAACATTTTGTACTGTCAGCTCCTCGCCAAGCTCGTGCCTGCTCATCATGGAGGCAGTGTCGTGGTCAGACATTCTGAGCTGCAGCCGACGAGACAGCGCACAAGCGCAGCAGTACCCGAGAGTTCTCGGTCAGCGACAGGAAGAAAAGACCAGGGGCAAGGGTCCATCCATCAAAGATAGTTGGGAACACAGAGAGACTTAAACGACCGTGATGAAGGTTCGGTGTTTGGGCAGACAAAAGTTTGTGAGTCGTGATAGTATTTGTTGGCTCCTGAGCACGGCCGCTGCTGTTCTTAATCTTACGATGTGGGAGGCGAGGGTGAAGTTGAGGCTGAGTGAGGTTGGAATTACTTTGAAAATGCCAGGTTGAAGGTGTTGAAGGTGGAGTGTAGGTTAACTCGTTAAAGAGGTTAGTTAGGTACCTACAATAACCAGGTGTTAGGTGTTGGTATCCGACAGTGTGGAAGGAAGGAGCTACGCCGTGTCACGCGTAGCCATTCACGGTGGAGAATGAGCCAATGCACCTGCAGGCAACAGTAGCAGCTCCAGGCTAGAGGCTGTAAGGTAGTGGGTAGTGGGGGAGGGGCAACTCACAATGTCGGGCAGGTACAGACAGGTATCCACTTTGATATGGACACTTTCCAGCCTGGGCTATCATGGAATCATCGATATTATTACTTCCATCTACTCCGTACAAGCAGACCATTATATCATTTCTCTCCCGCAACGAATGCATACGACAGATAATAAGACTTTCGGTTATGAGATTTATTCTCTCTAAGCAAACGTTCTTTGTTTAAACTCTCGTGCGCATCCATTTCCTCTATATTCTTTATTCTGTTGCTTGCATACTATCATTTTCCAGTTGCCCGCTGAATGAATGCACGGACGAGTGCTTGAAAGTGCAAATTCCCTTTCAAGTAGCCCTTCATGCATTATACGTGGCGGCAATGGAAGGAACCAGGCTCTTGAAAGAATGTGTGTAACAACAGGCAACAGCATAGCCCCTCAACACATCGCCTCATTTTCAAGCACAGTTGAAAAGAGAAAAGAACAATATCATATTTAATTAAGCAAACGATGCCTGGACGAGGCGCAATTCTAAGCCGTGTCCTCCATAATAACAAACGCCGGGCCCGCCAAGCCTATCGTAGTGTCGCTATCCGCCTTAAACGCCATCATGACCGTGAAAAAGAAGTACAATAACTCGTCCCTTTCGCAACATTTAATCATCGCTAGTAATCTTGTGCCAGACCTTTTCCACCTTATGTGTAAACCAGTCCCAGATGTTCTCGTCTTTGTCATCATCGTCATCGTCACTATCGCTATCGCTATCCTCATCCTTGTCAACACTCTCCTTAGATGGAGCTGCTGACTTGGACGGTTTCGCTGGCTTCTTGAGCGAGACTGTGGTAGTCTTGGCTGATTCCGAAAGAGCAATCGGGACTGTTGGCCGGCCAGGCTGACTAGGCTTTTGAGGAACGGTCGGTCGTTCAGGGTGAGTAGGCTCATCCCCCACAGTTGGACGAGCCGACTCCTTGGAGGCGGTCGGGGGGTCTTCCGGCTCCTCAGGTGTATCCTCGGGCTTGTGAACACCGATCGGTTTCAGTGGTAACCGCAATGTTCCGTTGTTGGGGCTAGGTGTCAAGCCGACTGAGTCGCACAGCATGTTGTACACTTCGATGTTTTCTATTCAGCAATGTTAGTGACACATCATTCCTTTTCAAAAAGGATCAAAACTTACGAAAGACATCAATTTGACTGTTTGCCGGATGGGGAAAGGCAGGGCCGCGGGCAATAAAAATAGCCCGCATAAGTGGATGTTCGTGATCATAACCATGAAGACCTCGAGGGTGATAGACGAGATTGTTCTTCTTTCCTTCTTCCACATCAAATTCTTCCTTGGTGACAATGGCCCATCCTGTCTCAGGCACCACCCATAGAGGAGCAATGCGAGGATGCTTGGAGAAATGGTATCGCTCAGGCATGTCTACATCCCGGAGATAGACTTCAAAATTCGGGTTCGACTTGGCCTTCTTTTTCAGCTGATCATAAAGTGGTCGGAGATCATCTGGGTTTTTGGGGCGAAGACCATAGAGGGGCCAGCCGTCGATGTGCTCAATTTTATCCATGTCGATAAGGTCTTCAAGTTGAATCAGGCGTGAGATATCTGTTGTTGCCATGCCGTGGTCCGAGACAACAATCACATTGACAATGTCAGTCAGATTGCGTTCTTCGAGACCGTGGAAGATCTTTCCCAGCATTCCGTCCACTTTCTGAATGGTCTGGCGAATTTCAGTCGAGTTAGGTCCAAATTTATGACCATCACTATCGACGTGAGGAACATAGGCGGCTATCAACTGAGGTCGCATGTCGCTGACATCCACTGTCTTGTCCTCCAGGCCGGGCATGTCGAGAAACTCCATGATTCTAGAGACCTTGTTGTCGAGTGTTTCCTTGCCGTTGAACTTATCCATCAAGCTTGGTTCAGTGTGCAGAACATGAGCCTCACTTCCCGGCCACATGTGGATAGCGCTTCGAACTCCCTGTTTCTCTGCCGTTACCCAGAAAGGCTCCCCTCCCCACCACTTGGGATCCAGACTTTGACCGGGATGGGTGTAGTAGAATTGTGATTGAAGCTCAGGGTCCCAGAAAGTGTTACTGACGATGCCGTGGCTCTCAGGGTACAGACCGGTTGCGAGCGTGTAGTGGTTCGGAAAAGTAACCGATGGAAACGACGGGTGCATCCATTTCGGCGATACTCCTTCAGCGACGAACGAGTTCAAGGTGGGCGTAAGTCCACGCTGTAGGAAGTCGGCGCGAAATCCGTCTAGGCTGATGATAAGGGATGTTGGCGCGAAAAGCGCAGTTCCATTGCTGACGAGCTTCTGGTTCACCTTGATGTACCTGCTCTTTCGGTTCTTGGACAGCTTCCAGGCCAACAGAATCAGGATCGCGAAACCAATGGCGATAAGAGAGTGAATAAAAACCCATCGACGCCAGCTACGACGTCGCTGGGCCTTTGCTTCGGCGATCAGGTTTAGATGATGCCGATCTATTTCGTCACTATCGTCCCTCTCGCTACTCTCGCCAGTGGAGCTCCCTTCTTTCATCCCTCCCTCCTCCATCTCGTACATCAACTCGCCATCTTCTCCATGCTGCGCATGCTCCACGAGTGTATTGCGCTTCTTCTGTCTTCGCTGGCGCCGAGTATTCCGTTTCTCAACTACGAGGTTTTCTGTCGAACTGTTGACTGAACGATTTCCCGAACCACTTCCTCGTCGACTGAAGATTTTGCCCAGCTTGGGTACAGCAAGTCCTGAGCCTCGGCGTTCCCGTTCTTGCTTCTGTCGCGAATCGGTAACAAGTCGATCGATATCATCCTCTTCCACCAAGACAATGCGATCGTGGGCGCGCAGCTCTCTGCTATTTCTGGCACGCGATATAAGCTCGTCATCGTCGGTATCGGTATCTTGATCGCTACGGGAGTGGAGTGATGAAGCATCGTCGTCGTATGCGACCGGAGAGAGAAAAGAAGCATTGTCGCGGTCTGCCCTAGAAGGGGTCGTATTTAAACGATGAGAGGACATGATAGCAGGACCTCAAAACTGGGCATTAAGAATATGAGTCTTGTTACATCTGTTACGTTGCCCGTTGTCGCATTCATTAATATGGAGGAATCCTATTTAAGGGGATGTAAGACATGGAATGGACCCTTGGATTGGCCTTGCCCAATGCCGCGAATGAGACCGGGGTTTGACTTCCACCGGGCTCCGTTTATATCCACTTTACAGCACGCATCGCCGTGAATGGCGCGATCGTTGTTAAATGACAGTTTCATTGGTGGGTTCATTAAACATGAAATGGTAAATGCCATGGCGACCTTGCTTCAGAATTTGAAGTTAAATCGTAATTAGACAGTTTCGTCTTGATTAAGATCAGACAAGGAGATAGATAGATAGAAGTATGAACCGTATTCAAGTGTGTTTCATTGATACCATAGGGTATGTAGTAAATACCGAACGGACAGACAGATATAGAGGCGAGTACTAACTTTGCTGGGATAATATCGTTCCTGAATGAGCCTACCTGGCTGGATCTTACTTAGCTCAAATACTAAAAATAAGAATGCTCGATCGAGGATGTACATGCACGAAGCAAAAGAGGATGCGGTTTATGTGGATCGAACACATGACCTTCAGATATCAATACCCCGAAGTTTGACTTCAGTCTGACGCTCTCCCAACTGAGCTAAACCCGCTGTTGCTTGCGAGTATGGTTAACATTACAAAATAACTTCCCTGCAGCATTGTCGATGCTGTTTACACAGGGAACAAGCTGGAGCATACTCTTCAGTGAATTATTTTCAGAAACTAGTTTGAATATCGACTGCGACTGATATAATTCCTGCCATATGTTTTTTCGAAACTTAAACCCCATCTTACGTATCAACTGCTTCTAATATAAGAAACTGTGTTGGCTAATCTGTTCGCTACTAGCTAAGAAGCTTTGGTGGCTGTGATGTCTCCAAGGGAGCAGAACTAGGCATGTAAGTAACATATACTCAAGGTTTACCAAAAAAAAGGAAAATCAGTTAAGTAGACTCAAGGGTTGCCCAGGTATACATGTGCGCCAGGTTGATCAATGGGAAACACAAACGCTGTATTGACCCTTTTCTGCCAATGCTTATAACTTTCCGCCCTTACTTGCGAACCACCCATCTGCCTCGTCTCGTCCCAACAAGCTTGAGATCATGATCTTTCCAAAAATATCTATGTCGTCCGCTCTTGCTTCATCAAGTACATCATCAAATATAGCGTTCGTTACTACATAGTGATTCTTCTCCTTCCAGGCCCCAGCGAAGCTCAACGGGGTCATGGCATTCCACAAGTGCGCTGATAATGTCCAAGAGTGACATAGTCCAAGTCTCCCATCACATTGCAGGATCTTGCAGCCGACCATAATGCGATAGGTCTGTACAAAGTAGAAAGAAAACAGGAGGGTGCGACGCAAAGACTCTTGGAGAATCCAGTCCTGCCAAAAGGTCTTTGTAGGGGCTATGGGAAATAGAGGCAGCGCACCGGCTTTTTCGTTGATGTCAAACTGGGCATGGGAGAAGAGCGATATTGCAGAAGATTCGATGAATGGAATTATACGCTCTGCTGATGCACGAGCGCCAATATCGCCATCGTATAATAGAATGATTTGGTAAAGGATAAGAGCTTGAGTGTGAGCCAAACAATCCATAGACGTTATAGGCGGCGGTGCCGACAGGAGATCGTTGACCCGAGATTCTATACTACGAAATATGATGGGCGAGTTGACGCGATTCTTTGCCATATACAGCGCACAAGAAGCATGAGCATCTTAGCTGAAGTTAGTGAGGCCAGGTGATGAAATCGTTAGGTTATGTGTTTACCTTGCATAGATCGAGGCATCCCATCTTTATAGAGCAACGGATGACACCAAGGTGTTTGATTCTCAAGGACCATCTTCTTGGGGGCCTCTTTGATCTCATCAACTGCCCACTGAAGGCGGTTTAGAACGATAGCTGGGATATTCCCAAACTCCTGCGTCGAGGGCGCGGTCAATGAGTACGGTTGTTGAACAAGGTCCAGTGATACATCCTCTAGCGGGATATCAAAGGTTCCTAGGTCATTCGAGCTAGCATCAATGCTCGAGATAACAGCGTTGAAGTCTTCAATCATCGATCCACTAATGGAAATGGTTTCTGATCTTTCAGGGGACGAGCCATCATTGGTAAGCAGGCCAGTGGGTACAGTCTCTGGCGATTCGGATTGAGGAGTCAGGTATCCTTGCAAAGCGCGAGCAGGATATTGACAGGAGATATTTCTCTGTGAACATCGGAGGCACGCTGGTAGAGCAAAGTCACAACGCCGCTTGGCCTTGGTGCAAGCAGTGCATGACTTCCGCCGACTGGGAGGGTTGCGGCGTTCTCTAGCGGTGAGAGACATTATGAGAGAAGGGAATTCCGCAAAAATTCGCTTTTGATATCTAAAATGTGCGGAAGTCGACGTGATAATACAGAGGACAGTGGACGTGATAGTGATAGTGAAAGACGAAGGTAAGACCAACAACCAAAGAGAGCTAAAGCAGAAATGAGAAAGGTGCCGGAGAAAGAGTGGGACTAGGCGGAACTCCGCCCGGTGTGACAGCCCCGGACCCGGGCTCGGGGGGTCTGCAGTTAGAAGGAAGCGGATCTCCGGCGATAGGCTGAATATCGATCAAATCCGCAAACTATTGCATGACTGATATAAGAGGACGTTGGTTTATATTTTACAGTGATCAATTACCACACTCCTGTTTTGTTTACGCAGCCATCTATCACAATAGCTTATCTCAACCCCAATATTCTAAAACCACACCGATTCACGTTCTTAAGTATGTATACGCCTACAGTATTCGTTAGTGGCGCTACCGGGTGCCAAGGAGGTGCCGTCGCTCGTTACCTCCGCTCCAAAGATGTCCCTGTGCAAGCCCTCGCTCGAGACCCAGCCTCTGAGAAGGCCAAGGCCTTAGAGGCAATTGGAGTCAAACTTACGCCCGGCGACTACGATAACAAAGAAGCACTCAAAGAGGCCATGGAAGGCTGTACGGCCCTTTTCCTTGTGCTTATGCCTGATTTCACAGACCTCACCGCCGAAAGGCGATGGGCTACCGGCATTTTCGACGCTGGCAAAGCAGCCGGTGTTAGGCATGCCATCTTCTCGAGCGGCTTCAGCGCTGGAGATCCTGATCAGTTGGGTGCCCTTGAGCCAGGAACTATTCTGGGCACGATTATGCGCAACAAGCATGGTATTGAGAACCAGCTTCGGAATGCAGATTTCGAGTATTGGACCATCTTGCGCCCTGGGAACTTCATGGCCAACTATCTGGAACCGTTCGTCAGGATGTATCCCGGCCTCGTCGAAAAGGGTGTCTGGACGACTGCCCTTATGCCCACAACTATTCTGTCTATGACTGATACTGTCACGATCGGCAAGTTCGGTGGCGAAGCTTTCCTGAACCCAGAGCGTTTCCACGAAAAGGAGATCACATACGCTGATGAGTGGCTTGAGGTAGAGATCGTTCTGCAGAAGCTCTCCAAAGCAGTGGGAAGGGGATTGAAAGCCGAGTATCTTTCTGAGGAGGAGATTAATGATCAGAAGGTAACAAACCCCTTCATTTCTGGACAGCTCTTGATGCGAGAAATGGCCAAGTTTGCAACCAAAGAGGAAGTCGAAGCATGGGGAATCCCGCTGAGCACGTTCGATGCGTTCTTGGAACGGGAGAGCAAAGCTATCAGGGAGACTTATCGAAAGACCGAGTGATAGGAATGCGTAAATTGGTCGAGAAGCCGGGAAATGATAATGTGATTTAGTGCCTCCTGTGGGCATCATCGTGACCACGGGTGATATACACATAAAATTATTCTCCATGTCTGAGTTTAGCTTGCTCCTTACTTAATTCGATCTACTTGAATGTATTCTATTTATTCAGATTCAGGGTGGATAAGACAAAAATCGTAAATTTGATATGCAAGTGAGCACGATGTCGCAGTGTTGTTGTAACTATGGGGCCTTCATTCCAATTTGTATAGGAATCCCTAAAAGCCCGATACAGGTTACCCAGTACATGTGCGCCATGACCGTCAGAACGCCCCCCTAAAACGCATTAACCATTCGTTAAAACCCTAGTTGAGCGTATATCGCCAAGAAAATTATAAATCCCAAAACGTCCCCATCGAGGGACAATAACCAGATAGACCAAACAATCATTGTGCTACCCCGATAGTCCCCGAAGGTCCTCGCTGATCCCTTGACACAGGCTCAAACTCTTCGGTTGGCTGGGCAGCATTCTTGTTGTTTCTCTTTTGTGGGAGGCTAAGCTCCTCGGTGCCTGGTGTGGTTTCGCCAGTCGTTGTCTCCTGTTGGATGTAGCTCCTGTTACCACCAGCCAAGCTGCCTAGACCACTACTGGATTCACCTATCCCACCGACAGCCCAGTCGCCTCGGGAGTGTCGTGCTGAAGCCGACGCAGGATATATTCCATCAGAATCATATGCAGTACTTCCTCTCATCACTGGATTTTGTGGCCATCCCATCGGCATACTGGACACTCGACGGTGGTGTCCAGTGATTTGATCATCGACACCACCATCCGGCACATCGTTTGCGGCTTGCTTTTCGGCGCTTACTTGGGAGCTTCCTTTTCCTGATGTCGGGAACACCCCGCGATTCTTTTCATTGACATTCTCCTTCTTCTTATGTCCCAGTATTGCGGCTGCGCCGCCGCCAGCGGCCAGAGCGGCAAACGCAGCAGTCGTTGACGACCCGAAACTCCGCATTTGATCAACAGGACCACTGGGTGATGTTTCATCAAAGAATATCCAGAGCATACCGGCGAGGAGACCAGTGATGATGAGGAGAGTGAGAATGGCGGCACCAGCTTTATCTCCTGCTGGTAAGGGTTTGTAGTCCAGATCAGGAGTTGTTCGCCCAATATCTTCGCCGCCACCGCCAGGATTGGCCTTGCTGGTTCCTCCGGTATTTTTCGTCAATGGTGCAGGTCGGTCTTGAATCATACAAGAAAGGGTGACTTCCAATGCCGCCATTTGTTGGCCCACGGTTATTTGCCCTTCGAACTTGTCCTTAGTCCAGTAGAGGCCACACATTTGGCCATTCTCGCCTCCCACACATTTGTCCGTGGCCGCAACGGCTGAAGCTCGCAAAAGTGGCATGATCAATTCGCGAGTATGAGGAGCCCATTGCGTCGTAACAGCAAGCCAGCGACTCAGATATGCTTTGAAGGATGTCTGATCAAGGTTACACAGCTTGACGGGCTCGCAAGCGACTTCCGACATGATGTTCTTTTGAGGACCCTGGAAGAAGATTTTTGCACCTTCGAGTAGATTGTCAAGACGAGTCTTCCAGACCGGGCTTTCGGTGAAGTTGTACATAGCCGCAGCGCCGAGAATCATGCCGCCTGCATTGTAAGAGAACTGGTAAGGCACCAGTTTGGTACAGTTGTTACCAATGTGGCCACCGTCATAAACGTAGTAAGACTCCGGGTCAATGAATTTGGTCCCTTCCATCCAATCCCACGTTTTATCGGCCCAGTCGGCGTAACTGTCATTGCCAGTGAAGAGGGCGAGACGCGCGCCAAGAGCAAAGAAACAAGCCTGGGAAATCGAGTTTTTATAGTCGTAGCCTTTGTTCCACTATGAACCATTGTTAGTATCCTTGTCTGATGCTTTGAAGTCGTCAAGACGAACTAAAGCCGGAGATACTTGAGCGGAGCCAGGGACCTTGACAGGTGATAGAGCTCAGGGGGTTTGATTAGATAGTAGAAAGGCTTACCTGGAAAATTTGCCACCTCAGACCACCGTTACAATGTTCTGTGTCCCAGCGAGCTGCTTGGGTATTGAAAACGGCTTGGGCGAGTCCCAGCCACTGAGGCTGGTCTGGATCGGGATGGGGAAAGTTGAATTCGGCGGCTGACATGACAGTGAGTGCCCAGAAGCCCTGGTCGTCGTTTCCCTCGGTTCTCGTCTGGTTGATAGGCATATAATCGTCATGGTCGCCAACTTGGAATAAAAGTGCCTGCTTGGTAAGGTCGACATATTGATCATCGCCCGTATATGCCCAATAATCAACCAACGTTCCCATAAAGGCACCGGCGTACCACCCTACAGCGGCATTAGTATCGAAGATGTAGAAAAGGTCGTCGGGTCTTTCGTACAGTAGTAAGGGTCGGGTAGTAGACCTGGGGTACCTCCAGGCTCATTGCCATGGTACATGCCGACCATATCCTTGGCGATTGTTTTAGCAACGGATTTAATCGAACCTGAATTGAGTTTCGAGTGTCAGAATGCGTCGCATTGAAAAGCGGCCCCGCGATTATTCCATGGTGTACTCACTTGTCGAATTAGGATCCAGTTGGAGAGCAGAGACCAAGGGATGAAGCATCAATAGCAGCGTAGATATGATGCCACCTGCGCCGGGCCTCGGCCCTGATGTCGAAATGAGACGCATGCCGACGATGAAGCGTGAGCGACAATGAGCTCAAATACGGCGACAAAAAAGCGTATCGTGCTTCATGAGGAGATGTCAATAAAAAGGAAGAAACGAGAGAGTGACGATGAGAAGTGGAGGAAAGACAAAGGCGTGAGCGGATAATATTACTTGCTTCCACGGGGAATGGCTCTCGCCAAGAATGGAAGGAACGGCGGCAGGAAGCAGGGGTTGGATAGAGGCGGGATGGAGCTAAAGAGAATTTAGGTGTGTTTGCTGTAGCGTAATGGGTGGAACTTTAAAACCTGGAGGTCGGGCATATGACTAAGTGGATGATGAATCGAATACGGATATGCGCATGTCGAATCAATTGATCGAGTCGAGTCTGAGGGAGACGAAGCATAATAAGAGCAGGAGAGGACGCATGCTTATAAAGGAGTTGGAATCACAACAAGACAATGAACGGCTCGCTCGCGTAGCAGCCTACCTTGGAGAAGTAATCTAAGTTAGTACCTAAGATCGGGTGGTACTTTTGACCACTGCGGGAATGGGTTTCAAACAACCATATCCGTTGAAACAACCTTTTGTGAGCCATCCTTTCGGCCACAGTCACGACCATGATACGTATACCAAATAGCAAGACGCCTTGTAGCTGGAATAACTCCCCCTTCAGTTCCCCAATACGAGGCTATGATGACTTCGACAGACTCCCGATCCACTGGAACGGCCGCCCCAAACCCCACTCTCTCCAGGCTCCGTCAATACGACCCAGCTAGCGTGGGTAATATCCATAGTTGCCAAACCCAGACAGGCTAAGTTCACTTCGTACCTGAATGCGAATGGCATGTACGGATAATAAGACAAGAATCCCAAGGCAAAGATGTTCTTGGTAACTCGGGAGCCAAGCACGGTTGGCGGGTTTACTTTAAAAAAGACAAAAAAGACGGCTTCAATTGTGAGGAAAGGGTTTGATAAATATGCATTGATACTGCAATTGCAAGACTTTTAGCCCCGCCCAGTATGAGCTGACATCAATCAGTTTAACAGGGTTTCCTTGGTCCGTGAGATTCGTATTTATTTACTTGGACGCATTGTCTCAAGTTGTTTTCACAATTTGACAAAAGCGTGCTTGAAACTTCCAATTAAGCGTTGTTTCCAGAGGACCCAACCAGATTGTCATTGACAGAGATGCTTCAAGGTGACACAAAAGGAAAATGTCTTTATATGGATCCCCAACTACGCCACGCGGCTGTTTGCCGTGGTAGGCAGCTGCAAGCTGTTCCGCACGGGCCTGAAATGACAGCGGTTGTGAGATATGTAGAACGTTGTTGATTGGGTTAAGCTGCTGAGGTGGGCCTCAAGCCAGAAGCTTCCTACATAGGCTATAAAGTGGATACAGAGACGGCTAAACTACGGAAGATCCTAGCCCGGGTTACAGGCCGTAGACGAAATGTCAATCCAATTCATTCCTGATTTTGACAACTTCAATGCGATACAGTTGTGATAGTAGGAATAGTACCATTCATTACCTCGGGCTTATCCACTGACTGCCGTAATTCGATGAGACATCCGGAATAATTGTATCGAAACAAGCATCATTCTAAGACAAAAATCTTGTCTGACTTCTCACGCCTTTTCTCCTCTCGGATGATTCATGTCTAGCATATATATGCGATTCCCACCAGACACTACATTGAGAGAAGCCCAAGGACCAAGTGCTTCGGAACACTTTACTATTGCCACGACATATCTTTCCATGGCAAGGAATCCATCGATTTCCCCAAGTTGCCCAACCGTAATACTGACATCATTGTTGCCGCATGTTATCGTTCAGAGAGTAGAGAAATGTTGTCATGGCTATACAGCCGATTCGATCGATATTAATGATTGCCATATATGCTATGGCTCAATCAGCTTCACTATGTTCTCATAGTCTAGCTTGAATTGTCAGTCTGGCACCCTCAACTCCGTCATAAGAGCTTTCAGGTTATTAACTACCATGGCGAGACACGCCATATCACCAGACTCACCCCTCACAACGCATCCCAAGCGTTATCATCTGATTCCATCGGCTCGTCTTCGCCCGCTTCGCCTGTATTCGTGAACTCCCGGAACAATGCTATGTCCTCAAACCGGCCAGACAAGCTCTCTACACTCGCTGTTCCGGGGTCTGTCATGGCAAGATTCAAATCAGCCATAAATGTAGCCCTTATGTCTTCCGCCGGGTTACTTAATATGTTTTCCTCGTATTGCTCCATTAGTTTTCGAGCTTCATCCGCTGACAAATCTCCTTGATCAAGTGCCATGGACAATATACTTCGGCCAATGGTTTCAGCAAAAATGAAAGACCGTCGCAGTTCGCCGTAAGTTTGGACGCAAAAGAATAAGTAAAAGCGCCAGGCAGGATCTTTTGCTTCCCCAAGGATTGCATTCGCAATGTGGATCAAGGCAGTGTGCCATAACATCGTGTACGATGAACACGTGTGACTCTCCCGATACACCACCACAAGACGTTTAAGCTGATTCACTGATGCTTTATAAGCAGAATCAGGCGAGCTTCGTTTGCAAGGAAACGTCTTTAGTCGCAATGGTTTATGAGAGTCTCTTGCTCGAGCTGTAAACGGACGTAATATGCAAAGGATGGCGACGTGTAACCATATACTAGTTTCAAATTAGGCCTCCAAAAGTCGAAGTTAAGAATTGGACCAAAACGTTGAGACGTACTGAAATACCAAAACATGATGCGGACTTTGCTCTGAGCGCATCATGGATGTAGGCAGTGTCTCTGCCCAAGCTATAAGCTCTCGGTATTTGTATTCAGCAAATGCCAGGGTAATGTGACCGCTGAGGCCCTCAAGAGGGACAGGCTGATCACGATAATATTTCAAAGTCACCTCATGCATTATTTTCCAAAATCGACAGAGAACTGGAAACGTGTCGCCCATGTACGTTTGCTGTAAAGTTTGCTGAGCAGACTCGGAGTTGTCGTCGGGGGAGTGATTCCATGCGTGCCCCGGTATTGGCAACGCAGGCGGATGTTCGGGATATGAGAGGCCAGGTTGTTGATAAAACAAAGCCATGAGCCTAATAGTATTAGTATTGTGTGTTCCTGAATTAATTCTTGTAGGTGGGCTTACACTATCCAGTTGAAGGTGCCCCAGGCAGCGTAGGATGTTGCACTCTGCAGCTCAGGACTCACTTGTTTTGCCTTTGAAATTGCGACGCTTGTTTCGATGCCAAAAAGTCCCAGTCGAGTGCCCATAGAGTTGACTTCGGAGACGAACGTTAAGACATAATGATCCTTTCCGTTTCCCAGATATGCCAAACCCAGTAACTGTGTTGCGGCAAGGGTCAGCAGAGAATCCGTGGATTTTTCCACCGACCAAAGCTCCTCCGCTTCTTTACAGAACTGTTGTGTAAACTCCTTAGCAGTAGAATCAATCGAAGTGTACATCTGCTGTTGTCGTCTAAGCGAATTTTCGAGTACGATATCGATGCAGGCCACTTACACAACTCCAGTACATAAGGGCATTGACTAGCAGTTTACTGCAGTAGCGAGTCCGGCAGCGAACCAAATCTTCCAAAAATAAAGTTGGATCGAAGGAGCCCAGGAGAGGATGATCCGTCTCCAGATATAGAGATATGATCTTGGCAGCCAAGTCGGAAGGAATAGGCACGGAAGACCAAAATCCAATATTCAACTCCTCCAGTCGCTCGTCGCAGGAACTCAACTCGGGCCCGGGGCTTCGTGTGGTATTATACGCTGGGAATGGGTTGGGTGATTCGCTCGGCATTAGAGTGTCGTTGTCGCTGTCGACACTCGATGCCCGGCCGGCGTTGAATATTTTCCTACCACGTATTAGTTGAAGCTACAGCGAAAAGAGAAGAAAAAAGAAAAAAGATTAGTAGGAAAAAAAAAACTAAAGTATTACCGGCGCTTTCGCCAGAGAATAAGTAATAGGGTGTTGACAAGCTACCTACTTTAGGATACTGGACTCCGCAGGCTGGAGTGCTGGGAAGGCAAGGGAGTGTCTTGCCATAAGTTCAGACTCAAGGCCCAGATAACGAGTGTGTCTAGTAGTCTGTTCCTGACCGATAACGTGTTGTGCTATTCGTGGCTGGATTATTGCCATGGCGGTATCCAGGTCGTTGTGGCATCGTAAAACTCGGAGAATGTCGATGGCTTGTGACTCGGATCTCGTTTTCATCATGTCGAATAATTCGAGAATCTGCTCTGTCTCTCTGCTTGTCTGGCCGATGATTCGATTCTCTACGTAGACACATGGTTCCTTCTCGCCTCGTCGCGAGCAAGCTTCGCAGAGTGGCTTTCTTCCATTGCACTGTACAACAAATCAACGAGAGAGTCAAAGGGGCTGATCGATTACTCAGAAAGCTTACACGAACCTTCCTCTTGCGGCACGAGTTGCACGCGAGCTGTGTACCGATTCGTTGTCGCTTAAGAGGCTCGTCGCTGGAGGAGGCAGAAGGTTGTGAGTTGGGAGGTGAACTTTCGCTAGGGGGCACGGGTAGGAGTTGGCGATATCTCTTGGACATTGTGGGGGCGAGTCACCGACAAGAGTCAGCTTTGGGGAAAGCGGAAGTCTCCTGAAGGCATTGATCAAACAAAGGTCGTAATGCTGGACAATAGATAGATAGAACTAATTGGTGCTCTAAGTTACATTTTGTTACAGAATAGCTGTCAGTCCCTTCCACGTGGACCTACATGCTCGTCAAGCTGAAGGTCTTCGATCCTCGATCTTCCAACTGAAGAGCCGATATTGAAACACTCAAGTCACTCAACTTTTGCCTCTCCCTGAGCCAATCAGCTAAGCTTTGGAGCTCTTCCCCCACTGATTTGGGCCTTATTGTGCCATGTTCAGAAGCTCTAGCAAATCATGCTCGGCGGGAGCTCCGAAGCAGACGATTGGCTAGATTGAAATAGGCATCGCGATCGGTTTCTGTCATAATATATTTAGCTCAAGGGTCCCCAGTGTGTGGGCATTGCTAGGAGCTACCCAAGCTACCTACACATATACTACTAGCCCCTCCATCATCATCATTATGACAACATAATGATTGCTTTCCCCAGATTCCGTTTGCTCTTGTCCATCAATAGATGCAAATGTTTCAGCGACCCCTAATTGCCTGACTAACCATTTCAACGACATACCATATGCTTCAACAAACACCGAAGGTACTTGACATCGAACATGTTTCTCTTTCCGCCATTCAGTCACATCGGATCACAGACAAAGTGTTAGTGGCATAATCGACAACTGTTCTCATCACAGATCTCAACTCTACGCAGTTTGCATTTCCCGTGGACCATCCCGTACCTTGAACCCCTTGGCCGACTCTTCTAGCGACGCTTCACTTTCTGATTTCAAGGCCAACCCCATATTGCCAGGAACCTGAATATCGTCATATAGACGCATGAGCTTCTCAATAAGGCTGCGCTCTTGGGGAGAACAGATCAAGGGGAGTATTTGATAAGATAGGTTACGGAGCTTTCAATCTGAGGCTCTTTGCGTTTTCTCACGACAATACTTGCTGTTCCCCTGGCCTTATGGCTACCGGTGCTTGGTGAGTTCAATTCTAGAATTACGAGAATTATATCTAACACCTAGCTATACAGACGATTCCCAAGAGCACATGGATACTACCTGTTCCAGAAACGTTAACCCAGCAACACAAAGATACGGGCATGAGTTATGGCACCACAGTTATGATGCGTTGACTGATTATATCCTTTCACCCTCTTCCACTACGTAAGTACCCAGATTAAGTATTTCATCTGAGTAATATATTTCAAAATATAACCTGGTTGGTTGACTACGAAGGTAGAGAACTGGAGATCCATTTCCAGGCCGCTTGCTCATGGACGCCGCAGTCTGCGGAGCAGTGGCTGTGTTTCAATTGTGGCAATGATGTGGCGTGATTCTGGTTGTGGCTACGGTGGCAACACGAATACGGTCAGCCAATCTCTGTCCCCGTTTTTTAAAAGTAAACGAGTCTTCATGCCATCCGTGTTGGCTACCATGGTACGGCTAAAGTACACTGAGCCATAGCGTACCACGGTTACGGATTACTTAGACATTACGGAGGATGGCAAAAATGAATTTTGCTACCTACCTACCTACTCATCGTGTATGACATTTACAACACTTGTCAGGGCTTGACTAGTATCTGACACTGCCAAAAATAGAAACTGCAAAAGAAGAAACAAACAAGCATAATTATCTGCATGAGAGCACGCGAGAGGTTCAGAGCAAAAGAATAAAGAAAAGAACGAATCACTCCGTCGGCCCTTCGGGCTCGCATTAAGTAGATGTACAACATACTTATTAGCCAGGAAGCCAATCACCTTTATATTCAGGTGCAGCACTGTAGGCTGAACGTCCATTCTGAAGCCCGGTCCCCCCGGCGGGCCTCGTCAGCCTGTGCAGCGCCCCAAAACCAAGCTCCGCCCTTCACCTGCAACCTGGTCATTCATTACTCGTTTCGCCTGAACCAGCGTAACGTCTCACCATCAACTTCCCTCCTCCAACCTCTCACTACGCCAACCTCCTCCTTTCGCATATTACAACGACACGACACGAAACGACGACCTTTTGATTCCGAAATTATTCTCGTTCACCGTCAACTTTTCGCGCCATACGATCGATACCCATTTGCTATTTTCTAGCGACTCAATAGTCCCCAAATATAGCCAAAATGCCTCCAGCTGAGCAGGAAGCCCCCTACGACCCCTACATCCCCAGCGGCGGCCAAGCTGGAGCCCAACAACAGGGCGCCGGCGGCAATGCCAGGACGCAGGCGCTTCAAGCTGTAAGTTATTTTTGATAGTTTCTGTGATGCGCTGGTGTTTTTTTTTTTGGACGGGTACGGATTGCGACGCCTGGCGACAAAGCCTATTGACGACCAATGACGTCTCTTTGGATCTTCCAAGAACGGCGAGCAATAAAATTGCTCAACGTTTGCGGCCCATGGATTGTCCAATTTGACAATTCTTGACGGTTGCTGATCGTTGACCTGGCGACATTACGCCGTGAATTTGCGAGCAACAAAGTTGAGCGGTACTTGTTTCGCCTCGTCAATGCATTATGAGACTATATGGGCCCCCAGCCAGCTTGTCATCAATTCGATGCCCCTGACCAACTTTTGCGTTGTTGGTTGCAGAAACACCAGCTCCAGAATGCCTTATGCATTTGAATACTTGAGCATATGCTAATATGATAAACAGCAAATCGATGACACCGTGGGTGTGATGCGTGACAACATCAACAAGGTCTCTCAACGTGGTGAGCGCCTCGATGCTCTTCAGGATAAGACCGACAACTTGGCTGTCTCGGCGCAAGGTTTCCGCCGAGGAGCCAACAGAGTCCGCAAACAGATGTGGTGGAAGGATATGAAGATGCGAATGTGTCTGATTATCGGCATCATCATTCTACTGGTTATCATCATTGTTCCCTCCGGTAAGAATCTTCTCCAGTCGTTTGCGTGCAACTCAGACTAACTCCATCTAGTTATGGCTACCCGCTAATAGCCCAATGAATGCTTTGGCTACTTGGTCCTCACGAACGATGCACACGCTAGGACATGACGACGTCGAATATTGCAAGCTACGACCATGGGAAATGGAACTTTTGGGCAACTGGCCATCATTACAATGAAATATGATTTGAGCACGGTGGAGTTTGTTCACGTTGGGTCCCAGTCCTGCTATGCTGGCGACCTTTGCCCCTGAAGCTACTTGCTGAAGACGTAGTCTCGGTATTGCTTCTGGCACGCCAGGGCGGGCTGGATGTATGAGATTAGGCGTTCCCCGATTAATTAAGATATATACCTTTCCGCAGTTCTTCGTTATCGTTTGTATTAATGGTACCGACGAAGCAGCCCGCTTGCCAAAGTTGGAGCGGGAAACTGCGCTGTAATATGGCTTGGAGTCGGGAGTGACCTCTTTTTACGCAAATGGTTCTTAGTTCTCTTAATGGCATGAATTGTATCATATGACACATGAGCTCTGCATTGTGGCAAGTATGAAGGTGATCGACGTTCTCGAGATAAATCAGTTAGCATTTAGATGAATCAAACAAGGGGCCGACCAGCAGTTCCTCCGAAGGAGTGGGACCTTGATACGCACACGATGATAGGCCTGGTGAAGAGCAATGACAAAGGTCTGGTAGCCCTTCAAGTACCATAGCCATGGGTCCTCGGTTGGCGTCATTCCGGAGTGGGTTTGTCAGGTAGTGGCATGTAGATGTGCAGCAAGTGGATTAGTAGTAGATTGATAACGCCTACTGATTGATAATGCCTCATAACCACCTACGTCTTTTCTTGGATCAGGTAGTAGTGGTTACGGTGGGACCAGTGACTCTGCGAGTTCGGCTGTATTTCAATGGAAATTCTGAATGGAATACTGATGCTTCAAATTTTCAGGTCTGTTAATTAATTATATATACGATTTTGAAGGTTCGGGAGCATCGAGTTCTGCAGGAATGGAAAACAAACAATTGAGCGGCATAAGCCATGCTGTACTTCTCATGATCAATAGATGTCAACGAAAAATTTTCTCCATGATACCTGCAGGGCAACCCCAGCATCACATAACTCGGAGGACTCCATACTAGGTAGCACTGGGAGTCATCTGCCGAGCGGTGTCGGCGCACTCAAAGGTTAGCAACGGCGGTAGTAGATATGTACATTAGATATGCTCTCCCTTAGAAACTCGTTGGAAGGAATTCCTCAGTAGCGATACATTTTGTTTGTGGTAGAACAGAATTTCTCTCGATCCCAAAACTTGGGTTAGAAATATAGTATACCAATGTAGATGATTGATTGATAGGTGTATTTGTACTCCAAGGTGGAGGAAAATACATACTGATACTGAATTGCTTTTCTTGACGTAGGTACCTGGGAAACTAGCCCCGCCATTCAAACCCCAGATCCTTCCCGCTTTGACTGACTTGCCTTTATCTTGCCATGCTGTGCCCGTCTCTTTTCCAATAAAAAAGAGTCTCCAGCCCTCATCATCAATTCTCCCTTCCATCTTTCGACCCTCCCCTCCGTCAATTGCACGCTCACAATCTCCCAACCTCGAGCAAGATGCTGCCCGCCACTTCTCAGGCCTTCCGGGCCGGTGCCCGACGAGCCGCTCCCCGTGTCGCTGCTGCTCGCGCCAACGCCAGTGTCAAAATCGCCGCTCCGACCACGCTCCGATCCATCAACGCCCGAGCTATCTCGACCACATCGCGAGCTCTGGCCTCGTCGCCTAGTAGGGATAGAACTCGGGAGATTGTTGCGCAGACTATCAACAGCATTGGCAGCAAGCGGGAGGGTGAGCAATACCTCAAGCTCTTCACCTCGGTCGAGTCCCAGAAGTTTGCTGTTATCAAGGTCGGCGGTGCCATTCTTACCGAATACCTCGATGAGCTTTGCCGTAGCATGCTCTTCCTTTACGAACTTGGCCTATACCCGGTCGTAGTGCATGGTGCCGGTCCTCAACTCAACCGGCTCTTGGAGGAGGCCGGCGTTGAGCCTCAATTCGAAGAGGGTATCCGAGTCACCGATGCCAAGACTCTTGGAGTGGCTCGCAAGCTTTTCCTCGAGGAGAACTTGAAGCTTATTGACCGTCTTGACGAGCTAGGTGTTGCTACTCGATCTATTAGCGGCGCTTTTATGGCCGATTACCTCGACAAGGAGAAGTGGCAATACGTCGGAAAGATCACAAAGGTCAACAAGGAAGCGATTGAGAAATCCATCGAAGCTGGCTACGTCCCTGTTCTCACTTCTATGGCCGAATCTGAGGATGGTCGTCTGCTTAATGTCAACGCTGACGTAGCCGCCGCTGAGCTCGCACGAGCCCTTGAGCCCCTGAAGGTCGTCTACCTGTCGGAGAAGGGTGGTTTGTATGACGGCGATGGCGAGAAGATTTCTGTCATCAACCTGGATGCTGAATTCGACAACCTGATGAGCCAGCCCTGGTGTAGATACGGAACCCGACTTAAAATTCGGGAAATTAAGGACCGTGAGTACATACCAATACCTGTATCTATTTGGACACTAGCAATGCCACATAGACCACCTAAAGTCATAACTAACATGTATTAACCAGTGCTTGATACCCTCCCTCGTAGCTCCTCCGTCGCCATTATTCACCCCAGTGACTTACAAAAAGAGCTATTCACTGATTCCGGTGCCGGTACTCTCATCCGCCGAGGAGACAAGGTCCGGAAGATCTCCTCTCTCGACGAGGTTGAGGATCTCGACAAGTTCAAGCAGACTCTGGTCCGTGACCGTGAGGGTATAGATGCCGAGGCCACTGTTGACCGCTTCGTTGATCTGCTCAAGAAGAAGGATTTTAACGCCTACTATGACGATGGCATGCAGTGCTTGGCTGTCGTCCTGCCTGCCAGTGAGGAGCAACCCATCGCCACACTTGCTACCCTGAACATCACCAAGTCTGGCTGGCTCAGCAACATCGCCGAAAATGTCTTCGCTGCCATCAAGAAGGACCACCCTAGCTTGGTCTGGACTGTCAGTGAAGAGGACGAGAATCTGACTTGGTTCTTCGAGAAGGCCGAAGGTACCTTCAACAGGGACGGTAATGTTCTGTTTTACTACGGATGCGATCTCCGCTCCGAAGCACTTGTCCCTGTATATGAGGACTTCAAGGCCCATGGCCGAGCCATGCTCGGTGACTCAAACCTCGAAGCTAGACTTCGCAGCGCTGCTAAGACTACAAGCGAGAAGCTGAACGCGCAGAGCCGCTCCTAGAGGAGCTATAGTGGGATGTGAAAGCAAGGGACAGAAGTCTAGGTTCGCTTTATGATAAAATCTTTCAAAAGATATGACAAATAATATAATTGTTAGAAACTCTACCTTCTTTATAGCCTGGTTCTAAGAAAGATTGGCTTGCTCACACTTGTACTCCCACTACTTAGTCTTCCGCCCTCAATGTCATTATTCTTGTGGGCTTACGTGGGTTCATCAGAGAGCTTATACACAATCCCACAGCTCGCACTTTGATGCAATCCTTTCACCTACATGTTACAAGCATTCACTAATCCCTGATCCTTGCAAGCACATAGTCAAATCCATTTTGACCCCGTCTAGGTTGGAGCATATTATCGAGATGCATTTATGCACGTCACATCCCTCAAACCAACAATCCCTAATAAGAACAGAATTAATACCTTTCCACATTTATAGCACCCAATCTAGAGTTGGTATTGCAGACCATGACGTACATGGAAACTGTATCAATGGTGTCTGCGAAGTCATAGAGGCAAGATGAACAGGATGAACGTATCAGAGATAGGGGAGTCATCTTTTACACCTTCATGAAATGGCCTGTTGGTATGGTACAGAGTGAGAAGCAAGGATTATTAGACAATTTAGCTGTCTATAGTATCACGAGATTCTTTTACTAGAGTGTGTGTAATGAGAACTGAATGAAGAAGATGCCAAGTCCATGTAATGAGATAATGCCTTTTCACTCCCAAGCCCTCTCGAACGAAACTCTCTTGGACAAACTAAGTCGCCCTATTGATGCCTGTTAGGCTGTTTGACGACCGCTTTTCGGAATGCCTTATCATGGTGTTGAAAGAGAGTGAGCCTCTATTATCATCCACATTATTCGAGAGTATTTCGTCCATAAATATGGGTATAATAGGTAATTACGACTCTTCATCACCCTAAGCCATAATTTTTCGATAGTGAGCATATAGCTCCTATCTGCGGAAGGTTATCCTAGTAATCGATATGCACACTGAGCTGACTTGAGTACCTATACAGGAGTATATGTTTTCAGGGTATACCACATATCAATATCGACCAGCAATCTGCTCCTAAACAAGTGTTATGTAGCGAACCAATACTTAGTAGTCCATGAAAGTAACAGGCGGGAGATAACAAGACTCTTTTGCGGAGAGTGAGCTTTGCCTCTAAGCTTGTCATGAGCATTTAGTCCCAGTTAAGTAGAAGTATGATTGGCAGTGTGAAGCGTTAGATAGCAGTGCTGTAGTTGCGCACCTGAACGTCTTAAGGGTCTGGAGGAGTTAACGAGATCAGTCGGTTAGGTTGGCAGCTGGCAACAGCTGCTGGCACTTCACATAGCAGCGATTTGGTTTTCATTGTTGACGCGGTGAATGCACCTCTTGAACAATAAACAACCTGTGATTCCTATTGTTGCTATTGATGCAAACGATCTTCTCTTCCATCCTGCACAACTTGCGCTTGCTTCACTCCTACTTTTCGATCTGTTGAAACGAGCTTCTTTTTTGATCTACAACACTTTGCGTCTTTGCTATCTCGTGAGCTCTGGATTTGCTTCATTTCAGGAAAACGTTCTTTCTTTTGCATCAGTCTCTTTCATTACCAAGTAGGATCTCAACCCTCCAAGAGAAACGCATCATGCCTGTGGCAAACCCCGTGACCTCTTCTCAGCCCAAGACTCAGATTCCTGGTTCTCGACCCATGGGCGGCCTCGAGATTGGCCTCATGGCGGGCTCCATCGTTTTTTTCGTCGTTTTGATTTCCTCAATCTTTATCGTGCGAGGTCTCGACCAGCGCCGTCGAGTCAAAGAAATGATGCGACGAGCTGAAGAGGGCAACGCGGGGGTCAAGGGTGAACCCCAGACCTCCCAGGACGATAACATGCCAGGACATGGCCAGCACGAAGCTGCCAAGCACCACCTCTGGGGAAAATTAGTGGCCAATCTGAAGAGTGAGTGCAAGAAACGTTATGCATGATTGACAACCGCTTATGACATGGGTAGCCTATCTGTATCGCCTGAGAGCCAACCAGGAGAAGGTCGGAAATGTCTCAGAGGCCTCATCCAACACCAAGGCTGGCCAGACAAACTAGGAGGGTATCAGAATGATACCAGCCGAGATAACGCAGCGGAAGGATGCAAACGACAATGGAAACGGCAATGCAAGCGAGCAACTGCAGTCTGCGATCTACAACCTGCAGCGGCAACGTGGCGTGCATGGTCTTTGATTGAATATACTCCGTAGCCGACGTGGTATTGGGCAGGGCATGCATGGTTAGCTACATGGATGGACGGCTAAATGAATGGTGGACGGGACGGGACATGACTTTTAAAGGCTCAGATTGCTTGCAGGGTCATCATCAAAGCCGGTGTAGCCGGTACTTCTTGGAGATGGGGACTTGGACAGCTCTGGACAGCTTAATTGGCAAGGCAAGGCAAGGTGGCCCATCAGCCCAGTTCCACCCATGATCGACAATGCATGCCATGTTGTTTGTTGTTCGCTGTTTCTAGGCGGTATCCATTTTGGTCGGAACTTTGGAGCGGGAAGCTCTGATGTGATGTGATGTGATGTGATGTGCTGTACATGATACGGAGTTCATAAGGTACATATGTACATGTGCTTGCCAGTTTATAATTACCTAGGTAGTGATAAGACTGGTATCACATGAATGAATTCATCCACAAGCTGTGCAAAACACTTCTTTAGCAAAGTTTGGTTTTTGAGATAAAATTGGTTCTCTAGTATCAAGAGAGCTTTCACTTACCTAAGTGCCTAAGGTAGGCAGGTACCTAGGTACATAGAGGTGTGTAGGTGGTGCTGAAGCTGCCCCAATCAAAAAAGCTGTCGCGTAACTGGATGCCTCACGTGATCACCTGTCAAGAAGCTTCAAACGGTTCAACCCACCTGCTATCAACCGCCACATCCCGCGTTTCAAGTTTCATCCTTCAACTTCAATACGCGATAACACACGATAACACACGTACGAGCAGACGTAACATCCCCTATCCCGCAATGGCTTCTCGATCGCCATCTCGAGGCCGCTACAGGTCGCGTACGCGCTCACCGACCCCACGTTCCGACGCCTCCCGTTCACCTGAGCGTCGACCTCAGCACGATTCACGATCACCTGCCCGCTCATTATCCCCACAGCGTCGTAACGGTCGCTACAGAAGCCGTAGTCGCAGCCAGAGTAACAGTCGAAGCCGCAGCCGGAGCCGCGGAGCTCGTGAGCGTAACGATAGAGATAGGACTGGCTCCCCGCCTGCCAAGAGCACAAAAGTATGTGGCATTCATTGTCTCGAATACCCATTCTCTTGTCTCAGATACTGACATTCGGCAATCAGATCGTGGTTGAACGTCTCTCTAAGAACATTAACGAGCAACACCTCTATGAGATTTTTGGGCAATATGGGCGCATCAAGGATCTTGATCTTCCAATCAACAGAACTTGTAAGGCCGTCGACCTCACTTTTTTCTAAACATCAACTGATTGCACAATAGTCGGAACCAATCGTGGCACGGCCTACATACTCTACGATTATGCGGGCGATGCCGAGAGCGCTATAGCTCATATGCATGAAGCGCAAGTGGATGGCTCGGCCATTAATGTTTCAATAGTACTCCCCCGTCGCAAGCTCTCTCCAGCTCCGCCAACAGCTCGACGTGGAGCCAACATCGATCCCAGAGTTCCTTTTGCTGGCGGGCGCGGGGGCCCTCCTGGTGCGGGTATCCAAGGAAACAACGGTACAGGTGGTGGAGGAGGCCGACGTCGCACGTCTCCAGGAAGTCGGTTCGGGCCACGGTCTGATGTATACCGTCCAGGATCGCGCTCACCATCTAGGTCTCCGGTCGGACCTCCTGCTCGTGGCGGTGGAAGTCGATATCGCAGTCGGTCAAACCATTCTTACTCGTCTAGGTCACGATCAAGATCCCCAGCTCCCCGACGCAAAGGAGCCGGTCATCACGATGACCACGAGTCAAGACGTCGTGGCAGTGTCGACAGTTACCAAGGCCGAAGTCGGTCTCGCAGCCGGGGGCACGGTCCCAAGTGAAAGACGAGTCTCGAGGTGTAAATTAATTGGTTTTCGAATGGCGTTACCAGGAAAAAGAACGGGACGAAGTAGATGGGAGAAGGACCACGGGTCTCAATTAGCTCCCAAGAGCAAGTTGGTCATTTGCAGCCCATCCATGTTCGTGGTTTGCAAACTGACATCTGGCCAGATCAATATGTTGGTCCGACAAAACCTGATGAAGGTGCTGGTCAAACACTTTCGTAATTCAGCCTATTATCTTATTTCTACTGCGGAGATGCCTTCCGCTATCTTTCAATCACCAGCCACATGCCCGCCCATAAGTCGGCTTCGGCCGCCAATGTTAAATCCTTGGTCACTTTCTAGCCCTAGCGTTTCCAGGGTGTCTACCGCGCACGGGCGAGCAGGGGCTGCCCGCTGCCCCTCCACGTTATACGGATATTGGCTCCAAAATTCTAATGGATTCTCATGGTGCCTGGTTTCCTGTGCCGGGGTGTGGAATATACTTTGGAACGTTGTGCTACTAACAGCTGCAGCTACTGCTTTTGTCCGAACGGTTGTTGACCATTCAAAGATCCTTGGTCACTAGATCTCATCTACCATTTGTCACGCTATCTCCACTCAAGCTCAACAAGGCAGGGGAACTTGTATGGGGATAAGGGGGCCCCATGTTTAGTGGACTAAGTCTTGGCAAGCCTCAACGCCCTTATGATAGCTTGCTCAGACCAAGACACTCGGGTCATCATGCATCGAAGTCACCTATGCACAGTTGCCGTACTGCTGTAACTATGGTACGAATAGCTAGCAATGTGGGCAGTACACCATGCTCAACAGCTGGAATCATGATATGACCCCGGCATCTTCCCACCTGGAACAATAACGGTGGCTTCTCCTATAGGGCTGAGAGGTCCGATCCTGCACCGCAGTTGTCGCAAGCAAGATCCATGATCCTGTCAGCAAGGGGCCTGTTCTAGTGCTTGCGTTTGGATGGGGCCACCGTTGAAGAGGGGCCGCTCTGCCGCTGTCAGTTCGCACCACTCGTGCTGCAATGATCTGTCATACCTTATCCGGGACAGGATAGGATAGGAAATCCGAGTCGTGGTTGAATTGTCAACGCTCTATTCAGCACACATCGTAGCACATGAAGTGTAAAGTCAATTATTGACAGCTAGCAGATCTGACACCATCGCTATCACTGGCCCGCTGCCCAGAAGAGCAAGGATGGTGGCACATGCTGAGATATCGTACACAGTGTATTATACCAAGGGCATACACGTACACTCTTTAAGATTAGAAGGAGATCCCATTATGCACACGTCTGCATCAAACACTGCAACGGCCGATGCGCAGCCGTAATTTACGTTTAGCAGTCATCACGACGTACATTGGCCGTCAAAGAGCAGCATAACTCACAGAGTACGTACCAGCGTGTGATTCATCTGCATGGCGCCAACTGCGAGACCCTGGTGCCGGGTATGGCTATATTCTCTGCCGGATGCCCGTGGCAGGAGACTTTCCCTAATGAGATGGAAAGCCCACGCTCGTAAAACCCCGATTCTGAGGCCCGATAGACAGCACCTCGGCTGGTGCTCGGAAGCCAAACCCCCTTTCTCCCATTGCCACATTAGGATCCTTGCATGGCCAGCATGGCATGGCACGACAGAGGCAGGTGGATGTGTGGCTCATCGTTTGCGTTTCGGGGCGCTGGCTGAAGCCTGTTGATTCCGGCAGCTGTCATGGGCCAATATCCCAACGAGGGGGTCGTCTCTAACATGGGTGTGGTGCGTATACAGGGTTCAAGTCGGTTGTACTACCGAGCTCTCATGGCTTCGCTGTCAACTCTCCAATCACTCTGGCAATCATATGCTTTGCAGTCACATTGGGAACCACATTGGGAACCCCCCGATCTCTTTGGGCTCCTAGCTATACCTTTTGAGTTGCCGCCATTATAGAGTACAACTTGGATTTCATCCAAATTGAATGAACCACACCGAATGTGGTGAGCCTACGGCCAAGACGACGCACATCATCAATGCCCCTACCTGTTATCATGGAACCTTTTCCTTGGCTGTTTACTCACTGTTCGTACGAACTCCCCACAACCGTACATCGACCCAGCCCTGCTACAGATGACCACTCTTCAGAGATATGTGGTTGAGGCTCAAATCGCCGATGAGGATACTGGTTGGCTGTGCTATAGCTATACTGGTCCCCATTAGCGCATATTCTTTGTTCACCTTACTTGACTCTTGAGTTTTGGTCCCTTTTCGGCCACCCAGAGTTTGCTCTCCTGGGCAATATGCTCGTAATGCCCGCTTAATCACCCCTCATTGGTATGGCCACATGATGGGCTTGACATGGTCGACGTGTTATTGTGAATTGCAGTATTGGAAGCGGCACTGATGGCCTTTTGGGAAATAACAAGAGAACCTCTGATTCTCGAAGCCTGATCCTGGGGCGCGGGGGCGGATCTCGATGCCGTCGAATACACCTTGCGCAGCTGATCATGCTTGGGAACGTGGATATTGAGGAGCTACTAGTTGCTCTGACGAGCAGACTATCCACATTGTCATGCCATGTTGTTCAAAGGCGAAACGTGAGCCTCATTAGGCTACTGGGGGTAGCCTTGATGCTGAAGAATATAACATAAACCTCAAGCCTAGACAATCTTTGTCAGACTCTTTACCATTTCAAACAGAACTTGTGGAAGATTTCGAGCATCTTTTATCGTTTACTCAATAATTCTAGAGTCAATCTCCTCAATCTCGCACTCAACAATGATCCCTCTTGTTCATGTCTACAAGCATACTCACACTTGCATCCGATGTATGGCTCAATACCCAAACTCTCACGAGCCAGAAATTCCAGATCCTCCGCCAACACCTCCAGGGGGCCCTCGTGTCCCTCCTCCTCAACCAGACCCGCCGCCATCACCTCCTCATACTTGGACATCATCATGAACTCGGGCGTCTTGGCTTCCACCATTTGTTATATTCGCCTACTTATGCTCCGTCGATCAAGCCCCATTCAAATATATCGGAGTGACTAGGGCTTTGGCTTTGCCATTGCCATAATCTTCCTTTGAAAGAAGGGTCCCCCTGTACGCCTGGAGATCTACACCTGCGGACAAGGAATTCTGGAAGCAGCTGTCAGATCACTATATGTGCAGTAAGATATGTTTAAAACTGCAGCTGTCCACGTCTCGTGGTCTATCACGCCAGAAGGGAAGATGTCGTGCCAAAATAAGCCAGTCACTGGCTGAAGAAGAAGGAGAAACAGGCAAGCCATATGACAACGGCAATTCTAGCATGAAGGCTCATATCTACATTCTTTGGGGGAGGATGGAGGGTGACGAAGAGAAGGGAGGGTACAGGTCATGCCAGCTAGCCCTGCCCTGCCCTGCATGGCACGGTACATCACATCACAGTACGGCCCAGGGATGCTCCGGAACATGCTGTCAGAAGTGATGCATAAATCTGACCGAGGGGCGCGGCTTACCGGGGACAACGGATGGGTAGGTAGATGAGCAGCTGTCCGATGAAGCGGATTGGCGCATGAACGAAAGAGAGATACCGCTCCATCACTTTTGAGGCCTGTTTCTTTGCACTCCAGAAGGATAGAACGGCTATGACTGCTTGGCGTTGCTTTGAGACGGAGTTTGGGGGTGGGGGAGCATGACTTGAGATATCAATAGTGGACTATGATATTGATCCATGTCCTTTCCTGTTCACAGTCTCTATGGTAGACTTGTTTCAACCGCAGTCGAACTAGAGTTTTTTTAGCATTTCGCCGAGCGGTACGTTCAAAGGCCAGGCCTATAGCGGGTCGGCTGTGGCTGTGGTTCCAGGTCTGTTCAGGCCTGTTCATTCGTCGTATACTATGATGCCTCGACTATGTGGGTGGACTTGGTTGGGATAATGAGTCAGTTACTAAGTGGTGGATCTTTCCAGTTCTACTACTGACTTCTTGAAGTTCTGTGCATGTTAACAATTACATCTCCGAGACAAATGGAGTTCGCCCCCTCCACGAACTAACACGATATCTTCAACTCATCGCTTAACTTACAACAACAATGACCCTCTCTCTGCCCTGACACTAGTTTCCCTGCACAGCAACCGGCATAAGCCCGTCTTATTCCCCTTCCTACAGGCCACAGCCAGTCGGACTTTACTAGATAAGGCTTCCGGCCAAGATCCCTAATAGGGTAATCATCCTCACATTGTCTTCCCTGCTTCTTTACCCCACGAACCAGGTTTCATCCATCTCATTGACAGGGTCCTACCCTAGACCTGGGATTGGATAGCGGCTTCTTCCGTGGCGCTTTGACGTTTGTGACCTAGTTATGTTTCATAAACTAAAAGTTACTGACTTTCGACGCTGAAAACGGCAAGTCAAAGGTGATGTCGTAAGGACAAGGATGTCCTTCGTATTGTAGCGATTAAGAAGCCAGCTTTATTTCTATCCGGGGCATATCTTCCTTGGCCATGAGACGACGAAACACCAACATTTGAGTTCACCAATCGTTTTACACTGACTATGGGAAAACGATTTCCGCCCTGAATGAGTTCTTGTCTCGATGATTGGACTATAATATCAAACCCTGAAAAGTTGACCAACAGGGATCCTCCGGGCGATCGAGATGTCAACTGCAAAGATTGTTGGAAGATCTGCGTTACGCTGACTAGATATTGCTTGACCACTATAAGTGTCATCATAATGGTCTCAAGAACTGACTGATAAGCCTGGGGCCTGAAATGAGGATTCAGTGCGCCCAGGGTATGTATTTCCGTTAACGACTGTTGGGTATTGTGCGAGGTGTATGGATCTAAGCTACCACAAAGAAACAAGGTATCGGACCGAGGCCCCGAAGCTCAAAACGTCTAAGCACGCAAATCAGGATAAGACCTTTCACATCACAAGAGTGCCATCCCTGCTCCTATACCCATGATTCCTAGTGCAGCACCGGCGATGTGTCCTGTGGCCCGGGCAGCGGCAACTCCCTTGCTAGACCTAGTGGTAAACCATGGCGTCTCAACGGCATTGTTTGCTGCTTCATCCGGTGTAGGCGCCGGCGTGTTGGTCACCGGACAGCTTGCAGTACATGGGATAGCCGACTGGAAGATATTGTCGACCTCAGCAGACTTGAAGACAGGCGGTTGAAGCCAGAGGCTGGGGTTGGGAGCAGCGTCAGCGTCCTGTGGATTGTTGACATTTGAGATGATGTGCAGTATTCCGTTGGATATGAGAATGTCAGTTGTGATGATCTTGGCCGAGTTGACGTACTTCTCATTGCCAATTTGACGAATCATGGTTTCTTCACCGGACAGCGTCTTGAGAGATGTGGCATTGTCAAGATCAGTCGAGACCAGGACCTTTCCAGGCACAATGTGGTAGCCCATGACACGGGCCAGATCTTTAGGGGTCAAACCGCCCAGTGCAGATCCAACCCTCTCCATAGCTTGATCCCTCGGAGCAAAGACAGTGATGTCTTGTCGATCGCCAAGATCAGGCATGATGCCAGACTTGAAAAGACCACCGAGAAACGACTCCACCTTACTTGCCATCAACACTTGAACAATACCAGAAGGCGGAATCAAAAGGCTATCTACGATCTGAATGAGACCGCCTTGGAACTCGATGTCATAGTTGGTGACCGTAGCACGGTTGCCAAGCCTGGTGCTAAATATAACATCGTCGGGCTGTTTGTTAATGAGGATGTTCTGGCCTGCAGTAACGTTGCTCCATTTGGGATTCAGAAGAAGTGTCGGCTTAACGTAGGCAGGACCAGCCTTGAGCTTCATGGCACTTATAGTTCCTTGAAGGATATGGTATTGGAGAAGCGGAACTGTTATCTTTGCATCGGTAGGATCCCAGATGCCTGAAAGGGCTGAGTAGGGGATCTGTTCAAAGGCATCGTTGGATGGTGCAACGATCTGACGAGTGTTAGATGACTTCTACCAAGAACCGTGATATTCAAGAGGGCAATCATTAACTTACCGTGACACCCTTGTAGCTAGGCAATTGTAACAGGATGTCGGGGTATTTCTGCCATGCCTTTATTAGTGCTAGCTATTCAATAACGCGCCGTTTGACATACCTTGATCAACTTGTAATATGTAGAAAGCTTAGGATGTCTCCCCAGGACACTGCCCAAGTCCATTGGAAGATTTTCGTTCGACACGGCTTCTGATAATGCCACCAAGCTGGCCAAACTAGCAACTACTCTAGACCAGAGCATTGTGTAGGTGGTGCTGTGAAAAAGAATGTTGTGAAGATCTACACGACTTAGTAGACTGCACACGCTTCGATGCAGTGATACAATGACACAAGTGATCTGACGAACTGATGTCTTATATCCTCAAGGTAGTATGTGAGCAGGGTAAGCTGTTCAGAATCCACCAGAGCTGTTTGTTGGGTAATGAATGAGTGAAATTAGCAAAAGGGGAGCGTGATCAACACGTGAAAGAGTGAAATCCGGCTGGAAACAGAACGAAGAAATTCATGAATCTGACATGCCCCAAAAAAACGGTTACTCAACCGGACTTAATAAAGCCCCCCAAGGGGGCAATGTCTTGAGGATTCTTCCAGAAAACGGACTCAGACAACCCATCCGGCTGCTCCGTTGCCGTAGGAATCTTAGACCTTTACTGGAACCACATAACGGGTAAGGCGAGGTGCGCAAACTAAAGCCTCAGTAGGGGCAGCCAAACAAGTTCAGTATCCGACGAGTAAACCCAAAATATCGCCAAGCATCTGGACTCGCTGAGGACCATTACCGTGTGTACGGTACGGGAGTAGCTGTCAGATCGGCGGGGATTCCGAAACAATACCCCTGAACCCTGCTGGCAGCCCTGCGTGGCAAGGGTGTTAGGGTCCAGATCTCCGGATTGGGACCAGCTGCCTGGCACGAGTCACTATCTCGTCCAATAGCATAGCTTCATGCTCACTTGAATATCATGAGATTGAACCACAGATCATCTGTCCAGGCCGAGACACTTATCTTCTCTCTGAATAAGAGTATTGGTAGAACCGCCGATCCGAAGACTTAGTGATAATCGCAGTGGGTGTGCTTCGACAGATCTAAGCGAAACGACCGCCGACCATTTCAATGTTTGGTCAGCATTGGCAACAGCTAACCTACATCCCGGCAGAGTTTCGAGATATCCTCTCCGGGTTGCATGATCCAAATCGGGGAGGTCACGAATGGTGACTGTAGCTTATCCCGAGACTGAAGAGCGACATGAGTTGTAATATATCCATGCAGAGAGGGCGTCCTAGATCGGCACCATATCGGTTTGTATCAAGAGTACAGTCTGCAGCATCAACTGGCAAGATTTCGGACCACATAGTGTTCTCTTCTAGCACATCGGATTTCCGCCAAAGATGCGAGTAGAAGCAATATTTGCTTGGAACCGATATTTCTACTCAACACTAGCGGTACAAGCGTAATTGTACCTCTGTGTGATCAGAAAGTTCCGGATCGGGTAGAATGTGGGCGAGTGGGCAATCTGGTTGTCCCAAAGAGAGTTTTGCGGACCGAACTATTGTTCTAGAGCCAACAAAGGTAGTATACGATACGGGTAACTGAACGTTTGCCTTCCATGTACTACTCGGCGAACTCAATATCCACTCTCATGTTGAGGATGAGGTCAAAACGGTTGCCGGCTTACTGGCCTTCAAACAATGGCCAGGTTGGCACGTAGTAATGTGGTAGTGGGATTCTTAACACCGGGAAGCATGTCTGGCCTTATACAGCTTTCTTGGGTTTGCGTTTTCTCTGATCCTAAACTCCTGTGGCTTACAATATCGGCCATGATGATGACTTCCCCAAAGTCTTTACTGGTAGTGAGATATGTAGGTTGTGTTTTGGATCGGTCTCTTGAAGATATTCCCCAAGCCACGAACACATCACACGGGTCTCAAGAATATCATACTTCTCATACTTCGTTGCCGAGTATCCAGGCAGTGAGGTGCCGCAAGGCTGCTAAGTTCCTGGGCATTTGAGTGTGCGAGGGAGTGTAAGCTGAACTCGGTGTCCACTTAGACGTGGTTCCTGATCGACAGGACAGGGAGTGTTTTTAGGTAGAAACAGAGTTGGCGACCTTGCAGAAGCGGGCGTAGGGGTGCGATTGTGGCGTCTTCCCCGAGAGGAGCATATTATCTCGCTTTTTTTGCCGCTTTACCATGCTTGCTAACTCTTCAAGTCCGGCTGGCAGATGACGGAAGGACTTCGTAAGACACTAGCGGTAGATCGAAGATATTTCCGGATGATTCGGAGGTTTGGCACGACGTAGATAGTCCTGTCTGTATTGTCGAGAGGAAAAGATGGCTAATCAGACAATATGCAGCGAGTTTGACAAAGAAAGCGATGGTATTCTATTCAGGGAAAAGAGTACAGCACGCGTGAAATTCAAGCTGAAAACTAAAAGTTTTGTTATCGGTGTTTGCAAGAGAAGATTTGAGACGGCTACGGCGATGATGGAAATGTGAAAGAGGATGGAATGTAGTGGCTGTAGTATGTGGAACTAAAACAGCCATAGGTATAGTGCTAGTAAGGTTTCGCACAGTAGGTTCTAGTGCCCTTATGCAGCAGCTTTGAACCACATACGCACTGTAGCCACACCTACTCCGACTTACACGCGGATCCGTTTCCAGTCATCTTCGTCTTGCCAAGAACACAGCAAAGCAGCCTCGTTCTCAATGAATAAAAGACTTATTAACAGAATCAGCTCAAAACCTACCTACGGATACGGATATCGCGACATACTCACTATGCCTTTCCCGACTCGGCTTAGTCCTCAGGTCTCTCAGTGCTACCAACTTCCATCATCGGCTAGACTCTCAATTCATCCAGTGGATTTGAATCTTGAATGTGTTCTACGAGGCCTGGGAAGTAGACTTCTTGGTTCGACCTCTGTGTGGCTAACCATGCATTCCTTGAGCTGGTTCCTGACTAGTATTCTCGCCTCAAATATTCGTGCGTTGAACCTTATCAAGATCATCCTCTAAACAAAACTGGCTGCTCTGGCTTCAATTACTCTATTCTCAGTCTTGTAATCTTTTCCTTTGATACCCAGATTTCATATTCCGCAATCTCTTTTACGATGAATAACCCGTATCGCAAAAGCAGCTATGGTGGGAACGACGGCGCTGGCTCAACGGATATGCCACGGCGATCTATGGACTCCAATGGCAACCCTATCGACGCAGCTTCTACTGGGTACCGTCATAGCATTGATCCCGGGCGAGGCTCGGGCTCTGGAGGTCACGGGGGTATGTTCAGTATCCCTGAATACTCGAGTCCTCCATCAGAGTACAACTCTTCAGCTGGGTCAGGAACCCATGTCAACGGGCAAAACCGATACTTTCACTCTAGGAGAGTCAAGATTGGCGAGGTTGAGAAACCGTGGTTGGAGAAGACCAATCCCAAAGAAAAATGGGTCTCAATCCTTCCCATTCTCGCGATTCTCTTCGGCCTCGTTGGCTCTGGTTTCCTCGTCTGGGACGGCATAAGAAGTGTGGTCAAGAACAAGTATTGTCCTGTCCTTGACGAGGACTTCAGCCAGGGTCTGAACCCGAACATTTGGACTAAAGAAGTCGAAGTCGGCGGATATGGGTATGTTATACCCTAATAATTGTTACCTATTCAGACATGCTAACTCCTATAGAAATGGCCAGTTCGAGCAGACAACTGGTGGGGACGACAATGTTTATATCGAGAACGGGAATCTTGTCATCAAGGCGACTATGCAAGATCCAAAGTTGATGCAGAAGAACAACGTCATCAATCTTCTCAAGGCCGGTACCTGTACCTCTAAAACTTGGTCCAACTGTGTTGCTGCCACCAACGTGACCACAGGGAACAACACTGTGGTCCCCCCTGCCAGGTCAGGTCGTATCAACACCAAAAAAGGAGCCAACATCAAGTACGGTCGTATTGAGGTCACTGCAAAGCTCCCCGAGGGTGACTGGCTCTGGCCCGCTATTTGGATGCTTCCTAGGCAGAGCGTGTACGGTACTTGGCCCAGATCTGGAGAAATCGACATCATCGAATCACGCGGAAACAACTGGACCTACAAACAGGGCGGAAATGACATCGTATCCTCCGCCCTCCACTGGGGTCCCAACTCTGCCAACGATGGTTGGTGGAAGACCAACAACAAGCGAAAGGCTTTGCACACTACTTACAGTGCTGGCTTCAATATGTTCGGCTTGGAGTGGTCAGAAAAATACCTCTTCACCTATGTCAACACTCGCCTCCTTCAAGTCACATACACCAACTTTAAGAAGCCTATGTACAAGCGAGGCGGATTTCCTGACGTGGACCAGAATGGTACTCGACTCACTGATCCTTGGCTCAACGCCAAAGATGTCAACGCACCTTTCGATCAGGAGTTTTACCTCATCCTCAATGTGGCTGTTGGTGGTACAAACGGTTGGTTTGAGGATGGTAAGTCAGGCAAGCCTTGGTACGATGCTTCTCCTACAGCCAAGAAGGACTTTTGGGATGCTCGAGAACAGTGGTATCCTACTTGGAAACAACCACAGCTCGAGGTTAGCCGAGTTGTTATGATGCAGCAGTGCAACGGTAATGAGGATTTATAAGGAGTACCAAGTGATGAGCATTTTGCCATTAGAAGACGTCTCGCGGTGGGTGGGGCTGAGATCGAAAATTTGTGTTTTTCTCTCTTTTTGCAATTTATTATAATATCTGACGTATCATTCAACGGTTTTGTTTCATCTAATTGAGCTTGAATCTTGAACTGTTTTGCCTCGTAATTATTTACATAACGTAATTCCAGTTATACCGTTGATTGAAAAGTTCCTCTAAGCAACTATTCAGAAGTACCCTATACAGGTATGCCGAAAATTGAGTAAGATATCGACTATTTTGAGAGTGCTTAGATTAGTTTACTTGAGCTATTCGAAAATAACAATAGTCAAAAACAACACGATGTTTCTGTTTGCTCAGATACCGGCTGCCCACTCAGTGTTTCGCGGTCCATCGTCGCCTGTGAATAACTTCACGCTTCGAAAGAGCCTGCGCACAAAAGCTGGCCATAACCACAACACTGCCCCTCCAGCCCGCAAGTTAATAGCCACCAAACTTTGGCCATGGTTTCTAGGATATTCATGAGCATAGAAAAGCATCATATGCCAAGTCTATACGAAGATGGGTATTTGTCATGGTCGGTTGATCGCCTTTGAGCCGAGTTTGCGGGACGTGGTTTCGCTAAACATGTGGATAGCGGAGGCGCCGAACTTCGAGAAGCACAGATAAACGTCATATCCATAAGTCAATAGAAGAGGCTAGTCTATTGTAGTCGGTACCTTTGAGTTCCGATGGCGATAATTCCAGCGAGCTTCACTTCAATGGGATGAGCCAAGCCTGATCCGGAGAAAAGACCGTTACATTGTGCTTATTATGATGTTTAGCTCAAGGAATCAGGAGAGATCTACAGTATCAGGACTGTAAAAGGTACACACAACTTCACCAAGAGACCAATGAATGGTGAGAAACCGTATAGCTTCAGGTACGACGGGCAGATGAGACCCTGCTGCTCAACCCAAGACCATCAAGGTCTCAACGGTCGTCAGCCGTAAGAGCACACGCGTATGGTACGTTAGATACATAGTGATATAGATGATACCAATAGCTGAATAGACCAAAAATATCGACTTAGCTTCTTGGTATACGTAGTCACTTGTGACTCATGTATCGATCTTGGGACTTTTGGTTCTAAAAACACATACAGAGACACCAAGGAGCATCACTAAAACGTGGAAGTGGAACAGAGTACCAAGTATGATGTAATAGCCATGGTTTTGAGCGCACAAGATTTCACATCAAACATCAAAGAAGAAAGATACGCAACAGCACGATTCATGATAAGGATATTAGTGCTGGGTCATGACCTGTGCTTCATCTGTGACCGTGTATTGATAAAAGATCGGGATCTTGGTTATGGAGAATTGTGGAAACCAGATCCAAATCTCAAGTCTCCATGGATCTGAAGGACATCGGGCATATGAGACAAAGTATGACTATATGATTGGAAATACCCGGGGGTGTAGTTCTTGGGCTGAGGGGTATCAAATGTACTTGATACTGCCCTGTTCCCGACATACATCGGCAGCCAAGCAACATAATGGCGAACTGAGAAACAACACCCACCTAAAGCTAGGAATGGTAACTCTGAAGCCTTCCCCACGCAACAAACTGGCTTACGTGCGTGTTAGCTGTACTTCTGTATGGAGAACCATAGGATTTACAGCGAGTAGAAGCATGAATCGGCATGAATGCTGTGGAAATCTTGGCGGTCTAGGTCGTCAAGCCGATCTGTTGGTTGGATGATTGACCGCTTTAGGCCAAATGAAAAGGTAAAGGCACTCCATCAAATGCCTTGATCCACGGCTAGAGCGGGATGGACCCTCCTCTGTCTCTGTCGTGCATTCACTCTCGGGACGGCGCGAAGTTTGAAGCCATTGGAGTCAAACGACGATATTAGACTTTGTAATAGCTAGTTCTGGTATTCGGGAGGAATGTCAAACAGCAATAGATGCGAGTAGATCAACTCACGTAGCGAACAATGTTTGCTCGTCTTGTCCGTCTTTGAACGTTTAAAGTAAGATAATGGATAGGTACTAATATATGTTGATGTTGAGTTGTATGTACCTGAAGTTTTATGTTGAGTTATAGGTACTAACCTAAGACATGGAAGGGAGCACAGCGAGATAATACAGGATCGTTCCTGCATTGGTGTCCGGTCCCACATCTCACGCAGGTCCATACTTGTTCGTTCCTGCATCTGCCGATGTCAAACTGGGTTCCTTTGGTGTCGTGCCTTCCCTTTCCCGGAGGTCACAAGTCAGCCACACGCCACACGCTAGGTATCGAAGGTGGAAACTGTCAAAGTGGGACTAGAGGAGGAGCATATCTGACCCGCTTGCCTCATTTGCGTAACAGTCCTAAAATACAGGAATTCCATTGGTTCGAGGCAAGATCTATCTAGTCTTGATGCGGACGTCGCCTTGTCCACACTTCCACTTCCACTTCACATCAACACCAAAACCTCTGAATAAGGTAGACAAGAGATCATCATCGTCGCAATGCAAAACAAGCAAAAATAAGGTGTTTAAGAAAAAGTCTTCGAGGTGTATCCGTTCAACTTCAGCTTACATATTAATGGTTTCTTGCCATATAATCCAACAGTATGATGGTGTCCTCACGTCCCGAGTCCATACTCCACCCTTGGTCAGTTCGCAGTATTGGTCGTCGCTGAACCTGTTGCAAGTCCCTAGCTTCCGAGAACATGGAAAAGAATGGGCGGAGTATTTGCCACATTCTTATTGTGGTTCCCTTGTGATGGGTTGCTATTGAGCACCTCTTTGCAGGTGAGAAGTCTTGCCGCTTGACTCAGCTCTTCCAGGGTTCACTCAGCTTGTTGGCTTCGACTGGCTGAAGCCTTGATCGAGTGGCCCAAGGCTAGTAAAGCACCAACAATGGGTATCAGTACCCGCTTGGATCTTCCTCGCTTCCAGCCACCCGGGATGCCCTCTCTTGCAAGCACCGCCTTACCTCAGCCAGTTAGCCAGAATCGTTCGTTACATTTACAGAGACACACCTACATGACTATGAGACCACCGGAGACCTCTACCTAGAATGAGCAATCAAGTTATTGTCACCCCTTTGCTTCCTCGTAAGCTATGGCAATCCAGATTCAAGGCATTTCGGCTCGATGGTGGTCTCAAGGCTTGGCCGGAGTCTAGTCATGGCCATCCAAGTGGATGCCCTTTACGCTCAAACGTTGGTGATTCGCTTCTCCTGACTTCCATCGCTGTGTCCGACCTCATGGTCATGATCTTTATCCGATGTGGCGTTGTTGCCGCATACTGTTGAGTCTCAGGGCAAGAAAACTTTAATCCAGTTGTTTCCAGTGTGTTTGCTAAATGGGAAGCAGAAACTTCACTGGTTTGTTTAATTGAGCTGGCTGCTGCGCATTGCCAGGTCTGATTCCTTTAACTTCGATCTTCACTCACTACGACTGTTCACTCTCTTCATTCGTTCATTCACTCATTCATTCTCTCGACAACTCATTCACTCATTCATTCATTCAGTCCAACTTCCTGTCATTCTTTCATCATATCTTCCTTCTAAGGTGCTTATGGTCATGATCATCTAAGGCCTTTCAGTCTTCCAACTCAATCCACACTCTTTGAGGCACTGCTATCTCTGATCATAAAACAACACCATAACATACGTCCTACTATTGAACAATAAGACTCTTCCATTCCTTCAAAAAGGGCCCTGTCCCTATACTACAAACATCACAGCATCATCAATACCATCCTTGCACTTGAAAGTTCAAGGAACCGTTGTCAAGATGGGTATTGGCAGCTACTTCAAGGCGGATGTTCCGCCTCCCATGTCCGTGGGGCCGGTCCCCAGAAGGCCCAGTCACCGGCCTTCGGTCTCTCTTCATGCACCCATCGAGGAGAAGATTTCTCCCGCGGCTGCCGTGGAGCTACACTCCGCAGCTGGACCCAAGTTCACAGCAGGCCCTCCATCTATTGCAGTTTCAAGCAAATCAGGCAACAGTAATCTTCTCGATGACATAAAACACGAGGTCATGGTCAATTATCTGTACCAGCAACAGTGCTCTCAACTCTGGGTCGGAGATGGTTCCGGTGAAATCGAAGGTGTTCTTCTTCGCAAATCTCGTGGCCAGTATATGGCCTGCCCACCTCAGCTGGGACAATCTCCATTCGCTATCGCCTGCACAGCACTCAATGTCCAGGTATGTTCCATTCCGAGAAACAGTGATTTGGAACATCGCTAACTTATTTTTCAGTGTGCGATGACGGTTAACTCCCGTGTCATCAAGACCTTCCTTCAATGGTCTCCCGACGCCGTCGATGTTCCACTTATGAACGGGCTTCGTGTACAGATTCTACCTACAGTCAATGATTTACCGCGAGCTCGCAAACATCAGTTTGCGGCTTTCATTGCTTCAGATGGGCTTCTAGTGGTCTGGGATGACGATGCCCTTAACTTGATGGCTCGTGCTAAAATCATCGAATCAGAGCTCATGGAGCTTGTATGGAACTCGGGTCAAGCAATAGACGAGGACGAGAAGGATTCCGCCACCGAGGTTGAGTACGAGATTGATGAGGAGAGCGGCGAGATCAAGCCTGAGGCTCGACCAGTCCATCTGCAAAATGCTGTCCTTGTGTCTCTCACTCTCCTCATCGTCATGGCCTCTCTTGGTGCCGCCTGGAGACAGCTCGCCGTCGAGATAGCTATTGATGGTGACTACAAGCGCCTTGGCCTCGTTGCACTTTCCCCCATCCAAGTCTTTTTCTCTCTTTTCTTTGCTCAAGTTATCGTTGGTTGTTTGGCACAGATCTTCGGCCCCATCCGCCAATTAACCATCAACTCCAAGTTCTATTCGGCTCGTCCACCTCGAAGACTCCAGGGTGCCACTCTGCCTCACATCAGTATTCAATGCCCCGTCTACAAGGAGGGTTTGAACGCTGTTATTCTACCTACCGTCAAATCCATCAAACAAGCCATGTCAACCTATGAACTCCAGGGTGGTTCTGCCAACATGTTCATCAACGACGATGGCCTTCAGCTCGTCAGTGAGGAAGAGCGTGACGCCCGTATCGACTTCTATGCCGATAACAGCATCGGATGGGTTGCACGACCTAAGCATGGTGAGGATGGCTTTGTAAGAAAGGGCAAGTTCAAGAAGGCTTCAAACATGAACTTTGGCCTCATGATTTCTTGCAAGGTTGAAGAGCGCTTACAGCTTCTCCAGCGCCCTGCCGACTGGAGCCAGGCCGATGAGGCTCTTGCTTACGAGCAGGCTCTCAAGGATGTTCTTGAGGAGAACGGCCGAGCCTGGGCTGATGGAAACATCCGTGTTGGCGACTATATTCTCCTCATTGACTCTGATACCCGTGTACCAACTGATTGTCTTCTTGACTCAGTCTCCGAGATGGAGCAGTCACCTGAAGTTGGTATCATGCAGTTCTCGTCTGGTGTCATGCAAGTTGTACACACCTATTTCGAGAACGGTATCACTTTCTTTACTGATCTTATCTACACTGCCATTCGCTTCACGGTTTCCAACGGTGATGTTGCCCCCTTTGTCGGACACAACGCTATCCTTCGCTGGTCTGCTATTCAACAAGTCGCTTACCAAGACGAGGATGGTTATGACAAATTCTGGTCCGAGAGTCACGTCTCTGAGGATTTCGACATGTCTCTTCGTCTGCAGTGCAGTGGCTATATCATCCGACTTTCAGCTTGGGCTGGTGATGGCTTCAAGGAGGGTGTGTCATTGACCGTGTACGATGAGCTTGCTCGATGGGAAAAGTATGCTTTTGGCTGCAACGAGCTGCTATTCAACCCCATTCGCACTTGGCTTTGGCGCGGCCCTTTTACTCCCCTCTTTCGTCGTTTCCTCTTTTCCAACATTCGTTTCACTTCCAAGGTCACCATCCTTTCGTACATCGGCACCTATTATGCTATCGGGGCTGCCTGGATTATGACTACTGCCAATTATTTCTTGATGGGTTGGTTCAACGGATATCTCGACAAATATTACCTTGACTCATGGCAGGTGTGGTTCTCCATCATCCTTGTTTTCAACGGTCTGGGTAACCTTGCACTTGCCATCATGCGATACCGCTCAGGTGAGCGTACTTTGGGTTATGCTCTTTATGAGAACTTTAAGTGGACTCTCATGTTGGCTCTTTTCCTCGGTGGTCTTTCTCTGCACGTCAGCCAGGCTTTGTTGGCACATATGTTCGAGATTGATATGAGTTGGGGCTCCACCTCCAAGGAGGCCGAGTTCTCCAACTTTTTCATCGAAGTTCCCAAGGTCTTGAAGAAGGTATGTTTTCTACATCCAGCACAATAGCGGAACACTTGCTAACATGTAATACTAGTTCCGAGTCTCTATGACGTTGTCTTTACTGGCCATTGTGGGCCTGATCATCATGGCCACTGCGGACTTTATTCCTCACGATTGGCAAATCAATGACTTTGTCGCAATTCTGCCCATGGCTACTGTAGCTGGAAGCCATCTCCTGTTGCCATTGGCACTCAACCCTGCCCTGATGACCTTCTCTTGGTAAACGGGTTTGTGGACGACCCAAAAGCATATATTTTTGTTTTATTTTTGTCTTGTTATGATATCAAAGTTTTAGTGGTGGGAGTATAGAAGCATTATCGTCACAGTCCTTTCGTTTTGATGGCCAAGTTACGGAAACATAGTCCCGTATAATAGTCAATACATTGCTTTACGACAAATGACTCTTGACGGGGAAACTACTGATACCAGCGAAGGAGCTTTGCCTAAACAAACTGACATCACTTGTATGCCAAGCATAACTTCATCTTGTAGATTCGAAGTTATTATGGTCCACGCATCCCCTAGCCTGGCCACACGCGGCTACAAAGTCTTGATGTAAAGCCTCTATGATTATGACATGGACTTGGGATACTAAGCGTGTGTTGGTAGAGTGGTATGTGTCACAATATGGCAAAAAAACGTATGTAGAAAGTTTGATTTGATTCAAAGCCGTCTATAACCCAAACCAACGCCTCTATACCATCATGTCCTTGTCAGGTCTATCTAGTTGAGTACCATTCATTCTTCATAGCGTGATAACGCATCATGGAGGTTACGCGATGTCTTCATTCTCTTTTCTTTTGCAAACAGCCGCCATATGCCGCCCAACATGAAAACTTGTTCATATCCGCAGATTTTCCAAAGCACAACACTCATAAAAACAACAAAGCAAATAAAAAACAGTAAACTTTTTAGGCGTCCTCATCATCAGTGTCGGGAGGGTGAGGGGTACCCTTGGGACTGTTGAGCCACTCGATGTGACGGAGTCTGCGACGGACCTCACGCTCCTTAACCTCCTTCTTGGTCATCTTCTTCTTCTTCTTGGCCTTGAACTTCATATCTTGATTGTCCTCCATGCCACTGTTGTAAGCGCTGTTGTAAGCGCTGTTGTAAGCGCTGCTCACAGCAGAGCTGGCGGCGGTGCTGTTGACGCCACTGCTAGGACGGCTGTCCTCGAAGCGGTCGAGGCTGATAGCGGCGTTACCGCGAAGGGCAACACGGCCGTCGCGGACGTGCCACTGCTCAGAGCAGAGAGCGCCGACGAACTCTTCGTTATGGGAAATCAGGATAACACCACCCTTGAATTCGCGAATAGCGACGGCAAGACCACCGAGAGAGTCTCGGTCCAAGAAGTTAGTAGGCTCGTCAAGAACCAGAAGATGGGGATTGTTCCACATGGCTCCGGCAATAACGACCTTGACCTTCTGACCACCAGAAAGAGAGCCGATCTCGTTGTGGTTTGCAATCTCAGGGTCGAGTCCGAGATCCTCAAAATGCTTGGAAATGACCTTAGGCTGAAGCTCACGGTAACCGAGACCCTCTCGCGAAGCCTCGTGATCATCGAACTCTTGGACAAGCTTGTCAAATCCAAGCGATGTAAGAGTCTCACGAGAGATCATGGTGTTGTTCTTGGGAAGGAGACCACGCCACTTACTGTTGGGTATTAGTACTGCGTTATATCGAGGTATAGATAGAGGGGGTGCTTACACTTCATATTGGAAGGTCTTCTTGTACTTCTGACGACCAACGAGAGACTCGATCTGGCGAGAAGACTTTCCGTCCTTCAGGTCAATCCACTTGTCCATCTGCTCCTTGTCGGCGTCGGAGAGGACACGAGTCTGCTTCATGTGAACCTCTCGGTCATCACCGTGCTGGTAACGCCACTGAAGGTACTGGTTAGGGGTTTTCTCCAAGTGCATCTCAACGTGCTCCAGGGCATGCTGCTTAATGTAACCGATACGGAGGTTAGGGTGCTTCTCAACCTTTCCGGTAGAGGGAATGGTCTCGCCAGTAAGCAGCTTGATAAGTGTCGACTTGCCAGCACCGTTGGGGCCAATGATGGCAACACGAGAAGAGAGGGTCAGCTGACAGGAGACCTCCTCGAGAGAAGGCTTTGGTGCATTAGGGTAGGCGTATGAGACGTTGGACATGCGGATAATAGCACGAGTTTGAGACTTGACACCGGTCAAGATACCAGGAGGAGGGAACTTGAACTGAACAGTGGAGGCGGACAGGGTGTAGTAACTCTTGGCCTCAGGGCGGATCTGAACGAAAGCGTTCAGGTTGCCCTTGTAACAAGCCAGCTTCTTGTTGGGCTCGTAGTGGTAGATATCAGTGGTAACGTTGTCCAAGAATCCGGAGTCGTGAGAAACAATAAGACTGGTGATATCGGTGTGAGACTTGAGATAGGTCTCGAGCCATGCGATGTTGGCAACATCAAGATGGTTAGTAGGTTCGTCCAGGAGGAGAACATCGGCACGCTGCAACATAGCTCGGGCTAGAGCCAGCTTCATCTTCCAACCACCAGAAAGAGATCCAACTCTCTCGGACTGTCGGCCCTCAGGTCCAGCAGTAAAGCCGAACTCAGCCAGAACCTCAGAGATACGCTCAAGACCCTGAGTAGCGATCTCGGGGTCTTTTGCAACGAATTCAAGAATGCTGATATCAGCATCCTCACCCTGGTTGTGCTCAACGTAGCATGTGCGGAGAACATCCTGAGGAGGGAAACCCTCGAGCTTGCCGTTAGCAATGCTTCGCATGAGGGTGGACTTTCCAGCACCGTTTCGGCCACAGAGACCATAACGGTGACCCTTGAGGAGTCGCAGGTTGGTGTGCGACAACAGAAGCATACCACCGTAAGCGAGGGAGAAGTCAGCGTTGACAATCTCAACCTCGCCATCATCCTCTTTCTCAGGGACACCGTACTTGCGCTCGTCCTCATCGACGTAGTGCTTCTGAACAGCATCGGCGATCTTTTGAGAATCCTCAGCATCCTTGGTCATACCCTTGAGGTAAGGGGCAATTCGGCCAGAGATACGGTTGACGAAACGGAAGTTGATATCGATAGCGACCATGTCAGAAATGTAGGGACGGGCCAGCTTGTAAAGATCCGCCTGTCCAGCAAGGCCACCGTTGGCCTTGATCTGCTCGTCAAGGACCTTGGCGACATCTTCTCCAGAAGTACGAGCGACGACATCCTTATCGTCGCCCATGGCCTTCTCCATGGTAGCAAGGGCGCGCTCGGCGATCTCACGAACCTCGGGGAGGGAGGCTCGGTCGCAAACACTCTTGACACCGGGAATCAACTTGGGCAAGAAAGTTCGGGCCTCGATGGGGTCGTGGACCAGCTTGGTCAAGTTTTCGACAATGACAACAGTCTGTCGGAGAACTTCCTGGGCAGTGGTGGGGCTGTTAAGAGACCGCTCTAGGAAAGGAGTCAGGAGCGCCAGGACAGGCGAGGTGACAATGGCGACAAAGGTAGTTTGTGACAGGGCGTGGATAGCCTTCTGGAGAGTTTGGGATGAAGGGTGCTGCATGGTATCGACGAGAAGGGGAATGCGGGGAGCGACATCGTCGTTGGAGAGAAGAGTAGTGAGAGAGTTCATAGTCAGAACAGCCTGCTTCTCGACTTCAGACTTCAAGTCGTGCATGCCGCCCTCAACAATGGGGATAAGGCCAGCGAGTCTGGCACCCATGGCCTCGCGGAGAAGATCCTTCTCAATAGCCTCCTCCTTTGTGCCTCCGAGAGAGACCTGGGCCTTATCAGCCATTCTCTGCATCAGCTTATAGGCGCCAACGGTTCCCTGCCACTTTCCGGTCTTTTTGCCGAGGTACTCGTTGAGAGCAGGAAGAAGGCCAGCAACAAGGGCCTCGGGGCTAAGAGCGCCAAAGACGGCGTCGAGACCATACTGGGCAGCATCGCGAACGACAGCGCCCTTATCGGAGAGTGCGTCGAGAGCACAGCTGATAAGACCACCATCCCGGAGAAGGAGGACAACCTCGCTGGCAGGCTGGCGGGGGAGGAAGCGCTCAAAGACAGCACCGAGTAGGTTCTGGCTGGACTCGCGACGGAGACCAGACTTCTTATCAGCAGCGGCCTTCTTGATCTCGGCGACAACACCGTAGTTGTTCAAGCCGATGACACCGACCGAAGTGAGAATGATCTCGCAAAGGCCGTAGCAGGCATCGATCGAAGCGGATGAGGTCTTTGCAGTGAAGATTGTGTTGAGGAGGTCGTTGATGGTTTCTTGAGATGGCGGGGGCGGGGCGTCGCTGGATACCATCGTCGGGTCCTGCGACGGCGGCGTAACGGGATGAGGCATCGTATTTGCGGTCGTTTGCTGTATACAAACAAAAGAGTAAATACGATAGGAAAGGGGCCTCTGTGAGTATATTAAGAAGCTGTTCCGATCGAGGACGACAGCGGTAAAAAGAAAAGAAAACCAACAAAAACCAAAGGCCCTTGAGGGAAAAAAAGAGCGAGCGTAGAAAAAGCGCTGCTTACGATGTTAGGTAGAACAAAGCCGATTTCATAGGTTGGGCGCACTAACTAATGGGACATGGGAAATTTCGAATTTTTTTCTTATCGCTAGGGGCGGCTGCCTTATCGCCCCCACCGTCGGGCACTCCGCCCCACTGCGCCTACCCCTCTGCCCCTTGCCATTTCCACGTGCATTCCGGGGACTCTTTAAGTGGACTCGTGAGATTATCTGTCCTTTCTACCAACCAAAGAAGGGGAAGAGGCAAATTCTGTATTTTCCTACCTAGTCTGTAAGTTGAAGGTTTAATGCCGTCACTCTTTTTCCGGAAATGAGTTTCATGTCGAAGAAAAGTAGAATTTAACTTGTACTGTGGAGTCTAAATAAATCTTAGATGTACACCAGAGCCAAGGCTCGTCTTCCCACGGTCCAACGCCCGCCCTTGCTTGCTTGATAGCTATACCGACTTTTCCAGAGTCTTTGGTAATAAAAGGGGATACATGAATGTGGTCAACTAGTTAACATAGGTAGGGTATAATAAAAGAAGAAAGAAACAGGCATAATATCGTCCTCACCGCCTCCAAATGAGGGAGGAATACTTCCCAGAAGCTGCGCCGTCCCAAAGCAAAATATGACAACTCGAGAGTAAATTCCGTTTCGGTTTTTTTTACTAATGGTTGCTTTCGTTTCTCAGAGACACTGGACCCTGAAAACTGGATCCTCCAGGGTTGACGTCGTGCATCTCCAATCCCTGGGAGCTTGATCGTGGTCGCATGTCTCTTCGAATACCCAGACGCTGATCGCCTTCGTGATAATGAGCCTTAAACTGATAATACGTAGGTTGTCGTGGGCGGCAAAGAACAATAAGGAAGTTCTTGATAACACTGGCTTGAGAGAATGCTCGGAAACGCTCCTTCTTAGCAAACTTGTGCGAGTTCATGTACTCTCTAGTTGTTTCGCCTCGTGCCATAAGGAATATGTGGTATCCCATAAGAGCAGCAGGGTAGAGGAAGGTCATAAAGCCAAGGAAAACGAGAGCAAAGGGGACTCGGAAATGATCGATAGCTTTGCCGAATGACACCCCCTCGCGGTTTTTGTAAAGAAGAATTTGTGTGAGAGAAGTGGCAATGAGGTAAGCAGCGAGGATAGTCGCAGAGGTAACAAAAGTAAAGAAATATCGGTAGTTGCGTTTTCCGACACAGTTATTAAGCCACACGCAGTGATGATCGTGTGTCTCGATGCAGTTATCGCACAAGCGACAGTGGTGAGCACGCGGTGGTCGCCAGATGTTGCAGGTTCTACAGTGCTTAACAGGAACTTCCATCGCGGCCGTTGAAGATTCGGCAGATTTTATCAGTGCCCAGTCTGTCGTCGGGGGGCTGAGTTGAAGGGGATCGTCATTGTCATCTACAGGGGGGAATTGGTGAAGGTTTCGAGGCAGAATCTATTTAAAAGTCAGCTGTTATGCAATTTGCTTCAATGAAGTAGTGGGCACTTACACCAGGGTCAGTAACAGAGGCGTGGACGAAGGAAGAAAAGCATATATACGCAAGGTATGCAAACACAATAGGTATCGCGGGTGATACATTCTTCCATAACCAAGGCGCCTCAAACCCAAAGAACAGGGCACAAGGGATAACGATAAAGACACCAGTCGCAACATTAATAGGTCTCCCTCTCGTGTTTTGCCAGCGACCACCTAAACAGAATACCGTGTTTCCATCAAAATATTGGTGAACACGCCCGAGGTCTGACTTTTGGCTTGGCTTGTGGGGAACGCGCGGATGTTGACTGTTGTGAGAGTCTATAGGCCTGAATTGCGGCGATGATGCGGCCGATGAGAGTTTCTCGGCTCCTTCGGTACTTCGGTTCTGGCTCAGCTGTCCATCATTACTTCGGCCAGGCATGAGAAAACTCGAGCGGAACGACCGTGGTGATTTAATCGGGCTGGGCAGATTGGAAAGATCCTTGTAGCTCTTGTCTATATTGATACTGTGCTGAAAATGCCCCATATCTGAATATTTGCCCTGAAGAGGACGGACACTATCCGTCAAACTTCCGGCGGGATAATGGCCATGGCTTGGGCTTGTATTCGCCGTTATTCTATCCAAAGTTTCTTGCTCGGTCATTTCGGTGCCGCGGGATGGTGGGGACCGCATGTTTTCGTCGAGGCTTGTTTGTCGCTGCAATTGCGCAATCGGATTCGATATGATACTCTGTCGCGTTTGGCTACCGCTAGCCTCACCATGTTCATCGAACGTTAGTGATATTGGGGACGTTGGAGACGTTGGAGACGTTGGTGACGTAGGTGATGCGGGAGACATTTGGGTCATCGTTGACGGACGATGAGTTCCTCCTCTTTGCGCCTGGAGTTTCTGCGAGCTCATAGGGCGGAAGAAAGCATGCGACGTCAACGATGGGGCATGGCTTCGGCTTGACAAACTTGGTGCCTGAGTGGTCGAACCAGCAGTCGAACTCTCGACGCTCCCTCTCTTGGCTTGTACTCCGGAGAGATATGTCTTGTTTCGCAACGACTGGCTCGGCCATGGGCCCCGAGAGGATGCTCCGGTTCGTGCAGTGTCAGGCCGCGAGCCCAAATCTGTACTCCGGGGAAGACTCATTCGATTCTTTTGCGCCTCGGATTCGTCGCCGTCTTCACTCGCGATGTCCGTCATTCGAGAAGATATGATGCTCGGTGGCCTCGGAGCCAAAGAACGGGAAACTGGTGGCGCTGAGAACCCATCGTCATCGGTGTTTGTCGCCATGGCGCTGCTCAGCAATAATGTCGTTGGTAGTCGTCCACCTCGAGACGGCTTAATTACGGTTCGTTTTCGGAATCAAAGGTAACGGTTGCGCGGTGGCTCCAGGCTCAAGCAGCCGTTCAGAATCGTGTCGTAAATATCGCCTTGGCCAATGAATCGTAGTCGAGAGGTTGTTATATCCAAAAGTACTGTGATACCGGCACGGTCGGCAGGTTGGTTCGCGTTACGCAGTACTGTACAAAGGAACCAAAGGGATGGACAGGGGTAGGAGGTTGAGTTAGAGTCACAGAAGAATAGGAATTAGGAGAAATGGCCGCAGCAAGTGGTGAATAAGATAAGTAGGGAGTGCGCAACGAGAATTAACTCAGTAAAGAGAACGTAAAGGGCGGCCAGCAACGAAAAAGAAAGGTGATGAGAAGAGAAGAGGAGGTTCCTTTTCCTACTTCCGGCTTGGGTTTGGACTTGCTTGGATTCGGCTTTGGACCTGGGTCTGGGTCTGGTTTCTTTTTCCTTGGTCGAGATCCCTTAGGTAATTGGACGTTCCCACTGCGCGCGCTCTGCTCAGCTGCTCTTGGGCCCCCTTGGCAAGGGGCCAGGGGCTGCCCTCAGGTCACTGAAGCCCCTGCTAGCGGCGCTGCTGTAGGGACTGGTTGACTGCAACAGGACGAGAACTCCATACGAGAACTGATCACGGAAAGAAGAGATTGGTTTGGCTGAAAGCATTGTAATTACTATAGTCCAGGTACGGATAGCTATCGCATATCTCATGCACAAATCATGTCTGCAGACGTCACTTTGAACAGACTGTGGAAACTTTCTGCAGCGACCCGTTTCGTTGACGTTTGACAGCCGTCCAGGAAGAACGTTGGCTTGATAGGCTACATGAATGACAAAAAGATATGCCAATATTTATAGGGCAAGTACGGATATGATTGTACCTATTCCTTATTAGCGAGTCCAGCATGCAGCATGCTCGACTAGACTCTGTTAGTCTTGGGTTCAAGAGGTCGAAATGATCGTCGTCGCATCACAATGAGCGAATCTCTCGGCTCTAGCCAGGGACAAGACGTGGAGGCCTAACTCATATGAAGGCCTTGTTTCTCAGGCACCAACAAATTCGTGGAGCTGAAAGCTCCAGACGTCATTTCGATTGATCATCCACGTGACCTCCAGTGCTCCCCGGCATTGACCAATGGTTGTGCTTGCATTCATGGTAGCGAATGCCTCCGAAATCATACGAGAACTTCAAAGCTTCAACCACCAAAGCCCCTACGAAGTAACCCATTCTCCTGCCACCCATAGCCGCAAAAGACCACCGTCACAATGGCCTCTCGCATCTCTCGCCGATTTCTCTCCACCACCGCCCGCCGCTTCCAGGAGCACCAGAAGGCTGAGCTCAAGAAGGAGTCTCGTCGCAACCCCGAGATTCTGGTGCGTCATAATGCCTCGGCCCACCCCTCGACTTTTATGCCCGGTCAAAACAATGAGCCAGGACGTCGAACCAGGAAGTGAGATTGCTAACGTAATCTGGCAAATTGTAGATTCTCGGTGGTGTTATGGTTTGCGCTCTTGGCGGAGCTGGTTACTACCTTGGTATGGAGACCAATTGATGTTACGATAATGAAGCAATTGCTGACATCTTCAACTTCAGGCCGATCTCCTACTGGCGCTACATCCGAGTCTCCCGTCTCCATCGCTACTCACCCTTGGGAGAGCGGCAGCTCCAGCTCTGGCAAGTACCAGTACCACCCCGGTGGTGACCCCAACCAGGCTCCCAAGGACGCTCCCAGCGCCCTCAACGTTGTCGTTGTTCCCAACGTTACCCTTCCTGCCGAGCTTCACGACAAGTACAACAAGTGGGGTAAGGACGGCTACCCTTAAACCAGGAATTTGAGATGATGTTGAAATTGGCTACACAAAAACGTGTATTGTAGGGGGATGAGGGGGGACTATGAAATGGATCAGTCAGATCTCTCACCCTGTGTAGAAAGATGAAGGACAGAGTGGGATCGAGTTTAGCAACCACCCATAGTTCACATACGACGCGCTGCGATTTTTCTTAGCATTGTGTCTTTAACTATAATTTGTCTTGTCCATGGCTCATCTCACGTCTACCTGCATCATTTCTGGGCTTACGGAATTGATCGGACGAACGGCTGGTCTTAAGCACGTTCACATGAGCTACAAATCCAGTTTAGTTTAATCATGCGATTTCACGTTTCACAGTTGAAATACATCACCCAAAAATTCGTGCTTATCGTTGCTGCTTGGTATCTCAGTAACCCAACACAACACCCAGCTTTCCATATGATATCCTGAACTCCTGTCTTCACCAGTCATGCGACAACTCTCTCTACACAATACCAACAACCTATACGGTCAACGCCTCAATCTCCTCAGCGGTGAAGCCAAGAAGATACAAGAGATCGAGCAGACTCTCTCCATTCAGGCGAGCGTTCGCCTCCATCTGCACTCGAGGCTTTGCGTTCCAGGCAACTCCCAAGCCTGCCTTTGCCAACATGAGCAAGTCGTTGGCACCATCGCCAACAGCAATGACCTGAGACAGATCAACACCCTCCTTGGCAGCAATCTCAAGAAGAAGATCCCTCTTGCGCTCCTTGCCGACAATAACACCCGCAACCTCACCCGTGAACTTGCCATTATCAATGACAACATGGTTGGCATGAGCATGATCAATGCCCAATTGCGCAGCAAGCCATCCTGTCAAAGGCTGGAAACCGCCAGAGAGTACTGCTGTCTTGATTCCCAGTCGCTTGAAAGCTTTGGTCAACTCTGGCGCACCCTTGGTGACGTTCAATACCGGTCGCAGGTCCTCGAAGAGAGTAGCAGGTAAACCCTTTAGGAGAGCAACACGCTCACGGAAAGAAGCCTCAAACTCTAGCTCGCCCATCATAGCGCGGTGTGTGATTTCGGCGACTCGCGCAGCCAGATCCGGAGGATCCTTGATATGATCGGCCAAAAGGTCGATGACTTCCTGAGTGATGAGAGTGCTGTCCATGTCGAAGACCACCAGTCTAGGGTGGCGCCTCCATACGGTATCCCGCTGGAGGACCACATCCACGTTCCACTCCTGCTCGAATCGGTAGATCATCTCGTGCTTCCTCAAGTCATTCAAGCTGAGGTAATCGGGCGATGGCGTAGGAGAGAGCGTCAGCTCGACAATGCGCGGTTGCTCCTGGTTGTCCAGACATCGGTGAGAAGAGTGAGGCTCATCGGCATCTTGGGGAAGAGGGAAAGAAGACATGAGATGGAGGAACGAGGTGATGCAAAGAGGTGAGATATAAGAACCGTAGATGTGGTCCAGCTGCTCAGACTCCTGAGTGGGAGGCTCGAGAGGATACTCATTAGGATCGTTTGTAGGGGCCAAGTTGGCGGGCAGAGACTCATTGCTATCTGCAAATGTTGTCTTGATAGGAGATCGAGAACCCTGATCCTCGCCTCTTGGCTTGTAGAACAGAGTCGCAATGAGGCGATCCGACTTCTCGCCAGATCGAGGAGCGCAGTTTGGATGAGAGTACGAGTGACTCAGCCCGCTGTCAACGACAGTCACAGGGTTGTCTTCAGATGGGATGCCATTGAAGGGCAGAATGGGCCTTGTCTGAGGAACAGGCGAGTTGGCCGTGTCCTCTATAACCGTGTCAATGCCATGGAAGTGCTGATCCTGTCGAGCTGATTCGGATCGAGGAGGGCGGTATTCCTGATGATCACTGAGATATGAGCTACTCCTCATAGAGCCCAGCTGTGGCCGTGTAACATTCTGTTTGGCGGGGCTGGTTTGGGTTTGGTCTGCCATTGTACAGTAGCTGTATTCCGTTCCGTGTTGTGCGCGCGGGGTGAGATTTGCTACGTCTGACTGGATCTGACTGCTGATGGTAGCGCGGAAGAGCTGAGAAGGAAAGCTATAAAAAATGCCTAAAGTAACAGATGCTCAGGTTGGGGTTTGTGACGCGTAACCGCCTGAGGTATTGTATAGCTACGAACCCAAAAGATCGACTCAATCTCTAGAGGTTGGGGAACTTGAGGGTGAGTTTCCACGAGGCGGTTGTCTTGCTCCTTGTCTAGCCCCGCCAATTGGCTCGTGCGACTGTTGGTCTACGGCTTCTGCGGCTCCTTGTGACCTTGCCAGGCTGATCTAGGGTATGATTGGCGCAAATAAGCCCGCAAACTTGACAGGTTTTGACCATGGAAGTAATAAAGCCTGGAACTGGAACTGGGAACATCACGTGCATGTGATAGTCATCAGAGTAGGTATGTAGGTAAACGTTGTTGAAAAATCGTTGGAATAACCTATATTCGTGAGTTTTGAAAGCATCGAATGCTTTTCTTCAAACACTAGTTATCCTCCATAGTTACCTCCAGAATTAAAGCATAATGTTCAACAGCCCCATGTAATAGGTACCATATGTTAATGCTCATATCAAAGAAGAACGAGATTGTAATCGCTTGGCTCACCAATGCGAAGGTCAACGGGATTATAAAGTATTGTCACATTGATATAGCCATGACGCAGACAGCGAGTTAGCATTAGTTATGACGTATCCCAGTCACAAACCAAGATTAGGGTAATGATGATAAGTCAGCAACTTTGCGAGATTTCTAAAGATGGGCACAAGAGAATCCGGCTCCGGGCTGACTTTTATCCATGCCTAGCGGCTGAAGTTGGAGAAAAAATTGCTGAAGCTGGGGCCGAAGAAATAACGGCAGTCGCTCCGGTGTCGTCGGTTCCTCGGTGCCCGATGCTCCGACATTACATAGACAAGACCGATTACCGCACCGACTGCCCGGTAGTTGGTAGTTATAATTGCGTCTTCGACAGCACGCCTTTCTTTGACCGGACGTCGCAACCTGTAAGACGACAACACAAGGGTTATAATTGGAGTTTCCTCCAGTTTTGTTGTTTTGCCCAAGGACGATCGCCCCGTCGAAACACACTGGTATTTGATCCCAGGTCAACGATATCAACGTCGTCGATCGGGGGTTGTGACGATATCGTGGTTCATTCTTGCGACACTGATACAACAGCAAATCGTCATCAGAAAGGGAAAAGAGTCGTTGTTTTGGGATAGTACATGGTATCGCAATCCTTAGCTAAAATGGCATGATCGCGGGGAAACTGCCCTCGTGCGCATGCAATGACCCTGGCGCAATTGCTATCCTTGGGATGGACCTCATGCCTCTCGCCAACTCACCTTGGCATCTAGATTACATGGTACTCGTATGTGAGATAAACCAGATGCGGTCTGCCTTCATTTATAATCCATCTGCTTGCACCATGAAAAAAAAAGCATATCAACCTCCGGAGTTGCCGTTGTACGCTGTAGCTCCACTGAATTAGAGGTTCTAGAAACTGCCTGCTACTAGATGGATCTCCGGCTCGGCGGCTGCATCAACAATTCTGTCCTTGTCCGAGGTGAAGAACGTGAGGCAAAACAGGACCCATCGCCTAGCTATGTAGCCGCCATTTCAGGGCTTTGGTCCCTAGGCCAATCACGCTTTGCCCTGGACGTGGCGCCCACCATCGCGAAAGGTATAGCGTCGATGTCGTGATCAGTCTCTGTTGCGACTTAGAGACAAGAATATTGATGGCGGCGATTGCGCAATTGCAGCTCCCCATCTTTCTGCAAGTCCTGAGCTCATCACAGGTAGCATACGCTCGGGTTCGGACGTTGTCCTTGTGAATTACTAAGGATTCCTTTGATCGGGGCCCTGCGGGCGGTCGCCCGGACGTAGCATGTAAACCCACTGCAGTGCATCTCATCTCTCTCCCTCTCTTTAAGAATTTGACTGTCCTCGTTCATTGTTGTGTGTTCGTCATCTAGCTGTCTTGCTTCCCCTTTCCAGTGCTTTGAAATCTTGTTCTACATCCGAGTCAGCGTCATTACCAACCATACCATAGCCACAAACCTTACCTTTGAACTCCCTACTAGATATAACTGGGACACGCTCGTCACATATCCCAGCTTTCAACAAGTTCAGACAACAGATTCTCGTCGAACCATCTTCCCCGCGTTTTCAACATGCCTGCCTTCATCTCCCAGACATCCTCCCAGGTGTCTCTCACCGACATCAAGCTTGAGTGCGAATCAGGCTATGTCTCTGGGCAAAACTCAGAATACTCATCGCCATCATCATCAACCACTCTCCCCAAGGTCTCTCTGACCAAGGCCCACATCAACCATCTCAACGATGTGCTCGAGGACATGCACCCCATGGATATCCTCCGGTTCTGCAAGGTCATGTTCCCTAACCTGTACCAATCGACTGCCTTTGGTCTGACCGGCCTCGTCACCATGGACATGCTTTCCAAAATCCAGAAGGAGCACCCCAACACACCCACCGTTGATCTCATCTTCCTGGATACCTTGTACCACTTCAAGGAGACACACGACCTGGTCGACCGAGTCAAGGCCCGATACCCCAACGTTCCTGTTCACATCTTCAAGCCTGACGGTGTCAACACTACCGAAGAATTTGAGGAGATGTACGGCAAGGAGATGTGGAACACCTCCAGTGAGATGTACGATTGGATTGCCAAGGTCGAGCCTCTCCAGCGAGCATATGACGAACTAAAGGTCGCTGCCGTGCTCAACGGCCGCCGCCGATCTCAGGGTGCCGCTCGCGGTTCCATCCCTATCATCGAGGTGGATGATGAGCGTGGTGTCATCAAGATCAACCCTCTGGCCACTTGGTCCTTCAAGCAAGTCAACAACTACATCAAGGAGAACAACGTCCCATACAACGCTCTCCTCGACCAGGGCTACAAGTCCATCGGTGACTGGCACTCCACTGTTCCCGTCAAGGAGGGAGAAGATGAGCGTGCTGGCCGATGGAAGGGCCAGGACAAGACCGAGTGCGGGATTCACAACAAGCAATCTCGATACGCCGATTTTGTTGCCATGATGGAGCGCAAGCAGCAAGAGGAAAAGCTCGCTGCTGCTCTGGAAAAGGTGGCTCTGCCCACTGTCTAAGTGCACTCGCACCCAGATGACCACTTATCTTTGATGACTTAATGATTGAAGCATTTTGTAAGGCGTTTTAGGGATTAAACTGGTTCAGCAGTCAGTCGTGACTGAACCATCAGGGAATTTTGGTATTTGAAATCATCGAATGGCGTTTGGTAAAATATGGGAAGCTTGGTGCAACGGAGGAATAACAAGCACACAACGAAGCAGATAGATCTGTCGTAGGCTACAGATAGGATAAGAAATGAAATGAATCAACCAATATCCTTATAGGGGCCTAGAATAGTGATGACCAGTGAGATTTGTGACATCAGAGGTGAGAAATGAAGTTGAATGTCAAGGGTAATCAGGATCACGAGATTGGAGATTGGAGCCGCCACGATAAGCTACCTACCCCGCGCCTATGATTTTCCAAGCTAGCCATCGCCTCCACTGTGAAATTTCAGTACCACCTTATTAGGTAGTACCTTACCTGAGCCCTTCACTTTGACTTACCCTTTACTGTCCATCGTGACCAATCTCAGCCTCGCGTTAGCACTAACAAATAAAAAGTCTTGCCTCACACACACATGATGCAGGATCTCGCCTCTTGTCCGTCCGCTTTTGTCGAGAGGAAGAAAAAGATTCTCGAACAACTTGCAATTCCAGATACAGAATACACAGATGCCTCACCCAAAGGGTCTGTAGATGAGGGGATCCGTGATCTTATTGATGAGATTAACCAACAATCCGGATTCGTTACTACCAGCAGCTGTGCAGGTCGTGTCAGCGTCTTTCTTGAGGGCCGAAGGGTTGCTGAGGTTGAGGGAGAAGATGAGCAGATAGCAGGCGTTGGTGGAAAAGGCGCTGGAGGGGCTTGGTTGTTCGTCTCCCATGACCCAGTGCCTGATACAGGCGATAAGAACACAGACTGGAGCAGTATGTTTGGACTTGAGGACTCTGCATTGGCTCAGGAGACAATCGGAGTAGTCAAGGAGAGGAGACTTGTTCATTTCAAGTTCGAAGCAATGGTAAGAAACAGAAGAGCTTCGTCGTATAAGACGGGAGGCAACATTAGAATACAAGTACAAGCACATGCTGAGTTATCACGTAGATTCTTCACGTTCTTACTGCATCTCCCGAGCATGCTCAAATACTTCTGCGATGTGGTCTACAAGCAGGCTTCCGCGAGTCTGGTGCCCTCAACATCATACCCAACGGCAAAGATGCAGTTACTCCCATGGTGGCTATACGGACAATGGGCCTTGCCTTTGAGTCTCTTGTCGGACAACAGGTCGACGGTCATCGCCAACGTATAGTCTCACCTGAATATCTTCAGACACTCGTGCAGATCGCCAATGAGCGTTTTGCTGAGAATAAGAAACGCATTGAGCGATTCCAGAACGCCTTCAGAGATGCTGTTTCTGCGCCAGCACCGCGTCGAAACCCAGAGGGACAGGAGTGGGAGGACGCTGCCGCCAGACGGGAGAGGAAACGAGCTGAAGGCCTACGGAAGAAAGCTGAGATGAAGGCTAAGCAAGAAGCAGACACAAGTAAAGAGGACGATGGCCTCACAAACGTAGGAGAGCAAGAACAGGCAGGGCTGCTCTTTGAGACTTAAGTTGTAGTTGTACACTTTAATTCCTCAACATAGCTTTTACCGCTACCAATGCCGTATTGTACACGTGCGTACCTGTCTGGACATGCCGGAGTCCATCATCTCTATATCTCTATAGAATCGTTCCCCATTTCCATTACAAGTTTTTCCCAACGACCCTGCGCCTACGAGATAACTTTCTCAACCCAGGTCTTCTCCAGCTTCTTGACCTCGGCCTTGAAGCTCTCAACCTCCTGCCAGCAGTCGAGCGGCCGTCGGTCGTGCTCCCGCAGACATCGGATGACCTCGTTGCGCGCACCTTCGACGTTCTCGGGCAGATCACGCACTTGCTTGCGTGACTCGAGCTTCTGACGCATAGTCTCAATCTCCTTGCTGACGGTGTGCTGGCTTGTGCTGTTGTCGTCCTTGAATTCGGCGTTGGCAAGCTTCTCGTGTGCGGTCTTGAGAGCTTCGGCTTCTTTCTGCTGAAGCTTCTTGAGCTCCTCGGCCACGCGGGCCTGGATCTGGAGCTCGATTATCTTGGATCGAGAGGCATCTGTCTATCAAGGGAGGAAAAATTGCGTGTCAGCTTCGGTCAAGGACTAGCTGCGCTAGTAGTTATCAATGCGGATTAAATGTACCTCGTTGCTAGACTGTAGTGAATCGACGAGATCTTGTGAAATGCCGTTAGGCGCTGAGCTGTTTATTGACAAGCTGTCAGTCGCTGTTTCAAGCTGGCTAAGATGGTTCACGGGTTTGGGATAACATACGCCTTCCACACATGTGAGGAGATTGGTTTCGACTCGCTGGAACCCATTGTGTCGACCGCAATGGCTATGCAACGAATATATCGATACCCAGCTCGTGATAGCCTTCCTGGAAATTTCCGGCGTGGTTCGGGAGCCTCGCGGAGCGGCGATCCGTGTCTGCCTCAGGTTGCTCCTACGTCAAGTCATTTTTCCTATGCAGCGCCTCATGTGGCGTTTGATTGTGGCGCTCCACCACAGACTAGACCGAGGCTCTTGGTTATTCACCGAGCCTCTTATGTACACGATTTGCATGGATGGGCAATTAGAGCCAACCTTAACTTGATACAAGATGAATCAAGACTGCATCCGTGCTACTCGATTTCGATTCAAGCAAGATATGCCTTAATCGGTAATCTTTTTTTCTTTGTTTGTCTTGTTCAAAACATCGACCAATTCCGCGCTTATCAAGATCTCTCGGGGTAAGATGGGCAGTTCCAACTTCCACGAGCAAACTGTTTCACAGTGGCCCATGCCAGCCATTGTTGGGAGAAAGAATGCCACAGCGGTCCATCTTACGGCGTCTTACTCTTATCATGTCGCTTGGAAATCAGACGGATCTCAAGGATTTGACCAGCATCAGGTTCAGGTCAATCCCTTCAAGGGGCTCCAAGATTTCCTATTCTAGAACCAAGATAGCGCCCGTTCGTGGGGCCGTGGTAGCTTCCCAAGGTGGCGGAAGCGAATTATCGGGCAATAAGTCATTTAATTGTGACGCCAAGAGGCTTGACAAGGCTTGCAAAGGATCAAGAGCCTCGTGGAGATGAAGAATGTCCAGAGTAGGTAGTGGACAGCGGGCATTCTTCCGTTATCATGCTAGTCCGGCGTGCTGTACGGTGAGCTGGGCCGCAGTATCGAAACTGACGTCGAAATTGAATTCCATCAACCACAGCACGGGAATCATAAGATTGCGGGCCGCCTCTGACCCTTGGCAATGATGTTTGTCAGGATCTATCTCAACAACCTTGTCTTTTGCGGCTCGAACTTTGTTGGCATCTGACATGTTGTTTAAGCGAACTTCCAAGTGTTGAGATGAAAAAGACTTGGTCAAGCATATCGTAGGTAGCCATGCTAGCCATGATTCATCGCATGACAGAGCCCCTCAAGTTCGCCGTCGCTCGCCGGATATTTTGGCCGTGGATTATTTCAGTCAGCCCATTTCAATCCGCTATAGCCGGTATTGCGTCAGAAGACCATGGGACGAAAGACAGGAAACCAATGTGTTTATCCGAATGTAAAACAGAAACATCATCCAGAAACTGGAAACGTGGAGTGACAATGATCAGCTAGTGATACAAGAGTCGCGAGCAGTTGTAGCCGGATGCCTCTGGGAGGTTGGAAGCGTCCCTTGGCGGCACTCGGGCAATTCTTACAGGGCATTGAGTGGCTAGCAAGCGCTGCAACGGCCCTGTGGTTCTAAATCCTTGCAGCAGGTCTGACCTTTGACAGCCAGTCACCCTTGGAAGTGCAGTCAGGAAAACTTGAAGTTTCCATTCATTCCAAAAGGAGTCTGGCTAGCGTGGGAATCCCCTGAGCCAGGGCCAGCTTGTGGCTGGTTTCAGAATCATGGGTGTCCCAGGATTGGCCACCGTTTAACCACTGAAAGCTGTCCATTTTCCGCCAAAGCCCAAATCTGAGATCTGCTAACAACATCTCTCATCCAATTGGTCACCTGGCGGATAGCCACGCCGTTGGAGGGAGTGCCCCTGCCGGAGGGAGCTGATCGAGACTTTTTTTTTTAAGGTACTTGCTAACGCCTTCAAGTTCTCGTTGTAGAGGCGCTTAACGTCCGTGGTTCGTTGTATCATGACTCTTACAACTCTCCTCGTGTAAGACGTCGGAAGATATAGTGCAAAGAGCTGTCCAACCAGACGACTGCAATGAATCGAATTCTCAATTTCTCGGGTTTACGGGACGCCCTACAGGGGTCCTGATCAAATCCGTCCAGGCTCTACACAGCCGTGGCCACTCGCATCGACGCGCAAACTTGACTCGTGCTTCTCGTTGGACAAGGAGAATCTGTACTATGTAAGGGGCTCCCTGTGTACGGATACAGTGGAGGGAGAGCAGGGCAGGGAGGGGATCCTAACCGGAGTCCAGTCCGCAGCGGAAGCAAAGCAAATGCCACCCATGCCAGGCCACGCTTTCTAGGCCTTGAGAGTACCTAGGAGTAAATTCTTCCAGCGCCAAGACTGATACTGGATACCGGGCTGTTTGCTGTGGAAGAGGCGGAGTAGGCCAACGGAGCCAACGGAGGCCCATTTACATATTATCACAACGTCCGCTCCCAAGTGCATCTTTCCATTCCTCTTGGTTTCGTTTCGTGCCGTTCACGGTGAATTATTCCTTGTTTTTCGCTTCTTCTTCTTCTCCTTCCTAGGTCTGTCTTCTGGACCTTTTAAGACATTCTTCACTGAGGCTGGCCACTCCCTGTCATTCCGCCTGACTTGACTGCTTTCGTCACTCTCAACAACTGCTTGCCACTGTTGGTCCTATTGTTTGCTCTCTACCAAGGGTTTTGGGTCTCAGAACGTCTTGAAACATTCAAAAACAGCCCGTTTCTCTCCCGGCTCGTTATTGTTTCTTCCCGTCGATCATTTTCAGTTCAGTGTCTTGCGATAAGCGCCTCGATTCCTAACATCGTACAATTTCCTATTCTATTCTTCGCTCACCGCACGCACGCGCCCAAACGTCGATCGTCTAAACGCCTGCCCTTCCGGATTGTCTATCTATCAGCCGCCCTTACCCAAGGAAGCATCACTTGACGTTACTCGCGGCAGTCGACGTTGACCCGTTCTTTACCGCGGATCGAAATCCGTCCAAAGTTGGAGATCGCCAGCTAGTTCTGCTTTCTCCCACCTGCACCTCACCTCAACTGAGAACATCACCTCGTGGACGAGGTGAACAAGGCCCAAGACTTTCCCACGTCATCAAACACTGCCAGAACAGTGATCATAAGTCGCAGTCGCCTTTGTTCTTCACGGATTCTTTTATTGCCCCTCATTGTTCCTTCGCTCTTTGCTTCGTGCTACGTCACATTGTGTGTTGAACACGCTCTCACCTGCACCAAATTATCAAACTCGCTACCGAACAGCCTGTCCGTCGATCACGATTTATCATCACAACAGCTAATTCAACTATCTGATCACGGCCATGTTCTGACACCAAAGAACGGACACAAGGAGGACCAGCATACATTTCACTTTCTTTAAAACCATCACTGACCTCTGTGTGCTTGTCTGGACCTCTTTATTCGTCGCACAATCGACATTGTTTCATCACTGCGAACAGCGATCATTCATTCCTTCATTCTTCGTCCGAGGACTCCTAGTCAAAAGCAACAATACCCCCCCACCCATTACCTGCTCGCTCCTAGAGAGCTTCTACCGACAAGATGGATTTCACACGGCGCCGGATCGCCGATATCAACTCGTATATACCTACGTCAACTCTCAAATCTCGTGCCGAAGCAGCTCACGCAGATGCTGAAGCAACTCCAAACTATCACTCAAATCTCGACGGTGTCAACCAGCCTATGAATCTACTTTTCCGAGATGTTTTGTGGTGGACCCTGGGTATTATGGCCCTTATCATTCTGTCCATCAGAACTGTTGAGATCTTATGGGCAAGACTCCGCCAGGTCTCGGCCATGAACGCCCCTGGCCAGAAGCAAGGATACTGGAGGATATCTCAATGGAGCTGGATGCCTAACATGAAGAAGAACCTCATCTACGCTCCCCTGTGGAACAAGCGCCATAACCGAGAGTTCAAGCTTTCCTCTGCTATCAGCATGGGCACTCTCCCTTCGCGACTTCATTTTACGATCCTCTTTATCTACTTGGGCAGCAACTTCGCCTACATGTTTGTTTTAAACTGGGCCAACGAAAACAAGTTTGCCTTTTGTGCCGAGCTACGAGGTCGCTCAGGAACCTTGGCCCTTGTTAACATGGTCCCCTTGATCATATTCGCCGGGCGCAACAATCCTCTTATCGGCCTTCTCAAGATTAGCTTCGACACCTACAATCTTCTCCATCGCTGGATGGGTCGCATTGTCGTCCTTGAGTCCATTATTCACACCATTGCCTGGCTCATTGTTGCTGTGCACGACCTGGGCTGGGCTGGTGTCAACCACCAAGTCACTCATATCCTCTTTTACGGCTCAGGGGCGGTTGGTACGGTTGCTATGACCCTCCTACTCCTGCTTTCCCTTTCGCCTGTACGCCACGCCTTTTACGAAACCTTCCTTAACGTCCACATCGTACTGGCTTTCATCGCCTTCGTCGCTACTTGGGCTCATTGTGCCTCCTCCGCACTCCCTGGAGGTCTTCCCCAGCTCTCATGGATCATGGGCATCATGGGTCTCTGGTTCTGTGACCGCCTTGGCCGCATGATTCGAATTCTCAGTGTCAACTGGTCGTCCAAGGGTTGGACTGAAGCGACTTGTGAGGCTATGCCTGGTAACGTCACCCGAGTTACTCTTCATCTGCCACGATACAAGGACATTGAGCCTGGCACCCATGCCTACCTGCGCTTCTGGGGCATCAACGCCTGGGAGAGCCACCCTTTTTCGATTTGCTGGGTAAACCATGTTCGGGACAGCAGCCTACCCATCGTTGAAAAGGAGCCTCTCCACGCAGTCGACAAGTCAACTATGACCACCTCTGTCTCTTTCCTTATTGCTGCCCAGACTGGCTTCACTAAGAAGCTATTCGACCGTTCTTCTCGGTGTCCCCGAGGCCTCCGCGTCAAGGCTGCTCTAGAGGGACCTTACGCCGGCCACAACAGTCTCGACTCATACGGCCACGCAGTCCTCTTTGCTGGGTCAACAGGAATTACTCACCAGCTTTCCTACGTCCGCCATCTCCTCGAAGGGCACAACAATGGTACAACTGCTACTCGACGTATCACACTCGTCTGGATCATCCGCGAGTATGAGTCTCTTGAGTGGGTGCGGCCGTACATGGACACCATCCTCCGCATCCCGAACCGAAAGGAGCTCCTCCGCATCCAGATCTTCGTAACCCGTCCTCAGAACCCACGCGATATTGTCAGTGCTAGTGCCACAGTGCGCATGTTCCCTGGACGGCCAAACGTTCCCCTCATTCTCGCAAGAGAGGTTGGAGAGCAGATGGGTGCCATGTGTGTCACAGTTTGTGGCCCTGGCGCTCTTGCAGATGATGTTCGCGGTGCTGCCCGGGCAGTGCAAGGGTCGACCGTAGTGGACTTCGTCGAGGAGAGCTTTACATGGTAAATTATGACCATGACGGTGGAAGCAAGTAATAAGGATTATTCGATTCAAAGTGTATATATTCATAAGGCAGGGGGTTATATCTCGGAGAGATATATGACAATAGCGATCATAGCGTCAAAGCGTTTCCGTAAGGCAATGATATTACTAGAGATCTTAGAGAACCATTCTCAGAGCCCTTCCCTCTCTGCCGTTCAAGTGATTAATTATGTCTCAGTGATATTTAGGATTTGAAGTAGTACTTGCATCTCAACAGCTCTCGTTATAACTTGGACGATCTGAATCCTGTAGCTTGATCACAAAATCTGTTCCTATCTGCCCACAGCTACGGTGCCTTGGGGCTGGGCTTGCCCCGCCACCCGCAAACCCACCCACGTTTAATTGAAGGAAGGTACGTACCACACCCCCAGTCGCGTCTCCTTCACCAAGACGCGATTCTTTGTTCCAACACAACATATCGCACTGCGCCCGAAGCAGCATTTCTTACAAGTTAAAGAGTACGGAATAACGAAGCTTGGCCTAAAACTACACTCTATTTGCAGACACATCTATCGAACCAATGCCTACTCGAACGCAAGACTCAGACGAGGAGTCGCACTCGCGATCGCAATCGCAATCGCGATCGCCTCCATCAAGAACACCAGCGCATCGAAATCTGGCCGTCAGAGAACGAGAGACAAGTCGCTCAGGATCAGGATCTAAGAGGAAGCGCGCGGATACAAGAAATGGCGAGTCTTCGAACCATCGAAGACGGACTGTTGAGCCTGCAGCGGAAAGCGATGACGACGGTGACGATGTGTACGATCCTGATCAGCCGGTAGAGGAGCGCCGCAAAGTCCAGCAGGGATTCAGAGACCTGCTTCGTGAAGTGACCGAGAATACAGAAGAGTATTTACAAGCCGATTCCCGAGGACTTCACGAAGCTATCCTTCGCGCCGATGAACTATCCAAAAAAGTGCGACAGACCACGGAAGCAACAATCGACTCACGGTTGCTTGTCAGCACTACCGACCTATCATACCGAAAGACTTTGAGACTCACCCAGGGAAGTCTCTCACAGGGCCTTGATGTTGACGAGTTTGTATCAAAATGCATTACATACATGAGACATGGCCGAGGGATTATGGACGATGACGCACCAGAGCTTTCAAGCACCCAGCGTCAAAGAAGAAGGACCACGAGAGGTGACGAGGATGGGGAAGACGACATCGGTGATGAGGGTGACATGATGAACTGGCCCCATCTAGGCCGTTTTGCTTGTCTCCCTTATATCCGCCGCCCTGCACTCCCGGGCTTCCTTCTTGGGCCCCTCTCAGTTGAGAAGAAAGCCCGCAAGATCACAAAGCGAACCGCCCCTTTTAGGCCAAACAATCTGACTGAGACTCGTCCCGAAGTGCTCAATGTTGAGGATCTAGCCAAGAGGGAGAATGATCTTACCGCAATCTGCGGCAAGATCCTTCACCAACTGCAAAGTATTCAGGCAGATGTACAACAAACAGTGATGGATAGCATTGAAGACGATATGGAAGACGAGGAGAAGAACAAAATTATGCATCAACACGGCTTACGAAGTACTGGCGGTATAGATCTGATGCGCTTCGTTGTGAATCCCAAATCCTTCGGCCAAACAATAGAGAATATGTTTTACGTCAGTTTTCTCATTCGGGATGGCCGAGTTGAGATTGATTTTGACGATTATGGTCTTCCGGCACTAGGTAAGTCAATCATTATTGAGTTCATCTGCTTGTAATTAACTGGACCTTCAGCTCCCGTGGACAGAGAGGCCGAAGCCGAAGATGAAGAACCGACGCGCCATGGGGCAGCAAAACACCAGGCCATCCTTTCTATGGATATGGAGACATGGCAAGACATTGTAGATACATTTGGCCTCAAAGAGCCGATGATTGCACATAGAAGAGAAGCGACAAGTTCAGGACCTGGCGCACGGGGCTGGTACAGCTGAGGGTAGATAGACATTGCCCACAGTGTATCAGCTGAAGAAAGGAAAGAAAAAGAATATCAAGTCTTTCAAATCCTCGACTCATTGTCTTGCAACCTCAAGAGATACTCTTGTTTGCACATGTTGGGTGCAATGTCGGTGATGGCAAACATGGTCTTGTGCACGGGCCGATGATAAAACGATTTCTTCTTTGTTCTTCCTCGTCCCTTGACTGTCCCCAGCAAATCGAGGACGAGGATGGTTGGATGGTCGGATGGTTAGTGGCATTGCGTCTTTGTGAGAGTATATGCCTGTGCGTAGCAAGAGGGTGTCACATCGATTATTTTGGACTCGTCAGGCAAAAGGTCAAAGAAGGGACTCACATCAAAGAACATGAATAGACAAAGACGTCCTCGAAACTCGACGACGCAAGTCTGACCACTTCATAACTGCCCCTTATTCTCTTGTCTTTTCCATTTGTTCCAAGACTACTGTTCAGCAATCATCAAACCTTTCTTACCATCTGTTCTACATCGAATACCCGAGCTCCCACAACCCTTTTCTCTGTTCACTGTCAGGCAGACAACATGGCCGAAAACGGCGACGTCCTGCTTTTCAACAAGTTTGTGCATCTAGTAGAAACTCGAACAAACAAAAACATCCAGGCCTGGGAGAAACAAAAGTCCAATCTTTTGGCAAACTTGGAGCAGATTTACCAACGCAATTGCCTGAACGGGGATAATGAGCTTTCAAAGACGGTTTCGGCACCTCTAGAACAGTATCACGCAAAGGTCAAAGACGGCATCAGACTCTTGTTCGACGACATTTGTGCCACGCATCGAACTGACACCAAGGCCATCAAAGTCGCAACAGGCCGCCTCGCGGAAGATGCCAAGGCTCATTATTTCCAACGCAACAGTCACTACACGGAAGACCTCGAACATCAAATGGAAATGTTGCGTGCCGCGGGAAATCTCAGCCAGGACCCATCGAGTACTGAGCCTGGAGCTACTAGGATCGAGGAGGGCAAGACGAAAACCAACAAGTCTTCTCCTGCAAGCGCTGGTCTGTCTTTCGAGAGGGCTCACAATAATGAGCTACTCGGTAAGAAGAGAAACAGGAAGACGCCATCTCGACCAGCCACCACTCATTGGGAGTCTCAGAAATCGGCCAGAAATCAAACTCGGGGCTCTTCTACGGTTGGATCGTCTCTTTTTAGGACTGATTCATTTGATGAGTCGCCTACGCCAGTAGCCTCTGTAACAAACCCGCGTTCTCGTAGATCCAGCGGCTCATCGTCCCGGAGTCGGGAATCTCTTTTCTCCACGGGTTCACCAAGCATGGGGTCTTCTTGGTTAAGTATGGGGTCTTCTCTTCAAATGAAGAAAAGCCCCGCAGCCTCGAGACGGGTTCCGGCTGATCCTGAAGGCTCATCAAACCATCAGTCCCTAACCCTTAGTGAGCTGCTTAATCAAGGAGAAGTACTTGAGAATAAGGACTTCGAGGGCATACATCCTGTAATGGGGGACCTGCTTCAGTATGGAACCATACTCAACCTTGAGTACGAGGAAGGGCTCATAGCCATCGATTCTCAAGAACCTGAGTGGGAGACTGAAGACGAAGATGGCGAAGGAGAAGGAAAAGAAGAATGGGGTGAAGATCAGCTGCCGCAGCAAGTCGAGGCCCTTCGAAGCAAACTCAACCGGAAGAAGAATCTTCTGGTAAAAGCGAAATCGGAAATCTTCGAGCTTCGCCGACAGAAGGATGACTTTTGGACCGCATGTCAGTTCTTGCTGGAAAGAAAGCAGGAATTCACAGAACCTCATGAAACCGCCGAGGAATCTGCTCCCCCTGGCACCACCACCAGGAGCTTTTCGCCTACAACACAATCTGGAAACCAAACCCGAACATCAGGGCCTGATAGTACGGTGGCTCTGCCCTCTATGAGAGATCGGTTCGCCGAACTTCTTGACTCGCACCAAAAACGCCTGGAGATCGCCGTTAAACGCTGCGATGATGAGCAAGTTGTCTTGGAAAGTAAAATATCAAATGCAGAAAGCGGCCTCGACCCTCAGATTTGGGATACTCTCCAGCATTGGTTGAATACGTTAACGGCGCATCGCGATGACTTTTCCCTAACTGTTGAGTTTTTCAACGGGGCCATCAAGGACGCCAGGACAAACCCAGACTCTTTGAATCTCGCGGACGAGATAGGGGATACTCCACTGAGTATGACGACCCCGAGCACTTCATCACAAGTCCCGAATTCAGGAATATCCAATCGCACATTCCAACCTACCAGACCAGGACGAATGCGTTCCAAGTCTGAAGTCCCTCTGCCGGTGGCCATGCCCTCTCTTATCTCGCGGGCAGAGACATTCGGAAGTCGCTCTAATTCTGTAGACTCAGCAATTGCTGAGGATCCAGAGCCTGATAGCGCGTCGAACTCTAAGGATGATATTACTGAGTCACAGGTTCCATCGACGCCTGCAGTCATCCAGTCTGACGGTTCCAAGTCAGTGGTCAGCTCGAAGGCAGGAGACTCTCTGGTTAAGATGGTTAAAAACCCGGACTCTCCGAAGAAGCCTGATTACTCTGAGGAAGATGATTCGCCTAAAGGAATTTCCCCCAAGAAGTCTGACTCTCCCAGAAAGGGGGATTCTTCCAATCAAGGGGATTCTCAGGAGAAGGAGAATTCTTCTGAGGATGGAGAGAACCCGGAGAAAGACGAGCCCCCAGAGGAAGATGTTGCTCTCGGCTCCAATCCCTCGAAGACAAGCAGGTTATCAACGTCAGCCCGCAGCGAAGGCGATGATGATCCAGATTATCCGCAAGATGATCTGACACCAAGAGAGGATCAATTCGTCAACATTTTTAGGTGGTTGTATCATAAACTATGGATACTTCTCCTGAATGTTTTGTATTACGTGGTTACTCAATTCGGAGCTTGGGCACGTTTCTTGAAGTTTGTTTACCAAATAGTGGCGTATCCTTTCCGGGCAGCAAATGGAAGCACCACAACTTTCAATTTGCCTCGGGCTCAGGATGTACGGTCCATTGCCAACCAGGTTCTGTTTGCGATGACTCTCCATCTCTATTTGGATTTGCAACGGGAAAGAAATCAGTGGTACGATGCCAACGGCATTACTAGGAATATGATGCTGGCGCGAATCGCTAACCCGCAATCGTGGTCCTCCTTCTTGGGCGTCGACAGAGTTTTGAAACTTGGAGGATATCTCATTTATGCTCTATGGCTTCCATTTTACACATTCCTGGTGTGGTTGACGTCTATTCCCTCCGGCCTTTGGAACATTGTGGATTGTATGCTTCATCTGCTTGGGGTTTACCAACTGCCGCGATTCTTTAGGGATATTCTGTGGCTTCTTTACGAGCTCAAGGATTTCTTGTACTGCTGCTATCTGGGCATCCGAGGTGACGACGGCGCTGGATATTGTTTTTCATCGCTTCGAAGCCCTGGATTCAAGGGTATTCTCGAGGAATACCGTAGATTTAGTAAATTTTTCTGATGAGAGATCAGAGCTGTTGTTTCTATATATAGTTGTATTAATGTTTAAGTTTATAGAAGTATTTTACTGTTTATGATGGACTAGTATCTTTTGCCATTGACTAAGGGAACTTTGTTGTTTAAAATGTACACATTTTATCGTCTTTTTCATCATCGGAGCAAGCCTTCTCTGCGAGGACACTCAAATAGATAATGTTAAGCTTGCTATAGTGCTGAATAATACAGCATTTGTGCCGAGGTGGAAATAATTCGTAACTGGATTATTCCGCGACGAGATGCACAGATCGTCGATAAAGCCGAGGTTGATATGACGGGTTCTCGGGTTGTCGTAGCGTACCGGGCGGATTCAGCTGGGATATGGTATGGAATCATTACTATCCATATAGTAAGCTAGTAATGTTAATTACTCAGCTTCATAACAAGGTAGTTTTTGCAATCAGACCTCTATCCATGAGCAGAGCCGCACTTGAATATTGATAGTCAAAGACTCAAAGTCTAGGGCTGGCATTCACGTTCACATTCACATGCTCAGTACCTACTTAAAGACAGTGCCCACTTTAAACGCTCCTAATAATGGAAAATTGGAAATCGACGAGACCCTGGAAATCGGGGCAAGCTTTTTCGGCCGAAAGTGAATGAATGTTGATGTCATTGAGGAACTGGAACACTCCATAACCACTACCAATTACCAATTCAAGGCCAAGCTCCGCCTCAATTAAGTTGCTATTGTGACCCCATCCATTGATGACCTGTCTATACTGTTATTGAAATGATACGTTCTATGGCTCGAGGTGTGTACTTAAGCAACCAATCGCCCAGACTGTCACAGACGCTCTCCATACATTCCCGTGCATTTTCATTTCCACTACTAAGAAAGGCAATACACGACTTCAACGTCATACATTCTCATCTTCCACCAAGACCCAAACTCACAACACCAACTTCATTCAACCTCCCAACCCAGAAACACAACTTCAGTTCACAACCAGATCAATCCAATTCAATAATCATGTCAGACAAACTCATCCCTTCCGATCCCGATAATGTCATGGTCATTCGCAATGTCACACCCAACATTGCAACTTTCTCAGTGCCTTTCTCACGATTCGGAAAGGTCAAGATTGGTGGCCGAGGCACTCTAGGTATGCTAATCACTATATACGACGGTAAAGATGCGCATTTTACTGACTCGATTCAACAGTCAAGCTCACTTCTGGAGGCCTCGCCGTCTTTTCGCCAGTGGCATTGACCAAAGCCTCCCACACCAAGGTCATGGAAATGGGCGGTGATGTCCGCTACATTGTTGCCCTCGACTATGAGCATCACATCTTTATCAGCGATTGGGCAAAGGAATACCCTTCAGCAAAGATCATCGGCCCAGAGGGTCTGCCTGAGAAGCGCGCCAAGGCGACCGACGACCCCAAGATTGGCAATGAGGAGTTCGCTGTCGTCTTCAAGAAGGAGAACAAGCAGGAAATCAAGATTGATCCTGATTTCGATGCTGATTTCGACTACGAGTACGTCGACGGCCACGCCAACCTTGAGATTGTCTTTCTCTACAAGCCTGAGCGTGTCCTTATCCAGGCTGACTTGCTCTTCAACCTGCCACCCACTGAGCAGTACAGCAAGGTCCCTGAAGCAGAAGTACCCGGCGATGGAGCTGTAGGAAAGCTCTTCTCCTGCGTCCAGAACCCTCGTGGTGACACCAAGTGGCTACAGCGTTTCAATTGGTATGTGCTCGCCAAGAACCGCGACAGCTTCAACGACAGTATGGCCCGCATTGCAGATTGGGACTTTACTACAATGATTCCCTGCCACGGAGATGTCTTGGAGGGTGACGGCAAGGAAGTGTTTATGAAGGTGTTTGAATGGCATCTCCAGGGACACAAATAGATGTGTGGCATGGCAAGTTGATACAATGACGATATACAAATAGGGCAATGAGGAGTTGGAGGTCAGCGCTTAAGAGGCTCGTAATACTAATGTAAATAAGTTTAATTACTTGTATAAAAAAATGGTTGAATAGTTTTAAGCTTCCTCCTGAAGCTGAAGGGTAGTAGTCATGATAACATTATGGCCGTGACATTAGTTGATAGTCTCACGATAATATCAACAGTAGAACTTGAAATATTGATTAAACACTGGGTATATGTTATCCTGAAACCTGAGCGCCCTCGTTACAGCAACCATCATTGCATTTGCTTTTCCCTTTATCCAAAACACGCTTTTTTACACCATTATTGTCATTAGCTATCTCTTGAGACATACCCTCTCGGGCACGCGATGAGTCTGCAGCAGAAACAGTCGACTGTTGCCTCACTCTTTCAATATGGGTCGTCTCTGACGACATTGTCCGCTGGGGTGGTTTCGTCTTGGGCGGAGGCTCAGGTTCCATTTCCACAAACCCAAACATGGGACACTCAGAACAGATCAGCTCTCCTCCTCTGTGGACATAATCACCAAGTTGCCCCAGGACAGCAAACTCGGCCTTGAGTTTCACTGAGTACGCCACTGCCTTGACGCCTTGCTGCCATAGGAGGTTGTCGGTAAACCCCATTGCGAGTAAACAGATATCGATAACCACGATCATGACGTTGATGGCGAAGAGTTGCCATATGATACGGGGGATCTGGATTTCGGTTTCCTTCCTCTTGATGATGTCGGTAGTCCTCCATAGGTAAAGCCCAGATAGAACAAAGTTTTGCACGCAGAAAAAGGTCAATTGAACCTTTTGGACTTTTAAGAAGACCCCGTTGTGATCGAGTTTCTGGTGCGTGCTGATGGCAAAGAGCAAAACCGTGACTGTGCTATGCCAGATAACACCATTAATAATTATCATCCATTTCGCTATCTTCAGGACGGTGGTGCTTTTGACGAGAAGGTCGAGTCGGGAGTACAGAACAAGAGCTTGACCGGTAGTCAAGAGAATCCACCCAATGTCGTTGATGAGCATATCTGGAACATCTCCAATGATGTTAAGATAGCGGATCAACCAACCCGTCGCATACGGCAACACGCCGAACGAGGCCACGGCGAGGCTCCATGAGTAGAGGTCATTGCGGCGCTTTGAAGACGTCAAGATCAGAGCAAGCAATTCGATCCCATTATACAGCGAGATAGTAGCGCATATCTGTCGGGAACATGTTAAACGATTGTCCTTGTGCTAATTTCGAAGGGGTCGGTCGTACAATAACTACTATGGCCTCTGGAGTATATCTCCCGTTTTTTGTGATCTGGTGCATAGGATCGATGCGTCTCGAGAATGACATCTCTGGTTGCTCTAGGGGTGTGGAGAGGCCTCGGCAGCAGAGCGCAGGCCCTCTCAAAAGCGAAGCATCAGGCGCTGCGAAATCCGAAATCTGCAGACGTAGCTCATATATTTGCAGTTGAAGTTGCAAGACTTGAATGTGAAGGAGATTAGTTGGGACGGGCCAACCGCCCGCGGGTGCTAGGGTATTTTAGCCAGCAGCCGAAGAGAAAATAAGCCTCTAGGCAAGGATAATGAGGCCTAAAATTTGGCGGATGTCTCTGGTGAAAACTCATTGATTGATGGGATTGACGGTGTGGCTTCTAGGTTTGGACTACTCCGTACGCTTTGGGTTTGGGGGTTAAGACGTAGGCCGTAGGTAAGTAAGTACTATAGGTACTAACTAGGTGCATATGATTTGACCTCGTGTCCAACAGCAGAAGCAAGCCTCTCGTCCATTAAGGACGGGGATTGGAGGCCAACTGCCGCTATAAAGAGGAAATGAGGTAGACACGGCAGTGAAGAAGAAGGAAGAAAGAAGCTGGGGTAGTATGAAACAATGAATGCACAGTCCTTGTCGTTGATCAGGGGCTCGCACACATATAGCCCAACTTAACTTAGTACTCTGTGTTATAGTTGCCGACTGCTACTGGTATAGACGGGTGATAGGGCACATAGCAACGTTTAGCCTATCCTTCGTACAGCCAAAAGAAAAGAAGAAAGAGAAAAAAGCACAATGAGAGAGCAATCCTAACAAAGCCTAGTGGTAGCCACGTTATGTTACCAAGACAATCATTTCCTCAAGGCTGGAAAGATCATCATCAAGGGGTGTAAGTTGCCGTGTAATAGCTGAGGCTGTCCAATGTAAGGTTACGTTACCTAACCACGAAAGGAAATTCATAGACAAGCCAAGAAATACCTGTTGTATGGCCTGCATCGTCAAGAACCAATAGAGAGAGTTGTAAATTTAGAGACATTTATTCATTAATGCATACAATCAGTCGAGCAATTGCTCAACTCCCTCCCTGTCTGGTTTCTTGGGATTTTGGAAAGCAAGCTAGGTACGGTATTTCTCATATTGAATCTCTTGTGATAGCCCCATGTGATACTCCCCACAGTGGAAGCTACCTACCTAAAGTTCAGTAGACGTCACTACCTAGGTAGGGATGTAAGAGTGGATGCTCTTATCTTATCGTGCCTCGACTCTCCAACCATTCACCACTACGTACGTACACAATCATTCCCAGGCTCATGTCGCAACTTATCTTATCCTCCAGCTCTACCACCATAACCTACACTGTCGCTTTTGTTTGCGCCTCCATCGTACTTCATCGGCCTACACAGAATGACATAGCGCATCATGTCTGAGTACGGGCGCATGGACCCGTTCTCCTTTGCAGGCTCCAGGGATGTCCAACACCCTGTGAGCATTCGCATGTAAGAGACCCCTTCGACATGTATTAGACTGGAGCTAACTCTGGTGCAGAATGAATCTTGAGGGTGAAGAGCCCCCTTACAAGTCCTCAACACTCCTCGAGCGAGCCGACTTGCGCCATATTGGCTCTAACATGAGGTGCGCGACATTACCTCTGATCGCCTTTACGCCATACTAACATCTGCTCAGCCCCTCCTCCGATCTTTATGTCACAGTACAAGTATGGGCTGGCTCAAAACCGTTGACGGTTCCTGTTCAGACTGCTTACAAGCCCTTCCGATCCGAGCGAAAGTACGATATCCCCAGCACGTGAAGGGACACATGTTGATCGAGATATTAGATGGAACGAATGGCTCCAGCTGCCTATTACATACGACTCTTTACCCGCCAACTCATGCTTAGCCATAACCGTGTGGGATCTGTCGCCCATCGGCGGGAAAGGAGCTCTTGGCCATGCCATACCTTTTGGCGGCACAACACTGCCTATGTTCGACGAGGATAATCAAGTACAGAAGGGACGACAGAAGTGTCTTGTCCACCGACATAAACACGGAGACGGCACTGACGGCACGATAACACCCGCGTTACTTTCGACAAAGAAGAAATCGTCTCGAAAAGGCCAAGTTCCTCCACTGGATAAAGATGCGGAGGAGTTAGACCGGATGGAGACTCTATTCAAGAAGCATGAAATGGGCGAAATTCCACGAGTCGATTGGCTGGACCAAATGGTATTTCGAAGCTTCGAAAAGCGCGGCCTGCAAGCTGCGAAGTCGTCGATGAAAATGCTCCAGAGGCAAAGAGCTTTAAATGGGACGAATGACCGGGACAGCGAAGACGAAAACGAGGATGGACGTCCTGGCCAATCGACGTTCTTACTCAACGTCGAGCTACCACGTTTCGACTTCCCAGTCGTTTTCGCAGACCACGAATATGGCCCTCCTCCTATTTCTTCTCTCCAGAATCTTTCAGTCTCACAGGCCAGTGTCGCTCATCGCCAGCCACAGGTTCAGTATGGCCCTGGCATCAATGCTCTAGGCGAGAGCTCCGCAGCGCTCGGTGGACGACTTATTAAAGCTTATGATCCTGAAGCCGGCCATAGAGACAACCCTGCAGAGGCCAAACATCGAAGACTTTTCAGAAGCTCACACCGGCACGGAATTCTTGACAAAGATTTGAAACCGAACGCAAAGGTTCGAGATGAGCTTAACCTTATCATGTCATACTCCCCGACTCATGTCCTCACACCCGAGGAGACAGATTTGGTCTGGAAGTTCCGCTACCATTTAACCAGAGATAAGAGGGCTTTGACCAAGTTTGTCAAATCGGTCAACTGGAGAGATCAAAGTGAATCGAGGCAAGCTATACAAGTGCTTGGTCGTTGGACTTCGATTGATGTAGATGACGCTCTTGAACTTCTTGGTCCCTCCTTTGACAACTCTGCCGTACGGTCCTACGCCGTAGAGCGGTTGCGAAAAGCTGACGACGAGGAGTTGCTGCTTTATCTTCTCCAACTAGTCCAAGCACTTAAATATGAGCATATTAAAACAGACACGGAAGACGAAAGTGGTAACGATTCATCTCTTGCTCGATTCCTGATACAGCGCGCAGCGGCCAACTTCCTCCTTGGTAACTATTTCCATTGGTACCTAATGGTTGAGTGCGATGACCGCAGCCCCGAGCAAGGTGTCGATAACCGCAACATTTATCGCAAGGTCGCTTATGACTTTATGGCTGAGCTTGTCAAGCAACCAGATGGCCAAGAGACACGCAAGACTCTGCTTCGCCAAGCAGAGCTAGTTGCCATACTCTCACGGATCGCGCAAGATGTTAAAACGTCAAGCGAATCAATTGCGAAGAAGGTTGATCGTGTAAAACATTTCTTGGCTGATCCCAAGAACGAGCTTTTGACCTTCGATCCGCCTCTACCGCTGCCACTCGATCCATCAGTACTGATCACGAGTATCATCCCGGATCAAACAGTGGTGTTCAAGTCCTCACTGAATCCCTTCAAATGCACCTTCAAGACCACGACCGGAAGCGCGTATTCTATCATTTTCAAGTTGGGTGATGATCTTAGACAAGATCAGCTTGTCATCCAGATCATTACCCTCATGGACCAGCTTCTACAAAAGGAGAACCTTGACCTCAAGCTATCACCGTACAAAATCCTGGCAACAAGTACTTCCGCTGGTGCCTCACAGTTTGTTCAGTCTGCCAGTCTGTCAAGTATCGTCAACAAATTCAAGAACAACCCAGCTCTGGCGTACCTCAAATATCATAACCCGGATGACAGACAACCACTTGGTGTTCGACAAGAAACACTCGATACATACGTAAGGTCATGTGCAGGCTACTGTGTCATAACCTACATTCTTGGTGTTGGCGATCGCCATCTGGAAAACCTTCTCCTCGCTCCTGATGGGCATTTCTTCCACGCTGACTTTGGTTTCATCCTCGGTCGAGACCCCAAACCCTTTGCGCCTTTGATGAAGCTCTCCAAGGAAATGGTGGACTGCATGGGCGGCGTGCAGTCGGAGCACTATAAGCAGTTCAAGCAGTACTGCTTCCTGTCATATACAGCGCTACGGAAGTCGTCAAACCTGATTCTAAATCTTTTTAGCCTCATGGTTGATGCCAACATTCCCGATATCAAACTCGAGCCAGACAAGGCCGTGCTCAAGGTCCGAGAGCGTTTCCATCTGGAGTTGAGTGAAGAGGAAGCACTGAGATACTTCGATCGGGTTATTGAGGATACCCTAACAGCGTATGCACCTGTCGTCATTGACAAGTTGCACGAGTGGGCGCAGGCTTTCCGGGCGTAGGACAATGGATGGTTTTATCTCTGATAAAGGAGTTGGGGTGTTGCGATATATGCGTACTTGGTCCGAACTAGACTCAATCAACAGCTTAACTACTTGCGCCTCTTTTTATGTCTGTGAAACTATGCAAGATAATGTAGTTAATCAGCCCAAGTTGATTTTAATGTCTGCATAATTTGACACGTTGTTTGTTCCAGCTACTTTGTTTGTGAAGAAGTACCCAACATCTGTTAGATCCATACGGACGCTGATACGTTAGATCCCTTTACTATATATTCTTCGGATTATTACTTATGTCTCTCCGAACGTAAAGACACCCTTGCCCTTGCGGAATCCTTGTAGACCCTGTTGCACAGCATTGCGCAGAGTTTCCTCCTCTGTATCCCAGTCCCACTTGACCTCCTCTATAGGGACGTCACGGAACTGGCCTGAACGGATGATTTGCAGAATATCATTGATCGCATGCTTTCTTCCAGTAGGATCCTGCTCGTTCAAACGGCTCAGCCAGAAACCAGTGAAGCGGATGTCCTTAAAGATGAGGAGACCAAGGGGTAGTTGAACGGGCTGCTTGGCCATGCCGCCGTAAGAGACCAGAGTCGCTCCTTGGCCGAGAGAACGAGCGATGGCAGTTGCTGACTTGCCTCCGACACAGTTGAGACCGAGACCAATCTCCTCACGCCCCTTGCGAGTGATTTCGGCAAGTTGGTCTCTCCATTCACGGGAAAGGAACTGAGACTCAGTCACAACAACATCTGCACCTAGGTCCTGGAGTTCCTTCTTGAGAACGTCTGTAGCCTCTGGTGTATCGCGCTCACGAATGACGTTGATGCTCCTCAAACCCCAGAGCTTACCGAACTGGATGGCGGCTCGTCCAACACCTGAGTTGGCGCCGTTTTGAATGAACCACTGCCCGCTGCCGACTTCGAGGGGGCGCATGCCTAAGCCAGCCTGAAGACCGGCATTGGGGCCGTAGTGTCGCAAGATGCGATAGGCTGTGGAAGGGTTGACGCTGACGGTCGCAACCTGCGTGGGAGTTAAGCCCTCCTTGTCGATCTTGAGGAATTTTTCAGCCTCGTCGACGGCATGTGTTCTCCAAGTACCGAACTGGCCGACGGCGGGGATAACCCAGTCGCCCTTCTGCAGCGACGAGGAGGATGAACCGGTAGAGACGACTTCGAAAACACCTTCGTTGCCGGGGATGGCGGAGGGCTCAGAGGTTCCAATTAAGGATGTGAATGGAGGTTTAGAGCCATAAGTGCCCTGAACGGTGTTGATATCAGCGGGGTTGATGGGCGCGGCGAGGGATCGGACGAGGACCGAGTTTGAGGGAATGGAGGGGGAGATGGAGTGAGTATGTAGACTAGAGATCTGTTAGTTTGGTTTGCTAGTGAGGAAAGTAGAGATGTATAGTATATACCTGAGAACATCAGAGGGCTCGCCAGGCTTTGAGAAAACAAGAGCCTTAGCTTGTGTGTAGCCATAAGGACCTGACTTATATCGTGCTGCAGTAATAGGAAGCCGGGTCATATGATGGGCACTGAGCTTTGCCGAAGGCCGAGCTAGGCCTGAAGTGAGGGGCCTGAGTCGTAGACAGTGTGAGCTGGCCATGGTAGAAAGGATTAAGTTGATTAGTAAAGTGAATTGAATTAAAATTCGCTGGACGTTGAAGTTGCACGATACGATGTGGTTAATCCAACATTGGACGAAACAAGTTCATTTAGCCGAGCTCGGCTCCAAGTTGATAAAAGCTCTATGACGTTAGGTTCAAGCGAACTATAGCGAAGAATCGACGAGCCAATCACAGGATGCGATTAACCGGGGCCGCAAGTCCCCATCGAAAAGAGAAAGAAACTCGATATCGGGGTCCAGAATCCAATCTCAATGTGGGATAACGGATCCCACGATTGTGGGTTGTGGGACGCGGGGGCCTTCCTAGATCGGGAACAGTTGACGAGAAGAGCTTGGGAAAAGGCTGGAAGGGGAATAAGACTTGTGTGTCTACAGTCTGACTGCGTTAGCTTGGGACTGCTCTCGCAAAACCAGGTACTTGACGATACATTAGAGCCCATGACTCGCAGGAGAAGAGATGGTGGCCATGATCCGTTGGGCCCAGCCAAAGAGATCAGTGCCAAAGAAAAATCTACAATCCATTTAGCTCTAGTGTTTGGTGATCCCACAAGCTGGTTTCCTCCGCTGCTCCTCGGTTCAGGGACCGTTCAGGGAGGGAGGAAAGTTGGAAAGGAGACATTGGGTGTTGAAACATGTTTTAGCTAAAATGCACTTTGTTTTTCCCGTTCCTGGTCTCCCGTGGAAACGCAATCCAGTCACATCGTTTCATTTGTTGATGTTGCCCTGTGCAGCACTGCGCCGCGGCCTTAAATGCCAAGGTCTTTGCAGCGATATAATATACGAGCTATCCGAGAGTCCAATCTCGGCAGAAGACGCGTTTTGGACGGGATCAACATTGTTTTTCGAGCTATAGCATGACATGATACTTCATAGAGACTCGTCGTATTGATATGGACCGTTTGATACATATATCATATAATCTAGTCGAAACATCCGGGCGCCATGGCTTCTTTTTTACTTTGCCAACGGGGGTTCATGGGATTCTTGACAGACAACGTCTGTGGCGTAAAAAGGGTGTTCTTCAGTCCTTGTAAGGGAGAAAAGAAAAAGAAAGAAAAAAGAAAATATGGGAGCTACCGCGTAAGATGAGTGGTCTTTGCTCTAGCACTTGTACTAGTAACGGTATCTTCAAGTGCTAAAACCCTGTTGACGAACTGAAAAGAAAAGAAAGAAAGAAAGAAACCCTTCATATTCCCGTGGGATTAATCGATAGTCCAAGCCCATCCCGTGCTCCTTGAAGTGATTGCATGGCAGCTCGCAGGTTGATGGACAGTCTGACAGTACAGTACCTGAGAGGTACCTGTCCCGTGTCGATAGCCACAAGCTGTGCAAGAAACCGCTAATCCCCATATCGCCTAGGCCAATCATGCTCCAGGCCTCTCGGGTACTAAGCGGTACTTGGTGCAACCCCAAAGCTTGCCCAACCCGCGTGGCTCCAGCAGGGTCCAAAGGAAGCAGAGCGGGTTCGCTGCAGTCACTCAGGGGCAAGCCCAGAAGAGGAAATCTTGTGTCTCTGTATCTCTCATGTACCTGCCCTCATTGGCTTGGGTGCCAGCCACGGCATTCTCCACTTACCTCACCAAGGTTACTTGACTTTGGTTGACTTGACTTGACTTGACCTGACTTTGAGTTCGTTCCTTCCAATCCCTCCAACTTCCCCCATCTTGTACCAATTCTTTCTTGCCTACACACTCAAACTCTCATCTTCAACTATCTCCTCCATAATTGCGACCTCATGATCCGCAAACATCATCATCAACAGCTTCTACCGCCTCAATTGCTCCATACGACCGGGATCATTGTCCTAATATAAAAACACAAAAAAGCACGCCACGCCTTGTTGGGAATCCCTGCAACTTACAGTCAACGACAAGCCACCCGACCCTGGTTCCAATTTTCCACTGCTCTGCTTCGTTATTCTGCAGTACCTATACAACTGGGTCTGTCCTGAGCTGTTGATCAGACCTCTCCTTTCTCGTCTCGTTGCCTTGTTCTTGCGGGGAGTTGTAATTCTGCTTCGTCATCCATCCCGCCTGTTGGATCCTAGTTATCGATTATAACTTCATTGGGAGTCTCAATTGCCAGTTCCGCCATCTCTGAAGCCTCTTGACCCTCGTTTCGCCTATTTTACTTCGCCAGGTACTCCTTTCCGAACTCGGGCCTACTTATCGACCTGTCTTCTTGCACATCCCGCCCAATCCGTATCGTATCCTATCGTATCGTATCCTATCGTGCACGAAACAACGACTAAATCTCCATCATGTCGTCTCTTTTTGGCAAGAGCACCGGAAGCTCACGATTCCAACTGCCCGCCCTCAATCTCAACTTTGGCAGCATTACAGATGGAACCAACATCCCACCGCCTCCGGATTCACCTGTTCAGAAGGTCCCAACTCCCCCACAGACACCGCCACCTGACAACGAAGCCAAGGACGAATCCAACAAGCAACCAGTACAGGATACATACAGCAGTGTCACCGAGGACGTCAGCAAAAGCACACCTCAGCCAAGCATCACGGCTTCATCTAATGGTAATCTCGCTGGAACGAAGCGCTACGCCGACGATGATGCTCCTTTGAGTCCGGCTGCTTCAAGCCGCCAAGGCAGCATCCGTCGCCTCTTCAGTAGAACCATGTTGAATAACAGTTATGCAGAAGGCCAGATATCATCGAATGGAAGTGTCCCAGCCGCGACTCCGGCCGCACCTACCGGCGCCGGCGGCCTGGCTCGGCCTGGCAGCCAAGGCGGCGCAAGCTTTCTCGACGAGCGCAAGTCGAGAAGAACTAGCGGCTGGTTCAGACGTATGAGGACTGGAGAAAATGTCCCCAACAAACGAGCCAGTACCATGTTTTTGGAGGAGCCTCCTCTCTCACCCACCCCTAAGAAGCAGCCGGGCCCGCCGCCTCCCATGATACCCGAATTGGGTGACCTCCAGAAAGATAACGGAAGCCTGGGCTCTGACCTTTTCAAGAACATCAAGTAGACCGGTATTACTTCTCGACACCGAAAGCTGACCAGCGCCTACCATGCTCGACATCAATGGTTGCTGAACAGTCAGAAGGCATTTCCCTTTCAACTATTTACATATTCAAATACCAGAAATTGAGAGACACCAAGACAACGCGTTACACCTATTCTTATTATCGACCCGGCTCGCAGCAACACCTCACGAGCTAGTTCAACACCCTTATTTATTTTTTGAAAATACGTTTTCTTTCACCGCGGCCATTTGTGAGCAGCGAGGCGGATGTTTTTGGCCTGTGTCTCGGGGGAAGGACGCCTATGGTAGACCAGGGGATGTAGAAGGGAAGGACATGAAGAGCAGTGCAGTGATGAAGGCAGCTCATCAAGATACCCAACTCGTTTTGCGAGCTCACTTATCCAGTGCGCGATTATGGATTTGTTTTCTTCTTCTTTGGCACTTCTTTAGTTGTCTCCGACGTTCGCCATGATATTGCACTAGAATGCATCTTCGTGTGACGAGTTTCATGTCATTTTTTGCCATTTATTATCTGTCACCATCACCTTAACGGCCCCATGTTATTGCTTGTCGGAGAATCTTGTTGGGAATATTATTTGTTTGTGAGTTACAGGGAGTCTTGCATAGCAACTCCACTGTGTATATGTTTATTTCCAGCGAGGACCTCGTACAGATACGTGATTCTGTGTCGAGGAGAAAACAAAGAGAACTGAAAAGCGAGAAAGTGCCAAGATACAGGTCAGATTTACCACTGGATACGAGGCTCTATTGAATTGAACCCCAGATCCTTTCTTTCACGGTGCTCAACCTGACCCATGCGCAATGGAGACTGACTCAGGTCTTGTAACAAACCATGACTTTGCTTGCGTGTCGCAATGTGAGGCAAAGGTAAATCTACGTCACCTTTTCTAAAAATACCATGACCCGTTGTTTGAGGATGTGGAAAGACCTGCATCTCACTTACTCGTGTAGGTATTGTAAGTGTTGTACAGTTGAGGCTACAGACTGATGGTACCAACAGTGACTCGTCGTTAATCAAACATCAAAGCCTTCATTTCTCAGCTTCTCATACAAATCAGCCTTGGAGGATTCATATCCAGGCACAGAGATACCCCCACCCGTAGGAATTGGTGCATTAAAAAGAGGAACAACTCTCGTCGCGCCCTTGGTCACTTCAAGGATTGTGCCATCACCAAACTCTGGGTTGACTACAAGCTGCCACATTCCTTGAGCGACTTCTTCGGGGTTGATGAGAACTGTGTCCTCTTCCAGCATCACTGCTTTGGTAGGGTCGTCGTACCAGAGAGGAGTCTAACACTGATGTCAGCATTCACCGTGGTCCTCACTACGAATAGAACTTCTTGCAAGCTTACTGCTACTGCACCAGGAGCTATGCATCCAACGCGAATTCCAAGCTCATCACGAAGCCCTCCCAATGATCGTACGAACCCATGCAAACCGTGTTTACTTGCGAAGTACAACGGGGTTGTTATTCCTGCTCCGTAGCCGGCCATGCTTCCCACATGAACAAGACACCCTTTCTGGTTCATTTTGATCCAATGCCCAATACCTAACTGACTGAGCCGAATGGGAGACACTAGATTCACATCCAAGACAGCATAGTGTCCTGGATCCGCATCGGCAGCATCCTGAGAAACACTCTCTTGGTTACTCCCTGTTCTAGGCGCTTCCCAGAACGAAGACCACTTGGGCTCGAAAAGACCTGCACCTGGAACGACGATGTCGACTCTTGGAAACTTATCCAAGGCCGTGTTCCACGCGGCTGTCAGTTGAGGCCAGGATGCTACATTGGTCTCATAGAAGAATACTCCTGCTTTGCCCTCAGAGCTTGGGAATGGGTACTGTTGTAGAAGCTCTTTAGCTTCTGGTCTTAGCTTGAGGTCGGCTATTAGGACTGAGCACCCGTTTTCTAAGAGTAGTCGAGCAAAGCAAAGATTGATGCCTAGGTATCGTGGTTAGTCGTAAACCAGATTGGCATTGTTCTTCTGTACATTTGCTTACCAGAACCGCCGCCAGTGACGAGTGCATATCTGGTTTGTGTGTATGCGGCCATCCTGTCTTGATCGGATATCTCACTCCAAGGCTATTTTGCTGACGCAATATCCTGTAAAGATATAGTAGAATTACCTGTATGGTACACCTCGTTTGCATGCGATAGCAATATCAATGGTTGAAAGAGCAAGTTGGATGACAAGTCTGCGGGGTAATAACTATAAGGGAGACTAGAACTAATGAAGTCACTTGTATATAGTTTGACCGAAAGCTAAATCTCATACTCTGTATGTTACCGGTTGTCTCACCTCCCTGATGCATTCAGACCCTAGCCTTCTCCTCATCGTCGAATCCTTGCACTGTGGCCGGATCCTCCGGTTTCCCTTCCCTGCATGCCCATCCATCTACTAGCCGTAACGTCTCACGGCTCCATACCCGGTTCATGAGCGACAACCGGACTGGAACCAGGGCTATGATGATCAGAGGGAATGCAGGCGCCGCAACTGTCAACGTCACCCCGAAAACGATGCCGGTCATGACAATCTGCGTGACGGTGTACATGTGAATGCCGAGCCAGCTGACTCCGTCAGGGAGCTCAGAGAGATCAGACGGTGGAGTGAGAAGGTTCACGACTCTTTCAAGAATTGGGTTAACTGAAAGAGACTGGTAGCCCATGAAGAGGAAGAGACCGGCGAGTACCGACGTCTGAGTGAGACCTAATAGCTTTTGCAGCGGCGGTGACACAAATATGAGAATGAGTGCCGCTTGGATAAAATGCGAGTATCTCTGCTCATATGTCCTTGCAACGGGGCGAGGTGAGTCCGGTTGTTCGCCTTCTTCAGCAGGGGGGGTTTCAAGGACATAATGCATCAAAGATTCGGAGTGAAGCGGTGCTTGAGGAAGCAGGCCATTTGCCGGAGGGATACCCAGAATACCACAGATGATAGTAGTCGTTCCCAGGAGAGCAACATCCCAGGCATATCCACCTGGCTTCTTGGTCCCATATCGATCCACAGTGCATATGATGCTGCTGATTTCGTGGTCGAAATAAAACAAGACTGTGATAATGGCACCAGGAATCATAGACAGGAATACCCATTCAATGGGAACCTCCCAAAAACGAACAAAGAATGTCGATCTGTCAGGGTTTGTAGGCCGAAAGCTAGTTTGTACCTCAAGGTGGATATGATCCAACGACGCCAGCTCACCGATATACGGAATTCCGATCCATATGATGATGGAAATAGCAGCCGCATACTCTGTGAGTCCGAGTCGAACGTAGCGGTGAAGCATGGGCTTCCAGGAGTTAGCTGTCGATAGGAGGATAGCTAGGAGACAGGTCCCAACTGCTCCCAGAACGGCGTATAGAAAAGCCGCAAGCGATACTCGGGCATGGGTTCGCTTCAACTCCATGGCAGCCTTGTGAAAATAGATGACACTGTTGAGGAGCGAGAATATGTCGGCGCTGAAGTGGGTGACATATTGCATTGTCCAGTCATGAGCATTGAAGATGGCAAGGAGATAATGCATCCATCCGGCATGTATGAGTGACCATGCCATGACTGGCAGGAACTTGACCTGGTTGGTGTTAGAGAATAGGATATGGGTGCAATGTATCGCCTTTTGCTGACTTACATGAAAGTGTGTCTCGCATAACTCGTAAATATTCTCGGCCAGAACTGAGAATGGGCCTGTGACACCGAGAATTGTAAGGGGTTGACCCGAGAACCTTGGGCACTCTCATTAGCATTTCTCTGACCCAATCGTCTTTACGTGTCCCTTACAGAGAAAAGATGAGGCCGCAAAGGCCGGTACTAAACACAACCTCGATAGTTCCCCATGACTTGCCAGTCAAAGTATACAGGTCACTCGCAAAGGTGATGCCAGGCAACAGATTGGTGAAGAAGATGTAAACTGCACTTGCAATTATCTGCTGGTTAAAGACCTGCCAATCTGAAGCATATCGACTCTTGAGATTGACCACATCTTGCTTTAACAGTCGAAAAGGACGCAGTTTGCCCTCTTTGCCGAAATACCGAGATGATCGACTGTCTTGATTGGGTAGATTCGAAGGATCGCCTTCAACGCCCGAGGCATCTCGAGTATTGAATGTGACGGTATCACCAGATTCATAAGCAGGTGTCTTCTCGACATTGATTGAGTCTTTGACGTGCTCAGATTCAGCCATTGCTCACGTCAATTTTGATGTGAAAGACAGCACAGAGGTCTTGATGTTGTGTGACAGTTCGGTAGCACATGTTGAAATCACTCATGATCCTGGGGGCTCTGAGTCAACTTATTATTCTCTCATTCTCGCTATGGCTTTTGCTTCGGTGAACAGCCTGGTCTTGGCTCTTTCTTGGCCTTTGATGTTTTCCTTGGCTTTTTGTCTTAAACGTCGTTCATCTTGAGCCGCGTGGTCAATTCTGGAAGAGCAATTGGCTAGACAGGCTGACAGGTTCATGTAGCTTAAACGTTAAAATGACGTCACGCCACTTATCAGTCTACCTTATCTGCACGTGCCGAGGGGCGAGGCTGAGTCACTGTGGGGCATCGCGACAAGGCTGAAGATTAGATTTACATCATGCCCTCTTTTGCAGGGTCCTCTTATATTTGCCCCATGATCATATCAAATCGCAATATCCGCAACTACTCGCTACCGACTTCAGCATATCTTTCACGATATGATAAATAAAACTGCAGATCGAAAAGCTGATTCTATCATATACAATGGCACAATTTATCCCTCGGCAAACATTTGCTATACCAAACTCAATCCCAAAAACATACTACCTCGGTCATCATGCTGTTGGTCAAGCTAGCATGATCAAGCAAATATCAAACATTCATCTCATCCTCGAATGCCGCGACTTTCGCCTCCCACTATCGACACACAATCCTCAACTCGAAAACACCCTAGCCGGCCGCGAACGCCTCATCGTCTATACGAAATCCGATCTTGCTACCAGCAGTACACATGCTCCCAACGCTCTCCGCAAGCTCTACGGCGATCGGCTCGTCTTCTTCGACAAAGCGAGACCCACAACGACAAAGAATCTGCTCAAAAAGATCAAAGATGTTGCGCGCGCTGTTGATTCGCTGACTGGTATGCGCGCAATGATCGTGGGAATGCCCAACGTAGGAAAGAGTACGCTACTCAATGCGCTGCGGGCCAATGGAATAACTCACAAAGCCGCCAAAGCCGCCAAGACGGGAGGTCAGCCGGGTATCACGCGCAAGATTGGCACAAATGTCCGGATTATAGAGACAGATGCAAAAGGGGGTGTTGGTGAAGGCGTCATGGTCTTGGATACCCCTGGTATATTCCAGCCCTATGTCGAAGATGGAGAGACCATGGTCAAGATCGCACTTGCTCAGGGTATAAAGCAGGGGCTAATACCAGACGAGGTTTTGGTAGATTACCTCCTCTACCGGCTCAACCTATTCGACCCGGCCATCTATGAGCGATACTGCACCCCCACCAACGAAGTAAATGATTTTCTAAAGGCCGTGGCTGTAAAAGAGGGCAGGATAAAGGCCGGCGGCGTGCCCGACCTGCGCTCAGCCGCTACCAGAGTACTTTCCCAATGGCGAAACGGGAACTTGGGCAAGTTTGTGCTCGATGATTTATCGGATAGAGCCATCGAAGACTACCAGCTTCGGTTGATCAATCCTGCTCTGAGTATGAACCAGGCAAAGAAGCAGCAGAAGCTGGCACGTGCACAAGAGAGGGCGGGTGCGTAACATAATCACGACTCGATACGATATATGTACAATAATCTTTGTAAACGAGGGCATGCTTTTCCCATGTACACTATCTACCTAAGCATATTCTGTTATTCCATGCCAAACTTGTTCAAGTCGTCCTTTGACTATAACATGTCCTCTGTTCAAACTGTACAAAGACGCCAATAACCGAATTCTCAGGGCGTACCAGGGTATATATAGAATGGTAGCCAGAACACCAGAGGTACTTATGCCTCATGGGGTGCTTCAGTCCAATGTTAACAACGATGAAGCTCGTAACAGACCGAATTGGCCTTGCCTGCCGCATCTTTGTTGGATGCTGGTGACGCCTTGAATGCACCTAACCGCAAACGCCTGAAATAACACTAGACCGCCAATCTCTTATTGACGGCGCTCGAAATACAACGACTCCATCAGGTATACTGGTTCTGCCACTTGACCATATCCCGCGTAAGAACATCCATCATCTCCATGCAGTTCAAGTCTTTGAATTCTTTACCCTCGGAAGACTCCCTTGTGCGCCCACTCTCTGAGGGCTCTGGACCCGAGATTTTCAGGGGTGGCGCTTCCCCAATATTTGCATCTCCGTTTGGCACTGGGAGGGCTTCGGCTGCAAGGTCTACTTGAGTCCTCGAAATAAAATCCAGAATGGCGCCAACACGTCGCTTCATATCCACCATGTTCAGCTTGTGATGCATGGCTGGCTTAGACTTCCCATATCGATGTTCGCTGATCGGTTTCGGGTGACTTGGGGTAGGCTCATCGCCATTCTTCTGTAGATCTCGCGACATTGATCGTGCGGGTGACTCGCCATCCGCGTCGCGATCTCTGGTGTATTGATTCCTCCCTTTACCCTTTTTCTGAATGGTTCTCCCACTACGCTTATGGGTACTTGAAATGGGTTGGTTGTTCGTGGGGGGCGTGTCCGGGACAGGTTGCACTGGCACAGGGGTTTCCATGATGACGGGTGTTTCGACGCTCTTGGCAGCTGGAGGTTTAGTGACAGCAAGAGGGGTTTCTTCTGGGGGATCTGAGTCTACTGTATTGTCAGTTCTGATGTTTTGGAGTGCAAGACTGCTGAGCTTACCATCTCCTCGTCGCCTTTCCGCGCGACCTTTGCGTTTATCTGCCGCCTCTTGCCTCTGGCGTTCTTTGTCTTCCTTCTCCGATTTGAGCCGTTGATTCTTGTTATTGCGAACTTTCTTTACTCCGTTGCGTGTGTTTATTTCGTCATCTGATTCATTGTGACTTGGTTCCTCGGTCGGTTCGGTAGGTGGCGAAGGCGACCTAGAGCTGGTCCTCTGTCGCTTAACGCTGATCGGGTTTCTGAGTGATGCCAATTTCTCGTCTCGTGGCCGAGCATTGACAGCCACTGACTCCTCGCTGTCGCTACGGCCTCGTTTGGCTCGCCGGGTCAGGATTTCTCCATCCTGAGGCACATCTTCTTTGCTTGCCTCGATAGCGCGCAATAATTGTTCATCTTCATATGCCCGGTCGCGGCTATTCATTGTAGATCGTCGTTTGGAGGTTTGCGAAGCGGAGGTAGGGCGGGAGTTCTTGCTTGTCCCCGGCTTTGGCGAACGGTTGCCTTCCTTTGCAATCGAGGTGGCTCGGGAGGTTGCGCGTGATGGGCGGTTATGAGGGACATATTTGGACCATTTTTGACTGCAGTAAAACTGTCAATACCGGCAATTGAAAGGGAGCGCAACTAAGGGAGGAAGATGATCAGGGAAACAGAGGGGTCAAGAACTGTATAGACCAGTTTTCGCGAATCCAGCTAGAAAACAACAGACGAAAGAGCAATAGAAGTTAACTTACCCATTGCTTGCAGTATAGATCTTATGAAGATCTTTCCGGCATTGCTCACAAAAATATTCATCGGGTGAGCTTTCGGCACTAAAAATGCCTACACAGGCACCATGCTGCCAGACTTTGCAAACATCGCATTGAACGAAGAAGCCGGTAACTTCTTCAGTAAATTCAATGGCATTGAAAAACTCCAGGTCTACGCCTTCTACAGGCGGGCGACCTGGGTAATCCTCAGCATTACAAATGCACCGAACTGCTTCGTCTTCTTCTTCCTGGAGGTCGTCACTTCCATTCGCCATGTCAAAGTTTTCAGGTTTGGAGGTCTTCTCGTTCTCGTCCTCGTGATTGCGCTTTCGCCTTCTACCAAGAAGAGTGTCGTCAAGGTCCTCAAACGGTTCCGAGGACAATGAGGCGCTAGGGGTAGATTTGTTGGAAGAGGGTTTGACGACCGATCTCGTGTTCCGCTCGACTCGGCCCGATGTACTTGAGGACACAGAGGACTGTTGGGATTGTGAATTTGTGGCGCGGGCCCTTGATGACCGTCGCGGCGAAGGTGGTGCCATTGAGGGAGTTGGTGAGGTGGAAGAAAACGAAGGAGGGAGTATGCGAGAGGGAGGAGGTCGGTATGAGAGTAGCGGCGCGTGTGGCACTGGAGAGTAGATGGCCTCTTTCCCCACGTTGAAGGACCAGTTGAAACAAGGCCAGGTCGTCAGAATTGAGTATGATGAGATAGTAGTAAAGGTCGCGGGAGCTGAGTAGCGACCAGCGACGACTGCGACTGCGACTGCGACTGCAACTGCGACTACTGGAACAAGATTGTCGAGTAAGGGCGATGGTATCGAAGACGGGGTTGGAAAACAAGCATATCGAGAGTGAACAGAAACGCCGTGGTAATGGTACGGAAAGATACCGTAAGAATGAGCATGTGCGAGAGAAGAGTGGGTGGAAGCTTTCTTCGGAAGACGAGGAGGAGGAGGAGCAGAAGAGGCGCGGGTAATGGAAAGTGGGCAGGAAGGTGGGCGCGGGTCTCACTTGCCTGGTTGCAGAGAATTAGAGCAAAGCCGATATGTAGAACCACTGCAGCACCACTGCAGCACCACTTGCAGGGCACTTAGCACTCAGCTGCGACTGAGTTTAGTGGCCGCTGGAGCTCTGGGAACAGGGGTCTTTTGGGGGCTCATAAGTGCTATCCGCCTACGAGACAGAAGCACCTAGGTAGGTGCACCCCCAGGCTGGAACAAGTAAATACTTGAGGTGCCTTCCTTACCTACCTAGCGGACGCACCCTGATTTTTAACAGGGCTTATACAAGGGTTTTGGCCCCTGTTATAGGTCTTTCAATTTGAACAATTAGTCACAACATCAATTATTTGAGCTGACATGCTGTCTATTATAGAGACAGGCTGTTTATCTTAAATATCCTAAGTTATTCTAACAGGTACTAAAAAACTGACATTTTTATACTAGTTATTTATTATTAACATGTCTAACAATCAGTCATAGCACTAAATCTTTCAGGACATCAATCCATAATAACAGCCTTGTATCAGTCCTGTTAAAAAGAGGGGGGGCGCCTGCTAGGTAGGTACTACCCACTGCACCAGGGCATGGATCTCCATAATTATTTTGTTATTGATTAGGCGGTTAATGACCGGCCACAAACTAGAAACGATCCATTGGTGTTGGTTTTCACAAAGCGGTTTGATTCCGCTTCATCTTGTTGCTGTTTCCATATTAAATGCCCTACCATGCCCTGCAGTTTAATGAAAGTGACATCAGGTAAATATTGCAAACAACCACGCAATAGCTGACGACACCTCCAGTGGGCAGTAAACTATCCTCACCAAGCTGTGGGATTTGTTAAAGTGATGCGGATTGGCGTGACAGACTGAAAGATTATTTAATCAATGCTGAAGCTTAAATGAACAGGCTATAAACACCAATCGTAATGATCCTGTTGTTTCTTGTGGGTGCTGCTGTCAGTCGGATGGAATTGCAAAGATGTCGCTACGTACATTTAGATTAGTAGGTACTAACCTACTACCTAGGCGCCAACCCGCTTACCTAACCGCCACCACCCTTCCAACGGCCCTGGCTGGCTGTCACAACTCCACAGATGTTGATTCAACCACACTCAGCTACAGCAACATCGTAGGCGTTATCGGACTTCGCATTGTCATTATTCTGGCTATCTACTTTCAGGATTCTTGCTGTCAGATTGCTCTTTATTTTGCGTCTCCTACGGCGCCCGCGCTTCGATTGAGGCGTCCCTCGTGCCCTCCAAGGCCCCTCCATAGGTCGCCCGCCTGTGACTGGGTAAGCGAACCCCGATCCTGAACGACCGAGAGCGAGCCCGGCGGCGACATTTCGTATACCTGCTACAAAAATCAACCTGAAGGACGAGACGAGGCCGAACTTGTGCAAGCTGGTACTCGTCCCGGTGCCGGTGCCGGGCACTCAGTCGTGATATGCCTTGTATCGACGATATGTTCTGACCCGCACACAGAACGTTTTAGAGCCCAACCGAACCAACATTACCCCTCTAAGCTCTGGAGAGCCCAAGGTGTTTGATAAATCGCGATTTTGATACCCTCTTCGAATTTTATGCTCGACAATACGTTGTCGGGTCTGTTTGTCATCAATAGATTGTACGAATCACGACCCCTCGTTTGGCTTTAGGTTGCCGTTCGACTGTTCTTCGTTTGTTGCCTGGATCAGAATCTATACAATGTTTGATGGGTACGCTTTCTGTTTGCTTTATATCTGCGCCTTCACTCGCGAGTCTTAGCTGGATATGATGTTGCAACTACTTCAACGGCCAGCGGGGCTTAACAACGGCGCGCCATAACGATTTATATCACCAATCCGCCGCCATGTTAGATTTCGCCCTGGCCGTGACAGCTTCCCTTGGTGTCCTCCTTTCGATCTACCTGCTAACGAGAAATGTTTCTTCTTCGCGCGTAGGTCATAGTCTCAACATGTCGCCAGATACCGTATCGTCGCTGTTTCCAGATCGACCGATTCGGCCGTTGCCGAAACGTCGACTTCGGGAGAAGCTTTCCCCCGACGTCGCAGATACGATAAAATATCCTCCTTCAACTCACGAAACTGCTCCCCTCTTCTATTACCCGTCTTACAGTCTCAAAGATGAGGCAAGTCCGCCGAGAGCAGGTTCTACGGGCCCAACTCTACCAAATCGAAGGACGGAGGTGGGGCGCAACTACACCCCTCGACGAACCGGCGCTGGACTGCTCGATGGCGAGGATGAAGAGGCGGTTTTGCGAAGTACTCTGGTCACTAGGTCGCCCCCAGAGATTCTAACCCGTAGCACTCAGCAGGCTTCAAAGCAAGACCAAGCTCGGCCGAATCCGCAACCGCCTCTCTCCGCGACGTCCTCCTTGGATGGCTATGATCTATTCGAGAACACAAACAACAAGAAGAAGCGCAAGATCCCCTCCGCAGGAGATGCTACGCTCAACGGCACGCATGGCCTGCACCACGAGATAGGGTCTCTTGCTATTTCTGCAGGCACAGGGCATTCTCCAACTAGTGAACTGCACAATGACAGAGCGTACTCTCACTCGGGCACATACCCAAGTGCTGGAACATTAACAACCAGTCAGGGAATCTCAGGACCCGGGCGGGGCAGGCTTGGGCGTGCAAGGAACGGCAGAAGTCCACTACGAGCGTTACCTGATGGTAACAATTCATGGGTCGGACGAGCGTCTTCACAATGGGCATCAAGTGGTAAGTTCATTACTTCGCTTTTCTTTCCATATGTTGCTTGCATTATTGCGTTGCCGTGCGGGTGCGTTACCAACGGTCCGGCATTCATATTCAACAAGTGTTCCCGTCTTGTTGTCAAATGGTCTATTGATCTGAACAATATACTCCAGTCTGATATTTTGCCTCCGCGCCAACCGTTGGTTTCGGATAGGCGTACAATGGAACGGAACCTTGCATACGATATACATGCTAATGACATTCGTTCTCACTTACTCCATTGATCTTATACACGCAGTCCACCCTTTCCCATATCTTTCTGTTCATCCACAATTCCTTGCTATTTGTCCTCGCTCTGCTTATCATTCCTTTCTTATAAGCTTCTAACATGACTCTAGAACAAGAGGGCAGCGGTATTATATCTAACGCTATTGCGAATGCCGAGAGACTACGACCTCAGGGACAAGAGAACGTGAGCTTGCTCCAGCAACACACCATCGCTACAAAGACAGCCCCAGCGTCGACTCAATTTACCTTCACCTGTGATTCTCAGGTTCCTGGTACCATTCAGTGGCCTGGTAAGTACGTATCGAATGACGCAAATGTTGGTTTGCTGACTCCCGTGTCAGGTCACACGAGTAAGCATGGCATGTCGACCTTGGGTGGCCCTGGGTCCTTGCCACCTGGCAGTGTTGCTCATCATGATGGCTCCTCCGTCGCCGCTAGTCGAGGCTCGGGAAGTTCTCGCCAAGACAGTAAGCGACGTCTGGACAGGTCGCTCGATAGGGCTGCACGGCGCCGTCGTCAACTTGCTACGGAGGCCCGACGAGCCAATCCCGAAAAGGCATACGATGGCTGGATATGCGAGTTCTGCGAGTACGAAAGTATTTTTGGGGAACCACCTCGAGCATTAATCCGAAAGTATGAAATGAAAGATCGCAAACGCCGACAGGAAGAAGCTGATCGCAAGCGACTTCTTGAAAAGGCTAAAGCCAAGAGCAGAAAGGGGAAAAAGAGTGGCAAAAGCGCGTCCAAAGACCACGGTGTTACACAGAATCCAGCTCAGGAACCAGGCGTCACATCCGACATGAACCACGACCATGTTGTCCAGTCAGAAGAAGAGGACGAAGATGAATACCCGAATTCGCCAGGAGACAGGACTGGACCAGACATACCAGTTGAAGGATCGATTTCCTAGCTTTCCAGCTGCATGATTCAGGAAACATATTGCCCCGGTAGTAGTCTTGCACTTCTTTTGGTCTCGGTGGCTTAGTCGGGTTTCGATTAATCAAGGTATGAGCAATGGATATTGCGCTTTTGAAGATCAAGAGCTCAGTGGTACCCTCATGGTCAGAAATACGACATCTCGATAACACAGAGACTGGAGCACTTGGAGTTGCTTTCTATCACCTTGGAGAAAACGGAGGCCCGACTTGTTATGAATCACTCTCCTCTTTCACTTTCTTGGAGGAACTTTATGGGTTGCTAGAAGACTGAGTCCCTCGGTGGGGAGGCGGTTCAGTTACGAGAGCAACCTTTGCTTTAGGCGCAGGAATGTGGCAGCATTTATGCCACTGTAGCATATGTATTCGAGTAGCGAAACAAATGGTCGTAACGCCTAATAGGATTGCTACCCTAGCCTTAAATATTTTCATGGCCACTCCTTGCTATCTATCCCAACACCATGTTGACGTATCTGGGGGCTTCGAAATTGCATGAAAGCTGACTGCAAGTGAAACATTCTAATGTGAGCTACATACTGACGTCAGAGAGGCCTTAGTTCAGCTGGAACTGTATGTGGGTTTGATCTAATTATGCCACAAAATGGGGTATTTGGGCAAGCGGGTGAGAGCAATAACTCCAAGGGTTGTCGGTGTGAAATAAATAGAAACATGGCCGTAACACCCACTGTCAGTCATATGGATGGACGCAGTGAATGTCTATGTGAAGTTCATCCACTTACACATAACACAACGATACCTGTATACTTACCTTGGGTGTGTATGAAAATGCGTTGGCTCCAGGTTAGGTGCAGTCCCTGGCAAAAGTTCCGATAAGCTAACTAGGAACATTAGCAATAATTACAACATTTTGAGTATAATAGTACCCTATTATATAAGAGTATATAAAAGCTGACCGTTGATGGAAATTTATATAATCTTACATAAATTTAGAAGAGAGGAAGTTGCCGGAACTTTTGCACACCCACTGTAGGTAGACAGATACCTAGGGCCTGGGTGGGCCAGCTCCTCAATGGCAATCGCAATGCCTAGAAAATCAAGAATTAGCCCCAGATTGTTTATGTTTATTTGGCCGAGAGATCCTGTAGATCTCGGCAGCTGGGAACTGGAGGCCTGCCGAAGCTGAACCTGATGTGGAACTGATCTACGATTGAATTACTGATCCATGAATCTGTGCGCTTGGTGCAGCAGACGGTTTGTTTTGGTGGAGGGGATCGAGCAATTATTAATTTTTATTTAGCAACCTACCTACCCAACCTGACTGCTTGACTCTTGTTTTGCTCTCTGTTGGACAAGTGCACAGTGATGGCCACGTGTATATGTTTATAAGGTGTATAGACGGATGTGAGTGAACGTGGACAGACGATAGCGAGTATCACCGTTACAACTCAAAGTGCTCCAGCTGTTTGGGGACAGCTGGTCCAAGGACATGGTTCACAGCTCGAAGAGAAAGATGAAGAGGAGGAAAACGAGAGGGGAACGATCTTATTGGCCCCTCTGCTTGTCTGCAATGCAATGCAATGCGGATGCGGATGCGGATGCGGATGCTATAGCAGATGCTATGTGATACCATGCCATGTCCCCTGACAACCTGGAAGCTCATCCGGAATAAAACAAGAGTGGAGTCACCAACTGGAGCTAGCGCTACTGGCGTCTAGTGGCTTGATACTTGTCGTCATCAGCCCAGGTCTGTTTCTGAACTAACTTAGCATGGAACCTCCCTCTTCCTCTTCCTTCAACTACTTTTGCGCTTTTGCTGCCCTAATTTCCGTCTCGTCCATCCAATCCTGACGTATACAATAACATTATTTAACTGCCAACACTGTATCTGTACCTTGACTCACATCTTCGCGTCATATCTACCCTTGCCCTACTTACTTCCGAAATTCAGCGGCCTTGATGCAAGCCGCCTGTTGAGCTTTGCTGGCCCTGAGCCGCTTTCGATCTAGTCAAGCAGAATCCAGCCCATCCTCATCATGTTTGGAGGCTCAAGGAGGCACCGTCCTCCCACTCAGGTGAGTCGCTTTGACACCGATCCTATTTCACTCTTGCAGCATCTGTAAAACAGGTTTTGGCTTTTAACTTTCCGTTCCCACGGAACCCGCCCTGACCGGCGAAGCCATTGACTTAAACCGTCGAGACTTGCCGCATTTAGTCTCCCGCTATTGTCTTCGACATCCATCCCTTCTTGCGACTCTTTTCCTCTTTCTTTTTTCTTTCTTCAATTTCACTTCTCAAGTCTCTCCGCAGCCGCTAAAACACTCTTCACATTGCTAACATGGCCGTGTCGTCTCAGCCGTTAACACGGGAGACTGCCAATCCCAATGCCGCGACTGCCGCCGCATCTGCCTTTTTGCGACGGGAAACAACACCTTCTCTATCATCAGCTGCTGCTGCTGCGGCTCTTAAAGCTCGACCTGCAACACCCACCAATGTGTCCCAAGTTCAATCAAAACGAGTTTCGCGCAGGAGCGCATCCGTGTCATCCACGGGAAGTAGGGACAGGAGGAGTCGGGATCTTCATCGATCGCCGAGCGCGAGCTCCATGACAGAGCGAACCTTTCGATCTCCGTCGCCTTCGCCAGCCAGGAGGCCCGCTCCGCAAACCCAAGATGTTCCTCCGGTTCCAAAGATACCCCACCATGAGCATACGAAAGCCGACGCAAAGATCCCGGCTCACAAGCGAGCGACAAGCCTGCAAACCCAAAACTTTCAAACAGCAAGTCAGAAGCTGAAGAATGGCCAAGGATCATGGTTCGGTGCCGCTACGGCTGGCGACTTGTCTAATATCCGTCGAGCCGCTGTAGCTGATAAACGGGCCTCCGCAGACATACGGCCCAGCAGCCCTAACTCGATCAACTTCTCGTATCCTCGCTCCCTGACAGATTCACCAGATCCTTCAAATTCCACCATGGTGTACGATCCAAACTCTAGGCGAATGATACCTCAGGTACAGCTTCTGATGGTCGATCAAAATGTCCGGGACGCATCGGAGAAACCCGTCCGGAAGCCAAAGCATGAAGGATCAAGGAGCGGCACACATCTTGCCAAGGGAACGGTAGGACGACTAAAAGGCACGGCGGTTGAAACGACCTCTCCGCCAGCTAAGGCAGTCCAAACTACACAAAGTTCGACAGGTACTTATATGGCAGTCACGCAGCAATCTGAGGACGCCAAGCAGACCAGCCAAGCAGAGGCTGATCCGGAATCGGATGATGAGATTGAGCCAGAGGCTAGACAGGGTCGCACGCCCGACTCATCAAGGGAGCAGACACTGGCTGAACAAGAGCCAGAACTAGATGCTGAGAAACTCACACAACCAAATCGTGCCATTGAAAGCCAAGCCAGAGTGACCAAACCCGATGGTTCAGTCAGGAAGCGGCCTTCTGTGGTACATGAAGCCTCCGAATTGGAGGAGGACCAACATGAAGATATCGTGACAACGATGTCTGTGGAACGTCCAATGGATAAGGTTGATGCGATACCCGTCAAATCAACTTCGCCACCTCAGCAGGCACAGGAAACAATACATACTCCAGCGCTGGTGGATCAATCTAGAGAAACTGTGCGCCGAAATCGCGTACATTCCGAAAGCCCTGCTAGAAGCCCTGGTCGCACAACACATTTTGCGTCCAAGACCGATCAGCTTCTCGTTAGGCACGAGCCGCCTCCCCGATCTTTATCACCTCGCAAATCTGCACTCAAGTATTCCAGCCCCCGCGATGCCTCCCCTTCAGAGGACGGTTCCGACGCTTCCGCCGCTTGGTCCGGTATGGCTTCCCGTGAAGACTCGGAGCTTTCCAGAAAAAAGAGTGTGAGAATGAGCTTCGACGAAGGCAACACAGCGGTCATAGGGGAATCTGTCCCCACATCAGATACCGATTCGCCGCAAGTTGCAAGTCCACAGTCAAAGAAGCCATGGCACAGTATCATGGGGCGAAACAAGAGGGATTCGATAACCTTGGATGAGGAAGAGACAATGACACCTCGTCCTGCCCTCCCCTCCTTTGGGAGTATCCGCGAGAAGAAGGTCAAAGAACCTGAGGAGCGGCCTCTCGTCCGTCCCATGGAACGATCCACTTCACCTCTAGCATCAAACAGCCAATCCTCGGCTCATGATGTGGCACATTCAAGCGACCAAGTTGCTGGGTCAGTCCTGGCTCAAGACCAGGCCTCTCGCAATGAAGCTAATACTTCCAGATATAGGGAGCCCCTACCTCCTGTTGTCACTTCTGTCGATGGTCAAGATTATATCAGCAATAGTGATCTGAGTTCAGACGAAGAATCTGAAACGGATACACCATTAAGAACACAAGTTTCCACCCAATCTACGTACGAAACGCAATCAACTGCCAACTGCTCATCAAGTCCCCACGAGAATGATTCTGCGAAATCTAGTCCTAGCGAAACCATACCAACTATCTCGATCATTCAACCTAGTCCTCGAATTCCCGACGAAGACCAACCTGAGTCGCCACAGGACTTCTTTGATGTTCCAGGAGAGTTTACTGCAGATACGACTAGAACTTCCTCTAATGAGGCAGGGATGTCAGACAGCAGCAAGGCCGCTCCCCTTGAATCCAATGTGAAGCAGTCTGCTGCAGGTGCTGAAACGTCAGCACCGATTGCGACTCGGCGATCCTTTGATTCGACCAGCGCAGTATCTTCTAGCTCACAGATGCACGATATACAAGAAGAGCCTGAAGAGTCTGATGGCAGCAGCATCTACAGTGATGCTTATGAGGATCTTTCCGACATGGAGGGAGATGGTTTCTTGTCCTTGGATGCTGTCGTCGACAGCCCTGTCGAATCGACGTTCTCTCAAAAGGTGTTTGAAAAGGCTATCGTCAGATCTAAGGAAGCTGCCATTTCTCAGCAGAAATCGCCCACAGAGGGTGCACCTGGGAAGCCATCGCATCCGTCTAGCGACTGGGAGACTGCAAAGGCATACTGGAGGAGCTTGAGTCCAAAGGACAGACGTCAGCTGGAGAGGGAGGCTATGGAGGACTCTGACGAGGAACCCGCTCCACAAGAAACAGTTCAACGATCAAAGCCGAAGTCAAAGTCCAAGCCCAAACAAAAGCTCGTTGAAGATCCAACGCAAGAATCCTTGAAAGAACCACAAGAATCGCCAATATCGGACATGCTTCGCGACCCAACCCGCGTGTATCAAATTCAGCCAGGCACAACCTGGCCACGGGATGGGGTTCAAAAGCCTCGCGTGAAGGCTTCTACACAAGACAAGCCAAAATCAACTGGTGGTGCAAAACTCCGAAAGTCTATGCGGGGTTCTGCAGTCGCAACACCTGAGCAGTCTGAACCTGTTCAGACCGGCAGCATGCGCAAATCTATGAGATCTGGTGCTGCCCCCTCGAGCCCACAAAACTCACACAGTGGAACATTACGCAAGTCTCTTCGTCCAGAGCCTGAGGCTGCCACTGCCGTTCTTGCTGATGTTGTTGATGGTACAGGCATGCGTAAGTCGCTCAGAGGTAATGGTTCAGCTGCCAATGGACAGAAAATGGCGTCGACGTTGAGGAATGGTGCTCGACCTACTTCCTATCAACCAGCAGCCACATCAGAAACGGTTCAAACTCAACGACGTACACATTCAGAGGATAGAGGACATACTATGCGAAACGCTCCGAAGCCAGCTCTCTCACGCAGAGGTTCTGACTCAAGTGAAAGCAGCTTCCGACGTGCAAAGACTGGAGGAGAAGGCACAGGCTTTCGTAGAACTATGCGAGGAACAACACGGGAACCAGCAGCAACACCACATCCGCCAGAAAGTGCAAGGGCAAGCAGTCGATTCAGTCTGCGATCTCTGTCACCTACCGGATCAGCTTTTCGCCGTAATTCTAATACGAGCTCGCCTCCTCCAGTTGCAATGAGCGGTCGAATGCGATCGTCACTGCGTGCCGAGCCCAGTGATGCTGGGTCCTCTCGCATGCTCTCTGGATTTGGTCGCTCCGCGAAGGGCAAGAAGTCAAAGGGTGGTAGCCGTTTTGATGACTCGAGCGATGAGGACGACAGTCGCCCAGCGTTCCGAAGTCGCTTCGTGGACTCAAGTGACGAGGATACTCCTTCGCCCCGACCCAAACAGAAACGTGTACCCAAAACAATGCGGAGCACCGCTTCAAACAATGCTGCCGCTGCCACCACGAGTGTCCCTGCTCCTCGGGCTGCTGTCCAGGACTCCCCTGACCTCCCGGACAGTGATGACGAGGAAGAGCAACCGCAACAGAACATCACTTCTAACGGAACAACTAACGCAGCTCCTCGACCTACCACAGCTATGATGCGAAATGGCTCTGGTCGGGATAGTATAGGGGTGCTGACTGGAAGCGCTGAGCCTGCAGGTGCACGACCAGGCCACAAGCGTCGAGGCAGCTTCATGTCAGCAATCCTGCGCCGCAAGAAGGATCCTGCTGGCAAGATCTCCCGCGCTACAAGCGAAAGTGCGTCACGTCGAGATACTCACCTAGAGCGAGGACCAGAGCGTCTTGCATTCATCAGAAGCAACAGTGAGAGCCAGGCGCACAGCTCACGTCTTCATAAACGCGGGTCAAACTGGCCTCTACAAGACCATGAACATGCCCATGAAGATGAGGAGCAGTTTGACGACGGCTCCCAGAACACATACGTCGTCGACGAAGAAAAGCGGCCGTCTACCGCTGGCGGTCTCGGCTTAACTCCATCCTCTCCGACAACTAAGGCAGGCTTCCTCAAACGTCGCAGTACTTCTCATAGCCAAATCGGCTCCTCCAATGCCATAGCGGCCTCGGTCGATGGTTCCGAGGTTGGCACACCCAAAAAGAAGAAGTTTGGGGTACTACGCAGGATGCTCAAGCTTGACGAATAAGCCCAGTCCCTCTTTGAATACCTCCCCAACACTCTTTTCGTCATGCCTTTCGTCATGGCACTGTATTGCTACCTGGCTATCAACAGGGTTAATTATACCATCATGTAAGACTCGCAAACACTCGTTCGGGGATCGTTTCCCACCAATACCCATGCCGATTCCATTGCCCTTTTTTCTTTTTACAGTACGACATTGAAGCTTTTTTGGATTGATTCACGGATGGAATGGGTTACATTGGATGATTAGTTAAGATGGTAGGAAAAAACAACGAATGGTACAAACCCAAGACTACACTAGGGTTAAGAGTAATAACTAGTAGCTATTTTTTATTTTATCCCTAAATCGATGATTATAGGATTACACGCCGTTTGAGTAGTATCTTCAGAAGGAACTGTTTCTTATGATATTTGGTCCACCAAAATAAAATCTACATGCATAATTTGGAATTAAGGTAGAAAAGAAATGGAGAGGGGGTTTGTGTTATTTTAGTGGCATTAACTATGTGAAGTTCACTTGATACATGTTACTCTTGCCAGGATAACGAGTTGAATGATATCTTCAATGATTTACTTTTATTTCTTTATGTGGTATATGATACCCGCCTGTGTTCTTCCATACCTGTATCTGTAAGCTCAGACGTTGCAGCAGATCAGGACTCGGGTTCGCCATCAACGCCTCGCCTCCAGAAATTCCATCACATGTCTAGAAAGAACCGTTTGCAGTAAAGCTCCTCAGCCAGCCTTCAAGCTTTTCATTCCTGGGCCGGCAGGCCTTGCTTGACTGGATACCAAGAGAATGCGGAAGATGTCAAATGAGAACGCAGATCATGAATATTTTGATGCACCCACCCACAACTCCGAATATGCACCTGATACCATCCTAAGAAAATGAAGCGTTATGCTTCATAGGAAAGCTGAGGCTTCACTGAGAATGGTGTACACAGCTCTGGCAAGGCCTTGCTATGAGACGGGGGTATATGAAGCGACAACGAATCGCGTTTTATGGGTTATGAAGAAAGGTTGATTTAGTTCTTAGATCGTGATCGATCACCACCACGTCCCTTTTCGCGTTCGAGCAGGAGTGTTAGTTGGCTTTTTGTGCGTCCTAGAGGCACACTAGCTGATGTTGTAGGGGGGGTTGGAGTGAAGCGAGCATCAAGTATGGAGCGTTGAGGTGGTACAATGGGAATGGTATGGTGTTCAGGTCGTGTATGATCTATACCACCAGGCTCCGATGCGGTTCCAAATCCGGACTGATCAAGGATGGTGCCAGCAACGGCAACGTTTGATGTCGATGAAGTAGCCTCTGTGAATAGACCTGGCGCTCGAATGTTACTCTGCAACTTTGGTTGATCGTACCCCCCGTGGGAGTGAGATCGTGATATAGGGGGAGTTTCATGACTCTGGCCACTTTCTAAAGATCCCACCCCAACTGTCGATCTCGAGGAAGCTGCAGAGCCCCTCCGCGACCCATGGCTCGAAAGATTGATGAGCGAACGAGCTTGGGGGAGCACACCTTTCTCGCGATGAATACTACGGGGTCGATCTTTTGGTGGTGACGAGCGAGTCTCTTCTTCGATCACGTCCTTTGCTACTTCTTTCCTAGAAGCTGGTCGAGCGATTGCAGCTGGTTGTTTCCCACGTGCCTTTTCGCTCATTCCAGGACGTTCGTTGACCGTGCCATTGTTATTCTCGAACGTTGGTTGGTCATGTCCTACGCTGTCATGGACACTGAAAGGCACGGGCCGCTGCAGAGCGGCATTCCGCGACCCACCCGATGTTCCAAACCCGGCTTCTCGAATGATAGGTTCTGCAACAGACGTTGATTTCTTTGATGGTATCGCCTTTTTATTCGCGATAGGAGACAAGGATGTCAGTTTTTGAGGGGGTACAATGGTCATCTTCTTCGGAGATACCGCCACAAACACGGGTGCTTCAGATGCCGTCGCGGCTGTGCTTCCTGAGGAGGGAATCTCATCTTCATCAGCAGATTCATGGGGCGACACAAAGCGAGCCGTTGGCCGGGGACCTGATGATGATGGACCTCGGGCTTTTTTCAAAATTGGGTGGGTTGGTGGCGGTTTTGAGGCACTCGAAGATAGTGTTCTTAATGCCGAGTCGGTGGGTTTTGAAGGGCGGGACCCTTGAGGCTGTGGTATTGGTGGGCTTACCTGACCTTCGGCAGCTTCGAGTATTTGTTTAATTAGGGGGTGTATCTGGACCGGGTCAGTCGGCGGCTTTGATAATTTGGGGGAATTAGGCCTGGATAGCACGTACGTCAGGTGCTTCCCATCGGTTCGGTGGTCCCTTGAGAGGCACACAGGTCGGTCCAACCGAGATCTCTTCGTAAAGTTTGGCCAAGGCACTGCCCTTGAGGAACCTGCGATCACTTCCCCAGACGTGCCACCAAAAGTTCTCGAGACGACATGCCGTGGGGTCTTTAAGCTTCTTATATGTTGTAGTGTACACTAGGCACGTATGAGCGGTTTTCAAAGTATGTGGGGATTGTGACAAGTTTACCATGCCAATACTCCCAAACCTTATCAGGAGGAACAAGAGGAAAGTCGGCAACCTCTTTGTAAATGTTTGACGAGTTAACAACAATGCCCTTCGGCAAAATCATAGGCATACTTTGGTCCATGTCTTGAAATCGTGAGACCACTAGGTCCAAGAATTGGCGAACAGTTTCTGCAGCGCCAGGAAATGTGCCAAGAGCAGGTAATCTGATTCGCGAGGCACCCCAGCGATTCTTCGGCGCAGAGGTGTTTATCAGCGGCTACAAAGGTGAAGCATGGTCGCTAGAACAAAGGGAACAAGTGAAATATCCGCGCCTGGGTACGGTTTAACAACGTTGAGAAGTTGTGGGTGCACAGCGTCGCTCAATAGCAATTCAAGGTCGCTTCTCTTGCTTTTTTGTCACTCGTAAACAACGATAAACTGCGACTGAGTTCCTCGAAAATTCGCGAGCAAGGAGAATATGCAATGACGGATGACTTTGTGTCGTCGAGGTCGTTGTTGGGAAGGTCCTTTATTCGAGCGACACCAAAGCTATGCTGAAGATGTAGCAGCTTTTTGAGGGGCAAGCAGAAGCTCCAGTTTATACAGAGCTTTTTTCTTTGTTCTTATTTCTTTCTCTCGCGTGGGTCAGTAGCTGTTCATACTTTCCGAGAGACACCGTTGCAGAGATAACTTCAAGATGGCTCGTGACTCGTAAGCTCGTGACGCAAAAACTGGCTTCTCGTGTGCGAAAAAGCGGCGAATATCATAAACAGTGGACCTGGTACTGGTGAAGCGAGACAACTTTGGTGAGTGAAACTCAAGTGGTGTTGCAGTAAAAAGCTTAGCTCAGCGGGATCTTTAATGAGTTAGTTGCAGCTGTGGGCTAAATCGAGCACGCCGTTCAGGTGTTGTGTAAGTGTAACAGTGTGTTCAGAGCTCTTTTGTCGCATCTGTAGATCAAAGCCACTTTTAAGAATGAAGAAAGTCTGCGCGTCAGGCAAGTTAGGAGCCTGAAATAAAGAAGGGACGGGTGTAGATATGAGAAAATTAAGGGTCTGGAGGTGAAAAAGTCTGTACCTGCTAGTGAGTCGGAGAAAAAGACGGTGGAGCGGTGGAGGGACTGGTGATAATGGCTGAAGATATCAAGTATTTTGAGCTGGAGTTCATGGGTACGTTTCGGAACTACTGAAATCGTTGGGTCAGGGTACATGAAAACTTCAATAGCGGCGGCGGCGTCGGAGGTGGCATGTAATGGTGATTCGGAGTAAAAGAGTACTTTGTACAAGTAAGTCGCCGGGTACTCCAAATGCCTTTACACTTGATGCCGATAAGCTTCGGAGTCGATGGCGACGCCGACGAAGCAAGTCTTGAGAAAAAGAAACGCCCAAAGGAAGAAGAGTAGATAACAAGTTAGGGGTGCCGTATCAAGCCTGTGAAAGACGGGTTCATGTTATAGCTCGTGACGAGGGAGCGACTGAAAAGGAGTCCCGTCCGCTTGGCCGGCCAAGATGGCGGCGAAAGACGGTGGAGAGAGATGAACCAAGTCAGGTACCTTGCGGAGAGGCCGCTGCCTCGCTACCTCACTGACCGGTCCAGGCCAAAAATGATCCAATTTTGATGAGAGAGTGCCCTGTCAACGGAATGAATGAGATCCTCTGCGTCGACAGGAGAGCCGAAGGTGCCAGGGGTCCGGGTTCTAGCGACTTATCGCCCAGCGCGTTTATCTCTTGGGTGGAGGTGAGGGATAGGGATGCTTGCCCGTCACCTCATGGACTTGCTGTAAAGCCGGTACGTATTGTTCTGTTGTAGGTTAGGTAGAGGCAGGCGCGGATAGATGAGGTTCCTCCGCAGACAATAGTGGACTTGAGGTGCTATCAGGTGCTGTTATGCAAGAACCAAAGGCACGCAAAAGCCACGACTGTGAGGGAGGAAAGTAAAGTTGTTGATGAGGCGAGGAGATGCAGAGTGTGAAGTTAAAGTAAGTATAATTGAGAGGTTGGAGAATAGGTAATAAACGAAACAAGATGGGGAAATGGGGAATCTTGATCATGGGGTTTATTAAAGATGGGAAGGACTGGAACTTTGATCTCTCCTTCCATTCTCTTTTGCTCAGTGGTGTTGGATCGATGGCCGAGGTAGGCTGTTCCTTCCGTAGACTAGCTCAAGAACTTTGGAAGGCACTCAGGGAGCAGAGCTTAGCAGGGGCTCTTAGAGCGTCTGGAGGCCAGGTCGAAAGGATGGAAGGTAGTGAGCATGTCAGGGGGTAGGTACCTCCGATACCTACCTAAGAAACGATAATTATACCTAGGTACTAAAGGTTACCTAGTACCTAGGTTAGTAGGCAGGCCCATCATAGTTTCATACTGCAAGGTTGGGAATTCATCTATTAGTTAACATGATATCATACAAGCTGTTTGCAGCAACCAATTTGTGAGCCTAAATATCCAATGTCAATCATCGAACCTCAAAAGTAAAGCAGCCAGTATCCGTACTCCGTACCTAAGTATCTAAACATTAAATAAAGCGCAGGGGCAAGTCTGGACGGAGGATACGCGCTAGCAGGGTAGGTCACACTGGAACCTGAACTACCGGACACGCGGGCACCCTTGTGACGTGTGGGCAGCTGAACCTTACAGGACGGTTGAGGTTTCTAGGTATTCTCACATGGGCACGGCTGACCTCCACCAAGCCGATGGAAACTTCGTGAGATTGAGGCATATAGAGCTGCTTTACCTATGGCCTTTGATTTTCCTGTTCATACCGATTAATTATAGATAGTATGTTTTCCTATCTTCAAGTAGAAGCGATATTCAATCAGATCATCACATCTGCGGGCTTACGTCTCATGAGATGGGTGAATCAGAGTAGGGCTGATAGATAGTTCCGCATACACCGTACCACATACTTCCGCTCGTCTCGTGTCGACAATCCCAGATCGCTGTGGCTAGGTATGGTACCTAGGTCGACAGGGGCTGGGATCAACAAGGATTGGTACCTCAGCATCAGGGTCACGGGGCCATCGTTGACATGAATTATCACCAATCACCAACTACCAAGTCAACGATTATACGGAGTACTGGCCGGCTATATGCAGGGCGAGCTGTTCTTTTGAATCAGGGCCCAAGTGTTTCGTCTTGGCCGAGTGATATATGACCATGGAACAGATTCACCGCCCTGAATTCGAGAGGTATTCAAATTGCAGCCCAAGGACCAAAAAGTGGTTACGACAGATCTATCTTGAATTATCACATCTTTCGATTGATGAAGCCAATTGAAGCTAAGTATGGCCCGTTAATCCAAAACTAGACCGCTCACTAGGTGTCAAATAATGGCATCATCGCTCTATAATAACTCACTATAGGTTGGCAATACCGCAGCACGAATCAAGTTCGAAGCAGCCATTGCTGAAGCCCAATACGCAAACTCATACTCATACTCGTACGCAATTTGCGGCTCTGCACACTGTCTCTCGCACCCCTCGACTATTGCAGTTCCTGACTCGAGGCCACCCAAAAGCGGCACGATCTTCAACCCAACCGAAACATGACTTTCACACAGAGTTCTAGAACGGTTCAAATTGCCTGACAGACTCATTCAGTGTCTCTCCGCGGGACTCATCTCCTGACCTCTCAGAAGCTGAAACCCTCACATTTGTCTGACACAGATTGTCTCTGTTTGTACGACATGATCAGCCCAGTCGACTGACGGGATTGGCTACACGAGGTTTCTACCAGATCCCCCCCTCCACTAGTACATTGGGATTAATCCTTCCATTATTCTTTTCCTTTCCTTTCTTTTTGGCTATCTCTCGTCTCCTTTCCCCTTACAGAAGGTTAGTTTTTCTTCGCGTCTTCTGATCTATTTCTTGGCGGGGTTGTTACCCATCAATTGGATGTCATGGTCGTGTGACTGACCACATTCAGCCACAGGGAGGAGCACAGACTGACTGTCAGGCTATTCTAGCTTTTCTCAGTATTTTCCTGAGGCTCTTCCCCACTTCCCAAGTTGTGCTTTGAGAAACTCACACGAGACCCAATTCAAGGCCTACTTTGGATGGAGGTCGGCTTGTTCCTGGAGGCACCTGACACTGAGATGATGAAATGAGGGGCTCACAGTCAGCCACCCCGTCTTTGGGGCTAAGCTAGGCTACTGTAAGGTAAAGTTTCATCAAGGTGTCTGTTACCTGTCGGCCGAGAGGAGAGGAGAAGAGTTGCGTTATGTTGTGGGATGCGTCATGTAGCTGTGGTTGGGAAAGTTGAAACCCAGCAATGCTCAACGTCGGCTTTAGACAACCCGAAACTCGGTTAATTGTGGAGAGCTCAAGTTTGAAGCTCCAGCGTCTAATTAAGCCTGGAGTTGGAGTCGGGGTTGGGGTTGAGTCTGGACTTGAACATCCTTGATCACTCCTCGTCGAGTTCGCTCGAGGAGAGAGAGGGAGGGATCTTCTATCGATTGGCCATGTACGTACCTACAACATATCCCAAAATCACCCCAAAGTCACTCACCCACGTGGTCAAGAGTCCAGGGCAAGGTATGAGTGTACCAAGTTGAGAAGCTCGACAGGCCTCCCCACGCTTCGAGCCACACCAAAAGCTTTGTGGTTGCGGGGATCCTTGTCACAGATCCTGGGCTTGGGGCTTCAATAGGTGATGGAGGGGTAACGGATGATCAAGAAGGATTTTTGAAGCTTCCTCTTTGGTCACCGCGGGCCGACACTGATTTCTTATGGTACCTACAGTTCCTCCGCGATCCGTATCGTTCATTGAAGTGGGTTGCTAGGTTAGAATTGGGTGTTGGCAAGTTATGAGTTTGGTAATGCAGTTGACATATGGTTGGGGCCGTTTCAGATCTCGAAAGCGGTGGCTAGAGTTTATTCATACTTATTTTACTTGGTATCACACCATCTATCACACCATTTGCCCTTAGCACATCAGATCTTCAAAGAAAAGGTCAACTCCCCTCCTTCGAAGGCAACTTACAGCCGCCACCTTGATATTGCAGACTTACACCAGATTTTGGGTCACGTCCGTCCACGCACAAGCACCCCCCTCGCATAATCGACAAATTAGTACTGTATTTATGTCCATGCCAGATCAACACCATTACACATCCGTCACTCGTTGTGGCTGCATCTTGGGCGTACGGGAAGTCATTACTAATGTAGACTCGCATGTATGTACTGTAACTGAACCTGTAGCTAAGTAGGTACCTATCTAACCCACAACGGCAGCTGTATGGGCTGTACCATAGCCTCGGAGTCGACGAACATGTTGGGGGTTTTTCCTGCAGCCTGGTCTTGTTTCGGCAGTACCATCTTGCCTCTAGTGAGCGTGCAGGTTACACTCGGGAATGGCGTGGGGTTTAGAGTGCAGCTATCCAATCTCGGGGCCTGTCACATATCAGCGATACTGCATTATGCCTCGCCCAAACGTCTACAACACTGGGAAAGGCTGTAAGTTGATGACTTTGCCAGTCAACAATACGGTGGAAGTATAACCGGGCCATCTAGTGACGATGTTTTAGTATCCAAGACGAGGTTTAGGACTACAAAATTGCTCACAATTATATCTGCCACGATTGGTTTTCAAATGAAACCAAGGAAGCACGCCCATAACGGCATTTATACCAAATATCTGCCTATATTGCCCAGGATCTGCCAAGCAACTCTGTAGCTAGCCGGCTACTTTTATAACGTCAGTTTGGTTTCAGAGGCTGGCAATTCCAGTTGCTTACTCAAGACAAGCGTTAGATACTCAAATGTTGCAAATAAATTTTGACTTTCGGATTAGAAAGTCAACTGGCTCACGGAGGTATTGCAAGTGCAATCCGATGATGGAAAGTGTACATGGTCTTGAGTCGAGTTCATTAATGTAAGGCCATCTCTCTGTGATCCATATTACATGCATTGATTAAATCCCAAATTCACTTTTGCCAAGGCATACCGGCCTGCTTAAATATACAAAACTCGATTACTGCACAATTTTAACCAAACTCCATATTCGCCCTTCATGATGGCCGCTTAAGTAACGGTGTAACCACCGTCGACTCTGAGATCAGCGCCGGTGACATACGAGGAAGCCTGTGAGGAATGGGTGGTCAGATCAGCACAATAGCACTTTCTGGAATTAGTACTTACATCTGATAGCAAGAAGGTCACAGGACCCATGAGATCCTGGGGTTGTCCCATTTTGCCCTGGGGAATGAGTGAAGTCCACTTTGCCTTGAGAGCCGGGTTATCGTCAAGGATCTTCTGGGTCCTATCGCAACGAGTTTAGTTATAGCTCTAGGGGGAATAGGATAGAGGGCGGCTTACAATGCAGTCAACATGTACCCAGGCGAGATGCAGTTAACTCTGATGTTGGCTTGCGCCCACTCAACGGCAAGAGAAGCTGCGAGATGGCGCACGGCAGCCTTGGCCGCATTGTAAGGTGCCTGAGGCTGAGGAACATTGACAATGGAACCTGACATGCTACCAATGAAAACCATACTACCCGGGGCCTTTCTCTGCATCAAGTGTCTGGCGACTGAGGTAGCAAAGAGGTAGGTGCCGTCGAAATTTACGCCCCAAAGCTTGCGAAGACGGTCGATGGGGTAGTTAATGGCTTCGAAGTTCTCTGTGAAGCCAGCCGAAGTGACGAGGTTGTCGACTTTGCCGTGTTCCTTGACGACCTCGGCGACACAGGCATCTACCGACACGGGGTCAGAAACATCGGCGTAGTGAGCAGTAACCTTGGGAGTTCTGTGGTAGTACTATGTTAGTATTTCATACGTCCAAGCTTTGGAATCGGCAAGCCTACCGTCGAGCTCGAGGGTTCTCCTTCTTGAAAGCTTCAATGAGAAGACTTGTCTGCTTCTCTGCTTCCTCCTCTGCATGTTTGTTAGTATTGTAGTATATCTGCTAAGATATTCGCTTACTGTTCATGTCAACAAGGGCAAGATTAGAGCCAGAGAAGACCATTCCTTGACCCATGACAAGCCCCAAACCACGTGCACCACCAGTGACGATACCAACATGGCCATCAAGCGAGAAGGTCGGAAGCGTGGGCCTCACATACTGACCACCAGTACCAGCGACAGGCTCACTGCTAGGGAGTTCGTGATCTTCTGGGTACTCGACCTCGATCTGAGGATCGGTCTGGGCATAGTTTCCAGGCTTATCCTGGCGAGCAGGGAAATTGTGAATCCTTCGCGCAGCAGGAAAAGCGAAAGGGGGGCGAAGTACAGCTGGAGCGGCGATACGGCTCGCATAGAGGCGTAAAGTTGGTGCGAAGGACATGTTGAAAGATGGAAGCAAATATGACGATGTGACGATGAGGAGATGAAGCCTGAGGAGAAACTCGAGTGACTGTTAAGATGATAACGTTCTTATGAAAAGCGAATAATAACAGCTCGATGGGATGAGCTGAGGTGGCAAGGATGGCTGGAGCTCCCAAAGCTTGACGTCGATGGTACAGGGGGGATGAACAGTGAATGATCGGTTAGCGCCGAGGAATAAAAACGGGAGAAGACACCCGCACGCCAATGATGGCACGAAATCAACGGTAACGCTCGAACGAAACGAGCTGAAATGGAAGGGGAAATAGAGGTGATGAATTGGATTCAATTTTGGATGTGGGAGTGCCATTGATATTTATCATTATTATTTGTTCTATGTAATACTCCGTAGGTACCTCCAACACCTCAGAGTCTCAGACCTCCAGCTCTAGGTAGTCCATAAAAAGATCCAATACTGCAGTCTGTGTATCGATCCCCTGGCACCCGCCCCCTGGGGTCCCGAACGACGGGAGAGCTCCCCCACCAAATCCCCGCTAACTAAACTTTTCTCACCTCCATGAGTCCATAGGTAGGTACCTAGCCCTGTCGTTCCCCCACTCCTAGTCCAGCTGGCTTTCATCTCATCCCTTCAAAACCAAAGAGGCAGAGCCATAATACTACCAAGAGGGACGGGATAAATATATGTGATATAGAGAAGATCGAGGTACTGCTGATGAAGTACTCTATAAATTAATATATATATCCATGCAATAGACTCTGCTGAAGGCTTAGACACACATAACTTCCATACAGGCTATCTGCCTCTTCGGTTCCTAAGGGGACCTCAACAGCTGTATCAATGATGCATTCTGGGGGATCATGTGCGAGGACCCCTTCCATGTATTCCTATTCGGTATACTCACATTACAACTCATGGTCTAGAGTACCCTCCCTTCCTCCCATCCATCTCTTTCACAGTCTATTCATACCCAAGACATTATATGCCAGCCACGATAGTAAGTTAGATGGAGGGATGATGTTACCCCACCCCCAGGCATCAACTTAACAGTAACTACCTATCTAAGAGCCTTACCTGAATTTTCTTCTACTAGCCATTGAGACCATACTGGAAACATTTTGGAACTACTCGACACTATAAGCGAAATGTGAGCTAATCAAGAGAGTGATAGGCAGCAGTTATTGAACATTAAGAGACCCAGAATTATAACAAGCCCGATCGCAGTAGCTCATAACCCCTGACACCTTTTTACCTTTTTTTACTTTTAGCTCACGATCCCGGATTTCCGTTTTTGGAAACCTGGAGTGGAGGTCAGTTATTTCTCCACAAAGCCACAGCTAAACAGGCCGCCCGACCAAGGAGCTTCCCAGGAGGACCCATGAATATCGATATCTATGGAAGCATCGGATATCCCCATGCCAATATCTTTGTTTCTCTCTCTCTCTCCAATTATCTCTGTACTCCTTGCCGGGTAGCAGTCTACTCCGCTCAACGGCATCAAAACGACCTTCCAAACGTTCTAGACAAGCATCGCTCGTGTCCGGCCGAGTGTTTCAGAGCCTCAACCTTTAACGGCCAGTGATAGCCAATGTTAGAAATAAGCAAAAAATGAAAATAGACACGCGGCAGGAAAGCCAAGAACAGCCATCATATCATAATATCACATCGGTGGCGAGTCTATCAAACTCGGTGTGCAGGTGTGTTGGGCTGCGGGCACCGTCTCACACCGTTAAGGGACGACCAAGCATAATGCGCAGTAGTCATATGTATCGATCGATCGAAAAGATATGGGGTGAAAGAGGGAAGAGAAAACTTGGGAGACGAATGTCATAAAAATTTACACGTCGTTGAAGCAGGATCGTCGGGTCATGAGACCAGACTAATATGACCAGCCCAGGTTGTCAAAAGCAAATGCAGCCAGGGGTTATTGTTCTAGAGGCAGATAGAACCTGCTTGAAACTCAGCTACTGCTTGCGTTGCTGAGTACTAACTAGGGACTTACTATTTTTGCAGGGTATAACGAGAACATGGCAATGGAACTCGGTGTGGGCCTGACATCAGCAACACCAACAGAAATATCACGATATTCTTGTCTGTGTGTCAGATACATAGCTTTCTGATCATACTCATTAGGTCGACAAATACTGTCTGTAATGATTAAGTTACTCAATGGCAAGTTTTGACGGAAGCTCAACGCTTGTATCCAGCCATGTGATTTTCAAGTCGTATGCTTTTTTTTTCTTCTTCTTTTTCGTTTTCTTGTTCATTTATCTATTATTTATTCTATCAGGAATGCTATCCTTGACCAGAGGTTCAATCCTTGCATCGTAGCACGCTTAAGATTCTTGACTTGCTCTCATGTTAAAGTATATATCCACCTTATGCTTGGGCATACTCCTTGTTGAAAGCTCTTCCAATAACCATTCGTCGAATCTCAGATGTACCGGCTCCAATCTCATATAGCTTGGCACTACACACATGGTTAGTTTACTGTTGCCAAGGTTAAAGCAAGATCTCAGTCTCTTCACAAGAGGCCGGATCTAAGGAAAGAGGCATCAAACTTACTCTCGAAGCAATCTTGACGCGGGCATCTCCTCAACATAGCCCATTCCACCCAGAAGTTGAATACAGTCGAGCGTGCACTCTGTAGCCCGCTCTGCAGCATACAAGATAGCTCCTGCGCAGTCCTGTGTGCGGATCAAGCCGTTCTCATCCACAGCCTTGGCTGTCGTGTAGGTGTAGGAACGAGAAGCCTGGAGCTTTGTGTACATATCTGCCAGTTTGCCCTGGAGGAGCTGGTTGTGTGCAATAGGCTGGCCGAACTGCTTGCGCTGGTGTGTAAAGGGGAGGGTAACATCGAGGGCGGCTTGCATGATACCCAGAGGCCCAGCACTCAACACTAATCTCTCCAGATCGAGACCCTCCATAAGCACTCGTACGCCGCCGTTAACCTTGCCGAGGATATTCTCTGTGGGCACAAAGACGCCGTCAAACATGAGCTCGCCGGTGTTGCTGCCACGCATGCCCATCTTGTCGAGCTTGCGAGCGCAGCTGAAGCCCTCGCTCTTGGTGTCCACAATAAAGGCTGTGATTCCCTTGGAGGCCTTCTCCGGCTCCGTCTTTGCGTACACCACGATAACATCGGCGTCCGGGCCGTTGGTGATCCACATCTTGGATCCGTTCAGCACATAGCCACCGTCTACGGCCTTTGCTGTTGTCCGCATACTGACAACATCGCTGCCGGCGCCGGACTCAGACATGGCCAGCGCGCCGACACTTGTACCGGCGATGAGACCCGGCAGGTACTTCTCCTTCTGCTCGGGTGATCCGTTCAGCTGCAGTTGGTTGACGCATAGTTGTGAATGTGCTGCGTAGCTGAGACCAATGGATCCGGATGCTCGTGATAGTTCCTCCATAACAATGATGTGTGCCTGGTAGCCCATGGCGAGGCCACCGACGTCCTCATCAGCTGTGATGCCGAGGAAGCCAGCCTCACCAAGTTTTTGCCACATCTCTGCTGGGAAGGCATTCGTCTTGTCTGTCTTTGCTGCGACTTCTTCTGTGATCTCCCGGCGCGTGAACTCTTGCACGCGCTCCCTCAACTCGTCGAGCTCCTCATTTGAAGGGGCCTCGAAGCCTTTGGGGTGCTTGGATGAGTGCAATCGGGACTGGATAGCGGGAAGAGTTACTGCTGGGCGCCATTGACGGGCGATGACAGGGCGTGCCAGCGATCTCAAGGTTCGTACGCTTGCCATTGTGAATATGTGAGTGGAAGTGAATGACACAGGAACCAAGGTAAAGAGTATCTTTTGCTTGTCTTTTTTTTTATTGAAAAGAAATTATCCAACGTCACGTCGTAAAACCCCGACCGAGGGCCTGACTGACTGACTATACACGGCCGGAAAAGACGGGCTTCGATAGCCGTCCTTGAGTGGCCCGGCTCGTCACGGCTTTTAGCGGCCGGCCCGCTTACCCCAGGTTTTCGACGTCACAAGCCTCGGCCTTAGAAAGGTAGCCCGCGCTTCGGCTTTGGAGAATTACTGACCCGTCCCATTGAAAGATGCTCTTCTTCTCGTCTCGGGCTTTTCTTTTTTGAGTGATTGTGACTGAGAGAAACTTACAAACTTCAGAGTCTTCAGAAATGACACTATCACGCTCATCCCGCCAGGCGATGCTCCTGGGTCGCCAATTCGGCCGCCAGAGCTCCCGCTCGCAAATATCCTCACAGAAACGAGCTGTCGCAAACCTCACTCCGCCGCACCACGCCAATGCCATCTCACGGATTCAGACCGCCGTTGATCCGTCCTCAGACGAGTTCAAGGAGAATGAGAGGCAGATGGGCGAGGTCATGAGCCGCATGCAGGAGCTCGCCCGTAAGATCCAGAAGGGAGGATCTGAGAAGGCCAGGCAGAAGCATATTGCACGCAAGAAGATGCTCCCCAGGGATCGTGTAACGGCATTGATCGACCCTGGAACCACATTCCTTGAGCTTTCTCCCATGGCAGGCCATGAGCTCTATCCAGAGGCCGAAGTGCCCGCAGGTGGTATCATCACTGGTGTGGGCACTGTCGAGGGCGTGACATGCGTTATTGTTGCCAATGACAGCACCGTCAAGGGCGGTACATACTATCCTATTACAGTCAAGAAGCATTTGAGAGCACAGGCTGTCGCAAGAGAAAACAAACTACCGTATGTAATTGAACACATCACCGAACCGTGAGGCGTATACTAAATTCCTACCAGATGTATCTATCTCGTCGACAGCGGTGGTGCCAACCTCCCCCATCAAGCCGACGTCTTCCCCGATCAGAACCACTTTGGTCGCATCTTCTATAACCAAGCACGCATGAGCGCAGAGGGTATCCCCCAGATCGCTGTGGTCATGGGTCCCTGCACGGCTGGTGGTGCCTACGTCCCAGCCATGAGTGACGAGAGCATCATTGTCCAGGAGCAAGGTCACATTTTCCTTGCTGGCCCTCCTCTGGTCAAGGCCGCGACAGGAGAGGTTGTCAGCCATGAGGATCTGGGAGGTGGCAAGATGCATTCTTCCGTGTCTGGTGTAACAGATTACCTGGCTGTGGACGATGCCCACGCTGTGGTGTTGGCTCGACGCTGCATCAGCAACCTCAACTGGCCCAAAAAGTCACCAATGACTCAAGCCCCCAAGCCGACCTTCTCAGAACCTCTTCACAGCCCCGAGGAACTTCTTGGCATTGCCACCACCAATCTGCGAAAACCTCTCCCCATCCGTGAGGTCATTGCTCGCGTTGTGGATGGCTCCGAGTTCTCCGAGTTCAAGCACGACTTTGGAACCACTCTCGTGACTGGCTTCGCCGAGATTTACGGTCACAAGGTGGGCATCGTGGCCAACGACGGTATCCTCTTCGCTTCCTCGGCAGTCAAGGGCGCACACTTTATCGAGCTCTGCTCTCAGCGCGGTATTCCGCTGGTGTTCCTTCAGAACATCTCCGGCTTCATGGTGGGCTCGCAGTCTGAGCGTGATGGTATCGCCAAACACGGTGCCAAGCTCGTCACAGCTGTTGCGTGCGCGGACGTGCCCAAGTTCACCGTCGTCGTGGGCGGCAGCTACGGTGCTGGTAACTACGGAATGTGTGGACGAGCTTACAGCCCACGGTTCTTGTGGATGTGGCCTAATGCCAAGGTCGGTGTTATGGGTAGCGAGCAGTTGGCTGCTGTGATGGAGACAGTTGGAAAGACAGTCGACGCTGGTTTGAAGGAGCGTATTGAGAAGGAGAGTGATGCTACGTTCTCTTCCGCACGATTATGGGTGAGTTCTATCTTTAAAACCCTTCTTTATGGTATATTGAAAACTAACACTATATCCAGGACGATGGTATTATTCCTCCCCAACATACGAGACGATACCTGGGTCTGGGTCTACAGGCTGCTATGGGAGGTAGAAATGAGGTCAAGGCCGGTGATACCAAGTTTGGCGTCTTCCGAATGTGATGAGTTACTCAGAGAAATAAAGTTAATATATGAGAAGCAACTAAAAAGTACATTTTGGTACATGAAGTGTGTAGTGTCCACGTAGTAGGTAGGTCTAGTGGGGTTGTATCTTGTATATTCCACCTATAGGCAGTTCACGATGTCCCTCTCGTTTAGCATGTCCATGTTTTGTTGATCTGCAAGGATACCTATCGTCGTAAGCTCACATTACATCTATCATCCATGAATGCATTTACAGATGTTGTGAGCAGTGACCAACGTACATGTGAACACAGTTGCACTCAGGTGGCGCATAAATTAATTGCATTCAAATATTTACCACTACGAATATTTATGTCGACATATAAACTTCCTCAATATTGAGAACAACAATGGAAAGCCCATTGCTATATATGTTGTTATTCTAAAAGTACAGTAGTTGTCATGCTCAACTACCTACCCTGTAGAGGAATGGACAGGATGGAATATGGATGATCGACAGTAAATGTTACCCAAGAAGCCATGACGTTAGGTGGACCCATTGGATAAACATGAAACGCGCCAAGGAAGGGCACGGAGTCCAGTTTACGACTGCTTGTCAGATTTCGTTGGGTCCAAATTGATGGATGACCAAAGAAGTTTGCTTTTTGACGGTAAGAAAAAGTTTGTTGTAGTAGAGAATGATGGTTACGGAGTATATTGCAAGCATCACCAAAGCAAAAGAGCCTCACAACGGAAGATACTTTGCGTGTGCAACTAGTCAAGGAGTTGACCCAAGCCAGATCTTATTAATCCATGTGACCGACACAGTTGAGGTCCGAGAGGTCCCTGCACGTTATCGTAAGATGCAATAAATTGCTACGATAGCGACGCGAGCGTTGAACATACTACTCTGTACATACATGTACGCACGCCTTACGGATACGCCCTTAGAGCTTCCGACGGTTCCGGGAGAAGAGTTGTGTGTCAGAATACCAGGGCATGGGAGAGGTATCGTAGCTGTGCCAAGGTAACGAACGATATTCTTCGGAACTCAAGTCAACGGTCGGACCAACACCGTCTGTATTGAGGTGAAGAGATTAAGGCTCGAGGGCGAGAAACTCTGTTGATATAAATTCGCGCATGACCGTGGCTAGTGCATCAGAAAGATTGAATGGCTTTAAACATCACATCAAACGACCGAGTCTATTTAATATGATCGTCTAATGTCCGACGAACAAGCCTTACCGTGCACGCGCACGCGCACTGTCTGATCCAGGCGTTGGATAGCGTGCGACTTTGGATGGAGCGTTGTCAATCTATCGAAAAGCCGTTAATTATATGTATTTCTCTACTCGAAGCCGAGTTGAAGTGGACTGGTGGTCGAACTGGCTGGACTGGGCTGAGTTGAGCTCAAGGCTTGGCTTTCGATGGGAGAAACAAAACAACATATCCGTAATTGATGATGGAGCCATTTTAGATTGCCAGGAATACAACAAAAGTAAACACACGGATAGATAAATGGGCAAAAGTAAGTAATTGCATGGCCGACCCAGACGCGCACGTTCCAAAGTTAGGAAGCATCAACCATGGGAGACGGATTGTTCTCGTCGGATTATGTTGGTGTTTTACGAAGTAGATACGGATCCAGTACGAGCAGAGAGTGATAGAAAAAAGTGGCTTACGCTTTGGTGACTAGGGCCCGGGCTGCAGGAACAGCACGCTAGTGTTTCTCCTTAGAGTTTTGGTGCAGGGGGACGATCCTATCGAGACGTGATTGGTGGGACCGACACAACGCTCGGGTTTCAGTGGATTTTCGAGACAGGATGAGTTCAAACGAGCCAGTAGAAATTAGTGGCCCGGGCGTCCTGTCGCCTGTCGTGGTGTCTCGCGTGCATTTCTGGGGGCGTATTTATGGGGAAAATTGTAAGGTTGACTTCATGACCGTTGACTAACTTGGCCCTAATAATGCATGGAACGGGTGGAAGTGCCCATTTGAGAGGCCATAGCCGTTTACCCCTTCATCTCTGGCCCTGCCGCTCCAGTTGGTGTCAGTGCCAAAATCTCTCTCCTCTTCCACGTAGCATGTCTATCTTCCATCTGTTCTGTTCTCTTTTGCTTCGCTCCGTGGCAGGGTGGCCCATGTTGAAATAGCGACGATCCTTCTGTGATGGATGGGGCTTATCACTAATGGAAGGAGTCAAGGTGTTGTTCCTCTGCAATAATTGGATCCAAAAACCAACGAGTCTTGTTTTTGATATGAATCTCTCTCAAGTCTCCGTCTGTGCCTGTCTCTTGCTTGTTCTATTCTGGAATAGCCCTGTTTCGCCGTGCTTGCTCAACTCCAAGGGTCCCCCGAAAGCCTCACCCACTGACCATTTTTACAGCACCAACCTACCTTACCTTGGGTTACACCCCGTCTTTCCATCTCCATTTCTCTCGCCTTTTCTACCCTTTCCCATCTCTCAAACCTCAGCCTGCTTCGACCCAAGCCGTCGTCGTCTGCGCCTCATTCTATTCGTTCGTTACCACTCTGGTTCTTCTCTCCATCTGTGCCTATCGTGCACTCTTTTCTTTTCTTCTCTATTTTTTCGCCTCTTTCTTTTTCCACTACTATTTTCGGTTTGTCCAGTGGATAATCATTTCAGCTTTCGATTTTCTTTTGCTCGGCCACTTTGACAGCTACATCCGCCACAAAAGATAATTTCAAGATCGCCATTTGTCACTTGTTGAGTGAAAAGAAGAGAAGAGAAAGGGTCTGGAAGAAAGAGCAAGAGCCAGGAGTTCAAACATCTCAGCAACGCCTTCCTTCCGATAACTATCGCCTCGTCGTCTCGTCGTCTCGACACCCGCACCAGGAGCATCCTCAAACCATCCAGAGGCCACTTTGAAACGCGATTCGTCCAGCTCCATCTCAGTGACACGCTGTATCTCGCTCTCCCGGTTTCGTCTGCCACGACGTCAACCACTTGATTTTCATCTGTTGCTCGACCTCCGCCTCGGATTACTGCGTCTGCTTATTGCATCCAGTCCTCTTAAGTCGTTGACCGCGAGCCCCTGTGACGTACCCGTTATCCCACAATTGCTGTCTACTGCCTCGACTTGAATTATCGCGACCACATGATCTCTTGAAGTCGTGATCTTGCTCGGTATGTCTTCAACTTTGCTACTTGACCCAATCAATCCCCATGGTCTGATTTCAAAGTCATCTCATTGTTTCACTTTTCACATTTGTCTTGACGATTATCCCCTTTGTAATACTGACAATTATTTTCAGATTATTTCTCATTTGCATTGTCTTCCGCACTTGCGAGGTCTGGTTCATCGTGCAACAAGCTATTATTTTTGGTTCGATCCGTCTTATCTTCTTCCATAATCGTTTGCGTCTCGTTCTCGCTCTCGTCTTCCCTATTTTTATTTCTACCTTCCGCATTTCTCGTAACGTCGACGTAGCCTGTGGCTGTACGACCTGGTCGATTTCGAGAAACGCCAGCTTTTTATGCTGCAGCACCTCGGATAGAGGCCCCTTTCACCATATACGAACGTCGTGTCATTGCTTTGAGACAGGACGACCTTGACCGCTGCAAGCCACCGGATACCCGCATCTTTTTATCACTTCGGTTCTCCACAACGTAACGGCTTCCTACATACAGTTGAACTGCATATAGGGGCTTGTTGCCGGATTTCTGACCGTGCTACGCTCTTAGTTCGAATGAACCCTCGACTTGGCATAAAGGAAACAAATGAGTCAACCGTATGATGGAAGAAGGATGGATCCAGGATCTGTGAGAAGAGCACGCGAGATGGCACAAAGTGGGCATCCGCGACACCAACCTACTTACTCTGATCCTATGGAGGATGGCCCACCGGGCGAACTAAGGGCTCCTCCCCGTCGACCCATGGGTGGGAATCCTGCTGGACAATCAAGACTCCCGAAACAAAAGTCCTCTACGATAGGTTCCAAAGGAGGCAATTCCGGCATTGCCATTTCCAGACCACAACAAGTACCCCAATGGCCTTTGCCCGGCCCCCCTATGGCTGCCATGAACCAGCCCGACTCCGAGCCGTATCGACCACCACCCGGACGACCAACGCAGGCTCCTAAACGACCGCCCCGACCAAGCCAAGTCCCTTCTATGCTGGACCAGTCTCGGCTTCAGGAGCCAACTCCAGTGTTTCTTTCACCCGAGCCTGACGATTATCAATCTTATGTTCCTCCTTCTCCATCGTCACGAATGACTACTTCTAGTTTAGGATCACTTCCTGACTTCCCTGAGCCCAACCAATCGACAGCTCAAGCATCTAATAGGCGAAGCGTCAGCTTGAACCCCCCGAGAGCAAGCGCCAACCTAGGACCTCCGCCTTCTTCTCGCCGGGGCGTCTCATCGTTCTACTCCCACGCATCTTTCGTCTCGCCCATCCCTGAAGAGAGCCTCAATTCTAGATCCCACGGTTCATACGCATCTAGCGCTGCTATGCCCGATAGTTGGCGTGAGAATTCCCGTGCAGTCAGTCCGTCGTATTACGATGAGACAGATTCAGAGAAGAGCCAGGACTCCGCCGACGACGAATTCCGCGACGAGAGCAGATTGGTCCGAAGTGCTAGCATCGGCAAGAGAGGGAAGCCCTCACTCGTCACTACCAAATCAGTTATTATGGACCCCAGCCATCGGCCTGCACCATCACCAGTCCAGCCTTTTGACACAGGAACAGGATATGTTGATACATCAACAAGTTCGTCCAATACACTTCCTCTAGCGAACGCAGCGCCTGCGCATAATCCTCGTGATAGCTTGAGCCCGGACGCTATCCTAGGTGCATTCGCAGCCGCCAGCGCAACTAATTTATCGGAACCACCTGCGCCTGCGCCAACACCGTCTCCTCAGCCGTACAGTCGACTTTCGGCCATTCGACGACCACCCAAGCTCGATATTGAAGCCGTGAGGAAGGCGGAGGAAAGAGGCAGCATGACAAGCTTGCCTGACTTGATTCGACGTGCGACCCGACTCGCCACTATGATCGATCATGGTAAACGGCCGGGCAGCCGCTTCGACAATTTGAACGATTTCTTTGACGAGAAGGGGCAAATGCGAGGGGGAGATAAGGAGAACTCAGGTAACAGAACCCGCTCAATGATAAAAATATTATGTACTGACATCTAGCAGGCTTGTCGGACATGCTGGCAGCATTTCCTCCCCCCGCGCAACCAAGAGATCAACAGAGCCGTGGGTCTTGGTTCCGTACGACATCATGGCCCTTAGCCCCTGGCCGACAAGGCGATGTACCCTCGCGATCCGGGGCTCGCGGCACGACACCCTCGGACCAAGATCAGGGGAAGCGACGCCGACGCTGCTGTGGCCTGCCTGTTTGGGCATTCGTCCTCTTGCTACTTCTACTCGTGGGTATCATTGTCGCCGCTGTGCTCGTCCCCCTGGAGTTCTTCGTTTTTAAGAACCTCGGCAACCAGGACAAGCCTCAATCTGCGCTTGCTCAGTGCCAAGAATCACTTGATTGCAAGAACGGTGGGACCAACATAATGTCACAGGGAACATGCTCGTGCATTTGTACAAATGGCTTTACTGGGTCTGACTGTAGTGTTGGAGGCTCCGAGGGCTGCACAATGACAGACCTTGGCGGTGACCTCAGCAACGTAACGCTGGGCAAGAATATTCCACGCCTTATTGAGGACAGCCAGAAAAACTTCTCTATTCCCCTCTCAGGTACTGCTATCATGGCCAAGATAAACTCTGAAGAGCTATCTTGCATTGCTCAAAACTCGCTTGTCACATTTGATGGCGCTGCTTCGCGCAAGAGGGAAGCCATGTTCGAGAACCTGGCCATCCATTTCCAGCGAAGGGAGCAAACGCCAACACTGGTTGCCCGCGCAACTGAGCCAGCAACTGCCGTGGTTGTATCTTCAGAGACCGCTGCCCCAACCACACTGGTGGTCGATGAAGGAAGCCCCGAAAACGCCCCTTCCAAGACAGGCAGCACTGATGATGCGACCAAAACCTCTGACCCAGCCAACACGATACAGACACAGAGCCCATCGACCAATTTCAAGATCACAAACGAGATCCTTGACTTTGCACGGGTCACAGTGCTCTACGTTCTACAAGAGGAAGATGTCGACAGTGCTCAGGATGCCCAATCTGGTATTGATAAATTCTTTGCTAAGGCTCGTAAAGACAAGGATGTTCTGGCAGAGGAGGCTGGTAGCGTCAGCATTGGTGAGAAGAACACGGTGGATCTGTTGAGGTATAAGATCACCATTGGTTCAAAGACGGTAGGAGGGAATGCGAAGCGTCAAGTGTTATCACCCTTGGCTACTCCCGCACATTGGTCGGTTGGGCGTAGATCAGTCCCTGTTTCAAGGCGAGACGGATTGATCAACCCCTGAAGAACCAAGAGGAAGAGGACGATGCTGTACATAACGCGTGGATATAGGTAAATATGCATTTCACAACGATGGCTTAGGTTCACTGCATTGTTTGATTTGTTTGTTCTTACCAAGGCTGGGCCATGGCTGGTAATGAGTGAGGAAAGAAAAAGGGATTGATTGATGAAGACGATCTTGCATAGGAATTTCAGTGGCCACCGTCCGTTTACATTCGATTCTATTCCCCCTTTTCAGCATGTATAGCTCGCGAGCGAGGTTAGCGGGCGTTTATCAAAATAGAGAGACCTCAGTGTTTGATAGCATGATTCCATCAATCATAACGAGATTATAGTCATATGGCTTTCAACCTGGTGAAGGATTTCGATGTTATATTTATATTTCCTTGACTGCTTTGAACTCGTACGATTTGACCACCTGCACCTCAGGGCTGGTAAAATACCTCCTCGACAGGCTTCCACCAGGAAGGCTCACCGGCCTCAGAGCTCACAGCTCCAGGAACAAGACTCTCCTGCCAGCCGTCGGTCATCTTCCACCACTCCCTCACGCGGGGATTCGCCGCCATCTTCTCCATGTCGCCGCTGTAGTCTGAGCCAATGTATTTGAATGAAGCAAAGAGGATATGGCTCTGATCATCGTAGAATATGCTGTCTATGCAAGGGCAATGTATCAGTCCTTCTTACTCATGCCTGTAAAGTGTGGCTGGGAATCGTGATCATACAGTCTCGAATGTTGCATTCCTGGATTTGCTTCAACACGTCGGGCCAGACGCTGGCGTGAACTTCCTTATACTCTGCTAGGTGCTCAGGCTTGAGCTTCACTATTTGGGCGAAGCGACGGGCTGTTTGGGACATTTTGCGTTGACGTCTGTGGAAGATGTGGGTTTATCGTTTGTGTTAATGACGAGTGGACGATAGCAGTTCTGGCGGGGCGGGGGTATACAGATCCAAAGTAGACTTTGATTCTCAGAAGATACGAGCTTTTAAACAACTGTCAGGATGGGGAAGAAGCATTTATATAGATCGACTCGGTGATCGGGCTAGAGGACAGCGAATTGTGCCTCGTCTTCTAAAACCCCGCATAAAGATGCCCTTTCTCTACTAATCCACACTTTGAGGATCGTGGATTCTGGCCCAAAGAGGAAGTGGGTGTGAGCGGGAGCAGAAGCGGGAAACTCCACTCTGTGGGGGAATGGACGGTAGGTAGCATCATGAGGTTTGATACGGTATAGTATCTTTAAGTTGTCTTTGTATGAAGTCATTGATGAAAACAGTGAAATAAGCATCATTGTAGAGGAAGTTTGAGGCAAGATCATAATATGTTTTTATTTCTTTGTTGTTTTATATCAGGCAGTGTCTGGGCAACCTGAAATCCGATGGACACTATTAAACCTTGAAAGAGAGGACAGCAACAAAAGATTGTTGGCAAAGAAAGCCACGCCTAAACCGTGATACATGACCATCCAATTCATAAGACATCATTCCGTCCCCCCAACGCTATAACGCCAATCCCAGGTCTCAAATACACAATCTTGGTATCAATAACACACCTCTACACGAATACTGTGCCAGTAGTGCTTGGCTGTTCTTTTATCTGTCAAAACCGAAATGCGCACAAGTACATGACCGCGTGGGCGGATGTTAGTTACGTGGCTCGTACTGGGGGAGAGCCTTTTCGTCGACAATAAGGCCAGCCTTCTCGTCTTCGACAAGCATCTCGGAAATGGCAGCCTTGTGAGTAGCGCCTGGGGCAGACTCAGTGGGTTCAGTCTGGAAAAGACGGACTAGACGGAGAACCATGGTGCAAAGGAACATGGCGAAGCTGGAGAATATTAGCATAAAATCCATAGATTGATGGTGAATAATGACGTACAAGGCGACTCCAACACCGGCAGCAACACCCATGAGGACAGGGATGACAATGTATGCGGCGACATGTTTGAAGACCTCGCCCCATGACTGCTCGGGCTCGTTGTCCATGACTGGGCCATGTCGGAAAGCATCAGTGGGCTTGCCCTCTGCCTTGCCGTGACCATGAGGGGTCTTGTGGCCGTGATTGTGTTCATGACCATGACCCTTGCCCTTACCCTTCATTCCGTGGCAGCCCTTGAACTTGCCCTTCACTCCCCTCCAGGTGTCGTGGACCATACCCTTGGTGCGACACCACATGGAGCAATCCTCTGGCGCCTTCTGTCCAGCGCCCTTAACCTCAATGCTTCCGATAATGATCTCGCCAACCGGAGCCTTGATGAGCTTGACTGTGACAGGAGGAACGCCATCGACGAATCGGTCGCCAACTTCGATAATTCTAACTTCGACATTGACAACCTCGAGGTGCTGGTCCTCATCGATACCCTCGGGACGAATAGCCAGACCATATCCTAGTCGGCGCATATCGCTCTTGCCGTTACCCTTGATAACAGCAGCTGACAGGTCTCCATTCCAAGGGTCGGCGTGAGGGTAAAGCTCGAAGCCGTTGAGTACTAGGCGACGGTCATGGACGCCGAAGTTAAGTTCTAGTTGAGAATCCTGGCCGCGGCACTGAAGGCAAGGCACATCGACGACTTGGGCATAAGCGGTCGCAGGGACCTCGAAGGTGTCGGCCGCGATGGGCAGAGTGCGAAAGATGCTGTCGTCTTTCTCGGAAGTCTCGGGGACAATGAGAATGGCAGCAGCGGTGGCTGCGAATGCGAGAGGCTTGAAAAGCATCGTGAGAGGGTGTTTTAGTTGAATTTGTTCCGTGTGTTGTGATGATTGATTGACGGTGGATTATTGTTAGTTTATTTATGTGGAAGAGCAAGATTGAAAGAGAAAGAATCAAGGCCAGTGAGTGGTAGCGTGCTTCTTTCCTACAGGTGTCGGATGTCTCGGTCCAGTGGCAAGGGCTCCGCTTTTGGTAAGGCGCATAAAATCTGGGGCGGGAAGGAGAGACCCCTCCCGGACGATGACGACGATTTCTGACGCAGGCCTGTTCGCGTCAACGATTGGCCCACTTAGTCACGCCTGCCACGGTTGGTCGTGCGCGCTCTTTCCACTTCCCGCTTCCCGCTTTCCGCTTTCCACTTCACTCACCATTGACAGTGATACATAAACAGTATCAGATTGCTTCCATCATATGAATCAAGTCTTACAACTTGCACGACATGCTACGTTAGTAGTTTGTGTTTTCAAAGGAAAGAGCAAAGGTTTACACCTGCAATGAGCATAATTATTAGAACGAATTATGTAAATCTTATACATGGCCCCTGACCCGGCTTCTGCTCGACATGGACGCAGATCCGGACCCTAATAGTAGCCCGAACTGCCGAAACCAACAGGGCTGAAATAGAAATAAGATCCAGCCAAGAAAAGAAAACGAACACCAACCGGAATCCCCCTTAAACGCGCTTCCTCGGACTAACCCCCAGTCTCTGAACCTTCTCCATGCCAAAGACCCTTGAGTTTATCCTTGACATTCTGCCATCGCAGACGCCAATCGGCCCTTACATTTAGACCTGCGTCGATATCGCCGGTGCCTATGCCTAGCTCCGACGAGTTCTGATGGCGATGGATCGGGGAGTCGTTACCCCAAGGAAAGTTCGGGTCATCAGGTAAAACGTCTGATGGAGTGGCCCTGTCGGTTGGAGTAGGATAATCGTCCGCGGCCGAGCCTGATTCTCCTGCTCGGATCGTGGTGACCGTTTTCAAGGTCGTGAGTGACTGATAAGTGCTTGTGTCTATTCTTGATTAGCACGTTTCTATCCTTACTTTGTATAGCACAAACCTTTGACACCAAATGTGTTAGTTATGTTCGACCTGTGAGTCATGCTCGACCAATGCGCCGTGCCATAACTTGACATAGAGCTTGTGGTGTTGCAAGTTGACGAGGCGTCACCTCGGACCGTGGGCGCCCGAGTGTTGGATAGTGGAGAAGTTGTGCCGCCAGCTGCGCTTGGGCAATATGTGCTGGTTGATGTCGTCAAAAATGAAGGTTTATGGGAAGGGTAATACGGCGAGTCGGTGCAAGTCGATGAGCTTGTGGTTGTAGACTCGCATGGACTGGCTATATCCGTCAGAGTGTTGGTCATCGAAGACGGCTGACCAGAAACCCGCGAGAGTGTTGAGTTGCTTGCCGGGAATGGCGTCAGGACAGAGTTGTCAGCGGATGCTGATATTCCCTTCGCACTACCGGTAGTCAGGAAAGTACCAGTAGGCTCTGCTGACAGTGATGATGAAGCAGTAGTCAACGAAACAGTCTTTGTTTCCGAGATGTCAGTGAACACGGAACTCATATTCGTCCCTGCTGAAATGATTGAACTGGTGGGCGCAACCTCGGATACCCTTGAGGTAACCGAGTTGCTCAAAGTGGTCGTGAGAAACAACGTCGTGGTACGAGTGTACGAAGTCGACTCCGAAGCATTAGTGTCTGCTGTACCAGAGGTAAGGTGAGAAGCACCTGGCTCCCTCAAGGTAGTGGTGAGATGTACAAGTGTAGTGCGAGTGTAGGAAGTGGACTGGGAAGCATCATAACTCGAGTTCCCGGGCGTGGAGGGTAACATGCTTGGCTTTCCCAAGGTTGTGGTGAGGAACAAAGTTGTAGTACGAGTATAAGAAGTTGACCCTGCAGCATCGTAACTCGAGTTCCTAGGGGTAAGGAGTGATGCGCTTGGCTCTCCCAAAGTAGTGGTAAGATGCACTGTTGTAGTACGGGTGTAGAAAATGGACTTTGAAGCATCGTAGGTTGAGTTGCTGGGAGTGGACTGAGACGTATTTGGTGCTTGCAACGTAGTAGTGCGGGATACCGTTGTGGTGCGAGTGTATGAAGTTGACTCCAAAATCTTACTGCTCAGACTGCCAATAGTGAAATGAGACGCACTGCCCGAAGACGAAGAGTCTGGCTCCCCTCCAAGGCTCCACGTTGACCAAGTCGTCCATGGCTCAGGGTCTGGATGCCAGGAAGCGATTGACGAAAATGTGGCATCAGTCGCAGTAGTAGAGTTGGTAACAGGGAAAAGAGGCGTATTTGTACCCCAAGTGGATGCAGAGGACCCGGTTGTAGACCCGTAGAAGGTGGTGTTTGTGGCACGATGAGTTGTTCTGGCCGTTGATGTAAGAGTTCTACCTGATGTTGAGATCTCCCCCAGAGAGCTGGTCATAGTAGGATGATTACCTGTGCCACTTGGCGGAAGAGTTGTGTTTGATGGGAAAGGGAAAGGTGGTGTACTGATCAGGGATTGGGAGATAGTACTGATCCTAAATGACACAGAGACGGGAGGCGTAAATATTGTCAACGAGTAGTTTGTATAGGTCTTGGTAACGATATTCCCGGATATGGTGGTGAGTGTGATATCGAATGAGGTAGGGAGACCAGGCGTGATAGGCGTCATCTCGCTCAATGTACGAGTCTCAGCACTCATATCTGATCCAATTCCGGTAGACGTGACAGTCACCTGTGTAGTGGAGTTGGTAATCCATTGGATTGTGCTGGTATTGTTCCATGAGCGGTAAGTAGTGACAGTGGCTAAGGAGGAAGCCCCCCCCTCAGAGTTTCGAGGGTGTGTTTCCATGGCCGTGGTCGAGGTAGAGTTGCCATATGGGGCAGTGCTATTAGACCCAGAGCTAACAGCAGATGACGTTGCTTCAGAGCTCTGGGAGGCCATCGCGCTGGCAGATCCAGACCAGGATTCTGACAACGTTGTTGTCCGCCAATCTATGGTTGTGTTGGTTGGGAACGGAAAATTGGAAGAATGTCCGGTGATGATGGAAGTATTGACTCCAGGAAGGGGGGTGAAAGATGTTGAGTGAAAGCTGAATGTACTCATTTCAGATGACATAGTCTGTGAAAAGTTGTACCCACTGCTAGTGTGCGCCGCAGTCACGTTGCCAGACGAGGCCAGGCTTGTTGGTGCGAGGCTGGTTGTGATAGTGGAAGTCCATGTGGATCTGATCACGGATATGTTGACCACTGGAGTTGTAGTCACACCGGGAGGGGTCATAGGTGTGGTGATGATCGAAAATTGAGGAGTCGGAAAAGTGATCGAAGGGAGCTCTAGACTTGTGTCGGAGGTTCTTGGCTCGGTTAACGTCACAGTAGACCAATCGAACAGTGAGCTTGTCCGTGAAGAGAAAACCAAACCCGAACTGGTTGTCGAAGAGTTGCGCGAAGGAGTAGTTGCCGAATACTCAGTTGAGACAGAACTGTTGGACTCACTACCAGATGGGAAAATACCACCCGGACGTATTGTAATGACAGATCCATCGGAAACCGTGGTCACCGTGAAGGAAATGCTGCCTGTTTGAGACGTTGTGCTGACAGGCAAAGCGGACGATGCGAAAAAGGTTTCTGAGGACGTTTGAGCAGAAGCTGCAGCAGTCTCTGATGTAGATTCCCAAATACTCCCGCTGAGTGTCGAATTAGAGACAGACAGGGTAGAGGAGTTCGTGGCGAAGGAGATGGAGGAAGACCCAGTGAGTTTCTCACTCGTGGTGACACCAATCGAGGCCGTTACGGTTTGGGAGATCGCTGTTGCTCTTGACTCTTCAGTGCCAGTACCTGCTGAACCATCTGAAACAACAACAGTAGAGCGGGGGCTATCAAATGAGTTTGTGGATTTGGCAGTGCTTCCAGAAAGAATTGAAGTCAAGTAAGTCGTTGAAGTAATACTCACGGTCTCATTGACATAGGACTTAGAAGCGTGAGATGACTGTGTCAACTTGGCAGTGGAACTGTCAGTCAAGGCACTATGAGTTGTGATGGTCTCGACTACACCGGAGATGAGACTTTCTGATGTTGGATAATCCTCTGTGGTTACAGTAGTCAAGCCCTTAGTGGAAGCCCGAGACGAATTTTGTGCTGGGATGACGGTGGTCATTGTAGTTTGGTCTGACGAGATGGACAAAACAGAGAGTGATTCTGATGAGCGGCCAGAAGAGGTACTGGGACTTGACGAGCGATTTGTCTGCGTAGGATGGGTCATGGACGGCAGTATCACCACAGAGTCCGTAGACTCTGCCACTGAAACTGTCACAGTGAAGTTGAGTACCTTTGTTGTAGTTGTGGTAGAGTCAATCGCGATTGAGCTGCTCAGGAACGGGGTTGATGGAGTGGTACTTGAAAAGGACTCCGTTTCAACTTCGGAAGAAACTCGATCTGTGGCAGAGGCCACTTCTGACGCTTGAAGGCTTGAGGTAATATCTGTAAGAGTGGTGCTCTCAGTAAGCGTTGCTATGCCGGTAACGAAATCAGAGACTATGGCAGATGAGGTAGAAGTGGAAGGCAAATCTGTTGCAGTCTTGAACGATACAGTGCCGTTCAGGCTTGCGGAATCCGAAGCAATATCGGTGCCAGCAAATGCCCGCGTGCTAGAAAGAGAAGAGGTATTGCTCCAGGTAGTTGAAAGCTGGCTCTCTGATATCCCAGTGGCACCATCACGAGCGGTTTCGGTTACATATGATGAGGTTGGAGCCGTGAGGTGGGCAGTCGAAAGGACCTCAGAACTGGTTGTACTACCAGCTTTGGCACTGGAATCGGCGGATATCATTGCTGTGTCGGTCTCCAGCCCAGAAGAGATGGAGAAAGAAGAACTAGCAGAGGCAGCAGTGCCATTCCGAGAATAAACATCTGACCCAGAGCTCATGCCGGTCCCGGAGGATTCAGTCGGTGCCTCCGTTGCAGTAGGCTCCTTGAGAGTAGGATCTGATACTGTTAGATTGAACTGGAGATGAGTGCCAGGATACTCACAGGAGGTCAAATCAGTGGGAGCATCTGGCTCACCCGTATAGTACGGGGGAGGAAGACCATAGCCGTGAGCAGTTGCATTGCCATCAGGTTGATGGGTCTTGACAAAGTTGTTTCTGCGCACGAGTCTGTGGCCATCCGGAAACTGCTGGCGAGCAAGACCGGTGACGCTGTCCAAGAGACAAGAAAGCAACACGAACACCGACAGGATGGCGACCAAAGGAATGTTTGGTGGTCTCATGATGAAGATATTAGAATGCTGTTGTTATTTGATATCAGTTGAAAATGTTCTGGCTGAGCCTTTAGGACCCAAGTATGTATTGGACTCACAAGAACGATGAAACTAACAGCGATTAGTCGAAACAAATGTCGAAAGACTTTAACGAGAGTGTGGAATGACTTGAGAGTAAGAGATACAGATAAACGAGTGTTGCTTAAACAAAGGAAGAGGATATTCTCTTGCTGCTTCCTCGCGATGTTGAAGAAAACGAGAGGATGATACGCGATGCGCGAGATGGAAGAAACGAAAGGTGGAGGATGAAAAGAGAGGAAAGTGGAAAAGAAAAGAAGTTACGTGTGAGGAACTAGGTGTGCAGACAAGTAGAATCATAAACAACAAGAGATACAGGATATACACTGGCGGCAGCTGTCACGCAGTGCGTGCCAGTGCCAGGCAAAAGGGGCATCATATCTTGATACCTTCTAGGTGGTGCACATACCCCAGCACCAAACATTTAGCTCACCTTTAGGAGCCTGGCACAGCATGAGCGCACAAGCTACGTCCCAAGTCGAATAGGTTACGAGTGCTTGGCTCAGGGTCCGCATACTGGTGATTCTGTAGACATACTTCTTCGAGTTGATCCAATTAGGTGGCACACCGATCTTTCACGGCGGCTCAGAGCCTTTCCACCGCTCATAGGACATATCTCCGGTTAGCTGTTTGCTTCCCTCCCGATGGGAGTCGTCCCGGGCTTCTGGGCCGGCGCATCTTTCCGCCTCCTTATTCCTCATGGCGAGAGGCATGAGGTGGCCGGTCAACACAGCTAGATTGGAAGTTTATAGACTTTTCTCCGCCGATTTTCTCGGACAATAAGTCCGTTCTTTGGATTTATTCTTTCGCTTTCTTGTCCGCATTTATCATTCTCGCTTCTGCTTTCGCGTCATGGCGGCGATTGTTTCCATGCACCATCTCACAGGCCATCCTTCATCTCTTTTTGCGTTTCCACAATGAGAAACGACACAAAACAAGTATTTCTGACTAGGAGGCTCACTTGAGCACGATACAGCCTATTCCTGCCAAACATCTTGCGAGATCATCAAGCAGCAGGATCTGAGACATGCGAAAAGTTAGAAAAGCATGATATAGTTGGCGATTGTGTCTTGTCTTCCACTAGAAAGGACATGATGTTGACTCGTCATGCAAGTTGTACATAGCTCATGGTAGGAGCACCCTCGTACGGCCGTGACTCTGACTCGCTCCGCAGAATCTGGCTTACATCTGTGAGTATCTGGCCGACGAGATCTCGACCGCGTCAAGCGGTGGATCACAAATCAACTCGGGCCTTCGACCGTTGAATGCTAACGGCGTGGCTGTTGAAGGTTTCACGGCTCAGGGCCCAGAAGTCCATAAGTAGCATGCTACCCGTGGAATAGTAGTACCTGTAACCAACCTCGGCAACGAGGCGAGATGCAACTTGCCGTCGGGTGGTAAAAGGGATGCAGTCTCCTGTAAGGGCCGCAGCATGCGTCTAGCAAATTATTTCAGGGGAGTTGAAAGCCTTTATCCGTTTCGCAATGTTGAAATCGTCAAACCTGGTCCAAGGTACTGAGAACCTAGTTGATGTCGTGCGTGTTATGGGGTTACCCATTGAAAGGGAAGCAGCCACTGCAAGTAGTATGAGTACTCACAAATGAGAATACTGACACTACCTATCATGATGATCTAGCAGAGCGGTGGCATCTCGGTCCCCACAAGATCAGTCGTTCAGACGAATACCAGAACGTTAACATACGTTTTTTCATCTTGGACAAAGAGAACTCCAATCGTCAAATCAGGGGAGAGTTGCGAGGCATATGCTGACGTGTCAAAGATTGAGACAAATAGAGACGATGGAAGTTTGGTGTAAAAAAGAACCAAGACATTTTCTGTCAACCAACTCCTAACCTAGGTAGTCCCCCCTTCCACGCGATAGGCCTAAACTACCTAATTAAGGTAGGTAACTACCAGCAGCAAATTGTCTCCTGCCTTCCATATCTGCGACTCCTGGGTTGGGCAGGAACTTCTGATAACCCTCGCGCCTTCCTTTTCTATCGATTACCTCGTAGCAAATTAGACTCAAATCCATATTATTACTTCAATTCCATGTTCAGGTAGGCACGTTTCGCAAATCGTCCCGTATTGCGTGGCCTTGAGGCTTAGAGTTGTACGGACACCGGCGCATTTACTCGGCCTTCTCAGCGGTTTCACGCAGAGATGGGGCGGTCCCATCAGTCATTGAGGTATCCTTGTCCTCGATATCAGCAGCCCACAAGGCAGCGCCGACTTGATGATGTTAGTTCCGGTACTACAAAGGGATGCGTGTCAATGCTTACCTGTGTTGCTGAATGTGAAAAACATGGAAGCAACAGGAACCATCTCGAGAAGTGTAGCAACCAATCCGAATCTGTGCAAATGTATCGGTTAGCTAATTCTGGCTCTTCGTGTGCTACTAATCACCCAGCTGGTGAAGCATATAGAGGGAAATGCTACATACGCAGTGTAAGGGCCGACGTTCTTGCTGAGCCAATCCTCTCTCTTAGACGGCGACCATTGCTTTAGCTGGAAGTACTATGACAATGTTAGTTTGGAAGTGAAGTCTGTTGAAAGGTGTTGCTTACTCGGCCGTGAACTCCCTTACCGCGGGTGCGGCCTGCGTTTGGTTAGTAGAGCAATGCACACAAGGGTGAAGGATTCGCACCTTGAAGGAGAATGAAAATCACGGTACCAACAACTGGAATGGCGTTGAGAGGTAGGTACATGATGTAGCGAATGATAGCCTTGGGGCTGAACTTCTCGAACGGGCTCTTGATGATTTTGCCCAGCTTCTGCATCGGATCGGATCCAGACTTGACCTCTCTTCCCTCGCTCACGATCTTGGTGTCCCCGCGAGCAAGGAGGGTGCCGTCAAACACATCGAGCAGGGAGTCTTGCAGAAGATAGTTGCGGGAGACAAGGTTGATGATAGTGGTGCTCTCGTTGAGAACCAAGAGGACAGTGGTGAAGGGTGCAATAGGGCCGTTGACGAAGAAGAGAATGGCGAGCTGCGGTAGGTATGTGAAGAAGAACATGCCGCCAATGACACCCGTGGAGAGGAGAGCCAGAGGACCGAGCTTGGAGACGAAGGGTTTCCATAGCGAACGGTGAGAGAGGAAGTAGAAGACGCCCTGCGAAAGACGCAAAGTGTCAGCGAAGGATTATTGAATGGAGCTCAGTACTGGGGGTTCTGGAAGTACCTTGATCGGGTAGAGGTAGGATTGGCTCTTGGCAGCATTGGTGACATGCTCTCTAGCCTGGGTAAAATCCTCCTTGCTGGTAAAAGAAAAACTGTTAGTTTTGTGGATAAGAAGCAGATCATTCATGTCCCAGCCTTACAAGACCTCTTGAGCTTTCTCGTTCACGGTATCGACAACTCTGTTGCGCGTGGTGGGTTGCTGCTGGTGATCAGCTCCCGACGCTGCAGCTGTATCGGCCATGGCGATGGTGATGGTGAGAGGAAGTAAGCGTGTATGGTTTTGCAAGTTGCGTCAAGAGATGAATGATTTGATTTGCGATGTGTTGTTGCGAAGTTGAAAAGTTGACTTCGTTAAACAGTTGTGCTTTGTTTTTATCACAAGCCTTTTACATTTTCCATCTTCCATTCCAGCTAAAAAGCATGGAAGCTCAAGGGAGGAAGCTCTGATCGATGTCGTCATTGCAGCTCGCGGGGCCTGAAGGGTGGGGCTACTTTAAATCCCCCTCGTCACTCCCGTCCCGTCCCTAAAGTTAGGCGACTCGATGATGGTGATGATGATGTTGTTACGCTCAAAGACATTCTTTTGATACAAGAGTGCCATCAGGACCAGTCATAAAGTTCCCAAACTAGTAACTCTGCCAAGGAACACTCTCCTTAGACTTAGAGAATCTCCTCTATTAGCCTGAAGTCACCTGCAATAACGTCAACTTGCAGATCGCCGGACGAAATGTCCCTGAGACCCCACCTTTCGCCGGGGAGCTCATGACCCACCATCGGCCCCAGTTCTCGGGAGACGATATAAGACTCCGGCCAGTGCTGACGTCTGTTTGTCTTCAGTTGTAAGCCAATCGACATTGAAACAAGGCAGATCAGTTTCAAATTTGACTTGTGAGCCCTACCATACGATACTTTCTCCCTACGTTCGTAATTGTATAGCTTCTGGCACTCGTGGTGTGTGATATGTATGTCGCGTGAGCCTCGTCGTCCCCCTCCTCCAATTACATAGTAACGCACTGCTGATCACCCCCTAAAGCCGATAGGTATGCGTCACAGGAGAGCGCGTATAACATGATGCCGAACCCAACGTTGACCTGCCTTATTAAGGCAAATACCCAGATACTCATCCAGACAATGACAACACAAAAGTACCCTCCATAGCTTCTACAACAGAACGACGAATGCATATACCACCAATACTGCGCAGTCATGGCTCAGCGATATATCTCGAACAACCTTCCAGCTCAGAGCTTAGGTTCAGATCCCAAAGAGCTCCTCACATATGCTCTTGAACTTGTCGTTCGACACACTCCACCTCGTCAAGTCTACCATGAACGCCATCTCGGCGGTCTCTTCACTGGATACACTGGCCTTGCCTACATGTTCCTTCAACTCTCCGAGCTGCATCCGGATCTCACCATCTCTGGCCAAACCCTGATATCCTGGGCTCAGCGTTACCTTGAAGGAGACCGAGGGCAGCTGGTTCTGGAGAAGGGCAACTGTGGCATCTCTTCTGAAAAGTTGTCATTCGAAGCAGTGCGAGCGTGCGTGACAAAGGATGACGATCACTTGATAACCTTCCTTAGCAACATACCAATACTTCTCGGCCCATACACGAGTCCACAGGAAGATGCCTTCCCATCAGAGATCCCATACGGACGGGCAGGCGCATTATACATGCTGCGTATGGTGAAGCACTGGGTCCCAAGGAGCGAGACTCTGATCGAATCTCCGATTAAGCGGCTGACAGAGAGAATCATGGCCACTGACGATGATGGAAGGGGTAACTGGGAATGGCATGGGAAACGATACTTCGGGGCTGCCCACGGTGACATGGGTATCATCACGCAGCTTGTTCTCTCAAACCCGTCGCTCGCTCCACAACTAACCCGACGCCTCGAGAAACTTCTCGAGCTTCAGCTTCCTGACGGAAATTGGCCGTCGAACTTGCGCAGTCTGAAAGAAGGAAAAAACGCAAGTCTCGTCCAGTGGTGTCATGGAGCCCCTGGCTTCTTGTACTCGCTGACATCCATACGCTCGTACTTCCCAGATCTACATGACCGTATCGAGTCAGCCATCGAAAAGGGTCAGAGCATAACTTGGAGACATGGCCTGCTCACCAAAGAGCCGTGCTTGTGCCATGGGATTTTTGGAAACGCATTGTACGTTCTCCCCATGGTGAACCCCTTTTCTTCACCGTAGTATGTTGGACCTCGGCTGTGACTGACCTCGGAGTAGGGTACTCCCTCGCGGGCCCAAACGACAGCATTTTCTCGCTCTGGCTACGGCAGATGCGGTGGAGAGAGTGCGTCGACATGATCCGAATCTCTTTGAACCTGCGTCCTACGGTCACAAAGCCGCAGTCCTCATGAATTACTTACCGAGTGCCGCGTGGACATGGGCTGTTTGCGACCAGGAGCACCCTCGGCTTATCATGTACAATGATGTGTAGTACAGGAGAATAGTATCTGGTGGTTTGATATCAACCAGGGGTACGTGGTTGGAGTTGCAATGTGTTATTATGACAGCAACATGGGGTGGATGCTGGCGTCTCTTTTTCTGTTGTCGCTTCTGGATTCAACGTGATGGTCAAATGGCGTAAACCCGATAGCAAGACATGCGTATGATTGTGGATAAGACTGAAGTGACTGCTTAACCGAGGATATGGTATTCCAGAACACTACCAAACTTTCACAAGCTGGTCTTGTTGAATCTCGATTCTCGGCAGCCCCATAGTTTCAGCCGAATGATATGATATGTCTAAGCTCGACCCATATCTGGGGCAAATGGCTGACAGACATGCAAAAGATCTCGAAGCCGACAGAACCAAAGATAGACCTGCGATCCTGATCTTGCGTGATAAGGCGGCCGGGGTTCGTGAGTGCGGACCCTAACAATAATTATGATATACCCACCGCCTGGGATCCATAACTCGGGCGTGACTGGAGAATACTCGGAATCAAGAGCCGTTCAGGGGTAAGGCCTGCTTCATGTTGTTCCTTGGGACTCATGTCCAAGTGTGAAACACCATGCCATTGGTTCTTATTTCATGCTTCCCAATCAATCACGTAAGGATTGCGGCTGAACGAACTTGAGGCTTGTCGACCTGGTAAGGATTTGGCGTCAATACCGAATCCCGTCGAGGAAAGAATTGTACAGCAACAGCAAGATAAATCGAGGGCAGAGAGGATCCATTGCGCCCCAGTTTTAAGCAGACTCATCCGAAGGCCCGTTTTATAAACGTGATAGTCAGTGATAGTCATCGGCTTGGCCGAAGAATGATTGACATTTGAAAGCTATTTCACGTGAAGTTCTTGGGATGCCTCTTGACTGGTGAGTTTTTCTGATCAAAAATTACCATGTGAAGGTTCATCTTGTGAAGCGCAACGCTGAATTCAGCCCGTGAGGCTCATGTCATGCGACGTTGAAACGGACATTAACAGGCGCCGGTCTGAGATGCGGTTTTCGGCCGAGTGTCTGTTGCAAAGCGAGAGCTCCACTCCGGCAGAGTGGGGCCGATGGACGGGGACCAAGAAATGCCAGGGGCTACGAGCCTCATTATGGGGCGCCATGTCCTGCAAGAGTCTAGTGAGGCGAAACGAGTTGTCGAAGGGGCAGACTAAACGAGAAAACGGGTCATAAGACAACAAGAATTCGAATAATTTGCGCAAAGAATGATTGGGTCCTGCCTTGGCTGCGTGAAATTCGAGCTGTACTGTCACAGGCCAGTAACATAATACTACTGTTCCGTGGATCGCTATTCAAGGATGGAGGCGATATTCGGAACACGGAAAACGAAAATGGAAATGGAGAAGGGAAGTACGTACAAGCAAGCATTCAACACAGTCGCATGCATCTGATTAGAGGACATATGCAAAGTGTGAGGCATTTGCGTTAAGTCTGCAAGGCTGTGATCCATGTGTTTTGTATTGCATTGCGCTACTTTGCGCTTGCTGAGGCTTGACCCCAAGTTGGCAATGTCCATGGAGTTTCCGAATCCTTCGAAATGAAAGCAAACGGGATGTGGCATCCCAGTCTGCCAGTGCAATCACCGCAGGGAATAACGCGCGTATAATCAAGGGCAGGGTGTGTGTCACTATCACACGGCCAGTAAGAAGAAACCCGACGGGCTCTTGATCATCTGGACGTCGGAGGTTTAAACGCCGACTTATCGGCGAGTGGAACCCTGCTCGGCACGGAGGTCGGGCCATTTTGTTTGATTACAGCGGCATTCGCTGATAGCGCAGGTCGAATCTTCAACAGCCCTAGCTGATGTTCAGCCACTGACCTCACTTTACATGTCCAAGGAGAATTTCTGTGATATTAAAATATTCTTTAGCTTCAGGCGGGATAATCAGAGTGTGCAGTAGATTGGAGGTTTGGATTTCGTCAAATGGATCACACCACCCCCACATCGGTACCGACGAGCGGGTTTTGAGCGTGCCCGTGGAGTAAGCAATTCCATGGAGATTTCACTCGTCACTTTTCGGGGCTGCCCTTGACATGCGGCAAGGGTGTGCCAGATATCCGTTATTGCCGTTACGGTACCGATGAAGGGCGAACTGCGGGTTTCCAGAACGCTTCGAAAGACCAGTAAACTTGATCACAATCGGATGCCAAGCCTCGCGGCTGAGAAGACCCGAGATCCTATAGGTTCAGGTCGGAATAAGGGTGTTGTGGGAGAACGACATCATGTTGGATCACGAAAAAATAACGTTAACTCGGTTGTGAGTTGCCGAGTTGGCCAACCGCTTTATCAGATTATCGGCAAGATCTAGACCTCAAGATAGGCTTGTTGTTGTTGATAGAACCCAGCAAACTCAGCAGGATGACATCAGGTCAGCATGTACTACGTAGTTACATGGACGCCCGCTGGAGCTTGCATTTGCTGCAGAAGAGCTTTAACTCCGAATACTGTTTATCAAGGTTTATGTTGGGTCCAACAAAGGACAATGGCGAAATGTAGCAGTCATGGTTGAATATGATGTTACATTATACCGGTTACAATAGAAGTTGATGAACGATGCTTGAGCAAACAGTGATGCCATATTGAGCAAAACACTTTACGTAGCAGTCTAGGTTAGTAGATAACGTTATGTACCTAGTAGATCGTCAGTCAGGACGAGTCATGGAAGTATTTTACGTATTCCAACATTGACAAGAACAACGTTATCCCCGGAGGTGAATGTAACACATTTCACATTTCCGGGGCACATCAGGATGCCAGCCACTGAAGCTAGCGCTCCTCTCGACGATCAGGGTTTTTCGCATTTGGCTTAGGTATGTCGGTGTCATTGACTGATGAGTGTCATGCACTAAGGTTACCCAATGCATCAATGCATACGAGAGCGAAGAACAAGACACACCCCTGTATCCATATTCTTTCAGTTGTTTTTGCCAAGCAACATCAAAATTCGATCTAATGAACAAGTGCCGGTGAGTCTGCGCACGTAGGTCGTGCCTAGGCAAGTGGAAAGCGTCTAACTAGAGCGTTGATGCCGTATTTTGACTCAAACCGGTGGACTTTTGTTTGATAATCAGTAATTCATGACGTCGACGGCAAGATAGTAGTTCCGCGTGGTTGTGGAGAGATGTGGATACAAGACTGGACTGCATTGGCATCGGGAAGAAATAGAATGCGAAAAAGAAGAAAAAAGAGAGAGAAAAGAAATGGGACACGAGCGCACCTTGGAGATTTTTGCGGCCTTGGTTCCGCTTTTTTGGGGAGCCTCATTCCATGGTCTGGTTCACCGTTTTGTCTAAGTGCAGTCTGTAACGTAACGTAACGACTTCCATGATATGAGATGCAATATCCCTCAGCTCTTGAGGGCGTACGGCTCATCTAGAACCATGGCTTGTGCGGTAGCTGGTGCCAACAATCGACAGGGAAGGTGGTTGGTGATGTTTCGGCAGAATCGCAAGGAAGCATTGAATTGAAAGCAAAAAAGGCCGGGGCGCGTCTAGAGAAAATAAGAGAAACGCGAATGATTGATATCCCAGCAATGTTGCAGTAGACATATTGCTTACCGACAATTCGGGAGCACAATCACGGACCTTTTCGTCCATTCGGCAGTTGCACAACCCAACTGATCGACTGCTACCTCACCTCTTCATCTCAGTTACGCAACAAGCAAGAAGCACATGCCCATGTCTTGTCTTGACTCTTTGTCATTGCTGTTGCTATTGCAAACCCGAGCAAAGCCAAACCCACGGGCAGACACCCCAACTGCGGAGTCCGATCGGTTTCGGTAAGATGGACAAGTCCGATTATCGATCTCTTGCTTGTTTTCTTTGCTTTGACAGCAGAGATCTCGAAGACACACGTAGAGTAAGGTCGGCGTGATGTTTCATACGCCCCCCTTGCCCATTGGGCATTGCTTTGAGTGTGAGCCCTGAGCTAAATACGTCACCAACACCTCGTGGAAGTTTGCGGCAAGCTTGAGATATCCGCGGCGCCGGTACGTGGCTCTTTTGTCCCGAGTCTTGGTGTGATGATCACTGCCGTCGCTCAGCTTGTTGGGGATCACCAGCCCTACAGACTACAGAGTGAACTTACAGCAAGCGGCACTCGGGGGAAAAGGCTGCCGCCGAGGCGATTTTCGGAAGCGGACTTAGCTTTGATTATCTAGAGTTGTATTTAGGTTTTGTATCACGTCCCTGGTCGCTCTGTGGGACTGCCGACGGAGGGGGGCGCCTGTCTTAGAATAAGATGAAGCATTCGTTTTATCATCGCGACAAGCTAAACCCTGGGGCGCTACTCGTAGATTTTATCGGCATCCCGCTTACACAATCAAGCACGGAGGTTACAAAGTCACTTATTCAGCGGCATAAGCATTTATTACGGAGTATATACGGAGTATCTACACAAAAGATAAGTCGGACTGCGATACATAAGCATGGTATAATGGCCTGATGGCACGAGGAGTTTGTCGGCTCCTCATCGTTATCTCTTTTCTTCTTGTCAATAATCAGAACATTTTGAGGTTCGAATCAGTTTGGCTGTTGAACATCTTGATACCGAGGCAGACCCATATAATTAGCCTCGACAAGAAAATGATGATCACTCTACGGTCACAGTCACGGTCACGGAGTTTTGGTTCGCACTTTGTTGCTGTGCGATTTCGCTACGTACCTGACGAGTATCTGTAATCGGCGCCGGACGTTGTGATCGGCGCCGAGAACCAGAACAGACGCCCCCCTTGCACTAGCCGCGAAAGGACAGGTCGACAGGAGAACCCTAATAAACCCCCAAAAGAACCAACGGAGCGGATTAGTCAAGTGTAAGCGCAGAGCATCATAACTTACATCCAACTACCTTTTGAGGTAGCTTCGTTCAACGTTGGCGGGTGCAACTTACAAGACGGGGTTGTCGATCATCTGGGATCCGTTGCTCAACGGCCGCACAGCGTGGCCATGAGAACTTTAAAGAAGGTCGCGGGATCATTAGCAAGGATCCTTGCCTGTCAGTAAAAGGTCTCGGCCATCTATCTACATGGTGTAGAAAATAATGGGATGGGATGGGACTCTACTCTCCCGCTCTCACAAGCCTCAAGGTTCCCCCATTTGTCATCGTAGTTGCGCTTCATCATCCGATCCATGTCCCTTCTTGGCGGAGCTAATAAACTAGCAAGCTTTTTTTTTTGGTCGTTCCATCCGCCGTGCTGGGAACGTTGTGGGTTTGTGGATATTGGAATTTGGAACAGAAAAAATAGGGACGGGGAATGGAATCATCAATCCACGGGGCGGGGCCCGAGCACGGGCGGAGGTCGGTCTTGCGGGACGCCGACGAAGCTGCAACACTCCGCGGCCATGACTCCTTTTTTCCCCCTCTCTCTCTCTTTACCGAGTAATCGATCGAAATTTGGTGGACGCTCGTTCACCTTACCCTTCTAGAAGCACTAACTTTCGGTCAAAGTGGCGACAGATACGCAGTAGGAGTGGTTGATATACGGCGTTTGACCTCCACTCATCAAGATGCATGCTACTACGTACTTGCGATGCGGTGATGCATCAGCAATTATCCATTCATCGATGATGATGACGAGATCAATTCTGAGAAGAAAAAAATGCTTAAAAAAACAGGAGCGTTTACGATTAGATATATACGGATACACGTATCTAGGCATGATAGCGCTGAGTGGACTCCCCCACACTTCAGTCATGTCTTACACACATCCATGGGTTGCATGATGGATATCTGACGAGGTTGTTGGTGTTTTATTAGTGCTGTTATACTCTGCAAAAGTAGTCAACTCCGTAGTTGGGCTGGGTCATCTGAGCGTCGAGCAATAATCATGGAATATTCGTCTTACATTACAGTGCAGTGACTAGTATTTGCCGTTCTGAAACCAGCTACAAGCTTCAAAGGGTGTGTCCCTCAAATCAGCTCAACACAACCATTCAAACGGGCACGGCAGTAAGCGCTGCATTTTGTCCGCATTAGGGGTGAATAATCCTTGACACCGTTAACGTGAAGGTTAACGTTGACAGCCGCCTATAATACGCAAATATACGCTGCTGCAATGTGCGTGTCCCTCTCTCAGCCACGGGGGGTTAGGGGAAACAATGTCAACGACAACGAGATGGATGGTCAAACCCTTTTACGCTGTAACTAGTCAACTAACAAGTTAGCTTTGCCTCGTTCTCGGTCTCGTTCCCAGACCCTGTCCAAGTGCCCAAGGGCGCCTTGGCAGCTTCATCAGCCTCGTCCACGTCGTTTGGGTTTTTGGTACAAAGCACAACTTTTGCTTGCGCCCTGAGAACGCGTTGTCCCTCATTTCACATTGCGATGGGTGCCCAATCAATTTGTATCTCAAACGGCCGTTAGCAAGCCAATTGAAGTCTGTTGAGTGCTACTGTCAGCAATCCGTTTGGCAGAGGAAGCATCCAAGCCTCCCGTCAGCCATAAGAGTTATTCTCATTCTCACTCACTCTCGTAGATTGCGCATGTACGTACTCTCTTAAGTCCGCGATGATGGCGGACTTTTACATCGGACTCAGACTCATCAGGGCTAAAGAGGCCCCAAGACAGCACCTTAGAGGCCGAGCCCCACACCATCACCATCTGCGGGTCCCTAAGCCCCCCCTGCTTCCCTACAAGATCCCTGTTAGTGACTTCTCACGCGTTCTCGGACATAAAGATCAGGCCGATGACTAAAAACACACCCTTCTATTCTCCTCTACCCCTCCACATCCACCACCGAAAACTCACTCACTCATCGCAATTCGCAAGCCGCAACCCCAGGCAAGGTCTCTCGCGTTGCGGGCGGGAACTTCCAGTCGTCCCCTAATGGTAGGTACCTACCTAATTACTTACCATGCCAGGCCTTAGGGGAGGGGGCTGCAGGTCTGCGAAAACCTTCCGAGCGCCCAAGACCCGTTACGCATAACTTTCATGACTTACCTGGGCTTCAGACTACCGAGTATGTGTTATTATTAAGCTCCTCGAGCCCTACTTTTGTTCCCTTCCACTTTCACTTCAACTCTCGATATCTATTATATACATACATCTTCCCACCCTTTCCCTTTCCATCCACTTGTGTTCCAACTGCTCGGTTCTCTCTACCTACTTTAGCTTACACATCCATCCAACCCATTCACAACCCCTCCACCTGGATTCCTGGATTCCTGGATTGTATATCGCCTCAACCTACTTCACTTGGAATATCATAGATATAGTAGCTTCAGCTACAACTACAACTTAAGCTACAGCTACAATGGCACCAGGTAGCTTACCCTCTCCTCCCGCCGAGGAACATAAGTCGACCCTTTCTCGAAAGAGCACATCCTCAAGTACCAAGTCTGTCAAGCCTGTGCACCGCACATCCAAGCGAGCCAGCTCAAGTGCTGCCACAATTCACCACCACGACCATGTCACACATACAACTGGCATGGACGGTCGCCATAAGCGTGTCTGGAAGGCTTGTGAACGATGTCGTATGAAGAAGACCAAGGCACGTTTCTGTCACTCAACCTCAAACCCCCCCCCCCCCCGCTCTCACTAACACGGACTCAAGTGTGACGGTGAATTCCCATGCAAGCGATGCAAGGACGATGGTCTGGTCTGTACTGCCGGCGTACGAAAGAAGATGGAATACAAGCAGCTTCCTAGAGGGTACGTACTTATAATTCACTGTGGATCCGCATTTCACTTACACGCAATAGTTACGCTGAGGTTCTCGAGAACACACAATTCGCTCTCATTGCTACTGTTCACAAGCTCTACTCAATGGTCCGAAACAACCAATCGTGGGACTTGGGTGAGCCCGAACTCAACGACCGCGGCCAGCCCGTAATCCACAACATCGCCCAGAAGCTCGGCTGCATCCGCCCCAACAGCGATATCGATCTTCCCGTGCACTCGGTATTCCCTGAAGACGAGGCCGGCATGGCTGAGCTGGCGCGACAGCTCGAAGATCAACAAAAGGAGCATGGTACCCTGAAGGACTCTATTAAGGACACAGATTCTTCCGTGTGCAACCGAACCGAGCGAGCGTCATCATCGGAGCTCGATCACTCCGACTTCGAGCACGATTACCGAAAGGCCGCCTTTGGTAACACCAACGCCATGACCCTCTCACCGCAAAGCTTCGCAGGCAGCGCCGACTTCGACTTTGCCCCTCCGCCACCCGAGATTGACACCGCAAGCCTATTCCCCTCGCAATCCCCCTCGATGAGCAGCTTCCCCGCCTGGGCAATGGCCAAGCCCCAACCCAGCGACCTCACCATGCAATTCCTCCAACAACAACAAAACGGCATGCTGGCAAACCTCGATATGTTAAATCAGGGTCTCGTTGAATCAGAATTCGGAACAATTAAGCCTCACGTCCTCTCATGTCCCAACCCCGAAGTGATGCTGGGCATGGGCGATCCCATGATATATTCTGGCTACGACGGCGAACCGATGCGACTATAAACCTCGACTATGCTTGACTGTACAGTACTATAGAATTGTTTACGGCCATTATCGCTACGTCAGAACTTGTCACGCGGCACGGTGTTCAGGGGCTTTGATTTTGGGTTTTTATTATCTTTCGTTTGGGTTTATACCCTGGTGGTTTTTGGTGTTAAAAGGCGCGGACTCATGAGCGTGGGTTTCAGTGCCGGTATTGTCTGTATTCCGAAGGCCGATGGGGTATGGGGCACGAGGATGCTTTGTGCAAACTACAAAGCCCCATTATCTCGACGCCGATACAAGACAGGAGGTTTGGAGATGGGATGGGTATGATACAGAAGATGTGGAATGAACAGCCACGACAACCTCTGTGCCGGAAGCACGGAGAGTAAGGTTATGCAAAACCATGCCGCACAAAGGGAGGGGAAAGGATTTGGAGTAATGAAGCATGCATATTTGGATAGACTTGTACATATCATACATACCTAATCCGACTCTATAAACCATGACTCTCTACTGCCGCTTCTACTCTAGTTGTTTAACATTGGCCACCCTCCGCATGTTGAGCCGCCCGCAGACAACACTACATGGTTAACACTGCGACTTAAGCCACAGGCACATCATCCATCCATCCCACCCATCAGATCATACATGGCATAAGTTGAGTGCCTCGAGAGTGCATGCCATGCAATGGTCTCGAACAACAGGTCGCCTGCCCCATCCCTGGTCGAATGGTCCCCTTATTTCTTACCCGACCTGAGTTGGGGGGAATTCATTGTAGATCCATAAGTGTGCAAATCACCGAGCTGTCAAATTCCCCCTCCCCCCATACAAATGCCGTGGACTCACACACACATTTCTTTTTTGTGAGTTTGGCACGGACCATTTTTTGGATGACATACAAGAGTCAAAGTTGTTATTCTTAACGGTTATGGTAAAGCTAAATTGATTGTTTTGACAAGGGTCAGATGCACGTGGAATTGGCTGATTGCAAATCAACATTCACGTTGATTAGAAGAAACGCCGAATGCGTGCATGGCTTATAGTAAGAAAAGGCTTTTTTGCTATCTAAAACATCTAAGCTCCATAGACAGTCAATAACCACAAAGACGTTAAAGACACGCCTCTGCTGTTTTGGTGCTAGTATGGAAGCCCGGAGCTAAGCTGGAGTTGCAGAGTCTCTTTAAAGGATTGAAAGGTACATTTTGAGCCGTAAATCCGGGAGAGGTATGAAAGCTTTAGAATGTGCCGGTGACCAATCAGTCAAAAGGTCGCTTTTCCTATTTCGCGATGATGGCATAAGAGTCATCATCCATCATCCGTCGCGCGCGCTCCATCGTCCAGCTGTTACTGCATCCAGCATCGCCATCCATCGCCATCCCACCTAGTAAAGTCTCCGAGCAAGCAAACGTGGGATGGGTATAGATGTTTATTTTATTGGTGGCTCGGTCAATCTACTCAATCTGCAATATGTAGCCTGCAATTGAGGTTGTTTCCGCTGCATTGGTGCCGCTTCTGGGTACAGTAGACGGAACCACATACGTGGTGGATATGATTGGAAATTTGGAACCGTTGCTGCTTACAATAGCATCGAAAGCCTCGAAAGGGCTTCCACCCAGGGCATAACGAGATGGGGTGAAGTCGAAAAGGAGAGGGGGCGGCCGACTTTCTTTATTAGCTATCAGTTGAGTAATCCCCACGCACAACGGACTGATATGATTGCCGTCGACGCCCTCTTTTTATTTTATTTTACACTCTACTCCTCTCGGGACTTTGTTAGTGAGCGGATTGGTTTAGTACAGAGCAACAGCCAAATTGGCAAGGTTAGGAATGTGTGTCACTGTCAGCCCTAAGGTTTGTTAACAGTTGAGCGGGCGACCAATACCGAGTCGAGCGGACGAAACAGCGGACGAAATAGACGCTGACGCTGACGCTGACTTGATGGATCATGTTATTATTTACAGTCCTATGTCTATTAGTTAGTGCGCTGCACTCGCTATGCTGTAGCAAATGCACTCGGCTGTCTTTGAGACATTGCTTGCATCATCATGATTACCCAGACAGCCAGTCCATCTTGCACTGTAGCAAAGAATAGTCAAGCTTCTCGAGCATAGTGCTCTATTGTACGGATAGCTTGCCACATTAGAGAACAAACTCGGTCTTTGAGATCACAGGGTCTAAAAAGATCCTTGCCAGTATTTAGCGACAGAGTAGAAAGAAAAAAGTCAGGAGATGTGAGTCGGACTGCTCGATTGCCCGCGGGGCGGAGTAGGGCCAATTGGGGTTCCGCGGAGTGCGGAGTTGGAGATGGATCTTGATCATTCTCCATGTTGTCGGTTTTGGTGAGAGGCTAGAGAGGAGAGAGAGACAGAGAGAGAGAAAAAAGAACGATGGGAATAAGACGGGGGACCGGCTTTCGGAGTCTTGCAACCCTCCGGCGCGCAGTGGGGTCACGGACGATGACAGGTTCGGCCAACGGGCCAGTTGAAGAGGCTAAGTAAGGCCAGAGCCTAAGGGGTTAAGGATAAGGATGGGAGATGGGAGATGGATAAGGGGAACGAACGAGTCGAGAGACATCGACATCACATCACATTGGACAAGCAGACAGGGGTGTTGTTAGTTAGTTTTGCCCATGGCCGTTTTGGGTAAATGAATCGAGACGACCACCTGTGCGCGTACGGATACAGTATCATCGCATGTACGTAGTACTCTCTGCCCGTGTATGGACAGCTAATTCTTAGGGATGATTGACTTCCTTCAGACTTCTGAGGTCAGTCTCGGAGATGACTATTTCAAGATGTCAGCGCAATCCCGACAATGTGGACGACGCCATGAGGATTGGGGAGAGGGATTGGCGATGCATGTAGAACAGTAAACTAATACTGCGCCTTGCTTGCTTCTTGGTCTGGGGAGGCCTTTAACTTAAAGGCTTCAGTACCTGTGTGTGTGTGTACAAAGTACTAAGCGTATTACGTGGGATGGTGATACATACAGCTGCAGCATACAAAGCAACCCAGGTGTCGATCAAATTAATATGCATTGTAGAGTATTAACATGCCTTGCAGGTATGGTATATCGATTGCTGACAACGGATAATAGAAACATGCTGCAATCTATCCGTAACTTAAGAGGGGTTCGGAGGGGTTTCAAGATGCGCGTTTTCGCAATCCTCGCACCGAGATTTCCCATGTTTAGAGTTCAAAAGTTGATGTGGAGTTGATGCAAATGCAAATGGAAATGGAAATGCGAATCCCATCACTTTTCACGGCCACGCGGTACAGATGTGGGGCCGGGATGCGGGACCGGGCAAGCATAACTCCCGGTGCCGTTGGGCGAAGCAAGCCTCGAACTGGAAGTGATATATACACATAGAATGTGATGGTGATGGTGATGGTGACGGTGATAGATCATACATGATACACATCTCTCTACATCTATATGCAGCTTCTACTATATACTTTTGGATCGACCGGCATAATCATCAGTTAATTGATAAGATATACATACACCTTCTCTTAACAACCTCCTATCCTATTCTGTCGGTTTAAACGACACAATACCTACCTGCTCCGTACTCCGTAACTGAACGAGCTTTAAACGAGTCAACTACGTAATCGATTTCCAAAATATGGGGCTGAAATCTTGGAGAACAAGACAAGACGAGACATGACACCTGGTGATTTACAGCCAGGGTTTCATTTCATACACACACTGATCGACAGCGCAGCCAAACGCCAAACAATCTTCTTCTTTTTTTTACCTTCATTTTCGTACTCCGTACTCTACTCTACTCTACGTCTACCTTCCTCCCGCATTGCACCCGCCATCGCACAAAATACACCCAAGCCCTGCCACTTCTCTCCTCTTCCAATGATACCATACGGTTTCCGAGCATATCCTTGAAATGAATTGCGCAGTTCAGATCAGCATTATGGAGTACGTAGGCAGACGTACATAGTAGACAGGCTTAGACATACCATGGTATGGTACTGCATCGCATCACATCACATCAATCCATCCATCCATCCATCGCCTAAACTGCTCATTTCGCGCCCAGAGGCTTAGACCGCTTGTCCACGTAAACAGCAGCGGCCGGCACTTGAGTTGTTTATCCATCCAGGTTTCTACCCACGTCGAATACGCCGTATCGTGCATCCTGACTTGAATTAGCAGTGCGCTACAATGATCCTTTCCTGGCGTAGTAGGTTGCCGAGAGTTGCCAAGGGATATTGAAGAGCACGTGCATTGGGTCGAAAACGAGATACGAAATCCCCCTTCAAACTCTGTTTTCCTTGTACGCAACGCAACGCAACGTACTCCGTACGGCCAGACCAATACGATAGATACACTAAAAGACTAAAAGACCGAGAAGGAATGAGGCTGCCAAGCCTTGGTCATGTCTTGTCTTTGTGGCCCTGTTCTTGGCTCAGCCAATGTTCCCCTCCCACTACTGTAGTACCTGTGAACCCCTTGACTGACAAAATAACCTCGACAAGTGTTAGAAGGACGCCTTCAATTCACGGGTCCCGATGTTCTCGCTGGCCGCACAACTTATGCCCGCCCAAGGTGCAGCTTCGGTGTTTGGTACTCTCCGTAAGCGTTTTTCGCGTATTAGATAAGTACGCGTATTGCTTTGTTATGGCCGATCGGGCTTCAACAAGTGGCCGGAGCATGAGCATGAGCATGAGCATGAGCACGAGCATGGCGTGCGATCAATCATCTGACGATTACTGAATGCGATTATGCTGGTCTTGTACTGCTCAGCATAGCACTAGTTCAGCTTGAAATGCAGACATTCTTGCTTTCTTACCACCATTATTTTATGGTCGGACGCGTTTACCTCATACAATCTAAACCTCCAAGCCTACCCTGTATCTAGCGCTGACTTGGGTCTGCTTGTAGGACTTTATACATAGAACCATCCCAAACAATATAATCCTCAATTTGTTTACTTGTTTTTATCGTGTCTTAATTAAATGTATAAGCCCAGTGTCAGCTCTACCGAATCCCAAAGTCAACCCTCAAATGGCCTTGAATCTATTTTGGCAAGCACTAATATTCCCAACGCAGGCAACATGTCAGCCCAAAGATCGATTGCTGTATTTTACTGTGATCAAATATCAAGGGTCTTGAAAGTCTAGACTGTAAATTGCTTATTACATTCTGTCATATCTCGCATTAGTTGGGATTCTTACTACTCTTACAAGTTAGAGCAGTTAGTGACACACCACACTCATATGATCACTACGGTTTCAGTCATGAAATAGGATGCTACATAGACGATATGATCCACAGGGCTATTGATACTTTGGACTTGCTGATTGTTTATCTAGATATAATTCGTAGACTTGCAGATTACTCAGTTCTTCGCATTAGCGCTGAATATTACGGAGCAGTGTCGCTAAGGACAATACAAAACGGTGTTCAGACCTACACGAAATAACTACACAATATCGATGTTCCTAAAGACGGAACAGCAATACAGTTTGGAGCAGAAGTCCACAAAGAGTCCTTTATTGGAGCATCTTGGAAACGAGAAAAGGAAACTTGTACATGATCGGTAAGATTATTGATGTAATATGAAGGACTGGTTCAGACCATAGTAAGGGGATGTTGTGACTATGCTGGACCTTCTTAAACTTGAACTTCTTGAACTCATAGACTGCCAACTCTATTCATGAACTGACATGGCACTGTTTAGTTCCATGGATATGGCCTTGAAAAATGCGATGCTGTATGGTGGTGAACTCTAGCGCGGTGAAGTCCTCACGGTGTTTCTTAACAACAATGGCAATGGCAGTGATAATGACAACCCAAACTGGGTAGATAGTGCCGACCACTTATAGTTTCATTCTACATAATGCCCAGTTCAACCTCCGTCATGTCCTATCATTGTTTAGTGGATTTTCATAGAGGCTGATGCCGGCGAGTGTCCATGTTCTAGTTTCCCTGAATCGATGCATGCAAAAGTCCGGCTTTAAAGACAGAGAGTTGTGACACTGCATCACCCATTCATGTATTTCCAGAGCCTGTAACCCTCAGAACCTCTAAGACGGCTATCATGTTTTCTTCTAGTGCGTAAGAAGTACCATTGCTAGTCCGAAACACAACGCTCGATAGACTGAGGGACGACAAGACATCCCTGGAGAGTCTATCGGTGTAGTCTATCGAGACGATGGTCTATCCAATATGTATCTTATGGCGGCAATAAAAGAGAGAGGTGTAGATGGGAAAGAAAGACATAAGTATGACATATATCCATATACTAGCACCGCTAATGCTTACTTGCTTGTCGCTCTGGTCTGTAGCTCCCGTCAAGGAACAAACACAATACGCACCCGAAGATCAGTTCCAATGCACTTCCGCCTATGGTACAGAAACTTGCCTGTGTTACCAGACATTAACCACCCGCCATGGGCACACTGGTGATATTCTTCGCCCAGATCTAGTAAAGATAAGTCCGTGCAATGGTATCGACAGACAGTGAGCATCTGAACAACTATCCCATAGTCACTGCTACACAAGGCAAAGGACTATTTCTGAAGATGTACTGATCATTGACACTCATTATCTATATATCTTGAAAGCCAAATAGTGACCCGAGTTCATCAATCTTGCGCATATCTTTTAACGCCTCCGTCACAAACCCGAGTTTCCGAATCCCCTAACGCCAACCATAATCTGATCACCCCAAATTGATTCGTGGTATCTCGCACCTAATTCTTAATGTCCAGTACCTGCGTTAACACACCCTCGCTAGCTCGCCACCATCGCGCTCTCTCCTCCAGATCATCCGCTGCACCGCCAAGGGCCGCTTCCTTTCTCCTCCTTGCCTCACGCGCAGCAGTCGCGCTGTTCTGGCGCTTCATCTCGAGAGGCTGCAACTCAATATGGAGTCTGTCAGCCTCCTTTCTCTTCCGAGGGACTTTGGCCTGTAGAGACTCTAATTCTCGTGCGAGTTCCTGCTGTTCGAGTTTTCGTTGGTTGACAAGATCTTGTGTTTTGGCAAGGGGAAGATTCATGCTGGGGCTTGTTCCTTCTGGCAATTCCTGCGCTTCCCGTAGTTCTTGGATTCGCATTTCCAGCTCCTCAATCTTAGCAGGCATCTCACGCAACTTGGTCGTTTCAAGTTGCACACTCTCGTATTTCTTGCTTAGCTCGACACCCCTTCTCTCGAGATCGGTCACCATGTCCGCCACTTCTGTCTTGAGCTCTTTGAGCTGCTTTTTGGCAACCGCGTTTTCTTTTTCAAGTTCCATGTTCTCCTCCATGGTGACGATCATGGGCGGATCGCCAACAATGGCTCTGATGAACTTCTCCTTTGTAACTTGTTGTACGTATGAGAACCGCAGTTTGGCGAATAGTTCCTTGTAATGAGCAAGGTCTGCCGTTAAGCTTGCAGGAGTTGGCGCGTCAAAGGCTGAATTTGAGGCATCTGATGTTCTTTGTCGGGTATCTTGAGGCTTTGAGCTTGAGATAGGCTCACTGAGTTTAATGATTGAGATTTCTCGTGATGATTGAAGCTTGGTTAAGGTCTCCAAGACCTTTTGTGCGTCAGACTGAGCCATTTTCTGGTGTATGTATTTTAGAACTACCGTGTCTCTGAATCTGGTCAGTCGCAATATCTTTGATGTGAAGAACTGGCCGGCGTGTAAGGTTGTTGATGTTTACTTTTGAGACCTATTTCGGCTTAGCGCATGCGTGACGAAGCGGTGAAACACGGCAGATGCCTGCTGACATCAATCGGCAGAACCCCCAGCCAAAAGGAAGCGACTGCAACTTAAACTACAAACCTCTTTTTGGCGCAATTTTCAGTCGATATAAATATCTTGAGATTGGCGCATAATTTGGCCTCTTGATCGCGACCAGACATGTCTAAAAATGACGAGCTTTTAACCGACGACTATGTCGCAGACCTCTTGGCGCAGGAGGCCAGCGACTGCTCTATCAAATATTCAGCCATGGGCATGGAAGCATATCGCACGAATAAGAAGTAATGGAGGACTCAATCAATTTCTGGCCAGTCTGTTGCTGACATGGCTTCAGACCTGCGAACATGATGAAACCAAACACCCGATTTTTACGACATATTATTAAAGACACCGACAATCACAACAAGGCACTTTTAGCCAAAGAGGCCGCCGAGTCCAAAGCGCGGTTGAAAGACTTGGAGCGCACCGAAGAGCTCAAGCGACGCAAAACGAACCCGAATGTCAATGATATCAGAAGGCGACAGATGGGCGATATTCATGCCATCCTAGGCGGTAAAAGGCGAACAAAAACTGAAGATGAGGCCGGACCTTCTTCAAGGAAAGATTCGAGACGCAGCGAAAAGGATCGAAAATCAGAGCGCGAACGAGATCACAACGAAGACGACCTTTTCACAGACAAACGCAACGATCGCGGACAACACGGCCGACTATCTCGGGAAGATCGTCACAGTAAGACCGACGATGACTCTAGGCGGTCGGACAAATCCCGCAGAGAACACAGACGACGCGATAGATCACGAAGCAGAGATAGATCCTCCGATGAAGAAGGTCAACATCGCCGCAGTCATAGACGGAGAGACAGGTCTAGATCACCTACTCGCCGACGACGGTCTCGATCACCTAGGGAACCGAAGAGTAAGCATCGGCATCGGTCACCTCTGGAAACTAAGGAAGACCGCAAACGGAATGATGAGGAAGATGGGGACTCCGATGTCTTGGAGGATCTGATCGGACCCGTACCACCCCCGAAATACCGAGGACGAGGAACAGTAGGGGGGTCTTCGGGTATTGATCGACGATTTTCCGAGACATACGACCCCAAGACTGATGTCCAAATGGACGAGGACGAAGGTGGTAATAGTTGGGACGATGCTGTTGAGGCGTTTAGAGACCGCCAAAAGCTACGGCAAAACCAGGAAGAACGTATGAGAGCAGCCGGTTTCGCGGATGAGCAGATACAGCGGGCGAGTGGCACAGATGAGAAGGCAGCGGAGAGCGTGCAATGGTCCAAAGCTGGAGAGAAGAGAGAATGGGATGTCGGCAAGGAGATCGGGTCCGATGGAGTGTCACAACCAGAAGATTAGCTGAGGGTGGACACAACCGACGGATTCGATCGAGGTTGTGTACCGAGACAATGATCCGTATACAATGATTGGATGTAGCGTAGCGAAGCATGCCCTGCCTTGCTTTGAAGATTGGTTTGATGGTCCACTAGGGGTTGGGAGCCTTTGGATAGAGACGTTGACGTATGAATAGACGCTTTGGAAATAGAGAACGCGCTGGCCAACAGATAAGAGCCTGAATCGAGTACGTACGGAGTCCCCGCTGTCATCCAAATCCGGCGGAGTAGAATGGGAGCACGGATTCTTATTCTTATCCATTTTAGTTGAGTTACGAGACTGAATTCGGTTCCTGGATCCGGGCAAACTGAAGAGTGGCATGGATCACGACGCCATGTTTGACCACCAGATAATGGTGCCACAAGATGGGACCGAGCTTGTAAACGACTTCAGAGGGCGGTGGCGCCGAAGAAGCCATAGTCAAGCCGGGACGAATATAGACTTTTGAGATCTAAATCTAAATTAAATGGCGATCCAAGTTGATTCTGAAACTATAACATGTTGTCAAAGGGATGGCTGAGGTGAAAACTTCCTTCGCATTAGGCATAGAATGAGAAGCTCAAAGCTTGGCCCAGGGGGGATCTATTTTAAGGCTCAGATGTGCCGAGGAAGGGGCCCTGCACAACTCTAGATCAGATCAGGCACGAGATATGAATGAGATGCTTGGTTCCTTTTGCGGTTCGTTGATTCGTATTGTACATGAGTACACGAGGGCTTAGTAATGCTTGGTTGGTGTATTCGTATGTTGTGTTGCGCAAGCACTGGATCCGATGAGGACTATCATTGGAGCCAGCGTAAATGCTAGACAAGCCTGTAACCAGTGGTCGTATTGCCCCGCCGTTGAGAAATCAAAATGCAAAGGCACATGTAAATGCAGCAGAAATTTACCAACTGAGGGTTGAAGTAGTTGATATCTTGGTCGTAGTATGAGGAGGACTGACCTCGACTGTTCACCTGACGCTCTCACGTGCCAAGTGATGTTAGTCCAAGAAGAGGACGGACGCTGGGAAACAAATCTACCATGCCCAGAAAAATGGCAGAACCCCTGCTGTTTCACCAACTACAAAACAAAACAGAAAAACACGCGACTTTTGCTAACACATCATGACGTTGCACTTGTGCTCGAAATGTGGTTTTCTTTGTTTCTGAGCAGCGAGGCTTGAATGGGTCTAAAGTGGTTGGTTTTGTTGCACGACAGTCTAATCCAGTTGCTGCAGTTCTCAACCGGTTGCGGTAGAAGGGACCAGGTACCTATGGAGGTTAGAACATAGCCCGCATAGCAACTACTATAGTAGGTACTACCAAGCAAGGCTAACAGAAAGACTTAGTCTAAATTTGGTACAAGAGCGACGTACAGATTTTATTAACATCCATATCGTAAAGCGCTCAAAGTGCTTTAGTATACGGGTTGTACTCCGACCCACCTGGGGACTCAGGAACGAGCAGTTGATATTGATTGACTTTGCAGCGTCAGGGCACCTCGAGCTTACCCCAATTATTTAGCTCAGAAATATGGAGTGGGGAATAGAAGTTTCGTGTCGTGACGTGACCAGCAGACGAACAGAGCAGAGTGGGTGAGAGACACTCCGTAGGGCGCCTGATCATGGCCATGGTCATGACCATGAGTGAATGATAGGCAGAACTGACATTGAACTAACTGTATTAGTGGAGTCGACCAATGACTTGTCCATGATGAGTTTATCTAGGTATCAAGCGATGCCTTTGGGTCTCGGCCAGAAACAACATCCATATCAATTCCTATTGTTATCTGCTCTCTATCTGTACTTGATCAACTGATTCTGAGACGAACATAGCCGCCCATCATTGGGTGCTACCCAGATACAGTAACATGGAGGATCAAAGAACCCCCCGCTTAGGTAGAGAAAGGTCCAGAGCCCACCTCAGGGTTTAGTCTGCTGTACAAAATACAGGGGGGGCTGGCCTCAGTTGCCGGTTACAGCGCTCGCAGCTTACAGACCCCGGCCAACAGCACCTAGTACGGGCCTCCACTTACGGCACCATGCCGCGTGCGGTCTTTGTCTCTTCCCCTCTGGCCCCTCTCATCAGCCATTCTTTGTGCTGTCGTCACTAGACTAGGTAAATAACATCGTATCGAATTGGGTGCTAGAGTGACTTTATGATCTGCTCTTTTCCCTCTCTCTCTATCTCCCTCTTACTCATTTCTCTTGGCCTTGTTCCTGTATCCAAGATAGTATCTAGGTAGTCTGTTGCCTTGCCTATCATTCTCTGACTGATTGATTGTTTGCTTGCTTCCTTGGTTTCCTTTGTACAAGGCTCACTCACTGATTTGACTTTGTAGTCAGCCACACTGACATCAACCTTTTCCTTTCTACCTTCTACACGAACTCCACGTTGTCTGGCATTGCATATACTTTCTGGTTGTCGTTGCTTCTCTCGGCATTTCTCTCATAAAGCCTTGACTGGACCATGTCATAGTTCTATTGTCTCTTTCTATCTCCTTGTCTCTCTCTCTCTCTCTTCTTCTCCGAGTATCCCCATTCGGAGCTTCACATACTACCTCATCACACCTTACACCCCAAAAGACCTAACTTCTAACGAATGATCGGTCTAGACCTGAGGTGACGTCTTTGGTATATCTCCGGGTGACCCCAAAGTCACCTCACTCACACCTCAGCTCACCAACCTCTCTTTCTCCTTCTCATTCACACTCTTCCTTCTGCTTCTCCTCTCCTGCTCTTTTCTTCTCCATTTACCGTTTGGAGATCTCTCATTTATCCACTGTCGTTCAAGATGCGTCCCCCACGCGTTTTTGTTCTCATACTCTTTATCGCAGTGTCTCTCCTCGTCTTTTGCCGCGCTATATCCTCCTCGCTTCGCTCCGCCTACGCCGATTACCCCGCTGGTAACTTCAGGTCAAGAGCAAAGACCAACTCCAAGTCTGCGCATTCTGGTCGTGGCGATGGAAAGTCAACAAATGCCGTCTGGGGCTCCATGTACTACAACACACCTTTTTCGCTATTCCCGCCAAACGCCGCCATCAGCTTGACCGACGACAACAGCACTTCCTTTGCCGCCCGCCCCGCCGCTTTTGGTCCCAAACTCGCCGTCCGCGGTCTAAGTGGCCAACTGTGGGTGGGCAGTGGTTTCGCAGAAGACGCTCTCATACACGGCACGGGCGAATTGGGCTGCAGCGACACCCCAGGATGGAACGAGAGGGCTGAGGCGATTGCCTTGCATAAGGCTTTGAGGGCTGCTATCCCTTCTGTTGCGAGTTCCAAGTCCGACTCTAATGCGCACGCCAAGCGAAGCCGAGTTATCATCCCCAACGCCGGCAGCGGTCACACCACCTCGAGCCATGTTTCTGCGACGCACCACCACGCTGAAATCGACGGCAAGGTCGCACTCCTCATGCGGGGTGGTTGCGGTTTTCTCGACAAGGTCATGTGGGCTCAGCGACGAGGTGCTCTCGCTGTTATTGTTGGTGATAATCAGAAAGGCGGTCCTCTTATTCAGATGTTCGCACATGGTCCAGAAGTTGACAATGTCACCATCCCTTCTGTTTTCACAGCCCGTACTACCGCGCAGCTGCTGTCTGCACTGACACAGCCCGGCAGCTTTATTGAAGATACATTAGACAATCAGGGCAATCCTGTTCTTAGAGTTCAACGAGGTTCCAAGTCGAAGAAGCATCGCAAACAAGGAGTAAAATCCACCGTTACTGCCTCGACCCACGATAGACGATCTCTCGAAAACACCAACATTAAAAAGCGCACCACCAAGCCTGCCTCAAGAAAGCTAAAGACAGCTCTCAAACCCTCGAGGCAGACAGTCACCAGAAAGAACAAAGTTGTTAGAGAACCACCCAAGAAGGTCCGCAGTCCTATGCTTTCTGAAGATAACTATGATGATTGGAAGCATGCAGGTGGTTCCAGAAAGGTCAAGCCCGTTCTCCCACCCAAGGCTTCTCTTATTCGTCATAGCACAGGCAACGACAACTCCATGCCTGATGAGGAAGAGCTCCTCCTGGAGATTTTGACTGAGGACGAGGAAAATGCGATGGACTCTCCTCTGGGTCACGAAAGGCTCGATGGAACTGACGAAGCCGACGATGACGTACACGAAGGACTTTGGGTCACCATCACACCTACGAGTAATGCTAGCCCATTTTTCGATACGCTGCTTGTACTGGTCATCAGCCCACTTGTCACTCTGACTGTGGTGTACGCCCTTCTTATTCTCCGTGCCCGTATCCGCAGACGGCGTTGGAGAGCTCCAAAGTCGGTTGTCGAGCGTCTTCCTGTCCGTACCTTTCATACAGTGGCCCCTTCACCAGTTCCATCACCGAGAACTCCTTCGCCAGCTGCGCCAACACCAACCACTCCTTTGCTCCAGGAATCTCCTGCCCGACCGCGTCCCCGATCGAGAGGCTCATCGGGTTCGCCTGACGACGAAACGCGACCTGCGCCTAGTGATGCTATTCCCACGCCTCCAAGCGCAACTAGGAATAATGCTAGATCAGAGCGCGAGAAAGGTTCTGGTGGGTTCTCTGCTGAATGGAAGAAGTATATGGGACGTCAGGTCGAATGTGTGGTGTGTCTTGAAGAATACGTCGACGGTGTCAGTCAAGTGATGAGCCTACCATGTGGTCATGAGTTCCACGTTGAGTGCATGTAAGTGTAGCAGACATTACTGCTTTATTTCGCATTTTCTAACGATTTCTAGTACTCCTTGGTTGACCACTCGCCGACGAACTTGCCCCATTTGTAAAGGCGATGTTGTCCGATCTCTTGCCCATGGCTCTTCATCTGAGCCGCATTACGAACCATATCGCGACGATGCTAGTGACGACGAGGACGATGATGACGAGGAAACTGTCGCCGAGGGCTCCGGATCCCGCTCCGAAGAACCGGAACTTGATCTTGAACAAGGACTGCTTTCGACCGAGCCTAGATCCTCACGATGGAGTCGACAAGACGGTTGGCTCAGTATATTCTCTAACAACCTTGGCAGGGCAGGCTCGCCCAGCTCAGAGGATCGCAGCCGATAATTTTACACATACCTGCATGTTCATAAGGGTGGCGAGCCATGTAACATGGCGTTTTGTTTTGCACGTTCGGAGTTTCATGGTATATGTTGGCGTAATGGGTATGAGATAGGTGCTGCACTGGATTCAGATCACAGCATGGATTGTCGGGACTTAGAATATCACACGATTGAGCTTGGTTATAGGCAATGGGTCGCGCATTACTAGTGTTGACGATACACTTGCGCTGGAATGGAAATAGATAGGAATACCCTCATGGTCGGCCGTTATATGATTTTAAGCATGATCTGGAATAGTTAGCAAAATCATACACTTTCAAGCTCGAATTTCTTCAACTCTCTCTCGACCAGGTTACAAGACATTTCTCTGATGTTTATGGCCCAAAACCGAACTCCAAGTAACGTTATCTATTTTGTTTCTTAACCAGCTTTTATAACTATGCATATTTCACATTTCCAATTTAGATATAACCCTTGAGGATAGCAGCTTCGGCGTTCAATATCGATGAACCAGCAGCACCAATAACAGCTATGACAGTTAGTATAAATGAAACTCTGAAAGGGTGGGAAATAGACTTACTGTTGTGGCTCAGAGCAGTGAACTTGATGTCAAAGATGCCAGCCTCGTCCTCGCGCACACGGCCGACACTGACGGTGTAGCCACGGCCGAGATCACGGTCAAGGCGGGGCTGAGGTCTGTCGGGCTCGTCATCGCCAAAGACCTTGATGGCGGGCTCAGGTGCCGAGGGGCATCCCAGAGCCTGTGCTTCGCTCTTATACTCGCGTAGAGCCTTGCGAACCTCCTCAGCTGAGGGAGATGGCTTGCGCTCGAAGCTCAAACTGACACAGGCAGTGTGGCCGTCCATAACGGGAACTCGGTTGCAGGTAGCTGAAACACGGAGACCGTCCTGCTCAACAAAGGCAGTGCCATTGTCATCAATGCGGCCGAGAATCTTGCGGGCTTCGGTCTCGAGCTTGTCCTCCTCGCCTGAGATGAAGGGGACGATGTTGTCAATGATGTCCATGCTGGAGACACCTGGGTAACCGGCGCCCGAGAGGGCCTGGAGAGTGACGATGGAGACGGTGGAGATGGGGCCGAACTGGGCTTGGAGGGCGGCGAAGGGGATGACGAGACCAATGACGGCACAGTTGGAGTTGCACACGAGGAAACCCTTGTTGAGGCCGCGAACGGAGCGCTGGTGGGGGATGAGGTCGAGATGGGGGAGGTTGACGGTGGGAACGACGAGGGGCACAAGAGGATCGCGACGGTAGTTCTTTGCGTTGGAGAAAACGGGAATATCGGCCTTGGTAAATTCAAGCTCTAGGAGATTCATAAGTCCACGACCATTTATCATGAGCTGAGATGGGAGGGATACATACCGATATCGCCAGCGACGTCCGAGTCAAGACCGCTGAAGACAACATCGCAGTCCTTGAACTCCTCGGCCTTGCACTCTCTCACGACCATGTTGGCGATATCGCCCATGGGCGCGGCCTGCTTCCATCGCACCGCATCCTTGTACTTCTTGCCGGCGGAGCGAGATGAGGCGCCGATGGCATGGAGGGTGAGGTAAGGGTGCTGGGCGAGGAGGAGGATGAAGCGCTGGCCTACAGAGCCAGTGGCACCGAGAACACCTATACAGATGAAGTCAGTTGTGATGTTTGATTAAAGCGTAGATGACGGCGTGTAGGAGGGAGTCAGTATTGGTGCGAAATCGGCTGAGGCGAGGAACGGACTGGGAATAACGTACCGCACTTCTTGGTAGGGAATTGAGAAGCCATGATGGATGTGGTATGAGAAGAGGTGAAAGTTATACTCTTGCTTCGAGGGGGATCAAACCAGAGAGTCGAGATACAATGTGAAGTGCAGACTCTTGAATTTAAATTTTGGGGTTTGAAGCGAGTGAGTCTACTAACGTTAAATCTACCGCGTACACAACCTGATGACCCCGCGGGCGCGAAAGCATCCCGTCATCGGAGGTGACCCGCGAAAAAAGTACCCCACCATGGCATGAGAATAAATGCCGTGGGTCGAGTTTGAGTTTGTCGTCTAATTAAGGGCATAGAGTCTTGAATAGGTAACAACGATATTAGAGGCTTATGCTCAAGTGCTCTTTAATTGATAGATAAGAAAGAAAAAGAAACCATAATTGGTAATAGTACCACAATTCGACCCAAGCATCATCTCATGCACCTCTATCCAGAGGAGATACCCTTTAGCTTTTCAAGCTTTGCCCATCATGTAACCATATAATTTCCGAAATGTCATACTGAAGTATGAATGCAACGCCATGTTATGCACATTAGACCCTTCAAACCCATTGTCTCATGCCTTGCAAATAATTGATGTGTCGTCTCGTTCCGTCGAGTCAACCGTTGGCCGTCATTTAAGGCTCAATAGCACTGTCGCGTTCGACATTTGAGTAAATTCGGAATTGGGCAAAAATGATGAGATCCTCGGCAATAGTTCCCAGGGAACCAAGCAACCAAGGAAGTGCGTTCAACAGGTACTTCTTATCTTGGGAGTAGGCTACCAGACTGATTCCGTAGGTAAGGTTTCCGCTCATGGAGAGCATGAAGAAAAGCAATGCGAGGCCTGTGCAGTGTTAGTGATGTTGGTTGTTTCAGAAAAAGATTAACTTGCCTTCGCATGACTTTTCTCGGTGGTTCTTGATAATCTGAGGAATTCGAGCACTATGCAAATGTCAATACAATCATCTCCAAGCCTTTCTAAGCAAGCAATAACATACCAAAGGTAAAGAATTGCACTGATGTATCCCAGGATGAGCCCAACAATCTCAATTGTGGTCTGGGCGTCTTCGGGCGCATCGGGTGTACCAGAATCACCGTTCTCCCAGGCGCCAACCTTGTACGAGACAAACCAGCCCGCAAAGCCAATGACGTAGACAGCAAGCAAGCTCAAAGTATTATGGATCCAAGGCGAGCTATCGGGGGTATCGTCCTCGCCGGTCACAATTTTCCTCAATGGCTCCATCGATGATTCGGTGTGTGTCGCATGACGGCGCTGAGACCCGGGAAGGCCATAGGAAGAGCTTCGCCTGCGGTTTCGATTGCCGATGAGGGGAGATTCTTCTGAAGGGTCAATTGGTCTTGCCTCCTCGGCGCGACTCGCACGACGGGCATTGAGGGTGTTGTAGTAAAGAGCCTGGCCGATGAGGACGATGTCGGCAATGCAGAAGTAGCCTGCCAGGGCAATGGCGGTGGGAGCTAGGCGGGTGAACAAGGCTCCTAGTAATGCAAGGTTAGCCAAGCTTGAGTCTGGCGTTGGCGCAAGCCACTTCTAGCCGGTGGTGGAGGGAAAAAGCTTGACAAGGGAGCCGGAATTTGGCGCATCAATGGCATTTGACTCTGCACCAATGGCCACTTTTTGCTCCGGGGACGGTAGGTGGGAATGTACGTTGAGGAACTAACCGATGAGATTTGTGATGTCGCCTAGAAGCCAAACAATGAGGAATGCCATGCTGAGGCCATCAGCACTTTTGGCCTTGTAGTTGGCGAACAATTGGGGTAACTGCAGCGAATAGTCAGCCAAAATGGGGGTCTAAATCAGGGTCTGCTCTGTGCATGCGACTGCGACTGCAACAGTAATTGCAACTGCAACACAAGAACGCGCGAATGGGGGACGCACAAGGAGGCATATCCAAGAAGTTAAGCTGATGCTGCCAAAAATACCGGACAGAGCCAACGTGACGGGTAACGCATGCGCCGCAGCGGCGATTGAGGTCGAAGCCAGCAGCGGCATGGCGAAGATTTCGTCGTTGAGCCGGGAGGAATTGAACTTGAAGTTGAGGAGGGTAGACGAGGAGAAAGAGAGGGAGGAAGAAAGAAGGGAAGAGGCTTGGATAAGGTCAAGGTAGAAAGAAGAGGAGGTGGTGCGACCAAGGTGGGTATCACGAGGCTAGCCAGCGACAATGGAGAATTAGAGGATCAGATTGGGGATAGATCTTGCTGCAGGAAAGCAGAAAACGTAGATCCAATTCCAATTCCAGAGGAAAGAGTCTCTTTGTCTCTGATTCAGATTCAGAATTTTACAGCCAACTCTGGAGTTCAGATTCGGAGGCTGGATCTTCTGCTGCCGTGCCAATTCTTTGAATACAACAATCCGAAAATACAATATGAAAAAGAGTGAAAAAGACTCTTCAAGCAAACAAAGTTAGAGTTGTTGCTCCAAAAACAACCAACGGTTAACCAAGGCACTGATAAGAAACCTCCTCCCCGGCCCCGTTGTCGGGTTCAGCAGTGGAGAGGTCTGTCTTATCGACATCGTTTTTGGTAACCGGTCGTCGTGGATTGGCCAGTCAATGAGCGCTTATCGTGGAAAGTGACGCACTGGCTTGGAGATCGTGTGAGCTAAAATATGGGGAACGCAAAAGAGAGATGGGGGGCTTTCCAAGGCGCGTGAGCCTTTTTTGGTGGTGCGTGTGAGTCTGTGAGTCTGCAAGTCTAAGCTGTGATGCAGGGTCTTGTCTCTCGGACCACCTCCGATAAGAGGCCGATGTTATTCATGTCGACTGGGACTACGTATTTTTTATATCATATACGCACAACTCAAAGATATGATGAAGGCCTCAATATATTCACTCAACTATTCAATACCTACCCTATTCTCATACACACCGCATCAGGATCAATTTCCCCAGCCTCGTTCAAGTTATGTTTCACGTGGCGTGGCACATGCTCATCATGATTCGCCATAAGCTCTCTGCCGTCCCGCCTCTCCAACTGGACCCCTGACAACTCATGAGCAAGCTATCGATCATGCTCCAGGCTAGACGTAGGCAACGGCATCCTTAGCCAACCGATTCCCGCTCAGCTCTGCAGCTCAGACGCGTTAATCCAATACAAACTTCGCCTCCGTCTTTCTATCCATCTCTCCAAGGGCTATCGCTCTTATAACATCTACATCCGCACCACTGAATTCTGCTCTTGTTTCTCTTCCTCCGTGACCGACAGTATACATACATATTGTCGCATTCCTCCATAAACGGCTCCATCTCTTGTAGCCTCCCTTATTCTGCCACCATGAAGCTTCTATCCAGTGGCGCATTGGCTCTTGGCCTTGCCAACTTGCCCGCAACTCTTGCTTGGGGCAGTAAGTCGTCATCATATGAGATCAGTCTTGATCATGAGCTCACAAATCATAAGGTCTCGGCCACATGACCACCGCTTACCTGGCTGGCCACTTCGTTGCCAACACAACCGAGGCGCATTTCAAGTATATTCTCTATAACGATGAGGCAGACTACCTCGCCAAGATAGCCTCATGGGCCGACTCGATCCGATACACGAACTGGGGTCGATACACAAAAAACTTCCACTTCATCGACGCTCACGACAGCCCTCCTAACAAGTGCAACGTTGATTTCGAGCGAGATTGCAAGGATGACGGATGTGTTATTTCTGCACTCAAGAACTACACCCAGCAGTCAATCGAGCCTGACCTGCCCTTTTGGCAGCGCAACCAAGCGGCCAAGTTTGTGGTTCACTTCATCGGTGATCTTCACCAGCCTCTGCACAACGAAGATGTTGAGAAGGGAGGCAATGGTCTTTCGGTAACCTTCGACGGTCGCACATTCAATCTACACCATGTCTGGGACAGCTCCATTGCTGAAAAGCTGCTCGGCGGGCCACGCGGCCCCCCTCTCAAGATTGCCAACAACTGGGCTAACCAACTCGCTGTTGAGATTGCCGATGGCAAGTTTGCGGAGGCGAAGGAGGGTTGGTTGAAGGATCTAGACTTTGAGGATCCCGTCAGCACGGCACTTGCGTGGTCCCGAGAGGCCAATGCGCTTGTTTGTAGTCATGGTAAGTCGATTACGGATACCCTAGCGACAGTTTAAATCTCGCATATTTCTAACACGGATCTACAGTTTTGCCTGAGGGTGCCGACGCCATCATCGGTCAGGAACTGGGAGGCGAGTATTTTGAAAAGGCAGCCCCTGCCATTGAGGAGCAGGTCGCCAAGGCCGGTTACAGAATGGCCGCATGGCTGGATAAGATCGTGGAGGCTTACAAGGATGCTGAACAGAAGCAGAAGCAAGTATCTGAAGAGCTGCCTGATGATCTGTGATACGTTGTTTGAGTATACAGTCATTCTTGGATCATTTGCAATTTGGTACTAAGTAAGATATCATGTCTATAAACTCTGAATTCATACTATTCGTACATTCCATCGAACTGGTGTCTTTGATGTCTTTCAATCATTTCAACTACGGATGAATACATAACAAAACCTTATAGCAAAAACACCATTAATCAAACAAGATCAATACAGACGATTCCTAAACATTACACATTGCATCACACATTAGCCTACGGAAACGCCAATTAATCGATCAAAGCTCGCTTCATCCAATGTCACTTCAAACCTGAGTCCTGAGACAAATGATAGCCCTGGTACTGTCTATAGCAGGAGGATTTTTCAAAAAGTACGGGTGAAACTGGAACGTTGGGGAAAACAGTCTTATCGACATTCTAAGCTTAATCTAAAATAGTGATACAGAGATCCCGTCGCAGGTCCGGTTACAGTGCAAGGATTGAGTGTCGAGTGCTACCTCATGGTTGCAACGCCAATGTAGGGTATTCATGCTATTGCTCGTCTGTGACATATCTGCAACAAACCTATCAGCCATGGAAAACCAGCCTAGACAGACTACAGTAGTGCTGCGTACAGAGCCTGTGATTATAACTTGCATTGCATGGAATTGAAAGCTAGGTATTTTCTGGAAACTCTGATTATTCTCTTAGTTTTCGGAACGCTGCTTAGCCGTCAGGAGCCTGTTCTGTTGATTTCGGTTCCAATTAATAGAGCTGATATGATACATGCCTGCCTGAACTATAGCAACTGCTTTATACTTGGCATTTGTCGGTCAGGCATTGAAACAAAATGAATATCTGCTAACAGTTAATTGGAGTCGAGCCAAGACAATACTGACGAGCTTTGCATGTTTAAAGAAGAAACCTGCTATTATTCATCAGGTTTTCCTGATCAAAATCGAGGAGTTTTTCTCACGTCACAGAGTGGACACTTTCCGACACTCACGCTTAACATTGATGGTTTCGAAGTTTTGAAGTTCGAAACACGCTGTGCATGGAACTATACCCCCCCTCCACTCCCCTAAAGTCCCCGTGGCAGCCGCTGCAGGTACAGTTCGGCAAGCACCTTGATTGGCTGCTCCAGCCCTTAGCAACCCGTTGCAGGTTCCATACAGTACTCCAAAAGGGAAGGAGGAGGCATGGGCTGAGACGCACACAGCCGCATCTCAACATCAACAATGGCAGGCGATCTTGATTGACTCATCCACACCTTCCCTCCCATGTTTTCTCTTGGACAGCAAATCTCTTTATCGGGAATATGTCCACCCGCCAAGCTTAGCCAAGCGCTAACCAATTTGCCCTATTCTCTCCCTCTTCACTAACATTCTCCAACGTCTCTTGTTACACCACTCACTCACCTGAGAAGAGAACCATTATCTGGACCTGTTATGATTATTCAACAACCATGGGTCCCTTGACCGAATTACAGAGACAGAGCACTACGTGCCTAGCTACTCCGCATCGTCTACTACCTTTGCCGCTGTCTCATGTTTCTGCTCTCGTTTCTCAGACACAGCTAGTGCTGTTCCTCTGTTCCACGATGCTCTATCATGGTGTTTCTTGTCAAGTTTGATCGCTCCCTCCCCTGGCCGCCTTACTGTCCTGCCGCCTGCCCGCCCAGAGTCTGCACATGGCTGGACCCCTTGGACTGTAAGCGAGAGGCAGGTCTTGTTACCGTTGTTTGCCTCGACCCTCGTCATGGGCATGGAGTTGCGACCCCAAACCCGCCCCCTTCAGCCGCCGAGATTCCATCCGGTCTGATGTGCGAGCCCGAGACGTTGAATTGTCTGGGATTGTCATAATGGAAGTAAACCGCTTCTCTCGGCATCTTCGTTTCCGATGACATCTCCAGTTTTCCCACAAGGCTTTAAACCCTCCACCCGCCGTCCCAAAATCGAACCATCTTACTACTTTCTCTTCAGCTCTGGTAGTGTCTCTTTTCTTCCATTCGTTCCTTCGAGGCCAAGTTACATTACATTGTCTGTGACCATTCTTTTCTTTGTTTCGAACCGGTCTGGCACCATTCGAAAACTTTTAAACAACATTGCACTTCATTTTCAGCTCGACCTAATTTCTTTTCTCAACCTTTCTCTCTACGAGACCGACATATAATCGCCCATCATGCAAGTCAAAGGTGTTCTCATCGCTCTTTTGAGCGCGTCTGCCATTTCAGAAGCTGCTGTGGTTCAACGAAGACATCCCTTAGCCCGTGCACTCCAACGACGACAATTTGGTGGCGGCGGTTTCGGAGGCGGCAACAACGGTGGTAACAACGGAGGTCAAGGCGGCGGCAACAACAACGGCGGCAACAATGGAGGTAACAACGGCGGTAACAACGGCGGCAACAACGGCGGCAACAACGGAGGCGGCGGCGGCGGCGGCGGCGGCGGTAATGCTCTACAAGCCAACGCCGTGCAAACTGGTTCACAGCAAGATGGAAACCAGCCCGGCTCAGATGAACAAGCAGCATCTGCTACGTAAGTCCCAGCACTACACTCACCAAGCAAGATAGCTGACATTACCTAGGGATGACAACAACTTCATCAACTTCTGCTCCGGTCAAACGCTTACCAATGGAGAGCAAAACCGGGATGGTTCATGTAACGGTATCCGTAAGTCATGCCATAGTTCCCACACTGAACAATAACTGACTTTTTGCAGCCATGGGAAAGATTCCTGGTGCCAACAACATGGTTTCCTCTGTCTTCACATCACCTCAGAACGGCGACAACATCGCAGCCAACCAGGACTTTGATATCTCAGTGCAGTTTATCAACTTTGCTGCTGGCAGCTTTACCAATGCCACAAACACCTACTATTCAGCCCCACAAGACCTCGACGGTGGTGGCAATATCATTGGCCACACCCACATCACTGTTCAGGATACCGGTGGTGACTTGAACCCTACGCAACCCCTGGACCCTCAGCAGTTTGCTTTCTTCAAGGGCATCAATGACGCCGGTAACGGGCAAGGTCTTCTCACTGCCAGTGTTGAGGGTGGTCTGCCTGACGGTAACTATCGTATCTGCAGTATGTCTGCTGCATCCAACCATCAGCCCGTCCTCATGCCTGTTGCTCAGCGAGGAGCACAGGACGACTGCATCCGCATCACTGTCGGAGGCAACGGTGGAGGCGGTGGCGGCAATGGAGGTGGTAACGGAGGTGGTAACGGTGGCCAAGGCGGCGGCCAAGGCGGTCAGGGAGGTGATCAAAACCAGAACCAGAACGGTGGTCAAGGAGGCGGCCAAGGCGGCGACCAAAACGCCGGAGGGCAAGGTGGCCAAGGTGGTGGCCAGAACGGCGGAGATCAAGCTGCCGGTGGAGATCAAGCTGCTGGTGGAGATCAAGCTGCTGATGCTGGTGGTCAAGGTGGTGATCAGGGCGGCCAAGGCGGAGATCAGAACGGCGGAGATCAAGCTGCCGGTGGAGATCAAGCTGCCGATGGCCAAGGTGGTGACCAAGGAGGACAGGGCGGAGACCAAAACGGCGGAGATCAAGCTGCTGATGCTGGTGGCCAAGGAGGTGATCAAAACGGCGGCCAGGGAGGTGGTCAAGGAGGTGGTCAAGGAGGTGGTCAAGGAGGTGGCTTTGGAGGTGGTCGAAAAGGTGGCTTCGGAGGCTTCCAAGCTGCTTCCGCAGGCGATGGAGCTTCAAACAAGACGTCTACAGATGTATGAAGATAACGACATATGCCAACAAGGGACAAGCAGAGCCATCCGACTTGACCGTGGCCCTGGCGGTCTTCGGTATGAGTATCAGCGGTGGTCCTTGAGTCGAAAATACTATAATGTTCGACAAAGGATGGTAATGGAGGTGGAGTTTGGGTGCCTACATAGTTAGAAAGGGTTTGGATTTACATACACCTACGTGCAATGGGTGATGATGGGAAACAAGAGGAAGGTAAGTGTACGTCAAGATATGTTGTTTATTAGTTGAATAAGAATTGGTCACTTCAAAATCGGTTATTCGTTGAGCTATGAAGACTTTTGCATGTTGCTTGCTTTGATGTTTTCTCTCAGCTTCAAGAGTAACAAAAGGGAGAGAGTAGTATCGAAGGGATGTTTATAATTAGTATTGGATCAGCGTTGCATTGTCAGAATCCAAAACCAGACCATCAAAGGTCAAACCCTAACAGTTTCGTGAAGAATCTGGGCAGTGACATGTCGAGACATGGAAGTTGGAGCTTGGTTGGATGCTAGGTTACCTAGCCTCGGGGTGAAATAAAATATCAGACATGGGATAAAAATTAAGATGACTTTATACTAAAAGAAGAATATTTATATAAAATTATTTTACTTTTATAGAAATATTAAAATAATTACTAAATTTTAGTTATTTTAGTTATTTTAATTTAATATTTAATAAAAATTTAAATATTTCTTAAAGCTAATTATAGTAATTATAGTATATAGTAGTCTACATCTACTTGATTTCTTACGTCTAAAGTCTTGTTTCACCCCTAGCCTAGTACCTTAGTACCTTGGGCCTTGATTGTCATTGTCTGAGGTCAGTATGCTTATTAATCACCTGCCTGATGCAAAATGTCGCTTCGCACCGCGGCGCACCTACCTACCTGGTAAATATCAATTTCTCGTTAAGTTGGCAAGTACCTACGTCTGAGTTGCTTAGGTAGTGATTTCCAACTTGAGCAAGACAACCGCACTTGAAACTTGTTCAGGGTTTCTAACTCAGAAGAAACAACTCTGTCAACATATTGTGTTCCCGTTCCCAGATAATACTGCCGGCCGTTTAGGTATCATAACTTGATGCGCCCTATTTATCTTTTGCATAGAACTCAGATCCGCGTCGCTTTTGATCGATATCTCTAGACTCGGTCGATCCTCATTGTGGATCAGAAGAACCTGGCCCCTGTTCATGCATGCAAATCTGGGGAATAACGTTAACCTCGAAGCGATTCCCTCTCTTGCCTAGTGCTACGGTCCATCACTAAGTCTAGACCACACGGCCCCACGCCCTTCGCGCGACTCAGGGACTCAAGCTACTAAAAGGCCAGAGAACTGGGCTTCTGCTTATACGCACTGATAATACCAAGATTCGGAATTAGAGGAAACAAAGGGGTTTCTTGTCGACTATTGCGGAGAGTGACTAGAGATGTACTGAACGCCATGAGATTTCGATTCTCTAATGTCGCGGTCGCGGTTCAACTTCAAGAACTAGCTTTGGCCTCATCCCTGGAACTGTCTGCTGGCTGACTTGACTTTCAAGTCTACGTATGTACCGAGTATAAGCTTTATTAATTCTCAACCCTTGTTTTGTGGCTGACGGAAGGGATATCTACGGTTGATTTGATTCTCTGACTACTATCACTCTGAAGAAAAGCTATCAGGCCTAATATCGGGACTCTCAGGCAAATTCCTCTCACTACACATGACGTTCGACTCTGAAGATATATAAACAGAGCTACCATGGAAAGTCTCAGTCAATATCCGGACAGAACCAAAAGCCATGCGAATAGCTTCGAGAGACCCCACTCGATAGAGACCCTTGGCAGTGCCAACAAGATCATCATGGTCGATGGGACTATTGAGAATGTCGACAAAAATGCTTTTGGAGATGAGCTCGACCAAATGCCGTGTGGCTACTACTGGAGTCCTCAGTTTCTCGGTAGTCTTGCTGTAGGCCCGACCATAAGGTCTTTGACAACTATGGTCACTGATTATCTCAGAGGCGCAATCTTTAGCAAGTATATGTGCTTATCTAGGCTGGGTACTCCCTTCAAACACGCTGTATGTTTGATATCTCACATCTTCCACAAGCGAACATGCCAATATCTATGAACTGCCTTAAACCAATTCGCCCTCACTGAGGAATTATATCAGACCAGACTTGCTAACTTAATGTACGAAGTGCACTTATAAACGCTGATATTGGGCCTTCGACCCAAACCGCATGGGCGGCCACTGTTTGGACTATGGGATCTTCTATTGGCTTTCTCATTGTTGGCCGTCTCTCTGATTTGTACGGACGGAAGTGGATGGTTATGAGCACCACTGTGCTTGGTCTTATTGGCTGTATCATTGGCGGCGCCGCGGGGAACGTAGGCATACTCATTGCTTCAAATGGGTGCAATGGCCTCGCGGCTGCTGGTCAGCTCTCCTTTGGTATCGTTCTTGGTGAACTTGTTCCTAACAAACACCGCGATCCTGTGATGAGTTTTGTCTTCTTGACCTCACTTCCATTTGCTGTCTTTGGTCCTGTCATTGCCCGGACGATGATCAAGAACATACACGAAGGCTGGCGTTGGAGTTACTACGTCGGAATTATTCTGAACGCTGTTACACTTGTTCTATATCAGTTCCTTTACCGCCCACCCACCTTTGCTCAATTACATATTGGAAAAACTAGAATGCAGCAGACCAAGAGACTTGACTGGGTTGGCATGTTTCTCTTCACCGCTGGCTGTGTCCTCTTTCTCGTTGGTCTCTCTTGGGGTGGTACTGCATGTCCCTGGAAGAGTGCTGAGGTTATATGTACGCTCCTCATTGGCATTACGACTCTGGCGTGTTTCTTCGTCCATGGTATGTCGCTTTTCACCACAGTCCCCTTGTTTAGGTATACTTGCTAACACCACATTAGAGGTTTATTTCTGCAGTGTACAGCCTTTGATTCCCTCTCGTGTTTTCAAAAATATTGGATACGTTGCTGTTGTTTCCTGCGCAACTGTTGCCTCCATGGTATATTACTCCCTGACCGTGCTTTGGCCCACGATTATTAGCACACTCTACACGACTGATTCGATCAAGATTGGCTGGCAGAGTTGTGTCATTGGTGGCGGTGTTCTTCTGGGCCAGGCTACTTCAGGTATCGCAATCTCCTATGTCCCCCGTCTCAAGATTCAATGCATCTGCGCTGCTATTCTAGTCTTGACCTTTGTTACCGCCATGTGCTCGCTATCTCCAGATTGCTGGGCCAACACCATCGCTTTTGGACTTGTTGCCTGTTTTTGGGGTTGGATACATTGAGAATGTCGCCTTCACAGGAGTTACGCTTCTCTGGGCGCCTCAGGATATCGGCCTTGCCAGCGGGATTCTTGGTTCTATCCGTGCACTAGGCGGTGCCATCGCCCAGGCTTTATATGTGTCCGTTCTGAATAACGAATTGGCCAAAACGATACTTGAGTATGTGACTACAGCTGCGGTCGGATCAGGATTGCCTGCTAAGTCCTTGCCTTCTCTCTTCGAGGCCGTCACCAGCGGTGATTATTCAACTGTGCCAGGTATCAACAAGGATATTATTGCCTCGGCCAGTGGCGCTGTCGTCAACGCTTATACCGACTCACTACATTTCGTCTTCTACGCTACAATCCCGTTCTCATGCATCATGCTGATTGCTGCTTGTCTCGTTCCGGAGGTCAAGAAGTTCCTGACCTACGACGTTGCCAGGCGTCTTCAGGACAAGGGTTTCCGCCAGTCTAACTCTGAGGTCAATGAGATCTAATACCGTATGAATGATGGTTGCCAGTCACATCAAGCTGGAATGGTTTCAACTGCGTAGGCTCCTGGGATTCGTGTTATGTTCTGAGAGGTCGTGCCTACCTTATATAGATCGTCTGGAGAGTAAATTGTGGAATACACCTAGTTCGGATAAGTATTTTTGACAATGTACTAGTTACTATAGTGGTTGTGTAAAAGTTCCGACAATTTCCTCTATTCTTGATTTTACAAAAGGCTATATAAATTATAATAACCTCTTCTTAATTTATATAATTATATTTAATCTAATTTTAAGATTATATAGAGAGTCTTCTAATTATAATTTACTTAATATAATTATTTCTAATATAACTATGTCTTGTTAGCTCGTTGTCGGAACTTTTGCACGTAACTGTATGAAGGGCTTCAGTTGCTCTCCAGAGGTACGCAATTCAGCTAAGTCAATCAAACTCAAAAGAGACTTGATTTCTGTCAATGGTATATTGTATAGCCGGCTTCGTATGAGGCTGGCCAAAAGTACGCTTAATCAAAGAAATCTCCTTTCACCATCAAAGCACAACGATCAGACTGAGAAGATCCTCAGACTTTCGTCTCTTCCATCACTAAACACGAATACCGCCATTGAGCTAACCATCCATTTTAAGAACCATTTCTCTAGCCGCGCTGAGGCCTACAAGAGAGTCAGTAACTATCATCCCAAAGACCCAGATAACCTGGATGATCCGAATACATACGCGCATCCCTGAGGAGTAACTACACCAAAGGGACAATCGCCCGATAGCTTCTCAACGATCTGATTGAAGAAAACAGGCGTGACGACGATGCCGGCGCTGACGAGGGACGCAGTCGCAGAGAGGAGCGTGACAAAGAGCGTAGTCTTCATTTTGACGAGTATGATATGAAGTGGCGTGATATTAAACCGTGAGAACTTGGATAAAAATGTTGAAGGCGTGTAATTACAGAACCAGCTGAAACCACAAGGAGAATGAATTAAAGTTGCCGACAGGGGCCTGAAGGAAAGAATGAATAGCAGCGCAAAGGATTAATTTATTTTTGATATGTTTAAAGAAAGAATCGAGAGGAGGAAGGGAAATCTATGAGGGAAAATGGGGCGGGAGGCGGCAAAAAAAGGGACTGTTACAGGGGCGCGACGGTCGAGGTTTCAGGTTGTGAAACGAAACGAGGGCACGACTGGTTCGTAACGAAGGGGCTATCAACTAATACGGATACATCGTCCGCGTCTATTTAGACGATTATGTACGATGTATGTCATTGAATCTATATATTATGATACCTAGGTGGAAATACAAGGCAGAAGAGACATATGCTTAAGACATGGCTTCTTGGTTTAATTGTGTGCATAAATTCAACATTAAAGGTTGTGACTATAGTACTTTACATGTGAGTCGAGGCAAGCTCAGAATATATGCTTTCATCCCAGCACATCATCAAAGAAACACAGCTAGCTCATCAAGACCAAGTGGCAGCGAAAAGGCGCAGAGTCCGCGCAGATAGCTATAGTAAAGACGACAACAATGGTTAAACTGTGGTACAGCAAAACTCCCAAGTTGAGAAAGTGTAGGGCTTGTATTAAAACCTATAGCAAAAGTTGACTATTCACCACCCACACAACCGAGACCTCTAGTAAACCCCACCACTTTGGTAGTAGTTGTCTGGTGCTGGGGCAGAAGGGCCATCTCCAGGAGGGTTGTAGGGCTTGTACTGAGCCTGTCCGCCGGGAGTGCCTTGGCTGGGCAGACCGTGACGAGCATCATACACAGCAGCATTTCCAGGCTGCAGAGGCGGAGGAGTCATTACACTCTGAGGTGGAGGAGGGGCTGAGCCTGTGGGCATTGGAGGTGCTTGAGAAGGATTGTAGCTTTGGTATTGCTGGGGCTGTTGCTGATGAGAAGCGTAGGGACCAGGAGGTGCGTTAGCGTTCTCGTTATTTTGGTCCTCGGGAGAATAGACCGAGCTTGAGAATGTAGCAGCTGAAGCCGGTTGCTGTGGGTTGTTGGTCGCAATGGGCGAGTCGTAAACAGAGGTTGCCAATTCTTGGGCTCCGTATGTGCTACCAGGCCGACCACCCATCGGTGCTTGCGTGTACGGGTTGTTGCTCTGAGATTGGTTATAAGGATTGAAGTTTTGACCAGGGGCCTGGGTGTTGATGGGGGCAGGCTGTTTGCTGTTGGAAGGGGATTCGTTTCTGGGAGGGTAAGGCTGCGAGCCAGCAGGCACTTCAGCTCCCGCCACGTAAAAGGGAGGTGCTTGACCTTGGGGCTGACCCTGAAAGTTGGGAGGAGGGGACGAAGCTTGGTATGGAGGTTGCTCTTGGAGATGGTCAGCATGATTTGTTTGGGTTATTACATGGGACAACATACCTCCTGGGCCAGGTGTATAATAACGTGATGGGTCCTGAGGAGCTACTCCTTGGGGAGGATATCCACCAGCTTGAGGATAACCTTGACCCGGTCCTGGTCGCATTGCGTACTGTTGATAGTTGTGTTGAGGGGGATGGGCCATGGAAGACTCCAAAAGTGCCTCATAGTCCCGTCGAGCCTTGATGAACTTTTCGTTCAACTGTGTAAAGTCATCTGAAAGTGTAAGCAGACGTTCATTGAGTCTTATATCTCAAAACTTACCCTTCTTCTGGGAGTACTTCTCAATCAACTTGATGAGCTTCGGTCGGATGGCAAGTGTCTGGTGGTATAGTTTCTGATAGAATGTTAGCTTCGTTTGCATGTGCCAGTTTTAGAAAACAGCCTACGGAGATCTCTTCGTTGTCTTCTTCTCTTGGTGCTGTGTTAGAAGTGCTCAGTAGTGTGAGTAGCTTCTCAACATTCTTGATCTCAGCAAACACTTCGCCCTCCATCTGAGCCTCGCGTTGCAATTCATCTGGTGTGGGATCGGCAAGCTTTTCGACATAGTTGAGTGGAAAGATGCCAGTCTTGCCTCGTAGAGAACCCCGCCACCAGTCCTTGTACACGCTTTCGAGAACGGCAATCACATCGCCCTTCTTGAATTCCAGCTCACCAGGCTCCGAGGGTGCGAAATCGAATAGGGCGCGCACCCGGCTAACAGTAGCGGCTGTAGTACCGGCGGGCGCTGCAGGAGCAGGGCTCTCTGTCTGGCCACTGGGGCCAGCTTGTACACCTGGGCTGCTGGCAGCAGTCTTCTTGCGCTCCTCCTCCTGAAGACTCAGTGTGAGTGCCATCTGCAGCTCATCCTCCTCCTTCTGGCGATCGACATCAGTAAGGCCTTGTTTTTGAGGAGCGCTCGGGGGCTGGAGGTTCGGGTTACTCCGTGTGGCGCGGTTGTAGGCATCGCTCATGATGCCCAGCTCGGGGTCGTTGTTGAACATGTCGGACCAACTCTTCATGTGCTCAATGATCTTCGATTTGACCTGTGTGTGTGTATTGCGGTCGCTGGTGAGGCGGAGCAGTGCATCTGTGAAAGCACGACTGGAGAGCTCGCGGTGCATGTTCTTTCCGCAGTTTTGAGCAAGAGCATGCGCAAGCTAATTTGGAATTAGTAGATGAAGCTTGAGATGTTGAGGGCAAGCATATGGTGGTCGACGTACCTCGAGAGTGTAAAGCTGGACGTTGGCATTGCGATGCGCAAGACGTCTGATAATACTCTGAACGGCCTCCTTAGGGCCATTTGGATCGTTGCCTACTTTGTCGCAGACCTCGATAATAGCGCCCCAATCCTCGGAGGTGAGGTTCTCGTCGGTGGCCTTGGCTATGCTGGGGTCAGCCGCAATGATTCACATATCGAGATACATGCAAGTCATAACACGCTTGCACGCTCAGTCAGATATAAAAGAAAAGCGCATAACATACTGACGGCATCGTCATAGGGGCCTGCTGCTGAGGCTCGGAACATGGTGGTGGTGATTTGGGTATCAGTTATCGGCGGGGGTAGTTGTCAAAGCGCAAGACGCGGCGTGTCCTTGTTGGCTGAAAGCCTTGGGTATAGTGTGCGTTTATCGGTCGTATGACTGGAGAATAGAGAAAGCGGTAGCGACGATGTGGATGTTCGGTGTGGAAGTAGGTTGGCGACAGTGATGCGAGATGCGAGATGAAGAGGTTCTGTATCCGTACCAAGACCCTGGGTTACGTCTTCGGCTGTCGCACTCCACACGGGCACGTCACTTGGACTGTTTTTGTAGATTCCTTTCTGAACAAATGTGAATCGTCGTACGTAGACGGCTTTGTAGTCGGTATCGTGTTTACGGCAAGGATATAGCGAATACTGAGTACTAGGTAATGAAATTACCTAAGGTTAAGAGTTTATAATTCTAGGCAGGCTTCCTTCCAGCTACCTCTCGCTTTCCCACTGATGACGAACGAGCGGCGAAGGAAGCAGCGGGGCTGAGCTACCTTACCTGGGTAACCTGGCTACCTAGGTGCCTTCCCCAACCTGACCCAAAGCACAAGCTCCCTGGTGCATGTGGCTGGAGGGCCACGCGTGCGCCACAATACATCATCTTCAGCGTTTAACATGTGCACAGCCAACTTCTAGGTAGTACCCATCTCAGGAGATGGCTTTGTCCAGTTGAAGGAGACTGGGTATGCTTCTCTCTATCCATATATCAGGATGAGAAAGACTGAATTACATAATTCTGTTGAACTTGACACGGTATATAATAATTAGGACTACATAAGACGGGTGGTATTTAATTTACCCATCCACAAGACTGCAACTCCGCGGCCAGTTGCGCGTCTCCATCATCTTGGTGACGTCCTTACGTGGCGTTGCTCCTCAGGTTGGGTACCATCGGACAATACTAACAAGCCATCGCACAGGCTCTAGAAAAGTGCTTGGACGTTGGTAGTTGATATTCCTAACTTTGAACTCCCTAGGCCTGCCTTGTAATGAAGGATGCCGCTTGCTATAGCTACATTCATCGCTGATATGAACCAACCTTCCAACTGAATGATGAATACAAATCCATGTACGCCGCTCGTTTCATCCATAAACAATCTACTAAGAGACAACCCGACGCCGTCCTGCCGGCAACTCCACTTCCTTTGAAACAAAAAAACCCATGGTGTAGATGGAGCTCATGAATATTTATCCTCCTGCTGCAACCAAGTTGATGCTGTATGTATCGTATGTTCAAAAAAGCCTTTGCATATGTGCAATGCCAGCCACCCTTACCATCCTCGCCTGGAAGCACCGCGGCTTTCATATCTTCCCTTCTCCGATCCAGAGCCCGGTGCCCCATGCGCGCTGCTATGCGCCTCTTCGATGCTTCGTCGACCTTGAGGATCCATTTCCGAAAAGTCAAAAACCAAGGGTTCCTCATTGACTGAGTCATCGTCGCCCCGAACTTGCCTGTTGACAGAACCAGTAAAGCTCCCACGCGATGACTGTGGCGGGGTCTGTCTGTGTGAAGCCATGCCCATATAACGCCGTCGGCCGAATGGTGAACTAGATGCTGCTGCTGGAATCAGCCCCTCAGGAGGGTTCTCCTCCGAAAGTCCTCGCTGAAGCATCCCAGGTGTGTCGGAGCTCTCGATTTCAGCAGCAGGCTGAAGGCGATCCGATTCCCCTTGCGTGGACTCTTCCTCGAGCTGCATCTGCCTACCCAACAGAGTACTTAACGTAGGAGGCTCTCTATCATCAGCACCTAAACTGATACTTCGGTGCGCGAAAGTGAGATCCGCATCATCATCATCCACCATCGATCGATTATGTAATGCTACAGAGCTCGCCCGTCGCTGATATGTTGCCAGTCGTGGCGATAGAGGGATGTCAATAGCTGTCGTGCCATCCTGCGTCACTGTACCTTCCCTAATGGTACCCGGCGGTGCGTTATCAAAGGCTCGCCCTTGACGTGAAGTGATCCGTCCTTGTCCAGTATAGTCAATAATCGAGTTCTCGCTGAGTCTTGATGGAATTGCTGGCGTGTGGGGTGTATGAGGCGAGAGCGGCTTGCCAGGAGACGACGAAGCAGATACTGACGCTGGTGCAGTCATTCCAGGCACACTCGTCAGTTGTCGACTAGATGAGCTTGATGACCTTTGCATCTGTACAGAAGATGTCATTGACTCAGTAAGAGCATTATTCGAGTCCTTCATCTGGTGGAATTTTGATAGTTGCGCAACAGTTCTGTTCGTAGCGGACTCGCCTTTCTTCGTCGACTCAAAGCTCACAATGTTTTTCTTATCTTCCATAGCACGAATGAAGAGGCGGAGTTGCTCCTCGTCCTCTTGGAGCGAGTCTGAACTGGTCCCCGCCACCTCAGCAAGAAGACCAGACCCGGGCTGCGCAACCGAGGATGACAGACTCTGCTTTCCGCTACTGCCCTGCTCATCATCTCCGGCGCGGCTAGCTCCTCCAAATGAAAGGCGACCACGACGATGACCAAAGCTGCTGCTGTAGCGACTAGTTGATGCAGGTCGTGGGGAACTAGCAGTGCCGGGATCTACAGATGTTGGAGGAGGGCCACCACGTAATGAAGCTGGCATGCCAGCAGTAAGGGATGTCCGGTTTCCTGCCTGCCTGAGCGAAGGAATACCTGGTCGTGTCAACGACTGAGGGGAAGCTGGCTCAGTGTCGATATGCTTAGGTATAGGCGAGCCCGACAATGAGCCCGCCTTGAAGGGCTGAAAAGACACCGAGGGTCGTCTGCTTGAAGCCTCTCGCAATGATGGCCGTATCGTACTCTGGCGGACCGGCATCGAGCTTGGACCACCTCCATCGTTCTGTGTTGGTAGTGACTCTGGGGGCGAACTTGTATCAGAACCTGGTGCCCGCACCGATCTCAGAGCCGAGATCGGGCTGGTCCCCACTGGGACGTTTCCGTGAAACGTTGATAGACTTCCATAAGGTTGTTGCATATCACTCAAGTTTGGGCGCGAGCGATGATCTCGCAGTGATCCTACCTCAGCTATGGGCCCCCGCTGATTGTCATCCTGCTGCGGTAGGGAAGGTCTGAAGAAGTTTTCGTCGACGCCCATAAAACGAGAGCTTAAAAGAGCCTCGGAGTCATCCACCCTGAAGTTGCAATCATTGCGATACGTGACAACTGTGCTCAATCGCCCGACAGGGACCTCCAGATCTCCAAACACATATTCCGTCACGGGTTCAGGACTGCCATCAATGGGAAGACGCAGCTGATCGTAGCGTGAGCGATCAGACTGGGATGAACGTATCCGGCATTGTGGAATGAGCGCCGGGTGAGAGTTCTTAGCAGGTCCTTGGCTAGCAAACTTCCATGCTGGGAGGAGGCGGGTTGCAGTAAACAAAGACCGAAAGAAAACGATGGCTTTCTTGTAGATGGTTGGTAGGATCGGGCCAAAGTCGATAGGTGTTGCGCCCGAGTACTTGAGATCAACCCGCCACCTCTCAATAACGACTTCGTAGTTTCTTCGCGATGCACCCGATGAGCTATCGGTAGAGGAATTCGATGAGTTCAACTGTTCCATCACGTCCCATCTTTTGCCGCTCTCATCAACGATAACAAGACTCTGGCTATCTTTTAGTCGCGAGGTATCCAGGTAGACCTCGATAATCATTGGGGGTGGGCGATTATCGAGGCTACCACAATTCTTCCAGAGCTTGAGTTCATCCCTAAAATCATCGATCTCATCGGTCTCGATTTGGAACTAATTAAGAATTAGCCACTGAAGTAATACACACAACCATAAAACCTACCCATTTATTGGGTTTCCGGGCACCGTTGGCCCCGCGCGCAGGCTTGGTCTTGATGCGAGAGTCGAGGACAAGCACGGCTGTCTTTGCATAGAAATTCTAGAGATTAAGAACGTATCAGCATCTCAAAGCTTGGCTAATGCATCTCAACCCATGCCATCCATACCTGTATTATTTGGTCAAGCTTTTTGACTGACTCTGCGGGAGGTGCTGGTGTCGGTGTCGATGGGATCTCGATGTTTGGTGAATTCGGGGCATCTCTACCGGCGACATTAGAGCCGGCTCGGGGCCGGGAGCCCAGAGCAGCTTCTCGCGTGCTATTAGATCGGGACGGTACACCTGGCTGAGGAGTCCCAGCTGGTGATGACACCCGAGCCAGGCCACGGGGTTGTTGATGCATAGTATGTCGTGTGCGCAAATGATGTTTGCGGGCGTTGTGTAATAGATAGATTAATTACGAACGTATAGGAATCTTGATCGGCCACGAGACCTGCTCATCCATTGTTCATATCGTTAAGGGCAGGCCGATAAAAGGGAGGCTCGATCGATGGATTCGGCGGCAGGTTCCAAGGGAATCGGAATCGGAATTGGATGCGGGCTCGGAGAGGGAGCGGAGGCAGATTGTAGGTTGATACGGGAAGTGTAAAAAGCGACGAGGCGAATCGATTAAAGCTTGGGCCGTTGGTTGCTTGTATTGTCGGTGAGATCCAGGCACGTCCAAATCAGAGTCGAAGCAAAAGCAAAAGCAAAAGCAAAAGCAAACGCAGACGCAAAAGCCGGGCAATGCAAGGCAGGGTAGGCAGACAGATGCAGCTCCCAGGGTTCGTTGTCGATGCAATAGGTCTGGACGAGGTGTGAGCGAAGAGGGTCTAGCACGGGCACTGTACGGTGCAGCACAGTAGAGGACTGATGTCGCACTAACATGGGGGGAGAGAGCGCCTAGAGCACAGGACTACAGGTACCGCGGTTGTTTGTGTTCTTGTGTGCGCATAAGAAGATTAAACAAGACGGTAGCGGGTTGCTGCAGCACGGAAACCGTTGTTAGATGTAGCAAGATTGAGTCAAAAAACCGAAAAGAGAATTTGAATGTTTTGTTTGTCTGAGCCGAAACCCGAGATAAGATGGAAATGCTACTGTAGATTAGAGGCGATGAAAGAGGTCACCACCAAGGACCTCGTGATGAGCAACAGGGAGTGGATTGGATAGACAGGCTGTCGTCATCGGCTAGAGCCTCACGTCACAGGGAGGGTTCATAGGTCTACAGTGCTGTATGCGCCTGAGTCGAGTCGAGTCAGCGACAGTGTTGAGTTGATTAGATCTCTATAAAATACAAGATCTGACGTTGTTTGTCGATATCCAAAGATGAGAGATGAGAGGGGTTTTCTAATCTGTTGATTGTCTCGTGACCAAAGAACGAATGGATCTTATCCAAGATAACGGTCCAGCCCATATCAATACCAATGCATGAGACTACGGTAGCGACTAAAAACACTCCGACACCTCAAACAGCCTAAGTCAGATGGAGAACAGGGGGGCGGGACCTGACCTATGCTTCCATCTTCAATGTCCCCTAATATTCAGGGTCTATCCCCACAGAGGTTCTCGTGAGAATACCTATGTCCGCTTAAGGTCCTGTACCTTATCACGCAATCCAACGTAAGAACATTGCGATCCATTCTTGTTATTTGCTCTTCTTCAAACAACCAACCCCATTCGTAGCTTTAGGCAGGGCGTCCTTCGCCAACTCCCTGTTCTCTTCTGGTTGGTTCATGGTGGCTACCAAAGAATAGTCACAGTCATAGATGGGATTGATGTTGAGTCATGACATCTCCCCTCTTGCCCCGAGTATCCATTGCATTGCATTTGCTGCGACACGACCACACGAGATAAGCGCTCTACCTTGTAGATAAGCGGCGCTGCCTGCTCAACCACACAACACAACCTCCCTCTTATCGCGGTATGGTCATCTATCTACCTCTGGTATGCATCTTTCTTGGAGCCTGCTCTATCCAGTCTAGCTTTGTAGATCCGGAACCTTTTCGCTTCTCATCAATCCATCCCCGCAGAATGCATGTGGTAGCGGATAAGTCAAGTACTCTAAGCCTACATGCAGATACGGCAACTTTATGCCATGCCAGTCAAGCGAACCTTGAGAGTCAATGTTATAAATACACCACCTTGATGAGGGCATGTTCAGCATGTATAGTGTCACATATGCATGGCTGAGTAGCCCTCATCTTCATGTATCAAATTCACTTATAAACATTGGACAGCCATAATTATTCTACAGTTCCTCTATTCATTTTGGAGATGGTCATATATACGTTATACTTAGCATTCGAAGCCCAGAAGCCAGCTAATCCCTACAATAAAATAGGCCTGCCAAGTATGCAGCTGCTCAGCCTCAACCTGTCCAATGTCTCTTTGAGTTCTATGCTCCTCAAGACCAGTATTCTCACTGCAATATCATGCAGCCTGGGGTTTGTTGCCACGTCCCTTACCTCCTCTTCCTCGACCACCGCCAGCTCCAATTCCACCTCCACCTCGTCCGCCCCTAGGTCCCCGGTTGTTGGTGCTTGTGCTGGGGGCACCTCCGGCTTTGCCTCCACTTGCACCGCTCTGCTCGACGTTCGCAACCGCTTCACCGGTGCCTTTAGCCTTACCACCTCGTCCTCGTCGACTCTTCTTCGCTCCCTTGGTCTCTTTTTCTCGACCATTCTTCTGCTTTTGCCGAGCTTCCTCTTCCTCCTGTGTTCTTCGACTCTCTTGGTCCCACCATTCTTGAAACGCTTGCTCTTGCTGAATCTCTTGAAGTGACCGTTTCGCAACCGCTTCCTTGACGGCCTCCTGCTCGCGCTTCTGCTGGCCAATGATATCTGCCATACTGAACCCGATAGTTGGCTCCGCTTTCGTTGCCGGTGTAAAGTAGGACTTTGAGTGTGGCACCAACGGCTTCTTCGGCTGCTCTGTCGATGGTCCTGCGACAATTGCGGGGGAGCTGTTGGTTCGACCCTGTCCCGGAAACCTTGTGTCGGGCGACGCTGTGCGCCGTGTTGCTGACTTTGTTTTGGTCTCTGAAGCGACAAGAGGTTTTGCGTTTGCAGATACCCCTTTAGGCATGTTTGATTCCGCAGACATAGCCTCTTTCAACGACGTCTTGGGTCCTGGACTGGCTGCCTTCCAAGGTGCCGGTCGTCCCCCTTCTGGGGCTGCTTCCCAAGGTACGTGGTTCGTCGACTCGCCCTTGACCGCCGTTTCAGCTGCTGCCTGTGCTAGAAGCTGCCTCTTCCGTTCCTTTTGCGATATCTTGGTCTGTGGCTTGTTCCCAGCTGCGTCTTGAGTCTTTTGAGCTTGCAATCCGGCTGTTAGAGCAGATGTAGACGATGCCTCAGACATAATATCCTTCAGGTCTAACTTCGAAGTAGCCAATTTGGAAGACGACCACGGAACACCAGGTCTGGATGATGTACGACCTGGTGTCCTCAGGCTACCTAGTTCAGAAGGTTGGGAGTCCGGGGAAAAAGAGAAAGCAAGAGGAGTTGGGCTATGTGCAGAGCTCGCAATTTCCTTGCCCTTCGACTCTCGCCATGCTTTGGGAAGTTGCGGCATATCATCTGTATCAGGTGGCGAACGAAGATTGACAGCTTCATTTGTCGGCGACAGTGGCTTGGCGGACAAAGAGCCGTCTTCATCCTCCATGTCGAATATCATATCTGCCTGGGACTGTTTTGGTCGCAAACTAGGACTGAAAGGCTCGTTACGCCCACCTCTTGACTTGCGCCGAACCGTGTCTGGGGTCTGCAGGGGGCTACCTTCATCCAAACTACCAATACGCGCCTTGAATGATGATGATAGCTTCTTCTCGTCATCCCTCTGAGCAGTCTTGTATGCCATCTCTCTTATCCTGACATGTCGTTCTTCTTCGATATCAGCAGCCAATTCAGGAAAGCTCTCATGCAGCAGCAGCTCCGCCCTTCCACTCCGTACAAAGGGGAAACGTGCAAGTTGATTATCCCGGACCACCTCATCAAGTTCAAGTAGAAGGTCTTCATCCAAGTTATCAAGAAGATGATTTTCAAGCATCGACTCTAATTGCAGGCAGATGTATTCAAGTCCTGTGTCCTTGAACTCTGTGATGGAGCATGGACTGATCTCGTTAAGCAAGTTTGAAATGTTTCTTGTCGTCACAAACTTGCCAATGAGACCTTGGCAAATTTGGGATAACCTGTCGAGCATCAACTCGTTTGCGGCCCCCATTACGTCAAGCACAAGTTCCGATAGCTCATCCAGATTAGACACCGAGACATTATCAAAGAGCTCTTGTCCAATGTCCGCGTAGATAAAGGACTTGACATAGTGGAAGGTTTCAGGGTCGATGTGATTGAGGTCAACTCGAATCAGCTCCGTCGAGTCCATGCCATCACGGCGTCCAGCAAGCCACTGGCCTTGGGATCGTCCATGAAACATGCCCTCGAAAAAGGGGCATCGTTGACACAATAATTGGCTGTGCGCCATTATGTCTTCCCCGTCCAACTCAATGATGATATCGCCATCATCGAAGAATGAAGGATCGGAGATTGCTTGCTTGAAATCATCGTCGAGGGATTCTTCCACACCTCCGGTCTGCAAGCGAACTGCTGTCTCCAACTTTGATAAAGCGAGAGCAGTTGCAATCTTCATCAACTCTGTCCTAACATGTCGGAAACGAAAGGCAAGTGAAGGTGCCTCACGCGTATACTTCCATACTGGAACGAACCTGTCCTGATAGGCGTGAACCACGACATTGAGGACAGTGTAAATATCGACTTCGAATAGTGTCAACAAGGCCTTGTCTCCCATAAGCTCAAGATTGAAGCTGTCCGTGCTGAACGTTGCCCCTCGGGTGCGCAGTTCGGACAATCCATGTCGTAAAGCTGAACTTCTTCCGGCGAGAACCCAACTGTGAACTGGTATCTTGATATCAGGCAGAGATGAAGAACAGACTGCCATATTCATGCCATCGTATTGAAATGAGCTCATTTCCAACCAGCGCCGCAAATCTGCTTTAATGTCGACTGAGCGAAGAAGTTCGTAGCTGACAGGATCACGTTTTTCTCTAGCAATAGCTGCCTCCCAAGTTTTCCGAGCACCTTTGGCTTCAACTTGATGTTGCGGAGCCTCAAAGTCGTTAAGACATAGGAGAGAGCCGATGTCGTCACGAAGTGTCTTCTCGCTGATGTTGATCTCTTGCGCCATCACTTTGCTGTCCTTTCTGATGGCTGCAAAAGCACCGAAAATGGAGCTACGAACAGCCACACAGTTCGTGATGTAAGGTACCCGCTGAAATTTGACGTCTTTTCGCTTCAAGTCGCTAGATCCAGAAAACCCGGTCAGTTTGCCTTTGGAGCGCTTGACTCGATTCCATACAGCCCCTGACTCTGTGCAAATGATGACTGAACCATGTTCTCCAACTCCAACAGAAGCAACCCCGTCCTTACGAGAGTCCCAAATACATTGCGGTTGTGTTAGGGCATTCTTGATCTTGACTGGATTGGTAGTGGACGCAGCAGACTGCGTTGAGTCACCCTTTTCATTCAAATGCAATGTGAAAAGATCTCCACGTGCAGTTACCGCGGCGATTGTCTCACCACCTGCAGTAATGTAATCAATTTCCCTTCGACTTCCGGGTTCGTACCGTGTCATGAAGATGTTGTTGGCGAAAACATCAGGGAATGGGAACTTGACCAGGTTGTAGCCATAGTGGCTAAACACCCAAACTGTATGGTTTGATAGCAGACATATTGTAGCCTTGTCAATCGCGGCCACCATCTCAATTGGGGCGGCCAGAAGGGATGCAGCCACTTTCCTAGGGGTATGTTGAATATCAAGCGATCTTGAATCGGCATCCATTAGGGCGAGCTGGCCAACATTTCGGCCCCAGGTAAAAAGCGAAGATCCTGTATGAGCAACAGAATGGTTTGCGGATGCGGCAATACCCAAAACAATTTCCTTCTTCAGAGAACCAAAAACCTGGCGCGGGGTGAGGCTCATGGGTTCTTCATCTGCCTTCATCGGTGGAGGGAGGGCATATCCAAGCTGCGAGACAGAATTCAAGCCCCATGTCCAAAGCTCACCGTTATCGACAACGGCCATGGTGTGATTTTGCCCAAGCGCAACTTGATGGATCTTCTTGTCTATAAATGGACCCTCGACAGGCACAAACTTGAATTGTGTGTTTTCATCTCCTAACCCGAGTCGACCTCCACGGCCAACGCCACAGATATAGAGGTTTGAGACTGGGTCGGTTGTCAAAATAGCGCTGTGCAGTTTTGACATGCACACATCTTGAATGACGAGCGGCCGATTTCGAACTAAAGTTGGAATCTCGTCCAGGTTCAGTGCGGAGGGTGCCTCTGCATCCTGTTCGTCCAGGTGAGAGTGATATAATCGGTGCACAAGAAGATCTGGCCTGGAAAGATGGATGCGATCAGGATACTGTCGATCATCCTCATCACCAACTCCAAGAGACACATTCTTGTTGCTGCCAAAAACAAATAGTTCATCGCCATCGATGGAGCTTTGTAGCCCATGTGAGACCTTTACCGTACTGGAACAATAATCAGCCAAGTCCTGACCAGTATCTTTTAAGTGACTCACTGGTGGAAACCATCCCCTCCGCTATCAACGCTGTCATCATCACTATCCGAGCTATGCCCATCTTCCATGCTCTTTAGTGACCTTTCGGCGATTGTCGAGTTATAGACATCGAAGGGACTGTTGCCCTCGTGGTCTTTGGTCTTGATCAAAAGTCCGACTTTGTTCACGGCGCTCAGATTGTGACTGGTCAAGTCTACTCGCTCCTTTTCCAGCAATAGGCGCGCAATCGAGACATTCCCAGCATACAAGGATCGATGGAGGGCATTCCAGCCACTCTCCGGATCTTGGACGTAGAGATCGATAGCAGGGTGTTCGACGACGGCCCGGACAAATTCGTGAGCATTCGGATCGGTCGATGAAGCGGCTCGAAGTAGAACTGTAAGACCGGCATGATCGCGACTGTTGACTTCTGTTCGTCCGAGATGCGCATGTCCATCCTTCGTTTTACCAGGTGTCTGCGGATGGCCGGATGCTCGTCGTTGCTTGGCTGCTGGTCGTGGGGACGTACCCGGAAGACCGGGACTTCCTCCCAAGAAGCTCCCGGGTCCTCCTATCGCAGGACTCTTTGAAAGTCCCTGGGCATTATAGCTGGTTGGGGCCAGCAGACGCCGAAATCGGTCGACATCGTTTTCCCAGTAATATTTCCACAGTAAGTGACTCATGAGCAGGGGGCAAAAGGACTCTCCCGGGCGCGAAAGGCACCTCGCTGTGACTCTCGACGGGTCACGGCGTATTTAAAGGTGCGATTTGAAGCGCAGGAGAGCTTGATATACCTTCAAGCTCTCGAGTGGTGTAGAGAGTGGTGTTGCTGGCGCAAAGCAGAATGCGACGGTTGCTTGTGATCGTCTAAGTTGCCACCGAGCGCGGGTTCGATCGACTGATAGGGGGACAGAAACGGGTACAGGTCGTTTCTAAGTTGAGTAGGAAAGTTGGATTTGAAGTCGAAGGTCTTGAGCGAAGTGCAAAGGTACCAAAGAAGAAAATTCCTGGTCGAAAAGGACAAATAGAGAGGATTTGTTAGGTTTAGAAGGGTAAAGAAGCGATGTCGTTAACGACTTGGAGATTCGAGGTCCATACCGAGGGGCCAATTGTGCGCGTCAGAGTCTAGTGCCTGGAGCATGCCCCAAAAACGTGCCCCAATACAGGCACAACCTACCCCGCCATTGGAACGAACTGCGTCCAGCAACTGCATATTGAACCAATAAAGGCTCTTGTCTTCAAGGTGTGCAGCTCTGAAGCTCTACAACACAATCCATCCATGGCTTCACCACATGGCTTCATTTAACGCTTTTTATTTGTCGTTCCGGATATTTGTTGATGGCTGCGTTTGGGCAGACTGTCTCTCGTCTCTGATTTCAAAGACAATGGTGCCTTGAATCTGCAGCACCAAGAATCGAAAACGGCGCAAGATTCTTTTCTGCTGAACAGTTCGATTGGAAAATGAAGCTGTCTGGTTCTGGCATGCATATCCATACCATAAACATGGACATGGGTAATATGAGTCGAAATGAATCAAAACGAATACCCATGACGGACGAGCAAAGTATTGCACGTTAAGTGACAACATATTGACCTTGTCACGAACCTCGCACACTCACGCAGTCGGATACAATCCGAAGGACGAACGGATTGTTCGAGATGAGAGGTTGAAGTGAGGGTTGGCTCCGGCAGTCCGGGGCATAGGCATGGACATGGACATGGGTATCGTCTACAGCTGTTTGGAGCTACTTAATCTTGTTCGAGCTCGGAGCCCGAAATACAAGAGAAAACAACAAGAAAACACCTGCTTCTGCTTTCAATGGAGAACAACAGAGTGTTAAGCATCCGGTCAAGCTTATGGAGGGATGACCAAGTCAGGAAGACAAGTTTAGCACATCAATGGCTACGAAACTCTCAGGAAATCGAGATCTAAGCGTAGGTCAGGAGAGGGCTTGCCGACAAAGCGTTCCAGGTAAAGCCCAACCAATATCAGATCAAGATATGTTTGAAGCGACTGCTTAGTACACAGACGTTCTGATATCGGGGTTCGGCCGTGTTGACCATCACGGGCCCAGTTGCGGGATCCGCTCGGTCGACGGGGTTAGAGGCCGGTGCACGGTGATCAGCACCATGGGTTGGTTGAGGGCCAGGGACCATATGCTCCTGTGAGGCATCTTGCCCAGTCGTTTCTTTGTTACTAGGCAATGCCTCAATCTTCCACATGTTGAAGTATAACGTTAGACGTAAAAGGATGCTTCAAACGTGGAACGGCAAGTTTCCGCGGCATTTTCAGACCCAATGTGGTTCATGGTAAAGCACTACGTAGAAATTCTAAACGGGATGTCTCCGAATTCTTTCCCTGATCGGATTGGCTTATGATCTTGAATATGACAGCGTATCTCGGTATATCTTGCAGAATCTTGCATCCAATTATTGACCTGACACTGATACTTCCAAGAAGTACCCATTTCGGCTTCTTTCAAAGATCAAGCTGGCTTCCCTTACAGCAGGCTTGACAATGGCCTGAGCTCTTAAATGTTCCGACTCCGTGGAGCCGCGTCTGCATCATTTGCGGGCTCTTGTTTATAACAGAGCCTATCAAGAATGAGCCACATGTAGCCAAGAACAAGGGAGCCCTTGATGCTCCTACCGATGCCGACCTTTTCTGCTCAGGTACCAACGGCTCAAGGTCTAATTTACCGCTGGAGGTGTTCCAGGCCTAGCGGCAGATATCGGGCATCCGGGTTACGGATGATGGTTTAGATTACGGAACAGAAGCAGATGAATTATGCGCGAATGCACAAATGCTGGTACTTATGCTTCTTTTCTGGAGGATTACTGGGGGTTAAATAGAAATAGCCAAGATACTGTATACCAAAGACTTGCCTTAAATAGATATAGTACATAGAAGCTCGCATTGTCGGAGAAGAATCGGCGACGTCAAAAAAACATCCACGGATCGGTTGCTTACCGTCTCGCCGAGCATCACTGGACCCCTCCCCCGGGTCTCATCTCCACAATCCCACGGATACAAGGCTCGCATGTTGTAGTTAGCACCCAAGTTAGCCAAGTTTACGGAATCTTATCACTTAAGCGCAGGCCCCGATAAGACACCCTAGGCCTAGACGAAAGACGAAAGACAAAAGACGCACCACCAAAAACAAATTCCCTCCACTCCCCGGCCCGGTCTTCGCTCGGAGGTCGCCATCTTCCCTTCCGTTGAGTCTCCAGCTTCTTGTCTTGTCAACTTGCGACAACTTTCCACTCAACCTCTTCTCTCCTCTTCTCTTCGTCTGTCTCTGCTCAACTTCTTTTCTTTATTCCGGTCGCCAGTACAATCGTCACCATGTCCAACCCTGACGATAGACCCCTCCCTTTCGTCTACCAGTTCGCCGCAGGTACGCATTGCGTTCCCCATTATTCTGCTCAACCCTTGATATTTATTCCGAAGTCAATGGCTAACGTTTGGTAACTAGGCGCCATTGCTGGTGTCTCGGAGGTATGCCCGTGACAATTCTGCTTGTTTGAGAATTATTGCTAATTTTGGTTGGCTGTAGATTCTGGTGATGTATGACAGCATTTGTCGCGTGCTCGAGACATTTAGCTAACAGGACCACAGGTACCCCCTTGACGTTGTCAAGACTCGAGTGTATGACCAGCCTTCCTGCGCCTTTCGATAAAATACATCAAATGCTAACTAGACGAACAGTCAACTGCAGACTGGTTCCGGAGCCACCGCCGAATACAATGGCATGCTTGACTGCTTCCGCAAGATCATCAAGCAGGAGGGGTACGCTTTGCGCTTGCGATCCGACCATTGCGCTCACCACTAACAAAATGCGCCAGTTTCTCGCGACTCTACCGTGGTATCTCCGCCCCCATCCTTATGGAGGCTCCCAAGCGAGCTACCAAGTTCGCTGCCAACGACGAATGGGGCAAGGTCTACCGAAAGATGTTTGGCCTCGAGAAGATGAACCAGCCGCTCTCAATTCTTACCGGTGCCTCAGCTGGTGCCACCGAGTCCTTCGTCGTCGTTCCCTTCGAGCTCGTCAAGATTCGTCTCCAGGACAAGGCCTCCGCTGGAAAGTACAACGGCATGGTTGACTGTGTTGTCAAGACCGTCAAGAACGAGGGCCCTCTTACTCTGTACCAGGGTCTCGAGAGCACCATGTGGCGCCACATTCTCTGGAACGCCGGTTACTTCGGCTGCATTTTCCAGGTCCGACAACTTCTTCCCAAGGCCGAGACCAAGAAGGCTCAGATGACCAACGACATGATCTCTGGTGCCGTTGGTGGTACTTTCGGAACCATTCTCAACACCCCTCTGGACGTTGTCAAGAGCCGAATTCAGAACACCCCCAAGGTCCCTGGCCAGGTTCCCAAGTACAACTGGGCCTTCCCTGCGGTCGGTACCGTGTTCAAGGAGGAGGGTTTCAGCGCTCTCTACAAGGGTTTCTTGCCCAAGGTGAGTTCAATTATTGCATTGAGAGTAAAACGTGACGCACACTGACAATCCTCGAGGTTCTTCGTCTGGGTCCCGGAGGTGGTATCCTCCTAGTCGTGTTCACAACTGTTATGGATACCTTCCGCGGCTGGCACTACCCTATTACCTCTGAGCTTAAGAACTAGGTTGTAAAACGGAAAGAGGTTTAAAAAAGAACATTTAAAAGATACCAGGTCACACTATGCAACATACGCAGCGATTAGACGGCTTCCGGAGGGCATCTAGTGCTAGAAAGGGATGCTAGAGCTTTATTGCTATCTACGCATCTGTTAGTACATCTCTTCCACTCTGTAATATTATCAAAAACCTACAGGGTCGAGGGCAGGTCATTTACTTTGATATAGGCCATAGTATTGAATAGAACTTGAGTTGAGTCAATCTGTTTTGCAATCACAAGTTCTTATTTTTGAATGTCTTGTCAAGATATATAGGGCTAAATATCAACATTCTTGCTCTCATGAGGAATATGAAGGTTCATTGTTGGTATTCGTGAATTCTCATTGACAATAATAGATGCTGGATCTGGCTACACTGTCTCTATCTCTATCTCTCTAGGTGTCAGTGTCTCATTTTCGTCCGTTCCATATTACTTCAGTCTGGCTTTCGTCTCTACACAGCTGCTGACTTACACGGAGCTTTACAAGTTAGCACCTTTTCAACTCCACCCCCATCATCCGATCCGCAGCACAACTCCTCTACCTCTCCCTACTCCCAAACTTTCCGACTCTTGTTATTTATTCTAAGGCCTCTTCCTTTTGCTCTTCTTCTCTTCACTTGTTTGTCATTCCGGGTCTCTCTTTACAGTACCTTGCTATACATGATCTCCTATCCTTCTTCATCCACACTCTTCAATTCCTCCTTTTAAACACTCAGTGACTTCCTCGGTGCACCTCAAGACCCCGATCCTTTCTCATCTAAAGCTGCTTATTCTTCCTCTTTCCTCCTTGACCTTTCCTCGGCAGTGATTCATTGACCCTTCCATCACGTCTATAAAAGCTGCTCTTCGTCTCTCATCCCTCTTCAATCTCTTCTCTCAACACCACAACCTCTGAATACCTCTTAGGCAGTTGTCCTTCCTTTTGAACCTTCTTCTCTTCTTTTGATCTACATCCTCAGTATCTTCTTGACACTCCTTCTTTGGGCTGCTACATATCAACCTTCATCCTTGTCCAGTTCAGGGGCTCGACTGACAACATGTCGGACGAAAGCCTCTCCGATTCCGACATCGATGTTATTGATCTCAACTCAGATGAAGATCAGGCGGTACATGATGATCATGGTTTCGGAACGCCAGTGCCTCAAGAGATTATCTTAGGCGTGAATGGGCAAGGCTCGCCCATCCCGCATATGGTCGATGGGCCTGGGCAAGCTGACCCGATGGACATTGACGATTCTGAGACCGAGGATGATGAGCCTGATGGGCCTTTGATCAATAACGAGGAAGGTCTCTTTGTCAATGATGACGGCTGCGATAGCGACAGCGATAATGGGCCCCCTGGACCCCCTTCTCCGCCTTCATCTGATGGCTCGGATGAAGAAGACGACGACGACGACGACGACGACGACGACGACGACGAAGAAGATGAAAACAACGACGAAGACGAAGATGAAGATGAAGACAGCGATGGTAATGAAGACGGCAACGTTGACGCAGGCGTTGCGCCGGTTCAGCTAAGCCATCCAGGAGTCAGCATGGGGAATCCCGATGGTGGCGATGATCCTGGTGATGACCCTGGTGATGACCCTGGTGATGACCCTGGTGATGATTCTGCCGATGACGGTTCACAAGATGAGGCGGACCCCGACCAAGATGACGACCCCATCAACGACCCTGATGTAGAAGGTGATGACTTGCATGGGCACAAGAACGTTAACGCAGAAGTGTCGCAGTGTCTGGAAGAAGAGAATGCCGATGAACCGGAATTCTATGGCAACTGCATCAAAACATGTCAACCTCAGTGGTGGAAACTTGCACAGAAGCTCACGAAAATTCGAAACCTGTTTCTTCGAGAAAGACGAATCCTTGCACTCTGCAAATCTCAGAACAGAGCTAGAGTTACCGACCGGAACCGAACGATCAGAGCCCTTAGGCAACAAAATCTGGCCTTCATTGAGGTAGTGCAAGCGTTTTACGGAGCGAATGCAGCCAATGTCACGATCAACCGAAACCTCTACGAGGAGAATGAAGCCCTCAGGCTCTTGGTAACTGAAGAGGGCTTGCGTGATTTCCCTGATGCTATTCCTTTGCCTCTGCATAATATGGAAGCATCTGTGTCTCAACAGACGCGAGATCAACTCCCTGCCAACCTCCAGGACCATGTGCGCATTTTTCGGCATGGACCTCGAAAGACTCAACGTGTATGTACTTTTTTTTACGTGACTTTTACAACTTCTGGGTTCCTAACTTGCTATAGTTGTGGCCAAAGGTCTATCGAAGTTGGGTCAGACATGGCAGATCCCCTGGTTACAAGAATTGGGGAGATGTCTATAAACTCTCGTGCACAGAGGAGAACATGTCATCGGCTTTCGGTAAAAGGACGCCACTCAATACACACCCTCTACTGAAATTACGCCCGCCAAGTGATGAGGAAGAAGCCAGGGCGCTCGGCGGTGACAGTGAATGTTGCACTCCGCTACCTGATCGACGGCGCTGCTCTTCACCAGCTGAACAAGCCCCTTCGCCGTTCCGCTTCGATGACCTTCCTGATGATATTCAGGTCAAGATCCTGCGAATCGTTCTGGTCTTTGACGGTGAGCCTGTCTATGTCATCTCTCGACTCGATCCGTACTACGAGCCAGATTGTGGTCATCTCAACTGTAATCACCAGACTTCGCTCTTGCATCGGTTCCACATTGGACGTGAGCAAGTTTCTCTCACATATGGGACTATCCATCCTCAGAAGCTTCTCGCTCCTCTTCTTGTGTGCAAGCAGTGGAATCTCATAGGCTCAAGCCTCTTCTATGGAGCAAACACATTCCATTTCTCTTCTATCGGCGAATAGGGTCGCTTTGCGAAGAGAATCGGCTGCAAGCTTCAGCACCTGCAGCATATTGAGATGCTGTTGATGGGTTCACAGAAACTCACTTATGAGATCGACCAAAAGCACAAGTACACATCTCGCCGGACTCATGACTTGGCTCTTCTTACCGAGGCTCGTCGTCTAAAGAGCATTGCCATATACCTGCCTGAGTCTTCCAAGCTGTACATGCGACGTAAGCATGAACCACCACAGATCATTGCCCATATGGCAAACAAGACAGAACTGCAGCCAAACTTCAGAGTAGCTCGCGCTCTGCGCACCTTGCAAGGAGTAGATTATTTCTACTGTCTTCGTGGTGTTCAAGAGATAACCTTCTGGGACTATGACAAGTGTACAGCAGGGCAGAAGGTGCCAGTTCGTGACTGGACCTTTGTCCGCGATATCAACGAATCCGTGCGTCGTGAGAAGACGCACGATGATGCTCACTTCTCTGAGCTCCGTTATCTGGCGCCAATTCTAGATGACTTACGTCCTTCGACAAATCTTGCTAGGATACTTGAGGCAGTCGTGAACCCTCCGTCTCCGCCTACAGGGCTCCTGTCGCCGCCACCTGAAAGTGAAAGTCTGTACCCACATCCTCAGAGCCCGGTAAATCTTAACTCTGATGACGAGGATCAGAGTGAGGAAGATTCTGAAGCTACTTCAGATGACGACGAGGACGATTCAGACTCTGATGACGATCTCGACCAAGATTTCGGCAATGGCGATGGTGGCGGCGATGGTGGCGGCGACGGTACTGTAGGTGCTGACCACGATAATAGAAGCCATTCTGCACACAGCGAGTCTCCCGAGCCCCATGGAAATGCGAATGATCAAGAAGAAGCGGACGTTCTTCAATTCTTGGGTGGGTCCTGGAATGATTTGGAAGAACACAAGTACGAGCCCAGTTCAAGCAATGAAGTCTGGTCTGATAATGGGGCAAGTTACGATCTCCTGAGTGATAGTGAGGATGAGGATGGCGAGTCTGGAGCAGCCGATGATGAGAACGAAGACGACGAGTCTGGGGTAGTTGATGCTGAGAACGAAGACGACGAGTCTGGGGTAGTCGATACTGACCAGACTGCTATGCCCCCGCCGCCAGCTCCTATTCAGGACCGAGCCTCTGAGGATGCACAAGGACAGCAACGTGAACAAAGAGAGCGGTCCGGTTCTCTCTTTGTAAGGAGTCCTGAACGAAAGCAGCAAGCTGAGTTTGTCACGAAGGTCGAGACACCATCACCATCTCGACCATCGCCGCCTCGACCACAACCATCAAACCCTACTCAGAGCGTTGCTGACCGCTTGGGTTCAAGCAGCAGAGCAGTCCATGATGAGGTTACTCCTGTGAGACACACTCGCGAGGAGAGTGACTTGTTTGTCAGCCCTACTCCTTATGGCAACATTGTTCCTCAACCTCAAGTTGGAGATCGGGCATCACCAATTGATCTCACTGAAGATCTAAACTTGGTAACCTCTACTCGACCTTCACACTCCAGCTCGCCTGACCAGGGTCAGGATCGGGGACATAACAAACGACGACGGGACGTTTTCACCAGCGATTCTAGCGAGGAGAATGATGTCGACGACAAGGATGATTGTATCTATTTGGGGACATCTCCCAAACGTCCTCGCACTGATGACGGTAGCGATTGAATTGGAAGCGGGACTGGGCTATTTTGAAGTTGACCCAGGTTGAATTTTGCCTAAATTTTGCTAATGTTTTGCGGGCGTCAGGTGGAAGGATGGACATTTTCAGGAATCTGCTATGGAACTGGCGTAAATTGTGGTTTACTTTACGATGATATTTGCTGGGGATTGAGAGGAGATTAGGATGAGATTATCGAGGTCGGTCCTCGTTCGGGCGACAATTGCCGTCAAATTAACACTATGCACAAACGGAAGTAGAAAGTCGTCTACTATAGTATTCAATGATACCCCCTAATTTGCACTTGAATTATACTGGTTGATTGCTGTTCAACGTGAGGTTTCAGGTCAGGTCGAGAAATAACCAACGTGTACAGGGTAGTCGAATCAAGCATAAGATTACCAACAGTGTAAGTCGGATCTTAATTGACGCGGCTAGGGGTCTTTCGGGAGCGTGACGTATGTATGTCCCTATTAGGGAAGCGGGTGTGAAGACGCTTTGACGCCTGTGCAAGGTCTACTTCAGCCACACTTTAGGAAGTCGTCTTGAAGCAGTTGTGAGAATTGAAAATGTAATTTGAGGGTGAAAATCATATGGAGCAATAGCTAGCTACTTTATGAGTGAATAGTGCGTCATTAAATTAAAATACAGATACGATACGCATACGCAAATCCCAAGACCCCCGCAAACCTTGGCGCAGCTTGTCTGGGCCTTGTCTGCGCTGGCAAGTGAAAATGAATACGTAATCAGCTTGCAGAGCCACATCCCATTAGGCCCTGGCTGTTGGCTGCTTGGTTCCATGCTTGCCGCTCCCAAACCCGCATGAGAGCGCCAATTCATCATCTTGATCTTGCCCTCACTTTCTTTTCCCTCACTGAGTCGCGTCAAGAGCGCCCCTTGTTCCTCTAATCGCTACTCCTAAACGGCCGGATCAGAATTCCATCTTCACCTGAATTCGCCGCTCCGGCAAACTTTGGTGCTTCGCCTCCCTTCTAATTACCACCACCTTATAACGTCGTGTCCGATCGGTCTCCCCGACCTCTTGAAATCGAGACCTAATCACCCCACGATCGTGTTCTCCAACCTCCTCCACAAACGCTCTTCCTCGCAATCGCCAATTTCAGGCAAACAGCAACTGATTCCTGTCCACTTGATTGAGACTCTGTCGCAAACGCTTCGCAACCATCGCCGAGACCGGGAGTGATTATCTCGTGATCATTAGAGCTCGCTCAACCCCCTCAATCCCCCCTACACCTCCGTTGACTCCGTCTGGCGCGCACCGGACTCGTGTCGCAGAGACCACTGCTTTCCAAATCTTATCAAGTCCAAATTTTCTACCAAGCTCAATCGGCTCATTCAGAGAAACGGGACCTCGGCCGATCGATTGGTGCTCAGAACGCACCCCTACATATTAAACCAACAATCCGAACTTATACGGCAGACATCACAAATCGCCCACCATGTCGAAGGTAATGCGAAGTGTCAAAAATGTGACCAAGGGTTACTCCGGCGCCCAGGTCAAGGTCCGAGAAGGTTAGAATTGACTTGCGATTCTTATTGTGTCGCGGAACCATCCTTGCTGACGGAGTGACACCTAGCTACCAGTAATGACCCATGGGGTCCAACCGGTACTCAGATGAGTGAGATCGCTCAAATGACATACAACACGTATGTAGACGCCCTGCGCATTGAAAAATTATCTGGAACGATGGGAAAGTACTGACTTGGCATGACGCGATCAGATCCACCGAGTTCTACGAGATTATGGACATGATCGATAAGCGTCTAAACGACAAGGGAAAGAACTGGCGCCACGTCCTTAAAGCACTCAAAGTTCTGGATTATTGTCTTCACGAGGGCTCAGAACTCGTTGTTACTTGGGCTCGCCAGAGTATTTATATTATTAAGACCCTGCGCGAGTTCCAATATGTTGACGAGGAGGGCCGCGACGTAGGACAAAATGGTGAGTGATGAACATGAATGTCTCAAAACAGCCACTAATAATTGTGTAGTCCGAGTTGCTGCAAAGGAGTTAACTTCTCTTATTCTGGACGAAGAAAGACTACGAGCCGAGCGAAGTGACCGAAGATCATGGAAGTCGCGCGTCACTGGCCTCGAAGAATTCGCTCCTCAGCAAGCTGAACCATCGAACCAAGGAACCCGACGACAACAGGCGCAGCCAAGACGACAGATGACTGATGAGGAAGATGCTGAGTACCGCCTAGCTCTAGAGGCCAGCAGGTACCAGGAGGAGGAAGACAGGAAGAAGCGCGAGAGCCGACAGAACGGGCCAGATGACGATGACGACTTGGCGAAAGCCATCAAGCTTAGCGAGGAAGAAGAGGAACGAAGGCGCAGGGAGCTTGAGAGCAGCAACGCTGCCTCTCTGTTCGACGATGATCCCGTGCCTCAGCAGCAGACCAACCAGCCGCAGTTTACTGGCTTCAACCAAGGATATCAGCAGGGCAACCCTGTTGACTTCTTCGCCAATCCTATCGAGCAGAACCAGCCCCAACCCACTGGCTACATGAACAACGCCTATACTGGCTTCCAGCAACCCCAGCCAACCGGATTCCAGCCAAACTACAACACCGGTTTTAGCGGCCAGCAGACAGGCATGGGTTTCGATCCCTATGGCCAGCAGCAGCAGCAGCAGAACCAGCAAGTTTTCCAGCCTCAGCCCACTGGTTTCAACCCTTACCTGCAACAACAGCAGCAACAGCCTCAGCAGCCATCATTCTCTTCACCAGCATCTCCCGAGGCCACTCTTCAACCTGGCAGCAACAACCCTTGGGCAACCAACAACAGTCAGCCGCAATCGTTGCAGCCAACACCCACCGGCTCCAACAACCCATTTGCCCAGTTCAGCCGCCCACAATCCGCTCGACCAAACCCTATGACATCCCTGGGAGCACTCCCTGAACAGAAGAGCCTTAACACGTTTGGTAACCAGTCTCAGCCCCAGCTGCAGCAGCAGAGCAGCTTCCCATTGCAATCGCAAAACACCTTCTCCCAGTCGCAACCTTCATTCAACGCTCCTCAAAAGGAGATGAACGAGCACGAGACTCGACTCAACACTCTGCTTGCCAGTGGCGATGGCATGGATACCTTTGGCAACACAGGTAACCTTCGTATTCCTGCCCAACACACAGCTCCTGGCACGTTCGTCAACAGCGCTGGTGCAGGTGTTGCCCGCATTAACGCTGAGGCTACGGGAAACAACCCATTCCTCCGACAGCAGTTCACAGGAATGCCTACCGTCAACTATGGTGCTCAAATGCCTGCCGCTACGGGACCTGCAGGCATGAATGGCCAGACCAACAACCCATTTGCTCATCAACAGGCAGGACAGCCACAAAAGCAGAATCAAGATCTGATACAATTCTAAGCTCAGCTTTGATACGCCTTTACACATTTTCTATGCCCATGGTCATACCAGCTCGCTGCTGAGTGACTGCCTCCTTGATTACCCCTGACTTTTCTTTGTTGCACGTTCATCTTCATCTCCTGGTTTCAACTCGATTCCCGTTTCTTGCGCAGGCGAAGGATGGTATTCCCCTGTTCTCAGTACATTTTTGTGGCTTTTGTCCAATGTTGAGTATGGTATTTGGGAGGTTTAGTTGTGATGAGAGAATGGGAAACCTTTTGTGATGGACTCTGGGAATTTAGACAGCGCGCCTGACGCATTATAAAAACAATTCTTAGATCTTATTGAAATCTACTCCTGACTCCGTTGTATTCCTATTGCGCCATTCCCTGTTTCTCTTTCAATGCTTTCTGCAGCTAATTACTATGACCAAAGTGCTGCAGAAGATCCCCGCCTGAATCAGTCCTTGTCTGACAATGCGGCTTGACTCGGCCAGCCTAGTTTTCAGCGCATGCGGCGCAGATTTTGTAGTCGCGAAGGCCATTTTGAGACCGTTGGGTGTGTGTTCATCTGTCGCGACCATGGTTTTGCTGGCGCAAACCCCCTTGGTACATTGCCAGTGTGCCTAGCAGGTATTGACCCGGCAGCGTGCGATGGATGCGTAACCCATACACCGAACATCGTTTTCATCACGACTGGTCTACCTACCATGTTCTGGCATACCTGGCTGTTTGTCCCTTGTAAAATTCTGTGGATGTGTTTAGCCAGCCTCCTCCATCATCTGAATGAATTCTTCCAGGTTCACACCGCCTTTGCCTTCGTGATCCAGATGTTCAATCATACTTTGAATCTCCTCGTCTGTCATCGTTCTCTCTTCTTTAATATCGGATGCCAACCGCCGCATGTCCTCAAAGGAAATAACACCGTCTCCGTCATAGTCAAACATGTTGAACACCTTTGTGGCTTCTTGCCTTGGGTCTCGGCTGGCAAGTAGCTTAGCAGCGCATAATCGGAATTGATCGAGATAAACGTAAAGGCGATTGACAGGGCAGTTGTGCGGATCTTGCCATTCAGGAGGTACGGAGCCGTAGGATTGTAGTTCTCTGAAGTACTCTGGTTTCGACATATCGAAGCCCAAAGCTGCTAGCGAGTGTCGAAATTCGTAACTGTTCAGCCATCCTTTCTTTTTCATATCCATCAAGTCGAACTAATAGCAGCCGATGTCAGTGGAGGTTCTTCTCGACGAGATTCGGGCTCAACATACAACTTCATCGATATGTTCGCGATCCTCTTCTGGAATCGTGCTATAATCCTCATTTGACGACACCTGGGGGGCAACAGGTTGTCTTGATTGCGGAGGGAGACCTGAACCACCCAGCGAGCGCCCTTGGAAGGCAGTGCGCGGCGTTGTATGCGAATTCATTGCGTCGAATGCTAAATGTGTTGTGGCTGGGAGGATTCCTAGCAAGCAGTGGTCGAGGAACCGGGCGTAAGATATATTCGCACCAGGAAGCAAGTGAAATATGGAAATTGGAGGCTAGATATGATCGCGAAGCTCGAGGATAGCAAATGCACCAAGTGAGGTGTGGTGAAGATGTTGGAGAAGCGTGGCGCAAGGATGAGCTTGGTGTTGTTGCTCTTGGTCAATTAGACCTGGAAGAAGCTCGGCTTGCGACGCGACAGCAGACGCGACGGTAGGAAAAATTGGCACACTAATACTGTACATCCAAAGGTATGAAGGACCCATGACTGGGGTAATAGGAGCTTCGCTGTTACTCAAAATAGCCATGGAATTAATGTCCAATTTGTATTGGAGTGCACTCTTGAATATAATTATTATTTGAGCATGAGTACCATCGCTATAATTTGACTTGTGGTGGAAGATAGACTGTCTAATATTGGTAGTTTGTTGCTATGGTCTTCAATTCCAAGCAAGAAGGCCGACAACGAGCTCGGGATGTAACCCCCCCTATAATACTATTAAAACCCATAGCACTTTAGAAGACCCTTGACAAGTTTCGAGGTTAAGATTCAGTAGACTCATGAATTTCTAACAGGATTCTAACAAAGGAAATTGTCGTAGCTTTTGCACACGCACTGCACTTTTACTTTCGTTAGAGTCTGGTGGAGATAAAGAGATGTGCGTAAAGGAGCATCTCGGCGCCGCAGATGTCTCGAAGACGTTTCCTCGTTAAGAAAAAGGGAAACATCGTTATGTAAGACTCTGATTAGAAAGCCATCTTTTTATTAAGTTCTTGTTTATTAGAAATACAACAAAATTACAGCCATTTAAGAGTCATTTGTTTTCTATCGTCCCAGTCGCGTGCAGAAACAGCCAACCAAGACGCGCTCTGCGCTGTACGGAATCTGCCTTGGTACTTTTGATCCAGGTAGACTCCAGGCAGCCCACAGGCAACAGTGACTCTAGCAGTAGGTAGCCCAATGGCCAAGTTTAATTGGCTCGCGTTGGTCATCAACTCTACCAAAGCCAATCAAGCTGCAAAATTATTGTCTGAGGCAGCAACAGAGCTGCAGCCAGCCCGACTGAAGACCCAAGGTTCGCCCCGAAAAAAAAGCTGGCTGGCTGGACGCAGCGACAGACTGACCTCACCATCAACTTCATCGCCACGAGCTCTTGAGGGTATAAGGTATAAGGGTGCAGCCTTTTCTGGTCCGCGCTCTTTCGTCTATCTCTCACATACGCTCATCTCTTTCATTAACTTAATTTTACATTCCTGTCTTCTTTTGCGACCTTTCCCAGCTTTCCGCGGCCCCCTGCCGCTCTCCCAGCGCTGATTACAGCTGCATTCCCCTAACCCTTTCATCTGCAACGTAGCTTTGCGAATTCACATCGCAGCTCTCAACAAAGCTTTGCGCCATCTGTCACGAAGCACATACTTCATACTCATCGCTTCCTCGACGACAATTAGTGCTGTTGCACCCGCGATACGTGTCAATTCGTTCATCGACTTCGCGACGAGAGCTCTTCGCTTAGCGTCAAAACCAAAACGCGCGACGACTGCTTCGCTTGCATTCGAACAACGCATATATCCCGAACCGCGACAGCTTCGTAACGACCATCATGTCTTTCGGCGGCGGCTTCGGAGGCTTCGGCCAAAATACCAACAACAACACCGCCACCCAGTCTACAGGTTTTGGTGGTTTCGGTGCGAGCAATAATAATAACAACACTTCAGGTAAGATACCTTTTTTCAACCACCAGGACGGCGGATGACAGCGGTGCTGATGGGAATGCTCAAAAGGCTTTGGAGCTGCCAACACGGGTGGTTTTGGCCAAACCAACGCCAGCTCTGGTGGCCTTTTCGGAGGCGCCAATAATAATACCACAGGCAGCTTCGGCTCAACGACCGGTACGCAAATTTTGCCTATACGCACCGCTGTCATGCACGATTTGAGAGAGGAAACGAAGGGCGAGAAGTCAAGCGATATACATATACTGACATCTCTTAGGAGGTTTTGGAGCGACAAACAACGCAGGCGGCTTTGGAGCCAAACCTGCCTTTGGAGCTGCTGCTACCAACACAGGCACCGGTCTCTTTGGCGGTGCCGCTACAAACACCAACACCACCGCAAGCACTGGATTCGGAGGGTTTGGAGGCGCTGCAACCAACACCACGTCGGCATTCGGTAGCAGTACAGGAGGCGGCATGTTTGGAGGCAGCACAGCCAACAAGACTGGCTTTGGCGCTACGCCTGCCGCTGGTGGATCGCTCTTTGGCGGAGGCGCCAACACTACGACCAATACTGCGAGTGGTTTTGGTACAGGATTTGGAGCTTCAAACACCAACACACTGGGCGGCGCCGCAGGCGATCCTCCCGGTACCGCTGTTACACCCTTCCAAGCACACACCGAGAAGGAGGCCAACAGCACCTCAACCAACAACTACCAGAACCTGCTTTTCCAGGACGCTTACAAGAAATGGTCAGCTGACGAACTTCGACTCGCCGATTATGTTCAAGGAAGGCGGCATGGCAATGCCACTGGCGGTGGTGCGTTTGGCGTGAGCTCAGGTTTTGGTGGAGGATTTGGCACTAACACGAACACCACTGCTACTTCAGGTTTCGGAGCAAACACAGCGACCAACACAGGCGGTGGTCTTTTCGGATCTACCACAAACAACAACGCCGCACCTGCCAGTACTGGATTTGGCTCCACTGGCTTTGGCGCAGCCGCCAACAACAACACATCAGGTGGAGGGTTGTTTGGCAACACTGCGAACAAGCCTGCTGGAGGTCTCTTTGGCAGCACCACCACACAGACACCTCAGGTTGGTGGTGGTCTTTTCGGAGGAGGAGCAAACACCAACACAACTGGTGGTTTCGGCCAAACGGCCACTGCAGGAACCGGTTTTGGCCAGACGAACACCAACACTGGTGGTGGTCTCTTCGGAAACACCCAGAACAAGCCTGCCGGTACCGGGTTCAGTTTCGGTAACACAAATACCAACAACACTGCTACTACTGGTGGTTTCGGCGCTACCACGACGACTAGTGGGTTTGGAGCTAACAACACTGCTACGAATACTGGCGGTGGCCTTTTCGGCGGCAATAACAACACTCAAGCTGCTGGTACTGGCGGTGGCCTCTTTGGCCAGAGCAACAACCAAGCCCAGCAAAACACTGGAACTGGGATGTTCGGCCAGAACAACCAAACACAACAGACGGGTGGAATGTTTGGCCAGAACCAGCAGAAGCCTGCAGGCACTGGGCTGTTTGGCAATACCAACACTGCCGCAGCTGGCACTGGCGGTGGCCTCTTTGGCAACAACCAGCAACAGACGAACACGACTGGCTTTGGTGCTGCTAATAATAATGCTTCGGGTGGTTTGTTCGGTAACAAGCCTGCTGCTACCGGTGGAGGCATGTTTGGAGGCAGCACTGCGGCCCAGCCCAACACGACTGGTACTGGGCTCTTTGGCGGCCTGGGCTCTAACAACCAGGCCCAGCAGAACACCGGCACAGGCCTCTTTGGCAACACTGCTAATCAGCAGCAGAAGCCTAGTCTCTTCGGTGCGAGCACAAACAACACTGGAGGCGGTATGTTCGGTGGCCAGCCCAACCAGAACGCCGGTTCTTCCCTGTTCGGTGGCAGCACAAACCAGCAGCAACAGCAGAATGGATCTTCGATCCTTGGCAACAGCCAGTCTGCCAATGCTCCTCAGAGTCTGACTGCTAACCTCAACGATGTCTCTGCATTCGGTTCTCCTGGCCTGTTCGCTGGCTTGGGCGGAAACGAGGTCCAGAACCCTGGCCCTCTTGCTACTCCATTGAGTGGTGGCTCAAAGCCTCGAAGAAGCTCTATCCTGCCCATGTACAAGTTAGCTCCTGCCTCCGCTTCTCGCTATGCCACTCCCCAAAAGCGAGGATTCGGCTTTTCCTACAGCAACTATGGAACTCCCTCGGGCAGTCCAGCTAGCAGTATTTCCAGCACACCTGGTAATCTGGGCCACAGCCTACTAGGTTCCAGCCGATCAGGGAGCCTGAGCAAAAGTCTTTCTTCCAACAACCTCCGTCGCAGCTTCAACACTGAGGACAGCATCTTAGCTCCTGGAGCTTTCTCTAATGGATCGCAGCCCAGATGGTACGGCAGCACTGGCTCCAAGAAGCTTGTCATCAACAGAGATATTAGAAGTGATCTCTTTTCTACGCCGCAGAAGGACAAGGCAACCGATTCCGGAACTGGATCTCGCAAGCTTTCGAAGCGTGTTAGTTTCGACACTAGCAATGTCGACATGGAGGATAGCACTCCCGTTCGTGCTCTTCCTGCTGCGAGCGATGTTGATAGCCCGGCCAACGACGAGACTCCCCGCCAGACCCGCGTGGCCAATAGCTCAAATGGTTTGATTGGGTCCAAGACTCCTGAGATGGAAGAGGTTAAGGGCAACGAACTGGCCATCGTTCACGAGGAGGACCACACAGCTACCCCAGAGGCTGCCTCTCCTAGCGCTCTTGATAAAGCTCCCGGCCAATACTGGATGTCTCCTCCTTTGGAAGATCTAGAAAGCCTTAACCGTATGCAGCGACAAAAGGTTGATGGATTCACTGTTGGACGCGATAATGTCGGGTACGTTTCTTTCAAGGTCCCTGTCGACATTAGCAATATCGATCTTGCCGACCTTTGTGGAGGCTTGATTGTCCTCGAGCCCCGATCCGCTACTGTCTACCCCATTTCCGCCAAGAAACCCCCTGTTGGAAAGGGCCTCAACGTCCCTGCCCGAATTGCCCTCGAGCAGTCTTGGCCTCGAGGTGGTCGCGATAAGCGTGTTGCTAGTGACCCCAAGAAGTTTAACAAGCACATTGAGCGTCTTAAGCGAATCGAGAACACAACATTCGAGAGCTATGACAAGGACACTGGCATTTGGGTCTTTTCGGTTGAGCACTTTACTACTTATGGTCTCGATGATGACGACTCTGACGACGAGGAGATCACCCAGAACGAGGCTGTCCCCGCTCAGGAGATGGCTCTCGATGCCTCTATTAACTCCGCCAACTCCCCCATGGAAGACGATACTTTTGAATTCCGCCGGCAACGAGCTCTGCCTGGTGGATTTGATGATCAACCGCAAGCTTTCCAACCTGGCTTCCCCGGCACGCAGTCTTTTTTAGGGGTTAGCTCCGCGGATTCTGCACCTAACGATGTCAGGCTGTCCCTTGAAGAGGAGTACGCCGATGACATGGGTGACGAATATGACTTGTCCGAGGATGAAGACATGGCGAGGTCTTCACTCGAACAGCATCTTGCCGCGGAGCACGACGATAACTCGTCAGAGGGTATCCCAGAAGCCGTAAAGGCTACTCCTGGAGGCATCCTCAGAGCTAGAATGCGAGCTGTGAAGGACTCTGCTGGTCCCGTTCAGCTCGAAGTTGCAGATGGCGACGATTGGATGGAGATGTTGAGAAAGACCGTCAGCCCGGTGAAGCGGGACCGACAGCTTCTGCGAGAGCTGAACGACTCCCCTTCAAGACAGACCGGCCTGCTGATCGACCTCGACAAGAGTGGACCTGACACTCTGCGAAAGTCTTCTATTTGGAGGAAGAGCACAGCAAAGAACGATAGGTTGGATAATTTCGCGGCAAGCACCATTGGTATGGATAAAGGTCGTGGGTTTGCGACTAGCATCGACCTGATGAACTCATTGTTTGAGAAGCCCAAGCCGGCACCTCAACATCTACAAGCCCCAACTCCTAGCAGAGGCTTCCCCAAGGTCGGTTCCCTAGTTGTTACCTGAGTGACCCCAGAATGTAATATGCTGGAGGTTTATGTATCTATGATTTTATACTATATGAATTGATGCTAAGATTGAATTTGATTAGTGGCCCTACGAGCGACAAGACAAGAAAATGAATTTGGAAGGCTACGAAAAGACCTTCCACGACGCTGGACGACCCACGTGGGGACCTGATGAAACTCTCGTTTTTCCTCGACCTCTCGCCTTTGAGGGCGGTCGACGATCTCTGATTCAGAATGCAGACCTTCTTTCTTTCCAACGTTCTACTATCCAGACAGATAGGCAAGAGCTCCGCCTGGCGACATTTGCAACCGAGGTATTTAAATCCTGCCGTCACCTGTGGACATGAGCTAAATTTTGATGATAGCAATCCAAGCGATATCTTGGCAACCAGGACAAGCTCACGGAGATTCGAATTGTCGATGATGTTCCCTTTGCGTCACTTAACGCTGCCCAATTACAGGATGTTTTCCACCAACAGGATTTGAATGACCCTTCTAGTATGCAGGAGAAGCACGTCTGGGAGCTGGCCAGTATCCTGTTCGACCCCGTTGGCAATGCCAGTCAACCCGAACACCTTATCCGGAGGTCTAAGCTCTCTCGGTTCTGGTCTCTTCTCGTCGATTCAGCCTCTTCAACCACTGTCGGTCTTGCAGGATCAAGCGAGGAAAAGGCTGTTGCTTGTCTAGCTGGTCATCGCATTATTGATGCTTGTAAGCACCTGCTTGATGGGAAGAACTTTCGACTTGCTACTCTGGTCCCCCTTATTGGCACCAGTGATGATGCCAAGAAGGAGATGCGAGAACAACTGAAGGCTTGGCACGAGTCGAAAATGCTCTCGGAGTTTTCTGAATCAATCCGCACCATATACGAGCTTCTTTCCGGCAATGCATGCGTTTGCGAAGGTATGAAGGGTGTTCCAGTTGAGGATCGCTTGGATTCTTTCGTTATATCGAAAAAGTTTGGACTCGACTGGAAGCAGGCTTTTGGCCTTCGACTCTGGTACTCAATAGCTCAGCATGATGACTTGGCGACGGCGGTACAAGGATTCAAGAATGATATCGACCAGGAGAGGGAATATCTACCACTGCCATGGTACATCGACCAAGGCATCAAGCCGTTGTGGGATGATGTTAATTCTGAGCGCCGACAAGACCTCCTGTGGGGTTTGTTGCAGCTATATGCCAACGAAACAACCGACCTCGAGGCAGTCCTACGCCCCGAGAACTCGCAGCTCTCGCCACTCGACATGCGACTCACATGGCAGCTTGGCCTTGCCCTTGCGTCCAGTGGCAAGGTCTCTTTCGGAGAGGATAGTACTCAGAAGGCTGACGCTGCTACTCTTGCATTTGCCTCGCAACTTACGAGTGCTGGTGAGTGGCTCGAAGCTGTATTTGTTTTACTTCACTTGAGCAAGCCACTTGCCCGAAAGATGGCTATTCAAGAACATCTTGCTCGACACGCAGGTCTCATTGGAGACGAGAACTCATCCGCATTTGTTATCTTGACAGAAAAATTCCAGGTCCCTTCACTGTGGATTTGGGAGTCCCTCGCTTTGTATATGCGCAGCGTTAAGAAGGATGCGTATTCCGAGGTGCAGTGCCTCCTACGCGCTGGCTCCTTTGTAGAGGCCCACCGTGTTCTTGTCAACGAAGTTGCGCCGCTTGCCGTTGTGGAACGCGACTACGCCAACCTCTCTGCTCTTATCTCGCAGTTCGAGGGCCGACAAGATGCCATCTCGGACTGGCGTCTGGGAGGAGAGATTTACAGCCTTTTCCTTACTCTTGTTCAACATCGCGCCCGACACGAGAGTGCCCCGCAGGCTGTCTTGGAAAAGCTGCTCGGGGGTCTGCATGCCATGAATGAAGAAGCAGGAGAGTCAGGAGTCTTGCGGTATGCCGCAGTGTCAGATATGGCGGACGAGACTGCCAAGGAGATCCTCAAGGCTAGCAAGAAGAAACAGGTATGTGGACAGATACATGAATTATTGTGAGCAATGACTGACTTACTACTTCTAGGATATGGAACTCAGGTCAAGAATATTGAACCTGCCTTTGACACAAGATCGTCTGCTGGCTTACTCGGTAGACTTGAGCATGGACCGGTACCGGGAAGTAATGTCCCATTAGAAGGCGGGCAATGATTGTATAGGAACAAGGTCGTACTGGGGAGGATACAGCATGGTTTAGTAATATTTGGGTTATGTTATGAAAAAAGAGTGCTCCTGGAGACGTGTCAGAAGAGCATACTTGGTCTCGGAAGAAGATCAAATTGTAGAATAGTTAAATAGTTGCATGGAGCATCAAAGGAAGTGATTGATTTCGGGACCTTCTGTGTCATCTATTCGTGATATTTATTGTTTACGTGGTTGGACATATTTGTAGAGCTTTGAGTGCATATGCGATGGGGTGAGGAGTGTTTCTTGGTGTATCAACTTCTTGTACTGTACGTGGGGTCAGCTCAAGTGGATCGTCGGTCGATCTTTGGGACTCGCAAAGCTGCTCTCTGTAAGCCAGTTTGCACTATATCAAACAAACAACAACAATCTCGGTCATGTCTAAGCCCAAGAACTGGCCAGATGGCTTTCCATATCTCAAAGCACCTCTTCACGACAAGAGCCTAACTCCAACACATATACAGTCTCTCAAGAACAAGCCTTCAGCCTCAAGTGGCATTGCCATCATCCCATCATCGTCCACAACAACACCATGCAACCTGGTCAAGATTCAACCAATCTCCAACCCTTCACACCCAGCCAACGGGCAAAGCGGTCTCTTCGCCGCCCAGAACCTCGCGCCTGGCAGTTTCATCCTCGCATATCTGGGCCGGGTGCACTCAGGCACGGCATCCTCCACAGAGAGCGACTACGATCTGTGGATGGACCGTGAGATGGACGCGGCGGTGGATGCTGCGAGTGAGGGAAACGAGGGACGGTTCGTGAATGACTTTCGAGGCGTGGGGGATAGAGCGAATGCCGAGTTCCGAACGGTGTGGTGTGAGCGCTGGGGAGAGCATTGTGTAGGCGTTTGGGTGCTCGGCGGTGGGAAGAAGAGGAAGGGGGTGGGGATCAAGAAGGGGGAGGAGATTCTTGTTAGTTATGGGAAAGGGTTTTGGGGGGAGAGAAAGGCGGAAGAGTACGAGTTTCACTATGAGTGTGAGAAAGATGGAGAGGGAGAGGGAGAGGGAGAGGGAGATGGTGAGGTTAGTGGTGACATCAAGTAACGATGTTGAACCGAGAGATGTGTTTTTGAGAACCCTTTATTTAATGTCTAGTAATAAGGCGTCCCCAATCCCCCAGAGCAGTAACCCCCTTCGACGTCATTATCACGGCGCGGGGAGCGGTCGACAAGCTCTGTATCCGAACTCTTGGCCAGATCCAAAAACGTGGTCAAAGAACCGTATGAGCCGATCAACTGAAAGATGAAAGCAACACCAAGACTCAGGGAAACAGCGGATATACAGGCTAGCGGATCCATATCTCTCTTCTGAACGACAATGAACCAAGACATGGCCGAGAGGTAGCACATACACAGCCATACAGATATCATGGCAATGATGTTGTGCTTTTGCGAGGATCTGTAAAGCTTGCAAGCCTTCACAACTGAATAATGTCAGTATGTCCGTGGTAGTATAGATATAAAGAAGGGGATAGATACCTTTTGTGTCCTTTACATGATCATTGTCTCGGATCCGGTTCATCTTGACGGCGGTGTCGTAGACGTAGGCCCCGATGCCCAATGCTGCCAGAAGTGCACCTATGGACAAGAGACCGACAACTATTCCAATTTGATGATTAGCTTCGTAGACTCTAGAATAAATAGAAGACGGAAGAGTGCTCACATTCAGCCTTGGTCGAATCCTTGTAACCCCATCGTGGTTCTGCCCCGTGGACAGGGCTGATAGTGATGTTGCTCATGATGGCGGTTAGCGACATGGGTATAGCTTCAATCTTTGACAAGAAAAATATTTAGGAGAGAAGAAGTGTGAATAAGAGTTGAAAGAAGAAGTGCCTTGATTTGTGTGTGTGTCTGTGGCCCCTTTAAACTTTCCTTCACAAATCTCCCGCAAGACATCTAGACTTTCTCTTCAGAAACAAACTTCTGAGGCTCAAACTCTTCTCTCCCCTTTTCCGAGAAGTACCAAAATATCTCCTGGAGAAGATTATTGTCATTTAGACACAGACAAATGACGGTAGGATATCCTACCAGTTGATCCTGGAGCTGCAGGTTCTGAAACAAGCGTCCTCTTTAATAGTGTTCTTGGTATCTATGCTAGATTCATCGATTCTTAGGATTTGGCCGAGTTGGATATGTCATCTTGATCAAAGTTTTTGGCAGAGCCTATAAAAAATGGCTTTACCCACGAAAAGGAGTACACGTAAGTGTTATATGAGCAAGAAAGGAGTTGACTCCCGTTGGGTCCCGTAAAATACGGCAGCATATTGTGAGGGACTTGATCAAGCCCTGGGTCTATATAAGCATTTGAGATGTGTTCACCTGGAAACCGGAATGAAAAGTTCAGACAGATCATCTTTTACATGATCTGCCTTCTCTTACCTTTACCTTTCTTTACATGTCCATGTCTCTCCGAAAGTTACAGCCCAGACATTCCCTCGCCATCACTTTTCACCCTCCAGGTCACTCTGTGATTGAGCTGTCATCATGCTAGATAGAGAAGAAATATGCTGGCCCTCCACTTGTGAGTTACTTTTGCTATTTGTGTTCTCTCTACTGACTTGGGTAGTTTGTGGCTATTTTCTGGTAGCTATTGCGCAAATAGCACTTGTTCTTGTTGCGGCAGCGCACCATGCAAAAGTCAGAGAAGGTGTAGATTGACCCTGCTTATCTACTTATAGAAATATCTACCCTATGGATTCTTTTACTAACACCTCCAGCCAACACGTTCCTTTATAGACGCTACACAGAGACGTCAGCATGTACCGGCGTCATTGCTGTCATGCTGGTGGCAGTCCAGCTCTACGTTTCCCTTACCGTCACATCAACCCAAGGGCCCCAGATCATCATATACTGGCTAGGCTGTGCCCAGCTAATGGTTACTCTATACTTCTTCTACCTTCCATTGGAGTATTCTAGCGAAGCCAGCAAGGACGAGTGGTTGTTGGTGGATGACTATTTCACGGATGAAGAGGAGGCGATCGTCTCTATAAGAACAGACCCAGCTGCTTCGGCGGGATCTCCGGGTTTTGAAGACTATGGTACTATGATACCACAGCTTTCTGGTCCTGGAGGTGCTTCTCATGTATCTGTTTATCAAGTCCCGGCTGAAACTGGCCGGAGGATGTAGTCTAGGAGAAGAACACAATTATGCAGGTCTATTATTACCCAGATGAGTTGTCAACTTGCACTCTCTAATACTCTTCCATTCTCTAGATACTATGTATTCTCTCCATGTTACATAAATATATGCATATCCGTCCGCTTACAACTCCACCATAAACCGCCATCTCGTGGAGGTTTCCTAATTGGGAAAGCGGCGCGAGCAACCTTGTATCGTCCAAGTTGATGAGCATTACAAAGGATCAAGGCGAAGCTAATGCTCGCGTTTTCAAAAAATGCCGGTGAGACTAAATATGTATAAATAAGGCCCTGAGCTTCTTCTCAAATGGCACTTGGAACCTCCATCTCTTCAGCATTGCCTCATCATCATATATCTCCTACCCCAACCTCAACTTGATATTTGTCTATCTACTTATAACCATGAGCTCCCAAACCAACTCTTCTCCTCTCCTGGTACGAACCACACATTCTGAGGATGGAACCTCCATTTTTGCCCCAGAAACACACGTCGAACCCTTTCAACCCTTTGGTCCCCAGGGCAGCGGCTTCAACATCTTCGACGCCCGTCAAAGCGTCCCCGCCAATAACTCAGACACTATACAATCCTTTGCAAACTCTCTTCCTAGATGCCCTCCCCAAGGGACTCTATTCTGCATGACGCAGATCCAGCCTGGAGGCAAAGCACCTATGCACCGGACCAAGAGCCTCGACTACGCTGTGGTGTTGTTTGGTGAGATCGTACTGGGCCTTGATGGTGGTGAGGAGAAGACAGTCAGGCAAGGGCAGATTATTGTACAACAGGGTGTGAATCACAGCTGGGAGAACCGGGGTGAAGTAACCTGCCAGATCATATTTGTGATGATTGGTGCTGAGACTTTGACTCGTGAGGACGGAACGGCTTTGGAGGAGACTGTTTTCAAATGAACAAAGGTACCAATTTGGCTGGACATCATTGGTTTATTATATCAAGGCCTTTTCAATCCTCTCATATGTCAGATAAGGCTCCTAATGTAGACTTCATACCTGTACACTCCCTGATCCTCTCAAACACTCTTTGTGCATCCTCCTTCTGCGCCTCTGTCGTTGACGTACTAGAGCTCTTGATAATCTTTATTGGCCAAAGTAAAAGATATGCACCCACAGCCTGCCACCGCACTGGCTTTGATTCTGAGCGACGTCGCCCCAGGTGATCGATATTGCCAAATGATTGAGGGACAGTCGACAAAACCTCGCTTGCTAACGACTCAATGATGCTTATCGAGGCTGCAATCCGAGTCTCTGATGCTTCTCCCGGTGGTAGCGTGCAAGTGACTTTCTCCAGACAGGCAACTAGTTTCTGATGAAGGATGATACGTGCCGTCCGATGGTAATTCCACTCATATGCCATCCACAGATCCGGATGGAGTTGGATAGTTTCTGGTAGCCATAACTGAGAAACTCCATCATCGAGTATCTCACTTCTATGTATCACCTGAAACGCCCATTCTGGCTTCTGTCGCCAAAGGGTAGTCTCATGATCAAGGCGGAGCATCTCATCGACCAGGTCCAACAATTGTCCACTATCAAAATCTTGTACATCTAGAGAATGGATTAGTTGGTTGGCTTGTTGGCAGATCTTATTTATTTCGAGACCGTCTTTCTCGAGCTTTACAGATGCCATGTCATCGTTCAATGCATCGAGCCATACCTGTGACTCTGGTAGTGGGCTTAGCTGTTTTGCGAGCTGTTGCTTTTGCTGTGCATTGTCAGACCAAAATTGTTTCTGACATAAACTCGAGGTTTAAGGTACTAATCTGTGGTGGGCAAGACGAAAAAGGCCCCATCCACGGGGGTCATAGAATTGTGCGTGCCCACGTAGTCGAAGGATATGCGCCATGCCTTGAGCATGAGAACCAGTCATTAAAGAGTCAGGCATGAACAGGGTCTGCTGGAATGTTAGCCTGCATTATTGAGTCTTTGGCCAGCTAAATACCTCGAACATATCCAGCATGACTGTTGTCATTAGATCGTAGTCGTCTGGAGTCTTGTGCTTTTCTGCCAAAGACTGGCCAAGTGCAGTGAGAGCATGGCCATAGAACTCCAGTGATTTCCTGGCCAAGGCTTCGGAGATTTGCTCTCGCGAGATATCTGCAAGTGCACATGCTTGAACTGCAAAACGTAGCGCATAGTGGCCCTGGATATTGACCTCTTTGAATAAGGAGGGGAGGTGTTCGAGGAAGCCCGCAGAGGATGACTCATTACAAGGAAGTAGTACATATTTGTCCATGAATAGATTCGCTACTTGGTCGTTCTCAGATAGAGGTTTCGTAGTAGTTTGAGCTTTGAGCCATGGGAAGGCTGGTGGGAGATTGATAGATAAAGACGATGCGAAGGAGTCCTCAGAGGTACGTTCAACTGACCTACTTCTGGTACGACGCTCTCGAGACGACGAGTTGGAGCTGTTGGACACAGAAGAATTGCAAGATGCCAAACTTTGGCTCTTTGATACAACCTTTTTGGTTTCATGCTGGAACATGAGGTCGCCTTCATCTCGATAACCAACGCACAGCTCATTGCGGGCGATACATCGTTGGCATGAAGGTCGACCGCGGTCACACTATAGTTCTAGTCAGATAACAAATAAACATCAAGATTTCGTTTGGGCAAATACCTTTACTCTTCGTTGACGGCAGCGGAAACAGCCTCTACTTCGATGCGACATTATTGAGCTGAGCTGCTGAGCTTACATGGACTTGGATGAGAGGTCCAAGTTACCCCACGACACTAACAAAGAAATGGGTTTTGAGGTTAATATTATTCATACAGAGCACTTGACATGCAGGAAACAATTCAAACGGTCAAAGAAATATATGTCTGTTCAACTTTAGCAAGAATACCACTTGCATAAGCATAGACACAATATTATATATCATAGTCATACGTGTCAGTTCAACCATACCTGTTCCGCATAACAAGAAGCCTACAACAAAGGAAATACTGGCGATGGTATCTTTTTGTTGAATAACCATCAAATCGAACATCCGAACAGAAACGACAATGCATTGTACATAGCCAACCTAAACAGCTTAATTGTAATGATTTACGCCAGAAATATATAATCGCAACTATCCTCCTCTCTACTGTCCATATCAAAAACCATCGCCCCATGACAATATCGAAACCATCGATACAATCCGTTCCAATAAGCCCAACCCGTACACCCCCTAACAAGAACTAGACAACATCTTCAAAATGGTTCGTTTCCAGGATCACAGAATCAGCAAGCCGGTCCCTTCTCGTTTCCGCAGCAGGAACATGAGCAACTCCGCCAGAACCACAAACATTAATACAAAAGTCAGCATATTCGCCCATACCCACTTCTCTCCCACCGAGCCCAGTCGCTCTGTGGACGACCTCATGGAAATATCCATCCACACAGAGCGCAGAGACTCGCCGGCTCTTATGGTGGCCTCTCTCAACTCCGCCGCTGATGATTGGGAGTGCAAGGACTGCAGCTGGAAACTGCGCATGCTCGCAGGCAAGTTTAACTTGAAGTTTCATGCAAAGCGCAATGAAGGACCGACTTCATCCCCAGCTGCATATGAGACGCTAGATCTTGGATCACTTGCTATAGATTCACCACCAACACCCCCAAGTTCTGATTCTTCTCGATCGTCGAGTCCTCTTCCTGACGAGATTGTAAGTCTCAAACATCAAACGCTAACAAACGACGCAGGCGAAGGCCAGCCCTTCTACGGAGTCCACCAAGCCCATCTCGACCTCAGTCTCGGCGAGTCGGTCACGGTTCACATGCGTCCAACAGATCTCAAGCGCAACCGCTACGAGCTCAAACCCGGCACCATCATCTCTGCGCCTTTCCACAGCCAGTACCGCGATAGCACAGTCTCGACGAGCAACTACAACACAGCCGTCTCTGGCTTTGGCGCCGTCTACTCCAAGTACCGCAAGATGGTCATCATCGAGACCTGGGCAGACCACGTCGTCTGTCTTCCAATGTACAGCTACAACGGCCGAGGCCTCGAGAATCGTCAAGGCATGCTGGACGAGTACATCGACATCCGTGATGCTGACGAAGAGTATCACGAGCCGAGTGATACACCCCTCGAACCGCTGCTAGCTACTCGTGGTAAGGAGTGGGCTGGTAAAAACACCTTCATCTCAGGCAGGACGGTGATCAAGCTGACTGAGAAGACCACTCACAGCATGTTCCAGAAGTGCTCCATCGAGGGCAGAATCGAGAGCAAGCACTTTCGACGATTGTACAGGCTTTACTATGATTTAGTGCAGAGAAAAGTGCTGGAATTCTTTGGTAAGCCCATCGACTCCATGGTCATCATCCCAAACTAGTCACGAGCGAGGTGAGTCAGTCCATCATTCTTCAACCATTTATAGAGACAATCGCTAAATCGAATTCCCTTTGTTCAAAATCCTGTTCCTCATGCATCTAAGCTTCATGATGGAGTCCCGTGACCTGTCTTTGTCTAAATAATTCAATGTCAATGCGCTTGCTACAAACAACGGCCCTCATCTCAAGCGAGACGAAGCTGCCTTACTTAGTGGAGCAACCCAAGCCAATCCTACCAAGGTATATAATACAACCGTAACCCCTATCTTCCTGTAACCGTCTGCTGTCCGTCGTAGGTATAATTAAATGTCTTCTCCCTCTGCATCGACATCCTCTGCATCTTCAACGGCTTGCTCTCCGCTTGATTCCGCCCCAGAGACGTCGGGCGCAGTAGCGTTCCCATTAACCTTTATCCCATTAACTCGCGTAGAAACCACGACAGAGTCCTCTGCTGGTTCTTCCACTGCGACCTCCTGCTCCGGATCATTACCCTCAGTCACGGCTTGTAACTTAGAATGCTTATCGTTCCACCCGGGTGGCAGGCCTGGGCCACTAGCTGCATTACCGTAGTCGGATTTCTTGGTTCCCTTTGGCCATCTGCCGGGCCCACGGCCCGTTCCACCAGATTTCTTTTTCGATGAACTTCTCGGTCTAGATGACGAAGAGCGGCGGTTGCTGCTGGGGCGCTTTGGTCTCGATGTGCTGCTAGCGGTACGAGGGGCGGTAGGTCGACTGACGCTTGTTCGCGTACGATCTCGTCGACCAGCCGGAACAGCAGGAAACACTTCGAAACGTGTAAATGGAATGGCTTGGTACGGCCGTAACCATGCTGATTGACCATCAACTTCCGCATCTTCCATCTCGACATCTTTGTCTTTCTCTTGCCCCTGTGCAACGTCCTCGATAGACTGAACTGGTGCGGGTTCAGCATCGCCATCTTCGACTGGCGGATCCTGGGGTTCTTCTTCATTGATGTTCATTTGGGTGTCGAAATCGGGATCAGCATCGTCATCAGCGTCAACACTTGTCTTAACAACGGCATCTCCTTCTGCATCTGCATCTGGAGCAGACTCGGTATGCTTCTCGCCATTGACCATGACATTGGGCATCGGTTGACCATCAGCACCAACCACGCCCTGTCCCTCGTCAACTTTCGCCTCGTCTTCTTCTCTGGGTGCAATAGTGTTAATCGGCGGACCCAACTCGAAGTTGACGGCATTGCTTCGCCCCATTACATAAGGGGTCCAAACGAGAGCTTCTGATTTTAGCTGGACGTAGCCTTTTGTCTCCCATTTGTCCACGTATTGTCGGCAGTAGTCCAAATCGACTCTGAAGGCGTACATCTTGGTTTGTGGATCTCTGACGAGCGCCCTGAGACCCTCAAGGGCAGAGACAACATCGTCTGCGGTCATGCCAGTGTCGGCGGATATTTGTTTGACACTAAGTCCTTGTGTTTTGCGATTCTCATCCTCCACGATATTCAAAAAGTAGCGGCACAAAATAAGGCGCCAGTAATTACGGTACGATACCAAGCCCATGTCTGACAAAGGCTTCTCCGGTGAGCCAGTCTTCTCCTCAACCTTGGTGAGCAGGTACGAAAAGTCAATAAGTAGGTTGCCATATCCTTTCCGTTGGTGTATTGGTAATGTGAGGATACAAGAGACGTTATTTTGACTGCTGGCTCTCTTCTCCTTAGAGAAGTATCCCACAAAATGATATCCTGTTTCGTTGTATTCGCACAAGACGTAGAAGAGGAAGGGTTCTACGTCGTAGTATAAGGTTTTCGAACCCAGGAACAGCTTGGCAAGAAGGCAAAGATTCTGGCAGTAGACCGGATTCTTGCGGCCGTCGACTTCGAAAACTGATACAGATCCATGTCGATAGATCTCGTCGCCCGGTGGGTGTTTGGCCGGACATTTGAGCTTGTGTCTCCACGCAACGTAGTCCGAGTTCATGTACTTAAGGCAGAACTCGCAGATAAACAGCACGCGATTCCTAGTGTACTCGGCTGGATACGGCGCAGCATACCAAGTGTCGATTTCCCAGCCACCAAACTCGATGCACTCGATCTTGCTAGCGACATCGCTCGACTTCTTTGGCCTACGACTGGGGACAACTGTTTCATCCTGCGCGTCCAGAAGGCGCGCTCTCCATTCGTCCTCGGCCTTACGCTTGGCCGCCACGAACTTGTCCCGGTCATCGTTAGTTGGGGCAGTTTTGGTTGTGTCGGCTTCTGCTTCAGTCAGGACACCCCCATAAGGTTTTCCTTTCATCTCGTCCGTCTCTCGATCATAAAAGTTGTAGAATGGTTGCGAGTAGTTGTCTGATGTGAAAGGGGTAGGGAGCGCAGATATAGCTGCAATAGTGGCTCTGGATGGTGGAGCTGGTCGTTGAGGAGGTGCTCGTGTGACAGTTCCAGGTTGGCGTCTCTTTTCTCTTTTCTTACGAGAGAGAATTTCTTTAAGGTTGCCAGGCTTGACCTGAAGTCTGAGCACCAGTGATGTGCGTGTGTGTTTCTCGACTGCCACTGGTGGGGGCCGTGTAACCTTAAGTCGCAGAGTTCTAGAAGGCTGATGTCGCCCTGGTTCCACGCTTCCAGTGCGTGCTGTACCTTCGGACGCTGCGTCGTTCGATTGGTTCCGTCGGCGTTTTCTGAGGGAGATTGAATTCCCGTCGTCCTCCAAGGATGACGATTTGCGTTTTCTTAAGGTTCTAGGTGCCTCACTCGGTTGCTCATCAAGCTCATCGTCATCGTCGTCATTCTGCGAACTAGCATCCTCGTCGTCCACTTGCTGCTCAGTTTGATGTTCGCCCGAGAGGTCTGGGATTTCGGACTGCTGGGAGGTAAGTTCGACATCATGATCAACATCTTCCTCTTCCTCTTCCTCTTCCTCTTCCTCTTCCTCTTCCATCTCCTCGTCTTCAGCCTCTATATCGGATTCCGTGTTAAAGCATTGAGGACATTTCCAAACATCAGGTGCTTCGATTGTTAGTGTTTGTCAAACTTTGAGATTGTAGGTACTCACTATTGTCTGTACTCATTGCTGCAGCATCTCGTGCACATTGCTGGTGAGCTGTAATCTGTAAGTTTTCAAGAAGCATGTCACAACGATGAGGGAACTTACCATTACCACCACAGCGAGTGCATGCCAGGTACGTCTCGAATTCCTCGCTCGGGTCGTCGTCTTCGGTTTGGCCGCAAAAAACGCAATTGTTCGAAGCTGCTGTCTCCTCATCCTCGTGGTCTTCCTCCGCTTCTACTGCGTCTTCCCATGCAGCCTCTTCCTCTGAATCTTCTTCATTGGCGCTCGGTGATTCGGATCTATCGCTTTCACTGTCTTCGCCGTCGTCGTTTCTTGTCCCAGGCTGGAATTTGACAGCGCCCACGCCTTCATCATCTTCATATTCTTCGCCTTCAGCATCAACATCCTCGTCCCCATCAGCATCCATATCGTTTTCCTCTCTTTCTCCTTCCTCCGCTTCTGCAACTTCGTCATCCTCGTTCTGTTCTTCATCTTCATCTTCATCCTCATCTTCATCCTCATCTTCATCTTCGTCTTCGTCCTGGGTCGCTTGGCGACTGTTGTGAGAAGATATTTGCTGGTGTGTCATGTAGTCGTTGTCCTCTTCGCCCGATGCGTCTACATCCTCGCCTGACGCATCGCGATCGCTCAGCTCGGTATCGCCATTGTCTGTGGTAGCTGGATCGGCATCCATCGTTTCTTCAACTCCGTTCGGCCCTGATGCAATAATTGTCGCATCGCCTCTAGTTTCGCCTGCTGTCTCGTATTCGGCATCCTCGTCTGAAACCATGACGCTTTGCTGAAGCTCTTCCTCCATTATTTGTACTTTTGTCATAGTTTACCCCCGCGTCCCAGAAGTAGAGATTCTGAAACGAGAGCCTAAAAGTTGCATATCGATCGTTCTCGGAGTTTGGCGGAGGATTCTCGCAGTGCAATCACGTCTTGTTCATCGCGGTTGCGGCTGAAGACGCGGACTTGGCCCGAGGGACAGCTTAGAAGGAATGCGCGAAGTGGGAAGGTCCAAAAATGGGCTGCGGTTCAGTCGAGCAGGTGGCTTTAATCTGGACCACGCGTCTGTAAAGAGTCCAAATATCGTAGAGCTGCAATAAGTAAAGCCACTGGTCCAAGTCGCGTCAACTTGGATGATATCAAACAGCTCTCGGGGAAGCTAGTTGCCACAGTGCGTGCGACGACGGCGTAGGAGACGATGCACTGATGATTAGGTGACACACTGTGCAAACATCTTTCGCGCTCACTGTAGCTACATGCAGGGATAAGGATAGAGCTAAGTTTCTGCCTTAGGCACCCAAACCTCATCACCAATCGCTGAATCGTCAATGGCTCGGCTCGACGTGAGCTTCAATTCAAGGCCCGACCACTCGGAATACCTACGACCACCGCGACGACCCCGGAAGACAGGACAGGCCTGGTCAATTCGATTCATCACCCTCCTACAAACACAGAGAATACTGTAAAGTCTGCCCAGGCAGCGCCGTCGTCACAATGCCCGTCCCTTTTGAGGCTCTTCTTCCCTATGCCATCATGATTGGTGTATGTCACCATCCGATCCCGCAGCCGCACGATATAGAAGCTCATTGAGTGATAGATGTTCGGTATCTCTGGTACCGGTCTTGCCGTCGTGAAGACTTGGCAAAACGAGGGCAAGCGACCTCGTTACTCCGTAGACCAGTGGGATAGAGTAAGTTATTGCGCTTCTATAATTATGTTCTAATGCTAACTTGTTTTCAGCAAAGTACGACCTTCGAGAACAACTATTCCTACGAATGACCTGATGAACTAACAAATATCTAGTGATGGACCGTGACCGTCGGCTTACGGGAACTCTACGAGGACAAACAGACAAACCAGATGCGCCCTTAGGGTTCGAGTTGAACAACCCTTGGAAGGTAAGTTTTACTGGTATGTTTCGACCGACTCAATTGCTGACTGTTCAATGTAGTTGGAGACACGCTTTTCTTGAACATCGATATGGCGGTGCAGGACGAACAACCAGGCTAAGGAAGCCCAAATCTACCACTGTAAATATACAATTTGGGGCAGAAGCATCAAGGCATTGAGGCCTAAGGACGGGCAGTGCTAAGACAAAGAATCAAAACAACACTAAACTCGATCATTTGTTCAAGTCGCGCCATGATATTAAATACCAGAATGGTTTAGCCTTGACAACAGGGGTATCTCTATTATATCGCTATCTCTGCTCTATTCTTGTTCAGACCCTCCAGCAATGTACAGGCCTGGCACATGGTTTGACTTGACATGTATCCACACTTGACACACTTCCCCAGGTTCTGTTTTGGTGTAGGAGCTGTCTCCTTCTCCTTCTGCTTCTTTGTCCTCACCGGTAGAGGTGCGGCGTCATCCTTGGAATTCCCACTAGAAGTGATCTCTGTCTCGAGCTCCGTGGACTTGTGCTGCTTCTTGATGCTAGCCTCGACCTGGGCCATCTCGTTGCCAGAAGTTCGTCCGTTGGCCGAACCACAACCTCCCAGTCCCTCGCCCTCATCACAGCCGCATGCCCCTTGGCCTTTATCAGGTGTAAGTCGGGCCATGTCCTCTCCACTTCTGACAATATCTAAGATTGCACTTGGCCGCACCTTCTCCAGGTTCTTGATAAGTCCACGAGCTGTTCCTCGAAACGCCTCTGGGCTGTATATGCACTCGGTGCTAAAATAATCCAACTTTTTGTGGTATGCATAGAGTACAATCTCCTTCTCGTATGCGTACTTCAGGGGCTTGCTTCTCTTCACCTCACTGCTTGCGTCTCCGGTAACGATACTGGTGCTTCGAGATAACCTCGGCATATCTCCTCGTAGCAGATTCATCAGAACGGTTTCGGCAACGTCGTCGGCGTTATGGCCAGTTATGACATGTTGAATGGCCAACTTCTTGGCTCCTCGATCCAAAGCCTGTCGACGAAAGACACCACAATAGGTACAATTTCCCTTCTTTCCGATAGTCTCAACAACTTGGTCCATCGTCCATCCGTAAAGCTCATCGTAGCCAACAATTTCCAGTGGCATCTCATACTGGACGGCGTTTCGCTTGACAGTCTCCAATGAGTCATCTCGATATCCCTTGATCCCTTCGTCGACACTCAACAATACCAGGTCCAGGCCATAGTCGTGTCGTTCGTTCAAGGTCTTCATCACAGAGGCTAACACTGTGGAATCTTTGCCACCTGAAGCACCAATAGCGACTCTTTCACCTCGAAAGAAGAGCTTTGAGGATGTGATTGTGTGGTGAACTTCATCTTCGAAAACGGAGATGAAGCAGTCTCGACAGAGTTTGTGGTGGTTCTTAGGACGCTTTACAACAGCTCGGTTGTTCTTACATCGAAAACAAGGTGTAGGCGGCATTTTTGCTGTTAGTGTAGGTCGATGACTGAGTATGTCGAATTTGCAGTGGAGGCTGATGAGTGATGAGTGATGAGTGCCTCTGAGTGCTTGTAAGTGGACAAGGTGACTTGGAAGAGCTCGTGATCCCAAAGTGTCGTTTCTGTGTCAAATACGCTCAGCTGAGTACGGGGTAAATTATCTTTTATTAGGTATATCTCAAAGTTCACCAACTCTAGCTCCTTCCCAACCCAACGATTGACTCAATGACTTCGCACTGAGAGTCCCGCTAAGTTACCTAGTACCTACTAGGTATCTAGGTCACGTGTCCAGCTCCACTCCAGCCGCCTGTGGAGTTTTTATGGCAGGTGCGACCGAAGCCCTAACTGCCTTCACTGAAAAGGCAATCGAAAAAATTCTTCTTTCACTCTTCAACCTCGAGCAACTACTAACCCACACGATTCAAGATGGTGAGTGCATAAACAATCGACTCGACTCTAATGGCCACAGTTTTGTGAGTCAAATTCAAATGTGCTTTACCGCGCATGCGAATTGAAACCACAGCGTCGCTTACTTCTGTGGGCGACATGTGCTGTTGGTATTCCGCCAGTATTCGATCACCTTCACGGGTATTGAGCTGGTGAAGACTTGGCTGGAGATGCGGCGTGTGCAGAAATGCCATGACCTATTCTCGTTAGAGTTCAGAGAAGACCTTTTGTTGGCTTGAATGCCTTGCTGATGTCTTCTTTTCTCAATGACAGCCTCCCAAGTCCGGCAAGAAGGTCGCTCCCGCCCCTTTCCCTCAGGGTAAGGCTGGCAAGAAGGCCGCCAAGGTTAGTAACTCCAAACTTCTGCTGCTGTCTCGCGAGGATCGCTGACGATTTTAGAACCCCCTTCTCGAGAAGCGACCCCGCAACTTCGGCATCGGCCAGGACATCCAGCCCAAGCGAAATGTCGGTCGCATGGTTAAGTGGCCCGAGTATGTTCGCCTCCAGCGACAGAAGAAGATCCTTCAGATGCGCCTGAAGGTTCCCCCGGCTCTCGCCCAGTTCCAGCACGTCCTCGACCGCAACACTGCTGCCCAGGCTTTCAAGCTCCTCAACAAGTACCGACCTGAGACCAAGGCCGAGAAGAAGGAGCGTCTCCTCCAGGAGGCTACCGCCGTCAAGGAGGGAAAGAAGAAGGAGGATGTTTCCAAGAAGCCCTACACCGTCAAGTACGGTCTCAACCACGTCGTCGGCCTGATTGAGAACAAGAAGGCTTCTCTCGTCCTTATCCCCAACGATGTTGAGCCCATTGAGCTCGTCGTCTTCCTTCCCTCTCTTTGCAAGAAGATGGGTATCCCTTACGCCATCGTCAAGGGCAAGGCCCGTCTCGGAACGGTCGTCCACAAGAAGGTATGTGAAACTGTATACTCATCTATCAGAACTTTTGTCTAACTAGTCTTCAGACCGCCGCTGTCCTCGCCGTCACCGAGGTCCGCTCCGAGGACAAGAACGAGCTCTCCAAGCTCATCTCCGCTGTCAAGGACGGTTACCTTGAGAAGCACGACCAGGCCCGCCGACAATGGGGTGGTGGTATCATGGGTCCCAAGGCTCAGATGAAGATCATCAAGAAGCAGAAGGCTCTTGAGGCTGCTACCAAGATCTAAGGATATTTGTTTATACCCCTCACAACGCATTTGCGATTCTGGGATCAAACGGAGTTGCACGGTTCACGGCATGGAAAATGAATGATTTCTCTCGGGTTATATTTCGTCCCATCCCACTCGCAGTGACTTGTGAGGGCGGTCTTCGACCCTCCTAAAATATATGATGAGCTTGCTTCTTGGACAAGAACTCAGTGTAAAATGTGAAAGTGATGATCGTGAAAGTGATGATGCCTGATGAGTTTTTCTGTTCCCGCAAAAGTGCTGCTCTTGAATGTCAACCACTTAGGAGCGTCCAATCAAGCGTAGTCTGTGCCCCGTTCCTCTTCGCATGCGAGGCTGGCCCTGCATTTTGTCTGCTGCGAACCTGTGTGTGTGTGCATGATCTGGACACCGTCGGGCTGTCGTTGAACTGTTTTTGTGACAGGCTAAATCTGAAAGTTCCAGGGTATGCTTGATGTTTACCGCTCCAATTCTAGTTAATTAGGTATAGTACTGCGGATACAGCGGTTGGAACCATAACAAGCAAGCCTTTACAGACCTAATACTCGCCCTTGGTCCATTGAAGTCTGCACACTTCGTGTCACGTCATCAAGGCAAGGCTGATAGTCCATGCCTACCTCAAATTCCCCATGGTCAGGTTTTGGCAGCATGGGTCAAGTTCAAATGATAATCACAGTTGAGCCAAACATTATCCTGCTTGACCTCAATCTGTGCTCTAAATTCATCATATCGTCAAAAAGCTATTCCATTGCTACAGCTGCTGCTTTAACTTCCCCTCTTCTCTTGCCCCACTTGGTAAACTCGTCGCGTTCATATTTTAACCGTAAACAAGCTTGAAAAGATCGTTGAAGACGTAGTAGTTGCCGGAGGCGTCACGGGCAAGCTGGAAGGACTGGGCAAAGTTCATGGGACGCTGCTCCTCGTCGACCTAAGGGAATATTGTTAGCTACTGGGTAACCACGATTAGCGAGCGACGTGGTACATACAAGGAGAGCACCGGTGATGAGAATAATGACACCACCCTCCTGGTTGGAGGGCTGGGCATCGAGGGTGCCAACTTCGTGCTTGACCTTTGCGAAGGGAAGAGACTGTTTGTAAAGATTGTTAACGAGACCGGCTTTTGTCAAAACGGAACGGGGAGGTATACAGTAAGCTTCTCGGTGATGGAGGCAACGCCGAGGGTGGAGGTAGATTCGAAAGTCAACATGGAGTTCTCACGCTATCCACAAGAGTCAGTTCATCGGTCTGCCATTATTACTAGCGACCACGTAATGGCAGAGTACTTACGTAGAGAGCGGCAAGTCCACTGCGATCAGTGTCGAAGGTGTTGTAGTAGTACTGGACGAACTGCTCTGTTGGGAATATGTCAGGAACCTTCTCTAAATCGCGGGAAAGGGGCTTTCAGGTCAGCCCAGAGGAGAGGGATCGTAAACATACTGGCGATATCCTCGAAGTCTACAAGTGTGCGCGGTTAGTTTCTCGTATTCTCTCCGTCATCTTCCAGCAGTACAAACTCACTGTTGGCCATTTTGAGATATGGGGACCTGGTCTGGTCGTGTAAGTCGCTAATGCGTCTTGGAAAGGTAGAACGGGAGTTTTTTGGATAGGAGACGAGAGTCGTTGGGTTGTCGCAAAGTCTGCCCGAGGGGAAGCGACCAAGAAAGAGAGCAAGAGATGAGATCGATGGTGGGGTTGAGGGGCACAGTGCAGATTAGGCACACACGTCAATGATCAATGGGGCTGCTGCCATGGAAACTTGCGGCCTCTCGGGCCCAGGGCTGTGCTGGTACAGTGCGGCCTCGATATAGGCATAAATGGCGGGATGGAGCTTGGATAGGGCGATATTTGACCCGCACCCCGTTTTTGCTGGGAAATAAAATTGCGCCGGAGTTCCTGTTGAAAATTGATTTCTATCTTCAACAACAACTCCAACAACAACAATCTCGCCTCGAGGCTTATGATTCTCTAGCAGAAATGCCTTGAGAATCTGCATGATACATTCTGTATCTCTGCATCATCACAATAATTATCATCGCAGGCACGGGTCCAAATTCGCCCAATTACAGTAAGGTACGTTACACTACACGACACGACACGACACAATTGTCTTGTCCAACACATCGCGGACGCGTCTGCATAATCATTTTCCCTCCCCCTTTTGTATGATGACAAACTCTTCCATTAAGAACGGCCAACTGAATCTCCATGTTGATTTCAAAAATTATCAAGCTCAACAGTCTGACATATTTACCCTTACATTCATTACTTAACATGAACAAATTTGTCAGAAGCATAGGCTAACTTGGCAATCAGTTCAGTAGATTTTTGTCACTTCTCTTTCAGAGAACAACCACGGTATAACTTGCCTGCCAATCTACCTAGCTTTAGAATGCTTTCAATATATACTTCCATTATTCACATCTTACATCGTCTTTTGCTCCTCGTGACTTTTAATACGTTCCAACAATAAAGTGCAGAAATTTTCATAGGACTCGTACAACCTTTCCAGGAATCCGATCGATCAATAATGGCAGCCCAATTCTATGACAGAAGATACAGAAAAACTTCTACCTCTTTGAGATCCTGACATTTCGACACACAGGACAACAATTTTCACTCCACCCAGTTATTGGTGTAAAACAATATCATATTTTCCCCCTTCACAAGCAGTATAGTGTATATACAGTATTTCGATTGAAAGTACTTGCTTGTTTGACCTTCTAGCCTCTAGTAGCCAGCCCTGCCTCGAAATCAAGTCCCTAGTTTTCCGCAGTAAGAAAATGGATACCTAATCAGACCCTTTCGATTCAACCCGAGCCACTTGCTCCCTAAAAGGTGAAAGCATCCAATACTTTCTAAAGTCTCGCCAATAGACCTGCCATGGCCTTCGTAGTAAAACATAATTCATCTTGTTCCAAATAACCGTCGTAATCAGGTCGCAGGTCTATCCGATATGATATTTCCCCATCTCGTTCCACATCTACTCATACCATCCACGGTGACACCTAGTGGTAGCTTCCTGCTTAGAATACAGCTGGACGTGTTGTCGTTTTCTTTCGTAATTCAATAGACTACTTCGGTAAGTCTTTAATACCGAGCCGTGATCGGGTCTATTTGTTCTTGATCATAGCTCTTCTTCATCATTGGCCTTGGGCTTCTGCACCTCGACATTGGAAGGTGTTCTAGAGCCGGAGCCGGAGCCGCCAGAAGTGCCTGCGTCCACCTCTGTTTTCAACCCTGAGCCCGAGCCCAAGCTAAAGCCCTCGACTGAGTAATCGACACTGGGTCGATATTTCTTAAGCGGGCTCTGGAAGGTTGACTTGCTAGGTGTGTCAAGACCTGCAGAGTTTGAAAGAAAGTTGTTGGGAGGGGATCCTGCCGCCGTGGGTGCTTGTGACGTGGATGTGCTACCGGCATTCGGGGTTTGTGATGCTTCTGATGCGGCGACGCTATCTGGATCTGCGGAATGCGCCCTCTTAAGCTATATTTGTGTTGTCAGTTTGGTGTGTCCATGAAGGTTCATAACCGAACTTACGTGAATACGATCCACGCCGTCAGCAAGTTCGCCCTGAAACTTGGCATCTTCTGGTGCAAGTTTGGTGTTTACGTCCTTATCATATACCTCCTCCATCTTGCCCAGGTTTCCGTCTTCTTCGTCGTCGTCATCGTCGCTGTCGTCAGCAATGTTGCCATTGCTCTTCTTTCTAGCCTTGCGTCTTCTTGAGGCCTCGGTAGCCTGGTCGCGGAATGTGGAGAATCCAACGGTACCACCTGTTTTGAGAGGCCCCAAGTTGGAAAAGTCGATTTGGCCTGACCTACGCTTGACGGAAGCGGGTGTTGTTTGGGGGTTCTTCGACGATTGTAGAACGCCAATCTTTTGCAATTGCCCTACGATGTTTGTAAGTATATGGGATGCTGCGTCAATTCATAAAACTTACGCTCTCCTCGGTAGAAGAAGGTGAAGACAGCGTAAGGCTTGTCTGGCCCGTCGATACCTGTGACCGTCTGTGTGCTAATAGTCTTGGGATCAAGGGTCTTGGGCTTAGCAAAGCTCGTCGTGTGTTCAACGTCAGCATCGATACCATTGCCTTCCTTGGAGCCCATGTCGTCTTCGTCGCCATCGTGGGCATCAAATTGGGGGGAGTATTCGCCCTTCTTGATTTCGCCAGAGGCAAGTACGCGGAACATAGCCACTTTGATTTGCCCAGTCGCCTCAGGAGGTTCATCGTCATCGTCGGACCAAGAGTCGGAATCGTCCGCAACAGCCTCAATGGGGGACTTGTCGTCAGCGCCATAGCGTAGCGTACTCCTGCGGCCTGGAGAACCCTGGTCCACGTCAAGACTGGCGTTTCCTTCGAGGGCTTGTTGTCGTCGTCGGCGCTTCTCAAACTTCTGGCGACGCTTCTCTGTCTTCTCGGCGGCATCATGCCCCTTTAGATCCAGGCCATTAAGCCAGCGTTCCAAGCCGACCTCGCGGAACAAGAACTCGCGCTCGGCCAGACCGCCGCCCTCAGAGTCTGGAACTTGCACCCAACGGCTGTTTACCCAGGTTTCTTCACCCGGTCGCAGGAGGGTTGCAACTTCCTCTTTGGCTCTGCCATCGAAATAGATATAGGCAGCGATAGTCTCATTCTCGGAGTTGGTCATGGGAATGTAAGGGCTCACGGCGCCAGAAGACTTGCCCCGTTCCCCTAGACCGCCAACAAATTGGGGTTTCGGGTAAGGGTTGTCATCACTAGGTTTCGGGGTCGAGTATGGGATAGGCAAGCCAGGGGTGAGGAGGGTAATGGAGATGGCGAATTTCGCAGGCTCGGGCTTGTTTGACTCGGCGAGCTGAGGTTGGGGCACAGGAATGTAGGTACTGATCCGCGAGAGACGAGATTGTTTCTGCATGCCATGCTCTGGCAGCGGGGCAGAATTCGCATGAATGCTGACCGCAATGCCCTTGAAGCAGGGCATCGTGACGGTATGTGCTGGGGGTTGGTGTATATGATCGAGGTGAGGGGAGGTAGAGAGAAGTTGATAACGGCGACGGAAGTGTAAGACTTGGACGTGACGTCTCGTCTATGTTTCGTTGGAGGCTAAGCAAAGCCGTGTAGTCGCAAAGGACGAGCAGCAAAAGCAGTCGGTCGGTCACTTGCTGGTGCAGTCTCAGCACATACGGTCAGGTCGGTGTGCGCAGCTCAGGCCTCGTCGTGGTTGTCCAGAGGTGATTCGGGAGACGTCGAGAGGAACAAGCGGGCGGGCGGTGGAGGGAGTCGCAGTAGTCACAGTAGTCACAGTTGTTGGCCCGCAATAGAGTCCAGGTGAATCGAACTAGTAATAGCGGTCGGTACGTAGCGGTAGCGGTAGCGGCACGGTACTGTCAGGTACCTTACCTACAACAGTAGGGGTGGTCGGGGATGGTAAGGTGAGGTGGATTGTGGTGGAGACGAACAGCACTTCAACGATCGAGAGCCATGTCTCCAGGTAGACAGAGATGGTTTACGTAGATAAAAGGAGTGATGATGTAGGAGAGGGAGCGAAATCAGCTGTAGCCGAGGCGGCGCGAACTGTTCTTGTTGGTACACTAGCGAGTCGAATTGGCACAGGATAGAGGGGAGTTGTTTGTTCACGGTAGGTAGAGAGAGGAGGGGCTCGCCAGCCCAGACCAAAATGGATAGAGAACCTGCCCTGAGCGATCAGCCAGAGCATGGGTGCTCCCTACAATGGGGGGCACGATGGGCCACTTTGGAGGGGTCGAGGATCTGGGCGTGACCTGAAAAGTTAGGTAGTGAATCAATATCTTGGCACCTAACCTGTAACATGGGATAAGATGATATATCTCTGTATAAGAATCGATGAATGTCAAAATATCGTATTATTTGATGTTTTCTGATTTCTAGTTTAATTCAAAGAAGACGTTGGAGCTTGTGATCTTAACCACTTACTGAACGGTAATTTGCTCAAGCTCTTTGAGAATAATTTTTCATGTGAATAGATTCCCATCACATTTCATATTAATCCACTACAAAAACATAATAATTCACCGCTTTTCATACACACAATGACAGTCCTATGGATTGAAATACCCTAACCAAAGTCGACAGATACACCAAATAACCCTGCGATCAAATGCTTGCTAACCTACCTACCTAATATCCGTCTTTATCTTCATGTCAAGTCGTACCTTACTTAAAGTTAAACTTTTGAGCTCGTCATAGAATTACAGCCAACTTGGCATGCATATAAGATCAGCAGAGCCTAATCTACACAAATAAATTCCCCTGCATATAAACGACAAATACTATGCTGACAATACATTGCTTATCTATCATGCATATCTTGATTCTGTGGGTATCTGCTTCTACTAATTTATGCAACGCTCCGATCGATTAAAACTCCTCACAACCTGTTACGCGACGTTCGTCTTCGAATGCTCGTGGCCCCGTCCTCGCTATAGCTCGTGCCAATACCCGAGTCTTTGTGCTGTACGTCCTCATCATCCTTGTCATCATAGCTTTCTTCGTCCTCATCGTCTGCATCAGCTCCTGCTCGAGGAATTTCGGACAAGGGTTGCTCAGGGTCCAGTTCTGGCTTGATGTCCGGCTCATACTTGAGAGGCTGTTGCCTTCCATACGTAGGAAAAGTCTCTTCGCGGTCCGTATCCTCACCCTCATGCTCATATTCTGCACCTTCCAACCTCTTTGATTTAAGATCCGCATCCCCAGGCGGTGATCCAGAGGCGATACTCCAGACTCCCCAAGCAGTACCCATAAATACCACCTCAAACGCCCAGAAGACGAGGGTTAGGGCAATGAATGTCGAGATACGATAGTGTACCATCATCCAACGTAGTCCACGAAGCTGAGCTGTTAGCTGTAAGTAGGCATGGTAAATCTGAATGGTTTGTCCTGCCTCCACCTCCACATACGCCGACTTTGGGAGTTCTGATTCCCTCAGGAACGAGACTCGTTCGGCTAGCGGGATAATCATCGAGTTTGTGCTTGAGCCAGGTGTAAATAAATGATACAGCAGAAAGAGAACACGGGATGCCACAGACACGAGCGGATCCACGTAGGGAAACAAAGCAGGCCTGCGGGAACTAAACAGGACATTGGCCCCTCCAAACCCTTCGTGTAACGATGCGTGACGTTCCGCTTCGGTGAAAAGACCAAGGTCAGCTTTCGAGTCGAGCATGTGCAGGCTAACCATAAAGTTGCCGCGTTCCACGTTTGAATTTGAGCGCGGCATGGATAGCATCAGCGACACATCGTATTCTTGTTGCGTCTTCATGGGGGGCGTTTGAAGCGATGCGATTCCGTATGGATTAATGCCAGAGCTACACCCAACCGTGTTAGTCATGTAGGCAGGCAGGGATTGCACACATCGTGATAGCACATACCCATACTGAAGGTGAACTGGCAGAGTAACGACCTCGTGAGGCAGGAAATTCTGGAAAAATAGAACCGAAGCGATCGCGGCTGTACAAAAGAGCGTCACGGCGCTCGAGACAAGGAGTACGGTGTTAACGACGGCTCGCTGGACAGGCTTGGACGTGACAACACGAGCAGTCTCTTGTAGAGTTTCCTTGGCAAGCAAAGTCAGTCGTGCTCATGGATGGAATCGCAAGTATCACTGGCTTACCATGGTGAGTGCAATCGCACCAACTGGTAGTATCGACGTCGGTTGAAAAGATATGAGTTGCAAATTGAAGGGAGGAAATGTCGAACGAGGTGACATGTGAAGATGAGCTTGGTTAGGTACGGACAGGGGAGCTCTGGCAGCTCTGATGGACGTCATAATTCGGTACGTATCCATTGGCTATCACGAGGCCATCTAATACTGCAAGAATAATATCAATATTTCTCATGATAAGAAAAATTCCTCTTCAAACTAAACATCTACATAAAGAGATTCTTTAATCGTACTAATAAAAAAGAACAGTCGTCTCAATCTTCCCTAACAAATCATAACATATACCACCAGAATCATAAGCAAGGCTCTCCATAACCGCATAATTGCTATGACAAAAAACAGCATAACGAATGGTATAAAATCAAGTCGTCAATACCCCGATCCTTATTCAATTAAACAACCAGACGACTTATCACGGATCATCCACCACATCGCACATATCATGAGGAAATTAGCATTCCGCAAGGTAATTGCTTGGGACCAGCCCGATACTTCCATCTCCACCATGGACTTCTGCCTCCCACCATCCGTCGTCTTGGTGACGGAGGACAGCAAGATAATCGCCCTTGTTAAAAGTCAGTTCCTCAGGGATGGCAGCTTGATACAAGTATAATGCACGTGCTATGGGCAATCATGTTAGTTTAGTTCAAACGTTAGCATTGTAGGAGAACTTGCCATAATGCAGAATAGCTCTGCCATCATCGGTATATAGTCGTGAGGGATCAGCAACACTCTGACTGCGCTGGCGGGTGCTACCATCTTCATAGTAACTCTGTGCCCTAGAGGCAGGTCGGCTGTCTCGACTCCTTTGCGAGCCATACATGTCGTCGACTGGCGCTAGCTGCATTGCCATGTCACTGCCTGCATAGCTGCTCCCAGGGCGGTTTTGCTGGCCGTAAGGCGAAGGGGAAGGTCCGCGACTGGCAGTCTGTTGAGGTGATTGGGGATAGTACCCCTGAGCTGAGCCATGCTTCTGTGGCGAGCCCAGAACAGAAGGCGAGCGTTGACTAGCAGCATAGGGGTTAGGCGACACTGACCTATAGCTCATGTTGTCGTTGATAGGTGGTTGGGGCGAAACACTCCGAGCTGGTGCTGGAGATGTTGCTCTAGGCATGTCGGTGCCTCTAGTGCCTGGTCGTGAGCCTGGCGACGTGCCATAAATGCCAGAACCTCCACGGGACATATCACTTCCCCTTGTGCCGGGTCGGGACAGAGGAGTGGCATTGAAACCACGTGTGTCCGCACGAGGTATATCAGTTGCCCTGGTGCCTGAGCGTCCGACAGGTGCAGTATTATAGCCACCAGTTTCTCCCCGACCCATTTCGGTTCCTCTAGTGCCCGGTCGAGACATGGAAGCTGAGCTATAGCCTCCCGACTCGCCACGGCCATTATCTGTGACCCTGGTACCTTGACGCGACATGGAAGCAGCACTGTAACTTCCGGACTCGCCTCTGCCGTGCGTAGGGGTCCTGCTTGTAGGCCGGGAAGAAGTTGGTGGAACACTTTGGCTTAGAGATGGCTCGGTCCGCTTTACTTCAGTGGTTCGAGTGTTGGACCTCGAAGCAATGCTGCTGTAGCCCCCTGGGGAGTTGCCTCCGTTCTCAAACATGTTTCGAGTTTGGGAGGTAGCCTTCTTGGTAGCTTCCTTCATTGCCCTTGAAGTAACAGCAGGTGGCGGGACACCGAGTCGCGATACCGGGGTTTGGTAGGATGGAGGCGGCGTTCCTCTCTTTGCCGCCGTGACATCCGGGTTTGCAGCCGTTGGTACCGCCCGTGAAGCGGAAGCTTGTCTTGAAGCTGCCTCAGATCCAGGGGCTGGAGTAGCGATGCCCGAGTAGTGATCAGCAGACATTCTTGTTGACTGCTTGCCCAATGTGACTCCCTTCAACTCAGCAAGAGCGAGCGCAATAGGATCTAATTCCTCCGAAGCTTCTGCAGCAGCGGGAGCCCCAGGCTTTTTCTTGGTGTCGGGGTTTGACACAGCGAAAACATTTTGTCCAACACCAAGAGCCAGGCTAGCATTGGCGTCAATAGGTTCAGGACTCTGAGTACGTTCCTGTGTGACCACATTCGTTGACTCCTGGGTTTGCAACTGTGGTCTGCGGATGGGACTACCCGAGTTCTGTGGGTTCGATGCGTGCCATGTGTTTCTGTTCGACTGCTGAAGATCTTTGTTGCTCTTACGCCTAAAAGGACTATGATTCTTCAGGAAACCACCGCTCTTCTTCTTGGCAACTAGTTTGACCGGGCTAGGAGTGGTGGTAGCAGCCACAGGTGTAACAACTGGCTTAGGTGCAGGAGCGGGAGATGCAGGCGCTGGGGCCGGAGCTGATACTGGTGCTTGAGTAGGCATCGGATCTTGCTGGATTGGATCTTGCTTCACGGGCGAAGTCTTGCCGCTTGGTGGTTCCACACTAGAGAACGAGTTAGGGTTCGAATAATCACTATGCGAGTCTCTGCTTGAAGGTCGAGCAGATGTGACTTGCGAACTGTGGTCCGAAATAGGACTTGGACCAGTTCTGCAGAGCATTGCCATGCCGTCCGCGGGATAGGGATCGTGGGGCACGGCTGCAACTGGACCATGCTGACTAGAGTTGTATGATGTTTGAGCCACAGGCTGTTGACGACGGTACGGGTCTTCTATGGGACGTCGTACTTCAAGAGATGTTCGGGCATCCATTGCTTGCCTTGTGTCAATACTGGGCCGAGACTGCATCGAGGGCCGCACTTCTCCAGAGTGACGCATTTCCAAAGAAGGTCTGGGTTCTTGCTGCCGCATGTCTGGATGACGCATATTTGAAGGTCTCATGTCCCCTGATCTGCCATCAGCGGGCCTCATCTCAAGAGGCCTCATCGGCTGTTGCATATGGTGGCCCATGTGGTGAGTAACCTGCTGAGAAGGGTTGTGGCGCTGGGAGTACTGGTTTTGAGAGGGATGTTGGAGTTGAGGGGGACGCTGGAGCTGGGAGGGATGCTGCAGTTGAGATGGATGCTGTAACTGAGATGGATGTTGCATCTGAGAAGGATGCTGCAGTTGAGAGGGGTGTTGCAGCTGGGAAGGCCGTTGCTGTTGAGGAGCATGCTGCAGCTGAGAAGAATGCTGAATCTGGGAAGGATGTTGCATCTGAGAAGGGTGTGGTTGACGTTGCTGAGGAGGAGCCTGAATCTGCTGAGGCTGGGGTTTTTGACCGATCTGGAGGATCTCATCAGGAGGCAGGGTAGCCTTCTTTTGGGCGGCAAGATCTGCCTCGCGCTTGGCTGAAGCAAGGTCTTTGTGAGCCAGCTCGTTGGCTAAAGCAGAGTTCGGGTCATGGTGCGACTCAAAGGTTGATGGTTGCGGGGAGGATGATCGGAACGCAGGATTAATCATTCGAGGAAACTGTGCTACAGAGTAGTTGTCATCCTCTGATGCCTCGGACTGGTTGTCTGTTATATCTCCGCGGCAGAAGTTGATATACTTGGGGGCATCCGGGATCTCCTGGCCAGTTCCCTTTTCGGTGATGAAGGTGATTATGTCTTTTTCCACATCCATAACCTCCAGCGAGAGTCGGATTTTTTCGCACGACGAATCGTCACTAACGCAGACCGTGGAGGCAATGTTGGCAAAGGTCCACAGACTGCTCTTGGAGAAGTCTAAGCGCTCTTCTTCCAGGTCCTGGAATTTGTCGGCCGCCGCCTTCCACTCCCTATTCCACCTTGCTGTCGTATCTTCGAGTGCTTTGACAGCGTTCTCGTACTCGGTGTTTGAAGTTGCGAGGCTGATCTGTGTCTTTTCTAGTTTCGCTTTGTTACGACGTTCTTCTTGGCCCATGACCATGTGGCCTTGAGCTAAATAACCTTTGATCTTTAAGCACTCCTGCTCGTACTTGTCTCGTGTCTATTAATCGAGTCAGTTTGTATTAGGCACCGTCATAGTAAATATAAACCAACCTTATTAACCTGTTGTGTTTGCTGCATCTTGACCTTGAGCAGTTTCTCGACAGTGTTTTGTATAATCTTTCGCCGTTCCTTCATTCCTCCAGTGAAGGCAGCAAGTGGTTCTTCGAGTTCGGATTTCATCTCTGCGCCAATGAGCTGGTGCTGCTTGGCCATCTGTTCAACTTCGCCTCGGACAGTATCCAACGATGTCTTCAGTGTACCAGACTCCTGTGACCCCAATGGTTTGCGGCTAAGATTTAATAATTTACGGGAGTATTCTTCTTCGATCGACGCTCGAGCTATATGGAATTTATTAGAGAGGCTTCACAAAACATTGATCTGACATACCGCCATAGAATGCTCTTAATTCATCGCATGTAGTCTTGGCCGCAGTCATGCGACTGAGGAGCGGTGAAACTCCAGCGTCTTCTTTGCCCCAGAAATTGTTTGCGACTGCATTGTCAAAGGTTAGATATGGAAACGGAGAATTGATTTCAAAGCCTTCAAACTATGCTTACAAGAAAGCGCAACGCCTGGGGTGTCGACCGTTGAGCCGGGCATGATGCTCAACTGTAACTCAATTCTCTAGCAAGAATACCAAGCAAGCTTAACTGATAACTTGTAAGAATGTGCTGCTCGAACAAATATAGATGGTTAAGGTAACGATCCAGCCTGAGTCATACTGCACTCCACGCTAAAGAGGGAGGAAGCGAGACAAAGAGTGACGGGTATGTAGTTTATTCAATGGTGATAAAGAGAGGAATGCCGCCAAAAGAGAGCTAGCTGTATTGTTTTGGTGGCGTCCAAGTGTTGGCAGGGCGACCGCTAAGCCATAGCCATTCCGTGCCAATTCGCTGAACCTGGACCGTTGTCATCTTTTCCAGGCGCCCCACCAATACTGGCAAAACGGCAGACACCAAAGGATTGCCCGTTTTCGCCAGGAACACAGCGACTGGCCCTGGGTTCGAGTCCCCAGCTTCGCCATTTTTTTTTTCTTTTCTTAAGTTTTGCTATTCATAATTATCATAAATGCTCATTACTATGCATACACTTTATATGTTGAAGTGGAAATATGCCCCGATATGGGCCTAATTTGCTTATGCCTTCGCACTATTACTAAGCGTTGTCATTTAGGCACGTGATGTAGCTTCATACTGTTCACCACAAACCTGGTCAAACCAACAACCACCACCTTGTGTACAGACTGTCTTGACGATATCGATATTTGCATCACCACACGCCATAGATATTTCGATCTTGTTCGTTGAACGGACGCCGACTTGCTGCAAGCTTCCCCCCCGAGCTATATAGTTTGCCGCGTCCTCGACGATCTCCCTACGACGATAATAATTGAGTTCGACACGTACCTCTATCTCCACCTTCAAGTCGAGTCAGGCTCGAGAGTTCCCATCTTGTCGACGACGATTGTTGCACGGATCGCGCAGCCTCTTGCACTCGCCCTCCGACTCTTGATCGGTGCTCTTCCTCGTCGCTCCCCCATGTAGGCAGCTTATATACCGAACTATCCTCCTACATACTTCCCCGCTCGCTCGCTTCGTGAGCCCTCCGGCCTGCCACCATACCGAAGCAGGTGCTCAATTATCACATCCCCCTCCGCCGCGAATACACCTCCATGGTCCCACCACCTCGAGCGGGATCATTTTCGCCCAATCCTGCACAGACACTACAAACGGGTGCGAGCCATTCTCCTCATCCATCGCAGACTGCCATTCTCAGTGCTGGCGCAAGCCCTAGCGCCAGCAGTCCAACGGGCACCAACTCCTTGACGAAGATTGTCGTCGCCCAGGTCTATCTTCTGCTTAGTACCATCAAAGAGGATAAGGATCGTGCTAAGTGGGAGCTTCAAGTCGACCAATTGAAGAAGGTTTGGCTACCTATCATTGTTGCAAAGTCCCTGTTTTGCTGACGATGTATCCTCTTTATAGCTCATCGATGACCACGGAATGGAAGTCTTTTCAAAGTATTTCACCCGGCTCGTTGCCGGCAATGCGCCACAGATATTCCCCGGCCTCAATAGGCCTGTCTCGAACCCGGGCAACTACCATATCCTCGTAGGCGAGATGCGAAAGATCTCACATGATATTGACCAAGCAAGTAAAATTGCTGAGTCGGTTGAAAGTGGTACTGAAGATATCTTCCGCGACTTTGACCTTTCAACCTTTATGGAACATTTCAAACTCGACGCCCTAGAGAAGACCTTATTAGCTTTGGCCTTCAAACTTAGTTCGCGAGCAGATTTGAAGACCAAAGGTAAGCATGCATTTTCCTTGTATAATTCGATGTAGCCTGTACTTATTATCTATCTCAGCCGACGCTATATTATCGACCAACTTCACTTCTTTCCTCGATATTATTTCCCGCCCTGATCTCGACGCCCACTCCGACCTGAAGCCCCCTTTTATCGCCTTGATTTTGGACCGATTTCTACAGTATCATCCTCCCAGCTTCAATGCTTCTTCTAGGCGCGATCTCGAGGCTTCTGTTACCAAACGATGGCTCGGTCAGACTCCGGAGCAGACACCACCTTCCGAGATCCTCGCTGCTTTGGACTTGGGTAGAGTGCTCGCTGATCGACCTGTCAACGGACTGGTCCGATATATTCAAAAGACAGGTGTGGAATTCACCCGAGACGAGGAAACATGTGTCTCGTATCTACAGAACCGCCCTAGCAGCCTTCAGCTAGGTCCGGAACAGGTCTCGGTGGCCATAACTTTTACCGCCGTTAGTCATAACCCTCAACAAAATCCTAGTGTTTTGGTTGGTGCTCTGAGAAAGGTTTTGCCGAAAACCTTCGACTGGATGGAGGTAGTTGTTTTATTTGACCAACCTTCCGCCCGTGTGTCTTCCCCGCAGTTCCTACGTCTTTATCGTGCTCTCTTGCCCATCGCTCAAGATTCGAACTCTGGCCTGGATATTCAACGACTTTGGGGCGGTGTCTGGAGGAACCCTGAGGCTCAGCTCTCTTTTGTTAGTGCCTACGCTTCTTTGACTCCCGACCAGCTGGACGCGACAACAATCCCAGGGCTTCAGCGCAGTATCACCATCGAGGACTACGCCAACTCCCCTGCCAACGTACAGGAGCGGGCAAGTGTTGCTGTAAAGCATCCTCTCGTTTCCGTCGCCGCACTTTCGTCAATTTTCAACGTTGCGCTCAGTTCTGTCTTGGCTTCCACTAGTATTGAGGCCAAGAGACTCTTCCAAGAAGTAGTGGTTCCTAATTTGGACATCTTCCTGGTCTCCGCGTTTGAGGTTCCACGACAACACTGGGCGGCAATGGCTGTCGAAACTCTCGGCTCTCTTTTTGAGAACTTCCTCTATAAGCGATCTCCCGAATACGACTTTGTTCTCGACAGCCTTTGGAGGAAGGATAAGGACTGGGTTATTCAACGCTTGATCGATGCTCACGCTATCAAACCAGCAGACCTTCCGCTTGTTCTTGAGCACGCTTTAAAGCATAATTGGCTAGAGTCGTTGGTGTACCTTCCTAACGGGTTTGGTATCGATCTGGCTGCTCTAGCGCATGCAGAAGGCTATCTGGATCTGTCCAAGTGGGCGCGGTTGAATGCTGAGCGTAGTACCGAGGTTTCCCGTACCCTCATACAGTTTCTAATGATCAAGGCCAACATGGAGAACCAGTTTCAACGCGGCGGTCCTGACGGTCAGCCTCCTGTTAAGAGCACTACAACACTTCACGTTCGTACCGTGTCCGCGCTTCTTCAAATCCTCGAGGACTACTTGCCAAATCCTCCTGTACCGGAATTGATAGTGGTTCAACGGCATTGTATCATTGCGTATCCACGTTTGATCAACTATGGTGAAGGCTACGACGACGTAATTGACGCCAACGGGAGGGACGGAAACTCTCTGTCCCCGATCGCCAATGGCAGGATGGAGGAGCACTACAAAAAGATGTACAGTGACGAGATACAGGTCCGGCACATTGTTGAGATTCTGGATCAGTACAAGCACTCCAGAGACCCCCTCGACCAAGATGTTTTTGCTTGCATGATTCATGGGCTATTCGACGAGTATACTCATTATGCGGATTATCCATTGGAGGCCCTCGCTACTACCGCCGTCCTTTTCGGTGGTATCATCTCGCATAAACTTGTTTCCAACTTGCCCCTTCAAATCGGATTGGGCATGATTTTGGAAGCTGTCAGGGACCATTCTCAAGACGACCCCATGTATAAATTTGGTCTTCAGGCACTGATGCAGTTGTTTGTTCGCTTTCGAGAATGGCCTGCCTTTTGTAGACAGCTTTGCCAGATTCCAGGTCTTCATAACACAGAGGCCTTCAAGAAGGCAGAAGAGGTTATTCGCGAGCACGATGAAGAGCTCGCACGTGGTCGCAATGGTGCGGGGACGCCTCATGGTTTAGGTTTTCAGGGCGATACGTTCCCGAATGGTAATGCCGAGGAAACAGCAAACACTGATCGTCAGGCGCCTGCATTCGCATCTCTCAATGTCGACCCACCGCCTACGGATATCGAGTTCGAAGATCCCGATGAGGATTCCCAAGACAAGGTTCAGTTCGTTCTCAACAACATCACCGAAGGCACGATCCAAACCATGTGTCAAGAACTCCGAGAGACTATGGAGCGCCGGCATCAACAGTGGTTTGCCAGTCACCTTGTTGAGGAGCGTGCCAAAATGCAGCCCAATTACCATCACGTCTACCTCGAACTAGTCAAGCTCTTCGAGGACAAAGCTCTTTGGAGAGAGGTCCTCCGGGAGACTTATGTCAGTGTCTGCCGCATGCTCAATTCAGAGGCAACGATGCAAAACTCCACCGAAAGGACTCACCTCAAGAATCTTGGAGGCTGGCTTGGTCTGCTAACCCTAGCGCGAGATCGTCCTATCAAGCACAAGAATATCGCCTTCAAGCAGCTCTTGATCGAGGCACATGACACGAAGAGGCTTATTGTTGTTATTCCTTTTGTTTGCAAAGTTCTGACTCAAGGCGCTACCTCAGCAGTGTTCAGACCCCCGAATCCTTGGCTCATGGATATCATCCATCTGCTAATCGAGCTTTATCATCACGCCGAGCTAAAACTTAATCTTAAGTTCGAGATTGAGGTGTTGTGTAAGGGCTTGAATCTAGATCACAAGAGCATTGAACCTTCCGGCGAAATTCTAAACCGACCTGCCATCGAAGAAACAGCGGATATTCTACCTCCCGAACAACTTGACGCCTTCGAGAATCTGTCCCTGAATGGCATAGGTTCTGCTGTCGGCAGTGGGCTTGCGCCTCCGGCTCTTGCACCGACGATTCCTGATCTCGGCCCATTAATCAATATCCCCCCTGCTAATGAAATGGTTGTCAGCACTACGCGGCTTCACGAGATCGTACGCACAGCACTTGGCCGTGCTCTACAAGACATCATCCAGCCTGTGGTTGATCGCTCCGTTACCATTGCTGCAATCTCAACCCAGCAAATGATTCACAAGGACTTTGCTATCGAGCCGGACGAGAATCGCGTACGAACCTCTGCCATCAGTATGGTGAAAGCAACAGCTGGTAGTCTTGCGCTGGTTACATCCAAGGAGCCCCTTCGTGCCAACTTCACCAACTACATGCGAAACCTATCCAACGATCTTCCTCAGGGACTCCCTGAAGGCACTATTATTATGTGTGTTAATTCTAATCTTGACCTGGCCTGCAACATTATCGAGAAGCAGGCTGAAGAGAGGGCCGTGCCTGAAATCGAGGAGATGATCGAGCCCGAACTCGAAGCTCGTCGACGACATCGCATCCAGAGACCTGGTGAGGCTTACTATGACGCAAGTCTCAGCCGATGGGCGATGGCTATCCCCAATCCTTACAAGCTATCGCCAAACGTCAACGGACTGAACTCTGAGCAAATGGCCATATACGAAGACTTTGCCCGGCAACCACGTAGCGCTCCTCTACCTACACCTTCTCATGGTCCATCGGCATCCGACGCTACCAGGTCAATCGCCAACGAGGTCTTGGGGGAGTCTGCATTCTCTGCCAACATCACCAATGTCCCAACTCCTACAGAAACTCCCTCGATCCAACAACATATGGGCGCTCAAATGCAACCATATGCTCCTGTCAACACTGGCGCCAGCTCAATGTCCAACGGAAGGTCCCCCGGCTTCCAGATGGATGCCCAGGGCCTAATTAACCGAGTCACCAAGTTGCTTCAAGAACTTATCAGGGCGGCCACTGCAGCTCCTGAGGATCACTTCTTGGGTCTGCCACGGCCTCATCAGGTCTTGGATGTAGTCGATGCGCTGGTTCAGCACATTATCAAAACATCGCAGAACTCAGAGGATTTTGCCATTTTTGCTGCGGAACAGATCACTACGCTCATCTTCTCGCAGATTGAGGATAATCTAACTCTCGAGAGCTTGGTCCATGTATTGGAAACAGTTCGAAAGATCTCTGGCCCTGCTTTGAACAATCGTGTCCGGGCGCTCTTTGGTCAGCAGCCCGGTTCTGCTTTCTTGAGCTTGCCTCTGCTCGCGGCCTTGGTTCGAACGGATTTATTGGAATGGAGAAACATCGATCTTGCCATGTCTAAAGCTCTTCAGACCCGCAAGGAGGGTTCTCTCGACTTTTTGGAGCATTTGCTCGACCTCACGCTTCTCGATTCTCGTCCGATTGCTCTGTACGCCGACTTTGCCTCTACCTTGGAGGCAGCATGGGTATGGATCTCTGAAGAACCCGACTCCGCTGCTGGGCAACGAGTCAAGTCGAAACTTTCCGACTCCGGCCTGACGCGCCCAACCCAGATGGATAACCATGCTCTAAGCCAGCACGATCAGATGGAGTATGTCTTTGAGGAATGGATCCGCCTTTACCATAACCACAATGCGTCCGATAAGGCCGTCGTCGCGTTCGTGCAGCAACTGCAGACCAGCCAGGTCTTGCAAAACCAGGATGACCTCTTTGTCTTTATCCGCATTGCGGTTGATGTTACTGCTGAACGATTTGAATATATTGTGCATGCTGGTCCACTTACCGATGCGTATGTCGTGGTCGATGCTCTTGCCAAGCTCATTGGAACGTTCATCGGCATGGGTTTCGAGCCAACCTCCACTCGTCCAGTCTTCATCGATTCAATCCTGTCACTAATTGAGCTTATTCTGATTAACCACCATGTCAAGAGAGGAGAGCATCTGAACCAGAGGGTCTTCTTCCGACTGCTGTCCATGCTCTTCCACGAGATATATACTATTTCAGAGGACTTGTCTGAAGACGACCGACGAGAGGTCCTTTTAAAGATGGCCGGAAGACTCGCCAACATCGGCCCAGTGTATATTCCTGGCTTTATTTATGGCTGGTTATCCCTTGTTCAACACCGTGCTTTCATGCCAGCAATCATACAGCTGCCTGACGGTGTAGGCTGGGGTCCTCTGGTCGACCTGGTCTGTCAACTACTGGACACTCTTGGTGATCAGTTGAAAACCTTCGAGGTCTCGAACATTGCCAAAGACATCTACCGAGCTACCTTCAAGCTGCTTGTCATTCTTCAGCACGACTTTCCCGAGTTTGTTGCCGCCAACCACGTGAAGCTCTGTGGTAGTATCCCACCCCATTGCACTCAGCTGATCAATGCTGTACTGGCTGCCAATCCCCAAAACTCAAGGTTCGGCGAACTTAACCCTAAGGAGCAGGCTGAAGAGACCCATGTTCATCCTCGTCTTATACATGAGGCTACCTCGACACTTCAGAATCGCGGTCTTCTAAATGTTGTCAACCAAGCGCTTCAGAGCGGCCCGTCAGAAGACATCGTTGCTAACATCACACATGCCATGACACATGACTCTTCTAAAGCAACCACATATGGCCATGTGCCTGTCGTCGCTAACTCTGAGGTGATCGATGCTGTCGTCGTCTACATCGGGCAACGCGCAGCAGAGAAAGCAAGACAGACGGGCACACCTGTGTCTATATCTGGCGATGAGCATGAGGTTTTCCTCATTTCTCTCATCATGCATGAGCTCTCTGCTGAGGCCAGGTATTATCTCCTCGTCAGCATTGTCAATCAACTTCGATACCCCAGCCTTCACACCGATTTCTTCAGCCAGACACTCCTCTATATATTTGGCAAGGATCTCAACGATGTTGAGGAGACTGAAATTCGCCAAGAGATCACACGCGTACTTCTTGAGAGACTAGTCAGTTTCTGGCCTCAGCCATGGGGTCTGCTGTATACCGTCGTGGAGCTTATGAAGAACGAGAAATACATGTTCTTTGATCTCCCGTTCATCAAGGCGAACTCAGAGGTTAGTTCTAACTAGTACTATTATCATGTCTTTTGTATTAACATTCATTGCTAGATTGCTGAGAAATTCGCCCATGTCCTCCAACGAGCCTAGTTTGTCGACCAGCCGACTGGTTACACGACCATGGGAGAACATGGTACCATGGCAAAAGAACGCAAACATAGGAGAACCCTCACTATTCATCGGTTGAACTTTTTTGGGTGGGTTTCAGGCGGTGCATCATTGATTGAGAGAGGAACGGGGCGTTGGGTCCAAAATTTATTCAGACTTATAGAGGAGCAGATGTTCTACGGTTCTTGGCGACCTCGTCCGGGGGGGCGAGAGTGTCTTCAGCCCGAGCACAAATTGCTTTAATACTGTATTACTGTACGATAGTATTTATGATGTGTCGCAAGACAACACAAGGCGCATGATTGGTCTTGGATTTACCAACACTTCTTTTCCGTTCAAACCGTGTGATATATCTGAATGTGGAACAGTTCTCAAAGACAGGACATGCATTATAATTCGAATTAGATGCTGACATGGCCGCGCATTACTGGGATGGCTGTTCCTGAGAGCTTGACCGTAGCGATCTCGGCATTTTTCACATCGACGTCAACTGTGATGTTACTTTCCCTGCCCATCTCAACACCCTGGTCAATCTCGTAGCGAAAGGCGTGGTCACCAGAGCTGGACTGCTGAAGCGAAAGATAGCTCGAGAGCGCACTCGCAGCGCTACCAGTAGCAGGATCTTCCATAGTAGCTTCCATCATCCTTGAGCGGATAGAATAAACTGTTACACCGTCCTCCTCGCGCTGGCTGTTAACGACATAGTAGTATTTCAACAATAGGCCATTCTTCCAGTCTTCGTCAAGAAGCTCGTCTATAGACAAATTCACACCGCTCATCTGCACCTTGGCGAGGGACTCCAGATCGGGAAGTTTGATCAGAGCGAACGTCATTCCATTGACAATGCTGAACAGGGGGGCCTGAAGCTCAACTTCGCGTATCGCAGGGTCCGGGGAGATTTGGCCAGGCGCGGGCACAGACAGATCGGCTAGAGTTTTGCGATGGCAGCGAACATTGTGCGGGATTGCTGCTTGGATATAGCCAGGGCGGGTCTGGGTGAGGGCAATTGGGCCTGCCTTGGTCACGACGGTGTTGACGCCCTGGGAAATCAGGGTCGTCGCAGCGCCGATAGTGGGATGGCCAGCAAAGGGTATCTCGGTACCAGTGGTGAAGATGTCGATCACTCGACGGGTGACATCACCGTCGACATCTGGGTTGACATCGTGGATAAAGACTGTCTCGGAGAGATTGAATTCGCGCGCAATCGCTTGCTTCTGTTCTTGCGTAGGTTTGGGTCTGTTGCTATCTGCGGGAATTGTAACGACGGCGAGGGGATTTCCTCGATAGCGAGTCTCCGTGAAGACGTCGAGCGTGACAAAGGGAAGCTCCATGGTTAAGCTTTGGTGGCTTCTTGGGGCTGGAATATTAGCTTCTGTAGCAGTAATGAGATCTGATAGATAAGTATCTAGGCTTGCTAGGTAGGCGCAATGACAGTGATTGACATGGGACTTGCGATCTCGATAACAGGAGCTTGGATGAAGGGTATGACGAAAGAGGGGAAAAGGGTGGTGGGGTTGGATTCAATCAATTGGATGGGAGCAGAAACCGAGTCAGGAGAGTTTGCTAATCAGTCTTCTCTAGGGTAGCCAACTCGCCAATTCACCAAGAAACTCAGGTTGCTGTGCCGAGTGTGGCCTTTGGCACTTAGGCAAGGCACAAAGCCTAGCGGAGCGGAGCACCGACCAATTGACCAATCAAATAATAAGGATTCTCTAGCTTACTTTGTCTGTTGGCTTGACCTGGGCTGGCACGACTTCCCCAGGAAAGAGGATGGGTTTTGGTGAACTACTTAATTGAAGGAAAATGTTAATATGAGAAGAGAGCCTTAATGTATTAAGATTTCGTCTACGTAAGTCTACATTTCTATATATCTTAAATAGTTTACTAGAGCTCACGCAGTATAATACATCGGCTCGTAGAATCTTGTGCCAAACATTTTCCCTCTCCTCCAGCCTGACAACATTAAATAAACCACACGGCTAGGGCGGCCTCAGGCAAGAAAGAGGTCGGTTAGATGTAAGGCGCCAAGACACGAATAATTCAACGAACGATGGGACCTGCAAGGAAAAGGGAGATATTTCGCAGGTTGGGACTCGAGGGATCTGCAGCCTAGTTTCTGCCAATGACTTCATGGCGGAGAGGATTCGAGCAGGGTAGATGGAGGATGGTTGGGAGGGGAAAAAAGAGAAATCTGGAAATGGGGTGACCTTTTGTGTTGTTGCAATTGCGATGATTTCAACCTAATAAGTAAAGCGAGAAACTTCAGCACCCATCTGTCAATGGTTTGGCTGGGAATTCATGCAGCTTCGGGGGTTCCTTTGCTGTGGTCAAGTCTCACGATGAGCGAAGCAGGCAAAGCTTAGACAAGGTCTGGGCGTAAGTGGAGAGCACCCTTGTTAGTGGCAGACGCTTGTCGCAGCTGGCGCGGCAAGGGGCAGGGCTAGAGCTGCAACAGTGGAAATAGTGGATGCTCACCTCGTGGCATGCAGCTTTCTGGTGACATGCGACTCAGTGAGTGTACTGTAGGGTAGCGTAAATCCGTGGGCTGTTGGATCATCAGGTGGCAACTCTTGCATTTAAAGATGACGCAGAAAATACGATAAGGACATGAATCGGCAAGTGTGGGCGAGTAAAATGTCGATTGCCGTGCAGGAATATTGAACGGCAGGTTGGATGTACAACATAACGGTTATGGGATTTGATCTGACAGATCTGGTCCAGGGGGAGGACAATAACCTTGACGACGTTGCTACATACGTACAGCGAGGTGGTCAAAGTTTGACGTGCAAGGGCTGGATATCGCCATAGTGTGTCGGTAATCAGGCGCAATGGTAAGACAGACATGGGAATGAGTATCATTATGCGACAGGGACAAAGTAAACCCCAAAGGCTTTAATCAACATCAACCCCCAACCCATGAAAACGCTCAATTGTCAATTGTCCCAAGTCAATCGCTCACTTATACAGGATAAAGTGGAGGGCCGATCAAGGCTCCGCGGCTAAAAGTCATGAGAGAGAAAATTAAAGAGCCTCGCACCTCGGTCGGATATAGTGGATAGAAACCCACTGCAACATCCGTCTTGAACAGAGGTAAAATTGTTGGCGAAATATCAATGCTGCCATTGGCTGTCGAGCGATGCATGTAACAGATGTAGTCAAGACACTTACACATCACTTGCATTCAGTCGTAGCCTTGCGCTTCGGCCTCAGGCCAGATGCACATGTTGTCAGTTGCCCAAGATTGGATTGCCATGGGTGACGATTGAATGGAGTCGAGATGGAGGAGCTGAGGAGCCGGACAAGGGGAACAAGAGGGCCTCGCCGTAGTCGTCGGGACTGTTTTGATGATTCGGCCCACTCATCATCTCCATTGACTTTGGAGTCTCAAGATGAGGTGGATACTGTACCTAGACTACTCCGTACAATATTGAGGACTGAGCCTGGACTCTTTGCACTGGTTATCGCGATTATTACCGCTCATGCATTGATTGATTTGATTGTCTCGTACAGCATAAGCGTCTCGAAAGCGACAAGGGAGTACCTAATATGCGGTGTAAGAATGTGGTCGCACGGAGCAAACAGATGCAGATGGAGTTGCAGATGCAGATGCAGTTACAGATGCGGTGTGATCTGTAGGTAAGGCAAGGGAAGAGTAGGTAGGGAAGAGAAGAGGGAAAAAAGGTCGCGGCCAGGGTACAAAGGCCGTACGGTATTTGAGACGCAGTGGGCAGGTAGGCACGTTGGTAGCCCAGCGCGACCAGGTAATGCCTGTCCGATCCCTTGCTCTTTGTTCGTCGTTCACTTGTTCCCTGAGCTCGAACCCACGGTCATTCTCGGTGGTTCCCCAAAAAAAGATTTCAGGGTCCTCCGAGCACGGCACTAACTAGGATCGACCCGAAGTGGCCCGGGGCCCGGAGGTACAAGTTCGAGTCTCGAGAGGCGGATGAGGCGGAAAAATGAGAGTCCAGCATGAGGCGAGGCTATTAGTGAGAGGCTGCAGAAGCAGGCCAATCATAGTAGACAAAATAAGAGATCTAAGCCTAAAGCAGAAAAGAAACAGAAGACGTTGACGAGTCAAGATGGCTAAACTCAACAAAGTTAAGTCTGAGATACCTACGGAAATGATTAAGGCCATGATTGATCCATTTCATGCTTGGTTGCGTAAGTTTCCTTGCCTCCGTGGTCATCATCGACTCATTGGATGTTTATGTGATGATGATGATTGTTCATTGGCGAAAACGAACAAGAAGGGCGCTCGCTGCCTCTTCACATGGTAAGCCTGGCCCTTGAGCTGGCAGCCAATATGCGCTGAAAACTGCCCACAAGGTCCCCAACGAAACGAAAGGCAGAGAGGAAAGGTGGTTTTTCACATTTTGGGTCTCGCGGCTGGAAAACTGTACGTACATGAATTACAAGGATGCCCACGGATATCCACAATGATGACCCACCGATCTCTAGCGCGACCCACTCTCGGCAGCCATGCACGCCAGTCCTAGCCAATCGAGTTTGGCTTAAACGCAAAAAAAAAAAAAAAAAAGTTCAAGCTCTCGTGCTCTTCTCTGCTCACTCCCAGTACCTACGCTCCAAAGAGTGTGGCAGCCAGCAGTGAGCAGCCAGCATCAAGCACCAAGAGCGAACTTCTTCTCCTCCTCGTCACAAAATGGATCATCGCTCCTCCTGTCTGCAAGTGCAAAGTAAAGACTCCGGGCCTGTGATGGAGACTAGCACCTTGTGTCCGCACCTATCAGCTTACAAGAATTGATTCATTGCATGTCCCTTCCAAGCTAGCTCCCCGTTTGTCCCTTCCTTCCCCAGTACCAGTACCGCTATGAAATGCAAGTCTCTACTCTCTCTCTCCATCGCCCACCTTTGCCCCCCCTCTAATCCCCTCGTGGTTGCCATCGTTGCTCCCTTGCTCTTGCTCTTGCTCTTACCTGCTCTTGTGTCGTCAACACCCGTAGACCGCCTCCACCTTTGGCTTCAAGTTCAAGTCCTACTCTTCCATAACAAACACTCCCACCCCCCCTTCGATAACACTTCCTTGCCATCTTTCCTCCTTCACTCTTCTGTATCCATTTTCATACCCATATCCTTACTTTACCACACCCTTAAACAACATCATCGCTGCCCTCGCTAGATCGATAGACCCTTAGACATCTTTTCGATCTGTTTCAACACTTGAGGATACAACTGCAGCCACCTTCCCGTGACCGATCTACGAAAGTCGATTGTTGGTTATCTGAATAGAAGAACACGATTCTCCATAAACTGAATCTCGTCTTGTTTCAACACAATCGCAATGCCTTACAATACGCGCCGCAAGTCGCTTTCTTTACCAAGTCTCGGCATTCACGTTCCAATGACACACGCTGCTCGCGCTGCTGCTGCTGCCTCAAGGCACGCTTCAAGATCATCTTCGTCTTCTAATAGTGCCTCTTCTGCCTCATCACTGCTCTCATCAAGCTCAGAGGTCCCCGAAGCGCACCCTAGCAAGCGACAGAAGCGATCGCAAGCCGACGACATTGCCATTGAGCAGACACCACCTCCTTCACCTACACCAGACTCGAGCCTCGATTCACACGCAAGACAGTCCAAGATCGACTTCGATACGATCAAGGACGACATTGTTGAAGCAGTCATTATTCAATTACAATCTACCGGAAATCGTCCTCATCTGGTCAAGGAGCTGGCTACCGTTCTGGCTCAACGTCTTACCTCTGTGCAACAGTAAGTTTGAGGCACCTGCCATTTCCTTCCAACCCCTCAGCCTCCCGTGCGCTAACATTCCACTCACAGCTCCGCCAACCCTTGTGCTATCATCTCTTCCAGGCTGGCTTCATATGCTAAGCGCTCATGCTGGAGTGTTTCAAAACCATGCCCTCTAGCTAAGGAGCTTGAAACCATTCATCCCCGAAGGACTTACTATTTCCTTACCACCTGTCCTCGCCAGCCTATCCCTGAGCCCAGCTCCATCCTGTCCTCACATAGCGCTCTGGACACTCCTTCAGTATCGCTTACGGATGATTCTGGCTCTGACGATGTTGATTCTCGTAGACGAGAACTTAGCCCATCACCCGAGGTTGACCTGTCGGACCACGGGTTCGAGGAAGGCGACGACGAAGTCATGATGCCCATCACCCCCATTGGATCTCTTCCCTCTCATCATCGTTATGTGCCAAACCGCCGCAACAGCCGTCACAACTCGCCGCCTCTGGAAAAGGATGAGCGTGAGTTTACCCAAACGGCCGACTTCTTGCAGAAACGCAAGTTTGTCGAGGACACCCCTGCTGCTGAGACTGCCGATCGCACCACCCACACCTCCGAGTATGGATACCGCGACGACTTCTGGTTCGGCGACCACCGCATCTTCACCTCAAATGCCATGCTTACCAGCCCCTCGGTAAAGCCCAGTTCCATATCAAATATGACACCAGTTTTGCGCAAAGAGGATGACTGTGAGAACTGGTTGAAGTTCAGCAAGCTTATGGAATGGGACCGAACTGCTGAGAGCATCGAAATTGACGAGCTGGATGGCTTGCTTGATGGATGCTGAGCGACTATGATTTCCCTGGGCAGGCGTGATGGTCGTGGGGATAAAGATGATTGAGATGATAATTCCGCCATGTCTGCGACGACGGATATATGACATATATTACATACTAATTTCATGGAGGGGAGTTTGGGAAATACTTGTATATTTACACCAGTCTGGCGTTTTGGTTTGATTGGGATTGGGATATCAGGAAAAGGGATCATAGCATCCCCGTGGTTTTGATTTATCTGGCGCAACTGGTTGTCTATGATGGGATTTTAAAAATGCAATGCCGCTCATACTGCTTTCGACAACTGAATATTGTACATAAGATTATATTTTACAAACCCATCTCATCCTTTCACATCAATCGTTTCTTTTGCGTGATTAGTTGGAGTAACTATGAGCCTTTGTCGTTTACTCTTAACTCGACCCAAACTAAGGTGCCCATTTGGAGTATGTTTGGTCGTTCAACCTTGACGATCTCGAGACCTGGCGTTTTGCTCGCGGCCTCTTCGACGAGGGCCTCGATGTCTCGATTCCACCAACAGCCGTACTTTTCGAAATGTTTACCGGCATTCCTGTCGAGGAGGCCATTGACGATGCCAAACCAGCCCTTGCCGTGCTCGAGGAGGATAATACGACCTGATCCTGGCTTGACGACCTTTGCCAAATTGTTCACTACAGCTACCGGGTCAGAGACGGAACATAGCCCAAATGTCTGAATAACTGTATCGTATTTCGTCGTCGTAGGGGTCGAGGGACCGGGTATGGGGTGGTGTGCGTCGGAGTGGATGAGTCGGAGTTGATTATCAAGGTAAGACAACTGGCCACCTGTATGGTCGGCCATGGTAGATGCGCGAACGATAGGAGCGGATGTCTCCATAGGGGGGACAGTTTTGACGAGGCGCTTTCGGGCAACGTCCATCATGTCCACTGAGATGTCGAGACCAGTAAACGATACAACGCCCTGGGACGATTTGGCACCGGTCTTGCTGACCTTTCCCTCTGCGCGCTCGTTTAATGGCTCCCAGTTGAAGTATTCCAAGTTGCGACCTGTGCCCATTGCCAGCTCCAATACATGTCCGTTCGCTCGTTCGGCTATTCGCTTTCGTAGTTTCGTGATGCCCATCCACCATTCCGGAAGAGCTAGCTCCTTGTCGAACTGTTCGGCATTATCGCCATCGAGGGCTGGTGGTCGGCCGGTCGGGGTAGCGTGTTCGCATGCGCCGCTGCAGGGTGTCGCTTTAAAGGATGCCGCAGCGGTACCAAATATATAAAAGCCGAGAGCGCCGGCCAGAAGAGCTGCGCCAGTCAGAGGAAGCCATGTAACACGCCAGAGGTCGAGAAGAGTTTCGGCTTGAGGAGGGGATGTCGAGGTCGGAGAAGTTTTGGGTAAATATTGAGGTTGAGGTTTACTGATCTTGTCGTATTAGTATTCGTAATGTTTTCGCATCGTATGTGTAGTGGAAGTTGTACGGCTTATATATCTTGGAGATCTTTGGTGGAGGTTTCGATGCTGGTGTCTTGATATTAGGGCGGGGAGATCGAGGAGTATTGCTCGCGAAACGGCATTGGGTGCGGACGGCTCTCATAACGAGGCCTCGAGTTGGGGTGATCATGATAAATGATTTTCCATGGAGGTCGGGTATATTTGTGAGGTGGAATAAGGCGGCTGGAGCTGTTTTGTTGTAGTAGTTTTTACATGTGGAAGTAATAAAAATACCAATATCAAAAGCTAAGTTGAGTCAAAGCACAGGGTTTCGTGGAGCGGGTCCGGGGCTGGTGGGGTTCAATATTTGGGGCGCATTCATCAATGCGTTAACAACTGTGAACTTGTGACTTACAACAACGTCGTCTTCTTGTTTCCAACCTTTCAGTGAGGAAGTAGTGTAATACCGCTTTCAAATAAAGGCTCTCGATATCAGTAGAAGTCCTGAACATACTGGCTATAAGAGGGGAAAAAACAATGGCAACTCAAAATGATCTACAAGAGCTCATACGCCTGCTCACGGCGCGTAAAATGACCATGATGGCAGCCATGGGACAGGTGAAAGCTCTACAATCACAAAACCTACGAAGGTAACTTCTTAATAATTCGGTTTAAATAACATTGTACTGACGCGTGCGATATAGTATCGCGCAAATTGCTGATGCGCCTTTGGCCACAGTCGAGGAGGCCCTCGGTGGCGATGCCAAAGCTGCAAAGAGCTTGCACACGGCGTGCAAGAACCATGAAAAGAAGACAGGGACAAAACGTGCAGCAGAGGATGGCCCCGTTATCACTGAAGTAAAGAAGCCCAAACTAGAAACCCATCGACGGGATTTGGACTACAGTGCCATGTCTGGAGATGACCTTGAGACGGCTTTGGAGTTGCCACTGGAGGAGGATGAAGAAGTCATTCGAAATACCACTATTGTCACGAACCGAGCACCGTTATTTCTGGCTTTTGCTGTCGAATTGTTGAGATTTACCATGCCAGAGCAGCCACCGAGCAGTCGATTGAGTCTAGCGCAAGCAGTGGTGAGTGCCAACTCAAGGTCCAAAGCTGTAAGTATAGGCATCGAAAAGGGGCCTCCAGAGGGTGAGGAGAAAGTTCCTGGGGGCCAACCCAAGATTACTATCATGAACCGTCCCATACCAGTTCTGAAGCGAAGCGGGTATACTTGGTCAGGGTCCTCTCGACCCTCCTCGTTGAATGCTTCCTCTGTCACGCTTAAAGGCAGCCAACCGAATCCAAAAGGCTGGACTGCGAGTCAGAAACTCATTTCAAGAGGGTCGACTTTTATAGCCCATGCTATACCTATAACCTCGCCTTCTACGCGCCCGGCAGTCTTCAAGGCCCTCATGGCGCAGAAGCCAGAACTGGAGACTGCTACTCACAACGCCTGGGCAATCCGGACCAGCTTTGGAAACTCGCCGCTCAAGCAGGAAGCGTCCTTTGATGATGGCGAATCTGGCTGTGGGGTCTTTTTGCTCCAGCAACTGCGCGATCTCGACATCAGCAACACACTTGTTGTTCTTACAAGATGGTACGGTGGTGTCATGCTTGGTCCAGATCGGTGGCGCCTGATGAGAGAATGCCTCAACGATGCTCTATCGTCACAAAAGCGCACATCCAGTCTTGATGGAGAACCAGTCTGGGCTCTTGATCTAGAAGATAAGAAGCCCTCGATATCGACAGTAGGTATGCCAGTCCACAGACCAGAAGGCGCGCGAAACTACATACTCCGGGCTTTTGCACCAGTGGAGGATAGCGGAAAGAAGACAGTTGCAGCAGCCAACGAAGAGAAGCAGGAGAACTTGGGCCGTGTACTTGGCGCGCTACGGCTGCTATTTGCCAGTTGGGCTGGTACTGTAGGTCGTGATGAGTTGGATAAACGTGCGTGGAGTTGGTACATAAATCTTCGACCGGACGTGGATGCTGGACCAGCGGGATGGGGGGCCAAGGGGACGCTGAATCTAGGAAGAATATTGGATTTGAGGAGAAAAGACGGCACATGATTACACCCTGATTGCGTAGCTGTAGCCGAGTATTGATAGGACGCAATTCTCCAGAGATATACTATTGCCGTCATCTGGGATGACTGTTACGACCAGCATTTTGAACGATGGCTCAGGTTTGGTTCAAGTAGTGCAGGGAATAAACTCGGCCACATTTTGATATAAACTTCTGTGTTGCTCTAGAGATAATAATATTTGAGTCTAGGGGATATGTTGGGTATGTCCTTGTTGTTGAGATCTCGTATCAAAAGTAGGTTCTTAACATTCCCATTTAGTAACGACTAAAGTAACGTATCTGCAGCTCATACAATACATACATTCTGTAGGTATCAATGTTACTTTCTGGCTAAGCTACAATGTTGTCGTAATAATTTCTATTAGTTGCATTGAGCCTACATATCCCATGACTTTGAAGCACATGGCCAGCATTGAACCGTCAATCTATGGTACGAAAATCAAACTTGTATCGTTGCAGCATTTAACCATGCTCTCACTCGATACGCTACCTGAAGCTTACCTTTCATAAAGCTCCATATCAGAAGTTCCAACTCTGGTATCGTCATTGTAGTTTGAATATAAGTTAGTACCGCCTAGGACTCTTTGAAGATTTAGTAGCTTACGTTTAATCATACGGTTTATGTTTCGTTGTCCATGTAACCGTTGAGTGTTAAACTTAGTTGTCTGCGAGGGGTGCATGGGATACATCAAAGTGCCGAATCTTCGGGATTTAAATTTTATATAATCTACCACCAGTCGTAACAAGCTTGATATTGAATACCACCTACATATGAAACATGGTATTGTCTTCCTACAGCCGGCAGATGGTGTTTCTGCAAGTCATGTAGGAGAAATGTGTGCGTATAGATACTGATCATACAGGAATCTATATCAATTCATCAAGGCGCAGTGGCAGAGTGGTCTAATGCGATAGACTAGAAATCTATTCTCCTCGGAGGCGTCTGTTCGAATCAGGCCTGCGTCGAATTGACTTTTTGTAGTTTAGAGTTCCATATCATGGAAGTTTGACATGGCATCTTTTTGGCATGAAACGCCTCTCGTTGACCCACGGCATGCTTGACTCCGGGTTGATCGATGGACGTTACAACGTTGCTGGGTGGATACGGACAGGTTGTTGCAACATGTTGACTTTGAATATATATTGATATCATAGTAAAAGCCTTGAGTCTTATATCATTGACTCAGCTGAATTCCTGAATATTTTGTCTCTTAAAACAAGGACTTGGGACTCTTCTGAGGGTTCAAACTGGTTTATAACCATTCCAAGAATGACATTCTTTGTCTCGGGGCTTGGATGAATAAGACAAAGAAACGCGACTAAGACGCGTAGTCAACACAGCCCGAGCCCGTCGCCCCGAACTAAATGAGCAAGATGTTCTCTTTTGGTTTAATTGAACATGGAAGAGTTCTCGCCAATGGCTGACCAGAAGAGTCGATGCAAGTAAGCAAACTAGTGTAGAGGAATGAGCTATTGGATGGCGACACCTGATGCATTCTGTGATCGCTACAGGGGCCCCTTCTGAAGGTTGCTGTTTATAGCGACTATCACTGTATTGCACCAGTAAACTTGACGCATTGTTGGTGGAAATCGGGTCAGAACTGAACTAAACTCAACTGAACGAAACCAAACAAATCCAATCCAATCTCGTCCAAAGTAAACATAATTTCCATGCATCGAGAAGCATCACGATCAGTAAAAAGCCCACCACAAACCCCAACAAGATTCACTTCTTCTGAACGTCCTTCACCTCGTAATACGACGTCTGTTAAAGCGCCATTCAAAAAGTCCTTGCATTAGCTGGCGTCAACTTTCTTTGTTCTGTAAAGTGTAAAGTGTAAACGGAAACGGAAACGGACCTGGACCTGGACCCTTTTTCTTTCTTCTGCCTCCCCCGCCTTCTTCTCCCCCACCATCGGTCGAACCTCTTTTTCTTAGGTCCCGCGTCACCGTAACTGTCACGGTCACCAACAAGATATTTCTTTGCGACCTCGAGCGAGCACAGAAACTTGGACTTGGCTCCTGGTGCGACATATCACTCCTGTGCCATCGCGAAACCCAAACAACACAAAAGACATTCACCGCCCCCATCTCTCGATCCTCGAAGTGTGTCGCATTTGCACCAACCACATTTCAAACATCAAAACAGCTCTAGAACCTAGAACTGCCACCATCCACGCCGCCGACGCAGAGTGTCTCTCGCTTAAGCTCTCTAAAGCCCGTTTGCGCGTTTCATCCTTTCTCTAAACCGATCATCCATCTACGTTTCCTGATTCGCATAATCCGTACACGACCAACAATGACGATGGAGAACTACCAGAAGTTGGAGAAGATTGGTGAAGGTACGTGTGCTAGCTTTGGTTCTGATGGTGTTCGACACTGACACTTTACAGGCACCTACGGCGTCGTCTACAAAGCTCGAGACCTTGCCAATGGAGGTCGAATCGTCGCCCTAAAGAAGATCCGCCTTGAAGCTGAAGATGAAGGCGTTCCTAGCACCGCCATTCGCGAAATTTCTCTCCTCAAGGAAATGAAAGATCCCAACATCGTTCGTCTGTTCAATATCGTTCACTCCGATGGCCACAAGCTATACCTCGTCTTTGAGTTTCTTGACCTCGATCTCAAGAAGTACATGGAATCCCTTCCCGTCAGCGATGGCGGTCGAGGCAAGGCCTTGCCTGAGGGCTCATCGCCGCACTTGCAGCACCTCGGCCTCGGCGACATGATTGTTCGCAGATTCATGTACCAGCTTTGCGATGGTGTCAAGTACTGCCACTCTCACCGCGTCCTCCACCGTGATCTCAAGCCCCAGAACCTGCTTATCGACAAGGAAGGCAACCTTAAGCTCGCCGATTTCGGTCTTGCCCGCGCATTTGGTGTGCCTTTACGTACCTACACTCACGAAGTCGTCACCCTTTGGTACCGAGCCCCTGAGATTCTGCTGGGAGGACGCCAATACTCAACTGGTGTCGATATGTGGTCCGTTGGGTGCATTTTTGCTGAGATGTGCACGCGGAAGCCCCTTTTCCCAGGTGACTCTGAGATTGACGAAATCTTCAAGATCTTCCGGTAAGCAATATGATGGCGCACCACAACAATGGGCTCCAGTAGCTAACAACTACCTAGCATTCTCGGCACACCTTCTGAGGAGGCCTGGCCTGGTGTCACATCCTACCCCGACTTCAAACCATCTTTTCCCAAGTGGCAGCGTGACTACAACAACCCCCTTTGCACCAACCTCGATGACCACGGTCTCGACTTGCTTGAGCAAATGCTGGTTTATGACCCTGCTGGGCGTATATCGGCAAAGGGAGCCTTCAACCACCCCTATTTTGAACCGTTCCTTGCACATGTTCAGGCGTCCGCTCAGACGAATGGTTACTATCACTAGATGGGATATGGAGCTCCATACCAGATGATGCAGATGCAGATGCACTAGGCCTCCCTCATGAAGAGGGCGAAGTAAAGTATTCTTTACTTTCCAGGATACTTTGACGCTTCGGTCAAGGCTACGTGGGCGATGATATGGATGTGGTCATAGCAACAATAGGATGCCCAAGCAATACGGCATAATGGGAGACTCTTGAGGCTACAACATTGTCTTGGTCCGCCTTGCTTGATTCGACCTGCTTATTGCCAGGATATCCATAACATTTAGAGCGAGGCTCTTGAGCAACAACGAACACCTGGCTTTTCAAGCTGTTGGGGCGAAAGCTGTTGAGGGCTGGCCGACTAATGGGGATGATGGTGTGGCAGGGCAGAGATGGAGACAGGCAGGCGTGGCCTCACTTTTAGGCGTTTGGCAGGCAAATGGAGGACGTGGTAAAGCAAGTCCCCAGGGAAGGCGGTAGATCTTCTATTCGGAAGGCTTTGGTTTTGAATGTGCTTTGTAGATGATACGACTCAGCGTGCGGTTTGATATCCGGGATTGCATGGCAAGGCAGGACAATTGATTAAACGACTACGATATTGCTGTATAGGGCTTACTTACGCAAACATAGTGATTGCTGGTGATTGTTTTGTGGGGTGTTACGGTGACACGCTGTGAGTTTGGGCGTATACGATACGGCCAACAGGACTGCATAGTGGCGATGTGAGGCGATATGATGTGGCCAACAACTCGTGACCCAGTCCAACACAGCCCGTTTCAGTGAAACAACAACGGAAGTGTTTGAGGGCAGTTACCGAATATTCGGGACGAACCATGCCCGAGTCCCAGCCGGCCATACAAGTCGGCCATATCGTTCATCTGGATCTCCCAGCATCTTGTTGGTCAGAGCCACGTTAGTATGTTTACACTGCCACAGTACAGTGAATGAAAAGACCAGAATTTAAATGAGTCTTTGACGGGCGTCTATCATTGTTGTCGCATAACACTACAATAAGCGCTCGCAGCTAGTTAGTCTAAATTTACCAGGCGGCTCAACCTGAAGAGCCGCCGGTGCTACGGAGTAATTACAGCATGTTTCTATTACAGTAACCATATTTACTTTTGCAAGATCAGGGAAGCTCCACGGCATAGTGGGTGTAATAGCCGCCCAACAATAATAATGACCAGGGGGTTTGTCATGAAACGCAGCGCTTGGAGATGAGCGTAAGCGCCCGATCTGGGTGCAGGGTAGATGTCGAAGTATACGGTTTCAGTTGCAATATAATAGTCAAGCCAGGAACTATGAAACAATTAATAATATGGGTTGAGGCTGTGTTGACGCATATGTCAGTTTATTGTTTGTCTTGTATTGCTATGTCATAGTTGTGATACTTTGTTGAGTTGAAGGAGGATATAAGGAGGCATCCAAGAGAGGATTCACCTGAGAACCAATAGCACTGTCCCTTGCAACAAATACTAGCATGTCGTTTAGTAGACACCTCTATTACGAAGCCTACTATCGTACATCTACGGAGAACCTTCCTTAGGCTATGCTATTATGCTTTCAAGCTTAAATCCCTACATTGCTAAAATACTCTACTAGATTCAGGCGATCTTGAGCGGCAGTGCACAGCTGGACCGGGGTTTAATGCGGGAAGCGCCAATCCCACGGCTTGAGCCGAGGCACGAAAAATGGAGACATCTCGACCTGGCCGGAGGCAGCCCGGGAGTTTAGGTGGAGAACCGCCCGGACCGACCGACCGACCGAAGCGGAGCGGAGCCGAAGAGGAAAGCTTCGGACGCGACCGCGAAGCATTGAACCTCAACGAGGAAGAGCAGAGGGAGCGAGGGAGGGAGAACACGCATAGTTCTTTATTTCTGTTCTTTCGGGTTATCGGTGCGACTGGGACGCGGCCGGTTAAGAGTAGTTCCAGCAGTGTAGTGGGAATACGAGTAGGGAGTTCGTGTTGGGTGGACTGTTTCAATTGAGGTTCCCTTCACCGCAATCTACAGTAAGAGGAGTCATCCCTCGATCTCTTGGCTCCCGATCACGTATTCAAGGCAGTAGGCACAGTAGTGCATGGTTTAGTTTGGTCTCTTCCCCGCATTGTCACGCTTGGTGTTTTGTTGATGTTGGGCATGAGCATGGACGTGAGCATGCGCATTGAGGCTAGACTAGCCCAACCACGCGGGCATGGGACATGGGACATGGGCATGTTTAAAAAACTAGGTCATGAGATGGTTTCCACTCCGCAGCCACCTCAGCTGGGGAAGACCTGGGATATAGCATGAAAGGGCCGAGGTAGTGGCTATGCGATCCATGAATTCAGTTTGATTCAATGCAGTAGGTTCAGGACCAACTGATGACGGTCTTGATTTGTTCTCGTGGGAAATCTTGGTTATAGTGGTGGATACAATCGAGTTCGTGCGCATGGGTGCGTGTGGAGGACATCACGAGCTAGTGGCCAGACTGCCAGAGTAGCTTAAACCTGAGATGCACTGAGAAACACACAAAACCAGGAGATTATATCACAATGTGACGAGTGTTTTGCCTGTGAATAGCTGCATAAGTAGGAGTAGACATACGGTAAAAGCATAGACCGAAACCAGCCAGACATTGAGAGGACCGTTTAACTGTACCCGAAAGCAGTCGGGCCTCGTACGTGTCGGCGTCGCCACAGATGCCACTTCCGGTACCTGAGCCACACTCTCTTTGCGTATCTCATCAGCCACAGATTCAAAACCGGAGCAAAAACTCTGACGCCAGCGAGTCAGAGCCACGCGTTAGGATGAGGGCTTTTGACATGCAGACAAGCGTCCAGGGATGCCACATGCGGGGCTGGCCAATCAGAAGAGCAAAAGATGCTGAAAACCCAGATGGATCTTGGGTCTTTTGGGGGGCGTGCAGAGCTGACAGCACGACACGATGGCGGGATGGCTTCAGCAGAGGTGCAGTGGCTTGCCGTGACTGGGCTCAGGGGCCAGGGGCCAGGGGCTTGACTATGATAATTAGTCTATGCCTACTATCGTGAGAGGATGGATGGATGAATGACTCCCTGTGTGCTGTCAGTGGCCAGAGGCTGTTTTCTTGATTCATGGGCTCCAACCAAGATCAACATGTCCAACAGCGGTGAAGCAGAGTTTTTTCTTCTTCGTTGGTACCCTCCATCGATTGTTACAGAGCTGCCTCTTGGAGACGTGGGATAGAACGCAAGCGGTCATGTTGAACAAAATAGAGCCACAAACTCAATCAGGCCACTGACTGCATCTCGCGATGTACTCAGATGATCATCACCAGTCCGATCCTCGATACCCTCATGCTAGCAGGGTCAATTGAACGGGCCAACTCAATCTCGACTTGGCCATCCGTATTGTATTGACAGTTGACGGGCCGAGAAGGGCAGCCCTACAGTTACAGCGCATTTCTGCTGTGCTGTGCTGTTAACTGCGCTGTTGTTGTTTGCTGTCCAAGGCTAAAAATGGGAAATGGAGACGAACATCCTTGTCGAGGTCGATGGAGATCTCCAAGGGCTTGAACTAGCGGCAAGGGCGGGGGGGGGGGGGGCAACCTCCCTGGACCTTCCCCCTCAGGGCCCCTCTCTTGGGGGCAGGTGCGTTTGGGTTTGGTGTCGGCGTTTCTCTTTGGTATGTAGGTTCCAGTCGTTTGGTCGCTTCTGGATGGTTTCTGTAGGTTGAAAGAGTAAATCAGGTAGTTAAAGTTTCTGTGCTCATCAAATTTAATCTATCGATCGCCCTGAACAAGTGTGAATCTAAATATTGATTGGGTTTTGCCATTGTCAGGGCAAGGTTCATCTTCAGCTTGGCTATCGAGTTGATATCCCTCTGCCTCTCCCTCTCCCTTCGCAAGAGGTGACAGTTAACAGCGAACCAGTAAACCCAACCATTGGTCGTGATGCCCACCCTTTTTGGTGCATGCGCATGTACATACATACATGTGCATTCCTCAAACGGGCTGCTCCCGAACCATTCAAGCTAGTGGCGTCTGCCGACGGGATCAGTTCTGCCAGTGTCTGGTGCTTGCAAACTGTTTTTAAAGCCTGGTGGTTGCAGCACACTCACACTCTGTCAAGTGCAGGGGGTGTTTTAGTGTCTGGTCTGGGGACGGGATGGGGATTGCGGATTGCGGATTGCGGATTGCGGATTGGAGGGAAACTATTTGCAAGGACTGAGACACATGGCAATATGGAGGTTGAACTGGTGTTTGATCCTCGAGAACAACCGACGCACAATGGACGGCTAGACGGGCCAAGGGATGAAACGGTCCGTTGTTTGTGGGATTGGCTGATAGTGTCAGGTGAAGGAGGTCGGTCGGTGATTGATGGCTATGACTGTGACTATCACCACATGTAAGGGATAGGAATATCGTTTGTTGAAGGTGAGGATCATCCGTCCTTTCCCCGCAGTCGATAAACTGCTGAAGACAGTCGAGAGCTAGGAATGCATATGCACAATATGGGAGGCCCTCTTGGCCCTGCAAGACAAGAAAGACGAGACGAGTCTATTGCGGGCTGGCCGCTGTGGGTATCCAGACCTCAACCCGTGGTTTGTTTGGGTCACGGGTTGCCAAGACCGCGATTAACAAGCATCTCAACAAGCTGGCCCAAGGCCCAAGGCCCATGAAGAAGCTATTGAATAAAATGCAGCATTTCTCGTCATTCACGATTATCTCCTTGTGGCTAATCGCCGAACGCCATCGGCCCCTAGAACGAAGCCATCGTGAAAGCAACAGGTATAAATGAACAAAGAAAAAGCAACGGTCGGTGGTGGCACTCAACAGGAATGTGACTCGGTGGGAGACGACGTGACGGGCGCCCACTAAGATAAACACCCCCAGCCCGCTTCTCGTTAACGTTACGGGTCCCTAGGTTTGAACCCAAGGGCTCGGTTCCGTAGGGAGGCGTCACGGCTAGAGAGCGATAGAGGAGATATAGGCTTTGATGGCTGTATTTGTATTTGAAATATTGAAGCACTGCGAAGGGTATCAAAAGTGGTCTGATAAGTCTGATAACTAACTACACAGCTAACTACGGAGTAACAAGTTCAACTTACACACTGACCAGGTCAAACAACGTGGACGTGGACAGAGCGTCAACTACGCATTTCCCCCCTCAGGACTATCCCAGGCTACCGGGATTAAATATCAATGAAGCCGGGGGCGGATATTAACCGACTGTATGAGAGGTTGAGAAACTGAGAAATGTCACTGGCGTTTGCGTTTTGTGTTTTGTGTTTCCGTTGGCTTCGCTTCAGGATTGACGGGGGAGGGGCCTGTAATTAGTATGTACCCCGTAACGCAGGAGAAAAATCGACAAGATCTTAGCAACTGTCGCAAGTCAGCTCGCCTTGGCGTCTCACATCTCGTTGCTTTTGCGGGTTCGTTTGTTTAATACCTTCGGAGTAATCATTTCTTCTCTAACTGTGCTTATTATGTTTGTTTGATTCGCGTAGGGTAGTGTGGCTGGCTGTGAGCATTGATCTTTGTGGTAACGAGTTAATCAAGCAGTATCAACATAATCAACCAATGTTTTCTGTGCTTTTGGTTTTGGTAAGTTATTAAATGTTATCTTTCACCTAATGCAGGGTCTGGTGTAAACCTTGAGTTTCTTCCACCTGCCTTAGCCAGGCCAGGCAGGTACATAAAGACAAAAGCCACGGGCACAGTTATAGACCAGGTACAGAGCTACGAAGAAGACCATCTAGCATCGCCCCCAGGGCTCATATAGATGAAACGCGTAAGCGATACGGATACAGAGATGCTAAATGCAAGATACAGCGGCTCTCGGAGCGAAATGACAATGTCTTTGTGCGTCCGTGTCCTTGTCTGTGTCTGTGTCTGTGTCTGTGCCCGTATCTGTGCCGAGGCGGGACGAAGAGAGTAAACCGCCACGACTTGTACTACTCACTCACTCACTCATTCTCCACTGAGAGGAGGCCTGTGAGAGAGCGGCCCGCTGTCGATAGGTGCATGGCAAACGGGGGGGTTTATCAATGTCAATGCTTTGTTCAACGGTCTGATGCAAGATGATAGCGACCAAGGTAATTACTTGATATGAGATGCTGATGGACACGTCTGTAACCCCAACTGAGGGGTTTTGGTATGCAGATCTTGGTACTCGTGGTACGCGTTCTGGAGTTTGAGATGCAGGGTCTAGAGGGTCCTCATTAGCTTCACCTCCATCTTTGTTGATCTTTCTTTCTCTTGAAGACATCCATGGATCGAAATCAAATCAATTCTTCGCCTCCCCCTCAATAATAGCGGCATGAGCCCCAGTTTTGCTTCAGACAGGTTGGTTTCATGTCAAGCAGCCCTTCAGCCAATCGTGCAACCCAGAGCCGCCCAGTGAACGGCCTGTAACCCGTTTCGTGTGTTTGATGTTCCCATCGGCCAATCACCGCCCGACATGACAGCCTCCCCCCCTGTCTCCTATCCCCGGCCCCCTGTGGCTCCCGTCTATTTCTCTTCAGGGCCATTCTGCTGAGGTGCTTCCCAGCGTTTAAAGATTGCGGATGTGAGTGGTTGGCGAGGGCATTGTTTCTAAAAACTCTCTCGCAGTCTACATGGATTGGGGTTGGGCGGTTCTTGGTTCCTTGAGGATTGCAGATTCATGCTGCTTGGTTGGAGGAGATTGGTTTTCCTCGAGTCGAGGGCCTGGCTGTGCTTCTATTCGTAGCCCAGCGCGAAGAGCAGAGAGATTCGAGGATCCATTGTTTGGTGTAATCATGATACTACAGCCAATGAATATCATCATCTCTCTGTCTGATATTATTATCTGCTGCGTTGCGTTGCGTTGCGTTGCGTTGCCTTTGCGCCGCGCTCTGAGCTGTCGCCAAGCTGCAGTCCTAGAGTTGATGGTTAGTATTAATTAATGCCCATCACTGCCGTTTCATACTTGTGACTTTTTATCTACATCATCTTCATCCCATCCATCCTTTTCTCCCCGACTCCACCATCCTTCTCCTCTCCTCCTCATCCTCACTCTCTTCCCATTCTTGGACTGGAATTCTTAGGTCGATCTTATTGTTTTTTGTTTGCCACGTTTCGACGCATCCCGCATACCTCTGGCAGGTACACAGTCTCTCGCACATATCCCTTGGACAACAATAATTACCCACCTCGCGAACTGTTTGGTCTTGGTCTTGATCTTGCCGATTTTCCACCGTTCGCATCATCCATTAATTCCTCCCGCGCTATCGATTTCCACTCCCGGTGCCGGTCGCCAACCACCAAAAGCAACTTCACCCTTCCAATACATCTGTGGATGAGCAAGACTCTCCCTTTGTATGCAATCTTAAAATTCCAGTTCAAACTCCAATCCTCACTATTAATCAAGAACAAGAACCAATATTTCTTCCCTTGTCAAGCCGGTCTTGATACGAAAGTTGGTTATATAACTCTTGCAACTGTTCATCTATTTCGATTTCTCTCATCAAGCAGCATCTTCATCATCAACAACAACTCACTTGACCGATTTTGTAAAGAAACCGGCCAACCTTGTTTCTGACATCTTCCACTCACGTCACTTATTTCAAATAATCGGAATTCTTCCTCATCATTTCACTTTAACCACCATTCCGGTTGCATCTGAGCTCATACTCAGCGCCTTCCCCACAAGCTCCTCGACCGCGATCGAGCTTCAAGCCACAGCCACTTACACAGTCTAAATCGCTTCACCTTTATTCCCGCCTAAATCTTGTTCCTGATCGTCTTGGGAAAGGCTTTATTCTCTTTTCGCTGCTGCCGCAAGTTAAAACTGCCCCAATCAAAGGCCTCGACCGCCTTATCCCGTACCTGGGAATCACATCATCGAATCTGGACTCATTTTGGGAACGATTGTCTTGGTATTTTAATTAATATCAAAAAGCAAGCGAAACAAGGATTAACGGGAAGTTTTCTGAAAACAAACGACAAAGGACAATACAATCTCGTTGTTTCGGTAAAGCGAAAACTGAGACACACATTGTTCAATACCGAAACGCACGCAGCACAGCACAGCAACGGGCGAGACATTTGGTATCTTTTTTCCTAAATCTTTCTTTCTTTGGCTGCTACTTTCTACTTGCTACGCCGCATCTGCAACGCAACGCAACGTAACGCACCTCAAGGATCTTGACTCTGCTCTACTTTGTCTGTTACTGTTGAGGTTTCTTCCACAGACCGCTCTCGTTTTGCTACTAAGATCCAAGATTTAAACATCAAAGATCAAAAGGCCAAGACCGCTTCTTTCAATTCAGTGGCATCAGGCTTCTCGATCTAAGCTGAAGGCATCCTACCAAAGCATTTATCCCCTCCCGGCCAGACCGCCCCCGGCCACAGCTTCGACTGTTAGACGGTTCTACCCATTATCAGTGGACCTGATCAAGTCTCGAGGCATCGCCGACAACCACAAATCTCCCCTGCAAGGCCCAGTAAGTGACCCCCCCCAAAAAAGACCAACCCAACTGCAAACCCCATTACCCCTACCCCCTGCACGCCCCCCAAAAGCCCAGCCCAGTCCAAGCCCGTACCCGACGTACCCCAAGCCAGCTTGTGGCACTTCATGTACCCCTGTCCGCCTAAGACTCAGAAGTCTCAGACCTGAGAGACAGCTACGCGGCGCACTCAGCCTCCAAAAGACACGCCCCTCCACCCAAAAACGTCACCTTTAGCTCCATTACTTACGAAGTCAAGTTCCAGTCTTTTTTCATCTAGGGTCCATCCTCCTCACATGAGCCCATAACCTCTTGATATATCAAGCACTACGCACCTCGCATCACCCCTGGTTTTGATTTCCAGTCACATTCACTCCAAATATTAATCACGCTTTCGCTTTCGCTTTTTGCTTTCGCTTTGCTTTTGCTCTGCCTTTGCAATAGAAAGAAAGGTTTAAGTTGTTAAAGCCTTAAACGTCAACGGCCTAGCACAATCCCCCAGTCAGGCCTGCCCATTGCTCACCTCACCTCACCCCACCTTCACTTACACACGGCCCCCACTGCCGTGTTATATACTCGACTCCTTCCTCACTTACATATTTCTACTTCTCGGATCTCATCCACACATACTCACAATGTCTTCCACATCATCACTAAGATACCTCACCATGGAGGAGCTCAACAAGACTGCACTGGAACAGTTTGTCTACCAGCCTGTGAGCCGTGACATGATCACCTACCTCGCCCAAGCCGCCCACAACGTCATCGCTTGCGACTCGACTCTTATGCCTCCGGCCCCTGCGGAACCTCGTCACAACCTCCCGACGCCTCCCCGGAGTCCCGAGCCCCGAACTGTCCGATCCGAAGACGGAGCTCTTCCTACCCTTGAGGAGTTCATCACACAACTCGTCGTCTCCTCTAACGTTCAGGTCCCTACTCTTATGTCCACTCTCGTCTACCTCTGCCGCCTCAAGTCAAAGCTTCAGCCTATGGCTCGCGGTCTTCGATGCACCGCCCACCGCATCTTTCTCGCCGCTCTTATCCTTTCCGCCAAGTACCTCAACGACAGCTCACCAAAGAACAAGCACTGGGCCAACTACAGTCACATCACGACCGAGTGCTACAACTTTGGCTTCAGCCGCACAGAGGTCAACCTGATGGAGAAGCAGCTCCTCTTCCTCCTCGACTGGGACCTTCGCATCACTGAGCAGGATCTTTACCGGGATCTCGACGACTTCCTTGAGCCCCTCCGCCACAAGATTGCCGAGCGACATGCCAGGAAGATCCGACATCGCGAGGAGAGGCGACAACAGAAGGAGGCCGACAACGCCTCAGCTCGATATTACAGCCCTGCCTCTTCCCGCGGCCAATCCCGATCTCGAGGATCAACACCCGAGCATGTCCGAAACCTGTCTGCTACTAGTACCCCTCCTGGCCTTAGCCACAGCAGCTCTTCTAGCTCTTATGCCTCCTCTGTCTCTTCTGGTCGCGCTTACTCGCAAGCTTCTACTCCTCCAGAGCTTTCCTCCCACGAACCTTACTACTACGAATCGCAACAGGGCAGCCTCTACGACTCACCTGTTCAGCTTGTCCTCGATAACGACTACGCCAAGGCTCACATCCCCAGTGGTCGCATGCTTCCTTACGAGATCACCGCCGATGAGTACCAGCACTACCAGCAACTCCACGAGACTTCGTCCAAGAAGCAGCAGCAACAGCAGCAGCAGCAGCGTTCAAGACGTGGTATGTGGGGTCGCTTCCTTGGTGGTAGCGTCGCCGCGCGATGAATAGCCACAATAAGGCACGAGCTTTGATACCTAATGCATAGTCTTGGCGTTTACACGGACCAGTATTTGGGCATCGCATCAACTTTGCATATCTTTTCGCATCGAAAAAGAAATATTGGGTGGCGTCTTTTGTTGATCTTTTTTTACATCTACCGAGATACATCATGGGTTTGGCGGATATGCCACCCAACATTATTCCCTTTGTTTTAACCAATTCGTCACAATCTTATTGTTTTCATGGATTTTATATCGGAGTACCGGGCGTTGGGTTTGCATGAAAGACAGGACCTACCCAGGTATAAGGGGGGGGGGGGGGTGTGCATTACAAATATGGAGTGTTATGGGTGGTTGGTTTATTTTTTGATCAGGATCACGCTTCATCAATGTTGTTTGACGGCCTTACAAAGTATTACGCTCCACGGTTGGGTTATATGGATGGTTGGGAATAGGAACAGGATTTAGGATTGGGAGCAGACATTGCCTCACTTTCAAAGGATGGGACTGTGGAGTTAATCGGGGATCATTTAGCATAACAAGATCAAGAATAAGACAGATATACCTTTTTACAATATCAATCATCAAATACAAATCGGGCGAAAAGCCCAGATACACTTTGAAACCATCAAGAAACATTCATCACCTTGAGCCTAAGTGAATGTCACCGACTACGAACACCCTGCTAAATCTGTAATCAAATAAGCCTTTCTCAGCCTGACAGTCCGCCCGTAATCAATCTACAGGGGCTTTCCCTTCTCTTGGGGCCAATTGCCAAAATTGGTAGGTAGGCTGACAATGATCCCGTCTCCACAGCCAGTCATGTCATCGCCTTTACTGTAAACAGTCAAATCCTTCGCATTGTCATAAGTCCGACGGGTGTAAGCAAAGGGAAAAATAAAATGGAGAAATTGTGATTCTTGCACTGCCGAATTAAGGAATATGTGTTATGATGAAATGTTATCTTTAATGACTCAACAAGCGATAACCTAAGAAAACAAAAACTTGCTGGCGGGATCTATAGAGTTGGATAACGTAGCATGGTTGCGTATGCGGGTGGCGGGCAGAAGGGTTTAATACGGGGGTTGAGCTTGTTTTATGGAGTTTGCGTTGTCTTCATACGAGGTTAATCATTGCATAAACAGCGTCATGTTTCATTCTTGATTGAAACGTGTTTTGATTATTTAGTCAACGAAATGTATTTTTAGCTTATCGAATTTCTTGAGTGCATTTTTCTTGTTTAACAAACATCTATCTAGTATCTAGTATTGAGTTGCGCTACAAAGTAATTAATGCAATCTTGTGTTATGCCCTACCCACAGAAACATGAAATTGGGGAGATTACTTGTGGCTGTGAAGTCATCGCGGATCGCTCGGGCGGCGAGAGAGCGAGACAGAATAGCGAGGCTTCTAAAACGACGCGTTGCAGTGACATGTTGCGAAATGGTGTGCCGTATTCGCACTACCGCATTTTCCCCCGGGGACCGAGTGAGCATCAATCAGATTGGGGAAGTTGTTTCGAGAAGGTGGTGATTGCGAGAATCCATTTATTGGTTACTCTGTAGAGATCGACACGATGGCAGATGCGTATGCATGGCATGGCATCGCATGGGCGTGTAAGATGTCCAAAGAACGAACTACCGTCGTACGGAGTAAGCAAGCTGCATATCTAAGAGACCCTGATTTACTACCCCAATCTGGGCTTTTTGGGGGCTGAGCCCATATTATCTAAACGTTGGCTTATTCCTCATCCATTTCAACCTTGCAGTACCGAAATCCGACACCGGGAATCCGAGCCCGCAGGCTTAAACTGCTCAATACTACGCTGATGCTTGACAATGCCATCGCGAGAGCTGCCCACACGGGATCCAGCTTGACATGTTCTCCGCCTGAAGTCACTATCGGATAGAAACACCCAGCCGCAACGGGCACGGCAAGCATGTTATACACAAGGGCCCACGCAAAGTTGATACGAATCCGTCGAAACACGGCGCGGCTGAGGTCCAAGAGCGTGACTATAGCCGTCAGCTGCGACGTTGCGAGAACAAAGGCTGCGCTGCTAATGGCCACGTCGCTTCCCGTTCCTATGGCGATGCCCACATCGGCTGTTGTGAGTGCGGGGGAGTCATTGATTCCGTCGCCGACCATAGCGATAGTTGCGCGTCTGGTTGTTGAGCCGCTTGCGTGGAGAGAGGCTTGGAGCGATGAGATCTTAGCTGCCTTGTCCGAAGGGAGGACCTCAGCTAGGACATTAGATGAGGGGATCCCTACACGCTGCGCCACCGCGCGGGCCGTTGTGACGTTGTCACCGGACAACATCCAAACTTGAATACTACGGGAGAGAAGAGCTTTGATGACAGGAATGGTCTCCCGTCGGATTGGGTCAGAGATGGAGAGTGCCGCAGCCAGTGTCCATGATCCTGCGGACGATGGCTTCGTGGCCACTAGCGCAACAGACTTGGCTTCAGTTTTCCAAGTTTCAAGGAGAGAGCAGATGTGCGGCGATAGCGTGATCGAAAAGTCTCGCATGAGAAGTTCGTTGCCCACAACCATGTCCATTGCTTGGTTGTCGACGCCCTTGAATGAGGCTTTCATACCTCTCCCGGCCAGCTCCTCCAAGCCATCGACACTGGTAGCTGCAGCATCGCCACAGAATGAAACAATCGCCCTCGCGATGGGATGACTGCTGTTTTCCTCAACGGCCTTGAGCGCTGAAAGGAGAACCTGGAGTTCTTCTTCGGCCGTTTCAGTGTCTGGGAAGAGGACGGATTCAGTAATCTGTGGCTCCCCGCCCTCAGTGAGGGTACCCGTCTTATCAAACACGACGCAATCAATCTTGCTCGCCTTCTCAAACGCTTCACCACCACCTTTGGCAAGAATACCGTGCTTAGCCGCGATGCCTCCGCCTACAAAGATGGCTGTAGGTGCTGCAAGTGCAAGACCGCAGGGGCATGCGACGACAAATACGGCAATGGCGAACTGGAGGGCAAAGACAACCCAGCCGCCAGAAGAAGTCTCCTCATGATCCGGAACAATGCCAGCAAAACCAACTACCATCCAGATAACCCAGGTGAGTACTGCAATGAGCGTGATGACGGGTACAAAATACGTGGTCAAGAGGTCGGCAATCTGCTCTATAGGTGCTCGTTTCGTTTGACCTTCCCGAACAACTTGAACAATTTGGTCGAGCATTGATCTTCCAGAGGCACCAGTGACACGTGCAGTGATAGCAGCTGCCTTGTTTATGGTTCCAGCAAAGACCAGATCACCCTCTGCTTTCTTGACGAGGCGTGACTCGCCAGTGAGACTCGACTCATCAAAGCTGGTCTCTCCACCAACAAGGATGCCATCAGCAGCCGGAGATGCACCCTGAGGGACGCGAATCGTATCTCCAGAGTCAAGCTGATCAACAGGTACAGTCCTAGTAACTTGGCTTCCCGTCTTATCCTCCTCTACGAGAAGAGCTATTGTTGGCCGAAGCTTTCCCAGCATCTCCACTGCATCGCCGGTCTTGGATCTGCTGTAAGCTTCGATGAGTCTGCCCGCAAGGAGAAACAGAGTCAAGAAGACGACTGAGTCAAAATACATCTCTGCTCCAGATCCATGGTGGTTTCTTCTAGATGCTCCAGCGGCAATCATCTGTGCGACCGAAGATAGATAGGCGATGCTGGTTCCCAACGAAACAAGCATGTTCATGCTGCCAAACCGATAGAAACGTTGCACGACAGGCATGCGGCTTCCCGAGCGCCACATTGTTCGGACTTCTTTAATTGCGCGGATATGAAACACATCGGCGGCAAAGAAGTAGACTGGGGTAGCGAGGATGAAAAGAGCAATGTCGAGGCGGCTGAGTCCAGAAACCCAAGGTTTCATGAGGAACATCTTTCCGTGGTTAGAATCAGGCAATAAGCTCATATAGACTATACCAAGAACGAAAGTAGGTATGGCGAATATAATGGTAAGGATTTCACGGTACAACAGAGCTCTCTGATGTTTGGCTCTGATGATTCGCGACCGCTCCTCGAGGGTTGGAGGGTGATAGATAGATGCTTTGAGAGACTCATCGGCCGCTTCAATGGCTCGTAAAACGTGTCTGATGGTAAAGCTAGGAGCCTCAGGAGCATACCGAAGTCTTAGTATAGGATTCTCAATGGTAGGTTCCTGGAAGATTTGTAGTCGATCAGGGGCAAGACTCTTGAGGGTTGTAATGATTCGTTCTGGGCATCGCGGGCAGAAGATACCATCAACACGAACCTCGACCTCACGCTCGTTGATCGACACCTTCTGCTCTTCTTCCAAATTGACCACTTGATCAATTGCAGCCTCATACCCCAGATCCTCGATAGCATCGGCAATCTCCTGGGCCCGGTCCGCACCGGTGTATTCGACGGTTGCGCTATTGGCCACAAGGTTGACAGCTACTTTTGTGATCCAGGGATATTTCTCAAGCTCCTGAGTGATTGTGTTGACACATACAGCACATGTCATGCCGCCGACAGAGAGTGATACTCGCCACCTCGAGGTTGGTGCCGTATCTGTGACAACTTGCTGCATAGGATAGGGCATGGATGAGCGCCTTGTTGGGGCATCGGAGATGGTAGAAGAGACTCGCACCAGCTGTCGCTTATCATCTGATGGTGACAGCCTCTGAGGGGCCTCCTCCGATTTGCATGCTTCGCAGTTCTCAAGGTGAGCTGCACGAGCTGCCTCCAAAGCCAACGGTGAGACTTGCGGGCGCCAGAAATGAAAGAAGGAATTTAGCCATCCATCTGAGTCTTCGGCGACACGGCTGCTTTCCCCATGAACCTGAGATGTGCGATAGAGATCATTCGCAAAGTTTGCAGTGGTGTTGAGGCCGCAAACTTCGAAACCGGCATCTTGAAGAACTCTTTGCATACTATGGACAGACGCCGGGGAGTTTTCTTTGTGCTCGATGGTGACGACAGAGGTAACGAGGTTTGGAGAAACCCATAGCACATTGTCGCCAAAGGTATCGTGTAAGAGGGAGCGTATTAAGGTAACGCAAGTCGGGCAGTGAAGGTTACCTAGAAGATAGGAAGTCGTGACGACAGAGTCTGTGGACGTCATGTTGGTGATGTTTGCCACAGTGAAGATTTGTTGTTGTGAAGGATGATAAGAATTGGAGAAGTTCTAATGATTCACTGAGTCTGATTGATGAGCAGAGATTTGTTGTTTGGGGGCACTCTTGGTATTAAACGGGACGGAAAATGATTATGAGTAATTGAAAGTGAATTGCTGAAGGTTTCTACTTGTCTCGAGTCGCTTCTAGAGCCGGTATTAATACAATTTGGTCGTGGCCAAAAACCGCACAAATGTCGCAAACGATGATTTTATCGACATAATAGTTCCGTCTCCATAGCTAGCGCACGGTCAGTCAGCGATACACTTTCACTTAGAGCATCTCATGATCAAGGAACCGGAGGATTTAGTCGAGGGTGTGAGATGGTGATGTGATAAGTAGAAGTTTGTATGTGAGTTTATTTTCCTTTGTCGAAGACAATGTAAGGTAAGGCAGTGTCGAGCATCATTCCATTACACTTTCCTCTTGCTTGCAATGCCAAATCGCGCTAAGACACCTGAGTCGGGAGCGGCAGGGATGTAGCGTTAAGTCTAAATGGGTAAAGCGTTCATGAGCGTTTTGTGCGGACTGCAGCCTCCTGCGTCAATTGTGCGCTTGTACTTGAATGAAAGAAAGACGAAGTTCTTTATAATCAATTGCGATGTTTGCCATGTGAGCGTGAACCAGCCATTGACGGAAGGACAGGTACCTAGTCCCTGGCTAGTAACTGATCATCTGACCAACTCTGTCAGTCAAGGTCAAAGTGGCAACAAGAAGCAACAACTCCCGTCCGGCACGGAAATGCACCATACAGGTACTCAACCAAGATGATCATATCCAAGTGTCTGATATCATGTATGGCCTCCTCAGTACATTTGTAAAGTCCATGATTGCAACACGTCGAGGTCGATGACAGAGCTGAAAGAGCAGAAGCCAAACTACCTGTATTTTAGCCAAGACTTTTTCGAGATTCTATTAGCAAAACGAATGACCAAAATATGGCACGACCAACTTTGTATCAACCGCCAGATCAACAACCAAGGTGCACGCATGGATCCATTTCTCGTCTGTCGACAGATTGCATCTTTTTTACCTGGCCAAAGCTCGAGTCAGCCCGCGTGATCTATATACATACCTACTACGGAGCACTTATGTATGTTCCACCGAAGTCAGCGGGAATCACTATTGAATGCCGCCGGTTGGATATCAGGACAGGCCTGGTCAGGGTCGCATCCACCGGATATTGGGGGTCGGTCCAGCGTCCAGTATCGCTGTATCGCTGTACGGAGTATCAGGACAGCCGGCAGCGTTACCCATCTCCTTTAGTGGATTGTTTCTCGGACCATCCATCGATACGATACGTATCATTTCTGAACCTCTACACAGACATACCGTCGCTATGTGATTATTATTAACAGAGACGACCTCTGCCATACATACAGAGTACTATGAAAGTCAACCGACGTCCAACGTCCATGTAGGATACATCCCCAGATGCCCCCTTCATCCACATGTCCAAGCTTTGTCTCAACTCCAGGAAATTGCGGAGAAGTTGCTGATATTCACTATTTCATTACGTACAACTCCTACCTACCATCTTAGCAGGAATAAGAAGCCTTCTTGGGTTGTGGGGGATCCAATCACCAGCATGATACTATCTTGGCTTTCGTCTGGGGGAGGGGCAAAAAAAAGAAAAACCGACAACTAAAAGGCCAGAGACGGTTATGAACGGATTGCCACTAACTTCCCTCATTCGTCAGATTTCTGACCCCAATACCAAGGCTTCCTTCCAATTCCCCAGTCTCCAACCTCTAACTGTTTTCCTTTCTCAAGAGCTTCCATCCTAGTTCCAAGACTTTTCCAAGACTTTTCCAAGACCTTCCCACATGCCTCTTACGGAGTGATCAGTTCACGATCTCACTACTTGCCAAGCATACTAACGCCCGCAGACGAGATTATGACATATTGTGCTTGCTACCATCAGCCCTCTTGCGATTCCAGGTACGTTGAATGATTTCTTATCATCCGTCAACATAGAGATGCTTTATCTTGCAAAGGGAAACAAGACAGCGACAGTGCGCGATTTGACAATGTTTGAAACGGCTCAACGTGGCGAGTCAAGTAACCTTCTTTACCTACTTTATTAAGTGGCCAAAGGTGGATATCCAAACGTAATAACTCAATACTCTGTGGGGTGGAATCGCGACTATTCGAAAGGGTGTAAGTTACGGAGTACGTTCGTTACTGGCTGTTTCCTTGAGGCGAAATGAGCCGTTCGTTCGAGGACTGTGTCCTGTGTTGATCTCAGGATCGCCCGGGCATTGAACCACAGATGGATAAGCTCCAACTACCACGACCTTCAAATATCCATCATTGTGATGGATAGCATTACTGTACAGAGTACGGAGTGAGGAAGTAAGTCAAGCTAGGCCAGGCACTGAATTCTTGAGAGTTACCGGCCCCGTACGTACTGGGGAAGCTTTCCAACATCGTACGTAGTACGGATATGCTGACCGAAATCCATGCCTATCACAACCAGACAAGCATTCTGTGACCGCCCCCAAGTGTTGACATAAGGCGTGCTTGTCGTTCTGAATAAGGTTCCAGAACTTCTTGGGGTATCATAGCATTGCCCTGAAGCTACCCCAAGCACATTGTTAGCGCCAAGATTGCCTAATTATTCCTTACCGGCCGGTCACCTCTACAGTAACTAAGTCGGAACATTGGTCCGGTCACGCTGAGCCGCCTTATGCGGTCATTGAAAGAATGATCATGACCGGTTATCTCCTGACGCCGCTTGCGTAAAGTTCCCATCTGAAATGCCATGCGGTGCCATGCACACTTCGAGGTCAAAGGCAGGATCGAGAAGACCTGTCAACAAACCACAAGATCGTTCCGAGGCCATGGTCGACATGGGTATCGATAGAACGTAGCAATTGCGTGCGTGATGGTTCAAGACACGACCAGCCAAGAGAACGAGGCAGAAGATATCCGTAGATCCACAAGAAACTGATACAGTGGCCCAGGTCGATGTTGCTATATGCCGTTCCACAGCCGTTATCTAGACCAAAAAAATTAGCCGCCAAGTCACTCTGCTGGAGGCTGAGCAATTTCCCAGTAGACTCCATAGGAGCGCGGTAGGAGCAAAATCGACGGACAGGATTCCCAATTTTGGTTGCATGAAGACGATACCAGGGGTCTAGCTCAAAGTTCCACCCCCAGGGGGTAACCAGGGCAGGCATATCGAGACCCTTGTCTCAACTCTCAAGAAACGGAGACGTCAATATCGCGAGCTTTTTGTAAGGCCACCACCTCAAATTGGCAACTTGGTACTTCGCCTGTAACCCGTGGCACTCGGAAAGCATCCGTCGCCTAATTCCTGTTCAAAAAGATGTTGAAGTCCTGTCGTGACTTGCAGAAGCTCAAAGTGGTGTGTTCTTTTCCACGACGGCGCGGTGGTTAGACAGGGAATGTACCGAGAGAGTATCGCTTCTGAAGTACGAAAACTGCAGTGAGCCATGTTAGCAACAACGCCAAATGATGCTGTTAGTCATCTAGCGCTTAGAACACCGCTAGCCGAATAACCTCAAACACCATCATTGCTCATCCTCTTATCATATCTTATCGATTGACGTGATGTTTCACGCACATCGAATTTGCCATAGCGATCATGATTAAGTCAAGCAGCAAGTACTCATGTCTGACCCTTGAAGCCTTATCTCTCATTGAGATACGCGGAAGCTGAAAAATCTCGGCACTGCGATATCAACTCTTGGTATTTCGTAAACAGGCAGCATCTTTGCATGCACTAGGTGCTTGGCCAGATAACACAAACCTTCGGGCTCATCTTCGCAATCCCAGCCTTTGAGTCGTGGGGCACATCCCCATGTTGCATGGTACTCTGTCGTGTGTGGCGGCTTGGCTTGGGGAGGATGTACAATATGTAACAGGCTGGAATAGTGCCTCGACTCCTTGGCTTCCTTGGCTCTTGTTCTCAACGACTCGCCTGTTTGCGTTTTCCCTTGGCATCGCCGCCTCTTCGGACAAATCCCCGTTTCTCAATCAACAGCTGCTCCTTGATTTCTCCACATTGAACGGGCGACTTTGGATCGGTCTGCCCGTGCCACCAGTTATCAATACCAAGGAGTTGATGCTTGTCGTCTTGGCGCTGGGGAATTTCGTAACACTCACCTTCTCTTCTCAGCCAGGCCAAGCTCGAGTGTTTCTTTCGACGTGTCGGATCTTTGCTGGTTGTGGTATATGGTTCTCTGGGCATTCTATCCATGCCCTAGTAACACTCTTGACAAGATCCCTTGATGCCCCATAATACCTACTTCCATGTATCGAATCTGACTTGGCGAAGGGGGGAAGCACCGTGAGGTATAAAAGCCAGAGGTGCTCTAAAGGTTTGTCTAGGAGACTCATTACCGGTTCTTGTTTATTCTTCCTCGTCCACCACTTCTCGAGCTTTGTAGCAACTCTGCTGTTGTTCGTTCTTCAGACTCAAGCTGAGCGTGCTGTTGCAATGAGTACCAAGGAGTTCAAGGACATGCCCGAGACGCATCCGGTGCAGGTGCCTACCAACTCTAGCGGCGACATTCCCCACGACCATGCCGAAGAAGAGGTCGTCAAGAGACCATGGTGGCACAGCTTCAAAGAGCCTGGTTCGGCTCTGCAAATCATCAGTGCCGCTCTGCTCGCTATTGTCATTGGTGTAATCATCGCTACACAGGTCGACAGTATCCCTCCTGCTGTTCCTGTCATCCTCGGTATAATTGGTAATATGTGGCTGAGGGCTCTCAAGGCAGTCGGTAAGTTTTCCCAGATACGAAGCCAACAGCAACAGCTTCTTTCAAAAATTGCATACTGACATTTGGCAGTCCTTCCGCTGATCGTATGTTCCATGTTGCTCGCTGTAACAAGGCTTCGAGAAATGTCCAACGGGGGTTCATTGCTCGCTCGATGGACCGTCGGATACTATATCATCACCACCCTTGTCTCTATCTGTCTTTCTTGTATCATGCAGGGTCTCCTCTGGTCCAAGCAGTACACCGTGGTAGACGACGAATCTCTTGCTGTCGATGAGAATGATAAGTCGCTCCCTGACACAACAGAGCGCCCCATTCACAAAGTGGTCGAGGACATGTTTTTCTCTCTGATTCCTTCCAACATCATCTCCGCTCTAGCAAACGACGAATTGCTCGCCGTCATCATCACAGCCATCATCGTTGGATACCTGATCGAGTCTCCTCGTTCGCCCATCGTTCGTGTTACCGAGGAGATCGAGCGGATGATCACCAAGGTCATCACCTTCCTAATCGCGGTGGCTCCAATTGGTGTCTTTTTCCTGATCCTGCCCAACTTGATGAAGCTCGACATCGCCACGATTGGCACGAATCTTGGACTTCTCATTGGCGGAACTCTGTCCACGATGCTCATCCACATCTTGATCATTGTGCCCATCATTTTCTTTGCTTTCACCAGAATGAATGCCTATTCGTACTGGATCAAAATCTCTCCAGCCTGGATCACCGCTTGGGGATCTGCCTCATCTGCTGCCACCTTGTCGGTCACTCTCAGATGCGCCAAAGATCGTGGTATTCCTTCCACCATCTACAAGTTTACTTGCCCCCTTGGTTGTCTGATTAACATGGACGGGTAAGTCGTTGTCTCAATTCATTTCCAACTGCAAGTCTGACCTGACGATAGTACCGCCATCTACCTCCCTGCTGCTGTTGTGTTCCTCGCTTCCACTCAAGGCATCACCCTGAGCATTGCCGATTATGTCATTGTTGCACTGCTGTCAACTTTGGCCTCAATTGGTGTATCTCCTATTCCATCAGCCTCGCTTGTCCTGTCAATCATGATCGCCCGCTCTGTCAACGTCGAGCTGACTGGAATGTATGCCGTGATTGTGGCCATTGATTGGTTCCTTGACCGCTTCCGTACCGCCGTCAACGTTTCTGGTGATCTGTTCGCGTCTATGATCATCTACAAGATGACCAAGATCGAAGACCCACCTGAGGTTATCGAGCAGGAGGGACAGGAAGCTGATATGAGAGAGAGAGATGCTTCCAACAAGGTTTAAACATGAACAAGATAGAACAATTGTATAGCGGGCGTTGTAGCGTTGACTTTTTACCAAGCCTTAGTTGAGTAGCTGAAGAATATAAATCAATCACGATCTTTGAAACAAATAGAAACTGCTGAAGGTGACTCGATGTTGATGACTCAGGCCAAGGTCATGTCGACAGGGAAGGTGCAGATGCACAAAAAGCTTGTCTTGAACTGGCAGGATCCATGCTGTGGGGAAGCAAGAACTTGGCGAAAGAGCGACGCATTACAACTGCTTCAAAATCCCCATAAATGAGCTGTATTGATGAACCGTCTCACGTAGGAATATAATTGTAGAGACTGCTGGGCCAAAGACGCGGTTGTAAATGAAAGGTAGTGCTCAAGTGGCGGGAAGAATAAAGAGGAGTTGGACGGAAGAAAAGAATAAGGAAAATAAAAAGACCGTAACAGAGAAAAATGAAAACCACGAACCTCGCAAGTGAGGACACAAGAGATATATAGACTGAACAAGCTCGATTAAAAGGTACGCGCCAAGTCGAATTAGGTAGGTACCAAACTAACGTTTGGAGCTGGCCCTTATCTCAATCTTCTTTCTGTCCCTGTTGCTTCTAGACCCTCATCGAAAAAAGAGGCGCAGCCATCCATATCAACAGAAGTACAGCACACCAGCGGGGGATGGAAATATTTATAACGATAATTCTACTGGACTAACGCTGAGCGACGGACAAATCTGTCATTCTACAGTGCTACCAACTTCCATTCAACCACCGGGTCATCAACATACCGACCTTCCGATACTCGGCGACAACCTCATCGGGGATCAAAAGAACCAGACATATACGTAGACTCTGCGGCCGTTATTTTTTATTTATTCAAAACAAGAATGACACGGTATGGACCTTGAGTTGGTGATTATTTAATTGGCCTGGTGCTATATTTATAAATAGCCTCCATACTCCCGTACCTCCGATCACATTCCATCCCATCCTGTCCCATCTCATACACTGTTACTACACGTTGCATTCTCTAAACACTCTGACTGGTAGAAACACCGCTCTCAAGTAAAAGCCTGCGCCTGTTGATATAACCTTCGGAACGCCAAATTCTCCAATATCCTGGAACCATTCAGATTTGCGATGCCTTCACCACCCGCATCCAACTGCTTATCATACTTACCCATCGCCAGGCCGGCCAAAAAGGGCCCAAGCTGCTCTGTCGGGCTGTGCAAAGAATTGAGCACAGTTCCCATGAGCGGTCTCATGAAAAAGAGTGTCGCGTTTAAGAGCATGCCAGGGTTGGGAATATGTGGTTTGATGGCATCGTGATTACTCGCGTCTACGCCAGCGGGACGTACAGACTCGATGTGAAATTGAGGGGTGCGTGACTCGGATAGCTCTTTTTCGGTCTCTCCCTTGACCCTCCCGAAGATCGGGGTGAAATAGGTAGGATTAAATGTCGCGCCATGGCCAGAGACGTAGATAAAGCGGAAAGGTTCCTTGGTCGTTACCAGGCTAGAGAAGGCTTTGGCAGCAGCAAGCGTGTAATCTTTGGTGATGGTTACGTATTCCCTATTTCCAACTTGTTAGCTCTATAAATCTCATCGAGAGGGGAGTTGACTATGGTGAACTGACTCCTTTGTGACTTTGAGTTGACTGATACCTAACGCCCAAACTACTCCATTGGCTCCTTGCAACTGTTCGAGAACTTGAGGTTCGTATTTTGCAAAATCTCTATGGAGTATCACATTGACTCTTGGATCATCGGCCACCATAGGCACTGGTTTCCGGCTTAAGATTGAAATTTTGGTGATATCTTTTGATTTGAGCATGGCATCCAAAACGCCGGAGCCGACCAGGCCCGTGGCCCCAGTGAGAATGAGATGCATAATTGTTGAGATGGTTTGGCAAAGCTTTTGGATTTTCAGTTTAATTGTAAAACGAAGGTGTCTAGAAGAACTTAAGTAATATGATTAGAACAGGGAGATATGATCTATCTCCATAACAAGTCTCGGACTTAGCACGGATGAGTCCGTCTCGTTGCGGACTTGGAGTATTAGAGGTTAGGCTTAAAGAGGCTAGCATTAACTTAATTGGTTGGGTACCTGCAGGGCCCATTTTTCCGTGTAAGCCCTGCGGACTTGACCTCCACTCACTCTTTGACTAGGAGGAGCTCTAAACTACGACTTTCTATGATACTTGAGGTTCAATTCTTATTTTCGTATGCAGAATACGGATTTGAGCTGCATTTTATACATGCTCCACAATCAGCGTTGGTTGAGCCCAAACTCTACAAGTCGCACCGACAATTACATCAACATTAGGATACTTGGAATACAGGTCCAGGATAACTGGTATTTATATTGGTATGGTACGGATAAAGACAGAATAACGATCTATGGTCTAGTACAAAACAAATCCGGCTCTATAAGTTTCCCAAACACCGTGCTTGATCAAACCCTCTCCTATGCAATCCCTTGTTGTATCGAAATCAGACTATGTGAACAGAACATTGACAATTATTTGGTTTGAGCGATGTTGTTGTTGTTGGCGATGCGGTTTGGTGAGCCTCGGCGGCTTCCCGAAACCTTGTTGATAGTGGCATACTTCCTGAGGTACTTTGTCGTTGTCTCAACACCGGTGATGCCGTAAACTGACTGCGCGTACAGCACAAGACCCGACACGTGAGGGCAGGCCATGGAGGTGCCGTCCTCGATATATGTACCATTATCGCTCTTCCAAGAGGCTGAAGTGATGCCTACACCAGGAGCCAAGATGTCGACGGAGCTACCATAGTTGGACCACTCAGGCATCTTCCAGTTCCTGTTGACGGCTCCGACGGTGATGGCCCTTGAGGCAGATGCAGGAGACTTGGTGCTAGCAGCTTCTCCCTGGTTACCAGCAGCGACGACGAAAATGACACCCTGCTTGGCAGCGTTCTGAACCATTTCGTTGAGGGCACTAGATACACCATCGATTCCAAGAGACAGGTTTACCACAGAGAACTCCTGTCTCTTCTTGCTGATGATGTCGTTGACGGCCCACTCAATACCGTTCATGATGACGGACAGGTCGGCAGAGTTGCCCTGGAACACCTTGACAGAGATAACCTTGGCCCTCTTAGCAACGCCGAAGGTCTTGCCAATGATGATTCCAGCGACGTGGGTTCCATGGCCCAGACGATCAGTGTAATCCTGCTTGAAAGCGGTCCAACCGTTCTTGGCGCGACCTTGAAACTCCTGGTGAGTGACACGAACACCACTGTCGACGACGTAGGCAAAGGAGCTGGCACCGCCTTGCTTGCTGTAGATGTAGTTTCCGAAGCCCTTCTTGCGGTGCGAGATGGTTGCGAGGCCCCATGTGCTGTTCTTTTGGTCCATCTCGCCCCTTTTCTCAAGATCGTCTTCGCTCTCTTCTCCGTCAGTGGGCTCTTCGATTTGGCTTCCATTGGTTGATGGCTCAGCGGGCTGTTCTGAAGTTTGAGCCGCACGCTTAGTCGGGTTCCATGTCAGCTCGACTCTGCGGTCAGGCTCGACACTCGCAACCTAGGGGAGTAAAGTCAGATATCATGTGCATGCTTAAAGGGCCGGTGCCTCTTACCTCAGGACTATTCTTGATCTGCTTGATAGTTGAAGGGTCAAAGGTACCAGAGTAGCCACGGAAGCCAGCCTCGGTCTCATATGTCTTCTCAACACCGTTGTCGCCATCGCGCTTCTCGAGGCTTCGCTGGTGAACTTTGCCAACCCATTTCATATGGGCCTTCACAAGAGTGGGGATGATGTCTTGCTTGAGAGTAATGATGTAGCTGCCAGGGATGGCACTGTCGACGCCGGATGAGCTTGTGGGAGCTGCTAGTGTGCAGCTAAGGAGAGTGATTGCAGTGACTGCAAAAGTCTTGAAGGAAACCATGGTTCAAATGATGGTATGAAGTAAATGGAATGAAAGACAAGATGTTGCAAGAGAGTGTGATACTGAGAATGAAAGGTGGTTGATGAGAATAGAAGTTCTACTGAGGAGGTTCTTGTCTCAAACTTAAGTACAAAATGAGGTCTACACCTAGATTTTCACCTTTGGTATGCCAACCAACGATTCGTGTGTGATCTTCGGGACGAGACCCTTGACTGGCGTCATTCTCATTCGCGGTTTCACGATTAAGAAGACGCCTCGTCGTAGCCAGGAACCGGTAATACCGCCACGCGTAACACTTTGACGCAGGAACAATGCTTCCAGGAACCCGGAGAATGCTTCCATCGCGTGGCTATGGCTTCGGCCTGGCATTACTGGACAAAACATTTCTTCTATAGGCAAAGCGGGCATTGTGTTCCAGCGCGATGGCGTATCCAGTACTCGGGGCCGACCTGTCAAGCTCGGAAGAAGGCTAGTGAGACGCATACTCCGCAACATACGGAATGACGGGATGGTGATAATCTGGCTCACGACTCGTCTTGTGGCGGGCCAGAGCCATGATTCGGCCTATTCAAAACCGCATAGCCTCCATCTGTCCGTCTGTTCATGGGAGAAGTTCAATAACAGATACTCTGGTAGTGGCCAATGGAAAGCGTCTGTAGGGTCCGGAAATAGTCAAGTTGGAGGTTTAAAGTTGGCCGCCCCGTTAGTTTGTGTCTAGACACTTGAGCTGCATTCCTCCACAGAACACACTGTACCATTCTGTCGGAACAGAACTTCTCCAAATGTTTCACCGTATCAAGAGGAGAGGCGCTGAGTAGGTGTGTGACGTTGCCGAAGCTCTCCGGAAATCCGGAGGCCTTCTAGTACCAAACAGGTATTCCAATCCACGGCAACTCCTCCGTGCCGGGAGGCTAACCTCAGATTGACTTATGAGGCTCTCTTTGTCATTGCTCGCCTTCTCCGCAAGGCAAACAATTGGTGTATGCCAAGATTCTGGGCATGAGTATTTGTCGTCCCCATCCATTCACAGCCTTGCATAGCCATAACCGCGTATGGTGCTTGCCGATGCTGGTCTGGTACTCAAATCATGTACTGCCGATATCTGAAGAATGTTTCCCGATGCTGTAAATGCACTTCCTGCACTCATCACAAGCACGTCACGTACATTCATCAGACAAGACAAGCCGCCACAGGGCTCCTTTGCGGGGTAGATATCCAATCCTAACAATAAAAGCTTTGCTTGATGGTGAATGAGCCACAGAACTTACACGCCAGAGGATGCTGTTGCACGGTTGCGGTGACAGTTATTGTTTGCTATCCGAAACATGTCTCAATAGGCGAGCAGAGTTTGTTGTGTTGGTACCTGAAAGCGTGGCGTAAATAGCGTATCTGTCATGCGGTCATCCTGTACCGATACGCGAGCGCCTCCATCTGTATTGTTTTCCAGAATACAACCAACAGTCTAACACCGCCAACTTTAAAGCTTTTGGTTCCATGTGGTATAGCCTTAGCGTAACTCGGACGCCATTGTGTACAGAAAATGGGACCGTTCTTTTTCGGCACTTGAAAAACTGGTTCCGTTCCTCTTACAAGCAGCAGACGGCAAGCTGTCACCAGTCCGTACAGCCGGATCTTGAATGCCAAGGTTCTTTAGGATCTTACATGACTAGCAAGCTCGAAGCCATGTTTGAAGTTTGATGACGTGCCCTGCTGTTTCGAGGTAGGCTTGTCTGTCAACGATCATGAGTGAGAGAACAAACATTCCATTGCCAGAGGTTCAGTAATCATAGAAGCGAGCAAGCTCAAACCTCGCTGCCAATCCCATGCATTGGTAAGAGTTGGGGGATAACCTGTTAGTTTATCAAGGTTTTCAAATATCGAATAATCACAATTGTCTCATGTATGTTCCTTGTGTATGATAGAAAGTTCCTACGCACTGTGACTGCATTTGAAATAAATCATAGAAAGCATGTTAGAAAGCGGAAACAGCCTTGGTTATTATGCTTCGGATGAATTTAAGGTGCAGGTTCAGATTCTTTAACAACACAGATGGGACATCTTTCTTACCCTGTGTCATGTGTCTTGTGTCTGGATGCCATGAGTGACTCGGGCATGATAGTTGATTGTGCCGTCGGTTTGACTTGATTTGAATTAGTACTGGCTCATGAGAACCGAGACCATATCCACAAACTTCTATAAGGATGACTTGCACAAGTTGGATTTATACTGACAAGAGTCCTGTTATGTACTGACTGTCCCCTTTGTGTCCCTTTGAAAAGCCGTTAGATATACTACGTAGTAAGCTGCGGCTTAACCTATACACATAATAACTCCAACTCCGACTTGGCCCTACTATTGTATTCTTGAATTCATTGACTGATATTATTCCACAAAGACAATAGTAAACAGCACAACCTGATTGGTTCCATATACTTCACGGTATTGCCTCCGATGTTTAGTTAAGCAGACGGCGGCAACCGAATTGCGACACCGCCGAGTGCCGGTCGGGCCATCGGGGGCGCTTGAAGAAAAAGTTGTCCCCAGCAGGAGCATCGGGATTTCGGGGTCCCCATTGAGAACCAGACTCCAATGTGGGGTAGCGAGTAAATTAATAGGCACTCAATGGTGGAAACAGCCATGTTAGTTGCTGCTGCCCTTTTTGTCATCCCACTTTCCCATCTTGCGACATCGACGTCCTTTCCGAAGTCGGCCTAGCCCAATTGCGTGATTCTGTCAAAGCATCAACAATTCTCAAGACCGAGCAACATCCGTCGAGTAAAGGGCAGCGACAAGGAAAAAATAGAGCAATCGGCGCCATGGAGTTCGTTACCGTTACAAACCAGTCCCCGTTGAGTCGCTTCTTGAAGGGTCCTTCTTCTTTAACTCCGCCTCCATCTTCTTCACCTTCTCCTCCCTCCTCAGTTCTCCTCGCATCACCCTGAAAGCATCTCATTTCGCTTCAGAGCCAGCGACTTGAGTTTCAGTCGGTAGAACAGACTAGACCATCATTTTTTTTGACTTCCTAGTCAAAGGTCAATCGCGGGGTCTCGTTCTTTCCTCCAACTCCGAACTCGACTTCCAGGAACTCCCAGGACTCAAGACTCTCAAGATGCCTCACCAAGAGTCGGCCCCTGTGGCCAAGACCAACTCAGCCGACTTCAACAAGTTGTCGTCAAGCCTTCCCTTTGGCAAGCAGGTTTCTCTATCATCCATCTCCGGACCGACCTATGTGACCGCCCAGCTCCTTGTCCAGCAGATCGCCTTCAAACTGTCCGACAAGATCTTCTCATACTCTCCCGAAACCTTCGACCTTGATATCGCACTCAAGGAATGGGCCTCTAAGAACGAGAAGAACATCCACGGATATTCCACAGAGGTTCTTCCCCTCCAGACCCGAATCGGCGCCGGTGCTCTCGCTCTTGGCTACATCTTCTCTCCCGACTTTGATGTCACCAAGCGCCACATCCCTCAGTCTTTGGTCGCACCTTCGGGTAGTCTCCAGCAACTGCGCGGAACTCTCGACCAGCTCTCTCTCCTCTACGGTGTCTCCAGCCCTTTCGTTGCCCATGTCGCCGCTCTCGACTACTCTGATAGCAAGGGCCTGGTTTCCAACTATGACACTGCTCTTCGCCTTGCCGAAGACCTCGGCCTTGGTCTTGTTGCCAGCACCTCTACCTATGAGGCCCAGCACATGTCCATCTTTGCCACTCTCTTGGCTACCCTCCTCCCTACTCTTCATATCTATGATGGTGTCCGCGTTGCTCGCGAGACTCTCCGTGTCGTCGATGCCCTGAGTGAGAACGGTGTTGCCGACCTGTACACCAAGCTCTCCGCTGAGGCTGGTAAGCTCAACACTCGTCTTGACACCGCTGGAAAGGTTGTTGAGCTTCTCAAGCTTTTCAACGATGAACTCGGTACCTTATACGAGCCATTCGAGTACCACGGCCATGAGACTCCTGATGTTGTCCTCGTTGCCTTTGGTAGCGTTGAGTCGCAAGTTGCCAAGGAGGTTCTAGCCAAGATCTCTGCCGATGGTGCCAAGGTCGGTGTGATCAACGTACGAATCTACCGCCCCTTTATCGAGGAGGCTTTTATCAAGGCCATCCCTGCTTCTGCCCGCACTATTGCTGTGCTCGGGCAAGTCAAGGACGAGCTCGCTGTCGAGGACGAGGCCACCCAGTCCGCTCTCTACAGCGATGTCCTAACCGCTGTTACTTTCTCTGGGAAGTTTGACAGCGAGCCCGAGGTTCTTGACATCAAGTACACCCCTGCCCAGACTTTCACTCCTCAGGGTCTGGTCAACACTCTGCACAAGATCTTTGGTAACGAGGGTGAGGCCAAGAAGCTGCCTTCTCTCGTCCAGGCCCAGCAATTCACTTTCTGGGACCTCGATAACTCCTCTGCCCTCAACTCCCCTAGTGTGATTGGCAACATCCTTTCCAAGCAGTCTGCCTCCAACATCTATGTCAACGAGATCTTTGACAACCTCACACAGGGTGGCATCGTCCGCAGCGACCTACGATCTTCCAAGAAGGCCCTTGAGGCTCCCTACGACATCGACGATGCCAACACCATTGTTGTTGGCGATGAGAAAATTCTCCAGGAAATCGATGTTCTCAAGGGTCTGACTGATGGTGGCAAGGTCATCGTCAAGCTTTCCAACTTCAAGGATGATGAGGTTGAAAAGCGTCTCCCTGTTGCTTTCCGAAAGGGACTCCAGGAAAAGGCCGCTGAGCTCTTCATCCTTGACTCTGCCTACTCTCCCGCTTTCGAGAAGGATTCTCTTTTCTCGAAGCTCCTTGTGGAGCTGGCTTTCTTGAAGGTTGCTCTTCCCGACTACTCTCCTGAGGAGATTGGAAAGCACATCCTTGCTGAGGGCCACCCTCCCACTCTGGAGGAGTCTATCGATGCTGTCGGCCTCTGCCTTCGTCAGTTCGAGGTTCCCGCCACCTGGGCTGAGGTTGATGCTGACTTTGCTAACCCCAACCTTCCCGCCACCATCCACAGCAACAGCTTTGTCGTCCACGACAAGGAGGAAGGCGAGGAGACTTTCGAGCTCCGCGATTGGCAGGCTGCCGCCAAGTCTCTTGCTTTCAAGGAGGCTTATGGTACTAAGAACGTTCTGCGACCTGAGTTGTCTGTCAAGACCTCAACTATCACTGTCAAGGAGAACCGTCGCCTCACCCCTCAGGACTATGACCGTAACATCTTCCACATTGAGTTCGATCTTGGTGACTCCGGTCTAACCTACAAGATTGGTGAGGCTTTGGGCATCCACGCCGAGAACGACGTGGATGAGGTCAACCAGTTCATCGAGTTCTACGGCCTCAACTCTGCTGAGCTGGTCCAGGTTCCTGCTCGTGAGGACTCGGCTTTGCTCGAGACCCGTACCGTCTTCCAAGCTCTCGTTCAAAACGTCGATATCCTTGGCAAGCCTCCCAAGCGCTTCTACGAGGCTCTTGCTGAGTTTGCCACTGATGAGACCGAGAAGCAGAAGCTCGAGGCTCTCGCCAGCCCCACTGGTGCTGAGGACCTGAAGCGCCGCACTGAGGTCGACACTGCTACCTACGTCGACATCCTTGAGGAGTTCAAGTCGGCTCGTCCTAGCTTCCATGAGCTTGTCAAGATTGTCAGCCCCGCCAAGCGCCGAGAGTACTCCATTGCCTCTGCGCAGGCTGTTACTCCCAACTCGGTGGCTCTTATGATTGTCGTTGTCGACTGGGTTGACCCTCGTGGCCGTACCCGATACGGACATGCTACCCGTTACCTCAGCCGTCTGCCAGTTGGCGCCAAGGTCACCGCCTCGGTGAAGCCCTCGGTCATGAAGCTCCCTACCAAGGATACCGCGCCTCTCATCATGGCCGGTCTTGGAACGGGTCTCGCTCCTTTCCGTGCATTTGTCCAATACCGTGCTATGCAGAAGGCTCAGGGCAAGGAGATCGGCTCCATTCTCCTGTACCTTGGATCCCGTCACCAGCGTGAGGAGTACCTCTATGGTGAGGAATGGGAGGCGTACTTGGCCGCTGGCGTCGTTACTCTTATCGGCTCTGCCTTCTCTCGTGACCAGCCTCAGAAGATCTACATCCAGGACCGTATGCGCCAGACTCTCAAGGATATTGCCAAGGCCTACGTTCAGGATGAGGGTAGCTTCTACCTGTGCGGTCCTACATGGCCTGTGCCTGACGTGACCAAGGTTCTCGAGGAGGCTATCGCCCACGAGGCCAAGGCCGCTGGCAAGAAGATTGATCCCCGCAAGGAGATTGAGAAGCTCAAGGAGGAGGGACGATATGTCCTTGAAGTTTACTAGGCGATGAGCGCATTTGTAATGAATCATGTCAAAAACGGTGCTTAGGATAGCATAGAAAGCATTGAAGCGTTTGAATACAACCTTATAATTTGTTCAATCATTTACTACGTGTGGACTGTCCGTTCCTTCCAGTCAGCTTGATCTCTGATCTTGTGCAGGTTCTATTTGATGCCTTCAGACCGAGGTAGAGAAGATATGGTCCTCACATAGACCATATGCCCTGGTTTTCAAGCCTGTCCTCAGCATGTTTTCCCTCATATTGGAGTCTCCTAGTTGCCTCCCTCAAAAGGCCTATGGCATATATCCTTCATGGCCACTCACACCCTAACAAAACCTCGGAGTTTCTCCAGGCCTGGTTCACCAATCTCCTGTCTCACAACTCATAAACACTGCAGTGTACACTTAGGCGCGCGCGACTACCGGTAAATCTTTTTTTATTTTGAAATTGTTACCCGCCTTAACAATAAATTCAAGTGGTTGAGAGCTTCATCTCGGTTGCAACAAGTACACAGTCTAGACCACGGGACCGCCCTCAGCGAAAAGCAAATATCAGCGCATTGAAGCCGACTAGCGACCAAACGAGATGCGTTTCCGCCGCGGTACGAACCGAAATGGAAGTCCGAGCATAGCATTTTTCTTTTCTTTTTGTCTCTAGTACGCAGTAGAACCGTATAAACTTCTGCAGATCGCCCTTGGGCAGCAACCCCAGTTGAGGCCTGACCGGTCAAGGCCCAATATCGCTCACGCGCAAAGGAGGGAAATTTTAAAAAAAGGTCCTTTTTTTGGTAGGAGAGCCTGAAGAGGGGGAAAAGGGGGGGTTGGGTGGCCGCGGAGATTCCATCGTTGTGGTATTCAGTCTTCAGTCTTCATATCATATTACATGGGTGTGATACGGAGACTGAAAAGAGTTATCCGGGGTTAAAAGCTGACGGTCGATCCTTCTGAGGGTTTCAGCGACCGGTCAAGAGGGATAGGAAGAGAGGTACAAGCTACGGAGTAAGCAGCAGTTGACAAGAGGGTTTCGATGTGTTTTGAGGCCAGTATGGGGCAAATCGACTGAGCATCTCTGATAATGCGCGTGCTATTTACTCATGCATATAATATAGATTAAGTATATGATCAGTCAGCTATATCTGTATTTCGATACTGTCTGCGCCTCATCTCCAGGGTCTTGGCTTCGGGTACGATCTTAGGTCGGGTGCGGGCTGTTACCGATTTACACGAAGCCAAGGCTATTTACAGGGAAAGAAAAGGGTGAAATAGCTAGATTTGGCAGTCAATGAGCGTCTGTACATTGTATCGTATATGCTTCCTAGATGGTGCGCAGTCAACCAGGAAATCGGCCGAGATATCGCATAGAGAAAGTCACATGGATAATTGATATGCGTCAGGTAAGTGGTAACGTGATTGAAATAACCTGATTTCCTGGGAAACCAATTTCCAATCAATGTCCTTCTGTCAAAACAACGCCAAAAAAGGTAATCCGACGCAGTTGGATGTGAGGCATTTAGAGTTGTTCACGGCAACCGCGTCAGAGGAGCAGCGGACAAGACTCAGTATACTACGTACGATAGCAAGAATCAAAGCAAATTACAATGACAAAAAAAAGGAATTAACATCATGAAAAGTGAAGATATGGCATTACTGGAGGATAGCAAAAGGAAATTGAAATGACGGACATCTCCCCCGGGAAGGCTCGAACTTCCGATCTCCCGATTGTCTGTGAATAACAGTCGGACGCTTTAGCCAACTAAGCCACAGGGGATGAGCTAGTTGTTGAATAACTTTTTTGTACTATGCTCTATACGTGCTACCCATCAACACCAAATAATACAGACATTTCGAGGCATGACATTAACACTTCATCACAAGTACTGGGCTCTTTTGTTTACCGTCAGTATTTTCTCGATAAAACATGACTATTTTTTGCGGCATCAGCTCGTGTTCTCAACTTCTAGCCACTATATTCGCGGTGCTTGTACTGACAAGCAAATCACGCAGCACAAACCTACCTAACTATTCGATGATAATATTCATTCAGCGACGATGAATGAAACTCATGGAATACAGCTCCCGTCTATCATGTAACGCGTAATACGTACTGTGGAGTAGACAAAACGTAACATCCAAACTAAATTTATTTCATTAGCAGACACTATTGAATCATATATTTGCAACTCTTCTGTAAACACCAATGGAGTCACAAACTGTCTACCCTATTCCCCCCTTTACGAACGTGTAAATGCAATAATTTCACTCCTCCTCCAGTACTAGACACCTGTGGCCATGGTTCGATCGTCTTATCGATTTCATGCGATCCATATTGGATCTCATGAACATCCTAGCATACTAAAGAAGAAATGTGCGAGCGTATTACATCGGATATACAGCTCACCGAATATGTTTATACACGCTGCAAGGATTGCACATCGATTACGGTATTCGCACTCTACACTCCGTACATCCCGCGTCATTAATTTGCAGTGGCCAACGCCAAGGAAGGCAAACATTGTCAAAATCAGGTGGTTTCGGTTTCGGGTTTGCTTTAATCGAGAAGGAAAAAGCAAAGAAAAAGGCCCCCTTTCAGGCCCCCCCCCCCCCGCCAAGATGCAACACGCACATCGGTCCCGATGAGATGGCCAGATGAGGCTGCACGCAGCTGAAATCGAACAAAAGGTACGATCTCACCGGTTGCATCTGCTCTATCGCCCCCCTACAGCACAGTGTAGTTGCTTGCATTGGGGCCAAGTGGCTGGAATACGACGGGTTCTCTCTGTCTGTCACATCTAGGGATCGACGACATGGATATGACACAAGCCAGAAGCCAGAAGCCAGAAGCCAGAAGCCAGAAGCCAGAAGCCAGAAGCCAGAAGGCGACCTTGCTTTCTCTTGGAAGCAAAAGGTGAGGCTGTAATGACTCCAAGTATGTACTACGTATGCAAGGCCAACTGACAAAACTAGAGATCGACATGGAATTTCCTCAGGAACAGCATTTCCGTTCTGTGAGGCTACGTAGTACGGCCATCACTCGACCGTTGGATTCTGGGTTCGCCATGGTCCTATTTGACTTGATTCGCATAATTTCCAAGACTTGTCCATATTTCTTTTTACTGATCACAGCTCTCATCCGTCGATGGAACCTACGGAATACTCACGTCATTTCCCGCGTAAAACCCCTAGCACTAAGCCTTCCAATTTGGAACGTAATGCCTAATTCTCGTCTCTTCTTTTCTCTCAGCTCAATCCCCATGTCTCATCCCATCGAGACATATCTGCATGTAATGTTTGAGCTTTTACAGACCGGTATGGAGATCTCATCTCGTTGAGATGCAAACATGCACTAAATGTAAGTGCAGCAGAGTACATAGTAAGGAATACGATATGCATATCTTGGCGTACTAGAACTAATTGTCACACTCTGTAGAAGCGTATGCAAGGGCCGGTCGTTGAGGTGATACATCAGACAAGGCAAGATTAATTGAGTTTTGATATACCTGCTACATTACGGTCATCACTTAATTATAGCCTCACTCCAGCAGCTGTAACATGGTCGCCTTCAATCTTTCATAGGCTTTTCTTTACTCGTCACATCACCGCCGGAAAGTACGGATACTGTACGGATACATTCGAGACAAGCCTTGAAGCTAAAGCCCTTGCCTTGTCCTGCTTGTCTCCCCAGCCACAGCCACATCAGGGGCCCAGAGAAGGTCAGGGCGAGATCTGCAGCACCCCTGTCCTCTCTGGAGAAAAGAAGGACTACTTCTAGACCGTGCAATGAACCCATCTAACCGAAGCAGCTTGACAAGGAAAGTCAACTACCGATACCGGGGGCCTGCCTGTATATTGGCCGTATAGAGGCCCTAGACTTTCCATTGCGTCCTCGTGAACATCCCAAGTAGAAGTAATGATACAGTCAAGGGACCACGTAACTGTACACCCATGGCTAGTAGGAGAAAGTAAGGCAATCGTACGTACGGTGGTGATACTTTCCCGCCCCAAGTAAGTCTCGGATGCAGTCGCAATGAATCTCATGTGAAAGAATATGATGTGCGAATGCGAATGCGTGTGCAAGTGCTTGCATGGTTGTTTAATATGTATGACCCCGCAATATCTCTATAGATGCTAATGCTCGTCCACAAAATCCATGGTAATTCTACACCTTCTCGAAACCTCCCTCGCCAAATAGTGCTGTCCAGATATAACCCCCGATACCATTGATGGGAGAAGAAATGAGAGCAGAACACATGGCTGAGAGCAGAACCCCAATATGGATGTGATGGTAAGAAGGAACAGACGGTGCGAGAGGAGAAAAATATGATATGTTACGATGTCCCTAGATGATAGGAGCAAGAGGAAACAAAGCAGTATGAAGCATGGGGAGAAGAGGAAATTCCAACCAAAGGGAGGACATAAAAAAGTAAAAAACAAAAAAATGTTAGCGCAGATGATTTCGCAGTAAAAACAAAAACCAGGTTCATAGCCACCGTCGACTCCCCCCGATCTGCCCATGTTGATGCCATTTAATTATGCTGAAGCCGAAAAGAAATGCAAGAAAAAAAGCAAAGAAAAGGAAACGAGAAACAAGGGCCAATTAATGAGCGGTAGCAAACTCAAACTCAACTTCCAAGGGTTCGTTATTCGTCATCCGTCATCATAGGGCTTTGCTTCCATGCTGTTGATCCAGTTCGGCTAAGCTCAGCTCAGCCCAGGCCAGCCCAGGCCAGTCCATGCCAACCCAGCTCAGGCTGAGCGTGAGTTAACTGACTGTAACATAGCGTGAGAGATTGATTATGGTTGTGCTCGCAATAGCAATAGCAATAGCAATAGATAGCAATGCAGCACAGCACGGCACAACACAACAGCTGTAGGCATTGGCCCGCCAAGTTTTCACACTTTGGCGCCGATCCAATGCTAGCTAGACATGGGGTACTCCATCACTCGTGTCTCACCCCTGCCAACAGCTTTGACCATGACCCCTGACCTTGTGCTGTCACAGCCCGTTGGGTCAGGTCAGGTCAGGTTGGGCTAAGGGTAATCTTGCTTTCGATCCTCCGACGCATCTTCGGGGGAATTCAAACGCCATGATAGCCTTGGCTGTCTGTCGTTTGTCGACTTTTGTTGCGCCTGGACAAAATGCCGCTTTTTAGTTCGCCCACCCACGCGTCCAGTCTTGTAGGTCCCCGACAATCTGATATGTAGGGTTCGCTGAGTGGCCGTCGCCGCCCTTCTTGTCCCAGGCCCATCGGTCCGCTAAGTCACTGTCAAGGGATCCCTGCATCATATCCACGACGTAGTCGCCAATGACAGGCAGGAACTTCCAGCCGTGAAAAGAACCTCCAGTCGCGATATAGAGCTTGTCGCATTGCGGGTGCGGAGATATGAGGAAGTCATGCGTTGGTGTTGATGCGTCCCTGTGGCATGGACCGGTCAGCTCAGCTACTTGAAAATCACCAGGAGAGGGTGGTCTTGCTTACCAACACATCCGGTAGGCCTCAATCTTGACGTTCTCAACTTCCTTGCCATAGAGACCATTAAATGTCCGTCGCGCCCGATCCTCAAAGAACTTGAGGAAACGAGGTCCCGTCCACGTGTTGTACATGGACTGGTCTGGCACTACTGACATGGCCTCACCGGTCGGCGGAAATACCTGGTAGTTGGTAAAACATAGGTCGCAGTTAAACTTGATAGTTCCGTCCTCGAGTATTGACATGCCCTCGCCTGCGCATGCGCTGTTAGCTGTGTACCGACAACATCCGGCCCAGAACTTGGCAACGTACCCTTCACCTGAGGCAAGCAGTTCTTGAGAACAGGAATTGTCGAGAACTTGTCCTTCTGCGCGCCATGCAGCTTCGCGTAGAAGCTCACAGCACCTGTAGCCAACAGTCTTTCGCCAGCGTGGAGCAGTGGCTTTTCTGGTGCGCTCTGTGCAAGTAGTGATGCTGTTCGAGCACCCGCAGCCAAAAGAATCTTGTCAGCGTGCAGCGTTGTGCCGTCCTTGAGCGCGACACCTGTGCATTGATCTTCGGGCCCAAACTCAATTGTCGTTACCTCACCCACGACATACTCGGCTCCGAGATCGACCGCAGCCTGCACTATCGCGCCGAGAGCCTTGTCCGCTTCTGCGAACCCTACGTCAGGGTTCCAGAGAACCTTGTCCACTCCCTTGAAGTCAGCCGTCTCAAAGGCGCCGTTCCAACGACGGCGTACTTCGTCGACAGGCAAGAGTTCCGACTTGTTGGGAATTCCCATATCGCGGTAAGAGTTGATACTCTCTTCACCAAACGAGGTAGAATCGGCACGGAGCATGCCGACTTCGTGGTAGAATGTCTTGTATAAGTCGTCCTCTCTCCAGAGGGGCATGGCCTTCTTCAGCAGGCGCATGTACAGCTTGTCCGGATAATCGTCACGGACGATCTTGTTGATGTCATGAGAGGCGGCTCTGGGATTGGGGTAGTGCGCTGTGTCAACGATGGTAACTTTGACGTTGCCCTTTCTGAGGAGAGAGAGCGCAGTCGCAGCACCAAAGTTGCCGGCCCCAATGATGAGGACGGAGGGAATGGCCATGGTTGAGCGTCGTTGTATTCAATTGAAGTCAAATGCGCAGTAAGGTATAAGTTTGTAGTGCTTTGTTTCGTTGTATGGGGTTATAGAAAAGTGAGACTTTGTTGGCGCTTTTCCAGCTCTTGTGGGCGCGCACTACAACTTTATATTGCAGACTTTCAAGAACCAAGCCCGTAACCGGGCCGGGAGCTATAGGCCAGTGTCCAAAAAGCGGTCGACTCACAGACGCCAGAAACCCGAAACTAGTAACCGTTGAGCAAAGACAATTGCCGGTCAGGTCAGGTCAGGTCAGTGTCAGTGTAGTGTACATAGAGTACTGACCGTCACGTCTGCATACGCAAAGGTAAGGCTAGGACAAGGCGTCCAACCATCCAATAGGTGTCCGTACTTGCATACAGTACAAGACTGTAGCGCAGCGTAGCCGTAGTATAATTTAGTGCAGTATAGGAACCAGCTTGCTTGAGTACATGATCCCTGGTTCCAGCGCCAACTGTACCACCTAGTTCCACACTCCTTGTATAATACAGTATCAAACAATGGATTCGTTGATGTGGACGTAATTATGCTAAGGGAGCTGTCTCATCTTGACAGCTCCAGCAAGGGGGGCGTTGATCGAGAGAAGAAAAAACGACAGAGAAGAGAAATATCCCAAAAAGAAAAGTCGACAACTACTAAGTTTGATGCATCTCAGTATGTTGTTCCCTGAAGAGTACGCCATTGGCTGCAAGGGGGGTGTATCAGGCCTATCAGGGGAAAGAAGAAGAAAAATGGACGACTGGTATGAGAGGAACAGGTTGGTTGTGTTGTACTTTTCTCACAGAGTAATCAACCTTGTCCACCCGGACGATCCTTGGTTGATTGAGGAGTGAGAAAAGAAGACGGAACGTTCTTTTCTCTCATCGCATTCCCCACTCCCCCAAGAACAAATTGGCAGAGGAAAAAAAGGAGGGAAAAAAGTAAAACAACCCAGCTAACACCACTGTAGCTAAGGTCCAACTTTGCTTGTGCTCACCTCAACCATGTTATGCTTGTGGTTGGTTGCGGGGCATTTCTTGGCTCTTCCGTACCAGGTACCACAAGCCTCAAACCACAAACGACAATCCTCCATGTGATGGCTCGAGAAGCTTGGTAAGGATTTTGCTAAATTATACACACAATGCTCGGCTAGTTGTCGTCCGATCGCAGCGCCTAGATGCATGTATGTAGCAATTTGCCTACCGGCAATCCAAGCTTGCGCAGTGTTTTGGAAGTTTGGAACCCTTGAACCGAACGCCATGCATCACCATTAAGCTCGTTGGCATGCCAGGATCTCCACAAGATCTGCTTTACTGGTCCAGGTACTGATACTGTACAGTACATCGTACTGTACCCATCGCACCCAAGCGTTGGGTAACGGCTACAGTACGAGCCCTGGATCTGACAGGCACAGCACGGAGCGCGCTATGCTCTGCCACTGATACCAGCCGGGTCGGGAGAAAATCTCATGGCTCGCTTACTGCGTTGTGGCTGGTACACCAAGGATTGATTGAGTTGAATAATTGACAACTGAATCTGAAGTTGACGCTTTGACAGGAGAGTGCCTTTTCCCTAGTCTCCGGAACACACCGCTCATCCTGTTTTCTTTTGTTTCCTCTCCTCTTCTCCTTCCGCCTCGCCTCGACAGGTCTCGTTTCGTCTCGTCTCCCAGTCAGTCAATCCATGCCTGGGGGCGGAAGCTCCTCTCACACAATCCATGCAAGTTCCCAGATGCTAACGCCCTAGTCCCGCACCGTTAAGAAGCCACGTGCGCCACTAAGTGTTGCACGGAGCCAGTCTAGCCAGTCTAGCCTGGTTGTCTTGTTTCTCGACTCGAGACGGGAAGGGGAGGGAAGGGGAAACATCTGTGGGGAGACGGTAGGTTTGTCCTTGAGATCGGATCGCACTGCCGAATTGAGGCTATATCGCGATAACATGCAATGGATAATTGAGATTCTTGTCTTGATCCGCATCAAAATGTCATGAGTCAAAATCGCAATCTCTGACTCCTTCACTGTACATATGATTTCTCACAATTGTTGGTTCCACCTGGCTGGTTCATATCTTGATCGTCAGGGTACACGCCCGAGCATTGACCCTAGCGCCAGGATCATCGTCTAAGGCTGTCGAAGGGAAGGAAAAAAGAAGACCATCTCCAATCTCAAACACCCATAAATTGAAATGTCACATTGCTGCAGTAGGAGATCGTATGTCTGCAAGTCATATATGTCTTGCTGAGGAAAGGCTAATGGTCGGTCTCCCACGAATTTGGGAAAGCCACCCGTTTCTCGCAGTAGATCAAACAGTCTAGTACTGTATTGTGCGATCGTTCTCTAGTAAACCCCTACATCGCGCGGGAGCTGGCAGACTGTTGCTTGTTCCACTATTATTGTGAGACTCCAATCTGTTTTACTCTCAGACGTGGCTGTGCTTCCTTTTCTCGAACGATCTGGATGTATGGTGTCGTCGTACGACTTTTTGTCAATCGGCAGATCCGTGCTACGACAACGTCAAAGTTCCGATATCCATTTCTGACCTTCTCCATGCCACTGTTCGTTCTGGCCTCTGATGAATCGTTGAGGCCCGCCATGGCCAACTCCACTGCCCAACATAGTATTCATGAGCCGATCATTCCCTATTTAGAAGGGTGCCGCTGCGATTGCTGTGAAAGGTTTGCTTGCAGCTTGCCCGAAGGCTAGCTGCGTATGTAACCATTATGTGTTTGATGACTCTGAATCGGGATGATGCAATCATATGCAAGCTGCACATCACCGGTCAAAGACAAGATGAGCTGTCCTCCAAAAGAACTGAATCACCGGTTAAACCCCCGAAAAAGCGACCGGTAAACAGAGATACCCAGATAAGTACCTTTTGAGTCGTTCGAGGCCGAACAACAAACCAATCAATTGTCCAAATGCAGAGGCCGGTCATGGTCGCGTTGTAACCTGCATACTGCCTCAAAGGACATGCATGGGCCCGCATCAATTTTCGTGATGACGGGTAACTTCGAATCGTTGACAGATGGACCTAATCTTTACCAGATAATCTCTTGGCACGTTTTGATTGGCCCATGAAGCATTTGGGCAGCTCGGGTACTTTGAGCCGCATGACTCCCTTTCACCGGCTAGTCCTCCCCCAATCAGAGACAACTCTCCAAATGTAAGGGAGCTGACCGGTTGAGGTCACGCATCCATAAACCGAGCGCAACCATGAGCTCGTGATTAGGGCCTCAAGATGTAATGACGCGATGCTTGACCGTTAACTTATGCCTTTCAAGTCCATCTCTGCGAGCGAATTTTCGTTTCTTGGGAGGGTTTGGGCATCCAGGGACGTCGCATCGCCAAGGTTTCCGATGCTTATTGCAGTGTTGTCTATGGCCAAGGTTAGCAAGGGCCGCCAAATCAAGATGACAAGCATACGCGAAAGATGAGTTTCGATCAAAAAGCACCAGCTTTCCTTCCTTGTCAACACCGCCCTTATCACATCGATGCCCTAAAGGACAGTAATAAGAACCTTTCCCCCTTTGTTTGAGAGCGTCCATGTCGATTTTGCTGAATTGTTCATCCTCGTCTTCCCCTGAATCATCTGAAGCGGACCCGTTCCCGCCAGGCGATTGCATGTCATCGGTGCTCTGAGATGCTAGCAAAGTTCTTTGGCCACCTCGGGTTCCGGCATCTACATCACTTCCTGCAAAAGACGGCTGTGGCCAGCTAACGGGCTCGGACTTGATAGTATGGAATGAAGAGGCGGTCTGGTAAGTAGGTGCCGATACCACTACTCCAGGCTCAGGTGTACGCCGCCAGACTTCTTGAACGTCTGCAGAGAACCTTTCTGCGAGATCGCGGATCTTGCTATCAGGAGAGGTGAGCAATGGCATACTACATTCGGTTACACGAAGGAGACTTACCCAAGCTTGCTGATGTTCATATCCATAGTCGCAATAGGCTGTAGATCCGCCATGTGAGTCTTATTGTAAGACTGCTCGTGTGCTTCTTCCGCAGCTAGCGTCACATGCGGTCCTTGGACCAGTCTATCCGTCAAAGAAAGCCACATCTGTGCAGTTTGAGCAAGATATTCTCCGACATCGTTGATGATATTCTGGCGCTGTTCGGGCGACGAATCAACAGTGGTGAATTTCGCCCTTGATGCCAACTCTCTTGAAGCTGCCTCCAACTGGCGCCGGACTAGGGTGTCCAGAGAATTAGGCTCCATAGAATTGCTAGGCATGGTGTTGATCCCCGATTCAAAGACAAGTGCCGCTGGAGGGATTGACATGATGACAGTATCTATACCTCTCGTGATACTATTGTACTGTATTTGCTGTAGGCTAGCGTCGATATGTGAGTATGTGCTATGTACTCCGTACTATCCTCAGAAACCAAGGAGTTTTGACCAACCACACGGGACCTAGCAGTAGCGTGTTGCAAGTTGTGGCACGGAAGCTAATGAAGGGCTCCGGACCGGCACGGCGCGGCGGCGGCGCCGGGAAGGTAAAAATTTGGGGCGACTGAGGGAAAAAGGCGGTTACGAAACTGTCTATCTGTCCACCTAACGCAGTAGAGTTTCGCGGTCGCGCTCTTAAGACAGAGAAAGAAAGAAAAGAGATGCGCATGCGCTGGACAAAGGAGGGCCTGATGTAGCGTAACTGTCTGGGAATACTCATAGGGCGATTTTGTTTGGTACTCTGGCCTGAAAGCCGGTGCTGAGAAGTGAAGGATAGAGGTCGCAGTAGGTGCTCGGTGAGTGTCCTGCGTTTTGGACCCGCGTAGGAGGACGACGGCGAAACCCCAACGTCGGGGTCGACAATGCGAATGCTGTGGTCTCTTCGGTCAGTATCTTGGAACCTGCTCCTTATGAGGCCGGTAGAGAGGCAAGACACGCGGTGCCGGGCACAAGCACAGCTTTTTCGCGTGAGCAGCAAGTGACGAGACAAGAGAAAACAAGCCAAGGGGAGAAGAGACAACTGAGCCTAGGTAACGCTAATGCGTATGGGGGTTGCCGCAACCCGTCTCACAGGTTGTACCAGGCACCGTTTGTAATACTGTTGGCACTGGACTGCACCGCAGCACGCCGCAGCACCATTGTCCTCGCATCTGGCTCAGCTTGATGTTGACTGGGTCGTCTCAATACCCGTCGACCCTCTCGACCCTGAAAAAGCAAGGGGCGGGTGGTTAGGTCGGGAGGTGCGCCATGGCGTTTTTTCCCTGTCGCTGGAAGCCCCCCATGTTGGGTCTCCTTGTGCGGCCCCTTGTCCTTGCATCCCAATCCGACAAGCCCATCACACCGGTGGGCCGCGACGCTACTACGTAGGTACAAGCTGCTGGGCCCCAGGCCCTTCCATCCCTCCAAGCTCTGCCTCGACGGCGGCAACAGGCGCGTAAGGCGTGTGAGGCAATGGTGGGTGAGATTCGCCTTCAGGTTGCCCGCCCTACCGATCGTAACTAGGCGACATTGCATCTGATATCGTGAGGCGGCGTACTGCTAGCCATTGGAGCAGCATCTCTGCCCTTGTGCTAAGGGCTCTAAAGCTGGTGAGGTCCCAAGTGGGGAGGGCCGCAATCCAACCATCGACCTTAACCTTGTCTGACAGCTCCTAGAGACTTCTCAGTTAAAGTTCTAAACGGGTCCAAGAGAGAGACAGAGAGTTTTGCACCTTGTCAACGTGCCTTTTAATGCAGGTACTCTCCCCAGACTCACACCATGACCTCACGCTCTTCCTGACTCTGCTTCAACACCCCTCCGCTGGACCCGTGGTTGTGTTGTTTTCTCTTCGCTTCTTGTTGTCCCTTTCTGTCCCCGCTATCCTGGTGGTTCACCCTCCCAAAATCCACTCTTGGAAGGCGTGGTTCTTGCCTTGAAGCGAACCGCTCTGCTGGTATCTCATTAATAGGCTTTCGAATCGACGCGCCGCAACGGTTGTGCGTTGCCCCTGGACCCGGCGGCTCTGGTCTTCAAACATCTGGTACCGCTTCCTGTTACCGCCGACCGCCGCTGCTGGCCGTCCTTGGTGTTCTGATCCGGCTGACTCCGAAACGACATTGCCGCCTTGTTCTCTCATCTCGCCCATTAACTAACTACAACACGCGGGTTCATCGGACTTACACTCCGGCGTGCCTGTCTTCAAAGCGGCGAGCCGCTCAGATGGAGAGTTCGCCAGAGTCAGCTCGTCCTCTAAAGCGCGTCAAATACGTGCAACAGGACGACACGGTCCCAGTGGACATGACCGCATCTGATATAAGGGGCCCAGAGAGCATGGGCGGGCCCTTGGTTACCGATGTCCCGATGTTCGATAATCCATGGGCCCTCACGACAGACCTGTCGTCTCCTTCACAAGTACTCTTCAACCTCCATGAGGACCTTGGCACCCCTTGGCCCCAAACATTCACAGGTGAGGAAGTCAACCTGCGTTCTTATTCCAGTATTCTTACCAAAATCCTTTGCTCTCCTCATTTATGTGCTTGCTTTCACGCCACTCTACTCATTCCCAAACATCTTCCTGGCTGAACTACTCTGGGATCTTGAATGAAAGAGGTGCAACCATGAGCATGAGAGGAGAGAGAACATGTTGCACCCACTCACCCCGCTCTCACTCCCACCCTCACCCATTGCACAATTTGACCAAGTCCATCTTTCATCCGTCATGTTCCCGACTTCGTTCCAGTTTCAAGCACAAGGGAATCAAAGCTTCCTGTTGACCTGACCATGCCATGGTAGACAATCAAGTGCATGAGCTGACGTTCCATGCAGCAACCCAGCCTGCGGCTTTGGATCTTAACGCAGCCATAGCGCCTCAGCCTCAACTACCCCGTCCTCAAACACAACAACGCCTACCTCGACTCTTACCCGCAGTACCAGAAGCTCTGCCAGAGCGAAATGCCGAACCGCAAAACTCAAAAGATGAGACAGCCGTAGGTCGACTTGTCCTGAGCCCTTTCACCGCAAATGAGGATCGTTTAATCGTGGCCGCTTTCCCTCGTTATGCACGCCCCGAGAATGGACAGGTAAATGGTTATGTTAAGTTTCACTGGCCATCGCGAACCACGTCGAGGCGACCCTCTGGTTACGTACCAATGTCGTTCGAGGAGGATGTGGAAGACATAACACCAAATGTGATACGATCACAGACAATTAGTCGCAGTCCTGACTTGACAAATTTTGTTGGGCCTGCGCCTGCGATGTCTCCTGTCGCGAATGGGACTGTGTCACCCCTAAGTAATGATGGAGCATGGTCAAGTGCTTCGTCGGTGACGATGGCGGCAAACTCGCCAATCTCCGTTCATGATTCACAGAGTGTGGTCACAGGTGATCCGAAAATGCTACCACCGCAGTTCGGATTCCAGGCGAAGATGGATAATATTGATAGGCGACTGTTTGAATTCTGTAAGGCCGAACGAACTGGCAGTCTGGAGATCGCTTGCCGGTCCCTACGTTCGATTGGATGTTTGCTGACAGCCTTAATATAGATATCAAGAACTGGTGCCCTGGAAGGAGTGTGCTTAGCAACACAAACTTGTGGTTAAAAGATTTGGCCCCGATGCACAAAAACGAAGGCATATTACATGCCATTCAGAGCCTGGCTGGTGTTTATATATATGATTATCTGCCAGACGAGCGTATCCGGCAACGGATCAATCAGCGGTATCACATGGCTGACGAGTATTTCTGCAAACTGCTCAATGCACCCGAGAGTAGAGTAACTGGGGAAGGAAAAGAAGTCATCACCATGGCGGTCCTTCTTTCGATGCAAGACGTATGTATTATCAACCGTCCTTCAGTTCCTTACTGGCATGCTTCACTGCCTTGGAGTAAAATAATCTGACTGGTTCGCAGATCGTCTTAACTGAGCGGCGTCGCAAAAAGCCTTACCAGCCCCGATGGCTAGAGGGTTTCAAGCAGGGCGAGTACTTCCTGCAACAGACAGATCCTGGCGGACGATATTGGAACAACGACAACGTGCAGTACGACGAACTCCGCATCTCGCAATCTATCATCGTTGGTCGGGCGGTAATTCTTGCTCAACCGATGATGGCTCTTCCTTCACCAGCGACAATGAACCCCGAGACCGAAGCGAGCAGATTCAGCTGGCTGCTGTATGGCACAGAAACGGACCTCTTTGAGATCCATGGCGGGTGTGGCTTCTCCAAGAAATTATTGCACACCCTGAGCCAGGTGACATATTGTGCAGCCCGTCTTCAGCAGGAGCCAGAGAGCACCATCGTTCCAATCACAGCAAAGTTTCTGCTCCGTGAGTTATCGACTATGCGTCAATGGAGTCGTGAAGGCAACGACTGGCAGGAGGCACAGAAGGTCCCCCAGACGATAGACTGGGTGCGCGAAAAGGCAGACGATGTGATCATCGACTCGAACAAAGACATGACCGACGTTACAGCTGAGGCGTGGAGGATTGCGGCGATCATCTATTTTCAATGTCGTCTTCTGAGGTATGAAACTGTTGAGAAGGGAGTGAATGAGGAGGGCCCGAGAGGGAAGCTGAGAATGGGACGTAATAGTCATACTTCTTCTCTTCCTGCTCTCCTTCCACTTCTTGCATCCCCATCACTGACAGCCCATCACTGCGGAGGCAAGGGCAAGAGCGCTGACCTAACCTTTGTTTTAGGCTACCTCGAAACCATCCGGAGGTTCTTGCCAATTTGGAAGATCTTTCCAAATGCATACGGATTATGCCGACATCGGGATCTCACTTCACAGCTCAAGCACCTCTATTGCCAGTATTCTTCCTGGGCCTGCTTGCAACCGATCCTGGGCACAAAAAGGTATCAAAGGATTGGTTTGAAAAGGTTGTGCAAACACCTGTTCGTAGTGTAAGTGCAAAAAAAAGAAACGCAATCCTCCCATTTTAGTTATCTATGGCAAGAGGCAGGCTGGCTCTGGCTCCGCCTCTACTCGAGTCTACCGCGAATTACTCTAGTACAGAATTAGGGTGCTGACAACCATCTCAGAGCGTCCCTCCACTCTATGAAGCGCTCAAGCGCATCTGGGATTGGATTTACACCGATGTTGAGATCCCACCCGAACCTAATACTCTTCCCAAATCCCTCGGCAAGAGGTATCCTTGGTGGGAACACCTCGTCGCAAAGGTCCTCGAAAACGAATCGGAAACCTTATGCTTAACCTGACGAACTCGCCCATTTTCTCTATCCACTCTTGGGCCTCGATACCCGTGATGGTAGCAGATAACCGCAGCAATAATTGCCCACCTTTTGGTAGAAAATTCTTTTAGGAATTGATAGGGTGAGAAGATGCTTAGCCGTAAGGACAGATTAACTGACTCCCGAGACGGCGCTGTCTGCGTCGTCCCGTTGGTCTTTGCTGTCTTTGCGGCGTACAAGATATTGACCTGATTTGCCCTGTTAGTAAGGAAATCGTAAAAGAAACAAGGAAAGGAAATGAAAACGAAAGAAAACGAAAAGAAAGAGGAAGCGAGAAAGAAAATAAACGCCATAAAAATAAGGATGGACTTACGGAACTCCGAGTTGGGCGCTTGCCAGACATCGATCACGCTCAGTCCTGCCTTATAGCACATGAGGCGAACATTATCTTCTCCGTACTTGTGAGAGTCGAACCAGTCGAACTCCTCGCCTTTCTGGATGGTACGGCCCATCTTCTCGAGCTTCACGTCCTTCTTGGCTCGGAAGAAAAATCGATGGCGAGTGGTAGGCTCTTCCTCCAGCTGTGCAAGGAACTCCCAGTCCTCTTCTCGAAACCAGTTCTCGCCTACTAGCCGGTTGGCATGCTTGAAGCCGTTGAGGAAGAATTTGTGGTAGAGTTCATCGCAGGAGTGGTAGGCATCCCAGATTTTGTCCTTGTTTCCCGGAAGAATGTGCCCGTCCATTCCTATGAGGAGGAGATCATCAGGTCGAAGAGCGTCTGCCCAGAACTTGAGATGGGACAGCGCCTCAGGCCAGGGATCATTGCAGAGTACGGAGCCGAGAGAGAGAAAGAGACGAGGCGTCTCGATTTCTCGAACATAGTTCATGCCATCGCCAAAGGTTCCCCAGATGCCTGCGCAAGTCACTGAGGACTGATGGCTTGGGTGCTGGTCCTCAAGATATTTGATGTTGTGGTTCAGCGATGATCTGGAGATATCCAAGGCGAGGTACTTGGCGGAGAGTTTGGCTTTATCAAAGGCAGCGAGGAGGTGGTTGACCTTGCGTGTGTCGCTACAAAAGTCATGTTAGTTTGGACAGGGTAAGCTTACGGGCGCTACGCAAGGTGGGTGGGCAGGGTGCGGGGGCAACAGAGGATGGACTAACCCTGCTCCTAGATCGACAATGGTGACACCAGCTTGGCAACGTGCAGCAACGTCGGCGCCATGCTTGTCAAAGAGCGCGATCTCATCGTGAGTCTGATAGAATTCTGGGGTGAAGATAATCTGGTTCCAAATGGGCAAACCCACGTCGTCATAAAGCAGCTCATCGGGGAGTGTTGGCTTGTTTGTCAACGACGACGGGGTCATGAGGGCCTCTTCGAGTCTTTCGGCAACATTATCGTACATGTTGCTACCGCCAATATCGACGACAGCTCCATGGACAGGAGTGTCATTCTTGAGATTCATGCTGGCGGTTATATCTCCCGAGTTCGGAATCCAAGAAATCGCACGGCTAAAACCGTTATCCAAAGTCGCTATCCGAAATTGAGAGGGAGTGTATCTCGTTGATCAAAACTTGTTGTACGCAACCAATGCCGCGGATCAGGGTCGACGGGCTATCAAAATGGAGGACGGAACACAAGCGTTGTGAAACGATAGGACACGACCAAAATACGGCAGCGGCGTCTGCAGCGATGGTTTGTGAATGTTGGTGGCAAGAATCGTCAAACGTCAACCCGATGTTAGCGAGTGAAGGAGGAAGAGGCAAGGTTGCGCAACTCGATGGCCTGCGCCGGATGATTCTTATACCCACCCTCGCTCGCACTGCAGTGGCCGACAGCTCAGATGGCTCTTGTCAAAAAAGTACGGGCAATGTTAGTCACTGTCACCGTCACTGCCAGTGTCAGTGCCAGTGCTCGATGGGGCCGACCCGGGGGATTGAACAAGGCCCGTAAACAGGTGCTCGGCGGCGGCAAGAAGCTGCGAGGATAAAGAGATAGGCTGCCCGTGTACTAGCAAGGGCCTCTGATCTGATTTGAGGGGATTCATGAAGAAAAATGCAGCCGTGGATCCCATCCGTAGGTTGAAACGAACACTGCCCCTCAATGAAAACAAAGCAGGTGTCAATTTTTTTTCTTTCTCTTTTTTTTTCTTCCTGAGGTGCCGAATTGACATGGCAGCTCCTCAATGCCAGTATCAGTGCACTGCGACGCGGCAGCTCCCTCCTGCGGCTCGATAACACACCCACGGACCCATATCGTAGGTAGGTAGCCATTCTATACCCCAGTACCTTAGCACCCAGCACTCAACTTTCATTTGCGTGCGTAAGGTGGTAAAGTAAAATGGGACGGATCTTGGCCATGACCGGGCCTCGCCAGAAGTGGTTCATCCTACATTAGGGCGGAATCGTGGAGGGTGACATTCCCATGCTTCAACCATAACCTCTCCACCATGAGACATGGGTGTGGTTCCGCTGTGTACTGGAGAAGTTATCAAAACCCTTGTTTTGCTTTCTAGTGCCTTGTGTTCTGCTTCCTTTTCCTTAGCAGCCTAAGTGAATTGACGTCCTTGGACGTTTGTTTCATATTCTGTGCTACTACTCATGTATGATTCTCTCAAGAGTTATCCGTGTTTCATGTCGTGCTCGAACGGCCAAGTCCAGGTCCAGGCTTTAGACATCTTCGGCTTCAACCCTCGCGGTACCTGGGTTGTGCCCCTGCACGAGCGCTAATGAGGCTCCAGGATGTGGTGAGAAACAAGAGCCCATTTAGGCATTTGGGGCCTTTGTGTCCCCTCCACTGGCAGAGAACGTGTTGCAAAACTCGTAAAAAGAGAAGAACAGGCATACCTAAAACAATCCTGCCTTTGACATCGCCGACACGATACTCAGTCAACCCACTGGATCTTCCTATAACCCCTCTATAACCCCACGGGACCCGCCTTCACCCGCTTTTGCCGTCCCGGGCACTATTTGTCCCCTCCGCGCCTCGGGCGTCAAGCTTAATACTTAGTTGGGCAGTCTCGTCATAGTATCTGCTGTCAAACTACCACAAGAAGTTGGCAATTGGCAAACTTTTGACGAGATGACTGGTCATCTCGGCGCAAGGAAGAGATTCTTGAGGATGGTTTGATCAAGGTGGACCTGTGAATGCACCATAATGCGCCTGCTCACCCCCCTCCCTCCCCCCCCCATGCCCCGGCCCCGGATGGTGAAAGACAAATGCACGTCATGGTTCCAGACGAATCCCGTCCGAGCTAGAGACAAGCAGCATGAGCATGAGCATGACAGCCGGGGGAAGATTGTGTACTCCCCAAGTCTGACTCGATTGGCCACAGAGCTCGAGGTTGTGTGCCCTACTCTGTGATCTGTGGGTAGCACAATAGCAATGCGATGGCGTTGTTGATCCTCAGTGCTATCTAGACAGCGGTTCCTGGCCCAAATCGTCGGTTCTATTTCAGGCCCTTTGACGCAAATCACCTGAGATGTCGTGATTCGCAAGCCCTAAAGGCGAGTCTATCCGAAGATGGAGCATGGGCATGGGACTGGGCATAGACACAGGCATTTGCATACCACTCACTGTCACAGTTACTGTTAAAGTCTCAACACCTTGACCGCCTGTTGGTCTAACATTTGACAGAACATGGCTCTTCTTCTCCTCGACCAGGCTCGGCCCCATCCTCTGCCCCGTTCCACCGCGGCACAGATCATTGTTGCATTCTTGAAGGCCTGTCACATGGAGGCGGTGGGGGGGACCGCGTATCTGTACCTGTCCTGTCTCTACGTATTTGAGGGAACACTTCACTCATGGCAGGCAGGTATAGGCTCGCATACAGCTTTGGGTTGTGATTTAGATAGATTCTGCGCAATCAAGAACCCTGCATGTGAGGGCGTGCTAAGGGATGTTTACGTGTGCGTTCATGTTTGTGTCTCGTAGTACGGATATTTGCCCGTAAAATATCGAGAGCCAAGCTTTGTTGGGTCCCCCCCTACCTGACCCCCAGGTAGGTAGGCACTAAACTTTTTTGTGGAGGTGTGCTGCAAGAGTGAGATGCAGAAAAATAGTCCGCCGTTAATTTAGTGCAAGGGTTTGCGAACCTGAACCCTGGCTGTTGTGTTATAAAGACTGGACATGACGGTTGAATCTCTCTTGGCTCGAGCAAGCTCCAGTTAACTTAGCAGCCACTGTCTTTTTAATGGATCGATACAAGCTTTAGACTTCGGTCAACGGCGAGGAAGGGAACTCCCGTGATGCTAAAAATGGTAAACGTTTGACGTCTGTGTCTCGCTGGCAAGGCCCACATTGGAGCGATGGCTGGCCCTGACATAATTGAGTGCTGGATGCCATCTTGAGGATAGTATGGTTTGACGCTTATATGAGCTTTGTACTCCGTAGCGCCTACCTACCTACTTAGTATGTAAGACAGGTAGTCAGTCTAGTCTGTTAACATGTGTGTTGGCCCTTGTGAGTCTTACGTCGTGGCTTGGATGCCTTGATAGCCTGATGACCTGAAATAGATAGCGTGCTGTACGGATACTGCCACCTCAATCAAACGATCCACTTACATGATCTTCATTGCTGTTCAACCCATTGATTCGTTCTTTCATACGTACATATACAGTCGACTTACATTGGATCAATAGAAGAATGTTAAACAATACCTGCGCGCAGCTATTGTCAGGGACCTCGACTACTAGTGACGTTACAGCCATACATTGCGTACGGAGTAGCTCGCCATCGATACCACCCCTCTAGCATCTTAGCCGCCAGGCCATGAACTCAATTCAGACACCTCCATGTTGGGACCCTACCTAGCTTGCGGTGTTATGCGCAATGAGGTTAAGTCGAACTTGTCTCTTTATCAACCAGGCTTAGTCGCTTCCTAAACTGGCATGACAGCGTGAGTGGCCCAGCGCGCTCCGATCCCTCACGAGACGTTCATTGCGGTCAATAGCCAGGATACAGGTTGCATTGAACATCCATCGGCGCTACTACGAGAACACCTACTCCTCCTACCTGTCCATGGTGGATTCATGCACTTCGATCGGCAGGTTGCCCTGCAGACACCCCTTTAAGCTGGTGGAGGGTCGCCCACAATCATCATATCACCACATGAACAGCCTTATGATGGAGCCAGACTCTGCCGGAGCATGTGCAGCAAGTCTCGAGATACTCCCGACAGGAGGGTTTCTGATACCAAATAAAATAAAAAGATTAAAAAAAAGATGAACGTGGCCTGTTCAAAAATAATCATGCCATTGGCAGGTCTAAATAGATGCCAGCGACGAATTTAGCAGCCATGGCGCTTTCGAGAGATGATGAGGTATCCTAGAATGATCCATCTTGGGGCCTGAACTGAGCCCGATAGATCGCGATTGGAAATTGACATCCTGCGTCTTGGGGTTGGTAAAGCAAGAATGGTGTGGCACTACCGAGGAACTTCATGCTGACATGGCCTGGTATTGTACCCTTGAGTTGTTATTCCTGGCGGGCTTTAGGACCGGAAGTAGGTATCATCGAACAATCGAAAGTCCATTCAGTTCATTCAATTCACTTCCACAGACTGGTAAGGTCACAGCCAGTTATCCTTCCAACGGGTGACTACTATTCTGCCAGTGACACCATCTCTTCAATTGCCTTGAGATTAACTACGCTGTAAACGTTAAGGCTGTAAGGATACGTGGTTGTCTCTTGGGCGAAGGCTAGATCCTTGGCCATAGCACAACAATCAAGCAAAGGGCCAGGGTTATGAACATGGGGGTAACAAACAGCATGAGAACACCTCACTAGTTCTCAGTCGCCCTAGTTAAGCCGAGAGCAAGGTGCTATAACTTTTAGCAAAGCCTGTTCTGGACAGAATCCAAATAGTGGAATACAATTTGATCAACCGATATCTGCGCATGGGTAAAATTTGTCCAAATTGAAGTCGTGATGTTACAGGGAGCCTCAAAAAAGCAAGCAGAGCGGAGTAGAAAGCGGGTGTAACTGGAGCCTATTGTTGCCAAGAGAACATCAAGTGGAATAGGTAATTAACCCTGAATTTTCCCGCTTACCGCCAAAAAGTAATTCATACCTAGCAATAGCGATTGTAATGATTCTTATTAGAAATGGAGATCCTTGTCTTGAGTACTCCCAGTTCTCAACAAATGGAAGAAAACACGGCACGGTTAATGTCCTGACTTCTGCTGCTGCCTTATGTGATATCTTTGACGCTAAAACTTGATGCTCCATGGGCCTAAAACGGAAACAGCAGGAGCTGTCGATCAGGGTTGATGAATCGTTGGCCGAGGCTGATGGCCAATCACAAGAACACGGCTGAGCCAAGCGTGATCCGAGATCCAAGACATTATCAGCAGTCACTGATGCTTGCTTGGACCATTACCGAGATGATTATACTGCCATTCGACCGGAAACCAAACCCGCTATTCTTGGAAGCTCCGTGGCTTTCAATGATGCATTTCTGTCAGTTATGATGGACAAATGAGAAGGCACTATCACCACAGTGCAATGAATTTTCCAGTACTTGGGGATACCTGACAAGCAAGCCACGACGCCATCGCTTATTAGCCTCGCAAGATCCCTGGATGTTGATGTTCCAGAAGCGAAGATGATCCAAACGCCTTTGTGCGACCCGAGTCGGCTGACAAACCCCCTTGCCTGGTTGTTTTTGAGCACCAATGTTCGTTCTACTTTTGCTTTTTCATCAGCTGTCACATGCAGCCACGTGGAATTCATGGCTAACGTTCACTAGGGAGACACATCTTTACTGGCGTCCGTCGATCCTACGTAGTTCGGCTGCGGAGTATCATACCCGTAATTTGATACCACGAATCTAACACTGTCGGAGCATCAAGCACTTCTACACAGCAACGAACCACACCACAAGAGATCCCCAGGGGCAGCAAAACGATGGGTTTGCAGGAGCTGTGAGGGATCATCATCTTACTTCGGAAACAGGCCCGACGGCCGCTGACGTAGCACCGACTGCAATCCTCAATACCCACATCCAGCTCTTCATCCACTGCGAGACCGGTAGATGGGAGCCGACCCAACTGCATTCTGTGCCTGCAGGCTCATGCTTTTGACAGCGCTTGGTCATGCAGCTCCAGGGTGTCAGCCAAAGGAAGACTAATATCTGGGTCGTCGACGGCCAACATCACGTCAAAAAATAGGAAGCAAAACCACGCACGCAGTGTGCACGCGAGTCAAGGTATAGGCATGAGTATGTTGCCAACGTAATCTTTTACTGAGGATAACTCACCTATGGGGTCACGGATCTAGTCAAGTTCCTATCGACAGGCAGGGTAATACGTACAACTTCGCAAGATCTTACTGGGGTGTCAACGTACGTCCATTCCTGTATTGGACTTTGAGATGAGAAACTGGGCTCCAACGACTGGTATATGTGAGCACTGGCAGCTGAGAAGAGAAACATGACACAAAAGCAAGCACCTCGTGTTCTAGCATGGTAGTGGGGAACATGGTTGTCAACTCTGTTCAACTCCCTTCCTGCATATGTATGTTTCGTGGACTTCACTCACTGAGCAGCATCGGCAGACACCGGATCAATGCATTATAAACCACGCTTGAAGCAATTAACAACGGCAGATATGGCTCCTCCACGCCGCAAGCTTGACCAAACTCAGGTTAGGTTCAACCACTCCGCTATCCCGCGCCGGGGGCCCGTGCTTCGGCCGTGACAACGACGACGTGGACGGAGCGCCCTACACCCCGTACCAATCTTTGCGATAGCGCTCCGGTAAAAACAAGGACTCGCCACTCCGGGTCGGCAGGTCCGGGCGGCTGTTCCTATTCCCGCGCTGTCATCAGAAGCTCTCGTTTTGGGGCTACCATCTAGTACAACTCGATAATATCAGCATGCTGTGGCTATTGGACGACGAATCTATGTAGGATCTTAGATGGTGGGAGATTACGTTTCAAGCATCCCAATGGTGATGGAGATAATTATTTAAAGCCATGGAAATCCCAGCCGTCGAGCGTTTTTTTCGTTATTTTAAGGCTATTCTGAAGCGTCTCCTCAATGCATCATATCATAGCAAGTCAACTACTCACAGCAGACTCGTCAAGTTTGAACAAACAACCTAACCAGTCACCAACACCTGCATCATCTAAGAGACACTCCGTCGTATCAAGTCTCACCCCTAACTGAGGTATAGCCCCTTGAGACATCGGTGCTTGTTTCCTAGCCACCCAATCATGGTGTGCGGAATCTGAGTTCAAGAGACAACAACTGAGACGACAAGAATTCCTAGCCATCGCGGAGTCGGAGCCGGCATTGCATAAATTGTGACTGGATTCTGCGCCAGTGCCCCGGCCGAGATGAATCTTAGTGATTGACTTTCTTTCGAGATGCAGTCAGACGGCGTCTGCGCGTAAAGGGCGCGCAGCAAAGAGGGTGTGAGGAAATCACGTCCCTCTCTTGTACCAAATACCTGGTCTCCATCATGTCTCTCGAACTTTGCCGACATTGCATAGGATGTTCAAACGCGAACTGAGGCGGACTCTCACTTGACTCGTAGACTCTGAATCCTAAGGTGTTATTACTAGAGGCGAAGCTGTAGAGAAGGATGGGGAAACGAAGCTCCTTCTTAATAGCCGGAAGTCGTCATGGTTGTCGCTAAGCTCTACACTGCAACACCAATGCGAGCTGCAAGAAATGCCAAGGGGCATTTGACAAGGGCCCTGGTAAACTGACATCTGCCCTTTTGAACGGGCCGTTACCGATTCATGATTCACTAGCAGCACAGGGATACTCAGAAACTAGTCATGACCTAACAAAGTCACGACTTATGTCCATGAGTGGTTCTTGCAGCATAAAAGTCTATTAAGCACATGGGTATTGTTGGTTTTCATCGTCAGGCCTTAATACTTCATGGCGAATGCGCTACCAAGAGAACAATTGATGCATGCAACATAGTGGGCCAAGACAGCATATGTAAGAGCCGCTTTTTTGCCACATCAGCTGGCATATGCAGGGCCTGAGAAAACAGAGGAGAAAAGACGACGTCTAATCGTGACAGCAAATATCAACTGCCACACAAAGCCATATTCAGCTATTTACCTCGGATGTGGATGGTGCAGCCAGTGATCCTTGCCAGGAGCCCGGGGGGTCATTCAATACCCTTCGACCATTGAGTCGTGGTACGGTGACGTCGCCAACATACTTTACCATCCTATCAGAAAGTGCGGGTGAATAGCGAGCGAGCAGAGTTTGGGAACTTAATATCTTGCAGCATTCTGACAGCAATTGGGCTTTCACGCCCAACAATGATGGTATTGTCCTCCAACGTCGTCAATATTGAACCCCCATTCACGTTGGTCTCCAATGACTGCTCTGCCGCTCTGTATTAACGCTTCTATCACTAGTAAAAAGATGTTCATCCAGACTTGTTTCACCCTCAAACGTCCACCTCTTGTATCCTATCCTATCCTTCCTCCCAGAAACCTGGGAAGAGGTATTCAATCTTCTTCATAGCCTCGGGGTCACGACCTGCAGGCTTGGTCATAAACTTGACAGCTCCCTGAGAGGCACCAGCCAAGTGCTTAGCCTGAATCAGGTCGCTGTTCTCAATCTCGGCAAGTCGATCCAGGACGCCGGCCACCAAACGCTTAGCATTTTCGTTGTTGGACTTCATGTACCTAATGACCAACTCGACGTTGACGTCCTCAAATGAGTGCCAGCAGTCGTAGTCAGTCGCCATGGCAATCACCTGGTAAGCCAGCTCAGCCTCACGGGCAAGCTTAGCTTCGGGAAGCGTCGACATGTTGATGACCGATCCACCCCACGATCTGTACATGTGCGACTCAGCGCGGGTCGAGAACTGAGGTCCCTCTAAAACGTATGTCAGATTCTGATCAGATTGCCTTCGCTGCAGCTGATATCTTACCCATCACCACAACTGTACCCTTCTCGTGCAATACAACGCCCTCGCCATCCATATGGGCTGCACAAGCCTTGACAACCTTGGCCAGGCCTGCGTCGAAAGGGTCGGCAAAACCGACGTGTCCTACCACACCACCCTCAAAGAAGGTAAACGGACGAACACCCTTTGTGCGATCGATGACCTGGTCAGGAACCACGAAGTCCATAGGCTTGATCTGCTCTTGTAGCGACCCAACAGCTGAAAATGCGATGACGGATCTAACGCCAATATGGCGTAGAGCAGCAATGTTGGCGCGGTTGGGGACCTCGTGGGGAGCGAACTGGTGGTGAACTCCATGGCGGGCTAGGAAGGCAACGTAGCTGCCCTTGTGGGAGAGAATTTGGATCGGCGACGCGGGAGGACCCCAAGGTGTAATTGGGTTCAGGGCAGCAACGGGCTCGAAGCCTTCAAGCTGGCCAAGGCCAGTACCACCAATGACGGCGATAAGAACGGGTTCTATAGGAGTAAGGAATTAATTAGCATTGGGCCGAGAATCAGGAATCATTCGGCAGGGCCGGACTTGACAAGGCGAATCTTCATACTGTCAAATGTGGTTGGCAGGTCACCCATCTTGGCGAATTGAAGCTGGATTTTATTGGAGCGAAAGTTGAAACGTTAATGATGAAGTAGATTTATCGTCGTTGCTTGGAAAGATTTATCGTGCCCGACGCTGGAAAGAAACCTCAGAACAACTAAACTACCCCGCCATGACCGAGCACGAAAGCTTGGTCATGATGGAGGGGTCGTGGACCCTTGGGAGCTCTGCTATTGGTCAGGTCATTTCGAGATACTCAGTCTTTTGGAACATGAGGTTGTCGTCGTTATTTATCTAGATGAGGGCAGTTGCTATTATCCTCGTGAGTACTGAGTAAAATGTGGGAAATATCAATAATGAGGGTTGTTGCAACAGCCGGCATCTTGGCTCTTTATTCTCTCTGTCCCAGGATAATTAACCGTGCCTCGATTGAAATATAGCCCAGCATTCCATTCCCTTGATCCGGCAAGCAGAGTTTGCAGAAACCCAAATTCCCTTGCAGTTGTTCTCGAGGTTTTCGCTCTGTATATTGATTTGACCTGTATCTCGCCATGGAGTGTTCCTGATTAAAAGGGCAGAATGGAAAGAACGTGTGTTACACGATGTCTCATGGTGGGGTTGAATTTTGTCTTCCACCAGCAGTATTCTCAAATGTTCCCAAAACTTCACCATATCAGTAAAAAGAATACCCTGGTCCTGCTACCTAATATACCATCACGAAACCATATCCGCATCGCTTCTCGCTGCACAACGTTATATCCTTTCGCAGCCGTTGGATCCTCAAACTCGCCTCAAACTTTTGCTGCTGACCAAGCCGGCCAGAATTTTCCGAGCTCCGCCATAATTTAGCCCACCACAACCTCACCAACCAAATATAATCACCACGATTCGCATCATATCAACCGTCTGTGCATGTCATAACACCAGAGGACGAAATGACGCGACTTCCAGATAAAGATAACCTGCTAGATGAGGCACAAGAAGATGGCCCCGATGAAACTATCGAGGAGCGATGCTTCTCTGCTGCCCTCGTTTGCCTCGAAGGGCACTACACTCAGTCTCCGCCCATGGGGCCGCAAACAGCAGCCAGAGTGAGCTCCATGATCACAAAAACACTAGAAAAAACGCACACTCTCCGAAAGGCTCGGTAAGTCTATGCCACGCGGTCTATCGGGTGTTCTTTACTGACCAGTCCGCAGCGAGGCAATCTCAAGAAATGTGGCAATTTGGATCTGGCTCACAAGAATTTTTGCAGCGGCCATACCCAGCCTCACCACAAGATCTGTAGGGCCTCTTTCAAGCCTCAACGACCCAGAAAAGGGCGTTACTCCTCAAGAGAGCACAGCTTTGATTGTTATGAATCATGCGTCGATAAAGGAAGACCTTGGTACTCTTATCAAGCTTATGCATATCGCGCGGAACCTTCTTGTCAACGCTGAGCCTGAGGTGCCACAAGATATCTGCGCGGCGGTGCACTTCGACCAGATGGTCTACCAGACAATCATCCTCTGTGTCAACGTTACAAGCAAAGGCTATGACGGGGAGATCCTCGATGAGACGCAGAGACTAAAACTAGGCGATGTTACTGAACTTTGTAGGTGCCCTGGCCACATTGATACATACCGCAACGTTCTAACTGATGTGATCTAGACAAAAAGTTGCTTGTGACATCTCTACAGCAGGCTCATAACTGGACAGCCAAACATGACCGAAATAAAATGTCGTTCTGGTTCGATGTTCTATTTGACGATGACGGGGCACTCACGGGCGCTGAAGAAAACCTGGGCGATGGCTCAGGTTTCCGGCCACAGGTAGCCAAGAGACAGGTTCAACATTGGCTGGACCGAAATTCTAGGTTATGCGACACCGCAAGGAATCTTCTTAAGGATTACGCCCAGAACAGAGCTGATAAACCGCCAGGAAATCTAGCGCCGATCCGACCACTGGCCTGGAACTGGCTCCCAGATGGTTCAGTGGATGTCCCTGGAGATGTGGCTAATATTGAGGATAAGATCAACCCTGTGTGGAAGCCGGATGAAAAGGACAAATTCGAACAGGATCGCGCTTACGGTCGCGTGTCAAGAGAGGTCGATACCTGGTGGCTGAACGCTCGCGACCCGAACTATGAGGATTGGTTCGTCATGATGCCTTCCGTGGAGTTTGCTCAGAGTCGCCTCGAGCATTGTCGTAGCAACCTTGTTCATCGGTACGCTCACTCTTGTGGGACAGATCATTCCCCGCCTCCAGGAGTTGTCGAGGAGGAGGAGCTCTCGGACCACGAGCATTGCCACCACTGCGAGCACGACGAACATGACCATGACCATGACCATAACCATGGCGAACATCATCACGAATGCAATCATGACCACGACCATAACCACGACCATAACCACGACCATGACCATGAAGACGACCATGAATGCGAATGTGAATGTGATCACGAACACAATCATGAGCACGATCACGATCACGATCACGATCACGATCACGACCATCATCACCACCACCATCACCATCATGATCACGAGTATGCCCATGACTATGTTGAGGATATAATGGACGATGAAGACGCAGACGATGACGAATCTTATGGAGAGGGTCCATTGACCGGCCTGCTAACTGAAGTGCCAAACATTCTGGATCCCAAGCAGATTGAGGCTCTACACATGATAGTCAAGTCGTGCATATTGGACAATGCCGGCTCAGGACTAACCAGAGCGGGCGAGAACCTCCAAAAGACGCGATGCCGGATGTTCCTGGCCCTCGACTGCGGAAAGAGCCTACTGCGGGAGATGCTGGTCTTCATTGCTGTCTGGGAGAAGGATGAGCAATCACTCATCTTTCAGGTGACGACTCAAATTGTGGAAGCCCTTCATCACAGCGCTTTGATCCCCTACGCATGGAACTCATTGCGCATCCCGAAGGATATTATTTCACCAGCACAAACTGTTCTACTACGACTTGTCAACCACATGTTCAGAGCCCGAGTTAACAACTCGTCTTCTCAGGAAACTAAGGACAACGCCCGGGATATCAAGCTTGTGCACTTCTTCTTGAGTTTCTTCCGAAGCCGCATCGTCCCAGAGTGCGCTGCTTTAATGCATCTCCAAGCTCAAATTCGAGAAGAGAACTGCGATCCCTCTGAATTTCCAGTCGACAGTTGGGATATGGAACGCGCCAAGGATGGCCTAGCTCAGTACCTCGATTTTCTCACAACTGTTGCTGAGATGATGGATACTCGGGCGAAGCTCATCGAGTGGGAAGCTGTCTACGACCTTATCACTATCTTGAGTGGACTAGAGGCCGGTGTCCCAAAGAAACCTCTGATTGAGCTTCCTAAGCGATCGCCTCATAGCGAAAACAGCGGTAGCCCCATGGTCGAGCGCCCATACGCAGCTGGAGACGATGGCCTCCCACCGTCACCACCACCTCCTCCTATGCAGGAACCTGCGCATAAATTTCCCTGGTCTGGAGTCAAAGGGCAGATCTTCACCATTGTGGCCACTTTGTTACAGCCACCACCTGGTCAGAGCAGTCCGGGCAACCCTGATGTGCAGATGCAAATGGTTAAGTACAACGGAATCGTGCCCCTGCTCAACTGCTGCGCTTACGACGACCACAACCCCTTTGCTAAAGAACGAGTCACAATTTGTCTCAAGTGGCTGCTAGATGGCTGCGAGGCTGCTAACAACTTCTTCCGGGAGCTCGTTAATCTTTCACCGCCGCCAAATCTGCGGCCTGTGCCAGGTGGTACGACTGTCTCGACAATCAGAGTCGATGGTATTCAGGGTGAAGTGAAGGTACAGGTCCGATCGGGCATATCTGCACCAGGAGAGCAGGTAGCGAACGACATTGTGGAGGGTACTGGACGACTTGATCTCAACAAACCCAGTGGGCGAGGCAACATTGAGGATGATTTTATGGCATAGACGGCAGAGCAAATATGAAGAATGATACAGGGAAGGAATTTGGAGTTGTAGAAGACAAACGGTGTATTGAGTAAGCATTGCAGCAAGGATTGGTGATAGTTTGGCATCTGACATAGATCTCATCAGACATGTCATCCGTCAGTTTGAGGAGCATCAGTCACCTTGTTGAGTTTCTGGATATTGCATTCGGCTGGAGTTAAGACGAGTTGTTCCATTAGAGTTGCAAGTGTATGAAACATTGAGCAGTTAAGAAACCACATCACCTGTATGTATCTAGTGGCGAATTACTAGCACACTGCTTTATCGACTCAGTTGCTGTTCTGCAAGCATCCGAACCATCACTTGGATACTGAGGCAAAGAACTGCCTACAATGGTGCGGAGAGAAAACCTTGGGAACACCCTGGCGGACGATCAACAAAAGCAGGCTCCAGTCCCTTCGTTCAAAAGTCTCGGACAGCCGGTGGCACAAAGCACAAATATGGCTTGTTACTTTCGACCACCATTCTACCAGCCATCTTTCGATACTCCCGATCAAAGCGTTGAGCCACTCGTTCCCCGCCAGCCGATATCTACGTTGAGCTAAGATAAGGACAGCCAGATTCAGATACCGACTTTGTGATAGCTGCGCCTCCAAATCTAGATGAAGCATTTCGAGAATCGCTCGTTCCCAAAAGATGAAAGCAACATTTCACAGTCTCAGCAGAATCCACCAGCCCTTGACAAAGCAAACGATTCTCAGCCATTGCCACAGAAGAGGAAGAAAGCTGTACAGCCAGTCAATGCCTTCAGGGTCTCCAAGTTGTGGCCAGGGAATGCTATTATGAAGGATGATGGTAAATAGCCTCACAGTATGGATACCATGCAATAAGGGAATTCCCCAGATACACATATATTTTTACCTGTCAAAGTACATGATGCTACTGGTCGAAATCCTTTGGTCCAACTACTAAATTGTCACTCCAGTTCCTAACGAGGAACTTCTTACTTGGCATATAGGTACTGGTTCTACAATAGCTGGTCTTGTAACGGGACTGCGAACCAAGTGTCTCTTTTTTCGTCTGTTGCAGAGTAGAAATATTGCCAACAACTGCGTTAGTGGTTCGGTAATAAGAACAAAGCCTTCTTACTACGTATGTAGCAGCTCCACTGATCATGGTCAACCTCCCATGAAACAACCGGTGGGTTCTTGCATGAGACTTTTGTTGGCTCTTTACCGCATCCGGTATTGACAGGAAACGGCCGACGCGGTTTATCCATTCCTTTCTTGGCTACTTGGGGGCATTTGCGTAATACAGTATCCGTATAGTTACGATATTTGTATGTGATTGGGGTTTTATTCGGTTGAACCCTTGGCTCGATCTTGGGGACGGACAAGGAGGGTTGAAGATCGAGAGCATGGGTTGTCGGTTGCTGGTTGCGAATGAAGACCAATAGCAAATGCCGAGCGCAACAAGAGAAGGGAAGAAAAAGGAAGAAATCCTATTGGGCCAAAGGGTGATTGTATTATATGATCTGACCCAAAGGTGTCAGATCATTCAACTTGGTACGCGGCACTGAGCTGAGCTCGACAATCCGCCCATCCATCCTCAACCATCGTGTACCATATCGGTCCGACCTCGTAGCTACGTAGTAAGTTACACCATGTCCTCGAATTCAGGACATGTAATATCAAAAGCAGGTAAACAAAGATATACTCCACAAGCGCCTGGCAAAGCATGCATATGCCTGAAAGTGGTGTCTATTCCCAACCCATGCTGCTGTACTTTCCAAGCCCGAGCTTGACTTCCAGCTGAGCACAATCTCAAAATCTAAAAATCCACAAAGTCTTGCATGGGGAGCGTAAATCATCAAAATATGACAGACCAGAAAACACCAGAAAACATGATACGTTAAAAGGAAGGGACAACGCTAAACCATTTGTTCTAATAAATATGACCCCAACACCTGGAAGTGCTTGCGACGTAAATGAGCCAGCTGTAAACCGTTTTTGATGAGGAAAAAGAATATGCGGATGCAGAGGGTATCGTAAATGTTCGTAAATGCCTTGAAGCAGTCAAGTGAGATACCGGAGGATAGTGGATGTTCCGAAACCTGACAGGAAGTGGTGCAGAAAGACCTAGGGTCGAAATTCGTGTGCTTATGTGAATGTGATGTGAATGTCGTAAATCGAGGGTGATTTGACACATAGGTATGTATCGTCGATCTGTTTTCGTGATTTGTCGTCGAATATCGCAATGTCGTGGATAGCATATTCTCTTTAATCCATCTCACACAAGAAGCCGATGCAGTAACGGCTACCGGTGTTATCAACAGGCACAGGGATGATGGTGAGAAGGTTGTTGAAGGCTTGGCCGAACTTCTTGTAGTTGGTGACAGGAGTCTGAATCTCCTTTCCGGCAAGGAGAGCCTGATGCATGCGGTGCGATGCGACCTTGTCAGAACCCTTCCTGTTGGGGTGGCGTTCTTGTCCGGGAGGTGACTGGAGGAAGCGGCAGTTTCGGCCTAGAGATTCACGAGCAGAGTATCCAGTAAGGTCGGAGAATGATTCAGAAACGTAGATGACGGGAGCGTCAGTGCGGCCCATATCACAGACAACCATAGCGACAGAGCAATCGACGGGGCCAAGAACAACTTGAGGGTTTGGTCGACCCATGACACGGAACTGCGTGGGGTTAGCGACTGAGAGGTCACGGTAATGTTGTGTAAGTAATCTCACCAAAATGGACATGATGTCAATGCCGCTGGGAGCATAGAGACCAGGATAGATGACGGGATCTTGAACCTGACGCCATGTGCCTGCAGGGTTCACAGTGCCATCGACGTTGTAAGAGCCCTCTTGGGGGAATTCGTACTATGGAAGTTAGTATGTGTTTCTTATGGTCATGGGAGGAAATTGTGATATGTGATGACAACTTACGTTTAGAGCATCGACCTCCCAAGGATTCATGACTGGGATTGCCTTTGACGCCATGGACGAGCAGTGAGGAGAGGGCGTGCGGGAGGGGGAGAAGCCCAAGGACAGTGGTGAGGAGATGGTGCGAATTGAGGCTGTCATGTTGAAGAGAAGGAAGCGTGCGGTGATGATATATAGAGAGAGAAAGAGATAGGGCCAGGCCTGTAGGACCAAGCAGGTGTGTAAACGTGGTCGACAAGGTATAGACGTATGACGGAGCAAGTAAGCCGAGAGTTGCAGTTGCGGTTGCAGTTGCAGTTGCAAGATGTTGGCCGATGGCTGTTATTGTTGTCGTTGGAGTCGCAAGGTATCAATCGAAGAGGGTCGTATTGAATTCGGCAAAGGCGTTATTATGGCAGTGGAGGATTGACGAGTCGTCTGGGTAGATAAGGCGAGGCAATGCAAGCGAACTGGTTGAAGGAACTGTTGGTAGTTATCCTAGGACCCTAAAGCCCAAGCTTCAAAGTCCAAAGCCTAGGCCCCAGGACAGAGCGGAGCCTAGAGCCAGCGCCGGAGCCTTGAAGCCTTTCAGATGCAGCGCAAATCGCGATTCGTGATTCGTGATGGACCCTGAGACGGGTGATGCTGGGTGTGTCGTTAGAAGGTTGTCATGATGATGCTATATGCGGTCGCCTGTAAAGTTAGATGGTGTAGATCTTTGCGGGTGATTGTTTTGTTTCCCAGGATAGGAAGGCTGAATGTTGATTGTGAAGAGTTTAATACGGTGATTGCTTTACTTAACTGATTCTCCTCGTTGCGCTTCGAAGCTTGTGATACCGTTCCTCATGTTTGCTTAGAGGTGCTTATGGTGGTCAAATCGAGGGGTGTGTCTGCAGTATCGCCAGAACGATGGCAGGGGTAAGAAAGTTCAAGTGGGCGATGGTTGGTTGTAAACCTTCGATGCTCATGGTCCCCGAACAGTTGGAGAGATCGCAGGGCAGCGTCTCCAGACAAGCAGATCGAAATTCTCCACTTTGAGTCACGAATCGGGGCATCTTATTGGTCTGATGTGAACAACACGTCCTCCTCAGATCGTCGGATATTCTGAGCCGTCACTCTGGATCGGCGCAATCGTTTTGTTTTGTCGCTGTCAAAGTCATTCAATCGGCAGTTTTTTGTTCTCAGCTTCAAATGACAATATGTTGATATTTGATCCTTAGATAAAATAATAACTACTGAAGTGCAGTTGCTGTTTCTTCTTGGCTCTGAATTGCATCGTCTGTACGGAGTAAAGAAACAGCCCATGATCCAATACTTCCTACGTAGGTACACTGTTGTGCTGATGCATCACGATCCTATTCATCTCATCGACGATGTTATTTCCGATGTGGTTGGTTTCCTCATCCGCAGCATCTCTTCAAAAGAATCTAGACCTTCTCGCTAAGAGAAAAACACATATTGCATGTTACCAACTTACAATGCATCACGATTGCTCAAGTCAATTACATGATTGATGATGGCTTGTGCCTTGTGGTTGATGTTGAGGCGCGATGTGACCCAGAGCTCCCGATCTTGGTGGTCTCCATCGAAATGGATATCGAGAAAACGGCTGATGGGGGGGAAATGGAAAATGGAAAATGGACAGAATGGGATTTCCCGCTTCCGTTTTTCTGATACCAGGATCTCACTGGTTTATTATTAGTCTCCCTCTGTTCCTGAGTCTAGACTCTAGACTCATGGACAAACGGCACCTTGGTACGGAGTACTACGTAAGTAATGCGCAATGCGCTGAGAACGCCAGCCGAACCCGTCAATTGCCTGTGATACAAGCATGCTCTTCTTATTTCGCATATGTCTCTTGTTGTCCATCACTACCGCGCCACATCGTTGTTGCGTAGGTAGGTGGTAATAAAGTTGAAAATGCATAATTGTCCCAGTAACTCCAACCATAATATCAATGACGACTTCTGTAAAGGAGGGACCCTGATTAACGTCGATTTCACCAAATCCTGAGATCGGCACACACTTGGTTGCTTAGACCCCTGCCAGCTTCCGATTCGTTTAAATTATGTCATTATTTCGTCTTTGTCATGCCACATCGAGATGTATGGTCTTTTCCGGGGAAACTAATAGCCGTTGAATATTTCCGGATATCTGCCATCGAGAAGTAGAAGGCTCGCAGTTTGTTGTAGGGTAGGAAAGCGTCTTGGATATGCCCCACTTCCCCAATTGTTCGTGTCTAATCACTTTACGCGTGTTGTGTCGCGTCACAGATAAAGAAAGAACCACTCCACTCCACCCATTACACTATTCTTCCAGCATCAACATAACCACTTTGCCATGTCTCGAAGAACCCTCAATCGCCCAGGTGCTTCCTCGAACTCTGCCATAGCATTACCCGAGTACGAGCCGCCAGTATGTTCTCTCACAGATGCTGCCCGCCGCAGTCTGAACGACCTTTCAAACACCCGCCCAACTGCCGTCTACCAACAACAAATCAACGAGTCAATCCGACTTCTCGGCTTCAGCGTCAGCGATATACATGAGCGCTTGCGGACGCAACGTGAAGCCCTCGCGGCCCAGAAGGCAAGGAGAGAAGAGAAAGGGGCCGAGAAATCCGAAGAAGAACAGCGTCTTGAAGATCATCTTGTCGAATTCGAGGAGCGCGTCAAGATCCTGACCGAGTCGTCCGAGAAAGCGGTTCGCGATTTGATCGATCGAAGGGCAGAGTTGGAAGACGAAGATGGCATATTGCGGGGCGTGTTCGAGGCGGCTTCCGCGGAGGCTCAGGAACAAAGACAAAAGGCAGAGGCGCAAGAAGACAGAGAGGAAGAAGACAGAGAAGAGCTCGCGGCGTCCAGTGTCATCAAACACCACAAGGATCTGCACGCCAAGCAGGAGTCGGACTATAAGAGCATGTCCGCCCTTCAGCGGTACGCACGTAACAACGACTACGCTGGTTTCAAGAAGCTCTGGCACGATGCCATGGCCGGCGAGGAAGGTCCTCCGCTACCAGATGCATCGCGATGGTTTACCCAGGATGGTGAACCTGTTATGTCTGGAACTGCACCAGCAACCGGTGCCGGCGACGATGATGACGACGATGATATTGCTGTCGCCCGCGAGGTCATTAGTATCAACTGTCCTCTGACACTACAACCCTTGAAAGTTCCCTTCACCAACCGGAACTGTAAACACACCTTTGAGAAGTCCGCTCTGCTCGAGTATCTACCCATGCGAGGAGAATCACAGTGTCCACAGGCAGGCTGCTCACAGGTTCGTTCACCTCCGAACCACTGTTGGAAAACAACTAACAAAAGCTGCAGAGTTTCTCCCGTGCACGATTTGACCAAGATTTCTTCCACGATCAAGCTATGGTGCGCCGCATTAAGCGTGTCCGCCAGGCACAGGAGCAACAAGAGATGGACGAGGACGACGATGAGGCCGATGGTGATGACGATGTAAGGGTTAGAGGCCAGAAAGTCGTCCCCGGGAGAGCGCTTAAGAGGGAAAGAAGGGAATCATGATTGCCTATCATGCAGCATTGGATGACAGGAGCGTAGATAGACATTGTTCTTAGGGGACGAAGAGCCTGTACAATAGGTACGAAGCGACGATAAAAATGATACCCCACCATAGCTCAGTCCTGAATGAACGGGCATGGTAGCGAATTCCACTAAATTGGCTATACTACTCGCAATTCTTTATGTCAACGGCCTGAATGCTAGCCGTGATTTGAGCAATGCACTGCAACAGGAAGTGATAACGGAATACAGTCGATAACGAATATAATTCGGTCTATAAGATATTTACAATGTAGGGTATCTCAAGCGGTTCATTACTTTCCTGCGTTGGTTGACCGACTCAACATGCCCAGATAACATATAACCATGCAATGCTTTTCCTGACGAAACCAATAACTTGTACCCAACACCCCAAAACTGACAATAACTCCATAATTCTTTAATAACCAACGCCGCACTCTTGTGCGATCAATGCGATTTGTTCATCATGATGAAGAAATTTATACGACGGCCTGAAGAGCCATTATGCCAGCAATGGCAACCACTAAGCCTGGGTTGGGTGGATTCCATGCTGCACCGTCAGGTGTCTCGGTTGCTGTGTAGATGCCAGTCATATCTGATGTAGTGCTAGGGTCTGCCGTGGATGTTGTTGGTTCCTCAGTTTTCTCGGCCATCAACGGCCAGTCTTCCTTTGAGGGATATAGTATGCCGTTGACAACAACACCTTTACCATCTATGACTAGCTTCCTAGCATCGTCGTCGCAGGATGCTGCAAAGTTGCGTACGTAGCACGTGGGATCAAGTTGGTCCGGTAGAGTATCGGTATGTGTAGCATTGGCATCACCCGTAGTATTGTAGGTAGTGATATCAATATCCTTGCCAGTAGAGACAGAAGTGCCCAAGATGACGCGAGCAAATATCTGGAAGGCTGTCTCTGGCTGGTAAGCAGGCACGGCATGGCCGGCTTGGTAGACACGACTGAAGGAAAGATTGCCAAATTGGCGGACGACACCACCGATGTATGAATCATTGACGATGATGGGCGCATATCCGGCTTCAGGGAAACGGCTGGTATACTCACCACCCGCTTCCGTAGCAAGGTTTTGAGAAACAGCCTCTCCTCCAAGCCAATTGCATATGTAGTCACGATCTCCGTAGATAAGAGCAATGCGTACTCCTTGGTTGAGAAGAGCGGCCAGGCGTTGTATGTTTCCGCCACGTGCCTGGTCACCTGTATCCTGAAACTCGACACTAACTTTGGAATTGGACATAGTGTAGTTGATAGGGGTACCAATAGCATCGCGCACGTCGTCTTGGTTGAGGTACTCCAAGAACGTCATGGGTGGGAAAGGGTCGGCCAAGGGAGCAGCAAGGTCGTAGACACCACGACCTGCGCTTGTGTAGGCGTTTTCGATCTCGAGACAGTTACTGAGAGCCTCAGAACAGACATCGTTGACTGCTTCATCATCCCCCTCACCTTCGGGATCTCCCAAAGAAGCGTCAGCAGCGCACTTGCCCAGAAGCTCGCGACAACCTCCCTCAGCAGAGTATTTATCCAGATAGAACTTAGCATCGCTGGAGGACATGGCATCATAGCCATATGTGTTTTTGTTGGCAAACATAGGATAGTAAGGTACTTGGGTTTCCATGTCGACACACCCGTTGATAATACCCAGAGAGCTCAGATGAACATCAATGGTTGAGTTACGTGGTATTTCACCACTCTCGCGGCGAGCGTTCTGCTCCACAAAGGTTTCCGCAAAGACAGGGCCATAGCGACCACCATAGCTTTCGGCAAAAAGATTGATGTCAATTGAGTCATTGCGGGAAGGGGATGAGGGCTGATACTGAGGAAAGGTGGTCAAGAAGCCCTGGACCATGTGCCAAACAGCCATGGCAGCCGTCTCAGTGGTGTTGGCAGTAAAATTTCCATTGTTGGAACTGAATGTGCCATTGCGTAAAGCCCAGTCCGGATAGTCAGGGTCGGCACGGGTAGGCAGGACTTCGTTGGAAATAAGGTCGTATGTACTGTTAGTAGGCGTGTCGTATGAAAAGCCGACTTGGTTGGGCTAAGAGCACATGTGAGTTGAGTTGTCGTGGACATGATAATAAGCCGAGGGTCACATACCTGGTCGATGAAGAGCATGTTAGAGGCTCGATCCCATCCCCATTCACGCACAAGCGTCTCATATTCGTTCAGTCCCTTTTCGACAACTTCACAAGGGCCATTGCCGGTGAAAAATCCATAGAGTGAACTGGATCCTGGTCCTCCATTGAGCCAGATGGTGAGGCTGTCGGTTTGCTCACGAGCCTCGACGAACCAGAAGAACAAATTGGTCGGATAATCGCCAGGAACTGATACCCAGCCTGTGTATTGCTTTTGAGAATTAAATGCTGTGGAACACACGTTGTCAGGCGTTTTATAAGAGACAGTCACATCCGGGTTTGCAGGTGAGTGGACAACTGTGAGGTTACGCGCCTTTGCATTAGAGCCAGGAATGAATTGCGAGGAGGACAGAGAGATGAAGGGGAAAACAACAAGAAATTGTTTATAAAGAAATGAAGAAAAGAGGCGAGAAGCCGCCATAATGGGGGAAGAAGTGAGTTAAGGCTTGGCCGTAATCAAAGAGTCTTTCAATATTGGTGAGAGGGTATCGTAGGAGTCGTCGTCATCCAGCAAATAAGTAAACCCATCGCAAGACAACAACGATAAAGGGCGAGACAGGCACGCACAAAGTGAGCGATTGAGACTAGGCAGGTAGACAAGAACTGCCGAAACAAAACAAACAGATATAAAATAAACGACGGTTGATAATAAACGCTAGAAAGAAAAACAAGAGAAGATATGTCCTTGAAACTTTTGTCAACGATTAGGTACGCATCATGAGATTGACCTCTAATTTGATGTAGCTAGGAGAAAGAGGAAATGGGTTGGAAGGTAGGTCCTGTCGGGTGGATCTTGAACCGTTACAGCCACCGACCCCCTCGTTCCTGCCGCCCGGGGCATGGGCTTGCATCGCCCCCAGGGCTGATTTTTAGACGTTTGGGCCTCTGGGGGCGGTTCAAGCCCTGTCGATTAGCGGGGTCGGGCGCCTTTGAGCACTAAACTAAACCTCAGCTTAGCGGGGTGCTATGGAAATGATGACGGGACCTACCTACCTGTAACCTACCTACCGGTTAGTAGGTTGATGTGATATAGGTACTACACGATGATGTCCAGTTGAATCATTGTTGTCTCTATCTGGAAGAACTTCAATGGCTCACTCTGTTCGAAGTTTCGACTTCTTTGCGCGCATATGTGTGAAACACGGATTCTGTTGCGCCAAGGATTGTATACCTGGTTGGCTATCCGTACAGCTCCTTAGCTCTGGGTTCCTAATGTCAATACCGGGAGCTGCATCAGCCGCAGTTTGATGTGACTAGTTATGACAGAAGGGAAATGATGTCTCTGAGTTGGCAACCAATAGCTTATTCTCAGCTATGCCTCAACTGACTTCCATTCCACAAGAGGTAAGCTGAGCGACGCTGGTAGTAACAAGGTGGAAAGATACAATGGGACAGGGATGGCGCTCCTCTCTTATGTGTTTTGTTACAGTCAACTCGTACGTAGTAAATCCATAGCTGTCAAGTTTCTTGAAAATCCAATACCAACACACAGACATATCTTCCAACTCACTATCAGGCTAAAATGCCGATTAACTTCATGCCATATTGTTACACTAGACTACAATTGAGTTTTACGCTGCCTCTACTTTTGTATAACCGTATAGCCACATAAATCATTCATATATCGAACAAACCCACTAGGACTCGGATTTTCGTACTGCGAAGAAGTAGTTTCCAACCTTCTCGCTGCCATCAACCTGCTTCCAGCCCAGTCCAGGGACATATATAACACCCTGCACCATGGGATGACTCCAGCCTCGACCTGCAAGGAAAGTCCGTAGCTCTTCCTCATTAAGATACTTGTTCCAGTCGTGCGTTCCCTTGGGAACAATACCCAGAACATCCTCGGCCATAAAGTTGGTGGTGAACCAACTCATCCAAGTCCGCGCAATCGTGCTCATAACAAGCCACCCACCGGGCTTAACAAATGGGTGCACCCTTTCCAGGAATGCGCCTGGAGCATCAATATGCTCAATAACCTCAAACAGCGAGACCACATCGTAAGCCTCTTGCGGTGTCTTAGGAATGGGCAGGTTCTCGATGGACGTCTGACGGTACTCGAGCTTCGAGCGAAGACCAGGGTCTTTCCGGGCATGCGCGCGTGCTATGGCGAGCACTTCGGGGGTCGGATCGATAGCTGTGACATGGCGTGTAGTCGGTAGACGAGCAGCACTTTCAGCAAAGATACCACCGCCGCAGCCAATATCAAGGTATGTGAGATCTCGAGTGGGAAAATCAGGGTCGGTGCGATGACAAGCACGGATAAAGTCGTGACGTAAAGGGTTCATGAGGTGAAGCAGTCTGGAGGAGCCGTGAGGATCCCACCAGTCGGCGGCGAGGGCATTGAAGTGTGAGACCTCATCGGGGTTGACAGAGGAGAAGTTTTGTGACGAGTTGTTGGACGAGGAAGCTGTAGAGTGCCATCGAGGAGTAGGTGATTGCGCGACAGAGGTTGTGGTGATGCGGCTCGCCAGCAATGGGAAGGTCGATGGCCGCTGACTTGATCGGACGAGGTTGCGGAAGAGGGCACCCGCCGGCCGGGACGGAGCCGGCATAGTCGAGACTTCGGATGGAGGTGAGGGAGGTTGCGGTTGGTTGGTGTAGGTGATGAAATGGGTAAAGTGTGGATGATGCGATGATCACTGGACAGATGACAAAGCTGTACGGATAAGCCAAGAAAGATAAGATGGACCCTGAAAGACGCTCGAATGAATTATGACAAGGGTATTCAGGTTCGATTCAGAGAAAACCCTCGAACAGCTCCGCCATCGGTTCCACTACTATACTGTCGTGATCTAGAATTTGCTGTCTCGTTCTGAGATCCGCTGACTGATGCTTCGCAATTCCTTAGTCGAACTTCGTCTTAATCAAGCTTACATAATCAACAAACCACTCTCAACCAATCCTGGCCGAGCGACCAGTAGCCGAATTGCCCGATTAAGTAAAGACCCTTCTTGCTCACCAATGCCATCTGACATGTGAGTTCAAGGCCGATGCAACGCGGCAGCAGAACCAATGATTCCGAGGGTAAACTTACTCGGTACTTGGAGCACTCTGGCACTATTGCATGGACCATGCATGACTTACTTGGACCGGATACACCGGCATAACTTGTAGTAGAGCGGGAAATTCACCGCGCGGTTGTGATAAAGACCGGGGAGCGGAGCGCGGGGCTTGACTTGGAAAAAGGTCTATCTGAATCATGCGATGCGAGAATTGAACGCCATATCCGACCATATTTGATAGATCCGATGCCTTCCTCATTTTGATAATCGCTCCTCTAATTAATTGCTTACTGTTTCATACTTGGTGCTTAACAATCACCGGATCGGCTCCAATCCATTGAGTATCAAGTCCCCAGAAAAAAAAAGAGTTCCCCTCCTTCTTCATCCCCCGCTGCCGCTGCCGCTTCCGTCTCCGCCTCCGAAACCCGCTCTCCTCGTGCGTCCCGTTCGCGACCGTCGCATACGCACAGTCACAAGCCGAGGTCGAAGAGCCAAGCCTTTCCGCAAGAAAGCCAATTGCTACTGCTACTGTGCATTTCCATACCTCGCGCTGCTCAAGTCCTCCTCTATCATTCGACATTTTACATCCAATATGCCTGCCACAATCCCCCAGAACAAGTTTGACTCAATCCCTGAGTCGATCGAGGCTTTCCGTAAGCGGCTTTCACTTCGGTATTCTGTGTTACTCATGCTAATGACTTGCGACAGGCAATGGCGAGTTCCTCGTCGTTCTCGACGACCCTTCGCGCGAAAACGAAGCCGATCTGATTATCGCCGCTGAAGATGTGACAACTGAGAAGATGGGCTTCCTCATCCACCATTCCTCTGGTTATGTCTGCGCTCCTCTCTCTCCCGAACTCACCACCTCCCTCGATCTCCCCCAGATGGTTCCTAACAACCAGGACCTTCGAGGCACCGCCTACACCATCTCTGTCGACTCGGCCGACCCCTCTGTCTCGACCGGAATCAGCGCTCGTGACCGCGCTCTCGCCTGCCGAACCCTTGCCGACCCCAACGCCCGTCCCGATAGCTTCCGTCGCCCCGGCCACGTCCTCCCACTGAAGTCTCGCCCCGGTGGCGTTCGACAGCGACCAGGCCACACCGAGGCTGCTATTGAGTTCTGCCGACTTGCTGGCAAGGCCCAGGCTGCGGCGATTTGCGAGATTGTCGACGATGGCGAGGAAACTCCCGGCCAAGCCCTCCGTCACAACCATGGCATGCTGAGAGGCGAGGACTGCATCACCTTCGCCCGAAAGTGGGGATTGAAGGTCTGCACTATTGCTGATCTTGTTGCCTATGTTGAGAAGACCGAGGGGAAGCTTGAGGCTAACGGTGCTGAGTCCAACGGCAGCTAAATGAATATCTACATCGGGCTCATGGGTGGATCTGACGGGAATTTGGCGGGCGAGTGGGAGGTTATTCCACTTGATTTATGTACACACGCACATGGCTGGCTGATGGTTGACGAAATGCTATGGTAGTTACTTCGTGTTTCTTGCATCTGTTTCTGGATTCCTGGGGGTATTTGGCATAGACTGGGTTTCAAATGGCGCTCGAAAAGTGGTGGTTGAAAAGAAAAAGAAAAGATAGCATCCCGCTCCTCCACTCTTGTATCTGAATTTGTCTGGCGTGGTTGTTGTGTGTGAGCTGGCGCTTGCAAAGGTACTGACCATACCTCTCAATCTGAGTTATTTCTATGTTGTTCGGTATGAGACTCTTCAAGAGCAACTCATACTCACAGTTTCATGATCATTGGATTCTGTGTCACCCCATCAATCCTTGAATCAGTGCAACAACCACAGAAAGCCTCGCTTTCAACCTCCCTGCTACACTATGCACAAAGCCACATCGACACCTGATGCAAAAATGATAGGACCATGATGTGTAGATATACAGGAAACAAAGTATCTCCTGTCTACAGGCTGTTGTCGTTTCAACAGTGTATGGTGTTTCTGACGATGTTTGTTATAACGAAACATCACTGGTATATCAATCTCTACACTGGATCCAGTAACCCAAACCACAAGCAAAGGTTTAGAGGCAAAGGGGACCGCATAAACGAAACTATAAATTCATATGCAGAAATAGCAACGCAACGCCAGACCATGTACCTGCTGTATCACCTAAAAGCTCAATATGCATCCAGTACACATCTACTTCCTCAGACGAGTAGACCGCCTTCTTCCAAGGTCTGCCTGTGGTTCCTCTACATCGGGCTCCTTCTTTATGTCATCCCCATTTGTCTCTTTTTTGACATTCTTTGCTTGCTTCTTCTTCTTTGGAGGCGGGATGCTCTCATCGTCCGTGTCCGACGACTTCTTTCTTGACTTTTTCGGAGCCTTTGCGTCAGTCTTGGCTTCGAGGGGCTCCTCCTTGATACCAGGAGCTGTATGCCCAGTTTTCTTCTGCACAGCAGGTGCATAGCAGCTCGTTCGTCCTCCAACTGTGATGAAGGCCAGCTTGTCTCCGTTGGGCAACTTGGTGGCTGCATCCTTGGCACCCTTGCCCCATCTGTAGTTGAAGAGCCAATGCTTAGGAAACTCGTCTGAATCTCCCAACTTGTCGACTGCCGTTTGGCAGACGTAGCGAATCATGTTATAAAGAGTGGTGATCTGCTCATCGCTGAATTGGTCGCAGTACTGTTCAGGATGTAGCTTGGCCTGGTACAGTGTCTCATCCGCCACCCAGTTACCGATGCCGCTTATCGTGGTTTGATCCAGCAAAAGCCCCTTGATAGGGACATGGCGGGCTCGCATCTTGCTATGCAAGTACTCTTCTGTGAAACGATCAAGGTCAACTACTGGATCAGGGCCATTCTCTACTAGAGGCGAATGTTTTCTTATCTGATCTCCAGGACAGTCGACAAGTCGTACGCGACCGAACCTGCGCGAATCTGTAAATGCCACTTCAACGCCCGGAGAACCTTCAGTCTTGAACTGGAACTTCCAGAATCTTGGCGGCCATTGTTCATGTTCACCCTCCTTCATCTTTTTGTAGTAGTTGGTATATGCTGTCTGTTCGTCCTTGATATGCATCCAGCCTAGGTGTGTGAGTATGTACTTATCAACTTCGTGTTCCATGGTTCGTTACCTGTCATTCCAAAGTGCATAACCAGATGTGGGGGCTTTTCGAGTGTGATCCTTTGGTTGACAAGTCAGTGTCAATGTAGGGTAGTTTTTGCAACAAACTCACCAGAAATATTTCCCTTGACTTCCAGCAGACATGATCTTCAATTCATTAATATTTCGAATGGTGTAAATAAGGAATATTCGCTTACTTTCTTCCCTTTCAAAGCAGCTTCCACCTCTTCGCCGCTTGTCCCAACCTTCCCGAACACATTCTTATCGTCTATTGCGGAAGTCGAGATAATGCGTTTCCCCACAACATGAAGACGAAGGAAGTGGACAATGCGTGCAACTGTTTTGAAAGAGATATCTTAGTAATTGATTTCCAATTTCACAAAATTGGAAGCACAGAACAGACCTTCTGCAATCTCAGGCATCGTGTAATATTGTTTAGTATCGGTCTATTGTGTCTACGAGCAAAAGGAGCATTGCGTCAGAGATTGGATCCAGGCACAAACACAATCTCGGTTGGCACTAACGGCTTGATCATTCGTCGCAGAAGCGACGCAGAAGACTACATGCAAACGCGATATCACGTGATGTCATTGAATCCATGCTTCGGATTTAGGCGCATATCGGGGCACAGATCCCCTTTAACTTGTAGCTTATTTATAGTAATGAGTATTCATAATATATGTGGATGGTAAAACTAAAAAAAAAGACGAACAAAAAGTATGGCGAAGTTCTAAGGGATGCACAGAAAAGATAATAACGATCTAGGTTTAACGAATTGGTACGAAAAGGCTATAGCTCATCGTAGTCACCCTGTCAATACTTAGACGTCACTAAAACAATACAGGTAGCTTTCTTTTGGCGGTATTACTCTGGGCGCGACCGTAAGAAATAGCGTTGGCAATACTGGTGACTGAGCCGGTAGCTGTTGTAGTCACAGTATTTCTTCCCGTCTCCGCCTCAAAGTTAGTCTTCGCCTTCATTTCAGAGACGGTCAAAGGCTCTTACTCTGCAGTTGTTTTAAGACCTGTCTCCGTTTCGTTCATGGCCCAACAGTGAGTTCCTCGGTGGTTGAAATATCTTCGGCTTTTGTCTCTGGTTACTGAGACTCCAACCCTCAACTGTGAAATGTGAGCAAGGGAACAGTTCGAACGCACAAACCATACACACCCTCGTCCCCTCGTCCCCTCGTCCCCTAGCGATACCACATATTAAGCATCTGATCCTTGGTCTTTGGTGATGTCGTAGTTCAAGCATCGGATCGTTGAATATTGGTAATGCCGTATATCAAGTATTTGATTAGTTTTCGTCGTTAGATATGACGGTTGTATCTGAGGCATCAGCCTTCTTGTGTTGAGCACGATGCGGGCCAACATAGTTCGGGTTCTTGGGTCCTAGCTTGTCTAACATATTATTAATCTGTTCTATTATTATTGTCTGACGGAAGTATTTCAAGGAATCGAAAAAAAACCTGTCCGCTTCCGCTTCCGCTTCCGCTCTTTGTTCACTGAGGGTTTCCCGAAGTCTTTTCCCATATTCTCGGCTTTTTCTGTTCAATTCCTCACGTTGCTCTCCAGTGAGGTTTTCTCGACGTCTTTTCCTATATTATAGGCGTCTTCTCTTATCTTCCTCACGTTTCTATTGCTTATGTGCCCAGGCTACACCATCTAGTATAGATATCTTGACTTTAAGTATTGCGGTCCCGAGACTGAAAACCAACTTCAGGTTAATAAGCCGCTCGCCACCAGCACCTACGATAGGGGAACCGTCATTACAGACCACTTTGAGGTAGGTAGTTGAAAAGACCTCAAACTCCATTTCTGTGCACTGCGGCGACTCACCACACAACAGTGCTCTGCGTACTTCTGATGGTTCGGCGTCTAGCTCCCTCCAACTTGAAGCAGGCACGGCACGCAAGTTCTCTCAAAGAGTAGGTACTAGGTACTAGAGTATGATACCCCTTCCATTCTGTCCAACCGGGTACCTACTCGATTATGTATGACTGACACAATTGGTTCCCTGACTCTCCCCTTATCGGAAGAGAAGAGAAGTCTGGCTTTGGTGCAAAGGTTTTGAAACATTGCTGAACGCCATGATAGCTTATTTTTACTATGAAGTTGAGGAAAGATGCAAATGAAGAATGAATCAAGCTCGGATGTTGGAAGTCATTTTAGGAATACATTACTTAGGTACTTTACTTTGGGTATTGCTTTTCCTAACATGCGGGCCCCAGTAGTATAGAGTGTTGGATCTCTACCCCTGAAACCATTCTGTGTAAGTGACTGTTGCGATTTAAAGTATAAAAGAAAAAGGAATCTTACAATACATCACTTAGGGACATCTTTTGCAACTGTGTATTCGATTGGGATACTTGAAATATGATATTTCGTACACAACCAATGTTTAATCGACGAGTGTCAACGGAGTGGCTGGATCATTTGGCCCCTCAACGAAACGAAATTCCATATTACAGGCACTTTTTGGTCGAACAAATAATTATAACAACAAAACCGGCGGGTTTGGCTGTATTGAAGTCTTCATATCACAGTGTATTAACCACACATGGAAGAAAGGCTTACTAGAGCTAATAAGTTACATTACAAAGAATCAATGCTTCCTCATAAAGACATCAATGAAATTGCAGCATATATATGACATGGAATTAATTAAGAGTTTGTAGCTTTCTTATTTGAATAGAAATGAAATTACATGTAGACTAGCTGTTGGGCAGTGCCAGGCAACGGCATGCGCAGTGAGGGCAGGCGCGACGCAAAGCCGAAGCCTCTTTTTCCCGCACCTCCGAAACTCCCAAAATCGCGTCTATTACCGTTTACATTTGGGCTTCACGGAGAGCCGTTCTTCTTTCCCCCCCGTTCTTCTACTCTTCAATCCTTCTTTTATTCAAATAGCAACCGTAAGTACCTTGCCTCAGTTGCCCTTGTCTCTATCATTTTCTACCCTTATTCCAGCAGCAAGTGCAGTGAGGAAAGAAGTATGGCTCTTTAGACTGGTACGATGAATCGCAGGCTAACATTGAGATTTAGATGGTCGGAGATACATACAACATTTCCGGGGGGACGTTCAACCAGAGCAGCGGCGGCGGTGGAGGGCGGCGCGGGGGCCGTGGGTGTGGGCGTGGCCGGGGAGGCCTTCCTGTGAGTTGAAACAGAGACACTTTACGATATCTATACTTATCAATCTGATACCCTACAGTCCCGAAAACAAGCTAAAAAGGCCCTCCGTCGGGTCCAGTGGCAGCTCCGGCTCCTGGGTCCTGGCGGAGCCGGCACCACCGGCGAGGACGGCGGCGGCGGCGACACCACCAATCCTAGCAACAGGACAGACACCAATCCTGGCAGCAGCAGCACCAATCCTGGCCATGACGGCGACACCTCCACCAAGGTAGAGGTAAAGGAGGAGGAAGACAGCGACGGCGGCGGCATTACCAATCCTGGCAGCGGCGGCGGCACCCAGGACGAGGACGAGGACGAGGAGATGGAAGATGTTCCTCGGGTTCGCATCCCCCCTCCCGGCAAGATGTTTGGGCCTAAGACCACCCGTTAAATTCATTTATTCTGTGTGGTGCTCCAATCAAGCCTCGTTCGTGCAAATCGGAATTATTCACCCATGATTACCAGCCTTCTGCGTAAGACAAAGTCTGTTTATCCACAATAACCTTGCAATTGTTGACTTGTAATTTTAAACTCCATCAAAAAGATCCATTCTTGACTGAGTTTTCTGGAGGTGGACCATGGTTGCTCGTCGCCGAACACAGTTCTGCTCCGCCAGGGAGGCCCGGCAGCGGAAGAATGAGCACCCGCAGCCCCCACATTACAGCTTTTGTCCGAGCTTTTTCTCTACAAAAACTTTCACTTCTTCAAGCTCTTTCTCATTTCTATCAACAACACAAAACAATCAATCAATCAAGCTAAGGTAAGCTTTTGCACACGCAGTGCTACGCGCTGCTATCCCCCCCTTCCTGATGACAGAACATACCGCAAACTAGAGTCTTTGACCTAAATGGAATGAAACTTCTTGTATTTACACGTCAGTCTGAAAGATGACAATCACGCATTCGCTTTTGCATTCGACATGTTTTGAACATGCGCTGACCACTCAATAGCCCTCTCATCACCAAGCGGTGGATCATTGCGAGGATGCTCAAGCTTCTCTTTACTTCCGATACGGACTGAAATGGTACGTTCGCAGCTTTCGTGTTCTTGCTATAACCCCACCCCCTCACATGATGATCATTTTCTTTTACAATATACGCTGGAAATTACCGGCTGAGTTATTCTTTGACGATATAAAATGGCTATTTCTGATTGAGACTCATACTTGACTATTGTTGTTATTCATGATGTAGCTTGCGCTAACATGAATCAAAGATTACTAGCAAGGTATGCGATTTCTCATATCGACACACTCTCGACTTTTATGATGAAGCGGCACTGGGCTCCGAAAATATACCCATGAGCACGAAAAGCCATTTTGCGGCAGGCCTAGAAAACCTCGCCCACTGATTCGTCACGCTCCACTTTCAATTGTTGGATGTCATGGAGCCTCTGAGGCTAACCTACCTCAAGTGCTAGTGCTCTGTCACTGCCTTTTGTTCAATCTCGTGTGCATGCAGCATTTACTTTGTAAGTATTTCACATATCTTTTACATCAACATCACCCTCGCTTCCTGATGAAATTTCAGATGACGAGTCTTATCCGAGTTTTCGATGCAGACACAACCTTACCTACCATTCATGCATTACCTGACATGCGATTCTGTTGCAAACTTTGCTTGAAAGCATCAGTTGACCTGTGCTAACCAATCAATAGTTAGTCAAAACGTGAGTAACCAACTGGTCCTGCCATTCACATCCCACATCATCTCTGTGATGATCCAAAATGAAAACGACAAGCATATGTCCGAGCTCACGCTACGACGATAACTCATTTATTACCTGATCGAGTTGCTACACGTCACGTCGATGCAGTCTTTTCAACGACAGCGGCTGACCATTCGAAAGTATACTCATGTATTGCCTCGTGCTACCTACGCACCTGCCTACATCATCAGGTTAGTTCTTATCTCTCTTCTCCCAATCGCGTTTATATGATGTTATATTATCACGACGGTCAACGTAGCCATATTGCTTTGACGATAACGCCTGTGACAAGGCACCTTACCCTGAAATTCCTTCCACATACTTGTTTCATTACTTGCCAAACTGTGTTTCACGAGACTAACATGGCTTTCTTAAGGTTCCCTTATCACAACATGCCAAAACAATGGCACTATTGAATGTCGTAGGGTCTTGGGCTTATACCCTTCCCGTGACATCAATCATCTTGTCAAGTGACAAGCTGTAGCATGCTATCTCATCAATCTCTTGATGACATGGTACAATCTAATTGCACTATGCTGTAATCAAATGAACTTATAATCAAATCATGACATCAACTGGTAGGTCGACATAGCAAAGATACCATATATAATACAACGTATTTATTCCCCATGAGCCTAGAGTTGATACTCGAGTGTTTGTCCGATACTTAGCACAATTTGCCGTGAAAGGAGTGTGATCCACCGATATTCCCTATCCTTGAACTAAGTCCGCTCCTATCCAAAGAGATCATCTCGCTACTCACTCGCATTGTCGCCGTCTGTTCATCCTTGCGCAACACTCTGATAGCCAATCAGAGGGTGCATCATGCTGCCTGGACCTCCATTGTCTCTTCCCACAGATAGGTCTGGAGCTCGCAGTCCTGAGCGGAGTTCACTACTGCGAGGGTGTAACAATGGCTCAGGCATACAGCGCGGCGGTACCGCATCCTGAAACGATGACCGATAAAACGGCGTTGGAGGACTGCCAACGTAGCTTGAGGGTGCTCCTCGAGGGACTTGCCAGCCAGAGTCTGAGTAGTGCTGGAGAGGCATACTTCTTCAACATTCTGTTAGCCCAATGACTCGGAGGATGTGAGAAAGGGAGATACGCACGATGAAAACATGTCTTGAGCAACTTGAGTGTTGCGAAACATGTCCAACCCCCCTGCGAACGATTCTCGACTATTCTCAGCTTTGGCCGGCAGATCGTCTTGTGGTCGTATCTGTTGCAAGTAGGTTGGGTAGAGAATATGAGGTTGCTTCAATATTGGTAGGGGTTTCTGCTCGGATGAACGTCGACTCATGGAGCTCGAGGACGACGCTGGTGAACCCATTTCTTCTCTCTTTATCGCCATGTCTGGAGGAGAGTGTGGAGGAGAAATCATGGTATTGGTGAGAGATTGACGACGGCGTCTCTCGCGTTTCTTGCAATTGTACTTGCCAATCTCCCATTTGTCGAAGTGCTGTCGATAGGATCGAATTCTGGGTCACAGTCAGTAACACATCTTTTCCGCGGCATATTCTCGAGGAACAGATATGCGAGGTGCTTGTTATGGAAGTTTGAAGAAGGGAGGAAAGAAGAAACTCACGATGCTTCAAAGTTGTGCTGCACCTTCATGATGTTTCGTACATCTTCGAGTGTCCTCCCCTCGTGAATGTACAGCTTTGTGATAGTCCCACGGTGCTCGCTCCAAGGTTTTGCCATCATCTTTGCTGTCTGTTTCAACGTTATAGCTTTGAGGAGTGACTTGATTTCGTGTGTGTTCTGGAAGCAGGCAGTCGTATTTGCAGCTGCGTTAAGGCTGTTTCTTGCGTTTACCCCGGGACAATTAAGGCGGCGGCAACGGTTACGGTCTCGACGAGCATTGAGGTAGAACAGCGAACCTTTGAACTCTCCTTTTTTACTTTGTGGGGGTTTGGAAATCCGCTGTACTTGTTTTGTGTATGAGAGTTGAGTCTTGTGATATTGGTCGTAGTGTTCTGGTTGAAGTGAGGAGTGAGGTTGGGTGGAAGTGCTGTAATCCTTCCAGGTAATATAAAACAAAACGAGACCAGATAACTAGATGAGAAGAGCTAGTTATTCACAGGGGGCCAATAAGTCTACTGCTTTCGAACCATTATTGGCGTTGGGTCAGCCAGAGCCTTATTCGGTACTTGACGATAGTCACTTTTCGTTACTATGCTAAGGTATTATCTCCAGAGCCTCGTTTCGACAACGAAGGCGGGAGGAGGGGGCTTTTTAAGGCGTCCGCAGCAAGGCATACGATGATGCTCATAGACAAAGAGGAGTAAGTGACTCTATGGCATATGTGAGAAAACTCAAAACACCTCTCTTGAGTTATTTCAAAACAGGGCGAACTTGTGCAAGTCTTTCAAGGTTGAGTTGTTCGACTTGTCTTATAACGAACTGTATTGCATACGCCGCATCGACAATATTCCTGTGACACATGGTTCTGAAACGGTTGCGTCCTGGGAGGCGCCCGATGAGAGAGCCGATATCTCTCGAGAGGGTGTAGAGAAGAGTAGAGAAGAGTCTGGGTCCAAGGCAGCTCGGCTTCAGCCTCATGTATCTCGCCTGAGATATCACATCCTTCACACAATTGTGTCGATGACAGGGTAAATTCTGCATATGATAGTATTGGATTGATTATCTAAAAAGGGCATACAACTTGCATATGCTATCATGTTTAATATTTGCACCAACTAAATGAAACCTTGAAGGAACAACTCATCAACTCAATATCATCAACAACAACAAACTGCAACTCAGAACTCTTGATCCCCCCCTTCCCCAGAGCCTGGTCAATCAAATCAACTCCCCTGTATGTATCTAATCCGATCGCCTTGGCTGCCTGCCGCAAGGCGTCCCAAGCGCGTGGGCTCTCTCACCATCATCTTCTCGCCCTGCTTTTACTCCCCCAAGCCAACGACAGGGCTCATCATTGGTCCGAGACACTCGAAACGGTTGTCAACCAAGACATAAAAGTGTTAGCCCTTCTCCCCGATTTTAAACGGATAGAAAGCTTCTGAGAACGTTCGCCTCACTTCATACGTGCACTTTATATATCGTCGTGGTCATTGACCTAACGTAAGGTATTTTGCAACTCAACTCAACTCAGTCTGTCTTATCACGACCAGTTGTTCGTCATATCTCGCCAGATACCACCCTAACAAACCATCATCACAGATAAACGCCAATAATGCATATGTAAGCCACGTTATCTATCGCACATAGGCACGCGCGGAGCAATCACTTCAGCTTCAACGCCGTCGGAGAGGAGCCGTTCCAGCCTCTGCGACCCCTTTGCACTATTCCGTGATTTGTCAATGCCTACCTATCCTGTGTCATACACACCCGACTCCTTTCATTAGTGAACGAGTTCTAGGTTGTGTATATGTGAGGTTGAGGATGACTGACAAGACAAGACGAAGACTCGATCGAATCGTTTCTACACACAACGATGGTGCAAATTTCACAAACCAGCCCTCAAGAAGCCAACATCATGCAATAATCAATGTAATACTAATAAATGTATTTGAATAGACATACTTTAAGTATAATCCAACCTCACAACAACAACAACGTAACCACTGTAACCGCTGCAACCACTTCCATATTAAACTATCCCCTTCCAACAGCGTAATTAGAGTAACAGAACACGCAGCTGAAATTCAAAGTGAAAAACTCGAACTTGTTATTTTCATCCATCTCCTCCTCAAACCACTCAAGGCCACGTCAATAGCACTACCACCAAAGCGTTATAAGTTGCTATCGTCCGCCTTGTTTTAGACACAGTCAATCAGAGACAAGAGAGAAAAAACAGTTGTTGCCTGTAGGTGCAGGACTGGGTATAGAAAACTCCGTCCGTCCAAAAAAGATGTGACGGTCTAGCACACAATGGCTGTCATCTTCGTCCGCCTCGTTGAGACGATTAGATGGCCGTCTCCTTCTTCTCGGCCGCCGCGGGAGCTGCAACAGGAGCTGCAACGGGAACTGCTGCAGGAGCCTCGCCGCCTACAATACCAGCTTCCTGACCACCATGCTGAACCGGGGGAGTTACAGGAGACTGGACCTTTGCGTCAAGAGGGTCAGCAATGACCTGAGGGTTGGGCGATGCTGGCGCAGAACCAACAGGGCTAGATCCTGTGCTTAGAGGAGCCGTAGCCTTGCCACATTCCGAGAGGACCTGGAACCACTTGGCGGCGTCGGCGGCAGTGTGTGCCTTGAAGTTAAGCTCAGTAGATCCTGTGAGCTTGCTGCTCATGGTTTTGGACTTATCCTTGCCCTTGACGCTGAACTTCTCACCCTGGACGGTACCGATGACAGCATCGGGGAGGTAGATGGAGAGCTCAGGCTTAGGGTCCTGGCGGTTGTTATCCGAGTCCTTAAACTCATGGAGGAACTTGGAGGGCGTGACCACGTAGTAGCCGGTTGTGTAGCCCCACGACAGCTTGTTACGCGACTTGCGCTCCAGGGAGCCCTCGACCAGAGCCCTGGTCGCATGGTGATCCATGTTGGGGAACTGGATCGCTTCAACGGAGCGTGGTGGCTCGTTGGGGTTGACGAGACGGTCGACACTGCGAGCCGTGAAGGCGTTCCACTCGAAGTCGGGAGCAACGTGCTGAATGGCAGAAAGCTGATCATTGTACAGAGCTCGTGTCTTGTCCGCCTGGCCACCAGCCAGCTGTGTGAAAGCCTCCATAGCTTGCTGGACAACCTCAATGATGTGAGCCTCGAAGCTATGGAAGTTGTTCTGAACAGCAATCAGATCATTACGGTGGTTGTTCTCAGCAATAACTTGGCTGTTCAAACGGTGTAGCACACCGCGGTACACAACGTAGGGGTCGTCATGGCTATTGATGTGACCTCCAGCCGAGTCGAAAGAAGCGGAATGCTGGCCTAGCAGCTCAATCTGCTTCTGTGTGGTGTTGCGAGCCTTGTCAACTTCCTTAGCTCCCTTCTCGGCGCCGTGGGCGAGCTCCTTGGCCTTATGCTTGATCTCCTTATGCAGACGCTCGAGGACGGGGAGGACGGAGCCCTTTATGCTCTTTTCGGTCTCGATGTTGGTGTTGATGAGGGATTGGGTGTTGGATCGCATGTTCTCGAAGAAGCCAGCAATACCGCCCAGGCTCTGGTCGAAGTGGTGACCCTCCTTGAGGGGGTTGTTGATGGTCTATTGAGCACTGGGTTAGCACAGGTTCCAATGACGCAAAAGGCGGGACTGCTTAAATGAAGCTTACCTTGAGTGCTCTCTCATACTCCTTAGCATGGTGGCCATGGACCTTCTCCATGGCCTTCATGTATTCCTCGATGTAACCGACGGCGTGCTTCCATGCTTGGAGTCGCTCGGCGAGCAAACCAGCGGTCTATTCACATAATGTTAGTCTGAATTTCCTAACAAGCAATCTGCCTGTTCGACAGCGAGTCGCCCGGGGAAGCATCGGGTTGACATACGCTTGAAGGGTCAACTTCAGGGATGGCATCGTCGCTAGCGGTGCTAAAACCAGTTGTGGCCCTTGAGGGCAGGTTGGTCGTTGTGGGTGAGGGGGCAGACATTTTGGGCAGTCACAACGTCTTGTGATGATTGTTGCGCTTGTAAAAGGGGAATGACGATAATGATATAGACGAGGGATTGTGGTGTTGAGATTAGATTTCGACTGTCCAAGCTTGGCGGACAGGGAGGGAGGTGCGAAGAGGGAGGGGTATTACTGTCAAGGGTTCTGAAGCTTCTTTCAGCAGTTCTTGGCAATGGGTGGGTTTTAAGGTATTTAGCGGAAGATCAGTGGGTTTTAAATGAAGACTGGAGGTGAATATGGAATGCCATACCAGATTTGACGGCAGAGGGAATTTATTCAAATGTTGACGTCGTTATGAGGGATCGCCAGGAGAGCTCGGATGACGTCGAAAATAGTTGGCAACCCAATCAATTAGTGATTACGGAGTACTTAGTGTGAGCTTGTGAGGGGTTGTTAAAGACAGCTGGACAGCTAAAGCAGAACGTCCGATAGGTGTCGGTGTCCGTGAGAAGACAATACAAGGCTCAACATATACTAAGAGCGGCTGTGCCAACTACCGTAATGTGTCCTTATTTTAATAAAAAAAACTTGAGCATGTAATTTACTGGAAACTCCAATAATGGGTAGGCATTCGGCTTTTAGCTGCTGGCTAAACCACCAAGTCATGTCTCTGCTTGTGCGAGGTAAAGCAACACCCCAATATCTATCTATCTGTAAGAGGTTCCAGTTTCAGCTATTCAAGGGTCGAAAATCAGCAAATATCACCTCCAGATCTGATCATCCTCTAAAATACCAAGCAATAAATCTCCGGCAACTAGGCCACACTAGCTCAGTATTTGAATATCAATGCATCCCTTAAATCTGGGCAGTTAGCGGCAGGGCCTGGCTATCATCGACACCAACATCAACCATCACCAGACCGGTCTCGAATGATGTAATGACGTCAATCACCTTTGAGCTAATACCACAAACTCTGTCTGTGCCTCTGTGGTCCCTTGATTCTGTGTCGCGCCGACATTAACACTAGGACAGGCTTGGTTAAGGGGCATCGAGACTTGGCTCTAATTATCTTGAGCAAAATAACTTGCTCTACCATTCAACTATGTACTATGTACTCCATACTCCGTACCTAGTATACCAGTCATTCCACGATGGAGACTTGGACACAATTCAGTCACCATCGAGCTACCAATCCTCACCATAAATGCTTCTTTCCAACATCACCTCGACACACCACCACCACCATCAACTGTGAAGTGCCTTATTCCCGCTAATAATATGCTTTTTTATTCGCTCGGATGTCACCGAATGCCGAATAATTTCGACATTTTCGCCACCGTCGTTAAAAGCCTCCTATGTCATTGTTGATATGGAATACACATCACTGGCTTCAAAACATCAGCTTTTCAATTGCCATGTATGGGACATCAAGAAATGACAAATAGCATAGAGGGCACAATGTAATTATCTTGAACACGTCTTATCTCGTACTTCGTCCTTCTTGGTTATCATATTCTTCAGGGTGTTTAATTATACAAGTGTCATCCTCTTCATCCATCGTTTTCCCTGTTCCTAGTTTGTTCCCAGATATAACACTGATATCATCCGAACCAAATAGTTCGTTATCCAATGTACGCCATGTCTATGATTCCCATGATTAAACGCCGTCCCACATTTGCTATAAGCACATCAACGCCGCCAAGCTCCGAGGCTCTTAACCATATCACACATGTGATAGTTCCAAATTATCGTAACAAAAGACAGGCCGCATATCTAGAAGACCTGGCCGCGGTTCTGCGCGCCATTCATCCTTCGGTATGTTGCGGCATCATCCGTATAAGCGCGACCGCCGCCAAGCCAGCTGGTTGGGCGTGAAACATGCTGAGTGCGGTCCTCACCATCCTGATCCTCTGAAATTGTGCCGAGGGGATCCGCTGGGTGGTCTGTAGCAGGAGGCGTCCGGGGAGCGCTAAGAGCCGTTTGATAATCTGGCAGAAGCAGATCTCCAGTACCAGCCCGAGAACGCGCCGGAGTTTTAACTGCTGTCTGGTAGCTGGGAACCTTACTTAGTTCAACCAGATCAGTAGCGTCGAGATCAATATGCTCGGCAGAATTGCGCGACGAGTCTTCAGAACTGTTAGTTCTAGTAAGCGCCGTAGTTGCGGGCTCTGATCGCGGAACTGGGATCTGGGGTGCTGAGGTGGGTGACATAAATCCCGACGAGCCCAGGGAACGGAGCGAGGTGGATGAGGTAGTTCGTTGAGAGGGGTCAAGCGATACATCGGCTAGTCGAGATGAAAGTGCCGCAGGAGCAACAGGTCGGCTATGAGCAAGTGCCGCGAGATTTTCGTTTGAGCCAGCCCGCGACTGAGCATAGAAGGGACTGCTAAGGCCTGACTGGAACCCGGGTGTTTGGAAGCCACTAACGTCGACATCTTCGTACAGCTGATCAAGAACGTGCTCGCCATATCCCGGAGGAGCAATAGTAGAGAGCTCTCGCTCGTTACTAGGCGTCGTAGGTGACTGGTCGACTAGGTTGCCTTCTTCGTCGAGGGGCATGTTAGGGGAGATGAAGATAGACACAGGAAGTGTCGCTCGGAGCTGCAGGAAAATTGTTAGTGAATCGAGGACCAGAATAAGTCTACCAGGTAGTGACATACTTCTGAAATATGACCATCGGGGTTGCATAGCGCAACAGTCAACTTGATTTTGTGACGAATCTTGATGCCATGGTGGTTCAAGTCTTGAACGCATTGGCGCAGCCTCTTTGGCAAGTTGAGCTTCTTGGTCAATGCCCAACCTTCTTGGCCAGTATCCTCGATCATATCCTGCCAATGTTCTTCTCTTGATACCGAGAACTTCCACATTGATACCTCACGTTCTGTTCGGTGCTCCTTAGTGCCAGTACCATAACTTGAGCCTGTACCTTGAACGTGGCATTCACGAACTTCCATCAACCTGGCTGTGATATCACCCAGTTCGAGCCCCTTAAGAAGAGGTGTGAATCGCATCTCCATAGTGACAAGGCCGCCAAAGACCACGGCCTTTTGTGGGATGATGATTGAGTAGTCGACCTTATTGGGCCAGATGTTTTCCACGCTCATGGCGTGCAGGAATTCCAAAGCGCCAGGCTCTAAAGTCCTGATAATTCTGAGGTGTTTGTTTGCGTGTAGATCGTATGCCAGCTTTCCGCGTCCGACAGTGGCTCTCAGTCTGTAAGTAATGGATGCCTCGGGGATTCCTTCAACACTCTCAGCCATGTTGCCTGGGAGCATGTATTCGAAAGGCCATTCGTAGTTTCCTGCGGGGAGCGTCATGCTCTTACCGTGAGTGCCTATAAAAGGCGCCCATCGATGTTCGAGGATCGTCGTCGTCTTGTCAACCTTTTGACCCGAAACGCCGGGGGCACTCCCTCTAGGATCGGCCCAGCTGTGGAACGATACATGATTAGCCACTGCCCTGAAAGAGTTTTTGTTTCACAAATCGACTGTGGAGAAAACTTACGCATGACGCAGGGTTCCAACAAGTCTCAGTCGGACGTCTTCCATTTTTAGTGATGTTTGTAGGCACAAGACTAGTGTGCCTTTAAGAACCTGACCAGACGATTCATGGTCACTTCCGCGAAAAACGATAAAATCGCTGTCTAGGCTGTGTGATGAATCCAGTTAGTATTTGGTCTTTCTGTGGTGGTGCTTGTGAATGTGCCCTTACCGAATGTCAAAGAGACTGTATGAATTACGCCCCGTCACTGACGCAAAGGGTTTGAAGGACGGCATGATAACGTCCTATGTCGTATAAGTGGTTGTGATGGTTTGCTGCAAAGCAGCAAAGTTGGGGACGAAAATAAAAGTTGGCTGGTGATTTGCCAAGAAAGGAGACTAGAAGGAAAGAAAGGATAAATTGGAGGAGATGGAACGCTTTTATTTAGGATCACGGCTAAGTCGAGCGCAAGTGACGACCTCCAACAGCGCAAGCCACGCACGAGTCGGCGGGATGTAGTGGGTACTGAGCGGATACAGGCTCTAGAAGAGTTGAGTGGGGCAGTGCGATCAGGAAAAGCCAAAGCCAAAACCAAAACCAAAACCAGAACCCACGAGGGTCAGGTTAAACAAGGCGCAAGGGTAGGGGTAATGGATGTTCCATGCAATGGGAGGCGAGAAACGATAGCGTAAAGCAGAGCAGATCAAGCGGCGCGGTGTTTAGTTAGTGGAGTCTTGATTGCGATGTGACAAAAGTAGTAAAGAGGGTCTTGTTCTGATAAGACGCCCACCGTGTCGGTCTCACTAAAAGATTTCACATCCAGGCGGTCCAGGTAGATTGAGAAAGATATGAGCAAGAGGCGAGAGGAGAGGCGTAAAAGATTGGGCCACGATTGGAGGCGGCAATCGTATTGCTTTTAATAGTAGAGTGGAGCTCGTTTGACGATGCTTCCAGATGCGCATTGAAGAAACATGGGAGAGTGGGAAAAGAGTCAAAGAAGGGGAAACTGATTGACATGACATCTGACACTTGCATCTGGCTTTGATCATTGACGCTGAGCCAGAGGCACACCAGTGTGACCAGACCATGACAGTCAGTCAATCGCTAAGAATCGATCAATCAGTTCAATGCTATCATCCCTGTCATGCCCACGTCTAGGGCATGATCCGACTCTTTTAGGTAGTGATAACTGATAAGAGGGTCTGGTCTGCCCTGGTGAGGAACTTCTTGCCCTTATTATGAAGGAAAGGTACATGATGCGCTGCAACGCAACGTTAATAGAGAAAGGACAGCCCTGCTCGTCTAGCTGCAACTGTCATGTATCATGTATTTCGTACATCGTTCATCGTACGTGACCGGTAGGTTGCGAAGGTCAACGGCCGTCGGATGATGGCGGCCGGAGGAAATGGGATACAACGAAACGTTGGCAGACCGCTGGAAGCGTTGAATACGGAAGCCAAAACAAAATGTGTCTCTGTATCCGTGTCTCTGCTGCAGATAAGAGGACCACGGAGGGCCTGTTACGCTCAGATTCAATCTCGGCCGCTTTTCTCATTAGCGAGAGTCATCACGGTTAGGCCAAAGCACGCAAGAGACTGAACGATTGATATTGATCAAGGCCAAGACGTTTGAGGGCATGGGACGCATAAAGGTGGAGCGGAGTCGCCGCCGGTGGACAGGGCTGGCTGGCTGGGCTACTGACAGGGTGATACTCGATTTTACTGCATGAGTCGGGATGGTTCGTGTTATTATCGAAGCCCGATAGAAGCTTTGCATGCAGTTTCTTCGATGCGCCGAGCGTCTGTGCTGCGTGGCGCCGTAACGCCGAGAACGGAATGACGGTATTCTCTGCAGTACTTGGACCATGTACCTAAACACCAATCAATCTTGATGTCGATAATCGAGATAATCGCTTCATTCCGTATTAACTAAGAGGTTGAAGATGGAAGAGAACTGTTGATGGTGGTAGGCATCCCACACACGAGCAACCAAGGGGAAGGTACTGATTATGCACCTTTCATACGACAAAGCAAGCATCAGCACTTACTTCCAACTTTCCTGTCTTGTCAACCATCCGACTTCCTCCTGAATAATGAATGCACATCTTGAATAGCCATGAATCGTCGAATAATTTCCACACGGTTAACGCTGAAGCCGGTCTATTATCGTGAGATGGCTGGATGAGTAGCAGAAGTACCTAAGTCCTTGAAGCTTGTACGTATCTTTCTTTATCAGCCGCCGCACACAAGCCATGAGCAACAGGCTAACAGGGCAGGGCGGCTTTGAAGACCCCCACGCTAAGCCCCCAATAACTTACACCTTCAAGCTCTCAGGCCTAAAAGCTCCTTGGCTATGAACGGTTTGGCACATGCTGGACTTACTATGTATGACGGCGATTATGTCTGCAAACAGCGACGATATTCTAGAGGGTCGAGTCAGGAATGTATCAAGCTTACCTAGTCGCAACTAGAAGCTCAAAGCTCTGGTTCACCATTCTTCGTTCTTGCGGCTCCACTGATTGATTCCTTGCTTTGTTAGGACTTGCCAGTTGTGGCGCACGGCCATAACACGGAGTGTTTATTCTTCGTGTTTGAAATATCTGTTATCGTTTCATTGCTTGTTCTCAAGAGATGGATCTCTCAGCAGCCAGGCCTGCCATCGGGTTTCCACTTTGGGACATTAAGCCTTGGTTGTTCAGCCACTCAAACCATAGGTAGGCACGCATGCTTTCTTACCATGAGGGGTTACTCTTCAGCAGGTTCTCTCATACCTGCAGTCATACCTGGTACTCGTACGATCGTCCGTTACAACTCAGAGAGTATGAGCTGAATAAACACAGAACATGGAGTCTGGAATTGGGCCATGCGACCAACTGCGACAACACCTTAAGTTGTTACAGGGATGCATCAATACCTAGTCAAAGACGGCTTTCAGGCTCGGCATAGGCAGGTCTAGGTCTGGATCACCAAGCCCCAGACTCTGAATCAAATGACACCTGGTCCGGAAGCTCTTTTAAGGTTGATTCTTGCCTAATTGTATTACAGTAAGCAAGTCAAATCAGCCCTCAAGATATCAGAAAACTTGTTCCGGTTTAATTGAGGGACAGAAATACTCAGACAAGTCCAGGGCCAAAGTAGGCAGCTATTGGTCTAGTCCTTTTTATCATCCAGCTACACGGTCAAGCCCTTTGGTACCCCTGGCCAATGAATCTACACTAGGGCTTGTGGAAGGCTGGATCTCAGTCACAATGACCATGCCAGTCCGGATACAGACAGCATTCAAGTGTTCTTTTAGCCGGTCAAACGAGAGCTAAGTAACGTCCTTTGTGTGTGTGTGCCTATATTCTGTACGCACCCTCGTTATGGCCCCTGTATCTCTGTTTGCCTCGGATCCTGGGCTGACAAGAGACAAAAGCTGAACTGTTGCAGGTGCGGTTATACTACGTACAGCCAGCTGTGCCTCTCAAGCGAACGACTTAGCCACGCGCATGTCTCAACCATGTCGTTGACTGGATGGCCCTGGCTTTGTCTCCGTCGAACAAGCACCCGTCAATGGCCACTTTTTTGCCGTAGCAAACCACCGAGAGGTGTTCCACCGCTGCTTTGTCCAGATACTGATCTGGGCGCTACCGTTACCTGTTGGGTTGTTGTCCAGACTTCTGATCGTGTATCTGTGGCTGTGCCACATCTTTTCAGCCTCATGTACCTAAGCTGTATGTCCATGCATGGAAACATTAAAGAAACCAACATCTAACAGGAACAGGATGTTCCGGAGACACTGCGGCTCTGCATCGGCATATCACAGAAAGAATCGCCCCAAGTCAGCTTTAGGTTTCCGCGATGCTTGCACGTAGTAACCCGAAACCTCAAAACTGTAGAACAGCACATTTTCGCTTAGCTATTGGGTGAGTCTTTTGTTGAGGTTTTTATTCTCGAAAAATGGGCCTTTTCAATCCGGAAGTTTAGAACACCGGGCCTATTATAGCACTCAGCCTTGTGGAATACATGCCTGGGTTCGTAAGCCGCGCAATCACCGTGCCAAGCACGATACTTGAGGCTCTGCCTTGGTTGGTTCGTTGGTTGATCGAGAGGCATGGCCCGGAGTATCAATGCCGAACGACTAATGCGAAAACTTGCAACCTACAATTGGTTTCCGACTTATAGACCCGGCTAGTTCTAGGGGAAACATGACACCGACAGCAAGATGCAATATCTAATTACTAGGCATCAAGAGGGAGCAAAGGCCTCTTTTGAGGATTACATTGTGTTTTATGTCAAGCTTGTGGCGTATATAGAAGTTCATGATTCGAAGCTTCATGATCATCATGCACGCAACAAGTAACTTACTTGCAATCTTCTGCTGTCATTTTTCTCGCTAAAAGCGCTCCCCTATCTCCCTGTTCCTGGCAATTTAGGTATTGACAAGTCGAATTCTAGCGACACATCCTATGCTATTGGCGGTGTCCAACAAATAACTACCTAGGTCTAGCACATGCCATCAAACGAGCCACTGCATGATGGTCTGTCCCGCCTGGCCCCTGTCCATCAAGTTTGGTTCGGCAACGGCCGCCCTGGTGGACTGAGCGGCCCCCATGCACTTTTCCCGATTTGCAAGGATCACAAAGCAACGCTTGTTCCTAATTCAGCCTGCCACGTCTAACACAACGATATCCAACTTGTACGGAGTACGGAGTACCTTCTCAAGCTTCTCTCCCTGCATGTTGGAAGATCAAGTTATACCCTCGCAAAGCCTGATCCTTGCTTTGATGCACATGCGCTGCCGACTCGGTAGACGACACCCGGCCGCGATGAGCGTATAAGCTTGCATTAGTCTACATACCTAGGTACACGCAAGGTATGTACAAGTCACCGACTTGTTGCTCGCTGCTAGAACAACTCAAAGATTACGGCGGATAGAGACACCAGACAAATACCGGAAGCCTTGACAACAGTTGCTGTGTAGTATTACGGTGGTTGTACACCCACATGCGCGTCTCTCAGCAAGATTCGTGTAGAATGACAGCACGCTAACATCTCTCATCATCTCTGGCATATTTCAGATATCTCACCGACGCAAGGCACATTTCATTTTCAGCCTCCTCGCCTGCTACTGAGTGCTTGGCTCCTTGCTTATCTCAAAACGTGCAGCAATTGGATGTATGTAATCGTTACGTGCGCTAGACGGCATCCACTGATAGCCCTTGAGACGGACGGGAAGAAATAATAAAAAATCGAACACCTAAAATCAGGGTCCTGCAGCCGTAGTGGACCTCAAACCCGGCAGCTTCTTGTTCACCGAAGAGCCTCCGTTGGCCATGTGGGCTCAACGGGGACGTTTTATTGATAGGACCGACTCATTGTTTCTACTTGGCAGCCCAAAACGGATTCCCAACAGCTATATGACTCTTCGACTATCCCAGTCGCGCCCAGGCAAATTTGCTAGCTGCCTTGGAGACATTATCAGTAAAGATTACGGTAAGAAACTTGCTAGAAACCCAACATCTAAAGTGGGTTTTCCGATTCTTTACTATCTTCGGGTCATACATCGAATTTGAGCTACCCTTGAACGACCCAATGGTTGAAACGACAACTGCCACTCCCCTTGCATACCGTAATAATTGGGCCTCTGCGGGCGTTTCATGGCCAAGCAGGATAGTGACTCGTCATCAACTCCAATTCGTTCTTGCCCTCGTTTTGGACTTCATGTTTATCGCTCAGCATGGACCCGTTGGTTATGAGGACGTTCCCGGGGCTTCTGCTCCCTTGGTCTGTGCCGCAAGCTCCGATCCGGGTCGCAGCCACGTCCTCAAGTGTCCTATTTTCAGAAATTCACATGTCAGCGCATGCCAGGAACAAGCGATCGCTGATCTCACTACGTAGTCCAATCGGACCGGCAGATCGACCTGATGGAAATACTGGTGCTTACCTGACTTGCAGCTTGTGATGATAGCGTCTTCCGTAAACTCCAGCCAGCACACTGGGTGCGTATCAATTGACTTGTTCTGTTTATCCTGATGTTAGTTTACAAGGCTTTCACACCAAACTCAGCCACACATCAGCAGCCGGCACTGGTACTTACGAGTACAGGGGGTAGCATTGGAATTCTGGCTCGAGGTTCGACAGGATGAGCAATAGCCATATCTTCGTCTTCGATTTCAAGGTTCGAATTCGATCGTAAGCGCGAGTTTGATGTTGTGGCTGTCTCAGCCCGCTGCAAGGCCGTATAACGTGATGAGACTGATCCGCGGTGTCTTACGGATTGCTACAGATACATTGTCAGCTTTCGACTTCTACTGGCGACAAGACGCCGTTGTCAGGATGTCACAATGCAGTGTGACATCGCTACGATTATGGCAATTGGATTTGGCGTTAGCACATACCGCTTTGGGTCGGTGAAGCATGCCAGTGCTAAAGTCCCACAGGCAAAGACGTCCATCCTCACCAACACTGCCGAATCGATAATTCCGTTCGTCGCATCTCCAAGGGTCAAAAGCAACGGCCGATACCCATGACTGATGGCCTTGGCATCTGGCTACCAGCGCCGACTCGGAGAGTGACCATATCGATATCAAGTCGTCTTGTCCGCCAGTCAACACATATTGACCATCCGGGGACCAGCAAACGCAGGTGAGACCGCCATAATAGGAGTAGAACACGTCAAGCAGCCTTGTATAACATGTCAGACAATTCTTCTTGAAATCCAGGTTAGGGCGTGGGGATCATACTCTTCCTTCAAATAGTCGATAATCCTCAGCGTGCCATCCTCAGAGACTACAGCCAAATGTCGATTATCGGGCGAAAAAGAGAATGCATTGATTCGATGGTTCGACAGTTTCCAAGCGGCGACGGGGTTTACCTTTTGGTTTTTGGAATGCACAGATTTGTTGATGCGAATAGTGTTGTGATGAGTTCCACCATTGTTCGCATCTAACGATTCACCGCTGGCCCCGTTCGCATGTCCATTGACTGCTTCCTCTTCGGGGTTGAATTGGGCATCTTCTTTCTCTTTGTCATAAACCACAAGCGACCCGTCCATATGGGCAGCCAGAAATAGGTTCTCAGATCCTGGGATCCATCGAATTGATGCTACAGGTGTCCCGTTAATAGCTCCCTGGATATGGTGTCAGTAGGTTCCCATGTCAGGTTCTTATACGATTGCCTCCTCACATTCTTGTTCAGTCGAGTATAACGTTGTGAGATTGGCTCCCACCAAATAACTTCGCCAGTTGAGAAGCCCATGATAACATCCAGATGCGAGACGCTCTTTGTGTGGACATTCACATCATGGCATAAGCAGTGCGCTTTTGTGAAAAGAATCTTGGTCAAATAATCTTGCTACATGATATTAGTCCTCATCTTGAAGGCTACCATTGTCGCAACCGGACATACCTTGGAGGACGATGACATATCAAGCCACTGAAATGCGCGGTTAATATTCGCAAACGCAAAAATGCCATCATTGGATCGCTCTGTAAGCTTCTTGGAGAGGCTTTCGTTGACAATGACGCGGGAGATAAATGAGGAGTTGCTTTTAGTCATGTTGTTCTTGGGCTTCCTCTTCTTGTTCACGTCCTTGTTCGGTACCTGAGTAAGCAAAGCATTGCCCTCACCAAAGGCAGGCGCAGAGCCTATAGTAATGGAAGCAGCCTGAACATCGCTTGTCGAGCCAGTCCGACCATCTTCGCTGGCCATGCCCCCCTCCGCTGAGTAGCGACTCTCGTTAGGATGCTCCTGTATACTCGACGGGGCGCCGCTCAAAGCAATAGTAGTTGAAGAGAGTCCTTTGTAAAGAAAGTTTGGGGCCGGTCGGCTATCAAGGGCGATGAGAGAAACCGAAGTGCCAGCGCTGGCAGGTTGCGGAAGAGTCGACAGAGGGTTCGGGTTGGGAATGGTGGCTTCGGAAGGATGGGGCGGAGGTGTCGCCAAATGTAGATCTTCTTTGAGTGTATATGTTCCTATCGTTTTCGATTCGTGTTAGTCCAGGAAGCTTAAGACAAGTGATCGAGTCAATTGTCGCATTTGCTGATTACCTTCTCCGACCAAGAACTGCCACTCAGGGCCAGTTGGGTTCGACAGTGTGTTATTCGTCTCTATCATGGGCACTGGATGTATCCCGCCAACGCCGTAAGGCCCCATGGTGGGATACCTTGGTGGTGGGGGTAGAACACTGTGAATTTCATGGCGTCAGTTTGTGTCAGGCGCAAGTAGCAGCGGACAGCGACGCAGGCGCGGATGTAATTGTAGACTCATCTGAGAGATGAGCGCAATGGAGACAATGTACTTACAACATGATTCCTGCGTTGTGTTGTTTGTATGGGTCTAGTAGTACGCCTCAGTACAGGGCAGCTGGATTCGCGATATATAGTTGTGGTGAAGTCTGAAACCAGAGGTGAAAGTGGAGGTGGAGGGGGCTGAATGACGAGAGGCACAGCAGATCAGCGTCGGAATTGGAAGGTGCGGTACAACAAATCAGAGGAAGGAGGATCCCTGGAACAGTAAAACTCAGTGAGGTCTGGCACTGGTGATAGATAAACTTGTCAGTCCTCGTATTGAGTCGACGGGAAGATGAGGCTGGGAGAAATAACCGAGGACTATTGAAGTAGGTTAGATCATCGGACTTGAGAACGCGCAGGTGCAGGCACAACGGTAGTGTGGGGTAAGAACTGGGGAAAGCGCCATCCATTTCCACGGACAGGGTTCTAATAGAGTGACATAAATACTCGCACGATTCATATTTATATTGGTGATAAAGCAAGGTCTCAAGCTACTAGGTATAGTTCCTATTATACAACATGCGCCTTGAAATTGAAGATCCACGGATACTCTAACGTTGTAACCTTATGCCAAAGGTAGTAAAAAGGTTTGAATGTCTCTAGCATTAGATAGGTAGACACTGCAGATGGCGAACCTTGTAGAAGGCCGTGAAATACATATCTACCTATGACTGCTACAAACTCACATACACAAGAACCGTTGACCGACTGCATCCACTGGATCGTTCAACCGGTGACCGTGTTCTTGATTCAATATATAGCCATAGTGCATGGGTTAGTATCCGTAAATTATCCAGACCCTTTTGTCTTCCTTTTCTACAATCCAATGAGCTTCATACAAATAAAAACATTCCTTTTGAAATTGGGATTCATACCAATGCAACCCTATAGACCGAGTGAACCTTAGTAGGTACTCTATCAGTCTCTAGGTAATGGAAGCGCCTGACTACAGTGCATATTGGCTGCTTGGCGGACCACAGGCTCCAAATCAGGGACCATTTATCCGTATACCCTGAAAGATCAGGCGCATATGGCGACCATCCACCATAACAACACATCTGCTTCAGAAGGCGGGACGCATCTTTAATTGATCGTCCCCAAAACCACCCAATCCTTGCTCGTCGCGTCACATCTTGTCCTGCCATCACCTTCTAGCTCTGCACTTGTCCAAACTTAGCTGCGTCTCGGCTTCTCTGCATTGCCCTCCCCTGGTGCCTGAGATATCTAGATACTCTGCACCGCTCTTCTTGTTTTGTTTGGTTTCTATTTAACTGAGACATGGCACGACCTGATCTGACCTGACCTGGCCCACCCTGACGAAGCTCATCTCTTCAATTCTCCCCTCAGATCCCTTGGAATAATCGCCGTGTTCTTCCATATTCATCCTCATTCAGCTAGTAGCTTCCGTTGTTGCTACTGCCGCTACGAACTCAGTCCCACGATTGACGACCGAACCCACGATATCAGCAGACTATCTATACTGTCCCCCCTTGGGCATGGAACCTTAATGACGACATACTTCGACCAAAGACTCCAATAATACCTTCGTCATGACCACCGGTACGAACATTCTAAAATCAGCTTCAACATACCTATATCCTGCCTACTCCTCCCTTATTTCAACAACCATACCTTGGTCACGGCCATTTCTATACCTGTCCTTAAATGACTAACCTCCCTTGTGCAGTGCGCATCTGCGTCTGTGGCGATGAAAACACTGGCAAATCTAGTCTCATCGCATCTCTCGTGAAGGATCAATTTGTCAACAACAAGATTCAACCTATTCTTCCCCAGATCACCATTCCTCCCAGCATTGGCACTCCCGAAAATGTCTCGACCACCATTGTCGACACTTCAGCCCGCCCACAGGACCGACATACACTAGCAAAAGAAGTCCGAAAATGCAATGTAATCCTCCTCGTATACGCCGACCACTACAGCTACGAAAGAGTGGCATTGTTTTGGATGCCACATTTCCGATCCCTAGGCGTCAACGTTCCTGTCGTCTTGTGTGCCAACAAATCCGACTTGGCTGGTCAGAGCACCACGCCTCAGGTTATCGAGGAGGAATTGCTGCCTGTCATGAACGAGTTTCGTGAAATCGACTCTTGTATCCGTACCAGCGCTCGGGATCATCGAAACGTAAATGAGGTCTTTTTTCTTTGCCAAAAAGCCGTAACACACCCCATCGCTCCTCTATTCGATTACAAGGAGGGCCATCTGAAGCCTCTCTGCACCAATGCCCTGAAGCGCATCTTTTATCTTTGCGACAAAGACCAGGACGGTTACCTCAATGAACAAGAGATGCGTGATTTTCAAGCCCGTTGCTTTGACAAACCTTTGACCGCGGACGATCTAGACAATATCAAACTCAGTATCTCGAAATCATTACCAACTTCCGATTTGGAAAAGGGCATCGACCTACCTGGATTTCTGCAACTAAATAAGCTGTATGCCGAGAAGGGACGCCACGAGACTATATGGATCATCCTTCGAAAATACCACTACACTGATAGTCTAAGTCTTGAAGATAAATTCATTCGACCAAAGTTTGATGTTCCAGAATACTCATCTGCCGAGCTAAGTCCTGCCGGTTATAGGTTCTTTGTGGATCTCTTCCTCCTCTTCGATAAAGACAACGACGGTGGTCTGAACGACCAAGAACTTGAGGCTTTATTCGCGCCAGCTCCAGGACTTCCTAATTCTTGGACTGACTCATCATTCCCCTCTTCAACCGTCAGAAACGAGGCCGGTCACATTACGCTACAAGGTTGGTTGGCGCAATGGAGTATGACCACATTCGTTGAGCCCAAGACTACTATTGAATACCTTGCCTATCTTGGATTTGAGCCTCCTAATCCTAAGGATCCTGTCACGGCTGCGCTCAAAATCACCAAACCCCGAAAGAGGAGAAGACGGCCTGGGCGAGTCGAACGTAACGTGGTACTCTGCTACGTTCTGGGCGCGTCAGGGGCAGGCAAATCCGCACTACTCGACTCATTTCTCAACCGACCTTTCGATGGTTTATATCACCCCACCATCAAACCCCGCCGTGCAGTCAACAGTGTCGAGCTGCCTGGTGGAAAGCAAGTATACCTGATTCTCGAAGAGCTCGGAGAGTTGGAGCCTGCAATTCTTGAAAATCAAGCCAAACTAGATGCTTGCGATCTGATCTGCTACGCCTACGACTCGTCTGACCCTGACTCATTCTCTCACATCGTTGACTTGCGAAAGAAATATACATACCTCGATGAACTTCCATCCATCTATACTGCGCTCAAGGCAGACAAGGACAAAACCAACCAGCGCTGCGAGCTCCAGCCTGATCAGTACACCTCCTCACTCAGTATGAGTCTGCCACTGCACGTGAGTGTCACTTGGGGTAGCATCAGCGAGCTTTTCGTCGGCTTTGCAGATGCGGCTACGAATCCCAGCACCGCCTTTCCTAAGAGCAATGAGGAGGGACCTGATAGAACAAGTCTTTACATTGCACTTGGCGCTACAGCCTGTGCGGGAATCGCTGCTTTGACAATCTGGCGACGTGCAGCCAACGCTTTCTAATAGAGACAGGGTTTTATTGGATCTGGTATATGGGCAATAGCCACGTGGATTTCGGTATATCTCGGCTTGTGGAAATATGTACACAGCTTGAAGGGAATTATCAATCGTGGGTTCAGCGGACACTTGCTGCATGAGTAGGAGTTGGAAGTTGTCGTTTAGAGAAAAACATGATACCCAGCTCCATTCAAACATTTCTGTCGCATCGGAACATAATGAACAGACATCATATTTTCTTCTTTTGATCGACTTGCCCTTGAGATAGAGGCGTCGTTTCTCCTATAGAATACAAGCAAGACTCCCAAACGCCAAGCCAACGACACCACCCCCTATACTGGTACAGAATGCATTAGACCTTGTAGAAACAAAAACCGACGTAAAAGCTAGCAGCTTCCATCTCCTCGTCGGATACGAGAAGGGGACCACCACCACGCTCACGTACGCCCATGCGCTCGCTCAAGGGACCTAGCTCCCTGTCATCCTTCTCAGCCTCCCAGATCTCGGGAAAGGTGCGGTGAAACTGCAGCTCGAGGTTGTAATCCTCGGCGAGCGCACGAAAGGCTTCCCAAGGTACTACGTACTCGGGAACTTCCTCCACAGCTTCGTCTAGAAAGAAGTTATATTTCCATCCAAAGGCGGGACGGAACACGCCGTCGTCTGGTGTCTTATCAGGAAAGCGCACGCGGTAGATGGTGTTCCCCCATTCAGCGGTCGGCTCAGCCTCACCCTCCTCCAGCTCGCCGTCCTCTGGCTCTACTTGTTGTGGCGTTGTTGAGCCGTCGCCGTTCTTCTCCTCTTGCTGCTTAGCAGCGCGCTTGGCGGCTGCCTCTTCGTTGAATTTGCGGACTCGTTCGCCGAGAACATCAGAGTTAGGAATGCAGCCAATGAATCGACCTCCCTTCTTGAGCGCTCCAGCCACATTGCGGAGCATGTTGCGCGCATTCTTCTCGGATTCGAAAGCGTAGTGCATGGAGAACATCATGCTGACGACGTCGAAACCTCGACGGTTCATGGGTGAAGGGTCAAATCCAACTTGCTGGATAATCTCAAGGTTCTCGATGGTATCACCAAAACAATCCTTAACATGAAAGCGAGCATCGAACAATCGAGGTGGCGGTCGTCGGTGTCCACCTCTTCCTCCTCGTCCACCACGGCTGCCCAATGTTCTGTAGCGGTCGCGGGCTTGCTCGATACTCACGTCAGCAGGATCGAGGCCAACGTAAAGCTGAATAGGCTGAGGAGCCTGCTGCCACTTGTTGAGATCGCCGCCCTTTCCGCATCCCATATCGAGCACAAGCAAGTCTTTCCCGCTAGAGCGCCCAGCCTCGCGCGAGCCTGGTGTATGATCTTCGTCGGGTGAATAGCGCTGAATGATGCAGCTCTTGATCCAATTGTTGAAAACCCGAAGTCCCTTGATCTTGCTATCCCTTGTCCTCCAGTCGCGACCGCGCTCCGGTACATTGTTGTAGTGCTGTCTGACGAGATCGCTATTGTTTCGAATCCTCTCCTGTTCGGCTTCGGCAGCTTCATCAGCAGCAGCTTCGCGTTCTCGATCGAGCTGGCGCTGTCGAATTGCTTCGCGCTCCGCCTCTGAGATACGCGCACGCGCTCCAGGGCGCTTCAACTTTCGGGGTTGGTCGGATGGCGAAAGGGCGCGTCGCTTTGCTGGTTGGAGTGACTTCGCATTGTATGGCTGCGGTAGATCATCCTGGTGTTCTTCGTTCGCAGGGCGTTTACGATTGTTCCGATCGTGGTCGACCGAACGATCGGAGTCCCTGACCATGTTTGGCGAGCGAGCTCGGTAGAAATTTGTGCAATGTAGTGTTGTAATGTGATCTGAATGTGAATGTAGATGTGAAGGATTGAGACGAGAGATGAAGTCCTGTATCCGTATCTAATCTCAGTGGCCCTGGCAGGCGCTTGGACCATGTAGCTGCAACTCACTTACCCTGTATTCAAGTTTGGTGATTCATGCATATCTTGATGTGTACAACTCCAGTAAGTTAAATGGCGAGGAGATTCCCTTTTTTTTTCTCGTACATGTGCTATCCAACTGAAGTTGTGGGCCGTATAATGGAACCCATTTTCTTCGTCTTTTTCTTGAGTATGTATACGTGCGATTCTCTGACCATCATTCACGATACAATACTATTGCAGTTTGCCATTTCGGTTTACCTCGTTATGTAATTGAGCTCTGTAATTATTTAACAAGATAGACCACTTACCTATGAACAATCCGTTATTGTTGACTAATAGATGAATTTGATTTATAGAGCCTCCCTACAGCATAAATCAACAGGAGTAAGGTTGAGCTGGAACGGGATCAGATGTTGAGTAGTGGAGGTACGTACCATTCCGTCAGTGCGTGTCTCGCTGGAGCCTTGCAGCAACCGCCTGGACCACTCCACTATCGCCTTCCATGCTATCCAATTGACATTACCGTACAACACCAAGCTCTACTGACCTATCTCTGAGCTTCTCTCGTCATCCATCTCCAAAACCACAACAACATCACCGACTGCCAACACAAATAGCATCCCTCTTGCCGAACTCTTAATATTCCCCGATATTGCACATTGCGCATACAACACAAACAAAACCCCGACGAAAAGCAACCGACGCCATCATGGGTTCCGACCCCCAGTACGCGAAATGGCCATTGCTGCCTCTTTCACAGCATGTCTTCACACTCACAAACGGCTACGCCACCAAGAGTGCGCAACAAGCTTCTGTCAAGGCCCTGCAAGATGCCATCTCCCAGGATAAGATGGCCCCGTTTTACAAATACCTCGCCCATCCGCTCGACGGTGTCCTCAACACCGTTGGCGAGGGCGGCTCGACCGCTCCCGGAAGGCCTCTCAGTAGGAAGTCAAGCCTCGTTGGAATGGTCGCCACTAAGCCTGCCGGTACGAACATCAGCCTTCCTTGGGACGAAGGTCTATACAATCAGTTGAAGGAGGACAACGACCGCGAGCTGCAAGAGATCCAGAAAGAAGAGGATGACGCCAACGAGCAAGCTGGTGATACTGAGGTCATGGCTGCCCAGGGCAAAAGGGCAGAGTTCTGGGCTCGTGTTGGAGACAAGGCATGTTCTGAAACTTTGCGCTCTGGGATTATTTCGAGCTCTCCCCGCTAACTCTATTGTAGGACAAGGCTATTACCACCTACGAGAGCATCTTCGAAAAGACGGGCATCCTGGGTAACAAGATCGACCTGGTTCTCGCCATAATACGCATGGGCCTCTTCTACGGCGACAAGCCTCTTGTTAAGAAGCACGTCGAGCGTGCCAAGACCCTCGTCGATACAGGTGGTGACTGGGACCGCCGCAACCGCCTCAAGGCCTACGAGGGTCTGCATCTTCTCACGGTTCGCTCCTACAACCTCGCAGCTCCTCTGCTCCTCGACTCCCTATCCACCTTCACAAGCTACGAGCTCTGCACCTACTCCAACCTCGTCGTATACTCCGTACTCGCTGGCTCGGTCTCCCTCAAGCGTGTCGATTTCAAGTCTAAGGTTGTTGATGCACCCGAGATCAAGGCTATTCTCGGTGATGGGGAGGACAAGCTGCTTGCTCTTAGCGGCGCCCTCAGCGCCGGTCCAGGTGCTGACGACAGCCACGGCACGAAGCCACCCAAGTCGACTGCTGCTGTCAATTTGACCACACTCGGCACCAGCACTGAGCAACCCGAGGCTGAGATGGCCATTGACTTTAGCCCATTGGCGCTGCTCGTCAGCAGCCTGTACAATGGAAACTACAAGACCTTCTTCAAGTCTCTTGCTGAGGTTGAGGAGCAGTTCCTTAACCAGGATCGTTACCTCCATGAGCACAAGAATTGGTTCATCCGTGAGATGCGACTTCGTGCCTACCAGCAGCTTCTCCAGAGTTATCGCGTTGTCGGCCTTGAGAGTATGGCTAGCGACTTTGGAGTTACTGTCGACTTCCTCGACCGGTATGTTATCACTTCGTTTTCGCCATTCACCTGAACAAACACTGACATCACTCTTCTAGTGACCTCGCTCGCTTCATTGCTGCTGGCCGTATCCCCTGTACTATCGACCGCGTGACAGGCAAGGGTGTCATTGAGACCAACCGCCCCGATGACAAGAACAAGCAGTATCAGGATGTTGTGCGCCAGGGCGATCAGCTCATCACAAAGCTACAAAAGTACGGCCAGGCCGTACGATTGAGGGGTAGCGAGAGAGCATAGACTTGGGGAAGTCATTGATTAGGAAGCTGGTTTTGGCAGAATCACGCCAAGAGAGACAACGCAGTGGGGGATGGAATGGGGGAAGACAAAGACAGACAGCGCCCATGCCTTTACCTATTTGTTTGACTGTATGATATGTATTAGACAGGCCATTGCGGTAATAGACTGGCTGGGTCCCGGTGAGGAAACCAAAAAAATGGGCTGATGTTACTGGTACCCCCCATCCACACCGAGGTGACTACTGTGGAGTTGCAAGTGTGTGGCATGATCTGATGTTGAAGAATTGAAAAATCGATTTACCCCAGTCTTTAACTCTCCGGTACCTGCGCATGCAAACAAGGTTTAGCATCGGGGGGATCAGCAGCACGACCACATGGTATTACATTCCGGGGTCATGTTTCTAACATCCGGTAGGCTCACTTGTTTGTGGTGGGTGGAACACGCGATCCTGACGTATCATGAAAATGCTAGATTGGTGAAGTTCTATCTATCCAATGTCTAGTAAGGTAGTGCGCTAAAGATGCAAAATGATTTCCCGTTGATAACACCTGATTTCCCCCTTGCTTTCGCTCCTCGGCATGTCGTGTCGTGTCACGGCGCAGTGCCGAACATTCGGCTCCACACCTCCGAAACACTTCTGGGGACCCCGCCACAAGACCGGGCCCGCGATTAACATAGCGGGGGCCCGATCTATCATCATATTTCCTTCTGATTGTTATTGTTTCTTCATCGGTACTTGTCGAGGAACTCCTTGTGGAACTTGACGATGCTGCCAACCCACTCGGTGCCGGGGGCAAGGAAGGTTGTTCGGAAGTGCAGGGTGTTCTCCTTCTGGCCGAAGCCGGAACCGGGAACGACACAGATGCCGGTGGCCTCAAGGAGGCGCATGCAGTAGAACTCATCGGGGCTTCGGCCCTCTGCCTTGGCAGCCTCGGCAGCCTTCTCAGGGAGCTTAATGGTAGGGAAAAGGTACATGGAGCCTTGGGGCTCGGCGCACTCAACGCCCTCCATTTCGTCAAAGGCCTTGTGAAGAGCGGTGGCGCGCTCCTGGAGGCCCTTGAAGATACCATCGTACTCCTTCTTGTAAAGCTCGTGAGAAGGCTCGCCATGTCTAGGAGGGTTGACCATCAACTCGACGATGCACTGGCCGATAACGGGGGCGCAAAGCATGATGGAGATGAACTTGTAGATGTTGGCCTCGACCTCGTCATCGAAGTTGACAAGCTCGAAGTAACCACCGCGGTGACCACACTCACCAACCATACCTTTGGAAACACTGTGAAGAGAGGCGAGCTCGAGACCGTCGAACTTGCCCGGGTTCTCCTTCTGGAGGTTTCGGAGGACCTGCTTGAAGCTGTGAAACTTGCCGACAAAGACGTTTGTCTGGTAGACCTCGTCGGCCATAACGACTAGGTTCTCCTTGTTGGCGAACTCAAGGACAGCACGGATATCCTCCTCAGGGAGAGAGGCACCGGTAGGGTTGCCAGGGTTGATGATGACAATACATCGGACGTCAATACCGTCGGCCTTGGCCTTCTCGTAAGACGAGCGGATGGTCTCGACATCGGTACCCCAGTTTCTTGACTCATCGAGGAGGTAGGGAACAGCGGTTGCCTCAAGAAGGGAGAGGGTAGCAGTGTAGAGAGGGTACTGAGGAATAGGGATGAGGATGCCGGTCTTAGGAGAGGCGCAGATGACGTTGAGAAGAGTGTTGACACCGGAAGAGGCACCGGCGGAGAGGTAGATGTGGTTGGGATCAGCAGGGAAGCCATCGCGACCTGGTACAAGTTAGTTTGGTCACATGGCAGACGCGAATCAGACGTAACAGTAATACTCACGCTCAATAAACTTGGCGATGCTATCGCGGATAGCTGGAACACCAGTACTGGCACTGTAAGCACCGACAGAGCCGATCTTGCTCAGGAGGAACTTGGCACGCTCGATGACATCGGTCTTGTAGCCAAAGTGCTTGGTAAGAGCCTCCTCGTTCTGAAGCAGTAGAGGGTTCTCAAGAAGACTGGCGACCTGTCGGAAGAAGGTGATGGGCTTCTGATCGAGCTGCTGGGGGTTGCCGATGTTTGCGGAAATGACCTCTTTGAAAGGAAGATCGTTGGTATCGCCCTTTGCGATCTTGGCTCGGTATTCCTCGGACTTGACGGCAAGTTCACCACGAACGGCGTACTTGGCAGCGACAACGCGCTGGTTGATGTTCTCTGAAGTCAATCTCATTTTGGCGGAATATGTAGAGAAAAATGAGGTGAACGAGGTGTGACGGTGAAGTTGTAGGTTGTAGTGGGGGAGGAGAGAAGTAGAACTTTTTGGCGGGGTACAGGCCGATGCGACTAAGGGTCGTGGGGTAGATGTGGCAGTAATAGATTTACTCCAAGCAGAAGCACGGGGGCCAACTTTATATAGAGGAAAAAAAGTCAAACGAGTTAGTTTTCAAGTCATCCAATACAATGTTTGATATCCAAATAAAGTAAAATGTCAATGCTTTGAGGCCTGAGTTTCGCGTCAAGGGGAAGAGTATCAGACAAGGATGAGTGAGAGAAGGAGAGAAAGAGCATACACTGGAGGAGGTATCACACAACAACAAGACTGGTTTTCAGTTGTGTAAGAGGGTATAGTAAGAGTGGTTTTAAAAAAGGAAGATGAAGGGAAAGTTCGAATGGGTAGAGAGGGCAGACTGGATACAAATAGGGCGTAGAAGAGTAGAAAAAAAGACTCAGAGCTAATGTCTAATGGAAACCCATATACAGACACAAGCATGCGGGTATGATACAACATGTACTCCGTAGACTACCTAGGTACCGATACTGGTACTGGTACTGGTGCTGATACTGGTACACTGTAACCAAAGCAAACACCACAAGAGCAAAGGCTAAGAGAGGCCCGAAACCCTTGGGCCTTCAACCTTTATCCACTCACACAACGACATGGCTCTGAACCATCACGACCGCATCCACGTCTGGGGATGGAATGGAGACCAGGGGTGGATTGCGGGTGGATGCATACAAACAGTGCAGTGTTGAGCAAAACGAAATTAAATCAAATCATGGGGTCACCCCAAAATCAGCGCATTCTGTCAGCGATTGCCTGACTTGAATCCGGGGGGCGCATCGTCCATGACGAAGAGAGACGAAAATGTATCGCTTCAAACCAATTAACGGATGACGCCCCTGTCTCTCTCTCTCTCTCTGTTTTTTTTGGAATTGGGGGTTAACGCGGAGAGAGCGTGGGTAGCATGGGGAGAAGGCATGGGTACTCCAAAATGCGCTATAATCAGAGATGGGGGATGGACTCCAGGCCCGGAGCCGGGACCCCGGGAGGCACAGACTCTGTTGTAGGTAGGCTCTGCACTTGCACATGACTGTAACTGAGTATGACTATGACCATGACCCTCTGACAATTCATGATATCCTCCTCCTCCTCCGTTCCCGGTCTCCGGCCACTTGTCCGAAGAAGCCTCGGAGGGTCCCGAGCATAGATAGGATAAGATAAGATAATGGAAGCTCTTCCCGGAGTTTAGCTCGGTGCTGTAACACCGCTCTTCGGCTGTTACTCCAGTGTCGTTCGGAATAAAAGAAAAAACAAGAACAAAAAGAAAATGTAAAGACGGCTGAAAGATAAACATGATAAAACGTAATAGACCAAACTCGAAATGGATGTATGGGGCTTGAAAAGAACATGGGACAGGGCTCATGCAGATGCATAAAAAAGCCGTGTGAAAGGTTTACAAGAGATCCAATCTAGCGTGTTTCCTTACGCCAAAGTGTGCATTGGTCTCCAACTCTGTCTCTCTCTCTGTCTCTTTGATCACCTCTCGAGAGCATCTTGCTCCCGCTTCATTGGGACCGGACCGGCCCTGCAGACTGGGGCGCAAATGCACAGGAAAGGGTATACTCCCGACTCCGTACAGAAAAATCTTCTCTCATCCACAATAGAAGTTCCATGACAAAACGTACCTGAGATGTTGATAGCGGGGCTTCGAGTGCTCGCCCATCGCTGCTGTAGCCCAGTGACAGTGGACTCGTTGATATCGGCACTAACAGCCAACCTCGACGACTCTAGGGGCAAAGATTGCTGACATCGTAGCGTTTGGCCAAGGCGGACCGATGCCACGGGAGTTCGACGTGATAACATTGGATGTCCGGACAGTGAACCAATTTATCTTGTCCCGGCCGGATCTGTATCTGTGGAGGCGTGGAGCTGTGACGCGGAACGGAACAAGGGTGGATTGAGCGTTGGGCACGGTAGTTGAATGAGTGACTGCCGCTCAAGAGATGTATAGTAATCCAAGAGTTTGAGGCACACAAACAAAAGAGTTGGAAGTAACAAGAGACCAGGAAACCAACCTCGAAGTGAGCTGAAAAGTGATTGGGGTAGGTAAATAGTAGAACCGAGTGATAGATATCGGATTCCGTCAAAATCTCGTTTCGCTTACTCCCGCGGCAGGGATTTTTGTGACTGTAAGCTGTGACCTCAAATACTATCCAGTACGGAGTAATTAGTTCACTGCAGATCCGATGCCGCACAATGATACGGAATCTCGATAAGACAGACAAAGGCTTTGGCAAAAGCCGGCGCGGTGGGTATGTAGTAGAGTAGGAAACAAGTCAAGAGAAGGAAGGGGAAAATGGTCTTGTTGGGGTTGTAAAGTTGAGATTGGGCGTCAGCTACTGCAGGTGTGTGTGTGCAATCACTGGCTGTTAAATAACCGTTGCTTGCTGGGCTCTTTGCACCATTTCTTGTGTATATAAAATTTACCCGATATCGTACCTGGTAACACCCCATGCAAGGATTAAAGACTCGCGAGCACCGGTCTCGGATCGAAACCATCCTTATTAGCATCTCTTCTCTTAAAGGCGCTGGTTCAGGCCGTGCAGCGACAACACGCATCACGTAAGGTAGGTATATCACGATAACTGAGGTATTGCTGATTACCCAGATAAGGTATTGAATCTACAGCCCCTCATTGGTCAATCGGAAAGTCAAGCAGCTTCTCGGTGAGGGGCTCCAGCGCTACAGCTCACCGAGATCTGACAGGGGTCACAGCTCCCGGTGCTTTGTTTTCCCGTACCACCGACCAACGTCCTTGGATCCGTAAATTTCCTACGTACTATCACAGCCAGCGCCTGACGTACAGCAAGATCAAGCCATCCGATCCGTGTCAATCAAAATGGCAAAGAAGGGTATGTAGACCATCTTTTGCTACAGTCTTAAACCTCTGTAACTGTAACTTTTGCTGACTACTCTGTCTGTTACAGTCAAGGCTCGTCTGGTGCATGCGCGCCTCGTGTCCATGGCAATGACTGGTTTCTTCTACACTTTCAAGCGACCTAGAACCGCACCCATGATGAGCATGCTGAAATACGACCCCATCGGTACGATCATGCGGCTCACTGTGTCCAAGTCTCCTAACTAATGATGTCAATGGTAGTGCGCAAGAAGGTGCTTTTCCTCGAGTCCAAAAAAAGGAAATGAGAGTCCTCCAACCTCGTTCGACAATATTTCACCCATACCAGAAACCCGACCATCGGATCTCTTGCGTGAGCTAGAAACAGCTCACCAGCCGGCAGCCACGAATTACGCGCCATGTACACTACACCAAAGAGCATTGTTGGAGTTTGGGCTTTGGGATCCTCGCTATTCGAGATGCAACTATACATGTACAACATAGACCACAATCATGACATGGCTGCATCGGCACGCCGCTGAAATCAATCATCAGGACCCCATAATGCTGTGCGGTCCCTATTTATAAACTATATCTTCCTAAGTATGGATGAGTTAAGCAAATTGCCATTCCATCGTCCCCTGTTCACAAAATCGTTCTTTTCAGATAGGCAAACCTCGATGTTGATTTCCTCCACAATACTTGTGCCTTTAATCCCTATAAGCTTGTCAATTCGATATACATACTCGGACTCTGCCTTCTTGTATTCCTCAAAATTTCGCCAAGGAACACGTTCAACGATAGTAAAGTTAGTCGCTTTGCTTCTTCGAGTACGTTTTTCGGATAACATGGTGCGTACGAAGCATCAATGGCCGATGTCTGTCCATCGCATCCACATCTGCAGAGTCATCCTGTGGTTCTTCTGACTTGACCCGTTTCATGGCTGGAGCATTATCCTCTACTTCACCCACGACGGTAATGTTGTGTTTTTTGCCTGGTTTGACTTCGTCCCTCCCATTCGGGTGAATTTCTTTAGCAAAATCCTCCATTGTAGGAAACTCCCAGTCCGGACGCTTTGTCTTGGATTGGACGAGGCCCGAGCGAATCTGTTCTACCATTGCTGGATTGGTAAACCCTGTCATTGAACTCCTTTTAGCCGACACAGGCCTGTTGTATTGGCTATGGTTCGCGGGCGCTCTAATAGACTCAGGATCCTCGATGGAAGAAGCTGTCGGTCGAAGAATGGACCGTGGAATGCTGGCTTCACGTCTTCGAAGTTGCTCCTGTGTGATTGAGGGCGGCTGAGTTGTTGAAGAGACACCCAACGCAGGACTGGCGACAGTTACCTTGCGGCGATACCTTTCTCCCTGGGAATGAACATCAAGTGTAGAAAGGTCACTGAGACTGGCTGTCAGCTTGGTATCGGTACTCTGTGTACAAACCCGGGCAGCAGGCTCTTCTGAGCGTTTTCCGCCGAAGTAGACCGACTCAGTTCCGCTAGTGTTTGTCTGTGGGTTATGGATGTCAACATCTTGAGAGGTGGTGCTGAGTTGCTCATTGACCCAATGGCGTTCTTTGCCCAGGTATAATGCCGTGGACTGCATCATCTGGTTGAGGTCGACCATTTTGTTAAAAGTTGTATTTAGAGTTTCCACTCGAGGTACATGCTCGCTCATGTCTTGTAGCTGGCTCTTTAATGTCTCAATGGCCCTGAGATCCTGGTGTTGTCTCTGACATAGTTCACCGTTAGCCTTAGAATCGCTCTCAAATTTGGCGAGCTGCTCTTGCAAAGCACAAGTCTTCCTACGCTCCTCGGCCAGAGTCTCGCGCAGGAGCTGCGATTCTGGATCGTTAGATGACATTCCTTCGAGTTGCAATTTGACTTGTTCGAGATGCGTCTTCAATGTCGCCTGCATCCCTTCAGACCTGGAAATGTCCTTTTCAGACGCTGTTTTCTCCTCTCTAAGCTTCTCCTCAAGTTGGATTCTGATCTCCTGAACAGCCGTCTGTAAGTGCTTTTTGGCTTGTTCATCGCTGTCATGCATGGCAGACCGCATTGTGTCTAGCTTCTTGGACCAGTCCTGAGAAACCTGACGTAGAGTTTCCTCTAATTTGCCAATCTTTGATTCTCGATCCGTAAGCTGTTCGATGACCTGAGTACTGTAGCGACTTTGAAAACCTTCTTGCCAAGCTGAGCGACCGGTGGCAAGCTCATCTAAGATGCTCTTGGTTTCGTTGCAGGTCTTCTGAGTTTCGATGGTTTTGGTAGATATATAATCAAGATGTTCACCAAGAGCCTGACGGGTTTCCTCACGCCATTGCTGGTCTTTCGACTGAAACTTCTGCTGGTCCATAATACTGCTATGCAGCTTCCCGAAGTGATCGCTTATCGTGTCTTGAAGGGATGTGGCTGATTGCTCAGCCTTTGCCTGGGACGAAATGACGTTGTGTAGTTCTGATGTAAGGCTTGGAAGTTTTAGTACAAGATCTTATATCGAACGAAGGCAATTCATACCGGGAAAGGATGTTGGCCTGCAGATCTTGTATCATTGATTTGAAGTCCCCATTAGTCAATTGGCTCTCAGTGGATACTTTCAGCTGATTGCCCATCAGATCGAGTCTGCAATTTTGTTAGAAAGAGCTGATGTTTGTGAAGATAGCTTACTTTTCCGAAAGAATGACCGTCGTTTTATCACACTTTTCACTCCACTCATTCTGCTTGTCGTTGCTGTCTTTTAATGATTGTATATCAGAATGGATCGTTGTAATTTTATCCAGAAGGGCTGACTCTGATTCGAGCCGGGATTGGAGTTCGACTGCCATATCTTTCTCACGAGCAAGTTCCTTCTGTTGAAGCTCAAGTTGTGTCTGCAGTTCTGAAATGGTGCGATTTTCTGGGTTGCACGGTTAGCCTTTTGGTTTGGGAGCGAAGTCTGAGGGATCTTACTTTGCTTCATCTCTTGCTCTGCCTCCGCCCGATATTCTTCAATGCAATCCCTCAGCTCCTCACGCTTCTTCTGACTGGCTCCAAGTGCTACTTCAACTGCCTTGGCATCGGCTGCACGCTTATCTTTTTCTTTCTGCAACTCCTCGTTGGTTTCCTGGTGAAGAACACGAGTCCGAGAGAAAAGTGCTTGCTGCTCTTCGATAGCCTCGTTGAGTTTGGCTTTGTTCTTGCGATACTTTTCCTGCATCGATGTCGCATGGTCTTGAGATTTGGCCAGATCCGAACGCAAAGATTCCAGCTCGACATGCAGTTTCTGTCTTTCCTTTTCTGCAAGAGACCCTGCTTTTTCCAATTTATGACAACGGCTCTCCGACTCTTGGATTCGGGAATCCTTTTCAGACAAGACTTGCATTGATTTCCGCAAAACCTCCTTTGTATGGTTGACTTTATCCTCTAGACGCACAATCTCTTGAATAGCTTCGTGACGCTCAGCCTCAGCAATCTGGATGCATTCATTCCAGTGCTGAGCTACATTCTGCATTGCAACCTTCTTTCTATTCGGATCATTTGTTGGCTGAGATCGGACTTTTCGTCTTGTGGAGCGTTTCTTGGATATGTTGCTAGCTCTGGATTGCGAGCGGCCACGATGGCTGTCCCAATCTCTGTAATGCTCTGATGTTGGAGGCGGCTGACTGGACCTATGGCTACGTGAACTGTAGCCCCGGGCCGTTGTGGCTTTCGGAGTCTGTGGGAAAGGGGTTTCCAGATCACCGCAAGCACTGGAAGATGATGGATGATGTTGACTTCGCTCTGCACGTACGATATGCGGAAGCGGAAGTTTCAGCTCTTCCAGTTGAAGTCCTAGTTCCAAGTTCTTAACATTAATAAACATTTGAACGAACCCCTACCAACTTACGACGGTCGTTTGGCTGGAAGGATGGAAGTTCGCTCCGTTCCCCTGTCTGCCCAGGATCGTTGTCTTGATCAACCATTCTAAGGCATTCTGAAGCGCTTGAGAACAATTCAACTTTTGCAGGTGACTTACTCATGGCAGTGACGGAAGGAGAGCGAGTACGGGAAACTGCGGGACTGTCAACATGTGTGATCGTAGCGCCATCAACTATCCCTGTAGAAGAGGCCTTTCCGGGCAACGATCTTGGGGTGTGGCTAGATGAACCAACAATGCTATCACGTCGTGGAGCAGGAGAGTTCTCAGGGTAAGAACCTCTGCCTACCAGTCCGATCTCAGGGAGATCTAATGGTGCTGCGGGCTGGGCAGTTTGGAGAACAGGAGCATGTCGTTGGTTAGATAGAGGGCGTTGAGGGAGTAGGCCCGGCGGTTTGGGGAAAAAGCAAGAAGTCTCTGTTGCTTGAGACTTTTCTGCTCTGGGTCTCTCAGAGAATTGTCCAGGGTGAGGGGGCTTCTTCTCGCCAAAGCAGAAGCCCTCGGAGATGGTAGATATTGAAACCTCCTCTTCAGGTACAGAGAACCGCTTCCGAGGTGGTTGGGCTGTGAAAGGTTTAGTTACCACTTGGGAGTCCGGAATGACGGAGCCAAGCTTATCGAAGTCTCTCTCGTCTTCAATATGGTCAAACAGGGCCAGGCTGCCCTCTCTTCTGGATCGCCCTGGAGATTTTGATTCTGGCGAGACATCCATGAGGCAAACGAGTAGCTGTTTGACCTACTAGGCCTTGTGGGAATGGGTATGGTGAGAGAAATGGAAACTAATATGAGTAAGGACGAGTTGATGTTGTCCGATTCTATGTGTGTTGGGATGATGCGAGATGGGACATTTCAAGTTAGCAAATACTTGGAGGAGAGACGATAAGCTCCTCCTGGTCTTTCCCCTGGTTCTTGAATTCCCTTTTCTGAATGTAGTTTGTCAGAACAAGGAAAGGCATACATGTCGCAACTTCCAGTTAGTCCCCAAGCATGGCGCATGAGTTATTGAAAGGAAGGTGCCAACATCACAATTACGAGTTACCTACGCCAATACGACATCTGCATGGATAGGTAGTTCCTTCCATTACAAAAGCCGCCAAGTTTATAACCTTAGAACTTGGGTGATACCAAGAGGAGTCTTGTATGGTAATTTTGTTATCTATCAACGAGGGCATCTGGTGACCTCATTTGAAGATATTCGCATACTCCCTTGAAATGAGTCAAATTAACAGGAACGCCGTGTAGACAAGGAAACACAGGCGCCGTACAACGGGTATGTGATGGGATAATGTGGCCGAGTCTTCGCATGTGAACAAATTGACTAGAAGATGCCAAGTCATGGATCGAGAATCTCAATGATCATAGCTGATGTAGGTAGTCGATATCTTTCCATCTGTTTGCCTTTTCGTTCAATTCCTATCCTTTGTCTTACCCAACACTGCAGTTTCAAGCAAGAGTTTTCGACAACGAGCCAACTCAGGATATATATATATAAGTAATAAAGCAGATATACTGAATGTATTCCATTCAGAAGAATCTATTTATGACCTTGAAATATATTTGCACAAGTCTTATAAACGAAGAATAGCTTATTATAGTTTATATAATTTCATACAAAGTACGGAAGATAGCAAAGGATCGGAACCTCTGCATGTCCACTGTAACTATGACCTTAATGTGACGAATATAAGGATTTCCTAGACTTGGCAAGATAAACCCAATCGTAGCTAGAACTGCTCCTGCGTTCGCTGCTAAGTTATCCCGAGCTACTTACCGAGTCATTGGGTATGTCGTTCCTAGCAAGCCTGTTCCTCGATAAAGAGCGTAGGTAGTAGGGAGGAATATCTGCATCCGCACATGACTGTGACGTTGGATTGCATGTGTAGCAATTCAAAAGAACCAAACCATCGTGCTAGTGATATGGCCAAGAATGGCTAGATGCTTCGTTCGGGTTGGCAATGCCATCGTAGTATACATATGTGATAATATCAGTCTCCAGTCAAGCCTCAACTACTGTACAATGTACCAGGGAGTGTGATCATCATGGTGGCCTCGCTTATCATCACATACGATGCTCCTGCACATAAGCCGACCTTTTTACTTATCCTGAACACCCAACTCTGGCGCCTGCTTGATTGAAGATCGTGTCGTATCGCATTGCCAAGTATTCTCGCTTAGCTGTGAGGCTCTATAATGGCAAGATCAAGATCTCCTCGCCTAGATGAAACTCTAACACCCTTCAACATCATACCTGACCACATAATGCAAGAGAAGCATATCGAGGGCTAAAAATTGCCCCTGGCGCTTCGCTTGCAAGATTGACGTTGACAAAGCTTGGGCCACCGCCACTTTGGAAATGCAGCCGCCGCTATCACCGACCCAACATCACGGTGTGAAACGCATTTCCAACACCCACATGCACTACAACTTAATCCCCAGACTAAGACGTCGCAGAACCAATCCAGCGACTTGTCACTGTGAAAGATAGGCATGGAAGTATTTTCTTGGGCACAAAAACGGCCCTGCATTAATCACCCTTTGGCGCGTGACGACAAGCAGGCATTGGTGTTGTATAAGTGCGTGTACGGCACCTCATTGGCTGGACCCCTGTTTGAGGCTTTGCCGCTCAGCGCTTCGAGCTGAACCAACACCAATCACAGGAGTGCATGGTGCTATATCGCGGTTCCTGCTGTTGTGCTTGAGTCTCGACCCCTGTGTAAAGATCCAATAACGATTCGCCTTGAACCTTCGGGAGTCAAAGCTAGGTCGGCATCAAGGGGGTCCTCGAACTGGGTACCACACATGTGGGGGACGAAAATAGAGATTCATGAATGTAAATACAAGTGGCTGTCCTCGAACAAGGGCAGAAATCTCGAGAAAAGTCTAGCCCTCTCATATTGATTACATGGTGTTGTTGCCGTATTCTATCATCTAGGTTCTGTGAACCTTCTACTGACCTCCTTCGACCAAAATCCAAATATCAACCAGTCTTACATACAAGCACGATGACTTCAACAGAGAACCCTTTCCCACTGGCATCGGAGAGCTACCATGACAGCGCCCCAAGTACCGACTCTGGCAGCGAAGCTGGTGCTGCTGGTGACAGCTCAGGCAACTCCGTTTCCATCTCCCAAGGCGGCATGATTGCTATTATCGTTGTTGTTGTCGTCGTCAGTATCATTGGCAGTATGTATTTCCCGTATGCAACGAGCTACCGCATGCGCTGACTCTGTCATAGTTTCCACAGCTGTCCTGTTCTTCCTTGCAAAGAGACGCGAATGGACAGTCAGAGAGACACTCAGGAAGTCTGCCCGCAAAGTTGTTACCGCCCTCACTCCTCGAAGAGCAGAGTTCCCATCTTCGGTTAAGGATGGGCCTGTTCCATCTCACCGGAATCGCACACGTATTGATGATGATGTCCCACCAACACCTAGAATTCGACCTGAAGATCTTGAGAAAGGCTTAGCTCAAGCCAAAGCAAAGCGCAAGGAGAAGAAGTGGTCCAGGAAGTGAAAGGTAGCCCAAGGACAAGATGGCATTTAGAAGTGGTTTGCATTTGACAGTCACGATGGCGGGGAATTGTTGCAGAAGTTGGGGGATGTAGTTGATGGTAATGGCCTCAAGCTGGTGTTTCCAACGGACAGGATCCGGGTATCATCCATGTATAAATAGTAAGCCCTCATGCGTGGGCTGTCTCATCTTTCTCCATGAACTGAGCAATAACGCCTTTGCTATTTTTGATAATAAATTCCAAGCGCCTGTTTTCCCTTTTTTAAATTCTTCTAAACGTGTTACCACTGGCGCTTCGCCGTGCAGCTCCAGTTCGGTTGTCTCGGGGCTCGGCAGGAAGCTCCTCCTCTCTTTTCTTCTGCTTTCTCCTTGACTCCGGGATGAACGATACTTGCCGTTCGCCCACAATCTCGCCGTGAGCTTTGTTGACTCGCCCCGACTTCTGATGTCTTGAACCAAGCGCTGTGTCCCTGACAGCCCGTCCCTGGTTGCTGGTTGACGAAACACGCATGACAACGTCATCCTTGTCCTTCTTCTTGGGCGCTGCAGCCGGCTTGTTGTCCTTATCATCATCTCCGGAGTCGTCATCATCGGAGTCCTTGCCTTGATACCGGGTTGGAGCCTTGGGATCAGTGTGTTGTTCCACCATAGTGCTTGGGTTGAGAGCACGGAACTCTCCAGTGTTCTCATCCACCTGGAAGGCCTCATCCTCGAACATCTTGTTGAAACGATCATCGCCAAGAACACCAACCTTGGTGTCAACCTCCTCTCGGTTCTCCTGCTTCTTGAGAAGCTTGTCAACCATCTTCTGGTTGACCTTGACCTTCTTGGTGCCTCTGATTCTGCTCGCGCGCTCCTTCTCGACCTTGTCCTTGATACGCTTCGTCCTCTCTTCCTCCCAGACATATGGGTTGGCGATCAATCTGGCCTGCTCATACAGCTTAGAAGCCACAAAGTATCCGTGCATGTATGGTCGGAGCAGGTTGGTCTTTCCAACCAGGTGAGACAAGCTCAACTGCTTCAGTTCGGGCAACGTCAAGAATTTGTAGTTGTCATATGTTTCGGTGTGCACCTCTTCCGCCATCTCTTCGACCATGTTGTCCAAGAACGAGCACCATTTGGGCGCGGGGCCAAGCTGAGGAACGAAGAAAGCGTGCTGTTGCTTGCCTTCGTTGGCTGTCATGATCATACCGGTGTTTTTGCACCAGGCGACGTCGTTGATATCCACAATAGGTTCCACGGATGTCCAAGGGTCTCCAGTCTGCTCATCCCAAAGCTTGATGATGCGCTTATCCGCGGACAGAATCTTTTTCTCCTGCGACGCTGTCGTCATGTGCATGAGCTTGTGTACGGGGAAACCGTAACCTTGGTCCTTCTTCATAAGGGGCACAGGTCGTCGTAGATCAAAGATTTGCATCATGCCAGTTGACGAGCCGGTGACGATAGAAAGACCCGAGGGGCTGAAGTCAAGTGCTGTGACTTCACCTTCGTGGCCGCCCAGCATAGCAACTCTCGACTTTGATCGTGGATCCCAAAATTCAACCGTTCCTATCGAAGTTCCAAAAGCAAGCAAATTGTGAGTATTTGCCGCGATCGCGGCTGTGTTGACACTGCCGACCCCAATACCTCCTTGCAAACCACCACCAGTCAATTCGTCATCGCCACCGACGTCAACTTGGTAGGACTTCATGAAACGTCCCAACTCGAGGTTCAGGCGAAAAACCTCGCCCTTACCATCACCGTCTAAGCCGACGGATGGTACAAGAGCCTCAGTAGACTGTCGGTCGTAGACAAGAGCTCGACCATATCTAGGAAGGCGCACTTCGTAGTGACAACCCATGGGAGTGTGGAATTCGAGCCGGCGGTCGGTTTGAAGGTGTAAAGACTTGGAGTAATCGGATGACAGGAGTTCAAATGAGTGGTTGAGGGCGTTGGTGTGACGGGCAAAAGAAAGCGACAGCTGAGGTAGGTTGTGAACATGAATCTGCGGCTTGTATGTGCCGGTGCTCATGACCCAGTCACCATCCTCACTGACACGAATGCAGCTGCTAGCTTCCTCGAATTCGAAATCTTGTAGAAGCTCGACACGGTTCTGGTACTCGGCGTCGTCCTTCAAACTTCTCTTTCTGCGTCGCGCAAGCCAGTCAGGCAGAGGCCGGGCTGAGGATGCGCCCGAGATTGTGTACACGGGAACGGTTCCCGGATTAGAAAGCTTCATAGCTGCGGTGTTCCAGATGAACCGTACGAACGAGGCTTGGTTTTTGGGTGAGCGAATGATTAATGGAAGTTTTGCGATTTCATAGCGGATGCGACTAGACTTGGAAAAAAATCAAGGTGAAGAAAAATTGTGCCCCACTATGTTCGGTGAGTTCGGTGACTCTCGGTGAAGACAATCTACCCTCCTATTTGCTGCTGAACCCGTAATAAACCCGGTCCCTTCAAATTGGCCCCTACGTCCCTGGCGAATCCAGCCGGCAAACCACTGACGTCCTTTGACATTCCGTCTGGGACCCCCTAAACACGTCCCTTATTACTCCCCAGGGCGTCCATCCTAGCTAAGGCCCTGGCTCTTCCGCGCGACAACCTCCACTGAGTTCTATCTCCGCCAACGCCTATTCTGGTCGCGACAGACATCATCAAACATCGCTCTAATCCAGGTTATTGTCAGCTCGTTTCTTTACAACACAACACCGCAACATCGACCTAATGGCATAGCTTCTAGATTCATCACCATAATCTGAAGGACTACCTCACCAACCAGGCCAGTCCAGTTTCCGTGGCGCCATCCCCGAGCTACTTGCTCGGCACACCTGTCTTGCTCGTTGAGATGGAGTCCGGCGAGTCGACGGCCCCAACAACTACAATTCGAACAACCATATTTCGAAGAGCCCCGTGTTAACCTAAGATTTGATTGCTTAAAGGTGATAACTTGTAGCGTTAGGCCCATTTAGGCTTGCGCCTCGCCGTTGTGCCTGGAGCCGCATTTACGGTTGCGACTTTCGGACGGCGAGGAAGTTGTCGCAATGGAGACCAGTGAATATGAGACGAATACATTATCGATAGTGAGTCACACAAACCTAGTGAAGCTCACCGACTAACCCTTGAATCTTTAAGAACAACATCGCGTCAATAGCCTTTCGTATTTACGAGCCATCGTCAGACCAATCGCACACCTTCCAATCGTCCGCTCTCGAGATCCAAAGTGCGCTGCGTGATCAAGGGAAACTTGTTTCATATGACACCGATCGAATAGGAATATGGGTCTTCCAAATCATTAGCAAAGATGGAGCAAGCAAGACGGTCAGTTTTGCCCAAGGAGCCAGTCTCGAAGCTTGCGGCTACACGCTAGGAATGGTAGATGAGGGCACACTCGAACCTGTAGCTTTACAAAAGAGCCGCACCCCAGGCAACACTACGCAGAACTCCTCGATTACTTCGACCGTATCTCCTGCTGAAACAACCCAGCGTACTCCCCTTATTTCACCGACACAGACCGCTGCTGGAGGATTCTCAGAAGCTAGCTCTCAACCTTTAAACCAGGTTGCCGATAATCGGACGACGCAGCCAGCACCGAAGATCGTTTACGAACAGTTCATAATCGCGGCAATATCCTCCGTAACAATTGCGTTTTGCAGCCAGTCTATGGCAATCCCTCTCAACTACAGGACAATATTGATCCCACCATTGCAAGCCGATGCAAACGAACATGAAAGAGGCTCTTTGCAAGCCGATCCCGTTATCGGTACATTCAAAACCTACATCACAACCACTGGCTCCCTTGTTATCAGCCTTTATTTCTCGCATTGCAAGAACTTGGCCATGGCGGAGGATGCGTATGGTGGAGATTCCTCTTTGCCGAGCAGCTCGATTTTAGCTGCCCCCTATGGTGTTTTTGCAACAAAGCAGAACTTTACGAATGGGGATGGGGATCGAAGTTATGCACAGACGCCAAACACCCAAGCCTTGAGTGTTAGAAGTATACCAGACACAACTGATTCTCTTTGGAAGCATTCATGCCTCAAAGCACTCGAACATTGCGGGCTCAACTCATCCAGTTTCAAAGCAAGTTCCTGGGTCAATCTTCTCATCACTAAGCCAACTTCGCAAGATGCAGATGGAGAACCGAAACGGTCTCGAGCGACCGTTCCATGGCCTCGAGCACTCTGTTTCCGAAAGAAGCCCATGGAGGTGTCAACGACACACCGTATTGGGGATACCATACTAAGTGGCCATGAGGAGTGCCATGATCCTTTGGGTGATGCTCGTGGATGGTTCGCGAGTTCGTCGGAAAGGGAAGAGAGGATCTCCAAACGCAAAGCCGAGCGGACTCTTGCTATCCCTAAGGAAGTGAACGGTGCTAACACACAAGCTCAAAACATCAATGGACAGTCCCCCTTAGCAATGCGGCGACCCAGCACTGCCGCTGCTGCTGGTGTCATGTATCCGACACCTCCTGATGCAATTCAGCAACATCTTGGCGTCACTCCTTCTATCGACGGGGCGATTTCAAGCCCCAACAACCCGCCCCCAACTCTTGCAGTTGTTGATACTGATATTATGATGCCAACAGCGACACCGGTTGCTGACGCTGACCATGATGGATGGGGAGGTCATCATGAACAAAAGAGAGAACGAAGCGATAGCAATGCCATCCCTGACTCAGATGACATAATGAACGGCATGGGCGAGGACGTCTTTGGTGACCACGATGTGACGGAGGATGATTTCAACTTCTTCGATGGCCCGGACGCCAATGACTTGGATATTGATATGGTCGATTTGCAGCCAAATCTTCCTCCTCAACAAGCGATGCCTCCGCCGATAGTATCACAACCAGAGCCCCAGAAAGGTTTTGTGCCACAACCTGAAGTCAAGCCAAAAACCAAGACCAATGATTCTGTGTTTGCTAAGCCAGAGCTGAAGCATGCCCGAAGCTCACTTAACGACGAGATTAACCACAGGGTTAAGATTGAGCGACCGCACTCCAACAAGCGCGGATCAAGCCCCTTTGATCCAGCCACTGTTTTCAAACGAGTTCGGGCCTCTCTGGCTAGTCCTACACAAGAGGGCTTTGGTCTTCAGCCACCATTTCGAAGAAAAAGCAGTATTTTTGAAAAGGTCGAGTTCGACCCCAAGATTCCCTTAATTAACAAGAAGTACGAACATGGTGGTGCTTTTGACTTTTCAAAGGATCAGTGCAGTGAAGATTCAAGGCGTGATGCTCGAAGTCTTTCCCGAGACGAGTATCTTGAACGGCAAGGAAAACTCAAGCCTGATTCGAAGCCGCTCCCCGGTGGCTCTCTGATCCGAAGCCTGACTGGTGTGGATGGGCCTACTGCTCATGCTAGCTCTCAGAGACTGAATGGAAATGCATTTCTTTCAGAGGACAGTGATATTGATTCCGATGGGGATGACTTGAGCTCGCTTTCTGGTGGACCCGTTTCGCCTGTCAAGTCTAGCGTGAAACGAACAGTGGTTGATGATGATGCTCTTTCGCAAGCTACAACGTCGAGAGAGGCAGATCTGGCAGATGATGCCGCCGAAGAGCAACTTGCCATTGAGCTCCCCAAATTGTCAAAGGCGGAGTCGCCAGAAATGCTACTGCACCGTTTCTTCTCGGACCCGGAGCCACTCAATGTGGATGTAGGACTTTCCAACCAGGACTTTGTTGAGGTTGCACAAATCATCACTGAACAGGCTGCCACTGGACGACTTGAAATTGGCATTGACCATAAGAACGATTCATCACTTTCGCTCGCAACTTTGAGAGGCCATGAATTGGGCATTGCCCGTAGCTCGCTTCAACTGCTTCATAACATTATTCCACCCAATCTAGGGAGTGCTACAGCCGTGCGGTTGAAGGCTTTGCTTGAGATTCAAGATCTTCCACTTGTGGGACAACCGAACCGTCTCCAGCCCCGACCGATACCAGGCAGAGATCCTAACTCTGAGCACCTGAGGGCCAACAACCTATACCAAATTCCTGTGCCTCATCTTGAAGTTCGCAGATCAGAGACGAAACTCTCAGTGCTTCCATCATCAGTACAATTCTGGGAAGGCCTTGGACTGTCACCTTCATGGGGAACAAAAGACATCACCGCGCTCTGCATATTTCCAGGTTGGAAAGGGATGGCTGATCATGTTGGAAGTTTCATCAGCCGCTTGAAGAGTGTATATGAATCTCTAAAACTGGGCAATTTCAATAACCTGGCCTTGTCTGGAGACTGGGAAGATGGCGTCTTGCCATATGAGGTTGATAGGATCTCAACCTCACCTGACGCAACTGTCACGGGCCATGGCTCTGCCCTCGTGGAGAGTATGGAAGTGCTCCGAAGCTCTCTATCGGAGTGGAAGTCTAAGGACAAAAACCTGGTCATCTACTTTGTTTATTCACCCGACAACCCAGCCTCTATCATTGAAGCATGCACCGCCTTTTACCGTTGTTTCGACGAGTATAGTGAACTCTTGGCAGCTCGTCGGGAATCTCCCCAAAATGAGTTGGTACTGCAGCTGGTGTCGTCGGAGCTGATTTCATCTACAGCGTCGCTGGTTGTGCCCAGCCCCGCAGAGATGATCAAACTCTGTCTGGAGACATACGACAGATGCACGCTGTTTCTGGACTTTGAATTTGGAGGTCCGACTCCTGCTCCAGCGATCATGCTTGAACAGCCTCCGCCTCGAATGATAGATTTCAAGCTTACAACTTCGCCTTCTCAGTCTCTCATGCATGAGAATTCGTGTCTTCATGTTGGATATGCTGAAAGTCTTGACGGCCGGTGGATTACAGCTGCATGGACCGATAACCGCGGACAACGGCAAGCGACTACATCCTACTCAATCACAAGGAGCAGAACCCCTGACCGCACTACTTCTCTACACAAACAGGCCATCATGGCTGAAATTTGGGCGACGACACTGACCATGATGGCGGTTTGGAAAGTTCATTGGCGAGTGATTATTACCAAGTCAGGGCCCATGGACCAGAAGGAAGTGGAGTGGTGGCAAACAGCATCGACACTGGACGACAAACACTCCTTTACCATGATCCTGATGTCTGTAGATACCAACCCATCTCTACAGCTTGTGCCACCGGCTGTGAGGGTTCCCCATGCGGCAACTTCGGCGTTCTACTCGACCCCGGCATCTACACCCCAAGCCAGTATCGTTTCGCCGGAGCAGACCACGACTCCAGCAACCCCCATGCGCGAAAACATGACCTTGGCTGCTACACCAGGTGCAGATACTGCTACAGAAGCAGATGCTGACTCTTTCCTGATCGACGCCACTGATCAGACATGGGGCGCTATTGTCGGACATAGACTCGGCAATTCTACCACGCTGCTGGAGGTGAGACCCGCACTTGCCAGCGGTTACTTGATTAAACGGACGGGAATAAAACTCGAGGATCCACCTGTGGTGATGGAGGTCAATCTCGTTCATACAGAGGCCACTCCTCGTGCATATGAACCTCTTTTGAGAGAAATGTTGTGCTACTTCAGGGGTTTAGGGACCCTAGCCAGGGCACGAGGTGTCGTAGACCGCGAGATGGATGTTCGGCCTTGGCATATTGCTGCAGCGGAGAAGGGCGTGCGGGCGCTGCATCTGTTGCTATAATGATTAGGCACTGGCAGGCGTCGTTGTCAGCTGGCTGGTGAAATATTGGCGCATGGCGTTTTTACTTTGTGGGTGCATATATTACGATTGGATAGTTACCTTATGATGCAAATACACTTGAGCTTATATTCCCGTCATACACTACATTGTATCGCTTAGACTGTTTAGTACGATATACACTGTTTTCTTTTTGTTGTCAGGAGAAGGAACATAAAACTAATGAAAATGAACACTCAGAACTAGGACCCGTATTGGATATAAGAATGGGACCGTCTATAGGCATGATATGTAAAACAAGATAAGAAGATTGAAGGAAAAGAAGATGGTCATAGAGAACCGGAGGGGTAAGGTAGAACGCCGCCGAAGCTATATTGACTTTAGCTTTGAAGATCCGTCAGCTACCTGGGACGGGCATCTTACACCTAAACAAATGTTATTGCAAAAGCTTTTCTGTAAACCAGTCCTTCTCATCCTGTCCGCTTCGCCCTCGTCGGCGCCACAGTTGTTTTTGGATATCCCATTCCCAGAAACGGTGACCTGGATGCATCTCAAAGTCACTGCGTCTGGCCTCGTTTCCCCCTTGATTCTCATCCTCCTCTTCAGAGGTAATGCATGTATTTCCATCTACCAAGGACCAACCAGAGGTTGGAGAGTTGGGGCGTGAGTGTCTGGATACCGCATCAGTAGACCTTTCCGATGCATCTTGCTTACTGTTGGCATCTGAGCTGTTCAGGTAAACCGGCGGTGTAGAATATGAGTTCTGTCCACTTGCGCTGCCTTTGAAGGCCACAACCCAGTTCTCATCTGAACTCGCGTGACTTATGGTGTCCATCGCTGAAACGTGAAGATATTCTCTGGCTTCAAATGGCCTTTCCACCTCTTCTTGTCTCGAATCTGAAGTGCTATGACGGAGAAGGGGAGGCTGGGCTTTTTGGGAGTAAAGATCCACGTAATACTTTAATTTGTCTTGAGACTGTTGGTTCACAGGTACTAACCCGTGCCTTGCAAAGTCTTCTGGTGAGTTAAGCTGATGGGTGAAGTCTTTGTCAAGGCAAGAAACACTTGAAGCTTGGTCTTGCGAATCCTTAGGAGGGGTGAGGTGAACACTCTGATACAGCTCCTCCGTGCTGTCTCCGAGAATAAGGTCCTGCTCTAGCCCAGGAACAACTTGAACGCGGCTCGTCTCAAGGTTCTCTTGTTGTTCGGATCCCGGGAAAGCCCACGATATCCCCATATCAGGTGAGATGTTGGAAGACTGTTTGCCATAGATACTAGACATTTGCTTCGCAATGTTGTTGGAGATGAAGCCAAAAGCCCCTCTTCCGATGGACACAACAGCGATATGGCATGGCACGATAGATCCATTCTGTTTAGATCCTGATTTACTAACAGGAAGTTGCCAACAACTTGTTATAATAATCGTTTGTGTGGCATGTGTCATTTCTCTGGTTTTCTAGGCTCGACTCGTCAACGGCCAGATCAATATCTAGAGGGCGAGGGCAGTCCAACTTACACAGCCCAGGGATAGGGATTGATGATATATGAAGGGTATGGAAGCGTTCAAGGATGAACGGTCAAACGAGTGCAATTGGGGAGCCCCAGTGAGGAAATAAGGAGTTTAGTTGGTTGAGGCTCAACTGGCGGAAACATTATAGTAAGGCAACCAGGGGCTTATTCCTTCGGTGTTGACTTGTCTTTAATATTTATACTGGAGTAGGATCATAGACAACTCTTCGTGTTTGGTATTCGCGCCCGGTATGAGAGAAAAATGGGCAGATGAGCAAGCTTCTCATCGAATTGTCTCTAATCAGGCTGAGAAGAAGATGAGGGGGTGTTCTTGGTTGAGACACCCACGTAATAGCTCGAACGCCCACATGTGAGCTGTCATATGGCATCACGTCTTATCCCATCACATCACCTTGCATTGCAGCAGCATGTCATCAGCCCCAAGAGCTAATGAAAGAGGCGAAAGCGGAATTACGAAGAGATAAGACCTCGAGCGAGTTATGAGTTGGCGTTTATTGTATTTACCATGAACTACCAGACGTCACAAGTTGCATGATCCTGTCAAGCCTCAGTATTCAACAATTACAATTACCACAATAGGGACCTCCCTCATGGTTCGGCCTTTATGAAGCCCCGCGTGTATCTTATTGTTTTCATGCGTTGTCACTTGATAGCTCCCTCAGCTCTACCAATCGAGCCAACCACCATGCAACATGGTCTTTTGGACTTTGAATTACTGCATAACGGGCACACTTTTCTTTCTTGGTTACAAGAAGATGGGCAGGATGAAAAGACAACCCCCTGGTAGTCGACGCTAGACAGAACATGCGGTGTTGTGGGCTTGCAGCAGGACATGGCAAGAAAGCTGTATATCAAGCAGGTATTGTCTTTGTGGTTTCTGCTCAGCACTCTGAAATTAGTACTGGAATTAACATGCGTCTTCCTTCGTAGCCAACCATACAGCGTTGTTCATTGAGGCTCTGCTGAAATCGGACTGTGGGTAGAATGACACGCATATTATAAGGCTCTGTAGGATACTGTATTTCATTTGCACAACATACAACGCTTCTGCCTCTTGCTGCAAGGTATCTCTGTGAGATCTGGACCTGTGGTGACTCGAATTTTCCTTCGATTTACTGAACTTTGTCGGGATACTCGTCGAGTCTTGTACTTTCGCCCACTCTCTCCTATGTTGCCATGCCTAAAAGGTCCAAATCTCGAAACCCAAAGAAACCGCCATTAAAAGAAAGATTTCTTGCCCCATTTATTCTCGAGTACGCACGGCGGCAAGTGAGGCGTGGAGAGAAGGCAGGAACGAGGCAGAGACGTCCCCCGGCACTACCAAGTGCTCTGCCAGCAACTGGGTCCAGCTCTACAGCGAGTGTTCCTCCTACTCAATCTTTTACATCACCATATCTCCTGGGAGGTTTTATCACGAACACGGCTTTGGAACTGGAACATGCCCAACTGGGAACCACAGCACATAACAACCAGACTACGCCGCCACATACCACCTCACAGAGCGGACTAGAGTATCCCGGCTTCTTTAACGCCAGTCATCGTCCGTCTACTGCGGCAACGGCATCCTTTGGATCTACATCAGGAGGCGATAGCCACGATACATTGACCACATTCACTACCCGATATACAGGCCTCGGAGAGCCTAGCCTCGATAACGAAGGTCTGCTATTGGAACCAAATCCAATTTCCTCCTGGACGCAACTTGGGTTGGTTTCTCTTATATACCCGCCTCCGTGGCATTGTACTAACACTCCCAAAGTACTCCAAACGCCCCATCTACTCAGGAAGATCTGAACCACGGATCGTACCAAGACTACTGGCGCTGGTTCAACCCGCTTGACATGACACCGGCTGAGCTCGGACAACATATACAAGATATGACTGGATATATCCAGCAGTCTGCTCTACCACCTACCCAAAACTTGGCCCCCGAGAATGAGAGCTTCGGCGTCAAGGTAACATACAGAAACAGACACCAATCTCGCGAAGCATTACAGTTCAACGACCTGTTACAGCTAAATTTCATTCCACAGGCCTTCCTCGCCAAGCTGAGAGAGGATTCTCAGAGCCCCATCGACGTTCTCCGTACACCCCCTGGACGTCAAAGATGGGCTTTTACTCCTGACGGGGACATGGTCCCCCTCGAATTCTACCTCTGGGCAAACCTTGAATACGAATCGCCATTTGTTCATTTCCCGCCCAGCTCGGTTTGTCTATGGGTATATCACGGCACAGGAGCCGCAGATGATACCAAGATAACGTTAGGCCATTCCTATTTTACTATGTTGGAGGAGCAAGCGCCTAGGTAAAGCGCACAAATTATGGTTCAGCAAGCAATATCTGCTCGCTGTTCCACTGAAGGATCATACGTTCATACCCTCATCCTCAATGGGCAAGACTTTTTGGATTGGTCTCTTACATGCCCCTATCCTGGTACGGTGTCTTTGCGAAGAGGCTCGTGCCGATCAGGTTTCCTTTTTATCATCTCGTTTGTTCACGTCTAGGCCGAGAGTCGTACGCTCCCAAAGCCCAAGTGGTGTTCTGGAGAGACGAAAGGAAATCGCTTTATTGGTTGCAGGTCAATGCTTGTAGCTCCAGTCTACGAATAACGACAGTTCATGTAAATTTCCTACTATATACGATGTGGCTTTCTTTATTGCGCGGGGTAGGATATCTATTTCTTTACACGGTCTCAAATCACACCGTCTTTACAGGGTAACTAAAACAATCAAACAAAAAATTGCTTGCGGAATCCTTTTAGTTCATGACTGAAGAATGTTTGGAAAGTAAAGTCTTCGAATTGTTCTCTTACATATGCATTTATCCAGACAAAAAAAAGACCCGCTATGACGCTCTGTTCCTAGCAGCATATTAGGCAGACAGGGCAAGACTGACTCACTACCTAGGTGCTGAGGTAGGTGGTCGATTATAAGTGATAAGTTTCTCACTTCCTTTCCTCTCTTTACAAAAATCTTCAAATTCTTAAAATCAGAATCAAATTGATTAAACCTATCCCTCTTTTTCATGGAGCTGCTGAAGCCAAGACTCGCAACTCGATAAATCTTGAAACGCCTGTTCCAATTTGAAGCCAGGGAAAAACGACATCACCACTAAAAACTTGTTCGGCGAAATGCCCCCAATACAACAACAGCCCACGCCACGATTAAGAAACAATCATGGATAAAACATCTCTAGCAAGCCTTCCAGATGATATTATTCTCGACATCGTCGAGCATCTCGACACGGCGCGTGACGTAGCTCACGTCTCGGCCTTGACAAAGCATATCAATAGCCTCACGCGGCAGGATGGCTGGCGAACTTTCGTCAAGACTCGTTTTTCATCGCTGGATATTGTCACAAACTCGGAGACACAGTGGAGTTCGGTTGCAGAACGTGCAACGTATCTGGACCGTTGCTGGGAGAAGCGTGGGTTTTGGGTCAATGTTCTTCATGAGAAGAAGCAGCAACCTGGGAGATTCCAGCGCAGAGTTGCGGGCAGTCAATCTGTGCTGTTTCACACTGTTCTTGATGCAAGGCTCATGTCATCGCTCAAGCATGAAGTTGTTGCGGCAGGCGTGGGCGAGAACCTCATGGTTCGGATGAAGCCTGTGGATGGCGAGCCGGATACCTGGCATCAGGTTGAGGGGCAGACTCATGGGTATCGAGCTGGCACTGGAGACGCGACAGCAGTTTCAATCATAGAGCACGAACAAACGCCCGGTGTAGTTGTCGGGAGAGCCAATGGAGATATTCAGATCCTCTCTGGCAAAGACAACTTTGCAACAATCACTCGACGTCTGAAACCAGCGAATGAAGCAGAGCAGAACCACGCTTCGGACCCCATGAGAAAGTCCCCAGGCCAGGTAGCCGTCTCGTCTCTGCAGTGGCACCCCGAAGCAAATCTGCTGGCATCTGGCAAAGGCTCCATCCTGACACTCTACGATCTCGCCGTACCTGACGAGTCAGAAACGAGTCCCTTGGAGTTCTACGACTTCTCACAGGGAAGCCCCTCGGATGAAGCCTCACTCCTACGGAGCACCAAGTTCATGAGCAAAGATGTCGTCGCTTGTGCTCTAGGTGGGAGTAGAAACCCTCTGCGTTGGGGACAACTTACACCTACGGGGTTGGTCTTCTCCAATGCTGCCAGCAACCCCAGGTCTCTCGATAACGCCGCTAAGCTGACCGATGTGAGAATCGGCGAGAAGACTACAGTTCGTGCGATTGAGCCTATCAGAGGGAATGAGAATCTTCTGTTGAGTACATGGGATGACGGGACATATCGGTAAGTTACTCACACTATCTATCGGGACCAGCTACTTACCCCTTGAATAGACTGTTGGATATTCGAACACCTTCACCACAAGACGCAGTCTACAGGGACCGTTTCCAGCCTTATGAAGCAGGCAGTTCCCTTCTCGTCTACGGTACAGAGCGTTTCGTCGCAGGAAGCAACACAGCGCCGGACATCCGTCTCTTTGACTTTCGATACCCAAAGCCATATCACCACACAAGTGCTCTCTCATGCTCCACACAATGGCCCTTTCCAAGTCAAAAGGACGACCACAAGATGTGGAAGCAAGGATGGGCGCCAGACTGTCAGCCGCAGGAATGCGATCCCCAAACAGGTCTATTTTGTAACTGGCACAGTACATCCAAGCGGAACTACTGGCGTCCTGATGCCACCCTTCACATTGGCAGTTCGACGTACGACAGGATCTATTGTCTGGCCAAAGCATCTGACCTATCGGATACGCTTTACTGCGGTCTTCGCGGCGCAATGCTCGAGATGAACCTGCATCTCACCGACGACGCGGCTCACAGGCCCAGCCAACGCACTGTCCCTACGGGATGGAGCATGGGAAGGCCCGGAGGCAAGATTTCGCTGATCGAGACAGGTGTGAGCCTCTGCCAGGCCAAGGAATGGCATCTAGAGAATCGTGGTGTTCCTGAGCTGATCGTCCAGCAGCCTCAGCCACAGAGATGGACGGGTTCATCGGATCAGGTAAAGCGGCATCGTCTAGATTACGCGTTTCATAGACCACAGGATTTCGATCAGGCACAAGCCTTGAGTGATGGTTCATTTTCTGACATGTTACAAAATTTAGAATAATTCGCCAATGTAATCAACAATAAATACCAAATGTTTATACAAGCTCTAGCTCAAAGTGAAATCTTGCAAGTCTAGCGTTCTGTTCTAGCTCTATAACTTGGACTCCGGCACCAGCAGCGCGAGTCTCTCTTTCAACGCCGTCTCAGCCTCCTTCTCGATTCTATGAAGAAGCTCATCACATGTAGGGATATCATTAATCAGACCCATAACCTGTCCTGTTGTCCAAACCTGCAAATTCAGTTAGCCAAATCCATCGTCATGGTTAAGATGTTACACTTACGCCATACTCAGTGTCGCCGTTGATAAACACTTCCTTTCCTCGCTTTCCGCTCATATATGGCGCAATCTCAGAAAACTCGCCACTCTCGCTCTTGGTCTCAATCTCAAGCGCGTCAAGGGCGACCTTGTTCTTGTACAGTCGCGTAGTGTTTGTCCAGCGTCGGAGAACGAGCGTTGTATCGGTCTCTTGCGCGCGAACGATCTCCTCCTTGACCTTGATATGTATAGGAGCCTCCTTTGTCGCCATAAACCTGGTTCCCATGTTGATTCCGCAGGCGCCTAGGCACAGAGCAGCAGCGAGTCCGTAGCCATCTGCGAAGCCGCCACTCGCGATGAAGGGCACCCCGAGCGTTTGCCTTGCCTTGCTCAGGAGGATGAAGTTTGTGATGTCGCTCTCGCCGACGTGACCTGCGCATTCGAAGCCATCAATACTGAGGAAATCTACCTTCAGTTTGATGGCGCTCTGAGCATGACGAATTGTGGTACACTTGTGAAGAACAGTGATGCCGGCATTCTTCAGCTGTGTGATGACAGGACCGGGCGAGTTGCCCGCCGTCTCAACGACCTTGATGCCCTCGTCGATAATGGCCTGAGCGTAGGCGCCGTAGTTGGGAGGAACCATGGAGGGCAGGAGAGTGATGTTGACGCCGAAAGGGTTCTTTGTTAGAGTTCGGCATCGCTGGATCTCCTTGCGCAGGTCTTCGGGCGTGGGGAAGATGAGGGCGGTGATGATGCCCAGGCCGCCGGCGTTGGAGACTGCAGAGGCGAGGTCGGCGGTGCCTACGTGCATCATGCCGCCTTGGACGACGGGCACTGGTAAGGGGTTAGCATAGGATATGGCTGCTGGGATGTGGTGTTACGAACCTCTGATGCCCAGCCGCTTGGTGAGTTCAGTCGAGAAAGGCATGATGGTGGCTGAACGAGTAGTGAGTAAACAAGATACTAAAACCAAACTTGAAAGAAAGAAAAGAGCTTGTATGTGGGGGATGTATATCTCTATATCTATATCTAAACCTGCAGTCTCTCACATAAGAAATGCGAGAAGATGGCCCGAGGCTGCTTCTATTCGAGGTACTGCTCCCTCAACCTCATGACCAAGACTCGGTATGTACCAACTTTAAGGTGCCGAGGTATGATGATCGACCCACTAATTCCCCCACACTCGGCTCGGCCCCTCAATTCTCATTCTCACGTGCATCTTGCATCCAATATTTGCGGGGAAAATGCGTTTGCCATCTCCAAATAAGAAACACCAGTGGTGAGAATACATAGTTTAACCGTGATGCGTATAGTCTGTGAGGGGATATTTGTTTTAGATGAGCAATATTGTTTTACGAACTAGACCTCAGCTTATACTGGACCAATTGCCTTCTGCTCTGCGTTGTCCTTTCCTGCGTAACAGTAAACGCCTATTCCATAACAGCTTGCTTATACCAACCGAAATAACCACAACCCCTAACGCCATAATGTACAGGATTTGCCGTATCGTGAACCTTCTTGATAACCCTGATTTTCCTAAACTCGATGTAGCCCTCAACGGTGACTGTTGATCCCATGCCTCATGCCCATGCGCCTTTCAAATCAGACGCTCAAAGTTTTCAACACTCAGTTGAGTGTTTCTGTCGGTACCATTATTTTCAGTCTCGCAATTTTCCTTTGATGCCTCTCTCAGTTTATGCCCGGCTCCAGTAGTCGGTTTTGGGGGCTTCTGTCTGTCGGCTTCTCAACCAAATGGCCGTACGCTTCAAGACTTTGGCCCATGACCTTGACAATCTCAAAGATGTGTCTCCCTCCAAAAGTCTCGGCCCAGAGTCGAACAACCTGAGCGGCTAGTCGCCGCAGCTTCGCGCTGTCACTTGATGGCATTTCGTTTTGTCCTGCAAGTGATGGGTCGATTGGTGGTACTGCGAACTCGGTCTCATCAACCATCCGGCTTATCATATCAAGCATGTTCTTCTCTTCTGGGGAAGCAGGAGCATCATGCGGTCCAATCGCCGCGATCGTCAGAAGCCATTTGGAGACCAGTATGGCACACTCGAAATTGCACACTATAAATCCGAGTTAGTAATTGGGTCATAACGTTCAAGGGGTCGTGTTATATCGAGACTCACGTGAGTGCTGAATGCTCCACTCCGTTGATTTGGTACTGGCGACGTAGTTGACTCCTTCTTTGACTAGAATAGATAGAACATGGATCGCTTGGAACACTGCCCGGTGCAGTCTTGGACTTCGTACTAGTAGGGGGGTTCTGCTCAAGGCCGACGCCACCAAAAGCGGATCCCGGGTCTCGAGCGCGGTCGAAGGAGTCACATCGGTATAGAGTCGGATATAGGCTTGACGCAATAACGCCGTCGCGGTAAAGTCCAAAGTTCCGCCCTCGATCGAGTTCGATACGCTGTAGTGTCCCGATTCCGCCGCCCTGAGCTGATGTTGGTCTTCAAAACTTGTCTGCCACACTCGAAGGGCCTGTGAAACCTCCTCGACATCCTCGGGCTTCATGGTTCGATGAATGTTATATGGGAGACCAGTTGCAAATGAGGTCTGCTTCAACAGATATATGTGTTGGATCAAGGCGTGAATGAGGACATAACTTCCCAAAGACGACATGTGCTGTGGAAGTCCTTGATTCGTCCGGCCAAAGAGTCGTGAGAAAGCGTCGTGCAAGGTGAGTTCTACCATTGGTGTCGATTGCCGCATTTCTTGCCATTGCCAGGCCGTCTCAGCCCTCCAAAGCTTACCTCTTTGAGGTAGAAGGAGGTTCAACTCGGATGTCAACAGCAATGGCGGCATGTTATATGCAATGCTGCAAAGATTAAAATAGCAGTAAGCCACGAGCTTCGTCCTCGTCGCTGTCTCCAGTCGGATCCAGGTTTCCCAATCATTGACAGCACTCTGATTGACATCCGCCACGAGACCTTCTTCTCGGATCAGAATCGCCAAAACACTTTGCAGAGATAACGCTTCATGCAAAATTGTCGGCACGTTCCAAAGACCGATGGCAAAAAGAAGCAACACTGCCTGAATGGTCTCAATCCGGGCCTGAGGAGTATTTGGAGAACTAAAACACCGAGTTAGGACTCATGTTGCAGATAATTGGATCGCGACTTACTACGGCTCTCGGTGCGTATCCTGTGTAGCTGGTCGCTCAGACTGCGCAGATGCAAATGAGTGGCGGTACGTGGCACTGGGTGAGGGTCTTGTAGAGTGAGGGCTGTACGCAGCAGCAGTTGGCAACAAAGCATGGACTTCGGAAATACGCCTTCGTCGAATCTGTTCCATCGCTACAGCCTTGGCGGCATACCAGAGAGCATAGCCTCTGTTCTTCTCAAAGCGATATTGTGCTCCCACAGCGAGTATAGCAAGCAGTAGCTCAGGGGAAGCCTCAGCAGGTGAGAAGGTTGGAAGATGGAGAAAAGGCAAGTGCTCGTGAAGCCCGCTAATATAACCCTCCAAAAACCTCGTCAAGGTATGCCGAGATGGGAATACAAAGTCAGTAGGCAAAACAGCGGAAAACTCATCAAGCCGGTTCTTGATTACAGTGTGATCGGCTACTGAGATGCGAAGGGCTGACTGTCGCGCTGAATCGTCGATGCCTCGGGAGGCAGAGTCCCCAACATCTCGTGCTTCAGTCTGCATGGGAGGAAACCGGCCTGGGAGAAATGAGGACTTTGATGGTCGTCTCTGAATGCCCGCTCCTTGGTTTCTGGAGTACAACATCTGTTGCTCGGTGTCGAAATTCGGCGGTAAAAAGTGCGAAGAAGACGCATATTCGTCGAGGAAAGGATTGTAATCATCATATGAGCTTGCGGGTGGTTGTTGAGGTACATATCCAGACCCCACAGGCTGATCTTCTCGGGGACGTTCCGTTGTATACGCGACGATAGACTCTCCATAACTACTTTTCCTTCGAGATTCCGGGGAATGCGGAGGGAGGGGTACTGCACTAGCATTCCTCTGAACAGGCGTCACTGAGCTCGCGAGGGCCGCGTCAGACAAAAGATCCAGGTTACAAGCTGCAGATCTAGGCTGTGTCCGGGGATCTTGAGGTCCTTGTTGAGGAACTGGAGGGGGCCCATGATGAAATGACTGAGGCTGTGGTAAGGGCTGCTGAGGTGGTGGTGGTCGTGGTGCATTGAGATGTTGATGTCCAATAGTCTCAGTGTTTATCTGACCATCAGATATTGAGCTCTTATGTGAAGTAGAAGACGTATTGGATGACAACTTCCTTGGTCGGTTGTTGTCCTTGCTACCTTCGTTGAGATGCACGAGCTTCTCATGTCTGACGAGAAGGTCCCTGATATCCATGTAAGCATATGTGTTGACAAAGCCAAAACGATGGATATGTTTCTGTTGAGATTACATATAAAAGAAACAGGAGAAAGAGGATGAGCGGGAGGGGGCAGAAGTTGGGGTTTGTGCGGATGAATTAAGTGGTGAGTACTGTATATGAGTGACCAGGTGGGACGAAAGGAGAACGGGGGATAGCGTAACTAAGAAAAAACGTACCTTCGCCCGAATGTCTTTCCGCAGCGATCCCATCCACATGAGAATGGCTTCTCCTTGGTGTGAGTACGCTCATGGCGCTGTACGTGCTCAACACGTCTACATGTTCAAGTATCCAGTCAGCATAAACTCTGAGGTAGAATATCGGAAGAAGAGAGATGACTGACCTGAATCGCTTGCTACAGTACTTGCATGGAAGAGTCTTTGGCTTTGGCTGCCGAGCTTCAGTAGGCTCTGGGCCTACAAGCGAAGGCGGAGGACCGGGAAGAGGGCGAGGAGGGCCCTCCATAGACTGGATCGCAAGCATCGTGAAGGTATATGCTCTGAGAGCAAGTCCTTGAGCGGGCTCCGCGTTTGATGCTTAATTATCAAAGTGTGGGGTGAAATAAATCGAGGGAAAAGATATGGAGAGAGAAGATAGAGATAGGGAGAAAAGACAGATTTGGATTGAGATTTGGAGCTGGGGAGATAGATGCAGGCGGATTGCGGGGTGCGTTAAGGATAGAGCATGGCATGTGGAGGAGGAGAAAATAGACGGTGGCCCGTGAACTGCAAGTGCGCAGTTGCAATAGCAAGAGGGAGGGTTGCCTTGCCTTGGCTTGGTTTGTCTTCCGCGGGAGAGACGGGGATGGGGGTGAATGGGGTGGACGGGAGGAGCCCGGGGGAGGAGTAGGAGGGGAGGGGTCCTTAAGCCAAGCCTAGGCCAAGGCGAGTGAATGAATCCAAGGAGCTGGATGGGATCAGATGGATGGGAACAAGGTCAAGGTCAAGGACAAGCCTCAAAAACAAAAACGCCCCCCTTAGTGCTTCCCCTCTCATGTGCTACATACACTACACCACAATATCTCGGCTGCTTCCCCTCTCGAGCCGATACAGTGAAGAGGGTACTTGACCTGTTCGGGTTGAGGTTATATATCAGAATTGTGCCGAACAGTCGTATACCGTCCTTCCTGTTCCTCCAAAATCCAAGACGGCGCAGTATTGTGGTAGTCGACTGGTATTGTCAAGGTGATAAGCAACCTGGCGAGGGATGAGGCCTTCGGGGGACAACTCCGAAGCACGGATATCGGGGTATTGAATATACCCGGGATCGATCTCTTGAAGCCTTTCCAATTGACTCAATACGTTCGTTTCTGTAGGTTGGTTCATCCAGGGATTCAGCACTTTAGTTAAGGACGGAATGTGAAAGAAGAGAAAGCTAAAAAGTCAGGTACCCAGGGAGACACCAGAACAGCCGAAAACAATGAGGCAAACGAGGAGGGGTTTTGCCCCGGACATGGAGAAGAAAATGGAGAAACGGGAATGGTTGGGCTGTCGTGTGTCAAAGTCGACGGTGTAAGTCATCGGCTATACTCCCGAGGAGCTGGCACTGAGACCGGATCGGCTAAGATGGAGTAGATTGTGGATTCATGACGAGATGGGGCATGGGCATGGATGAAGACCATTGTAGTTTATTACGGCACGAATTGAATTGCAATCCTGGGGGTGATAGTGACTGATTGACTGAAGACAAACACCAAAGGTCTAGACTCAAGTCAACCAAGAACTGGCTGTAATTGCCTTGTCCCCTGGTCAGTGTCAGTGGCAGAGCTCGGCGGTCGGAGTACGCCAGGTGAGGTGTAGCCTGCGATAACCTGTACAACAGCTTCAGCATGCCACGTCGATACGCCGAGAGAGCAAAACAGCAGGGGTGTGGATAGGGAGAAAAAAGACAGGTCGTGGCGAAGCAGGGCAAAGAGGGGGAGAGAGGAGACAAGTCCAGCAGGAATGGTGTGGCAAGCAAAGGTGCATTACAGCGCGGTGCAGTACGGGTTACAGGCTCCCACAGCACAGTTTGTCTGTGTGTATCGGTTCGGATAGCGCTTCAAGATAGGTAAAAATGTTCGGTTTGCTGCGACCTGAAGGTTGGACAAGGTATGACGGCGTAGCGCGGGCGCAAGGGCCAGGGCGGGGAAATTGGAGGTGATAAGGTACTCTTGGGTACTTTGGTACTTGGAAGAGTAATGGAACCGGGGACTTCTTAATGAGTTTACCTGCCGTAGCGTGTCTGATCATGCCAAGCCCTGTTTGTAAGAGTCAGTAAAAGGGACGAGATTGTGCCGAGAGTGATCAAGATCCAGACCAGATGTCAAAATACCAACCTACTGTACGTAAAGGATCGCAACTTTGCCGTTTATTCCTTATCACTTGTCACCAAAGAGCAGAGTGTGGGGAGTGTGAGTGGGCAACAGGTGCATCAATCTGGGGGAATGGATCTCCAAGGAGCCACTGAATCTGACCAAAAAGAAGCAAGCCACAAAGTGGCAGCATTAACAAAGGGAACAAGCGGCAGCAAAGAAGAAGAAGCATATAAATCACAAATGTCAAGAAGAGGACTCACTGCAAGTTGACAAAGTCAGGTAGACTATCCGCGGAGGGACCGAGGCGGTATACGTTGCCAAGGTTAGTAGGTAGATGCTAAAGCGAGTCCGTTTATTATACAACGGAGAAGGCGGAGATTCTCGCCGTACTCTCTTTACGCCAGTTCAGCTCGACGGGTAACAATTTCACGGTCGACATAGCCTGAAGGAATCGTTCAGGCCCGCCAGAGTCTTTGTCCAAATAACCTCAACAGAGTTCAGCTTGTTCAAGCCAAGACAGCCCACTGAGGGGTGTTGCAAGGCTTGTGGCCTTCGTCATCGCCCAACTCAGCACGGGTAGCTAAGTCACTATCACCCCGTCAAAATTGCTAAGCCATGCTGGGCATGTGTCAGAGTCGTGATGTGAATGAAGGGTTTCCAAGCCCAAGTTGTTACCGTCAGCCACAGTGATCAAGGGCATGTGAAAGTGAGAAGCGAATAGGTCAAGCAAGAGTATTGTATTGTACTGTGTATCCGCCATGTCGAAAACGTTTGGTGATTCATGTTTGACCATCCTTGCTGCAGTTGAGTGAGACAGACGTATTGTTATTTCTGATGTATGTAGCGAGTTATCCTGCCCAATACAATAGGAGCGTTTCCAAGCAGGTCCCTGTTGACGTCGGGTTAAGTAACGCCGTGCCGCCGTTTCTCTTTCCCTTCCATCCAATCTGTTACTATTTTCCCCAGCGTCCATCTAGAGCAGGTACCATACCGTCGGCGGGTGCCCACAATGTCCACCCGGCTTGACCGTACCTTCCAAGTACCGTCCGGTACATGCGGGGGGAGCGCCTGTCCCCCCATGGGGGATTGGAGACGCGGCCAGACCTGCCCACCCTGAGGCCTAAGCCCCTGCAAGCAGGATTTTAAAGTGCCTTTCCGAACCAATCAGAGAAGCTCTCATGGGCCTCAAGCCCAGGCTCAGACTCAGGCTCAGACTCAGGCTCAGGCTATCTGGTTACGGCAGGTCCTGCCCTTCCTCTGAGGTCAGGGTCAGATTGGAACTTGGAGCCCAGTTTCTCCTACCTACCTTAGGTATACACCATGACGCCGCCATAACTTTTGAGGCACTGGCAATATTCGGCGAAAAGTCGCGTTTTCCGCCAACGCTCTCGTGAGTATTATCATAACTACATAATAACTAAAATTTTGACAATTGATAAGATAACACTTCCTTATCTGGACAGCGCCGACAGGCTTACATGTTGTCGTCTTTTCATATCTAGCGTCCAATCTTATTGTTCTAGCTTCAAAGAATAGTCTTTCTCTACAAAAATCAATCTCAAGCTGAATTCGGAGTCTATTCGGCCCATATGCCTTCCTCAAGGTGTTAGTACCCTGCCCTCAGCGCCCTACCTACCTACGTAACCGGAAGGTATTATGCCCCGATGTGTTTCTTCAATGTGCCTTCCTCATCTGTATGATATGGTTGCTCAAGTTCAAATCGGACCGCTCTCGTTGTGTGTGAACCTTTCTCCCCTCGCCCTTTCCTTGCACTGACTGACATGGCTGACAACCTTTCAACTGCACGTAGCTCATCCAATCAAATCTGCTCCTGTTTTCTTCACTTCCACTTGGTACCGCTTTTCGCGCCATAACTTGGAGATTTTAGACGCTACAAAACAACCTTACAAAGAAGAAAATCACTTCTTGTTGAGGGTGGGAAGCGGAGACAAACCCGGTGCGGAGCAAGGGAACTTGGAACTCGACCTTGAGTAACACGGGAGCATTCGCTAGCCCGACGGAATTTGCACTTTGTTTTTCCTTTTTCGTTGTCTGCAAAGATATACGCCCGTGCTCGTTCGTTCATCAATGCTGTATTATCTCATTATCAAGGCTCATGACGACAACACCAAGACCAAATGCAAGGAGCAAAAGCCAACTCTGAGACTTCAAAAAAGCAATAAGATGACCGGACCGACAGCTCAGCTAGCCCCCAAACTCTGATCTCTAGTATGGTGTGATTGGACAGCCCTCGAACCACTTGGGGGTTCAGGACGGGTTGAGCATTATTTTATTATCTGCTTGCCCAATGACTGGCCTTGTGGACCTGTAAGAATTGGTCCTTGTCTCATCTCACCAGAAGGGAAACAACTTTGACTCCCCCATCTCTATTCATTTCTCCGCCGCCATCTCCGCCTGTGCCTCAAGGCTTAACCCTCGCCTCCACACAGCTGCAACAGAGCTGCAGCTACGACACCACCACAAGAAAAGGTGGTGATCACCTCCACGCCAAGGTCCAGGGTCCCTACCCTGCTTCTAACGACCCGTTGGGGGTCTGCTTCTACGGCTTTGTTGTATGAAATCAGAATGTTATGCTGAGCTGTTATTGGACGATATATGTCTGCCAGCCTCGCGTCTTTACACAATTTATACACCAGCCTAAAACACTCTTATCTGGTGTTGTCTGCCCCTTGTAGGACAGCAGAATCACTTAAGTTGAGAGCCTAGTTGAGCAACCTGACCCCGAACAGGCCCATACCAATCTTTTCGGATATACTTGCGGGTTGTTTTACCAAATGCAGATGCGAATTTCAAGTAGGTGACCTGGGTATTTACTAATAGATAGGTTTTAGTTCAGACAAGCGAGTGCTGTGACCTGTGGAGGTGCGGGGACTGCTGGTCGGTGCGTGTGGGGTAGTCTAGATTTGGGATCTGCCACCCAGACCAGACTCTAGACTCCAGACTGAGATGTCAATGTCCAAGGCTTGGAGTATGGCTCAACTTTCTTGTTCGCTCATACTCTTCTGTATCAGAGAATGAAGCCATGCCCATCCCCTGTCGTCTGTCCTGCACTATGCAAGTCTTCACTCTGCTCTGACCCCCTAAAGGTGCAGACCGCTAGATGGCGGATAATAACACTCTGACTCAACCGTCGTGGGTATGCCCCCGCGTTCCAAAACATGAGGCTTCATTTCCCCATGGGGTTGTTCAACAGACCCCGTATAATAAGCCGAGCCCACCCTTTTCTCTTCTCCGGGATGTTACCGAGCCTACGAGCCCCAAGGAAGAAGGTTTTGTCAACGATTCGGGTTGGCCAGGTTTGTTCAGACATCCACCTGACTCGTCAACGATCCAATACATGCCATTATACGGGTTGCAGCGGCAGTTGCACTATCGGCATTGATCTTGGATCACCAATCATCAAGTTCAGTCAGCTCAACAATTTGCGCCTTCAAGATTCGCGATCCCCAAATGATTTCCGCTGAGGCAACAACCCTTTCGACCCGGCGTCAAAGAATGCGGGGTCGAGTAGCAATCTTTAGATATCCGTGTTAGGCACTATCAGAAGATGATCGGGAAGTCGGATTTTGTTCCGGATACTATTGTTAACCTCGGTCGTGTCTATACACGGTTGACGGTCGCACAGCTTTGCTACGGTTACCGGCCTATCACAGTAATACAAGAGTGACTCAAGGCACCTAACTGAGAACTTGTATCTGTCTGACTGATACCTGGACGACTTTAGAGCATGTCTTACACTGAGACTCAAATGATTCTCAGGCTGAACTGGTGCTGGCATGCAGTTCAATTGGCCAGGGAAATCAAGCTATGATACATTGTTGTCTACCTCGAACAAACGTCAATGGCAAACGTTTTATGCTAACGAGGAATTAGTATTGAAATCCGATTCAGATAAATCCTCAATTCTGAGCAAGGTCTGTTTACAGAATATACCCCTCTTGGCGCCCTCCAATAACTCTGAGGCCCGCATCAATACATGAGCATCAAGCCATATGACACAAAAGTGTCGGCCTTATTGTCCTCAGCCCTCTCAGCCTTGGTGTGAGTAACCAACCTGACCGCTCTCGCTGCCAAGGTGGATTAGACGCTGTCTCATCCCGTCGGCCCTTCGTCTATCATCCTCCGGGAGTGATTCGAGGACACACTTGTCGACCCAGTCACCAACCCCGTGCTGCAAAACGTTCCTCGCTCGTAGAGTGCTGCCTTGTATATGACCAACGGAGCCGTGCAGCGTCATTCGTTCCTTTCTGCTGCTGTAGGCTCCGCGGTGAAGAATGTTGTTATTATAAAAGACAATGTCCCCAGGCTGCAGTTCAACGATAAGCTGATCTGGTAAGGATTTTGCAAAAGGGTCGGCATTTCGCTCGACCAAAGTCCTTGCGCGCCTGTGCGAACCAGGCACAACAATAAGAGAAGCATCTTCCCACAAGGCGAAGTTATACTGAGCATGGTAGGCATGCTTGCCAAGGCGCTCCATCTCTTCCTCTTCACTAGCCTCAGCCGGAATATCATCGCGATGCCACCTCAACTCAAAGTCCTTCTCTGGCCTGACAAGCATGTTAAACAGTTCCATAACAAGATCTTCATCTTGACACTGAAGCAGTTGCTTTACGATGCCAAGAATAGCCTCAGAGAAATATAGCTTGGTGAAGAGCTCATGACCTGGAAGCCCAGGATTCATGAGGTGCTGTACACCCCATATTCCATGCTCGCGCGCTTGGCTCGCGTCCCATGGAGGGAACTGCTTACCTACTGTACGAATCTGTTAAGTTAGTGTGATCATGTTACAGTCAAACGGTCTGTCCCAAATAAGGATGGGTGCCAGGGTATCATTCTTTACGTACATACGGCCATTGCCCATCGCGAGCCAGCTGAGTAGCCTTTGAGCTAGCCTCGCGTAACGCATCGAGCTTGTCTTTATTCACAATGGACTTTATCAAAACAAAGCCATCCCTATTGAGGTCTTGAAGGTATTGCGAGGTCGGCATGATGTGATGTGAATAGTGCGGAAATCCGTCCGTTTCTTAGCTTGCGGGTTGCGGTGCGTTGCGGCATGGGATGCGGCCTGTGGACCGCCGGCAAAATAGGGCAAAATTCCGATTCTGTAGTTACCCCTCTCGAGCTTCTGCTGCGGTACCTGGGGGTATACACGTTACTGCCAATGCCTCGGCCAAGAAGAGCTCTGTAACTAAGGCAGGGGTGGTTGGAGATGTTTCGGGGTACTCGAGACGAAACGAGACTTGGTGCGGATGTTTGCAGTAACACTCTCGGTCTTGTGCAACTGTTGGAGGCAATAGATGCGTATTTGGTGCCAGAAGCCCTCTTTATCAACGCATGTGGGGAACGGGAAACATCGCGGCTCGTTGCATCTGCTAAGATGGAGGTCAAGTAACGTAACAGTTGGAGGAGACATCGCAGTCAGATGTTCTCTCACATGTGTCAGAGGGACCCTCACAATATCAATGTTATTGTCATAATCGTTATTCATTATACCAATTCCCAGGCTCACCGAGATATTCTTGGTGACCAATTTTATCTATCTGCCTTCTGTTCTCCAATAGTCCTCACGATCCCTCACTTACACGCCTCAGTAGACCATCGCACAGCAAATCCCTTGACAGTCTTCTGCACATCCAAATCACCAGGGTCGTTCTCAAACAACGGCTTGTCAAGCCTTCGCTCGGAAACTTGCTCCACTTCAAAGCCCTGCTCGCGCGCAATGTCAAAGAAGCCCATATCGAGCTCCTTCTTCCACGGACGGTACGACGTGAAGAATACGTAGGCGACACTCTCACGCGAGACTTTCAAAGTTTCCTTAATCGTCTTGACCATGTTTCCGTGCTCGCTGTGTCGGAAGAGAAGGTCGGCGAGGATGAGGACGTCGAAGCGCTCCTTGTGAGACTCATCTGTTGGGTTCAGACGGGTGAGCAGCGGGATGGGATCAGCACCCCAAACGAAGCCTACGGCGTCGACAGTGTTGGCGATACGGCCACGGGGCTCGACAGTTTCGTCACATTCATCGATGTTCTTCTGCATGATCCGGACGATATCTGGGTCCGGATAATCTGTCACGACGACCTTGCGCGCACCAAGGATAGCAGCGACAAGACTAGGCAGACCAGCCGCAGCACCGAGCTCGAGGACTGTCCTGTCGCGCACCCGAGAAGGATCCTCCTCAAAGAAGTCGGCGATCATCTTTGCGCCGTTCCAGAGATGATGAGCCTCGGTAGGGCTGGCACCAACAAGGTGCAGCGTTATGGGCTTGCCGCTCTGCATGGTGAAGACCTGGGATGTGGGAGGGGGAGTAGGTGGGCAGTAATCCTCTGGGTCGTCCATGAGGTCGCCAAAGCCGTAGTCTATTTCTGCCGACATTGTGATGTATAAGTCGTGAGAGGACGGATCAAGGATGAGTGAGTAATAGTCTGAAAGGTGAGTTGGAGTAAGATCCTGTCGATGTGGTATTGTACGTTGATGTATGAGTCGCCTGGATATGCTGGGCCCAGTGGATAGATCTAGATCTAAATTCCAGTGCTCGTGTCTTGTGTCTTGCGTCCTTATTTTCGAGATCGCTTGAGAATCTCTTCAAGGTCCAGGTTCCAGTCCAGAGTCAAGCCGTCGCTCTTTGTCGTTCGTCGTGAAAAAGAGTTTTGATTTGGGTGGGCCAAATGTGCGTTCCCACAGTGCGCTAAAAAAGAGAGTCGTTCCCCAATAGGTGCGCCGAAAAGATGTATATGTAGAAGAATAAAATAGATAATGCGCCAGCCATCGCATCGTCGAAACTTGGAGATGGAGATGGAGATGGAGAGAGAAAGAGAAAATGCGAATATCTCTTCTATCCAAATCGCTGTCGCGCCAACTCTCTCAGCATACTAACAGTTCCCTCCTCCCTCTCTTGCCAGGCCCTTTTCCTCTCCTCCATCTCCTCTCTCTTAGCCCTATCGATCTCCTCCCTGCGGATTTCTCTGTCCGTCTTACGCCGTTGCTCCCTCTCCTTGGCTTTCTTGTACTCGTCCAAGGAGTCTCCGCCGCCCATTAGCTCCTTCTCGTCGGCGACCTCCATGGTACCAGGGCTCTTGTCGCGGAACGAACGCATCTTATCTGCCACTTCTGCCTTCTTCTCGAGCATACGCTCCCGGGTGCCGGCCTCAGCGCGAGGGACTAGGTCGTCAAGGCGCTCCTTCTGAACAGTGCGATCGGCTTTGCGCGCATTGCGAAGGTCTGCAATGGACGCTTGCCTATCCTCTTCATTGAGTTCAGTGCGTAGAGACAGATCCTGAAGCGTGGGTATTCCCGGCCCCGAGCGGCGCGTGCGGTCTGAACCTGGAAGGATAGGGCCATAATCATCGTCGTCCTCTTCATCTTCGCTGTTGTTGTCATTGTCGATGGCATTCTCCATGGGCTGTTCTCTTTCTTCCTGGTGCACAGAAGCACGCCTTGCTCGAGGCACAACGGGGTTCTCCGCTGAAATCCGTGTGAAAGTCTCGGGGTCATACCATCCCTCTGCCAGCTCCTTTCGATTCCACTTCCCAATAAAGCTCTTCCAGCGTCCCTTGACCTCGTGATCATCCATCTGAGTAATGTCCTTTTGCTTCTGGAGGCTAAGGTATTCGCCCAAGAGTGGTTCAAAGGCATTCAGATCCGCTTTTGACAGGGGTCGTGCATCAAAAGGCAGCTTGACCGTAGCTTCAGGTTGTCGACTTTTATTATCATGATCCCGATGCTTGTGCGAGGAACGGTGATGATGATGACGATGGTGATGTCTGGATGATGAGTGGTGGCCACTTGGCTCAGTAGAATGCTTATCGTGGCGAGATGATGAAGTTTTTGAACGTTTGTGAGCTGGTGATCGTGAACGTGAGCGCGTGTTTCTGCGATGAGTATCGCGATCCTGGTTTCCCCTATTATGAGAGCTGTAATCACGGTGCGGCGACCTCTCTCGAGTTCGGTTCTGGCGTTCCATTCTGAGACTTTCTGAGACTGTGTCTGAGTATCTTGAAGTAAGAGAATACGCGTATTGAATTTGTTTGGAAGTTATTTGAAGGTAGACAAGTCATGCTCAAAGCGTTTAAACATGAGAATTTGATATGAAGGGATAACACAGTGCGCCCCGCTTTTCTCCAACGTCGCTTTAACCGGGCTGCGTCCAAGACGAAGTTACTCGCAGAACTACCTAGTGTATAGAATAAAATGATTTCTATTGTACACTAATAACTCAATATAAACCGACATGAATTTGAGTTCATCGTGTTCCTATACTTGATATGGTAAAGCTATTATATGCTTAGTGGTCGCTCAACGACCTATCCCGTCATTACAAAATTCCACTGGGTATATTGTATCGTGAACTTGCAGCCCACTTCTAACTCGTCGTCTTCTAGTCCGACTCAAATTCTTCGTCCTTTTGTGGTACATCTTTTTTTCATCAAATCCTCAGCTGGAAACATATGATTTGTTCTCTCGGTGTCTCTGTAAGGTCTCAGGGAGTTGCTTCAGAAGCACGAAACTGTCATGGTCCTGGCTGTATACCATCTAGACCTCGGCTCCTATTTCCACCTCCTGGTCAGGGTTCCCATGGATCACACAGCCTAAACATTGACAGTCATCTCCACATGGGCAGCTTGCTTCCTCGCCCGCGCAGGAGTCCCCAAATGGATAGCTGACGAAGAAGAAGTCGTTGGCCGACAGTGCTTGTTCTTCACTCATGCCAGACGCTGCTTCAGAGGGAGTCTGTGGAGCGGCTGGTGATACGGTGCCTTCCGCAGAACCAATAGGGGGTATAGTATCCGTGGTTGTGTTTACGCTTACGCTGTGGCCGTTTGTTGTTGGTACCTCGCCATTTCCGTGCCCGTTGACATGGGTGTAGCCAGTGTCCATCATGCTCTGCCAGGCCGATCGTACGTAACTTTGCGTCGCTTCGTTGTATGGATGAGCTGCGCAACCGACACACTCGCACGAGGCACCACAACTGCATTGGTGAGAAGTACCCGCGGCTGAATGGGGAGTTTGGGGGGCAGTCGGAGTTGGAAATGGCGTTGCACCAGGTATTCCATACGGAGAAGGGATGCCTCCTTGGCCAGCAAACGTCATAGTAGCCATTACCTGCCGCCATTGTTCCGGCTGGAGGGGTTGCAAGTACGAGCCATACTGCGGCGGATAGGTAAAGACTGTAGGCTGCGGGTAGTAGGCGTACATGCCGTTGGGCATCATGACAGGGGCCGGGAAAGGCGACATCATCATGCTGTTAGGCGTCGGTATGTCGCTGGCCGATATCGTATCGCTCTTGTGGTCAGGTTTCGGGGAGTCGTTACTAGATGAGCAGCAACTCTTGAGCTTGGGTTTCGGAGGACTTGGTACTGAAGCCAGTGTTATAGGGACAGATGCAGCATTATCAGCATTTCTTCCTCCACAGCAAGAGCCCATTTTGGGTGTAGACTGGGTCGGCTGTTCTAGCACTTGCGTGCCTGTTATTGAGCCAGACTGGCTGGCCATGGTCGTTTTTGAGCTATCTGGGCTCATTATAGGAGGTTGTATATGGGGCTGGAACATAGGGTACATGACTGGTCCGAAAGGGCTCTCTGCTGGAGTCATCCCCAAACCTCCATAAGGAGACATATCGGGAAGAGGCGTGACCGACTTTTGGGATATGTCGTCAAAAGCAGGAAGGATGTTAAGCATTTTGGGATCCATACGCTGGAGGGCTGCTGGGTCAACGGATTCTCTTCTACTCTGGTTGCTGCCCCTGGAGCTCGCTTTCTGTACTCGATAGCCTGATCCTGGTGTTTTGCTAACAGGGCTCTGGGGTGTAGAACTGCTCGTACTGTCACCATTCTCAGGTTTGGTAGTCGGTGATTCGGCATCCTTGCTGGGGCCGCAATGACATGCCTGTTTCTTTGGGATGGCAGCTGTGACTCTGCCACAAGAGCATGGACGAGAGGCCGGGTGAGGACATGTACTGAGAGGTCTTCCCGGTTTGCGTACGGGTACCATTAGTCGCTCGTTGGCGTGCGTACACTTGGTTGAGCGATGACCTCGGATGCAAGGCTCGCTACGAAGTCGGGAGTTAGACAAGTCTGCCAAGTACATGCGCGGCATACGCAGAATTAGACGTACCAGGCCATTTTTATCCCGTTAATGAGAGGCATGGTGAAGATGTCGTCGGGTAGGTATGTGTGCGACGAAGGACAGAGGTGGAGTAATGCGGATGAATATGGATGTTGTGGCCGGCTCAAAGCCGTAACAGAAGCCTAAGAGAGCGCAAATCTCGCGAAATTCGACATGGAGATGAGACTTTGAGAGTGCCGAGACGGAGCGACGCGGGATGTTGGCGATATTCGAAGATTCGAACGTTTGCGCAATAAATGAGGGTGTACAAAAAGTGAAATTCCGAGGTTTAGCGGGTGTAGCGCAAGTGTAGTCGGAGTCGGGAGTCGGGAGTCGTAGTCGTAGTCGTTCGATATGAGGCTCTCGTACTTGCGCTCGGCAAATCTGCCGGGGGGTAATATACGGGATATCAATGGGCGCGAATAATAAATCGAGGTTCAATATGTAACAAGTATCGCTGGCGATGTGGTAGAAACAGATGTAAAAGTAGAAGTAAAGATGAAACTCTTGATCCAAAAGCCCAGACCAGAGCCAGGCCAGGCCAGGCCACCTTAGGTATTCAGGGACCCAACCTTCTTCACTTCCCTTGTCAGCAGGAGCGAACGGCGGATATCCTACCTGCAAAGGTGCATCGGCCCCCCACCATGCGGGGGCTACAGCGGGCAGAAGCGCCTCCTAAAGGGTTCCTAATCCCAGTAGGGGACTTGCTTTGCGAGATCACTGCGACACTAGTGACCTACTGGAGGTACTATAATTTTTTGTTTTTTGCTGCCCGCTCAGGTCAGCTTCGGAATAGAAGTTGAGTTACCGAAGCTGTAATAAGGTTTCATGATAACATGAATTTACATTTAAGCACAGACAGTAGATATTTCGCAAACCGTATTCAATAAACAGATAAATGGTTGTGGACTTTTCATGCGCTCTATTATTAACGACAGTGTTGGCCCAAAAGCCAAGCCTGACACCATCCATCCCGGCTGCAACAACTAAATAAACTACCCATCCTCCGGCCGCCGACACGGAGCAGCGCATTCCATCGGCCGGAGACCCGGTTGATAACCTCCGTTCCGTTAAACTAAACAATGGGGACTCATACAGCAATATAATCAACAAAACTCCATGCAAAGATAACATCACTAAAATAACCTCATCTATCTCTCAAATATACCAAAAATCTCTTTTTACCGTATTTCCAATCCTTCTTGCCGCCTCCCTCCTCCCTCTCCACTATGTCCGGACGTCTCCATCAGCCAACCCGGCCGAGTGAGCAAGTTTCCATTGGCTCAAAGGCCCCGGCCACAGCAACACCAACACTAACACCGTCAAGGCTCATGCACTCAAGTCTCTCGTCGTCTTTTATTTACCTCATGGGTACATATCTACTACTGTCTATTGCCTGTGCTATTGATCCAAGTGACGTAACAATATGGAGTTTGGCAGGCGTCAAAAGCACGGTCCGCTGGTTTAGGTAACTTAAAGTCTTGGACAGGTTCCAACATCGTCAGCCTCATCTGACCAACGACAATTTTGATATCATAAGCAGAGTTCCCCGGGCATGTGCTTTTCGTCCCTACGTTACATTGTCTCTCGGTTATAGGTCCATATCCCGTGAGATCCTCGTCTAGTCTCACACCATGCCCACCCTCGATTGGCCATCATGAACGCCCCAGTCTTGATATTGAATGCACTTCTAGTGATCTTCAAAGACCCTGTGTCACACATGAACTAAAAAGTAATGCGGTCTCTTGGTCTGGCTCGGGTCTTACGCCGTTGGATTGCGCCATCTCCGATTAGACGGAACGGTTACGCTTAATTCATTGCTGACATAAATGGTATCCCATAAGCTTCGCCTATCCTATCCCTATGCGCCCTTATCAGAATCGTCCGAGTCTGCGAACATATCCACTGCACGCATTCGCCTTCTAGGCTGCCCGACTCGAGGCGATTCTTCCAGGGTCTTACTTTCGCTCTCAGTAGCAGGTTGTTCTGAGGGCGGTGGTGGCGGCTCACCTCCTGGAGCCTCGTCCTCGTCCATTGGCTCCCCTATCAACTCGTCCTCGTCGACAGGCTCGCCCTCGACATCATCCTCATCAATGGGTTCTCCTTCGACATCGTCCTCTTCCACCGGCTCCCCAATTATATCGTCTTCTTCGATAGCCTCGCCCGGTACGTCGTCCTCTTCTTCCATCGTCGAAACCGGTAGCACGCGCGCATGTCCATCTTCGACTGACTTCCATCTGCCCTTCTTCTCTTCCGTAACCTCTTTCTCGGCGGCAATCAGCGAAGGAGGGTTCTCAAAGCTTCGAACAAACAGCTCCTGGGTCTCGGCCGGAAAGACACACCATCCCTCCCAAAGATTTAGAACAAGATGAATACTGCGCTTCCACTTCTCAGCGCGTAGACGACCCCATTTGAGTCGCTCAGCCATGAGACCCAATGTCTCAAACGTCTTGCGATCTTTCAATGCTGTCTCAAAAAGTTGTCGAAACCTCCATGCGTGTCGTACAACACTTGTTGATGAAGACGACAGGATATCACTAACAACATATAAGCCTACCAGGCTAGCACCACTAACGTCGGGTCCCTCGTTGCTTGAGGCTTCTTCTTGTGCGCCTGGCTGTATTTCTTTCGCATCCGACTTTTTGTCGGGATTAGCACCGGTAAGAGCAAGTGGTTTCTCGACATTGAAAGTGATCATTGCCACAACTTCGTCAACTCCACGGCTAGCATGGGTGATCGCAAAGCTTGTCACTCTCGCGACATCGCCTTTTCTTAGCCTTGACATCGATGTCGGTAATCGCGCCAGAAGATGTGTGAGTTTGGCCTTGTCCAGCGGGTTGAGAAATGTCTTTTCAGACTCGGGATCTGTAGTTTCCCGTTTGTTCTCGTCCTCGAATTCCTCATCGTCTGATGAGTTGTATTCCGAATCTGACACAAACTCATCGAGCCTAGTCGTGTACTCAAAGTTGAGGTTCTTCTCCGGGGCCTTCCATGCATGCGAACCGTCGAAGAGAGGGACATATTTGCCCTTCTGCCGTTGCTGCGATCCTGCAATGATCTCCCATAGTCTCCACCGATACCATATACCACCCTGACTTCTTGCGTCCCATATCCATGCCCACTTCTCTTCTCGTTGAACCTCTGGCCGTGACATTAATAGAGCCTCGAATTCTGGTCCATGCTCAAGGACTCCTTCGATGACCTTGCTGATTAATTGGATCGTTTTTACATTTGATGGCGGCTTCACCGGCACATGTAGCAGATTTGACCGATTGACACCAGCGCCTGAGGGGGCGTATGAAGTCGGAGGCGCGAATCCCTTTTGGAAACCATGTTGTGTATGCGGATTCTGTGGTCCTGATGGTTGCTCAACTGGTTTCGCCCCAAATGGGTGGGACGTTGAGGAAGAGCCGATGCTAGGCAATGCTAGCGAACTTGCGACAGCCGACGAGAGGTGGCGATGAAGAGATAGATAATATCCGTAGCCCATGTATCGGTTCTGCAATGTAGTTACGGCTGCATCTATCTCATTGGCGGGTGTGTCCTGCGATAGTGTCACAATCGAAACAGCATGTTTTCGTTCCGAGCCCCCAGAGCCAGTGGATGGTGTGATATTGACATTCTCAACTGTCAGATTCTCGGGGATCAGTGCTTTGATCGTAGCTGGTGAGGTTCCGGGAGGTATGTTGGAGAGTCTTAATGTGGGCTTTGCGATAGCCTTCTCTTCAGCTCGATCTGTTACATCACCCATATCCTCGTCATCGCTCGTGTTAAAGGCCCTGGATGCTGGGGTCGGCCCTCCGCTACTACTGCCCTCATCGTATCCCAGTACTCCCTTGTCGCGCGGCGCCCGCGCAAAGTCCTGGAAAGAGCGCTTCTTTCCGAACGAAGGCGGCGGCGGTCCCAAGCTTCCCGGACCACTTTTCAGTCCTGATGTGCCGAAATGTCGTCTACCAGGTCCGGAAGGGGGTGGCGGGCCTCCAAATCCAGGTCGCGGGCGCGGAGGCATTGAAGAGCTGGGCGCGTTGTGGCCATCGTAATCATCGTCGCGGTCGAAGCTCTTGACAAACTCGTTGTAAACGGCAGCGGTCTCGGCTTCTTCTCGTAGTCGTTTGGCTTCGGCCTCTATCTTTTGCTTCTCAAAAAGGGACTGCTTGGTCGGTTTTTGGAGCTTAGCTTCCAAATTTGGGAATTCGGACACACCCTTGCCGGAGGACATGATTGGGTTCTTTTTGTTGTCGATTTATCGGTACATGTCCAGCGACCGCAAGTAATAGCGAAGTTCGAATAAGGGAGCGTCAGGGGTTGACTGGAGGGAAGTCGGAGGATGAGGATGGCTAGGTAAGGTTGAACTGCCCGTCGCATCGCAGTGACTTGAGGCGCCACGAATTAACCTAGAGTCCTCAACTGTAGAAGACGTGGGTCCCTTTAAGCCTTATCATAACGGCGCTAACTAGTACAAGTGTGGTTCAAGACATCTGTATGGATTTACCCTATGTTCTGCAAAAAAAGTGACCAAAATACAACATTTCTTATTCATTATGACTTGCTTTGGTTCGGGAAAAGCTCATAAGTATGTGTCAGATGTAGTTCAAGAGAACACATCATAAGGTGGGAAGTTTCTCTGTCGTTCGGTGTTTCGGATCTGAATATGCTACTTTTTCTGCGCTGCAGTCACTAACTTAACGTATTTGAGAGCAAGAACAAGTTTATCACCAACGTGCAGCTTGCGTACCTATGGTTAATTAATAAGTGGAACACAGCACAGTAAAATATCACAGCAATTGAGCCGGAAAACCCGTGCCTTATTCACTCCATCGGACCACTTTCTCGACAATTGTGTGTCTGCCGCTATCGGCGTCACGTGATAGCATTTGGAGGGGTGAAAGTTTCGAAGCTTTTGAAGTTGAAGGATTGATACACATGAAGCTATAACTCACGCATATCGTTCAATTCCCCTCCTACTTTATTGCCACATCAATCAATATGTCTACTCAAGAGACTTCACCATGCCGGATTCTTGTCATGGCTTCTGGCTTTGGCTCTAACTTCCAGGCTATTATAGATGCGATATCTACAGGTTCACTTCCAAACAGCCGCATCATTTCTCTTATCGTGAACCGAAAAAACGCACATGCGACTGCTCGTGCGGAGAAAGCAGGTAGGGAAACATGAAAAACCTGTATACCATGGGTTGGTGGGGGCAGCAGCCAACTAACTTGCGACCAGGCATTCCCTGGGAATACTTCAACCTGATCAGCAATGGTTTCTTGAAGAAGGGAGAAACAGACGAACAGAAGGTAGTCGAAGGACGCCAAAAATACGATGCAGCATTGGCCGAGAGAATTCTGTCAGGCGACAAGGAGAAGCCTGAGTTGATCGTTCTGGCTGGCTGGATGCATGTTTTCTCACCTGCTTTCCTGGACCCCATAAAGAAGGCGGGAATTAATGTGATTAATCTTCATCCGTTAGTGCCCCATCACTATTTGCGTGAAAACCAGATACATATTCTAACCTAACGATTTAGTGCGCTTCCCGGCGAATTTGACGGCGCCAGTGCTATTGAGCGTGCCTTTGACGAGTTCAAGGCTGGGCGACTAACACGCTCGGGTATCATGGCCCACTACGTGATCGCTGAGGTAGACAGGGGTACTCCTATCCTAGTCAAGGAGATTGAATGGAAGGGCGAGGGCCTAGAAGAGTATAAGGAGAAGGTACACTCCCACGAGCATGAGCTGATCGTGAACGCAACGGCCAAGGTCGCGCAGGAGACAGTTCAGAGGAGAGGATCATAATCTCAAGATGTCCCAGTGACCTCTAAGCCTGACTACAATGCCCATGACCGTGGTTGATGATGACAAGACGAAGATGCGATTCACAAGAACATGCACTGACCGGTCTAAGAGTCTGGAACGAGACACAGCTCCTATCCAAGTTGAAAAAGCCCTTGTCTGCAGCTATTTTGCTATGATGGCGACATACAGATGTTGTTGCTCAGTACAGGCATAGGATGCAAGCTTGAATTCAATCGCAATCAATGGCATCGCTCATCAGTCTCGGCAATTTTTCACATGATGAGCATGGACTATATATAGAGCCTCCCTTTTGGCTATGGACAATTCATTTCCGGTGACGATTCCATATCAACAACCGCGCTAACTGAAACGCCGCCTGTCGGATATTACAGTAGCCCCGCTATGCATTTAACATGTAAGTGGTCTCACTTGTAGGCTCACTCACCCTCCTTACCTAGGTACTCTGATCAGATCAGGCAGGCAGGGAGGGTCATGTTACTTTGTACACTTGGACTTTACATACAAACATTTCTTTGCTGCTACGAACGCTTCCACTAATACAAACAAACGCAAACGCAGACGCTTGACAACTGAGACCATCTAATGTTCTATCATAGCTTGGCCTTTGACTCTCCCACAGGCGCCCGGCCCTTGTCCAGCTCTTCGCAGAGCACAAGTGGCCGTCCACCTCGACTGCCGTCCTGGGTCATCAGGCCCTTATAGACGCCGTCTGTCTCTCTTCCGACGCCATCGTTCTCCATCTCTCTCCATCGCCACTTGTCACCAAGCTTGCCGCCCTGGCCCTGCATAACATCGGCAATCTTCTCACCCAGGTTGGGCAGGAACTTATACCCATGTCCACTGTCTCCAGTCGCCACGAAAAGTCCCTTCCAGCTAGGGTGGTAGTCGATGAGCCACTCGCCGTCTCTCGTGTCAGAGTACCAGCAAATTCGAGCCTCCTTCCACGGTCGGTTTTCTAGGCCACGGATAGGACATAAGTCCTTGAGTGCGCGACGCAGGTCTTTGTCGGCCTCGACGGATAGAAGGTTCGAGGAGTCGTTGCGGGAGGTGTATGGTTGAGATGCGAGGAAAGATTCCCTCTTGTCGTTTGGTGTCGGGGGAAGAGCGTTGTTGATCTTGACGGGATTGATGTATCCGAATGTGTGGCGAGCGACCTTGAGGACGTTGTTTCGTGGGGGGATGAGGAACAGACCAGTGCTGAGATTCAGTACCACTGGGAAGTTATCCAGCCTCTTCTGCTCTTCGGGTGTGATATCCATGTATACGACTGCATGGCCAGTAGCCTCGGTTCTACCTCGAAGGTCTACAAGTGAACCAGACCAAGCACCTGCAGCAACCATCACTACATCGGCCTTGAGAACCTTGGAGTCGCTGAGCTTCGCGCCAACGACCCGGTCACCCTCAGCCACAAGCTCTGTCACCTTGCCATTGACGAATTCAATTCGACCCATAGCATAGACCTGCTTGTATAACCACTTCATGCCCTCTCCCGCGTCAGCCCAGCCCGAGTTACCATTGAGGTAGCCCCAGTCGCCAGGATATCCGTTGGTGCCAAGGAACTCCTGCAAGGCCTCTGTGCTTTCCAGTCTCTGGATTTTGTCCATGGGCAGACCGGTCTGCTTGGCAATCGACTCGACGTTCTTCGCGCTCTCTTTGGTATAGTCCATACCAGACTTCTTGAGCTTAAAATCTTTGGGTGTCTCACTCGCGCAAAGGACGAAGCCCGACTCGGAGTATCGCCCCTGTCCACCAACGTCCTCATCACCCTGCTTTCGCCATTCCTTTTGAGCTTCGGCGGCCAGGGCGGCGTAGTAAGGATCCGAATAATCCGCTCGCACGATTCGAGACGAGTCTACACTGGCAGCATCCTCGGGAGGGAATTGGCCTGCGCAATCGTCGACGACGGTGATCGAAGTGTTGGAGTAGTATGGTCGCTTGGCCAGAGCCCAGGCAGTGCCGAGGCCAAAGACACCAGAGCCGACGATAAGGATAGAAGATGGGGCAGCAGTAGCCATTGCGTCGAAGAAAGATGATATTTGCACGACGAGAAAGGACAAGAACGAGCTTCCTACGAAGGACAGTCACTTATTATCTACGAAGCCAGCGACAGAGCGAAAGTCCAGATGGGCCGACGACACGCGAACGAAGACTTTTCCCCGTTCCCACACCGATCACGGCGCTGGCCGACTGGAGAGGTGACGCTAAATACACGAGAACGGGTCCATGATCGCCTGATAACCTTTTGGCGCTGCCGAGCATCGGGGTTAGTCGCATCTTGACCTTCAAAGTTGCCATTATTGGCTGAGCACGCGAGTAGGTGGAACACGGTTTCTTACCGCACAAACGGCTCACATTTTTCAGGAAACAAAACGTCAAAAATGCTTCAGATGTTGGGAAAACTTGAACTTTATTTATATCTCGGTGCTGTGAAAAACTGTTCATTCTGGAGTGAACCTCGCGGAAGCAGAACAGACAACCGCGTTCATCACGAGAAGTTTTATCCACCGACAAAAGCCGGGGCATGCTCTCCTTGTTTTCACGAAACCCGTCGCCGAGTCCGTGTTTGTTTGTTTGTTTGAACCCTCGATAGGTCCATCTCGGCAACAGCTCGAATTTGTTTCCCCAGACCCTCTCCACTCAGCATGTCCCTTGAGGTATTAGAGGCGCTCAAATCAACTGAGCGCGTGCGCCGCAGTAATGGCGCGAGCAATCTATGATGTGCCGCGGGATGAGTATTCTTATCTTTTCCCCCTGTACCGAAATCCCTCGTGAAATCCCTCGTCCAAACCGCCCCCGCCAACGCCGATGCAATGCAGAAAAGATTCAAAATAGTACAAACGCAGATTCCTGGCTACCAACCTGAGCATCAAGATCAGGTGGTAGCCAGAAATAATGAAAAAAGCAATCGTGGTATCGTGACGGGTTTCTAATCATACACGTCGGAAAGATGATGTGTGAAGTGCCAGATGACCAAGTGTAAGATGATACCTTAGACCTTGCGGAAATCTTTTGAATGGAGTTAGCACGGTTACAAAGGTATATGTAGGATGAGAGGACAAACCTTGCAGCACAGGGTAGATCATCTCAAAGGCCTGGTAAATTTCCTCTCGGACCTTGGCACCTGTCAAGACGATCTTGCCACTGACGAAAATAAGAAGCACGATCTTAGGTTTGATCATGCGATAGATAAGACCAGGGAACAACTCAGGTTCGTAAGAACTGAAATTGTGATGGCGCGAAGCCAAGCCCTCGAGTCGGATGGGGAACTTAATGTCGCAGGAGCCGACAATGTTCTGGATCTTGAAGTCGGTAAACTTGGCGTTGAAGCCAAGCTTCTGGATAATACGGGCGTACTTTCTTGAAGCGAGCTTCGAATCATCCTCTGACTTGGCACCGGTGACAACCATCTTGCCGGAAGCAAAGATAAGGGCGGTCGTCTTGGGCTCACGGATTCGCATGATGACGGCGGCGAAACGCTTCTCTTGTTAGCAACGTGTCTAAACATAGTGAGCACATAAAGTCTGATGTACCTTGGGGTTGTACTCTGCGTTACGTGCGTGCAGGGCGATAGTCTTGAGGTCCAAGCGGCAATCAAGATTAACTGTAGCCACGATGTTCCTTTAAGTTTGCCATATAAGCCTCGCTGAGCATTAAAAAGTCACTCAGGAGGATACATACTGTAGAGTAGGAGTAATTCCACTGGGCCCTTGGTTGGCAGCAGGCGTCGCGACAGGCGTTGCGGGTGCCACCCCATTGCCATTTGCCGCCTGCTGGCCGTTCGGAACCGGTCGCTGAGTAGCATCACCGTTGCCAACGGGTGGCGGTGCCAACTCGTTGGTTGCTCCGGGAAACGACAGCGATCCGGGCGCAGTGAAAGCCTTGGCTTGCGCCGCGTTCGAGGGGTGAGTCTGGATGCCTTCCATGATTGGAGTCGGTATCGAGAAGTGTCAACGTTGATAAACAATCGCTGAACAGATCTAGAAAAAAGATCCAGGTTAGCATCGCGCATGACATGACGATAGCATGCATCCTACCGATGGAGGTAGATGCGATAGTGAAGGAGTTGGTGCAACGGGATACAAAGATAGCAGCGCCGCTGATTGATGCAAAGAGGAGATTGAGAAAAGGGAGAAGAAGCCAGCCTTTTATAGGCGGGGTAGGGGGCTGTGCAGTGAATCATAGAGGGGCCACCTACCAATAGCGGGAGAGAAACAAGTTAATGTGTCCCCTACAAAGAAACTGACCCAGCAATTGAAATGTTATTCTCAAATGCGTCGAATGAAACTCGATGCAAATAAGAACAGAATATGGCTGAACGAAGTCGGTCGGTAAAAGAATTTTTTTTGGGTGTTGGTGATATTTAGAATATCGGCCAGACAATTAGACTTTTTAGAAGCACGGGCTTCTCTTCACTTCACAGCAGCTTTTTTTTATTGACGTCTACGACAGCGCAGCGACTCGATTGTGACGGTGACGGTGTCGGCGGGTATCGCTTCGTTCCGGTCTTCGTCGGATTCAACGTTATCGATTGCGCGCAAGGGGTGAAGAGGACAAAGAACGTATTTCAGTTCTTTTGAACTTGGTTGCGAAAGGTGTCGATACCAAAGTTCGTTCTTCCTGGGCTAGAGAGTGGGATCACGTCTGCAACGGCAGGGTCGTGACAGTGACAAAAGTGAAGAGGGAAAGGTACAGAGCCAGATATCGGTCAAGATTCAGGCTGAGTATGAGAGAGATTGGTCAACGTGATTATTGACGACCGGGATCTCGAGTTGGAGTTGGATGAGGTAAGGTGTGGTATGGTGAGGTGTGGGGTGTGACGTCGTGGGGGGATCTGAAAATAAAAGAAAGGCCGGACGTAAGTGGTTGGTACGTAGGGCCGTCAATCGGGACTTCCGCGCAGGTCTTTCGAAACAGGCGGGCGAGGGGAGGGCTCGCTCTTTATAATTTTGAGTAAACACGGTCAGGCAGGAACACCCCAGGCAACAGCACAACCTGTGGCGTCGGCGCTGGCAGGCTTGGCACGCGCTAGTCTATACACTAAACTCTGTTGATCCAATCAAACACTCTTGCGACGCTGATTTTATCTCCTTTTTTCCCACCCACGCACCCCAGTCTGAGTCTTGAGCCCCTGAAGTTACGCTGCAACAAACTCAAAGTCTATGTACTTGTGACTTGGCGATACGAACCTCGGTTTTTTGCTACCTCTTTCCAGGCTCTGCGCGCTCTGCAGCAGGCTTTCACGCCCTCTGCGAGCGATAAGTGAGTACAAGGATTGTATTATCAGCTCCTAAACACAGTAAATCACTTGGTCAAGAGTACGCCTGAGATTTCAAGCAGGAGTAAAGCAGTTACAAACATCAGCGCTGTGAGCTGTCCCGTTCCTTTTCCATGCTTATCAGTTGCTCAGGTAGTGTCTTCAGTGGAAGGAGTCACTGCATTTGGTTTCTTTCTCCCTCAAAGGGCGCTGAAGCCGACAACCCTCAAAAGATTCTGAGGATCGCCACTACTTGACAGGGAGGCCTGCTGCCCCGATGCAGGCCGCGTACTGGCTGGGGTATCAAAGCTTGACCGTCTGGCGGACGGGGAAAATAGAGTAGGTGAAATTAATTTTGGCCTCTTTGATAGCAAAGTCGTCTTAACATTTCTGTCTCCCACTTAACAAAAGCGGACAAATTATCTTCACTTGACTGGCTTGCTACCAAAAAAAACAAGCCAGAGCAAAGAGGCAAGCAAGCACAAGCGTGGGGTGTCTGGCGTGGTAACGTGGTTAGCCTCCCTATCGCCCAGTGATTCCACTTCCTGTCGTCATCTCCTCCCCCTGGACTTTCTTTTCTTGCTCCTCTGTCACCTCACCTAACCTTTCACCTCCTCTTCCTCTCCAACCCACAAACCTCACCTCAATCTGCACGCCGAACACGCAGCCATGAACATACCGAGACGAACGATCATATCAACCAAGAAACGGCGATAACATCGACGAAGATAATGAAAGGCCACAAACGTGACGGGTATAATCAACTGAGCAAGGCAACGCAGGAAATCCACCAGAACCGGCATCGACCGACTCGCTATGTACGAAAACAAAGCCCAATACCGACGGGAACGATCACGGTGGGAAAGGCGGGCACCGAGACCCAGCGCTGAGCAAAGTCTGACTTGACCTGAACTGGCTTGACTCAAGCCGGACTCAACGACGGGAGCATCACGCAATCCGGCGGCGATAGGAGCGTCACAGCGCCCATCCATGGAGCATCAGAGGCCTGTGGACCTCGGATACGGGCTGAAATTATGGGCCGGGGTCTAGTCCGACGAGGCATGGTTGGTTCTTTTTAGGCTTTTTCCACTTCCTCATTTCAGACCCGGCTCCTCTCACCTCCAGTCTGATTGCTCTCGTTTGTTGGCGCACCAAGATTGTCACCTAGCCTCTGTTGCCTCAAACGCAACTGTGCACCCCCGTTGTCGTTGGAGCGGAACACCCACTATCCCAAAATCAAGTTCTGGTCGGCCCTGTCAAACCCTCTTCTCGCCCCCCGTGGCACTCGCTCCCCCAACCCAACCACCAACTCTTGCCAACCACCAACATGACGAGACCCTGAAACACGCTCTGCCTCCTTCACTGATGATTTCCTCCAGCCCACGCGCCCTCCTTCGCAACGCGTCGCCCCTGACATACTCGGAAGCCTGGTCAAATAGTGCTCATTGCATTGTGATGGACGTCTCGTAAGCGTCTCATCAGAATGATCGTGCCATTATCCAGAGGCTTAGCAGTAGGAGAATCAGCTCATCGCAGAAGCGCAACTGACTTGCGACACAAAGCCTGATTTCCGGGCACACCGCAAACAGAATTTTCTTCTTTTTTCTTCCCTAGGCGACGGTCGGCTACCTGGAGGCAAGCCGTGGGGTTTCCCATTTTTATTTTCGTGCCCTTAGTACACTCATCTCGCAGCCCAGCCGCCCGCTGACTTGTGAGTCATTCATATGTGAGTCTGTGACCAATCACCTGCTAGTCTCCAACCAATCATTCCCCTCGCAGTGCTAGGGAGGTTGGCTCTGTGCGTCCACTGAGTGGCTTCTTGCATCATGTACTCAGTACAAAGACTCTTTGACAGCCCCCGTCGAAATGTGCAGTCGTCATGATGGTTCACATTTTGCTGCTGATGCATTCTTTTATTTATTATGTCGCAGTTACAGTTATATTTGCTTTTGCACCGCTCTTTGGCTTGATGCAAGAGTAGGTCTTTTGTGGTGCAGAGATGCAGAGTCTAGTTTGGCCTGGGCCTTGCTCTGGATGAAGAGTTGCATGCTGTGACTTTTGAAAACCCCAGTCTGCATTGAGGACACGTTCCAGGTTGCTACGGCCAATTTGACGCCGAATGGTGACACGAAAATTTTGATTGTCAGGGATCGCCAAGAACGGTTGCCTCTTACGAGAACGCGTCTAATTACCGGGTGGGCTGCTCTCACAAGTACCTCACTAACAATTTTCTGGTACTGGGACATTCTGCAGCCAGTCCTAGACTTGGTGACTTGGTTTTAACACTCACTCCACTTTCACTGAAGGTTCAGAGTGTGTCTGTTCAAAAAGGTCCCAACCAGCCTCACTTGAAATTCTCTAGGTTCTTTCAGGATCCGCCATGTCTTTACGGATACTAGCGTCTCATTATCGCATCCATGGCCAGTTTTACAGTGCATTTGCTAGCAGGCCCATGGAGCCAACTCCGCACTGCAGACTTCGCTTGGATAAGATTGTGTTTATGTGACGATCGCAACGCTTTCTTCATTCAGCAATGACTTGCTGACATGAGGCTGTAGAAATGAGCCTCCATGCCTACCACTCGCTCATGTTCAATGATCATTTCCTTCAATTTGGTGTTGCACTGGATCTACCACGAGACATCTTTCTGTTATCTTGATCACTTAAGTGCAAGTTTCCACTCGCATGAACTGAATTGTGCATGAAGACACTCTTGCTGTCTCACACGCGGGAACCGCAAGGATCAGGGCTCTCCACATGTCGGAGGTTCTACGGATAGATCTTGACCTGCTCACATATTGATAAGTCCTCATGCGGCTCAAGTGTCCTTATCGTGATTGATAGCGGCTAAATAGATCATATGTTAGATATTGTTTAGCACGTTTTTGGTAAACTTCTAGTATTCAGTAGGAGTCTAGATCTGATTCGTACCAAAGATATACTTCCACCCTACTCCGTAATCTCTACTGTACTCCGTTACGCTCCCAAAAAATAAAACAAAAGCCTTTCCGTCTCTTCAACGTGGCCTTACGCCAATTTGCTTTCCCCAACACGCCGAGTATGCATCCAGGTGTATAAATCAGGTATTATACATAATAAATAATGAAAAAGAGTTCTCAACAAGACATGTGGTTGTCTTCTTAGGTCATATAGTACTTAGGGCCCTCGCCTCCCTGCGGCACCTGCCAGTTGATGTCTTGGTGAGGAGCCTTGATGTCGCATGTCTTACAGTGGATGCAGCTATTGCGATGTTAGTCACCATGCCCTCGACTCAAAGTTGGAAAGTGAAAGTGCACTTACTTTTGCGCATTGATCTGGAACCGCACGCCGTGAGGCTTGGACTCGTCCTCAACATACTCATACACGCCAGCTGGGCAGAAGCGATTCTCCATGCCCTTATAAGGAGGGTATGTAGTTTCGGTGTGGGCGTCCCAGTCCTTGACCTGCAAGTGAACAGGTTGATCCTCCTCGTGGTTGGTTCCAGTGCGGGAGACACTTGTCAAGATATCAAAGGTGATCTTGCCATCAGGCTTCTCGTACTCGATCTTAGGGACCTTGTCGGCAGGAAGGGTAGATGCGTGGTCAGGGGTCTTATGCTTGAATGTCCAAGGAACACGACCCTTCAAGATATAAGCCTCGAGGCCTGAATACATGATTCCACCGTAGAGGCCAAGGGGGTTGTGGAAGGAAGGTCGCATATTGCGCACCTCCTTAAGCTCCTTCCAGATGGGAGAGTCTCGCAACTTGTTTTCGTAATCGTACAAGAAGACAGTGCCATCATCAGTCTTCTCGTTGATAGCAGTCCATGCTGCCTCGGCGGCAAGCATACCGGACTTCATAGCATTGTGAGTGCCCTTAACCTTGGGCACGTTGACAAATCCAGCCGAGTCACCAATGAGCGCACCACCAGGGAAAGCGACCTTGGGAATGGACTGGAAACCACCCTCAATGAGAGCGCGAGCGCCATAGGAAATGCACTTGCCACCTTCAAGAACATCGCGGAAGAGGGGATGAAGCTTGAGCTTCTGAAACTCTTGATAGGGCGACATCCAGGGGTTTTGGTAATCAAGAGACACAACAAGACCGATCTGAACAAAGTTCTCGCCAAAGTGGTACATGAAAGAGCCACCATATACCTCCTTGGGGAGAGGGTAACCCATTGAATGGACAACCAGGCCCTTTTCGAACTTGGCAGGGTCGATTTCCCAGGTCTCCTTGATGCCTAGACCATACGTCTGGTGCTGGCTGTCCCTCCGCAAGTCAAACTTGTTAATGACCTGCTTGCTCAAACTTCCATGACAGCCCTCACCAAACATGGTGACTCTGGCGTGGAACTCCATCCCTCGCTCGAATGTTTCCTTGGGCTTACCATCACGACCAATTCCGAGGTCATTGGTGGCGACACCCTTGACAGAGCCATCTGAATCATAGACAACTTCTGATGCAGCGAATCCAGGGTACACCTCAACACCAATCTCTTCAGCACGCTCGCCGAGCCACTTGACGAATTGGTTCAAGCTAACGATGTAGTTTCCATGGTTGGACATTTGCGGAGGCGCAGGAATAGGAATGGCAGAATTCTTGGTAAGGAATCGCATGCGATCGGCGCCGGCAGGAGTAGCGTGTTCGAATCGGTTGGGGTTGTTCTCGTCAAGCCAGTCGGGGATAAGTTCGTTGATCGAGGTGGGTTGGATGACAGCTCCAGAGAGGATGTGGGCACCAAGATCGCCAGCTTTTTCCAGGACAATCACACGGAAGTCCTCGTTCCCAGCTTCGTTGGCGAGCTGCTTGAGACGAATGGCAGCGCTAAGTCCAGCTGGGCCACCTCCTACGATACAGACATCGACTTCATCGGACTCGCGTTCGACACTCGCGGGGTCAAAATCTCCGTCATCGTCTCGAAGTCTCGAAGTAGTGCTGAAGGCGCGGGTGGTAATTGGCAGTCTTGTGGTAGACCATGCAGCTGCAGTTGTCCTGGTGGAAATGGGGGATCTAGCAGAGATTGTGGCGGGACAGAAGCTGGATCTGACGGGACGCAGTTGAGAGCGAGAGAGGACTCGCGAGCTGCGCTGGACGCATCGCGAAACTGGTCGTGGAGTGGGCATGATGAGAGGAGGCACAGAAAGAGAGAGGAGAGAACAATGATTGTTAAGTGAGGTGAGGCCGTGAGAGTAGGAAAAGGGAAGAATTCCTTTTAGAGAAAAGGCTTCTAGGAGAGAAATGTCCTGGGACCGGCAACTAAAGCAAACTTTCCGCCGTTGACTCTTTTCTTGGTGTGAGAGAAGAGCCCCGGTAGTGGGGAAGGCCGATCGCCGGGTGGGTAACTTTAGTGACGGAGGGGAGGTGGGAGGGCTTAATTCTTGACCATTAACTGCACCTTTATTGGCTCTTGGATGGGGGCTTTCTCTCTTCGCTTTACCTCGTCCCTTATCCTCGGGACGTTACCTAGGTTCCAGAGAGGCGAAATGGGTTCTACTACGCTCATCAGATTTGATTTGACCATATCTTCTCTTTTCTTACTCTCATATCTAGCTTGTTTGCACTGTTACGGTATCAATAAGCTCTGTTGTTGGGTACTGTCAAGGCTTTGCCCGGCACTCGGTTCAGTATAACCGAGGCCATAATCCACTGTCAATCGGTCTGAGTCGCGGTTGGAACTCGGCTGATCCAGCATTAATTAGTCTAGGTCTCGAATTGAGAGAACCTGGGGTATGCAGTGGCCATAGCTAGCATGTGCAAGTGAAATGTCATCATAATAATGAAGAATAGTCACATGTGCTTTCATAATGCAGTGTACCATGACAGTTGGTATATGTAGTAGTTGATGGCTGATGGCTATTCCCCTATAACCATCTTCAATTTATCAATTGACCAATATTGAAGCTCTGCAATTCAATATCCATTCTACCAGGGTTCATGAACAGTTACGTCACGACAAGTGTGCGTGCCCCGAGCGTTCGGTGTGTATATGTATTTTGGCCGATGCTTTGGTTCGGCTCAAGCCAGCTATTTGCCGCGGCTTTGGCTCTTGGGGTATTGTCGCATTGCTCCGGTCTAATGACAATTTTCACCGTCCAGCACTTCGATCTGACATATTAATTACTTGTTGACATTCAATATCAGCTGTTTATAGTCGTCATATGTATTGAGGCTCTTGGGAAATGAGGTTCGACTTCTGACCATCTGTCCAATGATGGGTTATTGAGCCAGCCTAATGTTGACTTCCAACGCAACGATGCCACTAGAAGCAGCAGTTGGTTTTTAATAAAAATACACACCAAAAGCTAGCTAGGATCTGTGAACGATGACTTTCGACAATATCGTGTTCGTCAATGCACTAATCATCCTATATACCTATATAAGCACATATCTATCGCATTTGTTGTTTGTTAAGTAGACTACCCTGTACACGACTAACACTTGATATCGTAACACTAATCTTTAAAATAGGACGGCTAGGGCAACATATAGAAACCACCAATGAATTTTCTAGTATTGATATGAGTTTCGTATTAACATTACTATTATCATTATCGTTATTGCAATCGTTCATCGGATCGCTCCCGTAGCTTATTCCGTCCTCAGTAAACACCTCGTCCCAGACCCAAGTCGACGGGCAGTTTGGAAGGACCTCGAAAACCATAACGAACCGATTGATAATCAGTCCAAGACGCACCAGACCTTGCTAGTTGCAACAACACACTGTGCAGTTCATCGTGGCTCATATCAACCACCTCTGCTGAAGGATACCTTGTCTGAGCCCAAAGAGCGATGGCCCCATCTGCATCAACTAATATAGGTATGGGAGATGGCTGTATCTTGGTGAAGGGACATAAGGAAAAGAATGGATAAAAATGATCGTTCATCAGCCTCAGGCAGTCTTGTTTAATGTAATAGTTGGGAGGAAGACATGTATCAAGTAAATTGAATAGCGTCATTGTGGAGGCTGGAGGAGAGCCAATGTCTGATTTGGTGTTAGGATACACCATTGTCTTGATGTGTGGCACGCACGAGCTTTGTCGTCTGAGCAATTACTTATAACCTCACATACACAAAGACAATCACCGACAGAGAAAGTATTGTTCACTGACTCCCACCGAGAGCTATCGTGTCTCATTCACACCCAAGGTCTGTTTGCAAGGCCGCCTTCCAATAATAAGGCACAACAAGAAGATGTAATTCTTAGCCGTGATTCAGATATAGATGTCAGTATCTGAGGAGTTGTTCTAAATTATAGTAAGAAAGAAGCAGAGGAGAAATATCGAGAACGTTGATTTCTCTGGACTGGGCAGTAATCGAAGCCCACGATGCCCCGCACAGATCTGTGGGAAGCTGGGCTTTGTCGTTCATAGCCTCATTCCCCCATATTCTTAGTTTAACCTTGAATGTTTACGGATGTCCAACACGTCAAGGCTTCCCCAGCTTCCGCCCACCCCCCACTACCTATTCCCCTAGTCAGGGGTCAACGATCGCCATTGGTATCCGCTAAACCGCTACTGTACCTTAGTGTCCGTACCACAGCTAACGACAGATCTCACGATGTTGATGATACCTAAACTTGGTAAAATTGATGGAAACGAAGAAGAGAGTTATTGAACAGATAATACTAAGAGTTGACAGGTCGGTCACTTTGATCTGACATTTGCTCGTTTCCTGTGAGTGACAGTCAAGTCGATATGGGTAACCTTATGTGCAGCAGAGCAACCAACAGTTTGCAGGGATCAGATTATCTATTGTAAGTGGAAGACCGCACCTCGAAACCTCTTTCGCGTTTCCGCAACGTCCTCTCATGCTAAAATGAATTTTTACTTCTCAAGACCATTTTCTTCTTCACCGACAGCATCAATAGAGGCGCTGCCTCCAGAAATCCTACTTCCGATCGTCACAAGCCTTCCCGGTCTCGACACGCTTTGGGATTTGTTGAGGGCATCACCCAACGTCTGGCGTCTCTTCAACGAGAACACCCTTTCCATTATCGAAAGAATTCTCCTTAGTCCCAAGGCGATATTACCACCTGTGGTTGCAGAGGCGGTACGCGCCGTTATACTTACCCGCTTAAAGGCACTCCCTTTTCGGAACCTACATGAGTTCCAGCACCAATTTGTACTCAAGTTATTTCCCGTATTTCCAATGATCAGTAAAACTAAGGACAAGTTGATCAATATTGAACCCCAAGTTTTGTCAGCTGCAGCACCATCTGTGTTGGTTCTTCGATCCATAGTTGCAACAGCTTACCAGATCTCCGCTCTTTCACAAGCATGCTTGTCATCTTATCTCGAACGACTGAGAGACATCAGCTTCAGGCCGATGCATTGCCTCGACCCAAATCTCAGTTACACTAATTCTTATGGGTTTGGCGACGAATGGGTCCCGGCGTGGGATCGTGTTTTCGAAGGCACACCTGCTAAGGTGGTTGGTGCTGGGCAGCCAAACTGGGTGGAGGAGATGCGAGCTGTTCGTGCTCTATGGATTATTCAGCTTGTGGGAGAAGTGCAGTGTCAGAGGAATACTTTGGACTGGCCAAACGATAATGTCGATAAGTTGAAAGATATGAACTCAGCTGACATGATCGATCGGATTCAATATCATGAAGCTCTTCAAAACTCTGAAGAGGTCACGTCTCTGATGTACTACATTGCTACCCTTGGGGAGGCTAAACAAGATGTATACTACCGACTCCCTCCGCCGCCGCCATTTGTGAGATGGATCACGGCGTCGCCCAACCGAAACGAGCGTTTCTCCAAGTTTCTCCGGTATCGCCGTGATGGAACATCACTCTCGCTTCGATGCCTCACCGACGACCACAAATGGGGTCGGACTGAGGAGGCCCTGAGACAAGAAGCTCCTGGAATGCTAATCTACAGACGACTCAATAGACCCCCAACTGATACCGTCGGTGCATCGCCAATAGAAGGAGTAAAGTTCGGCTCGTTCCGCCAGCTCGGTTTCGCATTCTGGGATATGTGGAGGATACACCTTTTGGGTATGCACAGTGGTTGAGATGACCATGACCTGCCTTCCGGTCCATTTTATATGTTTGCTTGGGAAAGTACTAATCTTGCCCAGTGAAGAGGTTGCAAGTCTGAAGGCTGAGTTGCGAGAACAATGGCGTATCAAGCTGCAGAGGCATGATATAAACCAGAAACGGATTCAAAAGGAGGACCAAGAGCGCGAGAAAACAAGCTGAAGCATTTATGATAAGTACCTAGTATTGGCGGAAACATAATAGTAGACCTGGTGTTAAACAGGTTTGGCCTTGTGTCGGAAGGCTCGTCGCCTGGAGATAGGAAATCGTTGAAACCGGCAAGCAATGATCGGACTGGGAACCGACGAGTGATAAATGGAGGGGCCATTAGCTGGTGTTTCATTTAAAGTACTTACCTAGTTATTAGATGAACATAGGTGTTCGCGATAATACTACGTATAAACCAAGATAGGTCAGTTACTAACGTTAAAACAACAAAGTCAGCAAAATATGGATAACAGACCTAACTAACCCAGTATGTTAACGGCCGCGACGATTAACAATGTAGGTCCTGTATGACCTAAAATATAGGGAGGCATTACCGTGTGTTCAGCCCACCAATGATAGGGAAGTCCATCCCTTAGAACATCCATGTCAGACCCTGAGATCCCTAGGTAGATCTTCCCCCTACTCCGTACCTTGCCTTAGTTAACAGCCAGAAAAAGCCACGCCCAACATGTTTTCCTTATGAACAACGTCAAATGGCGGAGACATGACCAAAATGTACCGTCTACTCTCTCTCATCGCAGCCGTCGTAGTTGTCTCTGCCGATTGTCCCAACTACGAGCAATTCGCCCGCGAGAAGCATGAGCCATTCTCAGAAGGACGCTATGCGTTCCCTCTTCAGCGCCCCAGCAAGGATTGTCGTACATATTCAGTGCCAAAGGTTGAGCACATGATTTATGAAGAGATGAACCAGGCCATCGGTGATCCAGACCTGTACCGGCTATTTTCCAATACTTGGCCCAACACCGTTGATACGACAGTGAAATGGAGGGGTGTCTCTGCTGATAACCAGGATGAAGAGGTAAATAGCATGATGCTCCCCGTCATGTTAGAGTATACGGATACCACTTACTGACATGTGCTATTCAGCTGGCCTTTATCACCACAGGAGATATAAATGCTCTTTGGTTACGCGATAGCGCCAACCAGCTCCAATCATACAAGTCTCTCTTGTCCTCCGACAACATCTCCCCGTCCGATGAGAATGACATAGCCTCTCTCTTCCGCGGTACCATCAACCTACAAGCTCGATACATCAGAAAGTCCCCTTTCTGCAACGCATTCCACCCTCCACCCGAAGCCAACCTGCGCCGCGCAAAGCGATCACTCCACAGCAGAGACACTGTCAGCCCGAAATACGACCCCGATTTCGTCTTCGAATGCAAGTACGAGCTTGACTCCCTCGCAGCGTTTCTCCAGCTATCATGGGACTACTACGAGGAGACAGAGGACGGCGACTTCTTTGGCAAGTTTGGCTGGATCGAGGCTATCAAAAGCATCCTCAAGGTTGCGGAGCGCATGCAAGAGGGCACATATGATGAGCAAGGCATGGTTCAGAAGTCGGCTTATAGATGGCTGCGGAACTCCGATAGCGCTTCAGAAACGGTATCAAACCACGGCCACGGGGCTCCAGTGAAGGGTCATATTGGCCTTGTGCGCAGCTTTTTCCGACCATCCGACGATTCATGCATCTACCAATATTTGATCCCGTCCAACATGCAGTTTTCCAACTATCTGGCATTGTGCGCAAAGATCATGCGACCACTCGATGAGAAGTTGGCCAAGAAAATGGAGGCGCTGGCGACGGAGATCGATTTAGGTATCTACGAGCATGCCATCATTCAGCACCCCGTATTTGGAGAGATGTACGCCTATGAGATCGACGGATTTGGGTCTTACAACATCATGGACGATGCGAACATCCCCTCCCTCCTCAGCATCCCACACATAGGTTACAAGCCGGCCTCGCAGCATGTTTACGACAACACGCGTAAATTTGTTCTTAGTTCGTACAATCCGTACTACGCGCGAGGACCGGTCCTGAATGCCACAGGTGGCCCTCATCTTGGACCAGGCATGGCATGGCCTATGGGTTTAATCGTCCAGCTCTTGACGAGCGATGACGACGATGAGGTAGTAGATGGAATACGACAGTTGATGAACTCAACGAGTGGACTGGGTCTGATTCATGAGACGGTCAACAGTCACAACGCAGATAAGTGGACGAGATCATGGTGAGTCACATCGGAGCGATATACTATGAAGTACTGACAAAACGTAGGTTCTCGTGGGCCAATGGCTTGTTTGGTCAAATGATATTGGACTTGTATAAGCGAAAACCGACGTTAATAGCCAGGAGCTACCAAGATGTTGGAGGTGTATGATGTTCAACATGTATAGTATCAGAAAGCTAATATCGCAGCAGAATTGGAGGTTGTATATGTAGAATGGTCGTTCAGCGAACCATAATGTTCATGCTTATCAAAATAATATAAAAATAATAAGATATTCACAATCCTTGACCCTGGACCGCAAGGTGAAAGACACCACAAAGCGCACCCAGATTCTATACTACGTTTATTGTCATTTCCTGTCTATCGTAACTACAAGTGCATAACTCCTGTATCGACAGCAATATTCTCATTTATAAACATACGTTCCAAACTGCCATGTCCGACGCTAATGCAAAATAATTCCCGCCTCCAACATGCACCCATACCATTCATTATATGAAAACAGTATGCTTAACTCAAATCAAAACCTGCTCCTGACTGCACAGCGTAGAGCAACTTCTTGCGGAGCGTCGCTTCTGTAGTATATCTCGGTAACTTGAGCAAGTTGACACACGTACTCGTGCTCGGTAGTCTCTCCTCGTCTGTTCCTCCGTCACGAATGCTGAATTTTGGCCTCAACTGTGCGAAACCTAATAAAGGGGCTCGCGGCGTCGAGCTGACATACTTGAGTACATCCCGGCGTTGAGCATCTGTAAAGCCACGCATGACCTTCCAGAACAGCCGGATAGTCTGATGCTCCAGGCCATCGTCGCCAATCTCGTATAGGCCGCTGTAGATGGTGTTTCGACGGAGATCATCAATATCAATCTCGGATGAGTCACCACCTACGAGACGCTGCAGCTCCGACTGATTGAACATGGACAGCCACGTTGGGCGAATAATGGAACGTAGACCGCGTAGGAAGGCCAAAGTTTGCGGAGCGGGTTGGACCACCAAGCGATGGCGAGCAACATACGAGATGTACAGTAGTCGATTGTCGTTCGTGACGTAGACTTGGTCGCCATTGGCTATTAATTTCTTGGTGATAGTCTTGACTGGGTCACCAGGCTTTGAGACTTGATCCTCGATGGTGAAGTCGATTCCCAGTTCAGAGATATCTCCTGGGTAATTCTTTAGTCGTAGCATGCCATTGTATAGCTCTTCGTCCATGTCGCGAAGATCGTTCACACTGCCTTTATAGTTGTTCTCATCGTTCGGCCCCGTAGATGCCCATTTCAGGAGGAAGAATCCAGCAAAGGCGAGGTCGACGAGGATGCCCTCGTACATGCATTTGCCCACGATCCTGCCAAGGAATTCGAAACGCCGGAGTACGTTCGTGACGGTTTCTCGATATTCATCATCAGTTCCCGAAAGCCCATCCATACGCAGTGTATCGCGAAGAACATCAAGAGATGTTGGGTCCGGGAATAAGAGTCCCTTTTCATTCGATGTGAACATGCCCTTACCATGTTGACCACTGAATGCTTCTGAAGTGACACTGATGAGAAACTCCTTCGTGACACCGCCTCCGTCGATACCAGCCTCAGCAGTGCCAAACTGATCGACAAATGTGATCTGAATAGGGTCCTTCAGGCCTTCACCAATTTCGTAGAACTGATCGTACGCATCATCAAACAGTCGCTCGCGTGAAATTTCTGCATGATGCCTTGCAAACGGACTCATGAATTGAGGTTGGTTGCTACCCTCCCTTTGGTGCTTATCCAGCTGGATAAATTGGCGAAATATCATGACCCGAGTCTCGAAAGGAACAGCAAATGGCATATGTTTCAATATTTCCAGCTTGGGACCCATCTCTGCCAGGCGACGTTCCCTCTGAGTTCGCATCTGCTGGGCCTTCAAACGTTCTAGTCTTGCATGTCGTGACAATCGCTGACCAGCAATAGTTGAGTAGAATCCTGGTACGTTGCCATATTCTTCCATGTCGTCGTCGCTATCGTCTGAATTCTCCTCAATCTGTCGCTTTTCTTCCGCAATAACGGCATTGATAAAATCTCCCTGGTCCAACTTTGAGGTCATGAGCCAGTGGTCTGTAGGCAGGAATTGCTTTCTTGAATCTCTTTCATACAGCATTTTCATGGCTGCTGTAACAATATTCCGTAAACTGTCAAGATCCAATCTCGTCGGGCTCTTGTTTACTGAAGATGTTTCTGACTCTCGAGTCGTTGCTGAAGATCCCCCGGAGCCAAAATAAGAGTCCATGCGATATTTGGAAGCCGCTTCCAGATCATCACGCGACCTTGATAGCTCCTGTGCTTTGTAATGAAGAGTGAAAGCCGTGTTCTTAAGAAAGCTTGTCAACATTTTGACATCTTCTAGTGAGAGACTGCAAGCTCGAATACGGGATGTTGATGCGTTTTGTTGCAGAATTTGGGGGTATATACCACTGAAAAAGTCGTCATCGTCGCTCAAACGAAGAATGAAGATGTAAAGCTCAAGAAACAGAAGGGCAATTCGCCAATCCTGTTCTTCCTCCGAAGATCTTGAGGTTCCTGTTGTAGCACCCAGATACCTACGGAGCACATCGAGTGGCGGCTCTGATTCCGTCCTCAATTTGCGAAATACCGCTGTTTTTCTCATAATGTGCCAGAGAAATTTGATTGTTGGGATATCGCCAGAAGGTGTGGGGATTTCCTCGAGGAAGAGACGCATACGAATGTCGTCGCTACTTGCAGGAAAACATCGAAGCAAGGTCAAGATGTAGCCTGCTAAGAAGCTCGTGCTCTGGTACTCCTGCTGCGAAGACCCCGCCAAGTTGGTGGAAAATTCATTTAACGTTTGTGAAATGCCATTGCTGTCCACCAGGGACAGTAGTTTAGTTGTAACGTAGGGATCGAGGGGTGCCACCAGAGGCTCTTCGGAGTCATTCTCGTCATCCTCGACTTGCTTCGTTGATAGACGGACACTAATAGTGGAAGAAAGTGCAGCTAGTTGAGTGTAAAGTGTTTCCAAGACGCCAGTAGCAGTTTTGGTGTTTGTATTGAAGTGGCTCAAATCGATAAAGTGAGCAAGCTGCCAGAGCTGAGCGTCTTGCGACCCCAGGACGCTTGAGGTGGAGGAGTAGCCTGCTACTATTGCTCTCGACAGATGAGCAATGGTCACTGTATTGGATAGAACGGATATGTTCTCCTCAAAGAATCGCATGTTGTTGTTCGTCAAGAACGAAAAGGCGTATGCGTGATAGACTTGCGAAATACCTATACCGTGTTAACAAAGTTCAAAACCTCCCAATTGTGGAACTAACCTTCTTGTGATACAGCCTCGAGTGGACTGGAGATGGCTTGTAGCACAATATCTCTCCACTGCTCGTCAAGCTCTTGAACCTGACATAGCCTGGCAACTACCTTGTAATAACTGTCGGTCGCGAGCAGAATTAAGTCGGGGGAGCTCGTAATGATGCGAACAATGAGCTTGAAAAGAAGGTTCGTGTCACCTGAGAGGTTCCTTTCCAGTTTCGTTAGTCAAGGACCATATCCACCTGAGAAACAAGATCACACGTACCCTACTGATAAGGATTTGTCCAGTGCTTGCAAAAGAAGTCGAACAAGCTGTCCTACTCGTGATGGATGAACATTTGATGGGGCGATTGCTTCGAGATTCACAGATTCGGTATCACGCGCATAACGTATAGCTCTTTGAATGTCGTCATCTCTTCGGAGAGCGAAGAAAGACAGAAGAAGGGTGAACGCTTCAGGAAGTCTTTCGGAAGGACTTTGGTTTGATCCTGACTTGTATACAGCGTCGAAAGTATTCCTCTGGGATTCCTTTAATTCTGATCTTGTCTTGTAGCCCCTCCATGATCGTTGTATCGTGCCAGCAGCTTTTAACCGTGTTCGCTCAGCTTGTCGCTTCTCTCGCTCGGCCTGAGCATTCGAAACTGTCTTTGTGGTATTCGAAACGGCCGATGGTGACCATGATGTGTTGGCAAAGGGGTTTCCGGCAGCACCGCTAAGGTTAACATTTCGAGGGCGTCTCGAGTTGCCCGTAAAGGTTGAGAACATGGTTTCGACGGGTGGGAGTGACTGGGCAAGGTCGGGATTAGAGTTGGGCAGGTGAGAATCGGGAATTAATTAGGCGACTTGAGCATGATCGAGCGTCTCATGTACCGTCGATATCGATATCCTCGTCCTGGTGCTTCAGCTTCTAGAAGATTCAGCTGAAAGGCTCAGTCAGCGATGGGCAGCCTATTTTAGATAGGTACTGTTTGTCCGATGCCGCGTTCGGAGTTTGGAGAGGTTTTGGTGGGGATCTATGGAGGAGGTGACCTCACCTCCCTCAGCTGGGGTCGCGATAAGATAAGAGCAACACTCAGGTGCGTAACTCGCATTCGCGGGAAGCAACCACACAGGAATACGATTATGCGCCAACCACGGCACTTTTGTGCGAATGTGCCCTTTTCGTGTTCAAGTTTTGCGAAAGGGAGTAATTCTTAGCTGTGGAAGAAAAACCTATCATTCTCACTCGAAGGCATTGGAAAATCCTAGAGACTGATAGTTCGTATTAGTAGTGCCTATAACCACAACCCGGAAAGGTTAGATCGACATATATAATGTTGGTCTCTCATAAATCAGAATAGAATACGTGGTGTTCGATATGTGTTGATGTTTCCGAAAGAATCGCCTCACAGAAAGGATCTGTAACGGTTGTCCAATTTCCTATAATGTCTTCTGCTAAACATGGGCGCTGGAAATCATGACAGAGATAATCAGTTGTTTTCCAGCTCTGTGGTGTAGTCAAAGCACCCAAAAGAATTGGCTTAGACGACTGCCCTCAACCCAGGCCGGCCTTGTCTTAGACATATTTGACCTGGAAGATGTACGAGTTGGATCAATCCTAGCTGGTCTGATTGCATGCAGCTGGAAATCGCATAATACACCTCGTGATGGTCCTACGTTGATATTCCGGATATACTCTCGCCGTGGAATGCTTTTGAACTGCGTGGATATCTGCCACTGTAATCTTGGTTCTGTGCTCTGTAATTGTCTCTCAACTGCAACGCTCCATGTGACATTCAGAAATCGCTCTGTCAAGGGGGACATGCCCCGATAGACAATCCTGCAATAGACTGTGCCTATCTTTGGCGGTGAAGATACCAAGCATCATGGTATTTTTGCTCTAAAAGCGCTTAGTTCATACAATCGGCTTATTTGCGACATTCCCTCGTCGGATACCCATACCCCAGTCAGATAATGACAATGTATGCTCCTCCATATGCCAACTATGGATCGTGATGACTTCTGAGACAAGTTTTGCTACACAGGGAGAGAAATCGTCATAATTCACCTGGGATTGCAATGCAAATGCATACTTACAAAACAAATGTGGTTTTCTTCGCACAGTTTACAGTTTGCCCTGTTCCATTGCAGATTAGTGACAACCTAGGCCGTTTGCTAGCTTGACAACAGCGTGGCATGGCGTGGCACTGGCACGACCTACTGGTACACTACGGAGTACAAATGGAAAAATTCAACCGTTTAAGCTCGGGAGCGCCGCAAGTACCTTGGCCACTACCGAGATGGCGAGAGTAGGGCACGTGCCCCCGCATCTTATCTGAGAAGAGTGAGTTTGCGCAGATGATTTTGTTAGTGACAGACATTTCTGCTACCCAGGTTCTTAGCACGACTCAGTGGGAGATACCCCGCTTGTTCAGTGGTGTTTAAGCCTGGAGTTCGATTTTGCGTGCTACTGCTACTGCTACTGCTAGGTACGTAGGCGTGCGGCGTTGGGTGGCAGGTGCACTCCACCAATCCATTTTAGCCATCCTCCTTCCCTCCCCCCCCTCCACCATGACGGGGGAGCACAAATAATAGTGGAGGTACGTACCTTGAGCCTTAGGTCATGTCTGCAGGTCAAGGTCTGCAACTCAAGCCAAGCAAAAAAAATAATTCACGGCTACGAATTTCTCTTTCTTCCCTCCCCAACCACGAAACCAACCTTATCACATCAACCCAAAAACCCATAAAAGTCGAGTCGGTCCAGAGGTACGGTCTTCTGACTAGTTCTCTGTTTCTGCTCACTTCATTTCCACTCGGAACAAAAACACAAAAAAAACTTGAAAAAACCCCCAAAAAACACAACCCACCACCCCCTCATCTTCCCTCTTTGTCTCTCTCACGAGTGACTTGAACCTCCTTCCACGCCCTCTCCCATCTTCCATCTTTGAGTCTTCACATACTCAAAGACTCTTGATCACGTCGCGGTCGCTTCGCTTTGTTCGTTGCTCCGTCTTCTTTGTTCGCCCAAGGTCCAGTACCACGCGAACTCGATCCACTGTCGGCTTCATAAACCAGGTACGTTTGGCCCTCCCACCACCACCACCCCTCATGCTCTTGAAATATTTTTCTTTTCTTTTTTTTTCAAAATCCCACTTTTGACTTTTTCTTCACCCAAGCACTCGCTTGACCTATTGCTGACTTTCATGTTCATTGTAGGTTCATAAACAAACCTAGAAAACCCGACATTCACAATGGCCGCCAACGCTTCTTCCGGTGCTGTTGACCAGCTCGCCAACGACCTCAACAACACCTCTATCAACGGCAGTGAGGCCAAGGCTCCTGCTGTCGACACCGGTGCCGCTGCTGCTGCCGGTTCTGACGATGCTGCCGCTCCTACCCCCACCTCGGCTGCTCCTCACCCCCAGAACTCGGCTTCGCTCTACGTCGGCGAGCTTGACCCCTCCGTCACTGAGGCTATGCTGTTCGAGCTCTTCTCTCAGATTGGTGCCGTCGCTTCTATCCGTGTCTGCCGTGATGCCGTCACCCGTCGCTCTCTCGGCTATGCCTACGTCAACTACAACGCTACTGCTGACGGTGAGAAGGCTCTTGAGGACCTCAACTACACCATCATCAAGGGCCGCCCCTGCCGCATCATGTGGTCCCAGCGTGACCCTGCCCTTCGCAAGACTGGCCAGGGCAACGTCTTCATCAAGAACCTCGATGTCGCTATCGACAACAAGGCTCTTCACGACACCTTTGCTGCCTTTGGTAACATCTTGAGCTGCAAGGTCGCTCAGGATGAGCACGGTAACTCCAAGGGATATGGTTTCGTTCACTACGAGACCGATGAGGCTGCTTCCCAGGCCATCAAGCACGTTAACGGCATGCTTCTCAACGAGAAGAAGGTTTACGTCGGACACCACATCCCCAAGAAGGACCGCCAGAGCAAGTTTGAGGAGATGAAGGCCAACTTCACCAACGTCTACGTCAAGAACATTGCCCTTGACGTCACCGAGGATGATTTCCGCCTGCTCTTTGAGAGGTACGGTGACGTTACCTCTTCATCTCTGGCTCGTGACCAGGAGGGCAAGAGCCGCGGTTTCGGCTTTGTCAACTTCACTACCCATGAGGCTGCTTCTAAGGCTGTTGATGAGCTCAACGGCAACGATTTCCATGGCCAGGACCTGTACGTTGGCCGAGCCCAGAAGAAGCACGAGCGCGAGGAGGAGCTCCGCAAGTCTTATGAGGCTGCTCGCCTGGAGAAGGCCAACAAGTACCAGGGCGTCAACCTGTACATCAAGAACCTCGACGACGACGTTGACGATGATAAGCTCCGCCAAATGTTCTCCGAGTTCGGCCCTATCACCTCCGCCAAGGTGATGCGTGAGACTCCCTCTGAGGGTGATGAGGAGAAGAAGGAGGATGAGAAGGACGAGAACGAGGACAAGGAGAAGGAGAACAAGGAGGAGGCCAAGGAGGAGGCCAAGGAGGAGGTCAAGGAGGAGCCTAAGGAGGGTGAGGACGAGGAGGCTAAGGACGACAAGAAGGCTGAGAAGAAGTCGGACAAGAAGCTCGGTAAGAGCAAGGGCTTCGGTTTCGTCTGCTTCAGCAACCCTGACGATGCTACCAAGGCTGTCGCTGAGATGAACCAGCGAATGATTAACAACAAGCCTCTCTACGTCGCTTTGGCCCAGCGCAAGGATGTCCGCAAGAGCCAGCTTGAGGCTAGTATCCAGGCTCGCAACCAGCTCCGCATGCAACAGGCCGCTGCCGCCGCTGGCATGCCCCAGCAGTACATGCAGCCCCCTGTCTACTTCGCTCCTGGACAGCAGCCCGGCTTCATGCCCCAGGGTGGCCGTGGTGTCCCCTTCCCTCAGCCCGGTATGGGAATGCCTGGTGTTCAGGGCGGTCGTCCTGGTCAGTTCCCCGGTTACCCTCAGCAGGGCGGCCGTGGTGGCGTTCCTCAGCAGATGCCTCCCAACATGTACGGCATGCCCGGCCAGTACCCTCCCCAGTTCGGCCAGCCTGGTACTCCTCAGTTTATGGCTGCTATGCAGCAGGCTCAGCAAGCTGCTCTTGGCGGCCGTGGCGCTCCTCAGGGTGGCCGCGGTGGTCCTCAGGGCATGCCCGGTGTCCCCCCCATGGCTGGTGGCATGCCTGGTTTCCCCCCTAACAACCGCCAGCAGAGCGGCCGAGGTGGACCTAACGCTGGTCGCAACGGTAACGGACCTCAGGGAGGCCGCAGTGCCGAGGGTGCCGGTGCCTCTGTGGTTCAGCAGCAGCTTGCTTCTGTCCGAGACAGCGCTCAGCAGAAGCAGATTCTTGGTGAGATGATCTTCCCCAAGATCCAGGCCATCAACGGTGAGCTTGCTGGTAAGATCACCGGCATGCTTTTGGAGATGGACAATGCCGAGCTCGTCAACCTGTAAGTTTAATTTGTTCGATCAACTCCTGTTACAAGCAGCCAACTAACATCTTTTACAGTATTGAGGATGATGCCGCTCTGAAGGCTAAGGTCGACGAGGCCCTCGCCGTCTACGACGACTACGTCAAGGCTCAGGGCAGCTCCGAGGGTGGCGAGGCTAAGAAGGAGGAGGAGACCAAGGCTTAAGCCACTCCATCCTGCTTTTATGACCTGTTATTATTTCCTTTTTTTCATGGTTATCTGACTGGGCAACCCCCTCAACTGGAACAACGAACGCCTTTACAAGGCAATTTATGGAACAATCAGCAACGAAACATGCTTTACGACCTTGTGTTACCCAAACTGAGGGGGCGCATTATGTACAGATAGACTTGGTTGCTATTTCTTCTCAGGAAGGGAGATTCAAAAGTTTGGGGACTTTAAGGTGGCTGGCTCCCATGGCGAACCGTCGCTTGCTCGCAGCAACGGCGACGGCGCTCTCGGGAGAACCCACCAGGACGGCGTTGACGGTTTTCTGACACTCTGGCTGTTGGCCTATACCCCCTACCAATGGTCCTCGTTTGCAGGCACGATCAACGCAGAGATTTTATGCGGATAGGGTTTCTAATGAAAAGAGACATGTTTAAGTAATTGTTTATGATGTATGTGGATGTGAAACGTGAATGATGGGCTGGCTCGGTGAAATGATCTCGGATGAGTGAATATGCTATGTATTTGCTGTACTAAAACTAAGACTGATTGACTCGTGCTATGCTGCCAGCTAACGCCTCTTCCCAAACGCCTGTTGTGCGCCAAGAACATGATATACCAACACTAGCTGAGCCAAGACTGACCTGTATCCAAGAACAAGGTGCGGGTATGCTAGACCAACAAACGAAATCCGACGAAAGCTTGGGCTTTCTTAACTAATAATCCTCTCCATCACAAGGGGTTTATAACAACCGTATCGGCCTTGTCGTCAATTGTATACTTTTGGCTTGGAACACTACCAAACAAGGTTTCCATGACTTTGCCCTTCTGCTGCTTCCTGACATCCCCGAGGTAACCACTCACATCGCTCAAGCCACGGATCTGATCCTCAAGGGTGAGCGTTGTAGAGTTGACGCCACGAACAAGAGGAGAAACAAGTTTGCTGCGGAGGGTCTCGAGGGATGCCTTTAAAGTCAAGAGCTTCCCGTTGTGCTCGACGAGAATGCCTTTATTGCGTACCGTCTTTTGCCGGACATCGCGAAGTAACATACGGTTCTGTTCAAATTTCCGTAACTCGGCAGCCCGCGTGCCAAGTAGCCGTGTCCAGAGACTGGATAGTGTATCGGCATGTAACTCTTCCTGGGCAGAGGATTCACGGACGACGCTACGAGCAAGGTTTAGAAAGTGGTGATCGACGGCTTCGAAGAGGGCGAACAAGGTGACGCTGTGCTGTAGCTCAGCCTGGATAGAATCCTCGAGGACAGTGAGGAATTCGGTAAAGAGGAGTTGCACCATGCGTTGCTCCCTCTGTGGATTCGAGAGGCCAAAAATATGGTTGGTCAAGCGGCCGAGAGCCGTGGGTGAACCAGTGGAATCTTCAAGGACATGGGCTTGGGAGAGCATGTTGTGAATGTTGTCGTAGGCTGAAGAAATTGTTGATGGTGAAGGGGATGAGTTGAGACGGTTGAGATGCATTTTCGCCCAGTCCATAACGTTTAAGATGCTGTAATTGTTAGAACCTTGGAGAAAACAGGTCAAGACAGCGACTTACCCATCAATATCTCCGTCAACTCTAGCAAAGAACTTGGTCATCTCGATGGCCAATGTTTTCATGGTTTCACTGAGAGCGTCCAAGTCTGACACGATTCTAGAAGCGTCTCGCATATCGCTTGTGCGTACGCTCTCGCCAAGATCCCAGACAGCAACACTAGTGGCTTGTAGATCATGTACCTGGGAGACCGCATGCTCGGAGTAGTAGATGAGAGGCTCGAAGGAGCGAGCAAGGCCCGCGACTTTGACGAGATCGCCGACTGGACGTGGGGCAGCGGGCTGTAACAGAGACTTGAACATAGATATGGAGAAGAAAGCAACAATAACGGTGGTGAATATTGTCGACCATGTCCGCGTGAGCGCCTTGTAGTGCTCACGGATAAAATTGATGGCTGCCTCAATCGGTTCGGTGCGATGCTGAACTTCTGCGCGGACAGCAAACCGTATATCTAGTATGTGTCAGATAGACAGCCACTTGAGAGTGTCAGTGCTACCTGGTTAACTTACAGTTATCCGCTGGTGATTCATGCAAGCCCAGTTCCTTTCCCGGACTTGTCATCTCCTGCAGTTGAAACTGAAGCGTCGGGTCGTCCGACTTCTCAGGACTCATACTCCGGCCTTTGAATGGACTCTGACTTCCCATGGGTAGCCTCGTCCTAATGGCTCTTTCAAGGACCCCATCATCCTCACTGTCGTCGCCAAATTCAGGTGAGCTCTCCCTTAGCGTACTCATACCTCGACGCATAAACTCATCGGGACCTCTCCAAAAACCACTACTCCGGTCTCCGTTTCCCAGCCTTCGCCACGCTGGGGGCGAATATCCCCCGGAAGCGATCTCCGATTCCTCGAGATCCCCTTCTGTCAGAGCTGCTTCGCTGCGGTGAACTGAGTGAGCTGGTTGGTGGGGCAGGGAGGGACTTGGTGGGAGATCGAAGTCCTGTAGTGAGACGTCTAGGTTGTCGAGGAGATCCATTGTCGTGGCTATGCTTTGTGTGGGATGAGCTGCGACGAGATTCTCGGCGGTGGCGTTGTTCTAACTCTTGAAGCTGAATTTGCTTTTGCTTCTCGAGGAGAAGATGCTGCTGTGCCAATTCTTGTTGCTGAAGGTAATGGCGACGCTGCGCAAGGACAATATCCTGTCCCGAGATTACAAGTTGTTGCTGATCCTCAAAGACAAGACCAGTTGCCCCAAATGGTGTTCCTGGAAGAGCCTTGTCGGTTCTGAGTTGGTGGTGTCGGCTATCTGTTGGGTCTCCAAGTATTGGCCGTAGAATGGAAGCCAGCGATGGTAAGGGAATGCCCAGATTAGGAAATCGGAAGGCCAGAAGACGAGGAACGTATATGAGAGCAAAGACAACAAGAAGAGCCACAGTGATGAGATAAGTGCTGGGAGCAATCGTGATGCTGACGAGCGAAACGTTGTTGTTGACTGTAAAGAAGGAACTCATGAAGACGACGGCTGAGTCACCACAGCAGCTTCTCACAGGCTCTTTCCAATCTGTTGCTTGTCTTGCTGTACGTTCAAATAAGTAAGGCTGAGCCTTAATTGTTATAGATGTCTTGTATTGATGTTGGAGAGAGAGGACCAAGAGCAAATAGAGATTCAGAAACAGTGTTTCCAATTAGGTACATGCAAGGATGATGTAAGGTTGGTTGGATGGACGGGAAGGAGAGGGGAATGGTAGTCTGGGAGATATGGCAAGAAGACGGGCCGCAGATTCCTTGACCAAGCTGGGGTTTAGAAGACGGGAAGGAGGGGAGGAAGGAAAGAAGGATGGATGGATGAAAGAGTTCAAGAGTGAGAGGGAAGGAGAAGAGACATGAAACACAAGTCGATCGATATTCAGTTACTAACTATTAATGTACCTACCTACCTACTACCTACTTACCTATACCTTACCTAACTTGACCAAGATAAGGTAAGGTAAGGGAAGGCATGGCATGTAAGGTACCTATTGATGCACGTCACTGACAGTTTGAACTACAGCACCACTATTCCTTCTCTCTTGTCACTCACTGATACAAAACCGAACAACTTCCCCTCCAAATCCAAAACCTCTCATAATGGACGAGGTTGGGCCCTCCCTGGACAACGCATAGCATCCAATCAAGCCCCGCCAACCGTGCAGAACAAGACCGTTTTCACAGACCCCCGCGCTAGTCTCCTTTGGTCAAATCCCCTCCATCCCACTTTACGCGTTTTCCAATCCTTGCCAACGCGAATTGGTCACATGGTGCCTTCTTTTTGTTTATTATTGTCTAGAATCTGTAAAGATAGTCTTTTCATGTCCTTTCTGATATGGTTCAAGACGCGAGACTACGAATGAATCACGATATTTATAACCGCGTTCTGTTGTCAATTCTCCTAGAGGCATTTCGTTCGTGACCGTGTTTTGTTGTTTCTGGGCGGCCAGATCCAATAAGACCGCTATTATGACTCGAAAGGTCACGTCCCTTGATACGCTGGCAACGCTTTGTTGTTAAACTTGTTAACACAGTTAGTGGGCCAACTTTCCCAAAAGGTGGACCTCATTGGGCACGCTTGGTCTGTTCTTTGGTCTGGTCTTGATGGTGTAGGCTAAAACTGCCGTGGTACTAACTGCTACTGCGATCGCGGATCAAGCGGATGAATGGTGAGGCGAGAGTTAAATAGATTGCATGATTGCAGCAATTGGTATCTACAGTGACGGGAAACCTTGGATAAATCCAGACAAAAATGAATAATCTTCTGCTCATACTATCTACTTATTCACTCAACTGCTACATACTACAACTTGATGGTTTCATATCTACTTCAGTGTAGTATACAGAATACATATATATGGCCACTCACTTAATCACCACCGTCCATCTCTTCTTTGTTTATACAACCGTCTCATGCTCATACAAATCAACATGCTCGCCTATACAAATAGCCACCCATGGGTTATCCACCATCCAGTCCATCTCAAGCCAGAGGAAACACCACAACTCCATCCATGCAAAGATGCCAGCATCACGGAATCTCAACGTTCGGGTTCTTCTCCTCGATATCTAACTCACAGCACAGCCGTCCCAGGAACTCCACCCTCTTCATCGACGCCTTGAGCCTCATGCCCCAGCCAACACACTCTATCACCGGCTGGGCGCACTGCGTGAACAGCTCGATGACCGTCTCCGTCGCCATGGGTTTGCTTTCGTTGATCACGTTCTGCAGATCCAGCCCGTCTTGCACCTCCACCACCGACGGCCGCTCCGTTCCTTTCCATGGAAGGGGGAACTCTTCGCAGAGCATGTTCACGGCTAGAGACTCGGCGAGAGAGCCGTCCCATATCTCGGAACCCGTGAGGTTCTTCCACGACTGCGCGAAACATACCGGAACGCTGTTACTCCAGACTCGAGGTCCGTTGTGGCGATTGTGCACGTCGTACATGGCGGTGCCTTCTTCTATCAGACCCCACCACACAACGAGCTCAGTGTTTGTCTCATCGTCTCCGAGGAATATCACTCCGTAAATAGGGTTTTGTGTTGGCTTGTTCGCCAGCTGTCCCGCAACAATGTATCGTTGAGATCCGGTGTAGGCCGCGCGCTGCTTAAGCTCGCGCTCCTTGAGGATCATATTGACCTTGAAAGGGAAGCTTCCCCGCAGACGAGATTCAGGTTCGACTGAATCCGACTCGAGCAAAATTGTTTCGGTCTTAAATTCTGGTTTGTACTCAATGGAATGGATTGCTAAAACCGTTAGCTCTGCAATTTGCACAACGAAGCATCATCTTCGCTTGGGGTGTTTACTCACCATTTCGATCACCGCCGGTATCCAAGTAGCCCGACTTGAGTTGATCGTGCTCTATCACCATTATGACGCTTGTGGGTTCTCGTCGAAAGACGCCTTCGGCGTATGGGCTCTCGCCGAGAATTATTGCCGGCCTTGACAGAGTATCCGGCGACAGACTGCAGTCGAGAACAGCAAGCCATCGGTTTCCTGCGTCTATAAGCTCAGTCTTGTCGTGGTTCCAGCGCGTTAGTTTGCACGGGCACTTCCAGACGCGTAGGACCAGCCCTTGGTCTGTCAACCGGATCCCGAACAGTCCAGAATCTTCCTGTCCTGCGTATGTGCGTAGATTGAAGTTGGCCGGGCTATCGGCCAGGAAGTGCATCCGGTGAGCCTTCTCCTCGGGTTTGCGGGACAAGGGCCATCTCCATACGAGGATGGACTGATCTTGAGACTGTTTGAGAATTTCCTCCTGTAGTCGCAGAAAGGCCCTGTTGCCCTCGCCATACAATATGGGCATGTTGATGTTGAAGATTCCCAGCATGGAATATGCCATATCCTCCACACGGGTGGTTTCCCTCTGGGCCATCCAGCCCATCCTTGTGGCCACGTTTTCACGCTGCAGCTGTGTCGAAATCTTGCGATCTTTCTTCGCATCCGGCCTATGCAGATACGACTGGTCAACACCTGTGATCTCACGAATCGTCGAGGCCAGAGTATGTCGGTCGCCAAGCGGCGACCAATTGTGATCGAAGAATTCAACGTCATTGGGCGCAATCAGCTCCTGCAGGGTCCAGCCGCGGGTGAACCAGCGGCTCTTCTTCAAAGCATCTACCACTTCAACCCCAACCTCGTGGAGAAAGACGTCGGAGAGATATGCGTAGCATGCCGATGCGTTGGTGTACCAGCGAAACATAGAGTTGATAGCCTCAGAGAGCTCTGCGCTGCTGGATTTGTCGATGCAGCACGTGTCAATCCAGATATAGTCCTGCCCGCGACTCAATGCCTTCTCGCAGGATTGCGCTATCTTGCGGTACCCAGCACCATTCCTCTTCCGAATCTCCTCCATCCGCGTGGGATCCTGTATGTCGCGATAGAGGACCTCATCGTTACCCCAGGTATGTGACAAGATGGCGTATTTCTCAGACCCCTCTTCCAGGGCCTCGACCTGCAGCGTCTTGGTATTGAGGAGTCTCATATTTGCGACTCGGGAGAATAAAGCAAGATAATCTAACTCATGAAATCATAACCAGCGCAACGTAGAAATGAAATTGCTGCGGCGGAGCTCTTTCATGCTGTTGCTGCCGCTGTCCGTTTCAGCCTCGCCGCTGGTTGGCCAAGGTGAGACGAGACGAGCTGGAGCTGGAGCTGGGGATTACCTAGGGCTGGGGGTTGAGAGGCCAATGAGACGAGTGGAATCCAAAAACCCCTGTGGCAAATCTCGCTGCCAGTGTATGAATAAGCTGTTGTTGGTTGTTGGTCCGAGGCATAATGCGCAAAAAAACGGTGAGTCTGGCCTCTAAACATGCAGTAAAAGTGTCCCCCGACCCGTTAGTTATGTCACTTCTGCACTCGAGGAAAATCCGCGAAGCTTAAATATTCTTAGTCTAAATCCAGTAGATGCATGTTCCGAGTCAATCACCACCAAGCCTCGTAACTCATAGGGTCTGTACACCGTTGAATAGTACAGCCATACGTTAGTTATGCAACTGTTGCAGCCTACCTAAAATACTTTCTTTGAAGTAAATCGAAAACTACATCAAGTTATTATCACTTGCTTGCTTGCTTGAGTCACGCATGTGAGGCGCTGTTCGTATTTAAAGACTTCACCCTTTGGACCCATAAAAGGGTTGTTAAAGCTTCTGCCAATAAACTAAGGAGCCATCTTTAGCCAAAGCGCCATGTAACTCGTTTCGCCTATACTGTTGCTTTCAAGCACCAAATTTACATCAACTCTTCTCAATAAGTAGCCCAATTCTTAAGAATAAACGACAATCCTTACACCGCTTACACCCAGTAAAACAAATCATCAAGCTTCGTAGAGCGTTTCCCCCATGCTTTCCATGACCGGTTCAGATTTCTCTTTCGACACCCTACAACACCACGCCGTTCTTCGATCAATCGATCTTGGCATTGGCCAAACTTCGAGCTGCTGGGTTGCTAAGATTATTCACTGGCCTCAAGCCTATGTACTTGCCCTGCTTCCGGAGACGTTTCCGTGCCACCATTACAGGGACGGAACTCTTCGTTACGAGATAGTTGGAGAATGATCCCAGAATAACACTATCCATTGTTAGCCATTGCCTTATTCACGAAAATCACAATTCCAATAGCTTGACTTACCCCTTAAGTGCACTTCTTCCTCGACTTCCTATGACGACAAGAGTTGGGTTGACGAGATCAATCACCTCAGTTATCAGGTGCTTTGGGTTCTTGCAATGCAGTACTTCCACAATGACCCTCACTTGAAGAGTCGTCTTTCGCAGCAGTCGGAGTACTTTATCGGTGATCTCCTTCACTGCTCGGCGGCGCTCTTCTTCTGCTCTACCTCGTTCTCCCCGACTTGATGGAGCAGGCGAAGTGTTGGGAGTGTTGTTCTTGGAAGAATCACCTCGAATAGTGTTGCGTACGAAATCCGGCACTGCAGACATCGAAGGCGCAGCTGATTTCGAATTGGCGACCGTGTTAATAGCAGCAGCCTGCTCTCTCATAGCTTTTGGATCGTCTGGCACCTGGTTGTCGATCCCACCAATGCCAGTTTCCTCGTCTACACAGTAGATGCACATCAGAGTGTCACCATCACGCAAGACCGTACCAATAGCCCATTCAAGCGCATGTGTCGACTCGTCACTTAAATCTGATGCAACGAGATACTTTCGCAATCGGTGATGCTCATCTTCGGCTTGTTGGGCAATCTTAGTATAGTCGCCTCGGTAAATCATGCGGATAGATCGATGAGACTCTGGGGTGTTGATGATATTCGACATCGAGCAAGATAGATTTTGAGCCCTTTTGATATCGTCCATATCTGCCTCTTCGTCTGAATCGTTTGCCGACGCAACTGTTGACATCTGGTCATAAGCTGTCTTAGGATGTATACCGCTACCCTTATTGAGTCGAGTGTTTTCGCCCAAGGGGGTAGTGACCTTAATTTCTGGCTCGTCAAATAGAGAACGGTATCCAGGTTGCTTCGCTGCTACAGTCGTCCCTAAATATGAGTTTAGCATTGTCCCACGGTTCAAGAAGGGAAGTGACCTACGCTCTTCCTCGGCTGCGGCAAGAAGACTCAAAGATTTCCGGCGGTCCTTGTTTGCATCACCTGCCGACTCACCTGTCACAGCAGGGTTAAGTGACCGGGGGTCCTTCTTACGACCGCGATCTTCGTCATCGGATGAGTATGGTTCGTCTTCATCACTGGAACCGAGGTGTTCGCCATCGGGGCTCAGGTAGTCCTTCACCATTCGGCCATTCTGGCTATCTTCCCGTTTGCGCATTGGCAGCGTAGACAAACTACCCCCAGAGTACGCCAGATTAGCATCGGATAACCGACGGTAAGCACTGCTAATATCCACAACAGTGCCATCGTCAAGCATAGCTGTACCAGGTGACAGCATTTGTGTGACGTGTGGTGATCTGGATCTTGAGTTCAGACGATTGTGGGGAGACTTGGACTTTCTACCGCTGCCGCTGTTGCTAAACCAAGAGCGCTTGCGTTCACTCTCGCCTGGAATTGTCAAGCCGCTGAGATCGGCGTTACGCAATGCTTCGCTCAAAGCATTTCCAGATGGCTTCTTACCGCCCTGAGTATTTCTCTTGGGCATTTGCTGGCCTGTGTTGCGTGTAATGATGTCCGAGAATTGATAGCCCGAGGTAGGGTCGTTGTTGCGGGCGCCAATTGCTCGAGGTCCAAATTCAACAGGGTTTGACGAAGCATCTGAGAAGCTGCGGGTGTGTGAAGCATTAACGGGCGCAAGGCTAGCTTTCGTCATGACTGGGGAGTTAGGTGTTGTGCTAGTACCGGAAGGCCTTGACGGGCCAGGGATAGGCGAGTCGTAATCCAGCATGCTTCTGACTCTTGGCGGAGGAGGAGAAGTTGTGTCGAGCATACTCCGCACTGGCGCCTGGCGGGGAGAGCCTGGGTTTGTTTGTCCATCGATATCTAACATACTCCGAACGGGGGATCGAGGAGTGGAATAAGGAGAGGCAGATCGCATGGCGCCCTGTATGGAAGGCTCAGCACGAGGCCTAGGTCTGTTCTCAAGCAAGGCGAGGACTTCCCTACGCTCCATGTCAAGCATGGCCTCTATACTCATGGGTTGCTGATCGCGCGACATGATGGCGGTGAAATTCCGATGGAATTATAGACTGGTAGCTATGAGAAGTCTGTATCAGGAACGAAATGTGTCGGAAGCTCGACCGAGCAGAAACGTTCGCGATCACAAAGATCAAAGGTTTGGTGGGGTTCTTTAGACAGAACGTTTGAATGTTAATGTAAGTGTAGTCCAAAAGGGCTTTGCGCGTGCCCAGAAATGAGTAAAGTTCAATGTACTCTCGATCTTCAGTCTGTCGGTGAATAGCGCACGGCTGTATACCGTAGCGAGGGTCGCTGGGAATCGAGGTGAATGCTATCGTGATCGAATTCGGGACGGTACGTCAGTGCGAACTCGGTGAAGCTGGCGGACGCCTAGTGGAGGTGTAAGGTTTCTGATCCGCAACGTCGCAATGTGGGAGAAACGATGCAGATAAAACGTTCGAGTTGAAGCAGTGAGTGGTTCTCGAATTCCTCGTTGTGTAACGGGACAATCAAGTTGAGATTGAGTTGAGAAGAGGAGAAGAGAAGAGGGGAGAGGAGAGGAGAGGAGAAGGTTGATCGCTCGTAGCGGTAGTGGAATCTAGGCCCAGGCTCTTAGGTTCTGGGGAAGGAGCAAATCAGCCAAGGCGTGGAGTCTAAATGTTAGAGGAGCTCAAGCCCAGACAAGAGCGGCGCAGCGCAAACAACCCCCCAATTTAGGTGGCAGATGTGTGGGAGATCACCGAGTTAGTGGGGTAAAGTAGCTCCCTATTCCTATGGATGGGTCCATTACTGACGAGTCCTCTGGCAGGTAGCTTCAAGCGAAGGTGTAATGTCTGTCGAATAGAAATACTTTAATTGATTCTAGCACATCTACTGTAGCTATTCTCACCTCCTTGAGCACATTCTCGTCTGGAATTCGTTCAACCTGCCCTTATAAGGCAAAATTTACTTGCTCTGAATGCCCTGGAGGTTGGGCACTAAGATAAGTAGAGCCAGTGTGACTCTGTGAGTGTCTGTGACGACTCCTCATTGTGGAAATGATGTGCGTAAGCAGTTGGTTAAGGTATTTTTTAAAGTGGCACACCGTCACCACTTACTAGTAAGGTTAAATCTATGGATTTTACGAACCGAAATTATAGATACCCAAGGGAGACAATCTAATGCTTAGTGATGAAGCCCGACGAGTCTGCTGCTGCAATGATGAATAAGGACTGTTGATGTTTACTCTTCCTGCTATCTCGTATTTAGCTGGGCTGCTGCCATCTTGTTTCAAACCCTCCCTAATCCTAGCCATCGATTGATTGTGTCGTCATGTGAAAGTAACATTATGTCGTTTGCAAGTCGGCTTTGTCTCGTGTGATCCACGGGTAGATTTGCATAGCCCGTGTTAGTTTGAAACTCTAGCGGCCTGCCTGCTCAACAGTCAAGCATAATCGATTTTCACTTTGAATGATCAAATCGTTTGCTCAGAATTTGCTTGCTCCTTGATACCTCTAACCGAACTGCGTACGCTCGCTACAAGCTCGGACCGGTCAAAGCATCCATGCCTTGTCTACTTTTGGCGATTTGGGCCTTGCGCTCCGGATCCGGACCCGTATTCTCGGACGCGTCCGTGTCTTCCTCCGGCGTCATCAGTTTCCCGCTCTCCGTTCCCACCGTTGGTGATACGATGCTACCAATAAGGGGATGGACTCAGCCTCAAAACGGTGTCTATGCATACAACGGCATCCGCATGCTCCATTGTAACTTGAGTTCGAGAGAATTCTGATCATTCCAAACGCAACACCGCTGGAGCCTCACATAACATCCCGCATTATCGAAACTCACATGCATCGAGGAGAAACTGGCAACGTAAATGCATATTTTCATCAGTGGCTGGATATAGTTACATATTTGGCAGATCTACTGTACATCCTAAAAGGGAGCAAGTGCTCCAACCCGTACCCATCTAAGTCTACATCTTCTTCTTCATCTTGAGCTTGTTGGATCCAACATTGGCTCGTGCTGATGTACCCAGCTTGTGAACTTGCTTTCGCTTTTCCCAAACACCTGAACGTCCCTCAACCACAGCGACAATCTCCTCTGCGATTCGGTAGGGGAACTGCTTGCGTCCGCTGCCCTTGGAGGGCTTCTTGTTGATAACGTCCAGAATCCACTTGAACGCAACACGTCGGCGCTGTCTCACTCCGAGGGGGACGGGGAGCTCTAGCGCTCGGCCACCACCACCGGCGCCCGCTACGTTGCGGATCTTGAGGAGAGGGGCTACCGAGTCGACGGCGACGGTAATGTACAGGATAGGGTTGAGGGGAAGATGTGAGGCCGGGGGTGTTCCGGGAAGGAGGGGGTATTTCGGACTGTAGATCGGAGGTGGTGCGGTTCGGAGGTAGTTCATGACAATAGCCATGTTCTATAAAGATTTAGTCATTATTCTCACATCCATCCAATGGGCCAGACTTACACGTTGAGCAACACTGAGTTTGCCATCCTTCATGAGGAGCCGGGTGATTTGCTCCAGCACAGGATGGTAACGCTTCTTCAGGTTGAAGCCTTGCGGCCAAGGCCGTCTGGGGAGACCAAACTTGTGTCCTGGATTCTGCATCTCAGTGCTATCGGGCGCATCTAGCTCAGCCTTCTCTGCTGCGGCAACAAGAGCTTCAGCCTTCTCAGCTGAAGGAATAGTGCCCTCGCGGTAAAGAACATCCTCCTGCGCCGGCGTTAGGCCACCCTCAATATTGCTGGACTGTGTGCGGCCGCCGTAAAACATCTGCTCGAGTGTCGCATCATCGATAACCTCGGAACTGGTCGTCGGAGAAGTCGCCTAGATCGCAGCCCCATTAGTTGCGGGACATGGGAGCTTTCTGAAAACCAATTCCTACCTCAGCGTCCCCATTTCCTGTTGGTGCCGTGGATGCATCACCCTCTTTTGAAACCGAGCCAATCTGAGAGTCCTGGGCCTTTTGGGCGTTGTCAATGGCCTTTGGGGGCTGATCGTTTCCTTCGCTCGAGTACCATCGGTTCCGTGGGAGAGAGTTGACGAATGGGGCTGGTCGAGGGGCGGCAGGTCTCGATCGGATTGCGAGAGCTCTACATGCGCCCCAAATACTCGTTCTTGGAGACATGGCTGAGCTCCGCGTTGCTAGCAACGTTCGTGGAGCAATTTATATAACAGCCTGGTGGCTCTTGTGATCAATGGCTGCTAGTCAAATTCGCGATGCAAAATTCCCCGTCACTTCATAGTGGCGGAGAAGCGATAATCCGGCAGTTACAATCCCGCTTACATAACCCTATCTGAACCGCGAAACCACCACAGTAAAGGCTTCAGTATGGACTCAGTATAATGAAAGATAAATAATGGTAAGAGAAGATTAGATTGAGATACTTTCAAATCTATATTGATATAGTTTCCGGTTTTGGAACGTGCCATGGCCTTGGCGTCATGATTCAGGCGTTGAACTTCCATTCGGGTCACTTTTGACAGTACATAGTAGTACCCCAGGTTTCATCGAAATACAATTATAACTTGGCTTGGTATCCTTCAAATACCAGTTACTCATACCTCTATGAAGGGGAAGTTTAAGATCGTAATGATCCATGCCACATACTACCTGTGCTCTGATCAGCATTACACAAAACCACTGGGCTCTCACTTGAACTTGCTTTACAAGTGGACAACACATGTGAAACCTTTGGCCTTCAACAAATCTAGTTTTCCCTCTCAAAGCTCCGAGACCGGATGTATCTGTTACACAGACCGCTGGCGGCTATCAGCATTGTGGCTTCATGTGATCTGCTGTGCAGGCTTACACTGGGATCGACTGTGGCTGCACCGAGGGTGGGGGTACCTGTGTTGAGAGTGAACATACATTTCTAGGGAGGGATGAATATGGCGTTGCTGTCTGGCTATGGAGACCGTTGAGATTCAACACATTACCTGAAAGAGTAGGGAATAGTCGCTTCTCGAATAACTAAACTCCGTGGTGAAAACTTACAATCAGTCTGTTGCATACATATATCGTAAGGACTCCCTGTTCGGGCTCTGCAAAGAAATATCGAATCAAATTGTATAATGTCTAAAAGTTCCGCCGTCTGATGTCACACGTACTGTACTTTTATATACTCCAGATCGAAGACCCATTGGCTGAGCCTCCTTGCGTAACTGACTCCGTCAAACGCCAAACGTGAACTGTAATAACCAACGTATCCTCCCTGCCCATTCTCCCAAGTCATACACGAATGCAATACTGTTCCGCCCGTTATCCGACCTATAAAATACAGCCCATGGCCTATACCGAGGCCTTTGCTGTTACAGCGCTAGTTGCGTGGTGGCCATATAATCCTCCCCGGTTTGCTAGCTTTATTACCAGACTCCGGCTGCTCGAGAAGACCGAAATGAAAAAATAAACACAAAAGTACAACTCCCTTGTTTCGTAAATAGCCGTACCACACTGTTCGTAGATGCCAGCGCTGCATGATTTGGTTGCGCTTGAGAAAGGGAGTGACCCCCACATTCCAAGTCTACCAACCATATGACTGAGGAGGAGAACCAGAATCAGACCCGGTCAACCACTTGACGGCACATTCAGCAGCATCTTCTCTGGCATTGTTGAGGTTTTTGCCGTCATACCAAAATCGGGCTGCGAGAGTCTTGCCATGGACAGTCACTCTGCTAGACCAAGCAGTTCGACCACCTAGAAGCATTAGTTAAAGTGTGACACAGGAGCACAACGCTGAATAGGCATACCTCGGCGATCTGACACAATTTGGAATACTGGGGGTGTCAGTTGAGCATCTCGGCAAACGTCTATAGTCAGAAGTTAGGACTTAAAGTCTGAGCTTAGGGGGTTCAACGGTGAATCCTCACTGTCGAGCTGGCCCTGCCAGGGACCGGCGTTAGTAGCAGATTGAACCTCCATTGTGATTGTTGGGTGCTTGTAGCAAGATTTGAGGCGACAATAAAGAAGACTTGAGATTTCAAGTCGGTTTTGAAAATTTAGATAGTTGTAGTTGTCAGGAGCGTAAACGGGTGTAAGTTGCAAACTGCTTGTTGAAAGATCGGGTTGGAGCTGATAGACAAGTTTGACGAGAACAATGAGCGGCGATGATGGGACTTATATATTCAATCAAGTCGATCTGTCCGTAGTGAGACTATGAGGATACACCCGGTGTGAGGTTTCAATTAATCTGGCAGCAACAGATCTCCTGAGAAGTAGCCCAACGTGTGAAGTATCCCAGAGGCCTGAAAGGTAAGACGAAGGCGAGCAGACAAGTTGGGATCCAGGATGCTGGATCGATGATGTGGCAGGTTTGGATTAGATGCCGTGAATTGGAAGGGTGACCGAGACGGCAATGCGGGCTTGAAGCAGACAGAAAGCTTGTGTGAGGTTAAGTTGCAGATGCGCCAAGGGTTAGAGGTAACTAGCAATGTATGGTACACCAAAGACAGTTGAATTGAATCCAGGTAATCACAGGAGAACAAGATCGGAGGGGAAAAGAGATGAGAAGGAGAGGGTTGAGGGAAAAGTATAAGTTAAGTATTGTGTAGAATGTGACCCCCCTCCTCCCTACGTGAGCTTGAGCGGGAGCCTCGACGAGGTGGGAAGGATTGACAAGCGAAACCTCAAAAAGAAAAGACTGAGGTTTTTGCTGACAAGCAAACTACGCATCGACAAGCGTAGGGACTATCGATCGGTGCAATACGCACTACTACGACCCTGCAACTTGGTAGAATGGGGCTCCCAAGTTGGGTTTGCTTTTTCCTAGCCCCTAGGGGGGAACGGGTGGAATCTGGCACATGAGGTCAAAGACTCAGCCAGCACTCCACGACGGGTGTGAACGAAGCTGAAGCTGGTTTGACCTCAGGATGGGCCGTGCCGTATCCCGTCAGTCTAAGACGGACGGTAGGCGGTAACTGTAACGGTTACGGGAACGGTCACGGGAGCGGGAGCGGGTAGAGAGGCGACATGCTGCTGTACCTATGCATGTATGCAAACACATACATTGATGATTCAGTCAAAGGTGAGGCCTAACGAGGCTGACTTTACGAAGACAGGAGGAAACCTGTCAAGATACGATTAAGGAGACAGGGGGGGCATGATGGGTGAAGGAAAGAAGGAATCTGAGGGGGCGTGTATAGCAGACAATATTCTAGGGCGTCGATAAGCGTTGCTTGTGGTCGTGGTCGTGGAGCTCTGTCCTCTTCGCCCAGGCGCAGGCGCAAACCCAAACGTGAACGCAAAAAAGGTGCAAGGGAATAGACAAGAAATGGGCCCAAAAGCCATGACGGGGTCACGGATGTTCTACGCGCGCATGCATCCTTGCGACTTGAACTAAGAACTTGGGCTTGATTTGGAAAGGACTGAAAGGTATTGGCACGCAAAAGCTTGGGTCAGTTACAAGAAAAAGCAAAAGCTGACAAGGTTATGGATGCGATACGTTAATTAGAGGCCAACCCCGAAGGAAGCACAAAAATAAACTGTTTGAGGAGACAAGAGAAAGGGTGAGGAAAAGAAAAGGGAAAAAACAAGGTGAGGCTGACTATGACGGAACAAGAAAAAGAAGCACAGGCAAAGTTGAGCAAAAGCGAAAAGAGACGACAAGAGGAGAGGATACTAATCACTACCAATCGAGCCTGACGCAGCGGAATCTAGAATATAATGGATGATGTGCAGGATGAGGTGTCGTGCTTAAGATGATGTCGCACACGAACCTCAAATGCAGATTCACGACTGCAGGCACAAGAACAAGACCTGGTCTATATCAGAAGTTGGGTTGGGCACGTATCCGCAGGTTGAGTTCGAGGGGAGAAGATGAACAAGAACCTGGCGAGGAAACAAACCCTGGTATTCTACTTGGTTGAGATAACATCCATATCATGGCCACGTCAAGGAAGTATATGAATGAAAAACTTAGACCTGCAAATATTGAAATTGAATCCGGCCAGCTCAGGGCTAGCCAAGAAGGCGGCCAATGGCCTTCATTTGATGTTGTTGTCAATAGCCGTCTCGAAATATCAACGAACGGTACGGATATCTGTAAACAAAAGGGAACTAACTCGATCTTGGAGACAAGACTGTTGGGAGCCAAGGACTCCTAAGGGAGGAGAGCATTGCGTGGCATGGCTTCTTTCCTTTCTTCTTTTGTGTTCTCCTCCTTTTTACGTCTTATCTCATTTGTCTGACACTAGGTAGAGAAAATTCCATGTCTTCGTTTCTTTTTCGAAGGATGTGGAGTTTACAACGATCAGCGTCATAACTTAGCCTGGCCAAGGTGTACCTAGGTAACTTCAGTGGTTCAGCCTATGGGCTTTCAATGATTTATCCAGGCAAGGACAAACCGGGAAGGAGTACCTAGCTGAAAGCCCGGATGTAGAGCGCGTGGGGGAAGGAAGGCTCTACGCACCGACTGTCAGCTGCCATGGATGAACCGTAGGCGACTGTGCCTTAGGCTAACGCCCCTGAAATCGCTAAGACAGGCCCGATGAGATGGTGACATGTGACCCCCGCCAGTATACCTACTTCTGGAGTCTGGTGTCTATAACAAAGCAAAGCAACAAAACATTGGATACCTCACTTTCGCCAAGATCAAGATCATTTGCCTCTAGACGCTTCTTGATGCATGGGAAGTCACCAATATTGACCGCGGGACTTCGTAACCATCGCCCTTTAATCTTGCAAAATTTCCTCATGCGAAGCGGCTTGTCAACGAGGATGTGCACCAGACAAGCCAGGTACCTACATACCATGATAGGATATGTCTGGAGGGATGCAGTAGCCGAGCGATAGATCTTTCGCGAGTTTTTTAAGGTCGCTACTACTCCGTACGTACAGGGAATTAGCCGCGAACAGCGACAGATATTCGAACCCTACTGCGGTTATACGATCTCGCTATCTCCACGATCACGCAGCTACGAACTCTCTTGCCAACCCTGCGGAGCTCGGTTCCCATATGGTTTCGGATATTATTGTCTGTCATTTGATACAATAACTTCCCGACAATTCGGTTACCGATTTACTAATCCGATACTTGAGTGTTCCAGAGCGATGACTATCGGTTGTCCATACGACAAGCAAAATGATGATTCAACTCGTCGGTGCAGAAGCAATCAATTTACCCACATCCAAAACTCCCCATCTCGAAGTGCCGAAGTTACTCAGCGGCCGCCGCACTTTAGAAGTTCAAATTCAACGACTGCCGAGCCCACTACGTCCACTCTCGGACAATGGCCTATTGCGAGTTTGGGGTTAATGACATTAGATCCGGACCCCTGCATCCAGCAGTAGCTTTTCACGTTTAGCCTTTGTCCGAACCTATTCAGACACTAGCAGGTGCTAACATTCGCTTCAACCCGTTAGTGTTACTCGGCTCTGCTGTATGCTTGTCCTTGGAATCTCCCGATACTACGGATTAACTACGTTGTAAGTTGTTCACGGATTTCGGCTCGACCAGACTAACAGTGTTCATTTTGTGTTGTTTCAAGGCTAGTGACCCCCATGACGGCACTGGTATCACTTCTAGCGCCACTATGTCATGAAGTAAAGAACTAACTTGGTTGCTTGAATTGCCATCGGCATCCCACGACATCCCCCCTCGCCTTGTTCTCGCCTCCACGCGACAACAAGGCCAAAACGGTTACGGAGCTTTGCATGTTGGACAACAGAACCGTGTCAGTCTTGGTGTCGTTGACGTGGGTTTAGTTGGACTAGTGCAACTACTTACCCTCATCTTCATCATGCCAGATCATAGTACAAGAAGCCATGGTCATCTTGTGCATTGACCGGTGCATTTGCTGTTACCGGGCCGAGTCTTGCGGACATCCGGTTGGGAAGCTTTGCCATGATATTGCATCTCGGTCTATTCGATTGCGGCCTTGCGATCTCCCAATTCTTACGCCTACCGGGGCCGGATCATCTATGCAAGGCAAGGCAAGGGAAACATGGGTTACATGATCGAACCACACAACCCTATACCTGACAAGCTCCCTAATCCTTGCAGCTGCCCAAGTGACGGAAACGACCCCATCATCCGGCTACTGCGTACATGCCGCGCCTATCATATTCACTTTCCTGAGACTCGACCCTCCGCCCCCAAATCCGTTTCACTCGCCGGTTCTTCAACCGTCGTCGTGGAACCCCAAGACAGGTCCAGCTATTCTTCACCGGTCTGGAGCCCTGGCGTAGATCCCCGCGTCAAATACTGCAGCGTGACCCCCCATTTGCATGCCTCCCGCATACCCTATAGCCCTGTGCCTCGCCGTTTTGGACAACCATGCCGTCGCCCGTTGCTGTTGCATTTTTATAACACCCGTTTCCGACGGAGCCTTGGTTCAGTGAAGGCTCCCGATAAGGAAGTAGTTGCGTATGTAGTATTGAGTGTCGTTGTTTTTGACAAGGAGAGCAAGGTCTTGAGCCTTCACCCATTGTCAACTCACACGATAAAGGAGACTCTGATGATTTATCATGGAAATATTTGTCTATGATTAACATTCGAGCTGACTGAGAAACATACCCGCTAATTCTTGACATTATTCGGGTAACCATCCTACATGCTGACAGTTGAGCTGATACGAAATTATCAGACTCTGTACACACGAAAGAGAACTTTATAAGAACATTAGGGTAATGTCACGGGGAAAAGGATTTCTTCGAGTCACTACGGAGTATATAGCACTGGGTCCATGAAATTATCCTTGAAATTATAGTGAATTTCCTAATCGTATGATTGGTCCTTGGATACTCAATGCTTGTTGGTTGGCGTTTGTGAAGTTTGCCATGTATTCACCAACATGTTTTACTTTGAACCAGCTAACTGAAAGACACGCAGATCATGTAGCCGGTGGGCAAATAAATATATGGATTAATCCCCAAAACCTTCATAGAATTCATAGTAATGATCAGACCTTGGCGTATCATTGCAGGGTAGCTCAAACTATGCTACAATCATGTATCATAGCTTACATTATCAGTAAGACAAACAACGGTCTCTTTATTGGAATGTATTTTTAAATCTCGGTCATCTGAATCTGCACGCACATCAGGATTTATAATAGGCTAATGGTTGGGACCAGGAAGAGACGTGATAAGGTAACTACTAGTTAACACTGCTCCTCATGATTAGAGCCTAGAACATATGATACTTTGGTGAATTGTCGGCAAATCAGAGACTACCTTCGAAGTGTTTAGTTACATAGTCTTCGGCTACTAGGTGTCTAGTGTAGACTTCGACTGTTCCACTGATGCTGGATTGTAGCATAGTGAGTTTTCACATATGTTGACCTAGGGCATATGAGTTTAGACATAATCCCCAGGTCTATATTGCTAAGAAGAACCGATCTCTATCTTCTTTCATACTCAGGATAGTAGGAAATTTACAAGTTACATAACTTTTTACATCAGACAAAGCGCGCCAGAGGCAAGTTTGGTCCGGTTGTCTATGTATTAAGACGAACTTCAGCACGACTCACAAGTTCAGCTGAAAAACAGCAATTTTATCATCATACTTATCTCGGCCAATGAAGAAAATAAACAGCCTCAATATTTCTCTTAGTCAGAACAACCATATTGCAAGGTAGGTAGCTAGCCCGTGATAGTGGTTCTGTATAGTCTCCGGGCTCGGAACCCCCCAATTAGCCAACCCAATCCCCATAGTAAAGAGATATCAGTTCAAGTACGTAAAACTCCCCATGTGAGCCATTTTCACCAGAAAATAAGGCGGTTTTCGAGCCCGATCCCTATGCTTTGTATACGGAAGACAGTCCATGTGTGGAGAGTTGGGGAAGTGGTACCTTGCTTCGGACCGACAACAGACCCGCATATAAACATGGGACTCCATATGTCATTCGACTGTTGAAAGTCCCCGAATGTTGCAATAACGTTACAACGTGATGTTTATTGCAACGTTTAGAGATATTCAGGTATCGGAGTTGAGGATAGAGAGACACGGCATCTTAATTACAAGCATCCCAATAAAGTCAATTGACCAAAACCTGATTCGAATTCTCCCCACGAAATAAAGTATAATTATGTTAGTGCCTCGCTGCCAAGCACCTCTTCCCTACCGAGCCTACGTCACGACAAAAGTCAACAGTCAACACCAACGGGCAAAAGCCAAACGCGCTTTTCTTGGGGAGTAACAAAGCATGTCGATCTCTCCACATACTCCACATATCTCCGGATTCCAGGTTCGACTTTGGTAAAGGCTAATGTTAATTTACGACAAGGCAAGGCTCAATGCTGAGTTGCCCTGCTCGCGCCGTGGTATCGCCGAGTCCGCACTCGAAGGGGAGCTCTCTTTTTGACTTCTTCTCATGACGATGTTACCCTTCCCTCCCCTCGTGGCTTGTCGGGGCGACAGGATTGGACTAGGTTTATTGCCCATTGAAGATATATAGCGTCACTGGTTCCGCGAGAGTTCGTTCTTTCTGTGTCTTGCTTGTGTGTGTTTATGCCTGGTGAAGAGTAAACGTACCATGAAGCTCTCACTCTTCTTAACGGCTGGCTCTTTTGCCTGGGCCAGTCCCTCAGCTCCCAAGCTAGACTACAACAAAGCTCCCCCGAATCTATCGACGCTAGCCAATCTCACAATATACAACACATGGCGTCCTCGAGCTCACGTGCTTCCACCCTCTGGACAGATCGGAGACCCTTGTATGCATTACACTGATCCCAAGACTGGACTCTTCCACGTTGGATACCTTCATGAGGGTGCCGCTGGTGCTACCACGGATGATCTGGTGACATACCATGATCTTAACCCAGGTGGTGCTCCTTTCATTCGAGCTGGAGGCCTGAACGATCCAGTGGCTGTCTTTGATGGCTCTGTTATTCCAAGCGGTATCAATGGCACCCCGACGCTCTTCTATACCTCGGTCTCTTATCTTCCCATCCATTGGACAATCAACTACACCCGAGGTGCTGAAACACAATCATTGGCTGTTTCAACAGATGGAGGCCGCAACTTCACAAAGCTTCAACAAGGACCTGCTATCCCGGCGCCGCCCTTTGCGCTGAATATGACCGCTTTCCGCGACCCTTTCGTCTTTCAGAACAAGGAGCTTGATTCCCTTCTAAAGAGCGAGTCTGGAACATGGTACACCACCATCTGCGGCGGTGTGCACCACAAGGGCCCCAGTATGTTCCTCTACCGTCAGCACGACCCTGAGTTCCAGTACTGGGAGTATCTCGGCGAGTGGTGGCATGAGAAGGCCAACACCACCTGGGGTGATGGTATCTGGGCTGGACGCTACGGTTACAACTTCGAGGTTGGCAACATCTTCAGCATCGACGAGGAGGGATACAGCTCAGACGGCGAGACTTTTGTCACCTTTGGAGCCGAGTGGGGTGAGGCGCCTATCGTTCCTCAGAAGTCCCCTGAGCGTGACATGCTCTGGGCTGCAGGCAAGACGACCCTAGAAGACGGCAAGGCCAAGTTTACTCCCTCAATGGTTGGAAAATACGACTGGGGACGTTCTGCTTATGCTGCCGCTGGCAAGTATCTGCCTTCCGATTCTAAGGCTTCGTCCAAGAGCAAGGCCCCAGACCGATTCATCAGTTACCTGTGGCTCACTGGAGATTACTACGGTGATCTCAAGCTGTTCCCTACCCGACAGCAGAATTGGACCGGATCTCTTCTGCTACCCAGAGAGCTCACCATCGGCAAGATCAGCAATGTCGTCGATAACGAGCTTTCTCGCGAAGAGGGCTCGTGGCGCGCCGAGAAGAACGAGTCAGGTATCGTGGAGCTCGCTACTATGAAGCAGGTCATCGCCCGAGAGGCAATTTCAGCGTTTACCAAGACGAAGGCCCTCGTCGAGCCTGGCCGAAATATCAGCAAGTCCGGCTCGATCGCATTTGATCGCAGCCCCAAGTCCAAGTTTTACATTCTCAAGAGCTCCGTCACATTCCCCAAGTCAGCCCGCAACTCGGATCTCAAGGCTGGCTTCCAGATTCTTGTGTCCAAGAAGGAGTCTACGACTATTTACTACCAATTCTCCAACGAATCCATGGTCATCGATCGCTCCAACACCAGTGCTGCCGCGCTTACCACCAGTGACATCGACTCTAAAAACGAATCAGGTCGCCTCCGTCTATTCGACGTCGTGGTTGACGATGAGGAGCAGATTGAGACTCTCGACCTTACTATCGTTGTTGACAACGCTATAGTAGAGGTCCATGCCAATGATCGCTTTGGAATTTCCACCTGGGCTCGGTAAGTTTAATTTTCTCCGAGATTGGATTTATTTACTGACCGTATTTTAGTTCTTGGTATGCCGATTCGACTGATATCCGCTTCTTCCACAGTGGAAGTGGTGAGGTGACTTTCAGTAATGTGACGATTCATGAGGGTCTCGCAGAGGCTTGGCCGGAGAGGAAGCGATAAATCGCATTGTATATTATTATTGAGAGGAAATAGGAAAGACTTTGCTGTGAAGAGGAGAAGTCTGATTCTTGTATATCATTATGAATTGTATAACATTGATTGATGACCTAGCATGATTCGAACAAACGGAAAGCCGAAGGCACGTCTCTATATGTAGCAGAATGAAGATTCGTTAGAACTCACGTTTGTTATAATAAAAAGTGATATTTTGCTATCAAATACATGGAGTTACAGCTGCCGGATGAAGACTACATCGAATTGATGTCAATTCATATTAGCCCATATCCTCCTATCTATTGACTGTAATAGTTTGTAGCCCCATAGTTGTAGTGCCGCGGAAAGAATGGCATGCGATTTAGTATATTGGCACGGAGATGCTGCTTCGTCTTGGTGCTGCAGCGCAACATAACATAAGAACATAAACCGTAGCGCTTCAGTATCCTCTCGCAGTGTATGTATTGTTCATATAAGCTTGGAAGCCCCAAAGATCAAAAGCAAGTGTTATACGCCAAATCAATTACTCTATAAGTTTATGTAAATGCCATTACACCCAGCCATTAAACACTTTTACAGCTTGGACTCCTCCAGTCGACGGCCAGTCTCATCAAAGTTAATCTTCTTGCCCGAGTTGAGCGACTCTTGTAGCGCACAGCCAATCTTGACAGCCTGGACGGCGCCAGAAAGCTTGAATGGCAGCCTGTTGTTATCAAGGACAGCAGCAGTAAACTCGTTGGCCTCAGTGACAAAGGCGTGCTCAAAGCGACCGTAGTAGTCGCCGGGAATCTGTCGGCGAACACCAGCAGCCTCGTGCATCTCGACAAGGTTACCGATAGGGTTGGCGTTGATAGCGAGTTTGCCTTCGGTGCCGATGACTTCTGTCATGTCGTGCTGTCCAGCAGCCATCATGCGCGAGGAGTAGAAGTAGGCAACCTTGCCACCCCAAAATTCAACGATTCCGACTCCATTATCAACGTCCTTGTGCTTTCGCAGCTCGGGCTGAACAGCGGTGATACCAGTGGCAACGACGGACTTGACTATGGAGTTTTGGCCAAAGTACCACAATGCGAGGTCGATGTCGTGGATGTTACAGTCGACGAAGATACCGCCGCTGAACTCGGCATAGGCGACGAAGAAGCCAGAGGGGTCGAGCTTATCGCAGGTTTGTGATCGGAAGACAGAGGGACGGCCAATGGCACCACTGTCCATGCGCTCAAAGGCATCTCGGTATGAGGCATCGAAGCGGCGAGAGAAGCCGCACATGACCTTAAGGTGAGGTTTCTTGGACGCAGCATCGACGACGGATTGAGACTGTTTAGAAATGAAAGGTTAGCTATGCTCTGCAACAAATTCAACGGAGATGAGAGTGGACAATACTTACAATCTCAACACTTGTACTCAAAGGCTTCTCGCACAGAACGTGCTTATCAGCTTCAATGGCTTGGATAGCCTCCTCCGCATGAGCAGTAGTGACCGTGGCGACGACAACAGCCTGGAGTCCAGGATGCTTGAGCATCTCCTGGTAGTCATTGTAGATGACAACACCCTCAAGGTTAGTCTTTGCCCACTCGGCTTCTTTTTGCACCGGAGTGAAGGCTGCGACGAGCTCGGCGCGGGGGGTTCGGTTGTGAAAGTTTAAGGCGTGACGAGCGCCCATGCGACCGAGGCCTGCGACGGCAACTTGAAGCTTGGGAGAAGCCATTGCGATCAGAGGAGAGTTGGTGAGAGAGGGAATGGGGGTGTAGAAGAGAGTTCTGGTCGAGTTTATGCGGTCGGCGGATCTCTAGCAGCGATGGGATTGAGAAGAAGGGGACTGAAGGATGAGAAGCATGAGCGAGCTTCTCACCCTTATACTTCCAGCTCACTCTGCCATTGGCTTCAGCAGCAGTGTTCACCGATGTTCGGAGCTTGAAAAAGAAGTGTAGCTTTAGGAGACTGGATTTAGATGCCGTGTCCAACTCAATTGACCCATACCCCAAATTACGTGTAAGGGAAGCGGTCTGTCAGCGAAGAATACAAGATGAACAAACTGCCTGTCTCAATGACAAGCTCAACTAACAATATAATCAATAGCTTACACCAACCCCGTGTTAGATATCAAAGTCCTCCCATCTTAGACATGCAAGTTGAGGCTGCAGTCACAAGTGGAGCACCAAGACATATATTTCCTGATACAGCAAGTAGCTACGAAACATCCCTCGGCGCCTCCTACCGTATGCAGACCTCGTGAATTGAACCCTTGACCCTTGCTTTTCCCCGCAATAGAAAGAGATCATCTCCGCATTTGCGGGTGAGGCTTAAATTTTAACCCGACCCCTCCCTCACTAACGCAAAAGAGACGGACGAGATTGGAAACATTGGCCTATAGTGAGGATGAGGATGAGGGGAATTCTGCTCAAGGAAATTCTCGCCGATAACTTGCCTTTTTCTCTTTCAGTTCGAAGGTGACAAGAAGGCAACTCGGGATAGGTATACTAAGTTGCTCTATCGTAGTCAGAAGACTTAGAGTGGATGCTTAGAGCTATTCTGATACATTTATACAAATTTATCAAATTATGCCAGAATTTACGAAAGATAGGCAATCATGATGACCTTCGCACGCGCACTTTACATACTGCCTGCCGATGGACTCTAGACTCGAAGTGGCTGTGGTTCTTCCCCACATCACGAAAATCTCATAATTCATTGATTCTGGATTGGTTGGTAAATTATTTCGTCTGAATATTTCGTCAGAATAATTCGCTAGAACATCTCGTTTAAAATATTCGGTAACTGATCACAAGATGCCATGCCAAGATCTCACGATATCTGACTTGATGGATTCTTTCTATTTGGGTAGTTCTTGTTGCCGAGGATTATTGCTTCCCTACATCTCATATTCTTACAAATAGACCTTGAATCTCCCCTTTCCACTTGTCAACCTGTCTCATGAATGTATTCTTTGTGAGCTCTGGTGTGAAGCATGCTAGAATCCTGGAACAAGTGCTTATCTGTACTCTGAGAAATGAAACACCTTATCGAGTATCTGATTACTTGCATGCCTCCTCTTGTCAAAGACTCAAAAAGCGACGAATATATCAAGAGATCAGTCAGGAGTGAGTTCGAATATGCTTGGAATGACTTTGGGGTAGTGTTTGTATGACTTGACCCTAGGATTTTGAAAACTTGGCAGATATTTCTCGGACTTCTACTGACATTCTTTGAGAAATACGCAAACCACGTTTAAGCATTAATTAATATTTACAAGGTACAGCCGACTGTTCTGACTTCTTTCTTTACAAATGCAGAGATAAGCGAGTTGTGCGGTCAACAGAAGATCTTGATGCTAACAAATGAAGTTGTATAAGTTTCGAAGTCTTATTCTAATGAAAGAAGCCATAATTCGAAAAAATCCTTCCAAAAACTCTCCTATGGACCCATATATTCGGCGCATTCCCAATCATACATAATATCCATAGACAACGCCATCCACAGATTCGTAACCCCCCAGAAGTCTTTCACCTTAAACCTTGGTAATTGTTTCAGATGAAGTTGACTTGTTCATCAGCTTCATCTCCTTCTGCATCTCTCTCGCCTTTTGCACACCGAATCCATGCAAAAAGACCTGGCGGATGTCTTCAAGGGTCATATTCTTGACCTCGGGGTAACAGAAGTAGATACAGAACCAGCCGAGAATACAGATGGCAGCGTAGAAGCCAAAGGCACCTGAAGGAGTAGTGTTCTCCATCTGAGTGAGGAAGGTGGAGGCAACGATGATGTTGGAGCCCCAGCAAGTCATGGTGAGCATCATGGTTCCCATAGCCCGCACCTCCATGGGGAAGAATTCGCTCGACAGCCAAGCAGTGTTACCTATACCACTTGAATAGAAGCCCACGAAGATAACCATGCTAACAAGGACAACAATAGCAGGCCAGCCGATCTCAGCATCGGATGCCAAGGTGAGGTCGTGGTTGATGGGGATGAACTTGAAGCAGGCAGCGGCAACGACAAGGGCAAGACCCATAAAAGGAACAGTGAAGAGTAAGATTCTTCTGCGGCCAGCACGATCGACAAGCATCAGGTTGACCCAGGTAAAAATGAAGTTGGTTCCAGCAATGACAGTACCGACAGCGACGGGGTTCGAGAAGCCGACAAGAGAGAACAGCAGAGGCGAGTAGTACATGAGAGAATTGAAACCGCTGAGCTGGGAAATAGCCATTAGACCACAAGCAGAGACCAGAGCGCGGAAGTTTTCAGGCTTGACATATAGTTGCTTGAAAACCCACCACCCGGATTTTCCAGCGTTGAGCGACTTGGCCTCGTTGACATGATGAGTGAGGAGACGGATCTTATCCTGAATTTGCTGCTCACTTCCGTTAGGAAAAATTCGACGTATAACTACGGCGGCTTCTTCAGCCTTTCCGTGGTAGATGAGTTGACGGGGAGACTCGGGGCAGAAGGGTAGAAGCGCTCCGAGGAGGATGGCAGGGAGAGCACCACCACCAACCATATATCGCCAGCCTCCAGAAACATGAGCAAAAGCAGCTCCGACGCCATATGAGAGAAGCTGTCCACCTGTGATAGACATATTGTCGAGGCCAATCATGCGTCCTCGATACTTGGCGGGAGACACCTCGGCGATATATCTGGTACGTGTTAGGTTTTTTTATACTGATAAGCTGGAGACTGGAGATGACATACAGAGGAATTATCATCGCTGCACTTCCCACTCCGAACCCGACCACGATACGTCCAACGGTCATTTGAGCAACGGAGAAAGACGCGGCTTGAATAATAGCACCAATGGTGAAGAGAACGCAACCAACATAGATCGCCACCTTTCGGCCGTATCGATCGGCAGTAGCTCCTGCAAAGATGGCTCCAACGAAGGCACCACCAGAGGTAACTGATGTGATAAGCTCTTTCTCTTGAGAAGTGAGAGTCTTGCCCAGATCTTGATTGAGGTAAACAAGGACAGCGCTGATGATGCCAGTATCGTAACCGAAGAGCATACCTCCGATGGCAGCGGTGATACTGACAAGCCAAGAGTATTTGCCAGTCTTGGTCTGCTCAATGGAGTCGAGGTCATCGATGTTGACCTCCTGGATAGAGTTGGAGCCGGCATCCTCGAGATGCTCGAGTTGCTCCTTGGTATCGGGCTTGGACATGATGCCGGTTGCGATTGGGAAAAGAAAACGATAAAGAACAAGATTTGAGGAAAGCTCTTTGGATGGACAGTTGAATGAGAAGGTTGAAGTTTGATGCTGCTCTGGCTAAGAAACGGTTTGGATGATGTTGCAACGGTCTTCTTATATATCCAAAACCTGATTCATATTACTGAGAAGAGATGAATATTGCCTTTCTCAGCTTCCACGTCCTTGGAGAAAAATACTTGGAAAGACTAACGCTAGCATGATGAATATAGGGTGCTTGTGATTGCGTAGTGTTAATCGGCCATGCCCTGCTTGCCCCCAGATTCCACTAGAGAGCGCCATTAAACTCCCCATCTCCAAGAGCCACAATGATTGGATTATGATGTGATCTAGACCACGCCAGTCTCGTTTACTCCGTATGGACATGGTTGGAGTCATTTCCCCCAGATTACCGTTTGCCGACGATCCCCATGGGGAAGCGTTCGCTTGCAGGCTTCTCCAGTCGAGGAGCTGATCGATAAAGTTTGGGACTAATTGAGATTGCCGGCCCCTAATTCGCCTGTCGACTTCCGCGGCAGGTGCCCTGCACTGCCTGCAGTGCTTCAGCGCGGGGTTTCCCACTACGGCAGGCGAGACTTTCCCTTTTGATCTCAATTTGGCAGTTTCCCTTCTGACTCGTTTTCCTCTTCTTTCATCCTTCATCCTCATTTTATCTCCAACCCTTTTGGCTCCTGGAACGGCCCGTATTGTCCTTATTCACCGTGGCATGACGTTCTGTGCCCCTGCTATCAGCTGTTTCTGCTTCAGGAATTATGCAAGAGTCCCAACCTTCCGCAACGACCAAAACCAGGCCGTTCAACCCCTGTACAGTAAGTCGCCCCGACCTTAGTGTTTGAGGATCGAGCTACGGGCTGATAATTGCTGCTTTGAAGAACTGCAAGCAAAGGTGAGGCTCTATCTGCTCTATCCCACTAACTTGGGCAATCTCGCCGGTTGGTGCTTGCTCTGTTGTGGTGCTTCAAGCGATATGCTTTACACAGCCTAACTTCGATAGACATTTGAAGTGTAAGTCTGTTACTGGATGTGTTGGCGCTGTCCAGCGGTGGTGTGTGCGTGTTGTTGCATCATACTTGCTAATCACTAGTAAGCAGGTGACAACGATAAGACCTCTTGCGCAAACTGCCAAAAAAGTAACAGCGAATGCGTTCGTGGGTTTAGTGTCAGATTCCGCCATGGGTTGAACCCAAGGTATGTTTTACCCCCTGACTCGAGAGGCTCTGTCGCTTATTCCCCCCAAGCATACGGTCTGGAAAGGCTCAAGAAGCCAAGAACAGAGACTACAACTTCTCTCAAGATCAACCATGGGTCAAGACAACTAGAGCTCTGAGTTTTGTCGACGAGACTCCAGACATCATCAACATTCATGACTCCAGTACTGGCAACTTTGACACATTGGATAAAGAACCAGATATCGGAGACGAAAGTGACCAGCCTTCGCCACCTCTGGTACCTCTGCATAGGATCCTTTCAGAGGACTCGAATTCCTATTCAGAGCCGGCCAGATCAAATGCAACGGCAAACTTTGAAGAATTCATCTCAAACAGAGATGGCGAGCGACCTTCTAAGAAACGAGCGTTGAGTTCGTCGTCAACTGGAGCATGGGGGGATACCCCCCGGTCGAATCCTGGTGACGCCCTATCACCAAGCCAAAAGTCCGACAATGCTGGCTCTTTCGGGAGATACACAGGAGCTCAATCATTCAAATCACCCATCCTTGACAACGATGTTATTCTAGGTATTGGAAGCCCTCAACTTGCAGCTGCACTCGCTAGTTCTTGTCAAGCAGACCTTCCAATTCCTGTGGACGATATAACCGATGCTGTTTCTGGCATCTACCTCGATGCCCCAAGATGGCCATTGGAAGATCCACAGGAAGCCATGCTATTTTACAATTTCATCCATGTCTTAGCGCCATTATTCGACTTGTGCGATAGCGAACGTCACTTTGCTACAATAGTTCCACGCCGAGCTGTTATCTGCCCTCCTCTTATGAATGCAGTACTTGCTGCTTCTGCCAAACGGCTAAGTCGGGTTGATGGTTTTGATGGCTTAGTTGGCGATCGCTATCACCAAAACTGCCTTGATGCACTTATCCCGGCTTTGTCTAGTACTGCAGCTGTCATGGATGAGAATCTCCTAACCGCCATTGTGATTCTTCGTTACATGGAAGAGCTCGATGTACCTCTATCAGCAGACGCAGCCAGCGAGTCCCATCTTGTCGGTACTCGAGTCTTTGTTGCTGCTCAAGAAAAGGTCCTTGATTTCACTGGTTTGCGAAGGGCAGCATTCTGGGTCGCACTCCGACAAGAGATACACATGTCGTTTATGCAGGCTCGTCCAGTTCATCCGAACTTTGCTCTGGAGGACATCTCTCGTCTGGTCCAGAATGATGATACGTGCTGCACTTTTGCAAACTTAACTATCCTGCAATGCGCTGCTTGTCTTCGTTACTGCTACGGGTCTGAAGATCAAAGCTTCTCCGCATGGCAACGCTTGCAAGATGCTCAAGAAAGTTGGTGGGCGGAGAGGCCCTGGCATTTCTATCCTATGTATATCAACGAGGATGCACCTGGCAGCTTTCCTCAAGCGCTATATCTCAATGAAGCTGTCGTTACAGGTGTACTCCACCACCTGTTGATCAAAGTTCTGCTTGCTGCTCATAATCCTAGAACTCCGAAGCTGGGACCGGGACAAGCTAAAGCAGCCAAGTCGATTAACGAAGAGATCAGAAAAACTGTCAAGATGGTGTGTGGGGTTGCCGAGGTATGGTGTTTAGATTAGAGTTGAGATATCTGCTGACATATTGTTTCTGGCACAGTCGAACCAGCGCAATCCAACAGGCTACGCGTATGTCCTTCAGGTTCTTTCGAAACCATATTGGACTAACGAATTATTCTAGTTACGTTTGTCTAGCCATCACCATGGCGGGTGACAGATTTTCCAGCATATTCGAACAGGAAGCCTTATACCAGATCCTCCAAAAAGCAGACGTGCAGTTTGGATGGCCAAGTCGATCCGTGTAAGGACAAGGCTACCGTAAATGGCATCAATACTAATAGGCTCCGCAGACAAGAATATCTAAAAGAATCCTGGGGTTGGACTGAGTCTCCTGAGAACATGAATTCTGCAATGCCAATTGCCGGCATGCTCAATAGCAATCTGCAATTAATGTAAAGACCACGATATTTATCTACATATTGGGTGTGAAGCAGTTTCGACAATTTCCTCTCATCCTAAGACTATTATATAGAACAAATACTTACTACAATTGATATTATCTTATATAAAGTATATAAAAGTTTACACAAATTATTCTGAGTATTTTGACTTGCTAGTGTAATATTGACTGCGGTTTGGTGGACATGCAAGGGCGGTATTTTACGAGATCGGGATCACTTACTTCGCACCAACATCAGGATCCTATGGCACAAGGTATTATCAAAAGCCTTAATGACTCGTCATTCTATTGTTAATTTGTTACATGCAGCACCTCTGGGTCATTCTACCCCTCCTTCTCCGTAATATCTTCTATCCCCAGATCTCGACGCCAGACTTTGAGAGGCATAGGTCCAGGCGAAAGATTCATCGTCTCTCGCCTCTCTGGTTCCCACTGTGAGTAAGGCAGCGCCCACTCGTAACGATGTACAACACTAGCCAATAAGACAGTTTGCTCGAGGTAACTGATGTTTCGACCGATGCACCCACGAGCGCCGGCGCTGAAGGCGATAAAGTACGGTTGGAGGTCCTTGCCCTTTTCTCCGAGCCATCGTTCGGGGACGTATGACTCAGGATCAGGGAATATTTTAGGATCTCGGTGTGTGACATATGCTGAGATGGAGACTGTTGTATCGCCGGGGATATAGTCGCCGAGAATATTCCAACCCTCTGGAGGGGTTCGGCGAGGAAGGCCAAAGGTGGTGGGTGGTGTGATGCGGAGGGATTCATCGAGACAGGCCCGGAGGTAGGGAAGATGCTTGACTTTATCATAAGGAGCAACGGTTTCCTCGGGATCCAGGACAGAGTCGACTTCTTCGCGGAGCTTGGCCATACAGGATGGGTTCTTGAGAAGCCAATACATGACATTGTTCATGGCAATGGCAGTTGTATCAGAACCAGCATTCATCATGATGGAAACTTCAGCAACGATCTCTCCCCATTCGAGGCCGGGAGGGTTGGCCTCGCTATGCTCCATCAGGGCTTGGAAGAAGTCTGGTAGCTTCTCTCCTTTCTTATATCGTTCGAGACGTTGAGTCGAGCGATGATACACAATGTCGTTCCAGCCTTCGTTGAGGTCCCACCACTTGCGGAAGTCTTTGGAAAACCACTTCGATATCTTGACGTTAAAGTCGTACCAGCTCTCGGTCCAGGCGAGAATAGACTGGGCACGTGCTGTTGAGTGAAGACACTCGCGATAGTTGACTTCGTGAATAGTTCCGTCCATGCGCTCAGCCTTGACTCTATCGTGGCCCTGGTCTAGGAAACCGAGACGCTCACTGAGACCAATGTCGGCAATGGCATCGAGGGTGAAGAAGTTGGTAAAGGCGCGGTAGTCAAACTTGAGATCCCGAGGGTCAGGGCGACTGAAGCCCTGCTTGAGGGGTAAAGTACAAGCAGCATCAGCAGCGCGAATAAAGCGCTCTGTTTTATCAGCGACCTTGAACTCCCAGTTCTCGAGGTTCTTCAAGGCATACGCCGCAGAGAGAGCACGACGCTTGCGAGCATGATCAGCCTTGTCGATGACATCGGCCATGTGAAAGTGCGTGCCAGCGAGGGTCTGGTAGAACTCGCCCTTTGTGCATTTTGTGCCATGACCGTAGATATCCTTGATGGCTTGAACAGAGCCATAGGAGAGAGAGTTGGGGCCGGTGCGGATGACAGGATGAGTCTTGTGCATCTCATAGAGAGTACGAGAGCGGAAACCCTTTACAGCTTCATGGACGAAGGGGAGGTTTGTGACCCCTGCCAAGGGGTGGAAGTTGGGGTAGCGACGTAGGCCTTTGGCATCGTGGAGGTATGTGAAGATGGGGTAGATGATGAAGTAGGCGAGAAGGGAGAGGGCTGTGAGTACAGCTACGAGTTGTGCGTACATGATGAGAACTGAGGTGTTGATGTTTGTGATTCTCTTGGGGGATGAGAACAGAGGTTGAATTATATCATGCATTAAAGGGGGTTTATTATAGCCATATGCTCGACACGAATAGACTTCTTTATTTTGCTACAACTACGCAAATCATACTTTCCAGAACTAAGACGAGAGAGAAACACTCTTGTTTAGGGTAACTTGGCCGAGTGATTGCCCTTCTCGTCTCGTTCGGAGCTCCGCAGATGTGGACATCATCTCAGAGTATGGATGCCATGGTTTGTTAGTTTATTGCTGATTGCGGGGAAGACGAAAGAGGAAAGAAACTCAACAGGGTAATTCCTGGCGATCTAGATTTCCTACCGTTGTCTACCCCAGATTTTTCACCCCGCATATCATACATCATGAGCCCAAGTGTGGGTAGAGATCGGCAAACAACCAGAGGGACACTAGAGAGTGATAAGGGACTTGGTTTTGAAAACTTTGTAATAATATTATAGTAATTTTCTTAATATTCTAAAGATTTGTTTAACTTTATAGTAAGTTATTTTAAATTATAATAATTTACTTAATACTCTATAGATCTATATAATTTTACAATAAGTCTTCTTTAGCTACTCTAAACTATCCTAAAGTGATACGTATCTTGCCAATGTTATCCTTCTCGTGGCCAATCATATCCAACGCCACCAGTAGACAGTTGGCGTATGCCAAATCAGGTAATTTCTTCCACTGCGATGGAGCTGGCAGTGACAGCCCGGGCCAATTAAAGCCCCCACTACTGTAAAGTACAGCCCGCCTCTTGGAAGACCACCAAAATAGTACCGAGACTATCACTTTAAACTCTTCCATCCAACTGAGGATGGAAAATCATTCCGCAACTCCCATATATTCCTCATGCGAAAGAATGAAACCCCACGGGGAAAAGCGAAATAAATATGAGCATCCCATCCTCTTCCCCGCGATTCAAAGCAAACCAAACCATCATTTCTTCTTCCTCGGTAACTGAGCAAATATGGCCAACGTCTTTGCTACAGATGCCGTTGCTCGGCTTACACCTCAAACAATCTCTGATCTCGCTGCTCTGAGTGCCGTTGGCGTTGCATCAGCGGCATATCTCCTTCGAGGTATCGTCTGGGACAAACCAGATCCCTATCACCATGTCTGGTTCGAGCGCATGGGTGCGAACGGTGGTGTCTCGGGACCCAAGGCAACTCGTGATATTGCGAAGAAGTTGGACGAGTCGGTAAGTTTTGTCGCTAAACAGTTCATATCTACATACTTACTTATCCAGGGCAAAGATGTTGTGATATTCTGGGGCTCTCAGTCAGGCACTGCAGAGATGTTCGCCAACAGACTCGCAAAAGAGTGTCACGTCCGCTTTGGCCTCCAGACTCTCTGCGCCGATCTTTGTGACTACGACCCCGAGTCCATCGCCAACCTCCCTCAAAGCAAGCTCGCCATTTTCATCATCTCCACATACGGAGAGGGAGACCCCAGTGACAACACGGCGGCATTCTGGGAGTGGCTGCACAAAACCTCTGATGTCAAACTCCCCGATCTAAAGTACATGGCCTTTGGTCTAGGCAACACGAACTATCGATACTACAATAAAGTTATCGACGTTGTTGTTGAGTTTCTTGATAAGGCCGGTGCTCAGCGTTTGATGCCAGTCGGCAAAGCCAATGACGCACAAGGCGGTACAGAAGAAGACTTTCTTTCGTGGAAGGACGATCTCTACACCCACTTTCATGAACACCTAGGGTATGAAGAGCGAGATATTCCATACGAGCCAAGTATCAAACTGGTAGAGGACGATTCCCTCGATGTTATGGACCTCAATCTGGGTGAACCCATTCAGAATCGAAGCGGTCCTGCGAAAATCGTCAAGCAGTATTCGCCTATTCGCCCTTTGGCTGTCAAGTCATCTCGCGAGCTATATACAACCCCCGGGCGCAACTGTCTCCACATGGAACTCGATATCACAGACCAGCCTGACCTTCGCTACCGAACTGGCGACCACTTAGCAGTCTACCCTATCAACCCAGACCACGAGATCCAACTTCTTCTCACGGCCCTTGGCCTCCAAGACCGAGCTGAGAAGCCTCTGCTCGTCCAAGCTCTCGAAGAAGGGGCGTCTATCAAGATCCCCAGTCCGACAACGGCACTAGCACTTTTTCGACATTACCTGGAAGTGTCAGCCCCTGTGTCTCGAGAGACGGTGGGACAGTTGGCGCGGTTTGCACCTTCGGCAGAAGTCTCTGAGACGTTGACGGCTTTGGGCAAGAGTAAAGAGATGTACGCGGGCTATATCGCCAAGAACCATGTTACCATGGGTCGTTTACTATCTCTTGTTGCACCTGGAGTTATCTGGGACAACCTTCCCCTGTCATATGTCGTCGAGACACTGCCTAATATGCAACCGCGTTACTACTCCATCTCCTCCTCAAGTACAGTCTCTGCGCGCAAGCTCGCCATCACTGTTGGTGTTGACAATTCACCTCTGCAACAAGACCCGAGCAAGTTCATCAGAGGAATCACAACCAACTACCTCAATGCTCTCGGCAAATCCCTCAATGGCGATATCTCACGAGCGGATGCTGGGCCTGATACCCTCCAATATGCACTGGACGGCCCTGGGGATGCACTCAAGGGTCACAATGTCTTTGCCTGCCTCCGTCGATCCAACTTCAAGCTTCCCACCATGAGTTCAACCCCTATTATTATGATCGCTGCTGGTACAGGTCTTGCTCCCTTCCGCGGGTTTATTCTTGAACGAGCTCGTCTTAATGCCGTTGGAAAGCCCACTGGCAAGATGATGTTGTTCTTCGGATGCCGCTCCCCTGATCAAGATTACCTCTACAAAGAGGAACTCGCGGAGGTCACCAAAGAGCTACAGGGGTCGCTCGAGATCGTCACTGCGTTCTCCCGTGCTGATGGCCAACCTAAGAAGTATGTGCAAGACATGGTTGACGAGCGGAAGGAGGAAGTATGCCGTCTTCTTGAGGATGGTGCTAGTATTTACTTCTGTGGTCGTGCATCCATGGCAAGAGAAGTTGGAAATGTCGTTGAAGAGTCGATGAAGGCCATGAATAAATGGACTGATCCTGAGGCTCGCAGCTGGGCTGAGTCGGCCAAAAAGAGGAACAAGTGGCTGGAAGATGTTTGGGGATAGACTGATTTTGATAACGGCGAATATGGTGTCTGGGTAGATTGGGTGTATTTATTGGCTATTTACTAAACGACAAACGAATTTATATTATGTACAAACGAAATAATCCCCTTGTCTTTACATTCTATTCAGAACGGGGAATCTTCACGCCAGAAGACCGCAGAGTCTGGAAAACACCCTGGGGGTCGTACTTCTTGCTGGCTGCGCGAAGCTTAGCAAGAGCCTCATCGCCAACAGTTGACAGGGGGTCTTGTGACAGATGGGCATAGTTGATAAACTTCCAAGGCCACCAAGCGTCCTGCTCCTTGGCCCTGGCCTCAATATCATCCATGTACGCCTTGAGGAGAGGGAAAGCAGCCTCCTCGTTCTCCTCGCCCTTGGCAGCCCAGGTGAGCAAGAACATGATGCCATCGCCAGATTCGGTGTACTTGTCGAGACCCATGGCATTGCCTCCATTCTTGACGCCCTTGTCGGCGATGGACTTGGTGATGGGCTGGAACATGCAGAGCGTGTTGAGCTCCGACTTGTCGCTGGGCATAAGAGCCTCGAGATCCTCGTTGAGTTTGTTGAACTTGTCGACGACGTAGGTCAGGAGCGCGGCATTGGGCTTGAAAGAACTTGTGAACCAGACATTGCGGAAGTGAGGAGGCTGCCCGGAACCAAGATCCTTGGTTACCTTACTCAGCTTCTCAGTAACGGTTGTGTCGGCTTGTATATCGGGAACAGCGTAGTAGCTGTCGAACGCATGGGGCTTGACCTCTCCCTTTGTGTTCTCGATAGCAGCGTTTAGGATGGTGCCGCCAGCGATAGCGGGTAGATAGGCCCAGTAGACGATGCTGCTGGAGTTTTCATCGTTGGGGACGTTAGCGGTGAAGTCAATGAGGGCGTCGATGACTGCAGGGCCTGACTCGGGCTTGTAGAGGAGGTTGCCTCCCCAGATGACGGGGTTGTTGCGGTCGGTGAACTCAATAGGGTACAGGTCAATACGGGTGATGAGGCCGAAGTTGCCGGAGCCACCTTTCATAGCCTTTGGAGAGTCAGTATTTGAGTGGGAAGATGTGAGGCTTGGGCTCTTACCTGCCAAAGGTCGGCATTCTGATTGGCGTTGGCTTCTACAATATCACCGTTGGCGAGAACGACTTGCCAACCGGCCACGGTATCACAGGCCATTCCCTAGAGTATGTGAGCTTCTCTTCGTAGACACAAGGTAGGTACCTACATGAGACGCAGAGTAGAATGAGTTTCCACCACCAGTCACGAACCCTCCGACACCAACAGTTCCAGCACGACCACTGATGGGTGTTAGTATTAGAGTCATCGAGGAGGGAGAGTCAACATACCCAGCAACAGCAAGACCATAGGGGCTGATAGTGTCGTAGACGTCTTGCCAATGACCACCAGGCCCTACTGAGACGATATTCTCGTCTTCGTCATAGGATGTGCCGTTGATGAAGCCTAAAGTAGTCAGTACAGTGTCGACATAAGCATGAGCTTGAGAGTTTGCTAATTACCAAAGTCGATAGTGATGCCGTCCTCGATAGAGTTAGACAGGGCAAAGTTACCATGGCCTCCACCGCGAACGCCAAACTTGCATTGGTTCTTGGTGATGACCTTCATGATCTTGGACACATCCTCAGGAGTCCTAGGCAGGACCATGCACTCTGGATGCAGAGCAGCGCTGACGGACCAGTAAGAGTCTATACGGTCACTGTAGAGCGTCTGGTCCTTGGTGACGACCTGGTCGGCAAGGCCAGCCTCACTTAGTAGAGCGGCGCACTGAGATGCAGCGTTAGTCATGATTCAAAAGTCTTGGAGGTCCAGCTCTTCGGGGCAAGGGAGTGAAGTATGTATATCGGACACTTACACACTGATCAGGAGCACCTGGAAGGGTGGCAGAGCCATAGGCAGCCGCCGTGACAACATAATCCAGCTTCATTCTTGCAAACTGATGATGTTTCCGAAGCCGAGTCCGTGCTGAAGGAGGGTAGTAGTAGGAAATAATGTAGTTCTGTTTTGCCTGAAGAGAGAGAGAAAGAAAAAAGGAAAGAGGGAAAAGATCTACACTTTCTTGACTGACGTGGGAGGATCGTCTCTTATCAGAACGGATTCTCTTCAGCTCAGACCTGTTGATCTCTGGTAGATGGGGACCACATTGGGCCGAGAGCTAGGACAAATACCTGCCCCTAATGGAATGGGGAGGTATTATCCCTCAAGTTGATGGAGTCTTGGTTTTGTTCTTCCAGCGGGAACGGAACGGAAATTATGAAGCACAAAGCACAAAACCAAGTCTACCATAGTGGGCGTGCAAGAGTTCTAACAATTTCCTCTACTCTAGATTTTATACAAGATTAGACAAATTATCATAAACTCTTCTTGGTTTATATGATTCTATATAGTGTTATTCTAAGATTATATATAGAGTCTTCTAACTCCGATATATTTCATACAATCTATTATAATATAACTATCCGTATCTCTTGATGGCTCGTTGTCAGAACTTTTGCACAGAACTGTAGCTATGGAGTATATAGAATCGAATTGGTGTGTCAAAGCCACGGCGACAGGGTTAGAATGGGGAAATCGTTTGGTCTCAAGTACAGCTGTAATTCTTTTTATCCATACTCATTGCCATTTCATCAACATACCGTGCCTTGTCGTGTCAGTCACCGCACGTGGAAAGCAAACCTTGACAGAATACGAATGCCCAGGATGCGAACGCCCTTCTTTGCATATTCTACGCATTGCATTTTCTGACAGGTTCTAATACCGATCTTGAGAAAACCTCGGTCCAACTCCCGGCTGCTACACTTACAGGGCCCCTTGCAGATTGGAATGTTCTCTCCACAGACGTGCACTCTGAGAGACAACAGGGGTCTTTTGACGTGGATATGCTTGCTTTCATGTAGTTTTCAAGAGACAGCATTGAGGTTTTGGTCAAGGTGCAGAATTGTTACTCGAGACTCTTGATTGAAACCTGCGTTATATAATTCCAGAGATAATCCTTTTGTGCTGTTTATTTTACGCTCTCTTCTTCTATGTGGTTATTCCCCGTTAGTGATCCGAATGCCGAGAGACCCCTGCTTTAGCCAGTGGATAAATTGTTTTGCGCTTTGTCTTTTGCCCAAGTTAGTTCCACTTGGCGTCGACTCAGCTCTGTTGATCTGATACTGATCTTCATTGTAAACTCCACGTCTTTTTTCTCTTGCAGGGGAGCGTTAATTCCCGCCATTTGACAGGGGAAATGTCTCTGATTGGATGTTTTAAGATAAACGAGGCTGTCAGTCAGAACTGATCGAAATGTAACAAATATCACTCTACACTCCCATGTTGCTCGTGATATACAGGGTCATCCTTGACAGGTTCGGTTTTCGCAGCTTCTAGACCCCATACACAGACTAGACAAACAAAAGGACTTAATTACATTATGGTCAATGCTACAGAGAGACGTCATCCTTCTTCCAAAAGGCACTAACAATGACATGTCTCTGATAATCCTGTACCATCTGAATCTTCCACGTGTTTGAACCGTAGATCACCATATATCCGTGCATTTCTAGTGTCCCGCATGACTAGCCAGCCATACACGATCTCATCACATCACACAATATCACGATGAGCGAACCTTGATAACTGCCAGGGGGACAAACAAAGCATGGTTGTCTTCAGTGCCGCAGTGCTTTAGATTCTGTTGCCACTGTGAAACGCATAAACGGACTTGTCGTGAGGATGTAGGGATAACTGCCAGTAAATTGCTAGGAGAGCGACATAAACACTGCTTTCTCTTATACGGAATATGCACCGAAGGGAACCACTTATTGCCTCCCTCCGTAACCGGCCGCTTGGCAATAGCTCGAGTCTGAAGATCCTTCTCGCCGTACAATCTTGCGACTTCACATCCCCAGCCTGTCCTTGCCTGCTTGCCTCTCTGACTCTCCGCACTCCATAGTATCGAGATAATCACTAGAACATGTGAAAAGGATAGAACAGAAACACACTGACCCCGTCTCCATCAAATCACACCACCAGCTCTTTTTGCGCCGGATCTGCATCTTCCATGCCACGTCTGGACTGCTCAGGCCTCTCACGCGGATCTCTTGGCTGCAGCATGCGGAAACAAAAGACTTTCTCTTTCCGGATCAGAGGATGCCCGGTTACGATGACTGCTGGAGTACCGCAGGGGTGCACTGTTGATGGGTTTCCATTGTAAGATTCGGTATTGTTTTGCTACTGCGAGATGAGGACCGGTGAACGCTGTGTGGACCCTGCTTCCAAGATTTGAATCAACACCTTGTGTAGTTTTCAATTCACCAGAACCCTTCTGGACCTATCATATATGGCATCGAGAGTGTGGAGGCGAGAGAGAGAGAGAGAGAGAGAGCCGCATGGTAGCAAGCATATATCTAACCCTGGTCTGCCGTCTGAGAGCCTCTCTTGTCTTTTCTAGTCGAGAAGGTTACTCCATATTGCAACTCGATCAAAGACCGAGGTGACAGCGGCATCTCGTTTAACTTGTTGTGTCTCCAGCGTTTCAAGTTTTTCCTTTTTATACCTTGGCTTTTCCCCAGACTAATCCTTTCATCACGATCCTTTATTGAGACCGATCCATTCTTTACAACTGACTCTTATACTGCACAACTTTACATGTCAACATCAACTCGACTCTTTTCAAAATGGCCACAACAGATGGAGTCATCACGCTTCTACCACCGCCAGAGGGCTACGTGGTAAACTTCGACAACCCAACGAGGCAGGGCGAGCATGAGGCGTACTACATCGCCGGGTTTGGACTTGCGATCAGTTTTCTCTTCTTCATGCAGAGGATGTATGTCAAGATTTTTCTTGCAGGAGGGTTACAAATCGACGATAGTAAGTTTATAATTTATTTCTTTTTTTATTATTTTAGGTTATTTCATTTTATTTTATCTTATTTTACTCTATTTTATCTTATATTATTCTATTTTATATAATTTTTATTTATTCTTCCTTATTTTATTTTACTTTATTCTATTTTATTTTGTTTTATTTTCCTTCTCTTGCTTTCTTTTTATTGTGTGTTGGATGTTAGGTGTTGGTTCATGGCCCCTTGCAAACTCAATCGATCTGCATGGGTGTGAACAAGCTGTCGGGAACGATCAACATTGTAATGAAATTTGTGCTGACATGGAATAGTTTTTCTCATTCTTTCATATGTATGTGTAACCGAGATCTGATGACGCTGCTATCCTGTCGAGACTTGACTATGGCAGATATAGTATGAGTTGAGAATTAACAGTGGTATTTGTAGATTCTTGCCGTTACAACAGTAGCATTCTGTATTCGTGAGTATAGCAGACCTCATAAATTCGCAATGACTGACCTTTTATAGATATGTTCGCTCATGGAGCTGGCGGTGTCCACGCCTGGGAAATCCCCATTGAGACAGTCAACATATATGTCAAGGTTAGATCTTTGACTAACCACAAGATCGATAAAGACTAACAATACCAGGATGTCTACCTCTCTGCATGCATCTACGTCCTCTGCGGCTCCTTTGCTAAACTCGCCCTCCTCATCTTCTACCTGCGCCTCTCCCCGCAACGATGGTTCAAGTGGGCAGTCTGGACGGCCATTACAATTATCTGCATTTACACCGTCATCCTTTTCTGCCTCGTTCTATTTGCTTGCAAGCCCATGGCCATGAACTGGGACATTACGGTTACCGACGGTGTTTGTATCAACCAGACAAAGACCTATATCGCCACAGCAGCGGTCAATATCATCAGCGATTTGTTTCTCTTTGTGTTGCCGCTTCCCATGGTGTTTCAACTTCAGCTACCCGCCAAGCAAAAGATTGGTCTCATGGGCATCTTTACTATTGGATCTTTGACGGTTATCACGTCGATTGTTCGAGTGTCACTCTTGCCGAGCATGCTGGGCAACATGGATTTGACTTGGACTATTGCATATCCGAGTATTTGGATGTAAGTCAATCTCCTTCTTGAAGAAGAAGCCCCAAACTAACAAGCATGTGCAGCATCGTCGAAGCAAATCTCATCATTACCTGCGCCACAATGCCAACACTTCGCAAATTCTTCAAGCACGTCGCGCCCAAACTCATCGGCGAGTCACGATACGGCAGCAAGACAGGAAAATCAGGGAAATCATCAAAGTACGGCAAACCCGACACAGGTTCCAAGCCCTCCAGCCGAGGAATCGTACCAGGATCGCAACACCGCCGCAACCGCACAAAATACTCGCAATTCGACGAAGAAGAGCAAATGCCGATGCCGGATGAATTTGCCCTGTCGCCTATCAAGGGCGTGGGACACAACACTGTCGTGGGACATAGCGATGAGCACGTCCTGGGGTGGATGGATAGTGACTCTGAGAAGGGGATTGTTGAAGGGACGATTAAGCCGGCGATTGTGCAGACAAAGACTGTCACTGTGGAATATGAACAATAGTTATGATACTAAGTGAAGGTTTAGGGGAGTTGTGTATATTAATTCGGGTTGGCCAGGATGGCGACATATTTGAGATACCACATTTAGCAGTTTATTATTATTTATTATTTATTATCCTCTGTTCTAAATTTTATATAAGAAAAAACAAACTATAATAAACTCTCCTAATCTATATCATCTTATATAATACTATCCTAAGATTATTCATAAAACAATCTAATTATTATTATATATTTTTATGATTATATATATTCTTACGGACTATTTAGGTCGTTATCGGAATTTCGCACGGGACTGTAGTCAATTGATCTTTGTAAACACTCATGAGTCTCGTCTGCTCGTATTACAAATGCCGACTACACAACCAAACAGCCATTCATTCCCCTTGGACCTTTCTTATTAAAAGATTATTATTTTCATCTTGGAGTAGATTGATCTGACAACCCTTGAATCTTTGATCAACTGCCAGCGGGATACAGTTTAGTTTGACAGGTAACGTTAACGTAGAGCTAGTCCTGACTATTTGAAGCCACAAAGTCTAACCACCACGTGGAAGCATGGTACAGTTGGGCATTGAGTTTGATCTCGTACAATATCTACGAATACATATTTGGCGTTTTTCAACATCATGACTTTAATCAACATACAAACACCTTCTTTTCTCCTATTCTCATCCCTTGTGGCAAGTGAATGACTCTCTACTCCGGAGCCACTCCTCCGCACATGTCCCAGTCCCAAGATCAGCGCCCCTCAATGGGGAGAGGCACTGACTCAAAATTATGATATGCCAAGCATAAGGAGAAATCTGGGGATCTAATCAATTAATTCTCTTAGGCCACAAGATACGGATACTCTGCTTATTTGCTTTTAGTTGGATCTGCTGATCAAAGATTTGCAGCCTCACATCACCCAACTCCCGCAATCTTCAGCCAAACCTCATATCACGATACGACATCCCATCCTCAAAGTTGAGCCCCAGAATCTACGGCCTAGATAACTGCCGCAAGCTATACTAAAAGTGAAGAAGCTAACTTGGCTTCATAAAAAAGACCTTCCTAATTTAGTCGACGCGCCCGGGCCGCGTTTTAAATGATCGACAAGCGCTATGCAGTTCGGTCCTATGGCCTATACTATGACGAACTTCGTTCTGTCACCGTATCCGCTCCTGTTTCTGAAATTTACATGTGTTATTCCCGCAGGAACTTTTCGTTCAATAGTGGAGTTGTTCTTTCTCCTAGCTCATTCCGGGGGATCAGGGGTTTGGAGTTTTTCTCCTATTCCCGGCAGGGGTAGACGGTCATTACGTACAACTTTGGACAGGGGGTAGATCTTCAAATGTTACAGCCAGGAACGCGTAGATGCAAACACTCCGAGGGATTCATATCCTTGTAACGGTGGTTTGATAATATGGTTGGTGTAGGGTAGTGAACTTGTAAGAGAGTGGTGTATTAAAGTGCCATGCGTGTGAAGGAGTTCGTGGTTGTTTATCATAGTGTTTTAAAATAGACAACTGTGATCATTATTGAGCCGGCTATTGACTGAATTTAGTATGGAAAAGTAAAGGTTTTCAGTCTATAGTGCCGAGTAAAGGAGTGGTGAACAAAACATCGTTGTTGCTGACAATAGGTTGGTGGATTTGTAGCAACAACTCGGGACCAAATAAATCTATGTTATTTCATCGCTACGCTATCTCGTCGGCAGCTTTGCCTATACAGTGCTCCACGTCTCCTTAATAAGATCAGCAGCCTTCTCACCAATACCATAAGCAGGCATCTGCGTATGCCCATTGTTCACAGTCGGCATAATCGAGCAATCCGCAACCCTGAGCCCCTTAACCCCCCGAACCTGCAACTTCTCGTCCACCACAGCATCGGGGTTGTCCGCCCTGCCAGCAGCACACGTACCGCTGGCGTGGTAGCACGTCGTCGCGTTGTCCTTGACGTACTCCTTCCAGTCCTCGCGCGTCTTGAACTGGTGGTGCGCCAACTCCGACGGCCACGATCCCTTGACCAGGTCCTTGGTGCCCGCACCCTCGGTGATGATCTCGTTGCCGAACGCGCACGCTTCGGCGAGGACTTCGAGGTCCAGCGGGTGCGAGAGGTAGTTGCAGTCCACGACGGGGATGGCGCTCGCGTCGGCGTTGCGGAGGGTGACAGTGCCGCGTGACTTGGGGGAGAAGAGCTCGGCGATCATGCTGAAGGCGTGTTTGCCGTTGATGGGGAATTGGTCGTATTGCTTAGGTCCGCCGTAGCACTCCGTGGTGAAGAACTCAACCTGGGGCTGCTTGGGTGTGAGACCCATGGGGTCTCGGCCTTCCTTTCGAGGAGCAGAGTTCCAGATCTCTGAGTCGGCGAGACGCTCATCCAATCGAGCATAGGCAAAGATACCAAAAGGGAACACGGTCAAAGGCCCCTTCTTCTCTTCCTTCCACTGGGTGTAGGCCTTCTCCAAGGCGTTGCCGTGGTACAGCAGGGAGTCGGTTGTGATGCCCTCCTTGTCTGTTTCATAGAACATGAATACAATCAAGTGATCCTGTAGGTTCTTGCCAACACCTGGAAGGTCAACAAGTGTGGTAATACCGTGCTTCTCCAGTTCACTCTTGGCACCGATGCCTGATCGGTTAAGAATGTTGGGCGAGCAGTAAGCTCCTCCACTGACGATGACCTCCTTGCTAGCCTTGAGCTCAACAACAGTTCCATCAGCCTGGACTACTCGAACACCAGTGGCCCTCAAGTCGCCTTGCTCATCCTTCTCGATAACGACCTTCTCAACATGGCTCTCCACCATGAGATGAAGGTTGTCTCTGGGCTTTTGCTTGGTGATGAAGTCTGCACTGGTTGTGCGAAGGCCCTGGTGCACTGTTCTCACTGAGTGACCACATCCGTGGGGGTTCTCGCCGGCAGCGAACATGTCGTGGTCGAGAGGGAGACCCTTTGAGACCATGGACTCTCCGATCAGGTTAGAGATGGGAGCTAGGTCATGAGGCTCTGTGTGGACAAAGCCTTCGTGGCCGTGTGCACCCTTTGTTTCCTTGAACCAATCTTTGGTATGGAAGTGTTCAGCCTATGGAGAGGGTTAGTTTATGTTTTACTCTTCCATATGGGATTACGTACCTTGGCCATATACTTGAAGAAATCATCACCGCTCCAGCCAGGAAGGTTCCAGTCGTCATAATCTTGTTTCTATAGTAAGTCAGTATGAACACACCCCTTCGTACGCAGTAGCATAGACTTACCATTCCCTTAACCATAAGAGTACCGTTGCAGCCAGATGAGCCGCCGAGGAACTTGCCTCGACTGAGCTTTACCTGGCGGTTGTTGACACCAGAGCCTGGCGTGGAAACTGCATTCCAATCTGTCTCTTTGTCAAAGTTTTGAGACCAACTATACAGGCTCAAGTCAGTGGTGAGTGGGTATTGGTGATAGGGAGTACTGACCCTCCAACCATGTGGACGTTCTCAAGGTGCTCATTATGTTGGCCTGCCTCGATAACAAGGACCTTGACATTAGGATCTTCGGCGAGTCGTGCTGCAACAACACATCCTGATGTGCCACCGCCACAGATAACGTAGTCATATGTTGAGTCCGGAGTAGCCATGGTGGTTTATCTATATTATGCAGGTGATTATATCGAGAATGGGGATGTTTGCAAAGAAGAACTGTTTAGTGGAATAACTCAGGCTCACGTTGCAAGCGTCCTTGTTTCTCTTATACGTTACAACTCAGGCCCACAGCCACTGACCAACGCTGTGACTAGAAGTGGTGCCATTCAGGGACATTATCCGGGTCTATCAACATCGAAAGGATGCATATGTAGCATCTATACGCAAAGATCCATAGTACCAAGCCCAATAAAGACAGTCAAGAGATATTAGCATTGTCGCTATGTGGTTATTCCTAGACCCTGGCCTTGGAAACACGGGCATTTTCCGTGTTTGACAGGGACACTGAATTAGGTAGTAGGTAGTCTCAGCTGGAACCAACAGCATGAAGAGCTCGCTGCACCTGTTACACTGCAGGCTTCAAGGATTGGAGTTACAATAAAGTGAACCAACATTAAAGACTAGAAAAGGAAAGGAGGAGAACACTAACAGGAGGCATTTCTTACTTTACCCCAGCAACTCAAGCGGGAGCCCCATATTGTTGTTTTGCAGACAGCCAATCGGGGAAGTGCCTGGGGTTTTCAAAGATTGCGTTTGACAATCAACGTTGCAGTGCACGGATAAAACTTGCGGGACAAAGAAGCATAACAGCCAAGAGAGGAAGAAGATTCGTATATGCCAAGTCTGGTTCCTTATTCCAATGCATACACGGGTGATAATTGAAGTCAAATCTGCGTTATAGGGTACGTAATCAGGTTGATAAAGGTACAAACTCTATTACTCCGTACACAACACTTCAACTCAGGAGGTATTCACATGCCAAAGGCCCAAAAGACATGGACCAGGGCCCTTGCCTAACGTTGAGACTTGAAAGCTGGAGGCCACTGAAGATGTTTAGCGTGTGCGGAGCCGAGGTTCCACTACCGCTCGCTGCAGATCACCGCGGCTAGCGGACTCGAAAAGGGCTGAGCCGCTGAGGAAGCTCCAGTAAAACTAAACACATCAGTGGGCCACAGTCACCACACGGGTTGCTTTAAGGAATACACTACTAACCTACCTAGGTACCTACCTTAGTAGTCCCTAGCCTACCTTAAGGATCATGAAGTTTCATCCTACAGTACTTGTTGTATTGTTTCTACGTAGAGATGGGAAGCTGAGCATGAACATGGTCTAGACATGAGTTTCTGTTTGTGTACATGATAGCTGTAAAACCAACTAATACTCTGTTTCATGACTAACACTACAATATCTTGATACCTACTCCGCAGCGCAATATTGCCAACAGTAACAGTTGCAATTTAATACCCCCACAATCCTTTACCACGGACCAAAGTCTCAAGTAATAAATGCACGGACTTGACTTGGGTGAACCTGGTTTACTACGCCTGTCATGTCCTTGTCAAGCCAAGCCAACCAACACCTCCAAGGATTCGAGAAGGATTGTGGGACCTGCATATGCATATGCAGCAAGCAAGGCCTCGGTTGCAGAAGAAAGAACAGGAGACAGGTCAGAAACCGTTCTCAAACGAGTCTGCAATGATTCACATACCTTGACTTGGGCCTGTATAACAATGGCTCTGCCTGAATGATCAGCAGTCTTGGTAGCAAACCCCCTACAGCGTTGCATCTGCTCCCATGAGGATGCCCGTTATTATGCCAATAATCTACGTGTACTAACTCATGCAAAACTCAGGATGGTCAAGTTCTCAGCTCCACTGCGCTCGGGCATACCTAAACCTACCACTACCAGGGATCACCAGTAACGCAACGCAACTCAATGCAGCCCCAGGCATCGTCAATCATGGACAAGGAAGACCACGAGATGGTCAAAGCCTCTTTTTTTACTCTCGGGCAAAAGGGGCCCGTCACATCCTGCAGGCTACATCGGCTGGGTTATCTGCCGTAGTCCCGTTATAGTACATATCATGCCCTGTCGTCTCTTGAACTCGTCCGTCACTCGTCACTCGGCCCTGAACAAAACGTGGCTGGTGTGCACTTGGGGATCTCGTCTCGACCTGATTAGACTGATCACAAAATCTTTTACTGATCTAGATCCAAACCGCAAGCATGTCTGCCACGCCTTTCCAGACCGAAGCCTGGACGGAATATGGCCTTGGGGCTCTTGTTCTGTTCCTGCGTTACTTTGCGAGATGGAAGACTGTTGGCTTCAAAGGATACCAAGGAGATGACTACTTTGCTCTAGCAGCAATGGTCTTTTGGACGGTAAGCAACTCTTCAAGCACCAGCTCTAACCCAAGCTCAGTTTACTAACTTACACAGAGCGAGTTGGTCATGCTGGAACTCATCGGTATGAACCCTTCCTTTCGCTTATGTGCTGTTGGTTCGCGCAGTATTCTAATCCCTACACAAACAAACAGGTCAATCCGGCACCAACATTGGCATTACCGACGAGATGGGTGCCGAAATGTCAGCCGCAGAGATAGCCAAGCGCGAGTTCGGCTCAAAATGTCTCCTTGCAGGGTGGAACTTTTACGTGACCCTCATCTTCACCTTGAAGGGGGTGATGCTTTGCTTCTACAGCCGCATGACGTACGCAGGACCCATTCTACAATCACTGCTTGTTTGTGTTTGCTGACTTGTTTCTAGGCTTGGTCTTTGGCAGAGAAAGCTTGTTATCTGGACGCAGGTCGGTACAGTGCTTGCATATCTCGCTGTCATTGCCGCCATCTGGGGCCACTGTACTCCCATACACAAGAACTGGCAGGTTCATCCTAACCCAGGCGGTAAGTTGTCACCAAAGAATACTACATATAACTGTTCTAACTTGTGAAAGATTCTTGCACGCTCGCGGTTGCTAACTATCTCACCCTGGTGGTGTTCAACATTGTGTAAGTTATTATCTTTCCGCCAGAAACGACTACACATCTGACACAAATCCAGAACCGATATACTCATCGTTTCTATTCCGATTCCTCTACTATGGACAGTAAAGCTCAGCGTCAAGCGAAAATTAATGATTGGCGTTCTTCTCTGTTCCGGTGTCTTCATCATGGTCGCAACACTTCTTCGCTGCATCTTTTCTCTCCAGTAAATATCCCCACAATCCCAACCCCCTGTATCCTTCTAACAGTGTCTCAGGGATATCGAAGGTATCAACACCTCCACCATCTGGGCCATCCGCGAGACCTTTGTCGCCATCATCGCCGTCAACGCCGCCGCCATCAAGCCCCTCTTCTCCGCCTCCCGCTGGCTCGTCTCCAGCAAGGGAAGCAGTCGCGACAAGGGAGGGAGCAGCTACATCCACAAGCACAATCATGCGCTGGCAACGATCGGAGGATCTGGTGCTTCGGGTGGTCGTTCTGGGAACCGCCATCATCATAAGTACATGAGCCACCTGGATGATAACTCGAGCGAGGAACACATCGTCGGCAAGCCCGAGTTTGTAGGATACAGCACGCCGGAGGTTCGGGCGGGAAGTACAGCGAGCGGGCAGAGTGATGGCCCGGATGGGATCATGGTCACTCGTACCTACGAAGTCACCCCCGGAAAGTCGACGCTGGATGTCTGATAATGGAATTGCGGAGTTATGGAAAATGTACCTGTGGACGAGTGTAGAAAGCACATATACTTAATGTAATATATCAAAATTACCAATATCTACCATGTTAGTTGGCCTACGATGATTTGGGTAAATCAGGTGAGGAGCATGAAGTCTTGATGTACAGTTTCGTGTAATGAGATGCATAATAGTTAGAAGACTCTTAATAAATTACATAGAGAATCTACAAGGTTATATGACATTAGATAATGATCCAATAATTTAGAGAAAATTTTAGAAATTTATTAGAGTTCCGCCCACTACAGATACATCTCAGAGAAACTTATCACCCTTGCATGTATAGAGCATCACACTGGCGACACCAAGCCAATCAACTATTCAGATGTCGCTGATCTTGGCCTTTGTGTCGCTTCTCTATTACTCTGGCATGCGAATAAGTGAAGCAATAGAATGACTTAGCCATGAGAACAATTGATCCTACCGTCGTAAGAACAATGATCCTAAGAACAATTGACCCTGCAAAGTACTGCAACCACCAGCTCCCAAGTCTGCACCCGCTTGCCCGAAAAGAGGCAATTCAAATGTAGTATCCAACTCGCACATGATCTTCACCAACATGCAATCCATGCCAACAACGAACGAGTCAGTTCTGGGGAAGTGTTTCTTTTTCATCAGGTAAAAACCTCTGCCAAGACTATCTAACTGTCAGTTAATAACTGGGGACAAGTCCCAGCACACACCCGTCTTAAAGCCCAGATTTCACTGCGTCAAGCTCGGGCTGAAGATCCTTTTGCTGCTTTGACGTCGCGTGATCCGGGGTTCGACTAAAGTTTATTGAAATATCTAACCTCATAAGGCGATGGTTCCATCATTTTGGCTTTGGCTATGACCCTCAGGGGTCTTGGTGGTGCCGCTGTCAGAACCCTTGTCCCTGCGGCGTACCATGCTGCTGGTGATCATGATGTCTGATCCCCATGAGAAGTAGAAAACAATTGGATCTGCAGGGCGTCAGTGTCAGTTGGCTAACATGACTGACCTAGGTTAGTTTTGTATTATTGTAATGAGTTGTTAGAGATGCAGGGCAGGCAAACATATCATCGAAACCTCCCCGCCTGAGTTTTACGCCATTTAGATGAATCTTATGTTTCAAGAGATTATACAGATGCCTCTAAGTGTAACACTCTAGCGAAATATGTATAGTATGTGTCGAATGTTGCACCATTTCTTGATCTCAAACCCATCTTCAGATCTAACTATCGTACAAGTGCTCAACTCGACTCCTCCATCTTATTCTCCAACCCATCCAATCAATACATTCATCCCTCCACTGTCCCAAAGTGACATTGCCATAATCGTCTCATATCTTAGTTCTCCACGACTTCCTCGCCAGTGAACCAGGTTCGAATATAAGGCCAGTATGTGTAATGCAGGTAGACATCAACAGAGCCAACAGCCGCGATGCCTGCAATGGCGTATCGCCGGTTCTGTGGTGAAAGGTTGCTCCATTTCCAGCTTGTGTTCTTGGCGCCAGCTTGAGCGCCGTGGGCGAGGGTGTTGCTCTTGGGCGTGGTGGTGGAGATGTACCTGCGAGCTGCTTGGGAGGCAGACGTGGTGAGGCGGGTGGTGATAGAGGGAAACATGTTTGTTTTGTGGTGATTGAAATATTAATAATTGTGAAGTTTTTGAGTATTGTAGTTGAGTGATGAATGATCTTTTGTTGAGGCTTGTGCTTTTTTATCAATTAACAAACAGTTTATATATGTTGTTGCGTTGCATGACCCTTACACCAACATCGTTATGCTTAACAATAAGGCCCGTCATGCCTAACCCACCATCATAACCATCAACGCCTCGCTTTCAAACATAACCTATTAATTTTGAACCATCACATGTGTGACACAATGACATCAACCACCTGGCCGCTTCGGTCGATTCATCGTCAGCGGTTTAAATGGTTTGCGCAAGCGGTCCATTGACGGCGCCGGTCCAAGACCAACTGGCCGTCTCACGCCTCCATTAGGTTTAATTGCCATGAAAGTCGTCGCATGAAGACTGGAAGCAGGCTTATTAGGCACTGAATCTTCCTCCACCTTTTTGTTCTCTTCGTCAGGCTCTTCTTTTCTTGACGGAGGTCGTGGTGGTGAGCTGGAGAAACAGGAATACGGCTTTTGCGGACCGCCATCATTTATCTTCGGCACGTTTGGTTTCGCGAGAGGTCGTGCGGAAGGAAGTTTATGCTTCGCCAGTTCTGGATCAATTGACGGTTTTTGTGGCTCGGGTGCTTTTGGTGGGAGGCTGTTTGATTGTGACAATGCAGAGTGGTACCGCATTTGTGCAGCAGACCTGATTTGCTGCTGCGGCTGAGGTTCAGGCTGAGGTTTAGGGGCGTTGGGTCCTTGGTTAAGCCAACCAAGCATACTCTTCTGGCCAACTCCTCGTTTGGTCGATCCTTTCTTTGGTCCCGGCTTCGAAGTGGACGGTTGTGGTGCGGCCGCTGCTGCTGCATCCAGAGCCACTCTGTGGGCTCCAGCGGTTGTAAAGCCCGGCAAAGCAGCGACGGTGAAATCAGATGACTGTTCCATTGTTGTCACATACTCTCTCTGCCAAGGAAGCTCTTCCGTCTCATCGTAAGAAGTAACAGGGTGTGAAGTACGTTGCCGCTTCGGTGCTCGAGAATACTGTCGACCGGATTCCTCGTCATACCTCTCGGTGCCCTTTGGATCGACGGGATCAATGGGAAACCCGTCGTCTTCCACAGCAAACATGGGAGGAAGCTTTCCGAAAATCGTCTTCTCGGCTGGAGCATCTCGACCAAGGATTTTGGCAACACTCTCCACAACTGACCGGTCGAATGAAGGCCCCTTCTTGGCGAAAACCTTAGCTGCGAACGGGGAGACAAATGGCGAAAGTTCGACCTTGCTGCTCATCCCTTGAGAGCCATAGAGCGGGCAGCTCAGATACAATAACGACTGTGCCCGGGTCATGGCCACGTAGAGAAGACGTCGTTCCTCGTCCGTATCTTCAGATCTTGAATGAGGTATAGATCCAGTATAGACAGAAGGCACGAAGACAACTGGCCACTCCAGTCCTTTTGCCGCGTGAATAGTCGATATCGTAATCATGGATTTCTGATCTGTTGCATCACCTTTCTTTTGTGCATCTGAAGCCAGTGAGACGTTGGCCAAAAACCGACCTAGCATATCGTCCTCCTTCACCTGATTCAAATTCTCAATCTCAGGAAGCGCATCTTCATCCGGCGCGCCAAAGTCTCTCATGAAATCATTGACCAAATTGACAAACTCTTGGACGTTGGCCCATCGCTGTTCGTGCTCTTCTGGGTACTCTTCCTCCAAATACTTCTTGAAATCGAGGTGAGCCATCAACTGTTCTATCAAATTAACCAACGTGACGGGACTGCTCTGGCTGATTTGGTCGGCTTCTTTTCGCAGGCTGCTGATGGTTCGGATAAGTTCCGTGTTGAGCTTTTGTTCCATCTTAGGTCTAATGTTGGTATTCGCTTTTCGACTGCCTCTGCAGTGTCTCAAAATCAACGTCCAGAGACTCATGTTGGTTTGCTCTGCCTCTTCAAGCAGATTTTTTATCGTTGCCTCTCCGATTCCTCGCCTCGGCACATTAATGATTCTCGCCAGTGCATCGTTGTTGTCCGGCTGGCTCACCACGCGGAGGTAATCAATTAGTACTTTAATCTCTTTTCGCTCGTAAAATTTGTGACCGCCAATCATTCGATATGCAACACCGGCTTTCCCCAACGCCGACTCGATGTGCCGGGAAAGGGCGGCTGATCTCAGGAGGATTGCTACATCTTCGAATTTGAGCATCTCTCCAAACATCATGACGATTCGCTTGATTTCTGACACGATCCATTCGCCTTCGGAAGACGAACTCTTCAGTGTTCTGAGAACCGGTCGCGCACCCTTAGTATGGACTGGCAGTAGAACTTTCTGATATCGTTTCTTGTCTTGCTGAATAACATTAAGCGACACATCGAGGATGGACTGCGACGATCGGTAGTTTTCTTCCAACGAAATCTCGTCCGTATCGGGGTAGTCTCGTAATAGACGGTAGAGATTCCGAATTTCAGCTGAGCGCCAGCCATAAATACTCTGGTCGGGGTCGCCTACAATCGTGATTCGTTGATTTGCTTGGGCGAACAGTCTCATTAACTCATACTGGATGCCGTTGGTGTCTTGGTACTCGTCGATAAGGACGGTCTGCACATTGGAGACGCAGGCCGGGTGATCTCTGAGTAATTCGACGCATTTAACCAGAAGATCATCGTAGTCTAACAAGTTCGACCTTTTGAGTTGAGCCTGGTACTCCTGGTAACATGTTCTGAGTGCCGGGTTTTCTTTTTTGCCTTTTTGAGTTGGAGCAGGTGCAGGATTCGGTCCCTTGGCCTTCTCTTTACTGATCCATGACCTGGCGTGGATCGGTTCGATGCCGAGTTCCAACCTTTTGCAGATTCTCTGAATAATCGCCCTGGAGTCACCATCGTCCGCAATGCCGAATTTCGAATCGAGCCCAATGCGATTTCCATACATGGACAAGTACCGTCGAGCGATTGAGTGAAATGTTCCAAGTACGATTTTCTTTTCGCATTCTTCTCCCAGAGCCTTCCCTATGCGCTCTTTCATTTCTCTGGCGGCTTTGACGGTAAAGGTTGCAACGATGACATCGGAGGGGCGATAGCCAACACGTTGGATAAGCCATACTACACGAGATGTAAGGGTATGAGTCTTTCCACTGCCAGGGCCCGCCAGTATTGCAACAGTCGATGAGGATGAAGTCACAGCGCGGCGTTGCGCCTCGTTCAGCGACTTGAGAATGGCATCCTCGGTGGCCATGCTGGGTGCGTGGATTCGTCCACGAGTTGCTGTCGTTTTGTCGGGGAAAATGATATCATCGAAATTTTCAAGCCCATGCGAGATAGCTCGAATGGGATTACCGTGGAATGTTGAGCCGCAGGGTCGCTTGCACCCTGTCTATCGTTCTGGTCAAGAACCCGCGCGTGGTGCGCCAAGTATCGCGACGCGATCAGACTTTCGCGATATCACGTGATCGGTGTCATCTCATATAGGGTAGTCAGCTTGAATTTGACAAAAGGATAAAATTATCAACATGCTTTCAGTCAGTATATTACGGAGTATTGTGAATTATAGATTCTCTCAGTGACAGTAGCCTTTTTTTTTTCTTTGCCAGTGCTTCTTCAAAGTTAATTGACATCATTTCCATAGGAGCTGTGTAAGATTCCTCAGAGTCGTGCCCCTCCTCCTCTCCACCGTTACGAGCAACTGCCGGCTTATGTTGCGTTATCGAACTGGCACATTTATTATACCCACCTCTAACTATACCTGATTGCTTCCATAACTCCATATCACCGTATTCACATCATCACGACGCTAATGTTCTGGCCATCACTATCACTATCACGGCCTCACATCAGTCACTGCTTATGAGCGACAAAAGTCCCTCGCAGCCGTCACATTCTACTTCCAAATGAACTGAGAAAGATAGCTGATCATCAACACGTTCGAGAGCTCTCGTCAAGACCGAGTGTCTGGAGTTGCATGCTCGCCGTCTACTCTAGCTACTCCAGGATTGTGGTACTACGGCCTCGACCCTCACATAACCAGCAACCGCTCAGTTTCATTTCACCAAAGCACAAGCCCTGAACTTAATCGCTCACCGCATTCATGCTTGTTTTACTTTTGTATCATGGCCTAGTACGACTATCGAATTGTGATAGTCACGTTTCCAGTGGCAATCACCAACCATATCCCTAATCTCAATCATACAGGGTAGCATGGAGCTATAGTCGTGCGATATTAGTGCGACTTATACAATAGCCGCCCTGTCGAGTGTTTCTATTTGATGGAATCAACAAGACCATATCTCTAGTAATGCCGAGCAAAATTATGTCACACCAAGATGAACATCTCATTCGAAGACTTGGGCACATCACATGATGATAACTACTTCGTAAAGTGGGAATACTCCCACATGGTTCAGGGCCCGACAGCCTGGAAGATGCAGGCAACACACACAATTGGGCCTCAAAGTGACCCTTACTGCATCGCTTGTGCCGTTAGTTGGTGATAAATGAGTGGCATACCAATCGTTGATCTGTGGATGCATCCACAGATCCAGGAACGTGCAAGTTGAACGGCACCTTTTCTCTGTGATGGTGAAGCCTGAGTCCGAAGAGCATGGGTCGCCCCGCTCGGAACGCTTCAAGCCTTCAACACGATAAAAAAGACAACCACAGAGAATCTTTCTAAGAGAAAATCACTGCAGTGTTCCTACTCCGTACCTGCGGTATCCCGGCATTTTGGAATCTAGAGCCAACGAGAGGTTGAGCATGTGGATATCGGTGGTTGGTGGGTGGCAGCTCAAGGCCAATCAGCCGCTAGCACACTATATCGCCCAGCGGTTAACCATCCAACCACATGTCGTAGATGGCCTCGTCACACTTGGACCCTCACATACGGCCTGCAACCACTCTGTTGCCATCACCAAGGGTTGCGAGCTATTCTCAGGCGTCTCCTCATGCATGAGATTTCTATTCGACGAGTGGCGGACGACTGGCGTTGTCCTGCTAGTCCGTCTAGCCCGTCCAGCGACTCAGCGTCCAGCCCTGGATAGTCTCAGCGGCTAATGTAGAGTGATAGACGATCATGACCCAGCCCGCTATATACCCCGTTGAGACCGCAAGTTCCCTCTTCCGTGCATGATGTTCTTTTAGTGTTTCGTCTTGTCATGTTCAGGAGGTCACATCGCACAAGCTGGCTCCTCCATAAAGAATAAGTGTCTCGCCTTGGACCTCGTTTCCCACGATGCTTCTTGAGGGTGCCCGTTTCTCACTACATCTCGGTCTGCTTCTGCCTCTGTCACTCATTACAGCTGCTCAGCCTGAACCTGCTCTATCCTCGGTGCTCGAAGCCCGGGACATAGACAAGCCTATACCAGGAGGACCTTTAGACACAACATATCTGCCTGCTCAGATTGGTGGTATAGTCGGAGCATACGCTATATCATTGGTGCTGGTCGCCATTACATTGCTTGCTCTATCCAAGAAACGCCGCGAGCATATCGCAGCTGGAATCGACGAACTCGACTTCACCGTCCGGAAAGATATCACCAGTCCCGACTTTCCGCCTGCGATTCCTACAACCCTAAATATCATCACCAGCACCCCGCTTGGTAAACCAGAATTCCAGGAGTCACAAGAAGGATTTAACCCTTACATCCATCCATCGCCATCTTCGAGCATCGGAGCTCCAGGAACCAATCCTTTTGTTGATCCACGTGTCGTTGCAGTAGACAGAGTCATGGCTCAATCTCAGCTTGAAGACATGTACAAGCATGTACTGGAGCATGAGGATGCAAAGAAGCGAGGAGTTGTCTATGATGTTCCTCTTCCTCCCACTGCTCACCACCAGTCACGCCCTTCAGCCTCGGCCTCGGTACTATCTATGAAGTCTTCGATGTCGTCACCCCCCAAGAAGGAAAGGAGTAAGCCAGCAACGCTCAACCTTTCGGCTGCTCGTGAAGAAAAGACTCAGTCCAGAACCTCTTCATTCTTGTCAGCACTGCGATCTCCCAAGAAGAAGGCAATGAGGGGTGTCAGCATCTCATCGCCTCTTATGACCCCTCAGTCGGGTGAATTTCCTCGCTATGAAACACAAGAGATGAGCACGATCCCTCCCCGACAATATGCCCCGGCCCCTCCGCCTCCGGTCCCCACTAACCAGGCTCCGTACGGACACCCGGCCGTCCCGCCTCAAGCTTATGCGCCGCCGACCCCGGATATCTCGCCCGAGAGTGTTATGAGTATCGACGAACGGATTGGAACCCAGCTACCTCCTCCTGGTCACGCCCGAACGGTATCGCACGCACCCACCGAGCGGGAACCTGAGTCGGCCACTTCGGAGCACTCCCAGGTGCCTTTGGTCGGCCTGCCATCGTCTCCCAAGCCCGGAGCACGATTCCCTTCTCTACCAGCATCGCCAAAGCCTGGACAGACCTTCCAACGCGCCAACGCACCCACGGCTGTCCGCACTGGTGGATCTCTGCCCTTGCGTGCCTACGAGCCTGCTCTGGCCTCGCCTAATACCATTGGCCGGACCACCAAGCAGACAGTTTTCGAAAGGAGGGGACCTCTATCACCCAGCGGAGCAATGACACCTCATACTGCCGGTGCAGTGCCTTACTCGCCTTACCAACCTTTCACACCATGCATGCCGTTGACACCATCGCTGGTGACCAGGGAGGAGCGGAAGAAGATGAAACGCATGGTGCCTAAGACTCCCACCCTGGAGATGGTACAGAGTGCAGATGATGTTTGGTAAACGAAATACGACTGGAGTTATGAAATTGTTTACGGGGTTTGCATTGTATTGTTTTCCTAGATGTCACGGATACCAAGACACTATGGATCTTCTTGGTTGGATACCTTCTCTGTGTTAGAGCAGCCTACGGGCCGCGGGGATTTAGTAACGGTCGCAAGGACCAGATTATTACTATCTGCATAAAATATTTGTAAATCAAGTCTTCGCACGATAGATTTGGTTATTAGGTTAACTACTTATTTATCTATACCTGCATCGCGCAACATGTGCGGTTTTTTTCTATAAATACGACGCGCTATTTATCATCCCGATCGCTAATCGGCACCGTAAGCAAGCCATGCAGGAGATGACACTGATGAACAAGGAACAAATTTTACGATCAGAGGCTAGTGAAGATTGACGCGATCTGGATCGCAGGATTGAGGGAATAGGAGTAGGAACTGCGATCGTTCTCGGATCTTGATCATTTGGTGGCGGTGGGGGTTAACAAAATAGTGGCAGCCCTCGGAAGAGCAGCTGAAAGCTAAGCTAAGACATGATCCGGGAAATGGTGACATTGTGAGACCTGATTGCTCTGCCGTTCAGTTCAGATTGGTAGGAAATCGATAGCTCAGTATCTGTCTGCTGCTATCCGTGCACATATTGAGTCCGGTACGGCAAATTGGTTACACGCGACGGGATATCGCAGATTCAATGCATTTGTATTCAAGTCAGCCCAGCTTTTCAACGCCGAAAGGGACTTGGCAACCGTTAAAATGCCATGCCATTGGATGATAGAACCTGAACGAACCCGAGATACCGTCCTTTGGGTCGAGGTCTGTCCGTATTACACTCTGGAATGCAAGTGAGTTCTTGTGTACCACGCGAAGGAAAGGATATAAGCGAGTCGCGTGGCTAACCCGAGACAAGCCTAGTATTGCTACGGATGGTGTTTCTCTTTGCGACAGCAACAGTGTGGCATGACCATGAGCATACTACGGAGTAGTAGGAGGATCAACTATTTGAACTGTTGTAATCTTGAAGCTAGAGTCAATTGTTGAGTTGCGAGTTGAAAAGAGCCCTGGCCCTTTCGAAGTAGGGTCAACCTCTCATTCCATTTTCCATCATTAGAGTTGGCCGAGTGCCTGTCCTCTCTCATTAACGGGTTGCTGGATCTCTCTGTGTGCACACACAGTGTATGAGATCTGCGACCAAGAGGGGCTTGAGGGGAAACATCCCCCAAAACGCACCGTGTGTGGAAGATCGTCAAAACTGTACGGTTCAGGCCGCCAAGCCCCACATTTGCAGGGAGATTTCCTCAAGTTCACCCAGTTACCAAAGGCTATTAGTGCACCCCAGCCAGCAACAGCCAGCAACAGACCTAATAATTCTGCACTGTATTTACAGGAACTGACATAAAACCAAGTGGGAACCCCTGGAACTCGTCACTCCCACTCCCATTCCCACTCCCACTTCTTGTGTAAAAGAGGAGCTTAGCCAAGCGCGGACTCGACTGGGCGTCACTGGGCTGATATCCCGGTACCATCGTACGATTTTCCGCCCTCTCCTCAGACTGAATTCCTTGCATCCTATCGTCCATCGCTCGCCTCCGAATGCTCACTCAAATTTGCTCATTCTTTTTCACCAGCAAAATTTATTACTGTAGCTGTCGCTTGCCAGTCGAACCATAATCACGACACTACCGCTGCTCTTTCCATGCTGCAGAACCCCTGCAGCGTTCTTGCTCACCTGTCAAACGTTCGGCAACACCCGCTTAATCATTCGATCTCAAGTCAGATTGAGACCATCGCCTCTTCAATCTGGTTGCAACACGCCCTCACCACTGACCACCGACCACTGACCCTCTACACACCGACCGATCGATCGTCTTAGCATTAGCAGAGCCTAGAGGCCTATCGACTCAACAGAATCTCACTGCCGCCTGTCGCTGACGCTGTAAGTGTAGCTTCAGCTGTAGCTATCGCGGCCAAGTCCACTCTTCGGCCGAGAGACAACCAGATAGATCGCGCCGGATATAGAGACCAATTCAATTGAACACGACGACGATAGGTAGTCGACAGTCCACCAGACCCTTGCTTGCCTTCGATATCACTTGATATTATCGTCGGCAAACATCATCGTCTTCCCGAAAGGCTTCGCTTTCGTACGGCGACTCCTTCGGGGTCACCCCAACCACTGGGTTTCTCAATCAGCCCATCGCTACCGCATGGTGCTGGCCTATCATGCCTGGCTCACACTTCTCCGACATGGCGGACCATGAGTCCTCAAACAGTCTTTATGATCCTCAGGATCCTAATCTGGCCTTCGATGATGGCTCGGTCGCGAAATCTGACCCCTCATCCTCCCGCCCCCAGACCCAGCAGCAGTACTACGACGCTGCATGGCAATTCACCGGCACGCCCCCTTACGACTCGTACGACCCCTCCAGCAGTACCGCTCCTCAAACTCAAGCTAGTTTTCAATCTTCTCCTTGGAATATTTCTTTTGGTGCAGATCAGAGCATTCAGCAATTGCCGATCTCTACTGGCATCGACGGCATTGACGGCCTTCCGGCGACCACCCTCAATCCCGAATCTATCTACGCCATTTCCAATCCGTCATCAGGACAGGGTAATATCCAACCAGCCTTCATCAGCCATTTGACTCCTGCTTTGCAGGAGAAGCTGCGCAACATCGCCATGCCACCTCATCTCCAGTACCACTCCCCCAAGAGTGCCTCGAGCCCCGACTCAGCAAACGGTGAACTCGCCAGGAGAGGAGGCATGCTCTCTTCACCAGATCCTGCCGATGGATCTTCGAAAGCGTCACGAAAGCGCAAGTCTTCCATGGACCCCGAGGATGATGAGGAGGACGAGGATGGCGATCAGCCAGTGAAGAAGACCGCCCACAATATGATCGAGAAGCGATACCGAACCAACCTGAATGATAAGATCGCCGCGCTAAGAGACAGCGTGCCTAGTCTTCGTATCATGACAAAGAGTGCGCGAGGTGAAGACACAACTGAAGATCGCGAAGAACTTCACGGACTTACCCCAGCGCACAAGCTAAACAAGGCCACCGTATGTTGCGTTCTTCTCAATGTGAAAACTCATGCTAATTCATGCACAGGTTTTGAGCAAGGCGACTGAGTACATCCGACATCTCGAGAAGCGAAACAATCGACTACTTGATGAAAATGGTGCTATGCAAGCCCGAATTGCAGCCTTCGAAAAATTGTTCATGGCTGGTGCCATGAACGGCGGTATTAGTCCCCTCCAGCAACCCCCGACACCTATTCAGTACGCCCAGGACTCCCAGCAGTTTGGCGCCTCACCCATATCAGCATCGCAAGACGGTAACGCGCAACCCGGTGGCATGATTCAAGTCCCCGATGATATGAAGAGAATTATCAACGCACAGATGGCTGCTGGTCAACCATATCCAGTGCCTCAGCAACAGTTCCGTGGCGGCAACCCTGCGCTCATTAGACAGCAGCAAATCCAACAGCAACAGCAGATGCAGCAAAATAGATGGAACAATGCTGGCCCTTACTTTGGTAAACTGATGGTCGGCTCACTAGCCGGCCTCATGATCTTGGAGGCAGTACGCGAAGACGAGGTCAGCAACGAAAAGCCAGAAGGCCGTGGACTATATGCCCTTCCTCTCCAACTTCTGAAGAGTGCAGCGTCTGGCCTCGACTTGACTTTCAACGGCTACCATGTCCATACTTCACTCCGAGCCCTTCTTCTAATTGGAACTTTCCTCTGGGTGTTCGTGCCTTCTCTGTTCTCTCAGACTCAACCAAAGTCCAAGAAGGTGCAAGTTGGCGTTCTTCAGCCAGCGCCATCATTGGCTTCACCAATTCACGTCCGCCGACAGGCTTGGCTCACTGCTATCCAGACAGTTTGGGTTCCCCGCCACAATTTCTTCCTTGAGGCTGCAGCACTCATTTTGAAGACACTCAAACTCAGTCTTCGCAACGCTATCGGAGTTCACGGTTATCAGGCACTCACTGGCTTGACACAAGAGCAGGAGACTGCCCGAGTTCAAGCCTGGAGTATCGCCCTAGACTCGCAATTGGCTGGTGGCGATGACGAGATCAACAACAGCCGCCTTATTCTCACTCTTCTTGCTTCTGGTACTCTCCCCGACACCCCTTCTCGACTCATGCTCAAGGCACTTCACATTCGCGTTCTTCTCTGGGACATCAGTCAAAACCGACTTCACCTTGGAGCCGGCAACCTCATTGCCACCAATCTTGCCCGAGCTAAGTGGAATGAAGCCCGTCAGCTCAATCGTCTGCTTGTAAAACTTCACCGTGGATCATCCGAGCAGCACGATGACGACCTGCCCGATCACCTCGCTATGCTGGTTGAACAAGACTGCGATGACGTGCTCAACGATGATGTTGTTCAGCGAGCACACAACCTGGCGTTCAACGCCGATACCGATTGTAACGTCGCGGCTCCCATGGACGGCATGGACTCTGTTGTTGACGATACCGCTATTGGATCCCCTCTCGACGCCGTTGCAGCCTGGTGGTCAACTCAAACCCTACACCGAACCTTGATCGCCACGATGGAGAAGGACGAGGAGGTTCTTAGCACCAAGGTTGATGATATTGAACTCGCCATCAATGTTGCGCCTATTGGATCTACCGCACAGGCTCGAGCCATCGTTGCACGCGCAGTTCTGGTTGACAAGGCTCGTGGCGCTAACATCGCCTCTGCCTTGCAGTCCATGGGCAATGAAAAGGTCGATGCTCTTTTAAGCAATTCCATTTGTGTTGTCGATTCCAGCTTCCAATCCTCTACCCCCGATCTTCGACTCGCCCTCCGCTGTGCTATGGCCATCGCCCACCTTCAACGCGTCGAATGTACCCCCGCAAGTACTCACCAGGGCCTCCGCATTGTCGAATCGATTATGACCCGCGGTAACGCCTCACAAATGTCACTCCTTGGATGCACCGCAGCTCTTCAAATAATGGAGGTTCTCTACGAGAACAAGGCTGCCGCTGAGATATTCCGCTCCTCCCTCGAAAGACTATCTGGTGGTCTTCGTCTATGGATGGGTGGTGCTCCCGGTGAAAAGTGCGGCGTCACTTCCGATGTGCGGGAGAAGGTTGTTGACCGATGCCTAACTGTCACCAAGAGCATGGTGGGAATGGACTCAGATACAGGATATGGAAGTCTTGATGAATGTGAAGAAGACGGATGCTAAACGATAAACAAGCGATTTTATTATTTACCTGCCAGCGATATACACCTCTCGATGCACTGCTTTAGCTACTCATCACCTTACCAAGGCTCAATATATGCCTTGAATCTTTTGGGATGACTTTCTGTACGAACATGGGTATTTGTTTTCTTAGAAGGGTGTGGGAATTCCGGGCTTTTTACATGGAGTTTCAACTGGGAACGGGTAAAAGGACAACCACACAGGACGCGGCGAAGGACGGACTTTTCTGACGGAGCTTGTTGTGGACAAAGCGTACACTGAAATGTGTTACAGTCATTTGACAACATAAATATTTTCCTTATCCTCATTCAAAGCACATTATTACTCTATACATATGCTCTTGTCTGTTTGTCTAACGATAAATGTGTTGGGTGGTGGCCCAGGTGTCATTTTTCAAGTTCAGCTTTAGCCCAGCCATTTGAAGTCTATCCGTTTTATCGGACAGGTCTAAGAGAACTTGTCCAAAGTCGATTTAGATCTCTGCTTGCTGTTAGTTCCTCATCTTCTATCCCGCAGCAGACTCGATGTGTGACCAGTGACTACTTACTCCTGATGCTTGAATTTAGTTGAGTGGCTGGAATACGAACATGAATCGTGACAGGGGAACTGATCTTCAATAAACACCATCCGGTATGGTGTAGTGGCTAACATTTCGCGCTCTCACAACCTGAGAGATCAGTACCGCGGAGCCCAGGGTTCGATTCCCTGTACCGGAGTTAATCTTTTGCTTCTTGGTTCATTTTGTCCCCTCGCTGTTATACAAATGCGAGGGCGTTTTATGCTCGTTAGAAATAGAGTTGTGGTAGCTGATATGGTTAACCTTATTGGATTCAAGCTATTTTTGCTTTTTGGTCTGTGGAAGAATCCCTCTCCTCTTGATTATCTGTAGGTTTTATTGGTATACCTGGAATTCTTTTTTGAAGGTGCTGCCAGACTCAATATGAATATGTAGACAAAGCTCCAATGATCAACTTGCTAAGGCTTGTCTAGCGAATGAAGGATTATATACTATCAAGATCTATTGCTCGACTTTTGTTTGGTATTGAACATCTTATTGTATGTAGTGTCTGTCTATTGGAACAAAATGTCAGTTATATAAGAAGCGAAGCGGCTTTACATCTTATGCATCTTCTCTTTAGTCAACTGGATGAACTGTTTATATATGATCTTGTGTATATATAAAATCAAAGATGTTGATACGTTAATCTAATAACAAATGTCATAAACCATGGCCCATTCCATTCCATTCCTTCAACACCAAAACGCCGCACCATGCATGATCTACTCTATCCTCTTTATCCTCTCTCTATCCCTTTTATTTACCACTCCGGTGCACCACCTCCACACCCATTAGAAGCCATCATCAGATCAAGCGGCTTGGTGGTCATCTTAGCACCACCCGTGGGCTTGACGTAGGGCCTCTTGCCACGCACACCCACGAACTTGATCTTGGTATCGAGCTTCGCAAGCGGTGCCTCGCCCGCCTCGCCCTTCTTGACCATCCACTTCTTCGTGCCCAGGGCACTGTCCAGCTCCTCCACGGGTGGGAGCTTGAGGTATAGCATGCCATCGGAGCGAGCCTCGGTGGGGAATGTGGCGATGGATAGAGACTCGTCTGTCTTGCAGGCGCCGTCGCTAAGGTCGAAGTTGCGCTTGTGGTGAGGGCATGAGACCCAAGGCGAGGCACCGGACTTGTCGCCGTTTTGATCTGTCTTGTGGTTCTCTTGGCCGATAAGACCGTCGGAAAGAATGAAGGCACGCTTGTGAGGACACATTTGTTGGGTGGCATAGTAGACACCCTTGATGCGCCAGATAGCCAGCTGAGTGTCACCACGCTTAATAGTGGCGGATATACCGTTGGGCAACTCATCAGCACCGTCAAAGTAGGATGACTCGATAATGGGCTCCCAATCAGTTGTGGACCACTTGTCCTTGAGACCCTGGAAGTCGTCGGTCGCAGCAGCATCAGAAGGCCAGAAAGCAGGTCGCTTCTGTCCACGCTCGTCCTCAAGCTCCAGATTGCGTGTTGTTTCTTTCGTGTTGGCAAACTGCTTGAACTTTGCAGCAATGGCAGGCGTCTTGATAGCCTCGGCCCACTCGTCGAAGAAGCTGTCGACGAGCTCTTCCATCTGCGCCTCGAGGGAGGCGTTGATTCCAAGCTTGTCGTCGAGGATAACCTCCTGTAGGTACTTGATACCACCGGGAAGATTCTCGATCCAACGGGCTGTTCGCTGGAGCTTATCGGCGGTGCGCATGTAGAACATGAGATATCGGTCGAGAATCGTCACAACGTCGGTTGGGGGGACATCCTTGGCTAGTAGCTCAGCATGACGAGGGTTTGCACCGCCATTGCCACCAACGAAGATGTTCCAACCCTTTTCTGTGGCTATCAAACCAAAACTAGACCATTGTCAGTAAACTGTAGAGTGAACGGTGGGACAAGATATGCATACTCTTTGCTTTGGGCCTCAGCACACTCGCGCACACAGCCGCTTATACCGCCCTTGATCTTATGAGGGGCTCGGATACTCTTATATCGCTCCTCCAGACGAACTGCCATACCGACACTGTCACTGAGACCGTATCGACACCACGTAGAGCCGACACAACTCTTGACAGTTCGTAGAGACTTGGCGTAGGCATGTCCAGATTCCATGCCTCCTTGAACCAGCAGACCCCAGATATCAAGGAGATCTTGCTTCTGAGCACCAAACAAGTCGATACGTTGTCCGCCAGTGATCTTGGTGTAGAGGTTGTACTTCTGAGCAACCTCACCAATAACAACAAGCTTATCAGGGGTGATTTCTCCACCTGACACACGAGGAACCACGGAGTAGGTGCCGTCTCGCTGGATGTTGCCCAGGAAGCGATCGTTGGTCTCCTGCAGACCGTGAGTGGTCTTGTCCATGACGTGTCTGTTCCAGAGAGAAGCCATAACGCTCGCCACCACAGGCTTGCAAAGCTCGCAGCCAAGAGCCGTCTTGTCGTTTCCAGCCTCGCGCATCACCTCAGCCATGGATTTGAGGCGCTTGACCATGATGATGTTGAACAAGTCAGCACGCGAGTGGCTGAAGTGCGAGCAGATGTAGTTCGTGACGGTCTGGCCCATCGAGGCCATGGTCTTATTGAAGATGGTGGTGATGAGAGGGACGCAACCACCACAGCCGGTACCAGCCTTTGTGCACTTCTTAAGACTGGCGACGTCTTTGCATGTGCCGTCCTTGACGACCTTGACGATGTCACCCTTTGTGACGTTGTGGCACGAGCACACCTGAGCATCATCATCCAGGTCATCGCCATCCTCGTCACCCTTCTTCGCACCAAGGATAAGCTCGCTAGGAGACATGTCAAGCTCCTTCTGAGACTTGACCATAGGCAGGAGTTTGATGTAGTCGCAAACGTCGCCAATCATCATACCGCCGAGAAGGTACTTTCCATCTTTGGTAAAGATATACTTCTTGTAAACATTGGAAAAAGGGTCTCTGTAAGTCAGAGCCTGCACAGCACTTGTGGACTTGGCGTCGCCATTGACCAGCTTCTTTGCGTATTTGGGAGGAAGAGTGATGGGTCCGTCGCGGTCAGCGAAACAGTCACCGAAGCTGGCGACGTTGACGCCGAGAAGCTTGAGCTTTGTGCTCATGTCAGGCGTCTTGAAGGTCTGGGGGCTGTGGTCTGTGGTCTGGGTGAGGTTGAAGGCGACGACCTCGGCCATTGCTACGCCAGGAGCAATGAGACCGTAGGCCATTCCCCGCCAGCTGGCACATTCTCCAATGGCGTAGATGTCTGGCATACTTGTCCTCATGTCGTCGTTGACAACAATACCGCCTCGCTGGCCGACCTCGAGATTCGCACTCCTGGCAAGGTCATCCTTTGGCTTGACACCTATCGCAAAGCACACTGTTGAGCATTCGATCTCTGATTCATTGTCGAAGATGACTCCTGTGAGGTTGTTGTTTTCATCTGTCTTCATGCTGGACACACCCTTTTCCAGGTTGATGTTGACACCAAGCTGTTGAACCTGATCTGCCACCATCTTTCCGGCCGTCTCATCAATCTGCCTGCTGAGAACATGGCGAGACTTCTCAATCAGATCTATCTTCTTGTAGCATTCGAGGTCCAGCATGGCCTTGGCGGCTTCCAGACCGAGAAGACCACCACCCACAACGACGCCGTTGGTACCCTTCTTGTCGTCGGAGAACTTGATAAGCTTGTTCAAGTCGTCTATGTTACGGTATACAAAGACACCGTTGGCGTCCCATCCTTTGATCATGCGAGGGAGGATAGCATCGGAGCCGGTGGCGAGAACAAGGATGTCGTAAGGGTAACTCTCGCCATTTGCACATTCGATTATCTTCTTATCGATGTCGATATGTGTGGCTTTTGTGTTGATATGGCAGTTTAATGAACTATTAGATTCCGTGTACTGTGCGACTGTTAGTGTATGGTCGAATATTTCAGGACTTGGCGTTGACATACCCATTCCTCTGGGTTCATATATAATTCTTCGACTTTGCGGTGCTCGAAGAATGTTGTGAGTCCCACACGGTTGTAGGCAAGGTATGGCTCCTCTCCTACGACTGTGACGGAGTATTCTTTTGCTTTGGCATCGTATTTGAGCAGCTTTTCTCTGTATGGTCGTCAGATCATGTCTGGTAGGAGAATGGATGTATTTATTGACTTACATGAAAGCAATGCCCACCATGCCCAGGCCAACAACGACCACGCGCTTTTGTGTCGTTGCAGTCATATTAGCTAATTGTATTTGAATGAAGATGTATGAACCTCACGAGCAAGAGCAAAATGGCAGACTTCCCAGGCTTCCCATGTTATAAGCGATTGTCGAGATATGAGAGCCCTGCTCCAAAAAGAGGGTCTCTTCAGTCCTCGAGACCACGGCTATGGATCCCTCTGCTGCCATCTCATGCCATGTTTCCCTTACTTCCTATCTAGAGTAGACATCTCCGGGCCATACAAAGCTTGTGCCTGTGGCGCAACAAGCATTTCCGCCGTCCGCCATCCAAACAACGTGAGCGCATTTGTAGCACTCGGCAGGGCTGATCATGATAAGGAGACAGACACCGTGGCAAAACAACCAATCAGAGGCTGCGCCCGCATAGCAAAAGGCGCTGTAGCTCTCCGCGGAGAAGCATAATTTTAGGCCCCAGAGAAGACGCCAACGGTGGTGTCGTACGTCGGAACACACCACGGCTGTTGCATGATATGAGATGTTGGAGGCTGAGAAGAGTCCGGTTTCTGGCGAAGTTTCAATTACACCGTACGGTGAAGCCTTTTGTGGGATGTTGAGTTAGGAGAGTCTCGGTGAAGCCATCTCGAATGTCGCCTAGTTCAAAGACCTCGTTTCTTGGCTCTTCTGAGTAAACAAGGTACAAAAGCGTTGTTCTAGACTTTATTGTCAGTAAACCGATTCCAGAAGAAAACACTCGATAACTGACCGAGCTATTTTTGTGAGAACAAACAAACGGCAGTGATCGGAAATAATTACTAGGTCCTTCTCCCCTGCAACAACCTTTCTCCTCGGAGACACCACCAAAGGATATAGTATCTGTCCTCCTTATCAACACCTCTAGATAAGCCGCAAGTTCCCTTAATCTTTGCAACACAACGACTGTGACTGGGTAAACATGTCAACCTACCAGAGATAACAGCGCAATCTGGTATAGCAGCTGAAGATTCTCAACACGTTGGGGAAAACGCGGAGATCCAATTGTCAGGCATTCTCCACGGAATGCGCGCAGTCGCACTACAACCATGGCCTCGGAGTTTCAGTGGAGAGTTAAATGGGTTGAGTTGTGCGAATGAACCTGATCTGATTGACAACTCTTGTTTACTACGTAATTAACGCTATGCTCGCTCTAGTACATGGGCCAGAATACCTAACAGCTTCGTAAAATATCTCCATCACATGGTTCGACTGTGGATAATCTCAAAGAATTAAATAGTAAAATAATCTAGACTTCCATCCCATGTGAGATCTTGGCGTAGATAGGTACCCATTATGGAGGTCCACACGTGGTTGGCTCAAGCTCTACAAGCCGCTACCTCACAGGCTACCTACAGCAGTAAAGCCCCTCCCACGTCATAGCCTCAACCCCTCCGACTCTCAACACCACACCCCAAAACATCACCAACTATAATACCGTACCTCTCGACACACCATGGCTACCGCGACCGATTCCCCCTTCACGTTCCCCCGAGAATACCACTTCCCCCCCTTCTTCACGCGCCAGACAAACCTCACGACTCTGCACGCCCAGCGCAACAAATGGGCCGACCTCATTCTCGCTTACGCGCGTCATAATCGCATCTTCCGCCTATCCCTCTCTGAAGCCGCCGACTCGGACCTGTTCGTCAACCGCAAGCTCGACAGACGGCTTCAGTCTGACGATATCCGCGACGTCGTTTCCTTTATGCATGCCGATGGCCGTGTAGAATACGTTGGGGGCGGTACGACCGGGGATGTTGTCTTTCTCTACTGGCGGAAGCCAGAGGAGTGGGCGGAGCTAGTTGAGAACTACGTTGAAGAGACTGGACAAAAGGGCAGTGTGCTCACAGTGTATGAACTTGTTGAAGGAGATGGCACAAAGGGAAATGGTAGGTCCAATGTTACTCTTCAGCGTCTTACCTACCCATCACATTACTAACCATTGTAGATATTCACGGTATGGACACTGACGTCCTACTAAAAGCTCTCAATGTCCTTGTCAAGCGAAGCAAAGCTCAAATATTTGGCCAGGACGACTCATTAGGCGTGAAATTCTTCTAATCGCTCAACCCATTTCAACATCTCTACATGAAGTACACGTGCGCCAAGTTGCACCACCAAGAAAGAAAGCACTGCCAGTTCCAGGATGAGCAATGCCATCAAACCGCCCCAAACGCCACCAAGCAGCTCATCTCGTCGAGGTCTACGCTGCGCCTATCCAGAGTAGTATTTCTCCACCAAAAACTTCTCGTCAAATCGCACTTGTTGAGCCATTGCGACATCCAGCAACCAGTCAGGGGCAACAACTCGAGGTTCCATGTTACCCTTGCGCGCCATCTCCCGAAACCTATTCCACAGCGGTTTCTCCTCGGCACCTGCACTGCTGAGGAGATAGACAGGCTCGGGCGGTGCGTTGCCCTCCTCCTCTGCTGTTGTAGGACGGATTGTTGTTCCGCTACGCGCCCGATAGAGCTTGAAAATTGCCCCGTTTGCCTCGGCGATGGCCTTGTAGCTGTCTGACCCGTTGCGGATCTTTTCCGTACAATAGATCGGTACGCCAACGAGTAGCTTGCATTTGTTTGCCTTGGCGCGGGCGACCGATGTGTTGAGGTCAACATTGTATCGTGTTTCTGCTTCCTCGTCTTTGAGGATAAAATCTTCCACGTCGGGCACACTACCCGTCTCCAGAGTTTGGTCGATAAACGTGGAAGAAATGATGGTTGGACCACGTGCAAGGGCGCTCAAGAACTTGACAGTGCGGACGACGGCAGGGGCTGCCAAGTAGTCACATGGCTGGTTCTCCTGAACGATCTGGATTCCCAAGTCTCGTAGTTTTCTCTGTTCAAACATTAGAGCATGCACCTAAAACAATTGGCTCATGCCTACTTACCCGGTCTTGATCTTCCTTATTCTTATCCCCGACCCATCGAGTGAAACCTGTCAAGATAATGCGCATCTCAACATCTGGAAGTGTTGGCTTTGTCTTCTTTGTGGGTCGCTTGGCTGTAGCATCATCTTCCTCAGCTTCTTCAGGAGTAGCACTTGGCTTTCCCTTTGTGCTAGACTTCTCTACCTGGTCAGCAGCACGTTTGCCACCCCAGATCGCCGTGCCTCCTTTCGCGTGTCGTTTCTTTTCCTTTTCGTAAAGCGCAATGTCGCCACTCAAGCCATGCAGAAGTGCTTGGGCCTTCGCCTTGGCACTACGACCTCCTGTAGAGACCACCGAAGGCGTGTCGTTCTCCTTGCCGGCATGACGGGAACGTATGGGTGTGGCCACCGCACCGGCGGTTTTAGTGGCCTTCTTCGCAGACTTCTTTTTCTCGCCGTCGTGGGAATCACTCATCTCAGTATCTTCACTGGCGACCTTGCCAACAACGACACCTTCTGCAGGCCCTCGTGGATATGCGTTTTCTTCTGCTATTTCAAGAACCTTCCGCTTCCTCTTCGCTTGTGGGGACAACTTTTGTTCACCTCCGGGATAGTACGACTCTCGTAATCTTGATTCCTCAAGGAACGTTTGACCGATTATCTCGCCAAGATTAGTGCGCGGAGGAAAATGATTATACTTCTTAGTGTTGACTGGTTGCATCTTACACTTGGCATAACTCTCCTCAATCCAGAGATGGTTAAGAACAGCAATCCCCCATTCAGGAGCAGCTTTGCACTTTTCGCTAGTGTCGCGCGCTGTAATGAGGTGGGTGTTTTCTGACTTCATTGTCTTGGTGAATTCGGCGCCTGAGGCCTTAATGAGGTTTTCGAGATAGGTTCGTGCTTCACCTCCGTAGTTTGATACTGTGATGCGGAGTCCCTCAAATGCTTCGATGGGAGCCTTGGGGATGGGATAATGTAGTAGTCGGCGGAGAGGTGACGCCCATTCGTTGTGGACAATTAGCCAGTAGAGCCATGCCAGATTTCCAACCTGTTTGCAGGCCTGGGAGGCTTGAATATACTCGGGGCCATCGCGATATTGGCAGATAAACATGTCGCAGTCTTCGACCGATTCCACCATTTTCCCACCTCCATTGACGATAATCTCTTGGACAACCTTTGTCAATCTATCGGTGATGCTCAAATCTTTACAAAGCATCACGCTGTGGTCCTGAAAGACAGTAACGGGCGGGCGAACAACATCTCCATCGGGAGGCAAGGGTAGAGTTGTCGGTACAGGTGATGTGGCTCCCGCTAGGTTCTCGTTGGCTGGAATCTTGAGCTCGTCTTCAGGTGCCTTCTTAAGAATTTCGGGGTTGGGCAGTAAATATGGTCTTTCGTCGATACGTTTTCCAAGCTTGAAGCAGTCGTCAAACCTATACAGTGTTAGCGGATCGAACGATAAGTGTTCAAAATGCAAACATACCAGTGAGGCAAAACAACTTTGCCCTTCCATCCCTTATTCAGTGCAACTGTGACCTTCGGATGCTCCATTGATAGCGCGCAGATATGTGTAGTCGTTCGGTTCACATCCTTGGACTCTTGTCCACCTAAAGCCATGGTAGCTCCAGCAATGCTCTCTTTATCCGTCTCTGGCAAATCTGCGCACGTTACCACAACCTCCGAGAAGATCATTCTAGGATCGGGTGAAAATGGCCTAATCTGCGCCTGCTTCCGACGAGCCATCGATGTGAGAACCCATTGAGTTGTCACAACGGGGATCATGATGGCTTGCGATTCGGTAAATTGAGGGAAGTCGATTGTGTTAGAAACGATGTGTGTGACTTTTTCGATAGGCAGCGAGCCGTCGCGTCGGGGTTCGCAGATGGTAGCACCATGTTCCTCCAAAATAGTTGATAGCTTTAGAATATTATGTTAGTGCGTGAGAAGTTCACAGATCGACTGTTCCTAAGTACCTCAGCAATTACTTTCAGAGTCAGTGAACTGCTCGAAACAAACGCGATGGCGCATTCAGCAAAGATCGGGGAGGCCATGTCGCGTGGTGGGAGTGCAAAAAGAAGAGATGAAAAAAGAACCAAATGGGAGGAATCAGCAGCTCCGTTGTTATGACATGAAGCTCAAGGATTACTCTATTGCGCACAAAACCTGGATTTGTTTCGTGATGCTGGAAGCAATGGCAGATCATGGGGTTGCCTGTAAGGTAAGGTAGATAGGTCCGGTATTTGTCAAGGTGCTGGAAGACGCGACGGCCACTCAACGCGAGAGCCTGGCGCGACCACGTGATGAGTCCCCGCGGTAGGGGAACTCCTACGCTGTAACTAAGTGCTTACACTGGCGCCCAAGCGCTCAGGTACATCATAGCCCCGCTTGGCGTGCCTTTGTCGCGAACCACTTTACGCCAGCAAACGGGTGGTTGCCTATAAACGCGAGATATCTCCGTATGAATAAAGAAGCAATGGTCCAGTTCAGTACTGTGGTTTTAGACTATAAAGTTGCCTCATTTTACGGACTTGCTTCTATCTCTTCTGGATCACTTGGTATGGTTCAAAGAAAGACATTCCAAGGTATGTTGGAGTAATATCAGGTCTAAGAGCTAATCATGAGCTGTAACCAAGAACAAACACGCTCTTAAAATATTTCATGGGAAGCCTAAAATTCATGACTTCTTTGAACTTTAGACGCTGTATGTTTAAGTATTTGATATTATGTTACACCGATTTTCATCGTGCCCTCAGTAATGGGTCGTCGTTAACCGTAAGTGTTTTCATCCTCCCCCAAGTAACCATAACGCCAAAACACCAATGCCATATGCTTCAACGCCTCATTATACCGGACATGTCCTATTTCTCTCTTTCAGCCAACCACACCAAGCGGTCCCTCTACAACTTCTTCCAGAGAAGCCAGGGCCACTGCTGCTCCCATCAAGGAGCTCTCCTTGGCCGACACAAGCTTGATTGTTTGGTTTCCAACCTTCTCCTTCTTATCAGCCGCTACTAAGTCATCTAGGTATGCCTGGCAGCTATCAAGATAACCAGGGTAGCTCTCGATCACACCGCCATTGTAGGCAACTGTTGTCTCGGCCAGATCCCGGTCAGCCTCGGCGCTGTCTCGCTCAGGTGACCCTGGAGATAGTGCTGAAACGTAGTCATTCTGGCTGTCGATACGCAGATTCCAGAATGCGTGAACGCCAGTAGCAACTAGCGCACTTGAACGCCTGGAAATGTATGAAGCAAGTTGTTTAAGGAATGATAGATCAGCAGCTGTGGGGGAGTGTTTTGCTGGATGGCGACCCGAGAACTGCTCGCGTGCTTCTTCCAGATCAGAGCTTGTATCCCTAAAATTTGTTAATTTCCTAGCCTTGACCAATTGTGATGTTGAGACTCACCTTTCAATGATAGAAAGTGTCTCAGTTGAGAATGAGTAAGGCTTCTGCAACGAAGTAGGTACTGCTCCTCCAAAAACGCCCGTTGACTCGATCGCCTCGACAAGGGCGAGTCTACAGATTTCGCCCAAGTACATACCGCTGACCATATGCTCTAAAGGTTGAAACTCAGGGCGAGAATGGTTGGCCAATAATTGCCGGTCCCATCTTGTCAAGGGCAGGATATCTCGCCCCATCATACTGATCTCGCTGTTGATAATAACGTGTGTTGCCTTCTCGAACCATTGTGGAGGACGTTCGCCGAACTTGACCCGACCGACGGCGGATACAGGAAGATAGGCAGCAAGGTTAACACCGGTGCCCAGGATCAGCCCGAACCTTGTTGTGGGGTGGTTGTACGATTCTGATAGTAAGCATGCACTCGAGTCGTTGACAATGGCTCGGAGTTCTACGCTGAGGCCGCGATTCAGACAAGCTGTGCGTACGATCTCACCAAGATCCTGCCCTAATAGCCCGTTGCACGCAGAAAAGCCTTTACCCATTCCTTGCAACTTGCCGCCTGCTAGTGACGTTTGTCTAGAGGGTATGTTAGTTTGGGACGTAAGCATGAGTTGGAACTAAGCATACTCAATAGGAAAACTCCAAGCCAGCGACATAGGCAAAGGTCCATCAGATCCGTCATGTTGATCCAACTCTGCAGAGAGGGTTTCCAATATTCTTTCAGCCATCCAGTCGAAGAAAGCCATCCCTTCCAATGCCTTGATCTCGGGAGTGATGTAGAAATTCCGCATGCTGACAATCCTGCTCTCCTCCCCGATATTGGACATGCGACCACATAGTTCCACCAATGCTACTCTGAGGGTTGAACCGCCGACGTCCAAAGCAACAAAACGGCCGACTTCGGTGCCTCTGGGCAATTGGTGGCTGTATGACGGTAGCATGCATTCCATATCGGATTCAAGTCGCTCTAGGAGTTGCTTCCGTAGGTTGCGAGACAGTTGTCGTAGTTCATCTTGGCTGATGGGGTCGAGGAACAGAGCCTCAGCCTCTTTGAGAAAATCTTGAATAGACTTGCGCGATGTATTACCAGCTCGAGTCTTGCTGTTTACTTCATGTTTCATGGAGCTGCCCCAGTAAGCCAAGAGAGACTGGACCAGTGATTTTCCGCGAAGGAGGCTCTTGACAATTGCTGCCAAGAGCTTTTTTTGAAAAGTCGACATCTTTAAGAACGAGAGATTATGAAAGACAAGAATGAAGGAGGAGAAATAGGATTCGAGTCATGGGGACGTCGGAAAGTAAATAGTCGACGACGGCACGAAAAGAAGAGGCTCAAGGGCCCAAGCTTGAAGGAAGGAAAGAATGGGGTGAAGTGAGGTAAGGTGAGGTGAGGGTGAGGGTGAGGGTGAGAATCTTACTCTTACGCCCCGAGGGATCTTAGTTGCTACTGTAACAAGTGGATAGAGAGGGAGGGAGAGTTTGATGGACAGGCACAGGACCTGGATTGGTAGATCAGGCGAGATGCAAAAGAAACGATACGGAGATGGAGATGGAGATGGAGACGGAGATGGGAATGAGCCACAGCTGATGGGACATGCCAGGACCGAACTGGGTCAGGGCATGAAAAGAGTACGTGTAGAGCGGAGAATGAGTATGAGGTGCTGTAGCTCAAACGTTAGGTCAGGTTGTAAGTACGAAAAAGACAAGAGACTTGATGTTGACGTTGCAAGGAGGGAGTCGGTTTCGGAGTCCACGTTCAGGTTTGGGTTCAGGTTCACGCTGTGTTGTGAAATGATAGTGGTAGTAGTAATGTATCATATTCCATCCGATCTGCTCTGCGGGGGGTAGTGAATTCAACGTCGCACAGCTCACATCATAGCGATGGGAAGAGCGCCCGCTCACTCAGGCATTAGACACGCGACAACCGCCACCCGAAATTGAGAGGGTCGAGAGGGCACTGGTCGCTGAAGGGAGCAAGCGGCCAGGCGCTACAAGGAGCAAGCAAACCAGTAGGTGAGCTGGTAGGCTGGTCAGTGGTGAGCACCTTAATTCTTGACCTTCCATAGAAGATTTGTTGGTCAGACGGGGCTCGAGGATCGATGCAGATGGGGGGAGTTGTAACGTTGCGTGTGAGTGCCCCGTGAGAAAGTGGATGTAGGTGCTAGGTAGTACGTGGTACGTAGTAGACTTTTCTTTTCTGTTAGTTCCATTACAGAAGATGAGCCTAGTAGCAGCCAATCCAAACCACATGGCATATGCAAGGATCACCCTTTAGGTAATTGTTAGTGCCACCTACGCAGACGTAACAGGAGGAGGCTCCCAACAATCTCCATAAATAATAAAGGGTTCATCTGTTCATCTTCATCTGCATTTTTGCATGTTACTTCGAGAGAGTCCTCATTGTTACACAGGCAGATGTATGCGTTATGTAATTGAATGTGAAACATGTGCCCTTTTTCCTTTTTCTTCTGCACATCAACCAACACTACAAACCCCTGTCTTATCTGTACAAGTGCCAAGTGCCAGGCGCCAAGTAACCTTGGACAACCAATCCTGTCATCAACTAACGAGGTTCTGCGCTTACGGATACATCTACAGCATTAAATCATCCTTGATCAGGATAATTCTCGAATTCCCCCAAATGCGGTGCCTTTTGGGGGCACAAACATGACAAACATGCTAACCCAAACTGATACGAGATGGCAAACTATAAGGATTTTGGGCGTATGATCAATACGAACAAACTCAACTTTGTCATCATCAGTTCTTCGTAAACAAAAACCCGGAATGCCGAGGTCTACCCTCCCCTGTCCTATCTATCTTTGATCTGATAACACCCATCAAAACGCTACCTTACATCGGAGCTAATGCCGGCTGCTGTCAGTCACTCTATATCCGTCCTTGGCCCGTAGACCAAACAGTCAAGAGAAGCTTCCATTTCTTGGCATCGGCCAACTAACCCAGTCAACGGTATCATGGGCATACAGTGCGATCACTTGACAGTGTCGACTGTCGAGCTTGGGATTTGCTGTCTACAGTGAACGTTTCATTGCCTCTATCGCGAATCATTGCGCGCACCTTCTGCTATCATACCTTACATGCCCACTAAGCAGAGTCGCTGTCCCCACGCTACGCTACAACATGGTTGGTAACAGGAAAGTGGTGTCCAATCTCGTAGCTTCTGCCATGACGAGATGATGGCCACGTCCAATGGCAAGTGACTCTTACTTGGTAGAGAGTTGCACCTCTCTGATATGTCCTTCCTCATAAGCAAGTGACTCCTCGAGTGAGTGACCTCACCTCTTCAACTCTTTGCACACCAACAACTCTTACTACAAACCAAACTCTCACAAATATTATCAATCAACCAAAACCCAACATTCATATACACTATACACATAAACCCTGACCAGTCACATCACTACATCATGCGCCTCATCATCCGTGACGACGAGTCCGAGGCTTGCAAGTATGTCGCCAACTATGTTGTAGAGCGCATCAATGCGTTCCAACCTACTCCCGAACATCCCTTCATCCTGGGTCTTCCAACAGGCTCTAGTCCCATTGGCGTGTACGATATGCTCGTACGTAAGTACAAGGCTGGAGAGGTATGTTCCTAATCCGACTGTTCCTACGACTGTCCCTAATTGCGATAGGTCTCGTTTGAAAATGTAGTCACCTTCAACATGGACGAGTACGTCGGCCTTCCTCGAGACGACCCGAACTCATACCACTCCTTCATGTGGAAGCACTTCTTCTCTCATGTAAACATCCACCCTTCCAACGTTCACATCCTCAATGGCAACGCTGCCAGCCCAGAGGCCGAGTGCGATGCCTATGAGGAAGCTATTAAAGCAGCCGGTGGTATCGACCTATTCCTGGCTGGTATTGGTGAAGATGGCCATATTGCTTTCAACGAACCTGGATCAAGTCTTGCCAGCCGTACCAGGGTCAAAACATTGGCTTATGACACTATCCTCTCTAACTCGCGCTTCTTTGGCAACGATGTAAGCAGAGTACCAAGGATGGCTTTGACAGTGGGTGTCCAGACTGTCCTCGAAGCGAGGGAGGTTGTTGTTATCATCTTAGGCGCTCGCAAGGCACTTGCCCTGCAAAAGTGTGTCGAGCAAGGCGTCAACCACATGTGGTCACTGTCATGCCTGCAACTGCATCCCCATCCCATGATTGTTGTTGATGAGGACGCCACATTGGAGCTTCAGGTCAAGACTGTCAAGGTAAGCAGCACTCGTTTCCATAAAAGACTTTAACTAACGAATATAATAGTACTTTAAGAGTATTGAGAAAGTTGCTCGTGAGCAGGGATTTGAACAAATTCTCCCCTCAAAAGTACGAACTGGCAATGTCATCATCCCTGAAACCAAGATCCAAAGAACTCAGAGCCCCACGATTATCGCTCCTGAGCCAATTGCTTCCCACCTCTTGCGTGCGACGCCCGCTGGCGACTACACGAGCAGAACCCCTTCGCCGGATCTGTTCCCCGATCGAATGGCTTCACGTATCCCAGAACCGAATCTGAACCGCAGACTTACACCCAACCTTGAAGTCCAGACCGACGTGCCCAAGACAAAGGTCGAAATGATTGATAGCGCGGTTGCTTTGTCTCCAGAGTGCACAACGTCCGACCTACTTCGACCCATCGCCGCGAATATCAAAACAATGCGGTCTCCTTCCCCAGACCTGATTCCGGACCGTATGGCTTCACGTATCCCCGAGCCTGATCTTAACCGCAGGTTGACACCCAAGCCCGAACTTCAGAATAGAACGAATGCTGTTGGGGCCAATTGAGTATAGTGAACCACAAGTGGTGGGAAGGGTGGGATGGATGAGACGCTGACAAAGGGTGTCTTGATCGATCGTTATAAAGGTTTCCTCAGTACTAAGAGTATCAGACTGTACCAGTATGGATTTCGAGAATAACATCTTTAACCGCGTATTAAATTTCAGGAGTTACGTTTTGGTTAGGCCTGGAGCATAAAATACCACTGTTGGTTTGGAATAGGCTGGGCGTTATAGCGGATGCTGTTTATTATGTATGATGGCGCGTTGAACAGAGAATTGGGTCTCTAAGGAAAGGCATCCTACTATGTCGATATGTACATGATGTATATCACAAGTACCATGTTACAGAATATCTAACAGAATTTAATAACAAATTCAAGAGTCACTCACTCGGGGCCTTTTCCCTGAACCTGATAGACCAAGGCAAAGAGATCCAGGCAATACCGATCCAAGGTGTGTGACATAGTGTTGTGATAACCAATAGCCTCATTAAAATTCCCGGGTATCGATATAAGCCATCTCGTGCCCTTAATGACGAGTCTGCCATCCAATAAATTCTGGACCGACTTGCCCGCAATGCGTTATATTTCTCAGATAGACTCCTCCGTGCCCAAGTGCCGCCAACCGAAATTCCCAGCTATAATATACAGGAAATGAACTTTCCACAATTCATGAATCATCAATTTCAACCACCCTTATCTTAGTCCGAAGCAAAGTACCGTTTGGCCTTGCTCTTGATCTGCTGCGCTTTCATTTCGGGTGGCATGATCGTGTGATGGACCACGTGCGGCCGGTATACAGCGTCCACAGGCGGCATCCTGGTAGAGGTTAGTAACGTCTCAAGTGGGTAAATCCAGAGCAATGGTAACGTACCAATCATCCACTGTTAATGGGAAGTATTCATACAAGGGATCAACGCCCTCATCAGCAGGACTGTTTTCCCTATTCGCCCCCGAAGTGGTGTAACCTTTACCGGAACTGGGACTGTGCAGCTCGGCACTAGAGCGGTTGGGACTTCTTTCGTCTTCGGACAGCGACAGGTTGATTGGAAGAGAGGGGTTCTGACGTGGAACGGAATTTTTGTTGCTATGCGCGTTGGCGGCTTTGGCAGAGCTGTTTGGATCACTGGACCAGGCTGGTATCGGAGGTCTTGTCATTGACGGTGATAAGGCGATTCGTTTTGCCGGATGTGGACTCGCAGCCGGTTGTGGGCTGGGAAGTGGGTGAGATATTGATTGGGGTGTGGCCCAGTCATTTGGCTGCTTATCTGTCAGTACTTTCACCCACTGTCCACGAAAATGCAGCTTACTTGAAGGTTATTGACTGGAGGGTACCTCTGGGGAAAGTTCTGTGAGTTCTCCCGCTCCAGCTTAAGTGTTGGATGATCGGCATTTGACGTCGACGTGCTTCTCCTCTCAAATCTCTTGTCACCTGTGAGAGGAACGTCCTTCCTGCTGTCAAAATTCCGGGGACTTCGACCCCGCACGATAACTGGGCCGGACTGTATCTCTGCTATCTTGACAAGCTCGCCTGTTTGAGTCTTGCCTAGGAGGTTGATTTTGACTACATAGTGTTGTTGGAGACCTTTTCTTCGGCCGTTGTTAGCCGTGGCATGTTTAAACTGAAGGCGCTTCCAAGACATCGGTAGAGAGACGCGGTGAGCATCGATCTCCTGACCGGTTGAGACATCCAAAGTGATCATGGGTGGTGCTGTGACGCCTTTAGTATCGTCACCTCCTTGGGGGTTGGCATTCTTCCAGGGTATCGATATGATCTCGGTAGGTTTTCCTTCAATTGATTCGATGGCGGTAATGCCCGCCAGTAGCTCAAATATTTGGATGTGTTGCCCTTGTTCGTTCACAATATTTCTGATTACCCGGGGTAGGGTGATTTGGCCCGAACATTGCCATAGGTTGCGACGATAACATGTCAATTCCAGAGGGCGTCCTGAAGATTCTCCCCCAAAGACATCTTCAGCAACAAAGAACATGCCGTAAAGTTCAGCAGTCATGCCGGCTTCGATAAACTGGTTGCTCTCGTTGACGATAGTGGCGCTTGATACTGGGGCAGAGAAGCCGAGAAGCTTGTTATCGGGTTCCTGGGGAGACGATGCCTCGTGCAAGGCATCTTGATTTGGTGGAGGATCGAATCGCTGTGTCGAATATGAAAACGGATCCTCAAACGTTGAAGAAAAGGCATCCAAGTCGTACGAACTGCCGAAAGGCAGAGTCTGCAGTGCAGCCCCATCGCTGTAGATTAAATGTCAGCTTGACAAGATCCAGGGTTGCGCGCGTCGCAAGTGTGATGCTGTGCAGTACGTACAGTAACGACTCGTCAAAGGTCATATCCTGATCGAACACGTCCATACTCATACTCTGAGAGTGTGCAGTCCCAAAGCTCATCGCCATCGCTTCACTGGAAGAGGCGCCAGTAGGCAGCCCCGACATTGAGTTGTAGGTTGACATGGCATTGTTCAGTTGAAAGGAACCGTCAAAGTCTCATTGGATCAAGTGCGCGCGGCGGGGAATAGCAACACAACGTGATGGCGCAAGTTATGTGCAACGATGCAAAACGATCAAGATGATCCAGGCGACACCAGCGGATGACGAGTTTTAATCCCCCGGTAGAGCGCCGAGTTGTTGTGCTTTGAAACGAGGTCAAGCGAGGAGCAAACAATGGAAAGCTGAAGACAAGAACGGGGAGAGTTAGGTAGTTCAAGCCCAGGTGAGCGGAGGTGGACGTGGAGGCGGAGACAGTGGAGGAGAAGACCTGCCGTGTCTGCTAATACCACTACTGCACTGTAGCTTTGTGGAGAGACCCACTGGCTGGCTTACCCTTTTGCATTCATCCATGGGTTCTTATCGTTGATTGGCAGCGTCCGCTTCGTTAATTGGCCGAGACGGAGAGCTTCATGTGAAGACGCTAGACCTTGCGGGAGGAAGCTTTGGGAGTGGCAGCTGGATTATCTTGGCGCTCTTCACTATCACGAATTCGGCATCTCATGAGCAGGAAACACAGTCTCCAACAAAACTCAATCATACGAAATAGCATTTTTAACGCGCGTGTTGAACTTTGTCTTTTATTAATGCTTTTGATCCATTTTCTAACGGTTCTGTGTGGCTCAGAATTCTTCCTAAAGCGGAATGCTCTTTAAATCTAGGGTAGTTTATGCAGTCTTATTCGTATAATGAGGAAACAACAGCAACGCCAAGCTTACCAACACTTCTCACTTCAACTGCACCTCATCGGCAAAACCCGACACTCTCTCGCCAAACTTCCACACTTCCTCCAACACGAGAATGTCATCTGGCCCCCTGACTTCGCCATCATTTTCGTATCCGTCTGACAGAATCACTAGATCTGCGTCAGCCCCGGACTCCAACGAGCCTTTCACCCCCTGTAAACCAAGCATGGCTGCAGGCGTAGACGTCACAGCTCCAAGAGCTTGAGGGATGCTAGCCCCAGTCCATTTGATGAAGTTGTTGACACATTCGAGTAAGGTGATGGTACTGGAATAAGTTAGACGCAGTTCTTAACAAGGAAGCGCAGACACTTACCTTCCGGCAATCTTGTCGGAGTTCTCAAGGAGCAGTTTCGAACCTTGCTTGACAATATTGCATGTGTACTCTCCATTTGTCCAAGGATAAGATCCATCTGGAAGACCCACAAGATGCATCGCATCTGTTACCAGAATGAAGCCGTCAGGGTGAGCGCTATAGGCAATCTTGATAGTGGTAGGATGTAGGTGAATGCCGTCCGAAATGATACCAAAGTAGGGCCGTGGTAGGCTCTCGGCCTTGCCTAGAACACCAAAGACTCCTGGGTTTCTGTGATGCAAAGGGCGCATGGCATTGAAGAGATGCGTAATCATTGTTGCACCCTTACTGACAGCCTGGGTCGCCTCTTCGTATGTTGCCTCGGTGTGGCCAATAGAATAGATGATGCCTCTGGAGGTAATCTCTGGGATGAGGTCCATCATCTGCCCGCGTTCTGGTGCCGCCGTGATCATCTTGATGGGCAGCTTGGAGCCGTCAGGACGAGGTGTCATGTTTTCGCGACCGTAGCATTGCTCGATATTCTCAATAGAGTAAGCTTGGGTAAGGACATCGATATCGTGGATTCCGTTCTTGGTAGGATTCAAGAACGGACCTTCGCAATGAGCGCCGAGAGATTCGGCGCCGTGACTCGGGATCCGCAGTTCCCCAGACGGACCAAGGTATGGGAGGGTCTGCCGGTGGCATTAGCTTCATGTACAATGACCCCACCAAGTGACAGTGACGGTGAAGGTTTACCTTTTGGTATAATTCCGGCCGTTGACTTGTAACGGTCGGGATGTATGAGGTGACCCCTGTCTGGACCATTAGGCGATTGACTTTTTGGATGTTTTTGCCATATTCGGTCATGTCATCCAGTAAGGTTGAGAAGTTGAAGCCAAATGCACCATTGAGCTGGCACTCGATCAGACCTGGAGCAATGATGCGTCCACCTAGATCGAGTGTATTGTCTGGCATGTTGCGACCACCATAGAAGGAAGCCTGACTATCGATGATTTTGCCGGTAATGGAGCTGACCCAAAGGTCCTCCCAGACCAAGTCGTTGCCTTTCAGCAGTCGACAGTTGGTGAACTTGGTGAGGCCATTCTTGGGCAGCGTCGGCGAGATAGCGGTAGGCATGGCTGAAGGATAGTTGTAGGAGTCTGCAAAGAAGAGTTAGAAGTCTTTCTGGTGAGTGTTGATTTTCTTTTTTGGGCTGAGTGTCCCTAGGGACAATAGTTCATATTTGAAAATTGAGGCGATCGTGGTATACTAGTATTTCTGGAGATTCCATCACCAGACCTTCAAAGCCCTATCAAACCGCCGAGAACGGCCACGTTCTCCCGATAACGAAACAAGAATCATATCGTCATTGCGATTCAGTAACCGTAACCAAAGGGTGCCATGGTCGAAGCCGTGATAAAAAGACTGTGTGGAGATTCCCAAGCCAGTGTGTATGCTATGTTACTGTGCATATTGACAGACCGGGGTGCCCACTACAGAGGTACTCAACTGGGAATACAAAGAGCATGGCATCCGTCCATTTTGCCTCAAAAACATTGCTCATCCTTACCTGGTTCAAAATCTCTCGACTCGAGACAGAGTGTAACAGGCCTTATCGTCCTCTGTTGGCTCCGCTGGTTCCGATGCTTTGTTGCTGCTGTTCCATGTAACGTTAACTCATTGTCTAGGGAGCCAACCTGCCCATCAATCGCCATAATAACGAGCCGCTGAACCCCACTCACCAGCCTTCCAACAGCTCAGTACCTTCCGCAGCTGGCCAATCAATATACACCAATCACTTCGTCCGAGGTTTAGGCGCTCGGCAAACATTCCAATGGCGCCTCCCCCTCTTGGGTCAGCATTGCCCTCGTCGTCGCGAGGAGGCTACAGCAATGCTAATGCATCGCATCGTTACCTCAAACACGCGGGGCTATCAACCTCGAATTCAAGGTCAGGGCCAAGGCCAAGGGGTGAACGCAGTCCGCAGAGCAAGAGATCAAAGTATCATGTGACGAAGCATCGTCGCCGCCCAACCATCATGGCCCATACTGACAATAGTGACCTGGATCCATCATGGCAGGATCTCGACCGGTACGTACCCACTCTCTCACTCCTCCAGATGGACGGCGCGGAACTGGAACTGGAACTGGAACTGTCGAGAGCCGTCTCTCCACCTTCGGCTCCGAATCTCGGACCTTTTTACTCAATCGATTCGATGTGAAGCACCTCATGCTAACTGGCCCTGCAGTGCCATTGGGCAGATCCTGATCATGGGCTGGGATGGCACCGAAGTCACCCCCCAGATCAGGAGCCTCATCGAGGACCATCACCTTGGATCCATCATTCTCACTGCCAAGAACCTAAAATGTAAGCCTTTTGGTTGCAGTCTTTCGTCTCAACGAAGCTCTAACCTTCTTAAGCTGCTCAGCAAACCGCTGAACTGGTTCAAGAACTGCAGACCATTGCAAAGAACTCTGGTCATCTGCAGCCTCTACTCATTGCCCTTGACCAAGAGAATGGAGGTGTTAATAGTCTTTTCGATGAAGACTACGTCTGCCAATTCCCTAGCGCCATGGGAGTTGCAGCTACTGGCCATGCCGATCTAGCGTATGAAGTCACCAAAGCTACCGCAACGGAGATCTCGGCTTGCGGAGTCAACCTCATGCTGGGTCCCGTCCTTGACGTGCTCAACAACGCTCGCTATCAGCCGCTAGGAGTACGTGCTACAGGCGACGACCCCCAAGAAGTGTCACAATATGGCCTTGCCGCCCTCAGAGGTATCCGAGATGCTGGGATAGCGTCATGTGGCAAGCATTTCCCATCATACGGAAACTTGAACTTTCTCGGCTCAAACTTAGATGTGCCCATTATAACTCAAACACTCGAGGAGTTGAGCATCAGTGCTCTTGTTCCCTTCCGAAATGCTATTGCTTCTGGCAAATTAGACGCCATGTTCATTGGAGGCTGTGGCATATCTAACCCGTCCATGAACGTGAGTCACGCTTGTCTTTCGGACCAAGTCGTGGATGAGCTACTACGAGACGAACTCGGGTTCAATGGCGTCGCAATCTCGGAATGCTTGGAGATGGAGGCTCTGAGTCACGAGCTTGGTGTTCAAAACGGCGTTATCATGGCCGTCGAAGCAGGCTGTGATCTTGTCCTCCTGTGCCGTGCCTACGATGTTCAACTTGAAGCCATCAAAGGTTTGAAACTCGGTTATGAGAATGGCATCGTCGCTAAGGACAGAATTTTCACCTCATTAAGAAGAGTGCTTAACCTCAAGTCGACTTGTACCTCTTGGGAGAAGGCATTGAACCCTCCAGGCATTTCTCTTCTCTCGCAGCTTCATCCATCTCACCTCGCGCTGTCACTCCGCGCCTATGATGACTCGATAACGATTATCCGCGATAAAGAGAAACTCATCCCACTTACGGCCTCAATGCATCCGGGAGAAGAGCTGCTCTTGCTCACGCCCCTAGTAAAACCGCTTCCTGCCTCTTCACTCACTAAGAAGTTGCTCGCCGCTAAAGACATCCAAAGCCAAGCAGAGGGCCCACACGAGATGTGGACACACAATGATGGCCGTGACCGCAGAGCTATTCTGAGCGGCGAGGGTGTCTTCCGAGAGTTTGGCAAATCTCTTGCTCGTGCACGGAGTGAGAAGTTGCTCCATACCAGCTACACAGCCAACGGGGTTCGTCCAGGTAAGATCATCGTTCTAGTCGAAAGGACATCCTCTCTAACCAGGCTCAGTACACGAAAACCTAATACATAGAGCTTCATGTATCATTATTGTGACCGCAGACGCCAACCGGAATCTTTATCAGGCTGGCTTCACCAAGCACGTTGACATGATGTGTTCTATGCTGAGAACTAGAGGGCAGAAGAAACAATTAATTGTGGTAGCAGTCAGTTCCCCTTATGATTTCGCCATGGATAAGTCTATTGGTACCTATCTTTGTACCTTTGACTTTACCGAGAACGCCTTGCATGCTCTTGCTAGGGCACTGGTTGGAGATATCACACCTCGTGGTACGCTCCCCGGCACATTGCGCAAGAGTAAGAAGGTGCTCAAATCTAGACAACACTGGCTGGTCGAGGAGTATAGCTCAGAACGTGATGCTTCTGGGCTGAACGATCTTCTTAGAGCTGTCCACCGAGCAAGCGCTCCTGACTTGCAGTTTTTGCGCACGACAACTGCAGCCTCCTTCCAGCTAAGCAACTCCAACATCGTGGAGGCACATTTTGTTGTCCGAAATAGTAGTACAAATGCTTTGTATGGATTTGTTGCTACCTACTTTGTTCATGGGATTGGCATTTTGGGTGGCGTCTTTGTTGAACCTACCAAGCGCGATGTGTCTATCGGAAGGTCACTTCATCGGCGGGCACTCCGAGGTCTCTCGCAGCGCCGAGGAATCAAACAAGTCCAAATCGGCTCGGCGTTTCCTGGAGTTTTCCTTGGCATTCCCGTTGATGTTGAGGTAAACACCATCAAAGATTGGTTCGCAAATAGTGGCTGGGATGTCCAGTTTCCCCGACGCGTGTCAAACATGGTGATACAAGACTTGGCAAACTGGTCTGCCCCGGAAGGTCTATCTCAGAGCATACAGAGAGCCGGCATTAGTTTTGATCTAATCCACGATTTGGAAAACGCGGATAGTGTGCTCAGCCACGTCCGTACTCACGCAAGCCCCGAAGTATTGGAACTGTACCGTCATGCGCTATCACAATCGCAGTCGAGTGGAATTGTTCGAGCCAAAGACGCAGCAGGCACTCTATTGGGCACGGTCATTGTTTGCAAACAGCACAGCCATTTGAGAACCTATTTTCCGTCTTTGGTGTCTCGTTCTGAAGAAATCAGCGGCATCCTTGCCCCAGTTGTACCGTCCATACCCCTCTCAACCATCACTCTTCAGGGCCTGGCGCTTATGGGTGTTCGACAAGCTAGAAATAGCAAAGCAACAAAGGTGATATTGGGTTCGGTAAGTTGGACACTCTTCTCTAATTATGTTAGTTGCTAACAAACAAGGTTGTGGATGATGGCACGGAACCCATGGCAGCTATGGGCTTTGAGACGCTTCAAGTGTTCGAAGAAATCACAAACTCTCCAGAGAATGTAAGTAACTCGACTCGATCTCCTTGCTCTAGACGGCGACTGACATACCACAGTTCTCAAACTTACCGTAAACAAATGCACCTACTTGTTGGATATATCGAGGGAGAATGCTGAGCATTCGATGGTATATAAGTGGTCTATACATAATACATTTCACGCTTGTGGTACTAAGTCTTCATTTAAATTACCCGCACATGTGTATTTAACCACTGTGCGTGTCATGACATAGGCAATAAGGGTATGGTATACTGGAGGCTCTCCTTAAGTTCGTACTATCCCATATCGGTTGCTATATACTTATCTATTGAATGTTGGGATTATAAATGAGAGACTGTTGTGCCATTTGCATCTTTCGTTTGTCTTTGATCCTCAGTAATGAATACGCAAATCGGATTAATAACACTGCCGAAGATTTGCTTGCTTGAGCAACTAATATGGCATAGACTGCCGAACAGCCCAACAAGCACATATCGGAACCGGAGTTGTAATGAATCATTCAAACCATGGATGACAACATATTTTAAGTTAGACTGAACTGGCATAACAGAAAGGTATAAATAGGACGGGGCCACTCTGATTTAAATCTGAGGTTATTTACTCAAGGTCTCATACTGCATCATACCAAAGTTATATATTCCCGAGAAATATCTTCTGAGTAACTATATTATAGCAAGATTGCTGGGCATAGCCGGCTACCACCTTGCAACTAATACCTGGCTACAAGTGGTCACAGCAGGTTAGTTTCATGCCAAATATTCACCCTGGACACAGCACTAACTCCACTACTAGATGAATCATGCAAATGCAGTCTGCGATGAACGGCGAAGCTACCCTCAGTAGGAGAATGCCAGGGTCTCTAGATGGTCTCAAATCACTTCGGAGATGTACAGCCCTGCAGGACACTCTCATGGGGTTATATCTTTGTTAGTGTTCCGCATACTGATATGAATGTTGTCATCACAGGGCTGGTCCGATGCTCCCAGCGACTGCAAGACTGAAGGTCCCAAACTAGAGCCAAGTATCAGTAACGAAACTGCTATCTGGATGGAAGAGACAGTGCTCTGCACGAAATCAACCTACAAAGAACGTGGAGAGCGAGCAGGACTATCATATAGAGCCTGCGCGCGTATACCAAGGCGCAAGCCACTTTATACAGCAGGAACTTCCCATCTCGATGGATCTAGAGAGCCTTACAGAATAAGAAATGCATCGAGGTCTAGCGTTTGATCGAGTCCTGTCACAAAGCAGCTATTGACATGGCTTTCCATTGCTGAATAAGCCAGCCCTGAGAAGAGATTCTAAGAACCAACAGGAACACCTCATTAGAACTCTCTATGATCATGTCTAATTCGTCGGTGTTTCAACAGTCATATATAAGCCTAAAAGTCCGACGGGGGAATATCTATATTATATATCTTGGTGGAGTACTATGTCGACACTGAGATGTTGAAGTCTTCACCAAAACATGCCCTCAGGGAGTGTGGGGAGAGGGTCTCTTCTATGTACAGCAGGGACAGGCTATTCAAATTTGTTATGTCAATCCTACTATATTAGTTGGAATGTGCCGAAACTTGGAAACCGAAAAAGCCTGGCACTGATCCCAAGTCACTCACAAGTACGTATTATAAAAACACAAGGAAGGGAAAAGGCCGAGTTATATGAAATGGCTAACAAGACGAACAGGTGAGAGTGCCGACAAACACAACATATAAGGGTTTAGTTGACTTATTGCCTCCCGATACATCTTCGCTATCAATTATACCCTTCGCGCTTCTAATTCTTTTGTAATCACGAATAACAACAGCAAAAAGCCATTTTTACATCTGAATTATATGACTTGGGCGACGAAGACAATGCCCTCCCCGAGGCTACAGATTGGCCATGCCCCTGATGTATGCGTCGAAATATGGTCTCCGGCCTGGAGCTGGCGTTGTTGTGTTTGAGACAATACTCTTGGATCTTCGGCGACAGCTAGTCGGCAAAAAGGTGCTTGGCAAAGTCGTCATGCTCATTGTTGGCATGAGCTACTATAATTAATATTTGAGGCAATTGGATATTCAGTTCGTCCTTCTTGAACGCCTCTTTAAGAGATTCGAGTATAACTCTGAAGAACGCGTCATCACCATGACGTTATAATATGATTAAAAAAGGGGTCTAGTGATACCATATCGGCTGGTACGCACAGAAGCTGGTAGAGTATGGAGGGATATGTTGGCGGCAGTATACATCGGGTTACTTCTGCTATTTGGCTCACGCACCAAAGCCGTGGGATTGGTTGATGGGCCTTCTATTATCGCACTCATCTTGTAAGACCACCGTCTTGCTGGTTCCTTAGTGATGAAGACAACCTATCTTGTACCATATCTCGAAGGCAGAGCCAATTTCATTCACCAGAGTACCCATATCGATATAATCAGAGAGGAAACCGGCCTCAGAAACCATCATGCAACGGAACAAGAATATCCCCTAAAACGACGCTCGCCTTAGGCGATGATAAGACGAAGGAAGGAACTACTCCCACACCAAAAGAGCTTCTTCCGATATAATACTTGGTGACTGATGTATAAACTGTTACTTTACCACGATCCATGGAAAAGCGAACGGCCGTCCAAGATCAGACCTAGCTAGCTATTAAGTTCTCTAACCATTCTAGTACAAGCAACACAGGGCAGCGTAAGATTTGATTTAAACTATTGACAAGGGTTTCAAGTGCTCTTGGCAGATGTTTATCCCAGGCTATAGATGATAATCACAAGAGAAGGATAAATCGAGTTTGAGGGAGTCTGTAATGAATGGCCTTTGATCAGAAATAATGCTGAACAGAAGGCTGATACGGAGCAAGTATCTAGGAATGGCAAAACCGTAGTCGCACTCTCATCATCTCTCGAAATTATCATCGAAACTTGATATGAATAACATGGGTAGACTTGGGTCAGCTATAGAGTTTAAGAGATATTAGTAGATCCGAGGCGACAGGAGAAAGTATAAAGAACGATCACATATGCATGGGTCTTGTACTTAGACTGGGATAGCACAATTTCATATCTCTTTTTATCCGTTAATCTCGATTTTATAGTCCCTGAAATCTCGATATGGCGTTATCTTCGGAGATCAAGGACAAGGTAGCCACCCTTCCATCTCCGTCACGACCGCTTCGTTGTCATTTCAAAATGTGTACCTCTTTCCTAGAGCCTTGTCGTTGAAAATAACATACTGTTGTCGCTCCTGGTAACATAGAAGCTTCTCAATCGTCAATCCAATGTCCTTGCACCTCCAGCTGACCATATAGCAGAGTCCTGATCTTCCAGTAGAGAGCTTGCTGCTGGGTGATACAGGGAGAGTTCTTGAGCTCCATAATCGCAGGGGCAAGCATAGGACCGATGTATTCTTCATTCAACTCCTCGTTGTGTTGAATCGCATCCAGTGCAACCCATGACTTTGGTTCGGCCTCAGCAAATCTGGCAATCACGTCTTCCCAGCTCTCTTTGTAGTCAACCCAGTCGACCTCGCGCATACGAAGAACTCCAGTGGCTAGAAGCATGAGGCGGATGACATCCTCAAACTTTCCCGAGAAATTTGTGTTGTTTTTGGGAGTGAAGACTTTGTTCATACGATAAAGCAAACGATTTGATACGTTTTGGATATATCGTCTGGCTTCGCCTAAAGAAGGAGATGGACTCCTCACATGGGTCTCCAGATCATTCCAGACATCTGACTTGACTCTCATGTTGCCCAGCAATTGCCGGATTTCGTTGGCCAATGTAGGATCCATGATCTTTGTTGAATTATTGACATCTTCGCTGCCCACTCCCTGCGGCCTGTTGTACTCAGGCAGGCGCCCGTAATCACTGATTAGAGTCTTGCGTTTCTTAGAGGGATGTTCTGGCCGCTCCATGCTCTCAAGCCGCTTCATGGCACCCTGCTTCACGAGTTCGCGGACGTGGAACAACTTGCCTGGCCACTGAAGCTCCATAGTGTCTTTAGACCACGAAACATCCTCCTGTGGGACCTGGAAGTGGTCGATAATTCTGAGCAGCATGTTATGTCTTTGGGCAGCACCTTCTCGAGCCGTCTCTGGAAAGGATTTGGCGTACTTCTCCAAGGCGTTTCGGTTGTCTTGCCACTTTAGGTGGAATTCGGCGGCGTTTTCGTTTTGTTCGAGCTGTGTTACGTCGGGTGGTCTCTTAGGTCTTGTTAGAGTGGCGGTTTGAACAGCACGTTCAACTGGTTTGCAGTTGGAGGCTGGTTTAACAAGTGAACTCTGTCCCTGAGTGGGTTTGGATCTTGGAGCAGCAGGTTTGGCCCGCTGTGGGTTTCCTGCATCGCCCCGTGCAGTAGAGGTGTTCTTGGATACGCGTTTCATACTCTCGGCGTCTTGGGTTATATCGTAGTGTAGGCTTGCTAATTTTAGTTCGACCGCTTGGTAATGGTTGTGAAATCTGTGGTGGTTGCCAGGATGAATGATTGTTCTTGGTCAGTTTGTAGGTTTGCAGTGGGTTCTTCAGATGAAGCTTGACGTTCTTGAGAGAGGGCGGGGAAATGAACTTGTGTCAGGCTTGATATCATGATTAGTTGATGGGACGAAACGTGCATGGAAGCAGTGTTTGGTTACCTTGATAGCTAGATTGGATTTATGCGTGAGGCATGGGTTGAGGACGAGTTGGGAATAAAACTCAATAACCTGCTATGGTTTAGCTCTAGACGTAAAGGAAGATAAAAATATTTAGAGAGAATAAGAACCCTTTTTGGAGTTATGCTTGGTATCCTCTTAGCCACAATATAAGAGAAGGCCGCCCAGCTTAAGAGATTCTCGTAGAATTGTATGAAGTATGTCATGTAAGGGATGAAAGGTAGGATATTAAGTAAGATACTAATTAGGAATTAGAAAATGGTATTGCGCGCCGGTAATAGGGTGTTGAAGTTAAGAGATTGGAGAGTGCAGTGCGGAGAGAAGAAGGATTTATAAAGCCAAAAGAGAGAGATATAAGATCCTTTTAAGAGTATAGCAGTGAATCATACCAAAGAGTTATAGAGATAGAGGATATATGTTAGGCAGACTAAAGAACAATCTATAAAGGATAGGCGCCGAGAAGTTAGTAATAGCAGGCAGTAAGTAATAATTTCAGTAGGTTTACTTAATAAACCGATACGCACTTTATTTAGTATGTGCTCAACTCAACTCAACACTATCTACTTATAATGAATGAATGCTGCTTGCTTATAAGAAGGAAAGTATAAAAAAAGGTGTGTATATCTAGAGGTCGCAAAAAGAGCAAAAGGATAACTCCGGTACAGGGAATTGAACCCTGGGCTCCGCGGTACTGATCTCTCAGGTTATGAGAGCGCGAAATGTTAGCCACTACACCATACCGGATAATGTATTTGATGGAATTTGGATTCAGTTTCACCATTCATATTCGCCACACTGCAGGCAGAGGCTCCATCCCTGAGGCTCCATGAACATCACCAAAAAGTGACTGATATAAGCAGATAGGTGTTGGCTATGGATCAGGTGAAATTCTGTCAAGTCTGAGCTTAGATAGTCTCTGAGTTACACAGAATAGAGTTTAGAATGGAAGCCTCCAAGGGTAATGATTTCAACTCTCGATCGAAGAGTATGAATAGTTAATCTACAGTTGAATATTCTCTAATCTCCAGAAACCCGATCTTCTAATCCTGCCATTTCGTAACTCCTCACCATTCATTTTGATTATACAGCCTCAACAAGACCTAAAGCTCCCCCTTAGGTCTCTCATCATGCGTGTTAGTCACAGCTACAACACCACCATCCTTCTCAATATCTGCAGGAAGATTTCCAAGAGCTCGATCGCCAAACATGAGATCAATCTCCTCGAGTGACAGCCCCTTAGTCTCTCGGAAAGAGAAGATGAGGACAGGGAGAGTAACAACGAGATTGAAAGCTATTCTGTGTAAGCTAATTCGTTCAAATCAATTTTCAGGGGGTTTACCTACCAACAAAGAGGAAATAGAATTTCCAGCCTAGTTCCCCGAGGGCAAATGGGCTGACTTGGTTCCAGAAAGTCGACACAAGCCAGTTACCGATACCAGTAGCAAACGCACAACCCTTAGCACGGATTTGATAGGGCATAATTTCTGACATGTATGTCCAGCTAACAGGGCCGAAGGATAATGAGAAGATGATTGTGACGCAGAAGAGGAACGCAACGCCGGCAATGCTGAGACCACGGTGGGAGCCGTCGATGTTCTGGCTGTTTACGACACTCTCTAGGATAAGAGCGATGGTGATGGCGATGATACCATAGATTAGAGGTCTCTTTCGGCCAATCCTATCGGCGATGAAGGTGATGAAGAACAAGTCTAAGGGTTTTCGTAAGTACATTGTGGTTTCTTTTTTAGCTGCTGAGCGGGAGGCAGTGCCTTGACTTACTCGCAATAGGGCCTGTGCAGTTGTAGATTCCTGCGACTAGGAGGCTTGTCTTTCCGGTAATCCCTAGTCGTTCATACATGATAGTTTGATAGTAGCTACAGCCATTAGCCGGGTTCAAATATTCTTTTGCTTAGATTATATGACGAAGAGCAAGGAGTTAGGTTTGGTCTTGGTCACCTACCCAATAACGTTAATTCCTAAGCCTATGTTAGTACATCATCTTTAACTATTATACGAAGAGTTCTTACCAGTGAATTGGGTAAACACTTGAACAAGCGTTCCAAGCATAAGCCTCTTCCTCCATTGGGGTACCTTGAACATAATCAACCAGCCTGGCGCCGTCGCAGCCTTCTCAGCATCAAGAGTGAGCTTGATCTCGTTGAACTCAGCCTTGATCCACTCCTCGTTGGAGCCATCAAAGTGCAGCTTCCGCAGAGTTTTCATGCCATCGTCTAGCTGATCTGTAGCAATTAAATGACGGGGTGTCTCTGGAAGCCAGAGCATTCCTAAGCACAGCAGCGCGGAGGGGAATGCTTGAAAGGCTAGAGGGAATCGCCATTGGAAAGACGACGTGTCGGGCATGTGGTGACTGCCGTAGCCAACCCATGTTGAGACGACGAAGCCAACTCCGATCATTTGCTGGGCGAGACCGACGATGAGACCTCGGTTCTTGGGTGAGGCGCATTCAGATTGGTACACGGGTACTAAGTGATTGTCCAAGTCAGAATAATTCCTAAAGGGTTGATGCGGTACCTACCACTCATAGAGAGCAGACCGACGGCAAACCCAGCGATGATACGGCCTATCAGCATCATAGCGAGACTATTACCACGTTAGTTGATATGTCGTAGTTGTGTATGAAACTCAACACATACTGATAAGCGGCAGCCTGGAGAACAGCTCCGACCGTGCAAATAGCAGCACCGATACCAATAGTCTTTCTTCGACCAAACCGATCCATAATCACACCGCCGAACAAAGCTCCAAATACTGCTCCTCCACTAAATGTCGAGTTGATGGCACCGATAATGGACGATGTGGATGTTGTATCAAAGTATTTCTGGAAGTGCTTCGATGCGATGACATCAGTCATCACACCAGAGTCATAACCAAATAAAAACGAGCTAGAATGAACGAGCTATCAGCATCCATGGTTCATGGTTTTGATGAACTTGCGGCGATCAATGGGATCGGAAGTTGGAGTATGGAACGCACCCTATGGCTGCAAAGCAAGCCAGGCCGATATTGTAGACTTGCCCCATGATTAGGACAACTCTGTCGAGTGTTTAAGCGTATGATGGGTTCTATATCGAATACTGGAGAGTCTGCGATCAAAGTGGATAGAGACCCAGTAACAGAATACACGGACCTTGGGACTATTTGTACGATCATCCGCAGAGCGACAACCCCAATGTCCATACCGCTCAACTTTGTCTCTACGTTACATGCTGATCGCCTCCTGTAGACCCACGTCCATCAATGAACTTCCCCAGGGGGCCCCGAGTGGATGACTCCGCAACGATCATATCAGAGTGTCACGCAACCCCAGACAAACAAGGTCCAGTTCAGTCTTCCCTTCAAGCCTTGCATAGGGCCAGTAACGCCCCCGTAAGTGCTAACTAATCCTTACAGTGTTCTCACCCCTGATATGATTTCGCTCCGGCCACGGCCGACGCAATGGAGGTGGAAGTGGAGGTGACATGGTATCATGATGCTTGTCGGCATTATGTATGGTGTTCCTGGTCGGACCCGAGCGATCGGAGAAAATACGCGCAATTATGGCCCTTACCATCGCCGGCTAAATTACCATGAGAAACAGCCAGCCTATAATGGATCATATCAGAGATTGGAAGTGGTTTTATCGCCGCTTTAATACCAGATCAACAGACTAGAGGCTGAAAAGCCGAACCACTATCATGAGTCGACCGTTGAATGAGAAGTCCCGCGCCAATCCTTCAGCCACATCTGGACATGGCAAACACATCATCTTGGCACGTGCTGCTTAGCTATTTTCACTCCCGGCTAAAGTCGAAGTGCTACTGCAAACTCGCAGGTAAGGGATTGTTAAAGGTACCTTGATGCTGCTCGTCACTTGTTAGAGGCGGACCAATCATAGCTTTCGTCGGGGCCTTATGACCCGAACCTTGCCTTTTCTTCAGATCATCAGAAGACTTGGTGCAAAAACTCGATCTTCCTGTTCATCAATATGATGTTGAATATTATCCATTGGGATTGCTTAGTTATATCAACACCGGCGTCTTGTAGAAGAAACACGCCGTTATCGCATCGATCGCGCACTGTTCGTAGCATGAACTTGTGGCTATGTATGTATCTCTCTAACCATGAATTTACGATTCTTTCAAATTGTACCATTACACAAGGATGTTACTCGGCATAGTAGAGCACATATACCCTCCTTTCTCAAGTTATATACCTTGGAATACTACACTGCAGAGAATGTGCCATGCGTGACAAGCAAGAGAGGAGATGGGTTGCACGCATATACTCTGGAATTATACATTTGATAGTCTAGAACAAACGTTTAACGCCGAATCCTGCAAATTCTAGAAGCTCATTGTGTCTGTGGCCGTCTGTCCACCATGTGGCTACTATTATGCTAAGTTGATAATCTTGTTCCGTACTCATTTCCAAGCTACTTCGAGGACAAATCATGATGCTCACGGATCAAGCCACCGGGTAAATACAATGATTCTGAGTTGGACTCGTAGAATGCCAATGATACATCTACCACCTTTGATTTACCACGTTACCCTCCAGGGTCATCACAAGTTCCTTCAGAATTCTCCATGAGATGATTGCCCACTTCACGGCTGGCCATATGATAATCTTCATTGACCAATCATATTGCTTGTAGACCGCTAAAACTTCCACTTCGGGCAACCCCCAAAGCCCCCAAAGGCCCCGGTCCCTCGGATCCGACAGTGAGTGGGGTTACAGGCGGGGAGCCCACTATCCACATGCGCTACGGGCGAATAACGAGAGAATCATCACCTGAGAATACCAGGGATCAGAGAATTCACATCAACTGAGGTTTATTTTGGAGGTTTAGTTTCTGTGAGAAGCTTAGTGCTGACCGTTCCGATTCCTCGGATCCGCGGCATCTCAGCTATACGAGAGATGCTTTTCATTTGTTGCCCGCTCTGCCAATAGCCAAAATGTCGGGTTATGAAATGGTAGATGTTAACTTGTGATTGATTATTTCTTGGATGGCGATCCTTACCGACCATCTTTGAGTCAAGCGTAGAAGTGGCTGTGATAACATGCTAACACATATTTGAGGTGTTGTTGGTGAGATACATATGGGGAAACCTCGATGTCCTTGAGTAGTCAATATTACTTTCATTCATCAAACATCGTAACAACTAAGCTCTTTCACAAAGCCTCAATAGAAACAGGAGCATCGCCCTCTAAATCACGTCCCTTGTCCATAATCTTGCAGTCACCCTTGAGTTTGTCCGCTCCCTGAAGCTTCCCATCTTCACCCACCACAAGCTCAGCAACAACATTACCTTCGCCATCCACAACAGTAGCCTTTGCTCCAGGAGAAGTCTGATACAAAGCAACCTCAACATTATTGGCAAAGTCATACGCAGCACCGACCTCTTTACGGCTGCCAAGCACAAGAACTGTGTTCTCGCGTACGTACAGAGGTAGGGTGCCAAAGGCGTGCTTCTCTTTGAACCAACCGGGTCCGGACTTGACTTCGTTTGTGAAAAAGGATGTCCACTTGCCCTTTGGTAGGTAGAACTCCACCTCGCCTGACTCTTCGTAGATAGGCGCAGCGAGGAGCTGAGAGCCAACCATAAACTGGCGGTCGAGGTACCACGAGGTAGGGTCCTCAGGGAACTCAAGAGCGACTGCTCGCAAAGACATGGGAATACCGCCTTCGATAGACTCAATAGCCTGGGAGAAGATATAAGGCATCAAACGCGTCTTGAGAGCTGTCCACTTGGCCAATGTCCTGGAGCAACCCTCCTCTGTGGTATCATCATCATCGACAACCCACGGCACACGGTAAGAGTTACTACCATGCAGACGACTATGACTGCACAAGAGACCCATGGCAACCCATCTCTTGTAGATCCACGGTGGCGGAGAGCCCTCAAAACCGCCAATGTCACAGCTCCAGAAGGTAAAGCCACTGAGACCCATTGACAGGCCACCACGGACAGACTCGGCGAGGGCTTCGGGAGTTGACTCGCAGTCACCGCCCCAGACAAGAGGGAAGCGCTGTGTTCCAGCACAAGCAGCACGGGCGTAAAGAACAGCCTCGTTATCGCCATATCGCTTCTGGAGAGCCTCGTAGACAAGCTTGTTGTAGGCGAATGCGTAATAGTTGTGCATCTTGTGGGGATCAACAGTTGAGTCGTGCCATTGAACATCAAGAGTAGGAATACGCTCGCCAAAGTCGGTCTTGAGGGCGTCGACACCCTTATCAAAGAGGTCATTGAGGCACTCAGTGTACCAAGCACAAGCCTCAGGGTTTGTCACGTCCACGAGACCCATGCCTCCCTGCCACAGATCCCACTGCCAGACATCGCCATTTTTGCGCTTGAGGAGGTAGCCTTTCTCGGCGGCATGCTTGAAAGCAGCACCAGCCTGGCCGATATAAGGGTTAATCCAGACGCAAACCTTCTTGCAGAGACCGCTCTCCTTTAGACGTGAGATTTGGCCCTTGGGATCAGGGAAACGCTCAGAATCAAAGACAAAGTCTGTCCATTTGAAAGCCTTCATCCAGAAGCAGTCGTAGTGGAATACATCGACAGGAGAGCCGCGAGACTTCATACCCTCGAGAAAAGAGTTGACAGTGGCTTCGTCGTAGTTAGTTGTGAAGCTGGTTGTTAGCCAGAGACCAAAACTCCAGCTAGGAACCTTGTTTGCCTTTCCAGTGAGGACTGTGTATCTCTTGAGGACATCCTTAGGCCCGTCTCCGTAAATGATGTACATCTTGAGACGCTGGCCCTCAACGGTCGTTTGCACACGACAGCATCGCTCACTGCCGATCTCGAGATCGACTTTGCCAGGATTGTCGATAAAGACACCATAGCCACGGTTACTCATCCAGAACGAAACATTCTTGTAAGCCTGGTCGCTTGAGGTGCCACCGTCTGCGTTCCACAGAACAACATTCTGGCCAACTTTATTCCACGCACCAAAGCGCTCGCCCAGGCCGTGGACAGACTCGCCGACGGATAGAGTCGTCTGCATGAACATGTAGTGCTTGAAGTCGCGCATGTCCCCGGTCTGCAGGGGTGTGCCGGGGCCAGGCGAGTAGGCAAAACCCGTGCTCCTGTTGCCGAGGTTCGTGAGGTGCTTCTTCCCATCTGAGCTGTGGAACTTGATATCGAAGTTGTGCTGATCAGGATGGATGGTAGCTGACAGGGCGCCAGACTGAAGAGTGGTGCCCTTGTCGCCCTTGAGGATCTTGCCCTGGACCTTTGGCTGGCCGGCGGGGAAGAGATCGAAATTAGGACCTGTTCTCCGGGCGCCCTCCCAGTGTGTGCTCTCGATGGAGATGACGCCGTCCATCTCTGCCTTTATGTCGATACTCAGGGTAGGTTGGTTGAGGGTATCGCCGCGCGAGCGGATGTGCTTGACCGGGCATAGCAGATTGAGTGCCTGCTGGCCTTCGTTTGGGGTGATTTCATAGACATCTTCGGCATACTCGGTGCGGAAGTCCTGGGCTGGCAGCCACATGCCATCGCGAAGATGCATCTTCGGTGTTTAGATGGGATATGGGAGAAATATGGCGCGCTGGTATGTATGATTATCAAAAAGAAACAGAATTGAACGGAACAGCTTGGCCTTTGAATAGTGAACCCAAAGACGACAATACTGTCGTGCAACTCTCATGGTGTCACTCTCCACCTCATGATGGAACATAACCTCATAGCAGCATACGCAAATGCATCCTCCGGTTGCAATTCACCCGGTAGGTACTTTCCCCCTCACGACCCCACCATCTTATCATGACACTACCTTACTCGGAACTCTCGGGCGTCATTCGTTCGCGTCTGGAATATTTTCCATAGGATGGAGCAGTATTCGGGGATGTTCCAGTGGTGGATAAATCGTCCATGTCTACACGCTAGAGCTAGAGGCACACCCGGTTAAATAGATGGACGGGAACGGGACCTGTCTTAATCGCGGGGTTCGTGCAGGGCTAGCAGGGGGGAGCTAGGGAGCTTACAGGGCGACATCCGCTGTAAGCTAACGGCTCCATCATCCGTCTACTCCACTCCACTACTAACGGGGCCATCTTTCGACTTACACGGGTATCATCATACTGTAGCCGTTACCACCTCAGCAACTAACTCTTCTCAAGCATGATCTACACACATAGATACTTTTGCCTGCGCATTAAACGCGTACAGTTCGTACTCGCCTACCATATAATCTTCATCTTACGTTCCTCGGTCGATTCACTCGCTTCCTTTCTGCACCTGCAGCTCGTGCTAGGATATTCGGCTCGTCTTCCCATATACCCTTCACCCCACACAATCCACACCCCTTTCATATCGACCAAACATACAGAAACTCAAATCCACGAATCCCAATCCTTGGCCCGTCTCCTTCTCGACTCCTCTGCAGCTTGTGATCTGCCAATTGGTGGCGCCCCCGCATTTCCCCAGGGCCTGGGACCTCCCATCCACATCTCCATGTCATGATCTGTGCTGTCCTGTGCTTCCTCAACAGCATTCCCTGCAAATTCAAACTGAGCCCGTAATTAAACTCACATGCACTGTAACAAAACAGCATCATGATGTGTTCCTGCACGAGGGAGGCCCTGTAAACTGCAACGGTTAATTGTAAAGAGACAAGGTTCCATTGACTCTGTATAAATCATGTCGATCCCACCTCACTCTCCTCTGTATAGCTTCTTCTTCACCCTCAATTCTCCAGAATGAAGCTCTCTGGCTACCTTTGCGCGGCAGTCCTGGCCACAGCCGGCCAGGCTGCCAAGGACAAGCCCTTGTACAAGGACCCCAAGGCCTCTATTGACGACAGAGTCGAGGATCTCCTCAAGCGCATGACTATCCAGGAAAAGACGGCGCAGTTGATCCAAGGTGACATGACCAATTACCTCAACATAACCGATGAGACTGTCAACAAGACCGGCATGGAGTGGAACTTCAAGTACCGCGCCAACTCCATCTGGACCGGCTTATACGCCAATATGACTACCATCAAGAAGGCTGCCAAGCTGGGACAGGACTATTTGGCCAAGGAGACTAAACTTGGTACGTCAAAATACTGTCTATATCTTCGACTTCATAATCTAATACATTTCAGGTATCCCTGCCTTTGTCCAGAGCGAAGGTCTGCATGGCGTTTTGATCCTCAATGGCACCATCTTCAACTCCCCCATCGGCATGGGATGTTCCTTCAACCCAGAGCTTGTCGAGAAGATGGCCGATGTTATCGCTGTAGAGTCTCGGGCTATTGGTATCAACCAGCTCTTTTCTCCTCAAGTCGATCTCGCACGAGAATTGCGCTTCGGTCGAGTTGAAGAATGTTTTAGCGAGGACCCCTACCTGTATGTTCTCACAGTCAGACCAGCGGCTCGATATACTAACTTTCATGCAGCGCTGGAGAGATGGGGTACAGATACGTCAAGGGTCTTCAGGCTGGAGGCGTCTCAGCCATGGTCAAGCACTACGTGAGTCCTATCACAGCCTTCATCGATCTTGATCACTAACTTCCCAAGGCTGCCTTTGCTTCCCCTGAGCAAGGCATCAATACTGCCCCCGTTCACGGTGGTGAGCGAGAGCTGCGGTCTCTCTATCTCCCTCCCTTCAAGCGCGCCATCATCGACGGCGGCGCTACCTCCATCATGTCCTCCTACAACTCCTACGATGGTGTCCCAACGGTATCCGACCCCCACCTCCTCAATGACATTCTTCGTGAGGAATGGGGCTACAAATACTATGTCATCTCCGATGCTGGAGGCACTGCTCGTCTCGCACAAGCTTTCTACGTCTGTCCTCTCGAAGACGACGAGTGTATCACTCTCGAGGTAAGTACCCCTTGGCTTACTCTACCCGGCACACGCTCACTAGTCATAGACTCTTCCTGCTGGTAACGATGCCGAGATGGGCGGTGGCTACTGGAGTTTTGAGATCATCCCAGAGCTTGTCGAGGCTGGCAAGTTGGAGGAGAAGGTTGTCGACACAGCTGTGTCCCGAGTTCTTCGCTCCAAGTTCGAGATGGGTCTCTTTGAGAAGCCCTTCACTGGTGTTGCAGACGATAAGATCTGGGACTATGTCAACACCAAGGCCCACAAGAAGGTTGCCCGCCAGCTTGACGCCGAGAGTATCGTTCTCCTGGAGAACCACGAGAACGTCCTTCCCCTGAAGAAGGACGCCAATGTCGCTGTTATCGGCCCCATGGCCCACGGCTACGTCAACGTAAGTAATCCTCCAACCATCTTGACCAACATTTCACTAACATTAGTTAGTATGGCGACTATGTCATCCACACTGCCATGACCCGCGGTGTTACTCCCTATGATGGTATCAAGGCCGCCAGTGAGGGCAAAGTCACCTTCACCCAGGGCTGCGAGCGCTGGTCCAACGACGACTCCGGCTTCAAGGACGCCGTGGCCGCTGCTAAAGCCGCAGACGTTGCTGTCGTCGTCGTCGGAACCTGGACTCGCGACCAGAACGAACTATGGGGCGGATTGAATGCCACAACTGGTGAGCACATCGACGCCAGCAACCTGAACCTGATCGGTGCCATGCCCAAGCTCGTCAAAGCCATCATCGACACTGGAAAGCCCACTGTCGTGGTGTTCAGTTCCGGCAAGCCCATCACCGAGCCCTGGATCTCCGAGGAGGCTGCGGCTCTTGTCCAGCAGTTCTACCAGTCTCAAGAGGGTGGCCATGCTCTCGCTGATATCCTGTACGGCAATGTGAACCCCTCTGGCAAGCTCTCAGTCAGCTTCCCCTACGACGTCGGCACCACGCCCATCTACTACGACCACCTTAACTCAGCACGCGCATACCCCAACCCAGGCAAGATCTACGAGAACGGGACCCTCAAGTTCGGCAACAACTACATCCTCGAGAACCCCGAGGCGCTGTACACGTTCGGCTACGGACTGTCCTATAGCAAGTTCGACTTCTCCAAGATTTCCGTTTCCAAGAAGAACGTAACAGCGTCCGACACCGTGACTGTTTCTGTGGATGTCAGCAACAAGTCCAAGCGTGATGGCTCCGAAGTTGTGCAGCTGTACGTGAAGGACATGCTCGCCTCAGTCGACGTTCCCCGATACCAACTCAAGGGTTTCAAGAAGGTCGCTGTCAATGCTGGCAAGACCAAGACTGTCAAGATTGATCTTAAGGTCGAGGATTGGGGTCTGTGGAATCGCAAGATGAAGTATGTTGTCGAGCCTGGTGACTTTACTGTCTTTGTCGGCAACTCAAGCGATAACTTTAAGGGAAACGTGACAGTTACAGTCTCGTAAAGTTAGTTAGGCTATGTAGTAACGAGCAGAGTGCGACATTATTTGCCAATGAGTCTGTCTGGTATTGTAACAATTGGTTTTATCTCATGTTGCTGTTGGTTCAGCTTATCAAGCTGACGTTGATTGTATAATGAGCCAGTGTAAACTCAATTCGTTCGAGTAGGCTCCTTTATTGACCCAAATCAAGCCTTAGAGTAATAGCTAGAGTTCATGATCGGATATCAATGCACAGAGGCCACAGTTGATCCGGGCAGGTCGAATCAAGGATAAAACTGATGAGAGGCTCCTAATTGTCCGTAATAGTTAAAGCCACTTTAATGAGGCCACCCAATGAAAATAAAATTGGGTATTTTATCACTTGTCGCAAAGGCAAAGTGCTTTATCCGGCTTCGGCGTTTTTATCATCCGCGCATCGACCAATCAAGAGCGACCGCGACCGGAAATGTGGTCATGGGCTACGGAAGGCGGGCAGCCTCGCTTCTCGTTCCAGCTTCTCCTCGTTATCTAAGCACAATCGATTCAAAATTGCTTCTCACCAACTTTTCCGTGCCGACACGCCTTTTTCTTTTAAACCGGGGCTTTCCTCGTATACTGCGATCACCCACGACCTTTGGTCGCCTTTTTTCCTTTCTCAACGCGCCCAAGAGGCCTGGCGCTCCCTCATCGCTTTTCTCACAACCACCATCGATTCGATTGTTTAGTCCAAGATTTGCCTGTCATGGCGTCGCAGCAGGTCCTTTTTGCCGAGACAATAGCCGGCATGAAGAAAGCTTTCAAGCGGAAAACTTACGGTACGCGAATCTTGCTGCGCTTGTCGCACTTAGGGGATTGACAGCTGACCATGTCCACCCAACAGAGTCCGACTCAGATTCCGAAATCGAAAGCTATAGTAATCGCGGATACAAGCTCAAAAAGAAGGCACGCTTTGCCCGTCAAGGACAATTGGTTCCTAATAATGGTCCCAGTTCGTACAGAGAGGTTCGTTGTTTGGCAAACCCCTCCCACACAATTTCTGACTTCTCTAGTATGTTGACTACGCCGGTGTTCGACGACCAATCCTTTATCGCAATCCTCCACTAGTCGACGAAGAAGGATACGAAATAGACAGCGACGACGACGATGAGGAGCGCGTGCAGGAGGCTGAGGCCTCGGCAGCTGAGATGAATCCGTATGCCAACATCCAAATAGAGAGTATGTCAACAATCATGGAGTTCAATGGCAAAACTAACAGGCGTAGATATCCTCGCGCCACTTACTGCATCGACATCTTTGCCGATACATCCGACCCTCTCGAAACCTTTCCTATCGAAGACCCTAACTCAGCTTGTTGACCAAAGCTGCGACATCGTGCGCAAAGAAAACCACTCCCTGTGGAAAGTTAGACACCTCCTGACAGCGCTGTGTGGCGACTACACCTGGGCCCCCTGCGAGATGATGGTCCGACCGGCAGATGTCCAACTTTACACAGACAATCACACTGCGCGCCATCTGTTAGCGCTTTCCCAGGCGGTATCGGCGCTTCCTACAATCACCAATGGCGAAATGAAGCAACAAGAAAACGGTGTTGATTTGAGAAATTCTGCTCCAGACACAACTTTGAATGGAGAACCAGCCGACAAGGATGCAGCAGACGACGCGGATATAACCATGACGGATGCGGGGACCGCTGACCCAGACGATTCCCACTTGGAAGATGCCAACGAGGATGTGAAAGGCAATGCTGAGAAGGATGGTGCGGATAATACTCCCAATTTGCCGTTGCCGAACGGCAAGCAGACATTGGCTGCTCAGATCGACTTGGCAAAAGAATCCAAGGATGAACTGACAAACGGGGTCAACGAACATTCAATTGAACAAGCCAGGGACGAGAGTCAAGCGGGCAGAGCTGAGGTCTCTGTAAAACCTGTAGTTGGCCATACACATGAACACAACGAGCTGGCTGAGACAATAGCCACAGATGTGTCCATGCTCTCTGATGCGGATGATGATTTCATTCATCCCATGTTCATTGCGCCTTCAGGAGCAAGACCAGATCGAGATATCGGTTTGCCAGATCAGGAAGCAGAAGATATTCGACGACTGCTTGCTCTTTATGTGCAGAAGCAGGAAGAGGTATGCAGAGGAGCACAGAGGTTATTTCTGGGCCTCCTCAAAGCCGAGCATCTACGCAAGAATGTGCTCCACTGGTCCAAGGCAGAAGCTCACTCAGGGCCTAACCGAGACATGTCGGACGGTGAGGATTGGTACGACAAGGAGGAATGGGGCCTGGCAGAAGACCTCAAGAAGGGGCAGGACGAAGAGGAAGAGGATGTCCAAACAACGGGGAAGAAGACAAGGAACCGGCGACAATAACTACTGTCTGGTTTCTTGTTATTAATGGATGATAATGACTGGTTTTCCATTGCCGGGGTTCTTTGTTTGGGCGTTTCAAGGATGGCGTTAGGAATAAACCGCGAGATAGGCCTTGATGCCAACCGCGAGAAGAGAGCGCATTTGTTGCAACATCGATAGACATGAATATTTAAGCATATATTCGATTATTCTGGTAGATATTGTGCCTATTTCGGTCGTTAGCTGACGGAGGGTTTCCTCGGCTTTGAGACAGATGTTGTTTGCCTTGGATTCTCCCGGCTCGGCTACAGGCTACAGGGGTTTTTAGAAGTTCCCTCCTCTGGGGCTCTACACTAAATCCGACTACCTGCCATTATGACGCTGCTTGCCCGTGACCTGGACCCTCTCTCTTCCTCTTTCCACTCTCTTCCATGTGACAGCACCTACCTACCTATCCTACCTTAGCTTAGAGCTCTAAGCTCATTCATTCTTACTCCTACTCCTACTTTTTCCAACCTTGTTCTCAACAATTTGTCCTCAAGACGACAGATCTGGTCTTATTTGCTCTATTCTTTGCTTCTCTTATTCCCCGTGACTTGTGCGTGAACTTGTTACGTCAGTGATCAAGACTTCTACTCTACCACGCATTACTCTTTCCTGCTTGTTTGTCCCAGCTGTCATCATGGCTCTGGGTGTGAAAGACTTCATCGACTATGTCGACTATGATAAGCAGAGCTTGTACAGTAAGTTTTCGTCGACTTGACTTGAGTTGTTCCTCTGATTGCCAATAATGACTGAATCTGACTCAATTTCTTCGCTTCTCTCCAGTCTCTGCTGCGTCTATTGCCTTTAACCCGCTCTTTTGGAAGTGAGTCGCTTGGTCCCAATGTGATTCTACCAATGCTAACTTGTTGCTTTCAAGCATTATCGCCCGTCAAGGTATGCAAAAGCTCGCGACTCAGAGCCCGACAACCAACTGTGGACTAACACTTCTACCTGAAAGAATATCACAACAAGGTCCTGACCAAGCTCTTTGGAGGTAACTCCCAGGTTGGCTGTTATGCTCTTGCTGCCACCATCTTCTCTCTCGGTATGGTTCGCGACTTCATCTACAAGAGTGCCATTGCCGAGCAACCCACGCATCCCGCCCTTGTCAACGAGTACATGCAGGCCGCCGCTGCCACCCTCTTTATTGTCGGTAACGTCCTGGTTGTCTCTTCAACCTGGCGACTCGGCATTACTGGAACGTTCCTCGGTGACTACTTTGGCATTCTCCTGGACGAGATGGTGACTGGCTTCCCCTTCAATGTGACCGGTTCTCCCATGTACACTGGCTCTACTTGCAGCTTCCTCGCTACCGCAATTTGGTATGGCAAGCCTGCCGGTGTCCTGCTCACCCTCTGGGTTAGCTTTGTCTACAACATCGCCCTGCGATTTGAGGATCCTTTCACTTCTGGAATCTACGCCAAGCGCGAACGTGAGCGTGCTGGAAAGAAGTCCACCTAAGCGTCTGAACTGCTTCTGTCTGTACTCTTGCAAGTGAAACGAGAATGAGAGTGACAAGACGGCATACCAGCGCAGCCTAAACCGCGCATAGACAGCAGGCAAACAGAAAGAGACTGCGAGACAGCTCCAATTGGCCAACCAGTGTGCTGCAATGCACCAGGATGGCACAGGAAAGCGACGCCTTTCAACAGGCCAGGTGCCTCTCAACAGGCTTAAGGAGTTTTCGGATACAAAAGACACACAGATACCACGCCGTTGCTGACTTCGATCAGTTGACGGGCTATGGGATTAACACTTGATTTATACCAATACTAAACTCAACATTTGTAAACATGGCCACTTATAAAAAATACTATCCCGCGATAATCAATGACTACGCAAGCCCTTACTTATTCCTGGTAAGCGTCTGTACCTATTCATTCCCTTTTGGGGGAATTTTGGGTTACAGTAGTGGTAAATCTTGGAAGTCATATTCGACCTTGTTTCTATAATAGTTTACTGGTTGTAAGTCGAAAGGTATAATGTGAAGTAATAGCGTGCACATCAGACTCAAATATCATGTCAAACGCAGTTTCAAAAAGCTTTTAGCTCATCTAGTCATTCCTCATAAGTTGATTTAGGAACCTACTCTACATTCCAACAACACCGTAAACCATCTCCACAGGCTGTGCTCATGCCTATTACACAAACGATACACCGTCCAATCCCACGAATATCTTTTTATCAACAGTACGAACTCCGATTCTTCCTAAATTTCGCCCATCTATGTCTCTGAAGGCTTGTTATCGGGAAGCAGATCGACAGCAGTAGCCTCGACTGGCTTCTTCTCCTCGGCAGTCTTTTCCTCCGTTGTCTTCTTCTCAGCCGATCCCTCGCCAGTCTTTTCGGCTTCGCGGATAGCGAGCTTCTTCTGCTTCTTCTTATCCTTGGCAGCCTTTCTAGCCGCAGCCTTTTCCGCCTCGAGAGCCTTCTGCCTTCGGACCTCCTCACCACCAAAGGCCTCGCGCCACTCGTCGAGCTTGGACGCGGGGATCTGTGTGAAGAGAAGCTTGGGCTCACCAATCTTCTGGCCGGGCTTGATCATGTCACCGGTCCATGTGTCGGGAATCGAGACCAGGCCGGGGCTGCCGATCTGCTCCAGGATAGCGTCCGAAGTTGAGGGCATGTAAGGGTAGACGATGCTAGCAAGGAGCTGCAGGTGGTTGATGCCGAGACCGATGACAGCGGCGCAACGGTCAGGCTCGTCGGCAAGAAGCTGGTTGTTCAGCTTGCTATCTTGTAGAAGCTTGTTACCGAGAGACGAGATATGCATGACAGAAGCAAGTCCAGCACGAAGCTTGATGGCATCGAATTGGTCGATGAAGACCTTGAGAGCCTCGTTGACCTCCTTCTTGTGCTCTTCCAGGCGCTCATCTGTGTACTTGGTGTAGTCGGGCACAACACCATCAAACTTGGCCTGGGTGAACTTGAGGATTCGCTGGTTCAGGTTACCGAGGTTCTTGAGAAGGTCGTTGTTATTGCAGTCAATGAATTCTTGCCACTTGAACTCAGAGTCGGCAGTTTCGGGACGTCTCGAGAGAAGGTAGTATCGCCAGACATCGGGATCAATGCCAGTTTCCTTGGCAGTGTTACCAAACACGCCAACACCACGGGACTTGCTGAACTTTCCACCCTCGTAGTTAAGGTATTCGGTTGTTGACATCTTGTGGACCTTGGTCCAGTTCTCTCCTGTTCCAAGCTGAGAGGCAGGGAAGATGATGGTGTGGAATCTGCATGGATTGTGTTAGTAGTTTTTCAAACCTATCTGTCTGAGCAGATCATTTCTGTCACTATTTGAATCACTTACGGCACGTTGTCCTTGCCCATGAACTGATAGAGCTTGACATTCTCGGGGTTCTTCCACCACTTCTCCCAGTTTGTACCATCCAAATTATCGCCGTCCACCAAGTTCTTGGTGATAGAAACGTAGCCAATGCAGGCATCGAACCAGACGTAAAACACCTTCTCGGCATATTCCTCGTTGCTCAAGCCCTCGAGGTCCTGAGGAATGGGAACACCCCACTTGAGATCTCGAGTGATACCACGGGGAAGTAGTCCCTTGTCGATCCATGATTGAGTAATAGAGACACAGTTGGCGCTCCAGTCTCCCTCCTTGCTGCTCTTATGGAACCAGGGGACGAGAAGGTCCTTGATGGCGTCGAGACGGAGGAAGAGGTGCTTGGTCCTTCGCTTTTCGGGGGTGGTGCCATCAACCTTGCAGCGGGGGTTGATCAGGAAGCCAGTGGCCTTGGCCTCAACATGGTCATCCTCTGAAGCGCTGGGCTCGCGCTCAGGCTCGAAGGGGTCGATAAGGCTACCACAAGCATCGCATTGATCACCACGAGCACCGAGGTCGTGGCAGATGCTACATTCTCCCTCGACGAAACGGTCTGCAAGGAACTTGCCATGGTTAGGATGCGAACAGAAAGGCTGAGTAGTCTCGCGCTCCTCAATGTAGTTGTTCTTCCAAAGCTCCTTGAAAATGTGTTGCACAATTTGCGTCTGTTGATCGGTTGGCGTTCGGCCGAAGATGTCAAAGTCGATTCGGAACCAGTCGTAGACCCCCTTGTGAAGGGCGTGGTACTTGGCGCAAAGGTCGGCGGGCGAGAGACCTTCCTCGAGAGCCTTGGTCTCGGTAGCGGTACCGTACTCGTCGGAACCGCAGATGTAGATGGTGTTGAGGCCTCGGGCTCTGCAGTAGCGAGCAAACACGTCGGCAGAGAGGACACTGCCAATGATGTTGCCCAGATGGGGGATGTTGTTGACGTAGGGAAGGGCACTGGTGATAAGAATGTTGCGCTTGCCCTCTTGAGGGAGAATGGGTGATTTTGAAGCCATCTTGGGCAGTTTGATGTCGCAACCGCTCGATAGATGCTCGTCCAAGATGATATAAGACGGAATGTTCTTTGTTGCTGATTTTTTGTGAGTCACAGAGCCGCGATATCGCCTTTCAGTCAAAATTCGTAGCTGAGGTGGGATGGCGGGGGCGGGGTGATTGGAGATCAGCTAGGGCCGTCCTCAGTGTAAAGAGGTGCAGGGTAAGCAAACGGGCTGGGAGCAGCCAAATGAATTCTAGCATCAAGTATGATTCATAAGTTGCTCAATTACTGAACGCATGTTTACAAGAATAATTGCGAATTTAATTTATCCTTAAATTGAAGAAACATTCTTTGTCAGTGTAAATAAGCACCAGGAGTAAGTGGCTTTTCCAATCCTGTGACTACCAAAGCAGCCAGACGCTGTTTATCGATTCACTCATTCGCTATTACATTGATGCGAAAGCATCCACACTGGGCTGCGGTATGTAATCTTGGAGTCCAGGTAGTTTACCTTGGTGCCTGCCCATAAACTACGTAGGTAGATACCTACATTACATACTTTGCACTAGGCACCTTAAATACTATATATTCTAACTTCGGAGTATCCCCATGTGTCTTTATACTTCTGGCATCTCCAGACATTCATGTATGATTGAAGTGAGAAACCGTGGAGAAAACGCTATTGATAAGCGACATACTTGACCCGTGTCTACTAAGATGTGAGGATTCAACTTCCCTTTCTTCTGAACTGCTCATTAACAACCCTTCATAAGTTTGACATTTGTTTCATAACCTATCACACAACCTTGTCCAACTCTAATTGGACCTGTCAAGTGCCTCTTTCGACTAACCCACTGTGACTTCCTTCCCCATCTTGACGAGTGACGACAGTTGCCCCGCCGAAACTGGGAAGTTGCCCCGCGCCACGGCCCGCAAACCAAGCAGGAGCAAGAGCAAGAGCAACCAAGCACGACCCCACCATCCAGTCATTGCAGGAACGACATGTGCGCCTGACTACTTGGTTTGAGCTACCTTCCCTGGTTGTCATTGTTACAAGAAGCACTTATACCTCCCAAATCAACACACAAGCTGTGTCGCATCAACATCGTGTCAGAGCAAGGACTGTGACACTTTCATGACTCTTGGCTAACCCCGCATTTCCTGATCTATCACCATTCATCAGGCACTTGAAGCTTCCGAGAGCTATCGTATCAGCCTGAGATAGCATCATTCAGGCAGCATAGAGCCAGATACCGCAAAGATAGGAGCGCAACAAAAAACACAAAGAGACTGATTACATAGCCCAATATGAGTGTGTTCGCAACGGTAAGATCACCCCATTCAACTCTCATGCTTATCTACGCCGTCGCTTCAGACGTTCCTTGTTAACCATCCTGTCCCATGAGCTATTTATATGAGGCTGGGACAAGACTGATCATTATATTTCAACTCGCTGACACTCTAGCAGAAGAAGCCGTTCTCGGCCGTTACCGTTACGGTTGAGAACCTTACCTCCGAGGCGTATGAAGAGGAGGATCTTAGTGGTATTCCAGAGCTCGTTGAAGTTATTACCTTGCAAGCTACTGGTCCAAGTGAGGCAGCTCGGGCTATTCGAAAAAAGCTCAAGTATGGAAATGTCCATCGTCAGATTCGTGCATTGGTACTCCTTGATGGTCTCATCCAAAATGCTGGCGAGAGGTTCCAGCGTACCTTTGTGGACGAGCCTCTTCTTGAGCGTCTACGTGTTTGCGGGACTTCTAACCTGTCTGATATTGCCGTAAGGAACAAGTGTAGGGAACTATTCCGATCTTGGTCGCAGTATGCTGGAAGGCCCGGCCTCGACAGTCTTGCACGACTGCACAAGGTAAGCCGTCGTTACCCAACATTTTCCGTATTAGAAGCTTACTGTCACAGGAACTTCCCAAGAGAAAGCAAGCCGTCACTCAAGAGAGATCAAGAGTCCTCAGAGAAACGGAAGAAAATCCGTTCGTCGATGATGAGCAAGAAGCTGCAGCAAAGGCAGCCCGCGAAGCACAAAATACCCCAGGCCCATCTAGTGCTGCCCCGGCATCTGGCTCGACCTTTGGTCATACCTCTACCAAGTCTTCCTCCGGGTCCAGTAGCTTTTTTGGCAGTTCCAAAGACAAGAAGAAGGAGAAAGAAAAGGAGAAGAACAAGGGAAAGAGAAAGCCTTTCAATCTCGAGGCAGAGAAGGAACAGATGAAATCTGTTATCGCCGACTCCTCCATCGCTGCCACTAATTTAATGAATGCGCTTCAAAGCATTAATCGTGAGGTTGAGCGTATTTCTGAGAACCAGGCAGCCGTTGAGCGTTTTGAAGCTTGTAAGCTTCTTCGACGAAAAGTGCTGCGTTATGTAAGTCATGCCTCGATACCGAAAAGTCATTGAGCTAATTTTGTCAAGGTCCATAATGTGGAAGAGGAGCAGTGGCTGGGAGGACTACTACATGCCAATGATGAACTTGTTCACGCTCTCATGTCATTTGAGCAGTTCGATCGTTCCATCGATGCAGACAGTGACTCGGATGACGAGCTTGCTGAGCAAGCCCATTTGTACCGAAGTATGTATCGACATGGTTTTTCTGAATAGGATGCAGCTGACATTTTCTAGTGGCGACAATCAAAGGCAAAGAGGCAATGGCTAAGGCTTCTGGGCAGTCGCCAACCTCATCGCAGCCTCCGGACCTTTCTGAGCTGAACATTTCACATTCTCCTGCTCATTCTGCTCCTCCTCGTCCTCCTCCCATGTCGAAGCCTCACTCAAACCCGCCCCCTCAACCCCCAAGGCCAGCTGTAGTTTCTTCTGCGCCTGCAGACGAGGAGGAAGATGATGATCCGTTCGGTGATTCCCATGCACTTGATACACCTCAGCACGAACGTGATCAGCCCAGGTGGTAAGAGCATAAAACCTTGTGCGAACATCTGCGATCAAGCGAATCACATGAGTTTATATAATCTTATTCAATCAATCTCAATATCAACGCGTTTCTAGCAGATTATTTTTGATACACGTCTTGTATTTTAAACCACTTTACTATACATCAGCGGTTTATTAGCGGTAAAACAGGTGAGCCGTGATATGCAATGCTCAACTGTGATGAGGGTAGGTTGTATTTAGCGGTTGCTGATTGCCAGGTCAAAAACAACATACATCTTGTACAACTGACGCGAATACCATTAGCCTACCATTCCTTTTGACCTCAATTGTAGTGATCGTTTCATGAGGCTCTGCGGGTATCACGCCTATGGTGGAAATTCCCCCCCTGGCGAGCTAAGCGCAGAAAATACATTCACCGAAAAAGTTGGATAGCACAAATGCTCCATCGTACTTAGATTACACACCTCACCGTGATGAAGCCGAAGACGTTGCTTCAGTTCAGTTACTGTACATTCTATGAGAGTCTCACAGGTATCGCGGGTCTTATCGCTCCGAGAAATCCCAGACCGCTTTCAATCATTGGGTAGTTACGGTCTGATACGGCGGTGTCGCGCTGCACACTCCCCAGATGTACAACGCGTGCATCAATATGCATGAATGATGCGTGGAGTGCAGGATATACCGTTAATCCCCACAATGCAAGCAATAAGTTACCATCGACAATCTTTCGTCTTCCATTCAGATCTTGCGGTCAGTAAGCCACCTCCCACACAACAGTGGGATCTAGTTATGGCGCGTGTAAAAGGAGAAGGGAGAGGTAAACATGGTGAGAGCGCCGTATCTTGCAGATCCTGTTTGACACAACGGATGGCCCGTTTCGTGACAGCTTTGAATTACCCGTTTACGGGCATTTTATCCGACCTTTGATTATTGAGGCATGATCAGCGCAATATGTCATGATCCCTACCACACGTCAGATACGGCCGGACGGCATACAAGAAAAAGCAACGACGAGTCGCGGATGCAGATCTGCGCGTTGAAGATTGCTGGGATTGTGGCGGGTCTTGCCTGCTGGGCATCAATCTGATATGGCGGTATAAGACCTGAACCATGTCTTGGAGAAGGACGAATGCATCATCAACAACTCTGAACGCTGAAGCGAAAAAGATGTCGATATGGCACGTTCCTGAACAGCTGGCCGTAGCTTCATTGATCGACATATCCGTCTCGCTTGGATGCGCTGTGTAGCTTGTTGTTCGTCTCGCACATCTAAAGGCTCAAGGGCATGCATGGTTCACTTGATAGCAATGCCAGCCTGGTAGACCATCATCTCACGACCAGGCCACTCTGACTGACATAGTCCATGTACAGAGCATGCTGCTTGCCCCTGATAATACGGTCAAGGTCAGCCTCAGCTTGGGCGCATCGGGACGACGGTGACAGGCTGAGACGGACTGTCCAGCACCATGTCTAGCACCACAAATGCGGGAACGGGCAGGTATGCATCCGTCCTCAAACTGCACCGACGGCAATCTCAGCCCGGGCCACCATAGGAATCCACTCGTGGAGTATATCGAGTAATGGAAAGAGGCCGCAGGAAATTACATACAGTAGCAGCCCCGACAACCCAACATAGGACGAGCCCACATGATCAATCAGGGCCTTGTTGCGAGTTGCGATAAAATTGGCAGCGTTGGATTACTGGTCTTTCTCAAAGCAGCCCCCCACCTCACCGCAGTTTAGTGCGAAGGTGGTATCAGTCATTGTGACCAAATATTGAATGAATTGGTGGGTTGTATGCGAGAGTTAAAAGGCTTTCATTTCTCCCAGGTTTCTAGCGTCGTATCCGGGAAAGATGATGAAAGACACAAACGTTAATTCGGAAGAAGCAAAATGAGTTCACTGTAATTACTCCGTAGGTGCGCACACACATACAGTCGTTCAGCAGAACCCTCGTGGCAGCCATGGGCCAGAGACATCCCTGTAGTGGCCCTGAGCTGGGCCGATGTTGGCGTGGAGGGGAATTATCAACACCTGCATTTCAGCCCTGGAATAACTGATCCCATGTCACCCATTGACCTTTACAGCTCCACTGCTTCTCGAAGCCTTCCATTGTTTGTTTCATCGCCTGCGCCGCGAGCACGTACCACACGTACCTCAGACCTGAGGGTGAGGGTTGAGGTTTGGTACACTTCAGGGTCCACCCTGGAAAGACGCAGGAACACGGTGGGATACCCGGTTGGTTCTGATGATGCAAAAGATGGAGCGGAGAGCGTAGTGAAATTCATGCCTTATCAGTTAGTGGAAGAGATGGTAGGAGTTCAACTGGGAGTTGTGCGTGATCAATCTGCATGTTCTTCTCGCTGATAACACTCAGCTGGGTTTCCAGCATCAGTTGAATGTTCCCGTAATGGATGATAGATCCTTAATGTGACTGTAATCATTTTGATGCTTGAGCGATCCTTGTATTGACTGCTGGGTTTATCCTTTAGCGGACGCGGCGAATTGTCGATCACGAGCCAGTTCACGCAGCCTCCTGCCCCACGACCCAAGTTTAGAGTCGAGTCATTGCACGATTGCGCCGTTCTGTGACTTGGAAAGCTTTGATGGGATCGACAAAGAGCGTTGCAATGGGCCTGCGACATCCGAAAGCCTTGACCAGCCATGTTCTACGGCCAGACGCGGTGGAAGTTACTGATACAACAACACATGTACATGTATTTCTTGAACATTTTGATTCGAAATTGGTGTGTATTTTGCCATGAACGCTTTACAACAACGATGTTTCGGAATGACGCCTTGCTTCACCATTAAGATGCGGTTCATCTTAACGGCGCAAAAAAGCGCCTTACTGTCAGCTCCCAACATAAAGTCAAGGAAGCTATGGTTCTCAAAATAGAGACTTGATCAAGGCGACGTACGCTAGAGCGGAGAATAACGTCAAACTGTTTCATCTGTGCTTCGAAACTGAGGTGAGCGTCCGAGCACAAAGCACGAAAAGAAGGTATTCGTATTGCCACCAAGCGTTTTGCATTCGACTTACAAGCCACAAGTACGCTGTTGGGGTTGGTGCGTCGCCTTCACCGAAAATGGCGTGTGGAGGACGGGACGGGCGGACTGGAATGAGGCTCAATGAGCCACAGCTGGTCTCTTCTACCGTAGTCTTGCAAATGAAGCACTGGTACGAAAGGACTAGCAAAGACTTGCTCATGTCAAGAGGAGGTAGAATGTTGGAAATTATCTAAAGGCTCTAATAAACGTTAGGTGTCATACTTTCTTTCTTCTAGGAACTCGGAGTTCGATCATCCCTAGTTGGTTGTTGAGACACAGCCAAGGAAATGTGCCAGCAATGAGTGTCGAGTTTGGCTAAGCTCAAGCCACAGGTATTATCCAGAACGTATCAGAATTACAATGCCCTCGCTCGTCTTCCATGATGGTCTTTGTTGTAGGGTGGCTAACATGTAGGACAACAACAGGTTTTAATGAAAGCTAAAAGATGGTGGTGGTAAGGAGCCGTCCGGAACCGCAACTTTTGTTGCGTTTGAGTGTTTAAAAAAAGGCATGCAACAACTCCTCGTCACTGCAATAGGATACAAATGGAAGGATTCGCTGACCTATTCCAAGGTCAGCATTGGCATAGCGCTGGGATGCTCTGTGAGTCCTAAGAGTTGAGGTTGTAATAACAATAGTGTAGGTATCGGGTAGCCTTCTCCGTTCGATTCGCGCTAGTCAGGCCATTAGTTAAGAGTACTCTAACAAGCAACCGAATGCCAGTCCACCGCTTGAGCCGTCTGGCAATCCGCTACTATGAGGGTGTAAGTTCGATTTCGGGCGGGTAGTGCGCCATGGCTGCTACACTCAAAGCAGCCTCTCACTGACTTGGCTTCTCGAGCTTCTCGAAAGCCGCCAGAACAAACGGAAGTGATCCATGCTCCTGCAGGACGGGGTAAAATGAGAATGGGGCCCGGGGAGCATGGGGCCAGGGCCAGAGCAAGGATCATGATCAGGATCAGGGCCAAGGCGGCCGGCAGAGCACTCTTACGTAGCGGCGTAGGGGTACATGACACACGAGGTAATAATCCAATGCATGCGAAAGAATGATGTGTGAGTGGGAGAGGCCGAGCGGGATTCTGTTGTTGGTTGCAACTTGTAAGAGATCACTGTAATAGTTCTAGAGGAGCCAAGCCAAGATAAGGCAGGTTTGTCTCGTGAAACGGCTGGAAGGGTTACAAGAGGGTAAGAGAGGGGTAATAGGTGGGAGGGAGGCTTGAAAAGCACGGAAGGTGGGATGTGATGGGATGGGATGGTAATGGTCATGAAAGAAAGCTGACATGGTGTATTACCGGCAGGTACGGAGGAAGGATACGTACTCTTGCATCGGAATGAGAAAGTGGCATCGAAGGACGGAAAGAAGCTCAATGGAAGGAATAAGATGGCCAAGGGCGCAACGCTACGCTCGGACTTGCATTGTCACACAGGCGCTAGACCCGCCTATGCATTAGCATTGTTCCAAAGGGTTTCTCGAAACCTTCCTCGGTGAGCTAGCGTCACTTCCTAATTCGTAGGAGCCCCGCTGAAGACCCTTGTTAGCTTTTGAGACTACCCAACCAACGGTAAGAAGCTGAGGTAAGTCTCTGTTATCCTTGTCGCCTTTGATTCCAAAGTCTGTTAGTCTACCGCGCTCTAATTCCAGCTTCGTCTGTTCCAAGATGCACCCCTTTCTATTTCTCATTCTTACTCCTAAAATTCATCGTCCATCAGCGTCATGGTGGAGCTTGTCCGACGTTCGACATTAGACACTATTCCCTTTAGCATTTCAGTTTTAATTGTCGACTGGTATATGCGCCTGCACCTGCATCTCGCGCGCGGTACTTGCGGGGGTAGCCTATCTGACTCCCTGTGGCGGACGGCGGCTACTGCAGCAAACAGCCACAATTCCAAGCTAAGTTGCTCAGGCGGTGTGAAGCCATTTCTGCTTTCTGGAAGACAAATGGATCTTGATGAAGTCTTCTAAAGGCTGTCAGGTACGGTACTGGCGGATGAGCCCCACCTCAGCCCACTACACCTTTGGAAAGAGTCCTATACAGCGCAGGGATGTCGACTCCAACGCCGGGGAGCGCTCAGGGCATCCGCTCCGCATCCGATTGGGCACATAGTATCGCGGTCAACCTTTCACCAAGGAGTAACAAACATCCCACGAACAGGAGTCTCATGCGCACTGCATGCATTAACTGCCTAGTTAAGTTACGGACTATCGCAGGGAAAGAGCGAAATAAGGTGTGACACCGCCTTAATAGAACCACCAAGACATAGTGGGTGCAGCATGCAGTTGGATACTAACCCAGGCCCCAGGGGCAGCCTTTGTTTATCACAGCAGTCGACGGGGCAATCTGCCGACTAGCACCAACACCACCAATCGTCTCATAATGAAGAACAAAGAGAAGCCAACGTATGGCAATCAACTAACAAGTCCAGGTGATCAGATATTGAGATTGCATCACGTCAAGTCTCCTACAGGTTCAGGCAGCGCTTCCTCAAGCGTCGACTGGTCCTGGATCGCTTTCACCGAAATTCAGAGTACGCGCATGGCTGGAGATTAATTAGCGTCAACCAACAACCCAGCACTTATCGTCGCCTATGGCGCAGGAAACATTTGTCGAAAACGTTGCCAAGGGGAGAGGTGGGTTCTTAGGTGAGGCAAGCCACACTAGTCAACGACAACGCGACACCGCCTGCGTGAGATGGAACCAGGGAGCATCAGCATTGAACTCTGCCGACCAGATCTGCTCTACACGCAGCTCCCGCCCTGCCTTAGCCTGTCTGCCCCCAGCCCGACATCAGCTCTGGGCAGCTCTGGGCAGCTCTGACCATGCCCAAATTGACGGTACCCGTTTGAACTCCCTGTGAACAAACCTGGGTTATTTTGAGGGGCGCACACGCCATGCCGGCCCTGCAGGGTACAGGGAAGATTCATGACGTCGGGCCTGGTGAGTAGGGGTGGGCAGGGGAAGTGATGCGTTGTACATTAATTGCGAGCAGGGGTTCGATTTGGGGTCGAACATCAAACAGCGGGAGCTGGGTCAGAGAGAGGTCTGTTCACGATCCCGAGGGAGAGGGAAACAACATCAAAGTCTGGAAACAATCAGCAGGAGACATGCCTGATACAAGCTACAGCCTAGTTACAGCTTACACCAACCCTGCTCGCTCAGCCTATGGCGGTTCATTCATGATAAATCTGTTGTTTGGCCATACGAGGAAATGATGGAAGGTGATGGGGCGTCCACTCGCAACTAATGAACAGACGGCATAATATGTCGGCGGCCCAAATGGCATAATGATGCGGCAGTAGGAGAAACGAACGATACGATCGCCGTCTGAGGATCACTCCAGCTGACAAGGATTGGCCTGTCTTGAGATGGTCATTCTCAATAGCGACCCCGATTATTCACGACAGATGAGAAGGACCACACTCTGGTTCCAATCAGCAGCGTGGAAAGGTTCGATGCTGCACGATGCTATTCAGGAACGCTTCCAAGCCAGTCGTTGACTGAATGTCGGATTGTTATGGGCGGTGCATGGTAGGGTGAGGCGCGCCATAGCCGGGGAAGACCCTGTAAGCACCTGAAGGCACTGTGCAAATTTACTGTATGCTGTACATTGGGACGGGAGATTTCCAATTTGTGCATCGTAAAGTTGCAGCACAACGGGAACCATATCTTCCGGGAGTTAGTTGGGCACCAGGGCACTCATTCGCGTGGATGCCAGTCAGTTGAATATACTTTTTCGCTTGTTTTTTTTTTCTGCACCATTATCCATGGGTCTGGCGCTCACTGTCTGTGTATCTATCTGGTTTGCCATGCTTGGAGGGCTTGTCAAAATGCTGTCTTTCTAGATTATGGTTGTGCTTGTATCTTCATAGCCTCATTTCATGAAGCAGGTTTGGTATGAGTGAGAGTGGACGCCACCTCAATGTTCTAATCTGGCCTTCATTCTTTGTGACGTCTGTTACATGCTCATCCTGGTTGGTGAGAGGGACCTGATTATGCTGGGCTCTCAGCTGCTCGCCCTGTTATTCGAAGGCTAAGGCAAAGTACAGTGGGTGGGCAAAAGTTCCGATAACTTCGTCTCTTCTAAAATTTATAAGATAACATACATAAGTTAATTATAATAAACTCTCTTATTCTATGTGATCCTACCCTGGGATTGCTTGTAAATACTCTAATCATTATTTATTTTATAGATCTTTACGGATATGATGATATGTATTCTTCGTTGGGTCATTATCGGAATTTTCGCACGGGACCATAATGTAAAACTTAAGCAGTAAGTACACTCCATAGTGCGTGCAGTCAATGCAGGACCATGTTCCTTCTCAGCTCAGCCCGTTTACTCGTGTCATGTTTGCGTGTGGGATGGAAACCCTTCATTTTGCAGCCTCTCCACTGTCGCAGCTCGTCGATCCCTCGATTATTTCGGTCCCGTCCCGTCGAGTCTCGAGTCGAGTTCGAGTCTGCCAACCTCCGTCCTGTGCTTCGATCCATGTCACCGTGTCTTCCGTGAGATCTGGCGCACAGAGCAGCAAACCTTTTCGAAGATCCAGTTCAAACGAAACCTCGACGCAACGGTAACACGGGAGGATAAGAAGGAAAAAGAAAAGAATGAACGGGAGTGAATAGATGCTCACGCATTTCCTTCCCTGTTGTATGCTATACTGAGACGATTTTCATCTTCCTTTCTTTGTACTTCAATTACAAAGACCTGACCTTCACCTGCACTACTGTTTCCATTATCATAACCCATTGAATCTATTTCTGGCTCGTCTTGTTTAGGTCAGTTCAGTCAGGCCTGAGAGTTCTTGGCTATGCTTTATTCTTATTTCCCCAATCCCTGTCGTGTGTCTCTGCCTTACTCGAGCGCTGGTGTAGCGGTGCGGTGCGGTTCTCGCGGTCACTGGGCTGAAGTAGAGTACTGTAGGTACAGTAAATGGGAGGACTGAGGTGTTGTGTTGTTGGCTTGGCCGCTGTACTGAGTCTACGCTTCATTCCCACTACCTACGGAGTACACTACCGCTATTCACGCCCTCACGTTAGGCCCGCATCCCCTGTCGTTTTTGTCATTTTTAACCCTTGCTCAGGGGAGTGCACTGCTACTATTCATGCTCCACGCCCCCCCTACCCTCTCACCCTCCCAATAGAATCCACTTCTCACTTCCCCTTCCACACTCCCACTTTCAACTGCCTTCCATGTCACGTCCCGCCATAGGGACCCGTCCTGGAACCTGACATAAAGACTTGGCCCCTACCTGGCCCTCAATCATCGCATCAACTCCTTTGGTCTATTTTACCTTCCATACCCGTCTCTCGTTGCCTTCCTCAAAAGTCCTGATCAAAGCTGAGCTTCCTTGTCTCGGACCATTGATATCAACGCTGTATCCCAATCATCTATCCTTTTTTATACCCGTCCTTCTCTATCTCCCTTCCCGACACAGCGGTTGACCCTTCTTACGGTACCTGCGTCTAGAACTACTGGCCTGTGAACAGACCACCTCCTGATCCCTTCATCCTCACAACGAACGACTACTACATTCATCAACTGTCGCAGCTGAACCTCAGTGTAAATTCAACTTCTGAACGTTAACGAAAAATTATTGTTCTGTTGGGTTTTACCTTCCGAAGGCCTGATCGACACTGCATCACTTTGTGGAGGGTACCAGAAAAAATTTAACCATTTTTGCCTAACCCTTGCGGCATTCGTTCATCTTCCACTTTGCGCGTTTCGCCCTTACACGCCACTTGAACTTCGCATATCTGCAGAAGCATCCTGTCGCCTTTCGAAATCGTCAAACACGACAACGTTTTCCTGTCGCCGGTCGACCTCCCTCACTCGTCCGATACCTCACCGAAAAGCGGTCTGCAAGAATTTACGTCCACATTCTCGGTGCGACTATACACGTCACTCGTTTCCATACAAACGCGGAAAGGTAAGTCGCATATTTGTCTCTGGTCATGAGCGCTCGGATCGATCTTGGACACCGGCAATCTCATTCCTCGGTGACCAGTTGGGTCAGCTAAAAATGCCCTTGCATTTGCTGAACCACCTGCCGGGGTGAGATCGCAGGTGCCAGGTCCGCACCCGAAGCAAACATGGTTTTCATACATTGTCGTGATCAAGTTGCTAACCATGTATTCTTCTAGCCATCAGCTTGACCGCCTTCCTGTCGTGATCCGTCACTTGTGAGCGCCCTCGCACATCCTTTCCTAAACGCGCCACGTACCATCTTGAAGATGAGCGGCATGCGATCACCAGCTCCTACGGAGGTTATGGACATCACCAACATGCTCAATAAGAAAGGTCAAATGCAACAACTTACTTCCGGTCTCCTCGATCACCACCAATACCAACACTCCTTCGTTAAGCACGAGCCCAGTATGGAGCGATCCGCCTCTCCCCACGGTTCCGAACACTCGCAATACTCCAACCCTCACAGCATCGCTCGAGCCTACCCATCGCCTTCCACCATGCACGCGCCGATGCACATCCAAAACCCTATGCCCGCCGCAATGGGAATGCACGGCTACCCCGAGATGCCCAACATGGGTATGCCTCACATGCACATGCAGCAGATGCCTCAACAACAAGCGCCGCCTCCTCAGCAGCCCATCAAGGCCTACCCATGCAGTACTTGTGGCAAGGGATTTGCGCGACGCAGTGATCTTGCTCGTCATGGTGAGTCAACAAAGATTTAGAGAAGAGGGAGCAATGCTAACATGAACCAGAGCGCATCCACAGTGGTGTCCGTCCTCACGTCTGCGACTGGCCTGGCTGTGGAAAGCAGTTCATTCAACGGTCGGCTTTGACTGTGCACCAGCGTGTTCACACAGGCGAGAAGCCTCACCATTGCGAGACTTGCGCCAAGGTTAGTACATCGAGCCCCTTCTCCTGTAACAAATTCTAACAATTCCCAGCCTTTCAGCGACAGCAGCTCCCTTGCTCGTCACCGCAGGACTCATTCTGGAAAGCGCCCTTACAAGTGCCCTTACGCCGATTGCCAGAAGACCTTCACTCGCCGAACCACTCTTACCCGCCACCAGAACCACCACAGCGGCACCATTGAGGAGGCTGCCGCCGCTACTGCTGCTGCCCTCGCCGCATCAAAGTCTAAGGGAATGTCGCACGCTCGATCTGACAGCGACCACATGTCCAACCATGGCTCGCCAATGACGACCCCTTCCCCTAGCCAGCGAACAATGTCTATGTCGCCCAGTGTCGATCTCTCAGGCAACAACAGCATCCCTCGCCACCCTGGTGACTTCCAGTACCTGCAGCAGACCGGCTCTTTGCCTATGCACATGCGCGTTGGAAGCCCTAACTCTACCTCTTCCGGCGGGTACAACATGATGCGACCTACCTCGCACCCTACCAGCTATGGTCCTCCCCCTACTCTGGAGCCCAACCTGGATAACAGCCAGGGCACACCCAGCAGCAACGGCGGTAGTCCTCACATGGCCAACGTTGGCTGGCAATCTCCTTCCCACATGGCATCACCGTCGCAGAACAACGCCAGCTATGTGTACCCTGATCCTGCGGACGCATACCCTACCAACCCTGCCATGAACCAGATGTACTATGGTGCTGCTACGCATATGCGTCGTCCCCAGAGTGCCGAGCCCGGACTGGTGCACATGGCTTAGTTGGACCTTCTAGCAGATTCCACTGCTTGAGCAGTGCTTCTTGATCACCGTAATGACCTGGAGTGCGCTCACTGATACCCTGTATTATTGAAGCCGTGCCTGAGGCGGGCACCAAGATTATGGCCGCGTTGATTTCCTGGACTGGATTCCCATACCTCTACCGAAGCTTGCCACAGCTGATGTCAAGTTGTGTGCTTGTCTCGATCTAATATCAATCTCCCCACGCTACATCACATTTTACTCCGAACCAACACACGGGCTCGCTCCTAGACGGAGCATGTTCGGAATGTTGATTTCTACGCTTTATTGTTTTTTCTGCTTTTATCGATTCCCCTTTCACGTTTTGGATGCTTTTGCATTCCATTTGTTCAAGTATCAAATAGACTGGTGGGCGGCACTCTTATGACGATGGACAGGACATTGTCTACATGACGCAAACATAGGGCGGGAGTTACATTGGAACATTTGCTGTTTTTTTTTCTTTTGCTGAGAACATCAGACAGCAGGCACGGCATCATGGGAAGCACAAGACGCTGGCTTGTTTGTGTATTTGTTACGTAGACTTGGACTTAAGAACTGGGAGCCACATCATAGACTTTGTTTTCATGCGATGAACATTACAATACATACTCTTCACGAAATTAATTTGACCCTGCTTAAGACTATCTCTGCTGTTGTGACACGTTGCTAATTTCATGGCTTGAGCGGTCTGTCCAAGACCACAACTCGAAGCCGATCAGCGTCGGCATTTGTGGTTGAGTGACACATCAAATGTACGCAGGCTCCGATAGTAATTGTACTTGATCAGCTATTTTTAACATTGGAATAAGCTCTGTTGAATGTATGTGATCAAAATGAATTTTAATTTGAGCCTTTACCAAAAGTATTCTAGTTCTTGTCGATTCTCACCTTTATTATCGGGACATTTACATGGAATTCCGTGTACCGCCGCTCTTTTGAGCCGCATGAGGAGAGGGATCTGGTGTTTCACTCCCCACCAAGATCGACAAATTACCCTTCGTCTACTCGGTAAATCCGTCCCCGATCCAGCCCTTCAGACCACCATGACGTCCATCTCGTTCTTTGAAAGCCACGAGCACGCGAGAATAAAGCCATGCGACCGGTCTAGACCTAACCCAAAGGCTTCTAATTCTAGTCAAAAGGGCTGAAACCACGCCAATCTGAATTAAGAGCTGAAATCGAATATGACATGACAGGCATACGTAGTATGCTTATTCTCTCTCTCTCTTCTCCAGTGCTATGCCCCCCCTGTGTTAATTCCCCCGTAGTGGCCTCTCCCCGCAGAGCAGAGCGTTTTTGATTTTCTGATTATTCATCGCAGACATATTCAATATTCGGCGACAGGCCGCAACGGGCGGGGACAATGCCTGGTTCTGGACATCGCGCAGCTTTTGCTGTGCTCTATACCCGCTGCTGATACATTGGCTTTTTCTATGGCTGCATAGGTGATGGATGATGCTTGGGCTTGCCCTTTTGCTGTCAGCCCTGGTCCTGGGAGGTGAAAGGGTGAGAATCACAAAAAGAACGGACGAGAAGAGCGACAGAGAAGACGGATGTGTTCTTCCTTCTTATATATACCTCGTGGTGAAGAAATTCCTCGAAAACGGCGCTTTACCCCGTGTATCTACTGTGACTACTTTGAGAACGTGTGACGGTGATCAGCGACTTGACATTGAGATATCGATACCCTCACTCGATCGGTTTACGAACAAACATATTACACTCTTCTATCTGCCCAGACCACCCATTCTACGCAATGCTCGTGGAAATCGTCGTTCATGGAGACATACTCTGTCCATGGTGTTTCCTCCAGAAGAGGACTCTCGAAGGCGCCATGGAGCGCTATCAAGCACTTCATCCCGAGATAGAATTCGATGTCACATGGAAACCCTTCCTACTATATCCCACATTACGAAAAGGTACCACCATCACCCTCTATCTGCACTTGGCCAAGCTGACCCTTCAAAGGCGAAAAACGTGCCCTCTACGAAAAGATCATGTCCCCAGAGAAACTCCGACTCTTCACCAGTCGTCTCCAAACAGCTGGTTCCCGCCATGGCATCTCGTTCTCCGTGATCGGCACCACGGGTCCCTCACAGCTCGCCCACCGACTCCTCGCTCTAGCACTGCAGACCCACGGGACATCTACCCAGTCCGCTATGCTCGACGCTTTGTTCCGCGGGCACTTTGAGCACGGCGCTGATATCGCCGACCCGGAGTGGCTGATGCACGTAGGCAGGACGGAGGGAAAGCTCAAGGATGCTGAGATGAGGGCTGCGCTGCTGGGGCCGGAAGCGGGCGAGGAGTTACAGCAAGAGGTCAGGACTGCGTCGGTTGGGGGCGTAGAAGCTGTGCCGTGTGTTACGGTGCAGAATAGGTTTCGAGTAGGAGGGTATCAAGAGCCGGAAGTGTTTGCAGGTTTGTTTGACAAGCTACGGCGGGAGAATAGATGATTACAAACAGAGAGCGTAGAAGAGATGCCAAGTATGGACATGTATCATCAGTCATGTAAGGCTTGTCATGCAGTCTACACATTAAAAAAATGCGACGAAAGTTTTGGGTATCAAAAACATTCTCAAATTGATTGATGACCTGTAATCTGTCACTGCCTCGGCTCGCCCCCTATGTACCCTTCAGTGTCCATCTCATAATGTCTTGTGACTTTTGTTGATTAGGCCATGAATTATAAGTTCACCAGTTCCCAAACGCCCGGATCGAATAAAGCAATCCATCCGTCCCTTGAGTCTTTCACTCATTGACCAAACGCCCCAAAATAATTCAGCCTGTGATTTGCGCACTTTATCGTCGCATACCACTGTAATCTTGCATAAGATGCGCCATGTGCACATTGGTCGCCTTTCCGATCCTGTTGCCCTTGCGCCTCTTCTGAGTCTTGGGCTTGTTGGCCTGTCCGTCTTTCGCCTTGCGCGGGTCTTCACTCGTAGGCTTTTGACCCACACTGACAAGCTTGCGGTGCATCTCGTCGACGGGCGGTAGCTGGACGCGCTGCCACATGCTCTGGAACTCGGGCTGGACTTTGTGGTGCAGCGAGGCGTCGTTGGGCCACACGTATCGCGGGAGGTTGTCCTTCTTAGTGCGCACTACCAGGATTTTGTGCTCGCGTTCCAGTGCTGATATCGTGTCTTCGCAGTCGGGCCAGCCGTCCTTGAGATCCTTGACCGAGACCCCTGAAGCATCTGTCTTTGCTTGCAAATGGCCTAGGAGTGTGGTTGCGTTCTTGACACCGGGGATGATAGGTCGGTGGGAGTAGAGGCCTGTTTGCCAGGTCTGTTCGCTCAGGTTTCCGTCAGGCTTCCAGTCGACTCGAGGGTGACCTCGTAGTCCTTCCGCCAGTTGACGCTTGTGCTCTTCGTCATAGCCTCTCAAACTCAGATGGTCGATAATTTCAGTGATGGTTTTCGTGTCGCCCTTCTTTTTTAGATAATCGACAGCAAATGTCATTTGCGTCTTGACCTCGGCACCGTAGCCCGTAAGCTGGGGCTGCGAATAAGGCACATCGGGCGCTACATCCCGTTTTCGCTTGGCCGATGGGGTATTAGGGTCGGATGCAGCTGAAGGAGAGGGCGAAGCCGGGGCGGGTGCTGGCGGCGCAAGAGTTGAGGCCTTCTGGGTGGATGGGTTCGAAATCTTGGTTGCGGCGGAGGAGAGCGTGCCCTTGAAGGCGTTCGCCTGTCTTTCGAGATAGGACGACATGATGGATGAAGAGCTAACGAAGAAGAAAACCTCTTTGGACTTGTCGAAGGATCTCTAACCGTTGATGGGATCGAGACCGTGGTTGCGACAGAGGAGAGCGTGCGCTTGAAGACGATTGCCTGCCTTTCGAGATGTGACGATGGCCGAAGCAAGTAAAACAGAAAGAGTGAAAGAATGGAATTCTCCGTGCTCGTGAAAGAACCGGCCGAGGGGTTGTGCGTGTTTATAGGAAAGAGAGACGGTCGGCGTGGGCAGCGAAGAACAAAGGAATACGAAATAAGAAATAAGAGCAAGAGTTTAGTTTTGAAGTTTGGTTTAGGTTGACGTCTGATCCAAGAATAGCTAAGGAAGGAGGCTGATGGCCGGGCTTTTTAGTGTGGCGCTGCAGTGAGCAGGGGTCGCTTTGCTTGAGGTGTGCCACTGTCAATCACGAATGAGGCTTAATTGGTGAAAGTACGGAGTAAGAGGACAGCAATTACAAGCGCTGGCCTATCTTTTTCTCCAGCTTCGTATGAATCAGTTGATTTAGTGAGAAGTTGATTGCCTTGAGTTTCCAACTTCTCAAATTCTCGAAATTCATACTTTCTAATTATAACTTCAGAGTCAAGCGCCGATGTACAGCACTTTAAGCTCTCATCACCCAAGACAAAGACTCGATTGCATACGTGGTCATGACCGTGTCGTCAATTAAAACAGTGATAGATGTTTACTTTACTTTACTGCCCCCTCCCTCAAGATATCATGTCCTTTGTTCAAAACATGTCCGATGCAACACCGTGCTCCCATGGGTTCGGTCTGTCGGGTCGTTTTGTGTCTGAGTCGCGCCTCAGAAATGGGTCTCGTCTGCGATCCTTATCTCTTCGGTCGCACGTCCCGAATCCCCAACAAAAAAGTAACAAAGAAAAAAAAACACCCCGAAGAGCGGGACATGCGCATGGGTTTGCCAGGAGAATACTCCGATGTCCGCCCACTGTTCCCATCATGTCCAAGATGGGGTAAGCTGCCTTTTGGTAACCGCCTGCCCGCCGTCTATCATTGACCTCTCTTCAGGTCAAAAAAGAAAACTCCCCAATGCATGAGATTGGTCAGATGCCCTCCGACCTGCATTGATGCCGTAGTGTAGTCCAAAAAAAGAAGATCCTTTTTCTTTTCTATATCCCTTCATGTGATGGAGATGAGGCGCTTATGCGGAGGCACCTTGAGCCTCGTTCTGCTTCTGGAGGTAGTTGTAGCCCATGTAGGCACCGAAACCAACGGCGACAACGAGAGCGTATGAGATCAAGCTACCACCGGCAGGGTCAGACTTGCCGCTGCCCTGGTTCGAGTTGGCGATCTGGCGCTTGGGGCCGGAATCACCAGGCTGCAAATTGACGGGTTAGTTATTGGTTCTGCAAGGCGGAAATCGAGTAAAACTCACCAGACGCTTCAGCTCACCCACAAGGAGACCATCGAGAACCTCTCGGGCCTCGTCGCTATGGCCGACGTCCTCGAAAGCCTCGGTGGCGTCCTGGCCGGCAACGTCGAGCATGACTTCCTCACCACCGCTAAATTGATGTTAGCAACTTGCGTATACGATTGCGCAACGCAGCGCACTGGAGAATAGATCTTGGGGGTGAAAACATACGGATGCTCGTCGAGGAACTTGCTGCAGTCGTAGACCTTGTCGTGGACGACCATGTAGATGTCGCTGGAGGTGTTGTGCTCGGCAACATCCTGCATGGTGAACTCCTTTGTCGCGGACATGATTGCGGTGTTGATGGGTGATCTGTGACGGTCGTGAAGAGAATTGGAGTTGATCGGGAGGTCTTGTCGAGAGCTGTCGTCGCACGAGTGGAGGGTTATGGAAGCGGAAGAGGGTTGAGAGTGAAAAAGAAGAAAGGAAGAAGAGTAGAACAGAGCAGGAGGAGAAGACCGGAGAGTCACAGGCCCGTTAGTAAATTAATTTAGGTCCCCTGTTCTGGGTTCTAGGTGGCCTTCTGGAGATTTGGCGGGCGGGCAGGGATTCGGTTCTTTTAGATTCACCATTTAGAGTCCAAGGTATTTGGGTATTGCCCCATACGAATACTATGTACTGGGTACGTGGGCCTTTGGGGCGTCTACCTTAGTGCCTATCCTTTTTCTATTGTTTCTTCCTCGGAACGCTATCGGAAGCAAATCTAACAAGAATCGTGCTTGATAGAATCTACGGGGGTTGCATTCTGGCCGAGACACTGTCCCAGTAGTTGATCTACCTAGCTTTTATATCACCGCGGCACAAGCATGTGCTTTTGTGAACTGCTCATCACTTCTGGCCACGTCTTTTTATAACGAAATCCAAGCTCATCCTTCACCCACTTTCGAGTCCCGGGTCAACATCCGACCCCATCCGTTGAAAGGTCTCCATCGACGACGTGGGTTCTAAGCCAATCAGAGCAGTTGAAATGACCGTCTCTGTAATCTGATTCGCTTGTTTCCTTAAATCCCAGGGTTCTTAGCCTTGCCAAGCTAAGTAACTTGTACGGCTGATGGCTACTGTTGAGGCCCATGGAAGAGCCGTGGGCTTACAACAATGCGCTGTAGGGGTGCATTGACTGCTGGTGTTTTCCCTTTATTTGCTACGAGGCACATACGAATACGGCGCCCTCCTCCCCCTCTCCCAGGTCGGTACCAGTGACCACACCGTCATTTTGAACTGCGGGTTTCATTGCATTTTCATGTTTGATATGGTATGATTCTCCGTCTCTCTGACCAGATCGCGAAGCTATACTCCGCAGGGCCTCGGAATATTCTTATCCAGTTTCGTCCGTCATATTCCGCCTGATCATACTTCGGCAATGGCTGTCAGGAGAACCAACGTCAACACCAGATCTGCCCCTCCAACCCATCTATGATCTCCCCCGCATCTCAAAAACATGTCATGGAAACAATAGGGACGGTACTTTAAGACACGGACCTACTCTCCGTGCGCCGCGCGGGGTCATGTCAGCAAATTCCAACAAGCCCATGGTGAGAATTGCCTTTTTGAGAAAAACCAAGCGAAACATCTGTCATGATAGCACATGATGATAATGGTTAAGATACCCGGAGTGCGTGCCGACTCCTCTGTGAACTGCCAACTCCGAGGAACGTCACGGTACTTGTTAGTGATCACTCGCAAACCAGTACCGATGCAGATACCGATTTCCGATTCCCGAGGAAGCCATCTCTAATCTTTTTATCATCGAGATAAGCAAGATGCGGTAGATAAACGGTTCCCGTAGATGGTTTTATTCCAAGACTATTGTAGTTCAGGATCAGAAGTGACATTCGTGATTATTTGGGCAAAAGCATACGACATCTCATCAATTGACAAAATCTTGGGTCATGTTAAGATATCCGAAGTCGGCCCATATTCGATAACGATACGGCTGTAGGTCTAAATGCTCCGAAATCTTGTTTCCGGCATTCCTTCAGATGTGATCGGCCATATGACCGAGGCATTCACTGAGCTTGTCCGCACTTATTAACATACATCACACGATATTTGACAGTTGCAAATGGTCGATAGGGCTCAAAGGCTTCAGCGTCTTAGCAATAGCAGATGTTGAATTCCTGTGGCCCTGTAGGTGTCTGACTACAGTGGGTGTGTAAAAGTTCCGACAATTTCCTCTATTCTCGATTTTACAAAAGACTATATAAATTATAATAGTTAACCTCGTCTTAATTTATTTAATTATACATAATCCAATTCTAAGATTATATAGAGAGTCTGCTAATTATAATTTACTTAATATAATCATTTCTAATATAACTACCTATGTCTTGTTAGCTCGTTGTCGGAACTTTTGCACGAAACTGTAGGATACTGTACCCTGACTTGTTTATCAAGTGTATATATTCGTGTTCAATTTCATCACCGAGAAGAAGCTGTACCCTCAAAACTAGACTACAGTCCGTCTCATGTATTCTACTCTCATGCTCGTTCATGTCTATCTTTCAAATCTGCGCCTTGCTAAAAAAGAAACATGCTCTATCGCCTCGAGCTTCCGCCGCCAATATCCTGGCCCAGCCGGTAGCTCGTCACGCGGTCCCACTCGATCTTCTGCCTCGTCACCGGGAGCTGTCGTCGCAGACCCTTGAACGCTCCCTCGCTGAGGCTCACGAAGCCCTTGTTCAACTCCTCCTGGTACTTTCTCTCTGTTGTGGAAATCTCCTTGACGATTCCGGTGCCGTTGACGGAGGAGATGGTGCTGTTGACGGGCTTGTTGGTCAGGAGGCGCACGTTTCCGTCCTCGTAGTAGTGCACGTCGACTTTAAGGGAGCCCTCGAGGGTGCCGGATGAAGGATCCAGGATGTAGAGTGATCGCCAGCGTCCGTTCCTGCATGAAATTAGGTTTATGTACCCGGGACGAGCGCGAAATGGCCTACCAGAAGTTGTTGGGGCTGTATTTGTTGCCGACGATAACAATGGCGATCTTGGAGTCGGACTCAATTGGGTAGACTCCATGCGCAGCATTGGCGAAGTGTTCGTCAACGTAAGGTCCGATGCTCTTGAGGGTGGATTTACTGTGATGGGATGTTAATACCCTGGGTATTGGACCGGCGTGGTGCGACTTACACAAGATCTGCTTGAGCTCCCTCCAAGACATGGCTTTGCACAGCACTAGCTTTCTGTTCCTCGGTCAGAAATGCATTCCCACTTATTCAGTCGTGCGCAGCTTACCTGCGTGGTGTGGTCGAAGGCGAAGCTGGAAGAGCTCTCGACATCGTAGTATCGGCCGTCTCCGAGCGAGTTGTGAGAGCTAATTACAACCTACAACGTCCCATCAGTTCCAAATTGCCGTGTGTTTGATAATTGCTGGTCACCTACTGGTAGGCTGCTACCAGGCAGCTTCACCGTAACAAACTGTTCCTCATTGTACTTTTCGAACGCGGGACCAAGGCTGGAAAAGAGATCGGGGGAGTCGAGGGTGAGGGACTTGATATCTGCGAGGCCAACGTCAATATGATACGTCTCTAAGCAGCGGTGTCTCGGTGGATGGTACCTGCGACAACATCGGCGAGCTGTATTATTCTCTGTTAGCTGATGATGAGGTGGATAAGTTGAGGACGCAGGCACGTACCTCTCCTGGAGGAGCTCCCGCTACAAAGGACGAGACAGTTTCGAGATCGGACATGTTTTCAAGAGATCGAATGCGCCGTGGGATTGTTTAATGCGAAAGCGACGGGCGATGGCGTTGAGGCTCACGGCGTGGAGATTCTGAGGCACAGCATGGGCCACAGTCAAGGGGAGGCGGGGCAGGGAGGAGCTTGAGTGGAGTATGATGATGGATGCGCCGTGTTAGTGGGTGGAGTACTATACATAATTCTACTTACAACAACTCTATATTGCTTACATTAAACCAAAAAATTTACATGATGTTGACTCATACGGAACATGAGGCAACTCTTATTTGTTGTTCTGTCTGATGCATAAATCACCCTGGAGGAGGCTTTGCTAAGCATGTCGGACACAACACATCGGGGATACCTTCATACAGTACAGTTCGTGGCTTTGCTTTGCTACTTGAAGAATTTAATATCCTGAGTTTCTATTCTATAGAACTTCAGCTATTTCAGGCGATTCTGGTATCTTTTTTAGATCACCCTACGTTGCAACTCGTGTCGTGTCCTTCCGTCCCTTGTCTTTCCACCTCCGCCATTGTTCTAAACTCAGTAATCCAACAGTCTCTTGATATTGTCGTAAATTCCTAAACAACGGAGTCAGCTTCACGCAGTCTAGAAGGAGAGGAGTCTTCAAAGTAACTTACTTGCAACATCGGGAAGGTTAAACTTCTCGTATAACAAAGGCTGGTGAATACTCCATCCAGCAACTCGAGCAACGGGCGCCTCCAATCGCACAAACGTATCCGGGTCTTCTTGAATAGTCGCAGCAACTTCAGCGCCAATACCTGCGTTTACCATCGACTCATGAACAACCATGACCCGACCTGTCTTTCGAACACTCTCGAGTACGGCCTGCTTGTCCCAGGGGTATAGAGTGCGCAGGTCGATCAGCTCGATGGAAATACCGAGATCTTGCTCTGCTTGCTTGATGGCATTTTGACAGAGATAAAGAGGCTGGCCGTAGGAGACAATCGTGACGTCTTTGCCTTCCTTCAGAATCTCGGCCTTGGATAATGGGAGTTCGTACGATCCTGTAGGAACCTGCTCAACAGCAGCGCGGTAGAGAATCTTGGGCTCCATGAAGATGCAAGGGTCATTACTGCGGATTGCTGCCAGCAGGAGACCTTTGGCTTGTGCCGGTGACCTTGGCATGATGACCTTCAGTCCGGGGATATGTGTGAACAAGCTCTCAGGAGATTGTGAATGGTAGAGGCCTCCATGACCGACACCACCACAGGGCATTCGTACTGTCAAACCACCAACGCTGCGGCCACAAGATCCATCGCGATATCTGAACTTGGCTGCTTCGTTAACCAGCTGATCGAATGCTGGGTAGACATAATCGGCAAACTGAATCTCAGCGATAGGTCGCATTCCTTCCGCAGCAAGACCGATACCGAAGCCCATGATACCCTGTTCTGTAAGAGGAGTATTAAACACACGCTCAGCACCATGTGTGTCGGCAAGGTTCATAGTACATCTGAAAACACCGCCAAAAGCCACATCCTCGCCAAAAATGACCACAGATTCGTCTTCCGCTAGAGCAATCCCCATGGCATCGTTTATGGCCTGGAACAAGTTCATCTTCTTTGTCGGCCCATTGCGGATGCTTTCAGGAAGCTCCCTGTGACTTAGAGCAGTCTGCGAGTTATGTGCGAGGAGAGGAGTGGTACTGTAGTCGACAGGCAGGTTTAGTCTGGCGTTTGGCGGGTGTGTCGAGTAACATCTTCGTCCTACAGGAAGCGCGAGCGAGAGTCGAGCAGTTGAAGGGTTGCTGACGACGTGCGCCCTCTTGAACTGGTGGATAACACGGTGCTTCATGGCGATGATTTGACAATGGTTCACAGGTGGTAATGGCAGAAGATAAAGGGCAGTGAATTCAATTTAGATTTGGACTTGGATTTGAACGGCATAGCAATAAAATGATGGCGGCCGGAGAAGCAGCATATGACTATACCTTGGATATCCAAAGCCAACCGAAGGGGCTTATTGAGTGATCCTCGGCGAAAGGTGATGTCAAGCTCGGCTTGCTGCGGGGAATTGACGGCTTTCGTCGCCCTGGGCTTAAATGCTTGGATAAGATAAGTAGCCGCGTGTACTAATTAGCGATGAAGTAAATAAAACTAAAGATTTATTAAAACCAGCTGGACCAGACTTTCAATCAGGTGGACAAATCCTCATCTAATAAGAAGAGATTGGTTCTTATGCTATGGAGTACGAAGAGAACGTCTGGAATTGCAACAAGCCAAAATAAATGCAAAAAGAAAAAGAAAACCAAAAATAAAAACAAGCCTACCAAGATTAATAGCACGTCTCCCAAGCTATGCCAAGCAGCTTATTATTCCAAAAGACATGATTCTGGTTCTGATTTTAATTGTGCTGTTTGTCTCAGCTCAAGATGCCCAGAATTAGACATCTTGGTCTCATCCCAGTGCTCGGTTGACAAACTTGATACGCGAGTGTACCCTTGTAAACATAACAGACTTCTTCCATGTCCTTATCATATTATTTGGTCAAATAGTTGCACTTCCAAGCCTTTTCATCTTAGGAAACTCCGCGACCTGGTCCATGTCGTCTTGGACAGGTTTGTAGTTACGGTGGTGGGCGGGTCGTGATAGTTGCCCTGCCAACCAGCTTCCAATGACGCACGCCTGGACTAGCAGTGTGTTGTTCACTTAACAGCCTGAGACGATCGCTAAAATTCAATCCCGAAGAGGCTGCATTCCAATAACGCCCGCGACAGGTCTCAAAAATGCCACCGCCAGAGTCATCACGGCGATCCAGCTCGCAACAACCCAGGACCCGAACCAGAGACAGAGACAGAGATAGAGAACGACGGAAAAATGGACAACGGAAGAGAAAGTCGGAGAGCTCGCGGCGCCCAGTTCCAGACTCGGAGGACAATCGGGATAGAAGCTCAAGAACATTATCAGCAAATGCCTTAGCAGACCTTGAGAGGGAGAATGCGCGCCAGAAGAAACGAAGCGAACGGGCGAGTCGAGCATACAAAGGCGAATCCAGAAAACCCCCACGGAGCGAAGAATACCGGAAAATAGCCCGCGATCGTGATCCTGACAGGCCACGGACTCATGGCAAGAGCAAGAAGAAAAGGGTGGTGAGCGGAGCGATCATGGAAGAGGGACATTCAAAAGCCCATCTTCGTGGCGGTGGGGGAAGCGTTGATACTGTTGAGCAAGAGAAGGACTATTACCGATCAAAACCGCCAAAGAAGAACAAAAAGAAATTGTGTAAGTTTCATCGAATCGCCTTTGAACATATGACATACTAATTGCTATCAGGGATTGCAATTGGTGTGAGCGTTGTCGTGCTTATCCTCATCATCGTGGTGGCAGTCGTTGTCAGTAACAAGAACAAGAACAAAGATGGAGGCAGCGACAAGAGCGACAATTCAGATGGTTCAACCGATGATACCTCAGACTTGGACGGAATGGATTACTCAACAATACCTGAAAAATGGCAAAAGACATACCTCGACCCCTGGACGTGGAAGTCAACGACCGATTTCAACCTTACCTTTACCGACGAGATGGTTGGAAATTTGCCCATCATGGGCCTCTACGACGACTGGGACGATTCAGCTCAAGCCAACGAGAATGTTCCGCCGTTGAACAAACCTTGGGGCTCTTATGGCAAGAAACCTGCTCGTGGAGTCTGTATCGGAGGATGGCTCTACCTGGAACCCTTCATCACGCCCTCTCTCTTCAACTACGATACCAAGGAGCACATCATTGACGAATGGACCTTGTCGGAGAAGCTAGGCTCTGACGCCGCAAAAACATTGGAGAAGCACTACGCATCCTTCATCACAGAGCAAACCTTCAAGGACATTCAAGCAGCAGGCCTGGATCACGTTCGCATCGGCTTCAACTACTGGGCTGTGGAAGTATACGATGGTGATCCTTATGTATACCGAACATCCTGGCGATATCTTCTGCGCGCTATTGAATGGTGTCGCAAGTACGGTCTGCGAGTCAACCTAGATTTGCACGGTATTCCTGGTAGTCAAAATGGATGGAACCACAGTGGCCGATGGGGATCTATCGGTTGGCTGAATGGGAAAGATGGTTCTCAGAACGCCCAGCGCGCACTTGACATTCATGATCGTCTGTCCAAGTTCTTCGCGCAGCCCCGCTACAAGAACATCATCAGCCATTACGGTCTCGCCAACGAGCCGAGGATGACCAGCCTCAAGACAACCGACGTCATTCAGTGGACAGAAAATGCATACAAGATTGTGCGCAAGAACGGCGTCAAAGCTCTCGTAGTATTTGGTGATGGCTTCATGGGCCTCGAGAACTGGCAAGGCCTGATGACGGGCTACGACGATATGGTTCTCGATGTCCACCAGTATGTCATCTTCAACGAGAACCAGATCGACTTCACGCACCAGAAGAAGGTTGAGTATGCCTGTGACGGCTGGACCGAGCAGGCTGAGATTAGTATGGATCGGTCGACAGGTTATGGCCCCACCATATTCGCCGAGTGGTCTCAGGCAGACACAGACTGTGCCAAGTTCCTCACCGGAGTAGGCTGGGGCACTCGCTGGGAGGGCACATACGACACCGGAGACACGAGCTCATCTATCCTCGAGCCTCGATGCCCAACCAAGGACGACAAGTGCTCGTGCCGCAGTGCCAACGCTGACCCTGACGACTGGAGTGACGAGTACAAGAAGTTCCTCAAGATGTTTGCCGAGGCACAGATGCATAGTTTCGAGAAGGGCTGGGGGTGGTGGTACTGGACGTGGAAGACTGAAAACAACCACCAGTGGAGCTACGAGTCTGGTCTCAAGGCGGGTGTTTTGCCAGAGAAGCCCTGGGATCGCGACTTCAACTGCGACAAGGACGTTCCTGACTTTGAGAAGGAAGGGTTACCTGAGTATCTATAGAAGAGATGCAGGGGCGTGTTTTTGCTTTGGAGGATATACCGTGGAAGTGTGAGATATAATGGGGGGTGTTTTTTTGGCGTTGGGGTTTGGTGTATAGAGCAAGCCTGCGCATGGCCCGTATACGGAGGCCTTATGAGACGACTGAGCGAATGGATGTATGATTGGGACACGCATTGCTACAAGTTAGACAGATGGATAATGATGTTAAATAAAGAGAATGAGTTGCTGTGGATCTGTCCAGTTTTTACAACTCTGAAGTGTTCTGTGTCATGACATGCATAAATCTGGATGTATCATGTTCTGTAAATGACTATGTAAGCCGAAGAAGATGTCATGATCACCATAGGTGTCTATCTAGAAAAGTGTATCCGGTGTTGAAATCGTATTCTCAAGTCGATGGGCAAAAGCGAATCCCAACAACCGAGTCCTGGCCATAATCGAGAGAAGCCATGATACACATCCAGAGGAGTCATGAGCCGCCCAATGTGCCGATCGGGGATGTTGGTAGATCAGATCTATGACAAATCATATTACCGTGATCTGTTCTATGATTCGGTGAATAGTCGAGATACACTAGATTCCATGCATCCTGATGAGGCAAGAGTTCTCCAAGATTCAAGCCACTCATAGACAAGAACGAGACTTGGAACTAATCCTTGGCTGATAGATGCGCTATAGTTAAAGATGGAGATATTGGACTCCTTTTCATGTCTATAATAATAATTCTATAGAGTTGGTCTGGTCTCGTGACATTGATTCTGAGGTTTAATTTGTTTTACACACTCCCCCATCTGGCATCTGGCTACATCGCGATATATGAATATAAACAAGCCACGATTAGGGTCAGTTCACGAACTAAGGGATACATAAGATTCATTAGACCCAGTTATGACACCAAGTAATCACTGTACATAAAACCTTTTCCATGGCACTTTTGTACACAGCAATGAACAAAAAGAGTTGTGGTCAGCATCGAGCTACATCAGCGATAGTCCTACGCACTGGCTTATGGTCAACTTGAATAGCAATGTATAAAATTACCCCTACCACGAGTTCAAATTCACATCAAAGCAAACATGTCACATCAAAGATCATAATCATGTTCTGGACATGTGCGCCTCTTGTTTTTATTTATTTATCCTGCATGTGTTGTTGACGGAATATGTATGAGAGATCCCGATCCCAGTAACCCTTGGCAAGTCACCGGTGTCAAAAACGAAATCCAAATAAAAAATCACTCTTCTTGTCGTCTTTCATGAGATCACCTTCATTATCATCAAGTCGTCGGATGGGGAAATATCTCGAGTCAGGGTAAAGGTTGCAGAAGCAGCAAACCTCTTCTGTATCAAGTGCCGACGTGCATGTTTCTCTTCATCAGGTTGTCAGGGGTGAAATAGGGTGAGGTCTTCCTGTGCTGTTTGTCTTGTTTGTTGAGGGAGTAAAGTGAAAAAGAGAAGGGGGGAAGCCGACCACGCGCGAGGCAATCATCATCATCATCAGAGTCACCATCAGAATCATCACCAGCGAGTCACTTCATGCGGACACTTGCAAGACGAGGTAGCGGGCCTTGGCTCCGGCTCCCCTTCGGTAGTCTTGGACCTCTGCGGACAAGACCTTGACCTTGTTCTGCTCGACAAGGCTCTTCACGTGAGTCTCATAACCTCCGCTCTCCCAGATCTCACTAATGACGGTGGCCACGATGTAGCCGCCGGGCTTCACGACACGGACGAATTCACTGATAGCCTCGGGACCAACGTGAGACTGTGTAAGAGTGCCGACACATGTCACGACATCATAAGAGTCATTCTTTGCGGCCAGGGGCCGCGACAGGTCCGTCACGTCCAGGTTGCGATAGGCACCTGTAGTGCGGGCCTCGTCGAGCATGCCAGGGCTGAGGTCGACACCGTCGACCTTCTTTGCGCCCAGGCGAGCCAGGAAGTCACCGACGAGGCCGGTGCCGCAACCAGCATCCAGGATCTCAACATCCGGGCTGATAGTTTGAGTTCCTAGAGCTTGAGGCACATAGGCGGCGGCAAGGGCAGGGCCGACATATTCCTGGCCTTTGCCAGTGATCTCCTCATTGTAGGTCTTGGCCCACTCGTCGTAGACGGAGCGAGCATGATCCACAGATGTAAGGGAATAGATCTTGGGGAAGTATTGGGCTGAGGTTTGGGAAGACATGTTGAGTTGATTGGGGGTTTATAAAGGGGTAGTATTGGGATAGTAGTGTGTAAGTGTGGTGTAAGTGTAAGTGGAAGCTTATAGCTTGTAGGAAAGTGCTTATTCGTGTTGAAGACGAAGAAGAGGAAGTTGAGTTGAGCTGATGAGTTGATGATTTCAAACCCAACAACTCGAGGAAAAAGGACGACCTTTTATAACTCAATTCACAACAAGTGAACCCCGCGTCCATTCTTGTTTCCCCCCGTCTCCCCGCGTCGTAGAGGTCCCGAGATGACGTTTGAGCGTGGTGCTGTATGCGAATCCATTGGTGGGCAGATATGATGGCGACTCGGCGTAGCCCAAAGGAGTGACCCGAGGTAAGCGCCAGAAGGAAAGTGTTGAAGAATAATCAGCAGTGTTTTGAATTGACAATAATAAGTTTTCGTCATGGAAATGTGGGTTGTCAAAAAGAAACCGCCATGTTTATGTTCGCTGTGTGGTGTTGGAGGGGGGAACTTTGGATAGTGGTTAGAGGCGACAGGTAGCACAACGCAACGCAACGTTGACGGTTATGATCAGCCGAGAACTCTTGGCCAACTGGGTCAATTGAGTAAAAAGATGTGTCCTCTCGCCCCTCGCGTTCTTGTTTTATCCAGGGGCCTTTTCTGTGGCGATTTGCGATCAGTCTCTTTGTGAATACTGACAGTATCAGTGTGTTCCCTCCCCTACACCACCACGATAAACTCGAGAACCGATCGCAACAACCAGATTTGCCTAGGAATAGGTCGATCGACATGAAATAATCACTGGCTCCAGGAGAATCCAATGGGACAAGAGCCGAGCCAGCCAGCAGAAGGTTCAGCCGGTCGCGGGCGCATCATGAGTGAGCCTATGCTATGGGCCTATGGCCCTATTGCGAGAGAATTACATGCAGGGCTGCAGAGCCGCTGCCTTGTCTGCTGCACTCTCTACAGGGCAGTGCAGGTGCAGTGCCTTGGAAGTGCGTCTTAGAGTTGCGACTGAAGCTCATGGTAGAAGTGGGGTGTGTTTGAGTGTCATGTCCTTTTGTAGCTGTTGACCGTTGTGATAACTCTCGAATGTTTTCGATGCGATAGAGATTATATGCGACATATTGAGGTTGAGGGTCGGGTCACCCCTCTCATGACTCTTTAATTGCATCTGTTCGTTAACTACCTTACCTGCCCACTGCATGAAGGGACCAGCTTACCCTACAGCCCGGACCACATTGCCTGGCAATCACTGGGTATCCCTTCTGTGTGCTAACTTGCTAAGTGCTGACGGAGCTATTATTGTGGATGTGCCGCATAGTAGAAAGTGAATACCACCCTAGATACCCCTACGCATACATGTAGTCTGTGGTACAGATGCAACCAAGTGACGCCATGTACGCATGTCGTCTTGATCACCCTATCAGAACCTAGGAGAGAGGCCAAGAGATGTGGTAATTGGTTTATGGGATGCTCAAAGTTGAGCCGTGTCCAGGATGATGCAAGTAGCTCTCCAGCTCCCAGGATCTTAGCTGCTGTTGTTATTAACGGAGTCGGGCAATTAATCCATGAGCATGTGAAAATAACTGGATCTTGCAGGGTGCAAAGCGTCCCTTCATTCGATGTTAGTTGAGGTTGCATAAATGTCAGCGTGTTACAAAGCACATGTTGCTGTGACAAGTCGAATGTACTCAACGACTGAGTGTGAGCTGCACTCCGCGTATTGTACAGCCTACTTCTTTACCAGGAGCTTGACATGTTCAGAGATGCGGGGGATCATCATGAGATAATTAAGCTCATATCGGCTCTTGAGCTGCTGTCCTCGGTCCTCCCTTGATCCGGGATACTGTAAAGAGCCATCGTATGTAATCCCTGGAAAGGGTCAAAGGCCAGTTCCTTGAAATGCTGCAGCTGGTGGGTGGTACAGAAAGCCTCGACTATTTAACCAATAACATACTCAACAAGGACAAACTATGGCCCGGCCAAAGGTCCTGACGACTCCAAGTACCAACAGCTTGGTCAACTTGGCCTTCTAGAGAAAGGATTCACCCAGGCAATACAATTGAAAGAACCTTATCCCAACTCCAAGCTAGCTTGTAGATCAATCTCACAAATAAAAAATACGGAATTAGGAGTATTCATAAGCAAGCCACACCGGCAAGCTATTCCGCCCAAAACCTGGCAAACGTCTCTTTGATTGGGTGCAGTATTATAAACACCACCCACGATTTGGTCAGCATCATCAAAGCTGTGTTTTTGGGAGGGATATGATTATGGAATGTGCTCCGTATGACTCTAAATGAATGGAGATAGCTGCCATAGATAGTGGTGACCGCTTTTGAGAGTTGTATATAAAGTTGACGGGAACCATATCAGTCAACGACCTCATGTCTTGGCCTCATATCAAATATCAGGCCCTTTTCGCTTCGAGGATATACCTGACTCAATAGAACTCAAGAAGTAGCCGCAATCATAACTCGCTTATCTACGTCAATCGCCACCACGCCGCCATACCATTGACAGCCATGGATCGCGACGTCGAGAAGACGTCAACAAATTCAGGAATAATCAGCCCCGAGAAAAACGAGCCAACCTTTGCACCAATTCAATCAACGACACAAGCCACGAGAACTCGCTCACAAGCATCTATCAATCTATCGCGCTGTCAGTCCCAGAATGGTTACAGCTGCAACCCGTTCCATAACGAACCTTCCGATGATGAACTGGAGAAAGATCCCTTTGAGGTTGGATGGGAGAATGACGACAATGATATTTCATGTCCGCGCAGCCTGAACAAGATGAGGAAATGGGTTATTGTCACCATAGTGGCGTCTGCCAGTTTCTGCGTGTATGTATTCCCTTCTGATATCTCCTCTCCAAGACACATGCTGAAACCACAAGACAGAACAGCTGCCAGTTCGATCTACGCATTAACTTATGAACAGATGGAGGCCGAGTTCGGCAACTCTCGAGAAGTTTCCATATTGGGCCTTTCCCTCTTTGTTGTGGGAATCGGTCTAGGTCCCATGTTCCTCAGTCCCTTGAGCGAGTTCTATGGTCGAAGACCCATCTACCTTGTATCTTGGTCCATGTATGTTGTTTGGATCATTCCTCAAGCTGTTGCCCAGAATATTGAGACCGTGCTCGTGAGTCGATTCGTCGATGGCTTCGCTGGGAGCGCATTCCTCGCCGTGTCTGGCGGCACTGTCGGAGATCTCTTCACCATGAATGATATACAGGCGCCGATGCTGATGTTTTCGATTGCGCCGTTTATCGGTCCTTCGATCGGACCTTTGATAGGAGGTTTCATCAACTATAATGTTGACTGGAGGTGGACGCATTACGTGCTCCTTATCTGGGCATTTATTCTAGGGTTGGCGATTGCATTTCTCGTCCCTGAGACGTATCGTAAGCTTGGAGCAGAAGCGAAGCAAGGACTGCAAATAACTGACTGTTTTCTAGACCCCATCTTGCTTCGGAATAAAGCGAGACATATTCGAAAAGAGACGGGCGATGAGAGATGGAAAGCCCCAACAGAAAAGGTCCAAAAGTCTGCTATCAGTGCAATAGGGCGATCTCTTCTGCGACCCTTCCAACTCCTTATCTTCGAACCTATGTGTCTCAACCTGTGCATTCTATCAGCTATTGTTCTTGGCATCCTCTACCTCTTCTTCGGCGCCTTTCCTCTCGTATTCCGCAACATTTACGGCTTTAACCTCTGGCAGACCGGCTGCTCCTTTCTCGGCATCCTCGTGGGAATGCTGGCCGCCGCAGGACTCGACCCCGTGTGGCACCGCAACCGAAACAACCTCGTCCGGAAGCTGAGCGAGGAGACCGGCATCGAGGGGAGTAGCCAGCCCGAGTTCAGACTACCGCCGGCGATCGTGGGGGGTCTCCTGGTGCCTGTTGGCATCTTCATGTTTGGCTGGTCGTGCTATCCTTGGGTTCACTGGACAGTGCCAATTATTGGATCTGCAATCTTTGGAGCAGGGTAAGTCAAGTCGAACTCACATGAGAACAAAATCAATTGGCAGGCCTCAAAGAGGCGCAACTCGGGGAGCGCCGACATTTAGTCTTGCCATACACAAGCCCTGAGTTGTGTAATCTTCGAGACACGGGCCTGAGACAAGAACCGAACGCGCGGAATTACACTCGTATACGCAAGACGAAACAGAGCTCTTAGTCACTGCTTGGTCATGCTTCTTGATCTCGTATCCCCTGGATCTTTGCCTGATGAACTGCAGCTAACCGCTTGATACTGATATAGGATCCTCCTTGTGTTTAGCGGGGTCTTTACATTTCTTGTAAGTCCGGAACCTTCTTTGGTTTCAGGTATTACAAGTCCGCGGTAGGCTCACCGCACGTCACACAACTGCTGCAAAGCTGAATTATGACAGAAATGTGCTGGTGCTTGATGTGAACAAAAGCTGACCTTGATGGGAACAGGTGGATGCGTATCCGCAGTACGCCGCGAGCGCCCTGGCTGCGAATGCATTTGTGCGTTGCACCTTTGCGGGTAAGTCTTTTGAGTCTGTCTGTTCTCAGCATCTCATCCTTTATCACCGTCTGTCAGCCATATTTCCTCCCCCTTTGTTTGAGATTCCATATACATATACCTGTTTGGCAATATCAGATATGTCAACGCGGGGGTTAACTACACACGGAGACATAAAACAATTGCCATGCATGGATGATCGCTAAGTTATATTCTGCAGCTGCATTTCCCTTATTTGGTAACCAAATGTTCAACAAACTCGATTATCATTGGGCTTCTTCTCTACTAGCTTTCTTGACAGTTGCCATGATGCCTTTCCCATATCTCTTTTTCAAATACGGGAAGAGAATAAGGGCCACGAGCCGCTTTGCTACTTCGTAAGGCTTTGTTTGTCTCTAAGACTCGATGGAGGGAAGCCATGGATGGATAAAGCATATTCTTGTGCCTGGTGGCTGCAGGTCCTGGACTTCATCTGGTATCCGCGCCACGGAAGCTCTTGTACTGCATCTGTAACATAGTGGAGGCTAGCACACGGAAGTGCTCAACTATTGTACAACTGGAGTCTTTGATGCCTCTGAAAGACATCATCACATAGATGGGATCACTCGCAAAAAGAATGAGCGTGTTACTGCGTACTAGAGATAGGTAGTAGGAACAGCAAAAGGAAACTCCGGTACAGGGAATCGAACCCTGGGCTCCGCGGTACTGATCTCTCAAGTTATGAGAGCGCGAAATGTTAGCCACTACACCATACCGGATGTTGAGGCTCGTTATGGCTTAGAGTTTCAGATTTGAGAATAGAATCGTTCCGCCTGGCTGGTGCATGGACGAATGGCCCATGGGTCATCCAAGGGTCACTGGCTCTTATATTGAAGAGCCTCAAATGAACTTTCAACCATATCTGTATATCTGGGAACTTGACTAAAGCTCAAGTCTATTGCCAACGGTCGGTTCTACTGCCCACTGGACCGAGTTTCAAGCCGGAGGTGCTATAGCACTCAGCCCATACCAGACGTCGTCAAAAGGCACAATGTGGACCGACCACAGTTTTGGTGTGAAGAACATCCCCAAGATCAACAAGGGTGTCTCAGCCTTCCACCATGACCTAAATTTACAATCTGCAGGTCTCCATGATGCTCGGCTATCGCAGCCTCGACTCCAGGTTTTCGGTCAACAGCATGGATCGTATCATCCAACCATATGGATGCAAGCATGCTTCTACCCGCTGTGAAAAGCAGGCAAGAGTGACTAGGCACATATTGTCCATATCAAGTCAATAGGGGGTGTTAGAATTAGAACCCTTGCTCTTCACCATCTAACCAGCGGCTGTCATGCAATGCAGGCCGCAGCCGCAATGGAAAAAGCAAAGGGCGGATGGGTCTTTGCAGCTTTGTCTGTTTGACACTGGAGACTACTAGGCTTGCTGACCAGCTTTGTAATTAGAACTTGAATTGCGCCCTGATCACTAACTCTCAACTCTTTACTGGCATTGAGGTTCGCCGCGGACACTTTCTAATCGTGCGATTGACTGCTCCGTAAAAATTGCTACTCTGTACCTTGGCATGATGCAAGATACTATGCCCCCAAAGAGGTCTCTTAAACCACAGCCTTGGCAGTCTCGGTCGCCGAAGGGACGCCTCGGATAGCGAACAAACCAAGATACCGGGTATTAAATATCCAATAGAGTGCCCTGAATACTAACCAGGCTGCCTGGATGGCTCTGTCTTTCACCGTAAATAACAGGGCGTAGAACCTCAGACAGGAAATATCTTCGGCGGCCTTCCGCTTCCGCGTCCGCCGCCTAACCCCCCACATCCGGCTCCCGGGCTCGGCATTGAAGCAGTTCCGGCTGGCCGGCTTTGTCACAGCTTTGCCAGCAAATACTGATTAACAAGACGCGCTATGCATAAAGGTAAATGCATTCACAAAGGATACAGGAATTGAGAGAGTTGTACAATAGAACGCACTGCGCTGGTAGTATGGGTGCAATCATGATCCTGTCCTCTCAGCGTGCTTTTCGGGTACCTTGCTTTGACGCCGCCCACCGGCGACTCCACACCGGCCTGTCGATGGCAGACGCCGGCGGATGGCTTGCTTTACATGGGTCCTCTTTTCCTTGCTTTTTCTTATTCTCTCTAGATCGCTCACCTTGGTGGCCAGGTAGCATAAAACTGCAAACAAGCACAAGAGAAGTGTACACGTCGGTTTGAGGGGCATGGCTACTCTTTGAACTTCGCAAAGAGGTAGGTACTGCAGCTTCTGTACGAGGGACTTGATGATCAGTTAGATGCAATTGGCATCCTGCATCAAGGATCATCTGGCAGCCCGAGTTATCCAACATCAGCCCGACGCCGCACCTTGTCGCAACGGTACTGCAGTCGCACGACACTACCTACCTACCTATACATAGACCCTTGTCGTTGACGAGGTACGAATCACCACTGGCATGTTAATACAATAGAGGCTGTCGACGTGTACTCAAAACTAGGTCCAACACAGGCTGTAGAATCCTTTTCTTAGTCCTTGTCCGCGATTCACAATGCATCAGCCTAGGCCAGGTCTAGGGGTCGAGATGAAAATGTGGATGGGTGGTTGGGGAAACACAGAATTGGTTCGATGGATCAATGGAGTCGTTTTTGGCGGCTCAACGGGACCTTTTTTAGCTGGACCTAGAGCTGGAGCTGAATCGACCAGTCCCTTCTAACCTGGGACTATTGCTTGAGGCGCAGGAGGAGAAAATGTCCGTTCTATTCTTATTTTCTTGACCGCCAAAAGAAAGACTGAGTCAAGCCAGGGATTATTTACCCCGGCTTCTTTATAAAAATTCTGATCTTGTTATTAACCCCAAAGCTTCCTCACTAACAAATGAGAAGTCATCGTAGGACCAATGGACAGGCTGACAGGGCTCAAGATTCCCCCAGTTCTCCACTAGCAAACCCCGCAGTCAAACCTTGATTTTGATTGGACCAAGACTGTGTAGCTACCACTATAGCAAGTGTCAAACTGGTCGTCGCGACAGATACGTACGTACTACTATGTACTTGGGGCTGCGGCTTGCTGAGGCATAAACGAATTAGCGTCAGCCATATTAGTTCATCAAATCCACTCGAGACGCCTCAGGTTAGAATCTTTCATGATGATCAGTATGTTGGTCTTGTTGTTTACAATACTACTGAATCAATTGACTCCTCTTAATTAATACCCATGTCCTGTCAAACTGCATAGCTAGATTTCGATGTTACTTGGCTACTACGTAAAGGCAGCAGGGAAGGGGATTGGGGGCAGCTACCCACCCTGTGTGAATTTTCTTGTTGACTGAGGTTTTAGTGATAAAAACACTTACACGGAACATTGCTCCAGGCTATTCTATCATCCGCCAGCTGTTCATCTAACTTCCATCACCTCGGACCTCTACATTGGCACATGCCAATGTTGTTCAGACCGAGCCTTGGCTCTTGCAATGACTTCTGACATCGAAGAAGAGATCTTCATCCTCCTGCATGTACTTCCATGCATGTTCAACTCATTCCTTGTCCTCTAACCTCATACACTTTCTCTTGCTTTAAGGCTGGCCAACTATCCACTTTGTTGTACCAACATCACGTACTTCTGAGGTCGTCTCTACCAAGTATACAAGGTCAATTGCTACAGCATGGAGTCCTTGGCTAAAACAAGTGCAGTTAAGCACAGCATAATTACCTTACTTTAGTACCTCTTAGACACCCGCATCCTTCAATTGCCCTGCCCTGTCCTGTCCTGTCTGTGGCGCCTTCTAATCCGCCAACCAACCTGGAACAAAAGCCCACAATTCGACACCACTGCCACTGCCACTAGGTACGGATACCACCACTACCTACACCTCTGTACCTAAACCAACCGCCCTCTAGCTGTCGCCTGACCTCTGACCTCTCTGTGACTGGGTTCCGTTGGACTGGGTTCTCTTCTAACTGACCTCGAATTCGGACCACTCATTGCTGACGACTTGGTCTGCGAATTGCCTCGTTCGACTTCTCCTCTTATTCTCGACTTTATCTTTCCACCTACTCTGCTTCCATATTCGACTACTATCGCGATCCGCTTCCTCCGCGAACTCTGCGCCCGACTTTATCCCCCCGCGCCGCGCCTGGTTCGCATGCCTCATCTCTGCACAACCTTGCCTATACACTGTCACCACAGCCTGCTGCTACGGTCGCCGACGCCGTGTGAATTGCTGTAGTGCGCGTTGTTGCTTAGATTGGTCGGTGCTGGGTGCAGCCACTCCTCATGGCCCACGGGTAGCTGCATCCTATTCTTTCCTCCTCTTCGTCTTCGTCTTCGTCATCGCCAGCTTCGACATCCTTGCCGCCGTCCTTCACCAATTTCCCGTGTCGCCGTTGCCATTTTGCCGTGTCGCCTCGAGTCGCCTTAAACAGCTCCGCCTCTGCCGCTTATTCACGACTCTCCTGCGTCGAGCGATCATCGATCTAAGTTCGTCGAATCGGACTTCTACCTCATCCACATCCTCCGTCTTCCTCGGTGACTATACTCGCAGCCTCACGACCTCTCCGACCAACTATTGACAGCTTATACGTTACACGAGAACGCCTTGTTGCGCACCATATCCAGACACTTTATTGGCTTTGCACAAACACGCCCACTTCAGGATACGAGCTTGGCCGATCAGTTTCGGTCCCCATAGTAGCCAAGGCTTGATCAACCTACACGCAGCTGCATACAGCCCTCTGGCCTCGTTTGCGCCCAACGCCATAGTCCTACAGCGTCTGTACCGTACAGCCTGGCTTATTCTCCATATTACATACATCACTTACACAGCCCGCGTCAGCGAACGGCAAGGGGAACCAAGGGAAGCGCTCTGCTGCCGCATTCTTACGCCATCGTGGGGGTTATTGTTTTTGTGAACAGTACACCTTGAGACTTCGATTCGACGACGTACTTGTCCCTGCTTAGTTGTGATACCGAGGCTTGAATAAGTGTGGTTTCGCAAGAGTGTTGAAAGGAGGACAAGGCCAAGGTGAGAAACAAAAAAAGAGTTTTTGGATTCGGAGCCTGCATTACCGGGCCGCTTTGTGTTCAGCGACTCAAACAAATCTTCGGGTCGGTTAAGCTGAGAGGAGGATAATCCACTTGTCGCATTGCCTTGTGACGATCCCAGGCCTTGTATATAAAACCTAAGACACCATGCCGCACGAGATGGATGAGAACAGTGCTGAGGTCTCAGATGTTATGTCTGAGAACGAGGACGACACGGAAACTTTTCTTAAGGACGACGACGAGAAAATGACCGACCAGAGCCCTACTGAGAGCAGCGCAGAGGTCAAGAAGAAGTACGACCCTAAGGACCCCTTACGCCCAAGGAGGAAAAAGGCACGAAGGGCCTGCTTTGCGTGCCAAAGGGCTCATCTAACTTGTGGTAAGTCTTTTCGCAACAGTCTTACTGGCATCGCGTCTGAGCCGGTTACCATGGCTCGAGTTTTGGTTATCTCCCTATGGAATTGAGCCCCTGAGTTCATCAGTTAACAGCATTTTCTATGCGTACTGCTTGTGTACTTTGTGTGGTCCATTTCTATGGTAAAAGAGTCGTGGTTGAGATCAATATGCTGGACAGTTGACAGGGACTCAAGCTAACACCTTTGCAGGAGATGAGAGACCATGCCAGAGGTGCATCAAGCGAGGTCTCGCTGATGCATGTCAGGATGGTGTCCGCAAGAAGGCCAAATATCTTCATGATGCTCCTCCAGAAGCCCTTCGGCCCGTTCTGGGGCCTAATTACAACCCCAATCCCAATCCTACACCCTCACGGCCCAGCATTCGGCGCCAGGATTCAAATGCAAGCCAGTCAGATAACTTGTCAGCAAATGGAAGCAACTATTTCTCTCAGGCGAGCACTACAACTCTGCCTGTTTTCTCGACAGGAGCGCAAACGCCCGTGGGTATCGATGGGCTACCTTTTAATCCTCAAGCATCTCCGACATCCTTCCAGGCTCCAATTAGCAGCACACATGCCCCCCTGAGCAACATAATACCTACCGGCAACATGGACTTCAACGCCTTGTTCGACCCCAGCAATCCTGCCCTGTACAATTTTGATCTGGAAGGACTCAACTTTGGCAGTCAGTATGCGGGCTGGGAATTTGGCATTCTTAATAAGATGGCCTTGGGGGCCGAGACACCCCCTCGGGAGAATTCCATATCGCAAACGCCGACAACTGAGAGCACGTATGCAGCTTTGTTCGGCAATGCGAACGGAAACGGAAACGGCTTTGATCATCCCATGTTAGGGGCAGAATTCTCGGGTATGGACCAAAATAATCAATCCCTATATGCTCAGGGAAATCTCCAGCACGGACTTCCCCATGCTTATGCTATTGCAGCTGGGCCGACCAGCCTTGCCAGCCCAAGTACAGATGCTACGGCTAGCCCCCATTCTGTTGCGGGCATGGAAGGCTCGCCAGGTCATAATTTTTCTGGAATTCCTACAGTTCCTGGTGTGCAACGACACAGAGCGAAGAATGCTAGACAAGCTCCCAAATCTTATCTCGGCAAGCGACAGAGGGACTCTGCCGCTATTTACGAGAGTGTAAAGGAGCCGTATCCCTACACAACGGGATTTCACAACATGGTGGCCGTGTTACGAAATCGTCTACCTGGCAACAAGCTACTAAGAATCGCCAAAGCCTTGGGAGAGATTCGGCCGTCATTTATATCGTGTACGAAAGACTTGACCCGGCAGGATCTCATTTTCATGGAAAAGTGCTTCCAGAGAACACTTGTCGAGTATGATGACTTCCTACAACACTGCTGCGCACCAACAATCGTCTGTCGAAGATCTGGCGAGGTTGCTGCTGTCAACAAGGAATTTATCGCGCTGACAGGGTGGACAAAAGAGGTGTTGCTCGGGAAAGAGCCAAATCTCAACATTAATACGTATAGTGGGCGTTCAACCAATGGTTCCAACACGCCAGACAACAATGCCCAGGGAGACATGCCAACTCCTCGTCCCCAAAAGGCTACTCTTGATAACAGCAGCGGGCGACCCCAACCTGTGTTCCTGGGTGAGCTACTGGATGACGACAGTGTTGTGGAGTTCTATCAAGATTTCGCGGAATTGGCCTTTGAGGACAGCCGCGGTAAGGTACAGAGAAGCTGTCGACTCAACAAATACCGGTCATCCCAAAGTCTAGACATGAAGTCAGAACATGGTTCTCAAAAGGACATGCAGCCTAGCATTTTGAGCAGCCGAGTTACGCGGATTGACAGCGAACACGGTATATCGCGAATCGAAAGGGACGGCAAGGTCGAATGTACCTACTGTTGGACCATCAAGCGGGACGTTTTCGACATTCCCATGATGATCATCATGAATGTAAGTTGAGACCTTGTATCACATCATAAGTACCAAGTTAACCCTAAATAGTTCTTGCCACGATACCTACCGGACCACGGGCCCCAGCAGCTGGCAGTCTAGTTGGATATGATTACGAGTAGATTTTGAATATCCATTTTTCCTCCCTTGTTTTGTTATGGGATTCTTTCTACTTCTACAGGATGGTGAACTTTTTACGCCTTTGAGGGGGTGTTATATAAAGCCCAGAGAGAGGGAGACTGGAGTGCATGCATTCGGATAGAAGACAAGCTATTACGCTGTGCCATGATTTGTTGGTGCCGGTGCTCTCGATTCACGACAATAGGGGGTTTCGCATGATACCCGGGTAGTATTTAGCAACAGAAGCAAAACGTTAAATAACCAAAACTTCAAAGAAATTCGTCCCTTCTATGTTCCTATTCTATTCCAGAACTCCCAGCCACTTTTGTATCCTATTCCATCTCCCGTTCAAGCCATATCAATCTTAAGCATCACGGACTAGCCACTGGACATCTAATTTACCCTCTACATCCTTGCCACCAACAACGCGGCCCTTTGTGGGAGCCCAAGCTTCGCGGGCGAGACTGTTCTTTGCGACCTCGCAGTCGAAGTTGATATCTTCGATGAGGGCCTCCAGACTCTTGTAGTCCTTCTCCTCACGGATGAAGCCGAGGATAAGAAGACGCATAGTCACGTCGTAGAAGTCTGCAGTGAACTTGTGCAGGACGTGTACCTCTGCGCTGCGAACGGTGTTCTTGTAGAAGGGGTTGTAGCCGATGGACATCACCATGGGGAAGATGTGGAAGGCGGATTGGGCGGGAGCAGCGGCAGCCAGAAGAGCATCCTCTGTGTCAGTGTTGGGAGTGGTGTAGGATGAGTTTGAGGAAGGGTGGTCTGGGTGCGTTGTGGGGAGAGCGAGAGAGGCGTAGCCAAAGTAGACTCCGGAGGGGATGTCTGCGATCCAGGGAGTGAGAGCCTCATCGACGGGAAGGTTGGCGGTTGGGATGCCGAGCTGGTGGGTGTGAGTATGGTAAGATATGATATGAGTAGATGGCTGTGAGAATTTTTACCTCTTTCGAGCCACGGCCAAACCCAGAGATTACTGTTCCCTCCATGTGAAGAGGATAGGGAGCCTCAGGACCGGCGTCCGGGCCAACGACTGAAGGGCGAGAAGACATAATGATATTGTAATCACAGGAAGCAAGCTGGATAAGTGCTGTGTCTGATGGGCTTGCTATTTTCAGCTGACTATAACATGTGTAAGTATTCTGAAGTTTCGAGATTTCATGGCATATATGAGACTTACCAGAACTGAGTCTCGGTTGAGTCGTGAGAGTGAGTGAGTGAGTGAGAAGTTAATAGAAGCCGATGGTGGTTATCAAGAGTGGAGCGGAGCTGATGATGAGATCTGACGAATGGTGGGGCAGCGCGGGGCAAAGACGATGCCGACATGCGAAGGGTCGGAGGAATATATGACACCTGCTTACAAGTTACAAGTCCATAGGCTACCTAGACAAATCAAATTCACAGTTGCACGACAGGTATCACTTCCTTAACTTCTATTTCAATCCCAGTAGATTGTAGAGGAAAAGGACAGGAGATATATGCATCGATAAGGAAGAAAACCATTATGTTGATGTGTTCATGGACTGTCGTTTGAGTACAGTATTGTCTCACACAATTCGCCCGACAACGGCCCAATTGTCGCTGAAATATACGAAGTGAAGGGGCAGATCCTGGATAGACTGCTCATTGCAGATCTTCGACACAACGACTTAACGGCATACTGAATCCATACAAGCGACGCGAATTAATCTTTAGTGACGTCCTTGTAAAGATCGAGACATTGCTACTTATAGTCTTTGTGCAGCTTGTATAAGAGTCATAGTTTCCATACAACAAGAGCCGAAAAGGATGTGCAAGCCCGTCAGACTCTTAAACACATTATGCGGCTGTCTCTGGCTTGGTCTCCGTGGCCTCGGTCTGGTTACCCGGCCACTCAGTCCTGCCCAGCTTGATGATATCGCCTCCCTCGATAACCCAGTACTTGCTTGGGGCTTTGCCCTCGTGCGCCAACTGCGCAGCTCTCACGGCCGCCTTTGCGATAACGTCCGCATCCTGGCCAATGCCATCACGTATGGCGGTACTGAGACGTCCAAGACCATTGACTGCTCCCTGAGCAATAGCCTCGGCCATACGGCCCGTCTCTCTCTGGCCCAGAATCAAGCCGGGCTTAAGAATAACGGCTTGCTCAAAGTCCAGCTCCTTGATCGTATCCTCGACTCCGTTCTTCATTTTCGCATAAGGGGAGGCCGATCCGATCATGCCGCGGGTTCCTGCGCTCGAGATGAAAACGAATGTCGAGATGCCCGCAGTCTTGGAGGCTTTCGCGAGTTCCACGTTAAGATCGTGGTCGATTTTCCACTGGTTTGCGATACCGCCAGCGGCAGCGCGAGTAGTTCCAAGGGCAGAATAGACGATAGAGGGCTTGGGTGTGAGACCTGTGAGGAGGTCTGCCCACTTAGTCGTGTCGGCATCGACTATCGCATTGAGGTGGGCGGCTGTGGCCTTGGGGGCGCGTCGAGTAATAGTATGGATGGGGTTGTACATCTCAGAAGCGAGGAGGGTTGAGAGGATGTTAGAGCCGACGAGGCCAGTCGAGCCGATGATGGCAGCAGAAGGGGAAGACATTGTGTTGATTAGTTGTTGAAAGACTTTGTATGGATTGGGTATCGAATCGTGAACAGCAAGTGGGGAATGGGGGTATCAAGATGGAATTTGCAGAGGTTTAGAGAATGGAAGAATCAGGTCGGGCCAGGCACAAATTAAAGAGGGAACCAGGAACCGGCTCTTGAGGTGCCGAAGAATTAGTTGACGTTGACGTCAAAAGCTTGACAGCCCGTGCCAACCGGGAATCAGCCACAACGTTGAATTGAGTTGAGTTGGCATGTGATGTCACTAACGGTGATGCATATAGGTATTGCTCTTCTCGAAGCTTGAGATCTTTATAGCAGTACCTTAATAGCTGACCTACCTACTTAGTCTTTCAAGCTTCAACAGGAGTAAGCCATGTTGTGTAAGTTAGGTACGCTGTCAGCATCTAATCGTTCCTTACAGCCCCCCCCCCCAATCGCGTGGCTGCCCTGTCTGCAGCTGTGCTGTGTCACTGTTGTGTTACTGCTGTGGCTGACCCCTGGAAGACTGAGGAGCAAGGGTCCAAGCAGTTCCCGTCTCTCCACTTTTTATGTAACCCCACAACTCGAGAGCTTGACTTTGACTTGCGACATCATCTCTGCCTGCGTCTTACTGTTCCACGACAACATCCTATCGCCTGCGCTCCCGCTCCTTACCTCCACAACCAACTTTCTCGTTCACGCTCTCGAGTCTTTAACAAACAAATAAACAACAACAACAACATACAAACAAACAAACCACTGTCAACAATGGCTACCCAATACGAAGGTAACATCACTCAACCCCTCCTCTCTCTACCTCTACCCCTCCATCTATTCATCCAGTAGCTAACTTTCCCCTGCACAGTCGAGCACAATGTCAAGTTCTCTGAAGGCCGTCGCTCGGGCCGTCGCGTAGACATGGCCTCTTTCTTTTCCCTCCTCGATCAGATCGCCGAGCCCTCAGGCGACCAGACCCCTCAGCACAACCCACACGCAACGCCCACCCCCGTCGACACCGCCGCTCTCTTCCGCCTCCTCCAGGACCAGCTGAACCAGCTCCACACCACAGCCCCGACGAACGACAACCGCCAATTTCTCGAGTCTCTCATCCTCACCCTCGAGGACGACATCAACGACCCCCCGACTCGATTAGCAGGTGTTTCACAAGAGTTTCTCGACTCGCTCGATCGCGTGAATCGCAAGACCCTCAAGAAGGACGACGACTGTGCTATCTGCAAGGTGCCCTACCTGGAGGACGAATACTGTCTTGTGGTCGAGCTTCCCTGCCAGGGCTCTCACCAGTTTGACCTTGAGTGCGTTGGGCCTTGGTTGCGCAGTAAGGGAAACTGTCCTATGTGCCGCCAAGAAATGGGGAAGAAGAAGGAGGTCCCCATTGTTGAGGACGATGAAGAGGAGGATGGCGACATGATGTACGCATAAACAGTGGGTGTGCTAGTGACGATGTGCATAGTCTGGCGTTGGGAGTTTGAGCCACAGTGGATTTGGCATTTACAAGAGATACAAGAGATGATGAACACGTCCTCGTTTTGATATACGAATAAGTCTATGTTTGTTCTCGTTGACTGGTGCGTATGTTTACCCGTCATGTCTCAAATATCCCACATCTTTCTGCGAACATTCTATCTATATGGCTTTTATGAGATGAACATGAAACTACCTATGGAATAGATGTCCACCGTCGACTTGGGTTGGATGAGTAGCTTTATGACCAACATCGTTACCAATTAAGGTCTCCCTAGCAAATCTTCCAGAATTTCAAACTCACGACAGCACTTTGTTAGCTTCTTATATGGGTAATGTTTTGGGCGCCTCAGGGAAGTTGTATGAAGCTGTTTAGCTTGCTACCCGGAGAGGTGGGGCCGAGTGAGTCGGACGAACCGACGGTATAAGCCGGCATCATCAACCCATCACCGGAATCATAAGTGATACTCAATTACTTGTTAGAAATTCAGTACAAAACCATTGAATAACTTCATGTCATCTTTATGCAGGTCATCGACATGGTCTTTCTTATTCAAGCTCTTTCTTGTTTTGATAACTGCGAATCAATGACATGATGAGGCAATCCACAAACTACGCTTGAGCATACTCGATTGAACTTATATAATCTTGGTCTTCACGTCTGTGGCACCTTTAATTAGATTGCGTGTTGTTTTATTATGCAATGTAGACCAAATACCCCTCGTCCCTCATATTGAGGCCGTAATAAGTGTATGAGGTGCTGTTACAAGCGTTTGGGCCGTCTTTCTCATGTCTACTTGGCCTTGGGAAGACTTCCATCCTTCGGTGCACTTCCACTCCCGCTGGATCCTCCCTTCGAGATCTCCTTTCCAGCGCCCTTGGTCTTGATAGTCTTCTCGTCACCCATAGGTTTGCTGATTTCCTGGTTCGCACCACTCGCGTGCAGAGCATCCTCTCCCTCACGACCCTTGGACTCGGTCTTCTTCCTGGTCTGCTCGGCCGCATCCTCGGGCCGCGTCGTGTTGGGGTCAAAGGCAATGTCGGCGTGCTCGCCCGACATGGCCTCGTCCGTGCCGGACTTTGAGTTCTCGTTAGCGACCGGTCGGAGAGACTCGCGGTCCTGGTCGTGCTTGTAGGCCATCTGCATGCGTGTTGTTGTGTGCAGCGGGCGCATGGTGGCTGCGGTTGTGCGGAAGACACTGCGGAAGACAGACATGATGGTGGGCGGACGAATGGATGGTTGATGAGAGGATGGAAAGTGAAGTGATTCACGGGCAACTGAGTTATTATGGGTGTTTTCTGTGAGTGAGCTTCTTCTCTAGAGCAATTGGATTGTGCAATTGGTAAGTTTGAAGCTTCCGAAGCAGCTCGAGTTGGAATGATGTTATTCATACTACGTCATCGAACATCATGTCTCAGCGATCTCCAATCGTCATAATTTGAGATTACCCTACATAGACAGCTTTGGCGCCTCATGGTGATGCGATTACTAGCGAGTACTAAACACTCGGCTTATAATCACGAACCACGGTCATTAGCCGCATATGTTTGCCTAGGATGAATAAAATTCTCTCAGTCTACACAACACAGCTTTCACAACTTTGAGAATGGATATTTTGCTCCGTGATGGTAAACAAAGTGATACGGGCCAGATACCCTATAGTGAAATCTGTGAATACTGATTTTACTTTATCTTTCTTTCCATATAGCCACCCACGGGGCTTATTGACTCGTCGAGTGCCTGATGCATGCTGACGGATAACTCAACTAATATTGATAATCAACCTTGTAACGGACGCATAGAGCAAAGCTTTGTCCTCCATCCACAACTGAGTTTCACAGCTTAGTGGTAGCTCCAGCAAAACGAAGCTAATGCGTGAACCAAGTTTGTCCTATCGCTGGTTCAAGCTGGACATACCTGAGCCTGAAAGAAAAGGGTTGAGTTGGCCAAACATCAATGCAAGTTTTAATTACCCGTCAACTGTATGAGGAAGTTGTTCGCGAGTAAGTTTGAACTGAGGGTTAGTAAGAGATACATCATCCACTGCATCCTTGCTTGAATTGCCTAATATATTGATTTGACCAACTGCTAGGCCAACTACTAACTACAATAGCCACTGTGGCTTATACCTCATGTACGTACGGAGTAGTAGCTGGGACTCGGGCGGTTAAGAGTTTTCCCAACTCTTGACTGAAACGTACGATTATGATGAAAGATAACAGCATTGTGCACAAAGAGCTATGCAAAGCTAGAACTAGGTAGACTGGGCACCGCGCATTAATACGTAAGAAATCACTTACAAAGGGGCCGGTAACGACAACGTTTGGGAATAAACGCCATATCCGAGCTATAGTTCGTGCCTGGATTGTCGAGAAACGGGACAAAATAAACTTTGGTCGTAGGAATGGACTTATGCACATGCGATCCAACAACTGGAAATGTCTATTCAACCGGAGAAAGTGCCATGAACCGGAGAAAGGGTTCTTTGTCTATTCCTAAATTCCATATCAAATGCCTACCAACCCACGGCATCACCCGAGAGGCGTTTTCCAGCCACTAACGCCGCAAACCATTTGTTCTAGAACAATTTTGATGTTTTGGGTTGGAAGCCAATTCTGCAGGGTGACATTACCAAGAGCCAACCCAGAATTGCCGTTTGTTGAAGAAACCATACTTGAGGTATGATATCCGTACTCAATGGACAGTCCTTGCTTGAATGTCTTCCAAGGACGTGTGTACGGATACTGTACCTGTTTAAGCGTGTATCATGTTCAGCCGTGCTCCTCATGCCGTGTTTAAAATTGCCCCATTATCAGAGATGCAATACGAATATGCAATCACGACAAAGACTGAAAAAGTTAAAAAAGAAAACGGCTGCGGAAGCGGCGTCAATAGGAATATCAGGAGGATCAGCGGGCATGCATGGGTCGGCATATGATCCGGAGGGACTACTAATGAGTTATTGGATAGGTGAACAGACAGTCTGTGGCCTGTAGTGTAGGGTGTATTGTAGGTAGCATTTGGTCTATTACAGCCTTGTGTCTATCATGACGTTCAGAGGTAGTACCTAACGTTAGTACTACAGGTTTTGAAACACCGTTGAGGCAACCTCCATCAATGGGATATGGATCCTTTGCATCTTGATACGGCTACTGGAAATTGGTTGGCTGCAGGCTGCGTCAAAGAGGCGGACGCCGTTACAGGGGTTGTAGTGCATGCCCGTGGTTTTGCTTTTTCGTCCAACCGACAACCGTTACCTTGGCAAAAGAATCGGTGCAAGTCAAGTCAAGGTCAAGGGACATTACATGTCTGATAAGGTAATTTACACGCGACGAACTGCTGTCAATAGCTGCCATGCTGCATACCCTACTACCCTGTACCAGGCTCTGACCTGTTAAAACTCGACTTTCTCCATGTAAGCACTTACCTACCTTTGACGATCACAGTCTCGTCTCTCTGCCCGGGAGACATCATTCCCAACAGGGCAAACACACCGCATGTGCATCGGAACGCGGCAGGCCAAGCATATCCCTGGGGATTGAATAAGTCATAAGGGGCGCCACATGCAGTCCCTTAACACAACAGGTCTGCGGGCATCTCCGTCGCTTATCTGCACCTGAAAGGCGTTGACGGCTGACGGGTTTGCTGAACTCCATAAGGACGCGCGCACATGCAGACGCAACGCAGCTTGATGGAGTCGACTTGACATGTGAATAGATGGAAGTCTTCCAGAACGATGCTAGGGTCCAGGATCCTGTCAGACCTTTCTTTCAGTGGTGCTCTCAGCTCTCAGCTCTCAGCTCTCAGCGCACAAACAAACGAACGAGCATTGTTTCCCCATGCAGGGGCCCGTATCCGTAGAGCAACATGATTAGTGAGATATGAGAGAACTCTTCAAAGGCCCAACCAGCTTGATAGATGGGTAGGTAAATATGTTGGTTGGTTGGCCAGTCAGTGACAGTGTTCAAACAGCCCTGTCAACTTTGTGATTTTGGCTCAGCCAACAGAAACAAGGTATCCACGTCTGTCAGTCAGGGAAGGGTTTGATCGTCGCGTGTCAGCTTCCCCCTAGCTCTGTCATGGTTCTTGTCATCTTTCTGTTACTGTTGGTTGCGCCACGACCTTGAACATTGGAGACGATCACCGCTAGGTCTTGAATGCTAGCTAGTTAGCAATTGGTGATTAGGTACTCCGTAGTAGTAGAACAACGAATCCAGGCAGAAAGGGGATGCTTTTCCGAGGAGCCTAGTTAGCCCCAGGGGCACATCTAAATCCGAGTTTGGATTTCAAGCTGAGCCAGAGCAGATCTTTACTCAGCCTGCTGAAGGTAATTATCCCAAGGACCAATCGTGCTGATATCTATGCAATGTGATCAGGGCCTTCAGCTCCGTGATGGGAATTTGGAAATCAACAATCTCAGCCATCTCAACGCCATATCCGGATTCCTATACTAATCAGACATAACGGCGCAATTGGCCAATAAGCGACAAGGTTCACGTTGGTCATCCTGCCAGAAGGATCACCAAGCCAATATTAGCATACCGACATGTAGATCTCGACCATGGCTTGAGTGTGAATTAGGGGCGGTCCTGACATGATCAAGTGCTGATTCGCCTTCACCTTCACCTTCACCTTCACCTTCGCCGTCGGAGGCGGAGGCCAGAAGTGTAATGGTCTTGGTCATGGTCCTCGGCACGTGGATAGAAGCACTTGAGATATTACTGTGACTTGCGTCAACGGACATGAGACGGTCTGGTTTTGGTCGACTTGTCAAAGCTGATCAGTGGTTAGACTGAATCGATGGACCGCCACGCGCCGCTTGTCCACAAGCGCTACCCCTTCGGCGTCGCCGAACAAGAGTCAAAATGCGATTATGGACAAAAGGTGGTAAAACAGCAGATTTCGAACATGCCGGCTCTGAATGGCCGCTGAAGTAATGAGAACAATACAAAGGTGGGAACTACGCGGCCTGTATCAGACCAGGGAAAAAGAGAGACTGACGTGTTGACGATCATGACGGTACTTACTCCGTACATTTATCATAGTTGTATTTGCAGATTTCATACCGCTGCTGCACCAAGCGACGTTTATCCACCCTCCTTCGAGCGGCAGTGGAACCAGGATGAGTGGTACATACGGTCCCTGTGGTAGGGTAACCCGTTACAAGAGTCAGGATCCTTGTCGTGTCCCATATGAACGAACTCAACTCTGAGCCAGACGAGAACAAGAATGGGAATAACAAGAGAATGAGATGAGAGCTCACCCATGCAATGCGACAGCAACATACGGATACTTGGTACGGAGTAAGGTGAATAAGATAGAGTTGGTCAAGAGATGACCGACTGATGTACAGATTGTAGGCAACCTGGCAGGTCTGGATACCCATATCTCGAGTCTGGAGATAGACAACTTTGAGCCCAGCTGACCAGACTGTCTAACTGAATTCGTCCATCGACCAAGTCTCTCCTCCAGGATCGAAAAATCGTGCCATTGATTCCTTGTAGCCATCGTCGAATCCTCATACCATTGGGTCCTACAAGTCAAGCCAGGCCATTCCATCCCATGCTGTCAGCGCTTTTGTGGATGGACGAGTACAAGTCCGTCCCTCTCTTAGGCGTGCCATGATGGTAAATGACGACTCGGTAGCTTGCAGTGCATTTTATTGCACTGCTAACTAGTCATAGCAAAAATCGGTCGATAAGTATCGGTAGCTGTAGAGTATCTCTGCTAAGTCGAGCTGGTCGTTTCGTCTTACACGAGACGACGAGAGGAATTCGCCATCCGTTGATAAGGCTAGGTAGCATACATACAGTGTTGGCCTGGGCAAACCCCTGCTTCCCCCATTGTAAGTGAATATGGAATATTGCTCAGATATGTCAGCAATTGGGTGCTACTCTACTCTCTGACAAGCGAACGAAACCGACGATAACCACTGCTCCTCTACGAAGCAGACGTGGCCCTCGAACCTCTTTGGTGTTGTTGCTCCGTCTCTTAGCTTAGTTACGGAGCATGTGCGGACGGATATCGAGCTTCTAATCACTTTTACGGAGTACCTAGCTAGGTATCCGTACCTACTCTTGCTCTCTCGCTCTGGACCCCTGCCCCGTGGACGCGGCTGTCCGTGCTCTCTTACATTGAACCTCAAGGGAGCTAGGGACGTTGAGTCCACTTATAAGACGGAATTAACTGCACAGACCTGATTTACTTTCGGTCGTACTCCTGTCTTCAGGGCAGCGGCGTCTGTACAGAGTGCAGTAGGACAGACAGTACATACAGAGTACGGATACAGTGACTATTATACCTGGTAAACATAAGGGTCCTTGCTTGCATTGGTCCTGATATCGACGCCCGGCAAACCAAACGCAGAGTGGTATCGTTTCAACTCTTTGTTGGAACGGTGTGGCTCTCTACCATCTGAATGCTTCTGTACCTGTAACCTGTCTGCAGCAACGCTTGGCATCCTCATTGATTCGACAACTTGTAGATTAAAGGCAGATTAGTTACAGCAAACGTGCATCAGGAGGGCAAAGAAAAGTCACACTCTAAACGGACCCTACCTACACTACTGTACCAGCCTACATACATGTACTAACTTAGCTTGCCCCCCCTCTTTCCCTCCCTTCCAGTTCCTTTTAGTACACCTGCCCGCTGCCGCTATACTGGACTGCCTCTAATACTGACCTAGTACCTCACTGTCCACGCCTGCTCCGTGCCTACCGAGGGTCCCTTCTTTTCATTCCATAAACATCAAATCTTCTTCTCCCTCCCTGGAACGTTCAATCCAATCGATACACGCTCTTTCTACACCGCAATACTACTACTACTTCACACAACGCAATAACCAAAAGGCTTCACTATCAGGTATTGCTGTTATTCTTGGTACCAGAACCCTTGATTCTGGGTCCTTACACATAGTACAATCTTTGCGAGTGCAAGTCTAGGCACTTCACATCAACTAGAGCATTTGGACTTGAACATCCCACGTCTCGAAACGCCTCCACAAACCCCCCCTCTTCGCCGGGACCTCCTCCTTTTCTCCCCCTCAAAAGGTCCTTCTTTCTCCCCTCTTTCTTCCCCGAAAGTCGTACGCCGTCCCCTTCGAACTCCCGCCGCCACCAGCCTCCGAGCGACCTGCGTCAACCCCCCAAAACCCGAAACTGGAACTGCCACTACAAGGACAGGAAAAAAAAAGAAGCAGGAGAAAAAAAATCCGATTCTCGCCTCCCGTACTTTGCGCCGCCCGCTAAGGTCCAGACCCTGCTCTGTTCTCTTCCCGATTCGATTCGAACTTCACAAGCGCCCGGCCAAACCAGACCAAACCCAGCCAAGCCAAGCCTCGCCTTTGCTTCGCTGACTCTTGAGCTGCATTTGCTTCTGCTACAACTTACCCCTGCGAGTTTTTGGTCCTCTTGCCATCATCACTGCCATCACCAAGGCCGCCTCACCCATCACCGAAAACACAACTCATCATCGCAACCTTGACCGTTCTCACAAGCCGACTCTTCAATTCCCACGCTGCACACACCGCAACAGACAGTGCCCTGTGAGATACTGCCACGGCACTCCGACTCCACACTGCTCCCATTCCGTACACTCAAGACTCAGCATGGGACTTTGCTATCTTTCACGATAATTCAACGTCGTCCATCACATCGATCCCCTCACGATGGGTAACGGCCAAGGAAAGCCCGTCGACCTCAACGGTGAAGGTACGTTAAGGAACTCGGCAGCTACCTTTGATTCTATTCGTTTTCATCATCTTCCCCTTCGATTCCGCCATTGGTTCATCTTGATTCTTGTCATCCTGCAGGCCATTTTACCATATTTCAGCCGCATGTCACTTGGCGTCATCCTGTCTCCCACGTGTGTTTTGCATCCTCTACCTCTATGTTATATGGTTGGACAGCCTATTTTGCTTTCGCAGTTCCGGATTGATTATCGAAAACATGCCCAGTGAAACACGCTAACAGTTCGTTTGTAGTAAACCTAAATCACTTCCGTTTGTTGCGAGTCGTCGGCCGAGGTGCCTTTGGAAAAGTGCGAATTGTCGAGCGAAAGGACACGAACTTGTCTTTTGCTTTGAAATATATCCGGAAAGATGAAGGTAGGCACAATACCCTTATCTGTTGGCCATGCCCATGGCCTCAGAGTTGCACTTCCAAAACACATACTACTTCCATTCTCGGGGTCGATTGCCGACCAGATCTGAGTTGTAGTATATCTACCGTAGCACCGAGCTAATCGTTCTGATTCCCACAGTTGTACGATCTGAGAGCGTGCGTAACATCATCCGCGAACGTCGAATGCTGGAATATGTCAACCATCCATTCATCTGTAACTTGAGATACAGTTTCCAGGACATCGAATACATGTACGTCCAAACCCAACCTACACCGCTTTACTTTGGCTTACGCTTGATAACAGGTATTTGGTGGTCGACCTAATGACTGGTGGAGATTTGAGGTTCCATATTTCGAGAAAGACGTTTACCGAAGAGGCTGTTAGATTTTGGATCGCCGAGCTCGGATGTGCTCTTCGATACGTGCACGCTCAGAACATCATCCACCGCGATATCAAGCCCGACAACGTTCTGCTTGATGCTGATGGCCACGTTCATTTAACTGACTTTGTAAGTATTACCTATTCCACACGTAATCTATAACTGACCGAATTAGAATGTCGCATCCGATGTCGTTCCAGGCAGAACACTCACAAGCAAGTCTGGCACATTAGCCTATCTCGCCCCCGAAGTGTACGCTGGTAAGGGATACGACGTGCGAGCAGATTGGTGGTCTTTGGGTGTCTTGTTCTACGAATGTATCTACAACAAGGTATGTGGTTGTCAAACAATACCGCACGAGGTCGGCTGTGCGCATATACTGACCAAACCAGCGACCTTTCGAAGGTGGTTCTGAAGGATCTCTTAGCCAACAGATTCAGGCCGCTTCTCCCAAGTACCCTGTGACGCAACCGCCTGTTTCCCTCTCTTGCCTATACTCGATCGGCTCCGCTCTCGACCCAAACCGCGAAACTCGAATGGGATCAACATGGGAGAGTTTTATCTATAATGAATTCTTCAAGTGTTACGACTTTGAGCTTCTCGAAGCGAAACGAATCGAGCCTGTTTTTGTCCCATCCTCCGAGAAGACGAATTTCGATGCCACATACGATCTCGAAGAGTTGTTGTTAGAAGAGGCTCCCCTCGAAGCCCGCGCAAGACGCCAGAAGCCACGAGAACGCCTAAAAGATGACGCAACCGAGAAGGAGATTCGAGAAGATGAGCTATACCGTATGATCGAGACAGATTTCAGACCGTTCGACTATACAGTTGCGGCCTATAAACGGTAATCCGCCTTGCTTATTACTCGCTATTGTGTTTCATTGGCTAACTTGAACAGAATTACCGAGAGCGCTGGTGCCGGAGAAGGTGCCCCCGATTCGGAGAACGCTCCCCAGGCCATCACAACCGATGAAGCGACACCTGTGCCTGCAGCCAATGGCGGCTATCAGTCATCGCCTCTTAACCCCAGTACCAGCAACGAAAGCCGAACAGGCCGCCCTGTACGTCCCGCTCCGCCAGTACCGCCGCTACAGAACGATTTCCGAGCTCGCCATGTCCCGATTGTCGCCGGTCAGCGGATGACAAGTCCAACAGGAGGAGTACAGGTAACTCTGGACGGTGGTGGTAGCTGGTCCGAATTGGCTCGACAGGACGCTACTCTGCCCACAGACGCCAACAATATTGGTGATGGCAAGGGCGAAGGCTCAGGTGGCATGTTTGGATTCCTCAAGAGCAAGAAGGGTCGAACAAACAGCCCCAAGCCAAAGGAAAGAGGTGTACTGGGCAAAGAAGGCGCAAGAGTTGTCATCGGCTAGAAGAGGATGAATGCTCGCCATACATCAGTCGCGTACCCGAGTCGAAAGCTCAGCAACCAGTCAGCAAACTGCACGCCAATGCCAACGCCTCGAACTACAGAGCTCCATCATACGAGGAGTTCGCATTTAAGACACGACTATCAAACGATTCCCGTGGTACGTGTTTAAGTTATATGGCATATGACCAGCACCATAATAGTTGGCAGGTGGCGGATTGCTGCACTCAAGGATGAACGAGCTCGAACAGTCACGACGATAGCAGCGGCACCAGGACGATGAGAAATGGCCTCTCCACTTCATTCATTATGGCGTTCGGTCATGTTTTACGGCTAGACGCCCTTGTTGCTCCCGGCTATAGAGGGGCACTACATTCAAGGAACGACTGAATTTGTAACAGTGTGGTACGAAACTGAAGAAACAAAGAATCAATATGGGGGAGCTATGCACTTGCAGGGGCACTTCATTCATTTGAATCTGCATTGTCTGGTGAAAGTTGCAATTGCGAAGGAGTTTTTCTCTTGGGAGGGGCATTCATGGGATATATTCATATCTTACACATTATTCATACGATCGACAGTCTCAGAAGTGTCGTGTCTGAAGAGACGAATTATATACAACTGGCTGGAGCTTCATGGCGTGTAAGGAGAGACAAATGGTGGAGTGGCATGGTCATCCTTCGGAGGTGACCAGTATTTATGGTTTACTTGTTTGTTATTGTGAGCATATTTGGAATAATACCCCATTACATCTTGATTCCTGGTTTCTCGTGATTTATGAACTCACCTAACGACTGATGAATTTTAAGGCGTATAGAACTTTATTAGTGATATATGCCAGCTTTTACCCGCTCCAGCTGTCTGTGCTTTCGAACTCCATGGATGCAGGAACAATGATATCGGGATTCCATTGAAGACTTGGAGACAGCTCAATCCAGTACCAACGTCACACAATGTCGTCCGCTTTGAAACCACATGCAGAACAGCAGCTTTGAGTTCCTCTTCTGGCATCTTTCATGGGTATTTAATGCCATAGTATCGTATCTAACCACCATTACAGTGCATGAACTGACCTTAGGAAGGGTTTACGAGGCGGAATTAACTGATGAGGTCTTGTAAGCCATACTCGAGCCACGCCACTCTCATCCTCAGCAGCCAACGCTCACGTCATACCAAAACTGGTGTATACACATCTATAAGATTCTTAGTCCCTTGAGGTAGTAACGGCCGGCATTCATCCTTGGTAATCTGCTCAGCTGTTGGATCATGTGTGGCTTACGGGCTGGAGAAAACGACACACGGGCAGAACCAACACCCAAGGCTTTACGAGAAGGTCTAGACTCTTATAACCTCGGTAAAAACGCTAGCTAGCGGATGGAACTGTCCTATGTGACCCGATTAAGTGCTATCAGAGCCTGATTTGGGTTACAAGATTAATAGGGGCTGGGTGAGAGGCAACTCTGCTGGGCTGACAACGACTATCATCGATATCGTAAGAACGAAGCCTGGCAAGAGGCTCGTATAACATGGGCCCGCACGTAATGCCTCTTACAGACTGCCTTGATCTCATATTATAACCGCGGTATATTAAATTTAAAAAAAAAGCTCCAGATACAAGATGGTCGTGATATATGCAACATAATGTGAAAATGCCAGATCAACAATTTGGTCCAAAACATCAGATGTAAGTCCAAAGAAATGCCCAAGTAATACCACAAACGCAAACTTGTCCTGTGAAGCTCATATCTTATTCTCTCCCATGAAGAATAACCCTGCCCTCGACGAGTCTCTAAGAACTGTCTCTGCCTTAGCATTCGTCTCCTCCTCTATTGCTGTCTCTGGAGCCGAGCTCTCCTCTGGTGACGTCGGACTCAACAACTGTCCGTTATTTTTGAACAGGGGTACAAAGTACCGTCTGCTGGGCATCCTCTTCTGTCCTTTCGTGTTGTTGTTGAAGGCCACTGGTGGAGGCTTCTTCACCTTCGATATGGGTAGTGGCGGACGAGTGAACTCTGTCTTATCGGGAGGCGGGCTGAACTTGGTCTGAGATAAAGACAGAGGCTGCATTACATCGTGAAGCAGTTCCCTCCCGAGGGTGCTCATTGTGCAGTTAGATGATGTGCGATCTCGGGGGCCACGGGACAAAACGTCCTCTTCACTACCAGATGGCACAGGAATAGATGGAAGAGGACATTGTGGCGGGCGACTTTGCGGTAGAGGACCTTGTGGCATAGAGTTCTGGGGAAAAGGTTTGATCGGTAAACGGGGTGATGGAAGAGGTGTCCTTGTCAAAGGCGTAGTCGATTCTAGAGGCTCAATTCCCAGCATTTGGGCAGCCTTTGATGGCATCGTTGTCGGTGGCATGGGTTGAGCAGTGGCCACTCCGATCTGGGCGGTACTGATATCGTTTCCGAAAGATCGCTGTGAATACACAGACGCCGAGTCGGGGACAGACATCCGGTGATTGAAGGTATGGCGCCACGATCCACAGGTCGAACTGACAGCCGTTGTTTCTGGTTTGGAACCATTTTGATGTGGTGATGTTGCAGTATTGACATATACACCACGCTGTTGTCGACGGATGAGGTATTGTTTGTATATGAGGACAACAACAAATACCGTCACTCCGAGGACGATCCCAGCAGCAACAGTTCCTCCAACGATAGCACCCTTCTCGGCCCCGGTGATTGTACGCTTGTTCGAGTCGTCATCTTGTGAGAGTCCTTCGTCCTTCGTGGCAAGATCTTTGGAAAGCTTAGAGCTTTCTAGTATATGGTATACTAGTGACTTCACATCTTCCCTACTCAACCCTGGTTCTCTTGCTGTCGTCGGCCTCGCTTCTGCATACTGAGTAATAAGGATACCCAGAAGATATGTTGAGATTCGCGTCCAATAATTCATAGTGTCCATGGTAGTTGTTCGCGGTATTGTTGTATTTCGAAGCCATATTGAAACTCCTCCTGAACCACGGGGTTTATCAGCATATAAATTATCGATTGACCGTTGTGTCTTCGAGGCTCTTCAATTTTAACATTGAAAGCAATGCAAGAATAGAATCATATTGCTCGGGTCGACAAAGAGTCTTGAATCATGTCGCCTCGAGGAACCATCTCGAGGCAGCTTTGTTATATCATCTTACGAGATATTTCGTTCACATCGTACTGGGATATCGAGCCGTTTTCGTTCATTCTCAAAGAAGCCCATTTAAGCATCGTGTTTCATCGTCCGATCGATATCGTTGAATAAAGAGTTCCGGGTAATAATAGTCTCGAAGAACAAAGGATTGCTGAGATCAACATTTTATATGCATTGACCTCTCGGCTTGCACGAAGTTTAAATGGAGGTTTTATGTTTCTTTGACGGTGAAAATAGAAATACAACATGAGTCCTTCTTGCAACACTTCCTAGTATGAGTAACGAAGCAGCAGCACGCGGCACATTTAAGGCTATGGTATCACAGATATGCAGGGTGATGGTGTTGAGATAAGGTTACAGAGTAACAGCCCTGGTTTGATATGCGGCCGTTTCTTCTGCAACACGCATAGTGCATTTCTTGGATCTCCGGACTGATAAAACATAGTACAGCCGTACCCATGCTGTGATTGGGAGCCCAGCTATCTAATCTCGAGCCTTCGAGGGCTTTGATGGCGATGAGGGGCTGATAGCCACGTAGGAATGCAGAGATGACTCGCATCAAGCCGTGCAAGAGACGGCACAACACATAAAGTCTCAACATCCCCAACTTTCTTGTGAGACCAACGCCCTATAGCTATTCGCTATAGACTGGCACGGCAGATGAGCCAGCGATCAAAGAGACCATTGCCATCGACCGTCATCAAAAGATCTGGTGTTGGCCAAGTGGTCCCTAAGCACGCAGGATTCGAGGGAAACCTCAAGACAATGATCTCGCCAACGAGATTATTGCGGCCTCGATAATCTCATGACGGTCCATTGCCTCCGTGACCAACCCACTGCCTGACGATCACAGCCTTAGACGCCAAGGTCAACCGAGCAGCATGCTGCAGCAGGCTTCTCGAGATAGGAGATAACATGGTCTCGTCCGGAGTCTTGAATCCCTTGACCCCCAACCAAGACCCCCACCTCGCGGCAAAGCAATGCTGGACTTGGTTCCCCAAATCATATCCTGCTTGTCCTTTCTTGTGTGCTTATTTCCACCGGTTGCAAGGAAGCAAAAGCCCGGATCCGAGGGCTCAAAGGGTGTTTCTAGCACCGAGACAGTTTTCATCCTTGGAATTGTCTCTGTTGATAGGCGTCTTGCGGAGGGATTTGACCGAAGCTAGAGAACTGTCACGCCGGGAGCAATTTGGTCCACGACAAGCTTACCACTCGTCTTCCTTGTTGGTCTCTGCCGCTCAGAGGCATCTCACATGTTGATTTGCGGGCTAGGTGAGCGTTGCGGGCGTTAGAACGGCGCTGAGAGATCTGATCGGTCAACCCACTCTTAATGCCTGGGGGGACAGCAGGAGGCATGACATATTAATATCTGTCTCTATCTTTGGCCCACACCGCTATAGTGGGGCGACACTCCGGACTGTTCTGCGAGATCCGCCCAAGAGTTAAGTTAACCTCCAAATTGTCTCGTCCTTGAACATGTTACAGATCGTACTCCGTATACTCACAGGAGAAGAGACTTGATTTGCTCTTCACAGCCCCCGGGTTTCCCCTTGAAGACCTTCCGAACCTTTGATCCCTGAACAACCAGCCTGACAGGCTGAGCGGCGTGTGGGGAAGTCTGAAGGGTAATATGCATCGTGCTTTGTTCCCGCTGCCGGCGTTCAGTCGCATCAACACATGCTTATTCTCATGCCAGAAAGCGGAGAAGAGAAATGCACATGAACTTGACGCTCGTGTCTCATGAGCCGTCTAATCGAACCAGGACCTGACGGAAACGCAGTCCCGAATGGCTCTCCGGATGTTCCTCGCTCTTTCAGGGCAAAATGGGGCTTGACCAACTAATCATTTGGGGTGTTATTGCAAGTCTAAATATTTATATCGGACTATCGGGTTGCTTGTTGTTTCGTGTAAGTTGGATGCTTTCTGCCTGCTCAAGATGGCCACTTGTCCATGTTATCTTGCGAGCCTCACTGCTCCATCAGACGAAGCCGGAAAATGCTCCGAACAGCTTTCAGCCTCTTCAACAGCATTTCAAGACTTGGATCTTTGTTTTCCCGGATGTTGTAGACCAGAATCACTGTGGAGTAATGCTACGACCGTAGTTTACTGATCAGTGGATATATTTGAAGAACAGGCTAATAGAGCCTGAATCCACTCTGTCATGGTCGTGCCCTGGTACTCAGGACTCTCATGGGTGATTAAGCCGCTGACACCATGCTCGGTTGTTTAGTGCAGCATTTTGAATCATTTGCGGGCGCAACGTCGACACGAGCCTGTCACAGTCCAGTTTGCAAGCCCATCAACAGGAACGAGGTCCAAACAGATGACCAGGGTTGCCGTTCGTCCATGCCGCCAGGCTCCCGGCCCGAGTACTGGAAGGTGGAATTCGTTTTCGGTGTTATTCTTTGATACATTTCAAATAGATCGCGGCCTAGGAGAGTTAATATGTCGCTCAGAACTTCCCCATTTCTAGTCACGATAATACTGGTGAATGATTTTCCGGCCTCAGCTGGCTGGATCAGCCGAGCATGTTTGGGTCCGTCCGCACCATGATGCTATGGTGCGACAGAGTTCGACAGAGTTGGTTCTTTTAGAAATCTAGCTTGTGAGCAACAACATTCAAGTAGCCCTGAATAGTACGTGTATATCCGCTATAGCTCTCGTCGATTAGAGTGGAAAATTTCGGAACGAACATGCCTGATGCCCAAGTACCTACCACTGCCAGGCCCCTGGCCTCCTAGCCCGCCAACCCGCTCAAACACCCCCTGCCAGCTCGTGGGTATGAAGTGGGGGTTAATGCAAGTGCTGTGAGTGAGTGTTACACTCCACCAGAATCTTGACACTCACTGTTTGTTGTCTCGAACCGTCCAACATCGTCATGCAGCTCGCCCGGGACATACACATGCGGCTAAAATAAGCATCTGTATGTGCCCAGGGGTCAGTTTTGCCAGTTACTTCTGTGGGCTAATGCATGCATTGAATGATTGATTCTTCTAATGAGAATCGAAGCTGTTAGACATGAGAACTTGAGATATCAGAATGAGACAGATTGGCCGAGGTATAGAGGACAGTACCTGTCATGTGGTGAGTTAAGGTAAATAGTAACCTTGTGCATACTGTCACACACTCTGTAGTGTCTATCCGTAAGTTAGCAGATATTAGAAGAGAGAATGACTCAATGGGTAGGATGCTCGTTTCCTATAGTCCCTATGAGTGAACCATTGGGTAATGCCGGATTCGATTGGTACGAGAACGATTTGTGCTGCTGTCTTATTAATACTCATTTTGTTTTTGTTTTTGAATGGCTGCCTTATAGTTCTGCGTCTTCATGCCAAGTTGATCTCGAGATAGGTGACGTCGATAAATGGCTTTGCTTTTATCAGAGTCCCCCAGAGTTCTCCGCGGTGATACAGCGCGGAGTTGGGCTTGTGCTCCAACTCCCCAGCTCTGCTTATTGTCGGTGCGATACCCAAGCTTCGAGAACAATTGCCAAACTTAAAACAATCTTGAGGCTGCAGTCTCATTAGTGCATCATTTTATGGAATATATCCATGATATGGCTGACGGAGGTACGGAGCTTGGCCAGTATATCCTACCTGCTGGTAGAGGCTCGACATGGTAATGTCAGAAGCTTAAGGAATTTGGTCAAGACGAAACGCTCTGCTTCTGGTACACAAGGCCATCAACTTTGTTCTGTATCGAGCAACACGCGACCGGGTACCCTGAAAATCGGCATGCTAGGCGGCTGGATACATGTGGCGTTCGAGCAGATAGCTCCACCATCTAAGTCACCTTGAGATATGCCAGGGCGACCCTTAGCTCAAGCTTACGCACGGTCGTGGGTCTGATGGTTTGATCAAGGGTTCTCAGATGCATTCAAACATCTCATTCCCGAGTTCCATAATCATTTCTTAACTTGCCTCAAAGCAAGAGAGGCAGCGAGCGGCGCAGCAATATTTGCCATCGATGCGATCGCCAAGATTATCGGCGAATGTTCGTCAGTGAGAAAGCTCCACTGACAGACCAGAAGTCCGAGGTCGCAAGATATAATTCCTCTGTATTTGTATGCACAGTCGACTTGGATTGATGTTTGCCGAAAACTAGGCAGCAAGATCTGAGATAAACATCAAGCAGAGGCAATCAAGTAATGTTAGAAAATGAACGGGCGTCATGACTCGAAAGATACTTTGGTGAGTTTGAAGAAAAGAGAATGGGTGCAAAGTGACAAGCTGTACAGCCTGTACTCGACCATTGATTGACAAGCTAGGTCAAAGTAGCAAAGCTAACATTGACAGCCAAGTGCAGGCTGCCGTTCTTCGAGGACGGACCACGGCCATGCCTGTGGCGGCTAATTGAGCCTCGAGGCATGCCATGTGCGTTGCGGACCAACGTGTCGGCATAGATCGTGCCTTGACGATAGTCTATCCGCTTGACTGGTGTCGTTTTGGGCCGGACATGCCTAGCGCACTCCCAGGCTCTCAACCCGAGTCCAATATCGTGGGTCTCGAGTAAGCCGGACAGTGCTCTTTGGCGAGTGACCAGTCATGGCTCTGAAGTTCGTCATCCCATCAGAGTCTCTGTTGCTTTTATGGTACTTGATCCTTCCCTATATTTGGTTCTGTCCGCTACCATCCACAGTAGGCTCATAGCTTCGCTATAGGGATAGACACTCGATGATGACTTGTAGGAATTAGACATAACGGCAAATGGGTATTATGAAAGGGACTACGGAGTAAGGTACTAAGGCAGGCAAAGAGTCACACTCCGCTCTTTCCCGATATTGGAAGTACTTCCATTGGTTTGGAAGGCACTATGCCGTCTGACTGCAAGGCGCCGCACTCGGAGGAAGTTTAAGTTATGAGGGAAAAAAACAGTGCTTGGGAGTTGCGCCGAATTCGCACGGACAGATCTTCAGGGTCGTAATAATAAAAAAGTAGACAGGGTTTGGAAGGCATGCTGAGACAAGTTGATTTTATTTAAAGAGATGCTGTACTGTAGTTGAATAAATTTATAACCACTAGAATAGCCATTGGGTGTTGCATCACTGAATCGTTACAAAATGATGTCTCGCCCAATCCTAGCCGCTGGCACTCTCAGATTCGGAGCTAGAACACGACGATGCCATCTACACAAAATAATTCAATTTGAGGCTCAGGTCCCATGTGAATATCCGCGGCATACCATACGTAGGTACGCGCGGGGACTGGGCCTAGACCCTTGGAATCTGAAGCACTCGTCAACCATGACATAGCATCGTCCAAGGCCCTGGCTCTGACTGGGGCGGAAACACAAGTAATGGAAAGATCGTGGGTCTGCTCCGTACTTGATGGATCGAACGCGGAGGCCCGGTTCTGGGAATCGGCAGTAAGTGAGTGTTTTGATGATGACCTTGAACGGATTCGCCTGCGCTTCTCCCTTTTCCCTTGAGGCAGTGAATGTGAATCCTCTAGCCACGAGCAAAACGCGCATCACGCCCGGTCTCGATAGTTCATCTTTGTCGATTCGGGCCTAAGTGCTGTGGCGGTATCCGCTGTGATGGGTACCTATCCAGACCATGTACGTCCTTGGCGAATAGCCTGTCCATAAATCATTCAGCGTTGAAGAGACCGTTCCCAGGCTGGCTGGCTGGCTGGCTGGCTGGCTCGGGGGTCGATGTGCGATGCACCATGACCGCTGAGACTGAGACTAGGATGGCTCGTGGGGCACTAGCACTCGCTGCGCGGAAATAAACGAACCAGTAATCTTTGTTCCCCTCCATCTTATTTCTCTCTCACTTGAATGAATTGTCGTTGCAAGCTTCAAATTCAATTCAACTCGACTCGACTCAAACAATAAAACTGTACTCTGTAAAACCCTCCACATCCCGCATCCCGCCCCCCGCCACATTTCTACTCTTACCTTTTCCCGTCATCTTGTCTGTCTCCCTACGCATCATCCATCCAGCCTACCTATCCTTGCAACCTACCTTACATACATAAACACATACTGCGTACGTACATCCATTTACAACCAGCACAACGTACGTCCCCATTCTCGACCGTTCCTCGTACATCACAAGCAACCATCCCGTCCATTCAAATCTCCCTCCTCCGTCCAACAGCGCCCGCTCGTCCGTTCACCCGCTCTGCTTAAGCTGGGTGTCCACTGAAGCCCCCGGAGACTCCCCCGAAAACAAACACCCCACCCGACCGGAACCTGGTGCATCCCAGTCGGGTCTGAGCTGGCCGCTTTTGGGTGTGATGAAGTGGTTGCCCTGATCTCAGTGAGGTTGAACATCTTACAGGGCCCCCTCCTGCTCTCAGCTCCAACTACTACTACACTGTAGTTAGCCATCAGCACCTCCACTACCTATTGTAAGTCGACCGGCATCTGCTCTGCTTGCAGGTGCAGCAGTGCAACCCACACCCGAACTTTCCCACACCCTCTCACTAGAGCCACTGCGTGGGGGGCCTTTCTCTTCGCCGTCACCTCAGCCTCTCGCTCTCATTCAGACTCTCTTCCTCTTTCACACGCTCCGTGATCCGTCCACTTTCGCACTACCACAAACCTTGTTAATACTCATGAGCACATCTGTCTCAACCGCAAACTCAAGTCCTATTCTAACCATGAACCCAACAATAACAGAGCACGACTTTCGTTTTCCAAGAAGACCAAGTGCATGGCCTACCGCTACCACTTACTACGCTCCCACTCAACGCAGCGGCCAGTCGAGCCATAACCCAAACTCTCGCAACGCCTCGGCCAGCTTCAAGGAGCACAAGACCGACATGGCCGGCACCTATTCCCTCGCCAGACAAGGTCTGGGCGGTACTGCTCTCTTCCCCTTCCTCCAGAATGGCCTTGCCGATTCCGATCGCAGCGTCGACAGGATGCAGCAGGACGATCCACTTGCAACTCAGGTCTGGAAGTTCTTTGCGAGGACCAAACAGCAGCTTCCCAGCCAGCATCGCATGGAAAATTTGACCTGGCGCATGATGGCCCTCAGCATGCGCAGGTACAAGGAGGAACAGGAGGAGCAGCAGCGACAGAACGAGGCAGATGCCCGACGAAAGAGGAACACGGAAGCCAGTAACCGGTATGTAATTTGTTGTTCGTTCTGCAACACCATTCGCGCTTCTCATCAAGCCCTTGTCTTTTGCCCATGACGTGCTGACTAGGGCCCCTAAAGTCTTACACGCCCGATGATGCAAAACTCTCCCAGCGGCATTGCCCAGTTGCGAAAGTCTTCTGAAAACAATATGGCCCAGCCCGATGCCATGAATCTTGACGATTTCATCTTTTCCGACAATTCTGCTTCACCTGTCAACTTTGCGTCCCCACATGCCGATAGAATGAGCGACGACAGGTCCGGCAATTCAATGGCCTCGGCCATTCCCATCAAATCCCGCAAGGAGCAATCGCTTCAGGCCTTCGTCCCACAATCCGTCCCCGTCCAGCCCCTTCACCAGGCCACCCAGGGCCATGAGTTCAATTACGTGAACCGCCATCTTCGAAAAACCAGCATCGATGACCGCAGAGTGAGTGACTCTTTTATGACCCCTCTTCTTGGTGTGACTGATTGTGCTTGTTCCCCTCTCGCATTGTAAACTTTGTCTTCTGCGCTCGTTCAATTTTACATGTGATAGCACACTTGTTTTACATGCGGCTGCTAACACTCACAACTAGACCCGAAAGCGCCCCGCTGATTTCTCACCACACGTCCCGGCTGTCAACAGTACTGTTGCGCAGACCGATCTTGATCTGGATTCGGAGCTTCATGATTACTCTTTGGACCAAACAAGCCAGCCCAATGTCCCTCAGCAGTCCAATGGCGCCGGCGTCCCTTATGGTCTCGACACTTATATGGAAAACGATTCCATTACCAATAACAACAACAACAACAATGGCAACTTCCAGCAGAATTTCTCTTTTTCTCCTTCCACCTCACCTTTGATACCCCATGGTCCATTCTCTGGCATGTACCACAATTCATCAGTTCCCTCAGCGTCTGTGAACAACAATAACAACGACTTTTACTCACCCCCAGGCTCAGCATTCCCGTCGACTGTTTCAACTCCGCACCCAGTGCCCGAACAAGACGGTTTCTATTTTGGCTCGCAGGATGCACGAACTCAAAGGACTCAGGGTTTCCAGCAAAGTATTGGAAGCATGCTTAGCCAGCAGTTCATGTATGGAGCAGCCAATGGCAACAGTGGCAGTACCATGTTCTCTGCCCCAGGAACTGGATCAGAGTCTATGTCTGCTTACAGCACTGCTCCCAGCTCATTTGGGCATATTGACCCTTCCCAAGTGTTTCACAGCGACCAGCCTGTGACCTCGCCTACCATGCCGATGCAACAAGATAATATGTTCTCTTTTGGAGCCGACTCTGATGATGAGGAGAACAATGCGTTTGCTGATCGCAATGTGTCGATGCAAAAAGACATCTCTTCATCGCTCGATGAATCTGGATCCATGGGCTGGGATGCAAGTTTGCCAGGCCAGTTCAGCACCCAAGCAGCTCGTTTCCCTGGTGGGCCAACTCGCAAGCAGGTGACAATTGGCGGAGCAACAACTGATTTTGTTGATAACAATGGAGATTGGGAATCGAACGGTCTGGAGCGCTCTCAGTCACAGTCTTTCAGAGGAGGAAACATGAGGAGACAGCACCCCAAATTGCCGCGAAATGCGTCTACGCCCGTGCATTTTGCTGGACAGCAGAATGGGTTCGATCAACTTGCGCAATCCATGCAAAGCTCGCCCGCTGGCGATGCTAATGGGACCATGTCGGGATTCTCGTCTGTTGCTCCAAGCAGACCATCGTCGCCCCTTCTATCAAAGCAGGGATCGACGAACAACCTGCAGGCAGCCGCAGGCAACGGGAACGATGGAAATGCTCCGACCACGTGCACGAACTGTTTCACTCAGACGACACCTTTGTGGAGACGGAACCCTGAAGGCCAGCCACTGTGTAACGCTTGTGGTCTTTTCCTCAAGTTGCACGGTGTTGTGAGACCTTTGAGCTTGAAGACTGATGTTATCAAAAAGCGCAATCGTGGTTCTGGAGCCAACGTGCCAGTGGGAGGAAGCAGCACTAGGACTAAGAAGACTGCAAGTGCATTGAACTCTCGCAAGAACTCGACTTTGTCAATGTCCACTGCGGTGGCAAACAGTACCAACCCGACACCAAAAGCAACGACCCCGCCTGCTCACAGCCAGCCTGCGAGTAGTAAGGATGCTGAGAGTCCTGTCAGCGGTACTACATCCGGGACAAACACGGCTGGAAGCACGCCAAACAGCCATGTTGCTGGGCCAGGCCCTCATTCTGGCTCGGTAGGCGGTAAGGGGGTTATTCCTATAGCAGCTGCTCCCCCTAAGACCAGCCCTGGGCCTGGGGCTTCGTCGATGACGATGCAGCGGCCTTCCACTGCCTCTTCAAAACGACAACGTCGTCATAGTAAGAGCATCGAGGGAGATGTGCCAATATCTATGGACATCGACAGTCCTGAGTCTACTAGCTCTATGGATGCCCCTCGCCCATTCGGTTCCTCTGCCGGGCTATCCAGCTTACCAGGTGGCATGTCCTCCAGCAGCTTCAGCCTTAATCAGCGACCAAGCACGCTGGGCTCAGCCACGGGCATGATCAGCATGTCCGGTGGGCAAACAAGCTCGTTGATTGGTAGCTCCGCCGGTCCACAAGAATGGGAGTGGTTAACAATGAGTCTCTAATCTCGGGGAAACATGGGCTCCACGAATACAGACAACCCAATCTTCTGTTCAAACGAGAGAGGTGGGCAATATGCTTGGGGTGTTTCGAAGCAGACTCTACCAAGCACCTGGGTTGTGCGATATAACATTTGACGAAACACGGAATAATTTTGAGGCGTTTTAGATGGAGGCGTTTACTGATAATGTTATGAGTCGACGAATTGATACCTTACTCGAGTATATGCCAATACTAGCGAATTTTGTCGTTTGTGGCGATAGCGGAGTTTCATATGAAGGAAGACATTGCGGTCGTACCGTTGTTGCTGGGCATTCTGATAGCCCGTTGGCTCTGTGATGGTACATGACATGAGCCAATTATTACAACAGCTATTCCCGGCAACACGAAGGTCTTTTTGATAGACCCGAAGAATGGACTGAAGGGCAAATGATATACCACTTGTAGATAGGAAGTTAGGAGATGTTGCGCTACATATTCTATCTGTTTTGATAGACTGACGATACCATTTGAAAGATTATATACATTCGTTCGACCACGATGTATCTTTGGACTACAGCACTCTTTTGATGACTATGTCTTCTTCTTCAGGTGTGTTGGCTATTGCGGCTATCTACATGAACGCATGCTCTCACATAAACCCTCTCTCCACTGGTTCGTAAGCTCTTGCATAATAGTTGTTGATACTTTACGTTTGTTTTCTCTTCCCTGGCCTTGCGTCCGTCGAAGGGAGACGAAGGAATCCTACTCTCCAACCATACATACACAGCCACAACTATTCCCGAAAGCCTGGTAACACTCGGACTCCTTATGGACCGTATACATGAACCTAGTCCGTATAAAACTCCTGCCTGCCGAATGAAGTGCAAAAAAGGCCAGCTGCAGAACTCTACAATGCCACAAACATGATCAAAAGTGGTAATACAGCAACGTCAAAAATAAAGAAAAGGTAAGGGCGAAGGCAAGATAGGCGTCAAGGATCCCCATCATTATACCATGGTACGCGTCCGTGCCACATCGCAAATCACCAATTCTCAGAATACCGGGACGGAATCGCTCGCATTGCCTCAGAAGAGAGCTTTCCCCCTATTGACGAATCCACGCCAACCCACAACCCTCTGGAATATTTGAGGCTCGCCCTAGAACATCGTCCCGAATGTCTCATCAGTGGGAATGCGCTTTCGGGGGCTTCCGCCGTCCTCTGTGGCCGGTTTGCGATGTCTGAACGTAAAGCCGACAAAAAGGCTCTTGCTCATTGGATCCTCACGTTCAGCCATAGTTTCCAGAGCTTGTTGCTTGTCGTGAACCTCCTTGTACTTGGCCATATCGGCTTCATTGGTGAAGTCATCGAAGTAACCAGCATCAGTTTCCGAGTCCAGCTCGGGAACAAATGGCGCACGGGTTTGTCGAAGGATTTCCCATTCAACTTCGGCAAAGTATTGGTGAGCATAAATATCCTTGATATTGGAGAATCGTCTTGAGCGGGAATTGATGCATCTACATAATAGTCAGCTTGTGTTCACAGACCCAAAGACAGATTGCCCAAGTCTACTTACGTGCAGATAAAGTTCCAAGTTCGGTTGCTCAAGAAATAGTTAGGATCCTCCCAGACAGGCCTCTTCAGCACCTCCTTCCAGTGCTTTAGATTGCGCCACGTCTCGTCAGGTGTGGCACCTGCAAAGGGAGGGAATCCGGTCAGGGCTTCAAACAGCATGCAGCCCAAACTCCAGTAGTCCACTGTGAAGTCATATTCTTCCCCTCTAAGGACCTCTGGGGCCATATAGTCGGGTGATCCCACAATAGACTTCGCATAATTGACATCGTTATCGCGCATGGTCCGGTAGCTCTCTCGGCGTTCGGCCACAGTTCGCTGATCCATGGGTTTGCCGAAGGGAACTGAACTTTCGGACGCCTTTTCTAGCTTGACTCGCATTGATTCAATCTTGGACGGGGCAAGGACACCGGCTGCAAGGCCGAAATCAGTCAGCTTGATATGACCGGTCGAATCGACAAGGAAGTTCTCCGGCTTTAGATCTCGGTGAATGTAGCCCAGCTGGTGCAGGGCGTCAACGGAGCAAAACATCTCCGCGATGTAGAAACGGGCATGGCGGTTAGACAGCACACCTGTGTTGTTAAGCAAGGTGCGGAAGTCACCACCAGGCACGTATTCCATGGCAAGATAAATACTCTTTTCATCCTGGAAGGAGTAAAGGAGCCTAACGAGCCAGTCACTCTGGGCGGTGGTAAGGATATCTCTCTCGGTCAAAACATGACGGACCTCATCAAGCTTGAATAACAACTTCTTACTCATGACCTTGAGAGCGCAGACTTCGCGAGTGTCTTTCTTTTGAGCCAAGAAAACCTGACCATAGCCACCTTGACCAACTTGCGTGAGGATTTGGAAGTCGCCATGTCGAAGTCGTACTCGACGCTTGCGGAGGTTGGCACGTTCTCGTCCGGCATACTTGGACCACATTTGATTGTGCGTCTGCTCATCGGTCTCTGGAGGTGGAGGGTATTCATTTTTGAAGGCTGTTAGTCGGTTTTGTCGAGAGCCAACATATGTAAGAAGATCGAAGTAATAGTCGAGGAAATCTGATAAGTGTTAGAAACCGATGCCCGACCAAAGGCAGCAATACGTACAAAGCTGTGTTACATTAACCATTCGCTTAACATTGGGCTTTTGGAGAATTTCGCGCTCTTCTGCTGTCAGGCCTCGCGCTGTGTTGAATCTCTTGGTCGCAGGTGTGGTAGGTCGGTCTCTGTGCTCATAGAGCTGCTGACGTGAAACGGCAGCATGACTGTGCTGGAGAGGAGTATCGGCGGCACCCAATCGAGAGGGAGGCGGTGTATTTTCCTGTCCCTGCTTCTTGGGACTTCCTGTTCGCGCCTTGTGAACGACACTTTCATCAACGTTGGCACTGGACTCGTCAAGAGGTTGGGTCTTGGTCTTGTTAGGCGATAGCGGGGTCACAACACTCTGAGGACGACCCAACCTCAGAGGTGGCTCGATAGTGGGAGGGTTGAGAGTCAAGGCATTTTCGAAGGCGGAAGGAAGATCGTGTGCGCCAGGAGGATTGGTCTTCTTGCTTGGGCTGCCTTGAGGGGTGCTCATGGGGTTGAGGAAGTTGTCCGTTCTGGCTGAGGGCGTAGCGGGCGTGGCAGGCGCTGCGGGCGTCGCTGGTCGTGAGTTGCTGTTTTCACCTACAGTGGCGGTTCCTTTGCCAGGAAAGAAGCTGGACATGAAACTAGCCATGGTAAATTGTCTTCCTTAAGCAGCGTGTGCTTGATTCGGTTGTACGAGGTAGTAGGTAGGAAGCGCTCGTGAGCGTGTGGTGGGGATGTTTAGTTGTCGCAATGCGAGTCGGGGGTTGGAGTCGAGGGGTAGTGGGAGTGGGAGTGGGCTTGGCCAGGCTGGTTGATTTGTTTTGGGCAGCGCCAACAGGCGGGTGGGCAGTGGGGAAACACTAAGTTAAGAGATAAGAACAGCGGGCAGTCAACAAACACTGAACTGGCAGTGGGCGTAAACAAAAGAAAAAATACGGATGTTAGAACAGGAAAACAAAACTTTCCATGGCAATGGAATGAGAAGAAGACTACCTAGGCTAGTACCTCAAGGCAAGGATGCTGATGCCATTCAACAATAGCACTAAGAAAGAAAGACGGGGAAGGCAGGTGATGGACGGCAGGAAGCTTGATGAAGCGGTAGATCAATATGGAGCCAAAATCGGGCAGATCGATCAACAATGAGGATCCAGGGTTGGAGCAGCAACAATCGAGCTAACTTTATAGTGGGTCCACCTACCTACAGGCTACCTCCAACCACCATAACCCATAACCACGGGTGCAACAGTAGGACAACTTCCATATAAACAAGCCGCATATCCATAAGAGGATACCTATGCCTAGAAAGCGAACTACCCAATCGACGTTTTGTTTCTTCTTTCCTTTTTTTATGTCAGTAAGCGGTTTGATAGCCAAGACACATTTGGTGCTGTACTTAACTTGGCAAGCAAAAATGCAGTACGGTGGTACAATTGTTTGAATACCATTCCATTGATTTTCAATGATTGCCTTCAAGTGTCATCATATCAACGTAGGAAAAGGTAACTAAGCAGTCTCAAAGGATTGCGATAAAGCTTTCCTACCTGTTATGATACCACTAGGGGTATAAACATGTGCCATTTATCGATTGCTTGTTAGCTACCTTGGTGCTCTTTTTCAAATTCAGAAGAGTGTGGCATTTGAATAGAAACAACTGCAATGGAGCAGTGTACAATGCCTAAGAGGAGCAAATATGGTAGGTCCTTGGTATTCATCTCGTCAAGTGCAGATTGACTCGGTTCGTCTCATGTAAAAGGGATATGTCCCATCCCATTACTAATTGTGAGATGAAAATCAATAGAGACAGCAGAGTCTTTCTATGACGAGAGTCCCAAATAGTCGAAGACTTTGGAGAGTAAATCAGACAGTTATACTTGTGATAGGTCGAGTTTACGACTCTGGACACTAGGTACCTATCGAGGCTATTTCATCATTCATGTTTACTTCCTGGTAGATATGGTCTGCCCGAAGGTCAGTTCAGAAATGGTCACAGAACTAACAGTTACATACAGTTTGACTAGAGTTGTTCAGTTGCTCTTAGAAAGCTACAACTTGCTCTTGAAGAAGGAGACGATTACAATACTTATGATGGAGTTTGGACAGTGGTCTTTCATTTCCAACCAAGCCACTGTTTGAACCCTAATTTGTTGTAGGATTACTCACAGAATAATTGGAACTGCGTTTATGATATGTTTTCACCTGGACTTTAGGTGGTCGTGATATGTGGGTCAATGTTTGCGACCCGGTTTCAACCGGCTATGACAAGGATCTAATCTTATCAATCTATGGCTTGGTCAGAGCGCAACATCATCATGGGATCAGTCCCCCTCAGCTTAGCGCGGTCAACTTCCGTCTCGTTCACTAAAGAAGGTTTCACGCCTCCTTGGTCTTGCCCATCGTCCCGTTGGCTTTCTTTCCTTCCTTATCACCCTTGATCCTCACCTAAAGAGCAGCGACAACCCCATTAACAGCGTACCTAAGCACACAGCATTGCACACTATACCAATACCCTGCGACCGAGGTCTGCATCATGAAGTTCTCTCACGCCATCGCGGGCTTTGCTGCCACGGCGCATGCCTTCGCCCCAGCCTCCACTATCTTTGGCGACAGCAATGACGCCGACACCGCCGCTCCTCACAAGATTCCAACGGTCCACGAGTCTGTTGTCATGGCGCGTCGCATCCTCGCCCTTACCAAGCTCGCGACTCTCTCGACCGTTTTCCCATCTGGCCACTCCAACGCGGGCCTCGAGATCGAAGAAAATCGCCCGGAGGGACTCGAGGGGGTGCCTATCGGCATGATGGATTATGTAGCAGACTGCGAGGATGAAGGCAACCCTACCATTCTCGAGATTAAGATCGCCACAACGTTCAAGAACATTCGCGCGGGCTCAAACCTTACCCTCTCCATGAACTGGGTCCCTCCATACCCACCCGCCAAGCGCATCTCCCTATTTTCGCGACTGTCCGTCTATATCCCCTTCCTTCCCAGCTATGATTACAACAGCCGTCAGGAAGAGTCGTCTTCTCCGGACACTGTTCCCTACTCTGCGGCCAACCAACCCCGGTTCGCTCTCTTTGGGTACCTCGAGCCCATCGAAACAACACCTGTATCAGCCCTTAAGCTTGCGGCATGCTTCACACGCAAACACCAGGATGCCAAGTACTGGTTGCCTGGAAACATGATCCACGAAAGCTCTTGGTCGCGTCTGGTCGTAACCAAGGTCTACTGGGTCGGTGGCTTTGGAGACCGAGCACGCATCGGCTGGCTTCCTGTTGACGATTGGAAGAGCGTCACCCGAGACGAGTGGGAGAGCATCAAGCTTTCCGGCGAGGAGAGAGGTTGGAGCGAATGGTCAGTCAACACTGCTGGAGAATTGTAATGATGATATAACCCAACCCCAATGATGTACCCATCTTATGGTTTGAGGCGGTAAGTTTCGCACGGAGACGCTCTTTTGCATATGAATGTAGGCGGCTATACTTCGACTTTTATTGCGATATTGATTGTCTGCACGGGAGGAGTAGTTGAAATTGCATAACTACATACATTTCTATTATGGGCGGCAACCATTTGATAGGGTAGCATAGGTCCTTTGTGCACAGTATTATCGTCGCACTCAGCGCCGGCATATCGAAGCGTTTTGTCAAGGGGTCCCTTGAATACTAGACACAGATAGCCGAATCGACCAATCTTGAATACCTACTGCATACGTACGACGTAGTACATGTCCTGTTTCACTTAGCTTGCCTGTTGTACAAACAGTCCACGGTGTATGGAGTTATCAATGTTGAACCATATCTGTCTCACACGGCATCCACGTTTGGCGACCCGGCGCGTGGGTGGCGTGGTCAGGTCAGTCACTCACACCCAACAGTTAGGTTCTTGGCTCAAAGTTAAGCAATTCCTCAACCTGCAACAACCCGCGGCTCGCCAGAATGGTTCCCGTACGCTCAGACGAATTGGACGGGATTGATGCAAGGGCTGGAAGGGACAAATGCCTAAGGTGATGTCGTGCTGCGCTGGAAAAGCCGTGGTGGGTTGCATGGCGCAGCGCAGTTGGGTGGATTGATTCGGCGGGCTACGGGCGATCCGATTCCTTGCGCTAATTGTGTGTGAGTTTCTGGGGGCATAAGTTTCAACTTTCATATTGAAACTTGCGTCAGAATGTATAATTCTTTTTTATAAGAGATGTGACTTGATATCGTGCGGAAACTTCTGATGAACTCGAGATGCTTGGAACTGTGATGTAATTGAGCGAGTTCATCAGCCTCGATTCATTGCTGTTCATCAATTCAATTCTCACTTACATGGCAAAGTGTCTCAAGAAGCTTTGAGTTGTATACAGAGTACTTGATACAAACAGGACGCCCGCTCAGTGCAGGGGCACAAAGGATCTACAAGCCAAATGGAACATCAGGAACGGCTCAGCACAACGAATTACGGGACGGTGCATGGAAAGAGGCGCTGTTACGGAACAACATTACCGTGTCACGAATAGATGGTCTCCCCGAAAGGGAAGGTTTGTAAGTTGTTGAGTCTTCAAAGTTCTAATCACAGTTATCTTTCGGAATCATGGTGCTCCTCCGATTCAACCAATTACTCCAGGCTCTCGGGAGAGAAACTCGGCCCGGGGTAAGATCCCGACGGAAAAGGCTGGGGAGGGTTCCGCTCTGTCAGCGGCTGGGTTCAGCAACAACTAACAACCTCGGTGGCTATCAAAGACAGACAGGTAGTTACTGATCACACTTGTGAATAAGCCGCCGATGTTGGGGAATTTAACTATCTCTCTCACGGAAAGCAGAAACAATCAAAGTCAGCTGTGACACATGTCTAAAGGCTTCGCCTTGCATGTGGATGATGTTGGTGGTTCAGACGTGGTCCGATAAAGCCAGTGGCCCCGTATCTACGGGACTCTTCTCCGCATGCTGCACACCGCAACGCAAAGCAACGCAAACAAAACGCAGGGCTCATCAAGCGAATCGCATGCCAAGCTAGCCAGCTGCGGCTGTAGTGAGCTAATAGCACCAGACCGAACCCCATGATCCAGACTATGGAGCTGTCTCATCATGGGTTAAAGAGTGACTCCATTCATCCACGATAGTGTTGTTGTTCTTACTGCCTAGCAAAGCGAACTATTTGGCCTTGGTGGTGATATGTTCCCTATGGTACATACTCAGGATACTGTAGCGTCCAATGGTTGACGTAGAGGTTCTCGACGCTACACTAACCATCGGGGCTTGCGAGGTGGCTTGCAACAAGGATTAGTCTAGACATCTCACGTTTTTATCGGAGCGATGTTCGTCCCCTCCCCGGAGTTTCATTGTCCATCTCGCCGGGAAAAGAGGGAAAAGAGGAGCAAGGGCCAAGGGATATGGGTGAGCTATTGGGACTTATCTATTGTGTATTGTGGGTGGGAACACAGACCAAAAGGCTTGGCCAACCACTCTATTGATGGAACGAGATTTTGAATGGAGAGCTATCGATCGATTCTTAGCAACAGGCAAAGGCTGGTGAATAAACTCTACGTGGTAGCTGTTTGGGTGACAGACAATGATGGACTTTAGAATGTCCAATATCGTGTGGGCTTGGCGTAGTAGGTGAGAGCTGAAAGGTGACGGGAAACGAGTAGAGATCATTTGTCGGGACCAGATGCCGTCATGAGGAACAATCTGAGAAATGATGGCTGGTGAGGTTCTTTTACATGGTTGGTCGAATCGCAACCGACAGCCATGTTGTACAGACATGGATCAATCAGCACAAGAGACCAAGACAAGCTTGGATAGAGGAGGAACTCTTTGTTTGTCAAGTTGTCTGATAAACTACATAGTTGGCGTAAACGCCCCTGGAGAAAGCGACAACACTACTGTACGCCTCAGTTCAACAGTCTGAGGCCTCTTGCTCAGCACCAACTCTCCAAGCGCTGGACATCACCAATAGATAAGCACATTCCACGAGGCAAATGCTTCCTCGCGATCTTAGCTGTGCGATTGAATGCGCCTCCAAGCGGGGTCAATGGCTTTTGGCTGGGGGGCTGCAATGTTATTTGATCGCCAAGCTACAACCAACCGTAACCCCTGAATAGCACAAACGACGTTATGCAATCTGATGTGACCTGAGCGATTCCACCTTCAAACGCCCGTCTCTGTATCTTCATTTTTTGAGACCATTCACCCGGATATTCCAGCTAATAAGGTACAAGTGTGTCTCTTGTTTAGGATATCTATCTGGCGGTTCTGAACTTTTGACCTGGGGCCACCAACGAGTCATCAAACAGAGAGAGGGTTTCGCCACCGAATTCCCAGATATCCCCCCCAATCATCATCGTCCTGAATTCGAGTTCCCTAATACAGTTCATGTAATGGAATTGGCTCCCCAATCCCAGGGCCCAGTTCGTCCCTATCCGCAGCCGTAGCCGGAGTGCGCTTTAGCCTTTCAGGGCCCGCACAGTCTCGTTCTCGAGGGCGAGGGAAAGACCACAATGTTCGAGCAGGGTTCAATCGTAAAACGACTCTCAAGCCTCAAGGGACCGACCAAGCGACGGCTGAGAGCCCGGATGGGGGGGGAACATCCATGTAATGTCGTCGCTACTTTGCCAATATAGTGAACTGCGGAGCCTGTGACGCAAAAGCCCTCCCATCGGAGCACTATGGCAATCTCTCTGTGGTAGCCTCTACCTAAAACTCCACCCCCCTCGCGTCCCCATATTTATCCTGAAGGCCTTTTTAAGTTAGCCCATAACCAACCTGCCTTGCCAACCTGGGCCTTACCTTGCCTTGCACCTTGCCTCACTCTAACGTTTAACTCCTACAGTCGACCTGCGGATACATTACCTCGCCCCGTCTGACCCCATCCACATCTCTGTATCCGTAATCCGTCGACGTTGCTGCTCTCGGTCGGGGTTCCGTGCCGCTCGTGTACATACTTGCGCCATCTTGACAATATTGTTTATTCGTCTTGCTTCTCCTTAAACTTTGACTTCACCTGTTCATCAGCGAGCTCATTCGCGTGCGTGGTTATATCGTCCTGATTGGGAACAACAACGACTTTAGTGGTGATAGTTGAGGAACGGTAGAACGCACGGGCAACGATCGAGCCCCGATATCCGAATCACCTTGATTGCCAGTCCACACTCGCCTTTTCGGATTGCGCGGCTGGTCCATCAAACATTACATTACTCTCGAGTCATCGGCGACCACGCGATAGGGCGACGCAAACCTGGACAACACTTCGACATCGAGCATCCGGTACTTCGAGGCGCCACGCAGTATCGAAGGACATCGCGGTCTGATTTCCAACGACCGCGTTGCTGCGATCGTTTATCAACTCCAGCGTAATTCAACATATCCCTTGTTTAGATCTTCCGGGATGGCGCCTCCGCCCTCAATTCAGAAATGACCTCGCGGACCCCCATGGGCGCCCACCCGCGGCCGCCTCAGCGTTCCGTGAGCTCATCGTCGTTACCTGTCCAGCGTCCTCCTCCGCAGCGATCATTATCCCACCAGCAGCAGTTCGCACCCGCATCACCAGTTCGAAAAGACTCATCATTCATCGATCTTACCGCCGACGCCGGCGACGCCACTCCTAACCGTTATAATACAACACCACGAAGGGGAGGCTCACGTCTCCGACTTGAGCTATCCCATAATGCTTCTGCCGGTTCTTTACCGACGACCGAATCGCCACAATCGCTTACTCCATCGCGAATGCCAAACTCCGACCCCTTTCAAGCGATGACCGGCAGTCCAGCCGCTAGCGGCAGCGCAAGCTCTACCATGATGCCGATGCCTACACGCAGGCCCGTAACATCGCAGCCCAGATCCGCTCCCCGAATCACGACGACAGCGCCCGCGCCGGCAAAGAAGGACGCACGACCAAAACCGTATACTGTCGAGATCCCATCTCTTGCGCCCCGATACTTTTCAGCCAACCGAGCCGAGACGACTGTTCGAAACCCCATCGATCCTTTTAGTAAAGGTCTCAACTCTGGATACGCCGATTTCTTTCCTTGGCATGGGCAGCATCACGAAGACGAGTGGAGCAGCGAAGCCATCACTAAGGGAACATGGGACAAGGTGAACTTGAACGTCCCGGAAACTTCATCCGCCAAGCTCGCTATCTTCCCAGCCTTAAAGCAAAAGACAGGCTTAAATGCTCTTTCGACTATTTTTATGGGCGTGTTGAATCAGCGCAGACATCGAGGTCAAATCACAGCGCCTTCAACGTTCAAGCCACCGCCACGAGTCACACTTACCGATACAAAAAGAGAGGTTTGGCTCAAGGACCTTGCTAATCCAGCGATATCCCTAAGACGTCTCAGTCGAACTATTCCTCATGGTATCCGAGGTAGAACATTACTAGATCAGTGCTTGAACAAAAACGTTCCCGCTGAGCGAGCTGTTTGGTTGGCGAAGTGCGTTGGCGCCAATGAAATAAGAGGGTTGAAGAGAAAGGGGGTTAACGGCGCCTTTGTCATGGGTGGTGAACTGAAATGGGCTCGCGATTGGACTGTTTTTGTCGAGCAGTTTGTCGACGCCGTCGTTGCTGGGTTTGCTGAGAACGATTGGAGAAACCGAGTTACATATGCGTAAGTACAGTTTTCCAAAGTGACAAGCGACCACTCACAATTTTGCAGTATTCGTTTAGCATCGAACCTCTATTCCGAGCAGTTATTAGATCGAGATCATTACCTTGACTGGATTGTATCTGGCATCGAGAACAGCCTCCAGTCACGAATTCCTATGTGGCTGCTAATAGCTCAGATTTACTGGAAAGACCTTCTCAGATCACGCAAGTACGGGCGTCGGCTTGTTTTTGCCCTGCTCAGCCATTTGCATGTGGTATGTTTTCACGCATCTACTCCATCCAACTTTTCGGCTAACCAAACCAGATCTTCAACGACCCTGACCAGGATATTCTTGTTCAGCTCTCTAATAAACTATCAACACTCCTCGGGACATTGGTTCTGGCCAACCCGGAAAGCTTTATCAACCCAGGCGCCTGGCCTCGATACAAAGACACGCTACACGTGTCTTTGCGTTCGGATCATGAACCAACCCGAAAAGCATTACATACGATCCACTCACGAAACTCCCGGTTGGTCGTGTCTAGCACTGCTTCTCCTCCTGCTGGCCGAAGTCAGCTAGTAAAGCTGCTTGATGCTTCTCTAAAGGAATGTAACGGCCATCATCTGGCGGCAAAATGTTGGGAAACAAGCGAGAATAAGCCTTTAATAATGAAGACCGTCGTTGAGTGGGCAACTTCGTTCCATCGTCCAGGTTTAGCAAAGGTTTATGCGGCGGCCCGTTTGATTCGACAATGGAGTCAATTTCGTGTAAACCCCACAACGCCCATTCTCGAGACCATCGACACTATCGCCAATCAGGATAACACACGGAAGAACCTCGTCTATCATCTTGTTACGGAACTTGTTAGGACCGGTCATTTTTCTGTCTCCCAATACATGCAATGGACTATTGCTCGAGGTGGCTATCACGACGAAGCAGAAATCGATCCTGTTTTCGGTCCCTGCTCCAGTAGACTCTTGGTTGAGCTACCACTTCACGCTTTGTCCGAGAAGAAGAGGGCCGAAAGAGGGAACCTGCTCAGACGAGCTGGCAACTACTCTATCATTGAGGAAGAGCAGGATATTGTCAATGCAATCAAGTATGTTAGACATACTGTGGGTCTTCCTTTGCCGCCAGGCGACCCATTATCCGAACGAAAACCCATGTCCCTCAAGAAGCTACTTCAACGGATAGGTAGCAGCAGCAGTGCTCTTAGGAGCAGCATTGGTGCACATCTGCGCGATGTGCTTACTGGGCAGCTCACTTCCAAGAATCACGCCACTCTACCTCTGAGCATGTACAACTCCATCCGATCCATTATGGAGACAGCCGAAGATTACACCATGTTGTCCGATGTTCTTGCAGCTTGTACCAAGACCGCCGACTCAGACGTCTTAGCATCTGTTGCTGATACTGTCCATTCAAACTTACAAATCTTCTCAACTTTGGGTAGTGCAGACGGCCTATTTAATAGCCTGGTCGAGCGCCTCAAGCTGATGAACGAGGAGCAAGGAATAGTTCCACGACCGTTACTCGCAGCTCTATCGAGTCTCGCCCAACGCATGGCTGGCCATGAAGTCATCGCCTCCCAACTACGTCAAGAGTTGCTCCAAAGCGACCGCAACAATGCAATTGATGCGTGCTCACCAGTATCCGACATTGTGGCAGCCCCTGCTCAACACGCCGAAAACGAGTTGGCGGAGGACGTTGAGAAAACACTATCCAGTGGAACACGATTGGATCCTCCAACAATGAACAAACTTTTCAGGACGATAATCCCCGCGCTCGAGCGAGGTTGGTTGAAGGAAGACGATACGCGTCGAGTATTCGCTACATTACTTGCGAGAATACGAGTGTTCGATGCTCACCACTTCGATAAACTCATGACAGATTGGACAAGCCACATCCGATCCATGTCTGGCCGATCTCCTCTTACCAGTCTATTCCCACTTCTTGTTAGCACAGGATGTCTTGCGATGCCTATCATCATGAGCACCGCCAGCCCGCCATCCGCCAGTCTTCAGAACTCGCCTTCCGATCCCCCAACGCGACAGTATGGCCCAGCGACATACCTACAGGAGCTTCTGCAGCTTGTGATCATGCCACTCCCTGTGGCGACAGGACTTTCAGCAGAAGAAAGATATCGGTTCCATACAGAGCAGAAGTGTGCTAAGTTTGAGCAGTCTAAAGGCCTCTTGAACCTTGTTCGCAATGCTTTATTGGAGTATTCTACCTTGAGGACTCAAGCCAACGGCATCGAGTTTCCTCTTGATAACCCTGCATGCCAAGAGAGCCTACTTGAGACTTTGCGAACTCTTGTGCTAGTGGATTCCTCCGCCGTGTCGAATGCTCTGGGCATCAAGTCTCTTCCTGCTGAAGCCGTGGGTCTCGTGCGCAAAGTGACCACCAAGCTTCTCATTCCCGGAGATAGCGGAGATACTCAGATCTCGTTTGATCATATTTTGCAGATCGCCAATGAGTTAACCCTTCCGTTCTGCCAGCTCAAACTAAATCTGGACTTGTCTTTGCCGCAGCCTAACTCAAATGACGGACAAGACCAGGGCTCATCCCGCTTCGAGATCTTTGCCAAGGCTATGGACCGAGCCATCGAGGCGGGCAACATCATGTGGACTAGCCTATTGCCTTGCTTGAGCGATGATATTACTCAGCACCTCAAGAGTCAGGCTCAAACGGGCTTTCTCGACTTGATCCCTTCATTGAAGGCGCCTGAATTTATCGACACTGGATCAAGACAGTCACTTCGCATGGCCGAGAATTTACTAGAAGTAGTGGAGGCTATCATCTCGGGGCAGGCTCCTCCTAAGATGGCACAGCTGTCGCTGGGAATGGTTGAGAAGTTGACAGACCTATGGGAGATCATTGCTGCAGGACCTCAGGAACGCCCGAATTGCCATGCCGCAGTACTGCAACACTGGCTGCCTGCAATGCTTCGCTTTGTGACCCTCCACAGTCTATCTTCTGAGCCCCCTTCAGCGCCGCTTCCCACCGCATCGGCGACGCGACCTCCTATCCCTCCCGTTCACGACATTCGAGCTCGCATCATTCTTGTCCTATGTGGCCTACTGCTTGAGCTGGAGACCTTGTCGCCCGCTATAGTTGGCTCGCTCGCCCAGCAGGTCTTTGATATTGCGATTCTGCTGGTGGACGCGCTTCCTGAAGACTTGCGGGCTAACTGTGCCAAGACCATATTGTTGACACCAGGTGGACTACCTAATCAAGGGACCTCATCTGACCCTCGACTTTACTATCTCTTTAGTTCACTACCGCCATCACTGTCAGATAATCTCATGCTCTCCCACCGGGAGAAGGCAGGCACAGCTCAGGGCGCTGTCGCTCGCGGCATGGGTGCGCAATATGGCATTGGACCACTGGTTCAAGAACGCCTCAGTCCCTTTATTCTTCGGCGCTGGGAGGTGCTTAGTGAGCCAACCCCCAACGTTGGTGAAAATGACACAAGCTTGAGCTTAGGTCTCTTCGAGGCCATCAAGCTTCAGTGATATCTTCGAGGGCAAAACTATCCCACCACAACTATTACTACATAAACCATTGATGTCAAGGCTTCTTGACATCCTACACCACACTGTGCATACTACACAACTTATTCCTTACGTCATCATACTTCCGACTTTGTCTGGGTTCTCTTTTCCTTACTTTCACGGCTATACCCCTATTACGGAACCCAGACATCTTTGCGCGAGTGTTAATATGCACTGCAAAACGGATATCATTCATATTATTGTTCATTACGGGCTACATGGGCATGGTTCATTCACGGGTCTCGTCGTTTTCTTTTTGTTTCAGGGGCATTTCATTGTTTTTATTTGTTGTTTGCTCGTCCCTTTGCTTTGGGATATCGTTCTGTGTTTATGCATGGCGCTGCGTTCAAAGAGGACTGGTGAAACGGTTGATGATACGTCGGGCACAGAACACGCACGATACTTTGGCATATATCATGTATGAAAGACATCGGATTTTGGCGTGTTGATGAGAAAATGAGAGGGCGTGAGGCTCGCTGCATATCTTTTTTGTATCACTCACTGGAGTGCATAGCATACATACATAGAGCTCCAATCAAGTCACTTGATTCCATACAATCTTACTGGGTGTCTCAGTACGTTCGAGGTGATATTGCTTTCTTGAAGTGGCCTTGATCTACTACCCACGACCTGATGCCTCCACCCGTAAAGCCAATGAATGAATGCTATGCGGAACGGCTGCCAAGCTACACAATTTACTAAATAATTAACATTGAGACGATTGACCATTGTTCATGAATAGATAGTAGTTAATTAAACCCCGACAGATAAATAGCGATTGCCTGGGTAAAAATATCAAGTGAAACCAACTTTGCTACAATTTGTAACACACACATGTCTGTTGTATGTATATCCTTCTTTCTCCGACCTGATTAATGGATGTCATTAATGAGTAATTGGGCTTTCACCTCCCTCTCTTCTGTCGACTTTCAACAAGGTAAACAACGACCAAAAAGCAAAAGAAGAAACTCCGGTACAGGGAATCGAACCCTGGGCTCCGCGGAACTGATCTCTCAGGTTATGAGAGCGCGAAATGTTAGCCACTACACCATACCGGATGCTAATTGGTTGAGAGTCGAGTCACAGTTTGTGCACTAAGACCGTCAAGTCAAAACCAAAATTCAATTCCTTGTGAAAGAATGTCCTTGCAAACCGTGATGCTGTGTCTACTGGCTTGCCTTCCATAAGCAAAATTTAGGCAGATCAGGTATGTTCATCTCTGAGAAGAATTTGGTGCTGATTACTGGAGAGGAATCCTTCGTTGTTGCAACAGTATCAAGACTGCGAACGATTTCAATCGATTGAAACAAGCGTCACACGCAATTTATCCTGGTCCGTCAACCGCCGCTGTTGGATCAAGTAACATAAGGAATGATGGCAAATCGTTTATGATCAAAAATCTGTCCCGAAGACAATGATTGTATTTGCCTTGTAATATGCTCTGTTGTGAAAGGAACGAATATTGTCTTCCAATCATCTCTACTAGGTACCCTAGAGACTCTCCCAGACTAACCACTTATACTGACTACTCTATTGATAGTAGAGTATCGTACCTAGATAAACGACTGTATCGCATAAGATGCACGGAATTGGAAAGATGCGCTCAAGTTGGCCGCCCAGTAATAATCTTACAATAAATTCCAAGCATACAAAGAATCCGACATGCATTAAATATGAGACGCCATGCAAGATAAAAACAGCCAACATGGACAGAAACAGTCGCCCTTCTCTCTCTCTCTCTTAAACAAGATTTAACCACGAAGACCTCTTAACCAACGCAAAGCGGTCTAACACAAGTCTAATCCTCATCAAAGATCTGCAGAGTGTTTTGCAGGATGGTGTCGATGGCCTTGATTTGCCAGCCCGCATCAGCGATAGCGGTGCTGGGATCAGTGCCCATCAGAGTTGGACCAAAAATGACGGCTAAGTTATGACAGTTCATACGGTTGACGTGACAGTTATCCATCACCCTCCATAAATGAAGTGTGAGGGCACGCAGAGTAGCGTAGTTAGGGTCAGGGAGGCTGTTGATGATAGCGTGAAGAGAGTCACGGCGGAGTGTGTCATCGTCTTGTTCTGTGCGTATTAGTTAGCATCGCTCTTGTTGACCATAAGCATAAGAATAACGTACTAGCAGCAGCGATGAAGCTGTCATGGTACTCCAGAGTAAGCAACGGGTCAGGAAGATCACGGAAAAACTGCTTCAACAGGCCAGTAACACTGTTGACGTCATGGTAAAAGTTCTCGGGGTTCCTAAAGTCGAGAGCCGGGTTTGAAGACTCTGCCATACAGTTAGTTCCATTGTTCTACCAAGCCTGACAAAACGTACCTGTATCAAACATGTTCTTGAGCTTTTGGATGTGTGTCATGGAGCCAGATTGACGGTAAATACCCTCCACGTTAAGGCCGTACATATCAACCGCCTGGATGCATTGATAAACAACCATAGGAACAGCCAAACCATCACGCTCATAGAGGCGACTCAGTGGTAGACCGAACATTGGCTTCGAGGGACCAGAAGCCCCAGCTCCGGGTACAGGTCCTGGTACAGGCCCAGGCGGTGGGTGACTGGACATGCCGTAGGGAGGTGGCGATCGGCCAGCACCTGGGGGCCCTTGGTTCAGGTTGACACCACTGCCCTTGCGTTCGTGGGGAGCTTGGTGAGGGCCTGATAGCTGAGGAGGGGAGCCGCTGGGTTGGAATGGCAGAGCTCCCAGCTGAGGCGGGCCAGTTGAGCTGAAGGAACCACCATTGCCATATCGTGGACCAGGTGCCTGTGCTTGTTGATTAGGAACCCGACCAGGGAATTGTTGGCCTGGCTCGCTCTGTTGAACCGGCATGTTTCCTTGACTGAAGCTCCTGTTATGGGGTTGTGAAAATGGGCGAGGGTCGTCAGAAGGTGGGAATGACGAGTCACCACCAGTGATGCCAGTGATAGGACCAAGGCCAAGAGTGCTGGTCCTTGATCCTGGACCAAGAGGTTGAGGTCCAGAGAAGCCCCCTTGAGGTGGTGTTTGTGATACTGGTGACTGCAATGCAGCTGCAGGTTGTTGAACTGGACCACCTGGTACATGCTGGCCGCTGGAGCCAGGAGGGTTAAGAGCCTACGAATGGTGTTAGTTGCGACACCGGTTCCTCATTGGTAAGGTTACTTACTGGATTGCGCTCATACTTGATCTCGCCAGTGTTAGGAGGCACACTTCTGTGTTGTGCTGTTACGTAGTCGTTCAAGTCCTTATCGTTATCGATCGAGGAAGCGGCTTGTCGCAGACTGCGTTGAGAGGAGCTACTTTGCCCCCCTGGACCCTGTATGGGACTGACACTCAGACCGTTGCTTAACAACAGACGCTCGTTGAAAGAAGCTAGAGAATATGTGAGCTGTAGTTCCATAACGAATATCAACAGAGGATGTCATACCAAACTTCTGCATCTGCAATGAGATGCCTGCGTCAATCTCCTTGATTGAGTCTTGGAGAGATCGAATGGCTTCTGGGCGTGTTGTTGAAACAAGTTGAGCCTTCTCAGCCTGCAACGACTGGACGTGTCCGTGGTAGGTAGAATCAGCTGCCTGAACCTTCTTCAGTAGCTCACCCTCGTGCTGCTGGGCCGACTTGTGACCCTTGAGGCCGAACATCTTGCCGCTCTGGCGCGATTCTCCAGTCTTGACTCGCTCGTAGTCCTCGGCGAGAGAATCGTATTTGGCCTTGCTCTTGCGCATGGTTTGTTCCATCTCTGCTACCTTATTCTCGGCGGACAAACCATTCTGCTTCCAAGACTTACGGCTGCGTTCAGCGACACCAGCAAGCTCCATAAGCTCGTCGTGCATCTGGTGCAGTTCTTTCGAAAACTCAATGCCATTCTCAGCCATGCGTTCGTGGGTGCTCGCCATGGCTTCGTATGCGCTGCCAAAGGTACCCTGGCGGTGGTCGGGTCGGCGCATGACTTCTTGGGTGGTGCGAGTAAGTTTCCTGATGCCATTGGCATGGTCTTCTTCGAGGCTGGATCGCTTCTTGAGAAACAACGCGAATTCCTAGAGAATTGCAAGTTAGCGATACGAATCGCGACGAATGCTAGTATAATTAGTGTTGGAATAATTGCCCACCTTTGCGGAAGCTATGCTCTGTTTAAGACGGTTTAGAAGCGTGTGGATGCCGATCTATAAGACGCCGTTAGCAAATGGCTCAAGATCCAAACATATTGCTGTTTATAATGGTTGATGGTACCTCAGAGGACAAGACGTCTTGAACTTGCTTCAGCTGTTCAGGATTCGCACCTGATGGACCCGAAGCCTGCGTAAGAGAAGCATTGTCGCCATCTAACTTCTGATCTTTGCTTCCGGCATCGTCAACCGCAGCACCGCCATGATCAGACGGAGGGCCCGGAGGGCTCACGGGGAGATTGCCAAAAGACGTGCTGCCAGATCGGTCGCGCTCCTGTTGGGGAGAGAAGGCGTCGTTCGCCGATGAGTGGTAGTCGTTCATGGTATCGAGCGCAAGTTATGAAAAGGCTCCTCGCGGTTATGTACAGAGTATTGTCGAGTATTTGCGGGAAAGTTTTATGTGTGCCTGACTTGGTTGTTTCGGACGCTCACATTCCTTATTGCTAGGTAGCTAGGTCGTTTAGCAGCGATTGGGCAGGAAGTGGTGCAGCCACAAAGCGTTCGTGAATAACAGCGGCAATAACGACGAGGGAGGCTTGTAAAGATAGGGAGAGAGAGAAATTGCGCCGAGGCGACGACAGTGATGGTGACGTTGAGAAGCCTGTGAGAGGAGGCTTGGGTTTCTTGGGTTCTGATGGGGGAGAGCTTCGCAATCCGCAGCGGGGGTCACTGATTCGGTGCCAGGGATTGACTGGGCCGATTGTCGTCGAGGCAGCACGGGCTTTCGGAAATGATGAACGGCGGGGAGGGCACGGGGAAGCTGGAGTAGAGCAGAGCAGACGGATACGCGCCCATGTAACTAACACAATGAAGACACGAAACGGTTGGGGGAGGATTCCGAATTAGAGGCCCCTTGTCATTAATAAAGGAAACTGGCAGATGAGATGCAGATGCAAATGGAAACGGAAATGGAAATGGAAATGGAGACGGGATGGCGATGGAGATGGAGATGGAGATGGAGATGAGTATGGAGATCAGTTGGTTCCAGTGGAGAGGGAATGGAAAGGAACAGACTGGCTCAGCAATGGATGGAACCACAAATTGGGCTGATTGTGGCTGAGTGAGGTCTTGTCAGGTTCCAAGGAAGAGGCGCCACCAACCAAAAGGCTTTACTTTTAGGTCCCTATCCATGGGTTCAGGTTCTCTACAGGCACTTTATCCAGGCCTGCAGGGGTCTTTCCAATTGACTCTAGTGGGCGGGAACCCTGTCGTTAGCTCCCTGGGCTTCACCTTGACAAGCTCCCGTCAGGCATAAGTTCGTTCATTCATGAGCCTCAAGTACTAAGCATTTAACTACCACTGGATCCTCAAACCTCGCCGCTGAAACATGTCTAAGAATCCAATTCCTTCTTACAAGCTGTTACTCGCTACTTGCCCAGGACAGTAAGTTCTAGATCGCAAACTTACGTACCCTAACCCACTCTTTTAGCAACGTGTTTGGCAGCAAGCTGGACAAGTCCAAAAGCCACAACGGCTGACGGCAGTTTCTCAAACGTCTATAATTTACCTCGTGTGTTACATTTACTCTTGTTACTTTGTTATCATGAGTTTACTTTGTTCTGCCGTACTGGCATGGCACTTCATCAACCGCATCACCGCTAAGTGGCCATTCCACTATCTTTCCTCCAAGGGTTCTTTGGACCGTTGAGACACGCCCTTCTTTGGCTGCGGGCGCCAGCATTAGCTCGTCTATCAAACGACAACCAATCTCTGGCCCAAGGAAGCAACCCACGGCCCCTCCGCAGCGTTATGCAGTCCATATCTGCAGAGCCAAGCGATGGTGCTTTGCTGCTTACATACATAAGGTACATCCCAGTCCACGACAACAACATCTGACGACCAAACTCCCGCAAAAACGATTGATCTATCATATATGCTTAAAAAGAGTCTATATCCTTGTCTGCCAACTCAGAATACGTACAACATGATTCTCTGAAACTTTAAGGACGCTGCCCAGACATAGCTTCCTCCTATTTATAAATCAGCCAGTGTTAGTGCTGCAAATCCTCGAGCTAGAGTCGATGTTTCATATAACATCCTGGCCTCTTCTATTCCAGCAAAGGATACGCGTACGAGACTATTGAAAGTTTACTCGAATTGCCGAAGCGAGCGCTTTGGTCTCTAAAACAAGAAAGATGAGCATGCAGCCACAGCCGTAAACAAACAACAACACCCGTATTGGGGGTTCGTATGACGGTCTAAGCCCTCGGTGTCGACCCATGTAAAACACAGATACTGTACACGTCCACGAGGGAAGAGAAGAGAAGAGAACAACATGCACTCCTGTATTCTCCGATATGCAGTTTGCCACTCTTTGACGATGCAACCCCAGCCTGACAAACAGACTAAACGGGACTCACGGCAAAGATCAGTCCACCCATGTGGGCTCGCTATGGTCCAACCGACATATGGAGGGTGTAACAAGAAGCTAGGGTTGAACGTCAATGTCAGCCCTTCACATACCCCGTACTACGTATGTTGATTGACAATTGATACCTCAAGGTCTCATAGGCATGTACAGTGTTACACAGACTCGACTGGTCAAGTACTTCATAACATCCTGATTTTCCGAGCCCTGCTCACAACGTCTACTAGCATGATATCATGTTGATAGGGCGCTTGTCGCAAGATGCTGGTGAGAGAATGTTCACAGAGTTCATCCAATTCACGACGCATTTGGAATCCATGATATGGTTCGTTCATTCGATTCATCATTAAAGTTCTATCTATCAGGTCCGGGGTATAATGCGATCGTCCAGACCCCTCGAACAATTGTTGTGAGACTTGAATCCTTACTCAAAACAGTGTGAAATCCAAGTCTACAGAGGTCGATAACCCCCTTCCATCTTTCTATGGTCCCAGTATATCTGCTCCATCAAGGCTCATGCCAGGGTATAAACATAGTCGAAAATAGAGCATCATGTCAAAATGAGCTCGTGTCTTCCTCAGCCCACCCTATAATTGTCAAGTAGAAACGAAATTGCGGTCGAGAATCTATGCTGATGCTTTCAATCAAATGCTTGCAACTCCAAAGAAAAGTCAACCCTGCGGAGACATGTCCAAAAATCATCCGCTTCCCATGGCTGGTAGGCCTGGTATCATGCTGTAAAGAAATATATATATGGTGAAACAATGATTATAAGTGAATACGCCGCAATAGTGTTTCTTATCTTGTAAAGAAAACGAATCGAATGACACAAGTGGCCATGAACGTGATCGTGGGATACTGGTGCTGTGCTTCGTGCGACGTTGTCGTGCAAGTGTTTCAATTGTTCTCACTTGAGTGAACAAAGTGCCTGTACCATCGCCTCTGGCCACGTTGGCGTAGGAATTGGAGCGTATTTGACGCCGTCCTGATCTTCAAGCTCTTTGCGAAGGATCTCAATGGCCAGCTCCCATCGACGTATAAGCTTGGATTTTCGTGCCGAAAATGTGGCAGCCAGTGCGTTCTCCTCCTGAACCGCTTGAGCTGTCAATTCGTTGAGTTCCTCGCGGTTCCGGTCGAGAAAGCTTTCGTACTCGGTCTCCTGTCGATCGATGAGTTCCTCCATGCGTTTGGCCTGGCGGTCTCTCATAACGTTGATCTTGGCTTGGTGTGACCTTTCCATGCCATCCCGAATGTTGTACTGCTGACCCAGTTCTCGAAGATCGCGTTCGGTAACCACCCGTTGATGCGGGCTGTTGGAGTCAGGGCTTGAGCTCCCGCTATTCCTTCCCAATCCATCGCAGTAAGCTTCCATGTGCTTCAATCGAATATTGACGCTACGCGCACTTGCTTCCAAGGTGTTCCGGAGATCCATCTCGGCAGCCACTTGTCGATCCTCCAGTTGACTAATAGTTTTGGCATGCTTTTCCTTCATTAGTTCCCCATCCTCGGCATGTTGCTTTATTATCGCCTTCTTCTGCTCGGCAAACCGGACTCGCATATGCTCTTTGCCATGTTCAGCAAATTCAAGAAAACGTGTCTGTTCTTCCTGCTGAATCTCGGCGAGGTTAGAGAAGTCAACCTTATTCCTTGTCCGCTCCTCGGCCTCAAGTCGTTCGGTAGACGCTGCTGCTGCGGCAGCTTCTTGTACAGCTTTCTCTTCATCGTACTCTGCAAGTTGAACATGTTCGTCTCTTTTCCTCCGTTCCATCTCTTCGTCTCTATCGCAGTCATTAGGGCATCCAGTGTGGGCATCCCATACTCCACAACAGGTGTAACAGAATTGGGCTTTGCACCGACAGGCCATGCGTGTGCTTCCTTCTTCCAATGGGACTAAGTTGTGACACTTGTAGCACCGTCTCCAGCCAGCCTTTCCCCCTGTCTTGATAACCTGATCCAACTCCCAATCTTCTGGGCAATCCTTTCCGGTGGGGTGTGCATTACGCTTGCACATGAGGCATACCCTTGTATTACACTTGCGGCAAGTTACATTGGATGGATACTTTGGGTCCAACTTTTGGTGCGGTGGAATAAATTCGTTGCACGACGGGTTCGAACAGAACATCCTCACTTGCCAGGGCGTGCTGTATTGAACAATAGCCTTTAGAAACTCTTGCTGGACGTCACGACTAAGCAGGTCCCTTATGACGGATCCAGGTAACGGTTGGGCACAGCATCTCGGAGGCATGCTAGATTCGTCAGACATGGATGCGTGAATAACTGATCTTAGACAATTGTCGCAATATGTATGGCCACATGACAGACTGTGTAATGATTTGGAGGTTTTGAAATCGGCACGGCAGCTCACACAGGTCCTATGACAAGTCAGTATGCTCTGGCTTTGCGAGACCATGTTAGTCGGGATCGGGGTCAGAACGTACACGATGGCCTGAAATGGCTGAGGGGGCTTTTTCTTCCATCTTAATTTAAACGTTGACCTGACGCTGAACAAGCTGCGTTTCGTCTTACCACTAAAGATGCTCGGCGTAGCGTCATTGGCTGGGGGTGGTTCTCTCGTTGTTTTTGGGTGGTTGTGATGAGGATCGATTACCGACAGATACCGGTCATATTGGGTAAAGCTCAAATCTTTAGATTGCCTGCCGTGGGAAAGGGCTGGATCGGGTGTAGGAGGACCAAACAAAGATGAATGTGTAGTCAAAGCTGTGCTTGTAGAGCCCCCAGAGAGCATGGAAAATGTTCGAGCATTGTAGACCGTGGAAGCTGATTCGACGCTCGAGGTGATGCGCTTATCAGCGACGGGTGCACTCGAGATACCGAGAGCATTCGCTTTGGAGAGTAGATCATCCTCGATCTGGTTCTCTGTCCGCCCATTTGTTAAATGCAAAACATTGATGAAATAATCGAGGTCGCTTAGCTCGGGAGCTGTGGCGCCCGTGTTAGTGTCTGCGCCGTTGTTGACGCCAGTGCTAACGCTTGTGGTGGTTAAAGGTGTCGTCGTCGTGGAGTTGGCCATGTCGACAGCAACGATCGGGCTGTAACGAAGAACCGCAGCGACCATGGCTCGAGATGCGACTCGTTTGCCAAAGGTGATGGGAATGTGGCGGTGAGATTACGGGAATCGAGTCGAGTCGGATGGTGTTGTTATCTCAGTGCATCATCGAGAAAAAGAGCCGATATTGTTCTGCTGGTATGAACATTCAACGACTAGGATGAGGTGAGAAAAAAGCAAACCGAGGTGAGGTTGTCGTGTGGTTGAATTTGTGTACTGTGCAGGCGTGGGGTGATGATGGCCAAATCTTATGGGATTGGGTGGTTCCTTCTCTTTGACGAGTCGATCGATGATGGGGACAAATCAGACCAGGGCGAGTCTGATTCAGCTGGCAGGCAGAGAGGTTGGGTTGGGTTGTGTTGTATAGTGAGTGTACTTTGTAGACCCCAGGGATTCTTTTCCTCGCGTAGGGGCCGGAATTTGGCAATGTCTGACACCTCTCTTTGATTTGAGTCAAGTCTTAGTGAATTCTAGCCCGCGCATTCGATCCAATGCCAGTGGTGAGGAGAACAGTGTCTGGCTGGAACGTTGGAGGTTAGTGTCAATTGGAGAGATATGAAGGGGAAAAAAGATGACGAAGTGCAGATGCAGATGCAGATGCAGATGCAGATGTACATAGAGATGTAAACGTAGATGCAGATGCAAATGCGGCACTAATACTAAGTACGTAGTAAAGAACCCAGACAATAGAAGATGATGTAGAAATTGATTCCGGTCCGAGGGTAGGGAATAAGAAGGAAAAGATAGCGTACAATCGAACAAGCTGTGCTCAATATAGAAAGCAATTGTGCCGTCCCGGGACAATTGGGCGCAAATATGAGCCAGAAACGAGGCTGCCAATCGAGTTTAAGATAGCCTACTCCGTACGTAGATCCCGGATGGTCAAGGGAGGACAGGATGGAAAATGGAAGCGTTGAGAATTCCAAAAGCCAAGATCGAGTCGAGTCAATCAAAGAGATCAGAATGGAAGGGAAAGAAAAGAGGCCGGGATGTGTTTCCTTAACAATGAATGGTAATCAAGTCAAGTCAAAAGGTGGGAGGGGACTCGAGGAGTAGGACGGGGGACCATCCTACTTGGAGGGATATCCGCTCCGAAAAGAGTTATCAAAGGTCCAGGGCCAAACCGCGATGAGCAACTTGAAAGGCAGATCGGAGACAGGAAGAGCGTAGCACGGTTAGTCCGTAGATAATTATGCAAGGCAAACTGGCAAGCAAACAAGCAAGTTATACTCCGTACTCCGTACAGCATGCAGAAAGACAGACAGACAGGGTTGTCGATGCTGTTATAATGGGGAAACGAGGCATAGCTGAACTAATTCCCATGCACCGAGGGACCTACCTACTTCTGCACTCCGCTTTTAACAAGAATGCCGTCTTCACCTGATACCAATGCGTTCATGCCGTATCATTATCTATTATTGCATTCCGCCTTGAATGAAGCTTAGATCACTAAAGTAAGGGAACATCCATAATCGTCAAATGTGCTGTACCGTCTATCCTTGGTGGTCGGGTAACTGGCAACCGACATTTCAGCATCCACTGGGCAGGAAATGTAAAGCTGGCCTGCAAATGCAAAGGTTCGGCTGACTTACAAGGGCGGCAAGACAAAAGACAAGACAGGGGGGTGAGAGAGAGAGGAGGGACCAGGGGTCCTGGACGATTCTGGCCTGCCATTCACATCATCACATCATCAGCGGCCCCGTCAGAGTCGCAACCTCTCTGACACACGGTGGAGTCGATAACTTAGGGAGATACAAAATGCGGTCCCTTGTTTGGACGACTGGAGGGCAAAAGAGGGTGTTAGGTCAAGACCAAGTCACGGGAAGAATGTGTATAAGTGGGAATGGAGACAAGACAAGACAAAGACGTAAATTTCAAACAAGAAAAAAGTCGGGAGCGGTAAACGATGTAGGGAGGATATCCCTTGGTGCATCAGCATCAGCATTAGCATCAGAATTTCTCTCCCTTGGTGTTGCATCGGGGGGTATTTCCATTACACGTATACTCGATCTAAGTCAATGGAAGGGATACAATGCCCAAGGTTAGTAGGGACACCGTAGCATATGGCTTACCTAGTACCTATTCAACGATCACAGCCCGACGCTGTGCTGTTGGCCATCGTGTCACCAGTCACGAGTTACAACAGCGGGTGCTCGTCTACAATCTTGTAAATTACCTACCTACGGTAAGGTACCTAGGTACCTAGTACCATTGAACGTTCCTGTTCCTGTACCTGCCCCGTAGCCCGGCAGTCAGACGAGGCCAACGCCACAGGCTGAACAGGGGGGGGGGGGGGCTGCTAGCTGGGAATGCTCCTACGCCAAGAATCCAACTACGTATTTCCTCTAATTAGTCCCTTTTTTGGTGCCTGTTGTTTATGGGAACTTGTTAGGCCATTCCCTTTCTCCTGTTGGGCTGTGGTGTTTTGTGTTATTAGAACCTGAATGCGATACAGGGCTTGTGCAACAGGCCATTATTGCACATGCCCGATATTCAGTTGCCTCGTATAACACTTTGAAATATCCATCCCTAGCAACAAAAGCTTCTCAGAGTAACCTTCGTCTTGCAGTAGCATTCGTATCCTTAGACTCGAGCATCAATTTTAAGTTATTGCAACCTTAATAGTTTCGCTAAATATGACGTACAGGCCGCCAATCGTTTCGGGCCCGATTTGTTCAAGTTAGCAATTCAATTCGAGCTTTCACTTGTCACCCATGCCGATCCCTTCAATTAGTTGATCTTTCGATATTCGGCCAACCTACACTGAACGACACAGTTAGATAGCCAATATTGAAAGTGCATCTTGCCAACTCAAGTAAGTTTGTCCAGACAACGTGATAGGTTACAACACATGTCAAGGAAAGCGTCATATAACTCGATAGTTTGGAATCTCACGAGAACCTCGCTTCAGCGTATCTTTTCCTGCGCCACAACTATTCCTTCTCCATTATTGAGCTAGGAGACTACCGGTGTATAAACGTACGACATCAAGTCTGACCCACCACTACAATTAAATCGCTCTGCAATCACTTCAAAGAGTATCAGTTGCGGGATTTGCGAGGATGTTATCAATACCAGAACAAACATTTACTCCGAGTTACCCCGCGGCAGGCGCCGCATTGATGATACGTTTTGTGCTTTTTGTTTGTCAACGATCGTCACATATTCATTTCCCAAGCGTTCGGGTGAGCATTGTCCCGTATCTGGAACCCTTGGGGGAGCACGAAGGTAAAGAAAAAGCAAAAAAGGGAGATGATGTTACGATTCGGACAAACTGGACGCCTTCCCGTCCCTTCTCACGGACAGCTCATAGGATGGGTTTCATGAAGATAATGCCAATGTGACCAACTTGAAGGTTTCGATCGATGAGCGAGCTCCCGCTTATGATAAATGAGAATGTGAATTGTTTGTGACCAATGTTTAGCCGTATCCCTTGACGGTAGATCATCCGCATGTCTCGGGGCGATGGCCCCAACAAGCAGAGAGACTATACGCAAGGGTTTTGTTTCCGGGGAGTTCCTGAGACCATCGGGTCCGTTGCTAGCGCCCACTGACCGGTGAGGAGGTAGCTGTTTAGCTGTCTGGAGTGATATGTAACTTGATCTGTCAGCAAGATCTGGAATTGTAACGGCAAGGGAGGAACCGGCAGATGGATTGAGATGAGGTGAAATGAGATATGAAAGTCTGGAACCCGGAGAAAGAAGTACTGCGCAGTTTATGGTGCTTGATCATCCCTGGGACTGGACCCTAGGGAGTTGCAGTGTCCTTAGTACGCACTGCATATTCCGCATTCTCATCACCCGACTACCTAGTGATGGCTGCAGATGATGTGCATTATGCAAATGCACGATATCTGACCAGCACAAGGGTTTGTTTTCCCATTCAACAGGTCCTCAATGACCCTTGAATCCATACTGCATACCGCCTAAGTAACCACATTTCCACTCGCAAACGGGTCAATAGGCCATCCACAGAGTTTCAATAAAACTTCAACTCCTACTTGAACTTCCGCCCGGCCGAGGCATCGGCCGATCAGTCAATGGACCGCAAATTTAGTCTCTCAGTTAGCTGCGACCACTCAACAAACTGACGCCATGCAAAGGTCAGCCCTTGGCCTCAATTGGTCGAAGCTGTTTGCTATCTAGACTATGCTCCCCTCCCACCCCAGCTCACGGGAACTAAAAAAAATGCTAACGTTAGTTGACTTTCTCTCACCAATTTTGTGTGTTTCGTATCTTGATCGGGTCAGGAACTTGGCCAAAGCTTAACGGTGGTGGTCGAGTCTAAAACGGATAGGGACCTTTCCAACCTCTGAGCCACAGAAGGAAGCTGTACAGGTCATTCATCACTCTAGCTCACTTTGGTCATACTTTACACTAGCTCAGCGAATAGACATCCCTTGAGCCCAAGGCGTTAAATGCCATTTTAATTGTAATTTAGCAGGCCTCAGAACCTTGACGACCACTCACGGTCGTAGCGAGAACTAATATCGTAGAGTCGCTGTTTATTCTCTCTCTTTTTTAAATCCAGACCAATTTCGATGTCTTGAAAACATCCCTACATGAGTAAAAGTGGGCTGCATAAATGATCGACGTCGTATCTCGATTCCCGAGTTACCGAGGCCAAGACGAGCCATCACCAACGGCTGCTGTAACCTTCCTTATAACAGGCATACGTATATATATATATATAAGACATTGATAGGCCCACACCAGGTATGTCATTTTGTTACATTCATTCACTGCATTCTCAGCAGCTGTTGCATAGGTGACTACGCATGTTTTGGCCGATTTAATCTCAACAAACCCACATGATGCGCCGTGATACATGCAAGGCTCGAAGTAAATGTTTCGCCCAATCTGTCAGCGCAAAGGTCTATCCGACACATGCTAGGGGCCAGGCACTTTTGATGGGACGTTCTGACTCATCCTCAACCTTCAACATGCGCCGATGCGGTGGCCGTTTTCACCTACCGGCCAGCCGTTGGTGTACGAGCTAGTCTGGGGTCAGGATCTGAACAAACATGCCCAAGCTAGGCAGGTCGGAAGATATAATATAGGTCAAAAAGGTCCGATATATGTTTAACGTGGTTTAAGCTTCATAATAAAATCCCCATGACCAAGTAGGAGAAAGTTACCGAGGTAACTACCCAATAGCATATGCAATTTTGACTACCTATGGTGATGATACAAGAAGCGGGCACATGAGATATCCTTAAGGCAAGGGATTGAAACAAAGGAAATACTGGAAGTCGGTGAGCCGGCATCGTTCTTTTGCCTTGCATATCCATAAGTCTCACTATGTAACCCTGCTAAGTTATTACCAAGCCTTTTGAGCAGGACCGCAAAATCAAGTTTGTAACTCAACTTGAATGAGCTTTGAGGATCAGCCACTTCCTTCTTTCGATCGTTCTCGTCGGTTGTGGTATTCCAATCATCAGACATTGTTGTTACAGGAGCTATTCGACATTGGCATATAGAACAAATAAACCTTCATCTTGAATACACGACGGCGTAGTGTCCCATAACATAAGCCAGTCTAATCTCGCTTCTCGGCACCTCTATGGAAACTATGAGGCTCCTTGCTTTAGTTCTTGACGTGTGTCTCAACCTAAGCAGGGTTTTGATAAAGCGCGCCTTGAACGTCATAGTTACCGATAACTTATTGCATACATCACGGCTGTCATATAGCTGGATAGTAGTTTCCAGGAGTTGCTTATTCGTGCTAGATCTCTTGATTCAACGAAAAGAACTGTTGCCTTTCCTTGCATTATGACCCTACGTCTTGACAGTTGGAAAATCGGAGCTTTCCCCGGCTCAAGACTGCGCAATTAGCGACATGTCCTAAATCATTGGCCAAGAGTTGTATACGTATGAACGAGAGCAATAAGGACAACTGCATGACCCTACTTTCCGGTAAGATTTCGACCTCAGCCTCCCTACAGCGTTTCACAATGATCTTCTCGGGCTGCTGGGAACTCGAATTACTTCGATTCGACGACGACCTGTAGAGCGAACTGGGAAGCTGAGAAGACAAGCAATCCATCTATCCAACCCAAGTCACATCCAAAGAGTGGCTGTCAGTACTCGTTTCAGTCTTCGAAGCGACTCATATACGAAGGGCATTCATGTTGTTGAGATGTGTCATGTTGATAGATTGGCGGTCGCCCTTCGAGGAGAGGTTGATTTTGATACAATAGTATTGGCTTCCTAATACAAGGGATGCTTTACCCTATCACGGAGAGAGGGGTGTTGTGCTTGATGGCGCCTCTGACCAGTACTGGCATATTGATAAATGATAATGCCTACTAAATGACAATACGAAGAAGTTTAGAACCGTTTCAGTAACCTATGCATTCCTTATTGAAGAATATAGAAAGGATAAGGAAGTAGTTGCCCTGTAAGATTGTCATCAGGATTCGAGTCTTATTATTATCAATCGAACAATGGTGGTAATATTTAAATGGCGAGAGCCTTTGTATTTGGTGTGTGAATTTGCTACATAGGGTATTTACTCGCAGTTATAGCATTCACCAGTGATTATTTCGAGATAGGATAAACTGAATCATGGTGAGTTGGTAAGCAAGAAGCGAGTGTTGCTGCGTGACGGAACGGATACAAGTAAGCAAGAAATTAGAACTCCAAGGTCAGTGACTCATCCAGCTATCAGTCTTGGTACTGTTAGTAGCGTCAAGTACTTTCCTGAACTTCCTTAATCTTTTTGGTCCGGTCGCCAAGCATGACAGCAAATATAGTTCATCAGAAAGCACTCGTTCGACTTGAGGCCGTCTCAGGAATCCATGTATACGATTTCCACAAACTGTGGTCGAGTGAGGAAGCCGCTCTTTATAGGTTAGACGAGCCCTCGGTGTTGCCAAGATCTATCTCATGATTGTGTAGCCAGCGTGTTGTGAACGATAGCTTTGAAGAATCTCGGAAGACCTTTCAAGAAAAGTTTTTAGATATGGCAGTAAGTAGGCCTTGGGTAGTCAAGAGGGTAATAATGGTGCCGAGGCTTGATGGAGAAGCTGGCCAAGAAGCAGCGGGATTTATCTCAGCTGCAACACCATCACCAAATGGCCTCCTGCTTTCATATCATCTCCGTCCCGATTGTTGGAACAAGGGTTATGCTACGGCAGCTGTGAGGATGTTCCTTGATGAATACTGGAACGCACCAAGAATGGCATTGTGCAGTGAGATTTATACTGGCAGCCATTTAGGAGAGACTGATCAAACCGATGACGCCCGAGTCATGGAGATTAAGCATCTTATCGGTGAAGTTGACTTTGAGAACAAGGGCAGTATGCGCGTAATGGAGAAGTGCGGCGGAAGAGTTATTGGCACGATTGAAGATGAGTTGCTTAGGTTTCAAGGCCTTAGAAGCCATGCAGTTTGGCAACTTAATAAGCCTGAATGCCTAGATATGGTTGGGAATGGGAGATAACACTTTTAATTAATGGGTAGTCTTTGGGGTTGAAGAAAGAACTAACTTATTAGGCAATAAACCCTTTGTTTCCCGTGCATGATGGCTCTGAAAAGGGTTCTTTGTTATATACCAGAGGTGGTTCACGTAGGAATATGACAACTGACAATAATGGACGACTCGTGACGCGATTGACAAACCTGTCATTTGCATTGGATCACTGGCTAAAATATAATTTAGGCGGCCCAGCCTCCTAAAACCCTCTCCCGTATTAATTCAGCGTTACTGACTGTATCTGAGGTTATCTCCATTGACGTAGTTAACCTTTTCACTCAAGGTCACCCACCTCCACTTGTTCCTCCTCTAAACCCCCCTGTCTGGCGTCTCCCCACTTGCACCCGTCGGCCCCATCTCTCAGATTCTAGACTCCAGACTCCAGACCCTCCTCCGGACTTCCCTTGCCTATTCCGCGCGTCAACTTTGACCTTGAACACACAGCACCTACAAACTTGTATATCATTCAGTATCGATATACTCTGTACGGAACTTCCCTATTATAAGTCTCCATTTGTCTATTTGTATCACCAATTCCTCGTATCTCGACCCTTTCGCTCCCTATCGCGCATCGCATTGGATCATGGCAGCGGCTGGCCTAATTGACCCGACAAAGACGGGCAACTATCCCGTCATCTTGGGCGATGCACTCTTGGGCAAAACCTCCAACGAGATCTTTACCGGAATAAAATGTGTGTTGGTGTAAACCCCTTTAATCTGGATCTTATAATGCTTACATCGTCAAGACAATCACAAGCCTACGCTCTCGTCAGACGCAGCCCCGAATGCCGCTCGTCTAAAACCCTCTGTCCCTGGCAAGACCACATCATACGACCTCTCATACACCGATAACGACGAAAAGTACGCTTTCACAGGCACGAGAAATACAGACAGTGGCCAATATGTCCTCTACTTTGACCCCAGCCGTGAGGCCTTTATCCTCGATCTCGTCGATTCCACCTTCAACATGAACGTAACCCGACTGCCCGGCAATACGGATCCCGATAGTCTCCGTCGACAGTATCCTCACATCGATAGCAACTCCAATGGTGCATCAAAAGCCATCAAGGCTGAACCCAAGACCGCCAACGCAGACAAGCCCGCCCCCAAGCCACGTGCCAAACCCTCCACCCAAAAGAAAGAGGTCAAGCGCAAACCTGAAAAGAAGCAGGCTCCCAAGAATATCGCGCTCTCGCTCCCCGTACCCCTGCCTGCGCAACCAGAGAAACCTGTGGAGCCCAAGAAACGTACGCCGGCCCCCGAAGAAGAGGAAGAAGAGGATGAAGATGACGACGGTGGTCTTCTGGTGGAGTACCCGGGCGCCGACACTGGCACAACGCGCAGGACCGATTTCTCACCCGCCTTTCCTTCTGTCCGTCGCTTTGACGAGTTTATGGATCAGCGTGAGTCTGAAGGCGACGACGCCGATGGCGAGTCTGATGACGATCCGGACTTCGAGTTCAAGCTGCCCAGCCCAGTTAACAACCGCACCCAACATGAAAATGGCCCCGACCCTATGGATATCGATGGAGTAGAAGAGGAAGAAGCAGAACCCGAAGTCGACTTGGCCAAAGAGCTCGAAGATGCGTTTGAAAACTTTGAAAACAGCCAGCAGGAGAGCCCTGACGGTGATGAGAGTGAGATCAGCGAGGAGGACTAGAACATTTTGAACAACTTGGGTCTTTGGAGTTTGATTTTGATTATATGTGGCGCTAACATGGGACAGTTCAATGTCTGCCGAAGTTATATGGCTGACTTGGCGTTGGAAAAGGATCATTTTGAAAGCAAGGATGTTTGACGATACCACCACCACCACCAAGACTCTTGGTCTACCACTTTGGCTATACTATTATAAGCAGCAGAAAGGCGAAAAATAGGACTACTTGTTATATCTTATACTTAAGCAAAGAGCCGGGTTGCCCAGTTCAGAGTAACACGGCGGGGTTTTCTTTAGCACAACTAGAAGAAGCATTTATGCACACCACCAGCAGTAGCACAATGAAAAAGACTACAATTCTAGAAGTAATGCCGTAGATTCCGTTAGTTCATCTTCTCGGCACCTTCGCTTTCATGATCATGCCTCCACTTCTCCCCAGGCAAATGATCGGTGATACCTTTGATAGCGTCTTCGGACCACAGATGCACCTCTGAGTACCCCAACTGCTTGCCCCATCGCTTTAGGTCTTTCTTGTCCACCGTCCCGACCGACATGCTTATCACGCTGGACTTCTCGGCGCGCCAAAAGAGCCAGCTTCCGCAGTTGGTACAGAAACCTCGCGCTGCATTCGGCGTGGCGTGGTATCGCGAGAGCGTCGCCTGGGAGGTGAATTCGACGCTCGACGCGGGCATGTTATACAGCCATGCAATGAGGGAGCCGCCATTCTTGCGGCACTGGGTACACTGACATGTTAAGCACTTGGGAGTGTGAAAGTTAGTAAAACAGGACTCAGGTAGGGAGGCAAGATGTATGTACGCTTTTCTTCCAGTCGTGGTTGGGTGGAAAGGTTATTGTGTAGCGAACCGAATCGCAAAGACATCCGCCTGAGACGCTCGTTGGATATTCTTCTGAGGCCATTTGGTTGTTTCTGCAAGGGTGATATGGGTCAGAGGTCTGGTTTATTTACGAGTGCAAATGATATAACGAAGAGGTGAGAGCTCCATGTTGTGTGTAAGTGGTATGACCCCTCTTGAGGCCTTTGTATGAACAAGCAGTGTCAACCACGCCTTTCGCTTTCTTGCCCATTGGGCAGACAATTTTCAGGTTTAAATGATCGTAATAAGCCGATAACAGAGGAGGGCGTACCAAGTGGATCAGAGAGCCTGGAGATCAAGTCTTGGCAGATGTATTTTTAATATAGATTTGATAACCATATTCCATATGTCTACGAAAAAGGTGCATGCATGGAGATTTGGCTACGCGCGGCAGCTTATGCGCATTTTGCACAGCTCAAGCCGCTTCCCATTTTGCAAGCCACCCAACACTTTCGCCCGCGTTGCGAACAATACAATATCTTCCTTCCTTTGAATACTTCTTAACGTCGTCTAGGACCTTCTCAACAGCAATCGAGCCAATGGCCATTCCATGTCCTTCACTGAGACTGAAAGACCCTGTGGTGACAAACCCAATGAGGTCTTCGGCAATGGGAACAAGTGGGTGCCCGTTCATGTCTGACTTGTTCGCCGGCGCAGGAGGATATGGTGCGGGTTTGGAAATAAGCTCAGCAGCAAGCTGACGCTTCAGTGAATCTAGATCGCGTGGCCTTGAAGTATTTGATGACTTGCTCTTGGCTGTGATGGGCGACGGGGCTTGGGCGAGCCATTGGGAACGGAGATCATGTGGGAGAGAGGAGGACAAAGATGATGAGGTTGGGGGAATGGTAGCTGGGACTTCTGCTTCGGAGGATTGCGGAGCTGTAGTAGGACGAGAGGGAAGACGGTAGATGCGAGCGCATGATGTGACTACGCCTCGAGAGATCAAAGAGATGCGAACACCTAGAATGGCGTTTGCGGGTATTGTAGGCGGAGTAGAAGAAGAGGTAATGGATCGGTTGAAGAAGTCTCTTGTGACTTGGTGCAACTGGTATAAGGGTGGTTCCTTTCTCTGCTTCTCTGCTTGCGCTGATTCTGCCGTCTCGTCATTGTCCACGTCCATAGCATCGGCTTGAGGTTCCTCGCTTTCTTGTGTGCTTGCAGAAGTGAACAATAGCTCGAAATCACTGGCGAAACCATCTCCCACCTCGCCCTTCCTCCCTCCACCCAGATCAAGGGACTCCCAAGCAGTTCTCTTGCTCTTTGGACGTTTCTCCCATGCTGATTTTCGCTTTCTGCGCTCCTCAAGCTCCCATTCAGCACCAGCTCGAGTTCCGGGATAGTCTCCTGGGAACCAGAGTTGGCCCCTCTCGAACGCGACCTGGCGGATCTCATTTAGCCCCGCGAAGCGAGGATTGCCACCCGATGAAAGAGGATAGTGCACTAAGCAGTACCAAATATGCTGTATACACTTCCAGGGGGCTAGCAGAGTCCATGTGCCTTGCGTCTGAGTGCCGGTCCCCGTGCGCGAGGTGAGAAGAGTAATCGGGATAGGAGGGTCTGCTGCAGTGGGCTTTAGCGAAGAACCGGGGGTTCTCTTAGTCTTTCGTCTGTCGATCTGCTTTTGTGATGGAAGAAGTGATGCCTGATGGCGAGCCTCGCGGTCGAAAATAGGGTACGGTTTAAGGCCTTCCTCGGCCGGCCACGCCGCAATTCTCTCTAGAAGCTGCAGTTGCGAATCCGCATCCTCGGAGACGACAAGACGTTTCGGGGGGTAGTGTAAACGGGGATCTTGCGCAGAGAAACTAAGCAAAGCACCGGTAGGTAGAGCCGCTGCATTGGTCAATCCAGCCAGTCCCTCAAATAGCTCTGCGTGTTTCTCCTTCGTCATATCTTTTGTGGGATAAATATGTAATACGGACAGTAAAGCTTCTGTTGAACCTGGTCCAGTCAAATCTACACTGCCGATTTCAAACCGAAGATCCTCAATGTAAAGTCGAGGGGTCTCCTGTTTTGTAAGTGATAACAACTCATTGAACAGCTCAAGGAAGGCTGATGGATGGATTCTCAAGAACACTTGTCTCTGTTCCTTCTTGGGGTCCTGGTTTGCTTCATCTGTCGATTGCTCAGGATTCCATAGGATAGTACACGGTCCAATAATCTGTTGACTGTCGTGGTTTGGTTGTCCTCCGTGGGCTTTTCGGGTCAAGATGCCCGTCCACGACCGGCTCCCAAGCCTCCATTTTCTTCCCTTGTCATTCCAACATGATTCCTGGACAACACCTATTCTTTTCAAGACACGTTCCAGGCCAGTGCGGTTGCCGTACAGCCCAATTGTACTCATGTAGCTCATCTCCCATACAACAGCACCTCTGTCGCCCTGTGCTCGATGGGTTGGTCGATATATCTTCTCATTCGGTGTCAATGGTATGGCGAACCGCCACAATGGATCCAAGGGGTCGGTCATCCGTACTCTCTTCGCATGCCATGAGTGGGTCGGTAACCAGGTCTTGTTGAGTTGCCGCTTTCTGAATTTGGCCTTTGGTTTCGGGGGTTCGTTGAGCTCGTTTCGTCGGATTTTCGGCCTTGGTGCTCGCCCTACAACCGCTAATCCGCCTTCCATATTCACATCTCCGTCTTTTTTTATCTTCTTCAAACTGGCTCTTCGTTTCCGTGCCGCTAATATCCCCAACTTTCGTGCAGTTTCGGCTCGTATCCGAGCTCGTGTTGTCCTGGGCTTCCTCCGTCTCGCTTCTACCACTGGCGTATTGTCCTCTGCCATCTCTTTGTGCGCACGCTTCCTTAATCGACGGGGTACTCGTTTGGGATTGTGACTGGCCGTGCGACGGCGCAAGCCTCTGGGCACCTTCTGAAAGGCACGACTGCTACCGACGACTTTTGAAGTTGCCATGCTCTGTTCGAGAGCGCGGATTTCGAACTCATGGGCAGCCACAAAGGCCTGGAGATCGAGCTCGCCATCTTTGAGCGCGGCCTCGGCGGGTTGCGCAGGAATACTGCGCGCCGTAAAGACGACAGAGCGCTTCTGGGCGAAGTTGTCCCCACGACCATTTGAAGCTGGGGTGTCGGCCTTTCGTTTCCGGTTATCTGACCCAGATTGGGCTCCGGCAGAGGGTCCCGGAGCCATTGCAAAAGAAATTCGAGATGAAGGTATCAAAGTTTTGAAGCGAAGTCTTGGTGTTGCCTGTTAAGACGTGCTGGTAGGTAAAATAAAAGCTTATCGATAAGCTTTTGTCAACCTGCCCCTCTAGCGTCACAAGTGGGCGGAATCGAAATTCGCATGTATCGAAGGAATGAGCAGAAGTTTAGGATCGTACTATCATAAAACTACGAAGAATATCGAGTACCATTTAATACTAGTGGAGACCTGATTAGATTTGTTGTGGCTGGCTTTCGAATGTTGTAGCTTTCATGGGCATATCGTCATGTCACACAGAACGTAATAAACGGTAAAACATGAGATAGTTTCATATCTAAAAACAAAACTCCTCTTCTGTACATAATGTGGTAGTAGCTTATATAAACGCCTCTAGAAAGGGTATCACGCCAATATGTCAATTGCGCCGTTCGCCAGATAACCTTCCTAGCTGTTACCGATCTGCGAAGATCAGATGTTCAGCTTCGCTCTCTTTTCGTGTAAAAAAACAAATGAAAGAACCAAACCCATCGCCGACTCGTAAGATGTAACCTTGGCGGAAACAGTGATTTTGTTGATGGCCGCTTCAGCGTATAACGCTGTATCCGTAATGTCGCCTAACAGCTTCAGCCAACTGCCCGGGAGGTTGACATTTAGAACACATCTTGTGACCCCTTGACGAAAGTTAGTTTGACAATGATTCCTGATATGTATCTTTTAATACAAATACTCTAAATAGTTAGAGACAAAACATACCAGAACTGTGGTGGATCGACTACATTGGGGGTACATGGTCTTTGAGATCTCTCGTAATTTGGACACCACTTCTGTACAAGCCAGGCGTGATGCTGACACCGAAACTCAACCTTGACACTGGTTAGCAATATTCCTAGCATCTTCAATGTTGGGAAAGGGCATGTTCGTACATAGTAATAATCACACATACTTAGCAGGTATAAATAGTTATGGCGAAAAAGAATGAATGACATTTAACGGCGATCGACCCCTTTTTTTGCAAAATCAGTTTTCTCATTGTTAGTCCGATCTCTCATTATATGTCATAAATATTTATTGCAGACTCCCCTTGAGGGCGTATGGTGAGAGGTGACTGATGCTTGGAATCTGACCGGTACATCACACTGCAAAGTCTCATATTGCTTCTTTTGGGGAGCGCCATTTGTTCGCAAGCGATGAGACCTGCAACTGTGGCAGGGAATCGAGAGACAAATTGGGAAACAAGTGTTTGGGACTAACACTAACGTCAAGTTGAGGGAAAACGTTGTACAGAAATGGTTCAAGTTTTCTCTTTTCTCATCTCTTTTCTCACGAGGAGAGAACTCTGGGGGTCTGAATTGGGGACAGGCAGGTCTGTGAGTTCTCTAACAATACAAGGTTGCTGATATTAAGTTATTTTGGATCTTGACTCTTGACTCTTCTCTCAACTGTTGGATGTCCCCTGCTTCTACTCGTTTCAGCCATTTAAGCTTCGCTTCGACCGTATTGAGTAATCACGTTGATTTGATAGGTGAGAGTAATGGAGAGGGCAGAACCAGCCAGTATTGTTGAACCTCACCATGGTGTGATGTGATAACATTGCCTGCATAGAACTCGCAAAGAATTATCAGCCCAGTTACCGGAGTATAGTCAATATTACGACATTGCAAAGACGTCTTAGAAAAGCCACATAAAAAAACACGATTTTCCCTGCGTCTGTCTGCATGAAACATATGAATCAGTGGCGGTCCAGCAGGTCGGATTCGAGCTTGCAGAAATGACCTGCATGTGTTTCTTATTGCCAAGGAAGGGAGAGAGAACTTCCATTTACATTTGAGTACGTATATACCTACCAGCCCCTTGTGGCTTTGCTTGCACTCGTGGCGTCAGCGTCATGCTGGGGCAGGGTCGCAGGGGTCGTCTTTCCATGTCATGGGGGAAGAATATAGCAAGCGATCCCCTAGAATTACAGATACATGTGACGATATCCTCATCGTAACTTAGCTCTTCATACCTTGAAATTTGTCTAAGCGTCCCTTACCATTACTTACTATCGCCAAATTAGCACAGACGCTCGCCGCGTGCGAACAGCCGGTCCACCGTAACCCAGCGCGATAGGAGATTCTGGGCACTGGCGGCGCCCACTAGAGTTCGTATCGTCTACCAAAGGCCCAAAGCCAGCCAAACCAAGGAAGAGAGGCAAAGACAGAGAGAGAATGGCTTCGTTAAGTAAGCCGCATCCCCACAAAGTTCAGAGTTTCGCTTGTGCACGACACGACACGGGCTATTCCCGTATCCGTTTTCTGGCCTCTAGTTTCAGTTAGCTTTTGGCCTCTTACGGACACATTCCGGCACTTCCACTTACTTCAACCTCATTCATTGCGAGCCTGTCCTGTCGTAGTATCGGATAACCACAAACAAGTACACCACGCTCAAGCGAGCTCGCTACAGCCCACAAACCTGCATCTCAATACACAAATAGTCACTGATTTGAGTTGATATTCTCTGCTAATATGGGCTTTCTCAAACCTGAAGTTGGCAAAGCTCGAAAGGTAAGCATTCATCAACCTGGTCACCTTGAACCCAGACTAACTCACCCCTTAGCCAAAATTCGATCTTCATCTCAAGGTACATCTCCCAGATAATCTCTAACCACTCATAAAGGACTTCAACTTATGCTTGCTAGATATACGATCTCAACAACGTCCCTCTTGTCTCAGGCCAATCATTTGTCAAATGGCATCTCTCTCACTCCATGACTGCGGAACACCGCGGCCGCACTCAAAAATGCCCAATCGCCAACCACAGAGTCGACTATGGCTTTGTTACTACAGTACCGGGCATTCGCATATCAATAGACCGCAATAACCACCTTACCGAGTGCCCCATGGAGTTTGAAGTCATCCAAGAATTCGGCATGACCGATAAAGTCACATTGGGTGTTGTCCGCCTCAACCTGAGTGAATACGTCGAAGAGAGCGAAGCTTTCGTCAAGGATGTCGGGTCGCCTGGTCGCATACGCAGCAACAGTGTTGGCGTCGGCCCAAGCGGAGGTGGAATGTCCCGGCCGCGCCGTGATTCAGATGTTGTTGAAGATGGCATTGTGAGAAGATATCTCATGCAGGAGAGCAAGGTCAACAGTACCTTGAAAATCAGCATCCTCATGATCCAGGTCGACGGCGAACGCAGTTATGTAGCTCCTGCTCTCAAGACAGCACCCGTGTTTGGCGGTATCGGCGGCATCATGAGTGAGGCTATAGAAGACGAAGTTGGACGTGAGTGAACCGAGTCTACACCATTCTGTTTGACACAACTGACAAAACATATAGCAATAGCTGCTGCTGTCCCCAACTTATCAAAACCACGCGATGCCGCTGAGCTCCAGGATCTCTACCGGAGCGTCTTGGCTGCCTCATGGTGCCGTCAACCTAACGAGCATTCGGCAGAAGAAGTCATCGAGGATATCTTCAATGGCGGCAACGGTTGGAAGACGAAACCGCATAACGCATCACCCGTCTCAGAAGCCGAAGACGACGATGATGACCTAAACCCGCGTGAGACTATCCGGGCCCGGGATGTCCGTCGCATAACCCATAACCTCCTCCATCCTCACCATCATCATGGTCGCAGAAGTAGAACTGCGTCACCCTCACGCACTCAGCAAAACAACAGCACAAACGGCTCTTCGCACCGGCGCACACCAAGCAACTCGAGTGATAAGAGCTTCTCTACAGTCACGGTCACGCCGTCCAACCGACGCAAGGGCGTACGTATTCATGAGCACCATCTTGACCATGCGCGCAGCATGGCGAGCATGACGTCTACCATGACTCTTGACAGCGATCCTATGCGCGAAGTGAGTTATAAGGGAGCTCGCGAAGTCAGAGAGGATGACATGCGGAACGATCTCGTTGCGTGGCGGCTACCAGGAGAGGGCAACCAGGTGATGTAGAGTATTTTCGAGCGCTTAGGAGTTAGGGCGAACTCATGTTGCTTGCTGTCTTTCCAAATACTGGGTATACATCACTGGGAGTCTCCAGCAAGGCGACTCAATAGACCTTGAAACCATTCTTTTGATTCCTTTAAACTGTTTTGTTCAATTCATCCCTGACGACCTTCTATTGTGTCTTCTAGAATCTACCAATAAATCCGTGCTTTTGGATAACCATCCACCATAAAATACCCCTCATAAAAATCATTGCGGCTTTTTAATCAAGTTCTTGCTTTCGAGTCCAAAACTTGAGGACCCCTTAGATGCTTCCTCGGACACCACCCTTGCCGCCAACCTCCCGGGTTGTGACGGTAACGCTAAGATCGGCCAAAACGTTAATTGTGACCTCGACCTTGCCACCAGCCTTGACTCCCTTGATGGCAGCCTCGGCGAGGGGGCTGCCGATCTTCCAGACCTTCTCACGAGTCTCCTCCTCGTCCTCAGAATCCTCGTCCTCAGAGTCAGAGTCATCCTCAGCGTCCTTCTCCCCCTTGGCCTTAGGCTCAGGCTGGGTCACCTTGATGTGAGTGTTACCCTCGACAATCTTGATGAGAACGTCGCCACCCTCCTTAGGAGCAGGGATGTGGACGGTGCGTCGGGCAGGGGCAGCAGTCTCGGGAGCGACAACGGGGGTGAAGACATCCTCGCCATCAGCGCCGACAGTGATAACACCGATAGCGTTGGAGATGTGCTTGACGGTAGTCACAGCGGGGTGAGTTGACTGCTCAATGTCAGCGGCCTCGTACTCCTGGATGAGTGAGGCTTGGAGAGCAGCACCACGAGCCAAAAGCTCAGAGGGGTTGATGGCAGCAGCACTGGTGGCGGGGGCCAAGATCTCGGTGGACTCGGGGAAGATACCACGGAGGTTGTTGGCAATGCGAGGAGTGTGAGAAGTACCACCAGACAGGATAACCTCGTCAATATCGAGAACGTCCAGGCCGGCCTTCTTGACAGCACCCTCGATGAGTCGGTTGAAACCCTCAAAGACCTTGCGGGCAACCATCTCGTATCTTATCCTGTTGATAGTGACAGAGAAGTCGAAACCATCGGCCAAACTCTCAACACTGAACTGGGCGTTGCTGCCCAGGCTGAGGGCACGCTTGGCAGCCTCAGACTCAAGTCGGAGCTTAGCAAGACTGCGAGGGTTGTTTCGGGGGTCGATGCTGTGCTTCTTTTGGAACTCCTTAGCGAAGTGCTCCATAAGAGCCTGGTCCAGGTGAACACCAGCAAACTCGTAGTCGTGAGCGGTGGCGAGGATGGTGTAGAGGCCACCTCGCGAGGCGACAACGGCAACATCAGAGCGGGTGCCGCCAAGGTCGGCGACAACAACAATCTTATCCTCAACCGTGGCCTCAGGACGGGCATCGTAAGCCAGAACAGCGGCAACAGGGTCGGAGATGAGCTGGAGGATCTCAAGGCCGGCATCGTTGGCGGACTTGATCAGAGCCTCTCGCTGCTTCTCGCTGAAGTTTGTGGGAACAGTAACAACGGCGGAGGTGACCTTCTTTCCAAGGTAGTCGGAGGCGGAACCGACAAGTCGTCGCAGGTATCGGGTTGAAGCCTCTGAGACTGAAACAGTGGAAGCCTCCTCATCGTTCTTGTCGTTGACAGAGAAGGCAACGGTGCCAGAAACGTCCTTAGGGTGGGCAGAGGCGTGGCAGTGGGTAGGGTCGATAGACTCGAACCTGAGCACTTCTGGTTAGTTTCGTTGACTCCAGAGATCGGTCTAAGGTGAAATTGGGTGTTGCGTACTCTTGGCCGAGGAAGTCTCGGAAGCTGGAGATGGTGTTATCGGGGTTGCGAACAAGGAAGGCCTTGGCCTGGCCACCGTAGTACTCGTCGCCGTCAACGTAGGAGATAACGGTAGGGATTTGTCGGTCTTTATAGGTAAATATGTTAGTAAGCAATTCTTTAACAATTCTATGGAGCGCAATTCCATAGGAATATCAAATTTTGAAGCATACCTCCGTCCTCGTTGGCAATAACCTCGGCCTTGTCGTCAACAGTGTAGGCGACGGAACTGTTGGAGTTGCCAAAGGTAATACCAATGGCAACTCGTTCACTAGGCTCAGGGCCCTTAGCACCAGCGTTATCACTCATAGGGTCGGTAGGAAGAGAAAGTCGTCGATTCGGATATAAAGGGACAGCAACTCTAGACTCGTTGTCTTTTCTGAGTTGAGATTTAGGTGAGGAGGGTTGTGGTAAGAGTCAAGTTTTGGAGGGCGATTTGGTGATGGACGGTAGTGGGGGTTTATTACTTTCTTTTCCCTCAGAGAATGGAAAAAAACTGCCCGCTAATCGTTAATCGCCCACATTTTTCTGAGCGGCAACTGGTACGTATTCTCTTTATCGTTATCGATGCCCCACCACGCCGCCTTCGCTCATGTTTTTGACGGCAAGGCTAGTCAAGGTATGAAGCTCATCGCATAGCATTTCGAGGTTAGAGGCTTCAACTTTTTTCCACCACAAGCCTTCTGAGCTACCAATTCTTACGACATGTCTTCCGATTCCAACTTCGTGCTGCCAGGCGACAGCATTAACCCATCTCTTATTCCTTCACATCCTAAGAAGCCTCTCCGACTCGGTCCTGGTCTGCGACATGTGCCTCCCAATGACATTGTTCCTACGCTTGCTGGCCAACTTATAACCGACCGATCAAAGAATGCAATTCGAGTAGAGAATGCTCGGGGCAGGGTGCGCATCCTCCTTTTGACAATTGAAGACTCGGTACTAACTTGGTAATAGTATACACCTCGTGTCGGTGAACTCGTCATCGGAACCGTCCAGCGCAGCGCCGCAGATTTCTTCTACGTTACCCTCTCCGACTACACCGCGCCCGCACTTCTCCCACAACTCTCCTTCGAAGGTGCTACAAAGAAGACTCGTCCCCAACTTGCTGCGGGTGCATTGGTGTATGCGCGCATTGGCCTCGCCAACCGCCACATGGACCCGGAGATAGAATGTGTTTCTTCATCAACCGGAAAAGCCGACGGTCTTGGTCCCTTAACAGGTGGAATGCTCTACAACGTATCACTTGGAATGGCACGCCGGTTGATGATGCCCAAGAGCGTGCAAGAAGGTCGTGTGGCGGTGCTGGAAGAGCTCGGCAATGCAGGCCTTCAGTTTGAGACAGCAGCAGGGCGCAACGGCAAGTTCTGGGTTGACAGCGAAGACGTGAAAACAGTCATTGCTGTGGGCAGGGCAGTCCAAGAGACGGATGAGAAAGGACTGGATGTGGAAGACCAGAAGAAGCTGGTAAGAAGAATCATCAAAGACCTGAGCTAAAAAGGCGTATTACAGAGAATATGGTGCCTACCGGCACTCTTTGTATTGATAAACCACACAGTTGTACACTGTCGTACTATAATAGATACCCAAGAACGAACACGCCTGGCTCGTCGCTTGTCAGACGAACATGTCTTTTCCATAACCTAACGCCCAGTAGCCCTGCACGTCTGTTGACGTTTCTTTTTGTGCTGAACCTTATCTTCTAATACCAAATATGCTGTTTTGAACGAGTGTAAGAAGCAAACCGCTGTAATGAAATAATAAAGCAAAGTTAGTGAAGCTCGACAATAGAGCTGGCCTTTGTGAGCTACAGTCTGCATGGGGACTGTCCGTATATTACGACTTATGTCACAAGCATCAGTCTTCCCCTTCCCAGCCCACAAAGAGACTTTGAAGCTCCGTTCACAATTCGGAGTCTCTATGTACCACCCATATCCTGGTCGACCTCAACGGGCTCTGGGAGATGTCGTTGGTCCATGTTGTGAATCTTGGTCATATGCCGCTTCCAATTATCCTTTCGAGGGAATCCTTTTCCACCTTGTCGTGAGTAGTCACAGCCTGGCACGGCACAGTGGAACTTCTTCTTCCTTTCATGGCGATCATTGACGTGACGCTGAAGATGGGTTTTAGTTCCAAATCCCTTGCCACAATTTGGGTAAGGGCATTTGTGGTCTTTGGTATGATATCGCTGATGGTGTCTGTTAAAAGTCAGTATGCTGATTCATGTGAGTCAGCAACTATGAACTCACTTCAACTTGTGTGGCTGATCGAACACCTGATTACAACCAGGCTCATCACATGCATGTATACCATTCTTGGGTGATAGATTACTGCCGCCGTTTCCAGGTGACACACTATGACGATAGTCGGATGATGCGCCAGAGTGAGGAGAAGGAGTATCGAGCTGCGTTGCGGGTGTACTTAGTGAGGAGGGATTAGTAGACGCATGTCCAGGCTGTGGAGTGGACGCGTCGGAAGGGTAGCTTTGGTGTCGAATATTGCTGTCGGGCAATGGACTCAAGTGATTGTTCGACGGGATATCGGACATGGAAACATCTTGGGCTTCTTCGGGCTCTTGCTTAAAGGGTACCTCGCTTTGTGTGGGCGTAGGAGACTGGATAACGGGCAAAGGCTGAGGTTGAGGAGTATTGGGAGGGAGTGTGAATGGTGAAGGCGAGTCCACTGGCCCATCATGCCCTGAAAGCTCCGTTGAAGGGGGCGGCTGCTGAGGCGAGGATTGCGATACGTATAGTTGATAGTCCGTTCTGTGCCACACTTCGCTCTCGGTTGAGGCTGGCATGATATCCATTGGGTTTACGGTACCGGGAGCGGGATGGCTAGGAGGGGATTGAGCCGCGTTGAAGTTGAAAGTGGTCGGTGGGGACTCTGGGGGAGTTTGCACAGCCCCCTTCGGCAAGGTAGATGGTAGTGCAATCGGCGACCCCAGACTCTGAGCAGGATGAGGTACTGGCAACGAATCGGTGGCAGGGGCATCAATATCTGTAGGAGACTCGGTGGGATCCCCATGTGTGGTGATCCTTTGAAGGGACGCTTCATGAGGTGCACGAGGGACAGTTCTGGCAGCACTGTCCGGGCCCTCAGCAAGAGACAATGAGGTTGGGGAATCATGAGACTGATCACGCGTGCTCTTCCGGCTGAACATCTGCTTCAAATTGTATCTCAATGAGCTCCCACGCGACCATGAGCGGTCAGGTTGAGCTCGAGAATCCTCAGTGGTGAACATTCCGAAGGCCTCTGAAGGAACTGAGGGACTATAGTAGTCGGCATTGGCACCGTTGAGAGCTCCATGTGGTGCATCACCGATAGCCTGTGGCATATACTCTTCATGGTAACTTTCGTCAAAGCCAAATGGTGTCGAGCGCGGTATTGAGTTGTTCAAGCCGGGCTGGGCATTGCTGACGCCATAGGAAGGTAGGTTTGTGTCAATTCGAGGAGCATAGTCCGGTTGGCCTGGTGTTTGACCTGGTCCGTTGGGATTTACCAAGGCATCATGAGGAGCCCAATCCAAGTCTTTAACAGATCCGTCTACTCCTCCGCGCGTGTTTTCTCCCGAAGGCTTGAAGGATTCCTGCGAGGACAGGCGGCGTTGGTGGTCTTCTGTGCCCAAAGCTCCCGTTGGGGAAACCCCTCCGGTCTCCGGATCGGTCGTGTCGGGGGGGCCATGATGAAGTTCTGCCTTTCGACGTCTGATGCGGCGGATAATGAACGGGTATGAGCACAGAGCAACAAATACAATGCCCACGATGATGCCGACAACGACGCCGGCAATTCCTCCGCCGCTCAGTTGGCGCTTGAGAACAACGCCCCTGGCTTCGAGATGATCCATCACATGGCTCTCCCTCTCACTTAGACGTCGCGATAGATCCATCGAATTGGGCCCCGCCGGGCTCGAGGAGGTGGTGCGTGGCGAATGTGGAAGCAACCAGCAGCAGCCGGCGAGAGCTGATGGAAGCTGATAATCGAGATGGCAAATCGAATATTGGTTCTTCTTGTCGTTATTGCTGGATGAGATTATTGAGCGGGGCGTCAGGTAGATTACTGAAGACCAGAGTCTTGGGAGGCCGCCGTCGCAATCGCAGTCGCGCAAGACACGACAAGAATGCGAACCGGAGCCCGTCGAAGGGCTCGTGCTTTGGGGGAGGGTCCAGTCGAAGAATCAAAGAATATGGGGGATTAGAAGATGATCACTTTAGTTGCTATACTGATGACATCGTAAACAAGAAGAAAGAGATTCATGCACGTGTGAGATGTAACGACATGGCACGAGCAAGAAAATCCGGGGGTAGTCGTCAGCAACTGCCCGTATCCGTGGACCTAATGTTCCATAGGTAGCCTTGCACCTTCTGACAATGGGTTTTTATCGCGCCTTTTCAGGGCCTCCAGCACCTCCAACTTCCCAGAACGCAGGTAGCTCGACACAACCGAGATTTGATTGGGCATGGGAATGACCTAGACTCCGCCTGCCGCCCGAAGCTCTGTCGGTCTAAGCCACACTCATCTCGACCTAGTGTCACTGATCCCTGCTGTGTTTCGTCCAAGAGGTCGATGTTAACCTACTTGGCCCCATAATGTAGATTACAATTTGCAGATAAATGCTATAAAAAGAAAGGGCTGGCTTGACAGGAGGTTTGATGGATGAAGACGAGTTCAAGGAGTCAGTATCCGTACCTGTAATCACGGTAACCTATGGATCGCTTACTTGTACAACTCCCGAGACGTCCGCTGGCACTCAACAACGGTCAGCTCTCTAATCTGGTACGTACTAGTAACGGGTATGGAACACCAAATCTTGCTGTTAAATTGAATGACATAACTCAAGAGTTGTTTCCATCGTGAAGTGGTTTCTTGTTCTCATTTAATTGATGTTACAATTGGTTCCATGAGCATCAATAGATCTTCAACGTTTGGATATCTCCAACCAGAATCGAGAGTGCGCCACAACTAAGATCTTCGTGCATTCAATTACTCCATTTTCCGTGCGTTAGTGCAGGAGACCCTTCTTGGCTTTTTCTTTGGTACAATTCAGTTAATAAGGGACAAAGCTATGCATTACTTGGCCCATCTAATCTCCAGTCTCTCTGTATTGTGCCGTCAATCTTCACTCACTTAGCCTTTCAGGAGATCACGTTGGATGTTAACAGTTCCTACACTCTCGAGCACCGTTTGTCCTTATCACAGCTACCAAATAACGGATGCCCAAAGCTTTCCACTGTTGCCAAGCCATTCATTCCCCACTGACGTTGATCCCGTGTGGCTTGAGGGCCTCCAAGACACTAGCTAATCATGGATGAGACCACGACCTTGTTTCAACTTCACATCATGGATTCAGTTAACAGCAATCTTTATCTTTCAGGCCTGCATAGATTTGCTCTACATAAGCGTTATTACAAGTCCCTCTTCATTGCTGATACTCTCAGTTGTCCACAACTCAAAAACCTGACCCAATTTGTGGAAACCACCACGCAGACCGAAGTACTCAAGAACAATTACAGCAACAGCCATTGTGCTGTATCTTTTAAGACACGCCCCTCTTCACAACCTCATCAGTCTCTCCTCAGCGCTCCGATCTAGACGACGAACAATCGATTGTTTTGTCGCGCGTCGTTCCAGACCTTCGACGTGTAATCTGTTGGGACACGCTCACCACGGTGTAGGCGAGTAATCATTCCAGGGTGCATCAAGATAATCTCTGCCTGTCGCGCCCTGGTAATAGCGACATTCATACGTTGAGGTTCATCCATGAAACCAGGTTTGTCGGTGCGCACCAAGTCCAGGAAGACAACATCGGCCTGGTTTCCCTGTGCTTTGTCGACTGTAAGAACCTCCACTCGGCTCTGCCATTCAAGCGGCCACTGCTTGACCACGTGTGCGTATTGTCGCATCGCCACACTGTAGGGAGTTTGTATCATGATCTTCCCAGGTTGATGACCATTCGTAACACTTTTGAAGCCGAGGTCTTGCAGCAGTGTTGCAACTTGGGCAATTACCCACCGGTGGTTTGTAGGGTTCCAAAAGCTATGACAGTGTGTCTCTTCTTTGCTATCGGTGAGAAAGATGACTGCTCTGTTCTGGTCCATCCTTTGCCCGTTGCCAAACGTCTCGAGATAGCTCCGCATGTAGCGAACAGTCGAAGGATATTGCTCTCTGGGGTGGTAGCCAGAGACCATCTTTGATTGGTAGAAGAGAACGGAGGGCAAATTTTGCAAATTGCCAAATGCTCGCTTGTTGATTAGCAGCGAACTGTTGATTGCACCGACTTTAGCAGCTCTTCCCATCAGGCTCAGGCGCATCTGCTCCGCATAGGGATTGACTTGTAGTCCTCTCTTCAGAGCATCACGCACGTCGCCACTCTTCACAAAAGGGCGGGTTTGATTCACGTCGCCTGTGAAGATCCAGGCGACCGGTTCGAAAAAGGCGATAGGTATCAAAGTTGTTAGCTCTCGTGCGTGAGGAGCCTCGTCCACAAAGATGACATCCGGTTTGAAAAACTTTGAGAAGCTGCCATATGCGGCCACAGGTGTTGTCGCAATGAAATCTGCTTGCCTCAATATGGCAGTGTACAGTTTTGTTACCTGAAATCGTAGAGTCTTCCAGTTGTCGTGGTTCAATACCTCACCGGCATCCATTCTTGCCAGAACCTTCTTGAGTGTCAAGAAGCCACGGTCCTTGTGCTTCTCATAGTACTCCCAAGCAGCCTCATCCAAGGTAGGTGCTTTGTTGGGATCCCTTCCTACATGAACACTTGTGCTGATAGTGGCGGTAGCAAGAAACTTCTTGGTGAAGTCTGTTTCTTCACTTTTGCTAGTTTCTCCTAGGGAGCCAGTGTTCAGCACCGAGCTGTTTCTGAGTTCATACGGCCAACCATGCATCCGAATAATGCGTAGCTTGAGTCCAGCCTCTTTACACATAGTGTAGTAGCGATCCGCTGCATCATCAACCGTCTTGTTGAGGTCAACCAGGAACAGAATGGGGTTGTTTCGTTTCTTAGCTGCAGGACGTGGTTTGGATTGGATCAGGGCAGAGACCACCATGTTCCATTCTGTTTTGCCGGCGCCGGGACATCCGTTCACGAAGTAAAGGCCATTAGGGATTTGAGTTAATCCTTTGAAAGCAGCGACGTGGTCCGCGTTGAATGAGCGAAAGCGGCGGAGAATCGCATCTCGGATTCCATGACCAGCATAATGAGGACTCGCCAGATGTGGGAACACATTGTGCAGATTGACGTAGGTCTTGTCAGAGCCCCTTAAGTCTAGGATCATTTCAAAAGCAGCCCTGGACTTGGGACTCACTTTGGCGCTCTCCAGCTGTGAATCTTGCGTTAGTCGTCTTAGAGCTGCCAGTTCAGCCTCGTATGTGTTGGAGTAGGTCTGCCATGAGATTATGATCTCCTGGTGTTTTGCTTGATCTAGATCAAGACTCGCGAAGTCGTCCAGGGAGGAAGCTGTCTGCATTGGCGCCAGTAAGTCACGATTGACCTGCTCCCCGTCTTTGTTTTTCCAAGCCCGATTGATTTCGACCTTGAACGCCGCACACGATGCAACCCCTGGGCAAGGGAGATTTTCTGCATTCTCGTAGGGATTACTTATCCGCGTTGCGTGGAGATCAACCAGAGACTGAGTTTCATCTGGGAGCTGGATTCTCTTCAACATTTCGATACGAAAGCTGTCGGTCAAGCTAGGAAATATGATGTCGTCCGAAGGCTGAGGGGTCGGCACAAGGAAGAGCCATGATGTTGAAAAGGAAGTAGTAAGCCCTTCGATTGGTGCAATAGGCCAAGCTTTGAATGGTCTGCGCAAATCGTTGAAGCGCTTCAATAACTCTTCTTCATTTTGTTGTTCAATGAGTGTCCCTTGTTCGTGTCGCTTCACGTACTCCTGGGCTGATAGGACAGACAAGGGCGGAAGAGGCTGTACAAAGCTCAAATATCAGCGGCTATCACTAATTCTAGGTGATATGAAACATACCCTGTCGATCACAGGTCGAGCTGGTGCTACGACAGCTGGCATTGTGGAAAATGCCTTTGTATCCCTCGACGTTGGGGCTGGTGTCTGCACCGAGTAGCAGGCGGACATAGCACAGGCAGTCAGTTGACTGGGGAGTGCAGGTTGAAAAGAGAGGAAATCACAATCAAAACGTTGATAATATGTGACTTGCAGTCATGAAAAGATTGAGTGATGCCGATAGCTATCAATGTCTTCAGCAGTCTAGTGCTTGTGAAGTATTGATAAAGAAGCTTCAGAGTAGCAGAAGTGAAGTGAAGAAAGAAGGATGAGGAGGGTGGGAAAGGTGGGGAGGAGAGAGTAGCAAGGCATTTATGGCCGTGAGTTGGAGGAAGGAAGGGCGTTTGCAGTTGCCGTTTGTTGCTGCCAGCCGTAAACACTGTCACTGCCACTGCCGGCACCTTTAAGCCCTGCATATAGCGAAATGGGAGAGAAAAGTGAAATGAAAGCCCCGGTGGAGAGCAAAAAGGTGCCTTAAATTGTGCTTGCCTAGAGGTAGTGAATCACAGTCGGAGAGTGAATGTGGGAGGTGAAGCTCCGAGGGCCTTGAAGCGCAAGAACGAAGAAGAGTGACTGACAGCAACAGGCACGTAGGAATCACTTCTTAAGTCAGAATGATAGTAGGCAGACAGTTAACACAATCAAATGGTAGAATTCATGACAATCATAGGTTACTATTTAGCGCTTCTCGTCAATCCTGGTTCTTCTGGAGTAGGCAAGTATTCCTTGCTATAACACTCGGCTCTTCCATCCTGATCAAGACACTGATCAACCACTGTGGTTTTAGCAAATACCTCTCCAATGGGCAGCTTTTTGGCCATCCCCTCAACAGCCGCATGTACCAATCCAACAGTCGACAATACTTTCCACATCATCCAGAACTTGGCGTAAGGCTCCAGGGGCTACGTCAGGTCGATGATCATGTTCTCGGCTCCCCAGGGGTCTCGGAAGCGATGGTGTTGCATCTCGTGACCTTCCATCGGGATGGCTTCTTCTATCATATCGGGGGAGTGTCGCGGTTCGTCCTCAGAGTCGTCTGCCAGGTTGAGTGATGCGTCAGAATCGTCTTCGATGAGAATAGTGTGGTCAGTATCAGATATGATACCATCCTCGTTGAGAAGCCACTGTTCTATATGCTTGTATAATACACGAACTGTATTCGGGGGAAACGCATTCCCGATCTGTCTCTTGATCGAGGTTCTATTACCAAGAAATTGATGTATCTTGGGAAATCCTTGCAGGCTCGCCAGCTCCCGTAGTGTAAGCTTTCGTGTACCATCGGGGTAGCAGATATCACCGCCTGTGGTGATAGTTCCGGCGAGGCGGTTGGGGTCATATGGCGCTCTCGGTGGGTTGAAGTGCTGGACGTTGCTGAGATCATGAAGATCGTCACCCGGACGAACCCCTTGCAGAGCCTTTCCAATGGTGTTGTAAGGCAGCAAACCGCTTCCATCTTCCTCGCCATGTGTGGCTCTAGGGAAAGGCGGTACTCTTTCTCCAGGGGCGGCTGCAATGATGATAAGTCGCTTTCGATCCTGGGCAGCTCCCCACGTGCAGAGCCTGACTAATTTCCAGCGGATTGAATACCCATGCTGCGTGAAGTCGCCAAGCAAGGCATTGAAATACTCTTCGTGTCGAGTATGAGTAAGTCCGAACGTCTGCTCAACAGTAATGATGCGTGGGCGCAGTTTCTTAAGTAGTTGGTTGCAGCTATAAAGCGCAAAAATGTTCTCGTCATCTTGGGCCGATGCATGTGTGTGAGCAGGTGAGAAGAACTGACACGGTGGAGAGAAGTGCAACACGTCTACTCGCATGTTTGTATGTGTAGTCTGAGGGCTCAAGAGGAATTCGTCAAGTGACATTCGAAATAGTTGAGTATCGGGGAAATTGGCTTGATAGGTATCCCATACTTCAGGCGCTTTGTCGACGGCAAACTGAACCTTGAAACCAGCCATAAGCGCTCCTCGTGATACTCCTCCGGCACCGGAGCAGGAGTCAAACATTGTATATCTTTGACCGTGGCTTCGTCGTGCCTCTTCGCTGGTTGCTTCAGCCTCTAGGTTGATAGAGTGATCGTTACTGGCCAGTGATGGCACCCAGGACCCTCCTTTGACTATGTTATATCGCCATCGATTACGAAGGACTTCTTCAGAAACCCTGTAAAGCTTCTGGTGAACTTCGCTCGAGTGGATACGAGTGATAGACTCCTCGATCTGCTTCTTACGACTGCCCTGTCCAGTGAAAGAAACCTCCAGCTTCTAGCGGCAGGTCAAATGTGTAGACTGTATATTCGGTCGGCCTCTGTTTCCCGGTAGGTCAGGATTGAAGATGGACCGGTTGAAGTTTGGGTACGTGGTATTTGTGATAACGAGAGGATGGAGCTGTAGAGCATCGGATGGCTTGATGTCTATGAACTCTTCAACTTTTGCACCATTGTCTTGGTCGTAATTGAGGATCATGCAAACTTCATTTGACTTTTTAGGCAGCTTTCCCAAAGCTGAGCGTACTCTCGCAAAAGGGGTGCCGCGGATTTTGATTGTGCCTGAAGATTGGCATCGTACCACAAGCTTGACCAGGACAAACTCGACGAGATAGTTCCCGGAGAAAAATTCGCGAACTCGAAGGAATGACCCTGTCTGTATTTTTGCGCCTAGGAGTTGTATTTTCCCCAATGCAAGTTCTCCCTGGTTAAGAAGACAGCGATCAGGGGTTTCCAGGTCTGCTGTAAGATCAATGATCTCTTCTGAGGCGTGGTTGAGCTCTCCGAGGTCCTCCTCGACGGTGCAAGATGAAAAGCGTCTTCTGCGTTCCAGGAATTCAGTTGGTCTTTCGGGCAAAAAAGTAATTTCGTTCGTCTCCTCTTCTCCGTCGAGGTCGATGTATGTAACGGCCATATTGTGTGAAGAGATGGGCTTGGCCCAGGGAGAAGAATGAGGTTGCCTGTGTGACTATGTCAACCAGTTGTGCGTGATTAAATGAATCAAAATGGAGTTGCATACCCGTAAAAAGCGAATTTGAGTGATCCTAAATTTGAGGGTGGTCAAAGAGCAAAGATTGTTGATGAAAGAAGTTGGGATAAGAGGCCTGCATATGCATGCAAGCAAGCGTTTAGTGAATTCCTTAGCACTTAGAGTGAAGCATATTTTTATCTCAAGTTATATGGTCCGTGCAGCGAATTCATGGGCCGTTTGTCTTGCAAGAGCCTAAATTCGTCGTGAGGCCTTGGGGCAAACACTTCAATGCAAACAGGCATCCATATTATAGTAATATTTATGACAAGTCGAACGTCCCACATTGCTTCGTCCTATAGCCTCCTCGGCCTCGACCTTGATAATATGTGTATCTTGAGCTACACACATGATACCAATAACACCAAGCCATGTGTTGAGTTTCAACAATCATTACTGATAGTCAGATAACCATGACACTGCTGCTATTTTTCTCACCTGCGTGGTTTCCCTGTTCAGTGGGAAGGTAGAAATAACTTAAGCCATGAGACGCAATCCAAAATCTCTAGAGTTAGGATTCTAGTACGCATATCTCGCAATTATACACTGCCTGAGCAGTGTCTTTCCGGTGTAGAAGTGTAGGATTACCCAACATTCGACCTCCCCTACAACACTGATTCTACAGCTCTAAAAGACCGGGTCCAGTCATCTCATATCATAATTCGTGCCAAAATGGACTCAAATTTAACGGTACCTTCTTACTTGACGTTCGACTAACGAACAGCTCGGTATAGACACTTACATAAATCGAGTGATCACTGTATTCAGATGTAAAGATGAAATTGAATTTACACGGATCATAAGTTCAAGCCCTCCCACTTCGTCTTGCAACCTAAATTTGTGTTTCTATCGGAGTAAACCCCATGACTCTTTGGTAAAATACACACATTTGTTGCATATTACTAGAATAAGAATCTTAGCATATGGAAATCCACAGTCCTCTCTCATATATCCAAGTCAGATTGACACCGATTCTGGTTCGACGACATGAATATGAAGTTATGGCAAATCAATTAGCCTACCAGTTATCTCGACGGAAAATACAACACGCAAATAGTAGTCGTAACATTATGTGAAGAGCTACTAAGGCTCCCATCACGTTCTTCATTGGGGATGTGACTTTGAGAAGTTCCAATTGAGTTGATGCAGGGTAGGGATCGACAGACAAATCGGGCTAGTCAGGGCGGCTTGCAATGATGGCGTAGTTAGTGGATGCACCCCAGCGATCCCTGTTTGGACTGTTGAGGTCATTGACGCGATCAACCATGGCCGAAAGGTGATTAAAAGGGTGGTCATTGATGTGAGTATTGCAAGTTGCTCGGTTTAATAACGTTGGAAGTTTTGAACCCATGGGCTCTGAGTAATGAAAAGAGTTTGGTTATTGTCTACCACCAGATATCACTTGCAATCATACATTCTCCACTACCAGCTTACACTGCCCCGAGTCTACCATCACCTTCACACTGTCACCCGATCTCCTCAATTAACCATGGCGGCCCGAACCTTACGGAAGCGTGGAGTTAAGAACGCAGAGGAGCCGTCTGCAAAGAAACAAAAGACCGGGACCCAGACGAAGGTTAAGCTGGAGGACGAGTCTTTGGACGAACTCCCACACAACCTTGGGCCAGTTCGCGCCATCCCAAAGAACGTCAAGATCCCTACTCCACTAGAAGACTCGAAAGAGTCAGCCGAAGATGTCAAAGTCGAAGAGGACTTGCCTGAAGCCAAACACAGCATCAAAAATCCGAACCCACCTTCTCCCCAGGAGGCAGAACCTACTACCCGGAGATCGCTGCGACCACGGAGATCAGCTGCCAAATCTTCATATTTTGAGTCTGACGATGAGTCTAGCACAAAGGTGCAGATCAAGAAACAAAGCAAATCATCGCCAATAAAGAAGGAAATCAAAGATGAAGATGTCGATGCCAGCGTTGCAATAGAAGCACCAGTCCGGAAAACTGTCAAGAAGACGAAGGCCAACCCATATGGGCTTACGCCTGGGATCACGCCTTTCCCCGAGTGGGAAGCTCCATCAGCAGAAGACTGCGAAGAAGTCTATCATCTGTTAGCGAAAATTCACGGAGAAGCAAAGGCCCCTGAGAAGATACCAGCACCGTCTCTCGAGGTATCGGGCTGTGGAGAGGTCCCTTCTGTTCTGGATGCTTTGATCCGCACTCGTCTGAGTGCAAACACTTCCAACCGTAATTCAAGCGCTGCATTTAGAGGGCTGGTGAGCACCTTTGGCACTGTCAATAAGGGTATCGGAAAAGGAAGCGTTGACTGGAACAAAGTCAGAACTGCCTCTCTACCTACCATTGTCGAGTCTATCAAGACTGGTGGTCTGGCCCAAGTCAAAGGTAAGGATATCAAGGCAATACTGGAGTTGGTGTATGAAGAAAATACAAAGCGAAGAGAGGCTTTCATGCAAGAGAAGAGTGGAGGGAAAGCATCAGACATTACAGGAGCAGATGGTAAGACTCAGGGCCAGAAAGACCTTGAGATTCTGAAGACGGACCAAGAGATCCTGTCGTTGGATCACATACATGGAATGGCCCCAGACGAAGCGATGCAGACCCTCACCAAATTCCCTGGCATTGGAGTCAAGACAGCGTCATGTGTTATCCTCTTCTGCCTGCAACAGCCCAGCTTCGCAGTCGACACACACGTACATCGCATCAGTGGATGGCTGAAATGGATACCACCCAAAGCTACTCGGGATCAAACATTCAGTCACCTGGAGGTCCGCATACCTAACCATTTGAAATACGGGCTACATAAGCTGTTTGTCACACATGGGAGAACCTGCATCCGCTGCAGAGCGAACACAAGTGAAGGAAGTGAGGAATGGAATAAATCAGAGTGCCCACTTGATGCGCTCATGGAGCGAACAGGCAAAAGACAGTATGGAGGGAAAGGAGGGTCAAAGAAGCAGCTGAAGGAAGAGGACAGTGATTAACTGCCCGCGATAAGATAAGGCCATCTCCAGCCTGTGTATAGAAGAATCTCCATTGTATTTATTTAGTCTTTCAACATATCTCACTCGCTTTACTCCGTACCTAGGTAGTTACTCTGCCAATCAACAAACCTCTATACAACACGGAGTACATATTTGCCCTATGTGCGATCACGCTTGGGCGGCTTCATGTTGAGAAGTTGAGAACTTCAGTGGCTGCTCAGCGACGAATGCCCCCGCCTAGCTCATTAAAGCCCCTGCAAAAACGCGGCAACTCAAGCGCGTCAAGACCAAGACTGTTTCCCTAACCAAGTTCAGACTGTGCAACCTACTATTTTCCTTTCAAACTCCTACTCCATTGCAAGTTGTTGGTTCATGGTCTTGGTGGACAACAAAGGCTTCAGTAGGTCACCAGTCACCCTCACTCTGATTGTTTTGACTCATTATTCAGCAGCTGCATCGCTCTTTTAATTCCCAGTGCTGTCCCGTAAACGCAAACGATCCGGTATTCAAGCATTGTTTGGTTTCAAGACCAAAGTGCCCTGGCAACCGTTTTTGTTTAATATCGACATCAAGTTTTCTTTCTTCACTCCCACAACCCTCAACATCGCAGTCGAAGAGGTTTCCATTCCATTTCGAACCTCGGGCCGTATTGCCGTATCGCAAGTCTGATCTATTACAACCCCCTTCTACTGCGACAGATCAAACCCTATCATTCTCTTCGACCTTAGCTCCAGTCACGATTTCGAGAGATGCGCGAAAGCATCTGCAACCTCTAAAATGGACATTGATGACGAGCTGAGTCAGTGGTATGAGAAGATACAAAGTTTCGACAACGAATGCCATCTTCTCTGCCCCCGTGTCGGCGAAGATGATAATGAAAATTACAGAGTCCTCGAGGACCCCGATTCTGCGATAAGCCAAGACGAAAAAAAGAACCGAATCCAGCAGGGCAAGGAGCGAGTTGAGATTACATACTGGAATTGCCTAATTTTTGGTTTCGACAAGGAGAATCAAGGAAAATGGGGAGAGGAGCTCGGCTCAAGGCTTAATGCTTGCATGCAGAGCTGCGCAGATTGTGTTTACAACTGGCATATGAACCGCAAAGCCCTTCTGCAACAATTCCAAGAGCGATGGGATGAAGTGGTGGTTGCCCAACTCCAGTCTGTGTTCGAACGCAGAGATGTCGACCGAATTGACACAAATCTCCGGTGGGCGAAGGCATTTATCGAAAAGATCGTGGTGAACGGTGCTCCGTTCAAGAAGTCGCAGCTCGGCGAACGTTTGCCTGAGGTTCACATCTCTGTATACGAAGCTTTGTGCTGCATGCCTTATATGGAGGATCCAGAGCGACGTGCCACTTTTCAATATGTTTTCCAGCGCCTTCAAGGCAAAAATGGCCTTAAGCTCGGAACTAAAGAGCCATTGCCCGGTATGACATTTTTCATTTTCGACATGAAGAATCAAGATCGTCGCAAGTGGGCAACAGACAACTACCAAACTCTTGATAGTAATGCCATGACCCTGGAACAATTCGATTGGGCTGTCAGCGGCGGCCTGACAAGAGCCATCGAAGATATTAGTAGAAAAGACCCGCAAGCCTTAGATTCATGGCCTGAACTGGAGCAGTTCTGGCAAGGCTTCAACGAAATACTCAGAACTCTGAGTCCGGAGGTTATTACTCAGAGTCTACGGAATCTCGAGCTCAGACCTGGAAGTTTTCACGTCTATGACCTTCTCTTCCGCCATATTCAGTTTTGCCCTGCAGAAAGCGTCTTGGTCATGACCATCACGATCTTGACAAGCTTTCTCAAGAAAGCCCCCAGGGCTTTCTGGGACGTTATCGGCGATGCCCGGCCCAACGTGATCGCTGATCTTCTTTTTGGAAGCCCGAGCTACAAGAAGCTGCTTAGCCAATCCCTGGACGATTGCTGGACTGGTTTTGACAGTGGCTCGTCACTTGTGCCATTCCCCACGTCCTGGGTTGTTCCATGGCTACATTCAATTGGCCGCGACCGCAGGTACGATGCTTGTGAGGTCCTAATGCACACGTTGATAGAGTCCCTTGCCAAAGATCAAACTATCGGGGAACCAGGCCGAGCTGCTTGTATTCGAGCTGGTTTTGATGCGCTACAACTCACGATGTCAACCTTTGTTGACCAAGAAACCAAAATTGGTACAGGAAGCATTCATCTCTACGCCTGCTGTGTATTCAACCTCTCAATGAAATACAAGGATCTCATCCTAAGGAATTTGCGTGCCCCCGGCCAAGAAAGGGAGGGTTGGCAGACCTTCCAAGTGGCAAACGCAGCTAAGAAGGTCATGCAGACTGCTATGAAATTGGATATGAAAATCTATGCGGAGGAATACATGGCGTGTCTTGAGGACAAGCAACTCCAGTCCGCTGTCACGAGGGACTCGAAGGTCTTCTGGCAGGGAGTCGTTGAAATGTTTGATGTGTCCACTGATCAAATTGACTTGGCAAGGGACATCATCTTGTCATTGGAGCCTTTGATTTGTGTCGAGCAAATAAGACCGTTAAAGAGCGACGACAAACTGAGCGACTCAAGCAAAAACTTCAACAAATCTCTTGCTGCAACACTGGATATCCTTAGTAACCTCCTAGGCAGAGTCTCTGAGCTGGATGCCACCGACTTGAACACACTGTTCAACGATCGACTTGCTTTCCAAGGTACTATTACTCTCTCCACCCATGGAGAGTCAGGCTTCGCCGGAGCGGTTGCCGAACTCCTCAAAAGCTGGACTGGGGAGCTTTCCCAGAGCGGTGCATTTGAACAAATGGTTCAACTACACCCCGACCAAACGCTGTCGTCTATAGTGTGGGCTCTGGAGCGAGTCTTGAAGCCCCCTAATCCATGGGGCCCTATTCGGCCAATTCTGAACATGAGTCGAGATATTCTTCGCGGACTGACAGATCCCAGTTCCGGAGTCTTGCGAGTCAAAACCCTTGAGCCCATGTCGGCTGCTAAAGTCCTGCGTTGGTGGAGCGAACAATGGAGGTTTGTTTCTACCGCATGCAGGAACATCGAGGGATGGTCACGGTATATTCAGAACGCTGTTATGACCGAGTTTTGCCGAGAAATCATGGAGCTTGCTGAGGCTCTCATTGCAGAAGATGGCTTGATCGCTTCAGCTATCTCCAAGGCTTTGAACAAAAGTGAAAAGGACACTATGTCGCAAATCCTTATCCCCGCGAAACAGCACTTTGGCGGAATGGAGAATATGATTCGGTTGAAGGATAAGTGGCTTGTTGATGTCACCGTCAGAGTGTTATGCAAGATTCTCACTCGACTTCGAGAGAATAATCATGAAATTAACCCTGCCTCACGGAAACTGATCACTGATGCATCCTTACCTACTAGTGTTCCTGGCAAGTATGTCAGGTCTACCAACATGTCCGACCAGCAACGGGCGGAACTTCTTCAGGGTCTTGGACAGACAGACGAAGAAATACAGATCTATCAGCTGGGAGTCGCTCAGAAGGGAGCAGTAGCACACAAGGCCATGGAGGTAACTAAGAAGCAGAGTAAACTCGATGCATGGTCAAAGTCTGGCACATCATCTAGTGGCACTATTACAACACCATCGTCTAGATCCAATCGCGACGATGTGCTCGCCCTCAGCAGATCCATTGATAGCCCCATCCTTAAGCAGTTGGAGGCACAAAAAGCCAAGGAACAGGCCAAGGCCAAGGCCAAGGCCAAAGCAATGATTAGACCCAAGTCTAAAGTGCCCGATCAGAAGGCTATTTCTGCATTGAAAGAGAGCAGACAGAAAGAGAAGCTTGAGAAAGCAAAGCGTGATGCGGCGGCTATCGCGAAAGCCAAGGCTCTCCGGGGTGAGACTGTCCCTGGCGAGGGATCTGGTTTGCTTGGTCTCGGTCTTATTGGCAAAGATCACGGCAAGAGCGAAATAATGGTCAACAGCTCAGACGAAGAATCTGAGGAAGATGAAGATGAAGAGTCGGGCATTGACGATGAGCTTGCCGCTCTAAGTACCGGAGGCCAGAAGACTTCGGATGAGGTTGAGAGACGTCGTCAGAAGATTTTGCTAGACAAGTTGCGAAGGCCAGTAAAGAAGGTCAGACAACAGCGCTCCGTAAAGGAGATGAGGGCGAGGTTGATCCCTCCTATGGACCGACTGCACAACACTATCCTAGCTTGGGATATCTTCCATGGTGGTAACGACCCTCCCAACGGCCCGGCAGCCTCCGAAGTTGCCACCAAGTATTCCAACCCCAGAACCTACCAGGACACCTTCTTTCCCCTACTGGCCTCTGAAGCCTGGCGTTCTTTTGTCACAGCAAAGGATGAAATAACGACACAGCCCTTCGGTATGAAGATTGCCAGTCGTGCCAGTGTCGACAGCTACCTCGAGGCAACGTTCACGATGCCTGTTGTTCAAAGAAGGGAGCGTGGCGTTTCCGAAGGCGACATTCTTCTTGTCTCGGAATCAGAAAATCCTCTAGCCGACCGAACTGCTCGACACTGCTTGGCCAGAGTCCACCGTACCACCTACAAAAAGGAAATGATTGAGATTACATATCGTGTGGCCTCTCGAAACAATCCTATGACGCAGGTGCTAACCCCCAATATAAGCGTCTTTGGAGTGAAGATCACGAACATGACTACGATCGAGCGAGAGTATGCTGCATTGGAGAGTCTACAGTACTATGATTTGATGGATGAGATTCTGAATGCCGAGCCATCCCCTATTCTCCGATACAGCGAAGAAAAGACCAGTAACTGTATGGAGAATTACTCTTTGAACAAAGGACAAGCAATGGCTGTTCTAGGCGCGCACGACAATGATGGTTTCACCCTCATCCAGGGGTAAGTTGTTTCTCTATTGTCTCTAGCATATCTAACTTGAATAGTCCCCCCGGCACTGGAAAAACCAAAACTATTGTGGCCATGGTTGGCACCTTGCTTTCGGAACAACTGAGTCAAGTAGGCAATCAGGGCACTCCCATTGGTACACCCTTGCGACCGAACGGCGCACAAGGTGCAAACAACCAAAACCGATCGAAAAAGCTCCTCGTTTGTGCGCCCAGCAATGCGGCCGTAGATGAGTTGGTGCTTCGAATGAAGGCCGGTGTCAAAACGATTTCCGGAAAGACCAAGAGTATCAATGTGCTTCGATTGGGTAGAAGCGAAGCCATCAACGCCGCTGTAAGGGATGTCACTCTGGATGAAATGGTCAAGGCCCGCCTCGAGGGCGACCAAACCAAAGACAAGGCCAAGTCCGACCGTGACAAGCTCCACGAGCAAGCCGCAAAACTCAAAGAAGAATTGTCTATGCTACGTCCGCAACTGGAGGCATCAAGGAACGACGAGGACCGGTCCGTTTACAACAGGCTGTCTCGAGAGTTCGATGAAAAGAAGCGACGTCAAAGGACCATCGGCGAGAAAATCGATGCCGACAAGAGCAGCGGCAACTCTGTGGCTCGTGAGATGGAATTACGCCGTCGACAAGTTCAACAAGAGATCTTAAACAACGCACAGGTTCTGTGCGCAACTCTGAGTGGTAGCGGTCACGAAATGTTCCGAAATCTGGATGTCGAGTTTGAGACGGTCATTATCGATGAAGCTGCCCAGTGTGTGGAGTTGAGCGCGTTAATTCCACTCAAGTACGGCTGCTGCAAGTGTATTCTCGTCGGAGATCCCAAACAGCTTCCCCCCACAGTTCTGTCACAGTCAGCAGCCAAGTTCGGTTACGATCAAAGTTTGTTCGTCCGAATGCAGCAAAACCACCCCCAATCGGTCCATTTGCTGGATACGCAGTATCGTATGCATCCCGAAATCAGCATGTTCCCAAGCCACGAGTTCTACGAAAGGCAACTTGCCGATGGTCCAAACATGCACATACTTCGGCAGCAACCATGGCATCAGAGTGCGCTGCTTGGTCCCTATCGTTTCTTCGATGTTCAAGGTGTCCAGGAGCGAGGCCACAGAGGCCAATCTCTGGTCAACACCAAGGAGCTGGATGTCGCCATGCAGATGTATGATCGATTCAGCAAAGACTACGGCAGTTGCGACTTGACTGGCAAGATCGGTATTATCACACCCTACAAAGCCCAGCTTTATGAGTTGAGAAACCGCTTCCGGGCACGGTATGGCGAGAATATCACGGATATCATCGAGTTCAACACGACCGATGCTTTCCAGGGTCGCGAATGTGAGATCATTATCTTCTCTTGTGTTCGTGCCAGTTCTACAGGTGGTATCGGTTTCATGACTGACATCCGACGTATGAACGTCGGTCTGACACGTGCCAAGTCGTCTCTATGGATTCTTGGTGACTCAAGGGCACTTGTTCAAGGCGAGTTCTGGCGGAAACTTATAGAGGATGCTAAGGACAGAAAACGATACACTAATGGTGACATCCTGTCAATGTTCAAGAGGCCCTTGGAGAAGGCTGAGCCTGGTGCTTACCTTCCACCGCCGCCTAAAGCGCAAGACCGAGAAGTCGTAATGCGGGATGCATCTCATGCCACGTCCTCAATTCCCTCATCACGATCGAGCTCTCCCAAGTTCGCGGCAGCCCAACAACCAGCTGTATCGTCTCCGATAGCTGGCATCGGAGATGACGAACAGGCTGGAGTTAGGCCACGCTCTGCCGGGCCTCCCGTGATACATACCTCATCAGGCAAGCCGTCAGGAGAAGTCAGGAAACGACCTCACGATGGACCTGACGCAAACCAGCCGGTGACCAAAAGAGTAGGTCGACTATCATAGCGATATTGCACGGTTCGACCATGAGCTAAAAACCAAAACAGATAGCAAGTGACAAGACTCGAGGTGGTGGCCTCATGGGCAAGTTTGGATCAAAGCCCCAACGACCGCCGCCCAAGGCCCCAACAGATCCTTCGGCGATGTCAGTGATGGGATTGGCACCCCCTGAAAGACCAGCCGCGGCAGCCCCGACCGGCCCGCCGATACCAACCGGTCCCAAGATTCCGACAGGCCCCAAAATCCCGACAGGTCCCGCAAATCCAGGACCCCAGCAGTCTCACGATGGTAATAATCAGGTACGTGTAGCATCTCGGAAGGTGATCAGATTTAATTTGCTTACAATATTTTCAGCTACCAAGACGTCCACACCCACCGCCATCTCGAAAGAAGGGAAAACCGAGCCTCTTTGTCCCCAAGAGGCGGTAGACTCATGAATTGAATTAATAGCCTGGAACGTTGTATTATGAGCATAGAGAGGGATACATAGCACGAAGCATTTTCTGGCGTTGGGGGGAGATTCGCATCATTTTCATTTGCAAGGGAAGGGGGAGGACTTTTACACAGGAATAGGCTGCAATAATTTGCATCTCTCGGAGCTCAGGCACGGCCCGAGACCTGGCTGAGTCTTTGCTTCAGTCTTCAGACCAAGCATGATTCAGCTGAAAGATAGTCTGGTGAATATGCGGCATGCGGGTGAGCTATAGTGTGTGATATCATATGCAAGGGGGAGAACAAGTCCCTCTTGGTAATAGTTGGATGAGGGACTGGCGAGCAGATCCGGGCAAGCCTGCAAGGTCTCGGGATTCAGGACGCATCCCGAGGTTTGTCTTTGCTATTAACGATCACACATGGTAATGCGCAGAAGAAAAGAATATCTGCACGGCTTCGATCTTTCCATCTTGACGAGCTGATGAGGTTGTTTTGTGTCACGTGACATGGGTATACCAATACCAGGCTTGGAGGTGATGAATGGTAATGGATCCATGTTTGCGTTTGCGCATAAGGATGCATGGACCAGTCAAATCGCTTTAACCATCCGGTAGTGAAAATGATCACCAGCTGGCAAGGGTCAGGCTCCGTCATTTCAACATCAACAGGGACAGGGGTATGTAATGTCCGATTCTCGTAGTAGTGGGTTTGCTCTTGTGCTTGTGCACTTGTATTTTTACTTACCTAGTGAGTTCAAGGCAGTTAGTTGGCTGTTTATTGGTAGTCAAAACGGGATTTCATTATGCCATGATGTAAGGTAATGGGGAGCGCTCAATCACGCTGCATACATTATTGACGTTGGTGGGCTTTTTTAGCTTATAACCCTTCGCCACAGAGGTAGAAAGGGTCTGTTCAGCTCAGAGTAGAAAGCAGCCATGACACTGGACAGATCGTCCAGGCACACACACATTCACAGTCACAGTCATAGTCACACGTTATCTCTCGGCAATTGTAACTTGGCAGGGTGACGGCACTAACGGTCTGCTGCAGAGGAGATCAGCAGTGGCTTTTTGGCGGCTGGCCAAACTGCGGATACAGCAGAGAGTGATACGGATATTGGGTGATGGTGAGGGTTTGCGTCACAGCCTGAGGGAGCTGAAAAAGAAGGAGGGTTCCCTCCCCTGGAAATTTTGAGATGGAGGTGTTTGTGCTTGTCCACGGGCACGAGCACATACATACGTAACACAACAGCACGTAGCTCGACAAAGTGACGACAACGAGGTGCAAGCACTGGGTGATGATGCTGCAACCAATTAAGCCTTTTCCCCTGCAAGGTATCCGTATCTGTGGTCCTTTTTCTTTTCTTTTTTCGAATGGGCCATGTTTGCGAGAGGCTGGGGCCATTTCCCAGATGCCAGACTCCGTCTGTCATTAAAAAAGCAAATAGACAAGAGATGGAAACGAAGCTAGGCAAGGGGCTGGAAAATGAGATCTCCAGCGCAAATACGACTAAGGATATGTGCTAAATGAGACTATCTATTGTATGGAGTATGTCGATCGTACTAATTAATACTGCATTTACCAGTTTAGGGCAGTATTTAGTGGCAACAGCCCGACTGTCTGGGTTGGTATCAAGTGCTGCAGCTGAACAATAAATATCGTCAGTGTCAGTGTCGTAATCACAACCTCAGCTGCAAGAGAAAATTGGAGATTATTATTAGTTGACCTGAGCTGAGCTTAGACGATCTCCCTTTTCTCGAATCTGGTTTTTAGAGGCTCTGATTGGGGAATAGCGACTGTTCCCACCCCCCATCAGCCATCAACGGCACAATTTAGCACTTGGATCCTGAGCTAAAAAGTTGATAGTGGGACTTGGCTTCAGTGGCGCCCCAAGGGTTTTATGGAGAGTGACGGCATCTTTTGTTTCCTTCTGTTCCATCCACATGCTCTGTGGCCTATGCTCTACCGGGCGAGTTTAGTTGGTTGGTAATTGCCCGTATTAGTGTCCTGTCCCTTTAGAGAGTCCCCCCTGTGGCACCCTGTGGGCGTGCTTGGACTTGAACTTGGACGTTGGACATGGGGGAGCCATAACGAGGCGTCTCCCTCAAGTTTTCTTGTGTTGCAATTAATCTCTTTCTTTTTCTCTCTTTCCTTTTTCTCTCTTTCCTTTTTCTCTCTTTTCCTCAGCTCATTATCACTTCTCAAATTCTCTTTATCTTGATCCAAACCTTGACCCTGTTTTTGTGGCTGGAGTCTGTCGGCCTCAACTGCACAAGGCAGAAACAGAAACATAGACTCCAAAAGTGACACAGACTATACTACACTCGTCTGCAACCACCCGCCTCTTTCATCTTCCACCAGAGGGAGGACACGAGGAAAACCCCGAGGGGCCCATGCCTACAAGGTCAAGGTGAGACGAACCATTTTCCACGTATACTTATACTCACTTATACGTACACAAAACTGACACATACATTAGTTTAGCTGCCTACTGGCCCTATTCATACAGGCATATCCCGTCCCCGTCTCTTCATGGATGCAAGTGCATCGTTGCGCAAAGAGTGTCCATAGTGTTCATGCACAGATACATACAGATACTGTATCAGCTAGCCCGGCATGGCTCAAGTAACTGGCCTTGATCATGAGGCCTCTGCCACGTCGGGCAGTGGCGTTTCCTATACTCGCACAATCCCTTCGGCTCTCACCTCGACTTCTACTACCGCTGCTTCTGCCTCACAAAACCCCAAGCAGGATCGGTATTCGTATCAGCATCCACCGCAGTCTGGCCCTCAAGCACGTACCCGGCGTAGAGCAAAGTCTGCATCAAATCTGCTCAGCCGTCCCGATCAGGAGGTGCAATTTCACGACGACACCTTCATCGATCAGCAGGAGCTCGGCGAACCGCATGATGGAATTGCAGAGCTCATTGACTTTCTGAGGAACCACACTCCTCCCTCTGGTAACTTCATGTCTATCCCAGATGACATCTCCCCCGAGGACAGGGGCCGATGGTCCAGGCTCCGCAAGATAGGCAAGAGAAGCAGATCTCTCTCGAAGCCGCCTCAGACCATTCAGCTCCCAGACTCAGCTGTCTCGGGCACCACCATAGGAGGACATCGACATATTGCCATCTCAATCCCCTTGGACGCCTCACCGTTTGGTCGAACTCCCAGGTCTCAGTATCCTGTATACCAACACCGCGCCGTGAGGCCGCTTACTTCCCAGTATGCTCCCACAAGAGCCGTCTTGAACGAAAGGGGCGTAGTGACAGTGCTACGAACCGTCAATGAAGACAGGGAGTCGACGCCCTCGGTGAGCCCTGCAAATTCCCACCTTCTCCTATCTACTATTCCTCAACAACATCTCAACACAACAACTGGAGGGCAACATCCTCCAAGGTCTATTAATAGCAGCAATCAAACCAGTGAATCAGAGAACTGGAACACTCTAGCGAAACCTCCTCCGAGGATTGTAACCCAGGATCAGGTCAGACAAGCTAACGAGCAGTCCCGAGAATTTCAAAACTTGGACCAGGGCAACACTAATGCAGCAAGCCCAAACTATCCAGAGAGAGTCCCATCACGGAAGTCCAGCTCGACAGGGGGACGTGTCGTGCATCTTGGGGATCTATCGATCGATACTATGATGTCTCAGCCGATCGAGAGAGATGCTCATGCTCCGCCTACTTCACCTGCTCGCCCTGTCTCTCCGGATGGATCTTATCAACCCTCGCTTTCCAAAAGCATCATGACTACAAGCGACAATGACCCGGTAGTTGCAGAGGCCAGGCCAGTTGAGACGAGGCCAGTTGCAGCTAGGGAGTCGCGCATACGATCACCAACTAAGCAGCCCAGCGAACCTTCTATCACTGTCATTACGAAAAGCCCGCTTCGTGTTTCCCGGGAACCTTCCAAGAGACAAAGGACTATGGAGGCTTCTTCCGCTTCCGAGACCATGTCATCGCAGAGTCGCCGTGACAAAGTGAAGGACAAGAAAAAGAGGGATATGGAAGCTGCTTCCTTAAAACGTCGCAGTATGATGTCTATCGCACCAGAATCTACGATGGAAGCTGAACAAGAGACCACCAAGATACCAGAGAATGATATCGAAGAACCTCCACCAGTCCCCCTGAGATCGCCCCAACGACAAAGCATGTGCCCCATTGTGGTTGTCGCAAGCGTTCATCCATCCCCCCCGCCATCAGCCACTCTCTCTACTTCACCTAAGAAGCAAGTCAGCACAGATTCCGGAGACCTTAGCTCAATCTCAACAGCAAAACCTGGCGAAGCCGTTCCAGGGTCCAGAGCAGGCACATCGAGTAGACCAGTCTCGCCATACCCTGCTTCTTACATCAATGGCTCTCCAACGCCTCCCCAGTCAGCTCGATCATCACCAGTTCAAAAAGAGGTCTCACAGGACCGAACTTCCCTCTCACGGCGTCGGGAATGGAAGGTTGCACGAGAGCAAGAGCGCGAGCACAAGCGCACGGAAACAGCATCGAACACTAACCCTCGCCCTAGAGGGAGGAGACTGGCCACAGCAAAGGAGGAGATTGAAGAGAGAAACCCTGCGACGGAGAAGGAGGTTTTGCGACGATACGAGGCCTACCGCGAGTACCGTATCAGAGAAATGGAGCGCCGCCTTCGTCGACTGGAGCGCAACGGAGACGTGTGGCTACGAGCACTCGTGCCAGTATTGGATAACCTCAACCGCACACTCGCAAGCAAGGACGAAAACCCACAGCGCGCACAGGGATGGGTCTCGGACGACGAACGTTCGCAGTTCCAACCGTCATCTCAAATGAGACCATCAAGCCGAGGTCGCATGATGACACGAAGAGGCACCTCGGAACGGGAGTTTCTAGAACAGCTTGTGAGGACCAAAGAAGAACTCGAAGCCGGAAGTGTGAGCGATGATATGAGTGGATTCGGTACGATTGAGCCGCTGATGAGAGAACTGGCAGGACGATCTCGACTGAGCTTTGAAGCCCGGTCACTTGGAATGGACGACGAGGGATTACTAAACTCGCTTGCTGAGTAGTTGCTGCACGGAGGAGAGAAGATATCTAATCATAATTATAAGAGAAGGACGAGGGAAGATATTTTGTCTTTGATCTACGGATATAGGATTGGGGAGCCTGCTTTTTGGAAGATGAGCGAAGCGTTGAACTTTGGGTATATTCAACAACACGACTACAGTCTAGTCCTGTACTGCACCAGACGTGCACCTTTCCTAGCTAACGCCTATCACGATATAACTAGAGATTGTTTTGTTGTAATGTACTTCATCAGCCAGCCAAGCTACTTGGTCAGTTGCTTATTTTTCTAGAGGGTTCAATTAGTTCCAACTGTCAAAGCCAGCCACTGTATAGCAACATACATTTAGTCTTAATCGCTCATCAACTTGATACTTTACTCGGGACTTTGGAAGAATAAGGAAAATCCCACTGATACATTCAGGGTCCTCCTGCTTATGCCGAATTGGGTAACGAGCATCTGCGCATCGATCGGATCCGCCCTGAGCGAGATCTGAATGACGTATTTTGAAGGAGCATTTACTTAGCAACGTCTGCGCATCATCGATGAGATGAGCTACCATGGAATAATGCAATTAGCAATGAGCCAAGTAGATAATCGCAACAAATATCTTAGGGTCTCGGTTTGGAGTACGATATTGTCTATTCTTAATACTTAACAAACACCAATTGTGGACGCTTTTGGAAATTGATTCTAACTAGAAGGTTTCCGACTTAACTTACACAAGGGCTACCATACTGTGAAGACACTATCTATCCATCATGAGCAAACCTTGGATCTTTGTATCACCTTCAACCCGAGGAATTGGATACGCTCTTACTCGGCATCTTCTCCAAAAGACATCCCTTCCCATTCTTGCCACAGCCCGTCTCCGCCACGACCCAGAAGATGTCAAAAGGTCACTCCTTGGGGACCTCCCCGAGAAAGACGGCCTCGCGAAGCGTCTCTCCATAGTTCACGCGGATGTCACAGACGAAAAGTCTCTTCGCGATGCTGCGTCTAGAGCTGCTGAGTTGTTCCCGACTGACAAGCATCACCTACGCCTTGCTTGTGCCGTCCCTGGTATTCTCAGGCCTGAGAAGAACCCCAGCCAAATCGACGCCGACGCCAGCCTGGATCAGTTCCGTATCAACACAGTCGGGCCTCTCCTCCTGATCAAGCACTTTGATCAATTCCTTCCCAGGCGGACCACAGAGCTGGAGTCAAGTCCTGAGGACGACGAAGTCAAGATGCCCTCTCACTCCGTGTGGCTCAGCATGGCTGCTCGCGTGGGCTCAACGTCAGACAACAGAGCGGGAGGATGGTTCTCGTATCGAGCGAGCAAGGCGGGCGCTATCAGCCTGGGTAAGAGCTACGACATCTTTTTGAAGAGTCGAAGTGGTGATAAGGCAATTTCCATCGCCTATCACCCCGGAACCGTCAAGACGGATCTAAGCAAGAATTTCTGGAGCAGCACAAAAGAGGGCAAGCTGTTCAGCCCAGAGTATGCCGTTGACAGGCTTGTCAGTGTTGCGACAGGTCTGATTTTGGATGACCGAGGCAAGTGTTGGGATTGGGACAATAGGGAGATTATCCCGTAGATAAGAGTGACGACGACAACGGCATCGTAGGGGTCGGGCAGACGAGGATAATTTAATAATAATAAGCTTCTAAACCAGATCGACTATCCCTTTACCCCAGACCTGACCAACATTCGTATGCTTGCATTTCCATACGTGATAACAAACAGGAGACTAATTGCCCTACGCTGTCTCATTGAGGCACCCTTTCGAATCAACACACCACAGAGTTTCCATATCTATAGTTCCACTTCTTGGAAAGAAGCACCGTCAGGGGTCGGCGCGGTTTTGGAATTTGTTTCGTCCTCTGCTTCGTCGTCCGACTTTTCTTCCTTGTTGTCCTCCTTGGGTTTGCTTGACCCTCCGCTTTCGGCCGGTCGTAGAGCAACTTTCTGTTCTTCTTTATCCTCAAACCGCACCTTCTGCTCCTCTTGCGGTGACGCCATAGTCTTTTGCTCAACCTCTACATCATCATCATCGCTGTCACTATCGCTGTCACTCTGCTTCTCGTTGTTCTTCTGCACTTCCTCCTTTTCCTTTTCGCTCGTTTTCTCGTCCAGCTTCTCTTCTGATTGCGAAGCTTGTTCACCATTCTGTGCGGGCGGTACGGGTAGACTCTTCTCCTCTTTCTCAGGAGGCGGAGGTGGAGGAGGTGTAGATTCCTCAGTAGGAGGTCCAGGCTTCATAGCATCAAGATAGAACTTTGTCACACCGAGAATGCGACTGCCCTTCTCGCAGGCCTCGACCCATTCTGGCCGTACGACGGGAATGTTGCTCTCAACAGCCTTCTCCCATTGTTGACCACGGCCCTCAGTAGTGACGAAATGCGTTGTGTCAATACGGACACCATCCACAATCTTGGCCCCCATGCGCTCGACTGCCTTGACCAAGTTATCCTTGACAGAACTTGGCATAATGCCTGTGGTAATTGTGATACCCCTCAGGTCCGTCATCTTGTGTGTTCTCACGGGAACGCGGTCACTGACAAAGGTACCGGCACTTGTACGCAAGACCAGGTGGAAAGTGTATTCGGTGTCGACAGCAAGACCGCTGATCTTTGTGCTGTGCATCTGTAGCGGGCGAGGGATGTTTCCGGCTTTCTGGCCATTTCGGTAGAGACTCAGAGAGATGAGGTCGGCGGTAGCAAGCTGGATAGGATCCCATTCCAGAACAACTGAGGTCTGGGTAGCATTGCGACAACGCAGCGCGGGCGTCACAGGCTCGGAAGCACCAAATGCACTGTAGATGCTATCCTGTAGGGCACGGAATGTGCGATCTGCGGCGGCTTCTTTGGTTGCATTTTGCGAAACGTTGATGTCGACGATGCTGCCAGAGGAGATATTGGGAGGGAGGAGGATAGACGGGAATTCGATCTAAGTCAGGCGCTTTGCATTAGCAATCATCCAAGCAAACATGGCATGTGAAGCTCACCAAGCGCTTATCCGGAGTCAGTAGGACAGTAACGCCGGCGTCGACCTTGCCGACAGTGAGAGAGACGAGCATCGTAGCGAGTGTCGCAGTAGACAAAGGAGGAGGATGACAGGTTCAGGTTCTGGTTCTGGATGACCACGCGAGCGCAATTGGCGTGAAACAAGGGTATCTTTGAAAAGGAGAAGCTGTAAACGGCGATGATGGAACCACCTGTTCGAGTTGTTTGTCTTCGCTGGGCGGGTTCCTGTTTGTAGCGAGACGAGTGAGGTCGGTGATAACTGAAGTTGGTGGGAAATGCGATAGGGAACGTTGACGTGGAATCTCCCCTAGCCACAGGAACCAAGGACAAGGACCTCAAGGGTTGCTTGGGTGTTCCGTGCCTTGCGGTGCTTTCCTCCTGCGTCAAGTGGCTTAAGCAGGGCAAATTTGGGGAAGCGTCCCCTGTGTTTTAGCCTTCAGGCCCCTAGTAACCCCACCCCCTACGAGGCTCTCGTGGGGAGCTACCTAAGCTTTTTGCCCGTCCACACGGGCCGTCAGTCCAAACTCCAAAGGAACCCCTTGAAAGAAGGCCCTAACTTGTCCGTAGATGGATAGTAAAGACGGGAGCTTGAAATCCCCGATGATGAAATGCATCCTGAGCACGTTATGGAATGTGTCATGTATTGAGATGCCTGTTACTCTGATATGTGTTTGAACAGACAGGTTAATGTATACATATATTTCAGAATATTCATACAGATTCATTCGTTATAAGAATTACAGCCCAGTGAAAGCTGGTGGTATCAAAGTCTAGTATACACATAAGTTCCTCACCAATACACTCCTACTCCTGTCTCATATTTGCCTAATCCAATTGTTAGATGACTTCATCCTCAATAACATGCTCCCTTGTCAAAATCCATACAACATTGGTTGCTGGGAATCGGACCAGCAAATCCCAAGTACGCCAAATCCCCATAATCATAGACCATAGAGTTTCGCTACCACTGAATCTTCCTTTCTGGTCTCTCGATCCTTTTGGGCGCTTCGCTTCTTTTGGGCGCATGTTGCTTCCACTCCTCCTTCACTCGCCTGGCAACCACCTCGCCAAAAATATGGGCTGGAGCTCGAGATACCTTCAAGGGATCAGGTATTGACACTATGAGCGTTCCTCGTGGGCCTTCCATTGAGTACCCCAGGTTCTTCAGTGCTGCCCAGAATGCTCCTGTCAACCTCTTCACCATGAGGTGCTGCACAACAGTGCTGGCGCCTCCCTTGCACATCGTGTACGTCCAGAGCGGTTCGTCTTCCAGTTTTTGCCGGTATTTGGTCATAATTACAGGTAGTAGCGTGGTCCCTCCGGGTCTGAGATGTTGTAGATCGAACGGGTGTAGGATATATTGGGGCGTGTATTGGACCTGGACATTGAAGAGGGATTTTATTGTCTTTTGGTCCTCCCCTAAATCTAGGTATAGAGCCTTGGAATTATTGTATTCGATGCCCGTTTCTTGAAGAAATGCCCAGACTTCTGGTGTGGTGTGAAGCCTTCCAGATGATGTGACATGATCAACTGATGGTGGTATAAAGAATCCTGGACCTTTCCGCTCGTTGTTTGGTCGATCTCGATTAAAAGGCTGTTTTCTGCTATTATCGTTCGGTTGTGAAAAGCGAGGGTTCGGTTTATGCGACGGGTTTCTCGCGGTCGACAAGTAGGAACGGTTTATGAAGGAAGGTAACGACCGCAGGAACCTAGGTCCTGGCGAAGCTCTTGATACGGTCATGACGAAGGATGGACTGGAAAGTATCCAATCATGTTGTCATGTCGATGGTGTTTCCTTTCATAGGATGGTTGCTCTCGAGTATACTCTTCAAAGAAGATATTTAATCGTCGGGTGATGTGCTGGTGAAGCCAGTGTATTTGGTAATGATGAATCGCATCGCCATCATGTTCAAGTTGACAATTTCCAACTAACAATGTCCCACTAACTACGCGCCACATGTGGCTTGCCACTCTCGTAGAACTCTCAACGTTACCAAGTAATCCACTCAAAAATGACAAGATGTTATTCTTCAAAACTTAATAGATTATTTATTGCTGATAAAAACCATGTGTTATTTATTGTGAGAGTTTGTACTTATTGGGCACGACTCAAATAGCCCCTCGGAGACTTGACCAAGCGCTCTGCGAACCATAACCGTGTATTTCCTTTGTTTCATATCCTGACCCGCAGCTGTGTTAGCAAAATACACGCTCGCTACACAGCTTGCCACATTAATTGAAGTACAACTTAATCACTCAAACGCCACACTTGGACTCATCGCCCATAAAATCACAAGCCTGTCGCCCCATCCTTGCCTTGCGCCCAACCGAACCATCCCCGTCAGTCAGCAGAGCAGCACAGGAAAAATCCACTTTCTGTCCAAGACCATCAACGACACCACAACATCATCGCCAACTTTCTCCTCTTACATCCACACCACTCTTCTTCACCAAACACACAACACATAAACCGCCAACATGCCTAAGAACAAGGGAAAGGTACGCCATTTTACCCTCCATCAACACTTCATCACCTTCGCCTCTTCTTCTTTGTTCGAGTCGCATTTTCACGCGTCAACCGCACTGCCCCGCCCCCACCATCGTTGCCCAAAGTTCTACCGCGAGCAAACGTGCAATCGTCGCTAACAACTCTACAGGGTGGAAAGAACCGCAGACGTGGTACCAAGGAGAACGATGACCAGCGCCGAGAGCTTACCTTCAAGGAGGACGGTCAGGAGTACGCTCAGGTCGTGAAGATGCTCGGAAACGGTCGTCTCGAGGCCCTGTGCTTCGACGGTAGCAAGCGTCTCGCCAACGTAAGTAACCCCGAATTTCCCCCGTCCAGAATGTCCCGCATCGAATTCACGGCGGGTATCCCTTCGACAAACCAGTAGCTAACATCTATATAAAGATTCGTGGAAAGATGCGAAAGAAGGTCTGGATTAACCAGGGAGATATTATCCTCCTGTCCCTCCGAGACTTCCAAGACGGTAAGGGAGACGTCATCCTCAAGTACACTGCCGACGAAGCCCGTACCCTCAAGTCCTACGGCGAGCTCCCTGAGAACGCCAAGATCAACGAGACCGACTCTTTCGGACAGGGCGAGGACGGCGAGGCCTACTTCGAGTTCGGCGACGCTGACTCAGACGATGACTCTGATGCTGGCGCTGGCGGCAAGAAGGAGGTTGACATTGACGACATTTAAGCTCGACAGTTTCCTTAAAAAAATCACCATCTCTCTCCACCGAGCCCCCGATGTCAAACTCAGGAATACTTGATGTGTTCCTCGGTTGACGTTGTTGATACTGTCTTCTCTCTCAAACCCGGAGCCGAGCACCAAAAACTCTGTGCGTCGGGTCCCACGACAGTAGTTGCTGTGGAGTCATAGACGGCCGTGGTGGGAGAGACGTCACGGCATGTCGTTCTCTATTCGACATACAATATCATGTTTGATTTTTCTGTCTTGGTCTGTTGTTAAGTTAGTTTTACACGACGAATCTGGGGTTTTACGCATTACGATCATCGCGTTCGTCTCAAAAGTACAGGGTTAGACAGTCAGACAAGAAAATACCAACTATTTCTTTCATAAATAATTTCTTTTGATATTTGCACTATGTTCATGTTTCGATGAAGATAACATCTGAATGTCGTCCATCATTTGCTGCATTGCCTCTCAATTTGGTGATTTTGGAATATGCCCTCAACGCCAAAAGCGAGGTTTTCTCTCGTTCTCTGCAACACAACCAAACCTTGCTCCAATCTTCACAATGGGTATAGAAGCAAGAAAGCCATTAACAAGACGCAGATGGCTTGATATGCTACGCCAATCCACGGCTGAGACGAAACCCGCAACTGAATGATCTGTCATCACTGTCGTTATTCCCAATACGTGAATGTCCTATGAACAATGGATCAAGGAAGTTTCCTCATTCCCTCTCTTGTTTTTGTGCTGCCATAGCTCACTTTACCAGTCGTCGTTATCACTCTCGTCGTCTAAAATTGTGTCAGTACAAAATTCTTTGTCAAAAGAAAACGCAGTATCGAAACTTACCACTCTTAGAGACCTTTTCCTTTCTCTTCTGCAGCGCAGCAGCCAGGGCATCAGCCATGCCGCCGCCGCCGCCAGAAGCCCCAGGTGCTGCACCCGCAGGGGCACCACCAGAATCTGCACCACTGACCTGAGCGCCGCTACGATCGCGAATCTGCGAACGATCGACCTTCTTGAGAGCACCGATACCTCCAGCTTGTTGAATGCCTGCCAGTACGGCCGAACGACTAGGGTCCCCAGTAGGAACGGAGACAGCTGGGGGAGGTGGAGGAGGTGATGGAGGGGCACCGCCAGTTGGTGGCATGGGAGGCGGCGGAGGAGGACCACCGTTGGTCATAGGTGGAAGTGGTGGAGGCGGCGGGGCACTGCTTGTCGGCAGTGGAGGAGGGGGAGGAGGCGCCGGAGGACCGCCATTGGTTGTTGGTGGAAGTGGTGGAGGAGGCGGTGCGCTGCTCGCCGGCAGTGGAGGAGGAGCAGGGGGATGGTTGTTGAAAGCCGGAGGAGGAGGCACAGGTCGGGAGCTCGGGGGCGGTAGTGGTGGAGCTGAGTTCGCCGCAACCTTAGGAGGCAGAGGCGGAGGGAGAGGTGCATGCGCATCGTTGCGTGGAGGAGGCGGGGGAGGAACAGGTCCACGGCTGGGCGTTGGTGGAGGTAGTCGTGAGCCAGGGAAAGGGGGAGGGACTCCGAACTTGTGACTCTCGGTTTTCTGCGTCTCAACCGGCGTCTTTGGTGGTCGGGGAGGAGGGGGAGGTCCAGGAGTGGGAGCTGCTGGAACAGCTCTTGGAGCTTCTTGACGAGCAAACTTGCCAGCATCGGCCAATGGCGGAGGTACACCAAACTTGGGTCGAGGAGGTGACGGCTCTCGCTCAGGGGCTGTCTCCTTGCCGGACCGTCTCGGAGCTGGAGGGGGTGGGGGGCCGCCTCTTCTCGGAGCCGGTGGCGCAGGAGGACCTTCGGACGCGGGACGGCCACCGGGCGGCGGCGGTGGTGGTGGAGCTCGGGAGTTTCGTCCTTCGTTTCCGTTTGCAGCTGGCGCTGGCATAGGAGGTGGAGGAGGCGGTGTTGCCTCTGGTTGGTTGGCCTTTTGCTGTTCCTCCCTCAAGAAGTCCACAATGAACTCCTGGTTCTCCTTGATGAAGTCGTCGGTCAATCCTTTGTCTTGAAGATCCGCCCCAAAGTGCTCACGCCAGAGGGGGTCGAACGCATCCAGCAGAGCGAATTCGGAAGGTCGTAGAGTACCGTTGAGATTGGGTGTTGAGTTGACGACATGGAATTGGATAGAGTTATGGCGCGGAGATTCCGGCGGACTTGGAGATGGCAGATGGGTGCTCGATTGTGAGGAATGACGATGGCTAAACAGTCCTCCCAGCAGGCCATGCTTATGGGAGGCGTGAGAACCTCCTCCAAAGGGTGTTGATCTCGTAGCTCGGCTTGCGTTCTTCTCTCGCTCGTCCATCTTCTTCTTAAACTGCTTGGCCTCCTTTTCGTCCACGAAGCTCAGGGCAGCCAGGCATTCCTCGAGTTCAAAGGTGTGGAAAAAGGTTCGGTCCTGGTTGTAACTCCATGTATCGAAAATCTCCTGGTCCCAGATAACCCCTCGATTGGTAGGCTGAATGAGTTAGCAAGCGACGGTTAAGAATGGCAAGAAGCCATTAAGGAACCACATCAAGAGCATACCGAGATGTCAACCATCTTTATCCAATAAGTGTTTCCAACCAGATCATTGACGAGCGCAACAGCTCCCTGAAGCCCGGTATATGTCCATTTCGAGCGACTGGGATAGGCAACGTAGAGTTTAGCAACAGCGACGGCCTGGATCTTGTTGGACTGCTTAGGGATAAACCGCTTGACGGTGTCCTTATCATCGTCGGTCAAGATGGACGGCATTGTGATGTCGCAATCGAATAGGTCCTCGAATCGATGTCGTATAATTCAAGTATCTCTCGAGAGTAGATATGAGCGAAAGGTAAGACGAATTCGTCGGTTGTCGCCTTGGCTGGACGCGCGGAGTGGCGCTTGGTCAGGTCTCTCCTCTTTCAGCGTCTTGTCAGAATCACAGATGACTTGGCGCTCGCGTGAGGCAGCCGAATTGTTGGGTCTGGGAATGTAGTTCCTATGAAGCTCTTTCGTTGGGTAGATATATGACCAACGAGCGGCGCCCGAGCTTTCGGGCTTGAGTGGAAAAGAATCCCTCTTGGAATGGCGTAGGTGAGCGGATGGTCGTCGCACGTCAAAAGGTGTGTTCGTTCGTCCGTGGGGAACCAGCCTGGGCCAGCGATTGGGATGATGTGTAAAGAGCCAGAGTAGTCCGAGGTAGAGAGGAGCACTACACTAGCCACAGACTAGAGTACTTGCAGAAGCTCACCACACAGCCACCGGGTCTAGACGTAGACGTGGACTTGGACGTGGTTTACCTAGAAGCGGGGCAAACTACGTCTTTGTGCAGTGGGACGTTTGCCTTTTGGCGGTGTTGTGAGCCTGGTTTAGGGAATACGTAGCGACGGTTTTACGGCAGCAATTGTAAATTGTAGCTGTGGTAGTGACTGTGACCGTGGCCGTGACCGGGACCGTGACATGCTCCTCACTACAAGTGCAGCGGTCAACTCAATAATATCTTAGGGATCGAGTCGTTCACCGCTTCAGCCACTTTGCCAGGTTCTAGAAATTTCGCAGGGCAGCGGTTGACTGTTGGGCAGCCAAAGGTTAGCAAGATAACCGCTGTCTTTTGGTGGAGTCTTTTTAAGGGGCACGGCTGATGGGTGCATAAGAGGTGAGAGCAAGTAGTGGAAGTATGGAAGTCTAGGTGTCTAGGAGGTAGGTACTAAGCTGGCCTTTGTCATTGAGTGAACCTCCCAAATACAGAATCAGATGCAAATGATAACTTTCGACCTGCGCCTCACGGTAGCACAATATCAAATAGTCCTTATTGGAACCTGTCCATTCACTACATCACCCTAACTAACACTTTGGGTAGACTTACATGTCTACATAGTCATCAGGTCTTTCAATAATTGTCTCAGGTCCAAGGAGGGGTACAATATCTGGGCTGCGTGTCAGCAGGGGGGCTCCGAAGCTGCCGTTGGTCAGTGCCATGATACGAACATGAGACTACTATATTAGCAATCATAACGCTCGAATATAGTCCGTAGACAAATATGCAATTGGTTTGATGTGTTGTATTAATCGTAAAGTAAACCATTCCCGTATCTAATCATGCAATCATGTCGAATAAGAACCTCCCATCACAGAAGCCACTTTCGCTGCTTATTTCTTGTTCAGAGCCTCCATTCTGTCCTTGCGCTCCTCCTTGGAACCCTCCTCTTGGGGCATATCCTTGGGCACAGCGGGTCCGGGGTGAGCGTTAAAGGCAGAGGCCTGCTTGTTGGACTCGTCCTTGATGGGCTGGATGGAGAATTGCTGCTCGCCCTGTTAAAGAGACGGTCAGTATTAGATCCATGATGGCGCGATATCGGCAGGTTGAGGTTCCAGCATAGTTTGCCAACATACCTCGTTCTGTTGCTCGGTTCCAGGCATTTTGATAGTTGTTTTGGTTGTTTGAAAAGAGGAAATGGTGTTTGTTCTTGTTAAGCTTTGTAGTTGGTTTGATCTGAGATCGATTTAATGTCCGATGCTGGGTTATCAACGTCCTTTTGTAGGCACTGGCTGCACGTATCATGAGCGATGACGTCGTCACTTGTAGCCAGACTACCTAGTACCTACGTACGTAAGACTGCTCTGTGGCGCGAATCCCGATAGCCAGAAACGCGAGACTCTTTGGGGAAGTGTCACAAGAGGCGACATAGAGGTTTTAATTGGCTCTCTCGCTCCAAAAACCACCGACGTTGAGACCACTACATCTAGAACTCTTGCAGGATCTTGAAAATGACGTGGGGGAGGGGAGGCTATGGTGTGCACAACGTGTGTAAGTGCTCAACTCAAGTGGGCATCATAACAGCAAAGAAATCAAGGCCGGTCTTTTATGTAACATTCCATGGACTGGCTAGACTGGTCAGCTACATAAGATCGTGCGCAGTAATGTTTTGCAGTAGTCTCATCGGCATATCCAATACCTAAATGCAATTCACAAACGCTACCACAGGGCATGATAGAAGCGTATATACAGGTAGGTATGACTTACCAGTTTTGGTGGCTACGAATCCTGCCAAAGGCCAATATTCCCAGGCAATAAATATCTTTAAGCATAAATAATAGAAGCAAGGCTATTATTACTCAAGTTTATCCCATAGTCACCAGTACTGAGTCCATCATGGCTACTCTGTCTCATGTTCCGATTTAGACATTCCCCACCGTGGCTCAAGCTCTCCACTAAGATCTTCAATGCATCATTCACGACAGCCATCTCTTCCTCTTCAACACCTCGTCCGCCAGCACCAACACTTGCGTGGCCCGCATGTCTGCAAATAATGCTCCCCAGCCGGTGAAGCTTTCACTTCCGCTCGTATGTTGCGCAAATACTCTCAACTCTCCTATTACCTAAACTATCTCTAGGAATATCAGCAGAACCTGTTCCAGGAGCTTCGCGCTGAAGATGAGCTTGTCGTTATCGCCCGCGGCCTCGGGCTGATGCGCCTTGTCAACAATCTCCTCCACTCCTACGATGCGGCCGGTAATAATCTGATTGTTGTCGTCGCTGCTGATGAGCGAGAAAATGGCTGGATTGGAGAGGCATTGGCTGAACATGCTGCCATCAGCATGTCCCCCAAGGCGCGTGGCTTGACCGTCGTCAACACAGACTCCCAGAGTGTCGGCGCAAGGGAGAAGATGTACACTGGAGGCGGCATATTCAGTATCACTTCGCGCATCCTAGTAGTGGATCTGCTCACAGGGTTGCTGAATGCTGAATCCGTCACAGGCCTTGTTGTACTTCACGCCGACCGTGTTGTCGCAACATCTCTTGAGGCTTTCATTCTAAGAGTCTACCGCCAGAAGAACAAGGTCGGGTTCTTGAAAGCCTTTTCCGACAATCCCGACCCTTTCACGACTGGCTTCTCACCATTGGCCACTATGATGAGGAATCTCTTTTTAAGGAAAGCGTCGCTCTGGCCGAGATTCCACGTTACTGTCGCACAATCCCTGGAGGGTAAGAAGAAGGCCGAGGTTATCGAACTCGAGGTTCCTATGACGGACTCGATGCGTGAGATTCAGACTGCCATCATGGAGTGTGTCGAAGTCAGCATTCACGAGCTTAAGAAAGGTAACAGCGGCCTGGAAATGGACGACTGGAACCTTGACAGTGCTCTGCTCAAGAACTTCGACGTTATCGTTCGACGACAATTGGATCCTAATTGGCATCGCGTGAGCTGGAAGACCAAGCAAATTGTCAACGACTTGACTGTTCTGAGAACCATGCTTAATTCTATTCTATTGCATGATGCTGTTTCATTCCTCCAACATCTGGATACAATTCATGCTGCCCATTCTCCACCCCCAGGATCGACTCGACAAAGTCAATCGCCATGGCTTTTTCTTGATGCTGCCCAAACCATTTTCGACACGGCAAGACGACGAGTGTACTCTGCTAGCGCCAAGGCCGCTGCTCGGGAAGATAACATCGACTCTTTGAGGCCGGTTCTTGAAGAGCTCCCCAAATGGGCACTTTTGGCTGAAGTCTTGGAGGAAATCGACCGCGATCTGTATTTCGAGCCTCCAGCTCGCGACGATTCCAACGGCACCATTCTGGTCATGTGCTCAAACACTGACACATGCAGGCAACTACGGGATTTTCTGCAGACCATGCACGTGAAGCCCAAGACAGAGAAAAGGAAGGATGAAGATGATGAGGATGGAGATGAAGATAAACCCTCTGCAGCTTTTATGATGCGGAGGCGGTTGCGTAACTACCTCAAGTGGAAGAGACAGTTCGCTCAAGTCAGCGCGACTCTCTTTTCTGAAAATCAAAAGGCTCTCAATGGCGCTGCGGACACTCGTCCGGGTTTTGCGGGGTCGAGAGGTGGAAGGGCCCCTGCTAACAAGAGACGACGAATGCGTGGTGGAGGTAATGTTGGTACAAGCATGGGGCGTGCCGAGAATGGCAGCATCATGCAGTATATCGAGAAGCCAGGAGAAGTCGCCGATCTCATGGCAGAGGTACAGATCACAGAAGAGGAGGCACAACAGAAAGACGAGGTTGTTGCGGATCCCCTTGACAATATGGAGGAGTACTTTAAGCTGTACGACATGCAGGACCTTGTTGTCATCCACGCATATGACGGAGACCAAGATGAGCATGTTCTTGAGGAAACCAAACCTCGCTACATCATCATGTACGAACCGGACGCCGCCTTCATCCGTCGAGTGGAAGTGTACCGGTCCTCGCACAATGACAGGAACGTGAGGGTGTACTTCATGTACTACGGTGGTTCAGTCGAGGAGCAGAAATATCTATCGTCTGTTCGGCGAGAAAAGGATGCTTTCACCAAGCTCATCAAGGAGAGGGCAAGCATGTCGCTTGTTATGACAGTTGATCCGGCAGAGGACCCTGAAGACGCTTTCCTCCGCACCGTCAACACACGAATTGCTGGTGGTGGAAGGTTGGCAGCAACGGCTGAACCGCCGCGCGTTGTAGTGGATGTGCGAGAATTCCGCTCGTCATTGCCGTCACTGCTCCACGGCCGCTCCATGGTTATCGTTCCATGCATGCTCACCGTCGGCGATTATATCCTGTCACCAAACATCTGCGTGGAACGCAAGTCTATCAGCGATTTGATCTCGTCGTTTAAGGATGGTCGACTCTACAGTCAGGCTGAGACCATGTTCCAGTACTACAAGAGTGTGATGCTACTGATCGAGTTCGACCAGAACAAGTCGTTCACTCTAGAGCCGTTTGCCGATCTTTCTGGAAGTTTGACTAGTGTAGCGCCAACCAACATGTCATCCGACCTTCAGTCCAAGCTAGTTCTACTAACTCTGGCATTCCCCAAACTACGCATCATCTGGTCCTCTTCGCCTTACCAAACTGCCGAGATCTTCGAGTCTCTCAAAACTCAGGAGGAAGAACCAGACCCGATCGCCGCTGTCAGGGCCGGCCTGGACAAGGACACTCGGGCTGAGGAACAGGCTTTCAACCAGGAACCTCAAGACATGCTCGCTATTGTGCCAGGTGTCACACCGCAAAACATTAAAAACCTGGTGCTCAAGACAGAGAGTGTTCGTGAAGTCGCCAATATGACAGTACAGGAGTTAGCACCCCTAGTGGGTACAACGGCTGGACGACAAATTCATGGGTTCTTTAACCGTAATGTGATGGAAGAGGATGATTAAAATAGCAGGGAACAAGTATAAGATAATGTACCGTATGTATCAGTAGCGATGATCTGGTTGCGGAGTTGTTATTTTAATTGCAAATGCCTATACATTATTTGTACAGCGGTGGTTCAGAGCTACAATGATTCCTAAAATTTATCTCGACTCGGAATTCCAGAGATTTTTTTCATATCATGAATACCTTTGACCATTTCCTCACACCCAGATTATGTTCAAATGGTATTCATCATAGAACCATTGATTCGAATGTTGACAAATAATATCCTGACACAGTAAAAGATACCTGTGTTACTGATCAAGAGTAATGTCACAGCAATTAATACTTGCTTGTAGACAGTGGGTCACTTTTGGGGAACGATATCGGGGTTAAGTCGCAAAATTCAGGATTGGGTATCCTAATGCTATCGCAGTACAAAGAAAAACAAAGGCCGTTATGGTAGTCGCAAAACTCCTTCTTCCACTGGGTGTATCATCATCTCCTCTACCATCCCCTTCTCAAATTGGTATCACTTAAGCGTTCCTAGTTCCGTGTGCAAGAGAGAGAGATTCTTCTTCTCTATACTCTCGTCGACTTCATGTGCGAGTGACCGCGTCGCTTGGTGCGTCCGCCCTTGCTGCCGCAGTAGCCACAGGTGAGGAAGCTGACGATGATGCCGCAGAACTTGACAACGGCGCCGATGATGGCCTGGAGGATACGGCCGACACCGCCGATAACGGCCATGATGGCATCTCCGATGGTCTGGAGACAAGACTTGATCTGTAGCGAGATTTGTTAGCGAAACGCTATTTGGATGGAGTAGTGAGGCTGTGGTGGCTTACGCAAGAGACAACACCGCCCATTTTGGATGATTTGTGTAGTGGAGTGTGTTTAAGTGGATGTGTTTTGGTGTAGTTGCGCAAAGCAGTCTTGGTGTAAAGACTAAAGATGTTGTAGAGTTGTTTGATTGTGATAGTAGTTGTTGTTGATGTGTTGGGATGAAGGTTCTTTTTCGTTCAGCCTCTTCACATCCTTATATATATCTAAAAATCAGTGGTTTGCTCGGCGGCTCTCTGCAGGGTTGCTTTCTTGGATGCTACCTGCATTGAAGTTTTTCCTCCGTCATGTTATTTCCTGACGTCAGTTTTGCTATCTCGAATTCCCCCATGACCCATGACCCATGATCCAGCCACACTAAGTGATGTGGCTAGAGTCGTAGCCGGCCGATGATTGGGTGAAAGAGCAGTTATGACGTGCCAGGCGTGGCTACTCCGTCGATCACCAAGAAAAACAAGGCCTGTCTGTTTAATCTTTTATTACCGCCGTAGCCCGTTGCGGGATGCGGCATTGTTTGGGGTTACTTCCGCGACGTCAGGGCAATCAATTTTCGAGATGATTCCCTGCAAAATGACTCCTAACTCCACTGATTCGCTCATCCCTTGCCTGCGACTCATGTCGGAACACCACCTTGCTTGTCACATTCAATTTAGACCCGTAACTGAGCCCATTGAGGTCGAGGCTTGCTTAAACGAGGTTTGAAGGAGGGTGGAAAAGAAAATTGTTCTGACGTCAGGCTGTCATGATGAGATCAATCGACAGGAGCACTTGTGTCACCACGACAATCAAAATCCCAAATTGGATGACAAGGAAGAAAAGTCTGTGTTCCTTGGCCTTACGTTGATGGTCTTAATTGGCCGTCATTTCCGTTGGGTAGCATTCACAACCAAAATTAAAAATGGATGATGCCTGCCATGATGTGTCCGTTGTCCGAATTTGGGTATCTTTCGCTTCAACTCCAACCCCATTGAGATGAGTAGGTATCTAGTAGTTTCCAGAAAATGCTCTAATTTTTACATGTGGCTGAATTCGTGCCACGAAATCGTCAGGAACACCCAGATCTCATGTTACAGAGCCTCGTGCTCAAACATGTCTTATATGTGTTGTGTGTGCCTAATTCAATGAAACCACTTCTTCTTTTGCGACGTAGCCTTCTGCATGTTAATTCGTCGAAGCATCTCTCGGTTCCTGTTGTCGAGGAGTCCAAGGGCCGAGCGATCATCGGGGAAGTAGGCCTGCCCACGGGGGAATCGCGGTCGCTCGTCATCCATCATCTTGATGCGTTGCACGCGGCGCAGCCTGGTAAGACCGTACCAGCATACGATAAGCGAGCATGCAATGGAGATGCCGGTGACGCCAGCGAAGCCCCAGTTTGTCTCCTCGATAAAGTTCTCCAAGTTCATACCGTAAAGACCCGCAAGGAAGGTTCCCATGGCCAGTCCTAGAGTTCCAACGCTGAACTTGATCTCGAGCAGCATGAGATGATTTCGGTTGGCATCTAGAATCGCACGGACACTGCATTTGTTAGTGAAGTGAACCATAATTAGCCGGGGGTTCCTTACATTTCCTCCGTGTTTCGAATCCCAGACACAAGGTTACCAGCTTCTTGCACAATTTCGTCCGTCAACTTGTGGTAGGACTCCAGTAGCATCTCAACTTCGGTATGGTCGTCTTCTCCCCTGTAAAGATCATGTGTCTTCTCCGTCAAATACATGTCTGAGAGGTCATCGTCCGCTTCGAGAAGATCTTCGATGGCGTCTCGGACAAGCTTCGCCTTCTGTTCGAAGGTGCTCACTCGCTTGGACAGAATGAGGAGCATTCGCAGCTTATGTCGATCGATATCGTCTTCGAGTTCGCTAAGGATATGCATGACAGGCTCGCGCACTGCCTCGAAATCGGCTTCGAGCTCGGAGGTTACTGAGGTCATCACCGCTTCCAGTGCGCGGAACTCGTAAGGGAGGGCGCCCGATGCTTGTGTGTTCTTCTGTTGTAATTTGCCCTGCAAGTCGTACATGAAGGCCGACTGAGGGTATGACGTCTTGGAGCCGTAAATGTCGAACAGAAGCACTCGGTCATGCTTGATCAGAACTTTGAGATGGAGCAGGTTGAGCAAGATGGCTGAAGGGCGGACAAGAATATGGGGTAGGTTGGAGGAATCGATCTTTCGCAAGTCTCGAGGTAGCAAGCCAAACTAGAAAACACTCATAGTTAGCTACCACGTTGGAGAAGATCCATTCTCTGGCTTATGTTCGCCCATACCTTGGCAATAAGTTCCGTCTTCTTGAACTCTCCATCGACCAGAATCACATTGCCATGTTCGTCTACTTCTGTACAGCGGAGGCGGGGTTCAGAGGCCGCTTTGGCTGCGAGCGTTCGTCGACTGTTGAAAATGGAAGAGTTGTCATTGAACTCGTCATGGTTCGGAAGGTCATCGGGCTTCAGGGCCTTGTCGTCCTTCTTTCCTGAGAAATTAAAAAGTCGTTCCCATACGGGCGAAGAATCGGGAGTCGAATTGCGACCTTTGAACAAGCTGCGCGCATTTCGACTTGTGCTGAAGCAGCTTTGCGATATCAAGGGTTGATTTCGATTTCGCAGTTTCCGCGTAACAGGATCTATATCAAAGAGAGGAGATTCCGGTGCTGTAACTCGTCTATCGCATGCTGTGTTCAATGCCACAGGCTGCCTCCGTGCGGCCGTAGTATTCAGCATTCGGGCTCGACAGCATAGAGCTGGAGTGGTCATGACATCTCGGCCATGGTTTGGAGTCGAAAAAGCCCTCTTGGACTGACACCGGAGGAATCGTAGGAGGCTTCTAGACGGAACCGGAAGACACAGAGTTGACTGCATCACTGGGAATTGGTATTACGTCGACATTGACATCGGGTGCAATATAGCGTCACTTTGTTAAAATAAGCTCTAGTCGTTGACGATGGGTAGGAAAAGTCGATGTAACAAAAATGCCCTTAGTCATCAGGACCAAGCTACTGGTTCTACGGCGGGTCTCGGGTAATGCACGGGCCCCTGGTATAATAGAAACTCCAACTCCAAGACTTGATGGGATGCATTGTAGATATTAATTGAGTGAGACATTGTGGATTGTATAAGAGTTGTGATTTTGAAAAGATAGATGCAATACAATTACCATGGTATTATTGTATAGTCTCTGAGGGAGCTTCTGTTACTTCATTTACACGACTGAACATTTTAAAATCACTTCCACCTTCCTCCAACGTCTGCCCATACCAACTTTTTCTCTCTACCGAAACCTTCAGCTTTCTTCCTTGTAACTCCGTCTTTTAGGGACGGCCACTTTAATGAGTTTCCAAGCGCCGAGTTTCTATTCATGATTAATACAGCTGCATTGATCAATTGAGAATTGCGCTATCTCTGCACCCTGCTTCAGCATCAACTTTGTTCCATTTACACTGCTCGCCAACAGTCCTCCAGCCTACCCCAATCCTCCCGTTATACCCAAAGCACTTCCTCAAGCGATAAAATCGACTTTCCTTATTGATTGGGACACACACAATGGGACTTACGCCCATTCGTATCCGAGGCAAGCGAAAATACCCATCTGCCCGCAAACCATCAGCGTTGGGCACTCCAACATCTCTCTCTGGTGGTGACGGAACCCCTCCTCCTAAGAAGATGAAGCGCTCTCTTTCGAATGTTCTGGCTTCTAGAGCTACCCGCTGGAGACCAGTTCTCCAAAACCTTCCTGCGGAAATCCTGGAGAGCATCTTCCTTTATAGCGCCAATGTCGCCCTGCCTCGCGCTGCGCCTGTAATGGGCGCAAAGCTATCTGATCGCGCTACTCTTGTCAGATTCCTTATGTGGGCTTTTCATGATACTTGGGAACAGGGCTTTGGAAATCCCAGGGATTGGGATGCTTTGGATAAGAACAATATCGGTGGCGATCGTCATCTCCAGGTTCGTCTGCATCATCAAGTTCAGTGGTATCTTCCCATAGCTAATGTGAGATTACAGTCGACCATATTAAACCTACCATGGGTCGACACAGACTTAATTGTTCAGGCACAACAAACATGGGCAGATACTTACGCCAGGGATCGTCTATACAAACATTATCTTCCCACGCTGGACGCAGACGGTGACCCTTTCATTTACAGTCCTAACCACCAGTTCGAAGGCGGTGTTGGGCACTTCGACTCTCGAGAGTGTTTCGAAGCTGATTACCAGGAAGTTGTGTCCTGGAAGCCTTTCCAATCGGTGGGGAAATGGGGTGGGTGCGATGTTCATCCTAGAATACGCATACCTACGCCTCTCATCACTGGACCATGGGACGAGAAGAGATTGCGCCTCCTCTTCTGGCTTCGACGAAGTGGGAGAATATACGGCCTCGAAGAAAATGAGTCCTCGTGGGAGATTCAGCTGGACTGTCTTCGCAATGCATTCATCGACGCCCCTGAACCCAACGTCCTTATCACCAACTTGATCGACCTCACCACATTATGCCACGGTTTACCGAGGGATATCGCACGGGAGGAAAGACGGCGTATTGAACAGAGGCTGAAATGGGGCTCAGACAGTATGCTCAGCAAAGATATCCTTCGAGAAGTTTACGGAACGATCGGAATGTATCACGATGGATTCGATGCCCCAGGCTCTCCGAAATAACTCTGGAGGCCATGTCTTGGAGCAGAAAGAATAATCTCATCGTTCGATCAGTGGATTTCTTTCCAATATTGCGTTCAAGATCATGAATGCACACGCACGCCCGTTCTCGGCCTGGCAAGACCAGCTGGTCAACCCGCCTTACATGCTGAAAAGCTTACCCGACTCCAGGGGTGAAGGGTGATCACATTGAACTTTCCGAAATTACAGTTTGAGAAAGGTCATGTGGAATCATCATGGCACATATGTATCATCTCACATGTTGTGACCATAGGTCCTGGTAGTCTCTTGCCAGGCAGGGGGTGTGTCCGTACAAGTAACATCTCACATGGGAACAAGGAACGGAGTTCATGATGATTAGAAGTATATTACTGTCATAGATTATAGACGCCTAGTACAGGCAGCATAAATGATTTGGTTTACAAAGTATCATGGGATCTATCAGAATGAGTTAGTGTGAACTATGGAGGCGTCGTGAGACCCTCAACACCATGAATAAAAGTTTCACCTTTCAGACGACACAGGCAGCACTTCACGCACGTCACCATCGTGTACCAAGGAAACCCTTACCTTTTACTCACCTCCATCCAGTCTCGCTTACCGTCAAAGGATCATTCATCTCCACCTTGGCCAAAAGACAGCCATACTCCCCCAACAATACTCAACTTCACGATGTCCGTGTAGCAACACCAGCCAGACTTCGGCCTCTTTTCCCCATAGCCCACACACACAACTTGGCGACATTGCCACTCACTGCCCAATCGAGAAGGTTCCTGGCCTCTGGTGGACAAAGGTCAAAGAAGAAAAAAGAAATGTAGCATCCTGTCATGTCTGTGCCAAGCGGACGGGGGGAGAGATGACTCACACGCCGTGAGCTCGCCATGCCCAATAGCTGAATAGACCACCACGCGGTTCCGGGATTTCACGGTCTGGGTTTAGACCCTTTCCTGGTAGTTCCGGGAGAAGAATTCCTCTGTAATGGACTGTGCTGTGGCCAGGTGTGCATACATGGTTCGGTTAAGCACGAAATCACACAATTTGGATTGATTGAAGAAACTGTCGGCCTGAAGTTTCATAGTAGGATTCGTATCTCACGTGCCCCGGTTCTCGGATATTGCGTCTTGAGCTCCTTAAGGCGTTCAGCAATTCGAATCGACAAGCAAGTGCCTGTCAAACCTCGATTCTGGACCTGGCGTATCACGTAGTCACATAAGGGTGAATATTTCGCTTCAGTTGCGTGTAAATGAGTCAGCGTAGACGAAAAAAGACTTAGTGTTCCAGCAAAATGCTTTTGATTTCGTGCTTGTCTTGCTTTGCTCGTGCGTCTTTCCTATCCGAAAAATTGGTTCCATAAGGGATCGGAAACGACTGCCACGAGTCCACTATCGCGAGGACTGTTTCAAGCTAGCTATTAGATTTCGCCATAGCGTCATCGCTCTCTTCAATTCAGATCATTCTTGGGACTCCTTTGCTCGAGTCCGCTTCCGAAATCGACTGGTTTGATTGCCATTGAAGTTCCCAAGGTCTGCCTTTGACGAGGTCGAGTGGTTCCAAGCTTGGCTTTGTCCGAAAGACATCATGTGGTGTTTTGTTGTCTTGATTGCAGAAAGGGCAGATTGAACTCCAATCGATGCAAAAGAACCTATTACCTTGCAGATATCGTGCTTGACGCCGGGGTCACTATTCTTCGGTGACCGGGTTTCTCTGCTCGGTTTTGATAGCAAATCAAACCTATTACTCCCTTCCTTTGCATTGCTCAACCTTTCCTCCGTGTAAACAAGCAACAGGTACAAACAAAAAATGCAGCGACGTCCTAGTCATACAACAGTTGTACTCATCATCTCCATAACGACCCCTGAATAAAAGACTTTCGCCGCCTTCTTCCCTTCCCAATCCCAAACATGCATGTAAATGAACACACGCTTTTCGGCCTAGTCTTGAAGCAAAAACAAGTGTTTTCCGAACACGTTGAAAAGACTTCAAGATCTATGGTATCAAAGGCCTTTTAGCAAGACTCCTTTCTTTCCAGCCCCCAGTAATTCTTGACAAAGAGAAAGTTATTGATTCGACATTATTCTTCACATTGTAGTCAAAAGGACATAGCTTGTCGATGGACGACGGGGTATCGAGTTGGTAGGAGATATCGTGACCAACAAGGTGTGATGGGTTTAGTTCAGGATACCCTCCCACATACCAGGTCCGCGGATACCGATGGCGGGGTGGACAGACGAAACTTCGTAGCCCTGAGCTGCTTCAGCAGCACAGCAAACCCGCTTGCCAGTACCGGGAAGATTGGGACGGACAGGGATCTGAAGGTTCGACTCAGAGGTGATGCCTCGAGTGCGAACCAACGTATCAGGCCAGGCAGGACGCTGAGTAGAGTAAGGGCCGCCAAGGATCTCACGAACGTTCTCCTGAAGGCCGTTATCCATGGAAGCGGTTCTACTTCGCTTTGTGCCACTTCTAGGGGCCGCAGCAGCAGCGTGCATAACCTCGGCTGAGCGATAATGCAGTTCCTGCAGGGCGCGGGCAGCATCAGAATCGCGAGCCATGTCTTCAAGCTCCTGTTGTCGTCTTGCTAATGGAGTATCCAGAGACAAATCTCCGAGTCTGTTAACCGGGCCGGTGTAAGACTCAGGAGATGATGTGTAGCAGTACTCGGGAACCGAAGGGATCGTCGGCTTCTGGCTCAATCTCTCATTGCACAACTTCGGGGCTCGGAATCGCGATGCCATACCCAGCTTGGAGGAGCTGAGGGTCGCGCTAGCGAGCGAAGAAGCTGATGAAATGGAAGAAGAGCGCGAGGAGCGCGACGTGTCCGAAATCATCGATTCGGGTGAGGATGCTGTTGATACTGAATTGGCGAGTGAAGATCGACGAACGGGGCCGTAGACTTGCGGTGATGAGGTCACGCAAGCAGGGAGACGGTCAAGATACTGGACAGTGTTGATGCTGCTGGCCTGGGCCAAAGCCATTCCCATAGCAGAACTCTTGCTGAGCATGTGAGAAGCGGCACTCGCGGCAGGAGTGCAGAGTCCACTGCTCTGAGGAGTAAGGCGAGGAGTTGGCAGCATACCCAGGGAGTGAGCCATGCGGCCTGAAGAGTGTCCTACGGCCGAAGACTCCATGGCTCCAGGAGTGTTGTACATTCTAGGAGTGGGAGTGGCCTCGGCGGATTCATGGCGTCTTGATGGCTGAGCTTCCTGAGGAAGGTTGAGGATGCTGCGTGGGGACAGCGCGCAAAGATCGCTTGATTTAGGGACGAAATGGGTTGCAGCAGGAATCAACACCGCGAGGTTGGTCAGCTCGGGGTTGAGGCCTAGGATGATTCGCTTCCAGTCTGCAACCTGCTGGCAAATAGTCTGTGAAGCACCTCCAGGAGATGAAGGACCAGATGGAGGAGGCGTATACTTAAGGACAATGTCAGTCCATCGCTGGAAGACCTCATCGGCGATGTGCATCTTCCAGTTGACAGCGAGCAGAAAGGCAATCTCGTTCTGGTTGATCTCCTGAGTGTTGAGTCCCGAAATCTTACTCCAGGCTCGAGCAGAATAGTTACGGTCCTGGAGATATTTCGAAGCAAGAATCAAAGCCGCGAGGAACATGCGACGACCGCACTGGAGCGCACGATCGGCGTGTCGATCCTCGGGCTGCTCCATAGTGAAGTTGTGCTTTGGCACATGGGGCTTAATTAAGATCAAGTAGTAGAGTGCAACTTGGAGAGTCGAGTAGCTAGTCCGTGAGCGACGCAGAGTTTCTTGAATGAAAGTGCGCAGGGGCAGGACTTCTTTGCTTCGAGGCTCATTTCGACAGACGACAGAAGAAAGAGGCCAAATGGCTTCAACGATCTGTGCCGACGAATCTAGAAGGGTAACATCTAAGCACATGAACAGGGAATCAGAATATAGTAACAACATACCAACAAGACTATCGACAAAGTTGACTTTTCGGTCGGACTGTCGGACCAAGGTGGGAGGGCATACTGGGCGAGCGGCCGAAGTTCTTCGGGGGTTCTGGCGCAACTCAGCAGGAACTGCCTGTGCCTCTGTCTGAGACCTTTGAACGCGACGTCGAAAGTTAAGAGCGCTGTCAGCAACAGCCGCCTTTCTTGAAAAGTAAGAGTCGCAAGAATCTGAGTCGGAAGAGATGGTGGAAATAGAGGTGTCGTCGGAAGCCTGTGAGGTGGTATCGGACCAAACAGAGGTAAGAGAGGATGAGGCGGAAGAAGCTAAAGATGTATTATAGGGAGCATATCGGGAGGTGATAGAGGCGGGCGAAAGGGTCGCGTCGCACTTCATGATGGGTGGTAGTTGAAGCAGGCCTGAATATGATTCAAGCCAGGGTGATTATCCAGTCGCCGTCAGGGACTAGGTCAACCAATAAAATCGTAATTTACCGGTAGTAATTCGGGGGGCCAAAGTCGAGTAGCTATACTCCGTAGCAGCGTGTAAGTGCTGTGTCGAAGTAAATCCGTAGGTGTGAGTGCAGGAGGCGTCTAGACGAGAGAGTCGAGAAGCGACTTGATAACACAAACGATATGACCGGAAGACGAAGCGGAGACGGCGACAGAAGTAAAGATTGTTTTTCCAACAGGCATTGCGATAATGCTTCAAATCTCGAAGTGTGAGGTTAGAAGCGAATGGTAGTCTTAGAACGAGGCTACCATCGGGGCGATCGAGTGACTGGTTGAATTCGGGGTCGGGGTTTCGAGGTCGAGGTGGGTGTCGGTGATTAAAGATGGATATCAAGCCGTTGTTTAATTGATATGCAAGGTTCAACGCTGGCGAGATTTAGAGGTGTGGCTGGAGGGTTGAAGAAACGACCTGGAGAGGTGATGGGAGGGTTTATTAGATAGCCGAAAGAGGATGACTCTTGTTTAAGTGGCCAAAGGGGCGAGGCGTGAGGCGTTGTAGTGGTGAGTGACAGCCTGGCCGTGGTGGGTGACTCTTCTCGTTTTGCACGGTGGCGAGCCCGATCAGAGGCGGCGGGGGGCGTGTGTGGCAGGTGGCAGCCAAATGGCGATCTCGGAGAGAGCGTGAGAAGCGTGGTAGAGGGTGCGCGGCGGTAGCCTGTGCCTGATTTGGTGCAAGGATGACTAACGAGCAGTTCGTCACTGTGAGTGTGGCGAAGGAGCTGATAGCGGGTGGTAGCCTAGCAAGGGGGGCGGGGAGTGAAAGTGAATGAACAGGTAACAGAAATAGAATATAGTAGAGTTAACGTGAACAGGTAATAGAAAGAGGTAGGAAAATGATTGAATCAGACGGTAAGGAGATGATGATGATAGGAGATGACAGTAATAAAGTGAGCAATACAGCAGCAAAGTCCGGAGACTGACAGACAACGAAGAGTCACTCTTTAGTGGTAAACAGGACACTTTTGCGTCAAGTCACCTCACTGAGAAGCGGGTTGCAGTTGCGGTTGCGGGTGCGGGTGCGGGCAAAGGCCGGGGGAGGCAAGGTTGGTCCCTAAAAGCTTAGAGGATGAGCAATCGGGCTTGGGCTCGGCCGGGCTGGGCTGGACTGGGCGGGACCCAGGCAGTGCTGTACTGGAATTCGTTGGCAAGGCCAGAAACTGTGACTCTTTTTTTCCGTCAGGCGGCAAAAGAGCAAGGAGAGTGAGTGAGTCGTTGGAGTCGCAGGGTGCAAGTGAATGCCGCTGCGGCCTGACTGTTTTTTTCTTCTGATTTCTTTTCGGTATTTTTTGGTGAGGTTCTTTTTTGGAGGTGAGATTTTACCGGTAAGGGTAAAAGTCGAATAAACAACAAAGATGAAGACAAGGGCGCCGTGGAGAGTGGAGATGGTGCACGATTCCAGAGCAGACTTCAGAGAGTCGCTTGGGGACGGATTTAGAGGACGAAATCGAACATGATGGCGATGATGCTGTTCGATGGGGGGAGGGGGAAAAGGCGGGAGATGGCAGCGGCGGGCCATGGCATAGTTTTGAATGTCTGGGCCTGGGACGGCGACAGCAACAGCGTGAGCAGGACCAGGAGGAGACGGACAAGTTGAACGCTGGTACCTACGGCGCGCTGCAAAGATGGCCCAGCGCGTGAAGTACAGTACCTCTAGGGGCAGTGTGCTCGATCTGTAATAGCACGGTACAGCTAGACCCTTGTAGATGCTTCAGCCAGTCAGTGAGCCTCTGGACCTGGTGCTGGCATATCACACTGGACGACAGGCTGCCCCTCTTTTCCAGCTCCGTGCGATACCGTGTCGAGATCGCGCAGTCGATACCTTCTCACGCTGGGCCTCGAAGCGTGTCTGCCTTTTGGCATCATCCCATTGGTCCTCCAGTTTGAACAGCGCGTGTTTCTTCTCCCCCCCCCCCTCCACCTTTTTTTCTTTCCAAGCTACTATGTACGTAGTACAAGGCGTATCCACCTCCACCTTTGGCTGCCCTTCCACTTCCCGACCCCTCGATCAAGGCCTCAAGGCATTCATCCACGGATTTATGTTTCCCTGGCATCGAGACGAACTCACTTTGCTATACGGTGAAGAGGAAGAAGAGGGGGAGGAGAAGGGGAAGGAGGAGACGGGTCGGCCTTGTATCCGTACTATCTATCGTCTACCTATGTGTGGTCAACACATGAGTAACCTTGACACATATGTCTGCATACTGCTACGTATGGTGAATAGTGATTATACGTCTGTTGTGTTTATGTTTATGTTATGATGAATGCATAAAGGGAGATATCATGAGGCAGACACTTGGTTTCAACTTCACCATCAGCAACAAGCCTCTGTCAGTTGTACTGTTTTGTCTGCTGTAATTCGTGAATGGCGATGACCAACCGACCTGTACTCATCTCATCTCTGGATTGACTTGACTGGCTAGCACACCAGCGTCGACAGGCTAGGTTCGTGCATCTCGCGTATCCCTGCCGTCCCGACCACCCCCGGTCACCCTCCCAACCCAACCCGTTTTGGCTATTCACTGAGTGAGTAAGTTGTCGTTGTCGTTGTCTGTGTCTGTATTGGAAATGAAGCCGCCCTCATTTTAGGTTCTCAATGTTGATCCCCTTGCCTCAGCAGTTTTTCCCAACGGGGTACCTGTCTCTGTCTCACTAACATGCAGTGTTAAAACCTTCTGCATGGAAAACATGCAAATTCTCCAAGCTTGGGAACTCACTAACCGCTATCGAACATAGACGCCAGATACTGTTGTGAACTTGTGACGGGGAAACCCTTCAACTGGTGCTTTTCTCGGGCCCTTGACCCTTTTGGGTGGGAGCATAGTCCTCCAAAACTTGGCTGCTGATGCGCGATGACTCTTCTCCTTCAGCTCTTGATAGTGCATATCTCCGCACTGGGCCATCCGCCACCGCTTCGTGAATATTCGACAGACCTGGAGAATCTTCATGATGGTCACGTTTAAGAAAGGGAAATACTTTCATTTGTTATGCTAATCCATGTTCAACTCGTTTCCAGCATCCAGAGTCTTTCAATTTTGCTGTCGTCCGGCATTTCCAACCGTTGTTTTACAATGAGCGCACGAATGGAGTACAACGTACAGGTTGCAACCGTTGGTTGAATATGTATAAAACTGGGCCTCGATTGACCTAACTTTGTCCTCCAGTTTATCTGATTTTAAATTATGTTGTTCAAAACTTAAGAGACGACTTATATAACACCTATGGTATCTAATAGTAATATCATGAATGAAGCTCGGGCTTTACGGTCTATTTTAAACCCTCGCAGCATGTACCACTACGAATATTAAACAATCTGAAGTCTGCTTCACACTAACCTGAAGTTGTCCAATAATATCACAACGTGTGGATATAATGAAATGGTTTTTGGTTTGGATTCATCTCGTCCTAGAGTCGACTCAACCACGCCGCTCGGGTGCACTATGAAATCTGAAATTCAACCATTGTGACTCGCTCAACCTCTTAGGCTTCTTTCTTGCAAGCAAAGCAAAGCAAAGCCTCAAGGCAAAAAACTTTGAGCTGCGTCAAACCTTGCCACAGATTCCGAGTGCGCGCGTCGGGAGGAGAGGCATTTACGAAATAGCGGCAATTAATTCAAAACCCGATACATGCTACAAAACTGCAGTCATAGAGCGCCTGTTCAAGTCTGGTGCTGTGGTTTCTACTGTAATCTGCTGTTGTTTGCAGGCTGTTGAGCATGGACCCCCCTCCTTGATACTAAGGATTTCAAGAGAGATCTCGCCATTCTTTCTCGAACATTGCTAATCCAGCGTTCATGGGGACTAAACCGTCCCACAATGACCTCACTGTAGTTAAACAGTTCCGATGTGGCCCGTCTAGTGATTAATTAATTAATCAATTTCTGTGAACAACAAACGAACACATGAATGCATTCAATGCACGGTTATACTGGAGAATAGCCGGCTCGAATCTCACAATCATGACTCCGAGAATTCCGGTACCATAGCACAAGCCTCAAACGTTGTTATGCGGTACAACTACTCCGTATCCTCAGCATAATTACCGATTCTCTACGAAGTATAATGATGTGTAGGTGTTATTCTCGCACGTCTCAACAGCCTTTGTTCACCAAGCGTTGGGTAGGTAGGCTGTGCTATCTTGGCCTGTTTGGTCACCATGTCGACATCTTCGTTGATGAACTCGGCCATCTGGGTTACTGTGCTATGATCTTGGCAGTGTCTAGTTATCAGCTGTGCCACCATGGTCTCTCTTCCCTTTGTGAAACAGCTGGCCTTCTCGCATATCATGAGTAGGTTGACTACGGGCCATCATGACTTTGGGTCCCACTATGCTTACACAACTCCTCATCAGTCTGTGCATGATGAACAATAACTCATTTCATTCAGGTGCTTACTCTCCGCCGCGCGGGTGTCTGGTCTGCTTAGTAGTGAAACGCCAGCCCGTTCTTCAGCACACAATTCTGGGAGTTCTTGGACGTGATAAACACTCCTTCATCTGGCTCGAGCGCCCACCCAGTGGCGGCGGCGCTACCAGCCCCTTAACAGAGTCCAATCTCTTTGTGCTTGAATAACAAGTCCCGACTCCAAACTGCATGTACCTGTCTCTGTGGTCCGCCGGACGGTGCCCCACAGGCATGCTGTGCTGTTCGTCTCGTTACGCATCATCAAGGTTGTACAAATCATTACCTCATCAGGGCACCCCTCGGTTTTCACACGGGCCCGGAGGACAGGGACTTGTGTGTTCACGCTCGCCAAGTGTTCTTGGGTAACATGTTTATGCGCTGCGGCATCCAGCGTCTTCGCTTTGTATCACAGTATACTACTGCTAATCAACCTGGATACACCATCGTTTGCGCTCACAGGCGGGTCGCAATAAAACCCGCACACCAGGCTGAGTTGACAGAAAAACTTAGTCAGTATTTATCATAAATCTGACAAGTTTATTTTGTCCTTATGTCTAACTTTATATGATAAAAGAGCTTCAGTGTGCCGGTTATTTTGCTACCCACCTGGCTCACAATGCCAGAATGAATGTACCGATTGCTGGTGAATCTGTCTATCTGGGCCTTCTTTGGGTTTCGACGGTGTCACACTCAGCAACCGAAACCCCGCCTGTTAAGTCATAACGTATCGTGGTTGGCTCACAAGATGGTGACTCAGTGATAGTGCCTAGCGTTTTGATGAAAGAACCGGGACGTTCTCTGGATGAGATCAAATACAACAAGATTTTCATTTCACGAACCCTGATTTGAAATAACTATTGACGAGCCATCCAAAGGGCTGTTTGCAGTGTATAAACTGAACACGTAAAACATCATGTGTGAGGATATCTGAGTCATGTTCAATCAACCCTACCCTACCCTGGACAAGAACGATGACTCTTGCTACCTATTCCTGATTTATTGCACTGCTTTTCGGTCTCTCTGGCGGTTAGATACTGGACAGGCAGCCTGCCCCACAGTGTCGAATTGTATCCCGTGCTTTTCTATTATTGTACAAGGCGAAAATTGTAAACATTGCGCGTTGCACCGCCGCCAGGGCCTCAGCTACGGTTGGATGGCTGAGTTTAGAGAATAGTAATTTTGCGTCGTAACGCACCGCAGCATCAAGCTTCTCACGGGACCTCAGTGCCAGAAGACTACGCCCACCACGCAAGCAAATGTGTTAGTTGTAGCCTGGTCTATTGTGTTCTCGGCGCTGAGGAGGTCCTCGAAGCCCCATTTCGTGAATCGTGAACTCTTGGCCCCACATTCCGACGACGGGCCGGCGACTTCGGGGCCCCGACCGCTCACGGGAATTCTCCATTATCAGTAGTGAGTATCAATGTCAATACGCGGCTGCGATGCGGCATTCAAAAAAACAATTATCACGGCTCAGATTTCTTAAGGCATCAATAAGACTGGTGATCTGCAAACTAACCAACTTCTTATCTCAACCCTACGTGTTCCAAAGTCCCCATTAAGATGGATCCCTACCCCGGCTCTCGACCTTCACCGTCAGATCTCAAAGCACGCTTAGAAGCAGCTGCCAGACTTGAAAACGTGGTTGCCTAACCCTGTTCACGTCTCGTGCATACATTGCCCTGGCTCGGATACTCCATGGCCACGCGAGGCAGTCATCAAATCACAAGTCTTTCCGCCTGCTTACCTCCTCCATGTCATCATCAGAGCACTTTGTGCCGGATCGTGGATCTCAAAACCGTGTCTGAATAGGCATCATCCGAGGAAGCCATAGGGAACGCGTTTATAGTTGGTGGCCTATCTAGGGGCGCTGAGATCAAGAAGCCGATATAGCCATACCTCTTCGGAGTGACCATGATGATCAACTTACTTACAGGCACGAGGTAGTCCTACGGCTGGGCTGTAAAATGCAAATGGAAGCCTTATCGAAGCCTACCGAATCTTCCATGATCTCCGCGTGCTGATCTCACGGAAAGCTTCACACAGGGAAACTGATCCTATTCGAATGCACATGACTGTGATGATTCATACATGCACACATTATGGGTAAATGAAGCATTCAGCCAGTATGTGTGTTCCCACGACAGCCGTAATCGCGGCATCGAAAGCTCGAAGTACCCTGTTGGCAACTGCCAATAGTCCCGTAGCCAGTTGAGCTTAAGCCCTGAAGCGAAACTCACATTAAAGTCATACCAACTTTCCATCCACCATCGAGTGAATGTCTGTGTCGTGCCCCGTACGCCCGAGTGGCCCAGAAGTGCTCTGCGTGTTCAAAGTTCAACCACCTGGGCATCCCAAAAGCGCGCAAGGGACAAATTCATGCCAGGAACACGCCACCTATGCGCACTCAGGATCAAGTGCCATTCATGCTGACAAGACAGATCGCATCTCAGATGAAGAATTTTCCGTGCCCGTCTTACGTGTGACCTGTGGGACTATGAACCGGTTGAGCCGAAAAAGCCGTGAACAGGACATCTCATTCAGTTTTCGAGATAGGTTACTCGACAACAATGCTATGGTGACATACGCGCCGAACTCAACATGCTGATTACAAGACTCGAACTACGCAAAACACATCACATCACAGTCATCAGACAATAAGCCAATTTGGCTGGCTGGAGCTTCGCAGGAAGTAGTACGAAACCATTTAATACATAATCAACACAGCTGAATAAAACGAGATCCTTTGCAACTTTTGCCCTGTGCCGCCTCAATTCCTTAGTACCAATCTCCCAGCTTCTTACCATCGGCCCATAGCAGCGAAAGAAGTTGACCATTGTTGCGGTGGTATCCACCATTGTATCAGCCGATTAACTAAGAAGCCATATAAGTGCTGGCATCAACACCCTCCTTGGGGAATTCACTAGAAATGATTAGCTAACGAACCATTCGATGACGGCAGAGTGACTTACGGAAGGGCGACTTCGAATCGCTTCTCAATCTCTTTGAGCACCTCCTGATCTTGGTCAGTGCTGACGAAGGAGATGGCCAAACCCTTGGTACCAAATCGTCCGGCACGACCAACACGGTGCAGGTAGGAGCTGGCATCGTTGGAAAGATCGTAGTTGATAGCAAGGTTGATACGCTCGATATCGATACCTCGTCCGAAGACATCAGTAGCAACACAGATTCTCTTCTTGAACTCCTTGAACTCCTTGTAACGGCGAATACTATATGGTATTAGAAACAATCCGCAAGACATGACAAGTTGAAACTTACCGCTCTTCTTGACTGACACCAGAGTGAACGGCGATGGAAGGAAAGTTGCACTCTCGGAGCAGCTTGTCGAGCTCAGTGGCACGGACGGTGCTGCGAACGAAAATGATGACCTGGTTGAACTGGAGATCATCCAGAAGTTCGTTGAGCTTGCGGTTCTTCTCCTTCTCCTCTAGCTTGATGTAGTATTGCTGAAGACCGTGGAGAGTGAGCTTGGTATCTTCGTCAACGTAGTGCTCAGTAGGGTTCTGCATGAACTTTCGGCAGATGGGCTTGACTTCTTCGGACAAGGTGGCGGAGAACATCATAACCTGCTTCTGCGGGGGAGTAGCACGGAAAACATCTTGCACATCCGTTCGCATATCTGACCTGGTTAGTATCTATGGTCGGTCAAGTACATCGAGTAGGACTTACCGGGCTGGTCAAGCATCTTGTCACACTCATCGAGGACGAAGATGCGAACGCTGCCGAGACGCAGAGCCTTGTCGCGGACGAGAGCTTTGAGACGACCAGGAGTACCCACAATGATGTGAGGGCAAGTCTCCTTGTTCTTGAGAGCCTCAACATCGTTCTTAATGGGGGTACCACCGTAGAAGACTCCAGTCTTGATGTCGGGCATGTACTTGCTGAAGCGGTTGTACTCATCACGGATCTGGTAGGCCAGCTCACGAGTGTGGCACATGACAACGACGGATACCTCTCCGTTCACAGGTTCGACCTGCTGAAGAGTGGCAAGAACGAAGACAGCAGTCTTTCCCAGACCGGACTTGGCCTGGCAGATAATGTCTCCACCGAGGAGTGCCTGGGGGATACAGGTTTGTTGGACTGTCGATTGAACCGATGTTAGAGTTTGTTTCTAAGAAGCAACGAACGACGGGTGTAATATCAAGTGTCCGTCCATCGTCGCAGCTTAGCCATTGTATATTTTCGCATTCGCCATTGACATGGTGATTCAAATGTGTGTGGTGTCAACAACGATTAGGACCCGAAGGCCAGATGGTTGCTTGGACAACACTGGCTAAGGAGCACAAAAAAGCTTTCAGTGTCCATTGAGTTTTCCTCGTTTCGCCCAGATATACAACAAGTATCCGTTGCGACAACAAATAATGTCATACCCGCTTTCGCGTGATAATAGTGACATCAAAGTTGTGGTTCCGCGGATGACCACAGCTCTCACCCGTGGTCTTGTTCCGCCCGGATGTTCGGACCGTCTCTCAGATCTATCCTTGACCGCTCCCCGACGACGACGATAACGATTGTGGAAAAGTGGCCAGTTTTGCTTGCTTGCGAGATGGACGGACGCTTGAAGGGAAGGGATGTGATGACTTAGGGTATTAGAATATCAGGACTGACCCTCCGATGGATGCTCGAAACCGCAATCGGCGATGGCGCGAAGCAACTCAGCCTTCAGGAGGAAGTCGCGGAAACCGGTCGAGTGAATACCGACGTAGCTGCCCTTCTTGTCGACATTGTTGCCGGCGGCGAGCTCGCCCTTCTTGCCGTTGGAGGTGGTAGCGGCGGTCTCGTTGCCGCCGATCTCCTCGTCGGAGTAATCGATGAGATCCTCCTCGTGAGACATGGTGACTATGCTTCGCAAGCGGCTAAATTACCGGTGAGGAAGTTGTCGCGGAAGCTGTTTACTGCAGCGAAGCTGCGATGACGAATCTGACGCGAGACGTTCGGGGGCGCGTCGCCTTGGAGTGTCGATGATGCGGCGCGGGCGTGCCACAGTAAAAGGAAAGTGATGAACGAAACAGAATAGAGATGCGAGAGTGAAGAAAATGGATCCAGAACCCAGATACTCGTTCCAAGGATAACTTGAAAGAGTCTTTGTTGAGGCTGAGAAGGGAGGTGCTAGAAGCAGGCAGGAGCAGGCAAGGTTGCCGCTGGCAGAACAGGTCCGTGCGAGGCGTATGTCACGTGATGACGTTCGATACAGTGTTAACTGGCGAGACGGGCACTGGTATATGAGAATTAAGATGACTGGAAGAACTTAACTCAACAACTACCAACCTAAAGTGTTTCTTTCTTTTCACAAATTTGATGGCGAAAGTCAAGGAACAGAGGAGCGTTCAAAACCGCATCATTTATTCCAGAGCGTCGTATCTCTATCAAGCAGCTTCATATCTTGCAAAACACCAGTCCTCAACTGGTCAAGATGCTCTATCAAAATCCTCAACAGCAGGTCGGGAGCACAGTGCTTCTGTACCAACAAAGAATGAGCAAAAAGCCATGGCAAACATGTCTCGTCAGGCCGTTTCAACCCTCCGGGCTGTGACTCAGAAAGCACAAATTCGACAAAGCCCAGCTATGAAGCAAACTATCTGCAAATTCTGCGACACTCTTCAGATTGAGGGTGCCACCTGTACATCAACCATCGAGAATGCCAGCAAAGGGGGGAGAAAGCCATGGGCTGATGTTCTGAACATTAAGTGTAAAACTTGTGGAAACGTCAAGAGATATCCAGTCAGCGCACCGAAGCAAAAGCGGAAGACTTTGCGCAGTTCTAGTTACCAAGAAGGTGCAGAAGATAGCAGCATTGAGTCCAAGGGACAGAAGTCGACAACACAGATCACACCATACGAGACACCAGACCAAACACCAGGACCTTGAACTACAACGAAAGACCCCGTAAACCACAAATTCAACAATTATGATCGTTTTCCAGCAATGTCACGACATCCGACCTTTTTTTCAGTGTCCAAGCAATCCGCGTCAGGCAGGAAATGCAACGTGGTACCTGATCCAATGTGCATTAGACCATGAGGGACCGAAGACACGAGCTGATTACTCACATGAGAGGACAATATGGCCTCCCTCGAACACCACGTTATATGGGATCGGCCCGTGAGGAGTGAGACATATCACAACACAAAAAGGCATGCTTGAGCTGCTACGAAAGTGAGCGGGCTGTACACTAGTCAAGCTGATGATGGCCCAAGTCTTTATTAGAATTGGCCGATAACAAAGATGTCGAGTCGATTAATAGAATGCGGCTCACGCCTTATTACTTAGTTTCCCGTTTGATAAATACCCATTTGATGCTTCTTTCAACCTGATGAGTAAAGTTTCACTTTCCTGGCTGCCCAGCTTCTTTGACACTTTCCTCTCCTAGCACTTTGCTTGCCGCCATAAACCTATTTATCGTTAGTCAGTGCATCTCTCAACAGCCAGCGAAGCTCATCCATAGGAAGACTTACAGCCCACCATGCCAACTGCCGAGTCCACGCATAGCCTCAGCCTGTACGCTCGTCATGCGTAATAAGTTCTCCGTGTCAGAGAGGTTGGACGATAATTGTGCGAGTTGTGAGTTAAGTTGTGCCTGTTTCGGGTTTGTGCCTGTTAGAAAGTCTGGTTTCATTTGAACAAAGTAGGGGAGCTTGTAATAGATCCGTCACGACGATCTGACAAGTACAGACAGGATAACCAGTATGGTGCTGATAGGACATGGAACACCCACGAGTTGTCTTGACTTGACAGCACTTCCGCTTGTCACCATACTCTGCCGCACTTGAGCTCCTGTCATATTGCGTGTCGACATAACTGTGGTGAATATGTTCCGTTTCCGGATTTGTAGTGATTGTGGAGAGGTGGCTCTATGTATTGTCTTTCCAGGCTCTGACAATTCCACGGATCGTGATGAACAAACAAAAGAGATCAGAGTATGTCCCCTCTGATGAGGCAAGTAGACAAGGATTAAGAAAGTAGATTCTTTTCTCAAGTTTGTGTATCCCAGAGATATAACTGGGCTTATTTTTATAGTTGATATCACAGCAGATGATTGACGGTGATGGTTTGTTTACAACTCTCTTCCCAGGCGGGAATAGTTGTTCTTAGGTGGCCCGTGCGTTGACAACCATTGGCTCAATTGCACTATTCAAGTTAGGCTGGAGCTACCTTAACGCACCTAGAAACCATCACTATCGAATCTACGATAGTCACGAAGAATAAGATACACTGCTCTTGGCTTTGGGTATAATAAACATATTCTCTAAATACGGCATCATACCAAAGAATCTCCCACGTCAATAACCTATAATGGCCCCCAATGTTAGAATGTTTCCGGATATGGAAAGCATTGCGCTGCCTGTCTATTGGGTCTGCCATCACAGCGAGTCGATTTCCAGGATCAACGAAACAACCAACTTGGCCGTTTTGTTTATCCCTAGCGGGTCATGAATCTAGTATCACGATGGTCGAATATCTCCCGAGCGTCTCCTGATGGTGATCCCTTCTGCTTCTGTGACTCTAACGTCACAAATGCCAACAGCGAATTGCTCAGCTACAGCACCAAGAAATCAACTGCAAATCAGAAGCTCGTAACTCAAAACATTCCTCGGGGCTGAAACTTGCCAAGATGCCTTTTACCAAGGCTGAGCTTTCCAAGCCTTGGGGGCGATTATCCGCCTGGCCACTGATGCTGATCAACATGCCGTCTATAATAAGATAGTACGTCCTCGGCAAATGCTGCTGTTTGATATCAAGCTTCATTGTGTATCTTGCCTATTCGTACTCCAATATGAAGACAGCTCTTTCGCTCACGGCTTTGGCCTCGTTGGCTGTCGCATCTAATACCAATCTAGACATTTTCACATCCCCAAACAAGATGAGTATTGAAGAGTGGCAGTCCCGCTTCAAGAGCTCCAACGCAACTGGAACATATGCCTTTGAAGGCTATAATGTTTCTGAACCGTCCCCAGCAAACAAGACCGTTGACGGCTGGACCGCGACTATTCGTGTAGCCAATATCACAGACGACCCGGATGCTGATCAATCTTACCCTGGCATTGATATCAGCGTCAAAGCACTCGATGGGATGAAGCTGCCAGAGCTGAATAGCAGTCAGACCAACTCTTCGAATTGGCACGTCTGTATGTCTTTCTGGACTATAGGTCGAATGGAAGATAGAACGACCAATGATGCCCAAGATGACAACGGAGACTGCAGCTCGTTCCTGTCTCAAGAATGCATTGAGGCCTTGAAAGACGCAGGAATCGCCCACTCCTGGAACGGCCGGCGTTGCGGAAATGCACCACGGCTTCCTCGAGAATGCGGCGATTATTACATACATACCAGTAGGCCCACGGAGACAGGATCTCGTAAGTCGAGCTTTAACAGTTTCTTCTGAATCATGATACTAACTTTCGATACAGTAGGGGCAAATCTTAGCTTGTTTGACGGAAGTATACTGATCAGCCAACAGGTGCACACGAACGAAGGCCAAGTAGGAATGAGCCAGAAGGACGCATATAACGGAGCTGTGCGTGGTGTCTGGACTGTCATGATTGGTTGGGGACGACAAACCAACTTCAGCTATTCCAAGGACGATGTGATGCAGCCCGCGCTTCTTTGTTTGCGTGCGAGGAATATAACGAACGGTATTGAAGATCCCAACGCTGGTGTGAGGGCGACTGTTCATGGACCTGTGGCATTGTTCGTTCATAGTTCTCCTAGTTTCAGCTTTGTTACTTTAATAGACTTCAATATGACACCCATACTGCAGCAACATCAACTGACTGTCAAGTGTTGTGAGGTTGATCACAGAGGACGTTCATCTCAAACCATAATAGCCTTCATTCGAATCGTAGGAAAGTTTCTTGATTTCATTTCATCACCATTCTCCTGCGTACTACTATTTCGTGTCTATGTATATTTCCAATAGGACTTCCTCCAACCCATGGACAAGTTTCCTATTCACATTGCACAACTTCTCGCGATGAACAGATTAACCAGAAAAAGAAACAACCATCCGTAGTCTAATTTGCTTGTGTAACACCGTCAAGAAAATAATGCCTGTCGCATTCCTTTCTGGTCTGCTATGTCCATTCGACCTTTTGTGGCATGCCCACGCAAACATCTGTGACAGCGCTTCAACTATCAAAGAAACAGAGACTTGCCCTGAGTATGCAATGCCTTTGTTCTTGCTCATCTACCTCCTAGTTTGCCACCAGCCCGTTCATTACTCGGTCCCGAATTATCTTCCTCAAGATGCTATTCAGCCTGCCTTGGGAATCCAATCCATTGACACAAGACAGTCCTGTTGTGTCGGAGAGGAGCCGAGTCTTGGGCATCTCATCAACAGGGTCTGCATCAACGAATGATCGATTATATGCTAAAAAAAAGCACCAGAACGTGACCCTGATTCCAATGCGATATTACCAACAACAGGTTACTTCTGTTTGGCCGTGCAGTATGTATGTACGAATTGTGCGGAGACCGGATTAATTAAATAAAAAAACGTTTGCGTCGAGAATAGTCCAAAGTGACTCTGACTTTTGTCGTGTCGTTGCGTGTTTTCGATGGAACTGGGGCGTATAATAAAAACAAAATGAAATGTGGTCGTCCTCGTCGAGGTGCGTGTCGTATAGTTGTTCAAGCCAGATGAATATATGTTGTACACATTGGCTCAGCGAGTCCGGCAATAAGAAGATCATTGTGCGATCCCATTTTGCCGGGTGAAAAGCATGACCGGAACTCCAGAACTGCGAAACCCATAATCCCAATCCTCTCTTAATGAACCTCATGCAGTGGTCTGCAAAGGGACCCTGAAGTTTCAAGTACCGTGTCGAATATTATCGCTGTACAGGGGCGTCCTAACGCACACCGATCGGCGGTCGTGGAGGTAAGCTACCCTGGCTACTGTTGGCGGACTGCTCGGAGTCAAATTCACCACTGCCCGCGCTGGCGCTCGCACTACCCGTCAGACTGCGAACATTCCTAGGCTTAGTTTGATGGAGGGCGCTCACCCCTATATGTTGTTCAACTTGCTGTGGCGCTACCGAGTTGCCGTGGCCAGGTGGGTGTCGAGGAACAGGCTGACGGACGCCATCAGGAGGTGATGGTCGCCCATTCATGCCGGGACCTGGGCCATAACCACCCGGTGGTGATCCTCTTCGGCTGCCGCCTCGCATAGATGGAGTGTAATTGTTTCCAGGAGATTGACTGGCGCGTCGTGGGTAGGCACCGTTCATCCCACCATGCCCTCCTAGACCGGGGCCGTACTGCATATCGTCAAGCCTTGAAGCTGTCAGTGAGTTCGCTCGAGAACCAGCGTTCATTGCTCCGCGATCAACAGATCCATATCGATCCGAAGAGCAGCTCATGAGGGGATCCTCGAGGATGTTCTCGGTTGTCATGGAGCTGTGACCGACTTGGCTAGATCGATTACGACCAAAGTTGGGTCTGAAACGGCCGCCTCGAGCAGGGGGTGGCATGTCGTCGGGGTTTCTTCGAAACTGCCCAGGGGTGGGTCCTGGAGCCTTTCGATTCTTCTTTGACGTTACGCTCATCATATCAAAATTATCTGGGTCGATCAGTGGGGCAGCCGGATTGGCAGTTGGGTCAAAGTATTCATCGTCATCGTCCTCATCTTCGTCAAACACCTGCTTGCTGTTGCGCATGGGATGAGGCCCACGACGAGGTCCTGGACCGCCAGGACCGCTATGACCTCCAGGGGGGCCAGGTGGTGGCGGTCCACGGCGCATTCGCATTTCTTGCTCGCGTAGAGCCATCTCTCGCTGTCGCAGAGCCAATTCTCGTTCTCGCATAGCAATGTCGGAAGGTTCGCCGCCACCAACGGATGTCTCGGACCCTTCAGGTATGTCGTCGTAAAGAACCAAATGAGAGAACTCTTCCAAATTGGTGTCCTCGAGTGATCCTCTCCTTGAAGGCTGACGAGATCCACCACCATTCATAGGAGGGGGATGAGGGCGACCATAGCCATTGGGAGGGCCACCATTCATCGGGGGTGGACCCCGGCGCATTCCACCTTGGCTGAAGTTGGAAGAATTTCGAGGTCGAGGCTGGCGAGGAGGCATTCCGTTGCCATTGGGAGGACCATTCATCATTGGTCGATGGCTGTTCTGAGAGGGCATCCTGGGCACGGGCGCCGCAGAAGGAGACGAAGGTGGCATGACATTTGCGTTCGGATCGCCCGGCTTTGGTCTGGTGCGGTTGACGAGGTTGAGGTTGTGAAGAATCGAGTATAGAGTCTCAATTCGAGGAAGGGTTATGTTTGACTCTCGAGCCAGTTTGACAGGAGAACCCAGGTAGGTTTCAACCTCCATAGGTCGTCGGGCAACGTAATCTTGCCACATAATACTCTCTCCGGGTGTCTTGGACATCTCAGCAATAGTCTTTTGCTTGAAGTCGGGGTCAAATTTGCAGCCATTAGAGTCGGCTAGACGAAGTAACTCGTCAATAACCTCTGAGACCATCTCCTTAACTCCAACCTTCTCAAGAAGGGCGGCATGATTTGGGGTTTCGAAGATAACGCTGATCGGATGGAACGCAATTGGGCTGCAGTACGGGTTAGTCAAGTCTTTATGAAGCACGCTGGGTACATACCCTATCACTCGTTCGTATTGTTGTTGACGAATATTTGAAGAGACTTTGCATTCCACCTGGCCAGTGCTCAAAGTCATTGCCAAAGCCTGAGCCATATCCTCTTGAATCGTTTGTGGGATATTAGTTGTATTGTTTGCAGGACCAATCCAGACATCTGCTGGACCCTTGTGCTCAAATTCGCTCTGGCCGAGTTGTGTGAGTTCGGCACCAGAAACAAGTGACAGAACCACATTGGTTGGGAATCGCTCTTCCAGGGCTGCTTCCACGCCGAGGGTATGCGTTGTATTGACGAGAATGCATGTATGCTGAGGAGTAACGACCGAGTCGATGACGGAAGCGAGATCGTATACGTCGGGCAGCGCCTTGACGCACAGTACTACATAATCGAATGGGCCGTCTCGAGCGCCGGCGGCGTCTTCAGGGTTTCGGACAACTGCAATTGATATATTAGCATACTATTATGGGTGACAGAGCCGGAAAACCATACCATGGCGAGGCTTAAATCTTTCGTTGCCAAATATCGGAGACCTTGAAACATCGGTCAGCATGTGATTCGAGTAGAAGCAGCCTTGATTCACTTACTTGAACGAGATTCCATATTGTGCCACATGCTCGTAACCAGACTTCCAAACGAGCGTCACATCGCACGCATTGGTGGCCTGGAGACGCCATGATAGAAATGCAGAGACAGGATTGCCTCCCACTGAACAAACTGACATTAGCTCGGTAACAGCCATGATGAACGGCAAGGATAAAGCGCTGCACGAGCAACCGTCCTGACGGTTGACGTAAGAATTTCAAGACAAACGAGTGAATGGTAGATGGAAAACAAAGAGAGGATGAGAGATGGTGTTAACTGATGGGGAATTGGGAGGGGCCGGCTGGTTTGAAATGACGCGACGGTTCACTTCTGGTTTCTGCGTGAACTAGCCCTAGGTATGAAGGGAGAACTGTAAGAGAAGAGACGACAAACCTGATAGAATCTTGAGCCGGGGCGATACAGGCGCCATAGTGTCTGGCGGGTCCTAATGTGGAATAGTTGCCTAGGACGGTCTGAGGGTGTAGCGGAGTGGTCTCCAACAGCGGACCCGTAGCCTCGGGGCGTATATTGGGTACCACAGCACAACGAGATCGGGAGGGATGGAAACACGTCCAAGGATAAGCTCAAGCGTCGATGATTGTCGTTATTGAGAGCAGCAAGGCGAGCGACTGGGATGGGGCGCGGGATCAACAGCGATAGCTCAGCTCAATTGTGCATGCAGCGGACTCGGGAGAAGGAAGCTATCGAATGGGAACGAGGCCGGTGAGGCGTTGTAGGCCAGAAGACGGCGGTGGAAGTGACAGCCAGCGGTAGAATTAACGAGCGACAGGGCCTAAAATCGTGGCGTAGGCGGCAGGATGGCGTGCCGGGGTGATGTACAGCGGCGTCTCGTGCGTCTGCTTGCGATAGGTAATGAAGGCAGTAAGAAGTCGACGAGCGGCCAGTAGTAGTGAGTGTGACGAGTGGGACAAGAGCTGAGATGGCCTCGATAGATGGTGCACCAAACGGGGGGTGGGAAATTATCTGGGGATTGTAGTCGGACAGACTGTAGGAGCAAGAGTGGTCTGAGCTGAGAAAGCTGCAACAAGAATCGGACCTTGATCAAGCTTAGAAATCTCACAGCGGGCGCGGATCAAGTTGCGCGGACTTGGACTTGGCTCCAGGAAATCGGTACGGGTACGGCGGACCTCCGGTTGTCGAGTCGGCCGAAGCAAAGGAAATGCACTGTAGGCTTATGTTGCCTTTGAATTAATCAGCTTTCGTGTTGACAAGAGAGATGGACACTCTCGGGTCGTTCGACTGAGCAGTGCAATGCGTGCGTGTTGTCTGTAAATGATGATATGGCCCGTGAATGATTGGGCCTCGATAAGAATTGAGGTGGCAGGGGGTGAGGCGCCGCCGAGAGTGGGGAAAAAACTCAAGTAGTGCAGTGTCTACCTGAACTGTACTTGGCAAGACAACCACTGTAATCTCTCGGGGGGCCGGGGGTCTCAAGATGCTCTGGTGAGGCTAGGCAATTTCAACAGGAGGAAAGTGAGAGGAGGCGTGTGGGATAAAGGAAAGATGCGAGTGGATGAGGGACAAGCACAGATAGGCCAAGTACCAAAAGAGGGCCGAGCTTTTTGCAAGGGACCGACCAGCAAGAACCAAGAAGCAGCAAGCAACAAGCAGTAAAGTGTCTATGTCGAGAGGAGGTATGTGGTAAAGAGGCTTAGGTGCAGGGGAAATAAGACAAGGGGGACCCTGGCTGGAGGCGGCGGCATGTACGATTTGCGGGAGTGGCTCAATCCGAGTGTAGGATGAAGAGTAAAGACGATATCATGAGCTGCCAGTGGTTGGAAGTCTCAAATTAGATGGAGGAAAAGTGTGCACGATATGTTGTGTGTATGTGATGAGATGCGAGGACGTGGTGGTGAAAAACAAAGTGCCGCCCCAACAAATGTACACCCCGTATTTGATTCTGCTGTGCCCAGAGACAAAAAAAAAATACCAATGATAGCCAAGATGGGGGATTGGTGCAGAGCAATAAAGAGAGGGGTGGGTTATGAAGGGAGAACGGGATGAGACTTTGTTGTCATGATGAGTACCCCAGGGAACAGAGCCGTTTGCTTGCTTATTGCATTAAACTCAATGGGTAAGCCGGTAAAGTAACGGAGTGTTAAACCGAAACTTTGAAAAATAAATAATCAACTTACGGATCTTTCTTTCTTTTCCTCTGCTCTCAAACTTGCTTTGTTATCCCTCTCAATAGAAAATTATTTCAACTCGAGGGTAGCCGATAGGCCAGTGGTGTGGCAGCAGTGACGAATGCTGACGAGGACGGAGGATACGGGTTTGTGGGAGCTAGCGAGGACCGGTGCGGAGCGGCTGGAAGTTGAAGACCCCAGGGCAGTGAATCGAACCAAAAACACGAAAGCTTAAGGTTGATTAAAAGATTAATATTAAACGCAGACAGCGACACGTCGTTTGTTGTATCCGTACTGAAGGGGGCGACTGATTGACTACCGCTTCCAGGTACCGTTTGAATAGCTTCGGCTGTCAATCAACTCTAATTCCAAGATATGTTTCTGTCTCGGTGTCGTCTTTGCTGGTTCAGTTGACCAAGACAGCGCTGAAGGCGTTGACCAAGTATTCGAAATTAAGCGACTGGTCCGGACGACCCAGAGTTTGAGAATGATTGATTACTCAATGATTGATTACTCAATTGTTGGTCGTTAGTCGTCGTACTCTATAAATGTTGGCCTTATTTTCGTCGCTATTTTCGGTTCGTTCGTCCGTTCAGTTTCGCCTTGTTTATCCGTTCGAGGTTGTTTGATACGTTATCGCGTTTATCCTTCGCCTGGGCTCCGCTCTCGTTTCCTTGGGTGTTGAATGTTATTCCCCGGACGCCACAGAATCCCGAACGATTAAAGATCAAAGAAAGACCGAATCTCTTGTTGGCTGCGGTCGGTCGTTAATGCAGCAAAACAGAGTTCTACAAAGATCCAAACAAGAAAAGCGAGGGAGAAGAGGACAAAGTTCGTTCAGTCAAGGGAGAGGAACGAGGGGAAACTGAATACGAAGCAAACCCCAGAAGCGAGATGTTGCCAACATGCAATCGCCTGCTTTTTGACGGGACCCTGACTCGATTGCTGTCATAGCCCGAGGCTTTGCCCTGGGCCCCTTCAACATCCGCTGTCTAAATTCCCTATCGTGATCAATACCATCACCGTGCGGCACAGGACTGCGCTGACGTTGGAGCAAACCGCAGGACGCCGCTGCGACGGGTAAAGTGCTGTACTGTAGGTATCCGGTCAATCTGTGATAATTAACCAGGTATAAAATGCAGATAGCCAGGTTCTGAAACCCCTCGATGAATCTCCTGCCACCAATCTTGCACATGCTTGATATCACGACTTTGCTGACATGTTATAGGTGTGGATTGCATCAATAACAACAGGTCACTATACAGCTCACGACGGCTCTAGTATGTGCTGCACTGCAACACCAAGCTCGCATCAAAACTCATCGAGTTGGATGGCTAATGGTAACCAAATCACATATCGACATGGGTGCCCGGCGCAACAATATATCACACTTCTCGTGTCCCGGCGATTTAAACATCGCCTTATCCAGGTGGTCAAAGTTAATAATGGAAGACAGGTACATGCACGAGATGAACCCCCTCCATATAGGGCTCCAATAACAGCAACCGGACATGACTAAATCCTCGTGTAAAGTTCAAACGTCGTGGAGCATTGCACCGCACGACGGCATCCCACATTACTGCTCACTGCGCCCCGGAGAAGCCAAGTCAAGTGTTAATGAGTGGGTAAACGGAACAATTCTCCTTTAGTGTCCCTTCCCACCAACCGGGCATTTGACATCCTCCGTCGTTATTTCGTACGTGCCCGTCTTGTCTAGTCATGTACGTACAGTTCAATGTGCTACCTCGAAAAGGAAGTGGTAAGTTCAAGTAGAAGCCATATTCAATGGAAGACGACAACCTACTCCGTAAATGAAAGATATTCAATTGGCGTTGAGTTTCGAAACATGTCAGTGCTAGCCAACTGGGTCATGCCCTGCTCGCTTCGCCCGATTTACATAAACCATAATGACCACAACAGCCTAGCATACGATAGATTGCAATGCTTCGTTTCAACGGCCGTTTCTCATTCGGGTTAGTAGTCATTTCTATCGACCGACTCCGTACAACACACCAAATATTTAGCCAGGTACGGTACAGAAAATTTCGGTCTGAACTAATTGCATCTTGACACGATGTTCAGTATGTATTATCCGTATATCCTCGTTTATTTTCTCAATTCACAGCTATGTAAGATGTAGCTCACAATCATGACCACAGTGTTACTCTACGGACAGATATGTATTCCTCATGATATCGAGTATTAGATATTTTGACTGCTCATGTCGAAGCTAGACTATAAACAGTCAAGAAGCAGTTGAGTTTTCCCTTCACCAGGCACAAACGGATCCTCCGGTTAGAAATCCCACCTTAGATACGCGTGTTCTCTGCTGTTATGCTCAATTACCAGTGCTTTCGGGGGGAACTACCTAGTCTTCCCGCAGCGCCAAGCTGAATGGAAGCCTTTAACTTGGCAGAACTTGGTTAGGCCCTGTTCTTATTGGTCTTGGCGGGAAACGTCACTGATGGAGCTTGTGAAAATGTGAGATTTTGGTCAGGAATCAGGATGTCGCTTGTCAATCCCCCAGGCTCAAGATAGAGGGCTTTTGAAGAATAGGCGCAGCACGGCCTAAATTGTCCGTTGTACCTACAAAGTACCTCCCTCCTGACAAGATCGATCGCTGATCCTGGAACACATCCCCTGTCTTGTCGCGCTGTACCTTGCAGAACGAATCCACATTCCGTCACCATCCACTAAGGAGTACGCGTCTTCGAGTGTGGTCTAAGTATTGACACGTACTGACACAAAGTAGACAAGCTTTTCTTCTTCGTTCTCTGTTGATCCCCCTCCCCTATTTTGCCCTGCTGCTGGGAGCGTAGACTGGACTGTTGTTAATGACAGATGTTCCTCCCATCAACATGGCAAGGGGGTTTTCGGCATGGGCTCGATCCTGATGAAGTCCCTCCCCCGGATGGCCCGGCAATAATACATTGCAAGGGCCTAATCAATGACGTCAGAAACAAGAGAGCCAGGCTGCTTTGGACTCTGGCCAGAACCGGTGAAATGAACATGGGACGAGTTTTTGGTTCTCAGCCTGCCAGGGTCAGAGTAGTGTGCGTTTTTCCCAACGCGCGCGCGCCACGAAGTCGCCCGCTCCTATTTTGGTGGGTAAGGCCTAGGAGCTGGGAGGCTCAGCGCTGAGCCTAAATAGGCTACTGTGCTAAAGGCGTTCCATGACTCCCCGGGAGAGACCGTTCGAACTAGCCGTGTTTAGTTCTTGCTTGACCCGTCCTGGACCGACCAGTCACGTCCTTTTCCCCTAACCTCATCGTCGATCTGCCGGCTTTACCTGGCAAATCTTTTGTTGCCGGCTACCGGCGTCAGCTTGAAGCCTTGAAGCCATCAACTGCACCGCAGCATGCAGCAGAAGAACATCCTTGATGAGCTGGCAAATATGCAGCGCCCATTGAATAGTACCATCAATATCGACGCACACCGAAACTTGGCACGGTTGCTGAGAACTTGGACACTATCCTTGCCTGGTCTCGTCAATCTGTGAAAGGAATGAATCAAAGCCTCTCCTCTCTCCCTTTTGCTTCTGATATTGGATCCATCCTCTCGGCGTCGCTTCTGCTGGCGACTGGCCCGACAAGGCCGATGTGTTCCTTGTCACTCCGGACCCGCCTTCTATCTCCTGCTGGGATCATCTGCCGCAGCTCATTTATATCACAGATCTTCTCTTTACGGATACGTGAAGCTTATTATAGACTGCGTTTCTTGTTTCCTATCGCCTCGTTGTTGGACTGCAAGTTGAGGCTGGAACGCCGTGCATTTCCATTGCCATTTCAAGGGTCCTACTCCGTCTCCAATCATGCATACCGGCTCCAGCTATTGACAGCGCAGCTGCGCTGATCTCTCTTAATAAGATGTGGATCTACAGGTTAATAAAGGACCAGCTCCGACAAATGGTCCAACCAACTCTTTCATTGCGATGTTAAAGTGTCGGGATGTTACTGTTGACATTTAAGATGATCTACGAAGAATTATACACCCATTGTTACTCTGTGTGAACCTATTGCACCCCTGCTTACACATCGCTTAAATCTTGGTTCGAAACGACGGGCTTCTTCAATATTATTGGGTACTCTGCCGCTAGTCAACAGGCACATCTTGCACATATCCTCGATAATAGAACGTCGAATATTTCATGCTGACTTCAAGAACTCAACCTTGGGCCTGGCTTGGCGGGCCAATTACTCCGGGTTAGCATGTCCTCGGCGCCTTTACTCTTAGACCATCACGCAAGGCTGAACGAAGTTGGGTATCTCTTCTTCCTTAGCGATCTTGTCCTAATTAGATAGCCCTGGTCGACGTTACGCCGGCGATGGATAGACCCAGTAGCTAGGCGAATGGAGCATGTGCTAAAATTGACATCACAGGGGAGTCGTTAGGTCGTCACCAATATTCAAGCGGGTCTCGTCATGGCATTTCTAGAATCTCGCATATTTCTGTGGATTGTCCGTGATGCCGCAGACGGGCTGGCGGGATATCAATAGGCATGGGTGTGGCTAATTATGTGTGTCTTTGAAAGCCTGTGCGTACGTGACCTTTCGTCATTACTACAAAAGTGTTCTGATGTCTAATTAGACCACCCAAAGGGGACAGGCTATTGAATCATTTGTGATAAGGTATGCAAAGATCGACATTCTTGGGCAGCTTTTGGTCGTTGACTCCTTTACCATCAATGTCACTGGTGCATACGGATACATACAAACGATTAATGACATGCCACAAGTTTACCCCTGATAACCCAGTGCAGGGTAGATAGTACGAAGACACTCAACAGGTATTATTTATTTAGTCTTGAATGTTTTCAAAGCCGATGTCGACTTGTGTTACCCTGTAGGCAAATGTTATGTGTATCAACTTGATACTGAACATACATGCCACTCGTTACGTCTTTGAAACTCATTGAAGGCGTTTGCTGCAGTTAGGTTCTGGAGATGTTATTAAACTGAAGTTGTGTTCTTTATGAGGTTTAACACATCCCATTGTCAGCGTACGAGTTGGGAACCGCCATATAGATACACCGTAAACTAGTAGCTAATATCACTGAAAGACAGGGGGTCCCTATCCCGAGGCGTCAGATTGGATGCCAAGAAGAGCCTAAGCTGTAGACAAGATGGCATCCGGCCTGTTAGAAACTCGTTGATTCATCAGCGTGGCTGCCAAGCCATAAGCCACCAAGACCCCGAGATAGAGATAAGCTGCCGTTGCACACTTCCGGGGTCTTATCGTTCAACTACGTGCGAAATGCATTTCAGCAATGCACGAGACATTGCCGTGTTTTTGAAGAGGAAGCCTCATTTGTGGTTGTACGACAGTGATATAGGTGTCACACCACTGAATCACCCGGCTGTGATCCGAAGCCCACCAATATCACGACTTGGGTCGACCGCAAAGACGAAAGATGCCGACCGATTGTTCAGCATCTGTTGTGGATAGACAATCATCGCAGTAGAGCGCCATGTAGCTGTTGGTGAGTCAACCACCAAGACACAACTACGATCATGCATGGAGTATGTAGGAGCAGCGTATACATGAGTGATAAGAACAAGCCCCGAACGTTACTGCGGCACAAAGTTCGGAAGGTTGAGCCTCGTGCATGTGAATCACAACGTGTGGACCGAACACTTGCATACCCGAAGATGTTTGTAAGAGACCTGCTGCTGTATTCCGAGCTTGCAATACAGACATGGCCTCCGCAATGGTATGAATAATGGTTCAAACAGTCCATACTGGACCATCTGTCGTATACGGTGAGATGTATGGCTTCTAAAACGTGAGTGCCAGGTTCAACTCGCGCCATGTATCGTGTTCTTGCCTATGACCGGGCATAACACCATGGTCACCAACGGAACGTGGTGGTGGTGGTTGGCACCATATATAAATAGGCTGAAGATTTAACATGTATTCGAGCTAATCAAGAAGATACACTGGAGACTAGGCATTGAGAGAATGTATATAAGAACTTGTTCTAATCACGACTAGCTTTCGCATGAAGCTTGAACTCTGACGAGTAGTCGAAGCCAGGCACAACGCCTGAAAATGCCCGTACTGGGAATATATATATACATACGTAAGGTAAACACTATTATTATTTTGCTCCTATATGTCTCGTCTACAAACATGTCATACAGGAGAAGAGTACCACTCCGAGCCTCATCCATAAAAGGACTACACACTCGTCGAATATGATCCCGGGGTTGTACAGCATGTCTACCGGTGTCACTGATCTAGACCTAGAGTGTTGCACAGAAACTTCCCTACTTTGTCAACCATGATTGGAGCTAATAGTAATCGATGGTAAGTTACTGGGAACTACTTGATGGACATTGCCAGTTCAATGGCATTGAGCTAAACACTGCTCATATAAATCACTACAGCACATAATGTATACCTAAACAAGGCATCATGCTGCGGATGAGAAGAACGGCCATTAGGCTCTGAGGGAGCAAAATTTTTTCTGGAAGTGAGTATTTAGTCCAATTAAGAACCTCAGTATATAGTGACCGCACTTGGCCTCTCTATTGTGAACTTAACTTTGGGTTCTGTTGCCCCAAACATTACATTGTACAGCATAAAGGGATAGTCTTCCAAGGCTACTCAGAGTCAGTGTACCAGAGAAAGAGACCGGTAGTGACCATGCATCGTTGTCGTCGGACTGCCGAAAACCCTCAAGTATATTGAGTCATGATTTGTGAAGAGTTCTGGTTCTTACAACCCTGAAACAAAAGAGGTTCGTGCGCAATACTTAAGAAAAACACATCCTCTATTTTTGAAATGAATGGCTTTTGACTCAAGGGTAGGCACAGATAAATACAAAGCTTCCTCGTTCTGCTCGCCCTGAATGTTTAAAGGATATGCGCAACTAACATATTCTGATGCCCTTCGGCAGTGAAATAGCCCGACGAGATTGGGTATAAGTCACTAGCCAGACGCCAGTTTAACTCCGAATTTCATAATGACCATACCGGCATCATCTCCATTTGGTCTGAGAACGTCTGTGGCAATTCTCCAGCACATTCTCCTTGCTAGTGACTGACGGGCCGCCACAGGTAGGTCAATTGTGTAGCGACCAATGCAAAGCTACAATCACGCAGATCTTCTGAATGTCTACAAACAATAGACGTCATGGCACAAGTGCTAAAGGAAATAAAAATTAGTTTCGGTTGATGATAGTTGATACTTATGACCATACCTATGCCGTGAGAAGAGCGCCAAGGGAGGTGGTGCCCATCAATCTGCCCATATCACGCAGCTGATCAGGTTACATGGAACCCTCTATTCACCGGTTGGAACAGTAGATAGGGCGATGATGCTGAACTCAAGATTGCCATCGGCAACCTTGGTGAATCTCTTGACGGTGGCCTCTAGAGCATTTTCGCTAAGGAGATCATCACCTTCATCCAACACACCGCGATCAACCGGCCCACCCCATCCACCCTCGAGATCATATAGATGCCCATCTGCACCCTTGACAAAACTGATGAAGTGATAGCCGGATGGTTCCTGGCTCGAAGGAGCTGCAGTGTCGCCTGTCACTGCAGCAGCCATGTGTGCTTTCTCAAGCTCGACAGAGTTGTAAAGAAAGTCTGCTCGTGGAAGGGGCTTGAGGTCTTGTGTCTCCTTGAGAATCTTTTCGAGTTCAGAGCCTGGGTTTATGAATTCTTTGGCTGTGCCGTTGCTCACACTATGGAGGAGAGCGATGAGACCGCAAGCGTGTCCGATAGTCTGCCTGTACCACACAACCGGCTCATCTGGACCAGAGCCATCGTATGTCAGTTCTTTGGAACCTGGGTCGCTCTCACGAACACGAGCCCACATGGGCGCAGGACTGATGAAAACCAGAGCATGGACCGGTCGAGGAATCATGGCTAGCAACTCAGGCTCGTCGACGCTGTAGACATCGTAGAAACCAAGCTTCTCAGACACTCCAAGGCTGTGGATGAGCTTGTTGAAGACTTCGGGGTTATTCTCGAGAGGAATGAACGTTTTCCTCCCGTCCTTGTTGATGGATACTCCTGGAGTGTTCGACATGATGTTGATGGTCTGGATTGTGAATTGTAGGACGTAGGGCGCAGTGGAATGCTTACCCCGCGGTTGTTGTTTAGGTAGTGAAAGGATTAGTTGATCGTCGTTGATTGGAGTGTGAAGGAACAAATGCTTGCGTTGAAGCTAGGCAGGCAACAGAGTATGCGTCACCTATGCACTTGCATTCCTCCTTTTATGTCAACTAACCTTAGTACTGGCATCGTTAAGCTACGTATGCTTGTCTTATAGGGAGTTGAAGGTATGTCTGTATGTATTATGTAGTAGATAGGTAGTCATGTTGTTGAATAGAGATACGTTACCTAATCGCTATTACTATGCGTATTGATACTCATTGTTTGGTATGCCCAGTCAACGAGATCGTGACAGTGAATCTATAACACAATTAGACGATTTATAAGTTTGGCTAGGTTCATCTATGAAATCGTTTCTTCTGCGTGATTCAGTCAAAATTTGCACTCATGACTTGTAATGTATAAATTCAAGAATATTAGAAACTACCACGTAAGCTTCTGTAAACGTCACATATGAGTAGGCGATACTTAAGGAAGACCTCATCGCCAACTGAGTACAGGAAACAGCCGGAAATATACATGGGACTGTACCCCACCCATAATTGTAGGGAAATATTGCCTTCAAAATCCGTGTTACGGTTAATTAGTATTTTTGAATGGTATTGATTTCGAATACAGTGATACTAAGTAGAAGTGCCCATTGGTCACTTTTGAAAAGATGTCGGTTGAGATTCTGTTTAACGAAATTCCGCGTCTAATAGATTCGCACCAATGTATGATGCACTTTTCAATCCGTCTTCCGACGAACAAAAGAACCCAACTAACCTAGGCAATGGTTCCTTGTGAGTTAGCAGCCGCATGTTAAGGAATGATAAAATACGTGTCAATGTCGTCGGCAGAAATTTCATGAGCCTCGAGTGGGCTGATCAAACGTTCCAACATTTCTGGTTGCAGCGTGAGCCGAGCATTACAAAAGTTCGCCACGTGACATAGATGATCAGAGATGAATGGAACCATCACTCCGTTTACAAAGGACCTTTTGCTGGAACTTGCTTTTAGAGCATCGAGTGGAACGAGTAAATTGAGAGCCAATCTCCAGATACTGTCATTTCATCTTGGATCGGGTAAGCTGGGGAGAACGTGTTGACAATGTAAGCACTGAGGAGACATCATCAGACCCCGTGGCCGGCGGATGCCGTACACCTTCAATTTGGTATTCCAGAAATACTCCAAAACTGGGATGCAAATACCGACAGGACGAGTAGGTTGGTGCCGTCAAGTATATTTGGACCCTGGATTTATCAAGAATTACCAGTAACCAGACGACCATTGCTTGCCATTGACAGTCTAATTGACAGCCGGTGGTGCCGTTTATGACAAAAGTGCTAGGCTGGGGATGGAGTTGTGAAGCTGGCACATACCCGCAACTGAATTCTCACACTTACCACGGTTATCTTGTGGGCCGAGGCTAACCCCGGAGAGGCTGGAGATAAGCAGCGCTCTGAAGGTTTCTAACGCCATCGTAGCTTGCGCTCATTGGATGAGTGAAGATAGCACAATGGCGTGCCAATGCTCGATGTGACATGGGCGTCCTGGGCACGCTGGGCTATCATCACGACGGCTAAACGCTCAGCCAAAATCAACAGCCACCGGAGGTTTCCAGTGCCGAAGCCGTTACAAAGAGCTGGTATCTCTGCAGCTGCCGCTTGAGAAATACAGCAAGTCAACTCGAACATGAATCTAGCGAATGATTTTTACTGGCACGTTTGAACAAAAGGTCCGAATCTTACGACTCTGAGAGGTCACAGAGGAACCATTCGCCATTGGAAACTCTGCAGTCGACAAGGCCCTGGAGAGAGTCTATGCCCAATCAAGAAGGTGACCCCGTTTCTAGTGTGCCGTTGCCCGCGATAGGAGAGTACAGAAGCTGCACTACGGCTCAAGTCATCTAGCACCGGGTCCTGATAAGAGTGTGAAAATCGTTCTTCGCGGGGAGCGACCCTTTCTCCTCAGGCCTTCCCTGTCTTGTCCTTGCGGCTGAGATCCCCCAGTCACAGTCTGTATAACCACACCAGTAGAGCAGCAGCCGCTGTCGGCTTCCTCTTTTGCTTCAACATCGCCTCACAACACCAAAAGATAAAGTCACCAAGGCTGTTGTTGCTGTCGCTGTCGCTGCCATAGCGGGCTTCAACCCACGAGTCGCCCTCGGTTCGCTGTCGCTGTCGCTGTAAGCATCCATTCCTCGACTCGAGGATATCAATCGCCATGGCGCCGTCTCTCTTTCGCAAGCGCCACGAGGCCGAGGACATTATTCCTATCCCAGGCCCCCTCGAGACCGTCTCGGCCTCTGGTCGCGATTATCTCGAGAACCTTCAACAGTTCGAGAAATCCCACAAGTTCGACCCTAATATGCCCATCGATGATCTTACAGATGTCGACGCCGCTATCGCGACTGGAAATGCCGAGAAGGGGATTGAAATTGAGCACGCGCTCATGGAGGACAACAGTCCCTATCCTGAGGTCCGATCTGTTGTCCGAAACTACGATGTCGATGTTCCCGCCAACACCATTCGCGCCTGGACCATCGGTTTGATTCTATGCACCATCGGCTCTGGCGTCAACATGCTCTTCTCGTTGCGAAACCCCAGTGTCACAGTCACTACCTATGTTGTCCAGCTCGTCGCCTATCCTATGGGCCTCGGCTGGGATCTGGTCATGCCCAACCGCGAGTGGAACTTGTTTGGCCTCAAGTTCAATCTCAAACCTGGAAAATTCAATTACAAGGAACATGTGGTAATTGTTGCTATGTCCAATGTAAGATCAGCTCCCTTGCTTTCCACCTAAATCGGGACTAACTCTGTACCAAGGCTGCCTATGGTGGCGGCGTTCTTTATGCTACTGATGTGCTTCTTGCTCAAGAGGTCTTCTACGGCCAGAAGTTTGGCTGGGCTTTCCAGATCCTGTTTGGCATCACTACACTCTGCACTGGCTACGGATTGGCTGGTCTGGCCCGTCGCTTCTTGGTCTGGCCAGCCGCCATGATCTGGCCCACCGACTTGGTCAATTGCGCCTTGTTTTACACGCTCCACGACCATTCTGGCTCAGACCCCACCAAAACCAACGGCTGGAAGGTGGGTCGATACAGATGGTTCTTGATTGTGGGATGTGGAGGATTTATCTGGTACTGGTTCCCAGGTTGGATCTTCAAGGGCCTCTCCTACTTCACCTGGGTTTGCTGGCTTGCGCCTCATAACGTCACTGTCAACAAGATCTTTGGTGGCATGACTGGTTATGGCTTGATGCCCACCTCCTTTGACTGGACCGTGTACAGCGGTTATCTTCAGTCCCCCCTGATCCCGCCTTTCCACGCTATTGCCAACGTTCTCGTTGGTATCGTTGTCTTCTTCATCTGCATATCAATGGGTATCCATTTCACCGGCACCTGGTACGCGGATTATTTCCCGGTTCAGTCATCCGAGTCCTACGACAACACAGGCGCCATCTACAATGTCTCGAGGATTCTTGACAGCAACTTCCATTTCAACGAAACAGCATACAAGGAGTACTCGCCACTCTTCCTGCCAACACAGTTTGCGCTTTCATATGGATTGTCCTTTGCTGCTGTTACAGCTGTCGTCGTACATGTTGTACTCTACCATGGACACGAGATCTGGAGACAATTCAAGCTCGCCCGTAATCAGGAGGATGACGTTCACATGCGCTTGATGAAGAAGTACCGAGATGCAGAGGATTGGTGGTATGCTGGTAAGTCAGGTCTTTCACAAAATTCAACTGAACGATACTAATCGTACTTAGCTCTTTTCATCGTTATGGTAGCCATCTCTATTGGTGTTATTGCTGGCTGGCCAACTGGTTTCCCAGTCTGGGCGTATTTCATCTGCCTTCTCATTCCCGTCTTGTGGCTGATCCCTATCGGTGTCATCCAGGCCATCACTAACATTCAACTTGGCCTCAACGTTCTCACCGAGTTCATCATTGGCTACATGGTTCCTGGTCGTCCTATGGCCATGATGATGTTCAAGAACTATGGTTACATCTGCATGGGCCAGGCACTCTACTTTGCCCAGGATCTCAAGCTTGGCCATTACATGAAGGTTCCTCCCCGAGTCATGTTCTCGTCGCAACTGGTTGCATCTATCTGGTCAGCTATTGTGCAGATATGTGTGATGAACTGGGCCTTGGGACACATCCCTGACGTTTGTTCCATTGACCAGCCCAACAACTACACTTGTCCAGGTGGCCGTGTCTTCTACACAGCATCTGTCATCTGGGGAGCCATTGGCCCGGCCCGCATTTTCAGTCATGGTGCAATTTACTCATCTCTTCAGTGGTTCTGGCTAGTCGGTGCTATCACACCTATTATCACATGGCTTCTTGCGCGGAAGTGGCCTCGCTCAATCTGGCGATATGTCAGCACCCCCCTTATTTATGGTGGTGCTGGTATGCTGCCTCCAGCTTCCGTCTACATCTACCTATGCTGGGGTTTAGTGGGTACCTTCTTCAACCGCTTCGTCAAGAGGAGATACACTGGTTGGTGGCTCCAGTACAACTACGTCACCTCGGCAGCTCTGGATTGTGGTCTTATCATGTCAACCATGGTGATCTTCTTCACACTGTATTTGACGAGTGCATCTCCTCCAAACTGGTGGGGAAACTATGGTGCCCTGGAGACGATGGATTGGAAAACTCATGCAGTTTCCAAGTCAGTCCCGAAAGGATCCTTCATCGGACCTGATACCTGGAACTGAGAAGTGAAAGCTGTAAATTGTAGTATAAGATATGAATATGAGTGAGCTATGTCGGGGAAGGAGGAATTTGGGTTGATGAGATTTAAAGGCGTCATGGTCTGGGACTATTGTTTGGAAAGGGTTCTTCTTATTATGTGCGAGATACCTCAATGATGATTAATGCTCATAAACCCTCAGCCTGTCTTTGTGATGATTGGAAATATGAATTCAGTTCTGTCTATATCAATGGGCCTCGAACTTAACCATAAAAGCAGTCCCAGTGGTGTACTTCATATCAACCAATGAGGTCCACCTCGCATATGCAAACCAGTTCCACCGTTCCTGCCACTAAGAGCAAAAATGCACCATCGTTTGCCCCAGTCACGTGTACCACTGTTCCGGCAATCACATGATCAGCTGAGCCCGCCCACACCTTCCCGTTTCTTAGGGTTGTAAATTCGCACTCCGCCAAAAAAGGTCTCCCAAATTGAGAATTTCTCGATCGCCATCCAACTAACCGCCCAAACACCACAGCCAAGATGAGTACGTTGCCGCCCGTCAGCTGCTCGCGAAACCGACAGCAGATGATTCCCTCGAAAGGGTTTCTGTAGTTCTTGCTAATGCGTCTCAACAGCGAAGGGTACCTCCAGTTTCGGTAAGCGTCACAACAAGACGCACACCTTGTGCCGACGATGTGGTTAGTTCTTCTGCCCTCTTGTCTCTCTGTCCAGGCATTCTTCGATTCGCGCAAAGGATATTCGAATAAGAAAAGAAAAAAAAACCGACAACAATGAACGATTGCGAGACTCGAGGAATGTCTGGGTTGCGGAGCTTGGAATGATATCCAAACGGACGGAAATACTGATGAGGCTCTAATAGGTCGCCGATCTCTTCACATCCAGAAGCATGAGTGCTCTTCTTGCGGTTACCCTTCTGCCAAGATCCGCAAGTGTACGTGAACACCTTACCAAACATGCGTCGACGAACCCGATATCGAAAAACTCGACGCTCTTTGAGAATGCAGTACTGACCAATCCTCACAGACAACTGGTCCGAGAAGGCTAAGCGAAGAAAGACCGTCGGTACCGGCCGAACTCGCTACCTCAAGGATGTGTCCCGACGATTCAAGAACGGCTTCCAGACTGGTCAGCCCAAGGGCGCCCGAGGCGCTACTGGCGAGAAGGCCTAAACGGGGACCGCATCCCATCTGACCCCCTTTCACCACCTCTCCGGCCCTGCCCCTCTTCTACCACGGACGTTTGGAACACCCCCGCTCCCTCGAGAACGCACAACAAAAATGACGGCTCATAGCGTGAGCTGAGACCGAAGGGGAATCTGGTTGGAACCGGAGCCAGGGTGGTGACCGGGAAGGGCGGTTGTGTTTGTTGGTTCGTGGGTGAAAGGGGATCTTAAGGGGCGGCTTGGAGCATGGGCACGGTGTTTTACATGTTTGAGCAAGGAAGTAAAAAAAAAGAACCCTTTTGCTCTTCTGAGATTCCATAGGGTTTCGGTTACGAGGTTCTGAAATGGCATCTTGATTCTGCATGAACGTGCCGATGGCCAGATATACGTGAGGAAACCCTGGGCGACGATGCTCGTATTGGTAATTGACGCCCTTGTGCATGATACCCATGAAGACAGTCCTGGCTTGTTCAAGCCAATGTGCTGGTAAACGCTTGCCGTTGTGACTGGTAGATTGTCAGTTTATCATAATACTGGCAACTCGTAATCTTGATATCATTCTTCTATCTCATTTCGTTATGTTCCCCTTTCAAATACTTTAACACCACCGTCCGCAACAACATGGTACAGATACTCAGTAGCACCACCCATGCCCTCAACTCCAGGTCCCGTAATGCGCAGCACACCACTTACGTCCCTCGCCGTCCCTGTATCCAACATACGTAACGCCAACACTGCGTCAGCTGCATGTGCTGTTGAGAGGACAAGACTGGCATGTTCCCGCTCAAGCGCCGTTGCTTGGGCAGCAACGAGAGGCGTATCGGCGGAGAGGGTGAGGACTGTGCTGTGGACAAGCTGTGAGGTATTTAGCGAACATGACACTACTGAGTATTCTGAGTCGAGGCAACTTACACTGCGGAGACCAAGAACAAGGTTTTGGAGCGTGAGGCTTGTGGTTGACTCATCAGTGACTGCGAGGAGAGTATCGAGTTGGTCGATGATGAGAACTTTGCGCGAAGCACGCAAATCTCCAAGAGCACCCTCTATTTCCTTCTTGATGTCTGCAGGACTGGTACTTCTAAGAAACCTTTCTTTACGAGCGCCTGGTGCTTGAGGGCTGGCATCGCTGTAGAGTCCTGTGAGGCCATCTATGTATGTGAAGCGTCCTGCTCTGTTGAGCGCAACTAGATCCAGGCCCTTATATGCGTTAGCTTTTAAACTCTCACCAAGAAACAGTCGTATTGCTTGAGACAATAGGCGACTCACCAGCTTTGTAGACCCCTCTCTCCAAAAAGCACCGTCTCTCATGAAGCTGACGAGCACAACGCCCGTGTCCTTGGCGCTCTCATCTCCATCTGCGGTGCCTCGCAGGTAAGAATACACATGTCGCAGAACCAGCCAGTTCGAGCTGGCGCCGAGCACACTGGTGACGAGACCGAGAGAACCTTCTGAGGGAAGAGCTAGATATGGCTCTAGAAGATGAGGTATCCGTGATGTGGAAGCCATATTTTCTGTGCTGGGCCAATGGAGGTTGTTGGGTCGATATTGAAGATTTTGAGGGTTTCAACACTGTGTGAGAGGCGCCAGAGTGGAGCGCACGGCAAGTATTGCGATTAGTATGTGTTATCCGGACTCATGGGCCCAAATTGTAGTATCTCCTTATCATATTTGTTATGGCATGGTTATTTGATACTATTATAGTAAGACCGCGAGATTTAGATTCGAATTATGGAAAAATTGTTCTATGTTTTACCGTACCTTGTCGTATGTGGAAGTCATACATCTCAATCCTAGAGACCCAGGTTGCGAGCTCAGCATCGAGTACAGAGTAGTATCTCTATAAGCTCTTCTCAAATGTGTTTTACTTAGTATCAATAATGTGAATTCGAACTCCTGATTAATGTAGCTAGATGGAAGATCGAACTATTTACTATGTGCTCATCGTTCATCAAACTTAATGGAGGGTGTAACCATAAATTGTCCATCGCTTAACCTCGTCCTTTATAATAACAGGTCAATAATTCACATCTATAACCTATTACATGTATCTCCTGCATTATAAAAGAAACTTTAAATCTTCTCACCAGTATTCTTGGGCTTAAAAAGTCAGGTGCAAGATCCGAAAGGGTTTGCAATGAAGTCATGTTGCCCAGCTCTGACTTGAAGTCGCTTACTGAGGACCTGGACACATCCGACTGGAGATGTCACTTACTTAACTTTTTTTAAACACAGTTGTTAACCCTTAATATAACACTTGGAACAAATACGACGCAGAAGCTTTACAGCCGAAAGCCTGGCCTCGGACATCTCGAGTAATACCAGACCTGAACAGTAACGATAGCTTCGTATCTTCGACGTGTTGCTATTTACAGTTAACATTGTGAGTAAAAAAAATGATATGGTAACTCAAGGAGTTTGCTCGTGACAGATCGAACTCCAAAGAAAGCTTCCACCCGCAGCACCAATTCCTCTGGCTTTTTCTGATCAGAATGGCGGAGCTTCTCACGCCAGCAGACCGTTAACATATACTAATGTGCAAGGGTATCAAGAAATTGGTTCTCTTGCCCATCGTCGATGTTTAGATTGGCAGTGATCAACTCGGAATATGCCAAAGTTCAATAAAAAAAAAGCACTCTACGCTCTGCATGTTACTCCTTCGAGATGTCCCATTCTCTCTCAAAGAGGTGTCCAGGTGTGCATGGTGAGGAAGGATTACACGAATATGCAGGAGCCAGGATGTCGGAATTGTTATAGCAGGGTTCAGATTGAGTTGTCAATAAGCTAATCGGGTAGTATCATCATTGCTACCACTCAGCGAATCTTGACAACCATGTTGGGCTCTGGTAGATCACCGATCCGAACTTTGTTAGGCTAGGCTTCCGTCATATATGCCGGTGTGTTATGTTTCAAGTAAAGCATAGACTATTCAAGTAACGAGTGGTCTTTTATGATGCTACTATGCCAGCTCACCTTGCTCCATTGCATTACATCCTCTTATCCGGATTCATAACACCAAGTTCATCGACTGTAGATCACGACAGACTAGCACTTGGGATAGATGAAAAGTAGCCGGTGAAGTGATGCTATAAATTTAATTTGATCTTGAATGGCTGCGCCAGCCGGCTCGTATTGGATTATATCAGACATCAACAGTTCTCGTGGGGAATGGTTTCGGTTAACAAACATTCCACAAATACCTGGCCAAGGGAAATAATGGGGACAGATTGCCAAAACTCTAGGATACAGGTATTTGAGAGATTTAACCGGTAAACCTGTCAAGAAATTAATGCATACTGCCATTTCTTCTGTAGACACCCTGATAACAGGGGTGCATGGTAAAAATATCGAGGCTAAGGTAGCACCAACCCAGTTCTTCCAATGCTTGAGTTGAACAAATCAAGGCTAGGTAGTTCATGTCGTTCAATTAAGGACATGTAGCTGTTTGGAGATTACCTAAGGTATGTACGAGATGTGTTATACACAAGGGTAGATTCGATATTATTTGCCAAACAAACCTCCAAAAAGTGACGAACTACCGCCTCCTCCGCGTCCTCCATGCCTTCTGGCCTCAGTTCGAATCCATTCTTTCAAAAACTCTCTATCAGCGAGCTTCCTAGCATCAGATATCTTAGTCATGGTCTGTGCCTCCCCAGCGTCAAAGCTCAGAAGCGTGGGAATGCTGGTGATCATGTAAGTCATGGCCAGGCTAGGGTTTCCAGACATGATATCTGGCGAATCAAACTCGACGGTAACGAGGGACACTCCGCCTTCTTCCTCGCCTACGCCAGACTCGACAAGATCACGGATCAGAGGGCTGACGACTTTGCAGGTCGAGCACCAGGAGGCGGTCCAGAGAGTCAGCAGGGGAGTGCGGGAAGAGGTTGAAAGAGAGAGGTAGGTTGAGAAGGAGTCATTATTGCGGACACTAGCTGGCGGTCAACAACAAAGCTATCTCTAGACGCTCGGCATAAACGAGATAATGAAAGCGATCGGCGAAAGAAAGGGTTGTAGGGAGAGGGGCATGTGCGGGGACATGTGATCTGCCAAAAGACGAAGGAGTAGGAGTTTGACTTACGGGGAATATATCTGGTTCTTGGCTTGTCGCGGTGTGGTTGATGATATGGAGGCTCGTTGAGCTTGGGCTAAGCGAGGCAGAGACTTGCCAATGAGAGGACGGAGTCCAGCACGTAGAGGGGCTGTATGCATTGTCGTCTCTTAATTATATATTATTTTGACAGGAGAATAGTAGGATATTGCACAAAAAGACGAATGTGATATATAACGGACGATTCAACGTCAATAATGCATGGGGTTGATGGGTGGCAGTCTGCAGAGTTTGGATGGAGGTAAGACAGGGTAAGAAGTAAGACACCCAGCTAGAAATGATGTAATGGGTGCTATCTCTCCCCCAGCCTCCAGGCATGTCAGTGGAGACTCAGGCAGGACCCTTCAGCAGGGCGGGGGTGTTAAGCGAGATGGGCCAGTAAGAGGCCTGTAAGAATACATCGCAGCCCGCACGGGACGCCGTTTAAACAGCATAAGTCGGTCACGCGTGCAGCATCTACACAACTGAAACCTGGTTTACCCTTGGAATATAAGGAAACAAAAAGTTACGGACGATAGTTAGTTGTGGGCGCTGCCGCCGTTTCCGCTTTACTGTCACCAGGCCCAGAGCTCCAACGGCGGTTGGAGTGGAGATGAGCCCGGTGATCCTCCATTAACCTTACTCGTGTTAGAACTCAAAGCGCCAGAACGTGTTAACGTGGGAGAGCGTTGACGATCAACTACCTAGACTCTGGATCTTGGCTCTGGCTGACTCTGGCTTTGATCCCTTATCTAGCTGGACCCCATACATCGTATTTATAACAAACCGTCCTGCTCGAGCCTTGCCTTTTTCTTTGCTGTGTCATTTCTCATCGCGAGTTTGAGCGAGTCTTTTGCTCTTTGTTTTCTTATTTCAGACGTTCAGTTGACGACTCGCGCCACTCCACATTTTTTGGACCTTGATGCCTTCCGTTGTTTTGTTGTTCTACTAACCACGGCCTCTCCGTTCTCGCCATACCTGCTCTTCTGCCATCTACACCCAAGTTACATACGCCTTCAAGTCACCTAGAAACATCATCTTCAGTCTTGTCCTGCTTCATCCTTCATCAACCCTGTCTTCCTAGAACTCCAGAGTTTTGTGTCGGCAATTCTCCATATTTCGTACCCATCATCGAAATATGTGCATCTATTAAACCCATGGTATTATCTATCAAGGTTTATCCCTACGATCCACCACCATTCCACCCAGCTCGCCTTTATTTACCGGCCGAAAACGCCAAATTTCAAACCCTTTCTGTGTTTGGTTTTTGACTTGCAAAGCCATTCACCATGGCCTCAGAGAAACCCAATGTCCCGAAGTGGCGGCGCTTTCTGGGCGCTGGCTCAACGGCCTCTAACTCGGATGAACCATCTGGTCCGTCCAAATGGAGTATGGGAGTCTTGAACGACAAAAAGACCATTGAAGTCCCAGGTTAGTTCGAAATTTCTGCTCCTTAACACTCGAATGGCAAGACTGACTATATCACAGGCTCCGTACTTCTACTTGCTGCTCACCGCAATGAACCGCTTGGTCTGCGAAATGTCCATGCAAGAACCTCCCATTCATCTATTCCCGCTGGTTTTCCTGTTGACAGTCGACGAGCATCGGTTTCGTCAGCCGCGGCAGCGGCGGCGGCAGCAGCTGTAGTAGCAGAGACTCGAGCTCCCGCGCCAGAGACTGATGACAAGAAGAAGACAAGCGACGGCGCAATCATCTTGGAGCCTCAGCCCGAGGAATCCAAAAATGACCCCTTGAACTGGCCCTCTTGGAAGCGAGATGTCGCTCTCTTGTCTCTTGGCTTCTACTGCATGATCGGAGGCGGCACTACTCCCGTTGTAGCTGCTGGTTTCACCGACATCGCAGAAACATACAATGTAGACGTCGAGAGAGTGGCTCTGACCACCGGTCTCTACATGATGGGCATGGGCATCGGCTCAGTCATATTCTCACCAACCGCTATCCTTTTTGGTAAGCGCCCAGTATATTTGGGCAGCGCCATCATGTTCATCGCTACGTCGCTTTGGGCCGCATGGTCTCCTAGCTTCAACTCCCTCTTGATCGCCAGAATCTTCCAGGGTTTTGCTGTCAGCCCTGTCGAATGTCTCCCATCAGCCACAATTGCCGAAATCTTCTTCCTCCACGAGCGAGCTTACCGTATCGGCATTTACACTCTTCTTTTGCTTGGTGGCAAAAACCTTGTCCCACTTGTCAGTGCAGTTATTATTGGCAGTCTCGGATGGCGCTGGGTCTTCTGGATCTTGGCCATGATCATTGCCCTGGGCGGTGTGCTTCTTTTCTTGTTTGTCCCAGAGACCTTTTGGGATCGAACCCCCCACCCGAAACCCAGACACCCGTCCAAGAGGCCGAGTTTCCTCCGTCGACTCTCATCTCGCCATAGGGTTCACCAGACTGGAGCGGAAGCACTATTTGAGGGAGAACAGGGAGAGCATTTAGTTCAAGCAGTTCCCCCTCAAGATGGACGTCAGTCGCCAGCTTCTCTTCATAGAGGAAGGGATCTCCATGTAGGCTTTGCTGGCCCTGACACTGCTACCGAAGAGCCCGTAGCTCCTCAAGCAGTGCATCCCTCTAACCGAGACACATCCACTCCCACCGATTTCCATAGCACAACTGGAAGCGAGTCCTTCAAGTTAGGGCCCAACCTTGAGAACGAGAAAGTGGACGCCTCGAAGCTTCAAGGCCCGCCGAAAATCCAGGCCTACACTCATCAACTTCGTCAACAGCCCCCCAAATCGTTTACACAACAGCTTAGGCCCTGGCATGGACGTCTCAACCACGATAGTTGGTTCAAGGTCATGATCCGACCGTTCATTCTCTTCGCATACCCTGCTGTTCTATGGTCATCTGCCGTTTATGCTTGCTCTGTAGGTTGGCTGATCGTCATCTCTGAGTCGATAGCCATGATTTATCGCGACCGAGAATCTTACAATTTCACTGCTCTCCAGACGGGCCTTGTTTACATCTCGCCATTTATCGGTGGTATTCTGGGAACTGGTGTGGCGGGCAAGGTCAGCGACATCATCGTCAAGATAATGTCTAGACATAACGGTGGCCTCTACGAGCCCGAGTTCCGTCTTGTTATGGCCCTGCCTATTCTCATCACCACATGCATAGGACTCATGGGTTTCGGGTGGTCCGCAGAGGAGAAGGACCATTGGATGGTCCCTACCTTCTTCTTCGGAGTTGTCTCATTTGGATGTTCGCTTGGCTCGACGACAGCCATTACATTTTGCGTGGACAGCTACCGTCAATATGCTGGAGAGGCTTTAGTGACACTCAACTTCTCCAAAAATATTCTGCACGGGCTTGTTTTTAGTCTTTTTGTTACACATTGGCTACATGGTGAAGGCCCCAGGATGGTATTCGTTTGGATCGGTATCATTCAGTTACTGTTGATGTTGTTCACGATTCCCATGTACATATATGGAAAGAGGGCTCGCATGTGGACGGTTCGCGCGAACCTGATGGAGAAGTTCTGATTATACATTGTCATTGCTTGGAGTTTTAACGCATCAGGGGTATGCGCATAGGGTCATATTGCCTCATCGTTCGTTATTACGGCATACAGGAGTTACGGTTTTTGTTGTTACTTGCATCTTACAGTCCTGCACGCAAGTGTCATAGCATCGATCATTATAGCATTGCATGGTTGGGATTTCAGCATTATAGCATTTGATAGAATGTTAGCATTCAGAACAGATATTGCATATTCTTTCATCAATCTTAAGAGCAACGATCCGTTTCTATGATCCAGCTTCACGCGATTGCTACAACAAACACATGGATTAGTTACGAGTGAGATCATTGGCGAATGATTAGAAAATTGTATACAAGCAAAGTGATAAATCTAGTAAGAACTTCCTGTCTAGATGGTGTTCTAGCCCAGCCATTGGGTGTGTGTATAGCAAACAACGCGCATGGAAACATGTGAATCTGACGTAGCCCTGCAAGTATATCGGCACATTGAACTCATCAGGTGATATCGCGACGAATTGGCGTTTTAGGGATATCTTCTCCGGCGCGTCAAGGATGCAGTCGAGGATCAGAGTGCAAGACGCCCTCACTGCTGAATGCCGTGAGCTACCTTGTGGAGATTGCAGATAAAAGCTACACATTTTATAGCTAATATTCAAAGTCGAGTACGACCCTATCTAGTTGTGAGAACAAAAACAAGCCATGCAAATCAAACCGTACACAAAGTAGCGTATTGTGAAAGCGTGCTATAGTTCGACAGGTCCCAGACTTTCTGCGTGGAAACTCTCCTGATGTCGAGTGCCGACATTATGCAGACAGTACAACACTGTTCACGAGTTTTACTTGGTTTGACTTCAAGGATATCATGATTCAATCATTTCCTATTGTTTTATGTAAAAGATGCTCCTCTGTCGTTAATGGTATATATCATGCGCCGTATGCAAATATCCGTTCCATGCTCATCCAAAGACATCAGATCTAACGCCTTGTCCTTTGATATACATTTCGAATTGTATCTCTTCTTTATACAGTGATTCAAGTGTTCGTTGTCTTGTTTCTTGCTGACCTCGGTGTGATCATCTGTGACCTTTCCTTCACACTTGTGCCACAGAAATTTTATATCATGATTCGTAGTTTTTCGTTGAAATGGAGAGCGAAGGCACGTCAAAGGACGATACTGGGTTTACATGAGGACACAGTCGCCCTCTTGCTTCGTCTCCATCTTGCTACGTGAGATGCGCTCACGCTGGCGCCCGTTCTTGCCCGCGCCGCGTTTGAGGTCCTCTAAACGTTCTCGAGCCTTAGGGAAGTCCTGAGCTGCAAATGATTATTAGTTTCCTGCTGTGTTTATCACCAGTTCTGTTGTACTTACCAGCTGCTCGCCAATACCAACGCTTCGCGTCCTCAAGGTTGGCTGGAACGCCGATACCAACCTCCGTGAAGTAACCCATGGCATATTCAGCCTTAGCAAGGCCTGCAACGGCTGCTTTGCGCGCCCAAAGGTATGCTTCAGTGTCACTCTGTCCTAGCACGCCTTCGCTGCCCGTCAAGTACCAACCGCTAAGCGCAAGCTCAGCTTGGTGCTCTTCCTGCGTTGCTGCTCTCGAGTACCACTGGATGGACTGACGAGGATCGATTGGGCAGCCCAACAATCCATACTCGAAGGCACACCCAAGTCGATACTGTGAGAACTTGTATCCTAGATCAGCAGCTTGAAGGAACAGACTGTAGGCATATGCTTCATCTCGGATGATAGCATCGTTCGGTTGTGCTGATTCGTATAACAAGCCCATTTCGTGAAGCGCATGCGGATTGTCCGCATCTGCTCGTTCTGCCGCTCGCTTCAACCACCCTACTGCTTCTCTGGGGTTTCTAGGCTGGCCAAGAAGACCCTTCAACAAAATCATTCCAACTTTGTACATCGCAGGAGGATCACCCAGAGTTGCGGCGCGCTTGTACCACTGAATTGCCTTCATCGGGTCCTTACGTGTGCCGCCTCCATCTTCATGACCAATTTCACAGCAAACCGCAGTTCGGTAAGCTGCCGCAGGATGCCCGAGCTTTGCTGCAGACTGATATTGAGTGAAAGCCTCCTTGTAATCGCCTTCGCCAAAAAGACCTCTTCCGAGACAATCTGCCAGCAGGAACATAGCATCTGGGTTCTGAGCGTTTGCAAGTTTCTTGAGAATCTTATGGCAGTCAATCAGATAACGTTCGCGTGCCCTTGTACGCTGCTTGGGGTCTGGCATTCTGGGGGCCAAGACTTCGGCAGCTTCGATCAATTTCTTGGCTAGTTTCAATGCAGACGCCTGATCACTCGAGTTGGTTTTGATAAGCATTCTCAGATGTTCCAGTTGTTGAGTCGTAACAGGGCCTTCACCTACGGCAGGCTGCTGTGGAACATTGCGAGGCGGTGACCGTTGCGGTTGAGGTTGCTGTTGATACTGAGGTTGCTGTTGTGGCTCGGGCTGTGGCCGATATTGGGCTTGGGATTGTGGTGCTGGTGCTGGTGCTGGTGTAGAGGCGCCATAGTTTCTGACGGGAGCTGGCTTATTACCCATTTGAATCATCGAATCTTGCATCAGACCTGGGCGGATTGGTGCAGGGTGTGAAGGAAGACCATCCGGGCTCACCGGTCCTCCAGCACGCGAGCCATTCATTGTCATCGTTGCTGGCGCACTCGGCTGTCTATGGGGCATCTGGTTGTAGTTTTGCTCATAACCAGCCTGGTAATTGCTGGTTGGTGGAAGTGAAGGAACTGGAGGGACCGCAGGAACATCAGGCACATCGCCGGCCATCTCGAACACGGCTGCTTGAGGTTGACGAAGCATCGGTTGCGACTTGGCATGGTTGAGTACAGCCGTTTGGTGGGCTACGCGCTGTGGCTGTTCATTGCTTGGACGCATCGACTGTTCGAAAGAATCGCGCTGTCCCGGAGCTGGCGCCGCGGCAAAGTCGGGCAAACTTGTTCGATTCTGCTGGGACTGTGGTCCATAATCTTGATTGCTGTTTCGTGAATTATCGAAATAGGCATCGTATACTTCATCGTATGAAGCTGTTTGCGGCTTTTGATATGCACTTCGATCATCATATTCACCATTGTAATGACCAACCGGGCCACCTTGCGCACCAGCTGTGTATGACCTTTGAGGGGGTAGCCGGTGTCCGCCAGCAGTCGAAGGTCGTTGAGGTATCCCCCGGCCAGCGGGAGTACTAGATTGCATGGTATCAATCCGTTGAGGCGGCGGCATATTTCTTGTTCTCATCTCATCCACTGGCATTGTTTGGCTTCGTGACGGTGGACCGAACCCACCCGCAGGCGGTTCCTGGGGGCTTTGATATCTATCATCAAAATTTCCGTAACCACCTTGAGCGCCATAGTTCGGATTCTGTCGTGAGGGGTCCCCTTGAGGGTGGCCTCTTGGGGGATGTCCACGCCCTCCATTTTCTGGTCGTCGTCCATAATCGCCCTGGCTGCGTGGTGTTTCGATACTGCTGCGTCCATTCGGTGTCACCACTGGCCTTTGGTTCATATCCATGCGTGACATCTTTTCGGCCATATGCTGTTCATAATTCATATCCGGCCTCCGTCCACGGTCTTGTGGCGGGTACTGATGCCCAAAATTACCGTCTCGAGGGCTCATCGGAGGTGTGTTCATATGGTGTCGCCGGGCTTTAAGTAACATGGTCAGTCGAGTAGCTTGACAGAGCACGCTGGAGACTCACCTGCAGGGTCCGAGTTGGCAGCAAACGGTGCTGGGCGCATAGCACCTTGCATATGATGCCCATTTGGCATGACTCGGTCCGGTTGTGGGCGTCGCTGTTGGCCGCGGTGCGGATCAGCTGTCTGAGGACGAGAAATAGGACCTCCACGAGGGCCAGGCATCGGATGTCCGCCACGTCCGTACGGGTCCTGCGGTGGTGGCCCTCTTCCATAACCATTATCCTGGTGTTGTGCTGCATATTCTTGCCCAGAGCCCCCGTTGTAGTTATCATACCCATAGCCTCCTTGGTTCTCGTTATAATGTTGTGGTGCACCATATTGCTGTGGTGGCGCGCCGGCATGCTGTCGCGGGGCAGGCCCGCGGCCCCCGTACGGTCGCTGTTGGCCGCCGTAACCTACTTCGTAATCCATGGGGATAGTTCGTCGGCTGGTGATCAGAACAAGTGTTGTTTTCTTTTAGATACCGTTATCGACCTGTAATCAGAGCAAAATATTATTCCAAAATATCGGTCGGCGCAGAATCAGCGTAATTGCTGTCGCATGGCGTGCCGCAACTATAGCAACTGAGTTTCCGACAAGTGCGGGATCGGCGGTCCAGATCGTAGAACTACCGCCAGAGAAGGATGACAGTTTTCGATTATCCTAACCACCGAGAGGATTGTTGAGGGATGCAAAAAGGATAATTAAGGTCTTGAGTCAGCGGACAGTAATAGAAGGATAGTGACAAGCTGGCTGAAGAACTGGCGGCGTTTATGGCATATGATACTAGAAACGACGGTGGTGACAAGTGCGCGAAAGGAATGCAGGATAACTTCAACTTGCAGCAGCTGTCTCTTGAGGACAGGTAAAATATGCCTTTCAAGCGGCGCAAATTGCAAGCGGACGGAGGATTCCCTTTATGTTTGGCTCTTCCGAAACGGAACCCCAGAGCAGACGGGAGCTTCAAGGTCAGGTTGCCTCCAACGTGACCGGTTGGTTTACATCCGCCCATTCAAGCAGGTGAGCTGGTACCCCCCGCCAGTAGAATTCATCTTCTTCAATGGAAGCTTGTGGGGCGAGGGCGCTAAATCTCCAGTGGCTTGTCGGCTAGGCGTGTTACCTCTAGTGGAGATGCCCAGCAGTCCAGGTTAGTACCTTGCTGCATGCGGGTGGTACCTTACTTGAAGCCCAACCCCTGCCAGCGGAAGAAAATGTGAGACTGCAGGGCTAAAGGGGCATTAATGCTGCCATGGGCCTTTTTTACAAGTCCTTTGTTATTAGGTAGTTTTAGCCCTGTCACAAACCCGCTAAGCGACTCTGCATCAAGGAGCTTCCAGGCAAAGCGAGACATGGGATAGACTAACGGTCAAATCATGTCGTCACATTCAAGAGAATGTCTCTCGCGCATAACTGCGAACAGTGAGCCATCCTTGGGCCCATTCCAACGGTTTAGAGACATGGCGCTTCGCCGCTGCCGGCTTGGCTTACAACCGCCAACCGACACTGCATAACTTATTGTGGCTCAACCTAGCCCCTGGCTGCCTGGCTGCTTGGCCACAGAGAAAGACGTTGTGAGTGCCGTCCTCGGATGATGAAGGCTCCGCAGGGTTCCAGGTACTAACTTAACAATGATCGCTTCAAACAAAGCTTTGTTGTGTATCACAATGCCCGTGTCCCCTCGTCATATCTCAGTGGCATATTACCATACGGATACTACGTGGTAGGATTCAGTTGCCCACTCTTCCAGTGCGAATAGGAGGACAAATGGCCCTTTCCTACAGGAATTGGCTTCAAAGTCGAAACAAATCAATATTAGGTAGTTAAAGCAAGTGGCTCCTGTGTACTCTGTATGGGCGCCGTGTCTAGGTACTTTCTTGACAGAGCCCTGGTACACAGCCCTAACCACTGTTCCTCGCATAACATCATCGGTGGATCTAGCCAAGACAGAGGGTTTCCTGTCATGAACGGCTTTATGGCGTCGCCAAGGAGTTGACGGAGGATTGTGGCGGACTGGAGGTTAATTGGCGCTAGATAGGACTCAGGAGATATTTCGATACCCGTGCGTAAGACGTTGCAGACGGATATGTAGGCTGTACGGATATACATGTTCGCGCTTGCTTAGTGCTTGCTTGCATACCTGGATCTTGACGTCAAAGAGATCGTATTTGACACTCTTGGCGGAGGCTGAGGGCTTCGCAAGGTGATGCTCCTGGGTCAGCATGTAGTCAATGTACTGTACATCGTTGTCTGAGCGAGCGTGTAGATCCGACCGACTGCGCCGGAGATTTATTCGCCTGCCATAGCCTCTGGGGATGTGATTTGTCGAGCAAGCGTCCAAGCCAGCTTCAGATATCAGCCAGTCAGAAGTCGTGGATGGTTTTTTTCGGGAAGAGGAGCTTTTGCCACTTTTCAGACGTTCGAGACGAGAATAGAATTCCATTCTGTGGAAAGCCGAAACATTGTTGTCAGCCAAACAGATAATCAGCTCAGATGAGCCTGACACACCGTGTCTCACAAAAAAGCCATCCAAAGATCGCCAATCATCGTTGTGAAGGTCCGTGACAGCACACAATAAATCGACTTTACGCAGTAACAACCGTGTCGGATTTTGCGAGTTGTGTATTATTTGTCCAGAATTGCAGTCCATACCGTGCATTCAATAGGAATGCTGCGCCAGCCCACGAGATGATACAAGACTTCATACATACCAGTACCTCATTAACCTTAATTAGTGACCATATTAAGGTCAGGAGTAGTTGTTTCATCTATCATATGAGTGATGATAAGCTTAACGAGGCTTGTATTGGTACTCAGATTAAGTCGTTAGCAGATATATATAAAGAAACCTATATAAGCATGGTGCCATGAATTAGTGTAACTTTCAGCTGACCTCTTACACCCGATGTCTTCTGATCTCCCCTATCCAGCATAGAGTTTCTTAGTGGTGTTGATGGAAATGTCCAAGTATCATCGGGCTCGGGACAAGACTAGCTCCGCGACCGCCTTCCCTTTTAGATTCCTTACCAATGAGCAGCATACTGCCAAATCAATGACGGATGCAGAATCGTGAAAATCAGCATTGGAAGAATCGCAGCCCAGTCCAATTCAATCGCAATAGCAGCTCACTTTGCAAAATATAATCGCTATTAAAGCTCGCATCTATCATTTATTACAATGGCAGCTAAGCAGCCGTCTTCGAGATGGTGGTTCTGGACCAAGGTTGTGTTTGGGTAAGTCTATTGCGATCATATATGACCGCCCGAACCCAGGCTAATAGGCTCATACAGTGGTGCTGTGGTTGCAGTTGGCGGACCGGCTTTTACTATGTGGTTAACTCCCACTGAGGAAGAACTTCGATCGAGATACAACCCCGAGCTGCTCAAGAAAAGTCTGGAGAACCGCGAGGAGAAACAACAAGAGTTTGACGATTTTGTGACCCGGTTGAAGGCATATTCCAAGTCAGACAAGCCAAGTATGTCTGACCAGCTCTGTCGATTCTATAAAATCAAGCATTAACCTGTCACTAGTTTGGGTTGTGGTAAAGGAGGAAGAGGAGCGAAAGCGAACCGCAGCAGCTGCTGCCGCAAAGGCTTCAAAGATGGAGACTGTCAGTCGACGAGAAGAGATGAGGAGAGAGGCGGGCTTGGATACAAAGTAAACTTCCCAAGAGGCCATATTTACTGAATACCCGGTTGTGCTTGTAAGAGTATGGGATACGATGAAAGGGCGGCTTATGTACAACAACTGAGATATAGGGAACTAGTTGCAGGGTAGGGAAGTTATTCGGAGTTCTTAGGGCCAATACATAATTGCTTTTATTCAGATTATACATGCTCAATCGTGTCTTTATGCTCGCTCATGATTTCCTTGAGAGCTTGAATTGAGCAACGGGCTGCCATGTTTGGCTCACTCATCCAAATCAGTTATTGATAAAGCAGAAATTTGGTGCAGATTGAGGAATCAGATCAGTGGCGGGGTCAATTGACAACCAAACTTAACCTCCCCGTACGTAACTGGGCTTTCAAGAATTCACACAAATACTCATTTCCTAAAAGCTTGAATACCGAAATGCTCGTTCTCAAACTGCATTCCACATGCCAGTACCTCCAATGCAGCGGATGTACTACCTGTGCCAGCTCGCAAATTACCCCACGAACACTGTCCGAGGCTCTGAGCCGCCTGCAACCTGCAACCTGCAACGTCACGGGCAAAATCGATAGTGCAAGGTCAAAGGGCGGAGCACGCACCCAAGAGCCCCTCCCACTCCCACTCCCCCCCTCGGCGAAATGGTAGTTCCACAGGCGAAAACTCTTGGCACGCACAAAATCTACTTTGATTCAACACCACTGATTCGAAGCCGACGGCGACAAACAGCTAATTACCCAAGCCTAACTTACTGGTACGTTGCCCAACCCGCGCAAACACGAATTTACGAGCAACATTGCTTCCAACAATCGATTTATTCCGTCCGAAATCCGCCTCGACTGACCAGTTTTGTCCCAGTTTCGATCGAGTCCCCCGATCCCCCGCAATTCAATTTCGCCCATCATGTCCAGCGCCGAAGTCCAAGAACGCCTCAAGAAGCTCGGCCTGAGCGCCCGAACTGGTACGTGACCTATTTTTGCGCATATTTTCTAGTTTATCTCCGAGGTGAGAGCAATGGACTGACTTTACAATATAGGGTATGTTATGCGCATAGGACGAGGCTTATAAGCCGTCACTACCACACCACCGACCATCGCAGCTAACGGGACGACTTAGTGGAAAGGGTACCCCTCGCCGAAAGGTCAAGCGCGCACCTGCCCGCTCCGGCGCCGACGACAAGAAGCTTCAGCTCGCCCTTAAGAAGCTGAACACTCAGCCCATCCAGGCTATCGAGGAGGTCAACATGTTCAAGCAGGACGGAAACGTCATCCACTTCGCTGCCCCCAAGGGTTAGTCATCCCACTTTTGGTATTGTGCGTGGGGCTTTTGGTGTATACTGACATGTTCCTCCTTCACTTCAACAGTTCACGCCGCTGTCCCCTCCAACACCTTCGCCATCTACGGTAACGGCGAGGACAAGGAGCTCACCGAGCTTGTCCCTGGTATCCTCAACCAGCTCGGCCCCGACTCTCTTGCTTCCCTCCGCAAGCTCGCCGAGAGCTACCAGAACCTCCAGAAGGAGAAGGGCGAGGACGATGATGAGATCCCCGATCTCGTTGAGGGCGAGAACTTCGAGAACGAGCCCAAGGTCGAGTAAATTTCCTCAACACACTCAAAGGGCTAAGGGGCAGTAAAATCGTAGGTCTGTTCGGCCAGGAGGCTGGCCAGTTTCTCCTACGAGACGGGTTTTATGTTTCCCTCTGGTAATGGGTGGAGAGTCGTAAAAGTCACTTCCCCAGCTCTCTTAGCCGAGTAGCTGAGGAGTAGCTAAGTACGGGTGCGCAAAAGGCCACAGCTTGGGAATGTCGCGGTGGAACGGCGATTTTTATGCGGGCTGAGGTTGATTGATCTGTACAAACAAACAAAAAAATACGACTTACATCGGGAGAAATACCAATCTCTAATGATGTCAATGATTGCTATGTTCTTCTAGTTGAAAATCCGATCCTCCGTCATTCCTGATCCACCCTGCCAGCGCCGTCTCACGAGCATTGTCCTTAACCTGCTGTCTGTGAGTCGTCAGCTGTCCCTCTTTGAAATCGCGATAGGTCCCAGATGCTAGGCCGATCGCCGTTGCATAGTATGGTTCGCCAAGTCTACCGGTGAGGTTACTTGCTGCCTCCCACATGCTCCGCCTCGAAGTGCGACTTGCTCCATTGGTCTTAAACGCTTTCCGACCTTGAATAACCCCCCCGATGATATTCTCTTCGAAACCTGAAAGTGACCATATTGCTGCTAGATTGCTAGCCGAGATCTTATCAGCTCTAGCTTTCACAGCTCTTTTTGAGAACTGGAATTCTAGGTCCGTGGTCACAACTGAAAATTCCCTGAATGAGTAACCTCCTGGCCACTCGATGCCGACCAATGATTTCATCCGACCTTTGGCTGAAAATGAGCGTTGACAGGCGATTTCAGAGTGTTGAGATTTGGGTAAGATCAAGGTGTGGATGTATGCATTGGCCGGATCGACGAAAAGTGAAGTGATGGACGAAAGAAGCGAGGTACACTGCTTAAGTGCAAGTTTGTCAGAGCAAGATTTGGATAACGTAGGCGGTGCATCTCCTCGGGCAGGTTTCCGTCGAACAATTCCAGTTCGTGAGAAACAAGCTCGTCCCAGCAGAGACAGTTCCTCATCTGGACCTGGAGAAATGCTCATGGGAGTTGGGGTTTCCCATGCAGAAGCATCTCTTTGGGCAGCCATCGTGAGCTCCATGCTGGCGTCGCCACCTGCTTTTGTCAGGAGATGAACAGTTATACTCTGATAAAAACGTACATGGTGCTTCTGAGCAGTACATATGCAGTTTTATGTCGTCTTTGATCTCGAACAACTGCAAAGAGGCTCCATCGGTGTTGGATGTATGCCTTTTTCTCTGCAAAATGTTCAACTCATCTTCTCCGTCGAGCAGACTTTGACACTCGTCAACTAGGAACCGATTGAATGCTCTGATTGCTAGAACCTCGGCATGCCAATCATGGATCCCTACACCATTAGATTGTGCGATTTTCGAGGCTGGAAGGCATTTCATGCCAGTACTACGGTAACTGGGATTAGAATTGGTACCTAAGCATGAGAACCTGGACATACTTACGCCAGTGCTATGCACGTCAGAACACCATCCTTTTCAGCGACGATACCACTCAATGGAACCCATTCATGGAGGCAATTATCGCGAACAGCAGGTTTTCGTTTTGAAGGTAATTTGTGGAACTGCTGCAATACTACATGTGCAATCAGATCTGTCTGGGACGTCATCTAGCCATACCCAGCGTGTTTCAGTACCAAATAAATACAAATACTAAGAGAAGGAAAAAAGGATTTCGCTATAGGTCAATACGATGGTGGTGTAAGTGAAGCTGAGCCTCCTCCAGCGGGTTCCCCCGACAATTCTCCGGGCCCAGTGGAAGGAGCAGCTCAGGGTGGACTGCACGTGATAGCTAGTTCAGCACGGATTAGCGTCACGCCTGCCCTAGATCGCTTAGTCAGTAGACACACAATTCGTGAAATTGACTGCAGTCACGACCGACCGACCCTCAACTCTACATTTGCCATCGCCAATCCACGGTCAACTACACAACACCTTGTCGCCTTTAACGCACAACCAGCGACAAGATGCGAACCTACGAGGACACCTTCTCCGGCGCGAGAATTTACCCTGGCAAGGTACGCTCCCTCCTGCCGTTACCCCGTTGATGCGATCCGGTCGATTATCGAGATGCGAAATTCACAGTCGCTGGAGAGGGATGATGACGATGGATCGCATGGACGAGGCATAACCTGGTGGTGATGATTCAAAGGATATCAAAAGGCTAACGGGTATCGCTTCACAGGGTAAGCTCTACGTCCGTGGCGACAGCAAGATCTTCCGATTCCAGAACGGCAAGTCGGAGTCTCTTTTCCTGCAAAGGAAGAACCCCCGCCGTATCGCATGGACCGTCCTCTACCGCCGACAGCACCGCAAGGGTATCTCTGAGGTATGCATTAACCAAATGCCAGTAGTAGTAGCAGCCGCTGCTGCTGCTGCTGGCCTTCCGTCGATTACCCCTCTATAACAGAGCTGACACATTCTATAGGAGGTTGCCAAGAAGCGAACCCGCCGCACTGTCAAGGCCCAGCGAGGCATCGTTGGTGCTTCTCTCGACGTGATCAAGGAGAAGCGCAACATCCGACCCGAGGCCCGTTCCGCTGCCCGAGCCCAGGCCATCAAGGAGAGCAAGGAGAAGAAGCAGGCCGACGCTGCTGCCAAGAAGTCTGAGAAGGCTAAGCTCGCTGCCCAGGCCTCCAAGGGCCAGGCTACCCGACAAGTCAGCAAGCAGGGTGCCAAGGGCTCTGCCCCCAAGGTTCAGGCCAAGACCCGTTAAATTAGGAATGAACTTTGAGTGAGGTTGAAAATGGGAGAGTGGAGTCCGTGGTTCTTGTGTCTTTGTCCGGCCGGTTCTTCTACAATCTCGGGAGCATGGATTGCCAATAGGGTGCATTGATAGTTGAGCAATGCAAATGGTCAAACAAACAACGCATCTGATTCATGCTGTGACGAACAAGGGGCATATACCATTATGTGGTGGCTGGGTAAATAACTCACGGCGTCATTCAGAATACTAGCAACTTAGCTTGTTATAGATAACGACACAATGCCTCATGACACACAAGTAGACTTCACGGCCAACGTTTCAGACCAATATGGTGTCCTAGTGCTCCTAGAAACTTGTCCTTATATATATATTGTCATTACATTTATTCGTCTATATTCTATCTTCATTACTTTTGTGCAACTTCAATCCGATTACAGGTGAGCCAGGACACCCTGGGCACCAGAAGCCTCAATGCTCTTGGTGTCCTCGTCCTTGGAAGCGTAGACAATCTTGCCGTTGTCAATGGCGATGGCGTAACGGCCAGTTCGCTCACCAAGGCTCCAGCCGATGCTGGTGGAGAACTTGGCACCACCATCGGTCATGAAGAGCTGAGCTTGTTAGTTCGGATTCCTCCTTGGTTCGGGGTATAATAAACTTACAATTGAGTCGTCGTGGATACCGTTGGCCTTGGCCCAACCGCTCATGACAAAGGGATCGTTGTAGGCAATAACGATGACATTGTCAACACCCTTGGCCTTGAGCTTGTCAATGTTCTCAAGGTAAGATGGGACGTGGGAGGCACTGCAGGTAGGTGTGAAAGCACCAGGAACAGAGACAAGGACGACCTTCTTGTTCTTGAATTCTGTGGTGAGTTAGTATGGTGAGCGGCGATAAAAGTTGAGAATTGCATACCCTGGCTGGCGTTGTAGGCGATGGGAGTACCGCAAGTAGAGAACTCGGAAATCTCAGGAGAGGGAGGGATGTAGGTGAAGAAGACACCCTCGGGGAAGTTATCGCCAACCTTGAGCTCAGACATGTTTGCTGTGGGTGTAGATTGTGGGGTTGTGTTTGGTTGATAGAGAGGGACGTTTGGAGGCTGTTGTGACACGAGGAAGAGGAATGGGATTCAATTCAGTTTGAGGAAACTTGTCGAAGATATAGCAGCCCGTTGTTCTTTCCTCCGGCAGCTGAATCACGCCGCTCTTTCCTTGAGGCACCCTAATGGCAAGCTCCCCGCCCCCGCCGCCTTCCTCAACCGTTCACCTTCTCGGAGAGTGGTCGGAGAACACGACGGCATTGGCGTAAAGAGGGTCCCCTATGAGGTCAGTGAAGGCCTGTGGGCATCCTCGGGAGGCGGTCGCCGCGGTCGACGCGGGCACGGTGGAACCGCTATCGGCCACTCATGCCGCACTGGTGTTAAGACGCGGAGTGCATTGAGTGGAAACAGGGTCCTCGCCAGGGTACATTTGGAATCATGTTGAGTCTATTAATGTGCTCTACGGAGAATTTACTTCGATACAACGTATCGAAACGTGACATTCTTGCTGCGATCACTTTCACGATGTTGTGTAAGAGATGAGAGGCTCGGCGTCAGCCTCGGTATGCGAGATACTAACCTAACCCACCGAGCATTTGTCATCCAGTGCGGAATCTGATTAGAATGTCGACATCAAGGCATCGCCGTTGAAGAAGCTTTCGGATATTTATGAATCAATTTAGTGCGAGCTAGATAATGATCCGAACAATCACCTTGCCACATATGCAACCGATCCGTACAACACAGTTGTGTTTCCATCAAGCGCCGATTGCTCTGTTCGCCTATTGTTGGGTCTACCGTGAAATGCAAAACAAGTCAGGGGAACTGAGTCGCGGTCGAGTTGCCTCGTTCTTATTAACAAACGGCTATGCTTCATGGCGAAAACCACAAGGATGAATACTTGATGCAATTGATGACTGGAGAAGCAGAACACTGACTTGCCAGTATCGCCGGTGGGATCGGAGCCGCCTGAGTGTAGATACAGAGAGTCAATGAACGACCCCGAACGCCGAATGATCAACCACTCAGTCGGCGATTAGGAACACTATAATAAACAGTATCTATATATCCCGTTTAATACCTCATATAATCCATGGGTTTGATGGCAATGTATTATTCAAGTACACTATTTTGAAGAAAAGCTACCCTATAGCCGTATGCTGAGAAGTCCGGTGCATTCCTGTTAAAGTCGGGAGCCTCTATATGGTTGAGCAAAATGTGATGCAACCTGTGTAGATGTTTCGTCTTGTATGTTCTACACGAATCTATTAGTAACTTCATGATAAGCCTTATTCGTAATGTATTCCCACAGGAAGTTGAAGAGAGAGTTGATACTATGTTCTCTATGTAGTGTACCATGATGATTGGCATATACAAATTCCCAGGTTACCAATTGCAATGCGTGAGGGAAAAGCGACAGGGGTCCTCCATAATATATATCCCAGACCAAGATAGTAAGCTTTTGCCCTATCTTCATGTTAGAACCTGTGAAAAAGACCTCTACCAATCAGTGTAAAGTGCAATTGAATCACATATTGAACGGAACACGGACCGAAGCGCCCCGAGCGGGGGAACATGTTGCATGCATGGCCTGATAGCATCGATCAGATATTGGAGTTCGAGAGAAACATTGATCAAAATACAGAGCAAACATGGCAGAACCAAGCTCTAAAGAACCGGCAACTGCGTCAGGTACTCCTCTCTTATCTACACTGATACTATATGATACTGACTTGTACTCTAGACGGCGAGCCATGGACAGTCGAGAAAGTATTAGGCGGCAATGATCTAGTCCATTCATCCAACTCACCAATCTCATTCTTCCATCTTCTCGGCCTTCTCAAAACTACCAAGCGTGAGGGCTGGAAGAGACATGGAATCGAGTAAGCTCTGTCCTGTATGCCAGTATGGAGATAGAGACTTATAACATATTAGCCCCGAGTCGGTTGCGGATCATTCATATCGAATGGGCATGATAGCCATGTTTGCACCACAGGGCCTGGATCAAGCAAAGTGCATGAAGATGTGTCTTGTCCACGACATTGCCGAATCTGCCGTGGGCGACATCACCCCGTTCAGCGGAGTGTCCAGGACCGAGAAAGGCAGAAGAGAGGCTCTGACCATTGACTACATAGCCACTCGCTGGTCTGGTTCACACACAACTGAGATCCACGAACTCTGGCACGAATTCGAGGCCGGCGAGACCCCGGAGGCTCAGTTTGCTCAGGACATTGACAAGATCGAGCTCCTCTTGCAAGCGGTGGAGTACGAGAGGACCAGCGACACTCAACGAGACCTGGGTGAGTTTATGGGAGTCGCGCGTAAACTCCGCTCTGAAGCTGGGAAGACATGGGCGGATGAGATTCTAGGTGAGAGGGAGAAGTTTTGGGAGGGGCGACAGCATTTGAGAGGAGAGCATGCTGAGAAGGGAGGTCTTTCTGCAGAGATGACAAAGGCACATGATGCGTATTATGGATAGATTACGGTATTGATTTATTGAGAATCATGCAATATGATCTTTTAAGATAACATGGGCCGTCGAAACATGGTTATCCTAAAGCAATGAGAACAGTACTCCAGAAGAAGCTATATGGGTATAAGTGAAATCACACCCGCCTTTGGCCAGCAGACAGATTGAGTTTGATCTCGAGATTGGACCCGATTTATGCGAGATAGAATAAGCAAACACCGATTTTAATTGCTTCTTAACATAGCTTCAGTATTCTTTTTGTTTGCATGTTTTATTAAACCATCAGCTGAGATACGGCCTGCATCTCCCCGGCGCGTCTATGCTTTTCTAGCAAACATCAGCATAGAGCAGGGGGACACAGTACGAGATATTATCTTGATTACGAGATAAGTTGATTGAGCTTTATGCTGCTGCAGAAAAAGCATCTTTTCCAATGATTGACGTTGTGCGGCTGTCAACGCCAGTGAGCTATCAGTTATCAATATCAATCACGGTTATCACGGTCCATTTCAAGGCAAGGGGGGATCGTCTTGAGCTGTTTAAGCTCCATGCAGCTCCTTAGTCTTAAGCCAACCACAATTGTCCCAGTGCAACCCTCCATCATCAAACAACAATTTCCCTTGCGTCACCATTACAGAGACTCTCCAGCTACCGGTTTTTACATGCTGTTGCCCTGCCGCCCTACCTTTGTTGAAGAACACAGAAGTTGTCTTGTCTTGGATAGTATTTAGGCTGTGGCGTTGAATACTATGCTCGTGACTCAGTCCGTTAAGGCTTCGTAGACGCCGAAAAGCAATTAATGCTAGTTACATTCCGAAACATTATTCTTTTTTGGAAACAAAGAATTGTTTACAGCCACGGACGGGATAAGTGCCCTGTTTGGGCTGGCTCAGTTACATACGTAGTTGTCTGCGCTGATCCCCCAGATTACCGAATCTCGGTGACAAGGAGTGCGGGGCTGCAGAACCCATGCGCATGCGCGATCTAACTTTAGGCGCCGGCCCACTGAGATCGATTTGCCAAGCGTCAAGGACTTAGTACCTAATCAGCTAAGGTCTGGTGAGGTTGTGCCGCTCGTAGCAGGCATCTTAGGCATTGGGCACGGAAACATTCCTTTAGACTTTGAACTTCCAGATTTGTTCTTCAGAAAGAGAAAATACACGAGGCCGTTTAAGCTGGACTGGCCGAAGAGAAGAATGTGGGCGGCAGCCGTAAGCAATAAACTTCAGCTTCAGCTTCACACATTCCTCCCAACAGGAACCAGAATGGGCGACAAGGGTACCTGCCTATGCCTCTATCCCCGTCGAGGATAACGCAGACACGGTTGAGGCACCCTTCGTGTTCCCAAATTTCCAATTATCTGGTTTGGACTGGACTGGCCTGGCCTGGCCTGCCTGGAGTCTGGTCTCTGAGCAAAAAGCCACACCTAACCCTAGGCATGGCTTGGCGCCTCCAGGAGGGGCCTCGGGATATTTGCCGCCCAGGGTGGATGAATGAATGAATGAATGGATGAATCTCTTGAGTCCTGTCAAAAGCAGCTGAAAAAATGCTGCTAAGATCTAAGCGAAAATGAATGGTGCCAAGAGGTGATCACAGCTTTCGATGGTATACCGGATCTAGTCTCGGACGGAGAGACAAGCTGCGTGGGTATTGTTAATTAGCAAACTCCTGTCATTGTGCATATATTGATTATGCTGTAGAAGACAATGTGCATGAATGTGTAACCCTACCACCTACCACCTACTCTACACATCTATTCCCTGTTTGTTCATTGATGGTGTGGGTGTAGTACAAGGCATCACAAGCCTCTCTCTTGTCTGTGTTCCTGGAAACCCTGTGAGAGGGTGTCGTCCAATGGGTTAACTTTTTCCGAGTAGCCAAGTTCAAACCTTCATTGCCGAGGAGCCTCTCAATTCAAATACAGTAGGTAAATTTGTAAAGGCACCTAAAACAACCAATAGTTATCCACCTCAAAGCTAATCATCAAGCTAAACTGTGCCTATCCCTTGCATTACTGATACATGCCGCACCGTGTCGTCCTACGGTAAATGGGCTTGAGCTTGACAACCCGAGTCTAACGTGTCTAGGTATCGTCCTGTCCGGCCTGCCGGGCTCTAGGTACTTTAACCCCCTGGAGAAATATGAAATATTTGTGTGGCATCCATTCTGCATCTTTAGCCCAGCACAAGGCCACAAGCTAAACTCGGTACCACGATGACCCAAGAGGCGCATTCTGCGCGTGTAACATTTGGGTTCCTTTCTTTTCTCGCCCAGTAAAGTTATATAAACCATATGCTTCCCACATTTTGTCTCTGGCGTTTTGGCTGTGTGACTGGTAAAGCTTAGTTAAGATCGTCGAAACTTGCCTTCTTCTTCCTCACATCTTAAACTATCTACTCATTTGTTACTATTCCATTATATCGCCATGGGCCTTTTGCCACTCACTTACACGCGTCCCAAGCATGTGGACCAGCAGTCATCCCGTAACAGCGTCGCCAGCTCGGACAGGAACTCGTTCTCTGATGCGGAAAAGACTGATGGCTCGATCAAGTCTGGCTCCTCTGGTTACTCATCGAGTATACCGGACTCGTTGACCTTTGATAAGATTATCAACGGCGGTACATGTCCGGTGAGTTTACACACTCTCGTAGTTTGCCACTGCAACACTCACTTACTGATTCGGCATATAGCCCATGACTGTTCGCGACTTCATGTCGTATCTGATCTATGTGGAGCATGCAGCCGAGAACCTCCAGTTCTACCTGTGGTATCAAGATTATGAGAAGCGCTTCTATACAAATCCCAACACTGACATGGCTCTTGCTCCTGAATGGACAAAGACCATGCAGGATGAGACTGTCATCAAGATCAGAAAGGAGCAAGCCGAGAAAATGCGCAAAGAGCCTCAGGCGGCGGCAATGTTCAAGGGCAGCGACTTTGAGAAGAAGGCCACTGGACAAGACAGAAGCATGAGCAACACTATCGATCCATTCGCCACACCTCCCCAGAGCAGCAAAGGAGATAAAGCATCGATATTCTCAGCACCCTCTACGATGAACTCGCTCAACGCCATGAGTTACCAAAGCCAAGCATCGGAGGCATTTCAGGGAGCTGGCGCACAACAGCCTTGTGAGTTGAGAGGTCCTCACTACTTAAAGCGAGACCCAAATGCTAACTATTTCAGTTACTGTTCAGCCATTCAGAGAAGAGATCAACAGAGTGATTGTAACATACATCATGGACGGCGCTCCCAGACAACTGAATCTCTCGTCGTCTGAGCAAAAGACAGTAATCGTAGCACTCTCCAGGACAACCCACCCAAGTGCTTTCCGCAGCGTCTTCAAGACAGTCGACTCCAGTCTTCGGCACCAGGCTCACCCCAATTTTGTCCGATGGTCGATATGCAACGGTAACCCTGCCCGTGTGTTCTTCGCTCGCGCACTGGGAGTTGGCCTCATTGCCGCCGGCATCGTTGTTGCCCTGATCATCACTCTGAGCAGCGCTGGACGAGGATACCGGGCCTTGGCAGCCATCGCTCTTGTTCTTGGTATCAGCACGCTCATCGCAGCCTACAAGGGCATGTGCGTTGTTCTGCACGGAATGCACCACCGCCACGTAAGGCCGTGGGAGTTGTTCGTGGACAGCGAGAACATGGACGACACACCCAAGCGAAGTTTTGAATCCTTCGGCTCCAAGAACAGCTACGAGGACGAGCCATGGGTTGTCAAGTACGAGAAGCGCAACGTCGTCCGCAAGGTGTTTGACCGCGAAGTCTGGATCCAGGAGCCAGCTCTGCGACAGATCCAAGACACCATTTTTGTGCAGGCGATACTCGCTTCAGTTATCATGGGCGGTATCATTACGGCAATCTTTGTTGCCGTCCCTGGCGGTGACCTCTTTTAATGTCCAGAAGGACTTATTTAAAATCAAAGATGGGCAACGCATAAGTGATATGTCCACACGTACTTAGTACACAACACCTTTAGACCTTTCCTTGTTGACCTGCAAATATCAGGCATGGATACCCAGTTGTTTAATGAAAGCCGGAGTTTTTAGTGTAAGGAGATTTGGGGATAATCATTTCGAAACTATTTATTTATGGGATTTGTTTGGATACCTCTCTTGCAATTGAACATTTCGATAATACCATATAAATAATAAAATTCTACTTCCCACTCTGTACTACCTGTTCAATCAACTCCCGCGTGCCGTCCAATTCCGCTCGTCAAAGCCGACGGCATTTGGCAAAGCTCGGCATTCAAACCCTGACCCCTCCTTACCCGGCTGCCGGGCCATCGGGGGCTGTCAAAATGCGAGTAAGCTATGAGCGAATGCGCGCGGTAATCGTTTTCGCATCGCAACAAATAGCGATCCTACACTGGGGAAACAGCCTCCAAGGGTGGTAAAATGAATATGACATCAGTGAAGGCCAGGGTCTAACTGCCTAATCAGCGACAGGCCGGAGAAAAGGAGAAGATTTCTGTTGTATTTGTTGAGCTAATACGTACCTTTTAACCCAACCCTGCTTGATACCTCCTAGAAAGAAGCCTTCCTTTCCCCAAAGGTAAATGAATGGAACGAGCCTCGGCCCACCGGCTTTTTAAATTTTTGGAGAAGCCTGGAAATGATGGACGAGGGATATCGATTAAGGATAATTACTCTACCCCATAGTAATGTCAGTCTCCCCATCCGATTGATAACCCCTCCACAATCATTCATTACCTATTACTCCTGACTTTGACTTTGATCATCTCTCAACATTTTGCGTATAATTCTCTCTTGTCATCGTCTTTATTATATATACAACTGCCAGGGCCCTGCGACAAACTGCAAGTACGAAACTAGCGTCTCCAAGACTCTTCAACTCCATCATCTCCACTATCTACCTATTCAACCCCCTCTATCCTCCCCAACGGCCCTCGTGCGCAGTACGAAAGCGAAAATAGTCACGCCATGACTCCCGCATCAGAACACGAAGATGCTGTGGCGAAAGAACCTAATGCGCCGGCGCATTCTGCACAACATAAGCATCGCCGGACCATGACGTCGACAGACGAGATAGACAGCACAATCATCCGCCCCGGCAGTGTTAAGATCAATGTCAAGGGCGCTTTTATTGTTGATCCCGACACAGCGACGCCAGCTTCAACGTCGGGCGTAAGTGCAGGCGGTCCTACTTCTGTCAATGGCCGGATGAGCCCGACACATCCTGAAACGAGCGACATCCGGCTACCTTATCACACCGCGATCGTGAGCCACATTGCGATTGACGTATGTATATCCCCTCCAACATCCATAGAGGGATGCGATGGCTGACGGGGAGAGACCTACAGATCGGCGGTTCGCTTATAAAACTTGTGTATTTCTCGCGCGAGGTCGATTCCACGGATCCCGGTGGTCGGCTGAACTTTCAGAGTTTCGAGACGGATCGAATCGACGACTGTGTGGAGTTTATGCGACATCTGCGCGATAATCAGCTTGTCAATGGCTCGCGACCAGGAGAGCTGTGTGTGATGGCCACAGGTGGTGGCGCATACAAATACTATGACAAGATCCGGGCGGCATTGGAAGTGGATGTGTCGCAGGAGGATGAGATGGAATGTCTCATAATTGGTTCGTGATTTGACTTGCGACCGCCAGTTTCACAACTAACCATACCTAACAGGCCTCGATTTCTTTATTACCGAGATTCCCCGCGAGGTCTTCACCTACTCCGAAACGGACCCCATGCACTTCGTCGTGCCGCAAGACAATATATATCCCTATCTCCTTGTCAACATTGGCTCGGGTGTCTCATTCCTCAAGGTTACCGGACCGCGATCATATCAGCGAGTGGGCGGTACATCTCTAGGTGGCGGTACTCTGTGGGGTTTGTTGTCTTTACTGACTGGCGCTCGAACATTCGACGAGATGCTTGAGCAAGCTGCCCATGGTGATAACGCCAATGTCGATATGCTAGTCGGTGATATTTATGGGCAAGACTACGGAAAGATAGGACTCAAGAGCACAACAATCGCTTCTTCTTTCGGCAAAGTCTTCCGTATGAAGAGAGAGGCAGAGTCGGCGGCTGAAGACGGCAGATCTGCAACACCAGAGGATGCGTCGTTCAACAGCGCCGATGTCTCACGATCTCTTCTCTACGCCATCTCAAACAATATTGGCCAGATCGCTTATCTGCAATCGCAAATCCACAATCTATCCAATATCTACTTCGGAGGATCCTTCATCAGAGGTCACCGACAAACCATTAACACGCTGAGTTACGCCATCAAGTTCTGGAGTAAGGGGGAAAAGCAGGCGTACTTCCTCCGACACGAGGGCTACCTTGGCTCAGTCGGTGCGTTCCTCAAGAGAAAGCCCAAGAACTGGGGGCGCAAGGGGAGTCTTGAGGGCATGGACGACATTGCCGAGTTAAGGAAGAGTCTCCGCGAAGGGGCCACCATCTCTAACACATCATAAACTTGGGAGACGATACCCAGACGCGGATGGAATGGCCTCAGGGGACATTTCGAATAAAGAGTGAAAAGAAAACGTCACCATGAACCAGCTTGGATTTGAGCTGGACTGAACTGGTCGATTACGATCACGATTGTGTCAACAGCAAACATGGGCAGCATTTGGTAGCGCAAGAGGCGTTTGGTGGGCTTGGCAAAGCAATTTTCTTTCATTTAATCATGTACAGCGCATTATATAAAGGAAGGCATCGGGGATGTACAGGAGCATTTGGTTTAATGTTCTTGCTTGTAGTCTGGGAAGCGGAAAGCCGTTTCCCGGGCCATATCTGAAATACAAAACAATAAGAAATGTTACACCAACTGCTACACTGCGGGAGACTGCTGGTCTATAGTAGTTGTATGTTTTTAAGGGATGGTTCTTTCAAGAAGAGACTTTCAGAAGTTCGGACACTTGCATGTAATGATGGTTTCTGTCGTACAGAGTGGGTGATGATCTTTATTGCTGGGGATAGTGAGCAAACACAACAACCAGATGCTGATGATGCAGTGAGATTCTCCAGTGTTCTCTGACTATATCTTCGATTCCATCCTCTCTCTTATACTCTTCCAACTGCCAAATCTTAACACTGGACATGCTTTTCTAACTGCACGATGGCCAACGGAATCGCAGACATTGCTGATTGGACCAGCGTACCTGAGTTCAGAGGCAGTAGACGGCAACAATACTACTCGGTTTATCAGGAAGGATTTCTCAGAAACTCTCAACTGCCCAATGTCTGGGAAACTCAAAAATTGAGCTCAGAGTCTGAGTGGAGTTGTGACCACGAAGGGCCATGCTGCACTTGCGATTGCGACTGTCGGCCTATAACGAATACCAACCAGGCGCTGAGTGGACACATTAACTTCCCTCAGGACAACCCCAATCTTGTAAGTGAAGCTTTGAGTGGTTTGGATATTTGTGCAGGACTTACTGACGCCCTACACAGACTTACGGCACCTACCTGCAGGGGTATATGGCAGGTAACGAGCCACAAAGACACTCAGATCCTCGAGGAAGATTCCAAGTTCAATCCAACCATGTGCTGGGCACAGGCTTTCCTCCCATAAGACAAAATATCTCATCTGTAGAGGATGTCATCTACTACAACGCCAAGCAACAACGGCATCTGAACGATGCGCAGAGGAGGATCCAAGATTGGATGCGAGTCATGCCTGATCTTGTTGGGAACAACGGAGTACCAGCGACGACTCAGGAGTCGAAGAAGTGCAGTTGTAGAGATTGTAAGTACAGGAAGAAGGCGGCAAAAAAAGACGACAAGAAGAAGAAACAGAAACGAAAGGAGAAGGGAAAGAAAAAGGACAAGGATAAAAAGAAGACGAAGCGTTGAGAGGTGAAGAGAGCTAGATTAACATGCCACCGAAGGACGAAGACTTGAATGTATTCGTAGCAAGGATTGCCTATCCTGCGAGTAGGTACAGGCAAAGGAGAAGAAATAGATCGGGTCGGTTATTACACAGAGTATACCTTAATCTCACAACTATGGTTTGGCAACATATCAAAGCTTAAGACTTTATGGTCTTGTCAACTTGGTTACCTCGATGTATTCATTTTTTATTCCCGTTAATTGACATACAAAGTTCGTTATCGAGAAGGCTGATTTAAGCTCAACCAATGGCGGATATAAGCGGAATTCAGTTGCATCAACGAAACAGCAGGGGTATGGGCTGTTGACTCTACTGTATGTGGAACGTTACGAAACAGAAACAGGAAAAGCTTTAACGTATTATACGGCAGTGGACCAGCGCAAGAATATCAACTGTGATTCTATCCGAGCAGAGAGTCAAGGAAGGACAAGGTAAAAAATACACTTCAACGGTCCCACCCGTGACTTAATCCCAATTGACAACTAAACGGTCTAGTTACGGCAACATGAGGGAGGCTCTTGACTTGCCAGTCTTGCGTACAATCCAACTGCCAAAAAGACAACATTCGCGCACTCGTTCAGACTCAACATCAGCAAAAGTAAAGGGTCTGGCCGGGGATTGAACCCGGGACCTCTCGCAAGCTATGCTGTAGGGTTTTCCCTAAGCGAGAATCATACCACTAGACCACCAGACCGGTCGACGAATCCGAAGACTCGCTGGGATGTTGTTGCACGATGATTTGCTATTGTGGGTTATATGCTGTGTCAAGAGTCATATGCAGTGGAGAGTGGTTGGCATAAATTTCGATGTCTTACGGATACATGGATCGCCGTTTGGCTCGGCTTGTTAGAGGATACGCTTCTGCACACCCGAAACCTAATTGGCCGTGCCGTGAATCAGCGTTGAGCTGCCCTGAACTGGCATGTATCAACAGCACATGATCATCTCCACCCCTGTTCATGAACTCCTCCTGGTGGGCAAGGATCAGTATCCAGAGAACAACAGCATCACTAAGATGACTTACAGAGATCTCACTTTCACCCGCCCACATCAATCTCGTCACCATCCACATTGTCACAGCACATCAATTGCAAAAAGTCTCGTTTGTTGGTCATTTCTTTGTATTCATTTCGTTGTCGTCATTATGCACACTCGGGTGCAGACAGCATTAGGTATCGTCTCATCCACTGTTCTCTCTTTCTTTCTTCATTCCTCTCAAAGTTCTTTTTTGCTTCTAGTTTCCCTGGCCGACATTGTCGCCCTTCTTGAGGCCCTGGCTCTGACCACCACTGGCGTTGGCGTCCTTGAGAGCGAGGCCCTCCTCGTCCTTGCCCTCGGGGAGGTCAGCGGTCTTGTCGGCACGGTCGACACGGTCAGTCTGGAGTGGAAGTGATGGTTAGCTTGATGTAAATCTCGTGATGCAAGATGAAATGTGGTGGTAAACTTACGTCAGGCTTGCCAGCACCGTGCACAATGTTGTGCTCAGCCTCCTCAAAGGGGCCGTTGTCAGAAGAACCGTCTCCGTTGCGAGGCATGATGATGATTTGTTTGTGGTGGTGGAGGTTTTGTGTGTTGTTTTGATGATTGATTATGAGTGATGATTGTGAATGAAGAAGAAAAGTCCTGTTGAAGGCGAAGATAGTAAACGTATTTATGCTTCAATGTGAGCATCGTGATGATGGATCAACGACGTCATCTTGAAAACGTCATTCCCTCCCCACACAGTTTGTGGGGAACAGAGCTGAGCAAATGCTCCTTGATGGGACCTGCATTACATTGTTGAAGATTCATTGGGCTGGACCTGATGGGTTGCCGTTTTCGGGTCATGGTGCTCACACGATGCATCGTCGCATGCCTAGGCAGCATCATGCCTTATCCACAGTCACTATTTTAGTTCAATTACACGGATATAAACTTGGCGGAATACACTCTAAAACCTGGTCCAGCTGCCATCACATCAGTTCCATTGATTTCTAGAGTCTTGAATTAGCTCGAGGGACTATACTGTTGAAACAACCTACCGTATCACGTAGACATGAGGCGCTGACAGGTAGATATCATCTTGTTAGAGCCGCATGCTTCATTCACACTCCCAACTTGATGCAACAATTAACGAATTGCTTGTTACTGGATATCATAATCTGCATGCCCTAACTGTCCATACTCTATGAAACGACACTCATTAACAAGTCGTAGTCATCGCCAGCTTTCAAATAGTAACAATCCACAAAAATACGCTCTGAAGCGTTCGTGACAAAGAAGAACTCGTTCAACTTTGAGAAAACCAGCACAATAGTCGTGCCACGGTCAAACTCGAGAACGCAATCTTTAAGCCACCTTGCTGGAGCGGCCCCGGCGGCCTACAGCCTTTGGTGCAGGCTTCTTCTCTTCGGCTACCTCTTCTTCTTCAGCAGCATCTTCGTCCTCGGGGGTAGCAGCCTTCTTCGTAGCAGCCTTTCGGCCTCGCTTGGCGGGAGCAGGTTTCTTCTCGTCCTCCTCAGCCTTTGGTGCAGCGGCCTTGCGTCCCCGCTTGGCAGGAGTAGGCGCAAGAGCAGGAGCTGATTCTTCATCCTCACTCTCATCCTTGACCTCCTTCTTTGCGGCCGCCTTTCTTCCCTTCTTCACAGGAGTAGGCTTCTCCTCGGCATCAGATTCAACCTTGGCCTTTTGAGCTGACACTCTACGTCCTCTCTTGGCGGGGGCGGCGGCAGGAACCGGAGCCTCATCTTCACTCTCGTCCTTGACCTTGGCGGCCTTGCGACCACGGGCTGGCTTGGCCACAGGCTTCTCCTCCTCGTCCTCATCCTTGACAACGTTGCTCTTTCGTGCCCTCTTAGGTTGAGGTTCATCCTCATCGTCGTCATTGGCAGCCTTCTTGCGTCCACGCTTAGCCTTGGGCTTGGGCTTCTCTTCCTCATCGCCTGCGGCGTCCTGAGGTGGGTTAGAAATGGTAAGTGTACTGTTGGAAGGGGGACTTACGGCTTCAGCAGCCGCCTTCTTCTTCTTTTGTGCTGCGGTTAAGTGGATGCCCTTCTCACCGAGCTTGTTCTTCTCGGGGTCCTGAATATTGTGTTAGTCGTAGCAACTGAAGGGGTAGGGCTGATAACATACGCCTTTGAAGTCCTCAGGGTCAATGAAGCCCTGATTAATACAGCGGCGGACCTTCTCTTGCAGTTCAGAGTGTGCGCTATTTATATTAGAAATATTTGCAGCGAACTCATTATCTAACTTACGCAAGCTCATCGTAACCGTCCATAGCGTCACAATCAAAGCTACCATCAGGCTGCTGGCACAGTTCACGGACATTCTCCAGCTGTTGACCAGAGACACAACCCCTGAACATGACAAGTGCTTGTTAGTTACCTGTTGTATGCCTTTCTGAGGAGAACCGTATCTGCTTACCAGTGTTTCCAAGACCAGCTCCCGTGCTCCTCAATGGTAACCCAGCTACCGAAGCGAAGAGTGCCCTTTGTGATTTTCTCGGCATTCTTCTTACATTGCGTGTCCTTGCAACCAGCGCGATTGTTGGGGGATACCTCTAGTGTCTTGTGAGCGAGCCATTCGCCATAGAGCTTGCAGCGCCGATGTTGTAGAGCAACGCGACGGCGAGAAATCATAGTTGTTTTCGTGACTTACCAATACGATATTCGCCCATCTTTGCGGTGATTGAGTACTTGCTATAAAATATCAAGTGTGGAAGAGGAAAATGAAGTTATGGTAGGAGAATGCAGTATGCAGATAACGCTTTTGGTTCTGGCGAGTTGCGCGCGCGCTGAAGAATGATCAGGAAAGGAATGGCGAGTGCTGAGGAGAAGAAAAATAAGAGAAATCTCTTCAGGCGAAGCGAGAGAGAAATTATATGATTTTTCCGGCCTGTGAAGTGAAAATAGAAAACAGGCAGATGAAAGGTGTTGAGGTGAGATGAATGGACGAGGGTGGGAGGCACTGCCAGCTCATTCTGGGGGGAAAGAGCGAGTTGCGCGCGACCGACGCGTTACTACCTAGGCAGGAGAGCTGTCCTCATTTTCCACCCAAATTAACGCCTGAAACGTCAGTGATAGACAGCACATCAACCAACACAACACATTATACTGACAAAGGGAACAAGATAAAATAGATGGCAGTTAATTTCTGCCATATAATATTCAAAGCTTCTTCTTTTGTAGGCATTTTACTCATTTAGTTTCTTTATTTTCCTGCCCTTTCTACATACACTCATTCATACCATTCATTATCTGGCTTTGTTCCCTTTTACAAGAACGGACACCAGCCTATATACATTGCTGCCAAATTCTTAGGATCAACCGCCTGTTTGATTAGTTCCTCCACCTGGCCTTCAACACCTAGAGGGATGCTTTCAGTTGGAAGCAATCCTCTGACCTTTCGCTTGATACTGTCCACAACGCTCTGAGGCTGCAGTTTGACACCCACGTCCCCCCTTCGATGTGCTCGTTTCTCCTTTTGCAGATCCAGCGTTGGGTCGTAGATAAATGCTTCGAGAATAGTCATCAATGTCTCTTCTTGTTGACGAAGAATGCTCAGAGTCAGCTCGCAAGACTTGCGGAATGGCCCCTCGTAGCCATAAATGCCCATTGCAGCCACCATGTTGTGAGTAAGCCGGAACGGCACTCGTTCGGGTTTTGCAAATGTCAGACCCTTGTCGAACAGACAGTTAAAATCGACGTGGAACACTCCACCATTACCCTCCTCCAAATTCACGTTCTCGCCATGTCTGTCACCAAGTCCCAGAATGGTGCCCACCATGGACATGACCGCACATGACCGTGTGTATTTAAGTCGCGCAGTGAACCATGCCGATGGGTTTGGGAACTGCTGCGTGAACCATAGCTGAAGCACAGGAGGGAATCTTCCCAGAACCTCATCGGTAAAGATTCTGGTTTTGCCGTCAGAAAGACATGCTTCGTCCATGAGCTGCTTGAGTACCGTATAATCAGGATAGATCTTTCGAGAAGCATAAAGGTTGATGAGGATATCTCGTATCGTCTTAATGCCCGGAACCCATTCGATGATTCCACACTCCTCGTTGAGCGGTGTCACAGCATAAGTTCGGATATACAACTGTCTTCGACTGGACTCGGCATCCCGTTTCAACGACCGATTGATCAACCCGTTGAACTCCATAAGGCGCTGGTCAGTTCGCAAATCATCTTTGGGCTTGATGAGAAGCATGTAGTTCTTCCCGTCGCTGCCTCGCGCCGTGAGTCGCCTTGGCTTGGCTAGAGAGCTGAGCACCAATACATCGTCCAAGAAAGAATCAATGGTAACCACATCCCTGGAGAAAGCTTTGTGCTTCTTGACAAATTCTGATACCGCCGGTAGCGTTGCCGTCAGGGAGCTTTCAACAGGTACAACCAAAGGACATGGGGTGCATTTATGGTGAAATCTAAGATCTCTACTCAGACTAGCGTGGACAGTCTTGTTCCCACGAAAGTCTCCGTTCTGACATGCCAAAAGCAGCTGCTCAGCGAGTTTCTCGCCCATCCGAAGCAGGTGCTTGAAGTCGGTCGACGAGCCATCCACTTTCTTAGATATGTTTCTGAGTGTCTGAAGAATCTGAGTGCCACGTGCTTTTCGTTCTGACACCTGTCTAGTTGTCATAATGCCAATCAGACTCCAAAGCGCTTGCCGAGGGTGAGCCTCAACAACCTTGACAATGATGTGTGTCAATCTATCGAACACGTTGGGATTAGGATGGGCGATACGAGCAACAATCTGCGGTAGAGCTGTGTAGAAGATGTACGCCGGCAGCCTGTGAATGTATTTGTCGAGGAAAGAGTGTAATAGGTTGAGCTGTTCAACACGCCTTCGATGAAGCTCACGGGAAAGCGATGCTTTTCCTTCTGGTGCTTTATCCACTTGTGCTCCAAGGTCAAGCCAGAGAGTCAAGATCCTTGGAAGGGTTTGGTAAAGATACTTGGTACCCGAGTTCAGCGAACGCACGTAGTTCTCTATGACAAGCCTTGCAACCTCGCCCGTGATGTAGTTGTCACTCTGATCATCAGCTTTGAGTGGCTTTTCCGCTTCGAAAATCTTCTTGTAATGTCGGCCGAGATAGTAGTGTCCCTTCTCCCACGTCGAGAATGTTTTTGGTGGCTGCTGATATCTCTCACGCAGGGCACCAGCATGCGTCTGCCCGGCGCTGTCGAGCCATTTAGCAAGGAGCAGTTGTGCCCGGGCCGTCAAGAGCTTCTCCTGTGGACTCAGTTTACTAGTGTTCGTGAAGGTATTTGATCCCGTCTGCGTCATGAACTTGTTGCTCTTGATTGCTCCCTGCAGAACCTGAATGGCCTTTCGATGCTGATCTTCTCTCCATAGAAGCTTAGCATTCTCAATAGTCGCCGCGTCATCGCCTAACTTCGAGGCGTGCAACACAGCGTTGAAGGATTGATGTAATGAATTAGATTTTCGTGCAAGCCGTGCACTTGAAAGCCATAATCTGGAGATATCCATATCAGTAAATGTTGGCCTAATTTGAGTCAGTAAACGGGTCTACAAGATAATAGTCAGTGTCGATTTACCGGCGCAACTCCATGGCAGCACGGCGGATACCAAGAAGATATTGCTTGTCGTTCATGTAAGCACCTATAACCTCGAGCCTCCTGTCCAGCAGGGCCATGGTCTTCTGCCGGGCTACTTCGTACCCTGGCTTTGTGCCCACAATGATCTCCAAGTCTGTGAGGACATGAGCTTTGAGAAGGAGGTCGTGGCAGGCTTGAAGTGAAGACGTGGATGCGACATTCATCGAAGACGATATTTTGACCCTGATATCGTTCATGATCGAAGTCAACTCCGCTGGTTCGTTCTTGGTCATTAGTTTTTCGAAGACGGTCGCGATCGAAACGTTGAAATCCTCGATGAAATCACCATGGAATCGTTTGGTGAACTTGGATAGGCTCTCCCACCTCCCTGTCACCCATGCTGCCTCTACTGCATAAGGCATAATCTTGTTGTCCGTAGATGCATTGGTATGCATACCTTCGATATGGTTCAATAACACTTCTAGTCATCATTAGCCGCTGTCAGACTGAGCAAACTCGGGATCTTACCATGCTGGCCAGCCTGTTTCAAGCAATGAAGCAAGTCGATTTGCACGTCTGTATTAGAAGGATCCTCGGCCAATTGCATCTCGTACCAGTTCTGTACAGCAGTCCATCGACCTGCCTTACGATGACTTAGGATTTGTTGATTTATGTCAAGAACTTGTAGATGAGCTGAAATTCCATCAAGTCCATCAGGCTCATCAACATTGGCGTATATGTCTTGGAGTTTTTCCAAGAGGCGGGTGCGTTCTCCTGGCTCTCTCTTTCTTTGTTCCATCTTTTGGGCATGCTGCTCCAGATGGAAAAGGGCTCGGGCGTACTCGTTGCAATCTACAGCCCTTTGTGCAATCAACTCGGCCGGAATCATATCAAGAGCTTCTTGTACCTGAGTCAGCCTTTCCTTGTCAAGTTCACTGAGCCGACCAGCTGCGCGCTTAGTTTGCATCCATCTCATTGCATAGTCGACAATGCGGAAAACACCCTATGTTGAGTTAGCCTTCGATAGAAAATTACGGTACTTCAAAACCTACATGACAGTATCGCTTCATGTCCTCTTTCTCCAGATATGACGCCCCCTCAGCAGGCTGATACTTTAGAATGGCAAGAAGCTCGCCAAGGACATTCTCTCTCTCCTTTTGAGAAGTTCGCGACCCAAGCAGAGTATGCAATACTATGTAGGGAAGGATGAATTCTGCAATGGAGAGATCCTTGACACGAACAACGCGCGCAAGGGGTTCAAAGATCATGTCAGCGAAAGGTGTTTGTCCTTTTCGAAGAAGGTCCAAGGTGTATTGCTTCAGCCAGTTTGCAAAAGTCCTACCAGGACGGAAGATAGGATACTCAATCTCTGCGTATGTCATCGGGGCAACGACATATCGAGAAGCTAGGAAAGGGGTCACTACTTCTCGAATGGCTTCGGGCATCGCAATCCATTTTCGATAGATGTCGTTGCCGCCCACCATCCCGGTCCCTTGCATGGCGTTTGCAGCTTTGAGGTCGCACCTATCCAGAAGCTCCTGCATTGCAAAAGACAGGAACCCCTGGAACATTACATCGGTCGTGGATAAGAAGGCTGGCACAAGTGCCTCTTCCAGAAGAAAACAAACAAAGTCGGTTGTCTCTTCGTTATTCACGAAATTGTTCAAGATAACGATCGATCGCTGTTCTCTCACGGTTTCGATCTTACTGGGATCCAGACAACCTATCAGTCCCATAGCTTCTGTACATAATCGCGCTATGTCCCCTGGAAAGCCACTGTACTTGCATGCACAGTCAAGGAGAGATCGCATAAGTGCCACAGCACCAGTATCTGATTGTAGACTAACATCAGAAGTGTGGAGTACATCTCGGTTTTCTTGAAGAAATTGGATCAGTTCTGCCAATGCTTGGAGGGCAACACCAGAGTTTTCATGGGATATCCTCTCAGCAAAGGCTTCCAGAACTTCTTCAACTGTGAGTATTGCTGGTCTAAGTTGATCCAGCTTGGTCTCGAGATCCCTCAGCTCAGGGATATGCCGAAGGGAGGGCAGCTTGACAATGTATTTTGCGACAAGCTTTTCAGATTCGCTGACCAGCGACTTGAGCATCTGTTGAGCAAGTAAAGCCGTTGACTCGTTCAAAGAAGGCCAATAACGGGTAATGACGAAGAAGGTTGTCTCCAGCAATGCTTCAACGTCTTCTTCGTCAAGATGAGTGAGCATTGACGCCCAACATGAAAAGCTGGCTTCTCTCAAAGCGTCTTGTGCCAGTGTGGAGAGCAAGCAAGCAGAAATCTAGTCATGATTTAGTGTTGTCACACATGAATATCAGAATAGACTAGTTACCTGAGGTCTAGCAGTGCTTGCATAGCCCTTTGATACTTTAATCATCTCTTCCATGGCTCGAATGTACCGTCGGCGTTCTGGTTCTGGAAGATTCGGATCATTGATTACATCAAAGAGACATGCCATGAGACCGAGAAGATTAGAATGGATGTACCGAGCAGCATGGTCCCCCTTCTTAGACCGGGTCTCTTTGCTTTCCGGCAGCAGCATCTTAGCCATGGTATCCAGAGCTTTCCGAACCTATAAATGAGTAAGTTTATGCTGAAGACTTGACTAAAATCCACTTACCAGCGCCTTTCTCGTTTCATCCGCATCGCCAGCTGCCTTTAATAGCTCTATAACTGTGAGGACAGGCTCCACTTGGAGTAAATTGGCAAGGGGTTCAAGCTGAAAATGCGCGGATAGCTCATCAAGACGCGATTTTGCGAAACTGGCGATGTCTTCAACGTCCTGTACTAGAAGTAAAGCAAGTGTGGCAGCCAAATTGGCAGGGTCAATCAAGGGGAGCCAGATCTCTGACTCCCGCCGCGCCTCCGCAATCTTTTGGATAACATCCTTTTGTTTGTCAAGCACAAGCCATGGCAGTGCGTGTGTTTGAATCAAGAGGAGCAATTCGTTGACAGACACTTGTAGTAACTCCGCGATAGTCCGGCTCATTTGAGGACGCTGAACCATATCCTTGGTGACCATGTATGCCAAGTTTGGCCAGAAGGGTTCAAATAGGCGGCGCGGTGTTACTCTGCGGGCATCAGCCAGGTTCAGGAGCTCATTAAAAGCGAAGGCTGAAACAATGTTGTTACTGCTTCCAAGATATTCCAAAAGCTTGATGAGAACCAAATTGAGCTCGTGCTCCCAGACAACAGTTCCTAGTTGGCCCCACGCCATGATGAACGTTTCGGTCAGGTGAGGCTGGTTGTTATCCGAAATTGACTTTAAGAAAGCAATTGAGTTTTTTCTATTGCGTGAGATCAAGTCCTGGCGTTTCATTGACGAAGTTTGGTCTGTTGCACCTGAGTATAAGTCGCCATGTACAGATCGACCCTGAGCTTGGCCCATACGGTTATTCTTGGCACCATTCTCTTCCACTGGGCGAGCCAGGAGAACCATGCTCGAAAGGACTGTTTCAATCCTGCCCAAAGAGAAAGTTGCCAGGACTCTTCCTGCAGCTATTCGAAGTTCCCTCACTGAGCTGTTCAGAGATTGAAGACACCATTGACCCAGTCCAGAGGTTTCCAGGTTAAGTAATTCAGCATCATCACAGTGTAGAATTACCCGCCTCAATGCCATCATCGCAGCAACCCGCGGTCGCCTCGACTCAGCAAGACTAGGGAGTCGAATCAATTTGGTGAATAGTGCTTCGACTCGAGACTTGAGAAGGACTGCTTCGTGTGATGTCGAGCGAGTCGGAGAAGCGTTCATTTCACAGATAGAACACCGCGCTTCTGCAGTTGTTGCGCTTTCCTTATCGGATGGTCTGTCTTCACTGTCGGCTAGGCATGATATCCGTGATAGTAAGTCAAGCGCGAGACACTGATGTAACTCGTCGATTACTGGGAACGCATCCCTACACCGGTAAGTATTTGCAAGGTCAAGAGAGCGAAGTAACTCACAAAATTGGTTGCTCGATGTTCTGAAAGTTGTCGTCAATATCCATGATACCAAAGCTATCTCCCAAGGAGGTCACCAAGGCACTCATACGGCTAGAACCTGCCTGCGATACTTTTCGACGTTTGGATCGGTCTTGTGAATTTGTTTCGGGAGCGTCATATATCAGAGACAAAGCCTCAATCGCCCCACGTAGCTCTTCGTCTTCAAAGTTTGAGGGATGCATACTCGTGCTGAGAGATTTCGGTCCTGCATTAGCATTGACCTCTCGTAATGTCTGTGTTGCTCTCTTTTACATTGTCAGTGGCTGATGGACACAATAGTATATAATGTAACATACCCAGATATCTGTTCCTTCAGACATCTTTGAGTAGAACATTGAAGACTCATCTACAAGGCTGGAGATCGCCAAGCGACCTATTGACCTGTCTTCGATAGATGCTGCTGTGATGACAGCGAGAGCTAAACAGTAAATACGGCGATTCTCCCCTTCGGTGGAGTCTAGCATAGATGAGGCATTGGAGCTTGTTGCTATCTGGCCACAAAGCAAGATCATGAGAGTGACAGCTTTCTTGTGAACGGAAGCGCTTATGCCTTTCTTTTTCGACAACGCTCGCTCAATTTTTAGAGTCACTTGAAGGACATGGAGCGAAGAGGCTGGGAATGCGTGACCGTAACGAATCTGAACAGTTCGCATATCCCCTAAGGCATCAATCAGCCATACTGCATTCTCCGAGAAGGAGGTCACAGTGTCAAAGGCCTCATCTGTGGATATAAGAGGATAGGCCACTACTTTGCAGAAGCTAATCAGTTGTTGTAGAACCTGTGATATCCGATCAACAGAATATGTAAGTTGGTTGACCAAAGGCGAGCCTTTGTCGACATATTGGCTGAGAGCGAGTTCGGGAGGCAGAGAAAGCCCTCTGAAACTTTCTTCCACGGAAGGCACAACCAAAGGATCTTGAAGCTGGTGTAGTGTATCTATCAATTACCTGTAAGCGGCTGTAATTTCATGTTCCATGCCGATTACTTACGAGAGGTAATTGTGCGCAAATAGAAGAGAAACGCAGGAGCTATGTCCCACAAACTCCAATTTTGTGCTACTGTCAGCATCGTATACTGCAGCAAGCCTTCAATGGCTTCTGTGAGTTCAAGGCATTGGGCGTGGCCAAGAAGTCTTAGCAGTTGAGGAAGAAGCCAGACCCATAATGGTTCTCGCCCCCGGAACATATACTCTTGGCCATCAACTGTGTATTTGAGCACCGCGGGCGTTTCTTTAATAGAGAATTTAAGAAAATTGATTGCTTTGAGACCCTCTGTCCGCACTTGTGCCCGGTCAAGGAAAGGATCGTCTAACCGAATACCTTCGAGAACGGCTCTTGAATAAACGTAAATTAGCATATGGTTATGCTCGACCCGATCTTCCAACGTTTTCAAAAGTGTTGGATTATCCTTGACGCGTTGTATGATAGCAAAGAAACCTTTGAGTTCACTGTTCTCATCTGATTTGGAAGACTTGGTGGACGCCGAAATATTCTCAACCAGCTGTGCAGCTAAGGTTGATGGAGGAGGTCCGGCAGCAAAGTCCCCGGCCTGTTGGCCATGATCAGAAAGTACCGCTCTGAGATGAAGATTGCCAGCCATGGTGCATGGGGCATCGTGATACTGAATGAGAAGGGTGAGCGATGTTCCACGGATGCCTAGGTGGGAAGGACGCGACGATCATGAAGGATGACGCGAGGTCACGTGATCACGCATCGACCTTAAGCTCTTTCCTGTTAGTTACGACGACAACTTCACTCCTTTTCAACGATTTATCTGGGTTCAACATTAAATATCTACTTCTAATAAATACATGTCCAAACACCCAGCTCGATACCGGTCGACTTTTGCATCGACATGTTACCCATTCCCTACCATGCGCTTGACACCCGGCTTGGCGGTTGATCAAGTTTAGCGTTCGTAACGTACACTGATCATATCGTGTGTTATTCCTACAAGAGCACAGCTTAGCGCTTGACACATTCAAAATGTTTGGGGATCTTTTACCTCCAAGTTTTACCGAATATGTGATTTCCGCTGATCCGTATACGGCTTCAATGGCGCCTTCTAGGCAATAGTATCGATGCCATCCCATACGTCTTATCTTCGCGGTCCTCTTTACTGCTTCGGGTATCTTCCTCAAGTCAAGCGAGAGTGTTCCAATGTGCTGAGTGGATCCGTCTAGATGGATCGGGGCTTTTCCGTCATCATTGTTGCTATATATGTCGATTTCCGTTTGTGGCAAATGGCCAACTGTTACTGGGAGATCGCATTGATACTCTATCCTTGAGGGTTTGCCTTCTGGATAGGACTCGCCCTGATTAAGTCAGTATTCAGTCCAGTTGCGAACTTGGTTGATTACCAATACCTTCTGGATGAACCAGCACATCTCCGAGACAACAGTCACTTGTTCTTTTTCAGACCAAAACCTACGACTTGTTAGCAACAACGTGTTGGGGGAAGGCATATACTTACGCTTCTCTGGGGTTGTGTTTCATCATGTCGTATGCTGCCATCAAACACGTTCCGTACGATCTTCTTGCAATTCGAGATGCGACCTCTACTCGAGTTCCCGCAGGCTGGTATCGATGAAGTCCATGCATTGCGGCACCCTTCACCACCGCCGTCCAGCCACTTTCAGGTTGTAAAACGTCCGTACGACTTGAAATGGCATCTCGCACCCGGGACTTCAGATAGCGACTTTGTCCAAATCCTCCAACCATAATTACAGCAGCAACGCCATCTCCCGCCATCTTGATCTGTTCCTTGATGAGACACACAACGTCCTTCATGATGGGCTCAAAGATTTTAGTCTTCATATCATCCTGCGACATTGTGTATCGATTTCGTTTCAGACCAAGACTGGCATCGACTTTGAGAGTCAAGGGTTCGCCTTTTGGAGTAAAGGTCTTTTTGAACTGTATCACTTTGAGCGAGCTGATCTAAAAAAAACAACTCCAAGATGCTTACCGACTCAAACTCGTTCATAGCAGGCACAAGTCTTTCATCAGTCCAGTACTTATCGCCATGTGTTTGTTTCAAATGCCGACGAAAGCGCATATTCAGCATGGAGGAGCCGCATTTACCGCCTGTACCCTCTGTGACTTCTTTCACTTCAACTCTACCTATTTTTGTTACTTGATATGAGATCAAGTCGACGGTACCGCCGCCCGCATCACAGACAACAAACTTCCGGCCCACTTGTAATGTAGAAGGGCTAAGGGTTTTGAGTGTATATAATGCTGCCGCTTCCTATGCGCTTGTTAGCACCCCAGCTTCTTCAATCTTGGATTCTCTGCCATACCGGTTCTGAGATAAGCTGGATTCTCTGGTTACCACAGAATCCCGCCATAGCTGCGGCTTGCTCAGTCGATTGCTTCGCCTTGGGTGACCAGATGGCTGGGACCGTCACAACGAAGTCCATGGGGGTCGATCTGACCACACTCGGGCCAAGTCGCTTTTCAAGGACAGTGATGAAATGTGCGTGCAAACATGAAAGGTAGACCTTGGTCAGGTCCTTTGCCGAGTCTTCATCTTTGCTGGTTGGAACTGGATCATCCAATTTCCTACAAGAGATCTTGGTCAAACAGGGTAGGCCAAGCGGTTACACACCAAAACTAACAGCTTGAAGTATTTACTTCTCTTCGCAGATTCGGGTATTTGAAAGCCCCACTGCCACCCGGTAGCTATCCTCCGAAGTTCAGTTGGTACCTTTGGACTGCTCTTGGTCGAGTCAATTGAAGGCCATTCTGTCACGACATGTTGAACTTCAGGCTACTACAGTTAGCGGTCTCAACTTGATAGCAAGGACAACTTACCCGAGATGTATCAGCCCAGGCGACACCTGAGTAGGTCGTTCCAAAATCAATGGAAACAACGATCCTGCGATTGCCCATGGCCAAATGTGCTGTCTCGAGGTCTGCTATGGTTATTTCATCGTCATATCAACTATTTGTGGTGGGACAGTCAGGTATGATCTTGTGATGTGTGAAGCATGGATGCTCCTCTCTGTCCAACAGCTCATTCGCGAAGTAGTGGCTTGCCCCAGATTTCTTTCATGTCAACCCCCAATTGGGTACAATAAAGATCGAATAGGAAATCGGAACATATTTCATCAATACCCGACGGGTTTGTCAGGGACTTTGGACGTGGTTAGCAATTCATGTTGGTGCTTTCGGGCCTCATCGCTGTGTGGGACTGGGTTCGTTTGGGCCTCGTCCATTCTTCACCGATCAGCCATGAAGCAGTGACCACCTTTCTGACCACACATTTTGGCATCATCCATGGCTCTGCATCGAGTGGGCTGGTGTTTTTGGTGCAGTGCAGTCTTGGCACTGAATACAAATTCGGCACGATTGGAAGCCATTCTGACCCTAGTAAATCAGGCAGTGGAGCATGCGGTGGCCGCCCAAGACGAGACCGACTTTTTGATGTCGCACAGCTCGAATAGCCAGTTGGATTAGGTACCCATCAGCCGGCGCCTAATCGAATCAATGCTGATAACCAACCGTAAGGTGAGGCTGCGAGTCAGGCCTTCTCTCAAGCAGCGTGGATGCCAATTGGCGGCGCATTGCAGAATGACCCAGCCATGCAACGTGTGGCCTTGATCCATTCACATGCCACCACTCAATCTACCAGACTTTGGGTTAATCGCTGGTATCTGACGAGTTGCAAATTCAGCGCCAGCAGACTGTATTATCTCACTGAGAAGTTGCTAATTACACATTTGAAACCAACATTCCTCAACCATGGATCCTCATGGTAAATACTATGGCACAGCTGCAGAGAATGGCACGACAAGAAAGAGATCATCTTCACAGGCGCCCGCACTTGAAGACAGATTAGCTAGCGAGACCCATTTGCGTCGATTCACTGAGAACGTACTGGACTCACGGCAACAGGAAATTGAGAACCGGGAATCGGAAAAGGACCGACTTGCAGCACGGGTGGAAGCTCTCGAGAGGCAACTTGCCGGCACGCAAAGACAGCTCGCAGAGGCTCAGGATCAGGTGTTTCGTTTGCAGCCCAGTCGAAGGGATATTACAGAGTCAGAGGCAAGGGACGCCTACAAGACTCTTTTTGGAAATGTTCAGCGATGGGTTGAGCACCGTGCCGGGTATGTGATTGAGGATTTGGAAGCAGGTCGCCTTAATGGTAGGGCTGTTCCCCCAGGAGGGTCACGGCTCGTTACGCTTCTCAGAGAGCAGTCAAGACGGTGTTTGAATGTTGCGCAATCTGATGAATTTCATATCATCGGGGCCATCATGAACTATCTCCACCTTACCCTGTTTTCCAAGGCATTTTATTGCCCACTAGATGATAGTGAAGAGGACAGAACCTCGATGTGGATTGATGGACTGGAGAGCACTATGTCTCGCTTGCCAAGAGGTTTGCTTCCAACCCAAGGCTCACCGCATGTAACAAACTACTAACTTGTCTCTAGATATAGCTCATTGTAGAGAGTGGAGGAGTGAGACGTTGACGGCGCTGACTAACCAAGCCGTCTTCAAAGCTCGGCGTCAACGACACCTCAACATTGTTACCGACGATCTGGCTTCCTTGCTCTCGGCCGTTGCCCCAAGGACGCCTATTACCGAGCTTCATAGTTCCATTCGTCGGAGCATTGTAGAGCCAGCAGCAGATCTTGTACATCAACTTCACTTGGCGTCCAGTATATTCTCATTGAAGTGGACAGCTCGTACAGCGGCGACGAGACTGGAAAACTACCAATGCTTGAATCTGGCAAACGCAGGGATGGTTCTTGACTTGTCTGGAACTAAGCCAAACTCCCCAGCGCGACGCAACGTCACGTATCTATTCGATGTAGCTCCTGGCTTGTTTGTCGAAAGAATTGAGGGTGGGAGAAAGCTCGGGATGAAAGCTGTCTTCAAGCCCGCAGTGCTCATTGACAATGCTGAGGGGGGTATATCTCAAGCTCCAACAGTCATGAGGTGGCTGTGGGATAATGCACCAGCTTCGCTGGGAACTAACCGAAGCGCATCGAGAGCAAGCTCAAGGAGTAAGGATATACACATCTGATACTGTCGCAAACTCTGACGCGTTCTTAGGGCCAGCCGCATCCGTTGTATCGGCATCAGGCAGACCAAGATATTAGTCTGCGTGTTACGATACCGGATTTGCATACAACACAGAAGTCAGCAAATGCATACAACACGAGGAGGATAGGGAGTAGACAAGAAGAGGAACAACGCACAGGAACACTGATTACTGTATAAAGATTATCAATTTTGGGTATTAGAAGGAAATTGGGCTAGATTTGCACTTTTATTGATACCATGGACCTCCATAACCTTCCTGAGTGACTATTACGGGTATACTGCGCACTCGACGAGGCCGAGGAGGCAAAGGAGGCGGCGGCGCGCCAACCTCTGAAGAAGTTCGTTGCCGGGCTGTGACGGGAATGGGTAGAGTGTTCCCGAAGTAGTACGGTGCCATCGGCCTCGGGGGAAGTGGTGGCGCTGAAGCTGCGTGCGAGCGTGGCTGCGAATGTCGCCTGAGCCGCTCGGGAGCGTTTGAGACGGCGGTCCTGATGAATCGCGGACCCTGAGGTCCTTGAGTTTGTATATGTATAGGTCTATAGATGGCCGGCTGGCTCGGCGATGTTGCCCTTCCTCGGGGCGGCGTAGTTTGCTTGACCTCGCGAACAGGCGGCTTGGGCTTCTTCGCGGGACTTGCGGATTTTCTTACAACTTTGGGCTTTTGTAGTGTTGTGGTTTTTGCAGCCCCTGTTGAATCTTTAGTTCCTGAGCTTTGGCCTGATGATGCCGGGATGAAGGGTCGAACACAGTTGCTGATGTAGTCATTAGAAACGCCCAAGGATCTAGCATCAACGATGCCCGAGTTGATCCGGTTGATATACTCCTCCTTGGGCTGGCTGTCGACGATGTATCTTGGACTGATGTATACCAAGATATTCTGTTCCACGTGTGGTTTATGGTTGATAGGTTTTTTCGGTCCATCTCCTGGCTGGGCTAGATGGCGAGCCTGTTCTGGGCCACCATTATTGACGATCCAAGACACAGGCCGGCGATACAGGGCTGGTTCGGCACGCCGCAAAATGACAGGCATGTACTGTTTTCTGTATGCGTCCTTGGAAACGCCTTCATTGACATCGAGGCGTGCCTCGTCGCGGGCATTGATTTCATAGACGAGACCTTCAACCCAGTGGCCCTGAGCCTCAAGCACATTTGCGTAACCACGCTCGTTGATCTGCCAGCGATGGTCACACAGCTTTGCACAGCCGACGAATTTGCTTCCAGGGCATCTTCGCTTCATCTGCTCTAGGTGAAGATTGCTCCCATAGGCAAAGTAATATTTGGTGATGCCCTGCCCGGTGTCGGCAGACGGGGCTCCATCTGGAGGTGTATTCATGTTGACGATCTGTCGGAGGCAGCAAGCTCCGTGTATCCGATGGGCGAGGTGAGAGAAAAAAACACAGTACTGTAAGTGTGTGAGTGTGTGTACGTGCGTTTGTTGCGAATGAATATGTTGCGTTATGGTAAGGTTTGAGAATGTGATAGTGAGCTAACGGCAATTAAGATGTGATGGGAATCGGCTCCCTCACATGAGCAAAACAATCATCGATCCTGCAAACAACGTCCACGTCGACTTCTGCCAAAGCATAAACTAGGCTTGCGTGACTTGCGTACAGCAAGCAGCAAACAGCAAGGAGCCAGCTCAAACTGGGCTCTGCGCCAGCGGCGCTCAATAGGCGGAGTGGACCAGGCCTTATTGTCACATTGGGCAGCAAATGAGTCAGATTCTCACATGGGGGAGAGGACAACTCACGGCCAATTGCTGCGGTCCACGTTAAGAAGGCATGCTAGGCGACTGGCAAGCAGCTTCTACGGAGTACAGGGGCAAGGGGGGAGACAATCAACGCTGTCTGAATACCGATTGTCTGGGCGGTCTTCAACGACTGGGGCCAAAAAAGGCAAATGTCGTTGGATAGCCCCCAAAAGGATCGAGACGCTACGGCCCAGCCCGCTTTACAGGTGCCATTTCTTGGAGGCTGGCCTGGCTGGCAGTCCTTAGGCTAACCCCGTACCGACTGCGGAGCACCCGTCAATGCCCCGGCCCTCTCGGCATGCACCCCCGTAACCCCCGGCGAGACCCACTACGGCAGCTTTTGCTAATGGAAATCATCCAGATCATCCGCACCGCCATTCGAGGCCAGAAACAGTCGGGGCCCTTTTTGCTGTACTTAATAGACTGCGAGGCGGCGCTCCCCTAGGACATGACTGTGATAGCTCATATTAGGCGAGCGAGTAGTTACTCTCTGAAAGCTGAGAGCCATACAACCTGAGATTCCTGCTGTGCTTTGGGTCGGCAAGCCATCATATCCAAACATTCCGATTAAGGCAGAGGCACATAACAAATCGGACGATCAGCTCAACGTGATACGACCTCCTCACTGTGGAAAAGGGAAAATTGTACAAAAACCAAGGACGGGCATCTACATACATCTGCAAGGCCTGATCCGCCACCGTCAATCCCAAGCTTGACCCAACCTTTTCTTTTTCCCAACCCAAGTCCCCGTCTTTGCATTATCGCCATGTCGATCCTATCAACACCAAAGCTCAGGCACTACAACTTTGGCGTCGAGATCGAGGCTGTCGTGAAGCCCTACGGCGGCGCAGAGAGCTTCACCAACGTCGACTGGTACCGACAACTTGCCCAGAAGCTCCGCAACCGCAACATTGAAGCTGTACACGACGACTGCTCAAAGTACAGCAAACACCCGGAATACTACGGTGGCAAATGGTTTGTCACTAGAGATGGATCTCTGAAGAGAGAACGTCCCATGGGTATGTGATCCATTTTTTGATACTGTACCAACGCAACTTCTTTGCTTTGTTTCGCTAACATGGGTATCCCAGTCTGCATGGAGGTCGTATCTCCCCGTCTAGACACCAAGCAACATGTCAGTGGTATCCTCGGCGACTTCTGGGAAGCAATGCGTGTACACTTCAGCCCTCAGCGCGACATCTCCTGCGGCGGCCACGTCCACGTCACACCCGTCTCTCGCCAGAACAAGTTCTCCCTTCGCGGCCTGAAGAAGATTGCCTTTGCAACGACAGTCTACGAGGAATTCGTGGCAGCCGTTCTCCCCAAGGTGCGCCGCGAGAACCAGTACTGCCGTCCCAACAGCCAGAGCATGGGATCTGGGGTGCACGCGACGCTATTAGCGCTTGGCAAGAGCAAGAGCACACTTCTCAAGATTGCGACTGAGATCAGATCGAGGACTTCTGAGGCAGAGCTGTGCTACTACATGCAGGGGAACAGATATGTGTTGTGGAACTTCCAGAACATCTTCCCAAGTCCCAAGACCGGGAAATGCACAGGCACGGTCGAGTTTCGTGGCGGTAACCAATTCCTGAGCACAAAGGGGACGCTTGCCTGGGTGGCATTCGTGATGGGTTTCATCACCTTGGCTTTAGAGGAGGTAAGTGTTTGGACAACATTAGTATACTGAACCTCTTCTAACAAGTATTATAGGATCTGCTCCACAAGCTTACTAGTTACACTACACCCGACGATCCAAAGTTCCAGGCACGTCTTGAGTCCTGGTGGAAACGGATTCGTCAAGCAGCCAGGCAATCTAAGCTTGGCCGATACTTACCCTCAGAATACATAGAGATGCATACAAGATGATTACACGGCATGGTGCCCTTTCAGCTTACCAGTTCAACGACAGACTCGCCTTCTAGCCTACCTCGGGCTGAGGCACATATTCTTTGACTTTTCATGATATTTTACTCTAGGGATTGGGATCTTTTATTCAACTGGAGTTGGCGCATTCATCGGTGTTTGGGACACGAGCATAACTTAGGAGTACATATTAGCCATCAATAAACGGAAATGTTCAAAAATCAGGCATATCTCATAACCAGCAAGTAAGTTTAGGTAATGTTCAATCCTTTATTCCCGCTCCGCAGGTAGAGTTATACAAGATTTACTCTCAAGAATAATAACGCCAAATTCATTATATCATGGTATTCAATAGCAATCATGAGTCTCCCTCCTCCTTTGTTTCAGCCTCTTCGAACTGCACAAGCACTGTGCCTGCTTTGCAAATATCCTGGACAATGTTAGAAAAAAAACACGATATATTGATAGGCTGTAATAACTTACTCCTTCTTTGTGTGCGAGTTTCTTAATGACACCGTCCTGCGGTGATCGAATAATAGTCTCCATCTTCATTGACTCGATTCTGCGAACTTGTTAATATGTCTGAAAATAAAATCCAAAAGAGCAAACTTACACCACAAGAGGCGCCCCCTTTTGCACAGTTTGGCCCTCCACAACCTCGTTCTTCAAGATCTTGCAGGGCATCGGCGCCGCAACAGAGGCGCTTGACTCCTTGAGGCCAAGAGCCTTCTCGTACCATTTGGGTGGCAAAAGGACAAGATCTGTCTTCACACCATGCTGGAATACAGTAACCTTGGTGTCGTTATCTGTGTGTTGAGGTACGATGGAAGATTGAATTCGTTCCTGGGGGAAGTATGACTCGAGCTTCATAACCTCGCCCTCAGGCTCTGGTTGGCAGGTAATATTCGTGAACACCTCAGGTGTCTCATCACCTTTTCGGGAGACGGTAACGTCATATAGGTTGTGGCCTGTCTGTGTCACGCTGGCCTCTACAACTTCACCCTCTTCCTGGCTGTATCCATCGAGAATCTTGAAAGACAGCTTTCGTTCACCAATGTTGTTGGTCTCGCCAAAGCCAAGTGTGAGACCCTGGGGCCCGGCACTTTGAACTTCAAAGTTCACCATGCCAAGGGCTGCTTGTGCGACGACTTCGTTCTTTATGTGCCGGGGCTTAAATAGCTGTTCCCGCCATTTGTCGATGAAGCCCGTCTCCACATCGCCAGCCACAAAGGCATCGCTTTCACAGAGTCGCTTTAGGAATTCGATGTTTGTAGCAACACCGACAATCTCGTAAGATCGTAAGACGCTCTCCATCTTTGCAATAGCACGCTCTCTTGTATCGCCTCGTACGATAAGCTTAGCAATCATGCCGTCGTAGGCCTCGGAAATGGTGTTGCCGGAACGGAAACCCCAATCCAGACGCACATCCTCATTCTGCAACTCAGTAGGGAGGTAGGCCCTCACTAGCTTGCCCGAGTCAGGAATGAAGCCCTTCTCGGGATTTTCAGCGTAAATTCGTGCTTCAATGGCGGCGCCTCTCTCGTTCATCTGGACTTCCACCTCTTCCTGAGACAGAGGAAGTTTCTCGCCGCCGGCGATTCGAAACTGCCATTCAACCAAGTCCAATCCAGTTACCATTTCGGTAACAGGATGCTCAACCTGGAGTCGAGTGTTCATTTCCATAAAGTAGAATTTGTTGGTGTCCTTATCGAGAATAAATTCAACAGTACCAGCACCGACGTAACCGACCGCTGAGGCTGCCTTTCGGGCCTTATCCCAGAGATCATGACGGGTTGCTGTGTCAAGATCAGGAGCTGGTGATTCTTCGAGGATCTTCTGGTGTCGGCGTTGAATACTGCAGTCTCGCTCACCTAGAGCGACAGTGTTGCCCCATTTGTCGGCAAAGACTTGCACCTCAACGTGTCTTGGACGAATGATGTACTTTTCCACCAACATCACCTCGCCTCCCTCTCCAAATGAGGCCTTGGCCTCTGCACGGGCACTCCTGAGCTGCGTCACGAACTCTTCCTCTTTCAAAACGATTCTCATTCCCTTGCCTCCTCCACCTCGCACACTCTTGAGGAGTACAGGGAATGTGACCTTCTTAGCGTGTTCGAGCAGCTCTTGTTCGCCTTGGTCTGTGCCATGGTAACCAGGAACGCAGGGAACGTTGGCGGCTGTCATAATCTCCTTGCTGCGAGCTTTGTGTCCCATATCGGCCATAGCGGTTGCGGGTGGCCCAACAAACACAATGCCCTCCTCTTCGCAACGTTCTACAAACTTAGAATTCTCGGACAAGAATCCATAGCCGGGATGGAGCGCCTGGATGCCATTCTTCTTTGCCAAAGCGATAATCTTCTCGCCATCTAAATAGGCATTCGCGGGGCCGAGACCCAATGATTGGAATCCTGAAGAAGCATGCCACGAGCCAGCGTCAACATCAGTGTAGACGGTAGTAGCTCGAATGCCTAGGCGCTCCGCTGTTCGATTGATGCGAATCGCAATCTCACCACGGTTGGCGATAAGAACCGAATTGATGGGCGTCTGCTTTGGTGTAGATGAGGAAGAGGCTGCTGAAGTAGCGGAGGCGCTGGAAGAAGTAGTCGTAGAAAGAAACCGAGGGAGAGGCTTCATAGGAAGACGACGGTTTGCGCGAAGTGTGGAACGCATGATGGACGATCGATCAGGTTACGAAAGCACCCAATTTGAAGTCTAAGAGCAGTATGCAGCTTGACAAAACGTCAGAAAGAACCTCAGAGACATAAATAAGAATAGAGCTCGTCCGCGAAAATCTACCTCGGGATATGACCTTCGTTTGTAATGCCGTGAATGTGCTATGCCGTCGGCTTTGAAGGTTCAGGCGGTTCAAGCCCGGCAAGTACAGCCGTGTCCGTGAGGAACCGCTAGTAGCCGGGAACTTGGGCACTTTCCTTCCCCAGACGGAGATTTAGAAAAGCTCCAACTCTGGGGAAAGCGCACTCCGTTCTTTACGTCATCGTCAGAATGACTAAGCTACCTAGGTAGGTGAGCAACTCGCGGAATGGACCGTGCAGCAGAGCAAAGCTGTTTGGAGGAAGCTTCCCTGCAGAGCCTATCTGAGCATCATCAACCATAGCCAAGGTATCAGACTATCACAAACTGCACATTATGGAGCAAATACCACTCAATTCCGAAGCCTCTGAGGGCGATACCCACAAGCAGACAACCTCAACACTTCCCCAGGACGTCGTTCAGTGTCTGGACAATGCTCGCTTTGTATGATCTACCCCTCCCCCGCGCTGTTGAGAGCACTTCAACAACACGGATCAGCCACTTACAAGATATAGCTTCACTTGGCAACATGTACCGATAACGTGCCGCACGTTTCTCTTATGAACTATACCTACCTCCCATCATCGCCTTACTCCAACTATCCCGTTATCGTCATGACAACCAACCCGGCATCTCGGAAGACTACCAACCTGATTGCCAATCCCAACGTATCACTCCTTGTTCACGATTGTATGTATCCCTGTCCTAACGAAGCTGAGATACTAACCAGCACCTCAGGGGTTTCCCACCGACCACCCACTCAGAACCGCCGACCATCCGGTGGTTCCCCCGGTCCCGAACACCGTTCAAGTCTTGCATCGCTTCTTTTGAACCTCAACACCTCAGCACTCTCTAGCATCAGCGCGACCATAGGAGGCGCCGCTCGAATGGTGCCTAGCGGAACAGAGGAGGAGAAATATTATCGCGAGCAGCATCTCGAGAACAATACCTTTGAAGAGTCTACTAGTCAGTCTTTCCAACGCGACGATGGACCTCTTGAAGACGGAGGACGAAACTGCTTTGTTGCTGGGGAGGAGGTCAGGGTTGTGACTGTAGATATCAAGGACGTGCGCATCAGTGACTGGAAGGGCACTGTAAGAGACTGGGCAATTATCCCACAGGAAAACCTGGTTAATGGAACCCAGTAGATGGGTGGTATCGTTTACTCTTTGGAGTTTTGTACTTTTACGTCAACATAAGTAGCCATTGGGCGCATCACGCACTGCCATTCATCAACGAGCTCAGTTTGAAAGACTAGTTTGTTTTATTATTAATCATCTCGTCGCGATATTGCCTGCGAGAACCGCTTAACTCCCGCTACAACCAGTGTTTTAGAGAATGAAAAGGCAACAAGTGCAAGATGCTTAGTTCAAACGCAATCTTTTTCACTACGAGTGCTGCACGATCGTCAGGTTATTGCAGGACCATTCCATTCTAACCATGTCCCCGATTGATTCAACCCACCAACGCCATAGCAGGAAATCAGATATACAAGCAGTCAGATAGACTCAAAAATAGCAGTTAACATGAAACCACCTTGGTTCGTGTACTTTTCCGATTGATACAAGCAGGCATGTGTGTTACCTGGCCCACTCGACAACTTCAAGGGCCATCATCACCAAAATGAGAGTAGAGGGGAGGATCCTACTTTGGTGTTAGCGTAGTTCGGAGTGCATTATACCGAGGGTTAACAATCAATTACTTACCAGATAACATAACTTTGGAACAAGATTCTGCCCATGGTCTTCTCAAAGACGCCGTTAATTTGGCAGATTTGAGCAAGCTGAAGGGCACTGGGGGCTCCAGTGAGCAAGAAGCAGACGATAACGAAGATGGGATCGTCAAGAATGCTGACGTTCACATATTTGGCCATAAGCGCAAGCATGGGGGCCATGATGGCTGTGGGTAGAACCATACGGCAAAGCAGCGAGGCAACCAGGAGCTTAGTTCCCATGCGCTCTTCCTCAGGGTCCAAAGCCTCATCCTTTGCCATAGTGTTGCGAGCAAGGTTAGCGCCAAGTACGACAAGAATCAATGGCACAGCAACATTTCCACTGGAGCGAACGGCGTTGGTCACACTGTTCTGGACAAAAGAGCCCTCCTCGAAGAACAGTCGCTGGAGGTCTGGGATAGAGGCAACAAGGACGGCGATCAGCATAGCCCACAGGGGAGGGTTCATGAACTCCCAGATGAAGTTGTTGACCTTTCCACCCACACGCTTGGTGAACTTCAAGAAAGACTTGACAGTAGCAGGAGACTTCTGATACCAGTTGGTGAGGGTCTTGGAAGTTGCCTTTTGGATACGGATAAAGGGTGACTTGATCGCAGACTTGGTACGTTCCGCAACGCCAGATGGCTCTTCATCGTCTTCCAGTGATGGGACAGGGGGAAAAGAGTCCATGCTACCATGGTTGCCATTGAGAGGTGCAACAATTTCCGGATGTCCTTGGTGGTTCTTTGAGTTGTTTTTCTTGGGGAGGTCGTCATCGCTAGAAACTGCAAGTGACACCCTGGAGGCGCTCGCGATAGGAGTACGGCCAGCAGGATCATAGTTCTGCGAATCGATGCTGTGGTGGTCACCCTCATCTTCCGTCTCTCCATCAAGACCCTCAATCAAGGCTGCAGTCTCGTGCTCATCGTGTTCCTCATCTCGGTAACGTTGTCCTTCCTCTGCAATCTCCTCGCGATACTCGGGGTATGAGTCCTTAGGAGCAAGGAGAACGTGGTATCCCCAACTCCAACGAACAAGCTGACCAAGTTGCTGGAAGATGAGGAGGTAAAGAATACCTCGCGCACCAACCTCATCGTCGTTATCGCCAGGGATCTTGTCCCAATGCAGCCCCTTCAGAGTTTGAGAGAGCGACAGAACAAGGGAGATAGGCAGGGAGTTCGAGTTTCCAAAAACACCCATAGCTGTGACGAAGTTGGACGCCCGTCTGTTGAATCGGAACAGCTTGGCGACAATGTAGGATACGACCCATGAGACGAATGTTTGGACGACGAAGATGATTGGAATGATGGCGAGATCAGAAAGCTTCTCAGCGTTAAGCTGGGATGCAAGTTTCGTAAAGACTACGGAGTCGGTGTTAGTGTATCACACATTCAGTGGTGCTTTGATGACTTACTCAGGCATGGTGTAAATAGCATAACATTGAGGTTGGCCAAGAATTTCTGCTTCTCGGCATCGAAGTGACCGAGTCGCGCAACGATGTAGCCAGGTAGACTGACACATACTACTTCAAGAACAGCCTCGAAGACGAGGAGGCATAGATGCCCTATCGATGGATGCGCATCATGGGTGTTGGCGAAGGTTTGTAAAGGCAACTCGTATGCATCTTGTGCAAGTTGTGTCAGCCGGAACGACGGAATGGAAAAGGACGAAGCCATCAAGCGATGTTTCTTGTTCCTGTCGTTATAGGGAAGAAAATCAAGGATCGGCGCGAATCGGAGAGTTCTTGAACGCTTAGATCTCTGGGCGCGCGCGCACGTGTGGATGGAACTGATAAGAATTAGGCCTTTCGTCAAAATCTGGGCGCGTAAAACGTTCCACGGAAAGGCGTAGTTAAGGTATGGGAAAAGAGTCCTCTTTAATTGACTTGATCGATTGTACTGATGGATGATGGAAGAAGAAAGTCAAACCCTCACGATAGTGAAATCTTAAAAAAGCGCAGCGCGGGTGGGTTCTTTTCTGGGGCGGTACGCTTTTGGCTTTTCGATGTAGAACAAGTTACAGGCGGCGATGCACGCCCCCTTCATCGATTGATAACCTTGAACTAGCAGGGCCGGGGCTATATTGGACTATGACCAGCCTCCATCAGCCTGCCTTGTTCTTGTTTAGGCTACATGAAACCTCAACCCGGGCTTTCAGCTCCATGGGGAACTGTCACTGTGATATGACGATTCACCCGTAACGGTGTCGCTATCGCTGTCGTTGTCACTGGACCGCTGGGTGGTACGACCGCCAGCAATGCGCCCGCGCTTCTAAATGAGGTAATTCAACCCAACCCTAACCATACCTTGGATAAAGAAGCCGACCATTAAAACACGCCCATGTGTTGCAGTGCAGTGGCGTCAGGGCCGCGTCGTTCCAGCAAGGGTTTTGGGAGGCCAATTTTTCATCGATAGGAGGCTTAGGAGCTACCGTTGGAGTCCTCCAGATACACTTTTTTGCAGGGCCACGTCGTCAAACAAGCACAAATGTGACCCCCTTGTATCACCAAACAAACAGATCGACAGTGCTCCCTATGATGCGATACAGGACGTAGCAACGAAAACGACTTGAAGGGAACAAAACCACAGGCTCCATCATCAGACGTCTCAAGTTGCTCAAGCCTCCATGCCCAGGGGTGGATCAGGGAGCGATCTTCCGGCGAGACGCTTGAACGAATTGGGATTTAGAGTGCGCCGCCAGTCTTTCGTCATGGTTTGATCAGGGCACGTTGCCTATCTCTCCACGCTTAGAGGCTAGAGTCCTCAAGCCTTCATGATCGCCCAACGAAAGGCCCTGAATAGCGAGGCGGTGCACGTGTGGTGCTGTGGTGGTATTCAGGTATTGGATAATTATGGTTCTGCAGATACCAGCGGCAAAGTCTATCACAGCTACGAAGCTGCTGTCACTCGATGATCTTCGATATTAAAGCCTGGGGGTGAGACACGCTACGTAGCCATACATAATATCTTAAATACTGCATACAACCAATAGGCACTGGTAGATGTAGGGGGTTCTGAAATAATGTCTGTTGATCTGATAATTCTTTTTCTAAAGTCGTTTATCCAAAGCGACTGGAGAGCTGTCTGTGAAACAGTTTATGACATAGACAGGCAAGGTGCTCCGGGGTAAGCTGATATGGATGTTTCAATAAAACCACCCAGTAAACAAGATAGGTTCGTACGAAATTATTGTTTGTCGAAGACATCCTTTACTGTGTGTTATTTTGTTTCAGGGATATTGGAATTGTACGACAACAACCAGCCTCCCCCCTTGATACATGTCACCGTTGCAGTGGTCAAGAATGTGAGTTTGTATCATAAGAGTTTCGAATTGTGCCTCAGATGCGCGGTTCCCGTTACTAACTTTAGAGTTAAGCATGACCTGCATGGATCGCCCTCGTGTCAAACATGGCAAAGAGATGGATGTGCAGTACTGGGCACAATAGAGTTTCGAAACATTCCCACATTGGTCTCTCTCTTGATTTAGGCGTTAAGTCTCAGTGGATTCATAAATGGTTGTAAGATAACTCTGTACCTAGCGATGCAAGGTTGAGATGTTTCATATAGGCATATCCTCAAAGTAGCATGCAGCCCATCAAGAACAAAACCTGTATTTATGGGATTTCGATTCTTCATTTTTCGTGAGTCAAGTTTATGCGCTACGAGAGCGTACGAGTCTCCTTTCGAGAAGAAAATAATGGCCAGGACCTAATTACCTCATTCTATTCCTGACTGTTCATATGTGTATCGGTGAAGTCTATAGAGCTATCGATACATGCTTGTACACGAAAGCAGCCCCGAAGATCACAACTCACCGGCTTTTGTTCCTGTACATGTAATCAACCAGGATTTCTAGCAATGCCATTACTCACCCAATCAGCTAGGCATTGATAGGAGGGAGGGTTTGGGAGAGATATCCAGTCGCATGTATGTGACGTATTAGTTGAATTGTCTCGCATAGGCATGCTAGGGGGTGAAGTAAGACTTCGGACGTGAGAAATTAAATAGATGTAGACTATCATATGCCATAATGACTGCAATCGGCTCTGAGGTATAATAAAGTTATTAAATATTAGACTAAGGCTTAATAACTATTTTAATATTAATATAAAAACGAAATAATTTTATTTAAATATTATTCTTATAGTATAAAGTCATCCTAGTTTTAGTTCCGTGTCTGATATTTTATTTTACCTGGAGGGCATGCTGTTGCCAACGGTTCACATTCAGATTTAAGGCCCAATATTTATTATATTCAGGTATCGCTGACGTTTTGTTTCAGACACTTGTTTCCCTTTGATCATCCGGTACTTAATCGTCTATCTGTCTATCAATGAAAATATTTGTGTGTCAGTGTCCACTCTCAAAATGCAGCAATGAGTGATGTATCCAATCATTTCAGCGTCAAGCGGATAACGGAAGAGCCCCGGTGCTCAAGTTGATATTCCTTCATTGGATAGTGGAGTCGTTCTTTCAAGATTCCAAGCTCAGCGTACACACAGATAGAGATGAAGCATTAATATTAACGACAACATCTGAAATCCCGTACTTTGCGCAACACTTACATGGGCCGTCCATGTTTGGGTATTTATGTCGCCTAAGACGCTATCGGTTCCCCACCTCGAATCAAGGCTTATATGGCCGCATTAACGTCATCGGTGACAGCTCCCCATCGACGATGGCGTCGCAAATTTCCCAGAATCAAGGACGACGTTCCGCGAAGCCTTGAAAGCAACAATCTGTTTTTATAGTGCATATTGCTTCTTCTATAGTGTTTTGTTTACAACAACTATTGAGCATTAGTAGAGGCCAGATATCACTAGTAGAGCATAAAAATGCTGTCATCATGACACTCGTAGGCTTATATCCATTTTGTCAGAATCCTGTCTTCCTCCATGATGGATCTTCACAGTGGACGCTTCCTGGTGACGTTAGCGCGTCCATTTTGATGTGCGATCCATCCATGGAATGGATCCTTGTGGCGCCCACCGCGGGGAATTCCTTCCTGCCACTGTGGCCGATGGGCTGGGCGAGCTGGGTTAACCCCCTGAAGATATGATCCAGCGGCATAGACAGCCTGGAAGAGCGCTTTGTGCCGTGCCGCGTTCTGGACCTGTTTTCGCTTGTCCTACACCACACCACACCACATCAGCGTTGTATTCAAAACTATCACCAACATCTTCAGCCTCGTCTCGGGCTTTTTCTTCTTCTTTCTTTCTTGTCACGGCTACATACTACCTTCTCGTCCTCTTATCTCGCATTCTCACCTGCGTAGATATCACTCATTGCCTCGTACAATCCATTGACACTCTCCCTATCATCTTGTTGCTCGCTCGCGCAAGTGCTTGACCCCGCACCAACCGTTCGCAGTTTGCTCTTGTCTACTTCGATGTACAAGAGATCGACTTAGCAGCTGATTTAATTCTTCACTTTTTTTCCTCATCACGGCCAGACGTTTCTTAAGGTACGTAATCGATCATGATAGCATTATGACGCCGGCAGCCCCGTTATATCATTAAAAAGCACCTTAATCTAAATTCTAGTTTTGTTTCAGTTGCCGATTCAACTTTCCACAACTTTGGACAAGCCCCGCGAGCTTCTATCTTGAGCTTTGCTTTTGAGTAACCTCTGCTGCCGAATAGTCCCCATAAAGGTGCTCTTCAGCCTGTGAAGCTCCGACATACTTCTATCTCCGCTTGCGCACCTTCAATCGCCTCATACCCGTGCGCACCGGACAACAAATTAAAATTCTGTTCGAGGTCGTCAATTCAATATCAACGTTATCAGGACGAGCGCCTTCTTGAGCTTATTCGTTGTTTCCGGGCTTTGGTAGCCTTCCCCAACTGCGAGGGGTCCCAGTCGTTGAGCCGTACTCCGTACTAGAGTTCTAAGAGCCTAGACCGCCCGCTGCTTGACATTTAGCTCTGAAAGAATCGCACCATCATCTACTTCCCCTCCATCGCTGCTTCTTGTACCCATCCAATCGATCGTGTCCCGTCTCCCGATCGACAGCTCCCCGTGGTTTTGTCAGGATATCTGTCGTGTTTCCACGCCGCTTCAAATTTTCCATCGAGAATTTTCTTCTCCAACAACTACTAATCGCTCTTGTTAAACGACACAGCCTTACCTAACCATACTTTATCGTGTTGCCTTCAACACTTCATACTCTTCGATGTCCGCCTCCGACTCGATCCCGGCCACGCCGGAGGACTGGAAGGATTTGTCGACACCCGGATCCCCAGGTTCTGAAGATTCGTCCGAACCTAGCACGCCGCTCGAATCCCCTGGTCAAGATAGCCCGAATGAGCTTCCTCGACGAGTCCCGTCCCTACGCTCCGTATCTGATCCCCGCAACATGAACCCCAACTCAACTGCGATGGGCGTTTTGGGCATGGCCAGACGCCCTGTGCAAACATCCTCCAGTTTTGCTGGAAGCAGCAGTGCTTCGGTGGAGAATAGCATCATGGCCAAGGCCCGGGCACTGCACCAGCAACGAATGCAAAAGGGCATGTCACCGGCCGGTAATCCAGCGTCACCCTCAGGACAGTCGCCAACCTCCAGCGTATCGAACGGCTTCCCCGCCAACTTGCGAATGCCGAATATGCAACGACCGCACGCTCCTCATGTCAACTCAGCTCCTGCGATAACAAAACCCTCATTGAGCGAGAGAAGGGCCAAGATGGGCGGTGGCATGGGAATGTCGCTATCTAATATGAATGGACCAAGCCCTGCCACGGCCACCGGTAAGAAGCGAGGACCTCCTGGGAAACTATCCGATATCACAGGTGACGCACCCGGCAGTCAACAGTCGAATGGATCAGGGGCTGGCCAAGGGTCAAAGATGGACGATTTCAAGAAATACATCGATACTGAGAAGGGATGGGTGACATTTGATGGCGCTGCCACAATCACACGGACAGGAGTTAACTTTGCCAACGGGCAGACGTTCAGCATATCACTTGATGAAGTGGAAGTGTTGACGGAATTGGGCAAGGGAAACTACGGAACGGTTTACAAGGTCAAACATGCCAAGAGGAGAGCTCCCCGATTTGGCTCAGGTCTTTCAAGAAAGCCTCTTCCCGTCCAATATTCACAATCCGACCCTTCCCCAGTCAGGCCTGCGGAAGACTCCACCGAGGATTCAGGCGACGGTACCACTGGTATGATCATGGCAATGAAAGAAATGCGGCTTGAGCTTGACGATGCCAAATTCACGACCATCCTGAAGGAGCTTGTCATTCTGCACGAGTGTATTTCGCCATATATCATCGACTTCTACGGTGCTTTCTTCCAGGAGGGTGCCGTTTACATGTGCATTGAGTACATGGATGGTGGTTCCATTGACAAGCTGTACACTGGTGGAATACCTGAGAGCGTTCTGCGAAAGATCACATATTCAACAGTGATGGGTCTGAAGTCGTTGAAAGACGAGCATAGCATCATTCATCGTGATGTCAAGCCCACAAATATTTTGGTCAACTCACGAGGTCAAGTCAAGATTTGTGACTTTGGTGTCAGCGGTAACCTGGTTGCCAGCATAGCCCGAACCAACATCGGTTGCCAGAGCTATATGGCGCCGGAAAGAATCTCTGGTGGTGGGTTTGCACAAGCAGGCAACTCTGATGGATCATACAGCGTTCAAAGCGATGTCTGGAGTCTAGGTCTGACTGTCATTGAGTGTGCTAAGGGTGCATATCCTTACCCACCTGAGGTATCTTCTACTATCTTTAGTCAACTTAGTGTAAGTCTGCTCAATGTTTTGTCCACGATAGAGGTACAAATACTAATATGGTGTAGGCTATTGTTGAGGGCGAACCCCCCGCGATGCCCGAAGATACTTACTCAGATACTGCCAAGGACTTTGTCAAAAGCTGCCTTCACAAAATCCCTGCGAAGCGGCCTACTTACGCAATGCTGCTGAAGCACCCTTGGCTTATCGACTTTACCAAGCCCCAGACTATTACTGAAGAAGCCGAGGATGGAGACGAAGCCGACAAGGTTGCAGAAGCTGTTGGTAAAATTGATCTCAACTCGACAACTGAAGACACTGAAGTGGCGGAATGGGTCAACAATGTGCTGCGGTTAGAAAAAGAAGGCTTGGTGGCCAGCGGGCCTGTGAGGCCAGCACTACATACTGCGCCGCTCGATACTGTCAGCCCTATTTCAAGCCCCAGTGTCGCATAAGACAGCCGAAGATCTAGGATGAGCGAGTTCGGCCTCCTCTTCTTTTTGGAAGAACTGGATGCGGTGACCAGTCAACAGAGCAGGTATCTAGTTGGCTACAGAATGAAGAACCTCGCAGACCTTGTCTCCATTGATGCGAGGGTGCGATCAATTTATCGACTCTTCCCACGATGATTTAAGTCCACGGTCTTTAGCATGTGCTCATTGAGCCGATGTGACCATTGTTTTCCGCTCTACATTTCTTGGAGAAGACTCCTGTACACGCTTTGGGATGGCTTTAGACGAACCAGGATTGGATCTTTGGCATTTATTTCGAGGGAAAGCTCGACTGGAGGCGAAGGGGACCAGGATAGCATGTTTGATTACTCTCAGCTGTGGACGAAAGGCAAGGAGAGCGTCGGAACGCGACATGATAAAACATAACTTTGGAGGCAGCCGGGTTTCGGTCGTTTAACGATGGCTTAAGATGGGGGTAGAATGCGTGTTATGCACTGGAGTTTAACGAACAAATGAATAACGCAAGTATGGATTTGCATGATGTTTAAACTATGATGTTCGGGACTGCCAGTGATCTATAAACGGTGTCGTTAATATAGTAGGTGTGCAAATGTTCCGACAGCTTCCTCTTTTCTAAAGTTTGTATAAAATGATATAAATTGTAACAAACTTTTCTATTTTATATAATCTTATATAATCTTAAGATAATATTTTGTACATAGTATTCTAATTATTATATATTCTAAATGTTTATATTATTTTATATATATTTCCCGTTAGCTAATTATCGGAACTTTTGTACAGGACTGTATGTTGTGTGATAACGTCTATGTGAAGTCAAACTGCTGCCGAACCTTAAAGTTGGGCACTGGCTGGTCGCTGTTGAGACAAACCAGTATGATGACGGTTATTGTCTACTGTCTGTCTCACTGACATACTCTTAAGCAACTTCATGAGTGAACTGGGACTACGTGTCAAAATTAAGGTGTATGTTCTTGCAATATCATATATTCGTAAATAACTATTAAGCAGTCGATGCAGCATGCTTCTCATAAATCTTGCCATCAACTCTCGGCACTTCCACATTACTTTTGAAACCCACGCCCATCGTCATCATACATCGTGTGTACAAATCCGCCAAGAGGTAACAGCCGGGGTTGTAGATCAAATATGAACAGACAGAATTATGTTGTCAAAACCGCAAATGGTTGAGCTCGCTGTACGCGATGCATCGCGGTGATTTCACCTCGCGAACAATTGAGTTCATATAAATCGACGTTGACTTCCCTCGGTCCTTCATTAACGCCTCGCCAACGCCAAAACGCTCGCTTAGCCAGGGCCGTTTAAGACACTTGTCGAGTAACAATTTAGGAGTAGTCATCCTTGACACGGCGACCCTCGTAACCTCCACCGTTGGTGCTGCGGACGCTGCGTCTGCGGCGCCATGAACGACCGCTGTAGCCTCCGCTTGCAGCCTTATCGCCGCCGCGCATGCCCAGGCAGAAGAGGATGGTGGCAATGAAGAGAGTTGCCCAAGATGCCCAGGCGAATCCGAAAGCATAGCGACCAATGGAGGCCGAGCGGCCGTCACGCTGGAAGGCGTTGCGGGCGAGAACCCAAGTAGCACTAGAGATGAGTGTTAGTACAACACCACAGTATAAGCGAGAGAGGAAGAAACCTACGTCATAAGAGACATGGCGACGGACGAGCAGAACAGGGCGAACATGGAGATGAAGCCAGAGATGCCAGCGCCGAGACGGCCACAGCATGCAATGAAGCCGGTGAAGAAGGCGATGGTCTCGAAGAACAGGGTGATCAGGATGAAGACCCAGCTGAAGCGCCAGAGGAAGAATTGTCTGTTGGAGGTGGTGTCGCCAGCGCGACCGCCGACGAGCGAGCTAGGCGCATTGCGAGGGTTCGAGTTCCAAGCACGTCCGATGACAGGAGCAGCGCGAGCGCCGTCGCAGTCGTTGTTGCCGGCGCCGCAGATGTAGAAGAAGTTCCACTGGGTGATTTCGCGGGCACCTGAGATGCCGCCTGTGTCGGCGCGGAGGAAGTACGTCTTGTCAAAGGGCGTGGTTGAGGTCAGGCCTGACAGGATGATGAACCACAGCAGGAGGAGGGAGACGGCGATGAGGACCAGGCCGGCAAGGCCAAGAGGAGCGTCTGCAGATTGAGGGTTAGCGATTGATACGGGTGCATCAAGGAAGTCTTTGTTTCCAGGCTTGACTCGATGGATTTGGTGGGAGTAACTTACTCTTCGCCATGATACTGTATTATGTGGTGTTTTGATGCAGGAAACGTTTTGTGTAATCCCAATCGAAATGGTATGCAGTCCCAACAATGACTGATATGGGTTTTCACGACCACTTGTGCCAAAATAAACTGGGCTGCAGGAGATTAATTTGCCGGGACGGGGCTCGGGAATTGGATGTCGTCACGCCAGGATCACCACCAAGGAAGTAGAGAACAGAGCTAAGCAAAGCTGCAGCTAAAAGGCCACTAGAGGGGAATTGTGCGTCTGATGGGGTTGTCTTGTTTCTTTTTCGACCAGGGTCCGCTGGAGTTGTTTGTAGAGGGAGAGACCTCTTGATAGAGAGAAAGGGAGAAGGGATGTTATTAATATAGAATTCAAAGAAGAGGGAACCAGAAGAGAAATGGACGATCGAGTAGTCAGGAGATTGACGATCCTTATGAACCTTGTTTAGCTTCTCTCGGATGGGAGGGGATTCTTGTTTTTTTGTGTTTCTGGAGCTCTCTATTTTCCCCCATTAGCGTCTAGGGGTGATGTGATGTGATGGACTGGACGCTCGGGAGACGGACTGGCTAAGGCGTGTGTGTCGGTGTGGAGACTGAGATTAGAAGAGAGGGAGAGAGAGAGATGTTTGTCTTGGTTGGGACTTGTACGACTACGATGTTGACGAGTTTTGTTTCTTCTCTCCCTTTTGGCTGAGAGACACGGAGTCAGTCTTTGGGGGTGGTAAAACGAGTAGTGATGGCTTCAACAGACAAGAGGAGAGGAAGAGAGTAAGCAGATTTACGAGGATAAGCATTCAATCTTATCACTTGTGAACACAACTCGTCAGCTCTCTCTCGCACGCACACACGGAATACAATACCTGCATCCATGGGAGGTTACGTCGGTCACTCGTGGTTGTCCACCCTGGCTCTAACTAGCAAATGCTCCAGGGCATCATACATAATCCCAGGCTTTTGTACCCTAACTTTGCGCTATCAAGCTCTCCAGCTTTGAATCACACTAAAAAGAAGACCTTGTGCCTTCTTGTGCAGCTTGGCAAGCTTGGTTGTTGGGGTGCTACAGCAGATGATGTCCTCTACCTTATTCCAACAGGTCTAGCCTACAATCGTGGACGCCTCAGCCTAACACTAAAATGTATTGCCTATGAAAAGTCCCGAAAGTGTACTCCATAGCCTAGCCTAGGTAGTCTCTACGCAATGACGACACTGGGCACCCATAAACATCTTACCCAATGGAGAAAAGGCTGCACGTCGTAGTCGTAGCTCTGTCGCTTCTCTGATGTCATTGGACTCAAATGGATGATGCGAAAGCGACAGCGACGAGTTCATTGAAACGGAAGGGATTGACAATGATGGATGGGGCGGACAAAGCCAAGGCCTCTAATTAAGTCTCTAACTCTTTTGCTCCGATGAGTTGGCATTCGCTTAAAAGTGTCAAGTTATGTGATGGGGGGTTTTGTGTTGGTTGCTGAACAGAGCCTGAGACATGGACTCTCGCCTTCATTTCAGAAGCTTGAATAATAATAAAGACTAATAATAATGTCTTGTGACGGAGCTTCCCAGGCATGTTACAGTTGCACATAGCAATCGCCTTTTTTTCAGCTCTCTCGGCTCTTTAGGTCTTGGGACTTGGGCCTAAGACTTGGCTTTCATTAGTTTCAGCTAACTTGGCATCCTGCACAAAAAGTTATCCATGCTTCAACGGGCTTCAATTATGCAGCTGCCGTCACACATTGTCATTGTTACCCCAAACAACTGTCATACAAATTCTGTTCTTGATGCTCACCACTGCCTAAGCCACGGTCGCGAAGCTGTAATGCACTCACACAAGACCATCAGAAACACCAGTAATTCCCATCGAGACCAAAACGCAACGCGTTCACATGGAAAGACCCATTTGTTTGGAAATTTGACTTTCCTCGGCGGCTTCCGTCAATCTTCGGCCCTGACTTACCGACGTCACCGGGCGGCCGTCTCCACGGGATCGTCCAACGGGAAAAACTCACTTTCTGCCCCAAAAGATCTGTGTGCTACCAGCTACAGCACATGCGCAGGCACAGGCTTATACCGCCATTTGTTTGATCGGGACAACACACGCTTGTAGGCCAGATCGACCAACTGACTAGCCCGGGCCCCGATCTTAAGTGCTCCCTGTTTCGATCGGCTTGTTCCAGGGCAGGCGCGCCCATTGTACAAAAATGATGTCTAGGATCCGGCTCACGGCCGCTCCGTTCTCCGCCATCCTATCCACCCCGTTCCGTTCCGGAACCGGGGCACCGTCCGGTTGTATCTCAGTCTGTCGGTGGTCATCTACCTACGCCGGTCCGGCGTCCGGACACCCCCTGAAGCTTCTTGTACATAACCACTTTACGGAGTCGGGTCCCGGAGCATTTGTCTCCTATGATACTGCTCACGCTGCTCAGGAAGACCTCCGCTCACAATTTCTCAAGTGGAAGAGTCTACCCGATGAGCAACAACATGTCGATGTACCCCGTCCTCACCTGATCTCCTTTGAGCCTACACCAACTCTTACGCTTGGCCGTCGTCAACCTGCCCTGACACCGGAGCAAACATCTCGCTTTCGAGCACCTCTCTCTGTTGCACTTAATCATAGACGGAAGCCCGTCCCTGAGCAAACTTTCATTCCCAATGTAAGGCAGACAAGCCGCGGTGGCTTAATGACATACCACGGGCCTGGACAGCTTGTGTTATGGCCAGTTCTGGACATGCACTCACCTCTATATGCACACTACTCAGTCATGTCATATGCAAGTCATCTCGAAGCTACCACACGCCGTCTGCTCGGCGAGTTATTTGGTCTTGAAACTTACACAACCCGAGAAGAGCCCGGAGTCTGGGTGCGTACGCCTGCCGGCCAGCCAGAGCGCAAGATAGCTGCGATGGGAGTTCATCATCGTCGACATGTCACAGCCCTAGGCATCGCAGTGAACATCGACGTCCCCGTGGAGGGGCCTGAGGATGCCAACCCGTGGGCTCGCTTTGTTCCTTGTGGTCTTGAGGATAAGCTCGTTACCTCTGTGGCTGCCGAGTTGGGAGAGAGGGGCGATGTCGCGCTGCTGGACGGTTGGGATATTGCCTCGCTGGCAGATAGGTGGGCGGTGTTGTTTGACGAGGGTTTGATGGATGAGGCGAAGAGGGATGTTGATGGTGAAGTAAACTCTGGACTTCGACGAGCTGTCATATGATGCCTCTGTTTGAGTCAGTGTGATTGTATATTGTGCAAGTGTGAATATGTACTTATTGATGTGTATATTGATACCCGGTTAGACGTGTACAAATTTATCCCGGGACGTGATTAACATTTGTGAAATTCACGATATGAGACTAGGTTGACGAGACAAATAGTGGTTTCTGCGTTTCAGATCCTCCTACGGCCACAGTAAACCCATACGGGTGTTTCAAGCTCAATATGGTCATACAACTCAAGACTTTGACTGAGTTCACATCTTGTCCTTTGCTCGACAACATTTTACATGTGTCGATTCATGCAGTATCTTCGCCGATGAAAGAACGTATTGTTCGCATACTTGGAATGAAATCTACCATGATTCCGGAAAAGTAAAACATGTTAATCAAGTACTTGTGGTCTTGCTGATGTTTCAGACTGATCATACGCTGTATCACTGAGCCAACGAGATCTACATCAATACCTGTTTGTATATGCATTGACTTGGCTCGCATTCAACTGTGGGAATTATTTGAATCGCTAATGATGTGAGATCAAGATTCTGCGGTAACAAATGCGAAACATTCAGTCAAGTTGGGGGGTTTGACAATCCAATGCCCATGGCTTTGTTCTTAAGGTTTGACGTTCTACTTGGTGTAGTAAAAGACGAAGCAATAACCAAATCACCAAACCGACTCATTTAAAGAAACTGTTTTTGATTCCGGTGAATCGTCGTGAGCTCATTTTAGATAAGTTATTTCACCACAATATACAATACTACATCATGCGATTACCCGCCTGAGCGAAAAAGACTCAAAAGATTGAAATGTGCCGTAGGGTAACTGCGTTTCTAACCCAATGACACCATTCAACACCCCTGCCCTCGCTTAGGAAGCACCATCGTCTCGGCTTGGCCCGGTAAATGTAAATAATTATCGTTGACGTCTAGAACACTGCATTGAACCAATCAGAAGCAATTACCGATCGCAAGTCCCTTGCTTGCATGATCCAGGGACCTCTGATGATCGGTTGTATCTTTTTTCTGCGCTTCTTTGGTGCTTTGAGATATCAACGATTTGGTGATAAAATGCCCACCATCGCCCCCGGGTTTTATCGAGGCTGTAAAGTAGGTTCTCTATAGACGGATGGAATAGATAAGCTTGATTCCACAGGCTTTATCTTCATCACCGGCGCAACCAGACTTGTCTTTCTCATACCGACCCACCCGCCGGAGACCGAATGTGACTACGCCCACTTCGGCATCAAGCGATTTATATTCCACTCGTCTTTTTTGATATACCAGCTTTATAATCCTTTCATCCTCTTGAATGTGATTACTCTCTTTCTTCCTCTGAGACAGATCACCGTTATCTGTGATTTGTGCCTCAGCATGGACCCTCTTGTGGCCGCAGAGCTGAAGAAGCTCGACGACGGCGTGGCTTTCCGTGCCCGGCCGCAGCATATCCACCATACTTGGGCGCGCACATTTTCGTCCCTCCCAGAGTTATTTATCCAGCCCGAGTCACTCGCTGAGGTCGAAAAGGTTGTAAACCTGGCGCGGAGATGTCGTCGGCGCCTGGTAACTACTGGATGTGGCCACTCACCCTCCAACATCACGTGCACATCCAGCTGGCTCATCAATCTGGACAACCTCAACCGGATCATCTCGGTGAATAAAGACACAGGTGTCGTTGTCATGGAGGGTGGAATCAGATTGTATGCTCTATGCGAGGGCCTCGAGAAATACGGGCTCACGATGCCCAATCTTGGAAGTATCAATGAGCAGTCTATCAGTGGCGCTATTTCTACGGGTACTCATGGAAGCAGTCTGCGCCATGGACTTGTGTCCGAAGACATAATTGCTCTCAAGGTCACATTAGCGAACGGAAAAACCGTCTTCTGTTCCAAAGACACGAAACCGGACCTCTTCAAGGCTGCTCTACTTTCTCTTGGCGCCGTTGGTATCATCACAGAGGTTACGTTCCAGGCTGTGCCATCTTTCACCCTGAAGTGGGAGCAGAGCGTTGATACCGACTACAGCATGTTTGAATCGTGGAACCGCAATCTCTGGACACAAAGTGAATTTGTCAGGGTATGGTGGTTCCCGTATACCAGACGTGCTGTGGTCTGGCAAGCGGAGAAGACAGACGAGGAGCTCCGTGACCCTCCTAAGAGTGGCTACGATGGCTCGATCGGCTACTATGTTTATCACAACCTCCTCTATATAGGCCAATATGTCCCCAGAATTCTGCCCTGGGTTGAGTGGTTTGTTTTCGGTATGCAGTATGGCTTCCGCAATGGAACCACCTCATCAGCCGTTCAACCCAGCCGCCAAGCCCTACTCATGAACTGCCTCTATTCTCAGTTTGTCAACGAGTGGGCTATCCCGCTCCAAAAGGGTCCCGAGGCCCTCAGACGATTAAGCTCATGGCTAAATCACTTGACACCTGAAGATCCTGATTACGTTCCTCACAATATCCCTTTCTCCGCCGACGGTCTCTATGTACATGCACCTGTCGAGGTGCGTGTAAGCGACACCACACTCACGTCCAACGTACGACCATATCTCGACATCACCGTCGACGATGGACCAACTCTGTACCTCAACGCCACACTTTATCGACCTTACCTGATGGATCCGCCCTGCCATGCACGCTACTACGAGGCTTTCGAGTGGCTGATGAAAGATCTCGGAGGTCGACCCCACTGGGCCAAGAACTTCGAGACACAGCGCTCTGAGATCGAAGCGTTTTACGGCAAGGAGCTTCATGCTTTCCGGACGGTACGGAATGATGCTGACCCTGAGGGCATGTTTGTTGGACCTTGGCATCGGGAAAGAATCATGGAAGATGGCGAGGGCCTCGAGCTGGAGGAGGTTGAAGTTCGCAGGGAAAAGAACCGCCTAGGAGGCGTGACGACATTTGGAGTCATTTGATAGCGTTGACATACATCACAAGCCTTTCACGATGGGTACCTAGATTCCGCTCTCTACATGGCCAAACAAAGGAGCTCGAGACTTTGGAGATGTGACATGACCTAAAGAGCTCGAATAGTGGACAAAGTCCGTCGTATTCGTGCGCTCGACAGTAATGCCTTTATTAATATTATATTCAGTCGTTTGTATTCGTCGTCTGTAAAATAGAGGTACAAAAGAATGCCAACGCTATAAGGTCTATAAAAAAAAGAAATCCAGCACCACCAGTCAATGGTGATGCTGTAAGGGGTACTGGACTAAATTTGTCGGTACCCCGACTTCTCATCGATATGTCGATAGCGCTCACGCTCCTTGCGGTCCTTGAGCAGACAGGCGATGCAAAGAACAAAGATGGCGTCAACACCTGAGAATCATGTTAGACATTGCTAGAGGTAGGTGGTGCCGTAGTAGGCGTGAAATGTGTGTGAGACTTACCAACAATACCAAAGAGAACAGTAAAGATACCGTCGATATGCAGATTGGCGAAACTTGAGATGGAGGTAGCACATCCACGTAGCAGAGCCGCACTCGCAGGACTGGAACACACCGAGTCCATGACGAAGGCGGGCGATGTGCTGTTGTCGTAGCCGCAGCATTGGAACTGTGAATTCTGTTAATACATGTCCGATCACGGATGCTTGGGGGTGAAACATACGGAGTTCTGGATCAAGCTTTGCACATCTGGTTCTTGTTCAATGTAGATGCCGAAGAACTGCTCCTTCATCCTTAACGTCATGACCCAGAGAAACACAGCCACACACATGGTGAAGATTGCGCAGATCGTGACCATGTATCCTGAAACCTTGAGAAAACTGCGAGCGGGCATGACGAGTCCTGGCAGGGTGGCGGTGAATGTGACGAGAATGAAGATGGCGTTGACGATGCCCGCCGTCAGAGGGAATCGTTGGTAGAGTAAATTCCTCGTTACACTCTCACCGTCGGATGTGATGTCGTCCATCTGGCTCTTGACGACCAGCGAGAAAACCAGCTCCATGACACCCGACGCGAGGAATATAAGATCGGCCAAGACCGTGCAGAGAAAGATTTTGTCGACCATGTTGAACTTGATTTGCGATGTCTGACCAGACACGCGGTAGAGGTCGGTAGCTTAAAATTGATATGTATTTTCTGTTATTTTTTTCTTGTATCGGGTTATCGCTGCGGGAGATGCTGTTTGTAGACGACCGGCGTCTTGAAGTCTCGACGTGAGACTGGGAATAGGAAAAAAAGAAGGGAGCGGTCCCAAGAGATCAACCCTTGAGAAACTGTGAATATCTTCGGACGAAAAAAAAAAGAAGGACTGGTATATTAAAAAATGAAGAGATCGCCGAAGCGAAGAACAAAAACGGAAGAATCCGGTAGAAAGAGAATGGAAGAGAGGTTTGGTATAGTATAGTAATAAAGAGAGTAAAACGACGACGACGACGTCTCGGAGCGCGCGTACGACGAAGAGTGGGATTCGTTCGTTACCAGACAAAACAGAAACAGACAAAGGGAGGACGGACACCAGATGACGGAAAAATCGAACGATATCGAGACCAAGAATGAAACGAAAAACCAACCCAAACGTCTCGGAAACGACAAAAACGACGAAAACCACCTGATGATTGACAGGTTGGGCGCTGCCAATGCGGTTTCAGGAGGTCCAGTGGTTTTTTCCCTTCCCTCCACTTAGAGGCGGTGCCCGCTATGGTGATACTGGGCCCCTTGGTGTTGACGCCGCTTTGAGGGCGGTGGCCAATCAGGACACGCGGATGCATGGTTCAATGCCCTGTTTGGGACAGCGATCGTAGGAGCCAAGAAACCTGAGACTCGGCAACAGGCGAGAGTTCATTCTAGAGCTGCAATAAAAGGAGTCCAGTGTATGAGAAATTCTCCGTCAAGTAGCAGCAGTCGCCTTATGGCGTGATTCTTGCTGTCTAGATGTTTCGCTTCGTCCATTAGAATGGTCATGATCATGATCATGATTACCATGTCTACGGACATACAAGTCAGTCTTTATAACAAGCCCTTGTTTTTCATCTGCAAAGGATCGCCGGCAGTTGACATGTGCAGTGACCCAAGGCTAGAACGATATCAGGAAAGGTCAAAAAAGGGAATGCTTCGGCTTCCCTTTGCAACGTCTGCGGGTGCAAGAAACCCTGGCTTGCCGCTAGGACAGATGAGCTTAATCGTCCAGAAGTTGAAGATAAATTCCCCTTGAGGGAAAGGTCTTGTCTGATGAACCGCATGTTAGTTCCAACGTCGACAAGGCTTGTTGCATGGTAGTTATATAAGAACGATGCTATCGCCAATTCGCAGACGTGAGCGATTGTACTCATGGTCGACAGTAGAGCTTCTCTGTATAGCTGTAGGACCTATGTCTACTACGCCATTTTATCCGACTAACCTCCCCTCACAAGCATTACGTGCCGAGGACGTGCCATGAAGGGTTCTGCTACACTTCACAGCCAGAGCTAGCCAGACAAACTCGCATTACTGTATCTCTCGGCCTCAGATGACATCAATGTTGAGCAATCAATGAGGGGTTATCTGAAGCGCTATCAGAGATCATCGATGAGTGAACGATCGCTCGATCCTAATCCCACAATCAACGTCGTTTTTTACTGATCACGCTGAACGACGAAGCCCTAGATGCGGGTTCCATATTGCCACGATGCCACAGGAACTTCTTTCCAACGTTACTGCACGTGAGAATGCACAGAGCAAAGTCTCGAACAGACTCTGGACAGGCGAACAGACAAGGGAACATAGGCCAACTTTCCTTCAATCAGTTCCCCTTGTCACAAAGGCCCGTGGCCTAAGCGCTCTCCACATCGGCGAGCCAGCCAGCTTGCAAAAATACGGAGGTGTTCTTAGCGGCTCGTTAGAAGGATATACGCCGTGGCACGTGGATGTAATTAAGGTACCCGGGGCCTCAGCCCACGACGCCAACATCTAAGTTAGTAATTACCTTGAACGACAGAATGGCAATGCATATTCATGCTCATGATCATGATTGTTGTCAGCAAACAAGACCCGTCTCTTTCTTAGACGCCACGCATGTTTGAGATGGGCAACAAGCCTGAAGAATGATCTGCTCTGGCCTGGCCACGTTCAGAACATGCAATTGTGACACGGACTGCCACGCTGACACTGTGCCAATTCTTGAGGAGCTTCCTGTTCTAGTCAAGCTTGCTTTTACCTGAGGGGGGGCCAGCTAGCACCACTGCAGCAGCAGCAAGCTTTTGGGCCCCACGCCGCCGTTATTGTTTTATTGCTGGCAAGGAGGCAAGGTTGGTTCCCCGCCTGGTGTATCTTGAGATCCGTGCGTCAAAGTTGCAAGCCGGACACAGTGAAAGGGGGCCTTGCTCTGACAGTCCCATCTCGGCCGTCTGGTCCAAGGTCATTCGCGAGTTGCTCTGCGGCACCTTTCCCCCTGTGGAATGAAGCAATTCTTCTTTCCCGTCTGTGCCTCCAGCCTTAAATGCGAGGACGATGTCTTACATGTGAGATTGAATAATCACTGTAAAAGTTAGCTGTTTGATACGGATACAGATATAGATATAACGTCCAACGTAAAATCTTCCTCTCCGCAAGGTCTATTGCAAAGTTTTGCTTTGCTCAACAACTCACTACTCCCAGCCACCTGGCTTTCGGGGGGCTCCGAGCTCGACGCGTCTTTGATGTCGAGCACTTGTTCCGCCCGGCCGCCCTAAAGCTCCTCTTATCACGGAACAGACAGACCATGGAGCCGTCCGTGTCCCGCCACAGCCCGACGGAGCCGAGGCTTTCGTCCACCAACCCCCGGGTCCTTGCTGTATGGCGAATTTGAGGAGTCTCCGCCTTCGTGACAGACTCGACAAGCAAATCACTTTAATTGCTCCCTCCCTCCAAGACTGATCTGTACTTGGGATGATGGGGATGACATGGTGCCGTACCCACCATCTCAACTTCTTAACTGACGGCGGTTTCGTGCTGGAGCTTGTTAGCTTGCCTGTCTTCCCAGTGGGCGATGTGTTAGATATTGGGATCAAAGAACGATTTTGAGCAATTCCCGCCAATCAGGTTTATGCAACTGTGCGGCATATTTGCAACATGGGGTTGGAGGACTCCCAAGTCTAGATCAGTACTGTACGTACCTGCTCCAACCCTGGTTGTCAGGGGCCTCAGAGCCGAGGAGTTAGGCCCGTCTATCCTGAGGTTTCCATATCTGTCTTATCAGCAATTGTAGGCATAACACTGAATGCTCTTTGATTCACCTTTTAGTTGCTCTAGCAATGGGGAAGCTGTCGTTCGACTGTTGAAAGCTATTTCCACCAAACTTAAAGAGTGCATCTAAGCTCACCATATCTTTTGATGGTAAATAATTGTGACGGTTCTTTACAAACACGTACGTTCCGTGCAAGACGTTGATTGATTGACCAACCATGTGCCGTTCTATTTGTCCTCAGTCAATATCAGCAACTGATGAATGGCCCCGCTTGCTTGAGTGGATGATGATGCGACAGGTCGAGGCCCTGACGGACGCAGAGTCGCATACGCACGCGCGACAGGGGAGTAACACCATGTTCATCAGAGACCAGCAATTTGTGCTCTTCGTGTTCAGTTTGGTCCCCAGGATCCTGTGAAGACGGGGACACTGTGCGACAGATCTGCGCTAGTCGAGATTTGATTGCCAAACGGGAGGGGAGGCTGGAGAGTCACTGTAGCAGACGCGATTTGGATGGACTTTTTCGCATCGTATCGCATCGCATCGCGAGCAAGGTTTGCTGGGCATGCCGATCAAGATCTTGTAAAAAGCTCGAAAAGATGCTGATAATTAGCCGGTTCTCGTGACAGGTTATGTGAGAAAAGGTATTTTTGCGCTTGTAGCTGCAATATGGCTGGTCACGCGGCAGCATGTGTGCGGCGTCGAAATGGCCCACTGCTTCTCAACAGGCTCATGATATCCTTGATAAGGCCGAGGGTCTTTTTTCTCTGTCTCTTTTTCCTCGGAGTAACGTGTGGTTGACAGGATCTTGCTGTGAGGCATTGAGGCTTGAGGTGTAGGTACATGCTAGCTAGCGTGCATGGTATCGGAGCGAGAGTGCTAGGCTGTTCAGCGCTACAGGCTATAGGCCGGGCAACTTTGCGGTAGAGCAACACTGTGTCACTCGCTTGGAAGATGACGGGCAACCGGGTGGAACGGGATCTTGGTGAGTGGGGTAGGGAGTGCTTTGGCCAAATGCTTGATGGCTGGCTCGTGGACCTCTCCGCAACAGCTTAAGCCAAACTCTGACCAGTCCAATCTCGAGGCTCTGTGTAAAAGGTCGTTGGAGCTTTATGTCAGCGTCAATATCAATGCCAGTCCACAAGGGGAAGCCGTCAACGCCCTTGTACAAGCTGTAACGGCGGTCGTTCAAATGCTCGCCCTCAGACAACGGTTGCGATGCCGAAACAAGGCACCGCCAGGCACAAGACGACACCGTCCGTCATCACTGACGTCCCACCCTGTCTCTCTTCCAGTCTCTCTGCTCTGTCTTTGACTCTTTGTCGCCATCAACCAAAAGCTGTTCTGCCTGGCATGGAGGTTGGCCGGTGTGAATTTTGGTCCCAGACGACCAATGAAATTGACCAAGGACGATCGAAACGGAAGAACCCTGTTAATAATCGTGGGCCTGCAAACGGCTCTCTTGATGAATGCATCGATTGACGAAGACAACGGTATCGAATGAGGCCGAGGGTATTTTCTTGTAGGGCGTGGCGATCTATCTTGCCATTGTCCGCAGGATAGTCCGTGTGCAGGACGGCATGTGACCTCACTATGCTCGTTTCATCATCGGATCTTGATGCCGTTTTTTGATGGTTTCCTGTCCCCAGATTAGATGCGGCAGGCGGCTGTAAACCAATTATCGTATCGATGTAGGCCAAAGGGGGAAAAATGCACGCAAGCAATTAGGGACTGTAGATCGCGGGTTCGCGAACGACACAACGGTTGAGCCTGATTTACAGGTGCTATTGGTTGTGTTTAATTCCACGTTTTTACTCCAATATCATACTACGTGCCATTGGCTTCCACACATGATGCAGTATTAATATGAACCATCCACTGACGTACGGATACCGTCCACCTCCATTCATTCCAATATTTGAAGCTCTCTTTGATGATAATAATTACACTTGCATGCGTCTATTCTTACACACCACACATGGAGGTCTTCAACACGTGCGAAGTAGACCAGATTCCCACACCCTTTCTACTCTCTCAGACTCACTAAATGCAATATCCACCACACGCGTGCCACTGTCCACTCATGCAACCCCAGTCGCACCAGCAATGGCGCCCTGCACGTAGCAACCCACCGGACGCTTGAATCGCCGACTCCCTAACTCAGCAACAGACAGGTTGATTCTGAGCCTGCGGTTGGCTGTTGCTGGACCTTGCATCCCTTCCACCTTTGCGCTCATCTTGCACCCATTCCAAGGACCAAACCCACTCGTGGAGACTGGGAACCCGTTCCGCTGCAGCCAAAAGTTTTGCTGCAACTGTAACTGTAGCTGCTTGCTAGCTAGGCAGTAGATGCTCCTCGTAATTTAGCAAAGGACAGCAAATTTTAGGATGGTCTCTCAGCCCCCCCGGTAACCTTAGGCGTGCTAATTCATTCATTGTTTAATTTATCCCCTGCCCACACAACTCACTGAACTGGCACAGTGGGAAAGGTTCCCCCGCTCCAAGGTCCCTAGGCTAGGTTTCTTAGGCTCGCCTTCCTCCCATCGGCTTGAACCCTGACAGGTGCTGGGACTTAAGCTGGCTAGACTCTTGTCTCTGTAAGCTTTTATTTCTGCCCCACACCCTGTCATCCCCGCTTCCGGTCAAGCGCCTCGTCAATTGCATGCAGTGCCCAGCGGCCGCAATCGTCTTGTCCAATAAACATCAGGGACTTTTTTGCTTAAGGTAAATTCCCTCGTCTCGTCTGCATACAGCAATAGCCATCCCTGCACCTTCCCCCCCGTCCCCCTGCACTCTCTCACTGTCCTTTCGAACACGCGCACTTGCACTTGCCTCGCCTGGCCTCGCTTCTTTCCCGTCCGCGCCACCCACGCTCTCCACAGTCCGCACCCAGAAAAAGGAAAGGCCCCCCCGACCCAAACCCAGACCACACCCAGACCAGACTCGAAGCAGCAAACAAGCAAGAGCGTGCCCAACCAGGTTTCTGCGACAATAAACGCAGCGCACCGCAGCTCCCTCCATTTCCTCTCCGCTCCCACTCCAGATACAGTATAGATCCATCGGCACCACGCTCAAAGCAGTATCTCCACCACTTTTTTGTTCTTCCTGTCGCGGTTCGTTCGTGGTAATACAAACAAGAGCTCTTCCTCTTTTGAGATAATCGAATCCAAGCCCATTTGAGACGATTATTCAACTCACAGACGCCATGGCCGATATCACAGACCAGCACGACCAGACCTCGCCTACCGAGCTCGATGACTCGCAGAACGTAGGCAATGGCAATGCCGCCGAGTCTCGCGGCGTCAAGCGCCAGCGTCCTTCAGCTGGCGACGACGACGATGATGATGACGAGAAGGGCAGTCGCGAGCGTCGCAAGATTGAGATCAAGTTCATCAGCGACAAGTCTCGCCGACATATCACATTTTCCAAGCGCAAGGCTGGAATTATGAAGAAGGTAAGCTTTTACTCCATCTTTTACCAGCAACACCAAGCGTGTTGCAACGGCCAGCATGATCAACATCACACCTCGAGGCGCATACAATCTGCTACGCGCAGCTATCAACGTGATTTTACCACCAAGTTCGCCGCGAATTGGTGCTCTGGACGATCTTGCGCTGCCCGCTGATCCTCAGTCGCGTCAGAGCAAGCTCTCCAAGCTCCCGCGTTCACCCCTCCATCCACACAAGCACTTGTCGCAATCAACCATCTTATGGATAAATCGCTGACCTTTTTACTCTTAGGCTTACGAGCTTTCTGTTCTTACAGGCACCCAGGTCTTGCTTCTTGTAGTTTCTGAAACCGGTCTCGTTTATACCTTTACTACACCTAAGCTCCAGCCCCTCGTGACAAAGTCTGAGGGTAAGAACTTGATTCAGGTACGCGATCACTCTTCTGTTATTCGCGTCTCGCTCGACGAATAATCAATTCTCTACGTGGCCAACAATGCTGACTATTACCAGGCATGCCTGAATGCTCCCGAACCAACCCCAGGCAACGAGAACGGCGTCGACGGTGGCGACCAGGTCGAGTCTCCCGAAGAACCTCCCAACCAGCACCTCCCTCCTCAAGGCAACCGACCTGGCATGCCCCAGAACCCTCATATGCCCAATAACTACATGCCCAACATGCCCATTGATCCCCAGCAAGCCTTGGCTTACCAAAGCTACGTGCAACGGAATCAGGCTTATGGTTCAGGCCTACCTCCTCAACCAGGTATGCCTGCTGGCAGCCATCATCAGTCGTAATGACGCCCGACCCCAAAGAAGGGTCTTTGGTAACTGATACCCGGCGCTCAATGTTTAACGAGATGCCGCCTCTCGACCTTGTACGCCCCTCCTTGGCATCAGAGCTGTCTTGTGAGGTCTTGGTGAAAAAGGCGTTGGTAGGTGTTGATTTGCCACCTGCATTTCTCTTTGATTTTGTTTTTATTTCAAATTACATGGCGGCTCTCAGGCCCCAGCGAAGTCTTGCGAGTCCTCTTGCTGGACTTTAATAGTCGCATCCAGTAGTAGCGCGCTTCTGGCTTGTAACATTAGCCTCTCGTGGCCACACATATCTCCACTCGGGGCGGGAAACGAACAGCATGGGCCGCCCCGGTGAAACCTCCTCGCGGCGAACTCTACATATCTTTGCATCTTGTGGCCAGAGACTCTGGAAGCGAAGAGCCTTGCCTTAGAACTTTTGCGCGTGGCAGATGCGTGTTGAGCATCTTGTTGTTGTAGTCGAAGAACATGAGGAGGGGGCGAGTTTGGCTTGTGAATTACTTCAGAGTGTTTGGGATGACACGGGAATGGATGGGATGAAGGAACGAATGATTATGGAATGGGAACCTGATGCAGATTTGACGTCTATCATGGGTCAAAAGAGACGAAGGATACTTTACACCCTATCGTTTTTATTCGCCCAGGCTGTGATGTCGTACAGCAATTTCAAAGTCGTGAGGCTAACATTTCCCAAGAGATACCTTGCTCGCTGAACCCTTTGTATTGATCATTTGAGACAATCCATTCATAAGGTGAAGTCGTGTAAGTCAATAACGGACTTGCCCAAGATAGGTATTCCACATTTAGAGTTACCCCAGATTTGCAGGCATCCAGCATCAAGCACTACCCTTCACGTAAGTTTGGCCGCCAAATCAGGCAAAATCCTAAATTCAATCGGGGCTTTTGTCAGTGTCTTGCCCAGGATCTTAATTTGAGTTCCCATTAAAGAAAAAGGCAAGTTTAAAGTGACAACCAACGGTTGCGACCCCACGCGTTGCTTCTCTTACCGCATTAGGAGGGTTGGCGACTCATGATTGGGAGATTTTCCCTCCACCAAAGGGGGGACATGTCTACGAAGGGAGCCTATTCCTATTTTCGTCATAATTTCCTTTCCCTTTTTTTTTATCCTTTTCTGCCGGGGGGAACGAAGATGACGTTGGGTGAGTACCTACGACAGAACGGGGTTGGGGTCGGCCTTTCCCTTGTTCGGAGGTGAGGTGGGGATAAGAGATGTGGGCTTATTCGGGAGAAGAGGGTAGATTGAGGCTGAGTGTAAGTGATGCGTATTTGGGATTGGATATTAGTGGTGGTAGAGAGGAATATGGCTTTAATTTCTGGCTTTGTGGATGTTGCGTGTTATTCTACTGATGGCTGAAACATCAAGAGCATATTGGATGATTGTTCAGAGTAGCTACGCTATATTACGTATTTGGAGTACGTAGTGAAATGTAGGAATGACTACAACAATTGAGTCCAGTGAACTCCTACTGGTCGTTTTTGCATAAGATAATGGGCCTACATGGCTAGGACGACAACTACATTGTTTACACTACAACATGCCATCAGGTCAATGACAGCTGTCCCTCCTGGTTTGTTAACACCAGAGCTCCGACATAAATACCCTGCTATTGTGACGTCTAGGAGAGCTCAAAGAGAACCCAAAGATCGACAAGCATACACGATTGAAGGTTAATGGCATGCTCTCTTTATAGTCGATTACTCTAATATGCACTAGTTGTCCCTATATATGCGGTAAGAGTTCTAGATGTCCAGTTTGCATTGCATGTAGAGCAAACTTACAAGAATTTGTCCCTGTATTAGACCTCATTGCTCTTTAACAACCGAGTTAAGTAAATAGTTGTGTGCAATTGCCTCTACTGTGTCATGAAGTCGGGTCCTGGTCACGGATAGCTACCTCGGAGGTGCTTGATTGAAGGACAAAACCTGCCTGGATAGCCACCCAGTTGATTGATTGTTCAAATAATGCAACGAAGACGGTATTAGATCCTAATATATGATTAGAAATCTCGACGGCAAGTCATATAGTGATCCAAACTGTGATAAACGTTCTGTTCCTGTACTTATCCTGCGTACTATCAATAGCCAAGGACTTGGTAGACGACGAACGTCTAGCTAGGTTTACTTTGTGACCCTTAAATACAACCCTGAATTACATTTCTCTTCGTGTTAACTTGTACATCTTTCTTGCACTGTCATTCGAGGTATATTTGCGTTCCGGGACTCTTGGGGAGGTACATAGTTGTTATCCAAGACACCCAACCTTTTATAACGTAGCTTTGGAAACCAGTTCGTTGAGAAACACAGAAAAATAGTCATCATTCAAGCTTGTAGATTCTTTGTGATTAGTGCTCAAGTCAATCCTGTGTGTGATACTTGTAGCTGTCCGTTTCCTTGATTGTTATTACACGTAGTGGCCTGCCCGAGCCACAAGTAGCAACAACATAAATTTCCCAGTTAAAGCATTATACAGGGTTTAAGCAATACAAACTGGCGTCCAACTGCATGATATCACCAAAAAAACGCCTCATCATCTAGAAGGAGGCTATGGAAGTGCCCCTTAAGTCAGACGATGTGTGAGGAGAGGAACTGCTTGCCAGGCTGATAACTTCATATAAATTGGTCTACCGGTTGTCGCGAATACTATTCACAAAAGTGATATCAGACAATGGTAGAGACTTAAGTTTAATTACAGCTTTGGATCTTACGAACAGAAGAAACTTTCTTCTCTTGAGGTCGCGATGTTTACGACACATAGTCACAGAGGCCATCAAGTACACCTTACATCAAATGATGTTTCAGTCGGAACGATGAGTTTCTATTTGCGAAATGCCATATTGCTATTTAGCATACACACAATGAAGTACAATCAATGGCTTATCAACGAGAATAGAGGAAGAGCACTAAGACCGCTTCGGTATGGTCGTATTTGTTGTTGGTGAGCAGGTTTGAGCAGGTTTTTGGGGGTCGAGGCCTGGGATGTACCGGTACCTGAGGTACCTGAACCTTAGGTACTAACCTAGGCCTCACTGGCAATATCGACATCAAAAGGAAGCAAAGAAAAGGCTATTAATCTGCCTTTTGGGAGATAAAGTTCTGTTGGATTGGCTTGTAAAATTATTTGGACGAACTTTATCATCCGCCCACTCACGCAAGATATTGATCAAGAGTCTCAACGCCGCCCAGCGGTGTGTGGAGATATGCTATATGATTCTTGCAGAGCTCTACCTCTAATAAATGAAGCTAGAGTGTTGCGTGTATTCGTTTAATGCTCAGTCGTTGGTGCATATCGACCGACTGCTAGACTTCCGACAAAGACACCAGCCAACACAGAGAGGAAGTAACCGACGTTCATCGTCATGACAGCTAACATACTGCGAAACACTGTTAGCATATAGTTCCCGAACACGTAAGATCAAAAGCCCAAGGGGGACAAACAGTAGATATCCAATGCCGACAATCACAGTATCAAGACACGCCCGGACAGGATCAACGCTAAACCGCCATGGTCTCGTCGCAGCTCGCTTCCTCTCGACAACAACAACTGTCTCCTCGACTCCATTCTCTGAGAGTGTCATGCGGCGCGCATCGGGGCTGGATGCTATCTGCTCCGACAACGGTATCTTGCCATTCACAGAGACGTAACGACGTGCTGCTTCGCGATCGAGCCAGCGGGCTTCTTGGATGGCCTTGAAGGCGACGAGTCCGCGTGCAATTATGGCGAGAACGGCGAGGAATATACATGTGCCTGCGTAGGCCCCGGCATTTGTCGGCGTCCAGGAAGTTGCGTATAGAGGTGTGCGGGTTTCGGTTTGGAAGACCATGGTCATCATGTTGCTTGCGCTGTGGGAAGAGGAGGAGGAGCCGGACGAGTCGTCGCCCATGTCCATGCCGGGCATTTCGTGTCGTGGAAAGTTCATGTTGTGGGTTGTTGTAAGATTCAGAAGAATAGTCTGGCGTTTTGCTGTTTGCGATTTATATGATAGCTTGGTGATTGGTGATTCACGACGTTTAGCAGGCTAGAGAATCTTGTATGTCCGAGCTTCGAAGAATCCGTTTAACCAGTCGAAGTGAAATGAATACTTTGCTTGAATCCTTGCTGTGTAGTGTAGATGTGTTAGGGAGTCGAAAAGTGAGGGCGCAGTGAAAGAGTTAAAAAGGTTCTGTCGAGGCAGTTGCGCCAAAGTCTGAGGCAGGAAACGTCGGGAATCGTAAAAAAATCCCGCTCATTCAAACAACTAAATTGCTTCTGAGCACTATTTAAAGGCATAGCGAAGGTATCATAATAGTTTCTTGCTCAAATCGACGCATTACTCTGGGGTCTGGGGTAAAACGGCAGGTCCATAAGCTGTAAGCGGAGGTATCGGTACTTGTGTTATGTACCAGATACCCAGTTCTCCAGAGATCACAACTCGAGCAAAGCCAGCTAGAGTACTTACAACAAGTTGACAATTACTTTTACTGAGGAAAACATGGTAAATACTATAGTCGCACAAGTCATTCTCCAAGCAACAGCGCATACAATGATTCAGTTAATTACATGAAATACTTGAAGAATGTCCGAACCGCATCACAACGATCTCCACCATAGCAATCATGGCACTACCACCTGAGATTTTATGTCACTTTGCAACAGACTAATTACAGTTCTGATATTCTATTGCATACATGCTTAATATGTTTTGTCTCGTGTCTGATACCGGATGACCTGGAAGTGAACCCCCGGCTACTACAGCTGTCGGGTGTTTGGACCATCACTATCCGTATACTTCTGTCTGGTAGAAATAACCTCGTACGCCTATCGACTAGTTGCCAGGCTTAATTTATCTCCTTACAGATTGGTATCAAATGTTCCTCCAGTTGCGAAATGGCTTTGACGAACAATTGTTGGTTCTCTGCTGCCCTGCTCGACTTTGGCGATACATTCCATTTGTACGAGGTTTCTTGCTGCGATTCATAATCAGCCAGCATCTCTACGTATGCAAGGAGATATATTCGTGAATATGTGTTGAAGAACAATCCATCGCCTTGTGACAATCTAACATCGGTCACTGAAAACTTGCCAGGCTCTCTGTACTAGCTGAACCCTCACGAGTCTGTTTATTCATGAATCAGCCCATACCATGAAGCTATCCGGTAACTCGGTATTTTCATATCACTGCCAAATTCAACGCCGTTGGGACATGTTTAATCGGTGCTCTCCGCTCCAACGACATCTATACACTCTCCGGACCCCTTTCAGCAAGGTACACCGCAAAATAGAAGAGCAGTTTAGGAGTGGCCATCGTTTAGCTCACAGTCTCGGTGAGCGGCACGTCAATGCCATAGACACTCGCTGAAGCAAACAAGCTCCGTTTAGTCAAGAAAAGACACGAAATCGTTATCAAGCACCCCAACGTGCCGAGCTAATAGCTTTCCATATACACTGAGTGTACGGTTATACCTCACCGACCAATATGCCTTTATGAAGCCTCTGCAGTTAAACCCCCCATACTTTGTTGTCGCGTATATATGCTACGCTGCTCGTGATGTAGTTTCTGGCCGAGCCAGACCAAACATATAGGTACTGTAATGTCTGCGTATATAACAGTATGCACAACTTTATGAAGCTTCACGGGTAGTTGTTGACTCCGCTGACCACTGCTCCAGGAGTTAAATGAGCTGGTAGGCTCTTTTATATAAAACCCAGACGGCAAATGCAAGAAAATACAGCTGGATCATCATGATATCATGCCCTCTTGGATCCGAAGGATATTATGACACATGATGGAACTAGTTGCGGTGCAATCCGTTACTCGAGCCTTCCGTATTCCTATCACACCATCTCGGGCATACTTGCATCCCAAGCAGCACATGGTAATCACGCTTCTAAAATAGTGGAAACGTATCGGCTGCACCATTGCTGGATGTTTGATCTTAGCCGTGAATCAGGATATAAACATTTGGTCTCGCGGGGATCATCAACCGATTTGTCCACTACCCAGATTCCAGACTATTAAAAGTGATGCAGCCAGTAATAGAGCCTTGATTACCTGTCTATCATAATTTCCCAACTTTCGAGGCTCCATAGGCTTATACACGACGCGCAAGAAGCATGCCTACAGCCGGTGCTTACCCTAAAGCACTAAGATATATCCTCACCAAGTCAAGATAGACTCATTGGGCGAGCCATAATATTTTGCAGTGTCGCCATAGACCGCAGGAAGTAATGTTATATACATATTAATTCTTTATTTGTAGTACCAAAACTATTAGACTACGATGGCATTGGGCGCCTTCGCCGGTTGCATCTTGGAGCTTTGCTTGCTTCGTTGACCTATCTAGATGTCATCCAAGTGATTGCTAAATCGCCAAGACTTCTCGTGCTAGTGATTTTCTGTCTAGGTATCCTTGAGTTACTTCCTCAATAAAAAAATGCTCACCGATAGATGAAACGGTATAATAGTTGGGAGTTGCAATATTGGCTTTGGTGGACGACTATGGTGATCATCCCTGGAGACAGGATATCAGAAAGCTTTTTCGGTTACAAGGCCCCAGAAGCTCTTAAACATGGTATGATCGACGTGAATTTGAGCCCGTATTCATATTCGACTGTCTTGTACAAACGCAACGGAGCCCAGTGCAGCTCGAAGGGTTGTTTCCACAGTTGTTACGGGTTGCTGCCATACAGCGAGAACTACGAATAGCATCTCTTGGATGGTTTAGTATGTATCCTCACTGAATTAACTGCAATTTGAACTTATAGAATCTTTGACATTCAGGCCAGGGGCTCACACTTGTCGACGAAGACCCTGTGCTGCACATATGAAGTCAGGGTACCAGTACCCACCATGGCGGCGATGCTCCGGAGAAGCAGATAGGTAGGATTATTATATGTCTCGCACATGTTGTTTCCCCTGGGTGATTTACATCGAGTGGCTCAAGTATAAATTACTTGAAAAGGGAATGTAATTGATAGGGCAGGGCCGAGAAGTGGCCAAAACTATAGCTGGCGTACTACTTAACAAGTCGTAGATGCTTCATGTGCATTAAGTACGCAGCTTCTATCGTTCAAAGGACAGCTGCAGTACTGCTACCCTTCGATAAAGTACCAGGCATATTAGTTTACCAAATCAATCACACTCAGTCGATGTATGTTCTCCCATTGAATGAACCAACATTCCAGTCGTTGAACATCAGAGAGCCTGCCCCGTCAAAAACAGTCGGCATAGTCCTTGCATCGATCTCAATTAAATCTAAAATATTGCATACTACGGCAGAGGATCTCAAACAAGGATCTATCCATGAAGAGTAGCAGCGATAACCAGGCGGCGGCATGTGCCTGTTGATCATACTCCATCGGTACCCAGATATCGCCAAGATCTACATGTCCGCAGGGCGAAGCGAGCGGACTCTACCCACCTCTATCAGATCCACAAATCCACAGACTTTTGTTCCATGAAGCTAACAAGTCAACAATCGAGCAGTGTTAGGTCTATTCAAGAGCTCCATTTTCCCATGTCCCGCCAGACGCGTCTTGGCTCGGCTTTTCTGACAGGCGCCTACCAGAGACTTGGGAAGCAGTGGCGTGTATGACGATATGCACAGATGGGATCAGCCTTTTCCGTCCGCGTTTCACACGATAATTCGGGCAGAAAAAAAAGGGAAAAGACATGCACAGCAACTGTCCCAGACCTTTCTCCTAGCCGCTATTTGCGATATGAGTACGACGGTTCCGGGACCGGGGGGTTTGGTGCACCAGCAACAACAACTGGGGACATGTTGGATGATTGCGTATTTGGTACTCAAACCAACATGCGCAAACCCTGTCATTATTGAATTTGGTAAGGACAGCCAGGCCAGACCTTGTAATATTATTTCCATATGCAAAAATCGAATGGCCGATTCTGTTTATGGTATCCTCCACCCCCCAAGAACTTCATCCATTGCACGCTACAGGTTCCACAGCAGGATGCATCATGTCTATTCATCACGGACGTATCCGTGCAGAATGCTAGGTATGAAGTACAGTAAGCATAATAGCGGGGAGCACGTATTCGTGGATCCGACGTCTTGACTGGGATCATTAAATCGATCCTGGTGCTGAGCAGTTTGGCCTTGTCAACACTGGTTTTATACGCTCGGACCGAATGAATCTCAAGGAAGAGTTGTTAACCTGGTAGGTTGTCATTAAACTCTAGTCTCTACTTTAGGGAGTTCATATTCTTCGAAAGCACACCTCATGGAGCCTCGTATGCTGTACGTACGCAATCGCAAAACGCGGCTCCAGCTTCACGTTCCCTGTCCCTGACCGGTCATGAAAAAAGAAAGTCTTCAACCTGAAAAATGTCTCGACAAGGGACATGGACATCAAGGCTAGACGGCCAATCATGGGCGGCCCCTGATGAGGGGTGTGCGGAGGTGACCATACATATGCGGAGTTGTTTTCATCACGTTCAACACTTTTTGGGAAGCCCCCTACTAAGAGCAGCTCTTCTTTGCTCTAGCAATTCCCGTGCACAAAAGCAGTTATGGTCCATCAACAGTCGTGATGTTGATATCAAAAGCCACTTCAACGTTTGGATAAAGCGACTAAAGACAATTAGGTAACCTAGCCTAGGTGGAAGGGGAGAAAAAAAGGCTTGAAGATGAGACGCCACCAGGAACGATCGGCGCAGGGATTCTTTGTGCAGATCTGTGCCATTTGCGGGCTTACTTTTGGGGTTTTTCGAAAAGAGATTAATCGCGGTAACCATCTTCTGGTGTGGTGTTTAAAATGGCAACAATTAAGTTTAGGGATATACGGCTTCTGGAGCCGTTGAGGGAGGATCTGACTTTGTTCTGCCCCCTGACGATATGTGATATAATCTCTGACTGTCTTTCTTCCCCCGTTCATGGACGGAGATTAAACCAAGGGAAGACATCCATGGTTTACTATCAG